AGCTCGAATCCTGTCGATCTCATATACCTCGGGAGTTGAGGGACGCGATGGGCCATCGAGTGTAAGAGTGTATGGCTCGGCGAGGCTGAGATTTCACGCTACAGAATATTTCACGCTACAATGTGATTTCACGCTACAGCCCAAACCTTAATTTTTCCACCACCTATTCTCGGCCCCGATCCACGCTACATGTCTGACCCTAAACTACTAGGTGTTGTATCAAATCACGAACCCGTACGTCCGCAAACTCAACAAAAACGACATCGGACTGGGGGCACCGTCGAACGTGGTCATGGTCATGAATCGTCGCACCATCTTCTGCACCAATGCAAAATGCGTGGGGGCCTGGTGGTCGGCCTCGTCCTCGGTGCGGCCCACATCTCGCAACCGTTGGACCTGGGCTTGTCGTTCTTGTCGGGCCTGATGAATGATCAACATCCGGGCCACCGTCACCACGGCGGAAATCGTGGGCGTGTACGTCGTGGCCGGTTGCCATGTCCCGCGTCCACCGTCCCATCCCAACACGGCCATGTCACTGACCAACGCACTGTCGTACTGATGATCTCCTAACGCGTGATCCAATAACGACATCCACCACGCCAAACATGCCTGGTCCGCCGGGGTGCGTCGATCGGTCGTCGGGACGGGTGACTGCACACTCTCCTCCAATGCCTGGAAACATCGTCGCTGTCGGTCGGTCAATTTGTACGGCGGTGGGGGTTCGACGTCGTCGTGGGTCCGCCACACGTAACACAATATGCGAACCCAATGTCGGCTGTACTTGCGGATGGTCTTGCCCATCTGGCGACCGTAAAATGGCTTCTCGCTGTTCTTTTGACCCGTCTCGCGACGATTGACGTATTGTAACGCGGCCAATCCCACCACGTCGGGATGACTGGATTTTTGCGCGGCCTGAATGACCCGGATCGTGCTTTGACATGCTCGCCATAATTCAACCTCCACACGGGGGAATGCTGATGATGTTGTTGATGATGATGATGACCGGTCGACCTGGGTGTCATCCTCATTCTCACTCTCTTCGGTCACCTCTTCGGTCACCTCCTCCTTCCTTCGTGGAATGGCGACAAAATGCTCCAACTCATCCCAGGTGTATCGGGCTAAATGGGATGCCCAACCGGCTCGTTCCAACCATCCATTCACTTCATATCGATTTTCCTGATGACCCATCACTTCATGTGGTCGAAATTCTTCAATGGCTTTTTGTTGCGCCGCCAATTGTCGTTCCGCCCGTTGCACAATCTCATCCACCGTCACGCGGGCGGACTCGGGCGCCGCCACGGGGAAAATCTTCTTCCATTTGTCGACCCGAAAAAACTGTTGTCCAAAACACCCGTCCACCCAAATGCGATTGGGCGTCTGCGGCGGTCGCGTATCGCGACCGCCTCGACCCATACGACCTCTTTTCTGAACGTTAATCCAACCGTGTTGTTCTTTACAATGACGCTGCATGCTCTTAATGTTCAAACACATATACCCACACCCACCCTCGGTGGCATTATTTCGGGGCGCTGTACATCGGAACGCGTTTTCGATGACTCCTAACTCGGGGATGGGTGGTGTATCCGGGTCCGGGTATCGAACCTGGCCGGGCTGCTGCGCCAAATCGGGAATCTGTTGGACGGCCTCGACAATTTGCCGTTGAATGGCGGCACTGACATGGCCGTGATGATCTCGTAAATGACGGGTGATTTGACTGGGCACGGGACAAAACCGACATGTCTTGCAAAATATCACTCGGTATTCGGGCCAATGCTCGAAATGGGACTCGAAATGGGGCATGGTGGACGAAACTGTAATACACTACACTGCCCTGAACTATAATGGACTGGAATACAACTGCAATGGACTGTAATGAACTGGAATTGAACTACAATGAACTGCAATGAATGGAAAACGAACGGGAAATGGGCATTCTATCGCGCGACGTGGTACGCGACTCGAAATGACTTTCGGAGCCGGGCCTGATGACTCATCCGGGATCCCTGGGATCCTCAAACATCTCATCTCCAAATCGGCGTGCGGAGATTTTTTGGTCACGTGACACCACCTCCAAAATTTCGGCGGCGACTTCATCGGGCGAAAACATCATGCCCACGACTCGGATGACATTGGGAGTGGGTGCAAACGAAGCGCCTCGGTCGTTCGATGAATTGTAGAGAGTGGCGTGTTGAACTAAGTGGTCCTCAACAAAAGAACGGACGGTCAAAGCCAAACGAATGGACCGTGTGCAAAAAATGCCGGCAATCTAATCTTAACTAACAACCGAAAGAACGGACAGTCTGTTCCTTCAGCCACGGGTTGACAGGGCTGAATTTTTCGCAGTGTGCTACAACAATCTTGTCATATTGGCGTGTGATTTCTGATTCGGGCGCATCCGTGGGTCATTCTATCCCTCCTCTTTACTCGGAGTGTAGGTACCAAACACCATGCCCTCCGGCACGTTCTTCCACTGTTTCGTCTCTGGGTCCAACAAAGTCTCCTCACATGTCTGCCACGTGGTTCTGATCAGCCGCGCATGACCTTCACTCCTTGGTTTGATAACAGCTGGAAATGGTTCCGGCAAGACGAAGAGTCCTTGTGTCAACTTATCGATGTCTGGGGTGATTGGACTGCCCCGAGCATCGCGAGCTTTCTCGAAGTCAAAAGCCCACAGCATTCGCACAATGGCCAGGAAAAGTGACCGTTCTGCGATATGCATGCCCTGACATACCCGGCGGCCGGCACCAAAGATGAAATGGTCTCGTTTGCTGACGTCGGGATTCGTGGCACATTCAAACTCGCTGAGGAAGTCATTCGCGTACCGATCCGGGTCAAAGGCTCGTGGGTTGGTGTGCCGATTCGGGTCCATATGGATAGCCCTGGAAGTGTCAGTGTTCCTTCCTCTGGACAGTGGAAACAAGCTCTGCCCTCGGTCTTACCAGACATTGGCGATGATGCTTGCGCCGGCGGGGATTCTGTATCCCATGTACTCATCATCCTTGATGACCGAATGCGGCACTCCCAAGATGTTTGTGGGCATCCACCTCATGCTTTCCTTCACGCAGCCGCGAATGTACTGCATTTGCGGTGCGTCTTCCATGGTCGGCAATCGCTCCGTTCCCACCACCCGGTCAATCTCCTCCTGTGCTTTCTTCTGCACCTCGGGAAAAACGACCATGGCTTGAATGAAGCCAATCAGGGTCGCTGCGGTAGTGTCCGAACCTGCCTCAAGCAACGACCCGCTGATGTAACCCGCCAAGTCATCGGAAAACCCTTCGACCTCCTGTGATTTGACCAGGTCGACACAGAAGCATGGCTACGAGTCAGGAGGCTTAGTCCTGGAATTCTTGCAATGGCGGGGAACAAGTCAGTGCTCACCTTGCCAGTACCATCCTTAATCGCCTTCTTCGCATTCAGCCAGTGGCCGACGTACAGGGCCTTCTCCTCCTGGTGAAGCTTTTCTGCATAGCGATAATTGGGCAATAGAAACTTGGGAAGCCGTTGAAGAATGGGAAACAGGTCAAGGATCTGTGCACTGGAACTTCCTGTGACTTCTGCCCATTTCTCAAAACCCTGGTATCTAGTAAGTTCGTGCTACACACTGCAGAAAGTGGGTGCTACTGACATGGAACAGTTGCTGCAGCTTGGGATCATTAATGTTGAGTGTGCGAAAGCCAAAGATCATTTGGGTTGTGAGTGAGTTCGTATATCGCCGCATGTGATTTGCAAATTCCTCGGGTTGGTTGAGCATTCCAAGCAGCATGAACTTGTTCTCCAGATCTTGGTAAGGTACATAAGTGACTGCAGCCTTGATATTGAGAATGTTGTGGATCATCCTGTGGATCATCCTCCAGGTCGGGCCATATTGCTGATTGGGTGGTCACTGGTCAGTTTCACTGCGTAGGCGAGTTTGGACACTCCAGGGATGTACGGGTCTATACCATGAGAAGAACCCGCAAGCCTCCACTCGCCAATGTCGAGCCGATGAACATGTCGGGCCTCGAGGAATATATGTTGCTTCGTTTGTCAAGAAGATCCTTCACTGCCGTGTCGGAAGAAAGGACGACAAAGGTCTTGGTGCCCAGCTTGAGGGAGTAAATCGGTCTGCGCCTGTGTAAATGCATTGTCGTCGTCATCAAGTGGCAAGAGCACCAGCTTACCCATACTCCTTGGCCCATTTCTGGAATTGAAGGTGCCCATCTCGAGCCGTCATCTATTGTTGTTAGAAATATCGGTCGACGATCAGGGGCAACGGTAGGTGTGTGAGGCCACAGACCAGGTGAAGATTGCCCAGGACTGGGACTGTTGGTGGCCCTGGAGGCAATCCTGCCGCTCTCTTTCCTGTTTGGAGTAATTTGACGACGAGAAAGAGGAGGGCAGCGATAACGCCCACGCTGGCCACGCCTGATGATGCCATGCTGTACAGATGTGAGTTGTTCTCTATCCAGAAGCGCGAAGCCACACTACGAGAGACAAAATCACCACGCGCGAAGAGAATTCGCTTTATATCCCTTTCGTCGACCCATGCTTCGCATACTAAAACGGTTTGGACATTTCCCTCGGAGCCTACCAACCCCGCCCACGCCCGGACAATCCCCCGGACACATGATGTGGGACCTATTGAAATAACCGGCTGGTCAATAAATCTGCGTCCAGAGGACCAATGGAACCTGGCCAGCTGGCTGGCTCACAACGGCGTCAAACCGGTGCATCTTCGAAGCGGAGGACAGTGCCAGTTCTATTTTGCAAATACTCCATGTTTTCTGGTCGGCTGCTGTTTGGATCGTACCTCCCCATCTCCGATCGAACACGCTCATATCAAATCCAACGGTACCGCGTGTATCTCGGAGGCTGACCAAAGTACTGGCAGTCGTATGTCCTCCAGATTTTTTCCCTGTTGAGCCCCGCACAGATGGTATTCAAGTGCGGGGTACCCCGGCCGTAGAACCTTAAACTCACTGCTTCAGCCGTGGGGGCACGTCATTGGGGTCATTTGACTGCTCAACAAGTACAGACATCACAGCAGCCGATTGGTTTCGTTCGAATCAGAACATCCATCTCTGTCTTTCTCAGTTCGGTCTGGTGAATCATCAAGCCGAAGGCAGACTGGATCGTCTATGCGTAGGTCAGGTCTAAAGATCTTTTCTCTTCGGTTTTCTGGACCCAAAGCGCAAGTTCGTCCCTGCGCAAACTGACTTCTCGTTGAGATGATTCGAGGTAAAGAATAAACATGCCGACGCGGTTACGGACCAGGTTGCCCGAATGTGAAGTATCGACAATGTCTTTGCCAGAAGTAACACCATTTCCATCTCTATGCGCTCGGTGAGTCCAATTCAGTACTTGGAACTGGGTGAGACATCCAGGACAGGCTGCTCCGGCCACGTTGCGGCATCTTCAGATCCTTCCCCACTCCAGACCAACGACCATCATCGAGACAAAGGAATGACAAGTCTTGTTGAAACTTCTGCGAAAGCAGCTCCGTCCGCCGTCCAACCCGTGTCTCGCGACCGAGACTAACCCCGATTTTCAAATCCCACCACAATGAAGGCGGAGAGTGTGGAGTATAATACTTGAACTCCTGAAGAACGGAAGGTTCCGTCTTCTTCCTCGCTCCTAGATTGTCTTTGAGAGCTTCGTTATTCGTCACTACTTGTCGATCGATTTGGAGTTAGGCGACTCGCATACTGTGTGGCATCCGTCATTTGGGGCTCGTCGAGGCAGGCTCTGCTTGCTGTTCTCTGCACTAATGTAGAATTGTTGAGTCTCACGCTGGAATTACCCCCAGTCAGGTCGGATTCAACCCCAGCTACGGTATGATCTTTGGCCCACCCAAGTGAGTCACAAGAATCGCTTTCCTACTGTGATACAAGGCCCTGATACGCTTCAGGGAGTCCCTGTTCGGCCCCGTGTTTTTGATCCTCTTGGTATTGCTATATGCCTAGCAAATACTACCCATGTACTGTATATATCTTGAACACCAAGCTGTATAGGCGGTCAAGTGGGCATAGGGATTCGTTACGCACTTGCAAGTTCGTTGTCGTCCTATCCAGCTTACACACTTCGTCCAGCATCCAGCATCCATCTGTTCGTGAAATCTTTTCATTAATAGGAATAACATAATTAGCGATAGAGAGTTCACGGAGAGCCGCGATACCCGATTGCGTGCGTTTTCTGCCGCCAACGGAAAGTGTGGTAAGGAACTTCCTCATTGTTGGATTTGCAGGCGGTCTTCACAGGAATTCGAATATTCAGGGAGACCGTTGGAACTGGGGCCGAAACTTGGTTCTAAACAACAGGTTTCGCGAAAAAGAAAGATGCAGCGTGAGCCATATTGATCAGAAGTGCTTCTGCTCGCTTTTTGATTCCCACAACATGAGAACGAAACACGCGCCATACAAAGCATGACAACGAGGTCCTCCAAATCGACGCCGAAAGATGACGGTCCAGCCTCGCAAGAGCCGCAACGGTCTTCATCGAACTCAGTGTTTTTCCCAGAGCTTGCCCGCATACACATTTTCAGCTTGATTATTCATCCCTCCCATGAACGAGCTGAAAAGTAGAATGCTTCTCTTTGGACCAGATCTATTGGCAGAGTCCCCTTAAATCAGATCTAGCTATGCTTGGAACGAGTCTGCTCAAGAGTCAATTGCTTCTCAGATTTTCTGGCTGTTATTCGGCTTGTCAATGCAATGGGCCAAGTTTGTTATGTACTTAAAAGGTGTAAAGCCGGTGGTGGGAGAGAGGTTTGGTTCTGCCTCAGCTTCGTCAGTTTCCACGCGCTTCTTACACACATCGGTCTGGTAGGCGAAATTGGCAAGGCTCTTCTGTCCACCAGCCTAGAGGTTGGGATGACTGTTTAACCACACCCGGAACGACCAATATTCCTTGTATTTACGAAGAAGGCAACATCTGGACTTCGCTGAATGTGGATACATGATTTGTTACCGTCACAGATTCGAGGCATTCTCTCTCAAGGCTGTGTAGTACAAAAGCTCAGCCAGGCCATAGATTTTATCTGATTTTTTTGTATTTGAAGATCATCTTCTGTATAATCGAGTCCTATGGAGTAGGGGAAGTGGGAGCCGACCACCATCCATCGAGACGAGTCAGAGCCAGAAAGGAAAGCTATATTTCGTGGCGAAAGATGGAGAGTCTTGAAAGGGTCTCAAGAGATATATCGAATCCATAGGTGCTAGGAACCCCTCATGACATTCCATGCACATTGATTCTGACAATCGATCAAGCGTTGACAGTATTTCAATCCACTTGGCCGTGATAAACGGTCGTTTCCACCGAGTCAGGGTATGTCAGATTGGAACGAAGTCTAACTTCATCCATGATTTGACAGATGGCCAGACTCTCGTGCCAGGGCATGACGTCGCTCTCAAGTTTTCCATCGACCCAACACCGAGCTGCCTCATCGGCCTCGTACATCATGCCTTTGATGCCATCAGGGATGGGAAAGTCATGCTGCTCAACGGAAGCAGGTCCTTGTTCTTTCCGAACCACCCTCAGCCGATGTGGACAGTAAATGGGCCCGTACAGCAGAATCTCGCCACGAGTACCCTGCAGCCTGACGGTTGGGGCTGCCTGGTCCGTCGAGTCGACGCTGCTGTCGACACGGAAGGCGGTAGTCATGATTGCATGAGCCGCGTGTTGGTCTTGTACAGCAGTAGGGGGAGGGAAGTCGAGCAGGACGGTGGTGGCCTCGTCCACGCCTGTGCGAGCATCCAGAGTCATGGCAGAGCCCATAACACGAGGGATCACCCTCTGGCCCGGTGGCCGGAGGTTGTAGAGCACATAGAAGATCCAGGACAGATTGTAAATGCCCAGATCGAGAAGCGCACCGCCAGCCAGGTCCTTGTTCACCATGCGATGGGAGGGGTCAAAAACGTCTTCGGGCACCACACCGATGGAAAGGTCAGCGGACACGCGAAGAATCTCCCCGACGGCGCCGTCCAGGACGTAGTTGCGGAGCGTCTTGCTGATAGGCAGGCAGCGCGTCCACAAGGCCTCCATGAGGAAAGTCTGGTGCCGCAGCGCCTGTTTCTGCAGCGCAAGCGCCTGCGCGGCATTCACCACCAATGGCTTCTCACACAGCACCGCCTTGCCCTTCTGCAAGCATAGCATGCACACCTGGAAGTGATGAGAGTGTGGTGTCGCAACATAGACGATGTCGACCGCGGCGTCTTGGAGGAGCGCATCATAGCTGCCGTATGCTGTGCACGGCTCCTTTTGCTCGTGGCCCGGTCCCAGGATATCGTCAATGAAATCCTGAGCTTTTTGTTGGGATGAAGAGCTGGCCACCGCGACAACTGAGTGTCGAATGTCCACGACCCCGCGAGTCCGTGGGTCAACTAGGAGATCTTTTGCAAATGTTCGGGCGATATACCCGGTTGCTGCGCACATGGATCGTTAGCCATCGTGAATGGGAGCTGTGAAAAGAGTCGCATACCAATGATGCCCCATCGAATGACTCGAGGCTGTGTCATGATTGCAAGGGTTTTTATTGACTCTAAAGGTGTCGTTTGAACGTGCTTATACTCCTTCACGTAATAAAGAATTGTGTGAACTATGTCCAAACAAGACCGTGAAGCTGATACAGCGACTGATTAATCCGATTGATATAGGTCAATCGAATTATTCCGATGTTGTGTAGTACGTCGTCAGGCCTGCGATTGGTATGTTGAAGATACGAAGAGGGTCAGCAAAGGGATATTAGTTGACGCAAGTAGAACCGAGGCACACGAAAGTCCGCCTGCTTGTAGAGGATGGAACAAATGATGGGGGAGCGAGAGTGGGAGGGAGCGAGATAGCAGACCAGACCCGGAGCCGGTATGGGCCGGATCCTGAACTCGGAATATCGGCTCGGGATCGACTGCCGTCCAGGATATCATACGTGCTGGTCTACTTGCTGGGCCTTGGTCGATCACGCGTCCGGTGCTTCTAGTTCCTTCCTTTCTAGTCTGTTGCCGCGACGCTAGGCGTGCCCGAAGTCGGGCGGGGCTGAGGACTGTCAGAATCCGGGATTACGCACGCTATAACCTTGTTGTGACAAGATCTGGAATGAGTACCTTGTTTATTTGGACAAGAACTACGTCTCGTGTAGGTCCAAATCCATCGAGATATGGGTTCCGTATAGGTCTAGTCTTGTCGATATGTGAACATGGAGACCCAAACTCTAAGCGTACGGTTTGGATATGGATGTCGCCTTTAATCAACAGTCAATATGCGTATCAAGGTCTACACAATATGTTCTGCATGATCGACGACGTTTGTCTACCCACAAGTCTGAATCTGGTCTCATACTTCCCAGTCATACAGGTAGCGCACCCTCACACCTCGGCTTTTCAACCCCTTGACCTTGAAGCTGACGGCGCTGTCGGGCATCAAATCGACCATGTTGTCGCTCCACAACGGCTCCGGATCGTTGACGCTTTCCTTGCCGTTGGGGATCGGTTCCACCCAAGCGCCCTTGATCGGGACATTCGCAGTCAACGTTACCGTATTTTCCCAGCCAGGATCTTGGCCGCCACTGGTGACAAGACCACTGGCAGACTGAAGGCCCGTGTTGGTGGCATACGGCGCAATCGAGGTCGTGACTCGAGTTGTCTGCTTGGGCCATCGTAGGTAGCGGAAAGGTTCTGGCCAGTCAACCACTCTGGCGAGCACGGCGGAACTGGCAGCTGCGTCCTTCTCCAGCGAAAACAAGCTGGCCTCGAGGACGATGAGGTTGTCCTTGGTCCATTTCTCATAATGCAACGAGGCAAGCTCGGTATTTTGGCCGGCTCGCAGACTCACAGTCCGCTCCGAGTCTTCGGGAAGCAGCGAAATAGGACGGTGCGTCTTGAAATCATAGGCCGTGAGACGCAAGCGACACTTGACCTCTTTGGTGGTCGAGTTGTGCGCGAAGATTTCGAACGTTGGCGCAAGGATCTTTCTCTCGGGCGCGGCCTCGGTCAAAAATCGCGATCTCGGCGACCGTTGGATCCCGACTTGGACAGGCGCAAAGGCCCGACGGATCGTGTAGTATGCCGGCTTGGGTCGCACGAAGTAGTCGATATACGACCAGCTCATGCCTGGGTACAGGTCGTTGGTTTGCCAGACCAGGGCCCCAGCACACTCCTCCTTGCCAGGGACAAATTTGCGTTTCCAATGACACAGACCGTACCACACGGCCTCACTTTGCATGCATTGGGTCAGGTACGCATAGTTGGACATGTCGGACGTGTCGCAGCGAAAGTTCTCGGCCAGGTAGCGGGCCACTCGTGATTCTTGACCGCTGGCCTTGCTGTGGCAGTCCGCCACCTCTGACTGCGGGTATCGCTGTTCCGGCCGTGTGATGAAGTGTTCTACCGTTCGCATGATGGGTAGACTGAACATACCAAACTCGGACACGAATCGGCCCGACAAGTGAGGGAAATCTTGGTAGGGATACTGGTGAAGGTGCCAGACTGAAGACGACACACAGATCAGTCACTATCCGTGAAGCATGCACCACCTCGGGATGGGAGCGAGCAAATCCCAAGGCTATGTGTCAAGATAGAAACTTACCTTCCCACTGGTGGATATCTCCTACAGTCAGATCGTTGGCTTCCTTTTTCCCTCCCCATGGCGAGTTGGCCCAGTATGTGATGCTTGGGGCAACCTCTCTCACGATTTCGGGTAGAATTCGAAGGTAGATCTCTCGTTGGGGAAATCCTTTGCCTTCAAACGGCCCTTGGGTGTCTTCATGGTCATAGGGTCCATTCCTGAGAAATCAATCAGACGTGGGCACTTTCAGAAGCAGGGTCAGGGCGCCGTGATGCGTACCAAAAGATGTCCTGGAAGAGGAAATCCTCATTCCCACCGCACAGAAGGGCAAGACAGGCCCTGTTTCGGAGTCGCTTGGTCTGATGTCTTGCCTCCAACTTGAGACTGTCGATGAAGGCCGGGTTGAGAGGGTAGTCACCGCACGCGAGTGCAAAGTCGTGCCACAGTAAAATCCCGTGCGCATCGCACGCATCCAGAAAGTCTTCGGTCTCGTAGATGCCGCCTCCCCAAACACGGACCATATTGTGGTGTGCAAATTGCATTTTCTCGATCCAATCAAAATACTTCTCCCGTGTGATCCGGGGCAGAAGTGTATCTGCCGGAATCCAGTTGCCCCCTTGAGCAAAGATGTCCTTCCCATTGACATTGAACATGAACGTCAGTCCTGGCGCGTCACGGAGCTCCCTTTGGATTAGCTGGATGGATCTGATGCCGAATTTGGTCTTGACAACATCCAACGTTTTTCCAGTCATGTCGCGGATCATAATCTCGGCCGTGTAGAGCGTTGGCTTTCCGTGGCCATTGGGCCACCATAATTCCGGGTTCTGCACTTTGAGACTGACCACGTCTGAGCCTCGTGTCTTCGTAATGCTTTTTGTGGCGACTACCACACCGTTCTCGTCCACGATATCGATATGCAGTGAAGTCTGTGCTGCCTTGCCCTCAATGCCGACCCCGACGTCAATCACCGCGCTTGAGTGGTCATCGGCAAGCTTGGAGGTGATGGATGTTTCTGCGATCCGGCTAACATGGCCTTCAATAAAGACCGGACAATAGGGACCCGCGGTCAGCATTTGAGGGCCAAAGTCCCAACCCCATTGACACTGCATTCGTAAGATGATGCCGGAGGAGTTGTCCTTGGAGTGGCCGAACGTACCTGAATCTTGCGGATATGCATACGGCGCGGATCTCGTTCCAGAGCCTTCCGGACACCGTATTGCTCTTGCAGCGCCGTGGATCTCTTGATGGCACTCTCAAAGTAGACGTTCAGGGTGTTCGACCCCTCTTGCTTCAAGATTTTGCCAACTTCAATCCTATGCTCCAGAAACATGTTGTCGCATTTGAGGATTTCTTGGCCGTTCAAAACGACTGTTGCGAAAGTGTCGAGACCTTCGAATATAAGTTCGACCAGCGGCAAGTCCATGATTCCTTCCGGGGTCTCGAATTGACACTGATACTCCCAATCCGATTGACCGACCCATTGAACGTCTCTTTCATTCTCATTAATGTAAGGGTCGGGAATGAGCGCCAACTGGAGAAGCTCCATGTGAATGACCGAGGGCATATGCGCTGCACCATGCCATTGAAAGAGATCGTCCTCGACCTCTGGATTGTCCAGGCCATTGAGGTCCGCCAGGCGCCATTGCCAGCAACTGGAGAGTTGATTTCTTTGTCTCGACATGATTCTTCTGAGTCTGGACCTTCTTCACGAATTGTACGCCGAACTACTACAAGTCAGCCAGGTTGGCCCAAACATGGCACGTTGGCTTGATTATAAGAAGACCACGGGATCTAGAGACACAACCCACAAGAACGATCGGTTCTCCTCAGCACAAGAACTGAGAATATTGCTGTGGCTGGCATGTCAGAGGGCAGACCGCGCCGGCCGGCTGACGATTCGGACCCGTAGAGCTTCATGGCCTGGTTGCCTTTTCGCCCGGCAGGTAGAGTGCTCTCCATTGTTATTGAATCATAGTGGCTCAGAGGCTCATACAGTGCCATACTTGCCATACTTTGTGTGTAACTGGCAGAGACTGAAAATGGAGCAGCAGCTTAGGAGCGCGTGCTTGACATGATCCGATTTGCCGAGTGCCGCTGAATGCTGATATTGTCGAAGTTTGGAGCCGGAATCCCGACACTCCGATCGCACAAGCGATTTTAATGGATACTATGTTACAATCAATACTGGATACTCACTGGATTGGGCTCATTTCCCAGTTGGATGATTGTGGGCTCGAAATCCCCACAAAGCTCGTCCGTGGTGGATGTCAGCCGGGGGTCATGGGGTTATGGGGTACAGTAACCTCTTTGTTCAGAGTTTGTAATCATACGTAGTAATTCTTCTCTAACGGAGTCGCAAGAAACGACATCCTGCAGGGCAAAGTTTTGTCAGTAGCTGATGTAACACCTTTCTACAATGTTGATGCTTCTGAAGACTGTGATCAGGCTTACCATGAAGCCTATCGCGTCGGCCTCACCGGCCTGCGCTCTACCACATATACACCTGGTACCTACTCTTTAAGAGACTTACAAGTCATTCAATCAGTTCATCCTCCTTTAGGGTCGTGATGCTGGTCCCATGGATGGACAGGCTCGGAGTCTATTTTCAGATCTCCTCCCTGTATGAAGTTGGCAGGTGACTCCCTTCTTGCGCGAGATAGATCAAGCTTTACAAGAGAGGACACGCAAAAGTGTTCATTATCATATCTAAAGATCTACGGTTTTAGTTGCCTCGAACTGGATAGGAAGGGACCAAGCAGCCCTCAGGAGCAACCCAATGGCCAAGATCAACCCAGGAAATGCATTCGATGCACGGTACACTCTCATTGAAAGACCTGTAGCCGGCCACAGTTTTTCCACCAGCCTTTGACCATGGGATCATTCACCTTCTTCAACTCTTGATGCTGCGAACTGTATGCGAAGGTCAGCAAGCCCTGCAAGACGATTTACAAAGGGACGGAAAGCGAGGCTTATCTTGTCTGCAACATCTGCCCTGGCCTCATCTTGGAACCCGCACACGATGATGATGGCTTCGGGATCCTCTTGCGCGGCCGCAGCCACGAAGAACTGGTACGTGTTGGGTTCGTGAGACTCGATGTAAGTGGCCATGGCTGCAGCGAATTCTTTCTGGTCTGCCAGAGGAATCCGCAGCATCGCGCATTCGTAGTAGTTGCATTTCGGGGTGGTCGCGGAGCCGGGCAGGGCAATGTGATAGCTAAGATTTATGTCGATATTAGTTTCAAACGATCCAGACAAGCTACAGTGGTCCGAAGAGTCAGGGAGGAGGATGTGTTTGCTTACATGTTAAGATCGGGTTTCTCGCTGTCGATAAGGGCGCTCCATTTGCTCTTGACCGATTCGATCGCAGGATCTAAGCATCATACGATGTTGGCAATCTGTCTGAGTGTTCTGGTTTGCTTATGTCACCGGGTTGGCTCCTCACCAGTCTTGAAGTCATCCTTCTCTTTGGCAGACGTCCAGTCGAAGATCATCATGAATGTGCCCTCGTCGCCTGCCTTGTCTCCGGCGAGGACTTGTCGGAAGATTGGGAATTCGGAAGTCTCTTGCAAGATGGTTCGAGTACCCGTTGCGAACTAGAATACGTTTTCCTTCAGTATGCTTTATTCAGCCCATATACCGATAGAGTAAGTGTTTTCCCACCTGTTCTTGAGAGACGGCACTTTTGTGGAAGCTGGCCACTTCAGTGAACCTGCCTGGGCCATCTTCGACGGGAAACACGAGTGGTAAAGACATGTTTGGAGTACTAGTGGATTTGTAGAGATTGGAGCCTGATCACCAGAGGACGAGTCTGCGCATATTATAAGAGGCTGGATCGGAGGAATAACAAGATTAATAGTGAATGACCAGCCGGCATGCATGCATTTGCATCGGGACTGTCACGATCAACTGCATAGCAGGATTAGAACTCCCGCATCTGTAGACGAGACCCGCAGCACTAAGAGTCCAACAATCCAGTCTTGACATCCATCCACTTTCCCTTGCCGACAAATTCGGCAGTTCGGAAGAGAATAGCAGCCACCGGGGGAGAGGCCTGTTACCGTGGCCGACCCGGCATAGCATTGGCCTTGAGGTGTCAAATACCGTTGGCCGGCAACTTACGAGTAAGCAAAAGATCGAGTGCACAGTGCGTGCCGAGGAAATGCAATGGATGGCCAAACATGTTCCGTATACAAATATATCCTAGAGAATGGGAGCTTCCGCACAAAAAAGGCTCCTAAACATACATGAATGATGAGACCCTTTCCAGCACACTATTCCTCCACCATTCTCTCCATTTTTCCGATTTCCTCCTCACTACTGCCCCCTCTTCCCAATTGCCCTGTCCCTCCACGCCCATGAAGGAGGTTCACACGGTAGAATTCTCAATGTGGCCCACCCTGGCACCATTCTCGGACGCCTTGGTGGTGATGATGGCACCTTTGACCTCAATCTCCAGGGCATTCTCGGCCAGCATCCGACGTTCCTTAATGACAGTCTGGAATTTTCGGCAGCTAGTCTTGCTCACAAACAAATAGTCAAGCTGTAAAGCCAAAATTAGTCCATTTGTGCTGCTGTGTGAAGGGAATCGAATGGGTAAAAGACTCACTTCCTCAAAGGTCAAGCCTTTGGTCTCTGGAATGTAGAAGTACATCAGCACGCATACCGGGAGACTGAGGCCGAAGAAGATGAAGCCCAATTTGGCACCTAAGTTGGCGGCGTCCGGATTGATGAGATATGGAAGGACGACGGAGACAACCCAAACACTTCGGGTAAAGGTCAGCATTTGCAATCGAACGCTGGGGTACTGCTTGAGGATCACTCACCCTGCCATCTGGCTGAAGCCCATCAGAGACACACTAGAAGAGCGTAGAGGAAGAGAAGGAATCTCTGCGCCAAAAGCGAATCCAATAGCCCCTAGAGTGGCCTGGTAGACAATCGCCCACAGGAAGACGGAAACCAAAAAGACCCAGACTGCAGCTTTGGCACTGAAGCAGCCCGTGATTCCCATGACCAGAAGGGCGGCTGTCAAGGAGAAGGTTCCCGGAATGAGAAGCTGCCGACGCCCAACCGCCTCGATCAGGGGAAATGCGGCCATACTGGACAACAACATGACCACGCTGAGCACCACGGTGACGGTGAAGAAATCGTGAATCTCCAGAAGGGACATAAAGTAGGTGATGAAGCCTGTCGTTGTAGTGTTTGTTAGTTGCAGCCTCTCCAACAACAGTAGATGCTTTTGCTTACCGAGGACAAAGGTCGAACCGACGCAAACCTGCTCCACTGTGGGCAGAATGGCAATCAGGGTGCGCCGCAAGTTCGGGCCCTTGAAGCACTGGACGAGAAGGGGGGTACCGTCCTGAGCCGCAGCCATTCTCAAGCTTTCACTGTACTCAAAGTTGCTGCGAATACGATGCATCTCTGCGTCAATCAAGGCTTGATCTGAGGATCCATGGATCCTGTTAAGTGCTTTGCGCGCCTTCTCGGGCTTTCCTCTCTTGAACAGGTAATAGGGAGACTCTGGAAACCATGGGTAGATGACAAGCAGAGGCACTGCGGTGACATCTGTTAGCTCGGTCTGGAGAGATGCTGCGAGAGGTGGCCAACTCACCCACAAAGGCCAGTTGGAGGATGATGAGGATTCTGTATGACCAGTGAGAGTCGATGGTGGAGATTCCTTTTGCCACCACTGCAAGCAGCAGTTGACCGAAGACGATGGAGCCGTTCATGAAGCAAAGGTAGAACCCTCTCAACTCCGGTCTCACAGTCTCGCCAATCCACACGGGCGACAGAATGTAAACAATCCCAAAACCGATGGCTAGCACCAAGATCAGCTCTTGCAACTCGACAAAATGGGGACCATGATGTGTACCGTTCACCAGACGGCCGCATAGGAATAAGATCCATTCGCTGCTACCAATCTGCATGCCCACCCCAATGGCCGTTATGACGCTGCCGATGAGCAAAGAATGTTTCCGGCCAACCCATTCGATGAGCTGCCCAGCGATGAGAATGCCGACGATGTCGCCACCGGAAGCGGCGCCTGACCATCCGGAAAGGTAGTTTGCAGGAATTATATAGCCACTGGGAGCGGTCGGGTACGGCTTGCCAAACTGAATTTGAAAGGCAGGCAACGACGCCGCATTGCTGCTCACGCCCCAATCAAAGCCTGCAAGGAGGTCAGAAAAGTGATGTTGAAAGGCACAGAATGGAAAGAGAAAGATACCTGTCATCATGCCACCGATGGACGAGAACAACGCCCATAATGCAAAGCGACTTTGGCATCGAAGGATCTCCCACCTATGTTCGGGCTGGGTCTGGGTCCAGTCTGGGGTGAAGGCCATTTTTGAAAAGAGTTGTCGATGTGTTCAAGTGCGACAGTGATAGCCAGCTGTGAATGCACAACGTCGACCGATCGAACACACCGAGTGTCGGGCTCTTATATGCACGATGCAGCAGGAGTTGAGGCGAAAGGGTTGTCTGCCACTCACCCCGGAAATCTTCACCATGGGCTCACTAGCCATCACCAGCCGAGCATGGTTAGCACGACATGACCTCAATGGAGATAGCACTCTTCTGAGTTCCCCACGGGGAGAATGAAGAAAAAGCTGCGCTACGAATGACAGCTGTCAACCAGCAAAGACGCGCGCAGGTTTCCACCTTGATGACTGCTTGAGATAGGCCGGGCTGACAATCTACCAATGAGGCGACGCATGCAGGCCCATTAGCCCGACCTTAACCTTCTAGAGGCCTGGACCAGCCGTGGGCGGAGCTCGAGACGGGCCCAACTAGGCTCAGTAGGTCAACAGCAGAGGAGGAAGAGTGCGAGGGAGAAGGTGGGCATCATGTGGAGGGCTCAGAACGTCCTTCCAGCCGAGCATCCGATGCGTCAGGCCATCCACACACCCTAGATGGCCCCAAGTTTCTCCCCAAGGTTTCCCCTTACCCCTCAAAGGTTCCGCCCGCCCAAGCTGCCTCCGACAAATATAACCTTCGCCTCGAGTCTCCCACCCGAACTTCCGATGAAGCCTCTTCCCTGAATCCTTCTGGTCTCCTCCCACTCTCATCGCCACCCTTTTCCGCACGGGATCAAGGCTTCGTTAGGTTCTTCCAGCCTGATAGCATACTCGGTATCCCGAAAAGAGGAGATTGTCACAGCATAGGGCCACCGCTTTCCCGACAAGGGCTCCAAACCCACCAAATCGGCTCGAATCGAAGTCACGCACTGCCAACACTTAGGCCATGCACAGTAGTCATTCCGAAACGTCAGAACTTGTCGACTATCCACGAAAGCGGGCTCTGGTGGCGTGTGAGGTGTGCCGATTGCGCAAGACAAAGTGTGATGCCGTACGCCCACAGTGTTCCTTTTGCGCAGGGCTGGACCTCGAGTGTGTCTACCGCACAACAAGGCGTCAGGCGTCAAAGTAAGCTCTCTACGAGGAAAGTCAGGACGGCAATCCTTTAGTGACTGACACTTTGGTTCAATTAGGCGTGCGAAGCCCAACAATCGAAGAATCCCAAGCCTGAATCAAGACCTGCACGCGCTCTCCAAGCAAACACATACATTGATCGGGGAGTCAGGAGTCTCAAACGATCCGCAGCTGGAATTAGAATGGCAGGGCCGGCGCAACAACACAGTTGAGGATGGCCTCGGACGGGCAGGTCAGTCCTCGCCGTCAGACCGTGTCCTTTCCATGCGAGAGCCACAACAGTTACCCGGCCCCGAAGCTCAGATTGTTCATGCTTCGCCCGTAACAGTTGGAGCGACATCCAGCGTCTATTCGTTTTCCGAGGCAGATGAGGCACCATGTTTGATCGGTCTCAGTCTCCGGGGGCTTTCGCGCCTAACCGGCTATCCCACCCCGTGGCAGCTGCAACCGTTGATCTGGGACGACTCGGAAAAGTACTATGAGATCGAAGAGCGGCAATACAATCAGCTATTCGGGCCCACACATGATGATGATCTCTCCTGCCTTGATTCCAGTTTCCGGACATGTTGGAGATATCAGCAAGCCTTTGTGCGCAATATCCTGTCCTGGTTTCCACTCCTGGACCAACAGACGTGCGCCCTGATCGTCCAGACCACATCGGAGAAAGGGTTTAGCCAGACCGACCCGAATTCGCCTCTGTCGCTGCTGATGCTGGCTCTGGGTGCCTTCACCCGAACCGACCATAGACCAGCCGACACCATCAATACCCAGCCACCGGGAATCGAATACTTCCGGGCGGCGTGCCGTCTGCTGACCAACCACCCTCGCAACAAGTCGACCATAGTCGGGGCTCAATCGTACATTCTGAAATCGTGAGTAGTACCCCACATTTGCCAACATTATTACCCCTGCTTCTTGTCTTCAGTTGTGCGTGACCTCGTGTGGAGCGGCTCATGCTTGATCTATGGCTAAAAAAATCACCCAAAGATTCTACCTTCTTCTTTGCTGTCGAAACCTGGCTGCATTTGACGCGGTCCACACAGCATCCGTCACAGTCACGCGACTGCTTTGTCTCAGGTCTCGCCTGGAGAGCGACGCCGCATTCTCGGAATCATGTAACCGTGCGTATTGGACCTGCTACATTCTCGAGCACGAACTCAAACCAGTTGTTCACTATGGCACGGAAATGCTACATCCGTTTCAGGAATATCTTCAGCTACCGCTGTATGGTAGCCACGAGTCGTCATGCTTCTGGCTGCTCAGCGAAATCGCCCTGCGTCGTATATATATGAGTGGGCTGTGTGGAACGGGACGCATGGGGAAGACCACCTACGCCCCGATTGTGGCAGCAGAACTCCGCACCCAGTTGGAACAGTGGCATACACACCTTCACCCAAGCGTCAAGTTTTCGGGGACGGAACCGCTGCTGGATCCCCAAAAGGCCTTCCTCCAGGCCCAGTACTACGCCGCACATTGTCAGATCAACTGGACGTATGTTTTGCGCATCTTGACTGCTCCCCCTTCCGATTGGGAAAGTGAAGAATCCATCTCCATGTTGAACTCTGCCGAGCTTGCCATCCAGTATGCGATCCTACACTTGCGCAGTTTGGAGGCTCTTTTGCAGGACAGACACCTCATGCTGTTCACTAACCAGATCTCGTAAGTGATCCTATTCCTGACATGGAGTTTCAACGTTGTATCTGTAATAGCCCATGCTTTAGGTCTGAGTCTGCATATCCGGAAGACTGACTATTCCTTTCTCATTTTAGATGTTTCGCATTTACCACAATGTTATTGTGTACCGTCGACCATCCGAAATTGATGCAATGTCAACACCCTCCGACCAGCATGGCAGCCGCCCAACGAGCACGAGACCTTCTCACCGTGTGGGCCGACGAGGACACCAACGTGAGCGCCATGGTCAGCAGACTAGATGACTTACTAGCTCAAAAGAAGAGATCTTGAATTCTGTTGGTACATCAAAGATGTTTGGGTGAGTGTCGTGTTAGGGATTGAGACTGGCAATTTGTACATTTCGCAAACTGGTATTGGAAGTGGAACAAAAGCTCTATTGTCAGAAGCAAGAGCAGAAACAATGATGATTCATGAATAGTTTGGTGGGATTTGAACATGGATTGATGGCATTATTTGCAAACATTGATGGTTGTGTTGGGTGTATACTATTTGACCTTGTTCTTCCTGGCCATTTTCTCAATCATTGGCACCGTAGGTGGGTTTTCAGCCTCAAGAGGACGCGGGAGAGCATACATTGTAGACCATGATTCCAGAAAGCCCCTCCCATATTGGGAAGTCAGCTTTTGCCATTATTAGGTATTATTGTCCACCCGACATGCCGACGGCGCCACGAGTGGGCATGAATGTCCAAGTGGCGTTTGCTTTCGATGTGTCCAAGTGGTATTTAATTCCTGAACATCTCTCCTAGGCAGTGGCGTTTGATTTTCTTGTCTGTCATTCAACATCGGCGGTCGTCGGAAGATCGGGAACAACTCGGGTTCGCAAATGTGCCAGACTGGCGTATGGGGTCGAAGTATCTGCACAGATGACTGGTAGCCGGTCTTAGTCAGTGCTGGTCCTTGACTCCGACCGCCGGAGCGCAAGCTAATTATCCACCAAGTACGAGGGGTACCCCATATTGCAGTAGTCCTCGGTATCTACCTACCCACCTAATGATTCTCGCGATGCCGGGGACGGGGATGTTTCCGTACGGAGCGAGGGTGTTTGTGCTTGAGCCGAAACTCCAGAGCGACAAACCAAGGAGAGGATCGGACATGCTCCGCTCTAGGGGACTGGGAAAAGGTGATCAGCCGGGCGAAACATGCCGGGGTCGACAGATACATAAAGTAGAAGGAAAGCCCTACCAAATTCTCCTACGATCTTGGTTCTCTTGAGACATGACTTTTGGCAAGCATAATTATTGACATTATCTTCGATAGATTCGCCTTGGGTTAAGTGTGTGGTACTCATATTCTCATCCTCATTCACCTTCTCATTCCATCGACGATCAACAAGATCACTGTCAGCACTACGCGAATAGAGTTCCTGAAGCCGGCGATTTACTATTATCAGGGTACAAAGTGAGAAGACAGAACAGACAGAATAGAAAATGACGATTGGAATCGCCTTGTTTGGTGCCGGCATCTTTGCCCGAGAGGGTATGTAGCACAGCTGTCACTCCTAGCAGGCATGGCAACAAGGCAAGCGCTCGAAGGTTTGAGCTGCGCTGACATGGCATTTCGAACAGAGCACATCCCAGCCATCCAAGCTTGCTCTTCGTTGAAGCTGAAAGCCGTCTACTCGAGGTCACAAAAGTCGGCCGCAGCCCTCGTGGCACCGCTGGAGGACAAGGTCGATGTCTACTACGACTCGCCAGAGGATTCCGGACACTCGGTCGACGACCTGCTTAAGCGCGACGACATTGACGCCGTCATTGTGGCCGTGCCCATCCCTGCACAGCCGGCACTGATCAAGAAGGCCTTTGCAGCCGGGAAACATGTGCTGAGCGAAAAGCCGATCGCCAAAGACATAGCTACCGCCAAAGATCTTCTGGAGTCATACAAAGCATCGTCATCAAAAGGCTACTGGGCCGTCGGGGAGAACTTGAGATTCTGGTACAGCGTGAACAAAGCAGCCGAGATTTTGAAGGGTTTGGACGCTGAATTGGTCACGTTCCGCACGAACGTGAACATCTTTGTCGACGAGAATGACAAGTTTTATCAGACCAGCTGGTATGTCTGATCACCCGCGGTCAAATCCCAGCTTAAAGACATTGCAGTACTGACTGAATACACCAACAGGCGTGCAACTCCCGAGTACCAGGGCGGATTCCTTCTCGACGGCGGCGTCCATTTCGTCGCCGTGACACGCTATCTGCTGGCTGCGCTCAACCAGAAGCCCACCGGCGTGTCCGCTCTGACCACGTTGGTACAGCCAATGTTGGCTCCCGTCGACACTCTCCATGCGCTCTGGAAGGTGTCCAATGGACGCCAGGGTTTCTTCAATGTTTCGTTTGGCGTCGAATTTCAGTCCGGCTTTGAATTCGAGATCGTGACCAGTAAAGGCAGCGTTCTGGTCCGCATGACAGAGGTCATCACCACCACCAAGGATGATGCCGGCGAAAAGAAGCCATCGACAACGGAGGTGCCTATGAGTATGGGTGTTAAGGAGGAGGTGGCCGCTTTTGCAGAGAGTCTGGAAAAGGGCAAGTTGGATCCACGACTGTCACCGGAGGAAGCGATTGCGGATCTGCAGATATTGGAAGCGATGCTCAAATCCGACGGGAATATTGTCAGCTTAGTATAGAGTATCATATTCTGCCGGGTACATTACTCTGCAGCGACCTAGTTCTGAAGACTGCTGATAAAATGAGTGGATGTGACACGATGGGAATCACCCTAGATTTGATTATTGAGTATTGTTTTTTCAATTTTAATGGTAGAATGGGGTGTACTCATATTGTCGGGAGCTAAATAGATAAAAGAAACGGGCAAAATTTTGATAAGCGGACCGACGGGATAAACAACCAGAGTCCTCAATATTACAACCCTACGGCATATAATTTCGGTGACCTGTATGCCACGCGCCGGAACCAACCTATCTCCGGCCGGGGTGTGTCGCCGGAGTATCGGGGCGGATCATGGGAGGATCCGCTTTTACCACCGGAGGATCCCACGTCATAAGACATTGCTCAGAGGAAGCTAGCGCATCATATCTTCTTGACAACTGCTCACTACACGGGCTCATGCTTCGACTCCTACATTAAGAACTGTGGCTAATGCCACGATCTTCAAATGTCGAACCCTTATTCCGCATTGACTAAGTCCGGATCGCCGGCTACCGTACAAGACATTGACGCGGCAGCACGGCGACCCGTCACCGGCCGCCGGCGCGAGAAAGCCCAGCTGTCGTGCAACCTCTGCCGGCGTCGCAAGTAAGGCTTCTTGCTCATACTCACGGTGCTCATTTGTGGAGCTAACCCTCGGTCAGGTCGCGATGTGACCGCAAGCAGCCATGCTCTATTTGCTCAGCACGAGGTCTTGTATGCACGTATGCGGATAGCAAAGCAGCACATAGATTGATGCCCAAACCACCGCCCACCGCAATGCCCAGTATGCACGATCGCCTCGTCCAGCTAGAGCGCCTGGTGCTCTCGCTGAAGTCGGGGTCGGACCCGGTCAAGAGTTCCATATCAACCCCATCCTCCGGACCGATAGGCGGCGTTGAGCCATCAGATGCACCAGGCTCACAAGCATCCCTGCCGACAGATACGCGGTCTGAGTGCGGGAGCATGTTCATTACCTCCTCGGAGTTCCGTTATGTCGGAGGCGACCACTGGGTCGCCATCCTGGATAGTATAGCCGACCTCAAAGCCCAACTCGACAGGGACGAGCACCTCAGGCTATCAGATGAGGATGATAGCCACACTAACGACATTGGCAATGCCCAATCGCGCCATGCGCTCCTACTCTACGGAAATGGACAGTCGGCTTCGCGCGTCGAGATTCTCACAGCGCTACCGCCAAAGACTGCGGTGGACCGCTACATCTCCCGATATTTTAACCGCTTGGATTCGGTTGCTGTGTGTGAGTGACTCGCTTGCTGCTCCGTTGCCAATGGATAGCTAATTACCTAGAATCCAGCCGTTCATGGACCTAGCTTTCTTCGAGAGGTGAGCAATTTCCAGTCGTGACCATCACGGGTCAAAAAGTAACGCAAACAGTACGAAGCTTTCTGGGACGACCCAACCCACGTGCCGATAGCCTGGATCGGTCTCCTGTTCGGCATGATTTGCCTCGCCATAATGATCTCGGACTGTACCGACCCACAAGACACCTCTGAACAGACCTTGCAAGTAGACCTCTACCGCGAGAAGATCGTCCAATGCCTCTTCACGGCCGAATATACCAGCCCAGGCCCTTACGTGCTCGAGACGACGTGCCACTACGTCTACATCGAGTTCGTCCTCCACGCCGACGCGAACAAGGACGTCTGGCTCCTGCTCTCCCTCGCCGTCAACCTGGCCAAGCGCATGGGTTACCACCGTGATCCCGCCCACTTCCCGGGCATATCTCCCCTGCAGGCCGAGCTGCGCCGCCGGCTGTGGAGCACAGTGCTGATGAGCGACGTGCTCGTGTCAAGCCAGATGGGCATGCCGCGCATGGTTTCAGACTTGCAGTATGATGCCGCTGAGCCGCGGAACCTGAAAGATAATGACTTGGACGGGCTTACGGACAATGCCGAGCTGCCACCGGCAAGGCCAGAGACAGAGTACACGCCTACCCTGAACCTCATCGCACGGAGACGGGTGTCAATTGCCCTCGGCGCCGTGCTGGACCTCACCACAGCCGTCAAGCCGTGCACTCACGCCGAAGTTATGCGTGCCGACGGCATCCTTCATGCCGCAGCGGCGCAGATTCCGCTGCCGCTGAAGCCGAAGTCTATAGCCGCCAGCGTGACCGAGCCGCCGCAACAGATCTTTGCACGCCTTTTCCTCCAGCACTTGCTGTACAAAGGGCAGATCATATTGCACCGGCGGTTTCTTTTCGCCCGTGACGTCCAAACCTCAGACGACTTGTCTTACTCACGAAAGTCTTGCCTCGACGCGGCCCTCGGCACGCTCGAGATACAGCACCTGCTCGACGAGGAGACGCAGCCCGCCGGGGTGCTCTACGCCATGCGCCGGCGCGTGACGAGCAGCATGAACCACCTCTTTCTTACAGCCACGGTGATTCTGTGCTCGCTGCTGGACAGACGGCAGATGTTGGGGAGGGAAGAGGACATGCTGGCCGCGTTGAGGAGGGCTAGGGCGATCTGGGTCAGGAAGAGCGACGGGTCAAGAGAGGCGAAGAAGGCGGCTGAGACGGTGAGTATCGTGCTCGCAAGGGTTGGGGAGGGTGGTGCTGCAGACGAGGATGATGGCGACGCTGCGATACTTGACCTTGGGAGCGATTTCAGTACTGGTCCGGGTGCGCATGGCATGTTTCGCGAAACCGTGGAGCCTGCACTTCTGGGGACACTCGACCAGCAGAGCCAAAATCTCGCTTTCAGTATGACTGATGTGGACATGGGCGCGGAACTGGATGATTGGATGTTTATGAATGCGCCTGGCACGAATTGGCAGTAGGTTTCGTCTGCCTTTTTGAAGTGGTAAAGATATAGCCCGTCGTGTGTACAGCTTAGGAGGGGAGAAGATTCTATGTCTTATCTTGCTCTTATGCATCAAGTCTATCCTGAAAAGCAGCCCAAATCACCTCAGTTCGATCATAGTGTCGAATCCTTGACCAGATATCTGGCACCGTTCAACACTAACCAGCTCATATCCGACCACTCCAGTACTGACTGGCAAATACCTCCTGTCGTCCATGCTCATTTTTCCTGAGCATTCAACTTTCGATCCATCTCAACCCTCCACCGCGGTCCCCTGACCACAAGACACAAAATGGCCACATTTCCCGTAACCCAGGCAAACAACCCAACAATAGTACACATCCACCCGTTCCCCACGGCATCAATTAGCGGCTGCGCGATCACCACGCCCACAGTACCAAATATACTCCGCATGAAATTATTCAGCGCTACGCCACTGGAACTCCGGCCCGGCATGAACTCCGTGAGCGCCGTCGTCGCCGCCCCAAAGAGCAGCATCCCGCCCACCCCGAAGAACAGGATCGCCACGCACGCCACAGCCCAGTGGAGGTGTCTGTCGACCGACCAGCCGTACCAGATCATGCCCGCCGGGTAGAGCGTGGCCGCTAGCCAGATGTTTTCCCTCAGGCGGTCCTCGGGTAGGTAGATGAGCTTGCCGGCGGCATCGATTCGGCCGGCTTTCCTGGCCTCCCGCGCCATGATGGAGTCTGTCCAGCGGCCGCCGAGGATGGAGGCTAGGGCGTACGCCAGGGTGGGCACGAGGTAGACTAGGCCGACCTCGGTGGCGGTGAAGGAATACGGGGGCAGCAAAAAGGCGGACTGGATCGAGATGTTGACTAGGTAGAACGAGCCGAAGACCGTGGCGGCTGAGTAGACGCAGACAAAGACGGCAGGGTGGCGGAGGTAGGCGAGGACGTGGAGCGGGGTGATGAGGCGCTTGGCGACTGAGGACAGGCTTCTTCTCGTCTGTGTGTCGGGCCGGCGCCGAGAGAGCGTCTCGGGCAGGCAGAAGAAGATGAGAAAGAACAAGACACCGCCAAATATGACGAGGAACCACATGGTGCTCCGCCAGCCGAGGGCACCTGTCAGCGCGCCTCCGATGATGGGCGCGATCCCCGGGCCGCAGAGCGGCCCGAGGTAGAACACGCCCATGGCGCGGCCTCGCTCGTGCGGTTTCCAGAGGTCGGACACGGTGCCGGCCCCCACTGCCTGGACCGAGGCTGCGGCGCCGCCGCTGAGGACGCGGAAAAGGATGAGCATGGCCATGTTGACACTGACTGCGCTCAGGACGGAGAAGAGCGTGAAGAGGGAGAAGGAGACGAGGTATATCGTGCGCCGACCTAGAGTCTCGGAGAAGGAGGACCTGCGGACTGTGTCAGTTTGTTGTACCCGATGGAAGGAGGTCTTCGGACTCCTCACCACCATAGTGGGGTGAAGGCCATGGCGAGGAGGTAGAAGGCTAAGGAGAGGTTGGTGACACTGTTGGTGGTATGCAGATCTTTGGCTACCGCGGCCAGGGCAGCTGTGAGCTTGGTTAGCGTAAGGTTCACCAACGCCTTGATTGACTGACTCACTATAAATGATGGAGGACCCGATGGACGAAGTTGCTGCCGCCAGGGCAACAATGACGGTCATCAACCACTTGGTTGTTCTGGGGTAGTCGTTCGGGTTGGCGACCTCAGAAATAAGGGTGAACTGGCCGAACAGCCCTCGGCGCTGCGCGCGAGGGATCTGCTGTAGGATTGGAGCTGTGGAATCGTCCGAGAGCTCTTGTATACCTGAGCCAGAAGGAGACTGGGGTCTTGAGCTGGGTCTTGGGGGTGTCTTCCCAGCCTCGGGGTTTTGCGCTTGTGTCAACTCGCCGCCTGAACCGACTGCCTTTTCTTCGTCGAGGGCCATTATGTATTGAGCCAATGAGACTTCACTATCGTATCCAAGGAGCCTTCAATATCGTAGGTAAGGGCCTGACTGCTTAGCATCGAGCTCGAGGATGGGCAGTCCCAGTTGTCCTGGCACTCGGTGCCCTTATGTATGGTCGTGCCGGCGGACATGTAGAAGTGGAACTCATCTTGTGTCTCCGGACTTAACTCCATGTATCTCTGTCGACTACGTGAACCGATTTCCATATCGAGTCCCAGGTGGTATGTCCGGGTCGTTATAGCAGCCTTCGGAGGAAGTGACTCTCTAGCCAATCAGGTTGTGCGTCTCGTCCGATGCGAGAAATGGCGGCCAGGCACGGGTTAGCGTTAGAGCTATGCGTGAAAAAGATCTTTCGAGTTCAGCAGCTGACTTCTCGGAGTCTAGGACTTAAGGAATCAGTTTTTCATCGATATCACTGTAGTCTCACATAGGTAGTGAGTGTCTTCCAGCGAGGGCAAGACGACCGGCACAGACTACCTAAGAAGGCAAGAACCCCCTGATGCCAAGTAGTCTCAAACGCTTCGCCCCGCTCAACAAGCTCTCCGAAACATGGGCGGCCTTGGCGCAATATCCGCCGTCACCGAGCACTCCTTCATAGAATCCAAGTTGGGAGAGCAAAGGGCATTCTTGATGCTGGCTGCGTATCTGCTAGTCGTCTCAAACCCCGGCACTCGTTGTGGGATCATGCACGACACACCATGGACAGACTGACCTTGGTAAATCTTGGTTCATCTAAATGAATCTCCCCGGTCCCCACGCTCTCCCTCCAAATCTCCGATTGATGGAAGTTTGTCAACGGTTCTTGAGGGTATATAACCATTGCTGAGCAGACACTCTGTACTGTAGTAATTTACTCTTTTCCCTGTGCGCTTCCATTTTGTTCAATTTGCGTGTTACAGTCTTTCCTTCGAGGTCCTCCTTTACCAAACTCGCACTTTCTCTTGCCCGCTGGTCGGTCCTACTGTTGATATCCTTCCCGGGAAAGGCTACGTTCACTCTAAAGGCTGAACACTTGCCTTCAGCATGCATCTTCTCCGTTCACTTCTTCTTTTTCTCGGCCTGGCCTTTGGGGTCCTATCGTCGGGTCTTGCACCCCGCCATGCTCCTCTTCACCGTCGAGCTTCCTTCCCCATCCCAGCAGCCAAAGGGACCAAGAGCTTGAGCTCACCCATGACCGTGTCCGGCACTTTCGACGGCGGTCTGGTCCGCTACGACCGCGGCAAGGCTTGCACCGGACAAGCTGAGGGCGGAGACGCAGAAGCTGTGTTTCTGGTCAAAGATGGAGGCACGATCAAGAACGTTATCATCGGAGCCAATCAAGCAGAGGGGATCCATTGTCTTGGTTCTTGCACCATTGAGAATGTGTGGTGGGAGAATGTCTGTGAAGGTTTGTTGGCCCTCGATCAATAAATATTCCACATTACGAACTCATCCAACTGATCAACTCCCCAACAGACGCTTTGACCATCAAACAAAAATCAGGAACCTCATACATCATCGGCGGTGGTGCACAGGGAGCGGAAGACAAAGTAATCCAGCACAACGGCGGCGGGACTGTTTCGATCTCTGGCTTCAACGTCAACAGTTTTGGTAAGCTCTACCGGAGCTGCGGCAATTGCAAGACGCAGTATAAACGGACCGTCATCGTCGACGGCGTGGTCGCAACGTCGGGCAAGGTGCTTGTGGGCATCAACTCGAATCTGGGCGACACGGCGACCATTACAAACTCGTGCGCGGATAGTGTCAAGGTCATCTGCGAAGAGTTCGAAGGGAATGATACGGGGAAGGAGCCGAAGTCCCTTTCCAAGGGCCCGAGTGAGGCGTGTAAATATGTGGATCCATTGCCGAAATGTTGAGTGCTGAGTTGCTCTTCATTGTGGATTGGTGTCTGCTAGAGGGTAGATGTTACCGCAGAATCAGTATAGGATCGATTGTATATGTCTAGAGACGCATCTCCATCACCGCGCCCGGCCAATTGTCGGCATCAAAATTACCTATCACTCTAAATCCTTGTTTCTCATAATAACTTCACCAACACATAAGCATGCCTACGGAAGTTGAAGAAGGATTAGTTAGATGGACTTACTGTACAAGCTTATTATCGTTCCCTCTCCAACAATCAAGGCAAATACGCCTAAGACCAAGATTCCGCGCTTCATCCTTCGCGTGAGAGATCAACGCCGCTCCTGCACCTTTGCCATATGGCGCTGTTCTTCTGTCGCTCAATAGGTACAACAGGTAGATGAAGGGATCATTGTCGTCGTTTTCTGGTAAAATATCCCGGGCGTATTCAGCTGACTGGCCTTGGAGAATCATGCCGGCAACTGGGAGTCGAACGGCGTCGTTTGGACTTTCGATAGCGAGCTCGAGTAATTCGGACGATAGGTCCTCTCGTTTCATCTCAACCTCGGCGATATAGGCTCTGACCCAGTCTCGACTCCATGGATTGTTCCAGCCTCGCTCGCTGCTTTCGACTTTACTCCGATACTTTGCCCGCTGGTCTTCTTGCTCACTTCTTGAAGAGCCACCCCATTGCGCGCTGCTGCCAATCGAAGATAGCCAGGGCAGCTGACTGTCGAAGTTTTGAAGTAGACGGAGTCCGTCATCTGTGGCTGTTGAAGCGGGACGAATGTAGATGGAAGGCATCGCCGATGAATTTGGTGGTGGTACGAATTTCCCAACAAGAATCAAATAATTTGTGTAGAATCGAAGTAATGTTTTATTTTGGCTTATTCATGCAAATAAAATTGGCTAAGAGAGACTATTCGATACAGGTTTAGATCACAATACACAATTAATTTATGACGTAATGTACATCCTTCTAGAACTTCCATATACTACTACTAGTATACCATACTATAAAAAGACGCCGAGGACGTTTCTAAATATTCCTGCTATTAGCTATGCCTTGGGCTAACATGCCTTTGACGACCCGTGGCGCTCTCAACGTCCATTTGTAGGCTCTCTTCCGGTCTGTGGCACTTCCTTCCTCTGATCCTACGTAGTTTGACTGCACGATTCATCCAAGGTGACAGCCGAGGCAACCATAAGTTCCATAAGTTTCAAATTTCCTGAATAATGCTCTCTTGTGGCATCAAAGTTCAAAGGGTATGGCGTGCAACCAGGAAATGTCGTTATTATCAAAGACAAAATCGTAGTTGACATGAACTGTCCCAGAATCTCGGTCTGAAAACATCGGAGTATGATCGATTCCAGACGATGTCATGTCAAAATGGTCGTTTCCGGTAGGCCTCGGTGGCCCGCAATTATCTTTGACCGTAGAAACAACTCCAAGTTCCATCAATGGCTGATGAGTGGAACTATATCTGGTCTCTTTGTTTTGGACATAATGTTCTGGCAGGACATTGAATAAGACATGAAGAGCGGCGATCAGCTGCTCAATTACGGGGTTGAATACCTGATATTGGGCAAGGATTTCAAGAGCCAGACTCCATGAATGGGAGATTGACTCTTCGGATATTTCCTTGAAGATTGACGGACAAACTCTGGCGGCAACCAGAACTGTTGCTGCACTGTAGATGAAAAGGAGATTGTACCACCAGGCTGCAATAGGACCCACTGAAAGGGGATCGAATGGCCGCCGAGTAAAAGCCAAGTCAATGGTCTCTTGGGCCACCTTGACACATACAATGGCACATTGTAAGGCAACCTTTTGGGAGAGAACACCACCAAAGGATGTAGAGGCATCCCGATCTCCTGTTTCTGAAACCACATAGGCTGACAGCAATGGTCTCAATGATATAAGTCTGATATGAAGATACCTGCGGCATAATCAGCGGGCCGGCTCCAATGTATCTACTTGTACTTACCGTTGATGAAGAATAACCGCTTGCCTGAAGAATGGTGAGGTGGATTGCACACCCGGGCTGGTTTCTGCCAACCTCAGGTGCGGAGGTAACTGAGCTTCCCATTTGATCAACCTTCGCTCGACGTGCAGGATGGAGGAATTGCTGGAAATGGCGGAAGGTCCTAGATGTCGAGCCCAGATATCATCAACCGAAAGATCTACGCCGGAGGATGATGAGTAAAAGCCGACGAGAACATCGAACAAGATCTCGTATAACTCCAAAGTCTGGACAAAGAAGTCCAGGATCGAGGGCCCTGTCGGATCTGGTGCCGGTTGATCCTCTTCCTGTGGCAAAAGTTCTTCGTCGATAGGGAGTGGTCGTGGTACCACAGCTGCAAGTGTGGCACTGATCATTGGTGGCCGTCCATAAGTCATTGAAGTTACACGATCCATCAAGATGCAACCATGCCATATCTTCCGCATCAACTCCCTTCGTCGTGGTGACGATACTTGTTTGGTGGTCTCGGGTAAGTGGAGGCCCAGACTTTGCGCGGTACGTACGGCGACCCCAACCATCATCCAGCACTGTTGAGGTTCGTTTGTGCTTTGGAAGAATTGTGTAAGTAGAAGATGAACCTGGACGCACTGGAATGACCCTGAGCTCCAGAGATCGAGGAGGGCTTTTGCTCTTTGGAAGTACACTCGGGCGGAAGCTTCACGTCTTTCGGCCTCGATAGCTCCATTCAACTGGCAAGACAGAGCAAAGATGACGTTCAGCAGACAAACAAATAGACGGTCTCCTTCGGTCTGCTGATGGCCATCCCATAATGCTCTGTACTTGAAAAGGGTTTCTTGCTGGTCCACAAATGGATATAAAGGATAGACAGAATCCCAGTAGATCCCCAAGAGTTGGTCGGCTTTACTTCGTGCTGGGAGTATAATGTCGATGTTTTCTTGCTGTTTTCCGAGACTACATTGGCCTGTTGATAGAGTATGTCGTTCCGTTGGTCCAGGATTCGACAAGCCCAGCTTCTGTCTCACGGCGGTACGAACTTGATTGATAAAGCTCCCCGCGCTTGAACCTCCGAAATACTCCTGGGAATGTATCTCATCGGGAAGAGATCCAATCATCCCACTCCCTGTAGTACTCCCACAGCCATATGCTTGTGTAGATGCATGATTTGAAACTGGTGATGGCACGGTACCTTCGTGTTGACCTTGAATTCGGGAGTCCGTACGTGGCACCGGCGGTGTACACTGGGGCCTGTGGCTCTCGTTGCCTCCAGACCTTGACTGCACAGGAATCTCATACTAATCCGTAGAAGTAGTTTGTTGTGGAGGAGTTCGACCATTCTGATTGTGGAGCTCGTTTTCCAGCTCTTTGACTCGCCTTTGGAGTTGAATGACCTGAGACTGTGATGGGGGCTGACTGACCCTCAAATCTCCGATGGTCCAGGTACACTCTCCATTATTCTTACGTTTTGAGCAAGGCCCGCAGACTGGCCACACAAGTATTAATGTTGGTTTCAAGCTGAACTGTCTCCCTCTTTAGAGCTTACCAGGACGTATACTGTCACATTTGGTCTTTGTTATGGTCAGTCAGTCCATGTCAAATTGACGTCCAAACGAACCTTTCTGGCTCGACAACCATCACATGCAATGGCGACTTTGTGTCTCTTGGCGGGACGAGGCTGAAACTCCTGACTTCCGTCCATCAGATCATAAAGGCGGTTATGTCGTTCCGTTCGAACGGAATGCAGAGCACCGGGAACCAAGCAAGAGAAGAATGTGGGAAGGAAGCCAATTGCCGAGGTGATGATATATCCGGAACGGGGGCGGGATAGTATCAGTTCCGACTACGTCAATACTACCAACACGAAACCCCAGATTCTTCCCTCATCCAGCCTCATTGAACTTTACCCCACCAATCATGTCTCCATCAATTTCCCCCGCTTCGACCGGGGGGATGAACATGAAGGATCACGTTCCGTGGTTTACGAGTGGCAAATAACTCCACCTCAGGTTCGAAGTTCTCCAGTCTGAGAAGGTGTTAGGAGAAGGAAAAATTGTGTTAATACAATGAACCAACCCGGTCTGTATGAGAGATGTTCGAACCATGAGAAAGTCACCTCCATGGTGGGTCGGGATAGTCCATAGAGTACATCCGCACTCAGTGCAAAATGCTTTGTGCTTAGGATGACCGCTGGAAGTGTCGGTGAGCGTAAACGTCTTGATCAAATTGGCCCCCTTGGTGATATCGACATTATCTCGATGAAACTTGGCAATCTGGAGTCGCCGTGTCAGCCATGGTCGACCGGTTTCCGCCTAATGAACTGACTATCTGCAAAGGACCTCCCGCATTCTTTTGGCAGTGTGTGCAGTAACAAGCGATGACTTTTTCTGATTGGCCTTTGAGGTCGAACACGACGCCTCCACAGAGGCAAGAACCTTGCATTCTGCCGTTGATGACGAAGGAAGAGAAGAATACCTAGGTATGTACGGAGTCAAACATGCTGAGCTTGGGCGGCGTTTTTGATTACGGTGATTGATATCGGATGTATCCGAGTTCTGGTTTATTTCCCCTCAGGGATCTCCGACAGCTAGGATCTAGATTCCTCGAATTGACTAAATACGCGTCCTTCTCCCCTCAAACCCGGCATTTGACCGCGGCATTTGTTCACTTCTTCATATTGACAAATGACCAATATTGGCCCTATGAAAACCGTAGATACCTCTTTTAAGTGGTATGGAAGTGAAGTGGCCCACTTGACATCCTCAACTTTTTGCCATAAATTTGTAAGAAGACCACAAGAGCGAATGCTGCAAAGCAAACGGCACCTTGAACACCGAAGCTGACGATGGTGCCAGAGGCATTGGCCCATTTGACCTGGAAGTAGGAGATAATAAACCCTCCAGTTGTACGGGCGAAATTCACCCAGGCGGCGACTTCTCCAGAACCTTCTGGGTAGGAATCAAGGTTGTATGCGTTGATAGCAACTGTTGTGACCATGATGCCAAAAACGTAGAATCCCCAACCGATCGATGTACACATATAGTGCCATCCCCTCTCCAGGGAGAAGCCCAAGACGACAAGGCCTGTGACCAAGAAAGGGGTGGACATATAGATAGCTCGAAGTCGAACCTCGGGTTCAAAATGTCCGTGATGGGTTCTGATATAACGTTTGGCAAGGATATCGTGGAGCCAGTGACCTGAGATTTCTCCCAGTAAGCCGGCAACAATGGGAGTAAAGTAAAACAAGCCAATCTCCTTGTAACCAAATCCGTAAAGCGGCTGGAGGAAGATGCTGAGCGTGGTGTTGATACCGACAGACCAGGAAAAGATGAGTAAGTAGTAAACGACAGATATCATGACAGTAGGCTTGAGGACGACCCTAATGGATCGCATGATCGCTTGCTTCCATGTGTTTCGCAGGTGGCGCGAGTGGAATTGTTCGACACCCACAAGCCGTAGAAGTCGAGACCGCTTTGGTGGCTGGCAATCCTTTGGCAGTCTTCGGTCGTAGTATGTCTCATCCATGAAAATGATGGTCATGACGAGGCACAAGCCGGTAATAGCGACATAGAACCAGAAGGGCGCTTGCCAAGGTTGAGTGGTGAGCATGAACGCTGTTATCAGAGGTCCTAAGAATGGCGCAAGGATGATGAATGCAGACCAAATATTGATTTTCCGGCTTTGAGAAAGTCAGTATCTCTCCGCAATAAAAGAAAAGCCAGGTCTACTCACACTCTTTCGTGGAAAAAGAAAAGATCGCTAATGAACATGAGTCCACCCCCTTGCGCAACTGTCGAGAAGAATCCGCTCAGAATCCTGGCCGCCATGAACGATTCGAATGACTGCGCGGCAGCGCACCAAATCGCCGTTGCAAGAGCAAGAATGAGAAACCAGAAGAGTACAGGTAAACGGCCGAAATATGAAGCGAGCATAACCACCAGCACGCCTCCTGCCCCGAGCATGAAAACGTTGCCAACGGCGGAGTGGTTGACTGTATCCGGACTCAGTCCCCATATCCTGGAAAAGGACGATGTCAGCGATAGTCATCCCCTCTGAAGTCAAATACATACTGAGCTTGTGGAAGCAATGTAACCGCACCGATGGAACTTCCGTAGTCTGGAAGGAATGCAGCACAGGCAATGATGTACAAGAACAGATGTTTTTTGACCTTGGTCCAGTTTAATGGATCGTCTGGGTCATCACTCGGCTGAGGAATCAGCACTGTGTGGCCGTCGGCCGCAAGCTTCAATTGGCGATCCGCGAGCTCGGTATTGTCGACAACATAGCCCTCGGCGAGATCACCAAGAGGCTTGACTTCATCCTCAACTGCGTTTTCCACCATCTCGGCCTTTTCCACGTCAGGTTTCGAGGTAAAGGTGGCCATTCTTGCAGTCTGGTGGAGTCTGATTTGCAGGACAGATTTGAACTCCCATGAGATTCTTCGGGGTGGACTGGTCTCTCCATTTATAAAGACCTCCAGGAACACGGGGCGCCGGTCTCCAGAAAATGGAGTCCCGTTTCCGTCCCGAAGTCCATACACCTCGTCTCCTGGTCACGATAACGGAACGATGCCAGAACACCTCCGCATCCGAAATCTGGGGAAACCCTTCCGATTTGCCCAAGGACAACGCGGGGTGGTCCTCTAAGGCCTTATCTTTCGGCACCAGTCCGAGCAAGGACAAACCAGCCGAGTTGCCACCCCTGTGTAGATGGATGGGTGAAGCAGTAGAAATAAGGTAAAATGCCCGTGAGAGTAGTTTATTGTCTTCACATTTCAGTACCTCCTTCAGCTACAATCTTCCCATTCTGTCTGCCATCATCAAAACGATCACTTCAGAACCTATGGATTGCCTTCCGATAGGTTGAAATGTGCTTTTGCATGCAATCCCGAGGTTCGATCAGGCCAATCAACTTCTTGATATGTACATTGATGATGGTACAATCTGGGCTATCAAGGCTGAAATATCAATTTCTCCAGGTGATAACTTTCGTCCTCAAAAACTCGTTCAGGCCATACTCGGTATTGAACCTGCCAAAACCACTAGACTTCGTCCCTCCATGCGGCAGGTTGGGCTCGTCGTGGATCGACATGGCATTGATATGAACGGAGCCAGATGTATACTTCTTCCCAACCCGGAGCCCTTTCGCCAGATCTTCCGTAAAGATCGCCCCAGCCAGACCGTACTCGGTATCGTTGGCTATAGCCAGAGCTTCTTCCTCCGTGTCAAAAGTATGAAGCGTCGCCACTGGTCCAAAGGTTTCTGTGTAGAATATATCCATATCCCGACTCACGTTACCGAGGATCAAAGGGAATTGAGGTTTATCATTTAGCTGGCTATCTCTCCCAGACACCATGACAGCACCCTTATTCACAGCATCAGAAACGAGATGTTCCACCTTCTCCTCGGCAAGATGCGAGATCAGAACGGGCGAAGGACCATGCGGTGGGTAAAATCTTTTGATGGACTCCGTCAACTTTGCTGTAAATTCGGACACAATCGATGAATGAACCAAAATGCGATCAGTGGCCATGCACACTTGGCCGCCCTGTCATGTGGGTCAGTACAACTTGTTTATCCAGCCCTGATCCATGGTACTTACGTGAAGGAAAGCACCCAAAACACATGCATCTGCGGCTTTTGCCAAGTTCGCGTCTTCAAACACAATTGCTGAGGCCTTTCCACCCAGCTCGAGGAGAACGGGCTTCAGGTTTTGACCGGCAAGTGACGCTACTTTACTCCCAATGGCCGTACTGCCGGTGAAATTTATCTTCCGCACCGCTGGGTGTTTGATCAGAGCTTTTGTAACACTGGCTGCAGACTCGGGACTGGAAAAGACAAGGTTCAGACAGCCGGGTGGCAGTCCAGCTTCATGGAAGACGTCGACTATTGCACGATAACATCGAGGTGATCGTTCGGAACCTTTGAGGACAACCGTATTTCCAGTTGCCAGTGCCGCCGATGCAGCTCGAACTCCCAGGATATAAGGAGCATTCCTGGATATTGTCAGATGAGATTGACAGCAAAACAATCACAACGGCACTGCTCACCAAGGTGCAATACCCGCCACCACACCATAGGGTTCTTTTAGAACTATCGCACTCCGGCCACTGTCATCTACTGAAGGAAACAGCCCGTGTATGGTGGTGGACCTCATTGCAATGTCTTTCAACTGGGCGACTGTGGCAGAGATGTTGAAAGCAATGAATTGGTCATCAGCCCCAGTCTCAATCTTCATATACTCCTTCAGCTCGGCACTCCTTTTGGTGAAGATGTCGGCCGCCTTCAGAAGAGTTGAGCACCGTACAGCGGGTTTTGTTTCTGCCCATCCTGGGAAAGCGGTTGTTGCAGCTTCAATCGCTTGATTCAACTGCTCCAAAGATGCACTGCTGTAGTCCCAGACGCTTCGACCATCCAGAGGGCTGATCAAAGGATGTGTAACTGCACCTTGCACATGAGTACCGCCTATAATCAGTGGTACTGGTTGCTTCGTCGAGGATGGCAGGATTTGCTGCCCTGAACTGAATCGCTTGCCACCTGCGTTCAGTCGAGGACCACAGAGTCTCAAGATATCTCTCCCAAGCTGGTTCACTCGTGGTCTTGGCAATACTCGTTGCGCCATGATGAAGCTTTGGTGCGCAAGAGAAGAGTTCGATATACTTATTCAGTCTTATTACAGCAGTAACGCCAGTCTATAGAGAGCTCGACAATGGACGTGATTCAGCATTCCGGATTCCGGAGGTCCCGGATTCAGATAGCTTCACCCATGGGGAAGAAGCAACCCCGGCTTATCGAGCTTACAAATGATCGGGTAAGACACCTCGGTTGTGGGGTTTAGCATTCCATCATACCGGGGTCACATCCGTCCTTCCAATTTCGGATGCGATTCCGTATTTGGACTTAGTATGCTTGTTCCGGCAGTTCCGCCAGCAAGAAGTATTTTCATCAACCACCAGAGCTGCGCCACCCCATTCTCCAGCTGCTTGGTATTTACCCGACATCGATTTGAGGAGAACAGCTCACGAGACACTCTCGCCGCGACGTAAGCATCTTTGCGACAAAGCAAGCAGGAACTGTTACCCTCGTTGACCTTTCTGACTCTTAATAAAAAACGATCATAATTTTTCAGCGCTTTTGAGTGTCTAGCTATTCAAAATGGTCAAGGCAACCGCCCTCGTTGTACCGGAGCTGAACGCGCCCTTTGAAATGAGGACCGTGGAGCTGGACGAATTGAGACCAAACGAAGTCTTGGTGGATCTGAAGGCGACCAGCATATGCCACACCGATCTCGCAGTACAGGCGGGAAAGATTCCCATGCCGTTCCCTGTCGTTTTGGGACATGAAGGTACCCTCCCCTAGATGTATGATCCACTCGGATGTCAGCTTACAGTTCATCAGGAGCAGGGGTGGTACGTGCAGTTGGCTCAAATGTCAAAGACTGCGAAGCTGGCGACCATGTCATCCTCTCTTACAACTTCTGTGGCGAATGCCGCTTTTGTAAGGAAAAGAAGACGTATCAATGCGAAAAGTCGGCCGCCTGCAATTTTGGCGGGTCAAGACAGGACGGTTCGCAAACAATTCTGTCAGACTCAACACCATTCAGCACCTGCTTCTTCGGCCAGTCGTCATTCTGTAACCCTGCCGTTGTTCAAGAGACTTCAATTGTGAAAATTGACGAAAAGCTTCCTCTTCCTGTTGTCTGCGCCTTGGGATGTGGTTTCCAAACAGGGGCGGGCGCCATCTACAACGTCGTCAAACCTATTGAAAGGAAAGTGCAATATCTTGCAATCTTTGGCATTGGAGGTGTTGGATGTGCCTCCGTGATGGCAGCACATCACTTGGCCACGACAAACCCGTCAACCCCGTTTGAGATCATTGCCATCGATATCAATCCTGAACGCCTGCAACTCGCCAAAACGTTGGGCGCTACTCACGTGATTGATTCAATGAAGGAGGACCTCAAAAGTACGGTCATGACAATCACCGCCGGGCGTGGTCTGGACGCAGCTGTGGACTGTTCAGGCAATATGCATGTGATTAACGGCATGCTCGATTTGCTTGGGGTGGGGAGCCTGGCGGTCACTGTAGGATCACCGCCTGCTGGTACGAAGGCCTCGGTGGATGTCTTCGACCTGTTGATTGGATGCAAGACCTATTGCGGTTGTCATCAAGGATGGGCTTATGCCAAAGAAGTAAGTCGTGATCATCCAAAGTCAAATGCCTAATACTGAGATCTTTAGTTCATTCCATCGCTTGCCGAACTATACGCCAAAGGGCAATTTCCCCTGGAGAGCTTGCAAAAAACATACCCTGTGCAGGACATCAACACTGCTTGCAAGGATATGCTGAAAGGTGACGTCTTGAAGCCGGTGTTACTTTGGGAATAAGGCCAAATCTCTTGGATTCACTCTCCAGCGAACCATCATCGAGCAGATGCCGGCAACTCGACTGTGCGGCGAACCTGATCCAAGTGGCTTACGACCACCAGAAGTATCGCCGTTGGCGACTGTAATGGCAGGGACTTCCAATGCTTCGCCTCACTGTTGTGCCACATAAGCTCTGGGAATTTCTGGCACGATTGAAGATTGCAAGGCGTAACAGGGCGATTCATCACCGATAACATTTCCAATAGTCACCCTGTCTCATTGAGGACACGGCGGCAAGCTTACCAATACCGATAGCTTAGAAGAATGATCTTACACACAACCACGTACACTGATCAAGGCTGATCTGATGCAATTACTCTGTTGTAGGTAAAAAGTATGTGGACCGTGTAAACTCATAGGAGTCCTTCTTTGGCCACTTGCTACATGCCAGCCACATTGTCAGGAAAGGTCCGGAACGTCAAGCCACATGACAGCCGGAATGGAAAACATTGCACCTATTCCCTGCCCCTAGCAATCATTCTTTGAGTTCAGTAGCTTCCATCTTCTTGATGTGACCTGTACCTTCATCCGCCGGATGGCCTTCAACGATTTCAGTGCCCTCGTGTATATATTGCACATTGACACGCGGTCCCTTGAACCATTTTCTGCCACTAATGGCATACCAGGACAGTGCAATAAGCATGACTCCCCCATAAATAAGACAGGTCCAATTCATGGTGAGAGCATTCAAATCTTTTCCCTTCACTGCTGGAAAACAGAGCGCAGGAACAATGACGCACCACCACCCAAAAGCAATCATTCCTAAAGGCTTTGAATATCGTCCGAGGTTCCATGGGCCTATACAAAATCACAGGTCAGCTTTCTTCGGCCAGCAGGACACCATAGCTTACCTGGTCGGAACCTCTCATTGTTGAACAATTTCAGAAATACTGGGGTGGTAAAGGCGGTGTACTGAGCTATGGCTCCGATACTGAACACTGCACCGATGGCCACAGGACTTGCGAACATCAACAACCCAAGCAAGGCGGACACAGTCAGCACACCCCAGGTGGCATACACTGGAGTTCTTGTTTTCGGGTGGATTTGGCTCCACCATCTGGACCCAACGATGGCGCCATCACGAGAGTAGGCAAAGACGACTCGGGTTGCTGTAATGGTGCAACCCACCCCCACAAAGAATTGGGCGATGATGTTGAGAGAAAACATGGCCAGGCCAGCTCTCTTTCCCAACACCTGCAGGCACAAGCTCCCAAAAGGCTGTCCATATGGCCCAGCGACGACATCGGTGATATCTTTGACGGTGTAAACAATCACAAGGATGATGGCAGCCCCCAGCCACAAGCCAAACTGCGCAGTCATGACAATTGCCCTTGGTGAGGCGATGTTGGCATTGCTGCATTCTTCCGAAAGGTGAAACGGAGCGTCGTATCCAGACATTGTCCAGATGGAAGTCAAGAATCCCATGATAGTCGCCCATCCAATGGGCCACTCGGTTCCATTCTGGAATTCTGTCCACACGGCATGACTGTGGTTGGTTTTGGGATGGTTGATTGACCCAGCGGGAAACCAAATGAGGAAGATAACCACCACTACCAGATTGAACACAGTCCCGACTTTGTTCACCCAACCAATAAACCATGTGGACTGCATGGTGATGAGGCCGTTGATCACCAGCAAGAGGAGAAGAATCAGGTAGGTATGCCATGTCTCGGGGGCGTAATCCGGGTTGGATATCATGCCGCATGTGACCAACATGGAAGCCAGCGCATAATTGACAGAGCATGGTCCGGTCACGAAGCCGCAAAAGTTAGACCAGCCCACAAACCAGGAGGCCAGAGGACCCCATCCTTCAGGCGCCAACACCGCTGAAGCATAATATAGGCCACCGGCTGTCGGCATGCTGGAGCACAGTTCTGCCATAGTGAAAGCCGTAGACTGGATACAAAGCGCGGACACTAGCCATCCCCATATCGCACCACCGGTGCCCGAGTAGCCTAAGCTGTAGCTGATGGTCGAGGCAATGGACGGGAGAAGCCCCAAGACAGAGAATGACACAGAGAATGACTCCCAGATAGTGAAATCTCTGGTTTCGTATCAGCATAGATCATGAAACACGTACGTGGACACACCTCTTGAATTCTTGTTTGTATCCAAGTGCACCCAGCGTCAGCTCGTCCTTAGAAACTCCTTCTTGGAGGATGGCATGTTCTCCGCGTCGGGCAAGGACAGATGTGACGCCGACGGTGCTTTCATCAACTACAGTGATAGAGGCCTTCCGTTGAGTCTCCATGGTGGTTCAAGTCAAGGTCAATAGGCTGGACAGTGTGAGGGCGCGAGACCACGGGAGACTGAGGTGGTCTCAAGGAATATATCCTCGTCTTCCGTCTCGCTTGTTCCCACATGAACGTGCGATAAGGCGACGGTTCGTGGTACAAGATCCGAGACGCCGGGTCAAGCATTAGACAATCAATTCGAGATAACACCGCACGTATATCAACCATAGACATGGTATCTGCAGCGGCGCCATCCCCCAATGCAGCAGGCGGATTGATGAATGATAGCATTTGGCTGGGCCTAGCAAAGCCAAGGTCGCTTGGAAAGTGACCGCTCAGACCTTAAAGCAGGACGACGTTGAACGATTGGTGGAAAGACGGGATAAGGGCTGCCGTCCTTATCAAGGCGTGGAGGGCGTTGTGCTTCCCACGACAGTCGATCAATGACAGAGACACGCGGTGGCATGGCGATGGGAGAACAACAGCGACTGGGCAATTTCCCTGGTCATCGGGAGAAGATAACCACACGGGTTTCCGATCTCCCGCCTTGTATTTCAGCATAGTTGAATTCCTGCTGTGAATGCGGCTGCAGTCTAGTTCAAGAAATTGTAGCCGACGACGTCCATCCAGGTGTGTTACGAAAATGCCGAGGCAAATTCACTTCCATGATGTGGATTCTTCTGCGCCCATGTATGGCTTTTTCTCTGTTCCGAGGATGTCTCGAGGATAGCAGGGCAAACAGCTGTAAGGGATAAAAATCGGAGGACGTCGTTTCCAGGAGAGACCGGTCTTGATGCGCGAAATGTAGACACATCTTCCGTCGCGGCGGGCGAAGTTCAAGAGTCTAGAACCTTTGGCTGAACCACCGCAAGGGTTTCGAACGCGAGAGGGCAGGTGATACGCAAGGATACGGATGCTGCTGAAACTCGGTTGGCCCAAAGTCTTGTAGGCCATCTGCTCAATCAGATCAGTACTTGGTACGACGATATTTGAACCACCAACGCTTTCTGCAAGAAGATTGAAATCTGAGACAAGGCAGGGTATTTCTGAAACGGTCCGTGGGGCTGAGCCAACAGTATAATGGAGAGCGCAAAATGCATGAGACAAGTGTTGCATGGCCTTCGCCGTCACTGCGTTGTGACCGTGCGTGTTTTAGATCCGATCCACTCAGATGGGAGACAGGCTGGGATTCTGCAAGAGCATCTCTATGGAAGGTGGCAATGCTCTGTCTGCTCTATAACTTTGTTGTTGAGCGAGTTCTGGTGACTGCAGTGGTCTGGTGGCAGGTTTGTCTCACTGCACCCGACGACTGCAGAAAATTCCTCGATTCCTGCTATCTTGGGTCTCATTGCCATGTAATGGGTATCGGTTGATGGCTGGTGGCCCGGGCGAGTTATCGATAAACTTAGGCGATACCCCAGCAACGGGCGAGCCTCCCTAGCCCCCCTACCAGCCTCAACCCAGTCTCGTTGTGGGCAAGCCTTAACCCCTGGGGCCCTGAGAAGCCCCTAAACGGCTTTCCCCTGGTTTATTATGGACCTGTCATCCAACCTTGTTCCTTCTTTCCAGGCGCTAAGCAAGCCACAACTGCGTCAATGTTTGGTGATCCCCATCTCGGAATCGCAGTCACCGCGTACTCTTCCTTGCAGTTTTCCTGCCAGCCTAGGGCATGAGGATCGATGGGAAACTTGACATTCAGAACTCAACTCTTGCCGCAATCAATTGGTCTGCCCTCGACATTGACACGCGATTTCTTCTCTTCTGTTCTGCTCTGGAAACCTCGCCCGCTGATCCGTCGCGGTAAACTCTCAACAAATCCCACCTGCGGTCTCAAATAGTACGACCTAGCATTTTGCAAAAGCACGCTCGAACTCCTCGTCTCTTTTCATCCTCCTCGGAATATCATTCGCATACGACCGACGAGTGCCCCTCTGGAACTGTGTGAACACAGCGCGGCCTTTCAAACGCAGAGCCATTGCGCCCATGGCATCAACATCCTAATTTGGTCGCTTCTAGTCGCAACAGCGGCACGTCCTCAAAAGACTACATGATGGATCAACTTCCACCTCAAATATGGACTGTTGCTCACACGTTGGTGGCTCGCAATGAGACAAACTCTACCACTTCGACACACGAGACCAGTCGCCCACCAGTCTACAAGGCAATCGGCATCTCTCTTGCGGTGGCCTCAGGAGTTTTCATCGGCACATCCTTCGTGTTGAAGAAAACAGGACTACTCAAGGCCAACGCAAAATACAATGAAGAAGCTGGTGAAGGATATGGTTACTTGAAGAATTGGTTCTGGTGGTCGGGCATGACACTTATGATCGTGGGGGAGATTTGCAACTTTGTCGCCTATGCTTTCGTCGATGCCATCTTGGTCACTCCTCTGGGCGCACTGAGCGTGGTCATCACGACTATTCTCTCCGCGATCTTTCTCAAAGAACGTCTGAGTTTCGTGGGAAAGGTGGGCTGTTTCAATTGCATCATTGGCAGCGTCGTGATTGTCCTCAATGCTCCCGAGCAAAGTTCCGTTGCCGATATACAAGAGATGCAACATTTCGTCATATCCCCTGGGTTTCTCAGCTATGCAGGCGTCGTCATCGTCGTGTGTACCTTTGTGGCCCTCTGGGCAGGGCCTCGGTATGGCAAGAAGAGTATGCTGGTTTATCTCAGCATTTGCAGTCTCATAGGCGGTCTCAGCGTCGTTGCCACTCAAGGTCTGGGAAGCGCTGTGGTTGCTCAAGCCAGTGGAAAGCCTCAATTCAACCAATGGTTTCTCTATGTCCTCTTGGTCTTTGTCGTCGCAACACTGCTGACCGAGATCATTTATCTGAACGTACGTGAGCATTCCAATGTCGAAAATCTGTATACTAACTCTTACGAACAGAAAGCTTTGAACCTTTTCAACGCGGCTCTAGTGACACCTACTTACTACGTTCTCTTCACGAGCGCCACGATTGTCACGTCAGCCATCCTTTTTCGTGGTTTCAAAGGCACCGCAGTCACCATCACCACGGTCATCTTGGGCTTTCTCCAGATTTGTTCTGGAGTCGTCCTGTTGCAGATGTCCAAATCGGCAAAGGATGTGCCTGATGCGGCGGTATTCAGGGGTGACCTCAACCAAGTCAGGGAGATCGCGGAAGTTGAACAGCCAGAATCCGAACCCAAAGCCGACGCCCTCCGTGGCGCAGCCAGTTTGATCAGAAGGATCTCTGTGTCGCGGCAAAAGATGGAACAAGAAGAAGCCAGACGGCTACGAGAAGATACAATGAAGGACCAACTAGAACCGCTCGGTGAGAACGAAGTCGTCGAATGGGACGGCCTTCGGCGGCGAAAAACCATCCTTGGCCAACCAGGCGCGTCTCCTGTTCCGAGAAGAAAGTCTACGCACCCTCCGCTCGGCATGTCACATTTTCCGCCCCCCGACGAAGATGAAACCAACCAAGGGCCAGGTTTCTTCGAAAACCTTCGCAAGCGCGCGCAGACGGTCATTCGTCACTCAAGTCCTCAAGATTCAGAGACTCTTCCACACAGCCCTCTACATCCGGTTGCATTGACTGATATCAAAGTTCAACCGTCCCATGTGGAATCCCCCATCATGCCGTATGGTCCCGGAAGCCTCGAAGATGCTCAAGAGCGGATCTACGGGTTGCCTGCCGGGGGGAGGAAAGAAATAGACAGCCAGGCTGGCATTTACCATTCACCCAGATCTAAACCTCTGCCAGCAAAGCCATCGCCGTCCCCAGCGTTGAGGCCGCCTCACGAAACTAGACGGCAGTTCTCGTTCACAAATCTGCTTCGTCCCGGTTCCCGGAGCGCTGATGCCGACCACGAAGCTTCACGGTCCATTACTAGCCACGAGCAAAAGCGCGCACTAAAGAACGCTACAGAGGAGGAGAGACTTGGTCTTGTCAAGGGTGATTCCCACCTTGCATTGCTCCAACGTGAAATCTCCCAATCTCCTGAACGCCCACACCAATCCAACTCCTATTTCCACCCGATCTCTCACTCTCACTCTCACTCAAGTTCCTCTGCAAGCCTTGATGGTTACTATCATGATCAATATCCTTCTCCGTCCCATTCTGACGAGGATGATGGGTGGCAGATGACGAATGTGCCGATAGTAACAAATTTGACAAGCCCGGCGCCGGCATCCGTCAGATCGAGTACTCGACGGAGGCCAAGCCCACCGAGGACCTTCCTGCCTCCACCCACGATGAATATATCTCCGCAACACAACCAGGAGAGGCCGATACCGGTTCCCGGCACCATGGTGGGAAGCGGGCCGACACAGGCCAAAGCCATACCAGTAGTGTCCGGCCTTTCCCAGACTTCGTTGACGAGTCAGAAGTTCAGGAGCGAGGATCAGATTCAAAACAGTGGCTCCCTCCAAGGACGTGGAAATCATCACTTAGCTCAAACTTCAGAAGGGAGAGGACTGACTGGGGAAGGAAGATTCATGGCACCGATCCAGAGGGAGACCGAAGATGACTACGAAGCGAGTCGGAGACGGTTTGAAGAACAGAGCAAAAGAGAAAGAGAGGCACGGCGGCAGAGGGCGACGGGACGGCGACAGAGCTGGAAGCCCACAACCCCGGAGGTTGACAATGGCAGTTTTATTTGATAGACTGTTCCGACAGTGGTGGACTGCACTTTGTGAGCGTTTGTGTGAATGATGACATGGCTACGACTTTGAACGTGGAAAGGGCTGTGTTGGTTGCTTAGAGAGAGCCAACCCGCCACTGAATCAGGACCTTTAAGGGCGGTTGACGGATTTCATTGACGACTGTATATACAGAAATTTGTACAATGGACTTTTACCACAACAAGAGTAAGCTACTTGCCTTGATTGTGCATGTAGTTCGTGGATGCCAACCTGTCGTCCTGTCATCGGGCGGCCGGGTCTAGTCATTCGGCCGTAACCTGCTCCGAGGCTCCGTTGCGTCCAAGTTTGAAGGGATATGATTTCCAACGCGCAAAATCTCTCGGTTGTAAAGATGAATTTCTGTCGTCAGGAACCTCCCGATAGTACAAAAAAGACCGTTGTTCGCCAAGTACTGATCGCGGTCTGCCGAACATGACTGCCACGCCGTCATCCGAAACCTCGCATGAGTCGGCCGACGAGACGAACCGCACGCGTCAGCCTAGTATTTCGAAGGCATCCACGACGAAGGATAAAGAATGCCAGTACTGCCATCAACATTTCACCTCCTCCTCTCTCGGCCGGCATCTTGACCAATTCATATCCAAGAAGAAGCCTGATGGGATTCATGATGTCGAAGAAATCCGAAGATTGCGGGGTGGAATCACCAGGCGCACCGCTCGAGGCTCGAGGCGTGACAGGGAGAAAGACAAGGAGCGGGATGAGACACATTCTTCACAGACAACTCCAGGGCCGGGTCCGCAGCCGGGCACACTCACATCGTCTGCGACGGAGCTGAACCGCGTACCTCCAGGCGGATTTCATTTTCGTTTAAACAGGCTGAATTGGCAGGCGACGGGCGTGATCACTGACCCGGCCACCCTCGATTCTCCTGTTGCGCCTACTCCTCCCACTCCCGCAATTGTTGCCAGTCCACCTGGCACGAAGCGTAGCTTTTCCACATTCGCACAAGATACAAATCCTACAAGTTCTACAGAGACGACGCGCGCCCTCGAATTGGCTCTGCGGGAAGTTCTCGACTCTCTGCGAGCGGCCACCAAACATGCCTCACCGAAGCCGTCGCCGTTCAAATTCGACGTTCCTTCGCAGACATTCCCATCTTTGTGCCTGAAGCTCCTGCCAGCACCGGCAACCTTGTTCCAGACGTCACCCTTCTCCACGCCGCAATCCATGCCAATCTCCCCGCCCGGCCCCGATCAGCTGCAGCCGTTGCGGCAAAAGCTCACTGCGACCATCGACTATTGGAAATGGCAGGCCTTGAGGTTGGCACAGCCGACGACCTCGAATATTGCGGAGGAGGCTGACTTTCTGGACCGAAGCGCGACCCAATGGGCCGAAACGGCCCTCAATCACCTCGAGACAAGTTATCAGAATTGGATGGCCCACCCACTGGAAATACGCGGCTTGCTGTGGCAAGTGGAGTTATTGAGGGCTTACAATATGGAGCAACAAAGGGTGGCAGAGTTGGAGGAGAGGTTGGAGTCCATCCAACAAGAAGCAAATCAACTGCAGCAACAGGTGGAACATTTATCTCGTTGCCAGTGGCCGCGTGAAATGGCTCTATGGCCTCCGGAGCGCAAGACTTACGGACAAACCATGCGTGAAGAGCTTCGGCTGGTTAATCTCAACAAGATACCCTGGGCGGACGGCGCAGACATCGACGTAATGTTGCTGCCGGACAATGTGAACACGAGAGGGGATAAATGGGATTTCGACAAATTGGTCAACAAGTGGAAAACCCGCGTCCGAGAAGACAAGAACCGGCGAATGCCGCAAAGCCAGCCTACGACAGAGAATGGGGCGAAAGGTGTTGAGGCGAAGAAGTCGCAGAGCGACTCTGCGTCGAATGGTATCTCCAATGGGCAGTCCCCGAATGCTGTCGAAGAGAGGCAGCGAACTACGAGGAATCAAAAGGGTACCATCAGCATTATTTCGGATCTGTAAGTTATGATGGTTCACAGAGAGGTGTTCTCTCGATCTAAATAAGCTGTATATTCTCCCAAGTCATTATTATGTTCGTATGTTTCCCAATATGCACTTCTCAGTGTCCAACCAAAAACCGCTCGAAGATTTGTTCATTGCTTCGTGTCATGTCAAAACCAAGTCCTTCGCTCATCTTCCGAACGTAACAGTCCAGACAGCGATCTTTCAGCAGGCTCATCGCTGGGTGGCAAAACTTCCTTCTCATCAATTTGAAAACGAACAGTGCGCGTCATTCTTCTTCGTCCAGCTCCTTCTCCCGCTTCGCAAACAGGCTCACTCTGTTCTGAATCGCATAGATCGCGTAGCCCACGAGTGCCAGCACCACGAACAGGCAGATCACAATGATTGCTATTACATAGTTTCGCTGAACCATGATTTAGAGAGTCGTGGGTTGACTGTGGGGCTCCAGACGACGGCGGGGAGGAGTTGGTTCGACTATGACCGAGCCCACGGGTTGGCGGATGTGCTGTAAATCTTCGTATTGGTGCACTTGCGGCGCGGTGATGTGAGAACGGAGCGAGTGCGCGGAAGCGAACAGGAGGCGGTGGGCTGAGACGAGGCCCGCAAAGCAAAGACGAACTATTGGGAAGTTCGCGAATGGTGATAAGATGCGACCGGTGACTTCGGGGAGACAATGGACGTGGTGGGGAGGGAGGGGAGAGGTCTAAAGCAAATGCAGCACTTTGGAGGGTCGGAGGACCTATTTTGACGATGTTCGGAGTGTCGTGGTTGTTGAAGGGCAACTGATGGTGGAAGTGCTGGACCGTGAATGCTTCTGGAATTGAAATCTGTGGACCACTTTCAATCATAAACTGGAATGTCTGGAGAACAGGAATGCGTCAGCAAGAACGAGCACGACCGACAGTACATGTAGGATGGGCAAATTGGAGGCCCAGCCTCATCCAAACAGCCCATGACCGCAATGGCTGGCTGCAGGAAGGTTGGGCCGTGATACACTGCAGTGTGAGGTGGCAGGGCCGAATATAGCGTTGAGACTTGTCAGGATCAAACTGAAACATGCGAGGCTGGCATGTGCAGCGGCGAGGCTGGGGGTCTTGGCGGTCGGCCGCACCCGTCTCTCCGTCCCCGACCTTCGTCTGACATAATATCTAAGTCATCAAAGCACGGAGAGCAGCTGTCAGACATGATCATTTTCAGCGGGCCGGACCTGGAACCAGCGGCTCGGAGAGCACTAAGCCCAATGCAGGAACGAGGCCAATCTTACTGCATTCGTTCCTATCGCCTGCCTACGATTCACAACTGACAACTCTCACTCACATCTCGAAGGGTGCATCAATCACCACCTTGATGCATCAATTGGCCTCGCAAACTCCAATGTGTTTGATCATAATATCATTACTTCTCTGGCAATGTACCCTGCAGCACGAAGAAACAAGCACAGCCATGTCGGCGGTCGCTCAGAATGGGCTTTGTTCTCACTTCCGCCATGGTCATGACCAACTAACAAAGCAATTGACGGGCTAATCTCTGTTCCCATCCACCTATTTGCGTCGATGCTGTTTGTGACAATGACTATGGATTTGACATCTAGGATACAATGCTTGCACCTTTTATCGTCAATCTACCTTCTGAAAGGTTTGTGGCAATAACCCGTCACAGTTATTTCTCCAGCACCAATGATGAAATCTGCAAATCAAGAACGGACTGGCATAGCCCAGAGACTTGATACCTCATACACCAGCTTTCGCTCGAAGGATGGCATACGATCTCCCCGAACACCTACATATATCCCTGACTCTCCCTCGTCAGGCTTACTCACGCCGTTTGATCACGCCAAATTTCTTGACAAGTCGGAGTTGAAACCCCTCAATAGTCCACCACCGCAGACCCCCGAGACATGGGTATGGACGTGCCATCTGTGTCACTCGCGATACCCTCTGGGAGTGACTCGTCGCTGTCTCGTTGATGGACATTACTATTGCTCTGGCGAAACCGACCGTCCAAGCCTGAGGAAACGAAAGAAGCCCAAGAGTTGTTCCAGTGAATTTGATTACCACTCATGGAAGGCTTACGGCGAATGGCGAAGGAAGGTGTTGCGAGCAATGGAAAATCCGAGAATCCTAAGAGGCTGCGACTATTGCGACTATCCGAGCCAATGCCTGTCGGGCCAGGCACATCCTATTGCAGGAATTGTGTCAATCCACGAATCCAAGTCCGATACCGCCTCGTCGACCGCAGTGGGAGTCAGAGACAGCAATAGTCCCAACTCTCCAAAGGACGCGGTTCTGAATGATATCTTGTCCAACCACAAACAAGGCACAGATGACTCAAAAGGATGTTCACGGAGAGCAAAGGAGGCAACTACGGTATCAATGAAACATAGAAAAGAAGTACAAGGAGTGTTGATTCCGTCTTTACAGGAGGAGATGGACAAGGAAGTAGCGAGATTACAAGAGATCGTGGGCATGCACGTCTGGAGCGACATGGGGGCTGTGGAATTGGAGAAAGAACCATGATATCTTCTGTAGATTAAACAGTCTCGCCTTCTCCCCCTATTTTCCTATGAGCCCGCCAACATATTCTGCAATAGCAAGCATCTTCTCTTCCGTGTACCTCCTGCCAACAATTTGCACACTGGCATAAGCCCCATCATATAGGTCGGCATCATAGTCGTCAAAGGTTTTCTTGTCGAGGTCGTTTATCGGCGTAAACCCGTCGATATATCTGTCCTTGGACTTGTCTGCAGTGGTCACCGGGACCACGACGCTGGTGTAATCCAATCCGTTGACAACCGAGGTGTACCCATAGTAATTGTACTTTTCTGGTCTGGCGGCTGGATATGGAGACACTGCCATGATGATGCCATCTACTGCACGACCAGTTCCTGTCTCTTGAGCAGTACTATTCCAGTAGTCTAGATACTCTTTTTGAAACCTCCTTTTGGCAATGTTGTTTGCGGAGATTTGGGAGGCCTTGTACTCTTCTATGGGTTTGTCGCCATAGCTCAACTTGATTTGCGTGGAAAGCGGCTCTCCTGACAAGGCAAAGGCATCGTGGACGTCTTTTCCACCGTCGTAGATCCAAGTCTTCCCCACGATATCCACAAGTCTCTGGTGAGCAGGTGGTTTCCATTCAATGACCTTGTGCCCGGCATTGCCTAAAGCTTCGACAACAGTGGCAATCGCACGTTGGATTGGCGGCTGTGGCATAACCACGCCATCAGAGTTCAAGACACCGAAGGCAAGCTGTCCCCTGGATGACGCCGATTTGACAATCTCGCGTACTGCTTGTTCCTCAGCATCACGCCATGGCATATCCACCACCAATGGATCGTGCAGCCAGGGCTCCTGTGAAAGAAGCGTCTGTGTGAGCAACCGTACAGCTCTGGCAGAGGTAGCAAGGGGGCCGACGACGGACAAGACACTGTTCTGGCCGTCCATGCTATTGGCCATTCCTTCGTAAGGCAGTCTTCCGGAAGTTGGTCGGATGCCAAACAACCCATTGAAAGCCGCCGGAATTCGGATCGAGCCGCCAATGTCGGTACCATATCCTCCAGGAGAACCTCTCAAACTGATCAGGGCTCCCTCGCCGCCAGAACTGCCACCCGAGCACAGATAACGGTTTTTCGGGTTCCAGGTGTAGCCGATGATATTGTTGACCGTCTCACCACTCATCAGAGTGTGGGGGACGCTGGTCTTGCAGTACAGGACTGCTCCGAGGTTCCTCAGTTCTCGCACCATTTCACTCTCGAACTTCCCACGTCGCGGGTCCTCGCGAATGCCTTCAAAAGTCCCGATCCAGCCAACATAGCCCATGGTCGTTTCCACGCCTTTCACGTGGAACTGGTCCTTCAACGAGACGGGAACGCCGTGAAGAGGGCCAATGGTCTTCTTGTGTTGAGCATAGAACTCGTCTAGTGCTTTGGCTGAAGCAATGGCGGCATCGAAGAAAACCTCATGGAGGCAGTTGACCAGTTGATGGGCTAATGCAGCTCGATGACAGAATGCTTTTGTCACGTCCACCGCAGTCCATGATCCAGCAGCGACCTTTTCGGCAATTCCCACTGCGTCCGTCTCTGTGATCTCAATCTCTGGCTTGGTGAGGAACTGCTGGATATATGGGCCAGTGACATCCTTCTGCTCTTCAGGGGAGGGGATATTGCTGAGACGCCATTCCGTTGGAATCGAGTTGAGGATAGCGTCACGCTTCGCCTTTGCGCGGCTCTTCCAGTCGGCGACCATGTTGTAAGATGCACCAGATTTTCTTCAGATACAGGTTTCCCAGAATATGAATGAGTGTGAGAGAAGTAGAGTGGCCATCTCTCCTCGATAATGGCCCGAGGGTTGTAATCGGTCTTGTTCCCCTCGGCATTGAGGCGTGTTGGCGGGGTGTGTGTAGTCGCACATCTCCTCACGATGATAAGTCTTTGACACCTCTCGTCCTCCTGCCTTTTTCGGTACTCTGTAGAGATAGCATATCAATCATCAATCGTCTCTCATCTGGCGCACGTTGAGATTGATCCGCTTATTGGTCATCCATCCCCTCCAATCCCGGTATTTGCCTCCACTGGGGATGTCGGGCCAATCTCTCAGCCATGCGGGACACGTATCTGGCACGATTTTCGGAACCGCGTGCCAGGCGTATCTCGACTTCCCCGACATCAGAATAGCGTCTCCGGATCGTAGCCTCAGCGAGGCCTGCTGGCTACCGTCGTCATTCCCAGCGATGAAAACGCCATCACAACCAATACTGATACTAATAAGGCTTTGGTCGCATTCTTCGCTGACGTCCCGATGCACGCTGAGAGTGTCGCCAGGCCTGTAAAGATTTACAATAGCGGCCTGAGCATTGATGTCCGGAAAGAGCTTTTTTAGCAGGGTTGCTATATCTGAGGGAAAGGCTGGAGGGGCTTCCTCGGGATAGACTTTGTTGGTCCAGTCGTACTGGCCGCCGAGTGTTAACCAGCGTAGTTTGCCCTCGAGCATCTGAGCATAATCGATCGGTGTGTGAACCGTAGGATCTTTCGGCTGAAGACTGGAGTGTCGTTCCCCACTGAAGAAGGACATGTTTGACTCGTCTTGATCCCCATCTTTGTCGCTCCTTGTAGGATAGGGAATGTCATAATGGAGATGGAGATTGGTCCGGTGTAGAGGAGTGGCAAGATCACGATGTAGCAGTTTGTCTAACAACGATAGTTGAAGGCGAGGACTTAGCAGACGCGGAAAGACATAAAGACCTACAAGGGTTAGAGGCACCATATCGGCAGCGCTGACGGTGAGAGCATACCAGGCAATTCTTTTATTTCGAAGGGAGGTAAGGATGTCCAGTCGATCGGTGGTATCTCAGGTTCTTGCGCTCTGTTGAGAGAAGAAGTAAAGTCCTGCTCCAGATCTTCTATTGCAACCTTTGGGGCCGTCCATTCGGGCAGGACGGTGACCCTGCGCTCATCTGGCTCCCAAGTATCAATTAATCCTGGCACAGAATCCAAGGAGTCAGCCGGACACTTTCGCCAGGCCTTGAAAAGATTTCTCAAAGAGTCAGGCGGTCTCGCGTGGGTATCATGCATCTCAGAACGCTCCTATGAGTGATTGTTTTCCGCTACCACGATCGGCTTTTCTGGTGATGAGAAAAGGAGTGTTAGATAATGTTCATCCAAATCCGATATAAAATATTATTTTGACCTGCAAATCCTGTCCAGCCGCATCAACAAAGTTATCAAATGCGATCCTGTGTCTTCTGAGGGCATTGAACGTGGACCAATCTGTATCAGACCACAAGCCATTTGATCGATATATCTGGATCATCGTGGATTTGCTCGAATATAGATCCTTGCATCAATAGTAAATACGCTGCCAGTGCGACCTCATCGGCTAGACGTCGGTTCAAATGACGGCATGGCATCTGACCAGAATCATGTGGCAGGACTTCGAAGCCTCGTTGAACTCGCTGTCTCCCTTCCGGCATCCGACCTTTCTGGAGGTATTTAGTATCTCTTATGAACTACCTATGAACCCATGAATATTCTCATGTCGGCATGTTAATTCGAGGCACCACCACTGTCCTTGGCAACATTGCCAACGCCTGCGGAAGCTCGCGCGAGACATGGCAGCGACTCACGACGAATACCACCGAATAAACCCTCGAGCCAGTGTAAGCAACTTGACGCTGCGTGAGAATCAGGCTGCTCATTCTCGCTCTAGTTACGCCATTCCTCCTACATTGATCCCTCTACCGGTGCAAAATTGAACAAGACCTTTACTCTACACGGTTTCGACGCAGGCTGCGATGGTCAAGGTGATGTTGATGTCGGCGAGCGGTCGCCTCTTCTTCTGGGACGAGGACGGACTCGCGAGATTGATGGTCGACCGTCGGCGAGCCGCAGACTCAGGATGAAGAGTAAGGAATACGCGGACCGGGTGCGACTGTTTGTGGTCTCGGACACTGGCAAAGGCATCTTCAAATGCGCGGTGGCATACCTCCTAGGCAGTCTGGCGACTTTTGTGCCTCCTTTAAGTCAGTTGTTTGGTCGGCAAAATTCTAAGCACATGGTCGCCACTATCACTGTCTATTTTCATCCGGCTAGGTCACTTGGGAGTATGCTCGATGCGCTCATCCTCGCCGCAACAGCTTTCCTCTACATCGCAATGATCTCGCTTTCGAGCATGAGCGTGACGGTCTTCTTTGCGGACACTGTCCATTTGATTGCACTTGGACATGCCATTGTTCTGATTGTCTTCCTCGGCGGCGGCCTCGGTCTTGTGGGCTGGGTCAAGCTGAGGAAGAACGATCCATTGGTCAACATAGCATGCTCCCTCACCTCATTGGGTACCATCACTGTCCTTACTAAAGAAGGAGCAGTTCAAGCGGGCGACTATTCTTTGGCCTCGATTTCGCAGATTCTCAAGATGATTGTTGCAGGTGTGATAGCTACGATGCTTGTGTCGATCCTGATATTTCCGATTTCCGCCAGAAAGAGGTTGAGGAAAGGTCTTCTGGACGTCACCGACTCTCTCTCCGACATGCTAGCATTGATCACGAGCAGCTTTTTGTCCGGGGACGAGTCGGAGTTGGAGGACAGTACGTTGTCCAAAATTAGCGATCGCCACAAGAAGCTGTCCTCCTCGATTACTCAAAGCCTGAAGGAAGCAAAATATGAGCACTACCTTTTGGGCACCGAAAGGCAAGCGTTCGTCGAAGTCAGACTGGCACAATGCATTGAACGAATCTCGCAGAGCATTGGTGGTCTTCGAAGCGCGGCTGCCATGCAGTTCGTCGTTACTAACGAACCCCCTTTTGGCTCTTCCTCGCGCTCCAATGCTCTGGCGACGTCCGCTCCTCTTTGGGCGAGCTTGATGGGAAACAAAAAGGGCAGTATTGATGAGGGGGAACGAGATTTGCTGAGCTACTTCAACCCGCCGTCGCCAAATGAGACACCCACCAACGGTAGATTGGAGTCGTCCCAACATGAACCGCCCTTCAGAACCCCTACGCAGATTTTCGAACTGTTCATTGAGAACCTGGGCCCTTCCATGAGGTCTCTTGCCTTCACGCTCAAAGAGATTCTGGACCACTTTCCCTTCGACGCGTCTCGAGATTTCGCTGTCGCAACGACTCCAAAATTCAAGTTCAGCCTCGAGCGCGCCTTAGAGTTGTACAAGGAATCTCGCAGACAAGCGCTGGCGGTTGTGTATAGCCAGAAAGACATGGATCGTTCACGGCCACTACCTGTTCAGGCTGATTGGGAGGACGCAGCAGCTTGCTGTGGTCATTTTTCATTCTCACTGGTAGAGGTGGCTGAATCAATCAAGGAATACTTGGTTATTCTGGATGAACTACAGCTTGAAGTTGATGAGAATCCTCGCGGCAGGACATGGAATTGGTTGAAATTCTGGCGATCGTCCGAAGAACGTACGGAGCTTGATAGTTTCGATCCTGAGTTTGCGGAAATCTTGAAACGGACAGATCAACTTGGCCTTCAATTCATCGACCGTCCTCTGGAAATCTCCAACAATCACAGTTCGCCCGTGGGACTGGAACAAAATCAGTTCAAACAAAGGCTCTTTCGTAGGGTCTACCACGCCGCATCCTTCCTCAGGCGCGACGACATCAAGTTTGCCATCAAGGTCGGGATTGGTGCTATGTTGTACGCCCTGCCTAGTTTCCTTCCATCCACTCGGCCAATTTACTCCCATTGGAGGGGGGAATGGGGTCTTTTATCCTATATGCTTGTATGCAGCATGACTATCGGCGCATCGAACACCACGGGATATTCCCGCGTGCTTGGGACGTGTTTGGGAGCAGGACTCGCTTGCCTCGCTTGGGAGGTATCAAGCAAAAATCCATTTGTGCTGGCCTTTTTCGGGTTCTGCATGGCGTACTGGACGGCATACATCATAATTGGGCAAGGCAAGGGTCCCAAGGGCCGTTTCATCATGCTGACATACAATCTTGTTGCCCTCTATGCTTACAGCCTTGCTAGCCTGGATGATGATGACGGGGGCGATGAAGAAGACTCGGGAAGAAACCCGCTGATCCTCACCATTGCCTGGCATCGTGTTGTGGCAGTAACATCCGGTTGCATCTGGGGCTTGATTATCACGCGCGTCATTTGGCCGATTTCCGCACGGCAGAAATTAAAAGATGGTCTTTCACTTCTATGGCTGAGGATGGGAATGATCTGGAAGAGAGATCCGTTGGCAACCTTGACCGACGGCGTCCACCCAGACCGGTACATGAATCTCAAGGAAGAATTCTACTTGCAGAGGTTTCTGGCCAAACTCCAAGGCCTAGTCGTGGCCTCCAAGAGTGAATTTGACTTCAGGAGACCGTTTCCCCATGCCGCCTATGCTCGGATCCTCAAACTCACGGAGCAATTACTGGGAGCATTTCATGCCATGAACGAGGTAATCCTCAAAGATCTCCATGCGTCGCCAGGAGAAGAAGCTTTACTCAAGGCTACGGTCGCCGAACGGGCGCAGCTTTGCGGCCGCATCAGTCATTTGTTCAGCGTGCTTGCCAGTTCAATGAAGCTCGAGTATTCAATTCCAAGCGATGCTCTGCCCAGCATCGAACACACCAGGGACAGACTGCTGGCCAAAATCTTCGCCTATCGGGCAAGTGATGCACAGCAACAGAAGACAACCGATGAAGACTACAGTCTATTGTACACGTATGCTCTGGTCACGGGCCAATTGAACCTTGGAATTCAAGCTGTACTGAAGGAAGTGGAGGGTCTTTTCGGTGTACTCGACGAGGAAGCACTTCGCCTTGAGTTTTGAGTGGTCGCCAGCGGATAACAAATAGTCCTATCCAGTAGCACTGTAAATATAGTATCATTCTGTCCATTGTTTTTGAAGTCTGACGCGTTCCATTTGTCGAGTGCATTCCGCTGCCAGTTATACAACGGACACATATCTGCCTGAGATAGTACCTGAGTTGTCGGCATACTTGTGACTTAACTCTGTAGTACCTAGTAGTACCTAGTAGTGGTAGGTAAGGTCAGCGTTGGGTTAACGAAGGATCTTTAGTAGGTAGGATAAGGTGGATTCAAGGACTCCGCATGTTCGTAACCATGCGCCTCCAAGCCCCCACGTCGAACCAAACGCGTCACTGGTCGGGCGCCAACTGCATCCACAGTCTTCAAGAAATGGTGCAGCCTGCGGTGTCAGGCTGTCGCGTCCGCTTCGTGGCTGTGTCCCTCGACGGCTCAATTCAACACGGCGTATAGAAGGCCATGAAATTGCCAGTTGATGGATTTCGTTATCTACAGAGTCGAGGTTCGAGGTAGATGTAGCAAGTAACACACTCCTTGTGATCAACCCGCAAACCATCACGGTGAGATTTGCTTTGCGTGAAGCAAAATGCTTGATGAGAACCTTCCCAGTACGCAGCCCTCCATGCCCGGATCACATTGACTTGCTGATGATTTAGCCTTCCTCATCAAACCCTCGAAAGACAAACCCAGGCAGGCGTCGACCCTTCTTTTCTCTCAACACGGAGCCGAGTTCGAACCGGCTTACACCCTCAGACATCTCGACCCGGAACAGCATGCGTCCAGGAACCGATATGCGGCGGCCCTTTATGATGCATTCACTCCTGATGTCCTTTACGCCGAGGTGCTGCTGATCCCAGAATGGACACAGCCTGCTCCTCTATCGGAACAAGCAAAACTGAACGGAGCGATCCCACCTCCACCAGAGCCCATCCTTCCGACCGAATTTACGATTCAGCTGTATAACCCGGACCAGCAGGTAACAGTGAGACACAAGGCGGCAAGTTGGAACACGGCAGCATCGTGGCGGTTCGAGTTGCCTCAGCAGACATTTCGGACACCGTCAAGTTCCGCGCTTGATCGAGGACAGCACGACCCTGCCGCCTCCGAACTCACTCCTAAGATCGGCTTTAAGTGGAAGAAAGACAGCAAATTCTCGAAGGATCTGGCATGTTTCCTGTCGGGCAAGAGTACAGCCGTGGAAGGTAGCAAGGCGAAGAATAAAGAGCCGGACATCACTGTTTCAATATTCAAGGGTCTCAGAGAAATCACGTTATACGAGCCTAACCTGCAGCGAATGGATATTGAGGATCTCAAGGGATTCGAGGTGGTGCTTTTGCTGGGCGCCATGGTCATTCGTGATGTGTACTTTGGTTCACTCAGAGAAACATTCAACATTCCTTCTGCAGCAAAGAAATCGAACCCAACTAGCCCAATTCTATCGGATGTTTCTTCGACTCCAGATAGTTTTCCTCTTCCAATCTCACCAAACAAGGTGAACTACCAGCAAGCTGGTCGCGATCCCCGCGTACCCCCTACCGACCCTCGAACGCAGTGGGAAATCGATGTCGAAACTGCGCGACTACGAAAACAAGCTGCCGACGAAGAACGAGCGAGACGCCGTCGGGCGGAGGAGGAAGAACGACTAACCAAACAGCTTCTGGAGCAGGAAGAGAAGGAGCAGCGTCAACGGCGGCAAGCTGAGATTGACCGAGAGACCCAACGTCTTCAGCAAATGTATGGCCAAGCAGGTACTTCCTCGCAACCGAATTTACCTCCCCGGGATTCTCATCAGCAGAGACACCATTCTGACTCAAGACAATCCGCATACGTTCAGTCTCAACAAAACCCACATTTCTCAACATTCCACACCAATGCCTGGAATGGGTATCCCGTCGGTGCACAAGCGAACGCACCTTATATGTCGGGTGCAGCGTCTCAGTCGAGCTTCCTCGGGTCTGTGTCCCCCACGGCACAACATAGTCTGAAACAGAAATCGAGCATATTCAGTTTTCGCCGCCGAAGTGACCATGATGCAAACAAATTGCAGCGGAAAAGAAGTGCCGTCTTCTGAATCTGCCGAGCTTCCTCTTTCGGCGACGTGGACTGCGCATGTGATCGGTCAACGGCCGGGGTTGATATCATGTCATCATCCAGACACACTCCCCAACTTCTCGTGCGGAGCATGTCATAGCTGTTCTCTCCTTCCAAATCCATCCTACAATCTTCGAAAAATGGCTTCCACCTTGGGAAAACGAATTGTCTTCACCGGTGGCTCTGGAAAGGCTGGACGGCATTGCATTCCATACTTGTTGGGCAAAGGACACCAAGTTCTCAATCTGGACTTGGTGGATTTCCCCAAGGACCATCTACCGGTCGGCAAGGATGTCTATACCATGAAATGTGACCTGACCGACGGCGCGCAGACCTTCAACGCCCTGTCCTCGCTCTTCTCCATGGAAGAGTATGCGCTGCCAAAACACCCAGGGCCCCCTGATGCTGTCGTCCATTTTGCAGCATATGCTCGAAACATGATCGTCCCTGACAGCGAGACATTTCGCGGCAATGTCATGAGTACCTATAATGTCGTCGAGTCGGCATGTAAACTGGGTGTTACGAAGATCATCATTGCAAGCAGCGAAACAACCTACGGTGTCTGCTTCAGTCAAGGGGATGATGAATACCATTCTTTCCCCCTTGATGAGGACACCTACGATCGAAATCCGATGGATACGTATGCGTGCAGCAAACTGACAGGTGAGCGCATTGGTCGCACCTTTGCCCGTCGGTTTGGCGTGGACATCTATGCATTGGTAATTGGGAATGTGATCGAGCCGCACGAATATGAAAGAGACTTTCCTCGACATGTTGGGAGCCCAGAGACAAGGAAGCGGAACGCGTGGAGTTATATTGACGCAAGAGACCTGGGGCAGATCTGCGATTTGTGTGTTGCGAAAGATGGACTCGGATTTCAGGTCTTCAATGCAACAAACGACACCATCACCACTTCTGTTCCTACGGAGGAGTTTCTGAAGAAAACATGTCCCCAAACCCCAATCACCCGAAGAATGGACGAATGGGAGGCGCCCCTGTCAAACAAGAAGATTCGCGAGGTGCTGGGGTATAAGGATGTCCACAACTGGCGTAAATACTACAATCACAACGAGTGAAGGTACCGTGGGCAGCGCAGTCAGGGCACGATCGGCAGCAACGGACCCGGGCAACTGTGGTGTGTCTGGGTGGTGGCGATAGTGATGTTGCCGCTGTTGAAGCATGACGGGCGGCCGCCCCGAGCCGAGTCCTTTGTGGAACTTGAACTTGCGGTTGCTGCCGGGGACGAGTAGAGTAGGGTGTCTGCTCGTTACTCAACGTGGTGTATCGGACGTCTTTTCATCCTGCAATACTAGAGAATATCTCCATTTCATGCATGAATAGTCCTATATATATCCTGAACATCGAATGTGAACTGGTGTACTGGAGAAAGCAATTAAAGTGATGAGGCTTAGAGGTGTGGCTGAACCCCAGCCACTCAAATTGCAGAACGCGACAGTTCGCAAACGAGTGCCAGCAAACCACACCGATAGCAGGTGTAGTTCTACATGCGCATCTACTATTTGTAGGGAACGTCTCCTGGTCATCTGATTCCAGTCAACCCTGAGCACTTTCCCGAAATCTATCACGCTGGGACACACAATGAACAACGACGGCCGCCGCAGCATCACGCGGAACGCACCTTGAGGCACGCATGTCCACTACGCACCGACCTCTCTGCGAACCTGTCAAATCGGCCCGCTCGTAGCATGGGCAAATCTAGCTCAGACCGGCGGCGAGCCGGCTCAGAAGCATCGTCCAAGTCCGAGCGGCGACGAACAAATCATCGCGACTCGTCAGATGGACGCGCCCTCACGGAAGCGATCCCCTCACCTCGCCATCGCGACAGTCTTGTTGATGCCGCAGAAGCTGTTCCTCCCTCCAGCGATGCGGTCCGTTCGGTGGGGTCGAGGAAGGCACGGTCCGAGCAAGGTAGTTTCGTGACCTCACTCACGGCTGAGCCAACGGAGATCTCTGAGGACTACCATACCGGCCCTCGAAGAGACGGCAAGAAGCAAGGCAGAGAGTTCGGTGAAGCGCGCAAGAGATTCCGCACGAGTAACAGAGAGTCTACATCTGAAGGGAGGCGGAGGAGCTTGAGCGATGAAGAGCCGGCGAATACATTTAGAAGAAACAGTGGACGGAGTCACCGCGACTCCCACAGGCACTGCAGGACAGGCGACAGCGACATTGTAGGCGATGTTAGGGCGAACATTGCCTCGCTCCCAGAGAATCAATTTCCAGGGGAATTTCCGGTCACTTACACCAAGCCATACCGCCCTCCTGGACTGGCTACGGAGTACTACGGTGACCAGGGAGAATCAGTGGCCTCCCAACCTGGCGTCCGTCCCAATCCACCGAGCATTGTCACCAACGCCGAACAGGCGCATCTGATAGAGCCGACTATTGACCCTCGGCCTCCACCTGAGCCAAGCAGTTTGGGAGTGCTTGGGGCAGCTGCCAGTTATTTCGAGACCGGCGCTGCTGAGTCAGTCACCGATCCTCCTTCAATCTCCTCAAGACCGTCTCAGACCCCGACCTCGAGGCCAGACAAGCCGAGTAGTTACAGCGGTCAGGGCCCCAGTCCAAGAACGAGTCCGAAGCCTGAAGGCAACGGATCAAGACTACAGGGCAACGGTCTGAACACCACAGGTTCGGGCGCTCCGGCGACGATGTCTGCCGCCGGAGCTGCTCTGGCCTATTATTCAGCCTCGAATATGGAAACAATGGAAGGCCCCGCACAGCATACGCCAACACGACCGCCTACGATATCTGGTACTGGAACGGCTTCATTCTCTGCCCCTTCAGGTTTTATGGGTTCGTCGTCTCAGGAACATTCTAGTGCAGCGTTGTACGGCGCCGCGGCCGGCACCTATATGGGAACCCATTTTCACAGCGCTGACTGGCATAACCAGCAAACTTCAGCCGTACGGCCTCCCGGTACTCTCGGCGGTCTGCCTATCTCTTCTGCCGCACCAATGCAGCAAATTCACCGCCACAGACGTCGGGGTCCACTTGGCAAGCTTGTAGACTGGTTTCGAGATCCTGAGGCTGTGGCGGAATTCGAACAATACACAGAAGCCATTGGCGTCTGCAAATATTGCTTTGATCCCTGGACTTCACCAGCAGATGCCCCACGGAAACATCATTATCGCCGAGGGAGGCCTTCGTCTGGCGGTCGGTATGGAAGCTTGACGCGGGTGGACAAGACTGCCAGATATTCTTCCGATGAAGAGCGACGGAATCGTTCTGGCCCAAAGAAGGTAGTCGTGGGAGGTTTGGCAGGCTACGGCGCGGCTAAATTGGGGGAAGCTATACTCAAAACGAATCATGACTTTGACGATACCTATTCAATCAAGTCAGGAAAGCCGGTCCCTGAAAGCCAACATGGCTTTCAACATCGCGATAGGGCTACTGACCGCAAAGTAAGGCAGTACTCGTCGTCGGAAGATGTCCGATCGCAGAAGCATGAGAGTCGTCGGAAAAAGGACATGCGCCACGCTCGTGTTGGCCAGCAGAGTTCTCGTCGACGCGATTCAAGCTCTTCCGCATCCTCTTCATCTTCACGTCGTGCTGCAATGAAAACCGGCATTGGTGCTGCTGCACTGGCCGTAGGGGCAGCGGCATTGGACAAGAAACTGCGAGATCAGCGCAAAAACAAAACACGCTCATCCTCTCCGCAAAAGAAGTACTTTTCGAAAAGAGTCTCTCCGATGCATTCTTATGTAGATCTGTCAGCCTCGACCAACGAAGGCGGCGCCTTCACGGGCTTTTTTGCAAGCCCGTCAGCCAACAAACGGGCGGGCAAGAAGCCGAAGGGCCTTTTCAATTTCGCTAACTCGTCAAGTTCCTCGTCGGATGCCGACCTTGCCTACGGAGAAGGGACTGTTCGTCGGAAGGATTCAAAGGGACGACGAGAACGGAATCGAACGGAGCATGACAGGCGCAACTCCACTAAGAGCCTGATGCAACTCGTTGCTGAAGGTAATGCTCTTGCCGAAGAGAGCGATCGAAGAACAGGTAAAGGTAGGGAGATCCATGAAATTGACGACAGTATAGGGCGACGCAGTACTAGAACCAATCACTACGCTTCAAAACATCATGATGAGGGCCAGACTGCTGCACAGGAAGACGGCTGGTACGATCTAGAAGACGACGACAACTCATCCTCCTCCTCCAGCGTAGATATGACGCTGGCTTATGGAGAAGCCCCAAGCGTAGGGACCAGACAATCCCCTGGCCCCAAGTCTCGGCATTACCAAGGAGGAAGTGCCTCAGAAATCATGCCAGCAATTGCCGTCGCCGCTGGTGCTGCAGCCATCGGAGACCCTGCACAACCAACTCAGGTCATTCCACGGCGAAGGAAACCCAGGAGTCTACCACATATGCAAGACCTGGAACCGCGACCAATTTCCGACCCGATCTCACAGATGTCATCAGATGAATCCAAACGCAGGATCATATCTCCTAACGACGGCTCTCCTCAATATACTCGAATAGCTGCACCAGCAGTTCCTTTGCAGCAACCACAACCCATCACACCACTTGCCCCATCAATCTATCATGAGAGGTTCAGTTTCGCTGGGCAGGACGAAGGTCCCTTCACTTCGCGAGAGCACGACGATTCGAGAACGCGCATAAGGGAAACAGAGGCTCCGAGCTCTGATAAAGGGTCGCGTAGCTCCACGCGCCCAAGACGAGATTCGAGTCCGGCCAAGTTCCCACCACGTGATGCGAAACATTCTGTGAGTGCTTTTGCAGACGAGCAGCCTCCAACTGGAAGCTCTACCGGATCTAAAAGCAACAAGGACCCACGGCGTGCAGAAAACCGACGCAAATCAGCCGATGCAGCGATTCTGGTGGCCGCGGGTGTCCTGGCAGGAGAGTCAGGCTTGCAAATGAGCAATTCCAACAACACGCAGTCACACGTAGCCGGTGGGGGTTCGTCTGACCCCGCTGACGAGCGTATGGCTGAGATCGAGCGCGAGCTGCAGCGGCTCTACGAAGAGCAACGGCTAATGCAGGAGGGAGATGGCAAGCAAACGACTAAAAGCAAGGGGGTCGACTTTGCAGTACCTTTACTGGTTGGTAAAGATGAGGGACGTGGTCCAAATCAAGCCACAACGAATATTCGCCGAAAGTCAAGCCTGAAGAAAACCAAGGACACGGAACCGTCCCCAAAGGCTGAATCGCAACAAGAGCGAATCGCACGGATGGCGGCTCAGCGGGTGAAATCAACGCCTTCGCCGGTGTACGAGGATTATGGGACATTCTTCGTCCCAAAGGAGCTGCAAGAACATCTCAAAGACAACAACAACAGGTCCGAACATAGGGATGATATCGGTGCAAATGTGGTCGAGATCGTTCCGGGTGCGACAAAATCAAATCGACAACATCCTTTCGACCCATTTACATATCGTCCCTTTGGATTGGAGATAGACGACGACCCCACGTTGCATCCTTGGCCTGTGCCCATGTTAGGTTTGGTTGAACCAACACCACCAGGCAGTCAAACACAGAGCATTCAGGGGGATATCAGTCCTCACATTACTGCAATCCGGGATGAAGAACATGTCGATATAGTGGAACCACTGGAGAAGGAACACAGCACGGACTTCATGTCATCTTCTGGCCGTGGGAATCCCGATCTGGACGAAGGTGATTCAGCAAAGGATGAGACATGGGACACTAAGCCACAGTGGTCGCAGGAGAACGATGACGGCGAATTTCGGGCGTCAGGCGCAGCTGAACCGGATGGAGATGAATCACATCGTCCGAAAGACCAGCAATATCGGCCCGGTATTAGTCGTGTGTGGACATTGGACGAAAAGGAGGCACAAAAGCTCGAGAGCGAGCTCCCTGTCGTTGATGATATGCCTCAAGTTAGCCGCGCCTGGACAATCGATGAGAGCGGTGCCGAAGAAATTGAGCATGAAATGTCAGGTGGTCTAGGGGACAATCAGGCTGCAGAAGAGGTTCTGCCTCGCGTCATGGAGGCGATGCCCCAGAGCCCTCAGTCACCCAGCTCGCAGTGGACATCTAGTGGGTCTGAGAATGTCGGCCAACTACCACCTAGAGGATCTGAACAAACCAAAGCCATCTACGAAAGTCCTTTCACTGAGACCGTTGGTGATCTTGGAGTTACCGTCTCCGATCATGGTCAGACTGGCTCCGTAACGGCGCCAATGCAGACCACATCAGATCGTGCAGACAAAGTCACTCACGAGAAGATGAAGTCGCGCGATCCAGGTGCAGATGACGGATTTGTCTCCGCCGAGGAGTCTCCAGTCAGGTCTGTCTCAAATGTCAACAACGACGAGCCTTTTTTAGTCAATCGCCCCGAAATGCCACCACCAACGGTCACAGGTTCACCAACGGGTCCTGATGGTGTCTCGGGGCACTCTTCCCCAACAGAGTCATCATCACGGCCGCCCGTTACTGGAGTATTTGTTTCTGGTGAACCGCAATTTAATACTCCATGGACGGAGAGGGACGAGCATACGCCTCGAGAAGAGACCCAGGAAGCCCAAAATGATGCCGACACGTCTATGCTACCGTCACCGTATATACCACTGTCTGTTTCTCCACGGCGCCTATCCGCCATCAGAACCACCGATGACCCTTCCAGTCCGATAGTCACGAGCTCTCCAACAGCCGTCCCTTTGCAATTCCGGCGGCCACCACTTTCGCCGACCCACACGCGTGTCTCCATGATCTCGCCAATGACTTCTCCTACTTCTCCCCTGACAACACCGCGCACCCGTCAAGGACGCCCGAAATCCACAGAATTTCGTTCAAGTAAAGAGTTTCGGCCGCTTTATCTTGTCGAAAGATCGAACTATGCTAAGACCATGGCGACACCAGAGACAGCGGAGGAATATCCATCTCTGCCTTCGAGCAAGACAAGCTCTGCGCACCCATCAATGGAGGATCTCCGAGCTGAATCACACGCTCAACAACAGCTAGAGTATTTTACCCCTTCACGCATCAACCATGACATGTTCCGTGGTAGGCGCCACAGTTACTCTCACGGATATGACAGCGAAAGAAGGCGTGAATCGCCGGACTACTTGGATTCTCGGTCGGCCACTCCTGTCCCTGGCGAACTGCAACGAGCTCGCGACAGCGAGCAGAAGCCGAAACCCAAGTACGAATTTCACTCACCGAGTGAATTGTTGCGGGATCCAACCTTGCTCCGAAATGGACCTGCAGTGGAAGAGGAGCCTGGCCTTGAAAGTCCACTTCGGAGTGTCGTCAGCACAGACGCCGAACAGGATTATGTGAGCGCGCGGAGCCGAAGTTTGTCCACAACTAGATCACAAAGTATGAGCAGAGGTCGAAAAGCTGTCTCGCGGTCAGAATCGGTATCTGATTCCTGGACAAATGCTCTGTCCAGCACAATAACTGCTGCTGTAGGAGCCGTGACTGGCATTGCCGCGCATGCACTAGGGGCGAGTGCACCTGGAGACAACGAAGGTGGGAGTCTGGAAACTCCCACCGCTGAGCAGGGCAATGATGAGCTCGATTCGTCTGCGACTGGGAATGATATCAATAAAGCTATTGTCCCAGAAGTCGCAAGCGGGACCCAGCTAAACCAACCGGAATCCGTCCTCTCTCATAATAGCGTTGACGTGCCGCCCAAGGCTGAAAATGCGGCGCATTCACAGACGGACGAGGAAATGGAACTCAAGGGCGCAGCAGGTGTTGCTTATGCTGGTACGGAACTGGTTGCCTCAGCAGAGACAAGCATCCCCGATACTGTTGATGTCAAGGAGCCTGGCCCCAACATCGACACGCAAATGACGAAGCCGTCCAAGGAAAGCCCAGAAGGGACCCCCGAAACAAGTTCCGACAGCCAGGATCCTGCATCACTAGATGATGCGACAAACACCAATTTTGAGGATCCTGCACCAGCCTTGGTGTTCAAATCAAAGAAATCAAAGAAAGACAAGAAGAAGAAACGCAATGTATTGATGCGTGACGAAGAAGTGGCTGACACCCCACAGGGCAGCCTTCAACCCGAGTCTACCCCTGCAGAAAGCATAAATGATCATGTCTATCCGACAGCCAGTGTCCCTTCGACCCCTGAAACAGATGTCCTCGAGGCTGCTCTACCAGGACAGGGTTTTCCACCAACTGAAAAGCAGCTGACCTCTAGGATATCTATCGACGAAAGTAATCTGCCTTCTCTCAAGGAACCTTTCTTGCCAGATACCTCTACAACCGAGCCTCTTCCGACCGTGTCCGTTGTATCTGATCCTGCTCCTTCCGACGCTACACCAGGTCCAGAGCTTGGGCACGAAGATAGCCCGAAGGACGTTCCAACACAGTCAAATTCCAACCAGTCTGACGAACCGTTGTCAACCACGCTACATGAGAGCCAGGCTGCCAGTCGAACGGTCGTCGGAGGCCTGAGGACGTCTACCCTAGATGGCAATGGCGTGCTCGCACAGGGCCATATGCCAAGCTCGGACTTGCATCCTCTTGAACATGCCTTTGAAGCAGCCGTTCACGCTCGAGGTCTTAGAGACGGATCGAGCCTCGAAACAGCATATCAAGCTTTCAAACCAGACGTTGTAGATGATTTCGATGTTAGTGGTATCCCACTAACGACAATCCTGGAGGAAGGCGAGCCGCCGATTCCTGCTGCCAGCCTCGTACAGGAAACCATACCCGAACGCAAAATGTCAAAAAAGGAGAGACGGAAGGGAAAGAAGTTAGCCAAAAGACTGCAGATTGACGATGATTACCAGGAGCAGGCATCTCCATATTCTGATTCCGCAGAGAAAACAGATACGCCCGAGCTCAATGAAGCCTCGAAAAGGTCTTCCTCCAGTGACCAGAACAGGGCCGCTGAATTTGCGGAACCGCCGAATCCGTTCGGTGACGATTTCAAACTATCGCACGCTGCCGACGCCGAAGTGAGCACAGCTATACCATCTGAAGCTGCCAAACCAATGTCTCCAGAGACACAGCCTACAGCAACACTGCCCACCCGAGCCGAAGAAGAAATGCCCGCGACTGACGAATGGCCAACTGACACTGCGGCAAATAAGAAGGCCAAAAAAGACAAGAAGAAGAAGAAAAGACAGTCAATAAGCTGGGACATCTCCGAGCCCGTTGTCGGCAGAGATGCTATGTCTGCAACCGAGGAGATTGTGCCTCAAAGCACGAGTGCAGCCACTTCCGACACAAGGAGCGCCCCTCTGAGTGCGACTGGAGCCATTGACCAGCAAATGCCTAATGCGCAAGAAGTGGTAGACCAAAGTAGTGGGGATCACGTCACCCAGTCACAAGAAGTACCCTCTCCTGCCGCTGAAGCCATCGAGGCTACAGCGGCCGCAGACGAGTTGGCCCCCAATTATGAGATTGGAGAGGACCAGAGAGATGCATTGAGTACACCGGAAGGCTTTGTTGCCACAATGGCCGTGAACGAGAAATCGAGAGAGGAAGAAATCAAGCGTGCCGTAAGAAGCGATGATACAATCGGTGAAACCATCGCCATCCCAGGGACTGATCGTCTGGTTGGAAGCTTGGGTCAATCTACCACCGCCGAAGCGGCGGCGCTCGACGGTCAAGATGACAGAGCCAAAGGCGTGTTCGTCCGCTCAGGCGACACAGAAATACTCGAAGATGAAATCGCATCTCAATCTGAGCATGATCAACATGACCCCACGAGGGTAGAGGTCGAACGTCAGCCGGAGCTCGCCCAAGATGTTACGACCGGAGATACCGGACAGGAGGCCCCCAAAATAGCGGTTGGTCCTTCCTCTGCGCCAGAGGATGTGTTCATACCGGTTGGTCAGAGTTCCGCGGTCGGTTATAGTCCGGACGGGTCCGCAGATACAACGGTGCGCGCAGAAGAAGTGGCCGAAGTTTCGAAGTCTCATTCTGGCCTAGGGCAGGAAGTTGCAGCAGAGGACGATGAGTTCTCGCTCTCGAAGCCTACGAAGAAGTCTAAGAAGGACAAGAAGAGGAGGAAAATGATTACTTTTGATGAATTCGAAGCTCATTCAACCCCGGAGCGGAATGGCGACGCCAGAACTCAGGAAATTCCAGCTCCTCCTACTACCCTAGATGACTCGAAGACTGATGAAACTGAAGCCACCACAAGTTCTACCAGCGCAGTTACCAGAGGGCCTTCTGACGAACAAGAAAAGCACGAGGTCGAGGACTTCTCTTTCATCATCACTTCGAAAAAGAGCAAGAAGGATAAGAAGAAAAAGAAGCGCTTCCTCTTCGATGAGCTTGAGATGAACTCGGAGGAGGCATTCGTTGGTCCCGCCGAAGTGCCTTCCACGGCGCAGGATGAGGCTTCGGGCAACGTGCTGCCCGACCTGCCTCCAAGCGCAACCAGCCCACCCGCAGCATCTTCAACAAGCAAGCTTGAGAGGCCTAGGATTCCAAATGAAGATGGCGAATCACCTGAAGCAACGTCACTAATGGCAAGGGACAGCCCCGCAACGTCTCCGGCCGCTCAATACTTGATCCCAGGACCTACTGGCGAAATAGATGTACCAATCATTTCCGGGACTGAGGTGGCCAGCACCCTTGACGATGAAGGAATGCATGAAGGAGTCAGTCCAGCACGGGATCAAACTCCCGGTTCGCCTTCGACCATGGCGTGTCCTCGCTCGGTGACGGGTGAGAACGGATCGGATCCTGAGCCTGCCCTCGCGGGAAGTTCCACTGTTGAGCACTCAACAGATGAGCCTCCTACGACTGCGCCCGGTGGAGCTCCCTCTGGCACGGTGACTGCGCTTGCCGTTGATCCTCCTGTCGCAATGCCTCCAACGGCCCTGTCACCTGCCGTCGATGCCCCTGCGGCTGAGTCCACCAATTATGCTACAATCCGGGAAGAAGGCGATTCAGCTCTGCCAGAAGGCTTCGACAGAGCTCCTGAAGAAGACTGGGGCTTTTCAACCAAGAAAAGCAAGAAAGACAAGAAGAAGAAACGTCAGTCTAAAGTGGACTATGAAGATACTGACTTCAAAGTCACGGAGCCTCATCATGGGGAATTCAAGTCCGACGCAAAACCTGCTTTCGTAAAGAGCACCGCTTTCGATGCTACTAGAGATGCAGGGGTCAACTTGGCCATTGATGACGAATCTCATAATGTTGCCGAGGAAGAATGGAACGCCGCCCCAAAGTCAAGAAAGGACAAAAAGAAAAAGCGTCAGTCGGAGTTGCAGACCATCTCTTATGAGCCTGTTGGACAACCGGAGTCAACCGAGCAAGCCACATTGGAGGACACCGTTCCTACCAAAGATGAAAAAGACCACATGCAAGGCGATGACGCCCCAGTCCTGGAATGGGTAGACTGGCCGTCTGAAGAAATAAAGGGTCATAATTCGGAGATTTTAGACGCTGAAAAGGATCCTGGCCACCTCTTGGCTATGGGCGCAGCTGAAGAAGAATCCCAAGACATTCAAATCGCCGCTTCGGAACCATCCGAGAATCAAAAGGTTGAAGATGCGCCTCCTTTGCACGAAGTCATCAATTTTGCAAGCGAAGGACATTCGAACCAAGAAGATAATTCCATCCGAGAACTTGGAGCCGAGCAGTTGGACGAGCTCGAAGACAAGGCCGACACAGATTTCGTTGACGTTCCCCACGACCTTACTGAGGGCCAGAACGTGGTTCAGGATACAAATCTTTGGGACCAGCAACGCCCATCTGTCCACAATCACACGGTGCAGAATCTTGCCCAGGAACCACAAATATGGAAGCGAGAGCGAGACTTTCCTCCGGAAATTGAAGCGACTGAAAGCCGAGAAGACTCTGGCACCGCGACGTTCCCGCACATTAGCTCGCCATCAGCGCCAGCGACCGACAAGCCTTTTGTGGGAAGTCGTGCCGAGGAAGACCTACCTATTTCAGGCGTGGTCGATGCGAATGCAGACGATCAAACTTGGGGCTTCACTATCAAGCAATCGAAGAAAGCCAAAAAGAAAAGGCGACAAGCGACTTTTGATTACAGCTTTGACCAATCGGCCACCGGGGCTCAGACAGAGGGAGAGAGTCGTGAGCTGCAGCCAAATGGGGAGCCTGAGCAAGGTACAGACATCGTGGCAAATTCGGAAGGTGAACGCGGTCTCCCTGCCGCTATGCAAGAAACCCCACTGGAATCAGTCGCCGAAGAAGAATGGGCGTTCTCTAAAAGGTCCAAGAAAGAAAGGAAGAAAAAGAAGCGTCAGTCCGCAATCGATGAGGTCTCACCTGAGCCAACTGTCCAGCTTTTGCCTGCGGAGCTGCCGCTCGGGCGGGAGACAAGTGGACATAGGCAAGGAGAAGATACAGTCCATGGCGATTTTAGCGTTGGCGAAGCAGAAGCAGATACACCATCTGAGGCCCTAGCTGAGACCACGACTCCCTCAGGAGTTGTTGAAACCTGGGACAAAGGCGAAGACAGTGCAAATTATGATCCTAACGAGGGTGGGACAAATCCAGCGAAGTCAGACCAACAAGATTATGGACAATCCTTGCCTGGCCTTGATGACGCGCATGGGCAGCAGCAGGAGACTGCTCCAACCACACTCGTTCCAGACCTTGAGACCCGGCACATCGACGAGGTGACCATGTCTGAGGGCGGTACACCTGCCATGATACCTGTTTCACTTGATAGCGGCGATGCAGTATCAATAATGTTCAAAGCTGATCGTCCCGAGGAGTCGCAATCAACCCCAAGAAACGCCGATCCTGCAACTTTGCAGCAGATGCCACGAAACAGCGAAGACAAACAGCCTGTCACAGAATTAGAGAGCACGCAGCAACCGGACTCAAGGCTGGAACAGGCGCCAGTGGCAAAGATTCAAGATCCCCAGCCTCCAGCTACAGACGAGACCGTCCAGCAGTTGAAGGGAAAGGAGGCCGAACTGCCTCCTGCTGTTGAAAACAAAGCTGAGTCGGTAGAAGAAATGATTCCACCTGCCAAGATATTGGAAGAGGACGATAGGGACAAATCTGAGGCTACAGTGCCCAAGCAAGCCGATCTGCAATCCAATCAGTCAACCCAACTCGAGGTCTGGCCGGAAGATGAATGGTCAATGCAAACTAAAAAGTCCAAGAAAAAGTCCAGGAAGAACAAATCCTTGCTCGCTCTGGAGAGTGGAGGGTATGCAACTCCAGCGGCCGATAACTCAATGTTCAAACCCGATTCTGCAAGGGCCGTAGAGGCCACCGAGGAGGAAATAGCCACGCCTGCCAATGACGGTGAAGGGTATTTTGCGCCAATCACCAAGAAAAAGTCGAAAAGAGACAAGAAGAAAATCCTAGCTTTAACGAGCGCTGCAATCGGTGCTGGTTGGCTTGACGAAGCTTCCACAGATAAGGGGCTTCCGGAGGAAATCAAAGGGGCCGTGGTGGCGCCGAACTTGCCTGCTCGAGAGGACTTCCACCCTTCAACCGAAATCCTGGAACGTCGAGCAAGCACGCCTGCCCAGTACGAAGAAGATACTGGCACGAACGACACGAACACGGGTAAGAATGTCATTCCGAATGCCGGCAACAGTGAGGCAATAGGTGCAGCAGCGCCCACAGGTACATTTGGGGCCACTGATCCACCAGATATTACAATGTCTTCAGAGCAAGCGGCAGATAACGCCCTGGAAAATGATGCCACAGCTCGTAAAGAAGTTTCCAATGTCCTCGGGTCAGCAGAGCCTGACAATCACTCCACATTCGAAGACCAGCCGACAGAATACTTCGCCCAACAGACAGGAGATATTGCATCAGAAGCTGTCATGGCTGATCTCCAGGGCATTGAAGACCAAGAAGATAATAGCGAAACCCAGCATGGCCCTACTCCGAATGAGTCCGAAGTTCCCAAGCGGATAACGAGCAAAAGGGACAAGAAGAAAAAGAAAGCTCGGAGGATAATCGAGTTCAACGGCAGTGAAATACCATCACCTGCTCCTGTCACTTCGGAGCCAGCAGAGATACAAACAGATGTTTTGGAAAGGAGTGTGCCTGACGACCCCAGACCCACCTCAGTTGACCAGCCACGTCAAGAGGTCGATGATCTGTCCGACGTGAGTGCAAGTACACGCGAGAGACGCAAAAGGCGACGGTCTCCTCCAGTCTGGTCGGGCGAGGAACCCGAAGACCTGCCAAATCGGCGTTCCCACACACCACCTTATGACCATGACATTATAAGTACCGCGTTGGAGGTGGCAGCGGGCCTTGGTTTCGGTGCTGACGAGAAGGAGCCTGCAAAAGCGATCTCCCAGTCAGAGCCTTCGCCTACTCGACAACAGACTGCTGAATGGACATTTGCTAATCTTGGAGCGGTCGCCGATCTGTCACACACGGACGCGAACCGTGATAGTGGCGTCCAGTTCGAATCGCCTCTCCTTCCCATGGATCAATTCCAGCAGATAATGGACAGTGGCTTTATCCCAACTCCTGCAGACCACCATTTGCCAGGAGCTGTTTCGATGGAAATGGAGCGCGCTGTCAAGGAGCCACTGCGTCCCCCACGTCCTATGTCACCCACAAGCTCAACCGAAGATGTCTCGAAGACTCTTCCAGGTCGGAGATCCGATGACATGACCACATTTGAGACGCCGAGAAGGAAACCATCACCGGTGGAGTCTACATCAAAGGACCGGTCATCGGCTTTGTTTGCACCTTCACCCGCGATGTCGACAACATATACCATGATGGAAAGATCAAGAAGTCCCCAGTTGCCCCCAACCCCTCTGCGGCGGAGTCCGAGCATCCATGGGAATCATCATAGCCGTGAAGAATTGAAGCAGAAGACCAGAACCCTCCATGACTCTCAGAGCAACGATGAGTTGGCATCGAACTTGATCGACCGCGCTGCCAAAGCTGAGGTCAACCGCTCCGCGTTCGAGTTGGCCGGTGAAGGAGAAGGACCAGACGGAACCCCGTCACCTGCGAGGAAGCCTCTAAACACTATTCGCGAGGATACGGTTGAAGCAACGCTGTCTGCAAACGGGCCGCTGCCATATCCCAGCTTGCCAACGTCATCCGAGTCCCAATTTCAACACGGCGAGGACAGCAGGCGCGAGAGGGGCCTGGTTGCAGCCGCAGGGGCCGCCAGCCTTGCTGCGGTCGCGGCTCCGACGGCCTCACGTGATCTGGCCGGGGCTAATTCGCTTGGCAGAAGCAAGTCCCGAACCTCGTCACTCCGCAACCTGCGCGGCGTCTCCATCTCACCGTATGACCCGGCCAGTGTCGCGTCCAACTCACCTCAAGCCCTCGTCGATGAGGGAGGCTTGGGAAAGACTGCCACTCGCGAGAGGGATATGGCAGACATTTACGTGAGTCCATCAGTCTAACACTGACTTGATCTCGTCCTTTGCAATGCTAACTCCACCGTTCAGGATGGCTACGGCTCATATCCCGGCAGCCCAAAGTCGCCGACGCGACCTCCAAGTGTGCGACGGCGACAAAGCATGCAACAGATCAAGGATCTAGAGACCAAGTTGGAGCAACTTGCTAGCGAGAACCGGGCACTGGCCGAAGCCAAAATGGCGGCAGAACAACACCTGGAGTTGGCGAATTTCGAACGTAACAGGTCCGAGAGCTCTGTAGAAGCTCTACGAAGTACGGCGGCGCAACTTCAGGAGCGCGATGCGGAGATTGCGCGTCTCAGGGAAGAGGTTGCAGCTTTGATGTCCACGCATGAAGCATTGAAGAAAGAACACGAGCAAAGCTTGTTCAGGTTACAGCAGGAGTGTGATGAAGCACAATCGCACTGGCAAGAGACCACTCAGGAGTTGGAGACGCTTCGAATGCGTCATATGGAGCTCTCAAGCGGCATGGAATCCATTGTGAGACACGAGATCGATACGGCTCTCGCAGACAAAAACGCCGAGATCCAGACACTCCATCAAGAGCTGGAAACGGCAAGGGACAAGATTCGAGAACTGCAGTCCCGGATACTGCAAAACGGTGCAGACGATGTGGTTGTCTTGCGCGATGAGGACTACTTTGATGCGGCTTGCCAGAAGTTGTGCCAGCAAGTGCAAGGCTGGGTTTTGCGCTTCTCCAAATTCAACGACTTGAAACGATGCCGAAGCACGAATGAGGTGCGGGATGAGAAAATTGTTGATCGGTTTGACAACTCGATCCTGGACGGCTCCGATGTGGATGTCTATCTGGCCGATCGGGTCAAGCGACGTGATGTGTTCATGTCGGTGGTGATGACCATGATCTGGGAGTATGTCTTCACCCGGTATCTGTTCGGGATGGATCGAGAGCAGCGACAGAAGTTGAAGCAGCTGGAAAAGAATCTGGCCGAAGTTGGGCCCGCAAGTGCTGTACACCAGTGGCGGGCTTTGACGCTCACACTTCTTTCCAAGCGTGAAAGCTTCCAGGCACAGCGCGAAAGTGATACGGAAGCGGTGGCGTTGGAGATATTCAACACGTTGTCGAGGTTTTTGCCCCCGCCACAGAACCTGGAGGAACAGCTTCTCGCTTCGCTACGCTCGGTCATGCACACTGCTGTGGAGCTGTCCATCGAGATGCGCACGCAGCGAGCGGAATACATCATGCTGCCTCCGCTGCAACCCGAGTATGATACCAATGGCGATCTTGCACGGAAAGTGTATTTCAACGCCAGTCTGATGAATGAAAGAAGTGGGGAGACGACGAGCAACGAGGAGTTGGAACGCAATCAGGCCGTGGTGCGGATGGTTCTCTTCCCTCTTGTCGTCAAAAAGGGCGACGATAGCGGTCGAGGGGAGGACGAGATTGTTGTATGTCCGGCGCAAGTGTTGGTCGCTCGTCCGGACAAAAGCAAAAAAGTCCGGGGCTCATCCCGACTCGCCAGTGGTGGGAGCCAGACTGACCCGATGGCCGTGGATGGTCGAAGTCTTCGAGCAGTGAGCACTCACAGCTTGGGTGCGATGAGTGGCATTGATGGCACCGACAACCTGATTTAGCGATCGCAGCATAAATGGTCTGGATGCCACGGAGAGCACTACTGGTCACTCTTGATCAGGGTGCCATTGCATTTGGAGCGGGTGTCGGAGCACCAGGATTTTTGCCATGTTTTGGGATGTTTATGGAACGCAGTAATGAAGATACGAATTCCCTTGGCCTTGTTAGATTAGATGCATAATATAAGATTGTTCCTAGAGAATTGCGTACCTTAATATAAGGGAACACGGTGCAGTATGTTGTTCAAGTTTGCATGGTGACGGTCCACGGTGCGAGGCGTGGGAAATGATAGAATATGAGAAATGGCCATGTTGCACGTTGACCGGATCCGTGGCCTAAAGGAGCCCCACGTCATCGACTGCGCTGGGCACCTCCGCTGTACTCTAACGTAGTAACATGTCCATACTGCCACTTGTGACTTGCGTCCATCACTGGCACTTTTTGCGTTCAACTTATATCAAACTTGAAGAAGGGTCTCAACCACTGCCTGCAAGACTCGCCTACTAATACTATGGTAATGTTGATGTACTACTACTAAGGTCCAGAGGTGCTACCTTCCCACTGCACGGGTGACTGCCTACGAAGACTCCAGCAAACACACCTTATCTCTGCTGGCGACTGGGGACGCCGCCGACTACCAGGTACTGCCTCCGTACTACTACCTGCCCTTTTGCAGTGGCTAAGATTTCTATCAGCTTCTCCATGGTCGATCGAAATACCTAGTTCTCCCAGTCCTCCCTCCCCGTTCACATGCATCCTTTACCGGCTCCCAACAACAGCCAGTCTCCCCGAGGCGGCGAGGCACGCGACCACACTCCACCGAGAATGAATACCCCTGCAACAAACCATCCCCCTTCCTCGGCCACCGCAGGTCGAGCCAGTGTCTCTACCCTTTCTACGTTGACCCCAGCAGATGGCAAGAAGAAGAGGAAACACAGGGGCGGGAAGAAGAGGAGGAATCGCCGTCAGTCCTTTGCCGCCCCTTCTGAAGCATCAGGCCTGCAGAGTCTCGATGAAGACCTGCCAGAAGACCCTTTACTCGAGGCACCAGAAAATTCGTCGCAGACACTCCGACCACCATTCTACAAAGCCAACACGGGCAATATTAGTGGGGAAAGTCTGAACAGTGACGCTCTGCTGGATCATCGGGAGCAACCGACCATGCGGCCTCGAGGTGACAGCAGGCCGACGGCCAGCTTCCTTGCTACATCATATCGAAATAGCCCTTTTCCTGCGCTGGAAACGGCTGCCCGAAGGAGACACCACAGTCAGCAGGACGGGTCGAGTTCCAATAGTTCTGAGCATGACGATTTCAACGACCGTACCCCTCTCATCTCTGGCTCTCGTCAGCGCAAAAGTCCTATCCAGTCTGGTTACGGGCTTTTTAGAGTCAAGTCCAATACCTCCACTCTTTCGACGGGGTCCAAGCAGCAAAGGAAGCGAGCCATCGCAACGGGCCAGTCTCTACCAAAGTCGGAGCCCGAGTACGATATCAACAATCCTCCCTCAGTGCCACCAAGTCCAGCATTTGGCGCGCAACTTGACGATGTCATGGTTGACGACGTAAACTTCTTAGATCGTCCACTGGATGCTCGGAGAAGCGTGCCCGCGTCCAACCACGATGCCCTGATTGACATCGATGGCGACGGTGCTGGACAACCCAACTCGGCACCACCAAGCCCTAGACTACGGCCAGACGGCATGCAGCGACACCGACCAATGACCTCCGCAGAAGAAGATGTGTGTTTTCCCTCCGATGCAGTCTCAGAGGTTGGCGAATATTACAATCAGTCGCAACCGCAAGGTCCTTTTGCTCCCAGTGGGCGACGGAGGCGAAGGGAACGGGAGTGGCCTCAGCTTTGGGTGCTGGATGAGTGGAGTCGCGTTGAAAAGGAGGAAAGAGCGGCAGGGGAGAGACGGGCAAAGAAGATCAGTGAGCCTGTGTTCGTGGAGGGCAGACTCAGACCATCCAATACCGCGTGGCATCGGGCGCAGGAAGATGCTCAATATCGTTACACGTATTTCAACGAAGAATTCGAGAGCACGATCCACGCACAAACGATATCGGAACTGGTCCAGCCAGGAGGCACTTTCCGCGAATTGTTCATTCCGGACCCTCCTGAACTGAGCGACTCCAGCAGCAGCGAGGAGGAAGACCTGGTGAACGTCGAACAGACTGTGGATGATGTGAGCGGTCCCCAAAGTCCCAAGTCTCAACCCGCCAATACCGGGAACACCAACCTTGCCGACAGGATCAAATCGAGACTGGAGCCCAATGGCAAGAATTCAGAGCAGTCGTCGGGGTCGGCCACACCACGCAAACAGGGGTCCACAAGTCGTCCGGGGAAACCAAAGAAATATGGCCCTCGTCCAACTTTCTGGCTTGATGTGCTCTGTCCTACCGATCAAGAAATGCGTGTGCTCAGCAAGACTTTCGGTATTCATGCGCTGACTTCCGAGGATATCATGATGCAAGAGGCTCGAGAAAAGGTTGAACTCTTCCGGAATTATTACTTCATCAACTATCGTACCTTTGAGCAAGACACTAACAGCGAGGACTACTTGGAGCCGATCAACATGTATGTCTGTGTGTTTCGATATGGTATCCTCACCTTTCACTTCTCTCCAATCCCCCATCCGGCAAATGTACGACGACGGATTCGGCAGCTTTCCGACTACCTGATTCTAAGTGCCGATTGGATCTCATACGCCATCATCGATGATATTACCGATGTCTACCAACCGCTGATCACCAGCATTGAGCAAGAAGTCGATCAAATTGAGGATCTCATCCTCCGATCCTTCCATAACAGCATTGAACTGGCTGGCCATCATGACGAGAAAGGCTCGGACAACGGAACGGACGCCTCTGACACGGAAATCAGTGGCATTGATATGCTCCTGCGAATTGGTGAATGCCGCAAGAAGGTCATGTCACTCTATCGTTTGCTTGGTACCAAAGCGGATGTGATCAAAGGGTTTGCCAAACGCTGTAACGAGCAATGGGAGGTTGCGCCGAGGTCGGAGATTGGTCTATACCTGGGAGATATCCAAGATCATATCTTGACCATGACGGGGAATCTCTCTCATTATGAGACTCTTCTGGCTCGGGCACACGGCAACTATCTGGCTCAAGTGAGCATTCATATGAACGAGCGGCAAGAAGAGGTGAGTCTTCCCCAGCGCCTGACTGAACCTTCCGCAAGTCAGCAGGCTTCCTCGATATTATTGCCGTATGCTGATAGACTTCAGACTGCGGATGTACTCGGCAAGTTGTCGGTATTGGGGACTGTCTGCCTTCCTCTCACATTGATCACAGGTGCGTGAGACCACCTTGTTACTGACGACGATGCTAATCCTCCTCACAGGATTGTTTGGCGCCAACTTCAAGGTGCCTGGCCAAGACGTGGACAATCTTCACTGGTTCTGGGCAACGACAGCCGGATTGATCTTCTTTGGCATTGCTTGCTTCTACTGGTGCAAGAAGGTGTACAAGATCATATGACACTCGGCCTTCACGAAAAGTCTTTTGAGGCTGTGCGACTTCTGTACTTGTGTCAATTGCATGTGGAGACTAATTGCTATTCTGAAAATAAACGAGGGATTCTCAACTATACCCGCGAGCACAGGAATAGAAACGTTTTGGGTTTTGGAAGGAGTCGATTTTGGGAAGCAAAATACCCTGCCAACATTGATGCAGTTGCGGGTCGGCTGGCAGGATAGGCGGCAAAGCATCTTCTATCATGGCTTCAATGCATGGATTGGGTATGAGCGCGTCGGCAAAAGCTCGAGGTTTTTTTACATTGCTGGGAGTCATCCTTAACGTTGGTATCAGATGCGGAACCATCCGGCCCAGGCAAACAGGCCGCAGCTGTCGGGGGCCGTCTAGATACACGAAACCCTCTTGTCTGCCTATGCGTGCTCAAAGGTCCATTGAATGAGAAGCTTTGTATCTTCTCATAGGAAGCCATTTAACGTAGCAGGTATCATCGGGTACAGAACGCTGAATGTCGCCGACGCCACGCATCGCCGCAATGCAAGCTTGTCTCGACAACGTAGCTTCTATCCTGAAGGCTTCATCCGTCATTTGTCAGTGTAACAAGTTAGATGGTCAACGAGGAACACGTCTTGAATCTGGAGTTGGGTTTGTCTTGTTGTTCGTAGTTGCTCTGAGAGCCGAATCTACAGTCTGTGCATGTATATATATCTCTCAAAATAATGAGCCGAGCTGTCGCCCGAAATCTCCGCATGGATTTGTCATAACAGTCAACTGGAGTGGCATGATAACGACCTCCAACATGCATATAATTCAATCGCAAGCGTGTTGGCTTGATCGTGTTACTTCATATCGGATCTACCCACGTACCTACCGAGTATTCCTTGACGATTCAAGGGTCTTCTCAGGTTCTTCGCAATCCTCTCCTTGGACCACAGCACGAATTTCGACCTCAATCACTAAACCCATACATACATAAGTAGTCACTTTCTCAACACGACATTTGGAATCAGAGAATCGGAATTCCAGATGGCTGCCTTCCCACCACCCAAGCTGCAAGAAGCGGCAGAACAAGTGGCCAGTCTACTTCGCGAGCGTCAGGAGACGATTTCTGTGGCCGAGACGGCCGCGGGCGGGCTGGTGTCTGCGGCGCTGCTGGCGACGCCGGGCGCGTCGAGGATCTACAAGGGAGGGGTGACCTTGTACACGCTCGAGTCGAGGCTGGCGTTTGCGGGCTGGACACAGAGCAATATCGACAACTACGACGGACCAACCCCTCAACTGGTGGCCGGGTTGGCTACCCATGTGCGCGACGCGTTGAAGTCGACGTACTGTGTTGGCGAGGTATGTTTTTCGTGACCCTCTACTACGTACTGACTACCGGTTCACGAGTACGGGTGGTCTTCCAATCCTTCTCCTTCAGCCTGGTTGGCGCCATCGCCGGTTCCCCACGATCAAGTACCTTATCCCTTTCTGGCCCGCGCAATTGAGACCCCTGGTGTCGCATTCGACCGTTCCTTTTCTTGTTTACTTTTGACGATACTGTGGGCTTACATATTGCTTTGTGCCTCTTGTAGAGTGGGATGGCAGGGCCTACGGCCAGTGGCAACTCGCCAAACCGTCAACCGTGAGTGCTGAAGAGCCCACCCATCCCTTGGTTCCCCCTCCCAAGACCATACCTGCAAGGGCTAGATAGTTGCTGACACGGGTGTTTTCGAAAGGGGTTACGTCGCACTTGCAGTCGTGGGAGACAAGGGCACCTTGAGCAGAGACTTGGATACAGGGCTTGGAGGTGATCGGCAGGCCAATATGGTTGCCTTCGCAGTCGAGGCACTTCATCTGCTTAAGGAGTACATAACAGCAGGTGGCGAGCCGGCAGGGAAGATATGATTCCAGGCGAACATCAATCAAGACCTTCCCACGTTCTCAAGGGATGGGCGTGTGTGGCCGGTTGGACTTGGATGGATCTAGTGTCCACTCTCCATGTGTGAATGTTGTGAATGGTCTTTGTAGCATGCAACAAGATCGCGGGCTGATCGAGCTTTCTGGCCTGCGTATCCCTGCCGCCGAAGTCACAGGATTCTATGTCCCTTCCGCCAGATCTGGACCCCTTAAAATCTCCGGCAAATACAACCTGGCAATGTCAACCTGACTTGGGGCCATGCTTGGATGATAGGATACCCTGTAAACACCAACGTAGGGCGCATGATCTGTCAGATCATGGTTTGGAGTCGAGAATGTAACACGATCAATAGTAATGTGCCTCACCGGGTCGGCGAGATGCCCAGGCCCGGATCTTAAAAGTGATCCGAAAGGTTGCACCTCAAACTCAAAAACCGAGAATTCACTCGAGTCGCGTAAAATCCCCCGATGACTTGTGAGATCCGAGGTTTCGGATCGCATCTGGGCCTTCCGACGGCTGTCTCGTGGGGTGGGATGACAATCGCACCATCCATCTGGACGGGTCTTATACCCTTGCTGCCATGCAGGGCATGCCTTCAAGTAAGGACAGCAGCGGGTTTCGTGAACCATAGACTTCAACGGACTACGGCAGGATTCACGTACCTAGGATGAACCCCTGGGGATATGACACCTGTAACGTCTTGTGGCAACGACAAGGGATGGTCGATGTGTGGGAAAGACAATCAAACACTGTTTAACTCCGTAAGCATGCAAGACCTGTCAACTCACGAGTCACATCTGCATTTCCGTGGAGAAGAAGGGGTTTCCTTTCCAGCTTGCCGAAGTCTGCAGTGGTGTCGATGTTTGACAGCTGTCAAACGACCAGAACCACTGGCACCGTGCCACCCCATGCTTCTTGGCGATTGAACGATCAAAGGGCATTTTCTGGCGGACACCTCACCGCTCCGAGCTGGCGGTGGAGGAGTCGCGACATGGAGGCAACGTTCAGCATTGGCTTCATTGTAAAAGCCTGGAATGGGTGGAAACTTCTATGCTCGGTGGAATCCAATGATCTGTATCATTGCGAATGAGGCGGTTTAGTGGAAGACACTGTAGAGTGGCGACCAACAACAACATCACAACATATGTCAAGCTGGGGAAAATAGCATAGACCGATCGCGTGGACCTGACCGCGGAAATTGTGATCCATGGTGATCATTTTCGCCGAGAGAGGCATATCTTGCGCCAGCCAGTCAAATAATCGGGTTGAAACCATTTCCCACTCACAACGAGGCAGACGTGTGATGATCACATCGACCCATGCGGGCGCCGGGGTCTCATCCAGGTTGCAAACGAAGCCACGCGGATACGGACTTCGTAGCTCCCTTGCATGAGGTTGTGGGTGTCATTGGAATTTGTCCTATTGGTGCTGTGAAGGTTAGGCATGTTAAGGTCATTCTCACCTAGGCGCGTCTGGCTCGGGCTGAGTGTCATCCTCCAGACAGGTCTTGATTCAAGCCGGATTGCAAATCCATTGGCGTGTACCGTAAATGGTTGTCGTGGCGGCCAGAGCATTCTGCTTTGACCTCCTATATGCTTACCGACGGCTTGATCAAGGTCTCGATGGGTCTGCGCGAAAGTCCAAAAATCGAATGGTGGGATGACAAACACCTGCAGTTATGCGAAGCATCTGAGAGCGTGCCTGCTGTTGGTATTTGCGAGGGCGACAAGAACATGGACACTGTCTGATAACATCGCTCTTCGACGGTGTAGAACAGATCCTTCTAGGCCCAGCCATCGACCATGCCAGGTATCATTTCAGAGTGTCGCTGTGGTCATATTGATGGACCCAGTTCAACATTCGGCGTCGGATATTGAACTCTACCTTGGGCGACCTTTATCGTTCTGATCGACAGCCATGCGCCGCCTCGAAACCCTAGTACTCTGCTACAGGTGCGGGTACGTCAGTAAGGCGAGTCAATCCGACATAAGAAGGAGCTGCGGTCGACGCGTTTCACATATGGCCCAATGTCTATTCGACAATGTTGATCACGGCTATGATGTAGAATGGATACCCAACCTCAATTACCGAGGAGATAGGCAGACATGGAAGCGACCCGGGACAGTCAGGTCGGGTGAGTGAAACATATAGCTAGGCCATGATCAGGCCGAGAGGGCAGAAGCTCGCGCCACTGAAGAGTAGTAGTAGTACGTATGTTGTCCAAAGGCGGTGTGCTCGAGTCATGAAGATGCCTGTGGTCTTCTCGCTTGATCTCTCACACTGACAGTTTCCACCGCAGGCCATGTGCTCGAAGCGAGCAAAGTACCCGCATGCAGAGCTAGATACGGTCAAGCTTGCAGGCAGTGGTTTGCATACTTCTGACAGGTACCTTATTCTGCACTCAGACAAACTCCGAGCCGACGAAAGCCCTAGGAAGCCAGGTTGATGGTGACTTGCGCGAGAAAGACGGGCCTGGAGTGAGTCGAGTGCTCGAGCGTCCAAACTAGCACAGAAGGGACGGTAAAAGTGGATGATTGCCGGAGGCCTAATCGTTTGGGTTCCGCACCACTTGCCCATGATGGCATTGCGCCGCATTCTCGGGCCTCTATACGACCATTTCCACGTGGCGCGACGACGGTCAGGATGGAAACGAGCAAGGGTGAGATGGTGAGAACAAGGCTAGAGGAGGTCGACCTTATACCATTACTGTCCAGCAGCACCCTGAGTGTTTCTGGAAGATCTAGAAGTCGTGAGTGGTAATCGGCCGTGCTGGGGGAATTCCAGAGTGCATGGCTCCATGCTAAACCTAGCTTCACAACTGGTACCGGGCTCGCCGTGCTCGCCGTACAATGGCAGTTGGATGTTCAACAAACTGAGGGAGAGAGCATTCGAAGAACATAATCTGCCGGCTTGGACAGATCTCACCCTCTCGCTAGAATCGAGGTGGAAGGCAGTCTGCTACTGACATGGACCTCTTGACTGTCATCTCAACATTTTATGCGCTTCCTGTTACATCATCGATCTTTGGTCATGCTCGAAAGTCGGCACAGGCTAATGTTTCATCCCAGGGCACTAGCAGATAATGCTTTTGGACCGATGATGGACATTTTTCCATGGGTTGACGAGGTGGTGGAATCTCGGTAGTGGTACGTACGTATGTACACGGTCCGGTACATATAGCTCCAGACAAGTTCCCAGGACATGTGTGTAATAATATAGTCAAGGACATTCAAGTGAAAGGATCACGTCCATGTCCCGATGTGGCGGTTGCCATGAGGAATTGACCGCTTCGATTCATTTCGATCCAACATTCCAGCATGAATAAGTCGCTTACGAAGGGGTTGGTTCTCCAGCTTTTCCCACTCCAGTCCCATCGTATTGGCTATCATGACTCCAGTAGTAGTCGTCGCTTCGTACGAGTCGATGACTGGGTTGCCAACACCACTCGCTGCCAGTGACGAAAATTTTGTATCGTACGTATTTCTAAGCGAGCCTGCGGCTGCGACTGCGATCGGCCACTGGGAATTGTATTTTTCGGGGCCACCTGAGAAGGGACCCACCGGAGGATAGGTAGGTAGGTAGCTAGTACCCAGGAGAATGCGCTCGCGGACGACCATGATATCAGCCATTGACATACGTTGAACGGAATTACCTAGAAGTCGTTCGCTGGACATCCATCGTCTTACAGGTCTCCGTGACGAGTTCAATATTCGAGACAGGTAGCGGATACCTGTGTGAGGTACCTTAGGTAGGTAGTATGTGAGGTACACTGTGTGGGTATGGTTGGTGGAAGGAAGGAAGGCAGGAAGCGAGGCTCGGAAGGCGCCGACCCTCTCGATCAGTCACTGCAGTCCGGTAATAATATACTTTGGAGCGGACGCGACGGGTACGTATCCGACTGCCATTGTGGGAAGGTCCAAGGCTTTTGCTGATACTAGTATCTTGCAGGTATGAGAACATGGGGCCACGCTTGAACAGGCATGCACACCTGCATTATAGGTGCCTTCTAGGTACCTATAACCTAAGATGGCTGCTTCTGTGCGATGCACTCACTCGGGCCTTGGGAGCCCAAGGTTTTGTCGGGTCGGGCCAAGATGGGAGACGGACACCGCATCCAGTGGGGATGGCTACGGGGGCCTGGGTAGCCTAAGGAGCCTAAGGAGCCCAAGTCCCACCAGGCATGATGTTGCGGCTGATGAGGCTGGAATGTACCTCCCTTACCTATGTCAAAGCCTACTACGCACCTCTGTAGGTGTTTATCCTCCATCTTGGTAGGGATTATTGATCCGGAAGCTTTGTTCCTTGAATCAGATGGTCGTTCCGCCTGGCTCTTCCCGAGCCATCTCTTTCAAATCAGGCATTTAGCTGGTACCCAATACTACCTAAATCTAAATCTATTTACTAGTATGAAAATAGTGAAAGGTACAGGTACCTACAGGTAAGGTACCGTAGCCACCCAGTCCGCTTAAATCGACACCAAACTGGAACATCCTGGCCCCATGAACGACCTTTTCAACCTCGCCTCCCCACGTCTCAGACTCGGACGCGGCCAGTCGTCTGGGTGTTTTAGGCATAAACTCGTATCACTGCAGGTAGTAGCAACTTTGTATCTCGGTAGAGTTTTCCTACTAAACATGATTTGCTGCCAATCCCTCTCGATCTCAGCTCTCGGCTGTTCGCCTTGACTCAGGTTATCAAGATCACTCACTGCAACAAGCATCTCATCCATCACTCCATCACTCCATCAAATTCCTGGTCTCGCCTCCGACTTCTGTTTGTTTTTCACTTGCCTGGTCGCCCGCCCATCGGCTCCGCCCGCTGGTCCACCGCTTGCTTCACCATTCCCAACTAAACTGTTAGTGCACTTGGCTAGAGCCAGCCTCGGAGCTCCCACTGCACCATCCGTCTCCATCGCACCGCCTCGTCTCGTCTGCCACCGCTGCAGCTGGATTCGCACGGTACCATGGTGGCCACTACCTGGCCTGCGCCTGACCAGTGACCATCGCAGGCGGCCACCTGTCTCGACATGACGCCTGTCCCGGTCTCAACCGGCTCTACTGGGTTACCACTCTCTTGGGTTTGTCTCCCCTGGTCCCCCCAGGCCAAGGCGCTACAAACTCGCTGACAGCCTCTACAGTACGTCCAGAATCCAAGGAGCTCACCGACGACCAGGGGTGGCAGTGTCAACTGTCAAGGACCCAGAAGAGACCCCCGTCACCCACTGCATCGATCCATCCGAGTCCAGTGTGTCCACAAAAGCCTCCCAGAGTTCCAGGGCCGTCCCCTGCGCCCGCCTCCCGACTCCGATCCTCTGTTTCCTTTGCCTCACTGCTCCCACCCACCTCTATTTGGGCATCGGAAAGCACAGCAGACCAGAGCACGCTCATCAGTAGTAGTGCGCCCCAATTCTCCCACGAACCCACCCGTCCGGCTCGCCGCCAATCCGGCCATCCAAAGCCTAGGGAGCCTCCTTGTCGGCTCTGCCAGGCTTCAAAGATTCGAGCTGCCCACGAGTCTACCGACTCGACATATCACAGAGTACAGATCCAGCGCTGGCGGGGGGAAAGTAATAACATAATAACAACATACAACGGATACTACGACTGCTGTTACTACTCCCTGCAATCCTGCAATTCCATCCCATCCCATCATCTTCTCATCTCGACCAGAACTTGTCGGCAATCGAGCCGCCTCGGACGTCCTTCTTCGGTGCGGTCGTCTCTCCTCGCTCGTGATCGGCATCTACAAACCATTCCCTTCGCTGTTTGCTTCCCAACCTTCGCCCTGTCTTTTCCCACCAACCCCAACCGTGGTCGCAACGGTGATCAGGACCCAGAACAAGCTATCCAGAACCCTGGCTTCACCACCCATCGATTTGGTTGCCTCATAATTCCGCCTCGGGGCTTTTCCCCACCGCTACTAACTCCGAGGACTGTCAATCACTCACAGCACGCTCGGTGCACCTGCTTTCCTGCTTGCACGGTCACCGCTGCCCAATATCAAATACTATCTCCCATCGCCCTCACCGTTAGCCATCGCCATCGCCATCGCTATCGCCATCATCATTGCGCCTTGGACCTGCATTGCCCTCCTCCAGGGCAGGCATTGGCAGCAGAACCTTGAGTTTCCGCTGGCCCCCGCGATCTTGAGTTCCGGCTCAATAGCCACCTCGACCAAACTTCGTTCATTTGGACACCTACCCCGGCCTTAATTCGACCAGGTGCGCATCATCATTCTTTTTGGCTCTTTGGTCTTTTTGTGTCGTCTGGGTGGGCTGGTTTGTTTGCTTTACTGTTTGCCAACCGACAACAACCGTCGTCAGCACTATTCGCCGGCCTGTATCCCACTCATCCACGGTCAAATTGTGATCGGGCCTGCCTGATCGGTGCTGCATCCCTGTGGGCTTGCTGTCAAAGCAAGGCAAGACGACTGCTTGCAATAGTAGCACCCCGCCGCTCGATTCAGGCCGACCCTGCTGTGTCTCCCCTGCGCACTGGTGCCGTCTGGACCTGTCCAAGTTCACCGGTACGGGACCTGTGAGGGGACCACGACAGGATTCTATGCAACCTGGCGAGTACGTTGTATAACGATTTGCCATGAGCTGTCCTGCTGATTGCGCATCCCGCTTGGCTCGTGCATAAGGTCATGCTGCATCTGTTGTACCACGTTCCTTTGGGTACTATAGAGACGAGGGAGGTACGGGTTTGTTTGCTGCGCAAGAGAACAGATGTCGAGAATAGATGAGATGGGTGACGTGGATTTGAAGCACGAGAGACCCAATCCTTATGCTCCTCCGCCGCCAAATCCTATCCACCGTATGCCGCCAGCCGAGACCCCTCCGTTACACAGCTATCATCATCCCCATCATCATCCTCCGCCTACTCCAGGGCCAGCTATGCCACCGCCTGCCCCGGCGTGGAATCCAACTCCTTCGCCCTACAATGACCACCCAGACCATCGCCCTCCTTCAGACATCTCGCATCAGCCTCCGCCCTACCCAGCTCCTCCTCAACCCTACGCGCCTCCTCCGCCGCCGCCGCCGCCGCCTCCTCCTCCGGGGCAGGAGACTCCAGGTTATCCTCCGGATCCAGCTGCTTACGGACGCCCTGGCAGCGTCTCAGGCCCATCGAGATCTCCGGCCGACGTCCACCAACCGCAATATCAATCGCCTCAGTATCAGTCTGTGAGTAGTCAACCTCACGAACCTCCCTACTATCCCCCAACCCCTGCGGACTACAGACCGCGTCATGTGTACTCCGCTCCCGAAAGCCAGCCAAACGGATCTCATCATTCTCCGCTTCACGTTGTGACTGGCCATGAAATGATGCCCGGTCAGCCTGCCGGGCCACCTCCGCAGTACGGTCCTCCCTCGGCGGGGCCGCCTCCACCGCCGCAGGGCAACTATTATTACGATCCATACGGTGCGGCACAAAGGCGCAAGCCCATCCGAGCAGCACAAGCGTGCGATTCTTGTCGCCAGCGAAAGGCGAAATGTGATGAAGGTCGACCGGAGTGTCAACACTGCAAGGACAACGGCTTGAAGTGCTCCTACAGGGAGATTCCGCCTCAGAAATCGGAGAAACAAGCTCTTGCAATCACCACGACGTTGGACTCTTTCACCGAGACTATGACACGAATGGTGAAGGCCCAGGACGAAAAGATCGATCTCCTGGTCACAGTCATTGAGGATATGCGTACAGCCCTAGCAGGGGCACGAGAATCCAAGACACCGGATGAGCAGAAACAGCGTCCTGCTGGATCATCGAGAGCGTCCATGCCGAACGATACTACGTCCACTTTCCACCGGGGAACAAGTACTGAAGCAGCTTCCGCGCCGCAAGGTGCCAGCCAGTCCTCGAGACCGGATCTCAAGGCCCGCCGTTCCAATGATGAGACGGATCCGATGGACTTTTCGATGCCGTCTAAGCATACCACGGCCGCGCAAAATCTGCTCTCTTGGCCTTCAATTAGGGCGCTCGTCCCCAGGGGCATCCCGTCGACGTTTGTGGGCGACAAGGAAGTTGCTCGGGGGCTTTTACGGTTATATGGATGCGGTGAGAGCGATGACGCAGACAATGATGGTGAGGATGCTGCAAGTCCAGGGATAAGCACGTCGTCAGATGGTCGGCGGGTGGACGAGGACGTCGCATCATCACCTTACGGAGTCTGGAGCAGCGGCCAAGTCAATCAGTCACGGGCACTGAATCAAAGCCTGTCCACTCGCGAGCACCCCGGCAGCGTTAGCCCTCATGGAGGGTTGATGCTAGATTCCGACGCCGTGGATCGCTATTTCAAAAGCTATTTGGATAACATCCACATCCTGCATCCCTTTCTCGAGCCCAAGGTCGTGCGCGAAATGATTGAGAAATTCAAACGGAACTATAGCTGGGACTATCGGGCCACGCAATCGGTGCCAACATCCGGAGGCACCAAACGGAAACGAGAGACAACCGATTCGCCAACTTCCATGCAAGAGCCCAACACGCAGGGACCCATGGGCAATCGCGTCTCCGCGCGTGGGACAATCCCTTCCAGCTCGCGCCGCATTCAGCATAATGTCCGCAATGCCATAGTGCTACTTGTGATGGCACTGGGAAAGGTAACTGCTCATCGAGCTCCCCTGCCAGGTCCGGCGCCGGCGACCAACATACGAAATTCGACGCCGTATAATAACACACTATATTCGGATTTGCCCATACCACCTGTGCCAATGTCGGCTCCCACATCCCCCTTCAACAACCAAGCCGGTGTCAATGGAACAAACAGCGGAAAGTTTCCCAGCCCGGCATATCCACGAGGCAAAAACATGGACATCATCCCGGGCCTTGCGTATTACAACAAGGCTACAGCCATTCTGGGCGAGGAGCCAGGTGGCCATACCATCTTGCATGTTCAAGCCTATCTTTTGGCGGGATTGTACATGGGGCAGCTGGCGCGCATCATTCCCAGTTACGACTTCATCAATAGAGCCTGTGTGGCAACTCAGATCCTCATCGAGTCGACGGACTACGTGCAACAAACAATGGAGCCTGCTCTCCGAAACTTGGTCAACTTTGCCTTTTGGTCATGCTTGCAACTGGAGAGCGACATCGCGGCGGAGATGCTTCTTCCGTTGAGTGGCATTACCCGTTATGAAAGCTCCCACCATAAAGAAATGCCCACCAAGCTTACTCTGGAAGCCATTCCTGAGACCAGCGACGAGGAAGATATCTTGCGTTATTACTCGTACCAGATTCAGCTGAGGTTGACGATGAACAGTATTCATTCGACGTTATACCGTGCTTCGAAAGACCCGCAATCTAAACCAAGTTCCACCATCATGTCGATTTTGGACGAGAATCTAGAAGACTGGCGAAAGATGCTCAATGATTGGGATTGGGACGACCAGGACCACCAAAGTCCCAACATCAACGTCGCGCGGATGCGAGGCAAGTATTATGGGGCGAAATACATAATCTGGAGGCCGGCCGTGCAGTACGCTCTCCAACAGGCGGAGGTTGCGCACCGAGAGCGAACTTCAGAATCACCCGCCAGCTACGGCTTGGGAGGTGAGTTTGCTTCGCCTTCGGGGTCGCAACGCGCCGCCCCTGGGTGGTCGATCAATGATCCGAGTCCGGAGATGGAGGAATTGCTCCGTGGCGCCAAAACGTGCGTCCAAGCTGCCATTCGGAGTACAACCGTCTTTGACAAAGTCCCTCGCCGGCTTGTCGTGACCAACATTTTTGGCACGGCTCATGCGTAAGTGGTTCCATCCGCCGAGTCCATGCCATCAAGCTGACAGATCTAGGCAATTTGGGAATATGCTCGTCCTCTATGCTACATTTACCTCGCCACACCCACGCCTCAACTGCCTCGTGGACGAGGGCACTCTCAAACGGCTACACGATCGTACCATCAGCATTCTACGGGAGAATGAGAACATCTCACCTATTCTGGCCAAGGACTGGAAAATTCTGGAACATGTGCGAAATAAAGTGTTTCCGTCCCATGCAAATAGGTCGCAAGTGGCCCCCAGCACCTCTTCCAGCTTTTCCAGCCGGTGAAATTGGTGAAAGCGGACACACTGCTCGGTGGGACCATTGATCCAAATCACCTCTCTTTTTTGTTTCACGCGTCACTGTCTGGTAGCGTTGTCAAAGCGTTCAGCATCCAGCATAGCATTTCCGGACAATCGTTGGAGTTAATGAAACTGATACGGCCGATTGGAGGCGTTTTTCTGCACTTGTTGTTGCTTCGGAGGGACCAGGCAGTCTTGCGCTGACACTGAACCCTTTCTGGGTGTCTTTTACGTCAAGGCCAGCGAGGGTTGAAATGGTGGGTAGCAGGACGACCGCGGCGTCGTGCTTGACAGCCTCGTGAATAGGCTAGGGAGGACAGGGGCCAACCGAAAGAAGAAGCATTGGCGGAGGTTCCGGGCGTTGTTTGATATGCGACTCTTTGGTATCGATGATGACCATCTCTGTTGTGTGTGGGAGCAATACCTTTCATTTGGCTCTATATTCTACGGAAGAGAGGGAAAGGGAATATGTTTGACAGATGTGTTGAGCTCAAGCTGGCTGTTGGGATATGGAGATAAACTTGTACTATTAGCACCGATAACACGGGAAGAAGACGTGAAGAAATCTTGTCTTGTTGGATGAACTCAAGTAGATGTCCTGAAGGAGGGTAATTTCTAGCCTTGCCGGCTTCCCCTTTATCTTCTCTGCTTTGAGATAATGCACATGTAGAACTTAAGGTACTAGCTTGGTGGTCTGAGAGTTGAAGGACTACAGCCACATGATATCACAGATAATAGTAGGCGTATTGTGACACCGAGTTTTTGACATTCTTGCCGACACAGCCCGATCATATAAGGGCTGCACGGTCTGTAGGTATGTATAGGTATGTACCTTATGTATGGACACGAGTCCAGGACAAGACTCTCCGCCAGGATGTGCACTGCTGCCGTTCTCGACGACCACTTGAGTCAAGTCAACATACCTCGTGACTTTGCTCGACCGACCTCACCAGCTCTTTCATGGCCATTATAATTCAGTGATCAGAGAATGCGGGCAGGGACGAGCAGCCGAGCCTTGCATACAGGATTGATTGACAGAGGTCGATTGGGATTTCGGATTCCGCAGGTTTGAGGTTTGTGGCTGAGTCGAGGCTGATTGTTGGCTGATCCCCGCTGGGCTTGACTTGATGGCTCACGAGGCTTGCTGGTTGATGGTTCGACAGCTGGCTTGACAGGAGGATCCTTAGGAACTCGGTTACTGCAAACGAGCCCCGGAAACACGTCACCCTGTAAACTGTCAGTGATACGACTCGAGAGAGAGACGCAGCGCTGAAAACGGCAACGAATCTTCCTCAATCATCAGCATCTGCGGAGATTCTGAGATGTTTGGGAGGACGACGGTCGAAGCGAGATCGTTCTTTGCCCCTCAGCTTCCGAGTGCGCTCACATATCGCAAGGTTTCCACCAACAACTTGAATCTGTTGCTCCTACACTGAGACCGGTTCTTGCTGTCTACCTGTCTACCTACCTACCTACCTACTACTACTACTACTAGTACTAGCAGAACGTCCGCCTCTCGACCTGACTTGGCGCTTGACCGTTCACCCGCCTCTCAAACCCTTCCAGGCTGACCTCTGCCTTTCCTAACGACTGTCAGCCTCATCCTACCAACCAAACATCCCAGTCCACCGGGATGGAGCAGAATAACTTGCGTCGGAAAGATACCACGAAAGGCCCGCCACTCCGTATTCTATCTCTAGGTGCGTCAAGTCCAAACACCGAGCCACGTTTCTAGGAACAGACAACTGACCCAGACTCACAGATGGTGGAGGAGTGCGCGGCTACTCCATGCTCATTATTCTTCAAGAACTCATGCACCGCGTCTACGTCGAGACCGAAGGCAAACCCCCCAGCAGAGATGCCACTCCCAAACCCTGCGACTATTTCGACCTCATAGGCGGGACCGGAACAGGGGGGCTCATTGCCATCATGCTTGGCCGCTTGCGCATGGACTTGGAAACATGCATGGACGTCTATGTGAAAATGACCAGGAAGGTCTTCGAGACCGACAAGACTTTTGCCGGAATCCCCTACAAACAGACCCTGTTCAAGGCCTCGAAACTCGAAGAGGCGATTAAGGAATGCGTTAGAGCCCATACCGTCTATGAAGACGAGGGAAATGATGGGACCTCCGCAGGCGGGAGAGAGTTCCAGGACCTGAGCAGCCCCATCAGTGCGACCAGCGCGGTGGCTATGAGAAGGTCCATGAGTGTGCGCTCCGGGACCTCTGGCTCAAGTGCAGTCAACTCGAGAAACTCGCTTTTCTCCCCGGCCTTTTCCGGTGGCGGCAATGCGAACGCCAGCTTATATGATGGACGCGAAAACCGCACAAAGACGTAAGTAAAGGCCCATCTCCTCCGGGATGTGATAGCTCTGACGATGACAGCGCCGTGACAGCCGTCTACCAAGGTACGAACCCGCGGACAGGCTCCTCCGTTCTTCTGCGGAGTTATGACTCACGAAAAGAGCCGGCTCCGGAGTTCAACTGCACCATATGGCAAGCTGGCCGGGCCACGTCGGCGGTGGGATTGGCATTCAAACCGATACAGATCGGACACTCCATCTTCCATGACGAAGGGGCTGGCAAATACAACCCTGCGCCACAACTGCTCGAAGAGGCCACAGTCAATGAATGGCCCGGAAGGGAGGTCGGTGTCTTCATTAGTATTGGAACAGGAAAGCGTCCCGAGGGAACCGACTCGGCCAAGCAGGAATGGTGGGAGGGCTTCGTGGGAGGCGGCATGGGTGCGTTTGCCGAAGCACGGCGCCGTCTGATGGCCAAGATCGAGGACTGCGAGGGGATCCATCAACAAATGATCAGAACCGAGTTGGCCAAACGCGGCGTGCCGGTCGAGAACTATTACAGACTCAACGTCTCGGTCGGGGTCGGTGGGTTTGCGATGAATGAGTGGCAGCACTTGAGCGAGATGACCACCAACACGAGGAAATACATTCGGGAAGAGATCAGTCAACGCATGCTCGTGGATGCGGCAGTCAAAATGGCCAAGATCGAGCTCACCAAGAGACGTCAAGAACATCGTTCGGATCCGCACAGTCGAGAGTCCAGCTGGTCATACCGCCAAAGGAACTTCCCGTCCCCATCCAGCCCTCCTGTGGCTCCAGCCCATCCAGGGGCTGTGGAGTTGCCGGCCGACGACGCGATGCAGCACACGCCACCTCTCCAATACAGAATGCCCGGTAATCCCCCATATCCGCCCGACACGCTTGCGCCATCTCGAGAGAAATTCACATTGGCTCCAGGAGACTCAACACCACCAAGATCATCCAGTGAATTGCCGTATCGGAGCAACGATGAGAAGGTATTATACCAGATACCACATCCGCCGCCCTCACATAACCCTTCGGAGCCACCACCAAGACCACCGAAGACTCCCATCAACGATCCTGCCTATCCTGCTCACCCTGCTCGACCCCGCCAGCATGTTTCGCCTCTCAGATTGAACGGCGCTCCCAGACCTCCATACCCCGATTTCGACGACGGCCCGCCACCAATGGTCAGCAAGCTCAGAAAACCGGAATATGCACCCAGATGACCGAAATTCATGCCCTTCTGCTGACGCACGTAGTATCAGGCATCGCAGTCAGGGCTTGCAAACTTCATCATGGTTGGAGACCGCGAGATTCTGGCACGATGATATGACTTGACGACACTTTCTTGGAATATAAAGATACCCCATCGTTCGGATATCCAGGATGAAATTTTGAGTTGGATGGAAACATTTTCGACCATCACAACCTGAATGCGGACCGAGTCTGCTATGGCGTACTAATGTCTCCTTCCGGAGCACTGTACCTTGATTTGATGGTACAAACTGTATGATTCAGGTTAAAATAGGTTTGCGCATCCGACCATCAAACTGCTCATTGCTTGGGAGGTTTGTCGTCTTCATCTCATGCCGTTTGACAAGCCATATGCTCCGCTTGTTATCTTGCATCCCAACCCAGGTGCCGCCGATATATTTGTTATCTTTCATTCTTGCCCAGGTTTTCAATCTTCATTGCTTTCCCGCCATGCCTTCAAAGCGACAGATACAATTTGTTGACCGTAAGGGCATTGTCTACAGCATTGGGCCACTAGGCATCATCAGGTCTAAACGACCAAAAGCCCCTGCCCCAATTCCAACGCAAAATAATCATCTCTCATCCGTCTATTTTCAAGAGCAAGCCCCGAAGGGTACAGAAGACCTCCTCCCAGTGCATCGCGGTAAGGGATCGTACGAGGTGCCGGTCGTCCTGTGCGACAGATCTTACCGCTCACCTTGGATCATGCAAGCCTCATGGGGTGACGAATATGATGACGGTCAGGTCAGCTATGACCGCCCAAGAGCAAGCGACGCGGACGAGGATAACGGCTGGGCTGGTGAACAGAACGGTCGCGGATCGACTCCTCACGACATGAAAATGGGCACTGGAGTCAATCACAAGCAGCATGATGATAGCAATGCTCCTCCAACGCAACGCAATCATTCCGCCAATTTGCATCCACGAAGGCAACACGATGACACTCTCCCCCCTGCTCACCACCGGGTTCGTGGCTCTGCTCCAATCGACTTCGCGCTCGCCCATGACAGGACCCCACTGCCACAGATTACTGCCGCGGGGACCTCCCCTCTTCCGTTCTGCACAGCGGCTCGCAAGTTGCAAACGACGTTGAGGAGGTCTATTGCCTTCTTCAAGAGATTCTACAGCGAATTTCAGCATGAGACCAGGGCCTTGGGTGCGTATGCCGACCTCGAGCTCATCAACCGAGCCTGGCAGAAGAAGATCCGGAACAGTGAGCAATACCTTACATCGAGGAGCAGGGGTCGCGGAGCGATGGCTGGAACAAAGGATCAAGGCGGGTCTTCAGGTGATGATGCGAACAGCAGCAACAACGATGGAAACCAGGATCAGACACCAAGAAAGCCGTCTCCCCGGGACGAGTCGCCATTCAATGCCACAGTCCCAGACCTGCGGACCTTTTCAGAACTTCAAAGTGAGGTGATCGAACGCGTCACCGCTCTCTACCACTCTGATCTTCCCCAATCGCGTCTCCGTGCCCCCACCGACAAGCACACCCTATCCTCCCATCCAAGTAACCCATTTGATTTTTACACCGACAGTGAGGAAAACCATGGTTCAAGTCCCCAAGACCGCCACATTCTTGAACAATGGAACTTGGCAATAGCCTTGAAGCGGCACGTCCATGATTCGTATGGACAGCTCGTTCGAGTGGTCAGACTCATGGACAAAGATTACATGGCGGTCACTGCGGCGGCACGGGAGTTGGAGATGTTGAAGAGGGATCTGGAAATATATCGACGCGGTTGGGATGATAATTACCGAAGCGAACAAGATTGTAGGGACGACGACCAAGGTCAAGGGAATAGGAGCTATACGGATGCAGATGAGACTGCAGGAGGGGGTGGCTATTAGATGCTAGAAATCTGCAGTGCTTTCGAGGAGGGCACACGAAATTAGCCATTCAATCAAACTCAAAACAGTACCGGCATATCCACGGCCAACTATGAAGCATCAGAATAGTAGAACACGAACTATCGCCAAATATCACTCAAGGCCGTTCAGCCTTGTTGCCGATGGCGAGGCTGAACTTCCTGACACGTGACTACTGGATGACTGTTTGTATGCTCCGCCGTATCACTTCGGTGAAGTGTATGCGTAAATGCGCGTTATGCCGTCAACGATCCTTGACCAGACGACGCCTGCTTCAGATTTACAACGTTCATTTCCAACCAGAATCCTTTCGCAGGACAATGTGAACATGCCGGCGGCATCCTCTCAGCCGCCGGTCAAGCTTTCGCTTCCTCTGGTGAGTGTCTGCTGAATCATCATCTGCATTTGCCCGGAAAATATGCTTAAGCCTGGATCTTGGCTAACCTTTTCCTCCAGCAATTCCAGCAGGAAATCTACCATTTGTTACGCGCAGAGGATGTTCTTGTCATCCTCGCGCGAGGCCTAGGTCTGCTCAAAATTGTCACTAATTTGCTCCACTCATACGATGCTGCGGGCAATTCTCTGGTGATCATCGTGGGAGCAGAAGACCGCGAGAATGAATGGATCGGGGAGGCTTTGGCAGAGCACTATGCCATCTCAAGGAGCCCTTTGGCCAAAGGTCTTCGGGTCATCAATACTGACAAAGCCACCGTGGCGGCCCGAGAAAAGATCTATTCTGAGGGTGGCATCGTCTCCGTCACCAGCCGAATCCTTATCGTCGACCTACTGTCAAAGCTTCTGGATCCAGAGACGGTCACTGGCCTGGTCGTCCTTCATGCTGAACGCGTGATCGCCACGAGCATTGAGGCTTTCATTGTGCGCATCTTCAGGCAGTTCAACAAAATCGGATTCCTCAAGGCCTTCAGTGATGCTCCGGAGCCGCTTGCTTCATCCTACGCACCGCTAGCCAGCTTGATGAGGAATCTGTTCTTGCGCAAGCCATCGCTTTGGCCCCGCTTCCATGTTTCCATTGCACAGAGCTTGGAGGGGAAGAAGAAAGCGGATGTGATTGAACTGGAAGTGCCCATGACGGAAGCCATGCAAGCGATCCAGAATGCCGTCCTGGAATGTGTGGAAGTGAGCATCTCCGAACTGAAAAAGGCCAATACCGGGCTCGAAATGGACGACTGGACACTCGACTCTGCACTACATCAGAATTTTGACGCCATTGTCCGGAGACAACTCGATCCAGTATGGCACCGAGTAAGCTGGCGGACGAAACAGATCGCGAATGATCTGACGGTGCTGCGGTCTATCCTCCATTCACTTCTCACCTATGACTGTGTGTCGCTTCTAAAGTATTTGGATACCGTCCTTGCCACCCACTCCCCACCTCCGGGGTCTACCAGGCAGAATCAATCGCCGTGGCTCTTCTTGGACGCCGCCGCCACCATATTCCGATCCGCCAGGGACAGGGTGTACACAGGCAAAGTGGAAGATGGCAATGTTTTGCCAACCTCAAAACTCCCGGATTCTCTCAAGCCCGTGTTGGAAGAGCAGCCAAAGTGGACAGTTTTGGCCGAGATTCTTCACGAAATAGAAACAGACGCATATCTGAACCCCACACCCAGGGACGACTCGAATCAAACTGTTTTGATCATGTGTAGTGAGCAGAGAACATGCCGCCAGGTGCGAGAATACTTACAGACCATGCACGTTAAACCCCTCCCACAAGACATGAGCGAGGGTCAGGCACCTCATAGAGTGGAGGAGGAAGAACAGAAGGGTTCTGCAGAATTTATGATGCGGCGAAAGCTTCGAGAATATCTTGGATGGCGCAAGACGTTTGCTCAGGTCAGCGCCTCTCTATTCGACGAGAACCAGAAATCTCTCAATGATATCAAGGGCAATACGGCAGCAGGTCGGCTTAACAGCAAAGCGCCGGCGAACAAACGAAGGCGCGTGCGGGGCGGAGGAGGGGCGGGTTTCAATCCGTCACGAACTGCTTATGGGGCCGTGGCCGTCGTCGAAGACAAGGCTGCCCAGGTGGCCGGTCTGCTCGCGGAGCTGCGCCCAACAGAATTGGAGTCGCTGCAGAAAGAAGACATTGTTGTCGACGACCTAGACAATGCTGGCGAGGACTTCTTCGAGCTATACGACCCGGCTGACCAAGTGGTGGTGCACCCTTACGACGGAGACCAGGATGACCAGCTACTCGAAGAGCTCAGACCCAAATACATTATCATGTACTCGCCTTCTGCCGACTTCATCCGGAGAGTGGAGGTGTACAGGTCGAGCCATTCGGACCGGAACGTCCGTGCATACTTCATGTACTATGGTGGAAGTGTGGAAGAGCAGCGATACCTTTCGGCGGTGCGGCGCGAAAAGGACTCCTTCACCAAGCTCATCAAGGAACGCGGCAGTATGGCTGTCACTCTTACCGACAGCAATCTGGACCCGCAGGAGGCCTTTCTACGAACAGTCAACACGCGGATTGCCGGCGGTGGAAGGCTTGCAGCCACGGCTGCTCCGCCGACGGTGGTGGTCGATGTCCGCGAGTTTCGCTCGGCTCTGCCCAGTTTGTTGCATGGCCGCAATATGCACATAGTTCCTTGCCAGCTGACGGTCGGTGATTACGTCTTGTCGCCGCAAATCTGCGTGGAACGAAAGTCGGTCCGGGATCTGATTGCCTCGTTCAAGAATGGGAGGCTCTTCAACCAAGCAGAAACCATGCTACAATATTACAAATACTCCTTTCTACTCATCGAATTTGACCACAACAAGTCATTCACCCTGGACCCCTTCGCCGACCTCACCTCACTGTCGACCTTGAAAATGCCGGACTCCGAGACCAAGGATTTGCAGTCGAAACTGGTGCTTCTCACACTTGCGTTCCCCCGTCTCAAGGTCATCTGGTCATCTTCACCTTACCAGACAGCAGAAATCTTTGAAGAGCTCAAGAAGCAGCAGGAAGAGCCGGATCCACTGCGCGCCGTCCAAATCGGCCTGGCTGAAGACGAAGATCCCGAAGAGAAGACCTTCAACACCGGGCCGCAAGATCTACTGCGGACAATACCAGGCGTGACGGCCAAAAATGCAAGCCGCCTTTATCTGGAGACCAAAAATGTGTTGGAGGTGGCCAACATGAGTCTGGAAGAACTTGATCCTCTCGTCGGGAAGGAGGCGGGTAGGCAAATCGTGCGGTTTTTCACAAAGAGCGTTTTCGACGACGAAGATCAATGAAATACCATTATTGCGCCGCCGGCCAAGCTGCCTCTTGACTCGGATGGACATTCTTCTAAATTGCAGTCACAGCAAGAGGAGTGGATGTATCAACGTTCAACGCGGCGTCTATATGAGCCTATGGGTGATCATCAGCCACCGACACTGACACGGTACATAGGCGTCGTCAAGTGGCGCCGACAAACGAAGCCTTGCGGGTGAAACTAGACATAAATGGTCTACCGAGGGCGTGCACGACCTGATTCTCCTGCAGCAGGCAGGGGGTTCGGCCTTATGGCGCCTTCCAAGCGACCTCACAGGCCGTGATTATGCGATTTTTTGCTTTTGTTGACCGCAACAGTACCGAGGACATCATGTCCATGTCGTCTGCAGTAGAAGAGTTTGGGTGGCGATCGCAAGCACGGCACGCGGATCAGGCAACGAGGATGAATGGAGGTGCGAATATTGCGATGGGCATGCACAAGATTGCTCTTCAAGACTGGATGGGCGCATTCCCTTTGGTTGAGCTGCTGTAGAGCCGAAATGAGGAGCAAATCAAACGGGGCGGCCTTCCCACGACGAGGATCATGCCACGAAGGAGCAAAGGTAGAAAATGGCAGGAAGAAACAAATAGTATCGAGCAAGCACCAGCACAAATTTGTAGCATGAAAAGTGGCATTTGCATGTGGTCAGGTCGACCCATACCCCGAACTCCATCGTCCCATAACCATTGTATTTTGTGAATGCTGATAATGCAGCAGAAATCTGATCATCATGAAGCCTCGATCCCCCGCGACCCGATCCAACAAGGACTCTCCGTGTTTAAATGTCGTCAATGTCCACTTCCTTCTCCGAATCGGTGTCCCGATCCTCGTCGAATTCAACGTTGTCATCGACGCCTTCGTGGCCGTAGGTGTCGGTCTCGTTGATTTTGGCACTCTCGGGAAGTTCGCCGTAAGCCTTGAGTGAACGGGCCTCGTCGGCGGAATATTTCAGAATGACATCGCCTTTTTCATCTTGGTAGTCGCGCAGTGAGAGCAGGATGATGTCGCCCTGGTTGATCCAGACCTTCTTCCGCAGCTTGCCTCGGATGTGTGCCAGACGCTTCTCGCCATCGAAGCAGAGCGCCTCCAGTCGACCGTTGCCCAGCATTTTCAGGACCTGTGCATATTCTTGTCCTTCCTCTTTGAAGGTCAATTCTCGCTTTTCATTGTCGTTCTCGTTCTTTCCACGACGCCTATTTTTACCACCCTGTTTAGAACACCAGGTTAGCCCGAGTCATTGCTAGAAACATTGCAGGTGAGGACAGCGCAGTTGTCGCCACCAATTCGCAGGGGGAGTTGCGCAGGAGAATCCTGTGCTCGGCGGTGTGCGGTCTGCGGTGGAGGGTTGCTCACCTTTCCCTTGTTCTTGGGCATGTTGACGGCGCTTCACAGGTGTATGAGATCTGTCGAAGTGACCGATATGTTGCAGTGCGAAAGGAGCGCCGATGCTGCTCCAGGTGGTCGGTTTATGTGTGGAGTGATATGTTGGTCTGAAGGAGAGAAAGAGTTGGAGGGCAAATATGAAGGAAGTTGACGTTGGCGGCTGCAATTATTTGGTGGGGCAAAAATTCCGGCTTCAGGCCGCAACAAGCCAGAGGGATGTGAGTCGAATCTTCTTTGGTCAGGTCTGCCGATGGCGTCCACTCTGTAGTTGCACCTGTCTTGATGTGAATATTGACGTTCTTCATTGTCTTCACCACCCATGTCCTTCACACTTCTCGTGGGGATGTTCTCTTTGATGCACTCTCCTCGTCCCCTCCAGCAATGTCTTTAAGCCGGCACTTCGCGAGCCGTGACAATGAGCAGTTCGCCGCTTGCGCCTCTGAAAATCCCTAGTATCCACGGCCTCAAGGCGAGATTCGCTCCCTCTCTCGTACCAAAAACCCCGGACTCCAGGATCATCAACGATCGCTTCAACCCGAGGCGCTTCAAGCTGCTGTACAAGTACTCCAAAGTCCCACCAGACACTCTGCAATGGTCCGTCGTCTCCAGCGTGAGCCAAAAGACCATACCCAAGGCCGTGATGCGCAATCGGTTGAAGTGCAGATGGGCCAATGCTTTCGCAGATGCTCTGAGGAAAAACGGGTACCATGCCAATGGACGGAGGCTGGCTGGGCCCAAAGACGGCCATGATTACAAAGTTGGGTTACGGGGGACTCTGGAGATCCATGCTTATTCCAAGAATGGTCTCACCATTGACTACGACGAACTTGTCTCTGCCTCCGGTGGACTAGTCAGAGCGCTTCGGCAGCATACCTCGAAGGCAAACCATAAGCCTTCCCGTCCATCGATGCTGAGTGGCGAAGGACGAGCTGGTAGACGCTCCCCGTGGTCAACGTGGGACGCGAATGAGCATAACATCCGATGGTGATCGAAGAGAATGTTGATACCCCTATGAGTCGGTCATGGCTACTGGACAGCCACTGTACAACCACACCTCGCTAGAAGGCTATATGCGCATCTTTCTCTCGTCTCATCTCGTCAATTGCAGCCGGACCCAGGATCAAAACGAGCCTTAGCTGCACATGTACGGAACATCAGGTCTCTTTCAGCCCAGAGTTCTTGAACCCGGGGGTAATTGCGCCATTACTGCGGTGCCTTGCTCAAACACTCCCGGTGGTGCGACATGGCATGTGGATAAAACTGTATAGCAGCATGACGGGGAAAGAGGCATCGTAGCCCTTTGGGGACCGACCATCAAGTTCCAGATACGCGTAAGACTATTGTGCGGCACCGTATCCAATCTTTAAATAGATGGCTTCCTCTACGTGGGAGCATCCAGCACAATTGTGTAACAGACGCGACTCCGTAAAATGTACTTACCTGAGATAGTTAGTGAATAAGTTACCTAGTACCTAGTTAGAGTGTTAGTCGGGAGCATACATCTCCTGTGCCCGCTGGCCATTGAGTTGACCACATGCACCAAACTCTCACGCCGTTCCTTTCGTGACCTTGAAGCGCTGTGTCCTTGACAGCCCTGTCACTCCTTTCGCAATATTTCTAGACCTGATATTTACCGTTCCTACTGTTACCCAAGATGTTGGTCTCCTTGACCGTGGGCAAGGTCGACGCTGGTGTCGCGGTCCTGCTCACCGAAGACAAACGACTGGTATGCCTGATTTTGCGCCGATGCTGTTCTCAGCTTGCAGCCCTGACAAGACAGCAGATAGAGTTTCCCTCGATTCTTCTTCCTTCCTCCATCAACTCGGGATCGATTGTCGATATCACAGTCACCCAAAACCACGAAGCCGAAGACAAAGCGCGCCAGGCATTTGCGGCCCTACAGAGCCAGATATTGAATACCTACGGCATCAACACCCCTGCCACTCCGGTCCTACGCCTTCGAAACGCTACCCAGACCTCTCTCGTTCTGGAGTGGGATCCTATCTACTTGGCAACGACAACTCTCCGGTCGCTCGCTCTCTATCGGAATGGAAGTAAGGCAGGAAACATTCCCAGGCCGCTGGAGATGACAAGCACGAAAATCAGCGGCCTGGCTGTTGATACAGAATACTCCTTCTATCTGGTGTTGAAGACGAGCGGAGGCACATACACAAGCAATACACTGACGGTAAAGACACATGCGATGAACAACCTGACCGGTATCACCGTGACCCCTGGAGTCCTGCCTCCGCAACTGAGGGAAAGCCTGGAGGAGGCGGTGAAGCGAATCAACGCGAAGATCGTCGACACCGTCAGAATCGACACCACTCATTTCATCTGTACGGAAGGTCGAGGGCGCGAGTGGGAAAAAGCGAACGAAATGAACATACCGGTGGTGCGGCCGGAATGGCTGGAAGGGTGTGAGAGAGAAGGTAGAATCATTGGCGTGCGTGGTTATTACCTGGATGCGGATCCCAGACAGCGACAGGTCGGGTCCAATCCGTCTCTTGCCGGAGCCCGATCTTCTGTGGGCGCTCCAGCAACTCCTGCGGCCCAGCAAGCCAGCATCCCGCAAAGGCCCAAAGACCCAACGCCCAAAAGTCCAGACCAAGAAAGCACCGTTAGTGGAGAGCCAGGACCCGAAGTGCGACCTCCTTCACCACCACCGAAAGACCTGCCGCCGACTCCTCCGGGGGAGAGTGGTGCTGAAGGTGAGAATAGTGAACCAGACGAAGAAGAAGCGGCGGAGGTCAAACCAGAAACAACAGAGGAGCCCAAAGAAGATGAGGTCGGATCTTCTGACGGCGCGGAGAAGGATGAAGAATCGTCCGTGGAAGAGGATCCGGAGCCCAAGATCGAAAACGAGAAAGACGGCGCAGATATGGAAGATGTCGCCCTGTGACGAGGACCTAGCTGTAACTGCGACCGACCATCCACAGTGGAAGGGTCGCAATTCTGTCACGAAGTCTCCAGCTCCTCACCGCTACCATCAGATGGCAAACAGCGCTCAGGTTACGATCTTGATGACGATGATGAGGGGGAGCCAAGAGTGTCCATGGTCCGATATCATAGCCTCACATCGTCGCCGCGGACGCCCTTGGACATCAAATCCATGCATTGACAGTCACTCGGATATATTGGATTGGTGGATTCCTCCTTCCTGTGATTCTATGCCCTCTCACCGCCAGATCTAAGTCCCTGGCTGGAGTCCACATCCCGAGGCCGTGTATAATTATCAAGAAGTCTTGGGCGCAGGGCCCCCGGACTGGTCTGCAAGTACGAGAGATATCAACTCAGCTACGACAAGATAGATGGAGGAAATGGACATTCGCCTGGCCCTGCTGCGGCCGTCAGCTGGATTCATTCAGCCGCAGATTGGCCATTCAGGGTCTAGCCTCGCCAGTCGCAGACAACTCCAAGAATATACGAAGCTGACCAGCGCCGAGGCCCGCAGAAGAAATGACACCAGCCGCACAGCTGATCGTACTGTCGTGTTCCTCGTGTCGTTCCGATCCTCTTCGCTCAGGCCATCCCAGCCTGTATGGTGCCGTTTGCTCGTGGAATGCCCACGGAATCTGGCCCGTGCAATGTATAAGATGCTCCTCCTCCCGCCTCCCCCAGATATCTTGCCTCTCCGCACAAACACACTGATCTTCATCATCACGTACAAAAGGACATTCATTGTTTTTCATTCCGTCTTTCTTTCCTTGAAACACTCCCTAGCTAATCGAAGCAAAAACAACTATCCCAGTCAGTCCTTCGGTATTGATCAACTGTCAAGGTATTCTATATCAGCACAACAGCACTCCCCTTCCGGCGAAACCAACAGACCTGTATTCAGTCAGTCCGATATGGCCCCATCAATCCGACAGTCCAGCAACATTTTCTTAGCCATTGTCGGCTTTTTACTCAGCAGCATCATCCTCTGCGACGCTGCTCCTCTCACCTCTCGTATCCAGTCAAGAAGCTATTCCAACAATACCCTGAGCTCCAACACGACCACCCCGACCGGTCCTCTATCTGCCGGGTCCAGCCCAATCACGACCGGCATCCCGTCGAGCCAACCCTTGGCCACCATCTTCCCTGACTATACCTCACAATACAATGCCAGAAATGGCGCCGTTGACTTCCACACCACGCGAGGTCTAGTTTCGCGCTCGCCAACCAACGGTGGCGCCGACATCACCACCTTGGTCACCTTTGCTGTCGACAGCCGATACAGCTCCAATATGTGCCAGCTGGTGTTCGATCTGGAGGACTCCAGCTCCTCGGCCTCCGGCTCACTGAAGGCCCAGCTCTTTACCTCTCTGGCCCCTGCCACCGCCGACACGGAGACGTGGCCCAGCGGCAACCTCCGCGACCAGCCCCTTGGCTCCATTGACATTGTTGCCGGAGGACGCGCCACATGGGAAAAGGGCTCTGGGCCCGGCGCCACTGCCGATGGTCTCATTCCTTGCAGTACCATAGCAGGAAAGATCTACGGCGGTGAGATCGTCCCCCAGGGCGACAGCCTTGCGGTCTCCTGGCCCGCTGGACAAGATGGTATCAAAATCATCGTCTGGTAGAGAACAAAAGGGGAGATCCAATGTGTTCAGAGAGGTATCGATCGGTCTGAGCGTTCTATTTTGGAGTTGATACTGCATAGCGAACGGGTTGGTGTACAATTGAAAGCGAGTCGTCTTCGGTTATGAAATGAGGATGTTCGCTGGATATCTAGGGTCTATGGCGACTGCATTTGATGAAGGTCTTGCAAGCGACTGTTATGTTGGCTTTTCGGGCGCGATGCTGTTCTTGAAAATACAGGCGTGTTGCTCATATATATTACTCAACTATCCCGTCTGTTATGACACGGACGCAGTATAATGATTCTTATTCGGATCCTAAATCTTTCCATTCTCTCCATGATTGGATTTCTTCGTAGCTTAACTCTGGTATACCGAATGGCAGTCCTGGCTTCGCAACATATGGGGTGACTTTTGAAGGAACACCTCTTTTTAACACATCCCGACTCGACTCAATTCCGTGAAAGTTCTCTCAGCCTCTTCGTCTCCTGTATGGGAGGAGCGTGATCAGCCTTGTCAACTAAAGTTACGGACTCCCAATCCCCCACATCAGTACATGGACGTACCGAATGCGGAAATTCTTGGCAGCGAACCTCCCAATCTGGCATCTACTGTGGAGTTGCCCCAGCCGAGTACTTGGGTACATACATGTGTCCATTGTCTATGACTACCTACCTAACTAGTAGTACGTAGTACTAGTATCACTGCATTTCTTCACTAAGCTGCTAACATGAGACGCTCGCTGGCGCTCAACATGTGTGGCCGAGGTCGCTTCCAGGGAACCAGCCACAGCCAACACTCAGGCTGCAGACAGGAAGTTTGCCGAGGCGGGGAAAACAGCGTGAGATTTCCCTTCCTGGACTAGCATATCCTGTCTCTGCTACCTTATGATTGGCTCTCGGCCCGACATCGCTTACTGCCTGCATCTGCCTCCAACTCCCATCCAAAATTTGTCCTTGGTGAACGATTGATTCTGCCCACGGTCGCAATCGTGACTCACTATGCGGTTTTGAGAAGACGACTTACTCCCTACAACTCATGAACTGACCTCTATTCCTGTTCAGCCTACGTGTCTCTGTCGCCGCCAGCATGGCAGGCAAGCGAAATTTCCTATCTCTGGCCTTCAGAAGCAACACCCACTCGTCGCGCTGCCGGTCGGGACCATCATTCCTCGACACCCTCATCCCTGCGTCGAGACGATCGAAATCGACTGATTCCACGTCGGCGTTGGCTTACAAGGCGCTTCATCGACGGTCTCCCTTGCCTTTGCCGATCTCCGACACCTCCCCTCAGTATGGCGCAGCTGCAGCTGTGTCGTCCATTCTTTACGAGACTCCGGTGGCCTCTGGAGCGCCGCCAAAAAAGCACATCCTGAACTGCCTGGTGCAAAATGAGCCCGGTGTTCTTTCTCGTGTGTCGGGCATTCTGGCCGCGCGAGGCTTTAACATTGACTCTCTGGTCGTGTGCAACACTGAAGTGGAGGATCTGAGTCGCATGACCATCGTGCTACAGGGTCAGGATGGCGTGGTCGAACAAGCCCGCAGACAGCTGGAAGACCTGGTGCCGGTGTGGGCTGTGCTCGACTATACCTCTGCCGCGCTTGTACAGCGGGAGCTACTCCTGGCCAAGGTCTCCATCCTCGGCCCGGAAGTGTACGAGGAGCTGATGGAACACCATCGCGAAATGACCAGCCCCGACGTCGAGTCGAATGCCAGCGACGTGGAGAACGCAGAGGAAAACGCCGACGGAAGACTTCAGGAACTGGAGGCCAACCAGTCCGAAGAGGCAAGCATGGTGCAGCGGGTCAAGGAAATGCTCGGTCAAGGCGCGAGCTATCACCCCAGTCGGCTTGCCGCCAGTCAGGCCTTGCGCCACAAGCACGAACATTTGGAGGCAATCACCCACCTGACCCATCAATTCGGCGGCAAGGTTCTCGATATCAGCACGAACAACTGCATCGTCGAAGTGTAAGTGGCAATTTCCCCGCGTGCCATAGCCTCAACTTACTAACGTGACGCAGGTCTGCCAAACCAAGCAGAATCGACTCGTTTATGAAACTTATTGCTCCATTCGGCATTTTAGAGTCCGCCAGAACCGGCTTGATGGCGTTGCCTCGATCGCCTCTGCATGGGCCTAACGATGACTCGCAACGGGATGCAGACGAGATTGTGGATATCAGCACGCTTCCTCCAGGTTAAACGGCGGAAGATCTGTTCGGCTGTTTGCTTTGGGCGTATGGAGAGGTGTTGTACTTCAGCTCCAGTGTAGTAGGTACGTAGTTGTTTAGCTTTGGTTGATTGGACAGGTTGTTACCTGCCAATCCAAGCCAAAGGCGGGCTATGGCCTTCAATCTACAGGCCAACCTCGCACAAACCGTTTTTGGACTGTCCTGCCAAGGGGCTCGTTGAAGGCGGTTCACTGTAATAGCGAGTAAGCACCAAGCAGAATTGGGACACGATCGAGATAGCACTGGTCTCTGAGTCGTTGGTTGAAAGACGTTGATACTATATGTACCAGTAGTACATTTGTGGAGACGTGTGTGCCAGCCTTACGCTAAAAGCGGCGGCAGATTCCTCCGCAGTTCGAATCATCTCGAACACCAGTCGTCATGACTACATATAAAACACGACAACAAGTCTCTGGTGCATTGAGAACGTAGATTCTGAATATACACTCGTTTCGTCAACAGAGACGGCGTTGAGATCACACTCGTTTCGACCAATGTTGGATTTCATGTCTTCATATATTTCAGGGTTGCCTCCAGTCCGGGAATTCTTCCCTCCCACACCGCGAGCTGCGGATCTCCTTTTCAATCTATACAGGCTCTTCTCAGTTGTAAGTGTGCCATCCAGCAGTCCCTAGGTCGTGCAAGGCTTGTGCAAATTCGGCGGATATACAAGAGACCAGTCGTTATACCAAGCGTTCTTCTAACGGGGATCCTGTACCAGTTTTCCCTTTTACAATGGACGCCTCTCGGAGATTTACAAGCAATGGGTAAGACGTCGTCCAAGTCTCGATTCAACCTCCCTGGCCGCATTGCATGGTCTATGGCGGAACTTATTGGACCCATCAACTTATTATACATCCTTGTGACACTACCGTCGAAGCTTAAATCCGGTCCCCACGCGACGACAAGTTTCTTGGGTACAGGCTTGCCGGCTCAAAGCGAGATACTGGCTTGCCTGTATCTCATTCACTATGCTAACAGGGCTGTCGTCAGTCCACTGTTTCTGGCTCCCAGCATGTCGCCTATCCACCCAGTCGTCGCCGCAGCCATGGCTTTGCACCAATTTGCGAATTCCAGCAACATCGCCTGCGGTCTGGTGTATGCGGCACCCACAGGCAATGACGGAACTCGCCCCCTGGCTTCTTTCGCTTCGGTGGTTGGTCTCATCCTCTTCTTTCTGGGGCTGGCGGGCAATATTGCGGCAGAGAACACCTTGTTCGAGCTCCGACGAGGAGCGGCCAAGCGAAAGGCAAAATCCGAAGGGAGGGTCCAGATCACTTACGACAAGGTCTACGTGGTGCCTCCACCTGAAGGGCTCTTCAAGTACCTTTTATTTCCGCATTATGTTTCTGAATGGCTTGAATGGACCGGTTTCTGGATCCTTGCCGGCGCATGGGGCCTATCGTGGGGTTATCGCAGCCCAGCCTTGTGGTTTCTGGTCGTCGAGGTGACAACAATGCTTCCCAGGGCGGTTACAGGTCGGCGCTGGTATGAAGAGAAGTTTGGTAAACGCGCAGTGGCACGCAGAGCAGGAGCGATTCCGGTGCTTGGGCTGTGATGTTGGCAGGAGCAGCAGGAAAAGAAAACCCGCCCCGAAAATTGTCAACTGGGCTTAAAATGTCGTGGACACGATCACAGGCAATTTTCACTGGCTGATTGGTACGTGTGAGGGAGTGATACTGCTCCTAACGTCAGGTCAAAGAAATCATAGTGACTGCCTGCGGCATGAGGGGTGGAAATCTGCTCCATTCAAGGAAAATATAGTCGTCAACACGATTCCGACACAAGTTTTCTTGACGTTGAAAACAAACAAATGCTTGAGCCACAATCGAGGAAAATCGTGGGTGATAAAACATCGACCGAAACATCATTTAAAGGTCCGAGGCTGTCCATTATAGATATGCGACGACCTTGCCTTGATCCAAAATGATCGATTCCTAGTAGATGCGGGAGGTCATCCCTCTCTCCAAACTTTCAACCATGCGTCGACATACTTCTTGATTAATCCGCTGGATATCAATTCAACTCCACCTCTCAATGCGGGACTTGCTTCTTCAGTCTTGTGCATCTCAAACACCAGCCCCTTTCGACTCATCCGATCGTTGTCATACTTGTCAGCATAGAAGTCGACAAGTTTGACGGTGGGGTTCTTCTTCGGATCTTGCTCGCCTTCTCGTAGTCTTTTGATCCATTCTCGCTGGGACACAACCTCAAAATCCAGCCCTGCAGCTTGGAGGGCGGGGAGCAGGTCGGTGGTCCAGTGAAAGGTTCTGGGGTTTTGTACGTGGTAGACTGTTTTCGGATCGCTTGCATATGCAGTGGCCTTGTCGCTCGTACCCAGCCCGCAAAGCTCCAGCACTGCCTGTGCGACAATATCAACCGGGGTCCACGACGGGGTCTCATCCAGGGCGGGAAGAGCTTTCATGGTAACAGCACTTTGGATCATGAGAGGAATGGCTTCTGTCGGATTCCATTGGCCAGTGACGGTATCTCCAACAATCTGTCCTACTCGCAGGACTTTGGCAACCATTCCAGTCTTCTCTGCAGCTGCCTGAATGACTCTCTCGGCCACGAGTTTGGATCTGGCATAGCCCATCTTCTGAGCATGTGAGAGTTCGGGGATTGGTCCTTCCGAAATCCTTGCAGGCAGGGGAGTCCCAGCTGCAGCTGATATAGAAGAGCAGAAATAGAACTGCGCAGGGGACCCTCTCCTCGACAGGCAGAGATTGATGAGATTGTGAACTCCGCGGATATGCTGTTGTTCAAAGCTACGGACTCCAATGTTGAAATTGACTGCCCATGCAATGTGTATGACCTTTGTGAGTGTATTCAGCAGTCCTTCGACTACTTCACCGCCGAGGCCAAGATCTGGCTTCGAGAGATCGGATGGATACACTCGAATTTTCGATAGATTCGTCAACGGCAATGACTTAGCTGAAAGTGTGGCAACAACGCGGTCAAATGCTGCATCAGGAGAAGAAGCTCGAACAAGACAGACGATCCGCCGGACAGACTCCTTTTGCATCAACTGAGAGAGAACGTAGGCACCAAGTGAGCCGGTAACTCCAGTGATAATCTAGATGATTTGTCAGAGGGACCAGGAGAAGAGGATAAGGGAGCTTACAATGACATCTGCGTTGGTGGGAGTTGATTTTTTGAAGGTCGAATATTTCTCAATCAGTTCGGCCATGACGTCGATTTCGTTTTCTTCCTCGCCATGATGACCTGTCCGTAGTCCATACAAGTGAGCAGCCAATTTCTTGATGTTGGCGAAATCAAAGAAAGCATTTTGACCCAGAGCCCCATTACCCAGATCGAGTTCTCGTTTCACGACGCTTTGAGCCTTGATCGCTTGCAGGCTATCCATACCGGCCTCATAGAAGTCCGTGTCCACTGTAATCTCATCGAAACCAAGTTCCTGTCTCATGAGGCTTAGTAAGAAGTCTTCAATCCCGGGAATGGAGAGCGCCAGCTTCCTGCCGCTTGGCGCTTCTCCTGACTCCTGTCGCGCATACATAGCGTCGATAATGGCAGAGAAGTGCTTGTAGCATCCTTGACGGATCATGGTGCCTTTGTCGGTCGACGGATATGTGGTTCCTATGTCCAGGATCTCCACCATATCCTTCGATATTTGGCTGAAGGCTTCGGCACTTCTATTGGCCGCCTCGATCAGCGGCCAGACAGCAGCAAGGATCTGTGACTTGTCAAGTCCTTGTGCCTCGTCGCTCGGGACAATGATCAGACCTGGTAATAATCTCCCCACACCAACGACGAGGACATCTTTCACGAACTTGCTTTGGCGGATGGCATGTTCGATCGGGATTGGAAGAACTTTCTCTCCATTCATCAGGGTGACTCGATCGTCGATCCGACCAAGGTATTTCCAGGCGTTCAGGATTGTTGGATGCTTCGTGAAGCAGTCACTGGTGCGAAATGAGTTGGGGGGATTGTCCGAGTTGGAGGTCACCTTCGCCGGAAGTCCATCAAGGACGACACACTCGAAGGATCCGTCCTCAAGAGGGTCGAAGAAAAGGTATGATGCCACATTTGGCAACGGCCGAACGTAATTCCACGCCTTATCACCAACGGGTCGCTCAGATGTCATGAGCTGACCCATCTCGGTGGCCCCATAATGGCTGATGAGGTTCACGCCACCCTCGACCAGTTTGTCACCGATTTCGTCCGGGCAGCTGCTTCCTCCGAAGAGGACTTGTTTGCATGTTGCCAGTGCTGCCACTCCGCCGTCAACTTCACAAAGCAGTTTCAATGCATAAGGGACACTGTGGAAGCTCTCGGGCTCCACAGCTTTCAGGCCTCGGAGAAGATTGCCGCCCGTGAGTGGGAGACTGGCATTATAGAGCGCAATCTGTTTGCCTTTGAAGATGGCGCGGAAAAAAGTACTCAGTCCATGGTTATGATAAAGCGGAAGCGTGAGCAGAGCTCGGTATCCTTTGCTCACGGCGTAGTTTGAGATACAGGCCTTGTGAGACTGAAAGATGGGCTTGGGAAGGCCGGTTGACCCGGAAGAATGGATGATGAACGCCGTTTCTTTGCTGGCATTCGGCGTGCCCCTCAGGATCAAGTCGGAATTGCTCCCGCAGTGTCCGTAGGAAGAAAACCCGGGGATCATATAAAGGTTGATAGGGCGCTGCTTTTGAATGCTTAATGCGACCTTTTCGGTGCTGGAGCAACATAGGATTTCGTGGCATTCCGTTTTATCCAGAAGGTTGAGATATGCTTCGGCGCTTAGACGAGTTGAGAGGAACAACACGGCACAGCCAAGGCGTGACAATGCAAAGATCGAAACAATGTAGTCCAGGTTTGTAACTCCAAGAATGGCAACGACTTTGGTTTTTGACCCGACCCCCGAGGCCTCTACTTGCTGCAGTAATGTCAGTTTGTCCGTGCGTGGACAGTTGAGGAGTCTACCTACCTGCTGGAAACCTTGCTTGACCAGGTCATCGATTGCCCCGTTGGCAAATCTATCAAGGTCCTTCGCGGTGTAATAGACGTAGTCCTCCGCACTATGCGACGACGCCGGGTATCCGACCAATGGCTGATCGGGAATACTCGAGCATCGTTCCACAAGGACATCATCTATCGTGTGAATCATCATTTCCTCATCGTCATGGGGAGGAGTTGGTAGGAGCGACGAAGTAATAAGATCGCGAGAATCCTTCATCGTGGGATGAGACCCATTGACCTCGGTTGTCATGACTCCGTTCGGCATATCTGCTCATCGGTAGCTGAGAGACCTCGCTCGGTCTGGGGAAGGGAGTCTTGAAGTTGTTAAAGCTCTCCTTCATTGTAGACCCCCGCCATCTGCAGACTGCTGCGCACCCCACGGGATGTGCGTCCGGAGCCTCACCGGCGTCTTTCCGATGCTCGACAGCGAGACAAATCCGAGACCGGGCGAGTCCGGCCACCGAATGGTCCGTCCAAGACTTGGAGGGCTTCCTTGCCGGATAAAGCAATGGTTCCAGCTGAAGCCTGGGCCCCTGATGGGGTTGCGTCGGAAAAGCCAACATGGCCGAGGTCCTCCGAAAGCGACGAGATGGGAGGCCCCCCGGACAACAGTCCTGGGTCTCGATGGAGTTGTGGTCGAGGCTATCCATCGAAGGAAAAGGACTGTGTAACATCGGGTCAGCACCTCGGTGACTTGGACGACTTGGTGCATGGGTGGTCTGCTTTTCCGACGCGTGAAGCTGCAACCTGCAACCAAGACTCGGTGGAGAAAATGCCATCGCAGTCTGATGATCCGCTGGACAACTTACGGACAAGTACTATGCCGGTGAACCGCAACTGGCGTTCCCCACTGTATCTCCAGATTCGTCCTGTGGGATCCGCCTCTCCATCCTCCTTCCCCTCTCCCTCTCCCTCTCCCCCACGGGGATGCATGAAGAGTAGGTCAGGCTCCTCGTTACGGGGCCATCTTTGGCCATGCATGCCTTACAGGTAAGGATTGGTTTGTCTGCTTCCTCTTATCTGCATTTGCCGAGCCAAGATATCTTTTTCCGCAACGTGCATCACATTCTCAAGCTGCCGCACACTTTCAGCAAGAGCGTAGAGGGTGTTCAAAATGCTTTTCCGTCCGATACAGACAGTCTTGATCAAGATGCCTGCCAGTGAGGGGTGGGGCAGCGATATAAGATTCGAGCAATGCATTCGCTCCTGACACGGTCCTTCAAACTCACAGCTTGATTTCCATCCACCACCCACCCTCTAGACCAAAAGACCGCTGCTATGTCTCCACGAGATTCCATCGAAGAGGACAAACGCCAGGCGTCTGTCCTCGAGATTGACAGAGTGGACGAGGAGTCCCGGCCTGGAGTGCAATATGATAGATTCGGATCTGCCGCAAAGGTTGATCCGGTGGAGATTGCCCTGGTGAAGAAGATCGACCTCTACATGATGGTATGAGCTCTCCAGACTCCAGTCGCTCTGCACCCGTGCTGATCCCCGAGCCAGCCAACTTTGTGGTTGATGTACTTTCTGAACTTTCTGGACCGTAACGCCATGGTCAACGGAAAACTTGACGATCTCGACACCGATCTTGGTATGACCGGCAATCAGTACAACACCTGCGTTAGTATTCTGTTTGTTGGGTAAGTCTACCAAACCTCTCCATGTTTGCCTCCTCAACAGGATGTTTGCTGACTTTAGACGTCCAGCTACCTCTTGGGACAGGTCCCCTCCAATATGTTGTTGAATCGCCTCAGACCATCCTTGTACATGGCAGGTTTCATGACGACCTGGGCCGTCGTCTCCACTCTGACCTGTCTCGTCACCAATTTCAAGCAAATGCTGGTCTGTCGGTTCCTCTTGGGCATTGTGGAAGCCCCCTTCTACCCCGGTGCTCTCTTCATGATCAGTTTGTTTTACAACCGCAAGGAGGCAGCCACCCGAATGGCCTGGTTATATACCGGCAACATGTTGGCCAGCTCCTTCTCCGGACTCATTGCCAGCGGTGTGTTTGCAGGGCTCGACGGCAAGCACGGGCTTGCTGGCTGGCAATGGCTGTTCCTGATTCAAGGGGTCGTCACGTTTGCCGTTGCCATTGGCGCATTCTTTTGCCTCCCAGACTCTCCACTTCAGACTCGTTGGTTGACCCCGGCCGAACGTCAGCTCGCCCACGATCGGATCGCTCGAGACACCACGCACAAGCGCGGCGCAACGAGCACTTGGACTGGTCTTCGGGAAGCCTGTACTGACTATCGGCTCTGGATCTTTGCCTTGATGTGCAATCTCCATTTGTCTGCCAACGGCTTCAAGAACTTTATGCCCACCGTCGTCAAGACTCTCGGCTTCAATCGAACCATCACCCTGGTCCTCACCTGCCCTCCCTACCTTGTTGCCACGTTTGCCTCGGTAGCCGTCTCCTGGTCCTCGGGACATTTCAACGAGCGGACATGGCACATCACCATCAGCAAGGCCCTGGCCATCATAGGATTTGCCGTTGCTTGTGGAACTCTGAACATCGGTGCCCGATATTTTGCCATGGTCCTCTTTGTGGGAGCAACTTACGGCGTGAACAACATCAACATTGCATGGGTTGCCGCAACCCTAGGCCAAACCGACGAAAAGAAGGCCGTGGCCATTGCGGTGACTAACACCCTGGGAAATCTGGCAAGCGTCTACACGCCATATCTCTGGCCGGATAGCGACGCTCCACGATTTGTCACAGCAATGGTGGCAAGCATCGGTTTCTCAGCCGGTGTGGTCATCTTGGCCTGGGTGATGAGGGTGATTTTGGTGAAAGAAAATGCCCGCATCAAGGCCAGTGACGATGAAGCCATCAATTTCTACGCCTTCTGAACATGACACTTACCGAACACTGGGCTGATGCTGTTTGTCTATGAATATGGTCGACTTACACTTGAGGTCGGAAGGACCGCTAGGTATTGAAGAAACCCTACGGTGCGATGCTATAGTTGTGCCCAATTTCATTTACTCGAATGATACATCTGTAGGGGGTAGGGCATGGATATAACGGAATGAAATTCTGACCTCCTTCAGTACTTCCTCCCACTGCTTCGTTGAAACTATCTAAGTACGCCAATTATCCAGACATCTCTCTTGTCTTATCTTTTACTAAGGAACTTTCACATACCTCACTGTGACACCAAAAGCTTCGTCAGAGCCAAGCATAGTTCTTCTGAACACTTCTGGACACCTAGCACATGGTTAGGAGTGGCGCAGAGATATAAGGCTCACTTTTCTGATCACTAAACGCACAGGTCCCGATCGAACAAAACGTGCATGTCGTCTATGAAAGGTCCACAATGCAGATGCAGATAGGATCCGTATGCACTTCGAGTCATTTATCAGGATGTCTGATCCTTGAACTACTTGTTTTTCTTCTGTGCCTCTACCCACTCTGCAGCTTTCTTCTGGACGAACTCATCACTGGTCTCCCCGAAGATGTCGACCCCCAACCTCGAAGGAAAATTCATCCTTTGATGACGCTCGAGTCCCTGGATGGCCTCGAATGCATCTGATGGAAGTTCAAAGTCTGTGCCACTCGTGAGATCTTGGCTGTACGATATCGCGGAAGGGCCCCTTCACTCTTGCTTACCTTGGAAGTTGCTTTCTATCCTCTCTGGAGTGACTGACTTGGGTAGGACGACAGTGCCTCTCTGAATAGCCCAGCTGACGAGAACCTGGGCCGGGGTTTTGCCAAGCTTGTCGGCAGTGGACGTAACAATTGGGTCATCTACAGCCCTGAAAGAAGACCAGAAGTGTTAGGAGTGGAGTGGTGAGAGTGATAGTCCAAAGGAAACATACCGAGGAATGTTGTAAATGTTGTTGCCGAGTGGAGAGTAGCCGGCGATCACGATACCCTTGACTCTGCGCGTCAGAGAAGCTTGTTTGCCTGTAGAAATGCAGGACAGAGGAGAATATGTACCTGTTGTCTAGACCATTCCAAAAGGTCCCGCTGCTGTAAATACGGATGTGCCTCAATCTGATTCAGGGCTGGCTTGATTGACGCGCTATCGCACAGCTATCCATCAGCCATCATTTTCTTCTTTCTTTTCTACTATTGTAAGTCTGAGGAACAAAAGGGAGCATGCTTACGTCTTCATCAAATCCTCAATCTTCTCCCGGGTGAAATTGCTGACTCCGATGGATCGGACTTTGCCCTTCTGTACCAGTTTCTCCATGGCAGCCCATGTGGCTGCGATCGGAACGTCGACCACATCAATGTACCCATCTTCTCGGAGAGGCTGTATGGAAGCGCCTGATTTCCGAAATGCGACGGGCCAATGGATCTGCCGGTGGTGTCAATGTTCATGCTCTCCACTTCATGTATTGTCTCTAATCTGCCAGAACTTACCAGGTACAGGTCAAGATAGTCAAGCTGTAAGTCCTTCAAAGACTTGTCCAAAGCATCTTCCACATCGTCCGGGTCGTGGTCCGTGTTCCAGAGCTTACTGGTCACAAATATCTCTTCCCTAGGGATCCCAGCAGCCTTGATGCCCTCTCCAACTTCTTGTTCGTTGCCATAGACGGAGGCCGCGTCAATGTGACGGTATCCGCACTTGAGGGCTGCTGTGACAGCGTCTTTGACCTCGTTGGGACCCGATTGCTGACCCCGAGCCGTTAGCACGACTATATTTCACCGGTGAGAGGACTTCTCTTTACGTACCCAGGTGCCCAATCCCACTACAGGTATTTTGTACCCGCTATTCAAGGTGATGGTCTTTCCTGAAGCCATTACTCCGATCGTCGATGCCGCGATATAAGAATTGATCACGGAAATTGAATATTCTCAGATCAATGTTATAACAGGACGATACAAAATCAATGTCAACAGAGAGGCTTCGGGTTTGCAACTTTGCATAGGAAGTCCCGCCCGACAGGACGACTCACTGTGAAGCTCCACTGCTGCACCTTGCGGTTTTCGGCATGACGAAGTGCATACAACAATCCCATCTTCTTTCTGCCCTGGCAAGACTAGCTTCACCCAGTGAGGGTGTCCTCCTTGACCCAACTCGGAAAAGTTTTAGGTGGCTTTTCCGACAGTTTAAGGCGGCTTTTCCGACGTGCGTCAGACATCGGGCCGGAATGGCATCGGTTCCAAAGAACTATCCCGAATGCTATCGGAACGGCCACTTTCAATGTGACCTGTTTGGTAGGCTTCGAAGACGGTCGGAGGAGTGTCACTGAAAGCGTGAAGCTCTAACTATACTGGCGTGACCCCAGGGCTGACTAAGTACTCCGGCCGAGTACAAGGCTCATCTCAACTACTTCTGGAATCCCATCGTCCAAACCCATTGAAGCTGAGAGTTTCACCGAAATCTATATCACGCAATTCGGCGTCCACCTTATTCATTTTGTGATATACCGTCTCGTTGAAACGGTAGCCAGGTGTAACTATGGCACCAATCAAGGAAATCGAATATTTTCGAGTTCCTCCTCGCTGGTTGTTTGTGAAGATCACAGACGTCGACGGTAACTCCGGCTGGGGTGAAGCATCTCTCGAGGGCCACTCAGAGGCAGTAGAAGGGTGCTTAGAAGCATTTCGAGAACGATTTATAGGACTGGATGCAAAGTAAGTCAACGATGACAGAATTCGCACATAGGCTAAAACGATCTCAGCGACATTGAGCATGTATGGCAGAACGGATACCGCATGGGTTTCTACAGGGGCGGCCCAGTGTTGATGAGCGCACTTTCCGGTGTGGACATTGCTCTATGGGATTTGAAAGGTGAGCAACTCGGTCTTCATAGGATCATAGCCGAAAGGGATGAGAAAACTGACCCGAGAAATCAGCCCGGCGGCTGGGTGTCCCAATATACGACCTTCTAGGGGGCAAGCTACGAACCAAGCTGAAAGTGTATGCTTGGATTGGAGGCGACCGGCCCGACGATGTGGAGAGACAGGCGTAAGTCGCAACCCCTTTTAAAAAAAATGTCCCAAATCTCACAAGAGCATCCAGGCGGGCAAGGATAGAACAAGGCTTCAAGGCTGTGAAGATGAACGCAACCGAGGACCTTGGCTGGCTCGACTCTCCCAAGGCTCTAGAAGCGTCCGTGGAGCGTCTGAAAAAGGTCAAATCGCTGGGTTTGGACGCCGGGGTCGATTTCCATGGCCGTGTCCACCAGCCGATGGCAATGCAACTGGCCGCGAAGCTGGCACCATATGATCCTATGTTTATCGAAGAGCCCCTGTTGTCCGAACACCCTGAAGGTATCATAGCTCTTTCAAAACTGGTCACGACCCCAATAGCTCTTGGAGAGAGGCTTCATAGCCGATGGGATGTCAAGCCGTTCTTGAACTCCACTGCGGTCAGCATTCTTCAACCTGACATCTGTCATGTGGGCGGTATCTCTGAGCTGCGTAGAATAGCAACCATGGCAGAGGCGTATGATGTGGCTCTTGCGCCTCATTGTCCCCTTGGTCCGATTGCCCTTGCGGCAAATATCCAGGTGGACGCGGTGAGCGCCAACTTCGCCATCCAGGAGATGGGATTGGGAATACATTACAACCATGGGTCTGAGGATATCACCAGCTACATCAAGAATCCAGAGGTGTGGAATGTCAAAGACGGCATGATCGAATTGTTGAAAGGCCCCGGATTGGGTCTGGTAATAGACGAGGAAAAGATCAGATCTATCGGGAAAGTGAAGTCATGGAGGAGCCCAGCATTCCAAGGGCCAGGAGGTGAATGGAGGGAGTGGTGATATGGAGGAGGAGAAGAACCTGCTTTGAAAAAAGGATACAGAACTTTATCATAGGCGTTCTGCTAGACGCATAGACGATCAGTGGAGACTCGAGCGCCGTTTCAGCATTGATTTGGGCGGAGAGGCATGCCGCTCCAATCCATTGCAGGCTCCAGAGCTCCAGCTTGGGAGGCGACCGTGTCAAGGCGCTCAGTCGACCATAAGAGTTCAAGTTCCCCTAGCCCGGCCATTGCAAGTGAATCAAACTCTGCCCAATCCGTGAGATCTGTAAGGAAGGACGGGGTCGTTGACTGCTGGAGGACGTTATATTCGGCGTCCTGGTCTCCAGTCCGTGGGAGGGGAAAATCATCAACAAGGCCTTGCTGCTGCCCGTGACCGCGTGGTTGGACGATATCTGGTGTCAACGGGGTGTTTCCCTGCAATGCTGGCCTGTCAGTCGACGCTGGCTGATCTGAAGGTACCACACGCTTTTCCGACCGGGGTCGATTGGTCCAACGATTCCATCGAGGCTCTTTATGAATCAACCTTTGAGCTTCGTTTTGAAGTTCGCTTAGGACAACCACATATCTTTGGGCAAAGGACACCCCTGTGCCACAAGCAGACAGATCCCGTTGACCCTGTTGACCCAGTTCCAGATATGGTTTCCAAACATCAGCTGCTTTAGAGTGGTTTTGTATAACGTAGACATATAGGATCACGATCGCGGAGAATACATAGTAATGGGTAAACTGGGAATCTTGTTAGCAACCACCTGACTCCCGGGCTGTTTGCAGCATACCCAAAATGCATGATACATTCGATTCTTCTCAGTCAGTTCACGCAGAATAGAGATGATCTTGCAGGCAGCCTGTAAGCACTTTTGAATGCTAGAGTTGATCTTTGTCTGAAGTGACTCCATTTGACCGACCCCGACACTCGATGAAGACGCCGACCTTCTCAGCAAAAAGGGGCGATGGAGCAAAATCACGGCATGGCAATATGCAAGATTCAAGACCGTGTACTGTCGTTGGTAAACAACGACCATGAGATCGGCGTTGGGAAGATCGAGGAAGCCGGAGATCTCGCTCCGCCATTCTGTCAGGCGGCCGTCATATCGCGCAACGGCTTCCACCAAAGCCTCAAGGCTCATCTTTTTGATGCCATAGAGATCTCTCAAGATCCCACTGATGATTTTGGAAAGCCTACAAGGGGTGAGCATTTGGAGAAGACAACAGGTGAGACAGTCATACTTGGCATGGCAGACTGGTGCCAGCATAATACTCTGCGCATTCGTAGGAGGCGGCAGGATCTTTGACCTGGTGATCTCAGAATCATTGGCGCAAGCAGGGAGTTCCTGAATCATGTAAGTACTTCAAGATTCCATGGAGCTGGAGCACAACCCGATGCCTGATCACGGTTGGAAATGGTGACGTTGACGCACCTGGTCGATATCTTCATCATGAAAGCTCCGGGGGCGTCCTAACGCAGCACTGAGATAGTTGTCAAGGCTATAAGCGCTCCAGAATACCCGCTTCTTGCACTCTTGCTCGATCATGTCAACTCCCGAAGCCATGTCTCGTCTTTTCCTTCGATGTAGTCCGATAGCTGATGCGAGGCGAGCAACACTGCCGAACAGACTCCAAGCATGGTTAATTCGGGACTGGGACAAGAGATAGAAGCACTGGGAAAGCCGCGCCTGTATGCTTGTTAATCGAATGCCACCAGTCTCGGAGGCTAGGTGATGCTCTGAGGCGCCGAAGTAAGCAGCACTGCGCATGGGTCAGAAACGGCTGGGCTCGTTGGAACACACGAACCTGTCAATTGCGTTGCTCGAAGACTCGTCTCCAGCAGCAGTATACTGTTTTACCTGAGCCAGAACCATTAGGAGCACAGCCCTGATTTCTCTTTCTCCGCTTCCCAATGGTTTTGGATGCTGGATAGAATCGTAGAATCCCTCGAGCCACATCTCGACGGTTTGCTGGTGCAAAAACCTATGAGTGGGGAATGCAAAGTCAAAGTAGCGGCGAACGAGGACCCTGGCTTCTTGTCGGGTGGGAAGCACGAGGAAATAAGGATCATAGCGGGGAAGGGGAGCATCGCCAAAGCTGAAGATGGAAGAAGAATTCTGAGTCTGAGATGTACGACTGACGTTCTCATGGAGTTTCTTCAGAGCACGTAATAGGAACGAGACACCGGACGAGGGACCAACATAGTGACCCTCTAGGTCAGTCTGCGCCGGCTCCGGCGAGTTGCGCGAAGACCGAGCCAGATCGTGGGTCTCGATCCGGAAATCTCTGTCGAGGCTGAAAGTCCCATTGTCACCGACGGTTTGTGGAGGTGTTGGACGTGGACGCTGGGGAGTGCGGTTATTCATGTTGGCTCCCGCAGGCCCCCCGGAATCCTCGAGGCCGGATTGCGCGTCAGCATACGACTGTTGGTTCTCTGGCGTGATGTGAAAATAGTCGGGGTTATGAGTATCTTCAGCTTCTCTTGAGCGGTTGTTTGTTTCCACATGATGCGATGAGGTCCTGCCATCAATCCCTTCGTGCTCTGACAAGTGGCGGATTGAAGGCACCTTGCCTCTGTGGTAGTCGGCGGTGTATTCGCATTCCCGCCCTGATTGCACGCAGAGTGAGCATGGCTTAGTACCGGTACAGCGGAGTTTTCGCCTGCCAGGTGAGAGTATCAGCATAATACCATGAAGGAGACAATCCGGTGTTGGTGGGCTTGCGTATTACCTTTTGCAGAGATCGCAGGCCCTGGTGACCCGCACTCGCTCACGTTGGATGCGCTTCTTCACGCGATCCCCTTGCTCCATCCTGGTGGTCTTTGACCCCAACAAGGGGAACTCCGGATGCGAGTGCCAGGACGTTCGAGGGTGGCCACATGGCCGAGGGTATAGAATCGCAGAGTGAACAATGATGAAGGTGTGGGATACCGTACTAGTAGGACATGATAGGCGCGGAGTTATCTACATGTATTACCCCATAGCCAAGCCCGGGGTGACCGGGAGTCTCCTTGGCCTGCAGTGGGGAGCATCTTAGGTAGCATCTAGCCTCTAGCCCTCGAAGGCTCCTTAAGCCTGATCATCCCAAAGCGCCTTCCTACCTACCTAGGTAGGTAGCCTCAGGCTCCCCCGTCATCAAGGGGGTTCTGGGAAACTCCAGCCTTAACAGGGTCCCCCGTAGGTATCTTGCGGCTACCGACTTGACCTAAACGTTGCGGCTAAAGAGGCTGAGGAGGCCTCCCTAGCCCCCAGCCAGGCCATTTCATCTACAACTTGGAACAGCAGGTATTTGCGTGAGTACTGTATATTGATAAACACCTAGGTAGGTAGGTACTTTGTCTACAATAGCAAACCCCTCTCTGGTTTATAGAAGCCTCGTCTGATCTAGGCCCCGTTCTCGTTTCCATCTGTCAAAAGTCCTTGTACCAACCTTACAACCCCTTCAGCCCCCGGATCTGGAACCTCGCTCCACGCGCTTTCAGGCACATACACGGCTCTTCCAAATGCAGCGGACATCCCTTTGGTCTTTTCTTTTCCATTGGTGGCGGCGATGACTGCCGCGTGGACCCCCTTCCCCGTGGCAAAGGTCTTGATGAAGGGTTCCAATGCGTCGACCAGCGTCCTGTCTCCCACGCGAGCAGGTGTGGCTCGGTACAATGCATCCAAAGCCTCGGAGACACCTCGTGACCAATCCTCCTCTTTGATCTGACGCTTTCCGGACCTTTCAGTTCCAATGTTCTTTAGGCTTGCTGCCAGCGCATTGAAGAAGATGGCATACAATGCACCTGAAGTCCCATCCATGTTATCCTCCAAAACCCGTGCTAACGTCTCTATCGCCTGCACAGCATCACCGTCACCAAATGCTGAGGGCGAACTCTGGATAGTGGACTGGATGGCTCGGGCAGCACGGCCGAGGGTTGAGCCACAATCGCCATCCCCAACCACTGAGTCATAGGAATTGATCAAGCTTTCAACCGATAAGATTGAATCACAACATGATGTGAGAATGCGTTTCAGAGTAGACGGTGCGACTACAATGTCAGTGGCGTCAGGACGAGACAAAAGGGCGAAGGATCACTCACGTTCCAGAGTTGACCGAGAGAGATCATGCACTTGGGTATCTACCCCTTTCTGCTTCAAGGATGGCCCGTTTGGCCTTTCCCAGGATTCAGATGAATATGTAGGTATTGCCCATCCTGGTGCAGTGACAGGAACATCGAGGAAGTGCAGCATCTCCTGGTTGGCTTTGAGAAGGCTGATGCTGAACCCCTTGCTATCCAGACTGGTCATAAATGGCGCAGCGTATATCCTCGCGACCTTCGCAACTCGTGCACCTGGGCGAGACAGTGAGCAGAAGCAAGACGGGAAGGGCCAGGAATGGAGAGGACTTACGTAGCTCCTCTGACACAATCTTGGTAACGGCGCTGAACTCGAGCGGCGAGAGGCCTCCAAGGTTGTTTACAAGGAGAACCACCGGCTCGCAGTCTCCAAAGCGGACGTACGCTCGGTCTGAGTCGTTGGGATCTAACAGCTGGTCCAACATTTGGTTCACAAGATCATTGATATGAGGCTGCGGCTCAAGGACTCGACATCCCGGTTCATTGTGGATCCCCATGCCCAGTTCTACCTGACTGCCATTGCTGGCTTGCTTGTTCGTCTCACGTCCGGGAACGTGGACATGGTCAAGAGCCGCCCCGACAGTGACTAGATTGTTGCAAACCTGCTCCCCAAACTTGACAACCTCATCCAAAGATGCCCCAGTCTTTGCGTAGCCTCCAAGGATCTTGTGGACCAAAACGGTACCAGCGAGGCCTCTTCTGCCCACCCGTCCGCTTCGTTTTCGACCCACGGAGACATCGTCCCCAACAGTCATGACTGCTGTGTGGTGGCCGGCAACACGCGCCTTCTCGGCTGCAAGGTGGAAATGAAGGACGTCTCCGGTATAGTTCATGATGATGAGTAAAGTCCCCGTGGAACCGCCCGCGTGGGCGATGGTGTTGACAATTTGCTGGACGCTTGGAGAGGCAAAAATGAATCCAGAAATGGCAGCGTTGAGCAGGTTTGGCCCAACATAACCGGCAAAGGCAGGCTCATGGCCAGCACCTCCCCCAGAAATGAGAGTGACGAACTTCGATCCATCATGTTGGCTGTCAATTACACCTGTTCACACGATTAACAAGGTCTTGCTTAGTGGGCAGGGCCCTTCACATTTGTTGTCTGGATCATAGGATAGATGTGGATTTGCATAAACGAGGCCCTGTAGAGCATCCTGGACAAGGCTCTCAGGATCGTTGAAGAAGTGCTTGGTATTCATGTTTTTGCAGTCGTGGCGAGAGGCGCTTGATCCGATGATCTCACAAAGCATCGGGCAACGAATCCAATATATCTGGAGGAGCCTTAACCAACTCATATGGTGCCAGTACGTCGGCCATTGACCCCGAGATAGCCCATTGCTCGGTCAGCGCCATGATCTTGCGTGCAGTTGTCGCAGTTCACCTCGTTGAGTCCTTGAGCCCAGAACACAACCATCCAACAACAGCCACCGGAGTCACAATCACCCCACGAGAATGACTTCGGATCCTGTCTCGGAAAAGAGAAAGAGCTTGTAGTCATGTAGCGTCTTCAACTGCCTTGGTCGGCTGTCCGTGATCACGACGAGAGTGCTTCCGGCAGTTTGCGTGGGATTTCCGAAACCGGCCCCACTGACCTCGGAAAAGCCAGTCCACCTCGACCATCTCTTTTGACCCTGATGCAAGGGCTCTGCGACCTGGTGTTGCAAATCCAGTGGATCGTCAGTCCAATTATCATTGTGCGTCTCATCGTTCACATATCTGGATTCTGCACTTAGACTTTTATACCTACTTCTCTGCTGATGCTTCGCAGTGGGGAGGAGACAGCTGAGGAGCAAGCCCTTATCTCGAGTTCGTTCGAAATCTGCTGATCAAGAAGATGGCATCGATTATGCAAAATGCTAATACTCTGAAGAAAGCCCTCAACACCGGTTCCGGGGTCTCCTTCGGGGCGTGGCAGATGCTACCGGGCTCATACGTGTCCAAGGCGATTGCCCAGGCTGGTTATGACTGGGTTTTAATCGACTGCGAGCATGGAAACATCGCTGGTGTGTGATTCTGTGTAATTCGTGGTATGGGCTGACCACGTGGGCAACCAGACAATGAAATGCACCATTCAGTACACGCTGTAGCAGGCTGCGGTGCGAGTCCTATCGTGCGCCTACCAGCAATGGATAGTTGGATGATAAAACGCGCTTTGGACGCTGGTGCTCATGGCGTCCTGCTACCTTTGCTTCGTACGGCAGACGATGCCCGGAGCATTGTGCAAGCCTGTAAATTTCCACCCCAAGGACGGCGAGGCTTTGGAAGCCCTTTCTCCATGGGCGCTTTCCATCCAAGGGGAGATCTGAGTGGATTGGCTTACTTGGAAAATGCCAACGACCATATCTTGACTATAGTGCAGATTGAAACTCAAGAGGCCCTTGCAAATGTAAGGAAAGGATGTCGAGAAATTGGGGGGTTCTCGGTTCACTGATTCCCTCTCCAGGTTGACGAAATCGCCAAAGTTGACGGCATCGATGTGTTGTTTGTAGGACCGTTTGACCTGGGCAACAATATCGGACATCCGATCCGTGGAGAGTTTGCACCCGAGCTCAAGGAGGCGATTCTGAAAGTTCAGGCTGCAGCCAGAAACGCAGGCAAAAAGACAGGCATTTATTGCACGGATGGGAAAATGGCTCGTGAATACGCCGACGCAGGATTTCAAATGGTTGTGTCTTGCAATCGTCGCGCTTTTGTGTCCAGCTGCTGATGTCTCGCAGATTTCCGTCGTCAATGACATGACAGTATTGCCCACCGGGATGGCGAACGCACTTTCTATCGCCAAGGGAACAAAACAGGAAGCCAAGGGAACAGCATATGGTGGCACGACATAGTCCGTAGTGAAATCTTACCTGACTGTTCAGAAGGCTGTGCTTGCTGTCCAACCCTCTCGCATGGACTATGCTCTTCGTGTACTGAGTAGTACCAACATCGGGTTCATTTGGCAGCTAAGCCTGGAACTTCTTGGAGTAGTCTGTCTGTGGAAACATCACTCTGGCTGGGATAGATGGTATGGATTTCTCGTCTCGGGTGTTTTTGACATCGTGCTGGAGTTGGCGGCTCTGTTCCCAGCGATTGAACTCGGGAAAGCACACTACCCAGTGGCAAGATATGTGATGGGACTGGTATGTCTCCTAGTACTACTCGACCATATCAGCAAAACTTCTGCCGACTCAGCAGATGATGACAGCCACTTGCTAGAGCATCGGTTGCAGTAAAACCAGATTATAAGGGGAATTGTCTGAACGACCTAATGTATGTCGGTAGCAAAAGAGAATAGAAGTCAACACCGAGCCAAGACGAGCGTGGGAGGGTGAGCATAGGGCGGCGTCACCGTTGTGCCGAACTTGCACGCGCGTGAAGTCGCGACCCAGAGCAGCCTGCCAGTGTCAGTTGATCTCTGTCCTCCCACAAGCACCTTGGCAAAATGGACGACGAAAGGCCGGGCTACATGTAGGCTAAGGCCACCCGCAGCCTAAGGACCCTTATAGGATACATGTAGGGAGGACCCCCGTCACGCCAGACTCAAGCCCACTCACCTCATTTCAGCACTCGAATTTTTTGCAGGCCAGAACCCCGCCAACCCTTCAACCCTCCAGCCATCCATCCATCACAAATCCGTTTGACTTTGCAGACTTCTCTCACCGCCTCATCAACCTTTCCTCCTGCTCTCCTCCCTCCCCTCATCCACGCTTCACTATCTCATTGCCTCATCAATCAATCACTGAGAGCAACTTCTGAATCATTGCCTTTCGAAGTCGTCCCATTGTTGGACGAAGATTAATCAAGATGGTTCAATCGTAAGCCCACCCTAACAGAGACTCGCTCCCAATAGGCCAATTCTCTAACGTTCATACAGTTCGATCCTCGGTTTCCCTCGTATGGGGGTCAATCGAGACTTGAAGAAAGCCACCGAAGCTTACTGGGCCGGGAAGGTTCCCCAAGACGACCTGGTCGCCGAAGGAAAGAGACTTCGTTTGGAACATTGGAAGATTCAGAAAGACGCTGGCATTGACATCATTCCGAGCAATGACTTTGCTTTCTATGACCATGTCTTGGACCACATTCAGCTATTTGGCGTGGTTCCTGAGCGGTACACCAAGAACAACCTGACACCCCTGGACCAGTACTTTGCCATGGGTCGAGGTCTGCAGAGACCAGCAACCGACAGCACTCCTGCTGTCGATGTGCCTGCTCTGGTGAGTCAGCATGCGCCCTACACAGGCTTCCTCTCTAACGTATGCAGGAAATGGTGAAATGGTTCGACTCAAACTACCACTACGTCAAGCCAACCCTCCAAGACAACCAGACCTTCAAGCTTGCCTCCAATCCCAAGCCCGTCGCAGACTTTCTCGAGGCCAAAGAGGCTGGAATCATTACCCGACCCGTCCTACTTGGCCCAGTCTCCTTCCTTCACCTGGGCAAGGCCGACCGTGGTCACTCCATTGAGCCCATCTCGGCTCTCGACAAACTCCTGCCTCTCTACCAAGATTTGCTCAAACAATTGAAGGAGGCTGGCGCTGAGACGGTCCAGATCGACGAACCAATCCTGGTCTTTGACTTGCCTAAGCGTGTCAAGGATGCTTTCAAACCCGCGTACGAGAAATTGGGCAGCTTGGGAAGCAGTGCTCCCAAGATTGTCCTTGCCACTTACTTTGGTGACATCGTCCACAACATTGACGTTCTCGACTACCTGAAGGGTGTCTATGCTATCCACGTCGATCTTGTGCGCAACCCGGAACAGTTTGAGACTGTGGCCGCTGCTTTGGGCCCTCAACAGGTTCTTTCAGCCGGTGTAGTTGATGGACGAAACATCTGGAAGACAAACTTCAAGCGAGCCATCGAAATTGTTGAGGGTGCTGTCCAGAAACTCGGCAAGGATCGAGTCATTGTCGCCAGCTCTAGCTCTCTCCTGCATACTCCTCACACTCTTGCCAGTGAGAAGAAGTTGGACCCTGAAATTGCTGATTGGTTCAGCTTCGCATGTGAGAAGGCCAAAGAGCTCGCCATCATCGCCAAGGCTGTCACAGAAGGTCCTGCGTCCGTCCGAGATGCTCTGGAGGCTAACGCCAAATCCATGCAAGCCCGTGCCTCTTCCAGCCGGACAAACGACCAAGCGGTCAAGGAACGCCAGAGCAAGGTCACTCCAGAGTTGCATGAGCGCAAGTCTCCCTTCCCTATCCGTATTTCTGAGCAGCAGAAGCGTCTGAACCTTCCCCTGTTCCCGACCACCACCATCGGATCCTTCCCGCAAACAAAGGACATCCGTGTTCATCGCAACAAGTTCACCAAAGGCGAGATCACTGCTGAGGAGTATGAAAAGTTCATTGAGAAGGAGATTGAGATGGTCGTGAAGGTCCAGGAGGAGCTCGACCTTGACGTCTTCGTCCATGGTGAACCTGAGCGAAACGACATGGTGCAGTACTTTGGCGAGAGACTTAACGGCTATGCTTTCACCACCCACGGTTGGGTCCAGTCTTACGGTTCTCGCTGTGTCCGACCACCCATCGTTGTCGGAGATATCTCCCGACCTGCTCCCATGACCGTTAAGGAGTCGAAGTACGCTGCTTCCATCTCTCCCAAGCCAATGAAGGGTATGCTCACTGGTCCTATCACCTGCTTGAGATGGTCCTTCCCTCGTGATGACGTCCACCAATCCGTCCAGGCACAACAATTGGCTCTGGCTCTCCGTGATGAAGTCGTCGACCTCGAGAAGGCCGGCATCTACGTCATCCAAGTCGATGAGCCCGCTCTGCGTGAGGGTTTGCCTCTACGTTCTGGCAAGGAGCGTACCGACTACTTGAAGTGGGCGGTTGACTCCTTCCGCCTGGCAACTGCGGGCGTTGAGGATGGCACTCAGATCCACAGTCATTTCTGTTACTCTGAGTTCCAGGACTTCTTCTACGCCATCGCGGCTCTCGACGCCGACGTTCTCTCAATTGAGAACAGCAAATCTGACGCCAAGCTTCTGAAGGTGTTTGTTGACGAAGCCTACCCGCGTCACATTGGTCCTGGTGTCTACGACATCCACTCGCCTCGTGTTCCTTCGGAGCAGGAAATCCGCGACCGAATTGCAGAGATGCTGCAGTACCTGAAGCCAGACCAGCTGTGGATCGACCCTGACTGTGGTCTTAAGACCCGTCAATGGAAGGAAACCAAGGCTGCCTTGACCAACATGGTCAACGCCGCCAAGTTCTTCCGTACTCAATATTCCAAGTAAGCGTGATGTTGTACATCAAAGTACGATATCTGGGGGGTTTGTTTCTTGCTCGATCAATCAACCTGATCGGAGCTATGGCGCAACTGATATGACCGGACTGACTGGACGAAAAGTGTTTTCAACATGATACCACAATAGCATGGGAGCTGGCAAAAGTCGATCTTAACATCGGCGTTCTTGGCTGGCTCTGAACCAGATGGTGACGGTCTTAGAGATGGGAAAGTGTTTTCGGGGCAACGCGAGATGAGTCTCGCTTTCAACATAGTTTTCAGGAAGGCGGGCTATGAACGATAGCCGCGGCAGAGGAATTGATTGAATGATCCAACCGGCCGCTTTTGAAGGCCTGGTGAGATGCATCAAATTTGCAACCAAGATCCTACTGCAGCAAGGGTACATCCCTCTGAGGCATGTTCTTCGTCAATACACTTTAAAGCAATCCTAGGAATCTAGGAGTGTGATAGTGTTGTTGTAGATCGGGCGTGGTAGTAATTCATACCTATTCTGCAAATGGAATTTCTCCTGGCTTGGTACCCACGTGATCACGCGGTTACTTCGTGTCGTCGGTAAGAGGTAGTTGTCAAAGCGTGGAAGTATATGATTTCATCACCTGGCCAACATTTCTACGTATGTCTACCGTTATTGTCCCGCCCTTCTAGCAAGACGACCTCTTCTGCCAGATGGATTCGAGAGAGTCACATCTCCCTCGGTCCCTAAAATATGCCACCCTACCGCCCTAACCTGCCACCGCCTCCGGAGCCGACGCGGACATACTTCGACCCATTTAATTCTTCGTCTACCGGCCACCAGCGCGCCGAGAATCGGTTGTCAGGGAGCACATCATGGCGAGACTCGCGGTCGTACAAGCTTACTCACCAGTTTCGGGACTCAAGCGGCCGAGGTGGCGATCGTCATCTGTCTGACCTGGTGGGCGCCGGCAGCGAGAAGTTTGGCAAGGATGGACGCAAGGAAAACGGAGGTTGGGAAGTGGGCGCCCCAGGTCTGCGTGAGAAGAGATGGCAGGATATCAGAAGCCTCATGGCTGGCAACCGTAAGCGGTCATTTCGGAGTCTAGAGGAGGAATCAGATGTCCAAGCCAAGCGGCCAAAGTCGAGCGCAGGACCAGGGAGTGTTACCGAAATCCGTGATATCGGGCAACTCAAGGAGTCGGTCGCCACGGCAGGTACTTCACAAGAGACTAAAGACACAACTTCATCTACGGCACGATATCCTCAGATTTTTCGAGACTTAAATATCTACCTGAACGGCTCGACTGCGCCAATCATCTCGGACCACAAGCTCAAACATCTCTTTGCGCAACATGGGGGCGGATCTTCCATTTCGCTGGGCCGTCGGACCGTTACACATGTGATAGTTGGGAACAACTGCGGCGGTGGTCTGGCGTCGGGCAAGATCCAGAAGGAAGTTACCCTGGTTGGTGGCAAGGGGATCAAATATGTCACGGTACACTGGATCCTCGACAGCATCGAAAAAGGCATTCGGCAACCTGAAGCAAGGTACGCGCCAGCGAATCTACAAGACAGGATTGGCGGCAGTGGTCAGACGAGCGTGCGAGGCATGTTCCATTCGAAGAAATCATGAAACTCCCATCTCCATACGTGGTTCACTAGCAACGGAGATCACGGTATTTGTATCCTGGAGCTTTCAAGGCGCAATGTGCAGTCGACGGTTTGCCATACAACAACGGCTGTTACGAGATCCGACGAGAGGGTTTCTAGACCTTACAGGGAGTGCAGCATTGCACATTGATTGTGGTCATACAACGATCCCGGTGGACCGTCACTGTTACGAAACTGAAGCGGCGGATAACATGACGCCCAAAGCATGAAAGCCGGCGATGGTTATCACATTCTCTTGGTTCATTTTGTGCTGAGATCCGGCCACTCTGTCGAGAACAATCAGTAACGAAACCGACACTACATCGAAAAGACGAAACTTACCGAACCTCGTTCGATCCTTGTTTCTTTCGGACACCTTGACCTCATCGCCAACTTTGATTTCCGCCGCCGATTTGCCTGAAGGCAACTTGGCCAAGAAGCCGTAGCGGCCAAAGACCGGGCTCCATTTCGCGCCTGGATCGACGCGCCGATCGCTCTGCAGCTTCTTGAGGATCTTACCGGCCTCACCCTCGCCGACCTTTCCGGTCGTGTAATCCACGTTCAGACTAGTACACCGGGCACAATTCTGGGTCAAGATGAACTTCGCTTCATCTCCGATCTGCAGTTTGGCCCAATAATCCTCCTCGAAATCCTCCTGGGCACCTTCCACAATGATATTCGGCCGGAACTTTGAAATTTCGACGGTCTCGCCGTCGGGCAGTCGCCGCTGCACATTCTCCCAGCTCTTGGTGCTGACGACGAGGTAGGGTGCGACATCGGCAAACGACAAGCCCTCGTCGACTCCCTCGTATTCGTTGTCATTCTCCTTGTCCTCTGCGCTGCCGCGCCCGACTACACTCCCAACCAGCGAAGTGGCCGTCGAAGTGATATTGCTCAGCCACGAACTGCCCGCTCTCTGTTGCGCATTGCCGTCCGTCTCTGCCAACCCAGCCCTCTGCTTGGCCGCCACGCTCGGCGGCACGTTACCCAGCACCTTCCTTCTATTGTTCCCAATGTACAGCAGCTTCACCGCATACCCGAACCGGTCGCTGAACCACTTGTTATACTGTTCGCCCATGTCGTATCCGATGCACGGGCTCAAGTGCATATTGACCTCGAGCTGCTTCAGTCCCTCCGTGCGCGGTGTTAAGGGAACCTCTAGTGGTTCGACCCCGACTTTCCGGTCTGGCTTGTCGAATGTATGATCCTTAGTGTACCTCACGATGACCCTTTGCGGTGATTTTGTCTCGGGATCGTCGGCGAATGCAGTCGTGAAAAGGCACATCTCGGGGAACTCTGCCACATGCATGTTCTTCTGCTGGTCGACATTGTATATCATGAACCGTCGGTCGTGCGGGAAACCAGTGTACAGGGCGGAGACGCTGGGCAGGGAAATGCCGCGCAGCGACTTGATCGGATATGTGTAGAGCTGGTCTTGTTAGCTCTAGGGCGCAATTGAGAGAAGACAAAAAGATTGCCCTGTCTGTCGTCGAGAAGGCGAAGAATGTACCTCTTTCACGCGCATCGTATGTGGAGCGGTTTCCGCCATCATGTGCTCGGCCAGTCGAGACCGGACTGCCAAACACTATCCAGGCTTCTTCTGCTCGATGTTTTAATGTAAAGTAAATATGGTCTCAGTCTGGCGAAATTGCTGGTTCTGGTGAGCTCGATAAGCCCGAAAATATATGTTTTGTAAGATGGCGGTGATGCTGGGCTTGAGCAGAAGGACAGCTTGGACTGGTAAATTTATCCGCCGAACGAATGATTTATAGCAAATGCGAAAAGAATGTCAGACTTCAGTCACTCAAGCGAACATCAGACAAATATCAGTGGTGTCCTGTACAGGCCTATAGCTCGATAAAGGCAGTCCAAGTTGAGGGATTCTCAACTCGTATCAGAACGGACAGACAGCCCCGCATCCCTTGAACCCCGCGCCCGAGGTCGCGACAGGGCGGCGGACACAACTACCCCAATATAGCAATTTAGACGGAGTTGAATATCCTTAGATACCTATCGGGTATCAATAACCATTAGGCAGGTAGTAGTAGTAATAGGTACCCAGGTATATATAATGTGGCATTATGTGGCATCGTGTCACTCAGCCTTGTCTTCCCCTATATACGCTTTGATCTCCCTCCTCTTTGACGGCGTGGATTTCGGCCCCGCTATATATGTTTTTTTTTTGGAGATTCCTGCATCGGGCAGCGACCACCGGCGCTGTGTGATCATGCTGACCAGGAATGAGACTGGTACGAGCCGAAGGGCTACCCTGTAGCTCAAGGTCACGTAACCCTGTGGTCCGGTGCAAAATGAACAAGGTACTTGGTATTCTAGGTCAATCCAGCAAGCAGATTGGACTATCCGGTGAAATTGCCAGTCTGGGTGGTAAAGTCGCCTTGCGTAGATAAACTAGGAATTCGTCCCAACAGCCTCTCAAGCATACGGTAACCACTACCGGCGGCGTAACCAGGCAGTTCATGTCCAGAGAGTTGAACAGTGTAGAAGGTCAATCCACGCTCTGAACCCCAGTACCCAACAATACCTGCCTCGGATTCCCGGCCCTGGTTCGTTTCGGGGTGGTAGGGCACGTAGAACGGCTCGGATTGTGGGTAAGCTTGGAATCCCTTCAGATTGTTCCACTGAGAGAAGACAAGAATCCATTAGTTCGGGTTTCAGAAAGGAGTCTCAAAGATATGAAAGATGACCGATGTTGGTGGCCGAAAAGCTTACCGTCACATTCTGCAACGCAAACAGCGTTCCATTTGTTGGAAGCAGGAAATCGAGATTGCCCACTCCAATGATCGTATTGTTGGTGTGCTCGATCACTCTCTGCAACACTCCATCTTGGGCTGGGCCCAGCGAAGTGTCCCCAATCGATTCGTTGTTGTTGTCCCCGTCGCCAAAGACATTGATGTCGGTGCACTGCATCCAGTTGGTGCCCACTGGTGCGTTGATGGCTGCCTGGACGTCGGTGCGATTGAAGTACACACTCGCGCCAGGAGGCGAATAATCCCCGGGATTGACGATACCCAGATGGCCGTACACGAAAGCGCATGTGTCCGTGATATGGTAGATGTTGAAGCAAGGGTTGACTTCCAATGCAGCAGCGTACACATTGTCGAGTATGTCGCAAGTATACTCTTCGCTGGCGTAAGGGTCGGGGAGAACGGGGAATGGTTCTAAGGGAGGTGGGAATGTGAAGTACTGATCCAAGTAAGAACTATAGTTGCAGTAGTCCTGAAGTTCGTGCATGAGGGAGACAAATGAGGAGTTCAAAAACATCAAGTTACTCCAGTAGTCGGCGTACGGGGAGATCACTACCTGTTGCTGAATCGTGGAGTCGCCGATGATAGGATCATTGATTCCCACCCCTGCCAGGTTGTAATAGACGGGGTCGTCGGCGGTGATGAAGGCGTCGGCAATGTACGGGACGTAGAATCCTGCATACGACTCTCCTATAACAGGGGTCAGTATATATATCTGGGAAAATAGCATCGCAAGAGCCCGGAACTGACCGGTCAGGTAAACCTTTCGGTTCTGCAGACCAAACGCCTCCGCAAATTGTTTGTAGAAGCCAATGAATTCCAGGCCCAACTCGACTTCATTGGTGATGTTGGGAACTCCCTGAGAGAAGCCGACTCCGACGGGCTGCTCCACATATACCATGTTGGTCAAATTAGACCAACTGTAGGTGTTGGGGGTGGGCGCAAGTGTTCCAGCCTGCCACAGGAATGGTCCATTCTCGGTGAGCAGGCCACTCAAAGAACTACATCCGGGGCCACCATTGAGCCAGATGGTCACTTCGTCTGAAGCTGCCGGATTCGAGGAGGGGAAGAACCAAAAGTAGAGCTTCCTGGTCTCGTTGGGGTCGTCAGAGATCGGAAGCAATCCAGCATATGATTCTCCAATGTCAAAGTCGACGTCTGGGATGGCCGACCCATTCACCACGAATTTCTCGGTGTTGTCATTCAGATAGGGCGAAGCACGCTTCGCGAGCTGTGGCTGGTTGGCAGAAGGATCACGCTTCGCTGGTTGCACCGGTCGATACTGATACTGAGGAAGGCCTCGGGCAACCGCTCGCTCTCCTAGCACCTCTGCCCGGATTTCCTTGGGACGTTGAAAAGCGGCTATTGCCCTCTTGTTCAATGCGAGGCTGCCTCCACTCAGCGCGAGCAGAGCACAAAGATGGGTGAGGAAGAACTGCATGATTGAGCTGTCGTGTCAGAGAAGCTCGACCCGACATGGCGCCCGGAAAGCAAGACGTCGCAATAAATAAGTACAGAGTAACCTACCGTCCCTCCCCTCTACCAGCCGGTCGATGCGTCATGGAAATGCAAAATAGAGCTTGGTACCACCTTGCACAACGTCCAAAGTGTGATGGTAGACCAATCAGTCGACATAGTTGAGGTTCGAGAAGCTAGCAACATCAAGCTTCAAGACGATATGCTTGTCTTACTTCTTCGACAGGCAAGTCGGTATGGTCTTGCGGTCAAGCTTCAAGTAGCTCTGTAACGTTGAACCTAGCCATCTGATAGATGGCGTGCTTCGGCTGCCTATATGGGTTAGCAATGATGGGGTAATGCCGTTAGTATCTGCATGGAGAGCAAGGTTCCGTCTGATAAGAGATATAACTCCCATAGCAAGGAATGTCGGACCGGGGAACAACAACGATAGTACTTGTCTCACGGCACGCAGTTTGCTGGATGTCGACCCAGTGATGTCACTTCATGGATCCTGCAGAGGAGCATTCCTAGCATACCCTCGATCAGAGAGATAAGAGAAACCTCATGGATCAGGAGATGCAGAATCGCGAGATATCGTAGCAAGCGGCTTTCCAGCTTTGGGGGGATGACGGTCTGATGCTTGGAATCGGGCTTGGACTGCTGTGCGGGAGGCCACAAGACAGGATTAGACAGGATCAGACAAGCCAGATCCACCCCCAGAGATCTTGCAGAGTACATGTTGTACCTGTATATCTGAAGCTTGAAGGTCGGTTTAGAATTTTCGGGGGAGCTTCAATTCTCCTGCTTGGCCGAGTGATGAGACGATTGCTGGCACTTTGAAGTTTGCAGGGGTCCTCGGCGCCACTAGGTGCAATCTGTGGCATGTAGGTACGAAGTAGGGTTTGGTGGATCGTTGCATCGATCATCAGGTACTTTCCTTTCCATGATTGGTCCTGGGCCAGATATCGTCCTCCTACTAGTAGGGATCCCTTCAACTTTCCCACCGTTGAGAACTCATCTAATCATTTCTTAAAGCGGCATCTTGACGTGAGCTCCAGACAGTCGGTTGCCAAAGGCTCATTCCGATACTCTTTCCCAGAGGCATTGCAGCGATCATAGCAGTGTTAGTCACGGGCAGGATTCAGCCAGCAGGTAGACAAGACTCACTGATCATGCAGGAAACGTTGGAGCAGGTGCGTCGATGGAGGCTGATACCTCGGAACGTGGGGTTATGGTCATCCCGAATTATGTCCATCTCCACGCTTTTATTACAAGCGGAAAAGATTCCTCGACATCCTCTTCTTGGCAGTCCAATCTTAGGTGTCGAATTCTTGCAATGAGAACTCTCCCCAGCATAGAAAAAGGATACGCACTGATGTTTTAGGTGCATTATATGTTCCCTGCTAACGAAATACCAGCACAAGTGGAATCTGACCGACTGGTTGTTACAGATTGACTCCCGACAATGCAGATAAGATCGCCGATTCCCCTTGCCATTGATGTGGATGAAAGATGGGTTCACAAACTGACGGAACCATAAGGAGGAAGCGAGGTCGTTTTACTCAGCTTACCGGACTTATAAGGCTCACATCAAGTCAAGGAATTCGCAGTTTCGAGGTTTCCTGCTCTTGACGTTCCGCATCTCGATTTTTGGCTTTTCGATCTTCTTCGTGGATCTTCCGTTGAACTTGTCACCTTAGAGGTTCCCCTTTTGATCTGTGCCTCCATTCATGCTCCGCACGGAGCTGCCACCGACAGTGTTGTTGTGTCTGGCTACCCATTTCATCCATACCTTGGCCCTCGAAAGGTCGCCTGAAACTGATACCTTTTGCAGCATGCTTGAAGGCGGGATACTTCTCTCTAACAACCGGATTCCGCCCCTTTAGTCTGCCAACGATGTGGCGACTGTCACTGGCGGTTACACCCACTCCACAGCATGAATACTTCCCGGGGTTGTCGACCGGGGTTCGACCAGCTTGCAATATGTGGGACCGTACCGGAGAAGCCGAGGCATGCGGGCTGCTGGGGATCCTACACTGGCATTCGCGAAACTGCAGACGGAAAGCAACTCAGTCAGTGTTGAATACGGCACTGGGTCCTGTCAAAGATAATCGCTAGCGTGGTTGATATCATGGCATTCGAACAGACCCCATCATCCTTCGATCGTCTGGGCCTGCAGATATGCAAGAGAAACATGCTTCCTGACACCGGATCATTGGGGTTGGATCTCCAATCGGCTGCACTTTGTTTCGTCCTCGTACTTGCAATCAGGCGAGGGTAAGCTGGAGTCGGGAGCCATCATATACGCATATCTGATTCGCAAGCGGTCGTATCATGGTCCAGAGTACAGCCTGACAGCACTCAATCCTGCCAAGTTCGCCCGTGTAGGCCGAACATCGAGCGCACGCTGATTAATGCGCTGCTGAGTTTGTCCTGCTGAGTTCTATACCACGCCACAACCCTGAATAGATAGCTGTGGTGCACTTGCTTGGGCGTGTCATGATCCAGGCCTGATCACTTATTGCCTTTGCCTCAACGCCTTACCAATCTTCCCAACTCCCCATGCCATGCACACACAGTATCAATGGTATCTTTGTCCAAAGGGGTATGCATCAATGTCTTACCACCCGGTTGATTGAGAGCGTGGGACAGTTCCGCTCGCCGGCCCACTGATATCGGTAAACCCATGCTGATCTCAACTGCAGCCCCCCCGAAGTACCCATAAACAAAAGGAGTACTCTATAGTCCTATGTTAGTAAACAGCTGTGTTAAGCATACGGGATGGTCCCTGAGATCCGAATATCCGATAAATTACTGATCCCGTCACTTGATAGGACTGATAGTTGACGTCCTCCATTTGGACTTTGGACGTTGTAACCTTGAGACACCCAACCGAAGTCCGCTTTGGCCTCCACTTTGATCTCCTCTTTGCCGCCCAATGGGAGCCGAGTTGTTAGTGCGTGCCAAGGAAAGCTTGGCATTACATGATCTTCACCCGGAATTTCTTGTGTGGGCTTAAAGCCTTATTATTACTACCTATAACTTCCACCCTGATTGCTCCATCGCGATCCATCAATCCAACGCACCACAATCCTCGTGCTTGATGTGTCCACCAGCGTATCATTCTCTTCCACCCCAAAGGTCCGCTCATGTAACACTGGCAACATGGTTATCAATTCAACAGTTACAAAACATCATGACTTCGTCTCGGTGCTCCGTGACCTGACGTTGCATCACGGTAGGACTGCTCCACCACACAACATATCGACCCGACAATTGGAATGTCAGAACCACAGGCCAGGGGGGACCATGAGACCCTAAAAGCCATGTTTGCCCACGAGGAGATCTCAGTTCTTGGGCAAGACATCTTCTGCTCCGGCAACCGCAGTGTATCGTTCGCGGTATATCTGCGAATTCAGTCAGCCGCACGCCATGGCAGAACACCACTCCGAGTTCACGCAGTAAGAAGCTTCTCATCTGCCCTGTATGACACTGCTAACCCGCGGCCGCTGATAGACTCCACGCTGATGTCGAGGAAACGAGACGCGCCTCCGTAATCTCGGAGAAAATACTGGAGAAGCCTGCCTTACCTGCAGTGACGACCACCAACAGTGTCGAACAATCTGATTTCAATGAGAAGGCCGACATAGAAACCCCGGTTGGCGGACAGCCTACAGTCTACGAGAGATTGAATCTACGCCACGTCGGCGAGAGCCTTCCAGCCTCCGTTTTTCTGGTCGCCGTCATCGAGCTTTGCGAACGCTTCACCTATTATGGTTGCCAGGGTATCTTCCAGAACTATGTCCAAAATCCTCCGGATGGGAGCCTGGGCCCTGGTGGCCTCGGTATGGGCCACGAAGGAGCTACCGGTCTCACAACCTTCTATTCGTTCTGGTGCTATGTGACACCCCTGCTCGGAGGTCTCATCGCTGATCAATACCTGGGAAAATACAAGACCATTATCGTCTTTGCCAGTATCTACTTTGTCGGTCTTCTCATTCTCGTCCTGACTTCAATCCCCGTCTCTTTGCACAATGGCGCTGGCCTTGGTGGCTACATTACTTCCATCCTTCTCACCGGCCTCGGTACCGGAGGTATCAAGGCGAACGTCGCTCCTCTGATCGCTGAGCAATACACCCGAAGACATATGGAGGTTGCTGTGACCCCAAAGGGTGAAAGAGTCGTCATCGACCCCTATGTCACGATTCAGCGGATCTACATGATCTTCTACTGGACCATCAATATCGGCGCGCTCTCTCTCCTGGCGACGCCTTGTAAGTTCCATGTCCTTGTTCGCCGAGCAGGCCTCCCACTAACAAATTACAGACATGGAGAGAGATGTCGGCTTCTATTCTGCCTTCACTCTCTGCACTTGCATGTTTGCAGTTGGCATCACGGTTCTGGTGCTCGGTCGTAAGACATATGTGGACAGACCTCCTCAAGGCAGCGTCGTCACCGACGCGTTCAAGGCCGTCGGCTTGATGATCAGATATCGCAGCATGGATGCCCCAAAGCAGTCGTTCCTCCGCGAAAGGGGAAGCAACAAGACGGTCACCTGGGACGATTCCTTTATCGATGAGGTAAAGCGCGCCCTTACCGCCTGTAAGGTATTCACGCTCTACCCCATCTACTGGGTCGTATACGGCCAATTCTCGAACAACTTTGTCACCCAAGCGCTTCAGATGAGGGGTCACGGCATACCGAACGATCTTATGCAAAACTTCGATCCCATTTCTATCATCGTTTTCGTTCCGATTTTGGATCGTCTGGTCTACCCGATGCTGCGCAAGCGCCGCATCGCATTCAAGCCCATCAGCCGGATCGTTACGGGCTTCACTGTCGCCGCGCTTGCCATGATGTACGCTGCAATCATCCAGCATGTCATCTATTCCCGAGGACCATGTTACGGACATCCGCTGTGCGACGCCTCCATCGTCGATGGGACGGCGCAGGGCAACAACATCCACATTGCCGTTCAAACTCCAGCTTACATGTTTATTGGTATTTCCGAGATCTTTGCTTCGGCGACAGGCTATGAATATGCATACACCAAAGCACCACCTCGCATGAAGTCCTTCGTGCAGTCGCTCTTCTTGCTCACCAACGCTCTTGGTTCGGCAATCGGAGAGGCATTTGTCCCTGCGGCGTTCGATCCAGCTATCATGTGGTTGTACGTTGGTCTCTGCATCGGAACTTTCTGCGTCGCAATCCTCATCTGGGTCTTGTTCCACCATCTTAATGACAAGGAGGAAGAAATGAACTACATCGAAGACGATGTCCTACCCATCGACGCGAAACGCAGAGAGTCGCATATCACGGCTTGATCAATGAAGTTCGGTGATAATAAATCCAACCATATATAGACAAAACGTGTCATACATAGGTAGATGGTTGAGGCGTACTTCTACGCCATGTTAACGGCCACGGAATACTAATACATACGTATCCACTCAATTCAACGACATACAACGACATACAACTCAAGGATGCCCTTTGCAAATCAATATTGCGCTCAATATCGCGCACCAGATGATTTTGTGACAACTTGTCCGCTCCATACTGCCCCTTTTCAATGTCATGGAGGACGCCGGAATGTTGTAGAATTCCTCGCGAGCTGTCCGGGCTAGTCAATAACAACGGTGGCCATGTCAGCACGAGCAAGCCATTACATGAACGACATTCGAACTCCACCTGCGGAGTCGGCGTCAATTAAAAGGGTTGTACTCTGTCTTTCATATAGACAAAACCCACCCGTCGTCACAGTGTCCCGAGCCCCTCTGGCTGCTGCCCTTTGGCTACTGCCATTGCGCAGAGCCGAAGTCTGGTGAGCAGCAATGTCGGACGATATTAGAGGAACTTGCATCTTTCTGGCAAGTGGTGCCAGTTCATACATGACTGGCCAGCAGCTTTCCGAGAAATCGCCCCTGATAGGAGGCGGAGGCGTCTCGGGAGGCGCCAAGAGAGACGCCTCATATAGATTGGGAGGGGGGGGGGGAAGGGGGGGGGAGAGAGGGGGCGAAAAGGGCGACTCCTACCGCCCCCTTATGTTATATGTGACTTAGGGTTAATAGAGAATGAAAATCAAGGCATCATATAGACCCGAATGACAATTCTGATATACCTAATCAGAAAATAACATCCGAAATGGGGGGCGGTAATGGGGGCGGAATAACGGGGGCGGAATAACGGGGGCGGCTCATGGGAACGCTGGCAGCCAACAGGATGTGTATGTCAACGGAGGAGTCTCCCAGTGGTAATGTGAGTTTAATCTGCGACAAGCAATACGAACGGAGCATGCCCTATATAAGCCCGACAGCTCGGCCTTCGATGGGGATCAAGCTTTGATGTAGTTTTCTATGACGGCTGCAGCCCCAAGGACTTTCTCCTCCTCGAATCTTCTCCCAACTATCTGCAATCCGACAGGGTGGCCATCCATGGTCTTTGGATCGTAGAGCTTCCAGTTCCATGCATCATGGTCATTTCGAGGCTCGTATTGGTCCTCCAGTACGGTGTCGACCTCGGCCTGCACCTGGCCGGCGGGGAAGGACAGTGCTGTATAGTCGAGGAAGTTCCATACTTTGGTATAGCCGACCCATCGACAGGTGCGATGTGGTACCGCTACATGTGGCATTGTGGGCATAAGTATCACGTCGAGTGGCTCTCCTGTTGCGGGAGATTTTGTCGAGTTCCATTTGTCGTTGTAAGCTTTTTGCGCCGCAAGTTTCCGCTTGTTGAGTTGCCAATATTCGTAGACCGATATTGCCTGGCCCCGGTTGACCAGGGCCTCGACGTGTGGAATAAACGGTTCGCCGCCAGCCTGGACTTCTCGACGAATATCTTCGCCTCCATCCGCAGTATAAAACAGGTCCTTGCGACTTGTCAGGATAACACTCCTCTCAGGACAGCTGGAACTTTACTTACCATGATTTCAATGCATTCTCTATGTCCCGAGCAGTCCCAGGACACAACCTCGTGGCCGGCGCTCTTGAGCTTTGCTTCCAGTTCCTTTAGCACTCTTTCAATCGGAGGATGGACTTTGACGACCCCGTCATCCACTAAGATGCCTATCCTCATCGGTCGTGATTGGATCTCTTCATACATATCTTGTCGCCATGGAATAGGTACGACTTTGGGATCAAGAACCCAAGGTTTGGACTGGATCACCGTCTGCATGATGGTCACGAGGCTCGACAAGCTTCTTGCCAACGGACCCACTGAAGATGGCACATGCTCCTGGCCTTCCGTTGACACCGGCACCCCTTGGTATGGCAGCCTGGAACTCTACCGAGGAAGACAAGGTCAGAGAAATGACAATCGAAGCTTTTGGAGCGATGTCTCACCGTTGGTTTCAGACCCCAAAGCCCATTGATATGGCTGGGGATACGTATCGATCCCCCGATATCGGTTCCCCATCCTATCATTGATCCCTGCAGAGCAAGCAGAGCCGCTTCTCCTCCAGTCGAGCCACCTGGGGTGAAGCTGGGGTCACGAGGGTTGACCGTGAGGCCCCATAGTGGATTCTCGGTCTCGCACCACTGGACGGTCCTTCAGTATTTGAGGACTTCTTGATGAGCCGAACGGCCTTACCATGATACTCTGGGGAAGGTTTGTCTTGGCCAAAACGACGGCCCCTAGATCCTTCAGAATCCGGACAATCGCGGCGTCTTCAGATGCTGGTTGGAAGGCTCGCGACACATAGCCGATCGTGGAGTCGGCGCCTTTGACATCGAACTGGTCTTTTAGTGTTATAGGTACTCCGTGCAAGGGTCCAATCAGCTTGCCATGCTGCTGGAAATAATCATCGAGCTTGTCAGCCTCTCTCAACGTCTCCTCGAAGAAAACTTCTGTCAAGCAATTCGTCTGCGAGACTGTGTCAGCAGGAGTCTGGCATGTCCCAGCACCGATGGCTAACCTGCTGATGCGCCTCTGCTGCTCTTATCAAGAGGTCAGTCATAACTTTGGTGGTGGGCACGCTGCCTGCTTAGGTACCTTTTGATATAGGCTTCGAGGACATCGCGTGCTCGAAGCTTCCCATCCTCGTATAACCTAGTCAACTCTGCCACATTATCTATTCCGAGAATGGACGCGTCGGTTGCACCGTCTGAATGGCCCAGGAAAGGTTCGATAAGCCTCGTCCGCGTGTCGCGCTTTTGTCGTACGACATCCTGCCACGAACCGGATGACATTTTGTTAAGATACAGCACAAATAAATCGAGCACACGGGTCGTCACACTTTTGTGTTCAGAAATCCTGGCCAGTCTTTGAGAGCGATTGATCTTCAACGAAAAGCGCATCTCCAAACCGGACGTATCGCCGTACCAGGCTGAGGTGAGGGTCTGAATTCATTTATCTGATTGGTGGCGGCAAGATCCGCCTTATCTATTTCACTCATACCTCTCTGGGAAAGTGATAGCTAGGACACCGATCTCAGCCCCTGCCTACCTCACCAAAGTCGCTTGTCGTGGTGTCGGCGTTGGGTGACCTTCATGCCAGCCGAAGAATGAGGAGAATGGATTTAAAGCTACTTCAGCCAACGGCCGTTGAACTTACCCGTGGATCTCAATGCCATCAAACCCAGCTTTAACTGTCCTTTTAGCGGCAGCAGCGAAATTGAACAACTTCTTTCATCTCCGAGGACGTCATCGGTTTAGGAGGGGTCACCGCTCCAAAGCAATTTTCCTTTGTTCGCTCTTTGCCAGTAGTCTAAGAGTCAAGTAACTAGATATGACCTTGGGCCCCGGCGACGGGGGGACATGTTGAGGCTTCCAGAATAGTGGTCAAGAGTGGGCCACGAATACCAGTGCCAGGCCAAAGCCGGATATGGGTATCTCCGAGTCCGTTACTACTACTAAGTGTTATCTACCTACCTAGGTAACCAATCATATTCAATGGTTATGCGCTGTGATGTCACTCACAACTCTATGTCGACCTCTCAGCTTCAAAAGTACTCTAAATATTAGCGTGTAATAGTTCACTAAAACGACACTAACGTACTGGTAGAGAGAATCAGTGGGACCAGATTAAAAGCGGCGCGGTCTGCCAGTGGGGCGGTTCGTCAGGCTTGTGCCGCCAAGGACTCGTTTCGATACAACTTTTTCCCGGACTTAACTTGAAGTACAGGACGTCGTCGCCATTATTGTAGAAGAGGCACTTTGACAGCACTGATTCCTGGCAGAGTTACAATCTCTGGCAATCATCCTGTCCTTCAAGAGGCGGTGGTTGTTCGTCTCCCCGAGACAGGCAATGAAGACGCCCGCGCCGCCTTCCAGAGGTCTCCTGCGCTTCCTGCGGTCTCAGTCCGACTTTGTCTTCGGCAGCCCCAGTCGATCCGTCCTTCTACAACCTCCAAGCACGGCACGATCCTGTCGGCGCCTGTGCACTTCCTCGCACCGGTCCTCGCCAAAGCAGCAGATCCCCCACGACGATCTATGGCACCGGTATCGTGAGCCGTGCAAGGCCCTGCCGCCTCCGAGGCTGGCTCCTCCCAATCCGCCGCAGGCCCGAAATGCCAGCACACGAACTCACAGTCTAGGCTTCTGGCGCCGTTGGCTACGGCGCAAGGAAGCTGCTTCGCGCTTCAAGCAGCCACCAGATCCCCCGGCGCGTCCATCGAGCTACGACGAGACGTCGGCACAACTCTTCAACCTCTCCCGAGCCCTTTCGCGCAACCATTCAGGCGCGGATCTGAAACTCCGTTGCACCGAACTCGACGCAAATGGCTCCGTCACCCTCGTTTCTGGCGAGTTCAAGAAATCAGAACTGATTGCAAAATATGGGCTTCTACCCCGTGATCTACGCAAGATAGACTCTTCGGTTCTACCGCATATCCTTGTCCGCCCGACAGCAATCCTCATCAATCTCCTCCACCTCCGGGTACTCATCCAGTCCGACAGGGTGTTGGTGTTTGACGCATACGGGAGCACAGACTCTTACACGCAGTCTCTATTCATGTATGATCTAGAGGGCAAATTGCGGCAGAAGGCGGATCCAAGGAATGGTTCCACATATCTTCCCTATGAGTTCCGGGCTCTTGAGGCGGTTCTGATCTCGGTGACGTCTGGTCTGGAAGCGGAATTCGCGTTGGTCCGCGAGCCGGTGGTGCATATCTTGCGCGAGCTCGAAGAGGACATCGATCGCGACAAGTTGCGACACTTGCTTATCCATTCGAAAAAGCTAGGTACCTTCGAACAAAAGGCCCGTCTCGTGCGAGACGCCATCGACGACCTCCTCAATGCCGATGATGATCTGTCTGCCATGTATTTGACTGAACGAAAATTAACGGGCAAGCCTCGAGACGAGGACGACCATCAAGAGGTGGAGATGCTTCTTGAGTCGTATCACAAAATCTGTGACGAGATCGTCGAGATTTCCGGCAACTTGATCAGTAACATCCGCAACACGGAAGAGGTGATCAAGGCAATCCTGGACGCCAACCGAAACCAGCTGATGTTGCTGGAGATCAAGTTCAGCGTCGGAACCCTAGGTTTGGCCGGTGGCACCCTTATCGCCGGACTTTATGGCATGAATGTCAAGAATTTCGTCGAGGAGTCCGACCTCGCCTTTGGTGGAGTCAGCGCTGTCTGTTTCGTGCTGTCCGCCGTGATCTGCGTCTATGGCATGCGCAAGTTGCGCAAGGTGCAGAAAGTCCGCATGTGGGGCGAGGGACCAGACACTTGGGGCCAGCGCAGCAGGATAGCAGGACGCGGCAACTGGCGCAGCGAAGCTGTGGAAAGCCAGGCCCAGCGGTTCGCGAGGTTGAAAGGGGGAGTCACCAATATCGGCGACACTCCCTCGAGACCGGTCCTCTGGCCGGGTATGGATGGGCTGGGCATGCACAAGCTGAACGTTGAAGCCGACGACACTCCGCGAGGCGACAGTGCTGATGCTACCAATAGCGATGCGGATGCAGGGTCGGAGTCTCCCAGCGTGACTTTTCAGGACGACGTGGATGACGTCGAAGCACAAATGAAGGCGGATGCACAGAAGCCGAAGGGCGTCGTGGAGAAAGACGACCGTGCTTGAATTGTACTCGAAGAAAAGCACATGATAAGAGCAAAAAGGGGGGAAGACCGTCTATTAGGACGACACGCCGACAGCGCACCGGTGGACCAATTGTGCCTCGCCACTCACTATCCGACGTACGCGATTCGGATATTCTTCTCATTCGCATCTTCTCTCTATAGCGTTCAAGCGGTCTCTTTTGGGCATTGCATTGGACGGAGTCAGGGTTTGGGAACGGGATTGGGCCGCTTTAGAAAGAGCCACGACAGCGAGGCCGCCGGTAGGCAGCGTGTTGAAGGAGATGCTGTCCCTTCGGGTGTGAAGCAGAGCGAACCATCTGACGTCTGCTTTGGTTGTCCACTCCAAGATATAAACAGCGATACTAATGGTTACGGGCGAGGAGTTTTGACGATGACATAGATCTCCTTAACGCGATGTACTGTTAGCTCGTGCGATTCAAGAAGCTCTCCCATTTTCCTCTCATTTGTTGGTGAGAGTATCATTGACCACGGCTTTCGCAAGTTAATGTAGACGTGGCATGGCACGGCAATGGCACGGCAATGGCAAACTCCTAGATGACCATGATGGAGGATTTGGCACACAGATCGAATTTTGTCTCGAGTTCTATCTTGTACTGCATGACCTTGCTCTGGCTCGCGCTGCCCAGCTGCCCAAAATACTGCGGATTGCAGTGATCGTGTTGCCGCTCGAATCCATCCGAGGCACAGTACTCCCATAGCCTTGATCAGACTTGGCTTTGTATCACCAATCATCATCATCGTCCTTTTCGTCATCTGTACACCAATTTAGCATACCTATACGCTCCAGAAACAAAATAGAAAACAGATGGGCAACTCACCACTGCCACTGACTTTCTTCTTCCGCTGACTGAGAGCTGCCGCAAGCGCGTTGGCAAGTCCGCCCCCATCCGAAGCTGCAGCAGGCGTTCCTGGCGCACCAGACGGAGCAGCAGCCCCAGATTCTGTTCCCGGCACCATCGCGGCTGAACGGTCTCGTCTTTCGCTGGAACTAACTCTGCGCAGGCGACCGCTGGATGTCCCTCCTGTGTTGCGAATAGCGGCAAGAAGTGAGTCTCGTGTATCACCTCCTACTGGGGGCAGCGGAGGTGCCGTCGACCCAGAGCCTGAGGCAGGCATAGGAGGGGGAGGAGGTGGTCCAGATGATGCAGGAAGGGGCGGTGGCGGCGGTGGCCCTGCGGAGGAGGGCATCGGAGGAGGTGGAGGAGGCGGTGGTGGTGGACCTGCTCCGGTAGGTGGAGGAGGAACTGCACGGGCGTTGGGAGGTGGTAGAGGGGGCGCATTATTCCGCCCCGGGGGTGGCGGGGGTGGAGGAGGTGGAATGGCCGCAGAAGCCGCAGGGTGAGATGGTGCTGCTGCTGCTTTGGGCGGCAATGGCGGCGGTATAATATGGCCAGACGGTGTAGGCGTTTCCCGGCTTGGAGGAGGTGGTGGCACTGGTCCGCGACTGGGCGGGGGAGGAGGAGCTGACGATTTCCGCTCCCCGGTGAATGGAGGAGGCACCCTAAACATGCCGGAAGGCTCCTCCTCGATGGGCGCCTTTGGAGGACGAGGCGGAGGCGGCGGACCAGGATTTGCTAGCGAGCCTGAAGCGGCTCGGGTGCGGCCAGAAGGATGGACTGCAGGGCCTTCTTTAACAGCATATTTGCCTGCGTCTGCAATGGGTGGAGGAGCCCGGAATCTTGGTTGCGGGCTAGGCGCGGGTGACGGTGTCCTTGGGGGAGAACTCGGTGGTGGTGAGGATGCTCTTCCACCCGCTGGTCTTCGCGACGGCGGTGGAGCTGGCGGAGGACCTCGTCGGCTTGACGAACTTGCGGTACCTGTACTTTGGGGACTGATTCTCGATGCTGGGGGTGCCGAAGGAGGCGGTGGAGGAGGAGCCCTCGACCTTGCGTCAGAAACCGTGGGCAGAGCCCGGGCGATACCATTCGCCAATTCCTCCGCCTGCTTCTGCTGGACGTAACCTTTGATGAAATCGGCATTCTGTTCGATTTGGTCCTCCGTGATACCCATGGCAAGCAATTCATCTAGGATTGGCCTCCATGTCGGATCAGCCAAATCAATGCCCCCTGCGCTACTGTGAGAGCGTGTTGAAGAGACCGGGCTGTAGATGGGCTGAGGAGCAGTCGCTTGCGGCTGCGGCGTCTGGACAGGATTGGAGCTGTGCCTGTGACGAAAGAAGGCACCCATTCTGCTGTGATGTTTTTGCCCACCACCAGGAACAAAAACCTGGCCTCCGCCAGCAGCGGAAGCAAAAGGTTGGGCCTTAGTGTGTTTGCTGGCATTCTTCTCCCGCTCATCCATCTTCTTCTTGAACTGCCGGGCCTCCTTCTCGTCAACGAAGGATAAACCTGCCATGCATTGTTCCAACTCAAACGAGTGGAAGAAGGTCCGATCTTGGTTGTATTGGAAAGTGTCATAGATTTCTTGATCCCATATCACCCCTCTGTTCGCAGGTGAGATGTCGACCATTTTAATCCAGAACGTGTTCCCAACGAGGTCGTTGGAGAGAACCGCAGCCCCCTGGAGACCTGTGTACGTCCATCGGTTGCGATTTGGATAGGCCACGTAGAGTCGAGCAACGGCAACAGCCTGGATCTTGTTTGACGCTTTGGGGACGGTGCGCTTGACGGTCTCCTTGTCGGCGTCGGAGAGAATTGAGGGCATGTTGAGAAGATATTGGTGAGCCCGCCAGGAATGAGCGGCCGCGGAGTTCACAAGAGCCTCATCTCGTCATCGTGCTGGAACAGGAACGTGGATGTAGTAGTAGCGCGAAGCGAGTCTCACAGGGAGACTCCAATTAAGATGATGGAAGAGAACGATACTGTACGTACTAGATATCTGGCACAGAATACTAGGTGACAACTGAGAGTTAGGCAAGTCCCGGGGAAGAACAAGAAAGCCAAAGATTGCGCTGCGTTAGCCGCGTGGCAGTGACACCAGTCACCAGCCGCAGGTGGCAGAAAGCAGCAGTAGTGGCCTTCAAGTTTTAAGGGCTTGGGGCTTAGGAGGCTACCTAGACCTTAGGCTCCTTAGGCCTCCTTAGGCCTCCTTAGCCCCCAAGCCCTGGAGCATTGATTACAGAGTTCAAAGTTAGCTTCACACCCATAAATAAGCTTGCCGCCTTAGGGACCCAGGGTCCTTATTTGCTTGTACTCGAGATACCTGAGATATACATACCTACCTACCTACCTACCTAAGGTACCTACGTACTTGTGTACTGGTGTCCCTCTTATTTTTACAGTATCTCGGCATGATGTTCGCAGCTTGGAAGTATCCGCACATCTGCACATCATGATGTGGCTCATCCAACCAAGACAGGCGGCGTGAGGTACCTAAGGTACGTAGGTACCTACCTGCCTAGGTACGTCAGGTACCAGTACCTTAGGTATCTCAGTAGTACCTTGATAAGGTACCTTAGTGCCTTATCACCATGATCATATCTCTGGCCTCCGTCATCTCTTTCCCCACCACCGGCACTGCACCGCATCCCAACAACGTCATCGGTCTACGATGCCTTACACACCTGCCAGTGAGTGACACACGCCGCAGCCTGGAATGAGTGGCACGGTCACTACAGGTACGTACTACTGTCGCTGCATCATCGAAGTACATAATGTCGTCCTGTTTCTTGCCAGCATTGAATTTCATCTCCTCCTTTACACCAATTTGACCTCAGCACTTCGATTCCATTACCTTGCCCAACTACCTAGGTATTCATTGAAACCCCGAGTCCGATCAAACCACTCAAACCCACCAGATACATATCCACCAGCAACATGCCTCACCATCCCGCCGAAGAGAACACTCAATCCCACATCTTCGACAAGGTCGCCAAAGAGTCCGCCGACTCCACGGCCTCGGACCACCCGCTTCACGATGAAAACAAGGGTCCATTGAAGCAGGCCACGTCCGAAGACCATCGGAGCAAAGGTCCACAACTCTCGGACAGTAAGTTCATTCACCATGCAGGGATCGCAGGAAACAGTCCTCTGACAATCTTCTAGACATGCCCCCGGCCTCCAGCAAGGACGATTTGAAGGCAAAGGCTCAAGAGTTGAACAAATAAGCTTTGCACGCGGCACTGCCTTCATACCATACCACCAAACCGATGGATGAAGGAGGGAGCATGGCATCAATAGCTGCGTCAATGACAAAAGCTTCAATCATGGAAAATTGAACACAATGAGAATGAATTGTGGATAAACAAGAGCTCGTTTCCATGCAGACTCCACGCGCCAGTGCTTCGAAGAACCATCATCAAACCCATTGAGCTTTTCTGTTTCCTCGCCATCGCTATGCATCCATTTGATCGAGAGTCCCTGGTCTGTCTATGATTTCACTCGCCCAGCCCCTTCATGCTCGTCGTGCTTTTTTCGCAGGAGGGTTGCCGTCACCCTCCCGTTCGCCATCTTTACTCTCGGCAGAACCATTCGTGTTTTTCTGCATGGCGGACCCTTCTTCTCTTTCGCGGGACTGTTCGGGCAGACTAATCGAGAAGTAAACAAGCTGGTGGCATTGACTCTCCTGGCTCTCCTTTCCAGGCTTTCGAGTATCCGCCTCCGTCTCTGGCGCTTTGACAAGCTCGAGCTCTTGTCCGTCACCTTTGCCTGCATCTTTGTCGACTGTCTGCTCCTCGCCGTTCTCGACACCTTTGGTCTGCTGAATGCCGTCGGTGTCCTTAGTCCCATCATTAGCAGTCTTCTTTTCGTCATCCTGAAGCTCCGTATACTGCCACAAGGCCTTGAAGTCTCCTTTGACCAACGCTGTGCCCCAGAGTGACAGGAGAACTCCAGGGACCAAGTACAGCAATGCAGGCTGAGCATGTTGTGCCACCTGCATCACGCCGACTGTCGTACACATACCGGCCAGATAGCCAAAGACTGTAGCATAGAAGTATGGTTTGGGAAACTGCTTCGCCTTGATCTCCTGTGCCCACAACTTGGAACTGGTCCAAAACCGCTCACCCCAACTTCCTCGGGCATTCACGTAGAAGGGCTTCTCCTCACTTTGTTCTGCAGGTTGGTCGCCGCTAGACTTGTGTTTTGCGTCGCTCTGTCGCAGATAGTACAGGTACAAGTCGAATCTCAATGCGAAGGCGAGCATCATTCCGGGAACCACAATATCTCCCAGGCCGAGCATTGCCATGGTTCTCTTCTTTGCTAGACACTGCAGGTATTCTTCCATAGCCGGTGACCCTTCAGGCGTCCCTACGGGCAAAACACATCCGTCGGGTCTGGGAAACAGCAGTTTGATTGGGACATCCAATTTCGTGGCCACTGTTACCATCATTGGCGTGAAGAAGACGAAGTAGATGTCGTAGAGAAATAGAGCGCCTAGAACAAGCGTCCCTGTCCAGGCAGTCGTCGGAGTCATGTACTGCAAAGACCCGTAGCAGAACGAGAAGCCGAGAAAATTGGTGAGGAACCATGGCTTGGACACAAACCCGTGATAGTACACAATAGCGCAAGAGAGAACCAGACTTGCCACATCCAGGACGTCGATCGATCTCTTGACGGTAATGAAGCCATGGAGATGTAAGTTAAGTCTCGCTCTTGCGTACAGGAGGCCTCTAAGTTTCCAGATCTTCCGGGTCACGGCTTGGGGGAATGGAAGTGCCCGCAGATACCCAGGAAAGGGCGAAGTTGTCGTCCTGCCGTCCTCACTCCTGTAGTATTGCTCTTGCTCGTCAACCCTCCATACCGACCCTCCTAGTGAGTAGGTGGTAGGGAAACAAAGTGAGCGAGCGACGCTGAACATGTCCTTCAGGAACTTGACCGCAAAGAACAAGCCCAACTGAGAGAAATAGATGCCCAAAGCCCAGTTCAGCCAGGCCGGGTCCTGAAGCCATTTAAGAATGAAGTACAGAGAAGCCAGGGTCCCACCAGCCAAAAGTGGGAAAAGAAGGGCGTCTGAAGGTGTCAGGCTCTCGATCTGCTGCGACTCGTTTTCATCGGCCTCGTCGTCATCAGAGCTGCGCTTCTTGCCTTTTCGACGGGCAGCGGATGGTGGTCTCGACAGCGAGGCATGGGCCGCAGTGTAGATGGGAAAGATCGCCGATATGAGGAGATGTAGGTAGGTGGGTAGCAGCGGTCGCATCGTCTCCATCTCGTAGGCCACACGACCGAGAAACTCCATCGCTGGGCCTGGTGGCGGTGACATCTTGATCGCGGTGATATTCACTTTCAACGACGGAAAGTGAACGGCGTCGCGTTTGGGCCGCGAGATTTAGTCGGACTTGGATGTGGCCAGATTTATCTTCATGGTGCCGATCAGACCAGGAGAACAGGCGGAGGACCGGAGCTGGAAGACTTTGCCACGAGGCCTAGCACGAGTCTATCAAATGCGAGCTTGAGACACTAAAGGAAGCAGTGGGTGAAGAGATGAAGAGATGAAGACGAAAAACATGAAAGTCGAAGTGGCCAGGCTGTCCTTGGCGATATGTGATTGGTCAGCCTTGTGCCTATAGTGAATCGTACATCGAACAGCAGTGATTATAAGCTGAGCACTATCAGAGGTCTGCTACCATGGATTAATCAGAAGGAATTCTGCTGAACAGTATAAATTAACTGGCTAATGCATCAACTGGTCCATTTCTGCCTGCCATTGGCCTTCACAGCATTTTCACCCCCCAGTGTAATAGACAAGCAGACGTAGAGACCGGGCTTGGATTTTCGCCATCGCCTCCTCCGCCCACAGCATCTCCCGCCGGTAAGGAGCGTGAGGTCGTAGTATCTCCATTGCAATTCGAAGTGACGCAGCGATCGTTTTTGGACCATGGTCCTTCATTTCATCCATGAGACAGTACTCCACCGACTGAAAGATGTTACGAGCAGGAGCTGCAAAGTCTGCCCGATGTTCAAGAGCTGGAAGATCGAAACATTTGGTGTCCGCTTGCGGCTCGGACATCAGTTCGGCATTCTTTCCATATGCATCGTTGTTACTGCTGTTGCGGAGTGTATCGCGCAACTCATCCATGAGGCGATAGAGCTGAATCATCCCTTGCCACAACATTGCCTGGCAAGCCCAGAACACAAGCACCGTGCTGGCGACGGATAGGTTCGCAAAGTGGAAGGCGACCGGGAATATCAATTCATCGTCTTTATCTTCATCAAGGATATAGCCACAGGCCAGTTGGGGCCAATATAGCGGCCCCGTATGGCTTTTAACAAGTCGGTCATAGAATGAGGCAAGATCTCCATCCATCTTCCAACACTTCGCAATCATCTCTGTCGCGAGCCGCAATTGGTCGCCGGGATCCATGTATTTGAGCATCGCACCCTGCCTATGGAGCTCCGGAGCAATAATGACAAAGTCGTAGACCTGATCGAAGACGGTCTTGGGATTTTTCCGCCACGGCACCTTCTGCCACACAGAATCCGACAGGAACGTGGATTGTTGGGTGTCTAGAGCATACAGGATCTACTCCCGTGAGTAACCAGGATCCTGGGGAATGACGGGCACTTACCCCTTGTATTCGAAACTGTACAAAGACCTGATGTGCTAGACCATCAGTGTGCGCATCCGGCCCACGGAGCTGGATCAACTTTTCACAACCGGATGTATGGCTAACATACCCTTGCTTTGATTCGTTCGGGCACTGGCTCATCTCGTAGGTAGCCAATGCAATACATGCAGCCAGTGTCTGCTCGTGATACATGAGCTTGGGGTCCCAGAGTGCCTTCTGGAGCTGATGGATGCCTCGATGATATAGCCTGAGGCTTTCATATCTTAACGTCGGGTCATGGTAAACGTCGCTCAGTTTAGCCACACACAGCGCCATCATAGACACCTCCAAGGCAAGGTTCATGTGTGGCATGATCGGCAGCTGAAACAACCACAGCCTTCGCTGCATTGGGCCAAGGTGGGCTTTTGGACAATACAGAGAGAGATACTCCTCGAGGAGCTGCTGTCGTAATGCTGGGTGGGGATTGATATGACCGACCAGGAAAGACAGGCTCAGCAACGGTAAGAGACTATCAGTGTTGACTGTCGGTGTCTCTATGGGCTTCGATGTCTCTGCCTGCTGTTGTTGAGCTGTTGCGCCTGTTCGAGATGACAGATTAGCGGTTTCATGGCGGACAGCTGACTCTGCTTTCGTTCCGTCCGTGACCGTATGCTGAATGAAGATGGGATACCGACGATAACCTGCGCATACCCGCTTCGACTTGATGCATTGGGCACAGGATGGCTGCTCAAGGCCGCACTATTGCCGCATCAGTCAGCTTGAAACAGCATCCGGGCATAACGTATGAGGCAGAGAGCAACGATCTACGTACCCTGATTTTGCGCTTTCTGCAGGTCTCGCAGCCGCGAGCGCGAGTAATACCAACCATTGGAAATCTTGCAAGCTGCGGCTTTCTCAGTATCACAACAGTTGTCGAGCATTTCAAACAGTGACATCGACACAGCAATGCAACGGAAGGAAAAGGTGACGAACACCGGAGAACTGGAAATATGCAAGAGGGAGAATGGTATGTCGACTGAGGCAGAGCTGCGAGGAGCTATTCAGATCATCCAAAGGGATGGTTGTGGCCATGGCTTTGACAACTACTCTGCTTGTGATGAGACCAAGGAACCTGTGAGTCTGCCTAATTGAGTGGCTGATTCACTAAGCCAAAAGAGGCACATTCTGCGAGCAGTAAAACATCCGTGGGATGTGGGCTGTACGCAGCATTGGTTCAGTCGCTCAGGGGTGTCTCCAAATCGAGACTTGGATTTGGTTCTGACCGTCCTTCATACTTTACGTCTTCTCCCATGGTCGTTATTGAGCAAGTCTTGTCACAAAAGGACCTCCTATATCCTAGGCACCGTTGGGCCCTCCCTCGGCGACCTTCTCCCGTTGGGGTGGAATCCGTGGTTTTGTTGACTGCTTTCTGGCTGATTCGTCCACTGGCTCAGCAGATCGAGGTCGTTTCGGAGTCCTTAATGCATTCGAGGCTTGTTTTTCATCTGGAAGCGCCTGCAGGTTGATGTCGGTGCCCAGTCGACGTAGGTAGTCCTGGATGATTTCTGACAACGTCTCTGCTTTATCGAGCTGGATCTTGTTGACAAGCGCCAATGCTTGTTGAGCCATGACAAGCTGGTGCTCTTTGTTGAAGTTGACCATTCTCAGGGTGCCTCGGATCTCATTTGCCGCAGTCTTTTCGACCTCAAGAGCCGCCGATGTTTCCTTCAATGATGCTTCTAGAGATGCTATTCTCTCCTTCAAGCCTGAATTTTCCTTATCACGAGCTTTCATGGCGCTTTCCAGATGTGTAAAATCTGTTTTCAAAAGCTCTCGTTTGCTTTCGGCTCTGTTTGCACGCAACAGCTCGTCTCCGACGCGCTGCTCTAGCTGCTTGTTCTGGCGAGACAGCGAACAGTCCCCGTGTCTGCAGTTGGCATCTCGACAGGGTAGCGGACTTCTTGACATGCCTGGAGTAGTCAAACACTGGGACTCCTTAGTCAAATATGCGACTTCTTGTTCATACTGTGCGTGTCAGCCTCGCCAGAGCATCAGCTATGCCAGACTACTCACCGCCTCAAGATCAGATAATCAGTCGAATGTAATACTCACTTGGACCTGAGTGGTAAGATGCGAAAACTCTTCAGCCACAGAGTCTCAAAGAACCAAGAGTAGGGAAATGAAGACAATAGAAGTACACATGAGATCCGGGTTGATCATATAAAGCAATATCTATCATACCCATACTGCCTACCGTTTGGCACTGCTCACCTCCCTGTCTCCAGAATGAAGTTCTTTTTAGAACCTGTCTTTGTTCAATCAAGTATCGGCAGCTGGAAATTGCGAAAGAGACAAAAGACATGGCATGAAAAGTGAGCCTTCGCCGTCAGTGAGCCTTCGCCGTCTGTGGCTGTTGTTTCGCTGCTGGGATCCGTTCTGGAACTGGTTTGCCGTGTTCTAGAACCGGACGCATTTGCAATGCACGCAGAAACCCGGCAGAAAACAATCATGCAACTAACAGCGCTTTCTGTGGGCACCTGGAAAGCACTACAGAGTAGAGGAGACCCAGCTGGAGGCACCAGTGGCCAGAGGTCTCAGTGCTCCCTCAGACGAAGAGGTAGTCATGACTCTTAGAGCCAGGCAGGAAAGCGCAAACCGCTTCGAGATCAGTTCAGAGGCTGAGTGCAACCAGCTGCAGCCAGCCGTGGTCTCAAATCTCTTCATGGCCAGCACAAAGACACGGTAACAAAAAAGCTCATGTTTGATCTTAGATCTGGAACTTGGAGCTGAGGTCGATTTGGGAGCATGGCTGGGTACATACTTCACCGTAGCATCATGTGTCACGTGGAGTCGCGTCTCGACGGAGGAGCATTCAATGCAGAAGCGTCTTCACTTCAACTTCGTGTCGCGCCCTCATCGCATCGTTGATAGACCAACATACCCAGGTATTTGCCATTGCCACCCTGACTATGATCCGGTCAGCTTCCGACAGACCTGAGTGTGCTCTCTTGATGTTCAGTACGAACGGTAGAAATGCCACGGGCCTCCTTGAAACGCAGCGATAGTATCACAGATCTCCGTTTCACCCTCCGCCGAGTTTTCGGCAAAGACTCGTTTCGCCCACTGCAGGAAGAAGTCATCACTGCTGCCATTGCAGGCCATGATGTCTTCCTCTGTGCGGCCACCTCCTTTGGGAAGTCTCTCTGCTACCAGCTGCCCGCCGTGGTCTCTCTCGGAGTCACCGTCGTTATTTCTCCCCTTCTGGCACTGATGCACAATCAAGTCCAATCGGCACAAGAGCTGGGCATCATAGTTGAGTCCATCAACGGCAAGACACCGTGGGCAGAAAAGGTCCGGATCGAGACAGACCTCCTCTGCGGACACCCAGCTACGAAGCTACTCTATGTGACCCCGGAACTATGCGCGACGGACCATTTCCGCAAACTGATCGTCCAAATCCATCGTCAAGGCCAGCTGGTTCGCATAGCCGTCGACGAGGCCCATTGTATCAGCGAATGGGGCCATGATTTTCGGCCGACGTACAAGGAGCTGAAATGGCTGAAGTCGACGCTCAACTGCCCTGCGGTGCCCGTCATGGCCGTGACCGCCACAGCAACCAGCCAGGTTAGGGACGACATCTTCAGTTTTCTGGGGCTTGATGATCAGACGACCAAAAGTTTCGCGACGTCGACATCGCGCCCTAACATCCACTACGAAGTCCAATATTTCTCCGAGTCGAATCCGGAGAACGGCGAGAACGATATGCTGCCCTATCTCATGAACAGATTGGAGTTCATGCACCAAAGACGTCTGGCACGATTAGAATCACTTCTGCAAGACGATCCGGTCGCTGCTGTGGCACCCATCAGCGGAATCATCTACGTGCCCCTCCGTTCAACCGCCGATTGGCTTGCGTCAAAGCTCACCGGGGCTGAGATGAGAGCGCAGCCATACCATGCCGGGCTAGAAGATGAGAAACGTAAACAGACACAGACAACTTTTCTCAGATATGCTACTGCCGATCCCCGTCTCCTGCCGATCAAAGACGGCCGTAGTCTCATGGCCTCCTTCAACATCATTTGCGCTACGACGGCCTTTGGCATGGGCATTGACGTTCCAACGATCCGATTCGTCATACATTACGGACTCCCCCGTGGCATGGAGTCGTTCACTCAAGAATCAGGTCGGGCGGGCCGAGACGACAAAGCGGCGTCCAGTATCATCTTCTACACTCGCGAAGACAAAGAGCGTTGCGAGTTCCGGGCGAGATCGGACGCAAACCGGGAGAAGAGCAAGGCCAAACGTGAGGCGAGAATGCAGTCATTGAAAAGCATCGTCGAATTCTGCGAGAACACCCACATATGCCGCCACGATCTGGTGTCGCGGTACTTTGGAGACAAGGCCGGGCTTGCTGATTGCTACTTTGCCTGTGATGTGTGCAAGGAAGGATCTATTCAGCTAAAGAAGCGAAAGGAGAGAGGACTGGCCACCGAAACAGAGGCGTTCGAGTTTACTCAGCGAGAGCCTGTCACTCAGTACGACTGGGACTAATGAAATGCATGATGAAACGACTTAGATACCCTGAAAGATACAGCAAAGGCGGCTTAAAAGCACATTATCCTTCGAAGCAGCTGGTTTTTCAAGATCCGGCCTGTGCCATTTGCGGCACACTTTATCGTGAGGTGATTTCTTGTTGTCGGATGATAACCGAATCTGCTGGTCAACGGAGATGATCGATTTCGACGGCGTCACCATCATATCACTTCTTCATTACACTCACGACTTCATGTTGTAGTATCCCCTAGAGAGGTCCACCAGCCATCCCTTCTCCACCTTGCTCAAATCCTTGATATACACTTTACCGCCAGTCTCTAGGACTTCATGGAAGACCACGTATTCCGCCTTGCGGTTGAATAGCAGACTTGTCGGATGAGCGTACATTGTAACATTGCCCGACACGGACCGGAAACTTCCATCGGGTTGCATCTTTGCTGCTTGCGAGAAGTAACCCGTGACGAGACATTTGAGGATATTTACTGTCTTGTCTGCATCTGTGGGTTGCGCTGTAGAGAGATGCGGCGGGTTGGAGCTTGATAGGTTTTCTTCGACCTTGACGCCCAGACGTTCCAGGTATCGCCTTAGTTGGTTGCGAACGCTCACAGCTCGCTGCATCGACTTGAAATTCAGATGATTTTCATGACACCACCGTGCTTCTTTCCTCCCTTTGCTCACAAAGGCATGATAGACGTTGAGTAAGGTAAGGTGATCACCTTCCTCGGCTGCAAACTTCCTCCTTGATAGATCCATTGCATTCTTCTCACCGCTGTGGTGGAACCAAACGTTGCCCTCAAGTGAGGTCATGGCCGCTATGGTGAGCATCTCGCTCTGGCAGTTGAACTTGGCATCAGACGATGTGAGCAGGCATTTCGCCATCATCGGCGGAATAGAGAGCTCCGCCATACGTGTGCCGAGAGGAGAGGTCAGTTTTGCATATTCGTCGACGGCGCCCAGGGAGTAAAGGAGGTCGAAAGCGCGGATCAGGAGCTGAGAAGGTGGTGGGGACAGAAAATCAAAGCGGACGACGTTATCGATCCCCAGGGCCTTTAGTTGAAGCACTACAGGCGCCAGGTTGGAGCGTTGGATCTCAGGGGTAGTGGTGGCAGGTAGAGACTCGTATGACTGCTCTGTGTATAGTCGAAAACACTTTCCTGGCTTGGTTCGTCCTGCGCGGCCGGCTCGTTGGGTGGCGGAAGCTTTGGACACAGGGAAAGGAATAAGCACGTCTATGTTAGTTGTTGGATTGAAAGCGCGGAGTTTGACAAATCCACAATCAATGACATAGACAATTCCCGAGATGGTGACGGACGCCTCGGCGATGTTCGTGCTGAGAATCACTTTTCGCGTATTTTCGGCCGCCTCGGAAAAGACGTACATCTGTTCTTCCGTACTGAGTCCAGCATAGAGTGGAAGGGGCTGAAGTGCTTGAGCCTGGGGATGTAAGGTCGAAGCGAGCTCGGACAATTTCTGCATGGCCTTCTCGATTTCCTCCCTACCCGTCAGGAAGACTAGGATATCCCCTGGAGCTTCTTGTTGGTGGATGGTGAAAGCGGTTTCAACAGCCTTGTTAACATAGTCATTCGTTGGCTGATCGAGATAGAGGAGATCGACAGGGTATGTCCGACCTTCGATGCTGACGATTCGACATTGGTCGCTGGATCCCTCTTGGTCTTTGAAAAAGTCTACGAATCGCTCGGCTTCCAGAGTGGCACTGCTTATGATGATCCTTAACTCTGGTCGACGCTTCTTGATCTTCTTTAGCAGGCCCAAAAGAATGTCGGAGCTTAAAGATCGTTCATGGGCTTCATCCACCATGATGACAGAATATCTGGACAATAGCGGATCGACCAACGCTTCTCGCAGTAGCATGCCATCGGTAAGGAACTTGATCTTGGTGCGCGAGGAGGTCACGTCTTCGAATCGGATTGAATATCCAACCTCTTCACCGACCTGGCACCTCTTTTCCTCGGCAACACGAGTAGCGACGGTGGTGACAGCCACTCGTCTGGGCTAGATTGACGGTCAAATAAAGATCGATCCATCTCTAAAAGCTCACTTACCCACCTGAGTGACTGCAATACATTTTCCGTTGGCGCACCAGCCGCCTTGCTCTAGAAATTGAGGAAGCTGAGTAGTCTTGCCACTACCTGTTTGACCAACCAGCACAGTGACTTGGTGGGTTTCGATGGTATAAAGTAGACTGTCTTTATGTCTGGAGATCGGGAGCAGGGCGGATGGAGTGTAGAGGGAGGGGACGAAGGAAAGGTCCAACTCCGTCATCGTTCTTGTCTCGCTGCACGTTTCATGTTGCCGATAGAGCGCCGTAACTCGCGTCCTCATCGAAGAGAGCGAGCGCAGTATCAAAAGTCAAGGCGCAGAAGTCACCCCGCACCGCCACAATATACGCCACAATTTTATGTAATTGGACATCAGCCACTTTGTACCACCCTGGCACTCCCATTGGCTGCCTGTCACTCCCCCATCTCCGACTCTGACGCTGCCTGCGCCGCAACTTGTATTGTTGCATGTTGTCGTTTCATACTGTGAGACCTAAATTGCGCTGCCTGACCTTGACACATCTCCCCGATTCTATCTCCCAGTATCTACCAACTCTAGTCAACCGGTCAGTTTACAGTTGCATTGAGTCATCTCAACATGGCAAACAATGGAGCAGTAAGTACTTGGATCCCTCCTTGTGAACACAGCTGGATGCTGAACTCAATCAACAGTCCTCGCCGGTATCACCTCTCAAACCATCTGATGGGCCCCCTGAATCTCCCACTACCGCTCGTCCTCTGGATTTTGACAGCGACCAAGAGGCCGGCACTATAAACACGACGAATGCCTCGCAGACAGAAGCATCGCTGCCAAAACCGCCCCCAAAAGACGAGGAAGTCCCACCCCCAAAACCCCCCAGGCCGGTGAACCCACGCGAACAAGCGGAGAGTACGCTGAGAGAGGCTTTCCCGAGTATAGATGGCAGCGTCATCCGCGCAGTCCTGACAGCGAGTGGCGGGAATGTCGAGCCAGCATTCAATGCCTTGTTGGGCATGACGGATCCAGACTCACAGCGAGAGCCTGAACCACCGGCCAAACCTCCACGACCAACCGCACAACAGCCTCGTTCGACGGCCAAATTGAGTCAGCTGGAAGCCGACGAGCTGTATGCAAGACACCTAGCTGAGCAATATAGCGGCACCGGCCGCCCAAATCAATCTAGTCGAGGGCCTGGCGGCAGATTTAACGAAGATCTTCAGGGGTCAAGGTCAGGCCGACCAGGCGCACGACCTAACCCGGACGATGTCCCGTGGAGGAGCTTTATCGATGGTATGATACAACCAACGCAGGCATTAATATGTATGGAGCTGACCAATGCCCGATAGATGACCTCCCGGAAATCCGGGACAACATACGCAAAGGCTTTGTGGAGACGCAGACCACCGTGAACAAATGGATCACGGCGTTCAAGAAGAAGCTCGACGGGGAGGAGGATGATGATGCGGATCTCGATTCACAGTCAGCACAAGGCTATGGAGCAGGAGCCGGCCCAGGGTACTATCCTCCGCCGCAGTCGCAGTCCCAACCGATGCCAGGTCGTCGTAGCACGGACATGCGTCGAAGTGCAGACATGCAACGATACGACGCGGACATGCAACCGATCGGAGACGACTTTTCGAAACTGGAACTACGCGACCATGACGCACCACCGCGGACGTCGAGCCGGCCATTAGCGAACCCCAACCTCTTCCGCGCCGTCGGTACCGGACCGGAACGACGAGCGTCACCTAGCACGAGTCGCAAAGTTTCTTTCCAGGACGGACCACCGGAGGAGATCAGAGATATGTACTCGGCCTCGCCCAAGCCTTCACCCGCTGCAGCGGCAGCCACACCCGGTTCGGGCAAGTCGAGCAAGTGGCAGCCGCTGGCGTCAATCGACCCGAGCCCCGCGGCAGAGAACGACCCGTTCAGCCTCGGCGACAGCGATGAAGAGAAGGATGCGAAAGTCATCACGATGAAAGACGAGGAGTCACCCAAGACTGGCGCCGGCGACGAGGATTTGAAGGCGAAAGTTGAGGACGTCAAGACGGATGAGGACGAGCAGGTCAAGAAGGCGACGGACGAAGCGATGAAGGAAAGTATAAGCACTCCGACCAAGTGAGGACACGTTGCAGCAGTCGACATTAAACGGCAGTGAGCCTCCTGAGTCGGTAACTAGCAATTCAGCCTTGGGAATTTCTATTTCACAAAGGGTATAGAGTTGCAATTTCCTTTTGTCCGAGACTGGAACGGTATGAGCTTCACGGCCTGTCTGAATCAATGACTCAAGCAAAGCGACGTGCTGCCATTATTGTTGGGTGAACTACGTTTTGTCTTCTCATGGGCTTTTTGTTTTTGACTGCTTTCCTTTCACGGGCTGGACTCGACTCTCTGCTGCCCATGCTGTAGCTTTCCAACGTTGGATTGTCCTCTCCTGAACCGTCGTGACCGGAAGAAAGCCTCCAAAAGTACATGTTTGTGTTGGTCTAAGAGGCCCCGTTGCGGCACAGGAAAAGGTCCTGGCCCAGACTCTCGACCGTCTCGACCGTCGACTCCAAGATGGCCAACAAGACGGTCAATGTTTTAACTTATAGAACGCTACCATCAAAAGGAGTTCAGCTCTTACACCTTTTTCCGCAAGCGTACATCAGCCATAGGCTCTTATGCTTTCTGCCGTCTATTTCGTTCCTTCGTTTACCCATTTTAGATCTTCACATCCCCGGCTTTCCCCGTACTGCCGACGGCGTCCATCATCCACTCGATCCTCTCCTGGATCAAAGCAGTCCCGGTCTCCAAGAACTCAGTCAGGGGGACGCGGCCAGCGTGCTCGGCAGCGTATTGCTCATACTTCCACAAGACAACCTGGTTGACGTTGAGCCTGGTCATGCCCTCTGCGACGCACTGTCTGAAGATGTCGGCGGTGAACTCGTTGGTGCCGTGCATGACCAAGGCGACCTTGCCGCGCGACGCCTCGCGGATGGCTTTCAGACGGGGGAAATCCAACTGGATGTTCTCGACGCCGTTGTAGGCGCCGTGGATGTTCCCGATGGCCGGGGCGAGGAAGTCGATGCCCGTGTCGATGAACTGCAGCGCCTCCTCGGGCGTGGTCAAAATGCTCTCCAGATCGCCTGTGTGCTTCAGCCCGGCCTCGCCGCCGTTGATGCGGCCCGGCTCGGCCTCGGTCGCGATGCCCCGGGCGTGGCAGTAGCGCACCAGCTCGGCGGTGCGGGCCAGGTTCTCCGGCTTCTCGTAGTGCGACATGTCGACCATGATCGAGTCGAACTTGTCCGTCTGCACGGCGCGCTTGATCGCCGCCTCGCTCTGCGCGTGGTCCATGTGCAGACTCATCGGCACGCGCGCGCTGCGGCACACATCCGACGCCAGGTTGACCAGGTGGTCCCATGCGTAGTCTTGCGCCCACGGGAACAGCAGGATCTGGCAGGGTGATTGCTTCGCCTCGGCCGCCTTGCGGCACGCCAGGATCGCTTCCATGTTGTAGCACACCACGCCCGGCACGCCGTAGTGGCCGGCCTCCGCGGCTTTGAGGATCCGCACGGATATGTTCTGCGAAAGGTCCGGCATCGTTGGAAAGGAACCAGTGAGCGAAAACAAAGTCGGGAAGAGAGGATGTTGTAAATACAGTGCTCAACAGACTGATGTTCTTTCTCGCTAGAGGCGTGTCGGGTTCGCTCGTGGTCGTGAATATGCTGAGATGAAGTACGTACTGTACGTCGTCTCACTCGTTGGCTCGGAGGATATTGTACGGCTCCACCGGAGTGTTTGGTGCGGCGTGAGATGGCACTAGGGCTTCACGCTTCCTGTGGAGTCTCCTTATGCGGCAAGCGGAGGCACAGGGTCGACGACCTTGATAGATCGAGTTGCTGCCGACCGGGATGGATGATATTTCGACTATTTCTGAGCCCTCGGTTGCAAGGCTGTGTCTCGAGTCAAAAGAACCGAGTGTGGTTGATGGGACGTGATTCTTCGATGCTGTACCCGGGTGACCTGAGATATGCCGAATTGACTGACGCCGATGGAAGACTACCCTCTACAATACAGAGTATGTGTGCCTTGGAAACTGCTGGTCTTTGTATACAAGATGCCCACTATCCACTGTTGGAACACGGCGTCATCGGTGGAGAATGCCGCGAAATGCCGAAAGTGGGCCACGCGCTGCATATCATCGGTGTATTGCCCGCGTGGGGCAGATGAACCAGTGGGACGGGTGGGGGAAGTACTACCTAGTACTTAGTACTATATACTGACACGTGACCTCTGGTGCAATCATTTCTCGGTCCGCTGGTAATTGTACAGGACTCGAGGGTAGGTACCTAGCTATGAGGGGGAGACATACTGATCAAATACAAACGCCTTCATGTGAGTGTGTAAGGAGAACGAAGGCGTGTGTTTGCCATGAGTTGCCGACCCAGAGCCGAATAGATCAGATCATGTGACTGTCATGTGACCGCAGCTTAGTAACCACCCACCGGCGATGGTCGGGCCAGATGCCGACAGGCGGCACGCTGCTCGTCTTTTCCACTCAGTCCGAGTCTCTTTTGCCTTTCGGCGACGGATCCAAGGGAAATTGGCGGCACAGCGAATAATTTGTTTATTCCCTCCATGGCGACACCGCACTAGCGAGGAGGCTGGCGATGTTGTGTCGAACAAAAGCGCTGTAGTCACCTTGTATGCATGTGCGAGGGGAAGACAAGCAGGGCGAGAAACCGCAAAATGAACAAAAGCAAGCACCAGATCCAAAAGTGTAGCTTGAAGTGATGACCTCAATAGCATTGGCTTTTAATCCCTCGTTGGTATCGTGTCAATCTCAAGGCCACGTCTTTTCCTCCTCCACATACTCAATGTACTCCCTTACAGCCTGCTCGAAGCTTTCGGGCTCCTTGAACCCCAGACTCAGGGCGAGCGAGTTGTCGTAATTGTAGGCCCACGAGTAGAGGATGCGGGCGAGGTTCTCGTCGTGCTCCTCCTTGACATATTTCAGCTTATCCTCGCCGCCCACCTTGGCCAGCGCGTCCAGCATCTCCTGGATGGTGACGACAATGCCCGGAGCGTTGACGACTCGCTTATGCTTGGGCAAGGCGTCCGAAGGCAGAGTCAGCGCGTAGACCAAGTTTTGGATCAACGTTTTGGGGGAGCAGACGTTGGAGGGGAAGTTCCTGTCCGTCACGGGCACCACACACTCCACGCCGGCCAGGGGTTCGCGGATGATTCCTGACATGAATGCTGACGCTGCCGGCGCTGGTTTGCCCGGTCGCACTGAAATGCTGGGAAAGCGAAGGCTGTAGGCGTCGATGAAGCCTCGTCGGTTCATGTCGTTGATCAGGATCTCGCACATCAGCTTCTGTGATCCGTACGAGCCTTCGGGGGTTGGCAAGACCGATTCCGTGATAACGTCCGGCAAAGGCCGGCCATAGACGGCCTGGCTCGATGCGTAAATGACCCTCAGGCCCGGCTTGACCTGGCGAATCGTATGCAGCAGGAGCTTGGTGCTCTCCAGATTGACATTCATACCGAGCTCGTAGTTGGCCTCGGATCCCGCCGACATGATGCCGTGGAAGATGTAAGCGGCGTCGAGGTCAGGCGTGATGACGCTGCGGTCTTTGAGCAGGTCAGCCTTGACGCAGGTAGCATTCTGTGGGTTTTTGGAGCCCTTGGGAACCGGTACGTCGACGATATCAGTGAGGACTACTTTGTGATCGGGGTTGGAGAGGAGTTCTCGGGCCAGGAATTGGCCCAGGAAGCCGCCCGCACCAGTGATGAGGATCTTCATGATGACAATGATGTAGAACAGGTGGTTGAACTGGTAGGAGCCTGCTGGGTGATGGTAACACAATAGAAGAATTGTACGCCGAAGCAGCAAAGGAGCAATGCAAATGGAGTTGGACAGATTGAAGCCCGGCCAGGCTCCTTAGGGAAGTAGTATGTATACTACTCCATCCATGTTGCGCTTCTCATCTCTTCTCTGGTCCTAGTCCGGCTTTCTGACCCAAAACCGTGCCGGCCTCTCGCCGGTCGAGTGCTCCGCTATGACCGTTATGCGGAGAAATCACCATCGGCGGTTTCGGCGAATCTTCAAGGAGTTGAGGGCAGTCAGCGGCCAATCAGGAGGCTACAGAGGCCACATTTCTGTAGGCGTCCCAAAGCGATGGATGGCATGGTCGGGACCTTGCCGAGTAGAGCCTCAACTTGAACGCTGTTCCTTGTTCTTGATCAGGCCGGATCTGTATCTGTATTTGATCGCTTTCTTATGACGGTCCCATATATATATCTGTTACATATATTACATACTGATCCTAATCACATCTCATGATTCTCTTGTCATTGGTCGTTTTGTACTGTTCTCAGTCATATTGCATACCCAATCCCAGTCCTCTTTTCTGGCAGTGTATACGAGTCATGATTGCCCATCCGAGGCAGATGAAGCGTCTCGTCACTGTCGCTTGCCTCTCTGGTCTGGAGACTGCTGGAAGTCTTGATCGTGTTCCAAGGCGGCTTCTCATCAATGTAGAGCGAGCCGGCATCCGAGTCGCTAGGAGATTCCAACCTTGATCCAGACGCCAGTCCCGCGTGTCTCTCGTCGGCTGAGAAAGGATCTAGTCCATCGCTCAGGCCTCGAGAATGATCCACTCGAGACTGTGCCCTCAAATCAGCTGCCCGAATAGTGCCTTGCAACGGATCGGCAATGTTGGTAGGTGTTTGAACCCGGAGGCCGACGTGAAGAGGGTGTTGCATGGGCTGAGAGACATTGGTTAGGCCCGACTGCCCTCTCACACCAGGGTGTGTTGGGCTAGGTGACATGGGCCAATCATTGATGGGTCGAGTTGCCCCGGGATCGACGCGCCCCTCATCGCTCAGCAGGATCGAGGGCATCTCAGAGCTGCTCATGCTTCCTTTATACACTTGCATCGGGATCATCTTGCCATCGCGGCTCGCCCGAAGTTCAAAATGTCGAGTCTCGTCTTGTTCGATGTCTCTCAGAAAGCCACTCTCCCGAGATCCAGGCTCGTTGCGGCCATACGCCATTCCTATCCGCTCCACGTCAACGAGTCCTCCTTCTTTCGAGTTTACCGACGCCCAGGTGCCTTTCGGATCGGCTTCTCTGGCCCCTCCCTGGCTCAACCAATGTCTCCTTGAACTTCGACCCATGCTTCCGAGGGGGTCAATGAAGAAGCGACGGAAGAAAGGCTTAAGCGCCGGTGCGCTGGCTGCAAAAAGAGCGACATACAACTCCACCACCGCCCAGATCCACGTCTCCCACAGCACCCAGCTGAAGTCATAGTCCGTGTTCAACAAATTGTACATCAACACCGTCCTCACCACCCCTGCAGCCACGGCCAGGAATCCCAGAGCGAAAAGGGAGAAGAGGGCAATTTTCTGCCTAAGTGGAAGATCAAGATTGATGATGAGTAGCAGTGGCAGCAAGGTACTGTAAAAGTCTCCCAGGACACTGAATCCCGCCGAGGCCGGAAGCATGACGTTTTCCGAACCACATCTGTAGCCGTGTGAAGCTACCCACGCGACATCGAATTGGTTCCAATAGGCAAAGACGGGGTGGCAGAGTAGTAACAGGGCCAGACCAAATCCAACAAGGTAAAGGACATTGTAGATAATCCCCACCCATGTAGCCACTAGAAACAATTTGCTGAACTTGACGCTCAGTCTCCGGTAGAATAAGAGCACACTGATCTTGACCAAGGTGGCTGCTACGATGTAGCACCACATGCTGGCCCAGATATTGATCCGATGGGGAACAAAGGTGTTGGTTGGTATGTCCCATACATGTCGACCGCTGTAATAGAGCTTGTTGCCAATGATCACCAGGACGGAAAGGGCAATGCTGAAAAGCAGAGCAAAGACGGCGAGGAGGTCATCCAAACCGGGCGCTCTCGTGATGAGCAGACGCGAGTACAGCCGAGCGGTGACGATGAATATGGCCAGCGCACTGAAGATGATGCAGACATATTCCAGAGCAGGACCTCTTGTGGATGGGTCGATATAGTTCGGCCTAGGCCATGAGGCAATGACCGACGCCGGAGCTATAAGTGAATGGTTATACTCTGTGCAGTGAGATGTTCTGTGAAGTGTTGACTTACGGTGCAATGTGTTGACCATGGTTACCCTGTCCCGTGGAAGTTTAGAAGTATCCCCGTCCCGTGGATGTGCAACGGCTTCTTCTGGAATGGTATCCGGACCGCATGTCAAATCGAACTCAAAAGTAACCGATCCGAGTTATCGGGGGTTCGTCTCAGAGTGCCATGGCGTTTTCCGTGGCTTCAGCGTCGCAATAGGGATGAAAGAGGCCAGTAGAATCTGAATTGCTCCTCGATTTCACACTCTTGCCCCGAGGAGAGTCTGTGGAAGAGGATTAGACTTGAGGGGAAGTGAAAGCAAAAGAATTGACGGTTGAAGTCGTAGTATAGCAACCGCTCTTGGACGTTGCAGAGGGCTGGGGGGTCACTACGATTTGCAGATTGTCCTTCTGCAGAGCAACACTGACTGAACTCCGAGTAAGCCGAAATGTATGTACTATGTGACTTGTGTAGCGAGTGCATGGTAGGATTTCGAACTGACCCCTGGGTGACAAGGTCTTTCAGGGGTTGGGCCTTGCTATCAGGTGGTTGGCGGGGGAGAAGCGAGTGCCGGCCATTGGGCGATCGAGATAGTGGTTTGTTCGGTACCTGGCAGCGTGGTTCGTTTAGTCGAGAAGCAGACGAGCTAGATCATTAGTACATGATTAGCTGGAGCCATGCAGAGAAAGGGATCCTAAGCAGACGGAGTGCTGCCCATGTAGGGTAAGATGTGTTGTGATGGATGCAGATGGATGCAGATGCCACGCTTGGAACCAGCTCCACCAGTTCATCATCATCGCTCGTAGGATTCACACGTCGTGTTGGACGCATGCCAGGCTTCACTTCTCACTGAGAATTGTTTCACATCGCATTGTTGTTCTCCTGGAACTCTTAAGGCTCCGATGTGGCTAGACGGAGGTCTTATGGGTGTGATGGTACTGTATAAGCCGGTGTGATAGTATTCCTTGCGACCTTCTCTCGCCAATTCTCCTCTACAGTTAATGACCTATGTCGCATCCGTCTGCACTGGCTCGTGCTAGGCGTGCACCACGGTCTGGGCATGCATCGATCGACCCCGGGCATGAGAGGCAGTGGCACATCCATGGCTGGACGGACGGAGAATTGAAGCCGCACATTGTCAGTGTCGCCATGCTGCTCGTTCTGTCTGTTCAAGTTAGGTACGATCGAGTGCCAGTGGTGGTCTGCAGGGAGTCGAGGAAGCGGTGTGGAAATGGAAAGGGTTGAGTGGACTTGCAAGACTCCAAGCTCAAGTTCAAGTTGGGTCAGCCAACAACTCTAGGCGCAGGCAGGAAGGAATGCCGCTTCCTAGAGCTGCTGTTCACGACACTTTGACGCTCGTACACCTACCATTTGACACCTGCACCACTGCCCAAGACACCCCCAAGACACCTATTTACCTTGCCCTTTAGGATCCCCCGGTGAGACTGGGGCTGGTGACAGGACAACGTCAGAATAACGTGCCTGCGACCGTCCTTTTTCGTACCTGCACGTCAGCTTTTGTCGAGAGACTTCAATTTCTCGTCTACACATCGAGACATGTTAGGCGAGAGGAGAGCAGGCGAGCCCATGATGAAACGAACAATCACCACCTTAGCTTCCACCTCCATTTCCACAACCAGGCGCCGAACAGGGTCTCGACCATGAGAAGATACGACAAGGTCTCGGATACCGACTAGACCACCAGGCGATTTGGGTTGGTCAGAATGCTTGGTTGCTGGATGTATCGTGTAGATACCAAAGATCGAGGCTATTTGAAAGATACTAGAGCTTCCTTTGCAATACATATTTGATCCCTATCCTGGCATACCATTCAAAAGCAGACAACTGAGAGACGACCGGCGCACATCCGGCACCATTTGAACCACATATTTTCTGCGTCGGAAAGAAAACAGCTTTCGGGTCATGAATCATTCCTCCGTTGGCGTGCTATATATACTCAACACCGCCACTTTCTCATTGAGCGCAGCTTGACGACTTACAACTTGGCCACGGGTTGCGAGGATCCCACGGTGGTAATCTCGTTGTACAGCAGGCTAGGCATACACGTTAGCACATCTCACTAAGGATGACAGACAGCTGAGCAACATACCTCGTCAAGAAATCGGCGTAATCTTCGCCAGTCACCTGACCCTCAAAGTACCTGGCAGCGAGAGCAAACTTGTTGCCCTTGGGAGCCTTCGATGCCAGCTCGTCGGCTTGCTCCTTCAACAACCGGAGCGCATATGCCTTGTCGACAGTCTTACCCTCGGCAGTCTTGATACCATGCCGGACCCATTGCCACAATTGGGATCGTGACACCTCGGCAGTGGCAGCATCCTCCATCAGGTAGTTGATGGGCACGCAGCCCACGCCTCGCAGCCAACCTTCCATATAACCGAGGCCGATATTGAGGTTCTTCCTGATACCTTCTTCGGTCACGGTGCCAGGCATGTTCATGTTAAGCAGGTCGTTCTTGGTGACATTGACATCCTCGCGACGCTTGTAGAGCTGGTTGGGGGTCGGCATGTCTTTGTTGAACACTTCCGAGGCAATGGCGGCCAGAGCAGGATGGGCCACCCAAGTCCCGTCGTGGCCAGCTCGGACTTCACGGAGTTTGTCCTGTCGGACGTTGTCCATGGCCTTTTCGTTGGCTTCTGGGTTGTCCTTGATGGGAATCTGCGCTGCCATGCCGCCCATGGCGTGGACGCCACGACGATGGCAGGTCTTGATCAGCAGCCGCACATATGCATCCATGAATGGCACGGTCATGGTCACGGCGGATCGATCCGGAAGGACGAAGTTAGGGTTCTGGCGGAATTTCTTGATCACGGAGAAAATGTAGTCCCAACGGCCGCAGTTGAGTCCAGCTGAGTGATCTCGAAGCTCGAAAATGATCTCGTCCATCTCGAAAGCAGCAGTAATGGTCTCGATCAGGACAGTACCCCGGATAGTGCCACGGGGAACGCCAACACAGTCCTGGGACAGGTTGAAGACATCATTCCACAATCTCGCCTCGAGGTGTGACTCCATCTTGGCGAGGTAGTAGTACGGGCCAGTGCCTCGTTTGACGAGTTCCTTCGCATTGTGGAAGAAATAGAGACCAAAGTCGAACAGAGAGCCAGAAATCGGCTCCCCATCGACGGTGAAATGTTTCTCTTCCAAATGCCAGCCTCGAGGACGGGCAAGCAGTGTGGGCAAGACACGGTCGGTCCGCAGCTTGTAATCTTTCTCTCCTTGCTTGAAATCAATCTGTCTCCGGATGGCATCGTACAGGTTCACCTGTCCCGACACCTGGTTGTCCCAGGTTGGGGCTTGGGAATCTAGCAAAAAGAGTCCAGTCAGCAGGGTGTCGCGGCGGTGCCCGGTTGCCAGTTGTCAGTCTCTCACCCTCAAAGTCCGCCATGTATGTCCAAACGTTGCTGTTCAGCGCATTCACCACCATCTTCCGATCCGTAGGTCCGGTAATTTCCACTCGTCGGTCAACCAGGCCCGGCGCGGGAGGGGCGCCTTTCCACGTATCATCGTCCCGGATGTGCTTGGTTTCGGGGAGGAAATCGGGCAGAACGCCCTTGTCCAGCTCTTGCTGCCTGATCACTCGTCTCTGGAGCAGCGCTTTCCGGGTTGGGTTGAAGGTACGGTGGAGGAGGGCCAGAAATGCAGTGGCCTCGGGAGTCAGGATCTTGCGGTAGGAGTCTTTGATGGCACCGTTAATGAGGACACCCTCGTTGATGGATTCGATGCTGGCCATGATGACGATAATCGTTTGGTATTAGTATGGGGACAAGAACAGGAAGGAGGATGTTCGGTGAGTCCAGATCTTCGAGAAGGAGGACTGCCGGGAACAGAGCATTGATATACACAGCATCCGTACGTCAGAGCGAGGGCCAGCCATCCATCGGTTCATCTTTTTTACTAGTAGGACGTGGCCAGAGCCATGAATGAGAGAGGGGCGCGCCTACGGCTACGGTCGCAAAGCCGGCGCACTTCTCAGGTCACTGGTCCATTGATCCAATGGGAGAGGAGAACTCAGACCATCTCGTCCCCTGTAACCGGGGGAGGTGGATAAGGTAAACTTGAAGAACCTGACAACCTCAGTTCTTGTGTGGGGTAGTGAGTCTCCCTTAAAAACGCCGTGCGAAAGGTTTTCCCATGTTTCCGGTGTGCCAGTTTAGCCAGTGATCTCTTCTGGCCATCCACACTCCATCCGATCATCGGTTTCCTTTGTCAATTTTTTGCGTCCCAAGATCCTCGGCAACACACTTTTATGACACGGGTTGCCACTTGCTACAAGTAGGCTAGGCTTTGTGTACAGAGGCTGGCCTGACTGTACACAATTTACCTGGCTTGTCCGCACTGCAGGACATGTGTCCGGGCGGTGGCGGGGATGCGATGGTGTGACAGAAAACGCCCCAGCAGCGACTACAGTACAAATGACACTGCATGCCCCCGAGTTGTCTGGCCTTGCAGGAGAGCCGAGGTTCAGACCGTCCAAGAATGAATTGATCTCCAGGCCTTCAAACTCGAACGACGAACAGCCCTTGTAGCGTGGATTCCCGTCCATCGCCGGCTTCTCCCGAACCCTCGCATTGTCCGAGGCTTGACGACGACGGTTATGCTGGTGATGTTATGTACTGGGATCGTTCTGAACAAGGTCTGGTAGAAACATTCAGCTCTGAAGAGCCGCTACATCTCCTTCTCTAGCTATAGGGATGCCAAGGTATGAGTTGTCTGAATTGCCAGTGTCCTTTCGAGCTCCTGCTTGTTGCCTGAACAATGTTACGAGCTAGAATTAGATCCCATTCCTCTGTTATCTCTGCATCCCAGGTCTATGCGCCGTCTCTTTCAAGTGTATTCCCACGCTGCATACAGGTCGGCATAGTCGACGGCCAACCCATCAAACCCCAAGCACTGTGATATATTGCCCTGGGGAACAGTGGCGTTCTTCAAGTTTGCGAAGACTTGCCAGGCATCTCCATCCGTGGGGCATGCCATCAGCCCATCAGCCCCAAAGGCCTCAGTGCTGAGAAGTCCGAGCGGTGCGCCAGGTGCTTTGTAGTAGGTGAACGGACACGGCAGCGAACCATTTGGCATAAGAGTCGAGTGTGCTTGGGTGTAACCAATCTCGCCTCGTGGAGTGACATACAACTGCTGACCTCCAGGGACAAGAACAGCCTATCCAGCGTCAGTGACTGTTGAAACCAGACACCCAAAACTCACCATGCTGCAGAGCGAAAACGCCGTCTCATTACCAGGCGGACAGGTGCCGATGTCGTCCACAATGTCCGGACAGTATGAGAGAGTCTTTCCCCCCAGATAGAAGCGTAACCCAGCAGCATTCATCTGCAAGAAGTGGATGGGCGAGCCGCTTCGAGCGGCAACGACGCCGAGAGGTGCAGTTGGAGATGTGAGGGCTCCGGACGAGGTGCTGCTCGACGTTGAAATGGCCGTGCTGGCAGCAGTGCTGCTGGCTGCCGCAGTGCCGTTGCCTGCATAGGTCGGTCCATGGCTATAAGAGCGAGGCGAACCTGAAGACCCGACTTCTTGAGGGCGGGGGGAGGCGCAGGCGGCCGTCACGAAGAGAAGGACTGCAATGAGAGAGGGGATCTGCATGGTGAAAAGAGTTGTGTGTTTCTTTGAGCGAACGACGAACTGATGAAGGAACTTGAATGAGATGAGAGGATGACCTCGAGTCCTTATGATGATGACCACGGCTGTTGGAAGAAGATCGATTGACTGTGATTTGGAAGCTGAGAGGGTAGAATTGAAATATAGCTGCGACTTGGAACAGAAGGGTTGAGCAGCCGGACGGAGTCACTGCAAATGTTTCCTTTCTTCCTTCTGTCTGTCTGCTTCTTCCTTTCATTCTCGACGGGCCCTCGCAGCTTTCCGATCCATTCTTGTGCTACTCCCCCGAAACATGCTGAGATGCTGGTACCGACAGAGACCATCGACCTCTCTGAACCGTCAATATGGTTTCTTCTGGCTTTTGACAGATAGATTCTATTCTCCTTCATCATTTATCATCATCCTTCCATCTCCTCCACCCTCCCACACCTGGCCATCACTTCTCGCTGACTGCGGTCGTCGACAGTGAACCTCTCCATCTCATTCTCCGGCAGTGTCGTACACCGTCCCTACTTTGATTCCCTTCCGGTCCCTCCTGGTCACCTTGACTCGTCGCGTCAGCCGTCAAGCAACTCCACCAAAAGGCGCAATGGCTCACAGACTTGTGGCTACGTCGGGCCTTGTTCTAATCTCGCCGACATCAATGAAAGAATCCACTGTTGACGCCACCTTCTGCGGAATCTCAATATTTTTCACTCAGCAAAGCACTAGAATGAGGGACCCCCTCCATCGACCTTCGATGTTTCCAAGAATCCGTCGTGTTGCTTGCATGACACCCAGACAGAGATCATACCTCAGGTATTTGGGGGATAGATGCAGCCATTCCAATTCCGTTCTCATCGAACCCCCGCTCGGGCCGATGTGCAATGCTCAAATAGACCGATGCTGCAGTATTGGCTTTCCGGACAAGATGGTCATACACCTTCAACGGCAGAGGCATGCTGGATACCCAACTGACGAGGGCCCTTTTAGCATCTATTCTGCCGACTAGAGACTGTGGCTTGTTTTCAACCATGTTGCCACGGCAGATTTCAGGCCCAGAGACAAAAGCGCAGGCGTTCAGATCAGCAGGTGGTAAGATTGCTGAGAGACATTGGAGGAGGATGTTCTCAACCAGTCCACCTTGTCATTTTAATTCGCATCTGCCAGACCTGCTTCGCAGTGTTTCACAACAGCTCTCCAGAATCTTCTTCCACACCATCTGGTCCTAGGACGTGGATACGTCTTCTTGCGTTTTGCCAATCGATCCACGCCAGGCCCTGAAGTAAACAATCGGCCAGGTCATCTAATTTGGAGATGCCATTCATGTTGGTGGCAAGGACGTTCCTCTTTCTGTCCTTCTGCCAGATCGAAACGAACTCGCTTGTGAAAGGTCGTAGATCTTCGTCTAAGCGGATTGCAGGAGGCTTCTCATCGTCCACCAGCATTTGTCCGACCCGATCGATCTTGGCCCTCTTTACATCCCGACCGCTGCGACGCACAGCTGGGGTTTTCACAGGAGCACTTTTGGCGGCCTCACGACTTTCGAGCCAGTATCTGTTGACAAAAGTCGGCTGCATAGGTTCCACCTGCACCTGGACCTTTCCTTCCTCGACCAAAGTCCGCAGCACAGCATACAGCATGCCCTCGAACACGCCGACTCGAATGGTCCATTCTGGCACAGCTGCTCGACCGCCACTGCGGAACCTTTGCCTCTCGATCAGAACGTGGCTTGGTTTATATGTCCGCAGCAGATTCGTGACCAAGTTATACGCGTGAAGTGCGTAGTCGATGGGCTCGAAAGATTCCTTGCCTAGCCGAGAACGGATATGTGTGACTGGCGAGGCCCCCTCTAGCTTAGACTCGCCCGGCGCCATCAGATGTGAGTCGATCGCCTCGACTTCCGATGCCTGAGACACGGCAACCTGGCGCCACTGCCGGAGCGTAGGGAGGCCGTACAACAATCTTTTGTCGACATGTCTCGGGGCCGATATATGTGCAAACGCAAGATTCCGGATGCCCATGTCGATGCTGAGAAGACTTAGATTTTCCCTTCTGGAGGTCTCGACTCCCGACAGTGCGTGCTGGATACCAGCCACTCGTTCAGCTTTTGTTCCCGAGCATGGTGAACCGATTGAGACCGCAATCCGATGCAGTCTGGCAAGACTTAACCCTGCAAGCCATGATGGCGCTGGGCTCATTTCATTTGCACAAGTCCACAAGACTATGCGGCAGATCTGCTACCTCAATCAGCGGAATATTATGCCTAGTCGAATCTCACGCCTGAGGACGGAGCGGACAGCTACTGGTGGCCCTTTCGCCCTCTGCTCCGGCGGACGTGTTGCGATGCAGGTTGCTCGGGTTGTTTTCAGTAAGTTGTCAAAAGGTTGGCGCAAAGGACGAGGTTTTATTGGAGGGACAGAAGGCCCAAGTCAATTGAAGTGTATAAACCTACGAGGTATGTACCTTAGTAGGTATGAACCCCTGAACGCGAAGCTCGAGCGACCTCACGTGACAACCAGAATCCAGTCCACTCCCAACATGGGATCAATATAAAACACCTATTAATTGTATTAGGAGAGCAATCTTCTCCTGCTATAACGAAAGTGACAAGTCGATATCTATCTCCTTGCACCCAGCAATCATGACACTCCATGTTGCTAACCCCGAAATTGGCCTGATGATACATGGGCAGACCCGTGATCCAGCGCCTTTATAACTCCCCGGCTGGCCTTCACCAAAGCAAATGGGTATCATGTAACAACCATCCTTTTGTTGTACAGATTATTCGGCATCACCGCCGCGTGCCGCTGTAATGTCGCCGTCCTCATCGCCCACGCTCTCATCCTCCTCGCTCTCATCGTCGTCGCTCTCATCTTCTCGCAAATAAACCAGGTCCTCCCAAACCCTCCAGTGGATGACTGCAATGTGTGCCAATCTGCTCGCCATGATGCCAAAATCTGTCAGTAAGCGACATCCTGGTGGCGGCTGGAAGCGGCGCCGCAGCCTGTTTTGGGCATAAGATATTGTGCTCGCTGGCAGTCCCTCATAAACTTTGGCATATTTATATGTGCATTCTTCAAGTGCTCTGCCAACTGCTCGAGCGACAATTCGGAATCGAGCTTCATACAGAAATTTTTCGTCCAACATCTTCGCCGTTGTTTCAGCAAGGTCTTCAGTGAGGGTCGAGTCCGGCTTTTGACAGAATCGGAGTGCGGAATGCATAAGCTCCAGAGTAACCGCGTTCACATGCCGCTTCCAACAGCTGGCTACTGTAGTGTCGAGCGCCGGGTCAGTCTCGGTCAGAGCCATGAGTCTGGTGCGAAGTTCTCCGTACATAAGACCCGGATTGCCGCCTGCCGAGCCACGGATTTGCTCAACTAGTTTGTTGAAGACAACGAGACATATTTCGACATGTACAAGCTCCTGTATCTCAGCACTTAGCATCCGTAAGCGAGATGTGTCGTATTTCAGAGTCTCGGGTATGATAGCAAGCTGGTTGAGGCAGAGTCCCACCAGCCCATGAATCAACGACACAAACGGCGGATCGTTGAGCGTTTCGCCTAATACCACGCAGTTCTGACCATGGTCCGTGAAGGCCACGAGCCACCAACGGTGGCTGTCGCGTGTTGTCAGATGCCCGTTTTCGATGCGAACCCCAAAATACTTTCGTTGGAAGTCGACTGTATCATCGATGAAGGACCCACGAAGGTTCCGGACCTGGTGATTGGCGACATCCAGTTGCATGGCCTCCAGCAATCCGAACAAGCTCTCGACACCCGCAACCAGAGCGCCAATGTCTCCCCGCTCGACACCATCTCTGATTTGGTCGGCCATATCATGGGCGGCCTTGTCCCTGTAGGGGGCACAGTGACTTGTCACGCGTTGACGGATCCAACCTGCCAGGCGGACAATGTCCATGAGGCCATGGGAGAGCTCCTGTAGAAGGAGAGGGATGTCGAGGCATTGAGCAAGCTGGTCGTGCTCACTATCTGGGAGCAGGGCGGTGAGCAGATCCTTGAGCTTGTACAACATATCGGGCAACCTTGGTTTGAAGAAACCTGGTTCCATGGGAGTGGACGAGCATTGCGTTTCGCACTCGACACAAGAAGGTAAGAAGTTATGTTGGTACATTATTTTGAGCTCTGCCTCGAGACTTAACCAGTATTTCCTTGCCTCCTGCCTTTTGAGCTCGCCCCTGACGCCAGGATCACGCATGAATTCAAGGTTGTGGTCATAGTTGAGGTCGATGCGCAAGCGTATATTGGATGTTATCCACTCGAGGTCCAACTCTTCCAAGCCCTCCTTAGTGACTGGAGGATGTGGCATGGCCGTAGAAAGTGCCCTATGCTCCTCTTTGCTTATACATGGCGGAATGTTCACACGCTGGCTCAATTCTTCCTCGTGATCCTCCTCCCCTCCTCGTGTCGATGATGTGGACGCGTTGTTACTGGACTGCGCAGCTTGACCCTGGGACGACTGCTGCATATCCTGATGACATGATGACCCGGAGGAGGAGGTTGGGCTATAAGGACATTCGACATCTTCCTCGGCAGGATCGGGCCTCTTGGACGGCAACCCAACCCTAGAAGACATGGATGATTTCATGACCGTTGGTACAGAGGACAACAAAGGCTCAGCAGAGTCATAAGCGGTGGCTGCAGGTGGCTGACTCCTCCCTGTTATAGAATCTCCTCTAACTCTTCCTGGTTCCTGGTGGCTAGCAGCTGGTTCATCGTCCCTATCCATGCTGCTGCTGCTGCTGCTGCTGCTGCCTTCCTTGTCGCATGCTCCCGAGACCGACATGAAATGCTATCGTTCCGAGAGGGCCGCTTTCGATTGGCGCATCATTTTCACTCTGGGGTAAAGGCGAGGATCTAGCAACGTTCCGAGAGGAGGAAACGCTCGGAACCGCGGGCGGAGGCAAGCACGGTGCTGGTCCTATCGCCTCAGCGAACGAGGGAATTCCCCCAAAGGCTGGTGGGACAACGGCGGGTGAGTGAATGGCAGGGTCCAGTTGGCAAAACCGGCGATGAAAGCGTGGCGGTAGGGGAACAAATGATCCGGAAAAGATGCAGGGTATGCTTGCATTGGCCTGCCTGTTCGTACAGGACTATTGCTGCAATCTTGGAGAAGAGAACGGTATTGATGTTGTCGAAGTTGTAAGGAGAGACGAGGAGAGCTTTCAATGCTGACTGTCTGCTGGAGGAAGGACAGGTTGCGCCTTCCGCTGTCACTCGTCAGACACTCGGAAGCCTCAGAGAAAGTGCGATCTGCGCGAGCTCTGCGACTGGGAAGGAGAGGCTGCGAGCCTCATTTCCATTTCTTCGGCTCAGCATCGAGAGAAGAAGTCGGTTTCAGCTCTGCATGTCAGGATACTTCTCTCTACCGTGCTCACCAGCGCCGGGTCCTTTATCTCTCTTCCCCAACCATTGACAGGGAGAGCGGGAAATTGCGCCTGCGCCCCAGTGGCTGCTTCGTCTCATGCTGCAAGTCGTCACGCAGGGCTCTCTCATCACTGCAATGAAAACAAAGCACAAACGTCCTTCACAGTTTTTGTCATCAATCTTACAAAGGCACAACATTGCCGAAGTTTACGCTCTACTGGTCTGCTAGTATACTAGTACCTGGGTAGGTGTTGGTGTATTCATCGTCTCGGTGTGGATCCTCAGCTGGCCACCTTGCAGGTCGATTGCTGGCATTCATTGGTAGTTTGTTGATGGTTTCCAGTCTTACCAATAAGGAGCAGAGGTTTCCCTTCTGGTCTGGGATGGAGACCAACTAACTCAACCGTAGGCTACAAATCACGAACGCTCTCGCTTCCTTCTCGTTCGTGGCGACGATCTACCTTGATAGGCAACCAGTCAGGCTGAGGCGACGCTGCCGCCACCTCCTATCGTCTACAAAGTATATGAGGGAGGTGGGTAGACTCAAGAATGAGGCTGTACCAGATAACATGGAACAGTCGTGGAGACAGGCAATGATCAACATCCTCCCGCCATGGAACACTCGCTTGGTCGTGCAATTGACGAGGGGAGACACGGTCGGTCTCACAGATGGAAGAATGCATACCATTGTGCTCCCTTATCACGACGGCCGCGCGGATGCAGTTCGCCGATGACACTTTTTTAACCAGTCAAGGAACAGTATGTACACTCTCACAATGGCCAACATCAATGCATCGGCTGCGAGAGCAAGGGCGTACAAGGACAAGCGATACTTCGGATGCCGTCGCTCCTATTTTCAGCAACTTCCATGGTACAACACGGCACTTTCTGGAAGATACATGCTTGCCGCATTTCCCGACGTGGTCATAAATCTAGCAATCCATATCGGTCAGACTCAAGAGAAGGGAACCTGTTGGGTGTCAAACAACTCCTGGATGTTTAGAGACGATGAAATATCGAAATCAGCCTTCCTTCAGGGGAGATTCCAGATTGCATAGGCCACCCGGGTTCCTTGGGATGAAGCGCAGAGAAACTGCAGGGTCATGTGGATCCTTCGGTCACTAGGACACAGATTGTCTCGACAAGAACGAATCCTGTTTCCGGTCCTCTTTGGCTCCACGACGTTGTAGGTAGGTAGCAAGTGACTGGGCCGACGCATGGTACTTTGAAACCGAAAATTGTCGGAAGCACTGTCAGAGTGACACTTGGTAAGGGAACGACAGCCTCATTCCTGTTCACAGCGAGGCAGGGAGTCCACAGAGCAATACTCCGGACGATCTCTTCCACCCTTGCTTGAGCATTTGCTCCTCCGGCCCGGAAGCTCATACCGCATGTCAGGGAATTCATGTTAGCCACGGAGCACCAGCATCGGTCGACTCGCAAGGCGAAAGACACTGCAATTCGTGGCCTACAACGATAACAAGGCTCTTTTCACCTACGGATCCTGAACCCTAACAACCACCTTGCGCGAACCCCCAGCGCCAGATCGCTGATGGGAATAGGCTTTGATGGCATCCTCAAACCCTCCGTTTCCGACCACTTCATAATCGCCCGGCCGCAGTTTGCCTTCTTCGAGCAGTCCAATAATGACCGGTACATACTGTTCGAGCTTTGCATTCAAATCCTTTGCTTCAGGTCTGCCAACGTCTCCCAATTGAACAAGATGAGTGTTACCGCCCTCGAAATCGCCAATGCCGCTCCAGTCGTTTGTGGTGGCGAAGAACTTCTCCGGGCTTTTGTTTTCCCTAAACAGTGCCTTGGCCAGCACTGGATCATCTGCGGCGACAGCGTCAAAGATCCTGGAGAAATTGCCCGATGTGGCCTGCATGACATGGCTCACTTGTTCGTCCAGTGAAGTCTTGTAGTTGAAAGGAACAGCGCCTAATCCGCTGACCACGCCAGCCGAGTTGGTCGAACAAGAGGCGATGACCCGGTATCCACAGATCTTGGCCAGCTGGATCGCGCATCTGCCGACGCTGCTTGCTCCTCCAAGGACGACGATCCAATCATGCTGTACAGCAGGCAGATTCTTCGGATCGGGCAGTGGAATATTGAGGCCGTCAAATAATCCCAAACAAGCAGTCTCGCTGGCCACTCCCAAGGTAGCAGCTTCGACCAGAGAAATGTTCTTTGGCTTCGCTATGGTGACACGGGCATCCATCAAAAAGAATTCCTGACAGGTGGAATACCCGGGAGAGCCCAGCCTGGTGCAGCCAAAGACTTCGTCGCCCGGCCTCAAGCCATGTTTTGCTCTTGCTTCGCTTCCGACTTCGACCACCACTCCTCCAGCGTCGACACCAAGTCCCAAAGGCCATGCCACAACGAGGGTGCCATAGGCGCTCATAAAGGTGTCACTAGCCTTGTCAGTAACGAGAGGCCATCTCCAGGAGCAGGTAGAGCAGATGGTCCAAGAAATTCTAAGCTACTCATATGTTTTGATCACTTACACTGGGTTTATAGCCGTCCAAACGGACTTCACAAGCACCTGGTCAGCGTCTGGAGTTGGCTTTTCCAGGTCATCCACAACCCTTGGCTCAGCACCGACCGCGGGGAAGACAACGCCTTTCATGATCTTTTTGGCTTCTTTGGCTTGAAATACAGAGAACTGCCAATGAATACAGGAGTATGAAGACCTTGTGAGTAAGTGTGGTGTTGGGCACAAACTGAGACGGGCCGAGACTCGATGCCGTCAAAGGCTATTTTGTATCTTTGGCAGCAGCGGGCAGTAGCAGGCAACGCCCGTCAACGTAACAGGTTGCGTGCAGACTTTCCTCGAGTCGGTCTTGAGAAACGAGCTTCCGCAACGGCCGGTGATGGACGTGCATGGCATCTCGTTCCCAGCGAATGACCTCCTGATATTAACTCTATGCTTGCTGGGACAAAGACTAAGTGGAACACCTACGAGGAAAGGGTAGGATATCATGGATCATGCTTCTAGCCATCAACCAAGAAGTGACACAACACGAACTACAAACTGTAGATAGGTCGAAGATGCCAACTCGAGGCAGTCTAGAAGCAAGAGTCTCTCCGAATACGAGGGCAGCCCTTGGTGATAGGAGGGGGTAAACCGCCACCTTCAACAGTCAGCAATTGGGGGATTTGATAAAATTCTCCTTTGCAGGTGAGAAGAGATCAGGCGGGCTTCCAATATAGTGTCGTCTTGACTTCCCACTAGATATAAGGGATGTAGTTGTTGAGGGCGGTTATTACTAGGCCAGTGCTTCATCAGCCTGACACGAGAAAAGAGTGTCTGCGCGTATCGAAAAATGCTCCACGGTATAGATATTTCTGTCGATCATAACAATCTCCAAGTGCAAGTCTCGACTACTGATACGGTGGACCATAGCGATCGGACTTTCCGGCGAGCAAGAGCCCTGCAAGGTTGCAGAGGAACCCGGCGGCCGACAACCTTCGACCTCCGGAGTCTGCCATTATTGTATTGCTGGGAGCTCAAAGAAAGTCGAGCTGCTCAAAGTCCTCACCCAACATCCAGCCGCGCAGCCAATTTCTACACCTCTTTGCCCTCCCCCCTCGGGGATCTCTTGAAGCAACCTCTGAGCAGCTTGTCACTTGAACCTAATTGAGTCTGCTTCTTCGCAGCCAAACCAGATCCTCGCACTCATGGCGGGCAGACAGTCAGCGCGGCTCCTGGCCCGCCAACTGACCTCGCAATGCGCGCATTCTCAACCTCAGGCTCGACGAGCTTTCTCCTCCGCCGCCTCTTACCTGGCCGCGCATAATCTCACGATGCCAGCCATGTCGCCGACCATGACGGAAGGCAGTATAGCCAAGTGGATGGTCAAAGAGGGGGAGTCGTTTTCCACTGGAGACGTCATCTTGGAAATCGAGACCGACAAGGCTACAATGGACGTTGAAGCCCAGGACGACGGGGTGTTGGCCAAGATCTTTGCCCAAGACGGCACCAAGGGCATCCAAGTGGGCACCAGAATAGCCGTCCTCGCCGACCCCGGCGACGACATCTCGAGTCTGGAGATCCCCCCGGACGATTCCACCCCCGTCAAGTCCGAAGCAGACAACGTCAAGGGCGGAGAAGATTCCTCGTACGCGAGCTCTGGCGTCGAGAAGGATGTCAAGGGCACTCCCCAGAACAAGAGGCCGGCAAAGGACAGGCCCCTCACGAGTCCGCGCGGTTCAGGCCAGAACCCGAAGTACCCTCTGTATCCGTCGGTGATCGCCCTCATCCACGAGAACCATGTCCCCGACGAGGAGGTCCCCAAGATCCCGGCCACTGGCCCGAACGGCCGCCTCCTGAAGGGCGACGTCCTCGCCTACCTGGGCACGATTGACCCGGAATACACGGCTAAACTGGCCGAACGGATAGAACACCTCGAACACCTGGACCTAAGCAACATCAAGGTCGTGCAGTCTGCCGCCAAACCCGCCGCCGAGGCCGCTGCTGCTGCGACAGCCGCACCAGAACCTCCCAAAGTCACCAGCGTCAGTCTGCCCATTTCCTTGGCCGAGGTGCTGAAAGTGCAACACCGGATCCAAGAGACCTTGGGCGTGACTGTTCCTCTTTCCACCTTCCTTGCCCGTGCCGTCGACCTTGCCAATGACGACCTGCCGAGACCGAAGGGCCAGAAACCCTCCGCCGACGACCTCTTCAACGCCGTGCTGGGCCTGGACACCGTCCCCTCGACGTCCAGGGGCACCTATCTCCCGCAGATCGACGCCCTGCCCAGCTATCCCAGCAAGAAGCCGGCCCCGCGCCCTGCAGCAGCGGCAAAGAAGCCCGACATCATCGATATTCTATCTGGCAAAGCCGTGCCGAAGCAGTCATCGCGCAGCCCATTGCCCTCGTCGAGCCCGAGATTGTCGACCGCGGATGGCGCCGTGAACGTCTTTAGCCTGACGGTGCCGGCGGGAGAGGAGAAGCGAGCACGCACCTTCCTGGAGCGTGTGAAGACGGTGTTGCAGGTGGAGCCTGGGAAATTGGTGTTCTGATGCGAAATGAGGCGCTGGAATCTTGCAAAAATGGACTGTAGTAGTATAGATAGATTCGCTTCACTTTGCCTTTTCACTCCAGCTCCCAGATGTAGAAAAAGTACTTCGATCGTCGTCAGTGGGTTTACTGGGCAATCATTGACCTACTAGTACGGAACACAATCGGAACTCCAAGTCTGATGTCGCTGTGGTGTCAAACTTGATTTTAAATCTGTCACTGCGTCTCATTTGGATGGGACGCAACGCTTTTGTCATGTTGCGCTTGTGAACGCTACCAGCAAAATAACCGCTATAGCAGGTGAGACTTGAGGTTGGGTTTTCCGGCCAACATCAATCCATGAGAGCCATTAAATGCATATCAATCCAGCGCCATGCTTGCAAACCCCCCCCCCCCCCCCTCCCCCCCTTTTGCCTGTAATGGCACTGCATCTGAATAGAAGCATGTCGTTTGTCTCTCGTGTCTCCCATATCATCTCAGTTCATGATCATCTGCATGGCGAAAGATTGTTCGCTTGCTTGTTGCCTGCCTAACATGCTGTGAATCTCCTGTGCCCGCCCTGATCTCGAATCGAAGAGACTGAAGAGCATAAACAGCACCAGATCCGCCCCGCAGAGATATTTTGCGTCTGTATCACAAATAGTGCACCACCCTGTACAGTTATACCACATGTGGCAGAAACGTTCCCCAGTTGCGTGGCTCTATCCATCCCGTTCGGTGGTGTACTGGCCTCGCTTTCTCGGCTTTGAAAGTCGTGCTGTTGTTCTCGCGCTGATGTAACCTTCAATCCCAACACTCGACCAAAGTCTTCGGGAGTTCAGCGAATGGCGCCCCAATCGCCCAATCTCCCTGAGAGACCATCACTGTTCCTGCCTTCGTTGCCTTTCTTGCCAAATACTCGCCAGAATCGCAGTGTCTCATCGCCGGCCCCTGTCACGACGGTGGTACCATCAGGACTCGTGCTCAAGTAGAGGACGCGGAACGTATGTCCAGTCAGGCTGACAACCTGTTCCATCTTTGGATACTTCCACACCACGATTTGATTTTGGCTGTAACCGTGGGTGCTGACGATTTCGTCGCTGTTCTTGCTCCAAGCCAGGTTACAGACCTGACTTCCTGTATCGATTTCCTTGATTAGTGAGCCAGTTGCAGTGTTCCAAAACTTGATGGTGCGATCTGCGGTGCCACCACCGGATGCTAGCAAGTGGTGCTGATGAGGACTCCAGGCAATGGCTTTCACTGCGGCCACATGGTTCGAAAATCGATACAGAGGTGTCTCGGAGAGTTTGTCCCATACACACAGCTTGTTGTCGTTTCCGCCCGAAGCAAGCTGACCATCCTCAGTGTTCCATCGCAGTCCACAGACTTCCTGTTTATGTCCTGCCAAACGTCTCAAGTACTGGTCGGGACTGCGGACGTCTCGGTGATAGATTAGGCGATCTCTTGATCCAGAGGTCAGGATATGGTCGTTCCAGGCCAGCGCACCAACTCGCGCCGAATGACCGGTCATTGTCCGTAACCTTCGGGATTTCTCGGCATCATAGATCTGGACGAAGCCTTTGTGTGTCCCAACGGCGATATGGGAACCTCGTTGAATCCAGGCGACCGACGTCACCAGATCGTTGTCAGGCAACTTGCACAGTTGAGTCACTTTGCCCGTCGTACTGTTCCACATGTAAACACACGACCCAAGCCCGACACCGAGAATGTTTGCCGATCCCCAATCCACCAAGTTCAGGTAGAAATCATCCGCGAGTTCGGGAGCATCAAGCACTTTGTACGGCACTTTGGCGATGGGTCGAGGCTGCTTTCGGGGGGTCTGCAGGATGGACTGAGAGGAGTAGTTGATAGGTGATATAGAGTACAGGTCGGATCTGGCGTTCAAGTTGATAATGCCTGGATGCTTCCCAGCTCTTGAGGAGGGCGTAGGATGGCCCGACCCTATCACTTTCTGAGGAGAATTGTACGAAAACATATTCTTATGAGGAGTGGTTGGAGTGATTGACGCTGGCGGCAAGGCTGAAGCGGAGGGTTGTCCGGGAGGAGTCTGACGGCGGCCAAAAAGATCGTCCGGTGAAAGAGATCGATAGTCCTGAGGTACTGAATCGCCCATCAACTCATTGCGCAACACTTTTGTATAGGTTCGATTGGCTTCTTCGGTGCGCTGGAAATGGAGCTCGCCGTTCGGAGCCTTCTTCTTTGATCTCGATGGCGTGGCTGGAGATCCGTCATCGTGCAGCAAGCTGTAACTTGCTTGCAAGTCTTGTCCGTCTCTATTGGGGATGAACCTAGGGATGGCTGTCAGCTTGAAGTCCGGCATTCGATCGCGAAAGCCATCTTACCGATCTCCGTAAACTCGCTGTCTCTTCCGGCTGGGACTCCGCCCTGGTGTTCTCTCTCTCTGCCTTCCTGCGCTCTCGATCTCCTTCAACCGCCGTTGCAGAGCATCCGTCTCCATGGCTTCTGTAGCACGCTGTATTGCCGACATGCCCTCGTCGTTTCCCAGAAACCGCTTGCTCGAGATCGTGGGAGGGGTTTTGGAGCCGACCGGAGTAGGTAAGGATGGAGTTCGAGGACGGTGGGAGGTGTCGACAGCCAAGGGAGTTGTTGAGTTGTCTGCCATGATGAGGATGTTGTGTAAATAACACGGGGATCGGTCCGCCCGGGTGACGATACAGTGAAGACCAAACTGAGGCGGAAGTAAAGTGAAGTGAGGTGAGTGACGGCTATGGTAGATATCGCAAAATGGTGACCAGATTACAATCAATATGCTCGCTCAGTGTTTTGATGGCCTCCGCAACCGCGACCGCTTGTCGTCCTGAGACAGTGAACTCAGCAGTGGAGGAACGAATTGTTAAACAGAGGACATGGCTCGACGTTGATTAAAAGCACCTCTATGTAGATGGCAGCTATTATAACGTGAAATGGTACAGTTGGTGGATAGGGTAGTGACTGTTTGGCGGCAGCAGTGAATGTTCGTTCGCATTCATTCAGGGACGAAGCCAGTGCTGGATAGTAGTAACTACCTTAGTAGTAGTACTGCCACTGCACCGCGACTGCCGCTGTAGAGACTCACTGTCAGTGGCGGTTTCCGCCGCTTCTGGATCCGCCAAGCGACCTTTCCTAAAGCGGATCTACTCCTCACTGCAGTGCAAGTGCAGTGCAAATAGTAGAACGCCGACAGATGCCAGATGTCAATTCATATACTAGGTACTACCTGCGATAGTACCTACGACAGTGAGATGTCTTTATGTGCAGAGTAGCAGTTCACCTCTCGCTCTATCTCCTGTCCAGCATAGGACGTGTTGACACCTTCGGTTTCAGTCGCTATCGCTACACGTGAAGCCAGAAACAGCTACAGAGCTCTCCATCACAACAAACCACTTTACGCGGCCAGATGGCGACCAGGTGAAGAGCTCCAGTACCGCGTCTCTTTGTTTTGAGCGGCAAGGGAGCCCGATAATTGTTGTTCCCCTCGTGTCAGAGTCCACCTCGGATCTTCGCTTCTGGTTCATTGAGAAGGATGTTTCAAAGGTGGCTGCAGGGAAACAATTGATTCGACAAGAGGATTGGGCGATACGGATCCCTCCATGAGGCTTGCAGGCGCATTTATCCTATTGTAAGCGATTGGCAGCTCTGGGCATCGCTAGGAACCAGGGCACGCTGAGAGCCCCCCTAGGCCCTTAGCCCTGGCCCGGGCGATCAGCTAACAGCTACGCTAGGGGGCCCTTAGGCCCCTAGGCCTCAGGGAAGCCGAGGGACTTGAAATAAATGCATCTGTTTGGGCGTCCCCAGCGCTGTCCTTCACCTGGAATGGCCAGCTGCAAGGGTTAAAGCTTAGGCACGTTTAATAATAATGAAGCACCCCTCTGGATCCCTTCCGTATGGGCTCCGTAAAGTCGACGACCAGCTCCACCAGCTCTGACGTTGACTTCACCGACCTCGGTTTCCGTATCTACCAGCTGAGATACGCATCCTATCCTATTCCTGCGTACAGGTATACCTACGTACTATCGATCGTCCATCTACCACGCTCACTGCTGCGTCTTGAAAGCACATGCTCCTTCGCCTCTCCATCCGCCCGTCTAGAGCCAGATTCTATTCCACCATGGGCGTCGTAGACTCCAAAGCCATGGCAACCGACTTTCTCAATTTCGTCAATGCATCCCCCACACCGTTTCATGCCGTGAAGTCGGTCAAGGAACGTTTAAGCGAGGTTGGCTTCAAAGAAATCAAGGTCAGCCGGTATTCTCTGCTCCTATTGCTCCATACCTAATGTTTCTTCAGGAGAAGCAATCATGGTCGTCAACCTGTGTTCCCGGCGGTAAATACTTTCTTACGCGGAACGGTTCGACGATCGTAGCCTTCGCAATAGGCAAGAAATGGAAGCCAGGCAATCCGATCTCCATGATAGGTGCACACACCGACTCGCCTTGTCTACGGATCAAGCCGGTGAGCAAAAAACAAGGAGATGGATTTCTGCAAGTTGGAGTCGAAACTTATGGCGGCGGCCTGTGGCACACGTGGTTTGATCGCGACCTAGGACTTGCAGGAAGAGTCATGGTGCGAGACGGCGATGGAAACGTGGCTCAAAAGCTGGTCCATATCAATAAGCCTATTCTCCGGATTCCGACCCTTGCCATCCATCTCGATCGGCAGGAGACGTTCTCCTTCAATAAAGAGACCCAATTATTCCCCATCGCAGGGCTAGTCGCCGCGGAACTCAAGCGCCAGGATGAAAAGAAGAATAAGGAGTCCAAAGCTACTACTGCGGAAGAAGAAACAGAAGAGACCAAACCATTTACACCGCTGAAAGCTTTGACGACAAGGCATCACCCTCGAATTGTCGAAGTAATTGCCTCAGATGCAGGAGTTTCACCAGAAGACGTGGTTGATTTTGAAGTGGTCCTCTACGACACCCAGAAGGCTTGTCTGGGCGGCCTTAACGACGAATTCATCTTCTCAGCAAGGCTCGACAATTTGAACCAAACATACTGTGCAACGCTGGGATTGATACGTTCGCTTGAAGAGCCGTCAGCACTTGACGAAGAATCCTCCATACGCTTGATCGCTTGTTTCGACCACGAGGAAATCGGAAGCATGACGGCGCAGGGAGCTTTCTCTATGATGCTGCCAGCCATAATACGCCGGCTCTCTGTTTTGCCCGCGTCAGCATTCGTGGATGACAGCTCCGAGCAATCGTACGATCGCGTCGATGAGACGGACACGTCTACAGCCTACGAGCAGACGCTGTCAAGTTCCTTCCTCCTCTCGGCAGACATGGCTCACTCCGTCAACCCCAACTATGGAGGCAAGTACGAATCGGATCACCGGCCAGAGATGAACCAGGGCCCTGTGATCAAAATCAATGCGAATGCAAGGTATGCCACCAACTCGCCTGGCATTGTTCTACTCCAAGAGGTTGCGCGAAAGGCACCTAAGGTCATCGAGACTGACCCTGAGGGAGTGCCGCTGCAATTGTTTGTGGTGAGAAACGACTCCAGCTGTGGAAGCACAATTGGCCCGATGCTATCTGCTCATCTTGGGGCTCGTACACTCGATCTTGGCAACCCGCAGCTCTCCATGCACAGCTGCCGTGAGACGGGCGGTGCGGACGATGTTCACCATGCTGTTCGACTGTTCAGTAGCTTTTTCCAGCATTACTCCCGGCTGGAGAAGACGATATTGGTAGACTGAACGGCGGCTTTTCCATTGCCCGCAAGCGAACGTGATCAAGCAACACGGGGCTTGGGGGTGGAGCACAGAAGATTGTACCAAAAGACAAAAGGGTAGTTACATTATGCCAGAAGGGCCGACTCAGGGGGTTCACACATGATCGCTGAAGCCACCGGGACTGGGAATTGCAGATGTTGGTCGAGCCATATTATACCCAGATACTAGTACCAGAGTACAATCAGGTTGTGGAGATGAGGGTGACGCATTGATGATACTATAGATAAATGATAATAATTGTGCCATGATGAGGAAGCCGCAGAACAACCTCCCGTGAGTCTTTGATTTCACTTCGCTGAGCAACCTTCACCATTGTCCTGGAACGTGCCGCATACTGTGACCTTCCATAAATTCTTGCGGCCATGTCAACGCCCGAATACCTCACAGGCAAGAAGGATGCCATCCATCAATTCATAGACAAGTACGATGTCCGTGTTTCTACGAACCACCTTGAATCCTGCTTCTGTTGCGGCCGGACTTGAGACCAACGAATGCTGACCATGATGCTCAGGTCTTTCTCTTCGACTGCGATGGCGTCCTCTGGTCAGGCGACCACCTCTTCCCCGGAAGCGTGCCTACCTTGGAGATGCTGCGCAAGAAGAACAAGCGGGTGGTGTTCGTGACCAACAATTCGACCAAATCGAGGGAGGACTACCGCAAGAAGCTCGAAAGCATGGGCATCCCAGCGACGGTAGAAGAGGTCTTTGGGTCCTCATACTCGGCCAGCATCTACATCTCGAGGATCCTCCCGAAGACGCATCCGGAGGTGAAGAAGAGGAACAAGGTCTTTGTGGTGGGCGAGGCAGGCATCGAGACCGAGTTGGCGTCCGAGGGCATCTCGTATCTCGGAGGTACGGATCCCGCGTACAGGCGCGAGGTGACGCCCGATGATTACAAGCTGCTGGCTGCAGGTGACCCGTCGGTGCTGGACCCAGACGTTGGAGTGGTGCTGGTAGGCCTGGATTTCCACTTCAACTACCTCAAGCTGTGCTACGCCTACCACTACATCCAACGTGGCGCCTTGTTTCTGGCCACCAACTTGGACTCGACTCTCCCATCTGCCGGCGCCCTCTTTCCCGGAGCCGGGTCGATCAGTGCGCCGTTGGTCAAGATGCTGGGCAGCCAGGAGCCCATGGCGTTTGGGAAGCCCAACCAGGCCATGATGGATGCCATTGAGGGCAAGTTCCAGTTCGAGAGAAGCAAGGCCTGTATGGTCGGCGACCGGACCAATACAGACATCCGCTTCGGTCTGGAAGGCAAGCTCGGGGGTACTTTGGGCGTCCTGACCGGCGTGGCTACGAAGGAAGAGTTTCTCGAGGGCGATGTTCGACCGCATTACTACGTGGACAAGTTGGGAGATCTGCTAGAGGGCGAGTGACCCGGCTGCTTGCAAAGAGAAGTCAGACGATGCTAGTAGTGGAAGGATGGGCAATGCAGCATTACTCCTTCTGCCACCTGGCCTGGTGATAACGCCAGAGGAGATAAAGAGGTACTAGACAGCAGGCTAGAAAAGCAGCTCAGGTAGACTTGCCATGTCAATATTCGCAATACAACTGTGCCACTCGAGTCAATTTCCTCGCCTCACTTGTCCCATCTCCCTCTACTGGTTCTGAGAAATTGCTGGCTCGTCCCACCCACGAGCCGACATCCTTGTGCCCAAAGTACGCATACCTTTCTATCCACGGACAGGCATCCAGCCATGGCAAAGCCTCTCGCAGGAAGGCGCTCACCTCATCGACGTCGGTCTCGCCATTGCCCATCTTCGAGCACGCAAACTCGTTCAGCCAGACCGGAAGACGGTACGTCTGGTGCATGTCTTCGAGAAATGCACGCATGTCTGTGAACCGCGGCCCATACCAGTGCAAGACGAGGAAATCGATCCCATCATTGCCGCCCAGCTGCGCCAGAAACGAGGTCAACCAAGGCTTGCTCCGCCCCACGTCGCTGCTCATACCAGGACTGCCCAACCGAAGGCCGAACTTGGCTTTTGCAGGGAGGACGACATCTTTCCATAGTGCGACGGCGGCTTCGACGTTGAGGTTGGCTTGTTCGGGAATTTCAGGTTCATTGAACCCCAGCAGTGCGCTGGCCTTGCGAGTTCGGAGGATATCAGTCAAAAACGGGTCGATATCTTTGGCCTGCGCGGCCGTCCTGACACAAGGGATCCATTCCATGTCCGGCTGCAGAGAATCTGGAACCCATAACTCCCAGTTGAAGAGCCATCTGATCTTGCCTGGCATGGATACGTACTGCTCGAATAGCTTGAAGTGTGACCCGGGCTGATCCCACGGCCAGCATAGCCCACGTTTGCCGGTCTCTGGGGGAATACGCGTCTGGGATATTGACGTTGACGGTTGCGAGGAGAGAGATTTCGGTTTAGGAGGCGGGCTAGGCCTCGATTTGGGCGGCATGTCGACGGAATGAAATCCAAGAACGGTGAATACTTGAGTGAGAGATCAATAACGCTTTCGGGAGTGGCTATCTCGGGCAATGCTAATAAAAAGAGGGAAACCCAAGGGCGAACGAAGTGACTGAAGCAGTCTTGCGAAGGATCAAATCCGAGTACGACGACAATGATCAACAGAATTCCATCGCAACAGTCGTTCCGCAAAGCATCTGGAGGTCAACGAGCGAGCTCCTATATTGACTGCTCTAGTACGCGCCTAAGAGATAGGTACTGACAAGTTGCAGTCAATTGAAGTTGATCATCCCATGACAAAACGACCAACTGCGCCACTTTTCAGATTGCGGACAATCAACATTTGTTATCAGTCAAAATATCATCTCGACTCAATATGAATAACCGCTTCTCTGCTTTCTGCACACTTCTCGATCTCACAAACTACAGCTCTGAACTCCGCTCTCGAATCGCCGAGAGTCACCTTTCTGTCGTATCCTCCGTCCTTTTCATCCCATCCGACCTCGTACGCGTTCTCGAGTCCAGGAGTTATTTGCCGCAGGTTGGTGTGTGTCGAAGAGGATGGATATTCGTAAGCTAGAAAGATTTGCCAGCGGCTGGGCTTTCTATGGCTCAGCACCTTGAAGTTCAGCGTTGTTTCGTTTTCCGTCGAGGATCAGTCGCGCTTTGCGAACGAGAGACATTTGTCCATGTCGCCGGATCTGTGATCAGCTGGTTCTGGAGGTAGAACTACGCCGAGAAGCACACCTCTTCGGTCGACATCAATGCATAAGGACATCATGATAAGACCATATGCTGAAAGGTAGGAAGCCTTCGTGAAGGCATAATTTACAACAGCAGATTCCAAGATCCCGGAAGATTTATCAGCGTTTGATATGTGCTGTTAGTCCTGGTAGGAGGAATTCTAATAGTCACAGTCATGCGAGCGTACTGTTGTGCAGTGATTTCTCTACACAGTGACTTTTGTCACAGGTTCATCGGCTGTCGAGTCAAACGGCCAGGTCTGTCACGCAGCTCGCATGGCCCCTTTCATCGACCTGTTTGAACGGAGTGTTGTGACTCCCCATATTAACTCGTGTACCCGTTTACCCTTTGGAATACGGAGCCATGGCAGACAAGTTTCTCGGGTTGCTGCTACTGTTCATGTGCGCCTCGAGGACCAATTCTTGCGACTTCGAACAGCTCTCTATACTCGGCTTGCAGTGGGTGCACAAACGGAGCCCATCGCTATCGACAATGAAGGCCGGACCAGCATGGTACTGGACTTCGCGTAACCACCCCAGCCACGTACCTTCGGCGAGTCTCTCTCATGATTGTGAAACAGACATGTTCAATCATGGTCATGGCCGCAAACAGTGCGTGCGGCATATTGGCCCTCCCACATGCTCGCAGTGGCTAGACGGCGCTTTCGCAGGAAGCCCCTTTAGACCAGCATTCGGAGACTCTCCTGTTCAGTCAGTCTACTCTACGCCCGCGATTCAACAAGATGATACTGGCGACCATGTCAACGGGGTACCGTCGTCTCCCACACAGCGACATTCAACGGATCCAGAACCGGCGTCGACGTGGTCTTCGCAAAGTCCTCCACATGCTTCTCCCGAGCAAAGGCGACCACCATCTCTCGCAGAACCGTTTTCGGACAGCGAGGAATCTGGTAGCTTGCGACAAGATTCACCTAACCACGAGGTTCATGGCGCGGCAACAGGTGCCGTTGTCGTCCATGGCCAAGGCCATCAGGTAGCTATACCTGGTCGATCTGGACCCGGAGCACTGCTTGCGGCTAGTTTGAACCCAGACTCTGAACCCTTTGTCCCTACTGGGTCGTCCTCAGATCGCTTCACACAACCAGACTGCCCACGAGAAAACATCCGTACCAACCAACATGGTCCTCAGATAGGTCCTCATCTGGCTCTGGTTCCCCGATGTAGATCAAGAGAGGTCCTCACCACGACTCCACCACCTGCGTCTCTACAGAACTACATATGCTCGCTTCCTCTTCCTCAAGGCCGTGGCCATGCCTCGTCTCTATTTCACAACACAGAACTTGAGTTGATGCACCACCATCTCCCGTTCGAGCACATCCCTCTCCGATTCACCATGTCTCCTCCTGCAAGTCTCCCCGTCTCGCCCGATCACGGCCTCATGATGACTTCCCATCGAGGCTCCTCTTCAGCCAGCAGTATCAGCAGTGTCAGTCTCAGCGACGACGACACTAAGAGTAATGCGTTCCGCGAGAATGAATGCTACCAAGCACAAAACGAAGAGTTGGCAGCACTCGTCAAAGACAGCATACCGCTTCCGCTTCATTCACTGGAGAAGACTGTCCCTCCTGCAGCGACGCTGGAATACCCACGCCTCCAAGCCCTGAACCCATGGGTGCCGTCTTCTTCGCATCCAACGTCCACTATCGAACCGTCATTCGTACCTGTTTCTGCAGCGCTCATGGCTCCGCGACGCCAATATCAATTTTTCAACCCGATAAATGGTTTCATTCCAGGCTATGTTCCTCCCTGCGGCATGAGGCCACCACCAGGACTTTTCCCCATCGCGTACACCAACGGTATTTCCTGTCATTGCATCCAAGACGCCGAGGTTTCCTCCTCTGCACCGCGACAAGTCCTGGCCACGTTCCACACAAACGGCGGATGGCGCCCCGCCGCGCCCGGAACTTTCACGACCTCAAGGTTCGGCGCTATTGGGGAACACCTTGCGCCTAGCAATGTACCGCAGAATCATATCTGTGCTGGCCAAGCAGGAGAGGTTCCGTTGAGAGGATGGATGGGCTGAGTGGACACGTTGAGACAGGCGACCGTGTCAAATGATTGTCACTATGCTGGTGAGCATACATTCAGCCAACCTTTCCGCCAGACCACGCAGCACAATACTTCGTGCCGGAAACGGACATGAATTCTGGCCTGCTTCTTGAATCATCTGCCTTGTCATAGGACAGCGAGGATACTGTGCTTGGGGGCAAACTCTCATGTCATGACTTGCTTCAAGCAGTTTCATCCCTTACATGAATTCACCCCGATCCGGCACAGGCATACACACCTACCTAAGCAGCAACCACTAGAACCAACCCAACCCTTTCCTCGAAACGCATTCGTCTCGGAAGACAGAACAACAGATTTTCAGTCCTGAAGCATGACAGTGCTTACTACATCGTTCATGTGGTGGGAGATTCCACGGTGAACCGGGGTCAGGGAGTCAACACGTTTGTCTCCCGTCTCTCCCTCAGCAGACGATAGTTGCTGTATCTGTATCTCAAATTAGCCGATTTAGCTTGCTGTACCATAGCTTGGTCTTACAACCAAATCACATTCATATTGCAAGTCGTATTCACAGTCATATTCGTATTCGGGTTCACGTCGGACCGCCCACGGGAACAAGGGAGGACGGAGACCGAAATTGATCGGTCCTGGCTCATTCCCAGAGAGCCTTGGGCATAATATACTAGGATAAAACTTGAGAGCTAATACTAAAGGGTATCTTATTGAACAGAACGCAAACTATCACCGTTAGGGGGCCCCAGCAAGCGCCATTACAAGAAGGAGAAAGAAGCAGCGATCAATGCGTAGATGATTGTTCGCTTGTAGACAGAGTCCCGCTCAAATCTCCCGCCCACCAGGCCGCTTGAAACAGTATACACGATGTTACACGTCAATGGTCGTGACGATAAAGGCTGGAAAAAACCCGCCATCTTCAGGCGAAGCGCGTCCAGCATCCGCGCCGGAACTGACCCGCAGCCTCCAGGTAGGCTCGTAATGTTCAAATTCCTCTCCGTGCTGTCGCCTGTCATTCTTGACCAGCCGAAAGCGGCCCGCCGGAGACAGGTCTCCTATCCGCGACACTACCGTTCGCATCATTGAGAATATCGGCTCCGGTCGCTCTGGAGCTGGAGGTGGATTCGTCTTGACCGTTCTGCGCGGTGTCATCCAGGAGCGGGATGCGGTCGATACTTCCTCTCTTGCCGTTGCCAGTGCTGTTGCTATCGGCCTTGGCCTTATTTTTGTCCTTATCCCTGTCGGCACCGTTGGCAGTCGAAGTGCCATGTCCTTCTCCGTCCACAGGTCCGGATGGCGGACTCATCGTCACCCCACCAGGGCTGTTCTGCCATTTGGCCACTTCGCGCCTCATCTGCTCCAGCTCTTTCTCGAATCGCTTGCCGAAGATGTCCATGTAAAATACGGCCCCATTCCACACGCTCCACGTGAAGACAGACATGAGAAACGTGGCACTGGCCCAACGGTACCAGAACCAGATAGGGCACGGAATGATCGTCAACAGGGCGTAGCTGTACTGTATGAGCATGAACGCCGGCTCTTGTAGGTTCTGGGGAAGGGACAACACGCATCTGCCCAGCCACGTCTTCGAATACGATTTCCGTAGCCAGGTAAACGAGGTAGGCCGTCCCGCGGCAATTTGCTCCCGTCTTCGCACCGTGATGAAGAAATGATAGAAAAGCTGCCATACGGCATAGGGGATCGTCGCCCACACCAGCATGGCAGACAGACTGTAGTGTTCCGGTGAGCCTGGAGGACTATGTTTGATGTCGTAGACGGCACGGAAGCGGTCGCGCAGAAACTCCTCGGGCGTCAAGTGGACGATACAGTGTAACACGGCAGGCGGCATCACGTGGATGAAGAGACTGGTCACTTTGTCCAGAGAGTGGAAGACCAGCGAGTTCCGCCACATGGCAATGGCCACTGCATTGTTGCCGTAGGCCAGACAGTATGTGCTGATGAAGAGGCGCTTCGATCGAGGAAACACCCAGATGGACAATAGAGTGAGGAAGTTGACGAAATAGCACAGGTCCGCAAGGAAGTAGTGGTATCCCTTCCGCCGGTAAGTGATGAATCTGATGGGCATGAAGTACGCGAATTGCGCGGTGAACCAGTAATAGAAATGCTGAGGTGCCGCTCCTATCAGATAACCCGTGAGGAACACATTGAGTACGGCGGAAATGAAGGACACCTTCTCTCTCATCGATATAGCGACGATATCGTTCCATCTCTTGCTCAGATCGTCCACAGATTTCTTCATCCGCGACCGATATTTGGCAAGCTGCTCGTCGGCGGTGGGGACTCGTTTGCGCCATTCGGCCACTGCGCGGTCTTTGGCAATGTTGCCTGACGTCCGTATCCTCTCTTGCTGTTTTGCCAGCTTCTCCTTCTGTGCAGTGAGCGATGCCTGCCATTTCTCGAGTTTCGTCGGGAGGGAGAGGTTGTCGAAGATGTCGAAGAAGGTGAGTTTGTCTAACGGGGTTTCCCAGTCTTCTAGCATTGACTGGCTTGCTGTATATGAGGAATTTCGTGACAGAAGGTACGGGCTTCCAGGAGTCGACGATTGGTACCCTGGCGTGAGGTAGTCGGTCTCTTGTAGACTGCCAGGCATATCCGCCGCCGCCGCCTCGTCCAGATTGCTTGACACGGACTTCGACCGGGGGATACGTATCGGGTCAGACATGATCACAATCCAAGAGGTTCACAGCTTGCCGCGGGCAGAATGCATAGAGATGAAGAGAAGAGAGGGGCGTAGGCTCGATGTGCGAGAAGACGGTTGTTCCCAGAATGCAGGAAGGTTCGATACTCTGGTTGAGGAGAATCCTGGATAAAAAACCAGGCAGAAGTGCCCCGCGTGCCGGCTATTCAACGACCACGATGGCGAGAGATCATGCTGCTCAATAGACAATGGTCTCGAGATGTGAAAAAGAGACGAGATTGTTGGACTTGGAGGAAGTCGTCGTAGTCGAAGTCGAGGTCAAGGCGTGCGAACATGCAGCAAGTTGACTGGGCGAAAGACAGACGTCACAGGGCAACAATTGACACAGCTTGGAGTAACAAGCAATTCTCTAGGGCTGCTTAGGTGGTTTAGGCTAGTTTGATAGGGACTAGAGAGGGCCCTAAGTGCCAATCAGGTGCCTGCTCGAGCCTTGGGGCACACTTGACATGCTTATTCCACGCCTAAATCGATAGGCTAGGGTTCCTCAGACTCTCACGCCGCCTGTACAGTAGTATGGCTCCCTAGGCCCCTAGCCACTCCTCTCGCTTCTCCACCCACTTTCTCTCTCCGCCCCATTTCTTTATTTCCAACGCGCTTCGCGTCGTGATCTCTCAATCCCAGCGCAGCGCGTCCTACCCATTCACTGCCATTGATCTCTTTCGACAAGCAATCCTGTGCTTACATTGTCCGCTCCAGCACTGTAAGACCATCGTCTGCTTCTGCATGAGCCTGCAATGTCTTCGCAGTAACGACTCTCCCACATCTCGCATCCTCGTCAAACATCTTCCTGTCCCAACCCCGCGCCGCCAGAGACAGATTCTCTCATCATGGGCAAGCTCATCAGGCTGGAACTGTTCAACTTCAAGTCGTATAAGGGCCATCACGTACTCCTCTTCGGCGATGCCTTCTTTACCTCCATCATCGGTCCGAATGGCTCGGGCAAGTCCAATGCCATGGACGCCATCTCCTTCGTGCTTGGAATCAAGTCCTCCGCCTTGCGCTCCTCCCATCTGAAAGAGTTAGTCTACCGCGGTCGCGTCCTGAGCAAGTCGACGGCGAACGGAGAGGAGCATTCAAATGGGACGGATGCGCATGAGCAGGACACCAGCAATCAAGCCAATGGCACCCAGGAACGCAATGACCCCAAGTCGGCATGGGTAATGGCCGTCTACGAGGACGACGCCGGAATCGAACAGAAATATAAACGCACAATCACCAACCAGGGCGTTTCAGAATATCGCATCAACGAGCGTGTTGTAGCCGCACAGCAGTACAATGAGTCATTGGAAGAGGAGAATATCCTGATCAAGGCTCGCAACTTTCTGGTCTTCCAAGGCGACGTCGAAGCCATCGCAGTCCAGAAACCCCAAGACCTGACGCGCCTCATTGAACAGGTGTCTGGCAGTCTCGAGTACAAAGCCGAATACGACAAGTTGAAGGCGGAGCTGGACGAGGCCGCGGAACAACAAGCGTTCCAACTCAACCGTCGTAGGGGCATCAACTCGGAGATCCGGCAGTACCAGGAACAAAAGAGAGAAGCAGAGAACTTCCAGAAAAAAGCGGCGGAACGAGATGAGGCAATCGTCACTCACGTCCTGTGGAAGCTCTACCATCTGCAACGCCAAATTGAAGAGTCCAGCGCCGAGATCCAGAAACACCAAGATGACCTGAAGGAGTACCGGAGAGGTATTGAGAAGTATGAGCGCAATCTGGAAGTCGCCAGAAAGGACCACGTGCAAGCCGCCAGGAGCGTGGCGAAGGCGGAGAGGGCGATCAAGGCGAAAGAGAGAGAGATCGAGGAGAAGACGTCGTCTCTAGTGCCCATCGATGAGCAGATCTCGGTGTCCAACAAGCAACTGACCAAATATGCCAACCGAGTGAATTCGATCCTGAAGGAGCGAAATGCTCAAGCAGCGACTGTGGCCCAGCTCGAAAAGGATTTGAGCACGGTCGAGAAGGCTCAGGCCCAGTGGCAGAAACAATGGGAACAGAATGCAAGTCGACTTGGTGGTCAATTGAGTAATGCGGATCTTCAGCAATACACGCGACTCCGGGAAGAGCTGAACAAGCGCGCTTCAGTAGACTTGAGTCGGGTCGAGAGACTGAAGAATGAACGAGCTCCCATCGAGGCCACGTACAACAATCTGAAGAGTAGTGTGGAAACCACCGAGTACAAGTTGAAAGCGCTTGAAGATGAGTACAGCGCCATCACAGAGCGGAAGGACGCTGTCAAAGAAGTCGTCCAGCAGACTCAGACCGAAATCGAGGCAAAGAAGAAAGAGCTCAATGCTGCCACGTCTAGGCGACTGCAGGCCGCACGAACTCGAACTGAACTCGACGAGAAGCTCGCGGAGGTTGCGCGCAAGCTACTCGAAGCCGACGACGGCCGTCGAATGAGTGAAAGGGAGATGAGAACGAAGGAGACCATTGCCATGCTCAAACGAACTTACCCTGGCGTCAAAGGTCGTGTGCACGAGTTGTGTAAGCCAAAACAGAAGAAGTATCAGGAAGCTGTCAGCACTGTGCTCGGCCGGCACTTCGACTCCGTCGTCGTCGACACCGAAGCGACGGCTAAGCAATGCATTGAATATCTACGAGACCATCGATCAGGCCAGGCTACATTCATCCCGCTGGACACAATCCATGTCAAGGCGCTGAACTCCAATCTGAAAGGCATGCATCGAGGCATGCGACCGGCAATTGAGACCGTCGATTATGATGAGTCTGTGGCGCGAGCAATTTCTTACGCATGTGGCAATTCCATCGTCTGTGATGACCTCGCCATTGCCAAAGAACTATGCTATGTTCGCCATGTGGATGCAAAGGCCGTCACCTTGGACGGCAGCGTCATTCACAAGGGCGGGTTGATGACCGGCGGTCGTGGCAGGGAGCAGAATACGCGACGATGGGATGATGCCGAGATCGAGAGGCTCAACAAGCTCAAAGACAAGCTGATGGAAGAATTCGCCGCATTGCCCCAGGAAAGATCTCGCGTCACCGAAGAACAGACGCTGCAGAACGAACTCAGTGGGCTGGAAAGCAGGCTGCGCTACGCCAAAGAAGAACTGGACGCTCTTAACAAGAACCTCCAGAGTAAGAAGCGCGAAGTGGACCATGTGCGGCAGCTACTGAAGGAAGAGACACCGAAGATGAGAAGCGAGCAAAGCAAGCTGGACAAGATTGACGAAGAGATCGCCGACTACCAAGAGTCGGTCGACAATGTGGAGAATGAGATCTTTGCCGACTTTTGCCAGCGACTTGGCTTCGACGACATTCGAGACTACGAGGCCCGACAAGGCTCGCTTCAACAAGAGGCCGCCCAGAAGAAGCTTGAGTTTGTGACGCAGAAGGGCAGAATCGAGGGACAACTTGCCTTTGAGAGAACGAGACTCCAAGCAACGGATGACAGGCTTCAAGCTCTTCGCGAGAAGGAACAACGCGACAAGGAAACCATCGACGAGTTGAACGAGCAACGACAAGGGATCCAAGACGACCTGGACACATTGAAGCAGGAGCTCGACGAACTGCACGCGCAACTAGACGAGCAGCAAGAGTTGTTGGCCGCGGCGGGCGAGAAGCTGGCCAAGCAGAAACAAGAGGTCCAGAAACGGGCGAAGGAGATGGAAAGTACATTCCGGGCCATCAGCGCGCTCGAAACCGAGATCCAACGCCACTCGGCGACCAGATACAGTCTTCTTCGTCGGTGCAAGATCGAGAACATCGCCATCCCGCTGAAAGACTCGTCTGCCAGTCTGGACAGTGTTCCGATCAACGAGATGCCTCTTGATGATGCCAACGCCATGGACGTCGACGAGGAGGATCCCACGTCGTCGGGAATGAAAGCGCACCATGTCACCGACTACGGGGTGGAGCCCGAATTCGATGTCCTCGACGACGACCTTAAGGAGGACGACAGCGACGCCATGGAAGCGCGGTTGCAGGAAGAGATAGCCAAACTGAGCGCGACCTTGGACAAGATGCAACCGAACGCGCATGCGGCGCAACGCCTCGCGGCCGTCGAACAACGCGCCCACGACACGGAGCAGGAATACGAAGAAGCGCGTGCCAACTACCGCGAGCTGAAGGCCAAGTTCGAAGAGACCATGGAGAAGCGGAACGAGTTGTTCAACCAAGCCTTCTCGCACATTTCCGAGCAGATCGAACCCATCTATTCCAACCTGACCAAGTCAGACGAGTTCCCGGCCGGCGGGCGCGCATACCTCACCGCCGACGAGGAAGAACCTTACCTCGCCGGCGTCAACTACCACACCATGCCCCCGACGAAGCGATTCCGAGACATGGAGCATCTGTCCGGAGGGGAGAAGACCATGGCCGCCCTGGCCCTGCTGTTCGCCATCCACAGTTATCAACCCAGTCCGTTTTTCGTGCTGGACGAAGTCGACGCGGCCCTGGACAATGCCAACGTAGGCAAACTCGTCAACTATGTCCGCAACCACGCTGTAAGTTGGCCTCGCCTCATTATGGGTCTCTGGCATCAAGCCGCCACCATATCACATCCGTGCCTCCCTCCCTCAAGGATATATAGTCCTGTGAACACCCACATATCCCACGCTCATTTGATCTCTGGGTCTTTCTTTGCTTGACCACCATACTGACCAGACAATGTGCACCACAGGGCCCAGGAATGCAATTCATCGTCATCAGCCTGAAGACCGGCTTCTTCCAGGGCAGCGAGACCCTCGTGGGCGTGTACAGGGACCAAGGAGCCAACAGCTCCAAATGTCTAACGCTTGATGTATGTTGTCGACTTGTGTCATTCCCTTAACCCCCTTTTCCATCCATCCCTTCCTTCCTTCCTTCAGAATCGGCCAGTATCGCTAACATCAACCCTCCAGCTGCGCAAGTATACTTGATCAAGAACGCCGTTGACGATTCCGATGTAATCGATCCCTCCAAAGCCACCTAAGGGAACAGATCCTCCTTACTTGATCTCTCGTCGTGCTTCTCTTGTTTCTCATGCTGGTCACATGGGCTGCTACAAATGCAGTCGCCGACATCAGATGATAATCGTCCTCGAATTGCGAATCCTGGGACCCCTGTGGTTGGATAAGACGACTATTCTCCGATTTCGATTCATCGGACTCCGAAGCAGCAGCCAGTCATCTGTGTGTGCAAAATCAGCAAGGGGTGGGCGCCGCTTAGCTGAACGAGGCCTTGCTATGCTATGCTATGCCATGGTCTGCTTTGATTGAATTGGCGCATCCAACGACACTGGTATATCTTCGCACAAGAGTTCTCTCTTCTTGGGAACATGCATTGATGGAAGCGAAATGACCGCGACGATATCAAGTTTGAGGAGAAGAGCGTGGGCTGGCTAGGCGTTCCTGTGGGATCCTGAGGTGGTAAACTGCATGTTCTACGCTGGGGCTGTCGAATGTCCTTGGGCTATTTATCAGGAGCTGGAAGACGAAACAGAGCGTGGAAAGCCATGTACAACGAGCGCGACAAGACAGAATGGAATTTCTATTCAGGCGAATGGCCGATGCTGGCTTTCTTTCATTCCTAATTTTTTCTCGTCTTTTTGATTCGCTCTATATCAGAAGTAGAGTCGGGTTTGCTTGCAATTCCTTGCTTTCTGCCTGAAAGATGAGGGGTTGCTGGATTGGAATGCCGGAAGTTCTTCAGAACCCCGATGCCGTGTCTCTTTCCTGTTCAGACATCATTCTAAAACACCCAAGGGATCAGCGGGCCGTTTCCCATCGTGTGGAAGAGTCCTAGACTTCTTCATGTCCGCTATCCTCGTGTGAGGCCAATCCGGCCATCTCAGCGTGACTGTATCCTATCTGTCGAAAAGTGGGCAACTTAATCCTTCCTGACGTCCTTTTCTTGTTGGACTTCTTCATTCTTGCCCTGCTCAGCGGCATCCTTCTCGGCCTCCTGAGCCTCTCTGGAAGGAGAAGCCGGCACTTCTTTCGCTTCCGCGGCCGCCTTGACCTTCGGTTTCTCGTCAATATCCTTGTCGTCCTTGACGCTTTTGCTGGCACTCTTGCCTTCGGCGACAACCTCTGACGACGATTTGGCCTGCTCGTTCTCTTCCTCGATGAGCTCTTGTTGCTCCTTCAAAACCTCCAGACGCTGCTTGTTCGTCGCGGCGCCTTCTGCAGTGTGTACTTCAAGTTCGATTTCGTGGAACAACTCCTCGGGAATGCTGCTTAGCACGGCCTGGAGGGCGTCGATCTGCGAATCGATCTCGCCGTCCTTGCCGGACGTGTACATGTAGGCATTGCTGAGAACAAGGAGAGTCGACGGGATATTATATTTCAACCGGAGGTCCAGCCACATCTGAAGTTCCTCGCGGAGTTTTCCAGGCGATACACCATGCGTGCGGATGCCTCGGGAGGCACATGCCATCTGCAATTCGGGAACTGATAATGAGTCAACCCCCTCGAATGAAATCGCCTTGTCGTCCCGTTTGATTTGTCGCATGCGGTGTCGAATTTGATATCGGAGCATGGCATCTGTTCCGAATGTGTTGAGATTCATATATCGGCACATGGCCACGAGTTGTGGTCTCGAAAGATTGTCCAAAGTCAAGTCGTCCTTGAATACCTTGCACACTTTGATCACGTCGTCTTTCGATGGCGACTCTCCTGTGGTCCGAACCTTGCGGAAGAATTCGGTAAACTCTTCTTTCTTCGCATTGGCTGCCGAGATTGGAAGACCGGTTTCCCGCATGGTATCTCGAAGGAAGGAAGACATTTGCTTGCGCGTCTCCCTTAGATGCGCCGCCTTGACTTCGCGGGATTTCTGGCCTTCAAAGGTGGACGGAAGAAGATTGGGGAAGAGTTTCAATGCCACAGGCAAGAGGAACTCGGCGAACGGAACGATGACGAAAACGGAGAAAGGCACTAGACGAGCCAAATCCTGGACTGTTCTTTGAAGCTATTGAGATGTCAGTATCATGGGGTCTTGAGAATGTGTCATAGGGTGTCTAACCTGTCTGTGTTCTCGTCGGCTGAGTTCGTAACCGGCCGCCATCTTGAACGCAAGTTTGGTCGAGATACTGACTTCAGCAGCCAACAACTTGGTACCATCCCAATAGTGCTGGACTTCCTTCTTGATTTTCTGGCCAAGGGTGAGCTTCTTGCCGTCGTCCTTCTTGTTCGCTACCGATGTGGAATTGGCAGTGGCGTGGTCCGCAGCAGCTTTGCCGGCGGCCAAGTCAGACAAACTAGCGTTCTCAAGTGCCTTCGTCTTGTCGACCATAGTCGCTTCCGTCTTTGGGGTCTTGAGCTGTTCACCGGACTCTTTCAAGTCTGCGACCGTGGGAGTGTCCGATGACGGCTGAGAGGAATCCTTTGGTAGGGGTTTCTTCGCTTCATCGATATTGAAGCCTGGAGGCGGTCCACCCTCGGGGCCTTGTGTAGTCGTCTCGGTAGCATAACCTCTGTTGGGCAAAAGAATCGCCAGAGCCTGAATCCTGGGCGGAAGGTCTCTTGTGAATTTGGAGCGGGATGAATAAACGGACAAACGAGAGGAGTACGGGAGGCGGGAGTGTGCTAGACATGGTCAGCGCATCGTATTCTCCGCTGCAGAATGGGCACAATAGGCCACAAGAACACATACATTGCAACAACAGTCTCCGGGTTGCAGCGCTGCTGACGAGTCTGGGACCAGAACTCATGATGAGATTAGATGCGGTGGAATTGAATGGAACGACCGGAAACCAACAAGAGTATGGTTGGCAAATGTGGAAGGATTGGAAGAGGCGACGGCCGACACAATGTATGAAGACACAATCCGAAGGGGTAAGGAGTCAAATGATAGAAGTGCAAGATAGTATTCAACTTGGGTGTTTTGTTTTCAAGATGACATATTATTGCCTTCAAGTTCGAAGGGGATCAGGAGGGAGTATGAGGGTTGAGGGTCGAGGATTGATGATTGTGAGACAGACGCCATGCCCCGGGCCCCCAGGAACCGCAGGCACCCGAATAGGGAACATCACGTGCTCTGGTCTCGGGCCCGCCAATAAGATTTACCACCCGGACATGCCTCCGAGCCGGACTTACCAACAAGAATTGACGGACATAGGGTCACGTGATGGGGATGACATCAGGTGTTTCAGGCACGGTTCACTTAGGTAAGCAATGATGATATTGCACAATTGTCATTCGACTGATTATTATTTATTATGGGTGGATGATGGCCCCTTGTTCTAAGCAGTGATATTTCGTCTTGTCCGAGAAGACCGATTGAGGTTACGCTTGTTCTTGATGAATACTCACATATTGCACAGCACAGATGAGGCAACTGACTGCGCCAGGTGACGACTGGTCCCATACAAGGCGCCAGAATGAGTCTCGTGTAGCGGCACAGTAGCGATCTGGACAAGGCTGTCCAGCGGCAAAGCAGCTTTGCCTACCTGGGGACTCGGGAGACTTTGACCGCTGGACTGGCTGGAGAGGCTAAAATTCTAGGGAGACTCCTGGACCGAAGAAGACCACGGTTGAATAATGTCGTATCATCTTGCAACAACCCAGTGGTCGTCTCAGTCAGAGTCATCCCCAGCATGCCCGTTTCTCTCCTGGCGATCAGGCAAGTCTTTCATCGACTCATCATCCGACAGGTTGCGTTTCCGTCTTTTCTGTTCCGGAGAGGAGTCCGACGAAGTATTGCGTCGCCTTCGTGCGGCTGGTTCATATCGAGGCATAGATCGTCTTCGTTTCTGATATCCACCCCGGCTGCGACTCCTGCTCCCACTCACACTGCTTCTCCGCCGGCGATGGGACCCTGTCGGACTGCGGCTTAGGCGTCGGTCATCATGTGTGTTGCGACCCCTGAGAACATCAGCGCGCTTGTTGCTTGCTTGCTCAGTAGAAGAAACAGAGGTAGATCTCCTATGCCGTTTATCCCCTCCTCGATAGCCCCGCTTTCTTTCGCGCGATCTCGATCTTGATGGTGAGGATGAATATGAACGGTCCCGCCCGGTCCTGCGCCGACGGGGACTAGGGCTTCTACTCAACGAAGCTGACGAACGACTTCGGCGTCTTCTCCTAGGCGATGGTGAGCGCGATCGATCAGAACGTGTTTCGGATCTTGCTCGAATATCACCCGGTGATCCAGAACCATGCCTATATCTTCTTCCACTTGGCCTGGGAGACGGCGACCTCGTCCGACTCCGGCTTGGTGATCGTGGCCGTCTTCGACGTGGCGGGGACGGACTTCGCGAAAAACGGCGTGACCCCGATATTGATCTGGAGGAAGACGCAGCTCGACGTGAGCGACGTGGGGATGGCGACCGGGGCGGCGAGCGAGATGCTGATCTTGTTGGGGATCTTCCACGGCCGCCACCCCTTCCTCTCCCGCGACCACCAGGCACATATGTGTCAGCCTCTCGACGGGGCGGGGGCCCCCGGTAGGGAGAGCGCCGGCGAGGAGGGGGAGAGCGGGAATATCTGGGTCTTCTGGGCTCAAATGGCCGTCCACCACGGCCGCCGCCGCGTCCTCGAGCACGCTCGGGGCGTTCACGCTGACGCACTGCATCAAGGTCCTGTTCCCGAGATTGTTCTTGGTCTTTGCGATTCTTGGCTACTTCTGCCGCCTTTTCAGCGTCGATCTACCAAGATCAGCAAGCGCATCTTAAATAACACTAATATATCCTCACCTTCTCCTGAAGAAGCTCCAGCTTTTTGGCCTCGAGAAGTTCTTTGGGGACACCCTGTGGGCTCGATTGCGCGCTCAAACATAGATTCCAGAGTTCTTTGCAGAATCTAGCAGTGTCCTTATCAAGAAAGCCGGTGAGCGAAATCTGAAGTGCTTTGATATCGGGCTATGTGAGAGTTAGCTGTGATCATTGCTGGTAGTAATGTTTGTTTCGACCTACAAAGCGCGAACCCTCGAGCAGGTTGAAGCATAGCTCGATTACCACGTCATCCTCAGCCTTGAGTATCTCAGAGATCTTGCCTGCTATCCACCTAAAAGGAGCATGTCAGTATGACGGGACGCAGACGGTATGAGTTTCTGGCGGCACGGACTTTTTCATAACCTCAACGTTGACCTTCTTCATGTCAACCTTCTGGTTGAACTCAGGAGGAAACTTGGTCTGCCGAAGCAGTTTCTGGTCTACCGCGGTAGCCATGATGTCGAAGCAGCGTGGAAGGCCGTAATGAGGCTGCTGGATTGATCGTGAACGGGTTTGAATCAGGATGCGCAGGTTGAGATGGAGACCTCCGCAATACAGGCACAGGCGGGGACAAGAAAGGAAAGTCTAGCGATGCTGAGAGTTGCGTAGCTATTTCATCGGATCTGAAGGTGCCAAAAGTCATCAAATCATCAAGTTCATCAAGTTCATCGTCGTTATGAACACCTCTTACATGTACAAGTGAATAAAATCTGTGAGAATTGAAGGTATCATCCAGTGGCCGACTTGCCGCCTTTGATGCCCATGATTGAGAAGCAGCTCTTCCCACTCGTTCCTGCCTGGGACTCCATCACCCTTTCTACCTGCGCTTCTCCTACACCTCCCCGAGTACTACTACTACTACTATGTAGTATGCCAGCCTGCGTCTTCCTCCCGTTCCTCGCACTGCATCTCCCTTGACCTTTGGCATTATCGTTCAACATGAGTAATGAGCATTTCGTCCCAATCTGGCCCATCAAGTAACCGCTACACTCCCAAATCCACCAGCTCGGACTGGCTCTGGCCCAATCCTACTGCTCGCAACCACACGCCAATCTCGTCCACCGGGGAGACATCTCCTCGTGATCGCCCAACTTACTTAATACAACGGACAGGAGAATTGGCATGATTCTTTTCCCACTATGACAGGGACACTGCTCATGTCTGACAGGGGTAGGATCCGCGGGAGATAAACACCAGCGCCGAACGTCGCTCATCGGACAAGTACCAGAGGAACAGTCCAGTGACTCTGCAAGCATCTACTCCGCAGAGCTCTGTTCCAACCAGAAAGGGGTCTGTTGATGCTCTGGTCAATCTTTTCGAGACAGTATGTCAAGTCCCTCGGCTTCGGCGTTTGTTGGCTGATCCGGACTTAGAAAGAAAGGCAGAGCAGAACTCCTGCAGCTCGCAAGGACCATTCAGTCACCACTCCTTCCCAAGTTCTGCGTCAGCGATACTCCAGTGCGCTCGATTCTCGAAAACAGCCTTCGTCTCAGTATCGCCCTGAACAAGCGGGTTTTCCCCAGCATCTGCGAGATCACAATGCTCAGATCGTTGAACGAGCTTTGATCAAGAGGCGTTCGAGTACTCCACGGTCACCTGCTGAGATAACAAAGCCTTCCGATACATGTGGTCCTTCACAAAGACCGCAAATCAAAGTCAAAGTCTCCGCTCAAACTCTTTCCATCATCATTCCCAAAGGCATTGGACTTCCCATCGTGGCGACAATCCAGCCAATGGGCTCCTTCGACGCCCAAATGTTCGGGACCAAAGCTGTGGAAAGCGGCGAGGCGAGCGGGACTGCGGATCTGGGACATCCACCCCAACACATCCGACCTGCGGTTCTTGCTGAAGGAACCAGCGGGCCAGTGGCCCGGGAAAGTGACAATCAAGAGATTATTGCCGGGCTGGGGCTGCCGTTTCTTGCCAGAGTCAGCAAAGGTCGTCTTAACGTCTCAGAGGCTTCCGTGCCAGCACCCCAGGGTTCTGAAGTTTCGGCACAAGGACAGCTTTTCATTGCACACCACGAGCATCCGAGCGAATGGGACTCAGAGGCCGTCGACACTCCTTCCAGGAACGACGACCAGCCCGCTGAGGACATGCAAGCGCCGAAAGAGCCAGACCCGAAGGTCCCAAGCGTGGTAGCCCCTGGATCGCCTGCCACCGGAGAAGACGAACAACGACACGAAGCGGGCACTGATCAAACAGTGTCCCAGCAAAGCCGTTCAGGCAGCGTGGGTTTGGCAAATGACTCTACGCAACCCGAGCCTCCTGCTGAACGCACAGCGAGCGTATCTCGCCAGGACGCAGTTCCTGACGATGTAGCTATTGTGCCCAATATCGAAATACATAGGCCAAGCGCGACAGTGATAGCAAGCCTACTAGAAGCCTCCGCCCTGAACAGTAGGACTGTGCCCGCAAGCTCTCTGCCGGCAACACCACCAGCAACCCCTCTAGCTGGTGTGGTGGACCTGCCGAGTGGGCTCCCCAGCGATCCGTCGACAGCCACCAACTCTTTGCGCGACGATGCAACAACGTTCAGGAACGCTTCACCGGCGAATGCGGCAGCTCCTCCAGTCGCCGATGCGCAGCCTGGTGCAGACAGCTTGCCGCCGGAATCTTCTGTCCGCAGACGCCAAAGAGTCGTTCGCAGGGTGCGCAGTCTTCTGGTCAGAAAACCCATGCTCAATATTGTCATCGGTCGTGATCTCGCAGGGATTGTCCGCGCTCGGCTCAAGGAACTCGGAACTGCGGATGCTTCTGGTACTCCTCCTCCGCCACTAGACGGAGCGAGCGACTTCTTGTCGGCCTATTCACGACGGCAGGAGCGGAAAAGAGATACGGAACGCAAACGAGTGGAGGCGAGAATTGCAGCTGCCAGGACGCATGCCGAAGCAGAAGAGCTTCAGAAGTGTGCCGCCTGTCAAGGTCTCACCCATACCAGATACCACGAAGCGTATTACCGGCTACAGCTGAAACGAGATAGACCGGACATGAGGACAGTGGACAGGCACGCCACCAGCAGGGCAAGAGTGGCCGTTTGCAGGTGCAAATGCCGCAAAGGGTGGATGAGCCGGCACAGGACTACTCGAAGAGATTCTGCAGCACATGATGTGCCACTCACAGGAGAACCTTAGGCAGGCGACGAAACTTCTGGCCCCGGGCTGCTTCGGGATGGAAACCATTGATGGGATACTAGGGAGGGTGTATGCGTCCATCATTATCTTGGGCCTTGGACAAATTGTGAGGCGGAGCCGCTCACCAAAAACCCTAGGGTGTCGTATTCTTAGACTTTGAAATGAGGTTTCATTAGGTTTCATTCTTCAGGCATGTTTGATCCGTAGCGAGAACGGCTATGATGTGTTCAAGGCTGATATCACCTGATCAACCTGCCTTTCGGCCTGGACCAATTCCGGGTCCGGTCCCATTTCAAGGTATTTGACCTTGAGATCGTAGTGTAACGAGACAAGCTCGTTGGCGTGCTGAAGATCAGCATCAGGACTTGTTTGTGTCGGTGAGCCGTGCGGCGACGATTCTCCGCCGGTTTCCCCGGAGGGAGTAGTAGGCCCTAGGTCCGCCGGTTTGACCAGGGCGACGGCAGCTTCGTGGGACTGGGAACAATACGGTCAGCTGAGTCTTGTAGAAAACAGCCCGGATTTCCGTGGCAAGGCTGGGGTCAGAGAGGGTCGTAGAAGAGGTTGTATGTAAGGTGCTCCGCTTGGACTCTTAATATATATAGCACGGGTTTGAGACGAGTGGCAGTGGCAACTTGAATGACGACGTGAATGACAACGACGAATTGACTTACGCAGATACTCAGAGACTTGAGATCGGACAGAAAGGCGGCGACTTGCATTCTTGTTTTTGTGTTTGTGGTTGCTCTTGTTCTTCTTCGTGTCGATAACAGGCTTGGGCTGTAGTGTTTGATAGTGTTTGCTGGGGCTGTTCAATATGGTTGAATCCTGTCCTGGCTACCAGGGATATAACCAATCTGACGTTATGTGTATGCGTCTGTTTTGGTCCGAAGGTCTCTCTTTCTCTTTTTTAATCCTAGATCGAGATCGAGATCGAGATGGACGATGGACGATGGAAATGCTAGCTAGGTAGGTAGGTCGTCGTTGGTAATGGTGGATGGTATTATTAGTATGTAGACCGATGGATGAAATCAGTGGTGGTGATGGACGGTGTTCAAGTTGCCTTGGGTATAAATAAGGTCAGGTACCTGGTACCGATCCCTCACTTCAGGAAGTCGACGTCATTCCAACTCTCTCTCCCCTTTCCACCCCCTTTTCCGCGTCCGAAAAATCAGCCTCGTCGGGGATCCCTTGAGACTTAAAGACCTCCTTCACTGTTACCTGATGTACTTACTACCAGATAGTTCTTGATAGTAGTACTATTGCAGGTACAACTTCAATTGTCACCTACCTACCTACATGTAAGACCTTAAGGTACTACAATACCCAGACTCTCAACCAGTCAATTCATCTCCTACCGCACATATATATATATATACATATATACATCTTCTCAGCTGTCCCTTAGGTAAGAGTAAGTAAGTCTACAGCCGTCTGAATGATACAAAAAGTGAAATCTGCCCAGCCAGATACAGAGACTCTCTTAATTTCGTCTAGCCATATGATATAGTTGGACTCGCTATCGTTTCTAGAAAAAGGGAGACATCCCCTCCCCTCAAACCAAGCCCTCTTTCTGTGCGCAACAGCTCACCACGACGTGAACCGGGGTTGTGGCGCCAGTTGTTCAGAATGTCAGAATGTCAGATCTCAGATGCCACACTATCTAGACCCTCTCTCCTCCACGAGAAGAGAAGATCGAGCACGAAAGGATAGAGACAGAACAAATGTGCATCATGCCTGACGGGGTCTTGGTCTAGTAGTATTTCCTTCCAGCATCCCACAGTGAGTCCTTGCCCACGAATCTAAACCATCGTCGTACTTCGGATCGACCTGTCGCTCTTTTTGCGACTTCCAAACGCTTTTCAATGCTGACAGGAACAAACATCAACGATCTCTACTACGTATCTTGGAGGGACACCACCGCTTCAACTCCACTCCGCCGAGTGTTCGATGGTTCCAGAAAACGCCTTGGCCTCGAAACGAGCCATGTTGAAGGACCTCAAACCGTGCCCTTGACTCAGTCTGTTCAGCCGAGTCCTTTGGCGGCTTCTTCTTGTGCGCTTCAAATATCTGGCCGATGCAACCCTTTGCAAACTGCGTGTCAATGCGCTTCAGTGCCCCATTCCTTCTGAGGCGGGTTGCTTCGAACGGTGCTGGTCGAAGTATGAGCTCATGAGACACCTGGCGACCATTTCAAGGGTCGGCTCCAGGAATCGTCCCGGCTGTACCGCGATGTAAGCGCTAAGGCATCCGAAGAGGGGGCAACCCAAGCCAAGTCGTCGGCAGCTTGCCTACTAGTATAGGTAGGTAGGTAGGTATGCTCTTATGCTTGACACCAATTGATCCTCAGCCACCTTGTTCCAGATGTGGGGAAGAATCGAAGCGTCGTGGTTAGGGTAGCAGAGCAGCAGAATATTGTGCCCGTTGCTTTTGGGACAGACAGACACTTTTACGGCACTTGCGTCTGTCACGCTGGCTTGTTTGCTTGTGGTATGCTGTATGGCTTTCACCCTCCAAGACTTCGAGTCGGGCCGTCATCACCGTTCAATTCAAGAGGCGTATACAGTCTCAAAGTCAACAGCCTTTTCGTCCCGGGAGAATCTGTATTCGCTGCTCCTCCATTCTTGCCTCATCCGGTTCGCGAGTCGAGCAACACAGCTTACAACGACCATGACAGCGATCATTCCGGACACAGGCCGATCCTGGTCCTAACCGAATAGGGTCAACCTCGCGTAAACGATCCCCACACACACCAGGAATATAGCATCCAAGAATATAGAGAGGTCCAGCACAGTCGATCATCTACACCTTCTCAAGTCATGACCGGCACATCGCCGTAGGATGACCATGCCCGCTAGACAACCAGAACTTTCGACCCCAAGCAGAAGTGCATCTCCGGCAGACGTGCCATCTGAAGATGGTGTCTCCGACCACTCCTTATACTCTTGGTGAAAAGAATGTTTCGACGAACGGGAACGATCTGATCGCGATGTTATAGTAGGTAGCGGCGACGCTTCTATATTGTTGTGTCCGAACCTGATCGGCTCAGTCACCATTGACGGATATAGCTTAAAATCCAGATAAGTTCTCGATAGAGAACTTTGTACGCGAATGCCCCGTTGGTTGGGTTATGCTGGCTCATGCGGGAAAACCCCGACGTAACTGAACAAGGTAGGTCTGCTGATGCATGAACCCGTGCGTTGTCGACATGCTGTCAGATCAACAACGACCGAGCGAGTGTCACGGACTGAGGCCTGTTACCGGAATCAATGACCCGTAATGCACCGTTAATCCTTTTGCAACACTGGCCAGGCGTTCATGACGCAGCACAGGATGGTATGGGTCAATATCCACGGCCGACGACCCTCTCCATGCCAGGTTATCGGTCTGTCTCTGTGGAGCCTAGAAGAGAGTGCGCCTCTCAGGACCCTTGGTGTCAGAGAAGTCGTCTGAAAAGACCACAATCTGTATGGGAGTGCAAGTCAAGGGCGTCATGCACCTTGGCTCCTTCCAGCTCCCCTAGTTGTTAGCTGTGAAGTTGCAACTGCCTTTTCAGGTAGTGGGCGAGAAGGTATCATGCCGCGGTCATTCATAACATAGATTGGCTCTTCACGTCTCATCCTGCGCTTCGTTGATTGTGGCCCCACCCATGGGTGGTTCAGATGGCATGCCGGGACCTCGACCTGGACTGGACGTACTTCCAGTTGGGGAGACACCGGCAGACTCAAGGGGGAATTCTTCTCGCAGACACACGGTTTCCAGCACGTTGGTCCACTTCCCGCTTTGTCCAGCATGGCTATGTTTTAGGTGTTGTCTGAAATGATCGGCCCTGAAGAACTTCTTGGCCTGGTTGCATTCGCCAAATTTGTGGACATTGGTGAGGTGATCAATCCTGCGGTCCCAATCAGGTCGGGGGATGTTGGGAAACTCTTCTCCACAGAAGCCGCACGTGTCGCTCGAAGGAGCTTCAAGCCCAATACCAGAGGGGGAAGCAGAGGGATAAAAGGCCGCTTGAAAGTTCGGGATGGCGGCGCACGCCCAAGATTGTCGTCGGAGATGAAGAGAGTTCTGATGGCGTTCCGCCTCATTCTTATTCTTGAAGCGGTTATGGCAGTATTGACATGAGTACTGTTTCTCCATTTGATGTGCTCTCAATTCTTCCTCTGTGTCGTACTTCCTTGGCTTCTTAGGACAGCAATCGCAGATGAAGTAGTTCCCAATGCGCGTGGCAGGTGGCAACGGCATCCTGGAGTCGTTGATGGCGCTCTGAATAGACATGGCTGGGAAGGAAGATTTGGCTTCGAGAGGAGACTGAAGCGGGTGAGGTCTGGAGGGAGCTGTAGATGTGGCAGGGCTAGAAACGGTATGGATCGAGGTCAGGTATGTGGTCTGGTAAGGATCCATTGGCGACTGTCTGTCGAAGGAAGAGATACTGGTCATACTGCTGCGTGCCACGGAAATGGCGGCAGAGGATGCGTACGAATTCTGCCTCACGCTTGACGATGTAGATGAGACAGATCCATGCTCTAACCGGTACAGCGCCGTTTGCATTCGCGGGAATTGCTCTGATACCAAGTTTCCATGTAAGGGCGACTTGTCCTCTCTGGCTGCATCTGATGGTGGTGATCGCGCTCGCCGCTTCGTGCCCAGCTGGGAAGATCGTCGACTAGTCTGCTGTTGCGAGTCACCGCAGTTCAAGAGACGGAATGCACCACATTCGTCGCCAGCCAGGTCCGATTCTCCATCTGGGAAGACACCCTGGTCATAACTGCTGCGTTGAGACCGACTGGCCACGCTGGTCGTGTCTTCGTTGCCTTGGATCGAGCCGCTGGTGGATAAGAACCCGCTGGGTCGAGGCTGTACGAACAATTCCGGGTCCAGAACCAGAGAGGCAGCTGCACTGTCCATGGAAGAACTTCGGTGATCCATATTGTAGTCACGCCAACCAGGCCGCGACCCGGGGGACACACCTGCTGACACTGGACTGGTAATCCATCTAGATATTGGATCTAGAGTCGCCGACGGAAGATCATTGGTTGGCGTGGATTGGGATTTCGGGTTCTTGGTTTGCAGCGCCAGCTTCTGAGGAAACATTGGGGTTTCGCTCGAGCCAAACCGGGGGGGTCGCGGTGGTGAGTTAGGTTTTCCAATTTTGGACAAGACCCGCTGGTCGTAAGCCTGCGAGGAGAGATTGAAATTCTGTTGTGCCAAAGGCGTTTCTCCTTGTAGTCTAGAAATAGAAAATCGTATTAGCTCATTTTGCCTTCGGGTTCCGGTGCGAGTTAGCTCAGGCGTGGTTATGGCCCCCACGGTTGACGCGAGAGACGTCAGAAGGGCAAGGGAAGTAGAACAGATAGCAGTAATGCCAATGGTAAGAGGACAAAGGTGCAAAGCAGAAAAAGAGACCATTGCAAAGGATACCATAGCTGACTAACCTTTGATTTGCCATACTGGTAGCTGGCGAGGGTGGCTTCCGGGTCAATGTCGGAATCTGGCCAGCCTTCGGAACTGCTGTTTGTCCCGCAGACTTCACAGTAGACACATCGCTGCCTCTGCGCGGATAGTCGGAATCCATGTCCATCTCATCATCGCGGGAACGGGCAGAATTCCTCCTGGAGTACAGATAGCCACCGTACAGGCTCGAACTCGGTTTGATGGGGGCCAGGCGTCTGGGAGTGCTGTTGAAAGGATCGCTGTTTGCCCAACTCCATGCGACGTCTACTCCTTGAGCCAAGTCTTCATTGTATCGAGGAGGAGGGAGGGGCGGAGGGGCGTCGTCGAAGCGGGCGCCCGGTATAGGCATGGCCGCTCCAGGGCGAAGAGTGTCGCCCGAGGTTTGCGAGGGTGACCGAGAAGTAGATCGAGGTGTGGCAGCGTTGTCTCTGTAAGAGGGTACCCGTACTGCAGCTGTGGAAGTCCTACACGTATCCATGTCTGTTTCGGCGTCACTGCAACATCGGAGGATGGGGAGGCGACCCGGAGGCGATTCGTATTGACTGATGGAACCCGGAAATGACTGAGATTTGACAGTGGCAAGTCCACGTATTTTCCTGCGATTCACAAGTCTTGGATATGCTTTGCGAGATTCAGCTCATGCGGACCGATTAGTCTGGCAGCACCGTGTCTATGCTTTCTTTTCTCCTGTTTCTCCTTTCTGTCTCATCGAGCACAATCGTCCAGGAGAAGGGTGTGACGTCGTGGGGAGAGCAAGTACAGTCTGGATTCGGTGGACCGACTGGGGCAACATCAAGGTCTGCGGTAAGGACAGGATATGAATTGAATTGAATCTTTCAAAGCCCACTGCAACAGAAGCGAACGATCGAACAGCGGAGGACCAGTCGGAGGAGGGATTGAGGATATGGAGGACGGTCCTAGGAGGGGTTGATTGAAGGGCCCGGCGAGCAGAAATCAGGCGAGCAGCAAGCAGACGGAGGAGTAGGACAAAGGGTCGCGGTGGTCAACATGCTGCAGTAGTATGTGAGGTGATGGTGGTAGTTGCATATGGTTGGCTTGTGTGGCCTTGCGGTCGCCGATTTCTCAGTGAGCCACAAGAATAGATGGGGGACCAGGAGAACACCCCTACTACCCTGGCATGTCGAGGTGACTAGATGCTAGTAGATAGTAGGAGGAGCTGGGTTTTGCGCGTTTGACCGTCCATGTATGTGCGAGTCAGAGGGGAGCTGATCCCAAGGGAGTAATAGCAGCAGTAGCAGGCAATGGCCTGCAGTGGGAGTAACGAGTTTGGCCGTGTGGCCGTTTGCCTTCGCAGGCCGAGGACTCCGACGACGATGGGGATTGGCCACGAGACGAGAACGGAAGGCGGAGCAACAAGAGGGATCCATTTATCAATCGACTGACATTATTCTTTCCTTCTGTCGCCGGTTGCGTTATGCACTGTTGAGCTACTAGGTAGTAGACGACGCTTTCAATGCACTAAGGATGAGCCTTAGCCACGCCGGACCTGTGCCAACCTGCCAGGCCCGAGCGGAATTAAAGTACGGAGTGACAAGAATGGATCCCACTGGCAGGGTCAGGCATCAAGTTGCGAGGGACCTTAGCTTAGGACAAGGGCTTAGAGGCCGAGGAGCCTTAGCCTCCTTAGCCTTTTACCTCAGGTTGGGATAGGTATAGGTTAGGTACGTACTACTCTCAGGCCTTAGCCAGGGCTGATTCTTCGGCAGGGGTGCAAGGGGGGCCTGGCCGGGCCCTTCTGTTTTGGAGGGGCGTCTTTGGCCACCGACTCCTGCCGCTCGGCACCAGGCGCAGGCTACCTTAAAAGACTTGAAGGCCTGAGAAGCCTAGGCTGGGGGCTTGGGACAGAGCCACTGCACTGCGCTGCGCTGCACTGCACCACGGCCAACGGTTCAGCCCTACCAAAGGTCAGATCGTCCCAATACCCAAGGAGCTTCCCGTCAGTGGAGTTTTCTGTAGGGATTCCATGCACGACAAAGAACAACAGGAAGAAGGAAGCAAGACGAGTCGCGCCCCTCACTAGGTACCCAAAGCCTGAATCAGGCTTTGCTTCAGCTAGACGCAAGGCCGAGTATTCTCCCTCCTCGTCTCCCCAGCCCTTCACATCGCGACCGTTGGCTTTTGTTTGACCTAGTACCAACAGAACAAGCATGGAACCTCTAGGCGTGCGCCGAAGCTCCATCAACCGCCCTAGGGAGTGGTTGACACCTCGGCTACCTCTGGTACATCCCGGTTACCTTTTCTGTCAACGGCAACGTACCGTTCGCACAACGAATCACAACCACGGGTCCGAAGAGTCTGCAGAGAGGTGGGCTGATGCTCCAGGAGTCCACGAGGCCCTAAGCTTTCGCATGGCCAGCTCGCATACAGAGTAGTTGTCTATCCAGCTCTTTTTCACATCGCCACGGTTTGAGGGCGGCCTAGGTAGCTGTCACTCGTATTCGGCGGGACAGTGCATTGGGAGGCCAGCATACCTATCGGAACGTCGGCAGATAACGGTCTATCCTCAGCGCTAGCAATCGAGGCTCGAACACGTTGAGGTGGAGGTGTGGATGCCGGTCTTTAGGGAGTGGACCTAATTAGGCTGCTTTGATTATCAACCAGAAAAGGTGGAATCACAGAATGTGGAATGTGGAAAGAGAACGCTGACCGAAGGATGCTTCCAGTCATCGTTGTGTCAACCTGGGGTCATGACATGCAGTGGTTCCAGCTCGACACGGACAACTTGAAGTCTGTCATCTCGCACACTTAAAATGTTTATTGTTTCGTCCGTCTCGAGAAGTTACCGCCCTGCACCCTGTTGCCGCCAGAGCTGAGCCTTATAGGACATCGGGACGAAGTCTGTGTGAAAGCGGGACGCCCATTACTAGGAGACAGAGCCTATTTCCCATGCGTGTGCTGGCGAGGCGTATGGCTACTACCTACCTACCTAGGTATGTAGTATGGACACCCTATTGGCAAATGCACCGGACCCCGAATACTTTCTTTTCTCTACTACTACTTACTAGGTACAGTACCAATCGATATCTTGTCGTCCTTTTCCTGGACGTCAATGCCCGTGGACTCGTACTGTCGCAGCCTGTACCTTGCATCTCCGGCATGATTGACCATTGAAGTCTGCATGCTCCGATCTCAGAAGCAGTCCTTCTCGTCCGTTGAACTCATAGGTCAAACGGCCACACAGAATAACTAGGATAGATCCTGTTCCACAGAGCAGCAGGAGTCGACTATTCCACCAACCAAGGACCGTTCCACCCTCATGCTGGCCATCAGCTCACCGCAGTGAGATCACAAGGGCTCACGATGGATAGATTACATCCCATGACTGATTGACCTATTGATTGACCTGATGCGTGACCTGATCGCCGGTTAGCGATCCTTCACTTGGATAATGCTCTCAACAAGGAGCCTTATGGCACCACGAGCCTCTTTAAGGAGAGCAAATTCAAACTGTACAGATGATCACATCTTCCTTGCCTCCTGGTTACTTTGCTTGGCCCCATGCGAGTCGTCAACAGCACCGGGGTTGTTGTGGATTGTTTGTGGCTTGTGATGACAGACTTCTATGTGCATGGTCTCACATGGTCGGGTTCAATCCTTCTGAGGCTTGATCTTTCCCTCTCCGAAGAGATGATTCGCTCGGCGAGGGCGAGACAGGAGGGTGATTCTGATGGGGAACATAATTCAATGCTACACGTCCATCATAAACGATATCTTTCCTACTGGCCCACCTGGGCACTCTTCTGGGGTTCAAGTGGGCGGGTGGTCTTGAGGGGCCCTCCGTTGCTACGCTCCCCTTGAAAGTGAAAGGTAGTGGATCTTGTCGACACATTCGGTGGATGTCTTTACGACGACAGCGACATACTTTGTAGTGGCAGGAGGCTCTAGTTTCGCAGGGTTTCGGATATTGTGGAGACGATGAAAGTGCATCGATATGTGGTTGAAACGAAGTGCATACGCTTCAGGGTCGATGCAGTTGGACTGGCGTCGGATGAAGAAGCTAGACATAGGCCAACACCCAGCATGCAGTTGAGATCGTCCCTGATCCTGCGATTTGGTGAGAAGTAGTAGGAGAGTAGCTCGTAGGTCATGGCCACTACTGCGTAGGGATGTGTATACCGATACTACCACGAGGCCGGGGTTGAGCTCCACCCAGGCGTGGGTGCAGGCGAAAATCTTCCAGAACAATATAGCGTCAGTGTCTCACCAGCTGCATCAACATGGCACTGTGTCGCTACGAGGAGCGTAGATGGACGGCTATAGATAGAGCTGGTGACAGGGAGATCAAGGTAGATTGGAACAACGCAGTGTCTACTGCAGTGTGTATATGTAGGTGATTGCAGTTGCAGTTGCCGTTTCCCGAATGGCAGTGCGTACATGTACCTTCCTTTCATGAATCAGCTAAATGCGTTGCAGTGCGGTGTCATAGTACTGAGGTCCGAGTCGTTCCTGCCTGACACGGGTCTTGGCAATAAGCCGAGGCAAAAATCTTAATCCGACTCCGACTCTCAATTTGCCGCCCGCGCTGCGCTGCGCTGCATTTAACCATTTACCATTTACCACCAACTCAACTGAATGCCACTGACATCTCTCAAGCGCTCAGATACAAGGGTGTCCGGCGTGCACCTCGCAGCAGGCGACTGGCTTTCTTGACCTCTGCATTCTGGTTCGAGTGCCTCGAAACTGCAGTGCACCGTTGCCTGGCGGATGCGGATTGTGGCTTTTGGAGCTGCAGGGATTATTTTCTCACTCCGCCTCCGTCTTCGCCAGTCTTACGGTCACAGCCAACTCAGACTCTCGCGGCACTCCTCTTTTTTCTTCTCTCTTTTTCTGGGCCGATCCGGGATTCGTGCAAGCCGCATTATTCTTCCGGAAATTGACTGGTGATGGACCTGCCAATCCTACCCAGCAAGTGCCCGGGTTACAACATCTACATTGATGGGTACGAATGACTTCCTTGCTCGTGACGACTAACTCCAAAGCAATGGAACAACATACTGACGGGCTTTCCTTGGCAGATTTCATGCACTGCGGCGTCCAAAAACGCTACAAGAAGCCAACATCACTCACGTCGTCTCTGTGATCGATTGGAAGTTTCCACAGGGCTGGGCTCCGCTCCGGGGGTTCCAGCACCTACGCATCCCTTTGGATGATGTCTACGACTCTAACATCCTCTCCTACTTCCCTCAAAGCAATGCTTTTATACATAACGCTCTAAACTATTGGCCGACCGATCAATCTTCTGGTCCTAACTCCTCGCATCGAGATGCTGACAACACGCCTCGTCAAAGCGGAGTCCTCGTTCACTGGTAGGTCATGACATCCTGTTTGATCTCCTCCTCTATATTGTGATGACCGGCGGGGTCAAATCTCTGCAGCAGGCTTGTGTCCCTGCCTGAATCGACAGAGCGTTCTGCGCGTTGGACTGGTTGCAATAGTGGTCCGGCTGTGACGCGGCTTGTCATTCCCACTTCCTGAGTTAATGGTCCATAGCCTTTGCTCCGTGCCACAACTTTCGGCGTAGCCGAATGTCCTTCTTTCACGATGCAGGGTTGCATCATGCAAAAAAGCAGCAGGTGCATGCAAATGGAGGATTCCCACTGCTGAGAGGTTGTGGTGCTCGTGTCTTGGCTCCAATCGAAATGGCAGGTTGTTTTGCCACGCTGAGAGCCTGACTCGTCTCCCGCCACCCCAAACCCTGATGGCAAACTAATCGGCATCCCAAAAGCGTGCATGTGAAATTCAACGTGTCGATTACATCCGTGGAGCCACTGATCATAGCCTTTGGGCGCCGTGCCAGACAATACCAGGCAGGGAGAGGAGGTAAGGCTTGATCACGTGACCCGTTTTGCGTGGGGGGGCTTCGTGGTGGTCTGCCTTGCATACAAAACTCAAGTTATACATGATGCATACCAATCAATTTCAAACCATGGATGAGGCTGACAGTTTCTGCATAGTGCAATGGGCGTGTCCCGCTCTGCCACCATTGTAATAGCTTACCTTCTATGGCGTTCCCGCCAGCCTGCGACAATTCCCAATCCCGAATCCAGTAACCGGTCATCAAGACAAGAAGCACAATCACGGTCGCCTTCAACGGAATCACCAGCCTCGACCCCGGAAATGGTCTCGCTTCCGCCAACCCCGCTGACAGTGGAGTCGGCCCTGGCGCTTGTGAGAGAATCGCGGCCCCAGGTCGAACCCAACTCCGGGTTCATCAAGCAGCTGCGAATGTACGAAGCTATGGGATGTCCCACTACGCAGGAACAGCTGGAGTCGCACAAGATCTATCGACGCTGGATGAACTCGCGCAGTGTGATGGATGCTCTGAGTGCGAATCGTGCCCCAGAGGTGGCAGACATTACCTTCAGAGACGAGGAAGTGGAGGACGAGGACGAGCAGCTCGCACAGACCCAGTCCCCGTCTCAGTCCATAGGGTCCGCCCTAGACACTCTCAATCTCAACGCTGTCGACTCTGAGATCACCGATCCAGACATTACCGTTTCATCGCCCTTCCAAAGCTCTGGCGGCCCGTCTCCTGAGATCGAATTGAAATGCCGCAAATGCCGTCGTCTGTTGGCAAAATCCAATTTTATTGTTCCGCACAAACCACCCCCTCACCGCGACCCCTCGGCTGGTTCGGCGACTGAACCTTGTGCGCACATCTTCCTGCATCCGCTCTCGTGGATGAAGGACGTTCTAGCACAAGGCGAGCTTGATGGCCGCCTGGTCTGTCCAAATCCGAGGTGCGGCGCGAATATTGGCAAGTTTGCGTGGCAGGGGCTGCGATGCAGTTGCGGTGGTTGGGTGACGCCTGGATTCGGAGTCGCTAGAAGCAAGGTAGACGAATTGGAGGCTAGGCCGGGCAGAGGCGTTGGTGGAGGTGGAGGTGGAGGTGGAGATCCCGCGTCAGCAGCCACAGCGGGCGCTGGAGTGAGACTACCTCCTGGCATGAGAAGGAGTGGACATGGCAGTCTGTGATGCTGCTAGTCGTTGATCCCACACACTGGTCCGTTGTCTGGTACTGCTGACGTCTAGAAAGGAAAGGTGCAATCTGCCCATCGGTGACTCCGAACAACCCCAGCACGGATGTAGGATCCCACATCCTTTCTCGATACCACGCCAACTCCTTGGGAGGCAGACCCAATTGTCTCCACGATATTTTCATAGCCGATTCCATAAGTGCGAGTTGGGGAGGGAAGAAGAACTCCTTCATCTCGGCACCACTGGCTGGCACCAATGCACACCAATGCTCCTTTCCAGGCCCACGGTCCGATTACTCATAGACGGAGCATGATACATCACTCGGCAAACCAGTCAAGTCTGCAGTCGAGGTGAATAATCAGCATCGAAGTCTACCTGTGGCTGGACCCGGGAATCCTTCGTGTGACAGAGCGCATTCCCTTCTAGGAAGGGACTCCGTGCAACACTTTCAGGCCGCTTCTGCCATGACAGGCCCACCGCGCATCATGCATCTAGGCCAAGGCAGGGTAGGAAATCAAGTCCTAGGCTTTCTGGTTGGATCCCTTAGAAGACATTGGAACCATTTGCCTACTAGTAGGCCGTCAACATGCCAAACAATAGTAGCTGACATGACAAGATTCCGACTTTTGCGTTGGTCGGGGGATTTCCTTCCGTGACGCGATTTCAGGCCCCCAATAGATTTGTAGATCTTGAACTGCGATAATGCTGATGATAAAAATCCTATGGCGATCCGATTGCTTGTTCATCTAGTAGTAATCACCAGTTGCATACAAGGGTCCATGATCATTTGCTCCTTTTGGAAAATCCCGTCAAAGGAATGAAGGGCGGATGAGGTGAGGAATCCCGAGTCTGAAAGTGAGACGCAGGCACCAGAAAGCCAGTATCGCCTGGGCTGAAGGCTTGAGAGGGGGAGTGCATGATGCACTTCAGCCTCGTGAAGGCTGCTTGCTCCATTGCACTGCAGTTGCAGCTTCCTCGACAGAGACTTGAGGAGGAGCATCTCCTTTTCGCTCAATGTAGACTGTCACCCGTCAGGTGCACAGTCTCTGCGCTACTAGTATGCTGCGAATGCCTCGATCGTCGCGCATCTATCGCTCCATCTAAGCAGCTCTGATCCTTCGAGTCTGACATGCTTGGCCGCGCTCGACTCGACTGGCTGCTGGACATAGGTAGCATCCCAAGCTTGAAAGAAAAAGGATCGTGCCGTCTCCGCGTGTGTGATGGATCGAAGGAACAGTGTGATGGTGGGTGGAGGTGGAGGTGGAGGTGGAGGTGGAAGAATGGTGGACACCGCTGTCTTGCCTGCCCGACGGAAATGCAAGCTCGATCCTGACGAGTCTCCATTAAGTCTTCCCCTCATTCTAGCGGGGAATAAGAAAGTCGGAATCCTGCCTTTCTGACTCAAAACGTAACCATGGCGGGTTTTGGCTCTTGGGTATCGTACATTGGATTGAAAGTTGAGATCCACAGCTCTGTCAGCTCGACGGGTGAGACGGCCGGTACGGAGTATATCTAGCTCGCTTATCGTAAGACTGGACTCAGGCACGACTCGGTTTTGAGCACGATGCGCGTCGCGCATGGGATGATGAGTGGCGGAGCCCGGGACAAGCTGGGAGAAAGGTGTGCTAAGGAATGGGCCGCCGAGACAGCAGGCTGAGTGAGGGTTGTTTCTTTTCTGCGCTACCATGCCGGCTTCAGCCTTGCAGCACGGTCGGGCATGCTTTTATCCGACGTCCCCTCTCCGTTTATACCTAGTTTCTTTCCAACGTACCCTGGGCAGCTGAATGTGTCATTAGCCGCATGCTGCCGGAAGCGATATGTAATGTATATGAAGCGTCACAGTATAGTAATTGTTCGTGATTTGATTCAGAGACATTATTATTAGCGAGCTTGCATCGGCATCTGGATAGTAGTAGGGGAAGCAGTGCAGTAGGATGCGACTATCGTAGCGTCTCGGCGGGGGGCCGTACAGTAGTGCTAGAGTCGAATCTCCTAGGCTTCGCGTCGAACAACTTGAACAGATCCTTCCGCATCGCGCTTGTGTCCTCCAGTGGCGTGTGGCTTGCGTTGAATACGAGCTGCATTGTGCGGTACGAGCTCGCAACATGACGGCAGTTGCAGACATAATGTGCCATCATCCACGTGTCGTTATGATATAGGTCGCAACGCTGGTGGGATCACCTTCGCAAATATCAATCGCGCCAGTATAGTATGCCAGCCAGTGACAGTAGCAGTGGCAGGTATGTTCTCCTCATTCATGCTCCTCCTGCTGAATGAGGTGCCCGGAGCGGCAGAGCGAGCCGGAGATGCGACCCTTCGAGGTTAGTGCTGACGATGCAGCCAAGACCTTCATTCTCAGTCAAGAGACAACGCAGAAAAGCTTCGTAACAGCCTGCAAGCGAGCGAGGGCACACAAGTCGGGTTTTGAAACCCTGGGAGCGCCTTGCCGGGCTGATGGTCTGTACGTTGACGTGAATGGGGTTAGTAGGAGGTTAGGCACCTGACCAGCAGCGCAGCCGGCAAGGACTTCTCCAAACGGAGTTCGTCCATCCACGGTACCAACCACCAATAGTGATGCGAATTCTGTCGCATGTCCTTGTATGCGAGTTCGACGCATGGATCTGCTGGTCTGCTCTGATCATGGGAGATCTCCTTTGGGGACAGCGGGAAACAAGGTCGGGTCCCGCATTCGCTGCTGAGTCCTTTTTGCCTGTTCCATCTTGCGTACTCTGTCGACTCTCATCTGATAGAAGTTTCTGATACGGGAGCTGGAGTCAAAAAGCGTGGCCCAGAAAGCACGTGATGGGGCTGCTTACCTGTGCAGTGCGTACACGCGAGGTACAGCACCCGCACTCGCCTTCTCGTTTGGATTGGCGCCAGCTTCAATTGCCTTGATCTGGAAGATGTTAGCACAGGGGCACCACGTGCTGGGAATCAGAGACCAACCTTGTCATCCCTTTCCTTCTCAGCCTTGCCATCGTCATCATCGTCCTTCTTTTTCTCCTTACTATTATCCTTGGCTTTCTTTTTCTTCTGCTTCTCTTCATATTCCTGTTTGATCTTCTCGATTTCCCGGTCCATCAGCTCTTTCTTCCTCTTGGCAGCTTCGGCCTCCTCGTCGACAACGGGAGAAGCGAAGCTTTTGTCACTGAGGTGAGAGACGCAGATGTAGAAAAAGTCCTAGTACGCGCGCGATGTTGGTACTAATCAAGCTGACGTGTACGACAAGGCAAGGTTACAGGGTTTCGGGGAACGCATTCATATCTACCTTGTTATCGGGTGTTATAAGGACTTTAGCCGTAGGCTTGTGGCAGACATAGCAGGCTTTGGAAGATGTCTCTGCCACGGTTCGCAGATGGTAAACATTGCCAAATGGTGCCGCCATTGCACTGTCAACGTAGGGAGTCGACTTTCCGGCAATGCCGAGCTCTTGATGTATTCGAAAAGACGTCAAAGGAACGGCGTAGAGGTTTATGATGCGATGCAATACGGAGGAACTTGGAGATGATATTCAACTTCGACGTGTCGTTTCATTCGAGCCAATCAGAGTTGCTTTTGAACAAGGCTCTAATCCGCTTTTGGGATGGCCAAGGCTTGTCCTATCAAAGATAAATGCTCGGTCTGACAGAAACCATCTGCAGTTCTGTGGGGGAGAATATGCGGTCAGACAGAATAGTCTCACTTTCAACAGTGTGACAGTTCTATATGGAGGGTACCAAGTAGAAGGCGGCCCATAAGTCTACCTAGGTGGAAGGTTGAAGCGGCAACGATGTAATGGTTCAGCCAGGGAGCGCGTATGGATGGCTCGGAAGGAGGCCAGACATGGTGATGAATGTGACTTACACAGCAAGACGCAATTCCTGCCTTTCAACAGGTACCTAGGAGGTAGGTATCTGTAATAAGTCTCAAAGGGTACTCTTGTTCAAAATAGTACAGTCTAGATGCGACAACCACATCACACATGACTAAGTTTCTGTCATCTATACTCCACCTTTGGCCTGCTGTGCAGAATTCCCTGTCCGTCGAAGACTCCGAGAATCCAACTTCTGTTGCTGAGCAAAGACACCCGTTCCGATAGCAGGCCGTTCGGGTTGCCCTTCAGTGGAAGCAACCTCCTTTAATGTCTCGTCTTCTGCCTTGGTGATAGTTCCTTCGAAAGCGGCAGCTCTTTGACCCTGATCGGCCACCACTTGTCGGCTCCATCGTTCCCAATCGTTGTACATGGCGTTTTCAATCTTCATGCTGATTTGAATGGCCGACTTGCCGAATTGTGCACCCATATGTCTTGCTTCCTCGGCAGCAATTCTGTTCCGCGTCTCTTCCTGTCGCCGTAAAGCATAGAATTCTTTTCGGGAGATGTCATATGCCTGCGCGACGGTGATGTCGGGTACGTTCTGGAGAAGCCAAAGTTGTCTTTGGACCACGGATTCGCCGGAGAGGGGGATGCCAGGCTGAATCAAGCCTGTCGACCAGTCTGCATTTTTGTATTGATCTCCCGAGGTTTCGAGCACAACGCGAGGCCGCGCCAACTCCCAAGGATGATCGCTGAAGAATCTTGACCTCAGGGAGTCCTCCTCGTATTGTAAACTCTTGGGCATGAACAAATGGCGATCTTTCAGCGTTTTTCGCTTCCTCGGTTCCACCACTTGGAGATACTGCTCTGTTTTCCCGCTGGGAAGAGTGCGTGTGCGGACCTTTGTCAAAGGGTGTTGTAGAGGCTGTTGGCGTATGAGGATCTGTGCGGGAGGGATATCGCCAGCTATATTAAGCCAACTTGGCTGCTGGGTAATCTGTTTCGCCTTGAGTTTGGCGACAGCAGTTTTGCGGACATTGAGGGCTGTGAGACTTATGCGGCCCATTTTGGGCAACGGCGTAGGTGTTGTCGTTTAGCCGGCGTGGCTTTTCCGCATGGGCCAAAGCCAGTCAGAAGAAATGACTGAGCGGTGATGGCGGTCCTCAAGGCACACCCAGGGTGTAGAGTGACTGATGTTGTTGCTTGGTTGCTGGTGGAATTGAAATTGAAATTGAAATTCGCAACTTAAACTTGAATTGAAGCTCCAACTTGAAGTCGCTGTTTGACTGCGGCGAAAAAGCGCGCTAGTCAAAGGAAGCAACTTCGAAATTCCCCGGATTCACGACCAGACAACGATTTCCATAGATCTCGAGATTTCCCGGTTTGATTATTGCCTCTCGGGTCCAAAAACACTGTCCTGCATCAGTATGTGTACAGGCATATGCATCAATCCTCCAAGTTGGCTAGGTGCAGGAGCATTCGAAATGCGGCCTCGATAGCACCTTTGACTCTATGCGATTTCCTTGCGCCCACCGTCTCCTCCAGTCCCACCCTTGCCGGGGGAAATCGAAAAGCACTATCTGTTGCTTCATACAGGGATAGTGTGGAGGCTGTAGAAGCGATTTTCTATGATGCCCTTTCACGCTCGACGAGATGTTGTTTCCTTCCCACGTCGGCCTCGACGACGAAGAGGAGTCTAGCTACCTTCACCACACGACCGATCGAGACGACCATTTCTCAGAGACGGAGTGACCGGCAGGCAAGGCAAAAGGCAGTGTCTTGGGGTCAGCGCCGAGGTATAAGCAGCACCATTGGAAGGCACCGCCTAGCAACCGTGGAAAGACCAGAGCATCTTGGCGTACAATCGGAGCGGCGTACAAATACAACCGGCCATGGCGCATCTGTCGAAGCCAATAGACGGGACTTTGCGGCAAGAAGCCGACTGCCGGCAGGGCTCTTCGACGACATCGACAGTCTACAAAAGAAGGTGGAAGAGACAAGGCCCACGCCAGACGGACAGGAAGGAAACGCCACAAAACCCAGTGTCAATGAACAACTCCGGCTGCTCAAGTCCGTCAGAGAACTCGAAGACAAATTAGCCAAGGCAAAGGCCGAGTTGACTACTTCGATGCGGCGGGACGTTCGGTCTACCGTTGGCCCCGGTGGGAAGACACCCCAGAAGCAAAACTCTCCCACAGTGGAGCTATCGAAAGAAGATTATAAGAACCTGGTCGACCTCTATTACTATACCCATCGGAGTCGGTTTGACCCAGAATCGTCGGACCTGTCGCCTACGCCCACCTTTCTTGAGGACTATAGTTTTAAACTGTCCGAGGACTTCGCGCCACCCCAAGCCTACGCCGAGTTTTATGACGCGGACGAAGAGGGACACGAATCTCCTCTGAAAGAAGTCGAGCAGAGGCTCAAGTCAAGACAGTTGCGAGAGATATCCGTCACGAGTGATTTTATCGACTTACTGCTCGATGAACGGTCATCCAACGCAGCACTCTTCCAGGCATATAAGAGGCTACCCCAACCGGGGGTATCTTTTCTCCCTCGTGGGATCATCCGGGTCTTCTTGCAACGCATGGCAACGCCCTGGCAAAAGAGTGAGAAATCAATGATCAGATATCTCTCTCTCATTGACGATATGCAGAATGCAGGATTGCCCATCACGAAGGCGGAATGGGCGTCGGCAATCTACCTTGCTGGGAGATCTTTCACCAGAGTCACAGAGAGCGACATGGTCAATTCTTTCCGAGTATGGAAGCAGATGGAGCAAGAAGCCGGCGTGAAAGCTCACCACGTTACCTTCAACATCTTGTTTGATATCGCAGTCAGAGCAAACAAATATACGGTTGCTCAAATGGTACTGAAAGAGATGCACGACCGTGGCCTCCGCCTGAACAGACTTGGTCGTGTCAGCGTCATTTACTTCCATGGCCTGAGGGGAGACGGTGATGCCGTCCGAAAGGCGTATCGCGATTTCGTGGATGCGGGCGAGATTGTCGACACACTGGTTCTGAATTGCGTGATTGCTTCACTGTTCAATGCGCAAGAACCGGCGGCAGCTGAGCAAATATATGAGCGCATGAAAAGCCTTCAGCTAGAGTTACGTCGAGGCAAACGGCGGGACGGCAGGTCGGTCTTGTACCGACACTATCCCGGTCCTGGGTCGGAGGTGATTGAGCACGAGATGGCTGCGAACGCGCTAGGGAGGACATTACTTTTCGCGTCACGGCTCAAACAGATATTGCCTGAACATCACGAAGAGTTGCAGAACGCCATGCCGCTGACGCCAGATCATACCACCTTCCGTACCATGATATCCTATCATGTGAACGTATCTGGCAACCTGGATCGGATCACTGTGTTAATGGATGAAATGGCGAAGCTCTTCCACTTACCATACCAGAGCATCACGTTTCAACTATTGTTCAAGGGGTTTGCGCTCCACGGAGCGACGAGCGATCCCGATGCCACATGGAGCGTGGAACGCCTCGACCTTGTATGGGATGCATGCCGAAGGGCCATCAAAGAGGGCCAAGCAGCTCGGAGGCGGTCAACCTTCAAGCCTTCGGAGCCGACGCTTCCATCCATCCATGTCGTCAACAACCTCACCAATGAAAACGAAGCTGAACAGGGGCACGGGCACGACCCGCAAGATGGCAAGATGCAGAAAGGCTTGAAACGCATGAGCGCGTGGAATGACTTTGTCCTTGACCTCGCACTGTTCCCGAAAGAGCGGCGGAAACATATCGAGCGAGTCCACGCCGAGCTATTCGACGAAGAGAAAGACAGCAGCGCCAGCGCCAGCGGCAAAGGCAAACCTTCTTTTCTGAGAAGAAACGAGTTGAAATCATCTTCAGCACTGCCTTACACGCAACAGCAGGAGACATACTACCCGCTCGGCGAAGCCAAATACGACCAGGAAGAAGGCGAATACGTCCTCCCTCCGCCCAGCGCGGCCATCGACCCAACGGGAGGAGCCACGCATGAACCATCAGACGAGTCTCCATGGCCCATGGGCTACAATGAACCGAACGACGTTGATCCTTCACACCAGACGTCGGACCCTGAGACCCAACATGATACCGACCACAAACATGAAGGCCATCAGATAGACGAAGATGCACACGATGAAATCCATGACGACGAGAGTACAGATACCGATCCCGACACCGATATCGACCCGGAAAGCCGGCCCATCGCAGTGACATCTCCGTACCAAGTCCAAGCGACACGTCCTTTGGTATGCTGGCTCCTGCGTGCCTACACACGCTGCACCGGCTCGCGGACCAAAGTGGAAGAAGTGTGGAACTCGGTGCGCAAAGTGTGGAAGACGCGTGATCCGATTGAGCGGGAGAATGTCGTTCGTGTTCTCCGCCGGTGTCTGAGGGATTGTGATCGGTTTGGACCGCCCTTGTGAGCTTAACCAAATTCTCGTCAACGGACAGAAATAAAGGCAGAAGACCAAAGTACACATGTCCAGTTGGGGGCTGCTTACTGTGCTGTTGCTGTGTGTGATAGATAGGGATCTGGTTATGGTTGTCCATAATATACAAGAATATACAAAAAAGGCAGATAACCATCATAACCTCGAAAATAAAACCTTGCAGAGAACGTGTCAGAAGAGAGTGTATACAACGAATCAGTCCATGATTATAGAGTAGTATATCTTTCATCGAATGACCTAGTTTCACTGCTATACTATACATCCTAGGTATCTTGTCCTCTACGTCTGGATGAGCAAACTTCAGTCGTCGGTCCAATCTTTTATCTTTCCACCACTGCAGGACATAATCTATCCATGACCTGTTGTTTTTGGTTGAGAAGCCTAGTTTCTACGTCTAGTATTCATGGCTTAAGGATAGATACCTACCTAGATACAGACAAGTAGACAAAACAGTTGGCACGCAACCCGAAGAAATGCAGATGTGTCAGTCAGGTAATTGAGAGATACGCAGCTGTTTTGGAAAGGAAAGGACAGGTATATTTCTCCCATTTATTCATATTCACCAGTCCTCCTTCCGGTCCTGGTAGAGGAGAGAGGTATAGAACCGATATTACGTCTAGTTATAGAAAGGATGTGTTGAGACAAGAATATCCCCATGTCCCCCAGACAGCCAGATACATTCATTCACTCATTCATACATACGAGGCCCCAGAAATGCCTATGGGTGGCTTGCTTTCCCTTGATTAAAGCCTGCTATTCACCTTCCTCCATTGCGCCGGTATCCATTGCCGTTGCCAAACTTTCACTTCAGATCCCACCGTCCTCCCGTAAATCCAAGGACAATAGCCCCGAGTGCGTAACGTAACATATCCTACTCGGTGTCTTAGGTGGGCGCCATGTTCAGAAACTGATCCACTTCGCTTTGTTGTCCTAAGCGAATACGGAACCTCCTCCTTGTTGTCCCCCCTGAATCGCCATCTGATGTGCCGACAATTGACAATTGACAAGCGCCAACTATTTCAATCGATTGTCATTGTGATCTGTCGTGCCGACATATTTGGTGTCTGCTTGTGTTTGGTGATTTCCGGTCAATGGGATATCCACAGCACTCTCGAAAGTCATGGCCCTTGCCGTCCTTACACTAGACGCGACATTGTGTCGTAGCATATAAACCACGATTCAGACTTGTTATTTGTGGGACCATAGTCTGGTGGAATTGAGGAACGCGTCACTCTCCTTTTTCGCGCGCTCCTGATAGTCGTTTGATGTTGGCGGGTAGTCGTCGTTGGTAAAGACGGTCTCCACAGTGTTTGTGGTGTACACGGACGATTTTGTGGAAGCGGTGCTCGTCATTCCCATGCCGTACGCGCCACCAATATAGCCTCTTTGAAAGGCCAGAGGTTTGAGCACGGAGGCGTCGTAACGTTCAATGAAGACCTTGTCCAGGTCGCGGTCCTTGGGTTTCGCATAGCGCTCGTACTCCTCGATACAAGCTTCCAGGGTCCAGCCCGTGACTTTGCGGAAGGCAGCGCAGATTGTTCCACTTCGATGTTTGCCCTTGTTGCAATGAATGAGCATTGGATAGTTGGTGGGGTCGAGCATAAGTTTTACGACCTTGTTGACAGTGTCGTCTGAAGAATAGACCTCAGGATCCTTGTTGGCCAGAATTGGGATATGATGGTGGACGATGCCGTTGGATGAAATAAAGTTTCTGTACTCGCAGGAGAGAGGTTGTGGGACCAGTGTGACAATGGTCTTGAGCTCGAGGTCGGTGAGGGTTTCGAAGTGGGAAACGAGTGGGTAGCTGGATCGATAGAGCCCGGGCGCAATGACTTGGAAATTGACGGGCCGTCCTGTCCCATCTGGAGTAGGGGGTTGAGATCTGTCTAGTGCATTGGTGGCCGACTCGTCTTGGGTGCGCAAACCAGGCAGTGACGCCGCCATGTCAACGGAGTCGACGCAATGATTAGACATGTTGTGAGGGTGGCCACAACACCGGAATAAAGTAGAAATTGTGACAGTAAAGAGGCCGGTCACTGTAATAGTGTCCGTACAGGAGAGATTTCTAGAAGGGTGTTTTCGAGCTCGGCGACAAAGGGTAACAGGACCACGGTGGGATTGACAAGCGGCGTCTGTAAGTAAGTGGTGGTCAATGAATTCGAGCCACGATGTTGTAGATATAAGAGAGGTGAGAGAATGGTAGAAGATGGATTTCAAGGACAGGAAACTCTGCCAATGCCGCCAATATATTCCCCCAGGCAAGTAGCACAGGTCCTCTTGGAGAGGAGGACCTCGACCCGAGGAGATGGTTCAGGTCGGGGGTGTCGCGACTAATTCGACATTTTGTTGGATGTCGTTAGATGTACCGGCGGATACGCTGGGACGACGCGGGTTGCGACCAGATTTCCTCCGAATTAAATTAGTTGGTGCTGCGAGCTCCAGAAGAGGACGATTCTGTGAAGAATCGAAAGCGATGAGAGACGAGATGAAGTTGGTGTTGAAGGGCGAAGGCGAATGAGACAGCTAGCTATCTTGACCTGAAACAGTCGGCACACGATCGAAGAGCGAGAGGATGCATGATGGCGGTGCGTCCTGAAGAGCTCTGCGTCGAGGGCGCTACAGAAGGACAATGTTGGATCGAGGTGTAGGACAAAGCCATGCTGCGTGAAGGAAGAGGTTGAGAGAGGGACGAGGTTGAGCCCGAAGGAAGGAAACAGAGGGAGAACAAGAGGATGGATTGCAGTTGGAGAGAGTCGCCCGACGCGGACGAGGTTCGGTAGGTTCGGTAGATCTGCACTGCACTGCAGTTTAGTTTGAGTGGTTGGTTGCTTGGTTGATAGGTATGTTTAATTTGTTTTTTCTCTGTTGTGGGTTTTGGATACTGCCGGAAGCGAGGGAAACGGAGGAAACGGAGGAGACGAGAGAAACGGGCTCGGAGGCAACAGAGAGAAGTCTTGGATTTTGATTGCTAACGAAGTTAAGTTGGCCGTAGCTGACGGGAGTCACCGTAATAGTTCAATAGTCGTTTAGTAACACTGGCAGAGGTAATAAAAATCAGGCAGAGAGCGAGAGCGAGAGCGCAGCGCAGCGCAGTGCCATTCAAGCTAAACCCAAAGGAGACGTGCCAACCACTTTACGCGTGACGCGCCTGCAGCTGACGCTAGTACTATTACAGTCACCCGGTCACATGTTCGGCGCATGTTATCTCCATTTAACTCCGACAGGGAGACAGATAGCATCAAAGACAATATACTCTGTATATAATGATACTGCGATACTAGTAGTGAGTGACGTTGGGATCCTAATCATTGATACCTAGGAGACTACTAGGTAACCTAATATCAATAGAGTCACAATAAGAGGCCGCATGCGCCTGTTTGTTGACCCTCGGACAAATCTAATGTTGCCCAGCCTGACATCTATCCATCTACCCACCCTCCCTCCGCTTTAATCTCCTGTCTATCCGGCTTACTCACCATCCAGACCGATCAACTGGCACTGCTCCCATGGACCGGAACACCCAGGCCAAACATCTCGGTCGAGTTCTTCCACGCCGCCTCACAAACCTCGTGCACCGGAATTCCCTTCACCCCAGCAATCACATGAGCAACCTGGACAATGGTGGCCGGCTCGTTTCGACCCTTGACCATCAACCCTTTCTGCCACTTCTCCTTCTTCACGGCTTTTGGGACCGTCGGTCCATCCTTGAGATACTTCGACGAGGCATGAGACGCTCGAATCTCGCACCATGGCCCGTCCGTTTCGATCTGCAGTCGATCCAACGGCACCGCCTTGACTGTCTCCAGGTTCTCCTCGGTCTTCATGCTGCAGCCGTTGATCCCAATGTCAAATCCAAGCTTGACCAGCGACTGCAGTTCTGGGATCGTCCCTGTGAAGCTGTGCACCAGTCCACGTTTGGGCAGCTTGTCGAGTCGCGCCGAAATGATTCTTTCGAAATCCTCACTGCAAGCTCTTGAGTGCAGAAACAAGGGCAGCTGCAATTCCTCCGCCAGGTCGAGCTGAAGCTCAAAGTATTTGAGCTGAACGTCCATCGGGGATAGGAACAGTCGGTCGTAATCCAACCCGATTTCGCCAAATGCAACCGCATAACGGCTCTCTTTGGCTTCTAGGGCCAGCGCACGTAGGTCTTTGATCAGAGCATCGGGGCCGCCTGGATAATTGTCAAAGTCCTGTGTCGAGCATGGATGGACTCCAACAGTGGCATAGCAGACATCCGCTGAACAACGTCAGTAAGAACCCGGACGAAACCAAGGTGAGTGTCTCCATACGGTGTTGTTGGGCAATTTCGACAGCATGCCGGGATTCTTTCAGATTGGAACCCGTGATCATCATTTTCGTACACCCGACATCAAGAGCCCTCTGGATCACATCGTCCAGGTCATCCGCATGTGCTTGTTTGCCGTGATATTTGCCACGAAAGACGGGGTCTCCAAGGTTGATGCCCACCTGTCCGCATCAGAATCTAGGTACTCAACCAATCATCCGCCTACGCACGTCTGCATACCTCAACGGCTCCGAATTCTCAGCCATGGTGGCGTAGTTGGCTTTGCTTGGACTATGTAGACGAATCTGGGCTCTACAGCGCCATGTCTGAGAGGTGCGATCTGTAAAGGGGGTAAGTAATGAGCAAGGCTGTTGTGCTCAAGGATCATCATACCGACAAAAGGGGCTGTACGGGGTAGCCAAGCCACCGACGGCAAGGCTGGATGTCCCAGGAGGTGAGTGAGCTTCGAAGTAGCACCAGACTGGACTCGGGATAGCATCAAAATTGACTACACACAAGGCTCGGGTTCTAGGCCTCTAGCAACCACTTCACTAGTAGTATGAGGATAAGATGTGACGATAGACCGTGGTTCAAGTTGTACGTGACAATATGGACAGAACTTGAACTCCGATGAAGAAAACGGCGAAGCACAGTCTCCAAATGGCGGAAACCGGCCGTGGGTGCGTCGGACGGAGTTGTGCCGAGAACGCTCATCACGTGATGAACCTTCTCCGCACTCCATCGGCGAATCGGCCGATGATGGATGGCGATCGAGCAGGCTGGTTGGATATCTGCCTCAACCCATTGGACGCCATCCGAGTATCATCAGACAGACAGACCCATTGGGGTCTGCGATGGCAATAGAAACTGGAGCGACATCCTCACGCGGAGACCTTCGAGTTCATCTTTCATACATCAGTGCTGCCGTCGTCAGTGACTGTTCTCGCACTTGAACGTTGACCTCCACACGCTTCCCCGTCGTCACCGCGGTTTGAGAGTGTAGCAGCAAGAATGGCCCCCCGGCAGATCTCGGTCTCTGAGATCTCCGCGCACAACAAGGACACCGACTGCTGGATCGTGGTCGATGGAAATGTATGGGACATGACCAAGTTTGCCCCAGAACACCCAGGCGGGCCTGGGATCATCTACAAATACGCCGGGCGCGATGCGACGAAGGCATACAACGAAATCCACTCGCCGTCCTTGATCAAAACCAATCTCCCGGCCGATGCACTGAAGGGCGTGCTCGACACATCCACCATCACGGAAGAATGGAATCGGCCAGCACCAGATGAGACACCCAAGGCCCGATCGACCTCGACGGCCGAGAAACCGCCTCTCGAGTCCATCATCAACGCGCACGACTTCGAGCTGGCCGCCGAGCACAGCGCGACCGCAAAGACATGGGGCTTCTACAGCTCGGCCGCGAACGACCTGGTGACCAAGGAGCTGAACGCCTCGTTGTTCCGCCAGGTCTTGTTCCGGCCACGGGTGATGCGGCGGGTCGACCAGATCAACACGGAAACCGACATCCTCGGCATCCCCGTGTCGTTCCCACTGATGGTGTCGCCCGCGGCGATGGCCCGCTTGATCCATCCGGACGGCGAGCTGGCGATCGGGCGCGCCGCCAAAGAGAAATCCATCGTGCAGTGCATCTCGAACAACGCGTCGTACTCGGCCTCTGAGATCGTGTCGCAGCCCCAGGTCAACGAATACCCGTTCTTCTTCCAGCTGTACGTCAACCGCGACCGACCCAAGTCCGAAGCCCTGCTCCGGCACATCCACACGCACAAGAACATCCGCGCCATCTTCGTCACGACGGACGCGGCGGCGGCGGGCAAACGCGAGGCCGACGAGCGCGTCAAGGCGGACGAAAACATCCAGAACCCGATGATGACGACGAAGCCCAAGAACGACAAAAAGGGCGGAGGCTACGGCCGTCTGATGGGCAGCTTCATCGACCCCAACCTCAACTGGGCCGACATTGCCTGGCTGCGCTCCCAGACGAAACTGCCTCTGGTGCTGAAGGGCATCATGTCGGCCGACGACGTGCGCCTCGCGCTGGACCACGGCCTGGAGGGCGTCGTGCTGTCCAATCATGGCGGCCGGAACCTCGACACCTCGCCGCCCGCGCTGCTCGTGCTGCTCGAGATCCACGCCCGCTTCCCCGAAATCATCACCCAGCATCACCCGCGCTCCGAGGCCGTGCGCTCCGGCCAGGCCAAGCCCTTCTCCATCTTCGTCGACGGCGGGATCCGCCGAGGCACCGATATCCTCAAGGTCGTCTGTCTGGGCGCCGTGGCCGCGGGCATCGGCCGGCCCGCTCTGTTTGCCACGGGATACGGCCAGGACGGCGTGGAGCAGTTGATCGATATCCTCAAGGACGAGTTCGAGGTCTGCATGCGCAACAACGGCATCACCAGTATCGACGAGTGTTCGCCGGAATATGTCAACACTGGCGCCGTCGACAAGTGGGTCGTCAAGAGGAGAGATCATCCTTACGCCGTGCATTGGGCCAAGGACAAGCTGGTCACCAAGAGTCTCTTTGGGACCGGCCGCGAAAGCAAGCTGTAACAAAAGAATCCAACTGCATCAGCGGTCCCTCAGAGGGATAGAGAGGAAACCGAAGATCCCAGGCGTGGTCCGCTTACCCAAGACACATGGTGTCTGGCGAGATAAAAGGAAACTGGCACAGAGCTGGTCGCCAGCTGAGCAGTTCATATAGTTACGGATACGGATGGTGTTGGTATACATGCTAGAGGCGCGAATGAGCGTTCAAGTACGTTGGTTAATTCAATACAAGAGTCTGTTCGTCCGCCAAATCTCCACATTGGAAATATCCAATATAGAATCTTGCTACACGGTCACCTGCGTCCATGGCTCATTCCTGTGCTGTGCTGTTCGTTTCCGGTTCTTCTCTGCTATATTCTAGCTTTCCCACTCACCAGCATCTGCCAGTCCTTCGGAGAAAAAGGCACATATCTATCACCCTTGGGCGGCAACCACAAGAACACATCGTCCTTCCCATCCGGCATCTCCGTGCCGACCAGGCGCGGGTCTACCCCTTCTTTTCGCAACGGGACCTTGTTCTGCTTGTGGTTGTGAATGTGTGTGCTGACCTTGACGATGCGCAGGAACACGGGCACGGCATAGCGAGGGAGTCGTGCGCGCGTATATTTCAGGAGTTCGTTATAGTCGACTGGTGGACCGGTGTGGTTAGGATCGAGGTCAACGGCGGCGCAACCAGCCCGTCCTTCATGGTTCGGCACCAACACTCCATATACATTGACCTCGGCGATCCCCGGGAACTGGCCCATAGTCAAGGCCACTTCGGCCGTGGAAACGTTTTCCGATTTCCAGCGGAAGGTGTCTCCTAGTCGGTCCAGAAAGTACCATCTGCCATCGCGGTCTCGGCGAAGAGCATCACCAGAACGGTAGTAAACGTCGCCCCTCTTGAACACATCCAGAGCGAACTTCTTGTCCGTCGCGGCTTGGGAGCGCCAGTACCCCTGGAATGCCTGTTTACCGGGTACCGCAACCAGCATCTCGCCGCCTTCTTCGTACGAGTTTCTATGAGCGAAGCCTGTCTTCGCGTCGCGCCAAATGTCTCCCGTCTCATGATCAATCTTGATAGGAATGTAGACTTTGTGCAGCATCCGTCGCATGATCAACCCATGGTGACCGACACAAGCTTGCAAAAACAGACCTTTGTCGTGGACGAACAACGAAAACATTCCTTCGGTGGAGTTGAAAAACTCGCCGACTTCAGGGATATTGAACCGGGTCTGAAACCTCTCCCAAACATCCGGCCTCAGTCCGTTTCCGTAAGCGCAACGAAGCCTGTGTTGCCGTTCCAGCGGGTGTGGCGGCGCATTGAGCAGATATCGTGCGGTCTCGCCGACGTAGATGAAGAATGACGAGTTGGAGTCGTGGATGTCGTTCCAAAACCGTGACACCGAGAACCGTGGTGCTATCGCCACACTCACGCCTTGTAACAAACAATAGGAGGTCATGATGGCACCAGTCCCATGATACAAGGGCATGGCATTGTACCATCGGTCTTTGCCAGGGACGGAACCACAGATTGGCATGTCATGGCCGCATATGAGGTAAACTCGGTCCAGGGTGAATGCGCAGCCTTTGGGCAGACCGGTCGTTCCACTGGAATATCATCAGCCTACGTTCATGCCAGAAATCGCATGGTCACAAACCTGGTGTAAATCAAGCAGTAAGGAAAGCGGCCCTTGGTGCCCTTACGACACTCATCACCTGGCCTCAGTGTTGGCTTTGAGAAGACCTTTTGCTTCAGGTTGCTGTCGAGAATAGCGATCTTCGTTCCGCGGGCCTCAATGTCGGCCCGGCTGTCCTCGATCCGCTGTTGACAGGCCGGGTCTTGGTCGACAACCAACAGTCTCGTTTCGCAGACATCCAAGCAATGCATTAAGGCTTTGCCTTCAAGGTTGTAGTTGAGAAAAGCCGGAGCGGCGCCGACAGCCAAACATGCGTACCAGATGAACAAGAAGTGAGGAGAATTGGTGAGATAGACACCCACCAGCTCCCCCGGCTGAATGCCCTCCTCGAGCATCCATTGGGCATAGCGGACGGAGTCCTCGTACATTTCGCCATAGGTGTACGTTCCTTCCCGCGACCAAATGGCAGGGATGTTCCAGCTTTTCCGGCACTGGTCTTCGAGAACATACCACAGACTAACTTTGTCCTCTCTGGCGACGCGGGCGTACTCCCTTGCGCCACGTTTGAGCCTGGCGATTGTAGTCAAGTCTTCCCGAAAATGGTACTTCGCATCGAGATAGGCCGCAGCAGCCCAGCTGCCGGCAGCAATGGCCGCAGTCGTGGCTAGATAGAAGTCCCGTCAGCAGTACACAAGCAGCCCAGAACAGGCCTGTCATACCAAGAGCCATGGCCCTGAAAGGAAGTGTCTAACCAGACCGTTCTACCGGTGAACTCCTAAAGGACAGCCAGGGAAACAGAAGGAGACGGTCTAATGCGCCAGAAGAGCATTCAAGAAGAAGGAGAACAGTCTGTAGCTACCTTATGTATCGAGGCAGATGCGGGCTTTCGATGTACGCCCGGGACTTGAGGCCACCGTGAAAGCCATGACAGTGAATGTCTTCATGCTGAGACTGACCATTGAACCAGGTTCTCCCCGCAACCTGAGTTGCCCTGTAGGATGCCGAGGCACCTCGAACAGGGTTAAGGGTCGAGGCGCGGAGGACGAGGAATTGGAGGAGGGGAAGGATATACAGAGTACAGTCTGACAATGGATGGATGGATGGCAGTGTGTTGTTTGTATGAACCCCAATTTGAGGACAAGTGAACGCAGTCGATTTGCTAGTAGAAGCGGCGCCTGAAGTGGAACTTGTCATCTCATTCTTATCCTAGCAACGACGTACTACTATAGGTACTGATAACATGGCATTCTAGGAACTAGGAACTACTAGTATAGTCCCTTAGGAACAGGCTGCCATGCCGATACGGAGTAACCTCCGGACCTGCCATCGATGTTCAAGTTGATGATAGCATATCACTCGAGGAACAACTATAAACCACTGCAACACACCATGGCGCTCAATACCCGCGACATCTTTGGTGTCTGCTCCATTCGCACCTATTCTCCTGCTCTAGCCGACCGGCTGTTTTATGCTAACCGCCGTCCCAGTTCGACGAGGAAGATCTGATCATAGACCATGGGCTCATCCGACGACAATCGGTGCGAAATCCTGATCCTAGGGTCTGGTATCTTTGGCACCAGCACCGCCTACCACCTGTCGCTCAAACATGCCAATCCTTCGAGGATCACCGTCCTCGATCGCGCGCCAGTGCCCTCCCCGGCAGCAGCGTCCTCAGACATCAACAAGATCGTCCGCGCGGACTATGGCAAGCCGTTCTACATGGACCTCGCCTACGAGGCCATGGAGTCATGGACAGGCAGTCCGCTCTTGAAGCCCTACTTCCACCAGACCGGCTGGCTGATGTTGGACGAGGCGGACAGTGATCTGGCGGATCGAATCCGCCAGAACTTCCGCGAGAGCGGTCGTCCAGACACCTCGACCGATATCACACTGGAGCAAGTCAAGGCTGCCTGGGGTGGTGTGCTCTCCGGCATCGACACGACCGGCTATGGAAAGGCATACACAAACTCCAGCGCAGGCTGGACGGATGCCTCGGGCGCGGTGGAAGCGATGATGAAAGCGGCCATCCAGGCCGGTGTGAACTACGAGGTAGGAGAGATTTCGGACCTGGTCAGCGACGGGAACGGGCTCACCGGCGTCCGCACGGCTGATGGACGCACGTTCTCCGGCGAGAAGATCGTGCTGGCCACAGGTGCGTGGACGCCGTGGTTGATGACGCCGCTGGAGAAGCAGTTGCACATCGCGCCCGAGGACAGCGTCCAGAAACAGATGCAGGCTGCCGGGGTGTGTGTCGCGGCATTCAAGCTGTCCGAGGAGGATGCCCGGTACTACTCTCAGATGCCGGTGCTGATCTATGGCGCGAAAGGAGAGGTCTTTCCTCCCAGCAAGGATCGCCTCTTCAAGTTTACCAACGCAAATACTTTCCTTCACACCGTCCCTCACCCGGCTACAGGTGGAATGGTCTCGGCCCCGGCTCCCAACCAGCAGGCTGTCCCTGAAGCACTCAAGCAGCAGTCCATCGAGATCATCCGCCAACGTGTGCCCCAAATCCTGGCCGGCGGTCGTCTTCCCGACGAGTGGCGTCTCTGCTGGGACGCCATCTCCCCCGATCAAAACCAACTTATCACCCAGCATCCCGATCCGCGGCTGTCGAACCTCTACTTGGCCACCGCCGGCTCGTTCCACAGCTGGAAGTTCCTGCCGAACATCGGAAAATATGTCGTCAATGTCCTGGGGGGTAAGTCGAACGGTGCACAAAAAGACGAAGTGTGGGGGTGGAAGAGGACGTGGACTGGAAGAGGTGCACATGAAAAGGTCTTGCCCAAGGGAGACTTGAAGGACTTCTAGTGCGCCTGTTTGACTCGGAGCATCAATGATTTTGGCCTTGACTATGTCGATACTCATTCTGGCGCGCTGCTCGAAACTTTGTGCCGTTTTGTAGATAGGTTTTGATCTATATATTTGTATGCTCCATGTCTGAAGATTTCGACCGCATTTCGACCGACACATCAATCCGATACGCACAGCTTTTGCATCCTATCCAAGTATCTACCACTCCATCTTCTCCTTGACATAAAGATCCACATACTTGTCAACTTCCATGTCGTCCAATTTCGACGCATCAGTGCCGAGCTCGACGAACTGTTTGATCTTATCCTCGGCAAAATGAGGCGTCAAGTGTCTCTTGTATTTGGCAAGGATTTCAGGCTTGGCCTCGTCTCGTCGCAGGCGGTGGCCAAGTGGTGCCTCGACAACCACTTCGGGCAGGACCGTTCCGTCGTTGAGGGTGACAGTCAAGGCGTTGGAAATGGTTCTTAGGCTGGGGTCGTGGTAGTCTTTGGTGAATTGAGGGTCTTCAACACACTTGATCTTCTTGCGGAGATCCTCCACCAGAGGCGATGTGGCAGCCTCGCTGCCATCGAGGTAGTCGGTGGCCTCCAGGCGGTTGAAGACCAACATGGTGGCGACCATGTATTGCACGCAATGATCTCGGTCAGCAAAGTTGTCCATGGGCTTGAACTGCTTATCGATGATTCGAATGCAGGCCTCGTGGGTGCGGTTGGTCACTTCTTTGATGTCTTTGGCGGATTTGCCCATATCCGCAAGGATCTTGTAAATCTTCTGAGCGGCCTCGACGGCGGTCTGAGAGTGGAACTCGGCAGGGTAGGACACCTTGAACAGGACGTTTTCCATGACATAAGAGCCATATGGACGCTGGAATTCAAATTTCTTGCCCTTGAACAGAACGTCGTAGAACCCCCACACTGGAGCCGAAAGGACCGTGGGAATGCCGGCCTGCCCCTGCTGGACTTTGAACGCAAGGTTCACGGCTCTTTGGCAGGCATCACCTGCCGCCCACGACTTGCGGGACATGGTGTTGGGCGAATGTCGATACGTCCGTAAGGCCTGCCCGTCCACAAACGCTTGGGAGATGGCGGCGGCAGTCTGGCCCTCATCCAGGCCCAGCAGTTTGCTCACGACAGCCGCAGATGCAACCTTGACAAGCAACACATGGTCGAGGCCGACCTTGTTGAACGAGTTCTCCAAAGCCAAGCAGCCCTGAATCTCGTGGGCTTTGATCATGCCCTCCAACACGTCCCGGATGGTGGGGATCTTGCCATTGCCGACATTTCCCCCGGCTCGATTGGTCCTTGCTATCCAGTCGGTCACGGCCAGGATGGCACCCAAGTTGTCCGATGGATGACCCCATTCGGCAGCCAACCAGCAGTCATTGTAATCCAACCATCTGATCATCGCTCCAATGTTGAAGGCCCCGTTCACCGGATCGAGCTGGTACGGCGTCCCGGGAACGCGAGTCCCGTTGGGCACTGTGATACCGTCCACAACAGGGCCAAGGATGGCCGTGCATTGCGGGAATCGAAGAGCTTCGAGGCCACATCCGATGGTGTCGAGGAGGATATAGCGGGAGGTATCAAGGGCAAGGTCTGAGTCGATATTGTAGTTGTGGACATAATTTGCGATGTCCAGGATTTCTGGGTCGTAGGCTTGGGCTGGTGCTTTGGAGGGTTGGGAGGATTTCGCGGGGGACGAGGTCGAGAAGTTGGAGGCCATGGCGGGCGCACTTCGGTAGAGGGTCGACGGTCGAGGAGAGGAATGGAACGGTTGACGGATGGCTGAGGACGGTGCTCGTACAGCCAAAGCACCCGTGGCCAATCTTCGCACTGGGAGTCGTCTGAATGCTGAAGAAGCCAGCATCGTTCAGGCGGTGGTGGGAGAGAGGGTGTGACGACCGCGGGCCTGACTATTGAGGGTGGGGGGCGGACAGGAAGCAGACCAGAACAGAACAGAGTAGATTGCCAGCCCACGAGACAGACTCTTGCTCACCGACGGCAGACGATTGATGAAGCAGGATAGAGGGAATTGCTATAGGAGTAACAATAGAAAGGAAAAAGAGACTGCGGGAAGAAAGGACGACAGGTCAGTATAATAGTAGTACGGTGTTGGTGGTTAATGCTCGTTCCTGACTGCGCAGCCAGATGGAGGCTGTTAGGCTTGCTTCCCCGGCCTCTTTTTCTACGTAATTATCCCTCCATCCAGATTCCCTCCATTCCCTCTCCATCATCCTCCTCCTCCCTAACAAGACCTAAACAGCAACCTCTACAATCCGACAAACCTATGAAAACTCCTCTCTTTCGCTCGACACGCCCCCTCCTAATCCTATGTTAGGTAGCAATTCGACAGCTGTTGACTCTCGACGTTCCTGTCCGACGTTCCCGCGAGCTTTACACGCTGCTGTCTTGACGCCGATCAAGATCCGACTGCCTCGGCCTCGGTCGGCTAGACGCGCTCAAAGCTCGACCGCTAAGGGTTGTCTACAGAATATGACTCTATGGGGCAACACTGACACTTTACCCCAGCCTACGGTCCCTATCTCCTACTAGCTTCTGGTCCCGACGGCTAAGGGAGGCTCTTACCTGCGCCCCATTGGCCCCTGAGAGTCATAGCCTCACGAGCCTCAGTCCACATCCTCTAAAGGGCGATTCCGGAGCCTGGAGCTCTGAAAACATGTCGTCTTTACAGCAATCCACCTCTGACTTCGACGACGGCGATCTCTCGGATGAGAATATTACGCCTGCCCATTCACGCTCACATCTCGACCCAAGCCAGCACCGTTTACTGGGCCATAACGAACTTGCTAGGGGCAAAGCCTCAGAGTACTTGGACTTCCTTGGCAACCGACTCTGTGCTGGCCGCAGACTCACCAAAAGCTACATCGCTGTTTCTGTTCTCCTGCTAGCAATAGTTACTTCTGCTGCAATCGGTGGTGGTGGCTACTGGATATATACCACCGCTGCAAAGGACGGTCAATCCCCGCCATGGTATCCCACCCCACAAGGAGGAACTCTGTCATCATGGCAACAGAGCTACGACAAGGCTCAGAAAATGGTTGAGCGGATGAGTCTGGTGGAAAAAGTCAACATCACCACCGGCACAGGATGGGCCATGAGCTTGTGCGTGGGAAATACCGCCCCAGCCATTCATGTGGGCTTCCCTGGGCTCTGTCTACAAGATGGTCCTCTAGGAATACGCTTTGCTGATCATGCCACCTCCTTTCCTGCCGCTGTGACTGTAGGTGCCACATGGAATCGCAATCTTATGCGCAGACGTGGTGTCGTGCATGCACGCCAGGCTAGGCTTAAAGGAGTCAACGTGCTTCTCGGCCCTTCCATGGGACCTCTCGGACGCAATCCTGCGGGAGGGAGGGTCTGGGAAGGCTTTGGGAGTGACCCAGTCCTCCAAGCGGTCGGAGCATATGAGACTATCCAAGGTATCCAATCACAGGGTGTCATGGCCACTGCGAAACACTTTGTCGGAAACGAACAGGAACATTTCAGAAAGTCCTTCGAATGGGGGCTGCCAGAGGCGCTCTCTTCCAACATCGATGATCGGACTCTACACGAGCTGTATGCCTGGCCTTTCGCTGAGAGCGTCCGCGCGGGCGTGGTCAGCGTTATGTGTTCCTATCAGATGGTCAACAACTCTTACGCGTGTAGCAACAGCAAGCTGATGAATGGCATCCTGAAAGATGAACTTGGCTTCCAAGGATTCGTGCAGTCTGACTGGCTGGCCCAACGCAGTGGTGTAGCCAGCGCTCTTGCAGGCCTCGACATGTCCATGCCTGGAGACGGATTGTTTTGGCTGGATGGAAAAGCGCTCTTCGGGGACCAACTCACCATTGCCGTCCTCAACCACTCGGTCCCCATGACGAGGCTGAATGATATGGTGACCCGTATCGTTGCGGCATGGTATCAAATGGGGCAAGACTCTTGGACGTCAGAAGGCCCAAACTTCTCATCTTGGACCGACGAAGAGTCCGGCTTCTTGCACCCCGGTAGCAGCACCAAACAAGAAAAGGTCGTTGTCAACAAGTTTGTGGAAACAGAGGACGAAGAGAGCCGGAATTTGGCTCGAGAAGTTGCCAGCGAGGGCATCGTGTTGCTGAAGAACTCCGACGCCATCTTGCCCCTGACTCCCACGCTCTCCGGGCTGGGCACTGGGAACCGAAAGCGAGTCGCGGTGATCGGCGAAGATGCAGGGCCCGGCAAAGGTCCCAATTACTGTGAGGATCGTGGTTGCAATCAAGGCACTCTTGCTGTCGGCTGGGGCTCGGGTTCGACAGAGTTCACCTACTTGGTTGATCCGCTCTCCGCGATCAATGCAAGCTTTGACGGCTCATCCGTCGAGATCTTCAGCTCGCTCACCAACAGCGTGTCTTCCAAGCTGAAGACTAAGCTCAAGGAGCAGGACATGTGCCTTGTTTTTGGGAACGCAGATTCTGGAGAAGGCTACCGCATCTGGCAGAACCAGCGTGCCGATCGAAGTGATCTCGAAATTCAGAAGCGTGGAACTAGGCTCATCCGTGCCGTTGCTGAAGAGTGCGGCGGCCCTGTCGTGGTCGTGATTCATTCCGTCGGTCCCGTCATCATTGAAGAGTTTGCCGACTTGGAGTCTGTCAAGGCCATTGTCTTCGCGAACCTTCCAGGCCAAGAGAGCGGAAACGCTCTTGCCGATGTTCTATTTGGCAGGACGGACGCTTCAGGGAGGTTGCCGTATACCTTGGGGAGAAGTCTTGAGGATTATGGCCCCGGCGCCCCTGTTCTGTACTATCCAAACGCCATCATACCACAGGTCGACTTCAATGAAGGACTGTACATCGACTACCGACATTTCGACAAGTACGGCATTGAGCCTCGCTATCCTTTCGGTCACGGGCTCTCGTTCACTACGTTCGAATTGTCCGATTTAGTTGTTACCGAGCTGAAGGCTAAATCTCCTTTGCCCTCCCCTAGGCCGAAGACATTGGCCCCGCCAGCCTTGGATGAGACCATCCCTCCAATTGAGAGCGCACTCCTCCCAGCAGGTTTCTCCACGCTTCGCAAATACGTCTATCCTTACATCTCCAGCACGAAGCAGGTCAAGGAAGGGAAGTATCCATATCCTGATGGATACAACGTCCACCAAGAACCCAGCCCCGCCGGAGGTGGCGAAGGAGGCAATCCATCCCTGTTCGAAGACCATGTCAGTGTCCAAGTCCGTGTCACCAACACGGGTAGCCGTACAGGCCAGTCGGTTGTACAGATGTATGTATCCTTTCCTCCGTCAATTCAAGAAACCTCGACCGGCGAAATCATCGACACACCCGTAAAGGTATTGCGAAACTTCACGAAGATCGAGCTTGACGCAGGGGCTTACCAGACAGTCAACCTTACCTTGACAAGAAAAGATTTGAGTTATTGGTCGGTGGTGCAGCAGAACTGGGTCATGCCAGACGGACTGTTTACAATCGAAGTCGGACATAGCTCACGGAATTTGCCCTTGCGGTGGGACTATTGATGCAGGGTTGCCCACCAAGTCGACATCAACGAAGCTGGTAGGCCATCCTAAGGATATAGGGTTGGCAGCTCCTGCCTTTGACCTCGGTCAAAGAGTCAAACATGATATACCAGACTGATACCCTCGGCGGTTGTCCGAGATACGACAGAGAAACACCTCGGGTCGAACATTCACTTCATGCGAACAGACACAAACCAGGGTCACAGCCTCGACATTTTCCCCGCAACCCCACAGATTCGCATTATACCACCGTCTCTTCTCCCCAGACACCAACTGTTCCGGGTCTAGCTGGTCCTCTCGGATTGGTCATTGGCTCTGCTCCTTTTATGGAGTCAGTCCTTCACGGTCAGATCACATCGGTTGTGGTGGTCTCATGGACCCGGCACCAAGTCGGGACTGGGTGCGAGGTGGGCATATAAAGATCAGAAGCATGATATGCACAGGCAACCGATAGCCGGCCATTTGCATATCTTCTGTCCAGTCCTTCTACTCATGGTCCTTGTGTTTTCTCCTTGTTCCGGCACAAATCCAACTCACTTTCAATTACTCTTGACGAAAGCAAGCAGTGTTTGGTATACAATATAAAGCCCTCGACTGGATAGCCTTCGCCTCAACTACCAGACTGGCCCTTCTCACCTAGCTACTTATTGTCTTCCTGCTTCCTCGCCTCTACTTCCCATAGTGCTGCCATTTGATGCACCAGATCTGTGACTTACCATGGCGCCAGACATCAACCAGATAAACTGGTCCACTGACGGCTACTCGAGCAACGGAGTCCCTCGTGGCGACTATGAGATCCCCGGTGAGCTTCGGATTGCAGCTTCAATTCATTCACACCCTACGATGGTAACTCTCAAAGCTAGCGAAAATTTCCTCTAATCAAAGTCTCGCAGATATTGTCCTCCATGGACCGTATACACGAAAGATCCGTGTGTTATCAATCGGTGCTGGAGTCACTGGGATTCTGAATGCATACCTCATTCAGAAGGAACTCAAGAACGTCGAGCATGTGATTTACGAGAAGAATGAAGAAATTGGCGGCACCTGGCTGGAGAATAGATATCCCGGTATGTTCACCTGAAGGGCATACGTCCACGACTTCCGAGGCGCTGGGATTCTTCATTGTCGTCCTCTTTCTCGGCTGCGCTTCCTTTCCTCTGATTGTGTCGGTCCGCGAGCTTACATGCGGCCACAGGTTGTGCATGTGATATTCCAAGCCATGCCTACACGTATCCATTTGCGTTGAACGTAAGTCATGCGTTGGTGGAACAACATGTGCTGTTCACGACTGATCTTGCCGGGCCATATAGCCTGACTGGCCCCGATTCTTCTCCTATTCTCCCGACATCTGGAAATATCTCGACAAGGTGTGCGAAGTCTTCGACTTGAGAAAGTACATGACCTTCAACACCGAAGTCGTCGGCTGTTACTGGCAGCAAGAGACTGGCGAATGGCTTGTCAAACTCAAACAGACCAACGCCGATGGCAGCACCCATCTGTTTGAGGACCGCTGCCACATACTCCTCCACGGGACCGGCATCCTAAATAACTTCAAGTGGCCCGACATTGAGGGGTTGGAGACCTTCAAAGGCCGAATCATCCATACAGCACGTTGGGCAAAGGACTATCAAGTGGAGGAATGGAAGAAAGATCGCGTCGCTGTCATTGGATCTGGAGTGAGTCCCCTCTTGACTGCATGGTCTGGGATGAGAAAGCGTCGATGGATAAGCCAACTAAGTCCGTGATCAACCCCAGGCGTCCAGTATCCAGACTGTTCCGACCATGCAGCCTCACGCAAAGCACATAGACGTGTTTGTCCGGACAGGTATTGTAACTTCTTGACCCCCTGACCCTACCTTCATACCACGCCTCCCGTCCCCGTCCGCGTCAGCTCTGTCAGTCGTACCGGGGCATTCTCTTACCGTCTATTGGTGTCTAGGTGTCTGGTTCGTCCAGATCGCGAACAACTTCGGCGCGAACCATGAATACACCCCCGGGCAAAAACAAGAGTACCGTGACCCATATAAGATCGTGGAACACGCAAAGTCCATCGAAGACCAAGTCAACGGCCTGTGGGGCACGTTCTACAAGAACTCCAAAGGCCAAGCCGAAGGGCAGGCGGCGTTGAAGAAGCGCATGTCTGAGATGATCAGAGACGAGAGATTGATCAAAGGATTCACTCCGACTTGGGGGATTGGCTGCCGCAGAATCACTCCTGGAGATCCATATATTGAGTACGTCCTTTTGCCCACTTTTTACATTTCTACACACATAAGGCTTTGCAGCCTCTTATGTGGCCTGTCTGAGCAGACTCCTTCTCCCTATTTGCCACCGCCGAGTATCCTTTGATACTGTACCCGACCCGTGGCCAACGAAACCCCTAACAACTTCCGTACAGAGCCATCCAGAAACCCAACGTGGATGTCCAATTCACCCCCGTTACGCGCATTGACGAGACTGGCGTGATCGGCGAGGACGGCGTCCACCGCCCAGTCGATACGATCGTCTGTGCGACCGGCTTCGACGTCTCCTACAGACCGCGGTTCCCGATCATCGGCCAAAACGGCGTCGACCTGGCCGACAAATGGAAGATCTGTCCCGAAGGGTACCTGGGTCTCGCGGTGCCCGGCTTCCCGAATTTCTTGACCTTCATCGGCCCCAACTGGCCAGTCGAGAACGGCAGCGTGATGGGTCCCCTGTACTATGTCTCGCAGTACGCGGTCCAGATGATCCGGAAACTCCAGACCGAATACATCTGCAGCATCGCGCCCAAGCAGGACGTGACGGATGCGTTCAACGACCACTGTCAAGAGTGGATCAAGCATACCGTCTGGGTTGACGAGTGTCGGTCGTGGTACAAGAACAACGAAACGGGCCGCGTCAATGCCGTCTGGCCCGGCTCGTCGCTGCATTACATCGAGGCGATTCGGCAGCCGAGATACGAGGACTTCGACATCCAATATCTCGGTCCTGCGAAAAAGAACAGGTGGGCCTTTCTGGGCATGGGCACGGTCCCGGCGCTCGTCGACAAGGACGATGTCTCGCCGTATCTGAATGTCGAGATGATCGATCCCAAATGGATGCGCGCCGTGGGGATCGATGCCGGGAAATTGCACGAGGCGAAGCTGAACGAGTTGAAGACCAAGCAGAAGGAACAGGGCGAGAAAAGTAGGGACAACGTCGAGAAGGTCGATGTCGTGTAGGACGAAGTATAGATCTACCTGCAGATGGGTATCATCATTGCATTGAGGGCTTGAGAGAGTTCCTTCGTTCTCCTGACAATCTTTTAGTACTGGTATTGCCAATGTCAAGGAACGTTAAAACCTGGTTGATCTTTTGTTTTAGAAAAGTAGGGATTCATTCAATGTACCATGGCCCGACCATCTCCAACCTCCTAGACACCACCATAGTAACTAATTATTTCTGTCCGTTCTTTTTTGCTTTCTGCACCCGACTTCCAGAGAAACTATCATTGCGAATCCCGTCCCGATCACCAAGCCGGCGGATCCGATCCGAACCTTTCTTCCCGAGTGCCATGCCATGCAAGGAAACACAGACCAAAAGACCAACAACAGCCCCCCCTCCCTGGCCCCAAGCAATATTGGTTGGAATGGTGAAAGGCCGGGGCAGACAGATTTGTGGAGGGTAGACGAGATAGACGAATGTGAGCGGTGGATATATACATACATGCACAGACATAGGTGCAGAGCAAGGGAGAAACGGAGAAGACGACAGCCGCGGTGTTCTCGTCCAGATGCGCGTCTCGCTTCCAGATTCGCTTTTCTTTTGGGATCGCTTTCCATGCAAATGTGAGGGTCTTCTGTCCGCCTACAGTCTGAATAGCTTCCAGTTTCCATGAGCTGGTCATCGGATTGCTCTTCAGACTTGGAGGCCATCGAGGACTGTTTTAGCCGAGCCGCGGTGACCCTGATAAAAACGGGGTTTGTCGGGTCAGGACAGCAGACGAGCTGTATCGGTTGTGAAGAGATGGGGCTGTAATGGGCTGAAGAATGTTTTGTTCGCAGGTCCTCTTTTTTTGTAAAGACACATTCCTCTATTCACCTCCGGGAGGCTTTTTGCGCCTCGACGACCGCGCTGATGCAATTAGACGAGCAGAACAAAAGGAGTTGTCGAAACCATCGCCAGAAATTAATGTAACAGATCGTCTACTAACGTCCTGTCCATGGAGCAGGAGGGATGAGTTCGTCAATGTCAGCGGCAAAGCAAGTCAATCCTGCTATTGATCGATGCGTTTGAACGCGGGCGCTGGCGTCTCCGGGATGCCTCCAGAAGGGCCATCTATCTCAGTTGGTGGTGGCGGACTGGTTCACAAAAAGTCAGTCAGAGTCAGATCTCCATCGGCAAGCTTATCGAATCACAACTTACGGTGCACTCTTTCCCTCGTTGTTGTCGAAGTACTTGTGGAAGTCTCCCTGGTCCTCAAATGGTCTCTTGCCCAAAAGTCTGACGAGGTCGTCTCGCACAAGCATCTCCTTTTTCAACAATTCCTCCGCCACGGCTTGTAGTTGGTCCTTCTTCTCCAATAACAGATCTTTACATTGTTTGTAAGCTTCGTCCACAAGTCGACGCACTTCCTCGTCGATGTGTCGAGCTGTTTCCTCGGAGAAGGGTTTGTGCAGACGCTGCTCGTCGTCCTTGTAGTGCAGGTAGCCGATCTTGGGCGACATCCCCCACTCCGTCACCATGGCAGTAGCCATACGCGTGACCTTGTTGAAATCGTCTGATGCACCACTTGTCACGGTGTCGAACCAGATTTCTTCGCTGACACGGCCACCGAGCGTCATGGCCATCCGGTCCATCAATTGCTTGACGCTCATCAGGTACACGTCGTTACCACCGGCAGGGAGGTACTGTGCGTAACCCAAGGCACCCTGTCCTCTTGGAATGATCGAGACCTTGAGGAGGGGATCGGCGTACTTGAAGAACCAGCCACAGATAGCATGACCAGCTTCGTGATATGCAACAGTCTTCTTCTCTTCTGGTGACAGGACTAGCGACTTCTTCTCAAGACCACCAATGACACGTTCGATGGCTTGTTCGAAATGATCCATCAGAACCGAAGCTGCGTTTGCGCGGGCAGCAATCAAAGCAGCTTCGTTGACACAGTTTGCAATATCCGCACCGGAGAAGCCAGGAGTCAGTGCTGCAAGACGTCCGGTGAGATACTCCATGTCGACCTTGGTGACAATCTTTCGAAGATGGACCAGGAAGATTTGCTTCCGGCCGTCCATGGTTGGTCGGTCGATGGCAATATGTCTGTCAAACCGACCGGGACGCATCAACGCTTTGTCGAGCACGTCAGGTCTGTTCGTACCAGCAAGCACAACGACCTGTTCGGAAGTGTTGAACCCATCCATCTCGGTCAGGATTTGGTTGAGGGTCGACTCTCGTTCATCGTTGCCTCCACCGAAATTCTGTTTCGCTCTGGACTTTCCAATCGCGTCGATTTCGTCGATGAAGATGATGCACGGCGCATTCTTTCGGGCGTTGGCGAACAGGTCTCGCACCCGTGACGGACCCACGCCTACGAACATCTCCACGAATTCGGAACCTGAGACCGAGTAGAAAGGGACACCGGATTCGCCGGCAGTAGCTTTGGCCAATAGTGTCTTACCAGTTCCTGGAGGACCAGACAAGATGGCACCACGAGGAATCTTTGCACCCAATCTTTGGTACTTGGTGGGGTCCTTCAAAAAGGAAACAAATTCCATAATTTCGACCTTTGCTTCGTCCATGCCAGCAACATCCGAGAACTTGATCTTGACGTCGGTTTCGTGGTTGAATCGCTTTGCTCGTGATTTGCCAATTCCGAAGATACCACTTTGCCCGCCTGCTCCGGATGCGGCTCTTCTCGAGAACCAGAATAAGGCGCCAATGAACAACAGTGTAGGACCGAAGTTGAACAGCGCGGCACTCAATGGCACCTCGTCCGAGTATGCCACCGGTATTCTCTCGCTGCTGGGAATTCCGAGCTCTTGGTGTGCTTCATCCAATCGTCGCTCGAAAGCTTCGACTGAGCCTATGGAGAAGTAGTAGTAGAAGTTTGGTCGAGTGGCGGGCGACTCTGGGTACATGCGAGCAACGGCGTCTCGGTTCAGTTCAACTCTGACCCGGGTGCGGTTGATGACGGTGAGCTTGTCCACAAGCCCCTTGTCGAAGAAGGTGGTCCTGAACTCTTGCCAAGTGATGTCTCTCGATGATTCTCCAGGATATAGGCTGCGGTAAATGTAGTACGTGAGGATGGCAGCCATCACTGTGGTGCCCGCATCCAATCTTAGCTCATAGGCGCCGGCGGGTTTACCCTTCCCGTCGGCTCCTTGCTTGCCCTGTTGCTCCTTTTCGCTGCCCTGTTTCTTGTTCGACTGCTCGAAAAGAGGAGTTCCCTCCTTCTCCGAGTCCGAGGCCTTGGTGGACTGAGCAGTATGACCGTACTTCTCCCGAACCTCTTCGGGGCTCATGCGAGACAATTTTGTGAACACTCCCACCAGGCGCACCGTGGTAGCCAGATCAATGGGCTTGTGTGGATTTCTCCTCCGTGCCTCCAAAACCTCTCGTAGCTCTGTAGGAATGCCACCCTTTTTCATTAGCTCGACAGCTTCGTCGACAGCGGCAGCCTGCGATTTAGGTAGCCCGGTCTTGATCATTTTTGCAACCTCATCGATCTGCCTGACCTCTTCCTCCGTGAGCGGACAAAATTCCACTTTGCTGGCATCTTCCTTTTCTGCGCCCTCGTCCGGGGTCTTACTCGAGTCCTTTTGAGAGGCCTTGGAGGTTTTGTCACCTTCCTTCTTCTGCTTGTCCGGGTCTTCCTGCGGCGGCTTCGGTTCACCGGGGTTTATGGTGGCATAGGATCTCGTTAGAGGAGGACGTAGCCTGCTGGTATAGGGAAGTCTGGTGAACTGGGTTGAGCGGCGTTGCGCACAAAAGGCACATTCAAACGCAGCTTTCGAGGAGCGGATCAGCTGCGGCCGCAAATATCGACTCGCCATAGCTGGCGAGCTGTGAAGAATAGGTGCCTCCGTGCAATCGACTGGAACTCGCAGCAGAGCTAGAGGGAAGAATAGACTTATTGATGGAGGGCCAGCATGCGGATGCGATTGAAACCGGTGGCCAAAGATACTAGTACTTGACTACCAAGGACCGTAGTTGTGGTGGGTTGACGCGAGGCGGCTTTTGCCTGTCGCTTGTCGCCGGACGAAACGGCGATGTCATGACTCTACATTTTCCGACGCATTTCACGGCAAAGTGCGGCGCCTTATTTATCCGGCGCCGCAGACGAGCATCAAACGTCACTTCCATGAAGCAGGACAAGTCAAGGAGCTTTGAATTTTATGATTGCTCTCAATCAAAGGTCTGTCTGATCTCTAAGCACAGGGGTCTCAAGCTACGTACTTCAAAAGACTGTTCTGGTTGGACTGGCAACACCTTGTCTGATCTCGAAGGCCATATGCGCATTCACAGCAACCTGTTGGAAACATCGTGATCTTCGAACCATACCGTCCAAATGACGGCTGAACCAGCACTCACAGTCGCCGTCTCCCATACATGTCGAATCGGTGCTTCCATTCATCTTCTGATTTGGGCTTGTTGCCTTCCTTGTCGGCGGGGCGGAATCTTGGGTCTCGCGCGATACGGCTAGGAGCGTTGTAAAATCCACCCGTGTCCTCCTCAAAGAAGCTTGAGCTTCCAGATTGTCCAGTCAATAGTCGACCTCGTTCGATGGCATACTCCGGTGCCGGTTTGTATTTGTCGGGAAATGCCTCATGGTCAGCTGCTGGCGCGTCTTTAAGATTTGCCAATATCTCCCCCACCGCGAGGATTGATGCCTTTTCCACCTCGACATCCTCCGAGACATTGCCCGCAACTTCATCACTACCCATATTCTTCGCGAGTCGGCTTGCGACGTGGTCGTCAGCGATTCGTGCCACCATGGTTCTCTTCACAGGGTCAATGCGTCCGTCCTCTGCTTCCAGCGAGTGGAGGATATTATCACGTCTGCTGGTCTGCCCTCGTGAGAACAGAGGTTTGGGGGTGTCGGCGTGGATGGACGTGCTGCAGAGCTTCATGGCCTTGTTCATCTTCAGCCGCTCGCTCCTCGACACAGGCTTAAGCTCACACCAGTCGTCCGTGCCAACTCCAAATTCTGTTCGAAGTGCCTCGTCGTTCAGAGGAGACGGGTTTCTTGTTACGTGTTCGTCTAGATCGAGGATACCAGCTGCATGACTCTCAAAACCTTGTGGCGGCTTCAAGCAAGACCGAGGTCCTGGACGGTGGTTATCCCTATCTTCCTTCTCTTCGATCTGAGATTGATATTCTGCTGGTGCCACGCTGTTCTCCACTGATGCCTGTCCTTGCGATTCGATGGTTTTGGTGCGATGCAGATCTGGGTTGTGCAAAACTGTCTTGCCTATCTTTGCCAGTGCCTGCTGTGCCGCAACGAAATGCTGCATCTTGCTGTTGCGGTCATATGGCTCATCCTCGCTAGCCTCAGCTGAGCTGGGTTGAATGGGCTGACCTACAATTTTCGCTGGACTACCCAGCATGGGTCCAAGGTTCAGGAACGACGCTTCGGTATCTGGATAGGACTCGCGTCTAGGAAGGCTTGCAGGAGGCATGGGACGAGACTGGCGCGGCTGCTCATTGGGTGGGATGAATCCATCAGAATTGAAGTGCTGAAAAGTTGGACGTTGGGTAGGATCACTCCCAAATCCACCAAATTGCTGATATGCGTTCCAATCAGGGTTGGCATTGGTGTAGGCGTAGGCGTTGCTGGGGATCTGCGATCTACTCTGCATGCCTGGGCTTTCCGAAAATTGCTGGTGAGTCGATCCGAACCGTTGGGACGGGCCGGCGTGGTTTTGGGACAGCGCGTTCAGTTTGTTCTCCTGCTTCGTGGGGCTCAAGTCAGAGGGGGCCATCGTATTGCCAAAGTACCGGGATGGTCGGTACGGCCGCTGTGGTGGGTAATCTATCGGGGGAAGAGCTGGTAAGTAGGGCGATATGAAATCAGAGTACGGCAACCCACCGATTCCAGAGAAGGTGCTTGGTGAACTCTGCACACTGGTCGGAACGGTTTTCTGGGACTGTCTGATGACGGAACGCGACTGATTGTGCTGAGGTGTTGGAAAAGCAAACCCTGATTTTCGTTCAGCTGCAGCAGCAGCAATCATGGCTTTGGGCGCGGTTGGTGCCGAAAAGGCTGGTGCCGTGGCTTGGACGGGTTGAGGATTACGAGGGCCTAAGGGAGTCTCAATCTCGCCGGTATCAGGACTTCCACGATTGACGGCAGCAGTAGCCGGGCGGCTAGGTGTCGAAGGTGTGTCCCCGTTGCTCACATCTGGCTCCTCCAACGTCTCATTGTCATCTTCATTGCCATCTTCAGACGTGTCTTCCAAGACCAAAGGCTTATAGGCTTTGGTGCCCTTGTTTCGATTTGGCTGGGTGCTCTTGGTGAACGCGCTCAGAGACACGGGCACGGGTTTTGGCGGCAACTTTTGTTCCTCAGCCTCGCGCGAAGCTTGCCTCGCAGATGCGGCTTTGAAAGCATTGTACTCAGCCGCACGGGCTCGTGCACCCAGCATATTTGGAGACCTTGCTGGGCTGAGCGGGACCCTACTTGAAGGTAAGAATGTTGAGGGCCCAGACGGATAGCTTGGGGCTTGACCTTGACCAAAGCGATTGCCCTTCTGTTCCAGCTTGCTCGCAATCGAAGCTGTGATATTCAAAGATTTGCCGATCTATCCCGCATGCGTTGGATGTCAGAGGGTGCTGCTCTAACAAAGTTAGGAGGCTGAAGTACCACACGAGCTCTTCTGACTATAAGATCGGACAGGATAAGGCTGGTACATACACAGCACACCGCAGACCCAGGGTGCGGTCTGGCTAGAAGCTAGAAGGGTCGAAAGGATGCGTGAGACACATAAGTGTAGGAGCGAACAAGGTAAAGATCGCGTGGCAGATTTCTAGCAAGATCGGTGGTCAAGCTGCGGACAGGATAGAGAGGGTGCGGCAACATGGACAATATATCGAACACAGGGTGCTAAACACAAGGAACAATCTCAGTGAGGACAAAGCAAGAACAACATCCAACGAACGGCCTGCAGCCTGCCAGTGTGTTGGAATACCAGTATCTCTGCCACAAACTCACACTGCAGTCGACTGCAGGACCAGAAAAAAGCAGAAACAAGAAACAGTTGCAGTGTTAGTAGCGGAAGGCACTACACTATGGGAAACAGTGACTGCCATCTGCCGTCCGTCAACTTCAACTGCGCATCAACTGCAGACAACGCAGCTTCACTGTCAATAAACCTCCACCACCATGGCCAAAGAAGTCCTTCTCTCAGCAGACAAGCCGGCAATGGAGACAATGGAGACAATGTTAGGTCACTGCAGGGGACCACCGTCGATTCCCGTCTGACCGACTGTGCAAAGGTGAGTTGTCTCCACCATCCCTCCCTGACTCTCTTCCACCATCAAGCCCACCGCCTATTTTCTCGCCTTTAAGGAGACAAATTAATTCCAGCTCTGAGACCTACATATAACATCTACGCCTTCAATCAGCCCACACGGACTGGATATCGAAGAATTTCGAGTTGGCGGACCTCGCCTCCCGATGCTCCCCATCGAACGATACCCAACGCCATTAGACATCTATAAAGTCTTCGCCTCGCTTCCAGATTACAAGAGCCAATTCTTCGTCAACACCGAGTCTATGACGATACGGAACTGATAACCATGCAGAGCCAAGCTTACCCAAAGGCACCAAAACACCACTACATACCTACATAAGGTACGTTGAAGGAGAACGCCTGTTGTATCAACCTTAGGTCTACTTACCTCCTAGGAGGCCACCCTATAAAAAAAGTAGTACTATTAGATGTTAATAGAAGCGCCCTTTATAACTTTAATAGGCGGTAGGTACACCTACGTTGATGGAGAACGCCTATTGTATCAACCTTAGGACTGCTTCCCTACCAGGTAGGCACCTGCATCATCATGTAATAGAAAGCATAGGGGCCAGTGGCATAGGGGCCAGTGCCAAGCCAGTCACATGTCAGGCTGAACGAGTCTCGGCCCCGACGTCATCGGACTGGATTTTGCAGATCCCGCGCGCCATTCGATTCTGCTCTCAACTTTTACGCTTTTACCCCAGACTCTACAACGATGTAGTAGTACTGTGTTTATCACATTCATCTGATAAACATCCTACGACACCTCTCTTTCATTCAAGTCTATCCAGCATTCCCCTCATGAGCCAAATACCAACAGCGATCTCAAAGGCATGAAGGTCGGCGACCCTATCTATCGTGGCGACCCCGTCCCTCTCCCCGTCGAAGTGATCTGGTTGATCGCCTCATACAACCACCCTGGCTCCAGTTCCAAGTCCCTCTTCAATACTGCCGACTCCGACTCCGACTCCGACTCTTCACTTGATTCACTTCTCCTCTTGCAAAAGACGTTATGGGCATGCTGCCTCGTCTCGCGACCATGGTACACCGCGTCGATCGAGCACCTGTACAACCGGCCAGTCCTGAACAACCGCAACTTCGACCTTTTCGTGCGCACGATCGCGCCGTCCCCTTCATCCGTCCCGGCTTCCGTGAGACGCAAACCGCGCCTGGGTCTCGAGAAACTGATCAAACATCTCGACATGAGCGGATTGTCGTATGAGAGCTCCAAGAGTCTCACGGCCCGGTTGATTCGGCGGACCAAAGATTCGCTCGAGAGTTTTGCCGCCCCAGCCATTACTTTCTCGTATGTTCAAGTTTGGCCCCATCCCATCCTGCATCTCAACTCCTCATGCGTTTTCCTTCTATGGACACTATTCGACCGTTCTTCTTGCCCTTTCCTTGTCCCTTATAGCTTCCCCTTGCTTTTCCGCAATGACCACCCAAGACGACCACTTATCATGTTACCAAACATCTAACCACAACCCCTTTGTCTCGACAGTATCCCCTCGCTAGCACCACTCTCCAAATGCCTGCATCTGCGCTCCTTAGATCTATCCACAGACTACTATGACATCGACCTCCCGCAGCTCCTCGACGCCATCGACCACCTGGACCGCCTCACGACGCTCAAACTCCCGCGCAACGCGTTATGGGCCGACCTGAAACCACAGTCGCGCTGGCCGAAGAACCTGAGATTCCTCCAAGTCTCGCACCGACTCTACGAGGACGAAGGCTCGTGGGCAACCTTGTTCGACAGCTGGCCGGAGACGCTAAAGACACTGAGAATCGCCGAGTGCCTGTACTACTCGTTTTTCAAATGTCTGGACAGATGCCCATCTACATCGGCAGCGCGGACAATTCGGACGCTTGAGATCGGGCCGGCATTGCATGAGGACAGATTACCCTTGGGCGCGATCATGCATGCCTTTCCCATGGTCAAGACGCTAGTACTCCCCGCTTACGTCGGCGCTCACAAGAATCCTCTGTACGAAGAGGATGGACACGGGAATGTGACTTTCTCCATCGCCCCGGTGTCTCAAGAGCAGCATCCCCTCGAGAATCTCGTCCTGAGAGATTACAATCATGTATCACAGCCCGATTTGGATGACATGGTCTGGATCCTGAGCGTCCTCATCGACAGGTTCCCTCGACTTCGAAGGATCGAACTGCCCGAACGATATTTCAGTGTGGCGGAAGATGTGCTCTCTTTCGAGGCCCTCACCAACACCCTAGAGCAGAGGGCCGACAAAGCCGGCAAAGACTCGGCGGGTATTTTTCTGCTTGATGCTTCTTCTACGTTGTCTTGAATCAGGCGTAGTAGCTTCTGAGGAGAGTATGCGCAATGATCAATGAACCTGCAGCTAATTCATCGCATGGAACTATTTGTTCGTTCAAGATGAGCTCGTTGTCTATTCATAACGACTGCCAGTCAGCTCCCACGCCAGTGGTATGCTGCAATCGTCCCTAACATAGAAAGAACAAACTCCGGCACAGCCCAGCCTATCCTGCGTAATGGCTATCCCTGCCTTCGGTGCGCACACATTGCCAGCACCACCTGCCACCACGCGGCCCTTCCCAGATCCTACAAGGCTGTCATAATACATCAGACCAACGCCATTGCGTGAAACCCACCAAGCGTGTTGGTGGCATCCTTCCTGATTCATACCGTCCTTGAGGTCATATTCGAATGGAAAGAGAAATAAAGAAATCGGGTGAGCGACATGACCTGGCCAACAGCGAGTTGTACAAGCTGTGAGCTGTCATTGCCGTAAGACCCCCTAGAAAATAGTTCCGAAATTGCCATCGGTTTCGATGCGCTTTCGCGGGCTGGCTTCGGGGTCTGGCTTGCGGTGTCTGAACACATTAGTATGGTACCTCCAAAAGGAAACTCAGACTCTGATACATACCTGAAGGTGAATCCAACAAACAAGGCCTTGCCCATCTTCTCGTCACGTTCCGCCATCTCTTCCAGGGCTCTCTGCTTGTCATGTACTTCCTTGTACTTGGCCATGTCCGCCTCGTTGCTGAAGTCGTCGAAATATCCGGCATCGGTCTCAGAGTCGAGTTCGGGAACAAAGGGCGCCTTCTGCTCTCTCAAAGTACTGAAGTCCACCTCGGCAAAGTAGTCATGCTTGTGGATTTCCGTAATGTTCTTGAAGCGGTGGTCCTTCGCAGCAACCAGGCGGGTGATCAGATCCCAGGTACGCTTGCTGAGGAAGTAATTTGGATCATCGTAGATTGGTTTGCGGAGCACACGTTGCCATCTCTTCAAGTTCTGCCACGTTTCATCGACAGTCGCCCCAGCAAAGGGAGGATATCCAGCCAGAGCCTCAAACAACATGCACCCAAGAGACCAGTAGTCGACAGTAAAGTCATAGTGTTCTCCCTTAAGCACTTCGGGAGCCATGTAGTCTGGAGAGCCCACGATGGACTTGGCATAGTTGATGTCCTTCTTCCGGAGGGAGCGGTAGCCTTCGCGTCGCTGATCAGCCGATCTGTCCTCGACAGGCGTGATACCGAATGGCACAGGAGTGTTCCCGACTTCCTCAAGCTTGATTCTCATACTTTCGATCTTGATGGGGCTGAGCATGCCAGCGGCAAGACCGAAATCAGTGAGTTTGACGTGACCGGTAGCGTCAATCAAGAAGTTTTCAGGCTTCAAGTCGCGATGGATGTAGCCCAGCGTGTGCAAAGCGTCAACGCACGAAAACATCTCTGCAATGTAGAAGCGTGCATGTCGGTTGTGAAGAACGCCGGTGTTGTTGAGCAGGGTTCTGAAGTCACCGCCAGGGACGTACTCCATTGCCAGGTAGATCTGCTCATCATCCTGGAACGAATAGAGGAGTTTGACCAACCATTCCGATTTCGCAGCGGTCAAGATATCTCTCTCGGTCAAGATATGTCGCACCTCGTCCAATTTAAAGAGCAGCTTCTTTCTCATAACCTTGAGAGCACAGACTTCTCGAGTATCCTTCTTTTGAGCAAGATAAACTTGACCATAACCACCCTGGCCGACTTGTGTCAGAATCTGGAAGTCACCATGTCGGAGACGGGTTCTGCGTTTGCGCAGGTTGGCCCGTTCGCGACCGAGATACTTATGAAGAGCGGCATCGTAGTCTTCCTTTGGTGTTTCAGGTGGGGCGGGAAAGGTGGATTTGAAGGCTGTTTCTCTCGATTGGCGGTTGTGGACGTATGAGAGGAGGTCAAAGTAATAGTCGAGGAAGTCTGATACAGTTAGCGCCTGGACACGACGGCAGCACCAACCCTACTTACACAATTGAGTCACATTTGCAAGCCGCTTGACCTTGGGCAGTTGCAGCTTTTGCAATTCCTCGGTGGTCAGACCTCGAGTGATCGTCTTTCTGGATTCCGTGGCCTGATACTGCTCCTGTCGGGAAAGCGCAGCATGATTCTGGTGGAGGTCCTTTCCATATCTCAAGGCAGGCGCATTCTCTTTGTTAGACTGGCGAGTTGGGCTTTCCGAGCGGCCGTGGTGGTGAGATGGAGAATCTGAGAATGGGTCCTTGTTGATATTGTCATCTCCCGCGTAGAGACCCTGTTTGGCGGGTGACTTTGGTTGACTCTTTGTGGGCGACATTGGGCCAAGTTTCATGGCGTTCTCGAACACATTAGGCAAGTCATTGGCGCCAGGTGGAAGCTGTTTCTTGCTTGGGCTACCTTGGGGTGTCTGCGTCGGACTGGTAAAGCCATGATTACCGCCAGGAGTGGTGGGAGTTTGAGGACGCTCGTACAGCTCGTTTCCCGAACGAGTGTGCAGGAGAGGGGGAGGCATTGGCATGACCATGTTGAGGTCGTGTTGTGATTTCGGCGAGAGAGGTGTGCCGCCGATAGCCATGGCTTTCGAACGGAGAAGGGGGTTGTCTTGCGACTGTGGCCGAAAGATGAAGGCTGTTCCTTTCCGCAGTGAGTACAGGCGGCAGATCACGAAGACGATTCTGTCTAGTAATCCAGCCGAAGGCTTGGAGACAACAATGCAGCGTCCTCACGCGATGAAGGTGATGGAACAGTGGGAATTGTATTTCAAGTGTCGACGCAGGCATTCAATGAAAACATGCACGATACCATGAAGGGGACAGATGTGGAAAAGCCGGCTGTGGCGCCGTCAACACACTGGCACAAGGGAGGCATACTAGTCTGGGTCTCCAGAGGCAACGGCGCCAGGAACGCGCAGCAAGTCTGGGGGAAGTTTGCCGGAGCTAACGGGGTGATAGGCGATGCTAAGCTCGACTAAGCTACTTAGAGCGAACTTTAGGCACCGCTCCAGGCGGTGAGATTCGAAGCTGGCAGAATAGTAAGGTAGTTGTAAAGTCCTCGCCGCCAGGAACTTCTAAACGTCATCCCTGTTGCGCGATGATTTCAATATCAACTTTGAACTCCCATGAAGCCAGTCAGCGCGTCATATATGTGAAGGTTTCTAGACATCTACGTAGGCAATACTCCTTTAAAGAGGTACAAATCCAGCAACAGGCCGGCCTTCTTGTACTGCTTAAAAGGGCATATATAACACTATTGTCAACCTGGCTGTCAAAATAACCGCACGTCTGGTCCGCCTCGCTTCCACCATGTCTCATCCTACCGCAACCAGCCCTGCGCCGTGGAAGCCGACATTTGAGTCCCATCTTGAAAAGGTTGGGGGCGCAGGTGCAGAATTCACTCTAGCAACCGTCAGTGCCAAGGGCTTGCCTCATGCTCGAACCTGCATCTTCCGTGGCTTCTGGGCAACACTACCGCCGAATGAGCACAATGAACTACCCAAGAACCCTTCGATCTACGGGTCCGACTGTCCCACATTCACTACGGATGCACGCATGGTCAAAACGTACGATATCTTTGCGACAGGGAAGGGCAAGGGAGACTTGGCGCAATCCCGCTCAGGATCCGGAGGTGGAGGCCCTGTCGAAGCGGTGTTCTGGGTCAAAGAGACAATGACCCAATGGCGGATAAGGGGAAAGTGTTGGCTCGTGGCGGCTGAAGATGTAGAAGGAGGAGAAGAGGCTCAGAATTCGGGGACCGTCACCGTCAAAGCAGAAGTTGGACGGTATATGCGAGTCAAGGAGGGATCCAACCATGCCGAAAAGGAGAAAGACTGGTCATGGAAGCTGGAGGTGGAAAACTACTTCGAGAACTTGTCGCCAATGATGAGAGGGACATTTAAGAATCCTCCTCCAGGACAACCGTTACGAGAAGGTAAGGATGACAGTGCGGGCGAAGGACTCGGGCAGAAGGCGGGACACCTATCAGATGAACCGCTCGCGCGGAAGAACTTCCGGGTCTGTATCATCACGCCGGAGCAGGTAGAGGCAGTCGACCTGACTGATCCTGCCAATTGTATTCGACAGGTGTGGACGTTGGCAGAGGAAGCGGGAGGGCCGGGAGGTCCTCAACCGAGTGAATCTTTAGGCGAGTGGAACTTGGTCCAGACATGGCCGTGAGATGATAGACTGGAAGACGGATAATGCTGGCCAACAGATAACTTGTCGCTGCATGGTAAAATGGATCGTTTGTCTCTCATGAACAGTCGAGGCCCTAGACACTGGGACCCCATATGAATGCTGGGATAAACCACACATGATTATCTGCAGCGCTCATGACCGCGCTGATGCTGCTTGCATATTTTTCACGCCATGACCGCTCAACCTTACATGAGAGCTACTGCCCCAAGTACGGCAGCGCCCAGGACACTCCACCCGGCTGTAAACATCGCAGCATTGTTACCTGTCGGAGAGCTTGAAGCACCGCTGGCGCTGGCGGTGGCGCTGGGAGTTGCACTTGCGCTACTGGACGATGCAGATGAGCTTGAGCCGGAGTTAGAGCCACTTTGTGGAGAGCCATCAGCGTTTGACTCGTTGGCATTGATCTTCGCGGAGAGCGGGAAGGCAGTGACTCCGGTGCCGTTAGAGCAGGCGCTCGGGAGGGATTGGACTGTTGGTGATGACGTGAAGGTCAAATCCGCGCACTTATTGTCGACATGTTAGTCATGTGCAGCTCCTTCAGACGAGCAGGAAGAAACGTACAACATAGAGACCGCCACCTCCTTCTCCGTCCGTAATGACCTGCAAAGTTCCATTGGTGCCGTCCTGGATACCGAGATTCGCCGGGATCTGAACAGAAGGCAGACAGAAGTTTCCCTCTCCCTGTTCTTGGAAAGTCTGCTCGAGAGTGATGTTGAAGTTGTCACCTGGATCGTTCCCCAGCGCTAATAGCATTTGGACAACACTGCGGTCATGGCCCATCTGCAGAGCAATGGGGATGGCCGAGCTCGAGACGACGGTGCGATTCTGGGAGACAGCAAAGCCACCGCAGGGGAACTTGGGCTCATCCTCTTCATCGTTGCTTCTCGGAGTCGGGTAGAGGATATGGAAATGCGCCGAGACAAGAAGTGGGAGAGAGAGGAGGGCAACAACAGATTGAGGAATCATACTGGCGGAAGGGAGGTCCGTTGAATTTGTGTCTCAAGTTGAGGCCTCAGCTGAATTGGCTATGGAGACTGACAAGTGTAAAGAGAGAAGGGAGTACTGAAAGTCAGATGAGATGTGAAAACTACTGAGGTACTGATGTACTTTCCTGGGGAAGACTCGGAACATATAGAGTCGCGTAAGGCACGATCAAGGGGTGAAAGAGCCACGATGGATCAAGCTTCGATCCGGACCGCCATGGTCAAGTCTTGTCTAGCAGTACGTAGTAGTAGCTGCCCGTCTTGAATGCTTGATAATTAGCTTGTCTTGCAAGCTACCACCGTACGTGTCTTTGACCAGCGTTCGCCGATTCGGAGGGCCGGGGCAATGCGGCGCAGTGGTGGTATCGCGAGGCCGTGAAACTGGATCGGGCTGGAATGTTGTTACGTTGTTGTTAGCTCGCTGCCGAAAACGTGCGCGCCTGACAGTGGAGAACAAAAACTTGCTCACCGCAAGAACAAAAGGGGGGGCGAGCAAATAAGAGCAAATAAAGAGCAAATAATTATAATGTCAATATAGAGTAATAATGAGGTGGTGATGATAAATGAGGGGAGCAAATGAGGATGATCCACTCCGAGTCCGGCACACACTGGGGCGAATACAGGGAGACCATACGGAGCTACTGTGTAGATACTGCAGAAACCGATGCTGTGACACCACGCCTAGTGCATGGCGCATACTAAGGTAGTCTCTGCTATACACAGGACATTTCTACAGCTTAGGTATGTGGCAGAGGCAGAGGCAGAAACAGAAGCACTCAGACTTGTAGGGGTAACATAGGCAGGTTTGTCATTATCATATTGCTGGGTCTCCATTGAGAAGATATTGACGCCCGGTATAAGAACGCCCGAAGAGTGGAAGCTTCTACGCTCCCTCCTACACCCTCTATAGCACTGGCATCAGGTAACGAAATGGGTGTCCTGAACGCCATCCTAACCCGCGTGCTTAATGCAAATGTTCGTCAATCTGGGCATATCTGCCCACCAACAACTCGCCGACGAATGTGCCTGCCAGCACTGAAAGAAAATAGCCAACGTTCATGGTCATAACCGCCAACATCCTAGCACAAAATCAGTATAAGCACACCAGGATCGTAAGGACGGGACGCACAGGAGATATGAAACACCAGTGATGATTGTTGTGAGGATAGCTCGAGGGATGTCGATCGATAGGCGGAAAGGAACCACTCCGCCGGTTCTTGCTTGCACCACCTTGACGTTTTCCTCAATGCCTTGGGCCGTGACGAGGGATCCCGTTTTCGCGTCAGGATCCGAATCAATTCTGCCAGCCTCGGTCTCTCGCCCCTTGATCCTAACATATCGCCGTTTTCGGGCGGCCGATGCCCATCTCTGCTCACACACAGCCTTTGCCGCGAAGAGGAGGCGTAAGATCATCGCGAGAAGGACGAGAAAGATGCAAGTGCCCGCATAGTCGCCTTCCGATGAGGGCTTCCAGGAGTTGGAAAAGAGAGGGCTAGTGTGGGTGTTGGTGAAGACCATCGCCATGGGCATGGACATGGAGTCCGAGCTGGAGTCTGAATGAGAATGTGACATGCTGGAGTGGTAGAGATGCGATTGTGGTCGAGGATTTGCGTCGATTCGGCGTTTTAACTCCACGAAACCCCGGTGAATAGGAAGGAAAACGTGGGAGTCGGGCGGTCTTTGTATAAGATGCGACTATACTAGGTCTGACTCGGAGTTCAGGACGAGATTCGACAGGGTGGTGGTAACACTGTGAGTGAATTGCAAGTTGAGCATGTTACGGCAGCGTAAAGGAGCTCCGACAAGGAAATATGGCGGTGAGCTAAGGTGAATGAGTATCCAACCTCAAGGTACGTAGTAGTGGCAGTAGTATAGTGGTGAACCTGAAGGTCGTCAAGAGAGTAGAAGGAAGCTCCATCACTGCATCCTCTGTCATCCATCATGATCCATGGCGGGTTCAAGTTTGATGTGTGGATCAGATCCATCCCTTTCAACCCGCAGTGCCAGTGCGCTGCGTGTGTTTTCTTTGAGGTTCAAAGGTGAGCAAGTTCTTGGCTGCGCAGGTTTTCCACTTTGGCAACAACTAGTACCAGGCTGCGCTTCGCTGCGGCGTCGGCGGCACTTTGCTTGTAGGCGCAGTTTCCACCAGTTGCTTCGTACCCAATTCTCCCCTTGAGACCTCGTCAGCCTCCCAGCAGCCACCGCTGCACTTCTCTTACCATATCATTATTAGAATACCACCCGTGCCACCAGGTCCTCTCAGCCTGTTAGATGCCGTGGGTTGCTCAGATCTCTCCACGAGCACAATTCCCAGCTTGAATCGTGTCTCTCTTGTTGGGTACAAACCCTCCTCCGACTCCGCTTTACCGCTCGGGTTCCGTCGCTTCTAGATCCAATAATAGCGGCCACCATCTCCAAAACCTCACCCGACGAGCTCCTTTCGAGCACATTTCTCCCAGGCATCCAAATTCATCTCGCGTCTCCGAAGTGCTGTCTTCTTGTCATTGAAAAGTACGGTGGCTATTCGTGTCTCATTGTACATAAACCGGCACCACCTATTATTCGATGTCTAGTCCTTGAATGTTCAGGGGAGGGATTTGACCGCTATTCTCCTCTATCCTTTCCGCTCAATCCAGCCCCCCGGCTCAGCGCCTCACCTGATGCATTGAGAGCAGTCGTATGGCATAAGTACCCTTTTCAAAACAACGTTCTCGGCCGCCTCCTCTCCGTTCGTCGTTACCAGCGTCGATGATTCCGTCGACGAGTCTCAGCATGGATTTCACTCTCTTCCCCCGTCATGACGACGATGACATGGACATGGACATGGGAAGTATGGGCACAAGCAGCGGCGTGCCAGGATATTTCTACATGCAGAAAATGTTCTGGGCTGTCATCGGAGCCGTCATTGGCTTTGCTGCTCTTCTGAACCTGCTCGACCACATTCTGCTTTGGCAGCGACAGCGAAGTCTCAACGCCAAACCGAAATCCTTCATCTGGTCATTCTACGCCACGATGACGGCGGTGGGTCGTGAAATCAACGGCGCCTCAATGCCGACGTACCAGTTCAAAAGCCTGAAACTGCGGGCCCCTTCGTTGGGCAAGACCGTCATGGTCCTCTCCTATCTCATCACAGTCCTTGTGTTTTGCTTCTACAAGTACGACACGGGAGACCAGTGGAGTTGGGAAAACATCGCCTATCGATGCGGCTGCATCGCCCAAGCCCAGCTTCCCCTTGTGTTCCTCTTGGCCGGCAAACAGAACATTGTCGGGTTTTTATCGGGCATCAGTTACGAGCGACTGAACTGGCTGCATCGATGGGTGTCACGTATTTTATGGTTGACCGCCACTTTCCATTTGATATTCTGGTTTAGGAGTTGGGCAAGGTACGATTACATCAAGGTGAAACTATCGACGGATCAGATGACTCAGACCGGCTTTGCTGCTTGGTGTATCCTCACGGCCGTTATGGCTACCTCGTTCGCTCCGATGCGGCGGGTGAGCTATGAGATGTTCGTCGTTATGCATATCATTCTCTTCGCGGGGTTCATTGGGGCCGTCATGCTGCATGTTGACTATGGCAAGACATATGTCTGGGTCTGCGTCGGTTTGTTCTTTTTCGACCGAGTCCTACGATTCGTGGTTACGCTTGTGGCCAATCTATCCTTCTTCCACCGTCAATCACCAGGTCGAGGTCGGATCTGGGCGAACAAAGCCACCCTCACACCCCTGCCAGGAGATGTCACCCGGATCACTATTGACAACCCTGTGTTGAGATGGACTCCTGGACAACATGTCTTTCTGGCTTGCCACACTGTGGTACCGCTTCAGAGTCATCCTTTCAGTATAGCATCATTGGAGTCAGACAACAAGTTGGAGTTTATCGTCCAAGCTCGCAAAGGGGGTACGCGACGGTTTCACCGCTTTGCCTCGAAGAATTCGAGCCTACCTGCTCATTCTGGGGTTGGAGGGGCAAGACAGCAGCTTGCTGCAGTCGAGGGCCCTTACGGGAAAATCCGGCCACTACGACAATTTGACAGCATTTGTCTCATCGCGGGCGGCACTGGAGCTACCTTTACTGTCCCTCTGATGAGGGATATCGTACAAAGATGGAAAGCCAGCATTGATGGGACTCTTGCAATTGTGACACGAAAAGTGCGTTTCGTATGGGTGGTAAAATCGCAGGATCGTGTGGGATGGTTCAAAGATCAACTGGAAAGCGTGCTTCTGGATGTGCAAAGGATTCGGCAGATTGATAGATACACCGAAAAGGAGGTTGATCTGAGCATTTACGTCACTTGCGACGAGGAGCTCGAGGCATCGAACACTGATGGCGTCTGTCAGCCAGCAGCTCGAGGAGTTGTCCAGCTTAGCGATAGACGCTCTTCCGAGGCCGGGGTCGATGGCTCCCTGACGAAAAAGACCTTGGATGAAAAGGTCGAGGTAAGATCGATAGCATCCGCTGATGCTAACAACGACGGCTGTGGGCCAGACGGCACTTGCTGTTGCAAAACGGCTGTTGATGAGGATGGGATGCCGGCCAAGTGCTGCTGCTGTGGGCCCTCATCAAGCTCGCTCTCCTCGTCTTCTTCAATCAAGGAGAAGACCTTGGAGGCTCTATCCACCAGACCGGCCGAGCCCCGGCCACAGTTGAAGCTGGTCGCCGGCAGACCAAAACCTCGGAACATCATTCGAAAAGTACTGGAAGAAGCCGAGGGCGAGAGTGCAGTAGTTGTCTGCGGCCCTCAAGGACTACAAGATGATGTGCGTCGGAGCGTCGTGGCGTTAAGTGACGAACGTGCCGTCCACAAAGGTACAGGGGCCCAGGGTATATATCTGCACGTCGAAGGCTTCTCCTATTAGATCGCATGAGGTCATGTTTTTGCTGGTGCATAGCGACGGGCGTTTGGGTTGCAGTATGCCTGGCTGCGGAGGGAATCCGGCGAGCCCGGCGTGTGATGATGGACCATGATACCCACGAAGGGAGTATTTTCTATAGATCAATAAACCAGTACCCGGAACCTAGAAATTGGGCACGAATCGGAAGAAGATCAATATTTGATCAGTCCCTGGGAATTTGCCGGGCGTTTATTTCCTTGGTTCAGATCTCAAGTTGTAGAAGCATCCTTCTCATTCCCGGCAGCCTCACTGCTGGCAAAGCTGCTCTCAGTAGAATAATTTCCCTTTTCGACCTGTTCTTTGCTACGAGCGCATGCCTTGGCTATACAGCATCTGCTGCGCCGGTTGGTGCTCGGATGACCTCTGTAGCGGCAGAGCGGTCAAGTCGCTTGCATCAAGGAGAGAATCAGTTGTGGTTGAAGAGTGCAGCAAGTTCAAGTCGGCGATAGACGGTCCTTTATCGTGATTAGTCATCTTAGTCTTAATGTCGTCCGCGCATTGCGGCCGTGGGGTTGGACTCCAGGGTTTGTATCAAGATTTGGCCTCATTACGCCCGTACGAAATCAATGATGACCTTATCTCTTCACATGCATCACTCGATGCAGAAACCGGCCTTCTAGGCACACGACTCTGTTTATTCCTTGATTGGCTGCTCGCCCCGAACCGGCCGTATTCCACTTCTCTGATGCGTGCGTGAACGTCCATGTCGTCGACTGGCCGACGTAACCAAGAAATGTCCTGCGGCTATGGCGCAACCATCGGGCAATGAAGGGGAGAGTCCAGAAGTGAAAAAGGCACAAAAAGGCGCGGTGCCCTCTGCAGCAGGGAGCATCCCAGCATCCAAGACAAACCCCCTAGAGACAGTTCCAGCGACACGAAGCGTTTCACCGTTGCCAGATCTCATCAGAGCATCCTCCAATCTAGTCCTACCATACACTCTACATCCTTTACTTGCCATCGAGACCTTCTTGCCCGGTCTTGCAACCATGTGGCCGTTTGCCGGTAGCCTTACGTTCGATCCGGCGACCGACATTCCCAGCCTTGCTGGCAAAGTCGTGCTTGTCACAGGAGGCAACAACGGCATCGGCAAGGAGACGGTTCTCCAGCTTGCCAAACACAATCCAGCCAAGATATTCCTTGCAGCGCGGAGCGCGTCCAAAGCCAAGGATGCCATTGCCTCGATCAAATCTCAGACCTCGGAGGATGTCGACATCGAGCATCTACCACTCGACCTCACCTCACTACCCTCCATCAGGGATGCTGCTGACCAAGTCATCAGTCGCGCCGACCGACTGGACATCCTCGTTTTGAATGCAGGCATCATGGCCGTCCCACCGGGCAAGACAGAGAGTGGTCAAGACATCCAGTTGGGGACCAACCACGTCGGCCATTTCCTGCTCACCAAGCTGCTTCTCCCCCACTTACAACGAACAGCAGAGCAGCATAACCCAGATGTGCGCATCCTGGCTGTCTCCTCCGAGGCGTGGAATATGGCCCCGAAGCTCGACACCATTCTGTCAACGGAGAAACTGACCGAAACGGGTCCGTGGACTCGATACGGGGCATCCAAGGTAGCCAATATCATGTTTGCCGCCGAACTTGCTCGACGCTATCCAAAGCTCACCAGCGTCTCTCTCCATCCAGGAGTCATCAAAACAGATCTGTATCTGCCCAGCACAGGGGCAAATGTGATCACGAAATACGGCCTCATGCTGCTGGGCCCGTTGATGTTTCAGGATGTCAAAGCCGGCGCTTTGAATCAGCTCTGGCTGGCAGCGGGAGCGAAAAAGGAGCAGATTGTCAATGGGGCTTATTACACTCCTGTTGGCAAACTCAGGCATAATAAATGGGCCACGGATGTAGAAGCGGGGAAGCGCTTGTGGGAGTGGACGGAACAGGAGTTGAAGAAGTCAGGCTATTGAGTCCTTTGTCAACAGAGGAGGAGATGATGCTGTCTGAATGTATCACGCCCCGGGGAACCGGCATCAGTTTGGTGTAGCACGGTGGGACGGATACAGTCTACTAATACACGATTGTGGTGAACTCACGAATACCCCTAGTTGAGATCTCGAGGGGTGTACTTGCTCAATGGATATCATATCATCTACTTGAAATGGATCGCGATGAATCTCAATCAATACGGCCGAGTCTGGTGATTTCATCGCATTATTACACGTGTAGAGGTCAGCCAGTCCGAGCAAATGCGATCTCATGGCTGCGTGAGTGACTGATATTTGATATTCAGTTCAAATTGTAGAGCATCAGGTAATCAATCAGCCCGGTTTGTGATTGGCCACACGACAACGTCTATCTCCTGCTTACTATGAGGATTGCAGATTGCACAGCCTCCCAGCTGCAAACACCATAAGAGGATGATGTGTTGGCCTCTAGAATTGCCTTCTCAGCATATCATGCACGCAGACTACATTACAGTCTTGTCCACGACAACGACAAAAGCCAGAGGTCTCTAGGTTTCAACTCGACCACTGCTTTGTAAGGCATTGAATCAATGTTGAGTAACCAGAAAAGCGTCAACTTTCACCCGCAGGACCTATCAGCATTACAGGCTTACAAACATCACATCTAATCCCAACTGCAACGGCTCTGTACAGGCTTATTCATCAGCCTACCTTACTATACAGTGACAGGGTATATAACCGAACAGGAACCTCTCGCGGCACTCAAGGCCTATTCCCCCCCAACAACCGCGACCATAGAGACCTCCAAGAGACTGTCGCGAATCTATCTTCGCTCCCTCAACCACAACGGCAGTCGAAGCCGATCGAGCTCCATATCGTCCATCATGTCACCGACCAGCGCCGACGAGGACCCCAGCGGCGGGCCCTTGAGCCCGAGCAGCCATGAAGACAAAATCGTTCTAGTCACGGGCATCAACGGCTACATCGCGAGCCACATCGGCCTTCAACTCCTCCAGAAGGGCTATACCGTGCGAGGGACGTCTCGGTCCGCATCCGCCAAAGAACACCTGTTGGCCGGAGTATTCCAAGGCTTCGAGAGCCAATACCAGCACTACGAAGTCAAAGACATCACGGCCCCAAGCGCCTTCGACGAGGCCGTCAAGGGCGTCTATGGAATCATCCACACCGCCTCGCCCGTCGACTTCACGCTCAAGACGGTCGACGAGTTCTTCGGGCCCGCGGTCGGCGGGAACCTGTCGATCCTAGAATCCGCCAAATCCCACGCCGGACCACAGCTGAAGGCGTTCGTGGTCACCTCCTCCGTGGCCGCCATTGTGGATAAATGGAAACAACCCCCCGACCACGCCTACTCCGAAGCAGACTGGAACACAACAGGCGAGAGCGTGGCGCGCGAGACCTTCTCCGCGCCCGTGGCGTACGGCGCGTCCAAGACGGCCGCGGAACGCGCAGTGTGGGAATGGACGCAGCGAAACGAGCCGTCCTTTGCGGTGGCCGCGGTCAACCCTGCCGTCGTCACGGGTCCGCCGGTGTCGTGGCCCGCGACGCCCGACAAGCTCAACGAAACGCTCATGCCGATCTGGAAGATCTGGAGCGGCGACAAGACCCTGCCGCCGCAGATCGGTGGCGCTGGGTACATCGACGTGCGCGACGTCGCGCGCATGCACGTCTGGGCGCTGGAGCATCCCGACCGGAGCAACGGTCAGCGCTATATGCTTGTCAATGGCAAGGCTCCGCCTCAGGCCGCCGCGGATCTGCTGCGTGACAAGTTCCCAGATCGGGATATCGTCGTCGGGACTCCTGGCCAGGGGTATGCCCCCGACTACTGGTTTCTAGAGGGCGAGCCCAGTCTGGTCGCTAGCAAGGCGTATGAGGCGCTTGGGGTGCAGCGGTTCATGAGCTACGATCAGTCCATTCTGGATACAGTCGAGGCATTTGAGAAGCAGTGGCCAGGTTACGCAAAGAACCTGAAGCAGATATAGTGCTTTGACGGATGAAGTGATGATCGCGGTGGATGGAGGGTAGTAGCATACATATGCATGTGGATGTCCATAGAGGGATAAAACCTCGTGAATATGATCGTTATGGGACTGAGAATCTGCGTGCGAATCAGTAGTCCTATCCTTCGCTTTCTGCAGCCTCCTCTGGAAGCCGGGCCAGTCACAAGCCGGGAACAAACGGTCCTTGGGAAATCTGATCACTTGTTACACACATGTGCATCTCTGCCTCTCCAGGCAGTTGGCAAGGAGCGGCACTAAGGACAAGTGAAAAAGGCCGCCATCCACATCCACAGCGAGATTCGATTCCACCGGAGTGCTCGTGCAGGACAACTCAAGTCGGGGTCGTACAGTGTTCTGCCGTGACATACCGTGACAGCAGTCCCTGTTGTAGGCCATAGATGGAGGCCATCCGTAGCATAGTGCCTCAAATTCCACCACTGGCACTGGACGGCATCAGAAGTACGAGTTAGTCTGGGGAAGAAATGGCCGACCTCTTCATGAAGCAAGGGATAGAACATGTTGTGGCCAACCAACGTCCACCACACCTGTCTGTGGCAGCATGGCGGATTCATTTGTTTGGATGCTGACTGAACCATCTCTTTTCGCTGCAATGTCTCTTCCCGGACGTCGACTTGCCTGTTCTGCAGCCCAGATCAAAAGCTGTGTGTGACATGGCATCCCGGGCAATTTGGAATTTCCATGACTACGTGATTTCTCCCTCCCCCTCTTGCCCGTCCATTTCGTGCGACATCACAGGCCTGGCGAGACCAGTGGAAACAGCCATCAAGTCTCTTCATCTTGCGCGGTTCCGCAGGTCAATCTCGGGCGCTGAGCTGTTCAGTGGCTGGCTGGTGGTCCGGCTGGTCGCGGCCACGCGAGCATCTTCTCTGCAGGAAGAGCTGGCATATCCAGTCGCGGGTGCTGGCCTTGACAGTGAAGGCATGGAGTAATAAAGTCTGTCTCAGTATTATTGCAAGAAAGGAGGACCGGGGGATTCCTCAAGTAGAGTGGCCCAGAACAAGAGGAGTTGTGGCCGTTATTTGCCTTCGGGTAAACTATACCTTACCTATAGTACCTAAAGGATGCCACCAGTCTCAAAGGACAGTGGGACCGATACAGTTGACACGCAGAAGATGTCCATCGATGATTGCTCGCCGCGGTGCCATGCCATATCTGTTCCGTAAACGGAGATTCGCTTGCCAGCACCGAATCGGGGCCGAGTTAATAATGATAAGCGGAGGATCCCTAGGACCCTGAGGGGACCCTGAGGAGGGTCCCAAGGCTAGGAAAGGCCTCCTTAGGCTACGAGCGCTGAGACCACACCGTACTTTGTAAGGGTAGAATCAATAAAGAAATGGCGCTGTATGCATTTACTGCGTCTACCGTCTGCCAGTACTGCAGTGCTGCAAGGCAACGTTGGAAGCGCATACGGGAGAGGGAAGGAGGATACATTCGCAGGCACTTTGGATACCTACATTAGGTACCTTAGGCACGCACCTTTGGTGAGTATGCCCCTACTAAGGCTTGCCGGGCCTCCTAAGCCTCTAGGCTTATAGCACAATTCCCAGTGTTTTATTCGTTCTTCCATACTAGGGCTTCCTCCACAATAGTAGCACCTACTGGGTCTCCAAAGATAACGCCCCGCCAGATAACAGATGAGTTAGTAACACTGCACCTGTCGCCGGTAGTCGCTCTCGCGTATCTCTGCCACTGCAGTATCAGCCTGCACCTGCCCCAGCGTCTGAGAAGATAACGAAGCGGAAGGTGCAACACGACACGAACAACGACTGGCACTGGCACTGGCACTCTCCAGGCTGCTGCCCTCCAACTTGCTGCCAGCTGCCAGCTTCCAGCTTGTGCCTAACTTGATGCCCTGTCCTTTCTTCATCCATTCATCCATTCAATCAATCAATCAAATCAATACTGGTGGCTGCTACTACTGCTACTGCTGCTCAGTTAAAAACACACTGTCTCTGACTGGCCACCTTCTGGCCACCGCAGTTGGATATCACCGCTCTCACCCGTCTTTATCGCACCCCCGGACCGCAGCACTACTACTACGGAACTGATGCTACCTGGCTCCCGCCTCCAACATCCTCTCTAACGCACCGCTCCTTCGCCCTATCTTCGCCCTCTTCTTTCTTGCTATTTGCTTTCCCTTCAATTGATCTGTTCTCTACCGATCATACGGTTGATTCCACCGACATCACCCTCGTATCTGGTACAGCCTAAGAGCTATCGCGAAACCAGGAAGCTCCCATTGGACTGTTCCCCTCCAATCCTCCGCCACTATCACCACAAACAACGTCCACCATTGTACCTCGCTGCCGCTGGCCTTCTGGTCCATGTCCATGTCCATGTCACCCACCCCGATCAACGTCGCATGGAGGTCCAAATTCCCTCTCCGTCTGTCTTTCTGAAGAAATCTCCGGTCCTCACTCCTGCACCCAGTGTGCCAGCCAAACGATCCGCCATCCCCAAATTGAAAGCGAATGCTTCCACCAAACCTCCTCCTAAACCTACGACGACGCTTCAGGATGGTGCGGTGACCAAACCGAAGCAGAGTAAGAGCCGAAATGGTACGTTAATCCTGCGAAGCCCAGCTGTATTGCTTTGGTCACCGCTTAATGCCCAGGCAATTCAATGCCGAGCATATCTTAAGGCGACTTCTACTGACATTCATGGCTTCAATTCAGGTTGTATGACTTGTAAGAAGAAGCGCTTGAAATGTGACGAGACAAAACCCTCGTGCGTGCAATGTCAGAAGCGGAGTGTGGTGTGCGAAGGGTATAAGAAGGACTATAAGTGGCGGACCTTCGAAGAGACTACCTTCGCTTCCAAACCCGCCGCGAAACGAAAAGCCTTCCGGTCAACCTCTTTCTCTCTCGATCATAACAGTGCCCGACCACTTAACATTGCAGCTAACCCTCGACATGCCGATATCGAGGAGTCCAAACCTCCGCAGACATGGTCCCCAGGTCTTCATTCGGCCTTTGCAACGGCAGCCCACGCCTTCCACGGCCAGAACCAGGACCAAGGCCTCCCTTTTGGCGCTGAGCAGCAAGGAGACAATGAGTTCGAGAGACGTCCCTTACCTCATTTCAACCTTGCGCCCAACTCTGCGTTCATGCCTCTGTTTGACGCCGAAGACATATCCCCCGAATTCTCCTATCCCAACCACGGCGATCCTTATAACTTTCTGGCCACAACAACCACCGCCTCATCCACAAATGACAGCAATAGCGCCAAATCCTTCTCCTCGGGATCTCCTCAGCTTATGGATCTTCTCCTTCCCGGGACCGACCTGAATCAGCCTCCAGATCCGTCAGAGATGCGGCCTCCCCATTCTCCTCTGCCATATCAACCGTCAAATTTTGATCCCAATATGGCCATGGACGAGGACTTTGATGAGGAGATAGTCAGATCGGACGCCGTAGCCACCACCTCTGCAATACCTTCAATGCCGCTTCCAGCTCCGCTCTCTCTTGATCAGGGCTCGGGCGCCTCATCGTGGCAAGGTTTCCGGACAGCATCTCCTACGCCGAGTGGAGCATCCACACCGTCTTCGAGATCCAGCGACATGACAATCTTAGCGCAACCAACATTAGACGCTTCATCCCCCGAGATGCTCATGCTCCGCTTCGACAAGCAAACATGCGGCATCCTATCAGTCAAGGACGGCCCGACCGAGAACCCCTGGCGCACGTTGATCTGGCCCTTAGCCCGCGAGTCTCCCGCCCTCTACCATGCGATCTCATCAATGACAGCCTTCCATGGCGCACATGAGATTCCAGACCTGCACATGCCGGGCATGGCGCATATGACCAAATCAATCAAGCGGCTCGCCTTCGAAATCGAGAACATGCGGCTTGACTCAGCACTGGCAACGTCACTAGCCCTCGCATTCAGCGAAGGCTGGGACAGCCATGTAAGTACCGGTGTGCAACATTTGCGAGGTGCCAAGGTCATGGTCAACAACGCCATTGTCAAACATCGGCGAGATATGCAATTAGGTCAGATGACAACGCAGGACGCCTGTCGCCTAAGATTTCTATGCAACACGTTTGTCTACATGGACGTCATTGCCCGCTTAACGTCGCTGGAAGAAGCTCCGGAACTGAACTTTGAAGAAATCCTGCAAACGGTGAATGCCCCTTTTGGCGACCAAGTTGAGGTGGACCCGTTGATGGGCTGCGCAACCACCCTTTTTCCGTTGATTGGCCGCGTAGCCAACCTGATTCAGCGAGCACGCAAAACCAACTCGAATTCGTTGACCTTGGTGTCCACGGCCATGGAACTGAAAGAACAACTACAGCAATGGCAAATGCCCAGTGCGATGGGTTTCGAAAGACCTGAAGATCCAAACTCGGAAGTGCAGCACTCGATCCAGACGGCCGAGGCCTACCGCTACGCCACCCTGCTCTATCTCCACCAAGCTGTCCCCGAGATCCCCAGTGATCCTTGCCAAAGTCTCGCAAAGAAAGTACTCGTCACTCTCGCTTCGGTACCCTTGTCATCTCGGGCAACGATTGTCCAGATCTTCCCGTTATTCGCCGCGAGTTGCGAAGTCAGCGATCCCGACGACAGGAGCTGGGTCATGCAGCGATGGGCAGCGATGATGACACGCCTTAAGATCGGCAACGTCAATTCTTGCTGGCAGGTTGTGCGGGAAGTGTGGAGCCGGCGCGATGCGTACGAAAGCGAGAAAGCCAGCCGTTTGCTAAAACGGTATAACTCCAGAGGCGTTCCGGGGGGCAACTTTGTCCCACCGGTCCTCAATATGCCACCTGGGTCGAAGCGCAAACCTCACCCGGTCGATCGCACAAGTGGAGAGGAGGGTGGTTTCCATCTGGCACAGAGTCAGGCTCGAGATGGCAATGTCCATTCTGCGGGGCGTGCATCCTCGGTGGATGAGAACGAATTCGATATAGGGGGTCGCCCTATCAAACGACGGACCACAGCAGACGCCATGGGTAATGGCATGTCCAACGTCTCCGGCGGAAATTTCTCAACGGCGCAATCGAATTCGGTTTCGGGGTCGTCGCGACGTCCTACAGGCGACATCATATCACCAGATCAACTCGAGTACGAATACACGGTCCGAGGACGTCTTCACTGGCTGGGCGTTATGGGCGAATGGCAGTGGGAAGGTACGTTTGTTCTAGTTGTCCCTGTTGCCGTCTTTTCAGGATTGCATTGTTGTCTCTCCAACGCGCCCCATTTTCTGTACTGCATGGGATGTGAAGAGGCAGGAATTGTATTGTCAAATTTGCATGAATGCCTTGTGTCTATCTCGAATGGTTTCACGCTGGCTTTGCTGGAGCATACTGTTCAGCCCTTTCCCCCAACATGCTTTGGGAGCTAAACTGCGAGATTATGTTCATTTGCCAATATCAACAACAACTAACTCGATCAATCGCAGTGTTTCTCGGATGATGGACACAAGATTCCCCGGCCCTTCAACCTCGATCTCGGCTGTGGTGTCTCGTGTGCCGCACGCTTTTTACTCAACATGGTCTTGCCTGCTGGACTTGTAGACCGACATTCTCGGTGGTATTGCCGGCCATCTTGACCGATACAGTGATGGAGGCTGTGGGTGTAGTGATGTTGACGGCTTGACGACGATCTGGCCAGACTCTTGCTCGGAGCGCCGCCATTCCCAGTGAATCCATTGTCGAATCTGACGGAATCATGCTTTCTTCTCAGGCTCGCAAGGTCCATCCACTGAAATTCGGGTGATTTTTCCCTTTCGCTGCTGCTGCTGCTACCGCCACTGTCCATCTGGCCGTCGAGGCTGTCTCTCCTATCTCCGGCAGAGATGTCATTGGCGCTGGTTCGGTCCATGACCGCGAGAAAATGGCGCATGCTTGCTGTATATTCATCCAGTTCGGCGCTCTGAGTCATCTTGGACATGGGTGCCGGTTTGGCCCTTGTAGCCCGCACATCTGGCCCCTTCATGATGGTTTTGCTTTTCTGGCGGTTGCTGGTGCCAGATGGCTCGGTAGTGGCGCTCATCTTTTTTGTATGCCTGTCTGTCGCCGCTTCCAGTTATCGACCCGGTTTCGGGTTGCCGTCCCTGTACTGGTCACAACAGTGGCTCAACGAAGGGTGTTGTTTTGGGCGACCACTCCTCCCGAAGCTTTTCCTTCTGAAATTATAGATATAGATGCTTGATGACGATGTGCGCAGGAATGTGGTGAATGCGCCACGGATGCAATTGGAGTCGATTATTTCTTGGACGCACCAAGTTGCTGGGTTGCTTTTGGATGTTCGACTTTGGGTTTTGGATGGCAAGCTCAAAGATACAAAGCGAGGCGTTTTGGATTCGGGACTGCGTTCGCTGTGGGTTTGGCTGACTTCAGGCGCTATCGATGGGAATGTGCGTATGGGAATGATCTGCGTAAGATAGTCGGTGCCCGGGATTCTCCAAACCTATGCGTAGCACAGAAGGACAAAGGAAGAGAGAAGTAGAGGGGCTTGAAGAGAGAGACAGAGAGAGGCTCGGCTGGTTGCAGGCGCCCGCTGCAACGTGGTGGCGAACGGTGCAAGAGTATACCGATGCGATGCGGCGTGATGATATAGAATGAACTTAAGCGCTGGGTTGCTTTGTGTGTTGCTTAGGCCTTTGGATCCATGTGGCCCCGGATTGTCGCGACTGGCTCTTGTCGAGGGCAGGTCAGATGAGATCGAAACCGAGTCTCAGTGTGCGCGGGTTCGAGGTGCACTGATGTATCGTTCGCGCCGACGAACACCAGGATGCAGGCACATGCGTCATGGAAGTCGACGCCAATGACAATAATGAACACTGACACTGATCCTGACAAGGAGATAGTATGATATGTAGAGACGACGTCAACAGAAAGACAGGAAAGAACCCGTACAGGAGATGCCTCGGTAGAGATGTCGATGGAACTCCGATCGTGACGCTCTGGGTTATATTGTCGTGCTGGCTTCAGTGGCTGCTGGGGCTTATGGCGAAGAATGGTTGCTGGCTTCAGATATGGTTGCAAAGTCGGTTTGCTGCGTTGGGGGAATATGAAGGTTCACGAGAAGAGAAGACAGGACGTGGAGGACGAGAGTGATAAAACGAAGAAGAGAACATTCAATCTCCAAGAATGTGTCATGTCATTCGCAGATCCTGGTGATGCGAGATCACACAACCGATCCCAAGAAAGATCCGCTCGGGAGAAGCATGGCAGAGAGGCTTCTTGTGACCTTCTTGTTGTGCTCTCGTGTAGCGAAAAAGTATGTTACTATGTCACGTAGAGCGTGGAGTAGTATGAAAGAGGTAAAAGGAATGGCAGCTCGAGGCAAGAAGTGGAACGGATTTTCATCCACGGCAGGGCAAAAGACACCTCCGGCCTAACCTCATCTGGTATCCTAGCTTATTCTAGCCAGAAAGGCAGCTCGACGCATTCTTGTTTGGGATGGCGAAGGGCATATCTGTCATGCCACAGGGTTTCGTCCGTCGCCTATGGACTTTGTCGAGACGAAGGTGACCGGACTGACGGCGTGGTCCGATATAATCATGTCAGACGACGTGTGTTGAATGGGATGTACAGGCTGATAGCAGGATGCCATTGTCGGGGTCCTTTTTGCTCCATGATCAGCCATCTGCGAGCGGCTCCAGCAAGCGGAATTGCGTGCTTGAGATCTGTTCAATACGACTTCGTGTGCAGACAGATGCAGTAGCTGAGAGCGAGGACTGGGATAGCCTTGACAGAGCAGGAATGAAACTTCCACGAGCGCTTCCACTGCCGTCGAATCCTGGGTGGAGACTAGTGGAAGCTGTGATATGGATATCTTTGCAAATGCAGCATTATTCGAATCCAGCAGGACGAGACGCAAAGAGCAACTGTGGAGAACAGAGGTGCGGGCGCAAAGGGATTCGTTTGCACTTAAGTGCAGCTTTGTCCCTGGATGTGTTCTTCATCATCATATTAGGAACTCCAGACACAGCAGATAAAGTCAAAGCTGGGTCAGCAGGACCTTCGATCTCGGTGGAGTTTGACGCATGGCATCGACAGGAGTGGTTCACATTGTTCATTAGGACATCTGTTCCATAGATCTTTATGCTTAAATATTTGTCCGATAATGCATTGTAACAGATGGTGCCATCGGTCTGGTTTCTCTATGGGCAGAGATGTGCATTTTGGAAATTATCAGAAAAGCCCGTGCCTAAGAAGAGGACGACGACAGTTGGAGGGGTTTGGACGTAGGTCGACATGTGCGTGGAGATGGGGGAAGACGTATCGAGCAGTCGACAACGAAAGAGATGCCGCAGTCGCCGGAAGGGAAATGATTTCTCGATTGAGCTTCGCGCGGTCTGGAGAGTTGACCAGGCCTGGTTGCCGATCGGAAAGATACGAGGACAGACGAATAAGAGAGGAGCGGAGGGTGAGAGAGGTGGATCAAGCCAGAGGCCGTTCAAAAGGTGTCACAGATAGAGCTGAAGATAATAGATACTAGTAGTAAGCAGTAAGATGGATTGAAGCAAGGAGCAAACAGTTGACATGTATAAAGTACTTAGAACAGTGTAGCCGGACAGAGTAGAAATGGACACGATAGTCCTGCGGTTGATAGAAGGTAGAAGGTAGTAGGTAGTAGGTACCTACAGGTACACAGTACGTAGTTTCCTGCGCTGTGCCTGCGTCTGCGCCTTCCGCATGACTCGTGGCTGTGCGCAAGCTGCCCCTCGTTCGCTCTATGAATGACTCATGAACCTCTCTACCTCGTGCCACTGCCAGTATTATGCAGTACTGGGAGGGCAACTCACACAGTGGCCAAGATGAGATTATGATCATCATGAATCAATTATACGCATGTCATATTTCGGTGTCATATATATTGCCAGAACCGGATCTGCATGTCTCTGTTCGCATAATACAATGGTCGAGGTCTGTCAATCTCGCAATTCACAGCACAAACGCAGCAAACATGCCCAGTACTAGTACCGCAGCTCTTATCTCTTATCGGCGGAGATGCCAACCCGCAGCTGCGTCGAACTGAGCTCGCGGTGCATTTCCTCATTCCTCTTCTCCAGCCCCTAAGCCGTCTCGGGCATATTTGTCCCTCGACCTATTCTCCTGCGAGGGCTTCCTGTCCGCAAGGTCTCCATAGGATCATGCCCTGGATGGATCACCATGGTGGCAGAACGCCCTTTCAGGGTTTCCGATGCGGGACCTGTCTGGGTTGCTATGTACACGCTGACGCGGGTCCTCCCAGATGCATTCTGTTGAACGCGTCGTTGGCGACAAGCACAAGCTGAACAGCCGACGGAACACCGGGCAATCGTCAGCATGACTAGTGTAGGTCCAGATGGTAAGAGGCGGGCAGACTATATCTTTGCGACTTGAGCCCTTCTCTTGTTTCTGCATTCCTCTCCTACTCAGCTTTAATTTTCTCTTGAGCAGCACAAGTCGGAAACCCATACAGTGTCGTTTCCAGACCTACCAAAAGGTGAGCCAGATCTCGGTCGCAAAGCGAAATCCATTGTGGGGATACGCTCGCAATCTTTCCGAACCTCGACAACATCGTCAGGTTTAAAAGCCTTGAAAAAAGACTTCTTCGACTAACATGGGCTCTCTGCTTTCAGTGTACTCACCGACAATCACACATCTCAATCCTCAATCCTCAACAGCAACACTCGAAAAGATGGCCTCAAAACCGGCGTTGGAATACTTCCCCAGGGTGCAAAAGGAATTCAAGCCTCCTTTGATCGCCAACGAGAACGCCTTCCTCGGCGATGTCGTGAGCAGCGATAAGATTGACCCCGAGAAGCCCATCAGCTGTGGCATCTACCGACTCGAGAAGGGCACTCCCCTCGTCTACCCCTACACCTACCATGAAATGAAGATCATTCTGGAGGGCGAGTTTGACATCAGTGACGAGACTGGTCAATCTGTACACGTAAGTCGCCGTCCAGACCCGCGCGGTGAGGAAATCTTTTCTAATCGGGTTCCTTTCGACAGGGTGTTCCCGGCGATGTCTTCTATTTCCCCAAGGGCAGTGTCATCACCTTCACGACCAACTCCTACGGCCTGGCCTTCTACACTGGTCAACGTGTAAACGATAAAGCTTAAGCGATGGGCCGATGGAAATCATGAACTTTGGGTATCGAAAATAGTCTTTGAATACCTTCCACACTTCAAGCATACCAACGTCCATCTATGTTCTTTTCACTGTTTCAGCTCTTGCTCTCCGACGCCATGATCGTATGAACAGGAAGAAAGCCAACGACGCCAGCAAGACACCAAGAAGGATGGAAGTAGTGCTGACCCTCTTTGCAACAGCAATTTCCTCCCCGCCATGTAGTCACAGAGACTCCGTGGGCTTTAAACAGTCCTTGATGAACACCTCCAGGTCGTCGATTTCCTGCATGTCCGCAGAATGCGGCAGACCCCTATGCGCCATTAGCCACGATTTTCAGGAAATCTAGATCCAACTACTTGAGACTTACTTGTATGTCTTGAACTCCACCTTGTGGCCCAGCTCGTTCTTCAAGAACTCGGCCGTCTGCACGCCCCATTTATAACTGACCACCTGATCCGCGTCACCATGGCCCATGAAGAATGGCGTATCCTTGTTGGCCCCGTTGGCTTCTTTGGCGTAGTCTTTGATTTTATCCCCCAGCAACAGGTAACAACTCAATCCAAACACGCCGGCCAGTTTATGTGGCGTCGTGGCACCCGTGAATATGGACATTGCGCCGCCTTGCGAGAAGCCACCGAGAACGATACGGTCCGAAGGGATGCCGGCCGCGATTTCGTCCGTGATCAGTTTCGTCAAGGTCGTCCGGCTGCGGAGGATACCCGGTTCGTCATGCATAGACTCGTTGAAATCGACCTGCTCGGGCACGGTTTCTAGTCAGTCTGCGGCCTGCACAGCAAGTGGGAAGGAGAGGGGTGTGTGTGCGTGTAGAGGTTGCGAACATCGTCCCGGCGTCTTACGATATCGTACCAACCCGGCATCGACATTCCAGAGTTCTATTGCCCGGTCAGTATCAGGATCGTTTGGAAATCCCATCTTCTGGTAGTACACACCACGGTGATCGGAATGCTCGGCGCATTGGGGAAGACGAACTTGACGTCCTCGAACTTGCCGCGACGTCGCCAGTTCTCAGCCAGGAAAATCCTATGTCGTGTGAGACACCGATGCATTGCGATGGCGGCCCCGTTGGCCAACTCACCATCCTGCGCCGCTGCATACATCCAAGTCAGTCCGATGCACCATCAACTGTAGGGGTTGGGATCTATGCCGACCTGTCACCCAATCCATGGGCCATGATGATGGTTGCCGTCTGCTTCTTGAGCGCAGGCACCACCAGTGCTTGTCGTCCCGCCATCTCCGCCGTTCCGGTCACCAGAAGAGAGGAAGAGAGAGTCCGAAAGTGATGGTCGCAAGTTGTGTTCTCGCAGAAGACACAGAATAAAATCGGAGAGGACGCGGAGTGTTTTGTACTATGTAATTAGTAAGACCCGAATATGGGCAACACCCGTCAATACTTCTATCACACCTGCTGCGGTGAACTTCCGCTTCAAGTTGGTAAGGCCAGTCACGGTATTGGAGAACTGGATTAGATAATACACTGGCAATAAATGCCCTGCAGAGGTTCGGTCTGACGGCGTCACTCAATGCTGTCCCCGGCCACAGCCACAGTGGCAGTGGCTTGGAACCCGAACTTCTTTAGGGCCATTGCCGCCAAGACCTATATTCACACTGCCCGCTACTGCAGTGTTGCACGAGACGACTTCATTGTCTCTGGTCGCCAATTCCAGCTTTCCACCACCCTATCACCTCTCAATCTATCCTACAGAGTTAGGACGGAACCCCGAGACTAGCTTACCGACTCCCGAGCAATTTTCATTCCCGTTTCTGTTTGCTGGTGACCGTGCCGCGCCATCAAACGACAAAAAAGAAGCAAGCTAGTCAACGACTTTGTCTTGACGCACTTTCGGCCTTGTATTCCCGGTGACGGCCCTCAACAACCAAATTTCTCGCGAAGATGGATCAGGAGAAGCTTAAGCGCATGCAGGCGCAGGTGCGAATTGGTATGTCTCAGCCCCCTGCAACAATCCAATGACGATTTGTGCGCAAGCCGTAGAAACTAACAGTGAGAACAGGGTATGTGTTATCATTATTCTCCCAGCTCACCAGTCTATTCCACGTTTCGGACGCCGAGCATTGGGTTTAGTGAGCGGACTTTAACGACCGATTTACAGAGGCAAAGGCACACCGAGAAGAAAGACGAAGAAGGTCCACAAGAGCTCCGGAACCGACGACAAGAAGCTGCAGACGTCGCTGAAGAAGCTGAACGTGCAACCGATCCAGGCGATCGAGGAGGTGAACATGTTCAAGGAGGATGGAAACGTGATACATTTCGCAGCACCAAAGGGTACGTAATGGCCCCCAATTCTCTCCTGCAATTCCCCAAGCAAAAAAGAAAATACGGGAGCATCCAGTTGGCTTTGTATTGACGGAGATCTCCCAGTGCACGCCTCCGTCCCCTCCAACACTTTCGCTATCTACGGCAACGGCGAGGATAAGGAATTGACGGAACTTGTCCCCGGCATCCTGAACCAACTTGGCCCAGACTCGCTCGCCTCGTTGCGCCGACTTGCCGAGTCGTACCAGAGCCTGCAGAAGAAGGAAGGAGGTGAGAAGAAGGAGGGCGAGGATGACGATGACGAGATCCCGGATCTGGTTGAAGGCGAGAACTTCGAGGGCAAGGTCGAATAAAGGACTTGACTTGATACCGTGACGCTGCGGAGCATGGAACGGCACATCACATGGTGTCGCGTTCGTGCAAGAGAGTTCGTCAGAGGCTGGAGTGATGGCACGCAGATCCCTCTTGATTGCAGTTTGCGTGGACAAATCTTCTGGCCATCGCCGAAACTTGTGTCATGCAAAAAATGGGAAGCACCAGCGCCTATTCATGGGTCGCGGCATAGGAGCTGAAAAGCAATGAAAAGCTAAGCTGTCAAACACATTGAGCCAACAAGTTATGATTTCTTGACTGTGACTCGCCCTTTCCGTCTCGCTATACCAGGGGCTTCCCGCTCTGCACTTTCCAGAGCGCTTTTTGCATCGTTTCCATAACGCCAATGCTTATGAACAGACGAACCCGGTCTCCAATATGCGTACAAAACTAATTGCGGCGCCAAATCGGCTCAGTGAACCTCTTGCCTGTGCGCACTGTAGTGAGACACGCGAGGAATAACAACCAAAAACCAGAAGCCACGACGAGCCAACGAGATGTCCGATTCGATCAATCGTCCTTGAGACCACAAAAGTCCGTGCCGAGCCAGCCGTCCACCGAATGCCAGAAGGTCCAGTACCAGCCATTAGCTGGGTCCCAGGAGCCATCCTCCCTCAGCAACGGGCCCTCGCCGATAATGTCGCCCGGAGCACCTTGTTTGCTGCCCACGAACCACGTCACAACGGGGATGCTTCTAAGAACCCGTTCGGCCAACGTCGGCTGAGGAGGCAGAGCTTCGGAGATGGGGCGCAGCACCGCTTTCTTGACTTTGATGTGTGTCATGTATTCCGAGTCGGTGGTGGTCGCTTGTTGGAATCCTCGCTGGTTAGAGGAGGAGCCGTTGGAGGCGGTCAATGGCAGTTGAGGGGCAGACCGGGATCGTAGACCAGAAGAAGACGGCGCCGGGGGAGGAGCCAGCTCTGCGGCCGTTGCTGACGATGCAGTCGTAGATGTAAAGGACAGCTCGTCATCGAACACGTTCGCAAGCTGCCCGTATTGTACGTCAGGCATGGTGTGCGAGCGAGGCAGGGTCTGCAGGACTCGCTCAAAGCCTGCAATAGCCGAATCTTTCCCGGTCAACCTGGTTGACGGAGAGGCGCTCAGTGTCCTAGACTTGCGACTGGAATCCGCTTGCTGCGGAGGAAGAAGAAGATTCGACTGCTCCGTTGTTCCCAGAGGTCCTTTCGGGATGGCCACGTCCGCACCAGGCCCTTTACCGTGCCACATCTCGCAATGGACCTCGTAGCCGTCAATCTCGATTGGACTGAAGAAACACGCCTTTTCCGCCGCCTGGTATGAGTCGAAGGTGACTTTGATCCAGTGCTGGCCGCCGTTGTATATCCTGCTCTTCCTGATTGCTTCGCGACTCAGGTTTTCGCGCCTCGCCGCCGACGATCTGGCCAGGCTGACGGGCGAACTTGACGAAAGGAACAAGGTTGGGTTTTCGCGCGGATAGTCTTCGCAGATGAACCCCGGCGTGACAATCTGTTCGAACTTGGACAGGACTTTCCATTCGGACGCCTTGGACGCGTAGCCGTAGAGCAGACATTCCGTTGGCACGGCTTCGGGCTCGAGGGTCGGTCGGGCTGCTTCGCCTGAGGCCGTGGTACCAGCAGGGGTGGTCAGCGTGCTCTTGGTCCTCTCCTCCTCTTTGGCCTGCTCTTTGGCGAATAACCGGCCGAAATCAGCCACCGCAGAATTCTCCTTCTGTCGCACTGGCGTCGTGCCCGTCCTTGACCGTGGGGTTCGTGATCCAGTGACTTTTAGACTGCGGTTGCGGCCGAATGGGCCGCTCTCTTCAGGTTGACGGGCATTCCTGGCGGAGCTGCGTGTACGGTTAGAATCCGAGGGACACACAGACGTGTAACAGAGTATTGGTTCTGCAGGAAAGCCCGAGACTTACTCGGCATAGCGGTAGCCCCATGGGAGAGGCTCGCCTTTTTGGTCTCTCGCCCGTTCTTCAGGCAGCACTGAATGGATCTCCATGGTGGAGGTTGGCCAGATAACCACGCACTCTTTCTGGGACACCGAAAGTGTGAATGCGGAGAGTGTCGGCGTGGGAGGATGATGTTTTGACTGCGCCCAAAAAGTTGCACCAGAGTAAAGAGTAAAGTTCCCCGGGCAGCCAGCCTTGCCCAGCGCCGGGGCACGTGACTGCTACAGCCTTGCACTACCCCTGAAAGATTGACCTGAGTTGTACTTTGTATTATGTGGCCTTCATATGTGGTACAATAGTGTTACTGATGGACATTCATACGATGAAGCCGGCAGCGAGGATATCATAATGGTGTAATACTATTACAGGGGACCAAAGTATGAGAATGCCCCGTGTCTGTTCTAGTCGCAACTAGTAGTCTGGACGATGTCCGTGAACTGTTTTCTTTGCATGTCCTAGTATGCTATCCAACACAAATTGTGGAACTGGCACCAAAGAACTCTTTTGTACTTAAGGTGGTCCTCCGTCAATTGAAGGATCTTATTTATCTGCAAATGGTGAGCCTGCCGCTCCTTCAACACCATCGCTAGTCATTTGCTTTTGCTGGTGATTGTTTTTCTCACTCTTCGTCACCACCGCTCTCTCCCAAATCTACTCTTCCCACGCTCCAAACCTCACGCTCGTCCTCCTGCTCGTCAGAACTGAGTCCCAACCCACCAGCTCCACCTTCGGCCTCGCGCCTTTCCCTTGCCTGTGCACCCAACCGCAAGGCTACACGCTTGAAGTAATCGCTCAGCGGACGTGATTGACCCATAGGTAGAGCCTTGCCCGGTCCGGCCATGTATTGATCGAAGACGGCGCTCTCCTCGTCCACAACATTGAAAAGTTCGAGAAATGCGGCTTCCGCGGCCAGCTTGACTGGGATGACAGGATCTCGCACAGAGGAGAACACTGGGGGCACAAGGATCGAGAGGAACTTCCTCATATCATCGCTGTGGTGGCGAGCCACAGTGCGTATGACCACGAGTGCGAGACGGCGAGAGTCAATGTCTCCACCAGGAGCGATTACCGACGTCAAGGCTTCAATGAGTGGTCGGCAGGCCTCTTCATCTGAGGCTGTAGAGCCAGACAGCAGATACTTGCCAAGCGCCAGTACGGAATTCTGCTGCACGAAGGTGTTCTTGCCAGTCAATCCGGATGCTATCACGGCCCTCGTCTCCTCGGCGTGACCGGAGGTCAACGTGGATGCGCTTTGAAGCAGAACGGCGTTCAGTGCCAAGATGGAAGCGTTCGTCGACGGCTGCACCAGGACCCGGCTTTTGATAAGCGAGGCCGCTTTCTCGTCTGGCAGGACCTTGGTCATGGCGCCGAGAAGGCGCGCGTTGGTCACCATCATGCTGTCATCCTGTCCGTCGAGCTGACTGTCCATGAGCCCTAGAATTGACTCCCTGGAAGCGTCGCTCATATTTGAGCCAACCTTGCTGACCACTTCCTGTAAGGCTTTCAGCATAGCGTTGCGGACGCCAGTATCTGGAGTTTTCGCCCCCGTGACAAGCTCTGCGATGAGAGGATCTACACGTGGAGTCAAAGTGATGAGGGTGCTCAATGCCTTTGTCGCCCGCATTCGGAGTAGTTCACTCGTGGGGTCGGCAATAGATTTGGTGAAGGTCCTCTGCAACTGTGGCAGGAAGGGCCGCAGGAAGGTTGGGATCTTCTCAAGCAGTTGGTTGAGGGTGGCTAGGATCGCACATTTGACGTCCATTGATCTCTCGCCGACGACACGGATGAGTGGACCAGTGATTTGTGTGACGAACGGTTTCAAAGCATCTGGTCCACTACGATCAATGATGTCGGAGATACCCATGGCAGCCTGGACTCTCTGCTCAGTTGTTCCGTTCATCAAGCCCTGCAGGAAGATTTGGAGAACAGGTAGAATGCCCTTCGGAAGTGCAAACCCAGGAAGCACGGAGCCAGCAAACCCGGCTTGTTGCAAGACTTGTCTCGTCGAGGGTACCAACGACTCCATCTCCTCCTTGCGAAGATGTGATTGCAACTGGCTCAGTGCAGACCAGGCTGCTTTGACGACTTCTGGATCTCGGTCTCCGAAGGATATCAGAAGCACTCGAATTAGGTCTTGGTTATACCTCGAGTAGTCGACAGCGGCCGTTTCAAAGAATTTACCCAGATGCTTCGCTGCGACAGCTCGTCGCTTATGATCATCGTGTTTGATCATCGTGAGCATCACGCTCATGGCCGTATTGAGACCGTCATATTCATCCACAGATGATAAGACGGCGTCAAAGGCTTCGTTCAACTCTTCCAGTAAATCTTCATCCTTGCATGATACGATATTGTCCGCAAGGCTGTTCAAGATCGCAGGTAGCCTGCGAGTCATGCTGGGGCCCCCGACCCTGGCGAGCGATGCAAGGGCCCGGGCATTGAAAGCAGTGATGGGGTTTGTCAGAAGCGTTGGTATCAGATTTGGAAGGATGACATTGGCCCTGGTAGCTTCGGTGAGCAAGGTAAGCAAAGCAGATAGAGCATGTTCCGCTTCAGATTCGCTTCGCAAAAGACTGAGCAGATGGGGTAAGACTTGATCCACAGCTCGTTTGCCGAAGGTTTGTTGAAGAGCATCGAAGGATTCGGCAGCAGCTTCTCTGACCTCAGGATCGGAGTCTGTCAGTGCCAGTCGGACAATGGCAATCAGACTCTTCTCATGGTCCTCGAGTGATTCCGGAGAAGCAGCATTGACGATCTCGCGTAGAGCAATGCAAATACCTTGTCTCTTGTCCGGATCCGTCGACGTTTGAAGGCCTTCCTCTAGTGACGGCAGTAACGACGCAAAGACACCTTCACCGGCCTTGCGAATGACCTCTCCAAGAGCGTTTGCGGCAATGACTTTGTGTTCCATGTTGGACGAGGCCAGGCGAGCAATGATCATTTGTGAAAGAGTCGGTACCAATTCACGCAAAGTCCTAGGGGTGGCAACGAGAGCCTTCCAGACAGCGATGGCAGCCGCGCGGACCTGGCCAGAAGTGTCGCAGCGACAGATATAGAGAGATGACAATACTCTGTTGCGCCGTTCTTCGCCCAGCACTTCTAGTAAGGACTGGCCAGCTTGTGCAGCCGTTTCACCCTCTTCCTCGGCGTCTGTTTGTGCACTGATACCAGTCAGGTTGAAGAGAAGATCACCAATCAGCTCGACAGAGCTGAGACGGATACGGTAGCTATCATCAGCCAATCCACGTTGCAGTTCCGGCAAGAGCAAGTCGATCGCTTTGGTTGCGAAATTCTTCACGAGCAATCTGCCAGCTCTCAAGGCTGTCTCCCGGATAATTTCCACATCATCAGCCAGCCCGCTGAGAATAGCGGGGATGATCTGAGAAAGGTAGTTGGCAAAGCTGTTGCCGAAGCAAGCCGGCAAGAAGATAAACAAGGTCATGAATCCTTCTCTGACTGTCGGTCTTGGACTGGCAACATTCTGCAGAATTGTTGGAAGAGTCTCCTCAAGACGGACGGTTCCAAGGCCGGCAAGCACCTCGCTGAGGGCTTGGGCAGCACCAAGGCGGTCACTTGCGCCTGTGTCGGTACGGAGCGACGACATCAAGCTTGGGATCAAGTCAGGGAAGGCGTCTTCACCAAGCTTCTCGACAAGGCTGCCCAACGCTTTCGAGGCGGTGGCTCGAGTTGCTGGTACAGGATCGACAGAGGCGAGACGCAATCCAGAGACCAGGATGGGTAGATGAGTGATAATGTCACGCTTCTCCGTGAGATGTGCCAGACTGGCAATGATTTGCGCAGCTTTCCGCTTGGTGGCCGAGCGGTCATTCAAACCTCTTTCCAAGATCCTTACGACCAGTGCCAGTGATGGCGCATCGAGGTAATGTACGAACGAGACCTTGATCAGGCAATCCAAGGCTTCCTCCGTGTACTTGCTAGGGTCACTCAGGGCCTTGAGCAAGATGTCGACGAGACTCTTAACCTCGGGATTGGTGATCACCTCACCAAACCTCTTCAAACTGCTGTTAGCAGCTGCCCGTACTTCTTTGTGGCTGTCAGTGAGCACGGATGTGAGTGGCGGGATGATTTCCGGTAAGCTTGTAGCTAGCTGTTGAGGATCAAGGTAGGCCATGGCACCCAGAAGATCGCACGCGCCCTTTTTGCTGCGCCATTGTGTCTCGTTCAACCCCTCCAGAAGTTGAGGGAGGACTTGACGAACGCCAAAGGAACTCAGGTTTCCGAAGCATGTCTTAGCTGTATCTAGACAAGCTTCCCGAACTGAGGCGACTGGATCACCAAACCCGGTCAGCAGCTGTGGAAGAATCTCGGTCACGTACGGCTCGAAAGTACGTCCGAGGAGTAGCGACAACAGTTCGTAGGCCATCATGGCGCCTTGACGCTGCTCAGGGCTTCTCTTGTTCTCTGTGGCGCTCCTCAACGCGGACATCACCCGGTGCTGCCTCAGGACAGCCACTCCTTTGCCCTTCACGATGCCAGCCAGCCCGTAAGCTGCGCCTCGACGCGCGGCATATTTCTTGGAGTTGAACAGCTGGTCAAGCAGCGAGGACAAGTAGGGTCCAACGTCGATGCTGGGTGATCGGACCAACGGAGGGAGACAATTGGCCACCGCATATTGAACCGACTCCGAAGGGGTGCTGAGTGTGTCGAGCAGCTTCTGTATGACACTCTGTGTTCGTTTGTCCCCATCCGGAAGATGCCGGGCAAGGGAACCATAGAGGACAATTACAGCCTCATTGAGCCAGTCCCCTTCTTGCGTCCCCTGGTCAGGGCCTTGTAGAACTCTTTCAAACAGTTCCATGAGCGGTTCCAACCGCTCGTTTCCACGCCCAGCAACTGTGGCGATACCAGCTGCGGCCATCTCTGCGCGCACGGTGGCATTGCGGTCCGAAAAAGCCCCCTCGGAGATCATAAAGTTCATGAAGGGGACCAGCGCATCGGCACTGAGGACGGACGAGATCTCTTTGAAGGCAAGAGCAAGCCCACTCCTTCTCTCCCATTGATCCACCAGCTCGCCCTTCTGTACGATTCCGAATTTGTTGCGCTTCGGCACCAGTGGCTGTGCTTCTGTTTTATACGACTCTTCCAACAAACCCAAGATGCTGTCTGTCTTAGAAGGAATTTCGAGGAGTGCTTGCGCAAGTGCTTTCGAAGCAGCGGTGCGAGTCGAACGTGCCGGTGAGAACAGGAACTGGGGTATACTGTCGATCATCTCCTCGGTTACGGTGAACTCGTGTTCTTGCCAGATTGCCAATGCAGTCTCTGCATTTTCATCTTCTTCATCTTGGCAAGCAATCCAAAGGTGTACCGAAAAGTCTATGTCTGACAGGTCGAGCTCGGAATGTATGGCTTGAAGAGCTGCAGACCGGACGGCAGTTTCCGGGACAGTGACGGCGGACAGGATGATATCCCTCTCTTCGGGGGTGATATTCTCGGATATGGATCTGCAGAAGTCGAACAAACAATCTTTGATTATCCGATAGTGCTGGGTATACTTCTGCATGGCCCCGATCAGGTGGCGCAGGATGTCTGCCCTTGGAAGATGTTCATCGGCACCTGATCCCATCTGGAAGGAAAGAAATTCCAGCGCGAGAAGTACTTGCGCATCAGCATCGTCACCACTGACATCGCCAATTTTTCCATCCTCCAGAACTGAAAAGATCAAAGGTAGAGCGTAGGCAGTGGTGATTGTGTCAAATGGACGCTGCTCTGCTGCGAACCGTAGTCTGTAAAGAACTCTAGTTCCCAGGTCTGCCAGCGGTTCCACGGTCAAATGTTCTGGGACGTTTGCATTCGGCAAAGCCCTCAGTGTCGCCACACCGATGAAGAGCCGCAGGTTCCCCAGGCGGTCTGACACCTGAGCAGAACACGCGAGGTATGCAGAGACAATCTCATCGTCGACAATGAACGCAGCTCCGCCTCGAAGTACACGTATCATTGCGGAGATAGCTGGGGACATCCAGAGCCGGGCATCAGTCGGGGGGCCCTGAGCGAGCCCTTCGATGAATTTCGCTCCTCTCCTCACTTTTGCCGAAACAGACTTTACACGTTTGCGTACCTCGGTCTCAAGTGCAAGTTGCGCGTCCAGTTTCGCTTGCTGGTCCGGTGTCAGCTTCTTTTGCGGAGCGCCCTTTTTCTTTGCCAGTTGCTGTCGCATTTCCTCTTCCCATTTAAGAACATCATAGTCCTTCTGATTTTTGTTTTCGAGAACGCCATTTGTCTGTTGTCCTAGGACATCAACCACCACAGTGCCTTCGGGAGCACGAGCAATGAGCGCTTCCGTGGGACCTAGACCCTCCAGCAGTGAGGGATCAAGGTCTGCTTGGAATTGGTCAATCAGAGCGGGTGTGCAGGAATCTGGCGCCACGAATGCGAGGGTGGCCGCTGCATTACAAGCAGCCACCTCGAAAATATTGAGAGGTGCCAATTTCTGGGATTCGAAATGCGATAGAATCTCGTCAAAGAGAGCTTCGCGCCGTCTTCTCCCTAGATTCCCAGGATCAACCCCTACTGTGAGACAAGTAGCGATCCAATCCGAGTTGATGATCAGTTCCGGTCGGAGGAGGACGAGCGTTGATACGGACTGATCTTCCAAAATATCAACAGGCACATCCATCTGGATTTCTCCCCATTTGTCTTTGGCCGGGGATATGCACTTGACCGCCTGGAGCAATCGGTTGTCACTCAACGGACCAGAGCTTCCAGGGACACCGCTCAATTGTTGTGCACGGGATCGAAGCACGTCCCAGATGCCGAGTACTATGCTTTGCCCCACAGATGCAGGCTTTTCCATATACACTCGTGATAAAGAGGCGCCCGTCTCCTTTCGGACGGCGGAATCCACCTCTGGGGTCAGTAGGAGGTGTAGTATAGCCCTTGCCCATGCAGTCTTTGCATCATTCGGGGCATTGTCAAGCTCAGATGCCAACGTTGTCAACGCGTACAGCGCCCACCGATTGTCTTCCGCCGAGGAAAGTCGTACGTAGACCTTTGGATTCAGCAAAAAGGAAAGCTTCGGGCTGACTCCAAGGGCATGCTGTCTGATAGAGTCGTAAACATCGCTTTTCAACCCATCGGTCTTCAATATAGGTGCGTCAAGAAGCGCAGGAAGACCGTACCCAGCTGCAACGTAGCCATTCTGAGCGGCTGGGAGTGGATTGGCCGCGATTTCATCGTAAACCTCTTTCAGAACCTTCAAGGCTGACTGAACAAAATCCCGTGAAGGTCCTTCAGGTGGGACTTGTTGCAGATCTCTGAGTACATTGGCAACACACAGAACCCAGACCTTGCGAAAAGCAGGTCTCTTATCAGCGCACCCTTTTAGCAGAGGCTCCGAGAGAGATTTCTCTATGGCCGAGGATGAAACAACGATCCGTAAATGAGGGACTATAGCCACAAGCTCTTTTCGAAGTGCCCCTTCGTTTGCCTCTTTTGCTGCAGCAGTCAGAATGCCCTGGGCCACTACTGTCGAGGTTTTGAGCTCTGGTTGCACGGCGTGGATGACCTCGGCGAGAATGCCGCGCATCTCGAAACTTGCAGTCTTGGACGACTTCAAGGCCGAAGCTAGCTCTCCTGAGATCTTCTGAATATTGACAGGGTCGCCCCGTCTCTGCACCAAAGCTTTCAAGGCCTTTCCTGCACCATCACGAATCGTAGGGTTGGTGGAGTTCAATGCCGAGAGAAGAGGCTTCAATAACCTGGAGAGCACGAGCTCGGAAATATCAAGGCTCTGTGGCAAGCAGGCGGCTAGTGTCTCGATAGAGCCCTGCAGAACGGCTTCAGGGGAACGCAAGATGGCTTTCTCCAATGCAGGGACCAATATTCTGTCAACATCCTCCACAGTTACGAAGTCCAAGAAGAAATCGTGAAGGCCCATGGACTCGTGGACAGGCACCGGAGCTCTGGAGGAGAGAATGCACTTGACATAGTAGTCAAGGACTTGTTTGGACAGATTCTGGAGCTGCTGTTCTCTTTCTGGTATGCGCGAGCTGACCCCGGCGATGACACCCAGGTATAGTCCGCACCGGGCATCTGCGTCCGGAGAAGTTGCAACCTCCTGGACCGCCAGTTCCAAGGCCTTGGCTCCGTACTGGGAAGACTTGAAGACATCACGTAGCCCTCTCCGCGCTATTGTCAATGCGGAATGCTGGACGCCTCCTCGGACACTTGTGTCTTCGCATTTGTCCAAGAAGCGGGCTGCGGCAAGACAGATTTTCCCGAAACAGGCCTCAAACGACTTTTCATTGCGCGGACACTCCTGTTGAAGCAGACAAGACCATTCGAGCAGAACAAACGCGCTTGAAGATGCTATGACAGCCTTCTGGGATTCGTGGAACAGGAACTTCGTGATGGCAGGGTAGGCGGTGTCGGCGACGGATGGCGTCGTGACATATGCTCGTAGGCATGACTGCACGGCACGGCGAGACTTTCTATCTGCATATCTTGGATAGGTCGATAGGAGGTCCGGTAACAAGCTCAGTATATTTGAACTGGGCTCTTCGGCTGTTTCATAACAGTCAGTTCGACTGCAACTCGAACATTGTGGAAGGGCTACCGCACCAGTACTTTGAATTTCATTGAGCAGTTTCCGCAGCACTTCGATGCGGGTGTTGGTTGAACTGCTCCTGAGGGCTGCCAGCCGGGACTCTGAGGTCTCTGGAGCACCGGGCTCTGAAATGACGCCCATTGTCCATGTATTAGGACAAGTGGTGAGTCGATGTGATGGTAGACCAACTGCTTGCGGGTTGAGTGTTCTAGTGTTCTGTCTGCTCACTGTCCAAAATTCTCGACTGCACACGCCGCTGTGCTGCACCGAATGACGATCGCGGGGGTCTGGCGCCAAGACAGCCGCTGGGCGCAGCCCACTTGCATCCGATTGGCTCCATGGCCATTCCGCCGTGAATAACAACATGCCGCTTTGACACCCTTTTCTTGTCCTCTCGTTCATCTCATGAAGTTAGTAACGTACCTGTATACACCTCGTCAGCCTTGGTGATGAAAGTGTATGTTTACGACTATAACAATATATTACAGCTCGGGCCATTACCGTCCAGAACGAAACACAGTACGAGAACGGCTGTTGTCCAAGCGCTGTATCATCTTCACCGACAAGGACATCTTCTTCCAGTGCAGTACCGCCATCCGGGGTGAGGTCAACGTGTACGAGCCAGGGTCGTCGACTCGACAGAGGCCCAACCGCATGGATGCCTGATCGAGCCGAAGGAATCAGACTCAATAATGTCTTGAGAGCTCTGGCCAATATGACAAGCTCGGGGAGTCCTGTGGAGGACTTAATTATAGGCTGTAGGTCATCTGGCATCATGAGGAGGATATCTTAATATTTCCACGCCGTATCCAGCACGACGGCACGGTCTGTCATGGTAGCCAGTGGCAGGCTCTCTCACAAAGCCTGGTAAATTCATCACTTCTAAGATCGTTGCTGCTTGTAAGCAAACCTCCAGGCAGAGTAGTTCTTCACTCTCATACGAATATCTACCTATAGTAAGCATGTTGGCCAGTTGGGTGGTTGCCTCCCCAGCTACTGCATCAGATTCAATTAAAAGATTGATGAAGCGTTGCCACTGTGGTGCTAATTTTAGGCTGCCCAGGCTGCGTAGGCTTCAAGTACCTAGGTAGTTAGGTAGGCGTGCTAGTAGGCGAGCTCCCTCAGCTTAAGCTCCCCTACCAGTAGGCTGTACCTAAGGGTCTCCCAAGCTTCTCTACACATGTTTACGTATTTTCTGCTTGGTCCTTTTTCCGCTCGTCCAGTTTCAGGTTCATTCAATTTCCGCACTGCCAATCACTTTGCTTCGCTTCATTCCACAATCGGCTCGGTTCTCAGGCCTGGTTACCTCAATCACGGCTCCAGCCTCGCTAAACTTATCATCACGGTCCTGACTAGCCGTGCTGGCCAACAGATAGGTCGAATGACCGAATGCTAACAACCCCGTTGCTGTTCACACAAGCCACAAGTGAGATGAGCTGAGAAGGGTCAGAACCTCCTTGCTGAGATGACCCACTCACAGATATTACTTGGACGAGGTCAGCGTGAAGCTGAAACGGTGAGCTGACTACGACCCTGAGGTCGCGATGCGCGAGGACCCAGGGATATTGGATCTTCATTGCGATCTGCGGATAGTGTATCTACATGGTGTTTTTCGTCTTGTTGTGTTGATTTCTATTATTCTGTCTTGTTTCGCGGCCGCTAGCTCCTGTGCTATGGTGTCACCAATACACTGTACATCCTGTTGTTGAACCATCCGTGTGTATACTGCGTGTACAGGTGCACGAATCAACAAATCGGCTGAAGAGGGCGACATGTTGTGAACGATCAAAAGTCGCGCTTGCCTTCCGAACCGAGCAGGAGACTCTGGTCGACCCCTTCCTCTTGCGCCCTGCCCGACTATACTCTTGCCATCGGCGTGCCAACTCGGGTCTAATCCAAGATGGCGATAATGGAGAGGAAGCTGGGCTTACGGAGTGATCACTTGGTTGGTGCTTGTGCCCTGTTCGTTGCCAAAACTGGCTAACATTTTGTGTAGTCTCTCACTCCCAAGAAATACCGCGGAGAACCTGACGATCCTCATTTCATTCCAGATTCGCCTTTGATCGATAGGCAGACGCTCAGTGAACAAGAGGAGGGGGAGCTGAAACGAGTTTGCGCCTTGGTGCTGGCCCATGTGCCACATTCGGATGATGCCTCGGACGACCCTCTCAAATACATTGCGGCTCATATCCAGGAGGGCCGACCAGCACGTCAAATACACTCCAAACCCGAACGAGCTTCGCAGTCAGCTCATGTCCCTGGCACTACCTTCGCCAATGTCATTCAGAGAGGCACAGATCTCAAAATCGACACGGCGACCCCTTCTGAGGGCTCGCCCAGATACACTTCAACCACAGACAACTTCACACCTCTGACGAGCGCTGGCTTAACACCTGGTGAGGCTGGCTCACGGCTTTCTGACACTGCGCGCAGATCTGTGACGAGCACAAAAAAGCCGGGAAGCAGTCTCCGAAACGAGACACTGACAAGAACAAAAAGCCGGAAACCGTCCAACGCCGGCTTGCACAGGTCGCTCGAGGAGTGCGAGCGTCCACTTGACGCCACATTCGTCGGGCGTACGCTCCGCCTTGTGCAGGACAGCCCAACAGGTCTAGGGAGCAGCAGCAACGAATTCATGGCAGGCACATGGCAGTCTAGTCTATCGGTTCCTGACTTGAACAAGAGTCTGCCTCCGCCTCCACCCGCCCCTCGGCCTGACTCGCGCGATTCGGATGATTCCAAACAACCGCATGTTAGCAGGTTGATGAAGACGATCCGCAAGAAGAAAAGTATCACCGCCGAGAGCAGGAACGTATCGTCTGGTTCGGCTCCACCTCTACCTTCAGCCGAGAAGGCAAAGGAAGCAGCAACTCTCCGACCTCGCAGCCGGACGGGCGCCACAACAGCATCAGCCCATGCACCTCCGCTGCCAGAGCCACCGAAGAGGAGGTTCCGTCTCCGTTTCTTTCCCCGACTACATCGACCCGTGGACCTCGTTGTCAACTGAGTGGTCATGACCGAGGTAATCGATAATCCTTGACGCTCATGTCACTGCTTTCGCAATCACCTCTTCTTTCACGGACTTATGAGCATAGGCGTCAGGACTCGGGCGCCACAAATACGCTTTTATTAATGCTTTCGATGACGAATAACCAAAACAGATGGCCTTTCTACCCGAGACACATTGTTTCAGGGACGACTTGTTTTAATGCTAACGACACTTTTACACACTTAATCAACGAGGCACGACCTCCGCCAGCTTTCCAGACACAAAACCTTGGGGCGGATGCCTTGTCTCAGATACTTGATGCATCGCTTATGAGTGGCCACCTGATTTTCGCCAGCATATGACGAAAGGTTACAGAACCAGCCTAACGGGATCAGAAGGAGAACCGGAAGCGGCGTGCAAAGCACAGTCCTGATTGATCGACATCCGGCTCAGATGATTGCGAGTTTGGGCGGTCTCATCTCAGGGCGGAAGATATGTAGAATCTGACCGTCTCGAGACGGAAGAAGAGTATACCTAGGACAGCCCTACAGTGGTCATGGATTCTACCACAAGAAACTTTGCAAGCATCTCCCTCTTCCTATTTCATCTGTCCTTTTCCATACAGTAAGGTAGGTACGCCAGGCGTTAACTTAAGCCACCTCGAAAGCGGGTTCTATGGCAGCGTCTGGTTTGGAAGTCCCTTATCCTGCACATGCTCCAGGTTCATGTCTCGTCACGTCAAGAGCCCTGCATTCCTGTCGTCGTTCCGCGGATATGTAGCACGACCGACCAAAGCATCCTCAGATGGATTGGCCGAGCTTCGGTCCATGGTAGGACCAGAGACATGCGGGCCTCGTAACGCTGGCCCTTGACTGGCAGGATACGTGCATGCCCCAGGGTCTGAAAGGCGTCCTCATCACGCATTTGTCGATTGACAGGCGGTAGACGTCGAGTTTTGGAGGATGGGGAGATATTAGATTCCGGACGAGATCGAGTGTTGTCCATCAGTTCATGATTCTGGAGAGTCTGAAGACCACGGCGCATTGCTGTCTATCAAACCATCATTCCGCTGCTACCGCCTACCGGAGCAAGCCCACCAAATCGACCATCAGTTTCGTCCAGGCCTCCATATGCACCTGCCGCGCCTGTTCCTGGCCCGCCGCTCTTCGTTCCGCCGAGTTTGCTTTTGGGGCCACGGAGCCCTTCCACCGTCGCAAACTTGCGGCCCAGTTCACTGAGGGCCTGGATATCCTGGCCCATGAGTGCAAGCATATTAGCCAGTGCCACGTCGTTGGATTGAGCCTGCGAAGCTGCGGCGAGTGGTTGTGCAAAGGAGGCAGAGTCCACGGGAGTGAGTAATGAGAGGCGAGTAAGCAGGGCTTGGATGTTGCGCAGGTGTGGCAGGTGAGCAGGATCAGGGGAGGTGGGGGTCGGTGGCGCGGAATTCTGGTCTGAAATGTATGATGGTGGAAGGGACTGGACGAAGCTGCGCAGGAGCGAGAGGCGACTTTGTAGCATTTTAACGCTGTTGAGTCTGGTGGTTATGTTTGCGATGTGGTCTTCTTCTTCCGGAGTGAGAGGAGAAGTAGTTGTGTCTTCGGTGCCGTTGGTCTCTTTCTGTCCAGAAATCTCCGGGGGTGTACTCGCACGTTGCTTGCCCTTCTTGTCTGCGGGTGGCTGCTCGACTGGTTTAGGTGCGGGAGCTGCCTCGTCTAAAGCCGCGGCACTGCCTGCTCCTTTGGCCACGTAGTCGATGGCGATCATCTCGGTCTCGTCGGTGTCGATCGTATAGGGAAGCTGTCTGAACTTGATGGCCGACGATTCTTCTCCGTCGACTTGCATCGACTCGTCATCCTTGGGTTGTTCGGCGTCCACGACGCTCTCGTAGATGGTGATTGGAAGTTTGCCGGTGGTGGTGCTGGGGTCATTAATGAGTTCCGGGTGTAGGGTGAGGAGGATGGTGCTGTCATTGTAGAATGTGATTGCTTGTCGCTGCAGAGGGATGAGTTCAGGCAGAGGTCCGTCCTGCGGACATAGCGTGTACCAGCCGACGAACTCGAGTGCGGGCGATTTGTGGACATCCTTGTCTAGGAATTGTGAGCGAGTCCCATATATGCATACGCAAGACGCTTGGGGAAACTTACACTGCTGTATCCTCGTCTCCATCCATTCTACATTGAACCGCCACTGTCCTTTGGCACTGTGGACTAAAGCGACCGGGAAGGCATGTTCCGCGGTGATCTGACGACCAATCTGCTGTCCAAGCAATGCACCCGCAACTGGTCCTGACTGTTTCCGTACGGAATGACGGGTCACTTGATCGGAGACTGTGAGAAGGACAAGTGGGTGTAGAGAGACGGAGAGGCCACTGTCGGAGGGTTTGGAGGAGAGCAGAGGGTTATCTGTGGGTTGCGCCATGAGTCCGGCTCCAGCGTTGATGTTAGATGAGAGAGGGAGTTTGTTTCGGCCGTGAAATGTGATGCTATGGTACGGAGCCTTGCGTAAAGTCGGCCTACCCAGGATTGTCGTCAGGTGAGACTCTGTACTGGAAGTATACCTCATGCAGAGTGGACATGCGCGAGTGATAAGGTACGCAATTAGGCCAGTGATCCACAGTATTCGCAGCCTGACCCGCTGAGTCAGGAAACGCAGCCGAGTCTTGGCGTGAGAGGCCAACTGCAGTGCGGCGACAAGGCTGCGGTGATACGACACTACGACTCCAAATCCAACAGCTGACAACGCCACCGGGCAGCGTTCGTTCGTTGCAGTCGCCTTCCAACAGGGTTGCCACGTTAACAGATACCTAAATGGCCTTCCGCATGTCAAGATGATCTTGATGTTTCACTCCAGCATCATTTCCAATATACACCAACTACGATGGACGTTGTGATCGAGGACACAGAGACTCTTTTTACCGATGTGTTCTCACATCTTGCGGCGGTGGAGTCCCAACCGGGGACAGTCTTGCTCGACGAGGACTTATTGAAACGGGCAGAGCGGAGCCTGGATGCCTCGACACCCAGACATCTGCTATGGCGGCTGCTAGGGACCGGCGAAACACTCCTCCAAACGATTCAACAGGAACCCCGACCACTCACTCGATTATTGGAGCGAACTGTGTCGTTGATCCCATTTGACGAATTGAAGACTTCGATTTCTGCCGAGAAACTCGAACAAGGTCTGACCTCACCGCTGGTCTCAGTTCAGCTGCTCTGTCTGGCATATCTACGCAAAGCCGCCGACTCGCCTAGCGGTGCTTCTTTCGTTGCAGCAAGCTCAAGTCTGGTGCAATGCTTATTTACCATTTGGCTCTCATCCGAGAGTACTGAGGTGGCGGAACGTTCTTTGGAAGGCATCGAGGCGCTACTTGCAGTCGACAGCCAGAATAGTGTCACGGTCGAGGTGGGTCGTGATGGCATGGGCGAAACCCAAGGGCATGGCCTCTTATGGCGCCGTGTGTTCCACGACCCTGATGTTTACGAAGTACTCTTTGTGTGGACTTCGCTTGTCAAATCGAAACGAGACACCAAAACCAAGAAGGGCATCCAACTCGTCACGATCTCTCAGGCGAGACTCTTCGATTTTATTGCGAGACTTGCACCTTTCGATTGGCAAGCCATTACAACCTCCACCATCCCTACTGTGGAGACCCAGTACCTGCAAGGAAATGGTGACAGCCAGCCCTTTGGCGGCATATTGCGTTACGCCGCATCACACATGATCGATTCCGACGACATTCTGATGCAAGTGCTCCGGCAGGACTTTTTCCTCAAGCTCCTTGCAGTTGTCGAAGAGAAGAACGGTCAGAACGTTTCTCCTCCGCTTCTGGAGGCAATCCAGCAAGGCGCAGGAGTTGAATCTGCCAGAGACGTAGGAAATGGCGGTATGCACCTGTAGGGACAGCGGTCTCTTCCGGATGCGAACCCGCCAGGTGCAGCATGTTGGGGGTGAACGGAGTCTATCTCTTCAAGGCAATATTTGCCGACTGGGTCACTGCATCTGTCTGAAGATAGCCGGTTCTGGAAAAATAGATTGATCCGGGCGATGGACGTGTGCTGGTATAGATGGAGAGACGTCTCTCAGCCTATTGCCACACTTGTCGCCCGACTTTCCCTGCTGGGAACTGCGGGAAAAGCCTAAGGAGCCCTGCGAGCCTGGTCGCATCGAACTCGGTTCTCCAAAACACCTAAAACAAATAATTGAACAAAAGTCAGGTTTCCATGTTTCGTCTCCTGTAGTTCCTGCGATCTTGTTCCCAGTTACCGTTGCATCTGGGTGGGCTTGAAAGGTTTATTCCTCACTTTGGATTGAAGGTGGTTTCTTTGCAAAAGCTGGAGCTTTACCGCATACACTATGGTTTCCATCTCTCGTTCAATGCGGCCTCTTCTCCGACTTCGACTCCTGCCTTCATGCATTCCACGGCGGTATGCTACTTCTTCCAGTACCAGCGCTGTGAAAGTCCCCAAGCGTGCTCCTCAGATTCCAGCTGCAAAGTCAACATCAGTCCCTCGACAACCATACGAACCTCAAGGAGCCCGAGCCTCCAATGACCTTCCGCCAGAAAAATTACACAAGCAGTGGTACGCGACCAAGTTGTACAATGCGGGCCAACGAGCTATATACAGACCCCCGTCGCATGCTGGAATACTGGCAGCCTCATACATCATAACCGCATCTGCTCTGGTGACCGCCGGTGCGCTAGCCTTCAGCAATCTTTGGGCGTACGATACATCTTCCGATCTGCCCTGGATTGTGAGGGTGGCATGGCGAGCCGGAATTATCACCTTCACCTTTGTCGCCGGATTCGCGTTCCTGCGGCCAACAAGGTTGATTAGGTCAATTGATTTGGTCTCAAAAGATGGCGTGGTGAAGCTTGCTGTACAAGTGCGACGGCCTCTGCCGTTCCTCAGGCCAAAGGAATATATCATTGCGCCTTATGAATTTGAGATGGATCGAAAATTTGTACAACAGATGGACGAGCCCGATTTCATGCATGACGACAAGCAGGACGCGCAGAACGCTGTATCAAAGCTAGGCCGGGTTGTCAGTAAGGCGATCTATTATCCATTTGCTGCCACAAGGCGACTTCTGACACTCGAGGGAATGATGTCGGTCCATCTCAACGAACACGATAGTCCAGCCAAACTTGATACACAAGGCAAATTCTCCAATGCCGCCAAAGACCTGGTAGAAATGGGCACCATTAAGATTTGATACACCAGTCGCCATGGGTTTCAAAGCGATCCACACACCTTAGTCGTCGTATCCAAAGAAGGTCTGTTTGCAAGGGCGTTAGGTGTACCACATTCATAGGTGAAACAGTAACCGCTTCGTCGAAGTCGCGCCCCGACAACGGCAGAACTTCACAGAAAATGCAGTACTAGGTTGCCCAAGCACCTCGCATTCTCTCTCTGCGGACCACTTCACATATGTACCACCTTGCCAGCATCAACTACTCATCTTTAACCATCAAAGTCCTCCGAAGTCGCGCCAAATCCCATCCACGCCAATCTAATGCACATCTTTACAAGAGGTGCACGCGTAAGCACCATGCCGACACTACCAGGGCGTCGATACGGTGAGCCGGATTGGGGCAACGCCGAGCAGGGTGGACTTCACTCCGAAACCCATCCTGCTCTGACCTCCTGCACTTCTAGCTATGAAGAACGGCGACTGGCGCAGTACGGCAAGACCCATGCCGCTGTGCCCAAAGGAAGGAGGCTGGCATCATACCCAAAACCTAAGGATCTCATCAATATGACGGAAATGGTCCGAGTGATTGTGGGACAAGAAGAACAGACGTGGATGCTACATCGGGACCTTTTGACCGCGGTGTCGGACTTTGCCAAAGCGGCCTTGTCGAACCCATTCGAGGAGAGCCAGGAGCAGACCATTCGCCTACCAGAAGAAAACCCTGCCATTTTCGCCATTTTCGTGAGCTACCTTTACACGGATTCCTTGTATGGCTCTGTGTTGGGCGACGGCAAGTTATTCGTTGATACCCTGGATGCAGATCTGGCCCTCTACATGCTTGCGGATCGACTACAGGACCTCGTTCTGTGCAAGCACTTGGTCGAACGGTTGGCCTTCAGTTATGACCGCTTTACAGCAGAACAGATCCAGTATGTCCTAGACAACACAGCTCCAAGCGATCCCCTCCGGTATGCCTGTCTTCAGCGTGTCATACGAGAGATTCAATGCAGAACTGCCTTCTTGAATGGACCACTCGCTGCCGAGCTCTACGATAACCACGCCCCGGAAATCCTAGCCATCATGATGGGAAGGTTTGAAGAGCTTGTCATAGCTCCCGTGTAGGGAATGGACCGATGTCTCGCGACACTTTGAAGGAATGTGTGATACAACCCGCTCCGGACAACAAGAATAAGGCAATCAGGCCTCTTCATCGCTGTTCTCTACGCTCTGGCTCGGAAGGAAATGAAGGATTGAGGGCTGTGTTCGGGCCCACCATCGGTTGTTGCTATCACCCCTGTCGTGCTTCCTGCGCTCGGTGTTCCCGACCAGCGACAGAGGGTATTGCAATGTTTGCCTGTCAGATCACGATCAGTATCTTCTGGACTTGGGAAAGACTTTATGAAGGGACCGATCCCAAAGATTGAGATGACAGGATGTGAGGTTGGATATTGCATGACTCTGACAGTCGACGGCGCACACAATGTTGAGATCACAGAAATGAAAGCGATTTCTCTAGCTAGAAATGTCTAGTAATACTCCTCGTCCATCTAATGTTTCCGTTCCATTCCCTCGAGCTGCCAGATGATGCCGACAGTCCATAGACTCCCCCAGATTGCTTTCCCAGTCAGACTAGGACCTTGTGTCCTGCAGCAGTCTGCCACACAACAACCTGCGTAGGGCAGGTGATTCGTGAACCCTCAAGACCCAACTGCTCCTTAACGAGCGTTGTTCGATGGCGCTGCAGGAGCAGGGCCTTCGGCGGTGACATAGGCTCTGCTCAAGCCGCCATCGACCAAGAATTCAGTAGCATTGACGAAACTGCTCTCATCGCTAGCCAAAAACACGACGGCGTGAGCCTGCTCGATGGCCTCCCCGAAGCGACCGCTCGGGAAATGAACTTCTCGCCGGTGCCGCTTGTGCTGATCGTCGCCCAACCAGTCCTGCAACAGGGGGGTATTCAGCGGGCCGGGACAGAGGGAGTTGAAGCGGATGTTCTCGCGGGCATGCACGATGGCCAGTTCGCGGGTCATGGCGAGCACGGCGCCCTTGGAGGCGGTGTAGGCGAGCTGGGGGGTGGCGGCGCCCATTAGGGCGACAAAGCTGGCGGTGTTGATGATGGAGCCGGCCTTCTTGTGGTGGCGGCGCATGCTCAGCACGGCATGCTTGCATCCGAACCACACGCCCTTGACGTTGATGTTCTGCGTCAGGTCCCACACCTGCTCGGACGTGTTCAGGGCGTCATCGTCCTGCGCGTGCATGATGCCGGCGTTGTTGAACATGATGTCGATGCCGCCGTACTGGTCCTGCGACTCGACGGCGGCGGCCACGTCGGATTCCTTGGACACGTCGCACTTGATCGTGGTGAGCCGCGGCGCGTGCGGCACCAGCTCCTTGACCTTCTCCAGCGCCTTGGCCAGCGCCGGCTCCGAGATGTCGGCCATCAGCACCGACGCCCCTTCTTTGGCGAACAGGATGGTTGTTTCTAGTCCGATCCCGCCCGCCGCGCCTGTGATGATGGCATTCTTGCCGGCGAGGCGGCCTGGACGAGATTCGGTGGCCATATCGCTGTGAAGAGTTGTGTGTTTGGGGTTGTGGTTGATAGTTGTGTTGTAATCGGTGGTTGATGGTTGTGGTTGTGGTTGATTGGGGGAGATGTGTCGATATTAGGGATGATGAACGTGTACGGTTGAACGAGGCTCACTGATTGAAGCTCAGACAATAATATACCGTAATCAGTCGGTGTGATATCCGTTAGCCTGAGTCAGATACCAGACAATATAAGGTAGGTCAGGTATCTGGGCCATATGCCTACCTCGCTAGGTACTACCTACCTGGGTACCTTAGATACTTGCAGTGGGGATGGAGTCCCTACCGCCTGTTGCCTGTTACCACTGCTATGGATCCGTAATCGCCGGACTTTACAGTAGGCATGCGACGGCGACGGCGTCCGGCGGAAACATTCCCAACACAGACAGAAAGATCTCGGGATGCATCCACCTCACCTGCTAGTATCTGGGCACCCGTAGGTACAACCTATAGCTACGTAGTATCTCACATGTATATGATCGTCTACTAGTACGATACATGATGTCGGGTAGCTGTCCGCCGTCACAGCCTCCAATTGATTAAGTTGCTCTCCGCGCTTATTAAATCTGAGGAGTGGCGGAACTTGAGTATCAATACCAAACGAGGACATCTTAAGGTACCTATGAGGCTGTTGTAAATGTCACCTACCACGGTACCTACAGGTAGTATCTTAGGTATCTCCCATGCCTCATCGCGAAAAGGTTCGCATCTATGGGTTATCTACTCTGTACCTACCGCGGGTAAAAGTACCTAGCTATGGATCTTGGATTAAGTACTAGGCATCAAGTGGCATACGCCAGGTAGGTATCCTCCGCGGCTACAGCGGGCACAGAGGAGACCCATCGACCTGTAGCCGCGCATGTAGATGGTCTAGCTTGTTAGACGAGTACTGTCCTCATTGTGCAAGCATACAGATGAGCTGCCTTGAATACCTGGGTCCATTATGTTCATCGATCAATACAGGGTAGGTACATATATATACCTGTTATCATTGCACACTCGGATCCATGATACCGAGATGCTTGTCGATGGATAGACGATATCAGGATTCGCCTGGAGCCACGGAAGCTTTGGTGCTTGGGAGCCTAGGCCTAGGGGTGTCTCCTTAGCCTAAGGAGCCTGAGGGTTAAGGGGTCCCTAGCCTAAGCCTAAGGAAGCCTAGGCAAGAAACCTGGAGCCGCCGAACCAGCCACAATCATGGGGAGCGAGGGAGCTTATCAGCAGCTACTAGTATCAACTCCACCACCTGAGCGTGCAGGTGAACACGAGCACTGTATGATGAGCACCACCGGCGCCTTTACCGTAATCTCATCCACCATCCTACGGAGGAGGTCAGGTCTGCGATACTGACGTCGACCCTCCTGCCAATCGGTCCTTCCCGCTCTTTGTTCCCTTCCATACCTGTACACAGTAGTAGATAGATAGCTCGACGCCTCTCTTCCGGCTTTATCCCCTGTTCTTGTGTGTCCTTTGTTCATTGTTCATTGTTCATCCTTGCACTGCTCCCGTTGTTGAACGCTCTCCAATCCCTCACTCAGCAACCATGACCAGCAGCGCAAAGGACGGTGAGGTCCTCACACTTGACAACTTGGAGTCTGCGCTGGCCGATGACACCAAGGTCAAGCTTGCGGGCATTGACATCGACGGTACGTCCCCGGTCGCTGATCGTCGCGTTACACAATTGCTAATCAACTCTTCTGCAGGCATTCTCCGGGGCAAACTGATATCCAAGAAGAAGTTCCTCTCCGTTGCCAAAGATGGCTTTGGCTTTTGTAGCGTTGTCTTCGGCTGGGACATGCACGACTTGACCTATTTCCGCGAACTCAAGATCAGCAATAAAGAGAACGGGTACAAAGATCTCATCGCAAAGATCGACCTGGGCAGCTATCGTCGCATCCCATGGGAGAACAATGTGCCCTTCTTCCTGGTCAGCTTTTGCGACCCAGACACCGGCAAGCCCATCAGCGCATGTCCCCGGAGTTTACTGAGGACGGCTGTCGCGAAGCTGCACGATGCCGGTTATGGCGCAATGGCTGGGACTGAGTTCGAGTTCTTCACATTCCGTGCCCCTCGCGATCCCTCAATACAGACCAACCACTTCTCGTCTGCCACCACGGCTCCTTTCCTCCAGACTCACGCCGTCGACAGTCTTCCCCATCTCACGCAAGGGATGTTCGGTTACTCCTTGACCGACCCCGTCCACAACCAAGACTGGTTCTACGACATATACGAGACGTGTGAAAAGTTCCGGGTGAACATCGAAGGCTGGCATACCGAGTCCGGACCGGGTGTGTTCGAGGCTGCCTTGGAGTTTGGGGAAGTCACGGAGATGGCGGACAGAGGAAGTTTGTTCAAGTACGTTGTCAAGGCCATGGGGAGCAAGTATGGCATCACGCCCTCCTTCATGGCAAAACCCAAGCAAGGCCTGCCGGGGAATAGCGGACACATGCACTGCTCCATCGTCGACAAGTCGGGCAAGAATCTCTTCTACAGGGGTGAGAAGGACCCAAACCCACCCTACAAAGACCTCGAATACGTTTCGGATCTCGGCCGTCATTTCCTCGCAGGACTAGTGGACGGTCTCGCCGATGTCATGCCAATCCTAGCACCGACAATTAACTCTTACAAGCGACTGGTTGAGAACTTCTGGGCTCCTGTCACCGTGTCGTGGGGTTTGGAACACCGAGCAGCATCCATTCGACTGATTGCTCCTCCGACGGCATCGGCGAAAGCAACCCGGTTCGAAATTCGAACGTGTGGTGCTGATTGCAATCCGAGTCTGGTCCTTGCCACGATCGTAGCTTTGGGCTGGAGAGGTATTGAAAAGAAGATGGAGATTGGCCTGCCGCCCCTAGCCAAGGGCGAGGATGTGGGAAATGTCGCTGACAAAGGTGAAAGGCTGCCCAAGAATCTCAAGGACAGCACGGCAAGGTTCATGGCCAAAGGGAGTGTTGCTCGCGAGATCTTCGGAGATGACTTTGTGGAGCATTACGGTGGCACTCGAGAGCATGAGTTGCGATTGTGGGATGAGGCTGTCACCGACTGGGAGGTAAGAAGGTATATTGAGACCGTATGAGATACCCAACTCCGGTTCTGGCTGTCAGAGCGAGCAATGAAAATATGCGACAACGCGATGAGTCTCGTTGGGGTTGTTCCTCACATTCCTATTGGTCAATGGCATGGGCGAGCTAACACAGGGGCTGTTCAGCCTTGCGCAACAATGGACTTTTTACATGGTGTTTCCTTTGTGCCACATCTGTCAGTCCCAACACCGACATTCTCTTCTTTTGTCTATTGATGATATTTTTGGGCATCGAACACAATGCGCATTCATTGCTTCCCTTTGGTACTATTTTTAGCCAATGGAGAAAAGGATGAAAATGCCGCCCGTCGGACGGCGAGAGCTGCCTCTGGTCCTTACACCAAAGCTCCCCATCTAACAAGCCTGACAAGAGAACAAGCACGCAATGTCCACCGGTCTACGCCGCAGCACCAGGGTCCGGAAGCCCACGGCGCGCTCCCTGCCTCAACCTTCCTCCGTGCAGACTACTAACCGGGTCCATCGAGCGTTGGTCCCCAAGACTGCCCTGGATGGCTTCATGATCAAGGTGTATGCTGAAATCCACGCTGCCGCTCTGACCCCCATTTCCCAGGCAGAACGTTCCGAGATCCACGGTGTCCTCCGCAAGGCCAGAACCGTCCGGTTCCTCAAGTTCCTGCCCAAGAAGACGCGAGACGAAGTGACCACAGCACTGAAGGACGCCTCACCCAGCACGCGAAGGGTGAGCGGAGTGCACCGGGATGCCATGGACATAATTCAGGTGAGCCCATCCACCTTGCGCGACCGACTGCATCATTTCCCCAACCTGTTGCTGCTGAGCATTTGCGCGCACTCTGAAACGTTCCGCACGGCGCTGGCCCAAGAAGCCGCCGTCAGCAAAGCCAACCACGAGCCGACGTGGGCGCACCTGCTGGCGAAACTCAAGCAGAGCGCATCCAGCCTGGAGCTGTTCGCGCAGACCAGAGGGCTGGGTTGGCGGAGAGCGCTGGCCGCTCACGACAATGACTTTGACATCCTCCTCAGCCGTGTCCTGCGCGATTTCCGTCTGTCCGGTATCGACAAGACGAGTTTCGGGATTGGAACTAACGACCTACAAGAACTGCACGCGGTCGACGACACATCGCCATACCATTGGGTGCTGCCGCCGAACAATAAGAAAACCGTACGCTGCGAGATCGAATACAAGGTCACGGCCGATCTGATGCGCGATGGCGTCGCAGTGCAAACCGGCAACAACACCAACAACGCTTCACCACCGACGCTCCAGATCAACGACGACCAAGTCGTCCAACAGTGGGACATTGCCGATTCCATCATCCTCCCGAACTACACGTGGCCCAAGCTGGCGCCGGAAGCCGCGGGGGAGCCACGGTTCTGCGGCTTCAAAGACAGCCATTGTGTCGCGTGCGGCCAGGATCTCACTTGCACCTGCACCCCCGCGGACCTGCTCGACGGTGGAGCCGAGGTGCTCGTCGAGCTCATCACGACCGCCCGCACCGGCACCGGCGTGCGCGCCCTGCAGGACATCCGCGCCGACCAGTATCTCGGCGAATACGTCGGCGAGATCTACCCGGCCAGATTCAGCCGTGGCGGCGCCCTGGTCACCCGCTACGGAGGCGCCTCTGGACACTCGTATATCCTGGAAGTGCCCATCGCGCGGGCCAGCGACTATGTCGTCAGTGCGGCGACGAGTTCGAAACGAAGAAGAAAAAGGACAAACCCCGGAGTATCCTCAGCAGCAACAGGGGCGAAAAAGACAACGACGACAGCGACTAAAGCAAAAAGCAAGACTAAATCTCGGGTCCCGGGTTTGCTGATCGACTCGACCGTCCGCGGCAATTGGACACGCTACATCAACCACTCGTGTAAACCGAACACACAATTCGCCATCGTCAACGTCGGCCAGCAGCGTACCGTGCTGTTCCAGGCGCTCCGCAGCATCAATTACGGCGACGAGATCACCGTCGACTACGGAGACGAGTATTTCCTGCATTTCGACTGGGGCTGCAAGTGCGGTCATGCGCGCTGTCGGTATTGGCGTGAGGGTGTGGGCGTCAGGCCGGATCGTGTCACGCTGAAGATGGCGTTGAGTCAGAAGATTGCGCCGAAGTGGGCTGAGGACGATGATGATGTTCCTATCGAGTAGGAGGATTGTGTGTCCTAGAGGGAAAGAAGAGAAAGAGAAAGAGTGTGAATACTATGAGAAGAGTTGGAAGTATGGAAGAGACTTTCTTGAAAAAAAAGGAGAGGAGAGGAAAGGAAAGGAAAGGAAAGGAAGTAACGATAAGGTAAGGGGTGAAAGAGATGTTGTATTCGTTTCTAATAAATAGTTCTGTATAATAGTGCTACTAGTAGAGAGCTGACAGTGTTTTCATGTACAGTCTCATTCAGGGGTTGGGTCGTTTGGTTTCGGTACTAATAGTATTTGTTGTTGCTTATCATCGCCTTCTTGATCCAAGTTTCTACGATAGATTCGTCCATCATGGATTGGACGATTTGATCATGAAGAGGGTGAGGGCGACACAGTCTGCTGAACGGACCATGGTTCCTAGATCCGCCCATCGCATCTCTGAACGCAAAGGATGACGAGGCTGACAGATGGGCAAGAGTAAGTGGTCGGTTGAGTGGACCTTCATATTCATTTTCAGGTACGAGTGGTGCATGACGCTCCATGTATGTCGACGACTGATTGAAGCAAATACAAGTAACTGTCGGAGCAGAGTATCTGGCGGTATATATGGGTCCAATCAATCGTTCGGCCCAGTCATGCATTGGGAAACTTGAACGGTGCGTGGGCAGCCTTCCACAGCAGAAACAAGCAACTCGTGTTCCCTGTCCACCAAGCAATACCGCGGATTTGGCTGTACAGGTCGTGCGAAACCAGGACGTAGACGGCCCCGTAAACCAGTCTAGCAATCGTGTACGTGGTGCAGGCAGTGTTGACTGTCTGTCTTGGAACGCCAGCCACGAGGGCCAAGAGGACTGCAGAGTGCACACGCTTGTTAGGATTGCCATTCACGACAGTAATGGATTGAGGCAGCGATCGATTTGATCGATTTGCCGTAAATGCAGGCTGTACCGTATACAACAACAGTATAATACGCAACAGAATGGTGTAGGGGGGTAGTGTGGTGATGCGGACGGATCGGACCAATGCCTAATTAGACCTACCTGAACCCACAAAGAACGTATACGCCTCGATTGAGTTGGCGCTGGCAGCTTCCATGCGCTGGAGCTGCTCGAGTTGGGCTTGGGTCATTTTGCCCTCCCGGACAGCCACGGCGCCATACTTGTTGAGATCCTGCCGCGGGTTGCCGTTATGGTCAATGCCGTAGATCTGTTTCAGAGTGCGGCTGGCTAGTATGCCGTACGCGTAGAACCAATTCCAGGCCAGAAACGCGGCCGGCCCGGCGAACGAGGGAGATGAAGGCGGGATTCCTAGATAGCTTGTTGCCATGGTTGACGGAGTGGAAGATGGGGTTGAGTCTGATGGTAGGTAGACAAGGGTGCGTAAGACAAGATCCAACGGCTCTGAGATGTGAGGGCGATGGAAGTCGAAAGGAATACGGTCCCAGACTTGGAGCGCAGGACGATGGCTGGCTGGTTGCCTGATACAATTTATATAGATAGAATATCTGCCATAAGTACATATACTATGCAGAGTAGGAAGACAACCTCAGGCATCCAGGGGCTTTATCCGGACACACAGGCAACAGCGACAGCCTTGCATCCCGCCAAGCGATAGATTGATCTACAATCTCCAACTCCAACTCTCGAACTTTTGACAGGATGCGGAGTTCGAGTCTCACGTCTTTCACGAGTTTCTTTCAAGTTGGTGATCGGTCTCCTGCACACGCGCCTTCACCAGGCTCTTTTCCGTGCGCAGTCTGTCCTTCGAATGTGCTTGTTGAGGTATGAGCCTGAAATGCCCGTACAGGCATGTCTCATACGCAACATGGCGCTTGGAAGTGGTGCGCGGATTGTGTCTATCACTTGAAGCACAACAGCCTCAGCCTCAGCCTCAGCCTCAGCCTCACAACAGCCTGACGGCTCTTCCCAGAGCAAACCCCACGAAATGGAACCGACATTACAGCCTGTTCCGGCCCTTCGATAGACACAATACTGAACAGAAATCATCTTCCCAAGATGAAGCCCCTCCTGATACTCCATTGAGGGCACGTCGCTCCAAACGTCCAGGCTCCTTCAATCCCTACAGCCCGGAAGGATTACAGAAATTGAAGGATCTGCTGCCGGAGCTCAAAGTCCTCGGTGAGCTGATGCGGGATGAACACCGAGATGAGGAGCCCTTGCCTCATGACGATCTTTACATCCCAGCGTCACCCATCCAGATTCAGGTGGAAAAGGCTGCGCGGAGAAGAGGTATTCAGAAAGAGCAGGCAACATATAAAGAGCTGGGGCCGCTAAAGAACAACCCATGGGCGGTCATGTTAGCGGGCCCTATCAGGTCCTGTCAGGCCAGTGGTGCGAGGCTACCGGGAGGGCTCTTGCTAGACTTCGATTACGTGAAGAGCCCGGTTGACGGGAAGACCTATCTTCTACCGGCAGATCTCGCCGACTTGGATGCTCTCGAGGCAAAGCTGGCCAAGCAGCTTTACAAGGACGACTGGAGACGGGTGCGGGAGGACAAGCGGCTAGCCAGAGCGCAGCGAGAAAACACTTCTGCGCTCAACCCTGACACGAATGCCGTGCAGTCGTCCGAATCGAACCCTCCGGCCGCGAAACGCCAGTCTGCATTGACTCGTTTTCTTGCGGATGTCAATATTTTCCGCATCCTGACGCTCCGTTTGACCAAGGGCAGGAAGGACGACCCGCAAATCAGGCTCACCAAGACCGGAGAGGTGTCCAAACTCATCCCGTTCGAGGCGAAAGTCCCCGTCTTGTCCGCACAGCACTACATGCGCCACAAAAAGGACATCGAGCTTGCCACCGGTGTCGCCGATAGCGAGCCGGCCAACATTCTCTCCTTCAACCTGAAGGATGTGCAATGGCAGCCTGACATACACAGCCGGCTGGCACAGATCATGCGGAAGCGTATACTGATCTGCCTGACGGCACTGGCCGAGTCGCTGAAAGGGGAGCCATTTGCAAAGGCGTCGACAAGAATCGTCGCGTTGCCAATACCTTACGGCGGGAAGCTCAGTAGTGAGACGTTTCGGCACCTGGTCGCCGGCACGGCATCTTCAAGCGAAGCATGTCCCGCAACGAATGTTGGACAAGGAAACGAAGACACGCCACTTTCGCATGACGGACGGCCTGCCTCATCCGACCAACACGCGTCTACGACCTTCTCTCCACAGCCAGCGATGTCAGGAAGAGGATTCTTGCTCGGCCATCCGGACATTCACCCAGGAAGCAGCTTCCTCCACCTTGGCCACGGAAACATGACGACGCTCCTATCCCAACCTACAAACGCAGACACAGGCACCGCGGACAATACCCCAACGCGGTCTGTATCTTCTTCGCCCTCACTCCCACCATTGCCACTGCCATCCCACACGTTGACCCCTCCCATGCTCACCGTCGACGAGACCTACCGCTTCCCCATCTTCTCCCTGCACCAGCTCCTGGCCAACCCCTCCTCCTCATCTCCCTCCGGCATCACCACACTCGACGCTCTCATCCAAGCCAACGAGGTCTTCCGCCCGGGCCCTGGCCCGGGCCCAACACCCCATGACGACAAAGACGACTACCTCCTCCTCGTCCGTCCAGGGCCGGGTCCGACCCAAGAACTCGTCAAAGAGATCTGGCAGTTGTGGCGCTATCTGGAAGGCCAGCCTGGAGTGTCGCTGGAAACGGACTGGGGTCCGGCAGGCGAAGAGCAGCTCAATGCTGGCAGGCAGGGCGAAGATGAAGATGAACCATCGATACCCAAGGATAGGCGGCGACGACGAGATGCTACTGATCTCTAGATGGACAGAGATTGGTGTACAGATACAACTTGAGGAAAAATGAGAGAAACAATGAGGACACTCCTCCGTTTAATACCCTGTAGCATATGAAACGCTCTATGTAATATACTAGTCCGTCGATCAGACCTCTCTCTGACCTGAGTAAAGCATCCGGATCTACAGTTCCAATAGACCATATGGACTCATCATACACACAGCACCTCGCGCCGTAGCAACTGGTATCGCTTCGTCCTGAGGGACTGGAGCAGCCCTTGATTTGAGATAAATACGACTTAAGAAGCTTGCACGGTGCCATTGATGATCGGAAACAGCAGCACCGCATCGGCCGCGTTCTATTAGTACTTAATAAAAGTATGGTCATTATCACACCACTCCATACTTGCGGAGTATCATCATTGCTTGAGTTGAATGAGCGAAAACCGAACATGGGCAAACAAGACCGGCGCCGCCGCCGCATATACGCGCGAAATTTTCCCCATCCAGTACATTCCCAAAAAAATGTCCCAGGCCTTGACAGAACATCTGTGAGCATCGAGACAATGGATTTCTTGTAATTCGACCTCGTGGCCCATAACACGACCATACCCATCGATAATTGCGCACTCCAGGCAACGCGAAAACAGAAATCCCTACCAGTCCGGACCCGGCGCAAGATTCAGGCACTGACACATCATGCCGCGTGATCCTATCTGCACCCGCCGCGGACGTGGACGAACACAAAGCATCAAAGCCACTCGTGTATTGTAGGCCCGAAATCGGTCTGGCCTGGCCTCCACTACTCCGTGATGTTGAAGCCCGGGAAACATCAACGTCCGCAAAGATGTAGGCTTGCTCGTGGATACATAAGGTCGTCCTTCGTCGAATAAACAAATGCAAAGAGACTGGGCGTCATCGACACTAGCCGACTCGGTAGGCGTCGTAGATGACTATAGAAGCGTCAATAAGGCACCGAGTTCCATTGCAGACAAAGACAAGATTGCTCGACTTACTTTCGGTCGCCCTACGGCATCCGCTTCCCATCCACATGCAGGTATTGACAAAGGCGTACCGCTCGTCTCCGGTTTCCAGCTCCACAGATATACGGAACTTGTATTGGTTGGCTGGCAGCGTGTCTGCGACTGATGGTTCGTTGAGACGTTCGAGCACCTCTTTGTTGCCGGTGCGCCAGCCCTTGGATCGTGCCGTGATATAGGCGGGAGGCTCGTCATTGGTTTGGAGGAGATAGTCGGCATCAATGCGAGTTGCCAGGTCCTTGACCACCAATTGTTTATCCTGGCCGCCAGGCTGAGGAAGATCAGTAGAAGTTCTACATGACAACGACGCTCGAATGGTCCATCCACTCACAATGATGATCCCCTTGCCCCATCTGCCGGCCCATTGGCCTCCGACTATGCTTACCCACTCGCGATGACCATACAGACTGCTGCCCACGGGTATTTTGGGGTTGAGCTTGATGCTGATGCGGAAATCGAGCTCCAGGGTAGGTGCTGGCAGTGACAACGAACGAGCAATATCTCCTTCATCGAAACGATGGAGAAGATTGTTTGCAGGGATGGATTCCTTCATGACATTAAGATAAGTGGGACATTCCATCAGATGTTGGCGCTGTCTGGACGTGTTCTTGGCTCTGATCTGGTTGCAGTAGATGCATTGAACCGACAAACATTTGTCCTCCTCTTTCGCTCTAAACTCCACAAAGGCGGCATGGACGTCGTCGAGAGGTGGAGCAGGGAGATTCGAGCCAGGAGTGTTCTTGGGTGTCTTTTGTGGTTTGGGCGTTTGCCTTTGAACGGGCGTGCTGGTCACCGATTGTGGCGCCTGGGAGGGTATTGAGGAGGTGGTCGCGATGCCCTGCATCGGAGTGCTGTGGGTAGCAATGCCATTTGTGATGGGACCATTGGAGGTGTGTAGGCTGGATGGCGTGCCGAAGCCATTAGGTGCGGCGATGCCATCACCAGCGGAGGAGGATTGAGGTCGAGGGGCATTGGGATGATTCTGTAAGCCGGGACACTCAAGCAGATGTTGCTTCTGGCGCGAGGTGTTCTTTGCTCGGATCTGTTGGCAGTAGATGCACTGGACGGACATGCACTTGTCGTCCTCTATGTGGAGAATATTGGGTCAGCGCAGGCGTTCATCGTCGTAACAAGAACGCAGGTGTTGGTATGGAGTGAGTACAGTACAGTCAATACTAGACGAGACAGTACTGGCAATGACAATACCACCTACCTTTGGCCTTGAACTCGACAAACGCCGCGTGGACGTCTTGGTCGATGGTGCGCCCCATACCGGCAATGAGCGAGCACGATGTCGATTCAGATGTCAAAAATGGTCCCCTCAGGAATAAATACCCGTTGCCTCGTCACGTAGAGGACGCTTCGCCTGCGGAATGAGCAGTCTTCAATTGACCAGAAGCTGAGGTGTCGCAGTCACAGCGGGCGTCGTTCAGTTTCGTTTCCAAGCGCGAGCCAGAACCGCTTGTACTGAAGTAGACTAGCGTATCTTTCATTTCAACGCCGTTCAAACCTGCGATACGTGAAGTACCTTCGTAGTACCTACTAACCTAACACATCGCTACCTCAGGTATCGAGATACTTCTCCAGGTACCTACCTACCCTCCCTTGTCTCCCTTGGTGGCTGGAGTCGGATGCAACAAGGAATAATCGATGGGCATCACTTCAATCGATTCCTACGGCCATACTGGCCTTCTGCTATCCCTTATCTCCGAAGTCGATGGACTATTCCACGTGCTCACATCGTACCTGGGATCCGGTATCCGGGTCCCTCATCTGAGCCTTCTCTGCTATTATTGGCGTCTACTCTAGGCCACGGTCCGTCAAAGCAGCTGCTTCTCCTATCGAGCCTTACTAGGGTCAAGCGATGAATTCTCGTATCATGTCAAGAGAGTTTTATGCGGGCTTTCAGGGTGTATACAGACTGTCGTGTCTTGTGTCGTGACTACCATGCTGACTTGTTGACGCTATTGGACTTGTACTGTTTGTCTACATCGAGCTGACACTTGCAGCCTAGAGGCTAAAGGACTCTGCCTCCTATACTCTTCAAATTGTCGCTCATTTTGTCAAAGCGGCGAACCTCCCTTGCCGGCTGAAGACGTCTCCCTTCGTCTCCCGTCCTAATGTCTACCGAGTGGTCCATCCCTTTCGGTTTAGGCCATTGGTTTAGGACACTCTCATCAAAAAGCTGGTCAACGACAAGGAGTTGAAGGAATTCACTTTGAATCAGGGACGGTGGCCGATGCAGTGGTTTCGTAAGTCCCAGAAGGTGAGAGCACACAACTGATTCTTCAAGCACGGTTCAATTCTGTGGCGGCACTGCGACAGAATGTACCCAGATGGCTACAGAAGGTGGTCCGCCGGAGCAACGCACGGCTACTGCAAGATCCAGCTTAAGCAGAAGATTGACAGAGTGTGCCGTGGCCATGTAGGCATATGAATGGGTATTGCTCTTTTGTGCCAAACAACTACAAAACAATTGATCTTTTGAGCACAGCTATCACAGAGCCGAGGTCTAGACAAATGATACAATGTATCCCTACCCTATCACGACGTTGAGGTCTGGACTAAGTATTGTTGTGGAGTTGAAAGCCCAGGGACTTCTTCGAGGATGTTTAATAGCAGGCTGAGCCACGAAGCATGACCATCTTGGTTATAATCAGTCTTGTGTGTGATCCCTAGCGAGATTCTCTCATTCATCTAGATTAGCAGGCAAATCTAAGCCCGTCACGAGTAGTCAGGCTGCCGCACAGCAAGTATCTACATGTAAACATTGGACAAGGCTGGACTCGTCAGGGGTAAATATGCCAAGAAATCATTCAAGAGCCCGAGTTTCGCAAAACTTGAAGACTTGAACTTCAACTTCAACTTTTGGTCCATGAAGATGCAGTATACAGCGTTACGTCTCCTGATCCGAGCCGAATCTGTGACAACAACTGAACGATAGTTATCCCCGCCCCGCTGATGGCCCATGGATAGGAGTCCGCCTGCGCTCATGGTAACTGCTGAAATGGAGGCCTGAAAAAGCACCTGAACCTGCCATGACACTTGCAACGATCAACTCCGCCGCGGGCAGCTGGTACACTGGGCCAGAGTACCAGCAGAGCTGCCCGACACTGACAGCGGACAAGTTTCTGCAAGTCACGAACCTCCTTCTAGAAAAGCCCAACTTGAACTCAACCCATCTTTTCCGCGCGGACATTCTGCATGACAGTACCGGTGCCCTGAAGACAGTGGACGAAAGGGAACAACAATGCCGATACTCCAACGATGGCGCGCATGTTGAGGAGGAAATTCCTCTAGACGGACAGGAAGCGATCGATGCTACAGAACCAGCGCCTACTCTGGAGGGAGCACGTCTCGAGCGAAAGGTGTTGCGGAAACTCATCCCTCGCAAACCGCAACTCGACCGCGCCCTAGACCAGTGGTGCTACATCTACAACCTGGTCAAAACTACAGAGATCGTTGCAGGCCATGTCGTCGTCTACGTGCCCATAGTCGCCAGGGAGACTGAGATGCCATGGTACCACCCGCCAGTCAAATCATTGGCATACCTCTACCAGCAAAGGGGCAACGACACCACTTTGTCTGTGCACTTCGTGCCATTCGAAAGTACAGTGACCACACCCTTGCCTTCGCGACTACACCGCACTTTCATCTCCTTGCTACAGACGTTCCTGCGGCTGGCGAAGAGCCCAGCGCCTGAGCAGGATCCCCACGTCGGGCATCGCGACGATAGCGCACCGATCACTTCAGCCGTCGACGCCTCCATGGCTCCATCTGCGCTCAAAGACACCATTCTACCTCAGCATGTCGTACAGAACACATACACTCGCCTGAAGCAGCGATATGCTCAAGACCTGATTTCGCGATGGGCCGAAAGTACGGAGCCATCCAAACACGTTTTCGAGGACCTCTCAATCGCCGCATTTGTCATTGAGCTGTGGAAACAGATGTATTCATCGCCGAATACTTTCCCCGGCTTCGTCGATATCGCCTGTGGCAACGGTGTTCTCACGTATGTACTCATCCAGGAGGGCTACCGTGGCCGCGGGTTTGACGCTCGTAGACGCAAGACCTGGGCAGTGCTGGGCTTGGACCAGCATTTGGACGAAATGATCTGCGTTCCACAACCATTCGTTGATCATGCACCGGCTGACATGGATGACTTGCTGTCAGACACGCGAGTCCACAGTGGTCTGTTCGAGCCAGGCACGTTCATCATCTCGAATCATGCGGACGAGCTCACTCCCTGGACACCCATTCTTGCAGCACTGTCGTGTCCTGGGTCTCCGCTTCCGTTTCTCTCTATACCTTGTTGTTCACATGCTCTGAGTGGTGCGAAACACCGCTATTCTCCGGCCGAGATCAAGGCAGGACCTCGCGCGATGATGAGGTTGAATGATAAGACCGAACAGCCAGCGACAGGCGATTTAAAGGCGTTGCGCGCCGCCAAAGCCAAAGCCGCGACCCATACAGACGACAAGTCCATGTATGCATGTCTGACGCGCAAGACGGTCGCACTGGCCGAAGAGGTCGGCTGCAATGTGGAATTGACCCTCATGAGGATCCCTAGTACCAGAAACATCGGCATTGTAGGTAACAGGAAGAGACTTGGCGGCACTGAAACGGCAGAGTCTAGCGACAGAACGGAGGATCCGTCACCATCCCACGAAGAAGTTCCTATGAAGATTCAAGCCTTGCTAGAACGCGAATGTGCCATATCAGGCGGGATGGGAGAGGCCGCGAAGACGTGGATCGAGAGAGCACGGAAACTCCAGACGGGCACGGGACGAGGAAAGATCAATCTACGAGGGAAACCTGATACTGGTTGAACTCATCTCATTCGACGCCAGTTGATGAGCACCAATTTCAAGGTCCAGCACACCACCAATTGCGGACTACGGACTATGGACTACGGACTACGACTCCTCGACAGGCTCCTCGAGGCGGGCTGACTGGCTTCATCGTCCTCAGCGCTGGGCAATGCCACATTGAACAATGACTCGGCCCATTCGGCGAATGTGTCGATATCCCAGACGGCATCCTCGGGACTTTTTCCCTTCCGCGAGATCTGAGTCGCCCCATTGACCTTGCCGTTCCCTCCCAGACGATTTACATAGCCGTCAAAGAAGGTCTCGTAGATCTGCACCACCTGGTCCTCCACAGCTGCAACCAGCGTTTCCCGGGTGCGCATGTCGTCGAGGTATTGCTCCAGCTTGGCACGAAGAACGGGGACTTCTTTCTCCATGTGCTTGCGGGTCGCGGACACGGCATCCCCCAGAGCGGCATTCTTCGTACTAGCCTTGTCTACGTCCTTGGGCAGGTCCTTCGTCAAGGTGGCTGCAAAGCCTGCCGTGAAGTCGTTGATCACGGTCCTCAGACGGCCGTCGAGCTCGACTTTGGCGTCAAGCATGTTCTCGACTACTCGAGGAAGTAGGCCGCCCGTGCTGAACAGTTTCATCCAACTGCGCGGGTTGAACAGCCCGCCACGTTCGCGAAGCTCGTAGAACGTGCTAGCAACGCCGGAAAAGTCGAAAGACACGTCCGGCGTCACATACTCGATGTCAAACGCCACGATCTGCGACTTCAATAGAAGCAGGTGGCGCAGAAGGAAGAGCTGGCCATCGGCCGCGGAGGATCTTGAGCGGATTTGGTTTGACGCGTGCACTAGAGACACGGTGGTCTGATGAACGATCTGGTGCGCCAGATCATCGAAGACGGACGAATTGACGAGTCGGTAAATTCGGGAGAGCAGGCGGACCGCTTTGGACAGGGTCGGGTAGCAGTTCTGCAGCGCCACACGGCGGGATGCCACGGTCCAGGAGAAGGAGCCCTCCTCGCCCGAGTCTTCGTCGACGATCTCGGGGGTCTTGGGCATCGGTGTCAGTGGCTCGCTCGGTTTCCTTCGGCCGGTCAGAGTGGCGGCTGAGGTTGGTGGTCTTGACGTGAGCCTCGGATAGTCCAGGTCTTCGGATTTTGGTTTGAAAAGCTCGATTTCCTCGTGCAAAATCGCCTGGGCGCGGAAGACCAACCTTGTCTGCGCGTCTTCCAATGCTGGGTGGATCAGGATCGAGAAGTCCAGCTGGTTCAAATCGGCGGGGCCGTCTTCCTCCTCGTCATGCAGATATCTAGTCTGCAGCAGCGTCACCAGTGAACATAGCTTAGACAACTTGTTTTCATGAATGATGCGTGGCCGCAAATGATCGTATAGTGGCTCGCATATGGATTCGAGGAAATCATAGAGTCCCCGGTATCCATGGAACCACTCCGACCACAATTCAAACTCGTCCAGACATATTCCTCGCACGTAGCTTATGCTTGCTCGGGCGAACTGCACCAGGTCTTTGGAGCTCGGAGCCTGGCCTATCTCTGCCAGTTGTTTCCGGACAATCGGGAGAATCAGCCTTGCTCGGCAAGAGGCGAAGGTGGTGTGCAGCTCGTCCATAAGACTTTGATACTCGCCTTCTGTGCCGGGCTCAGCCTCGGCCGGCGGGTTCGCGCGTTTCTGGATCTCCAGCCCAAGTTCTTTCATCTCGGCTGCGCCAACTCGGAATTTGGCGTACAAAAGAGCAGACATGGTCGTGTCGTTCAATTGTTTTGCTGCAATCCTGCCGGCAATCTCGGCCGTCGTCTCTCTGACTTCAGCCATGAACGTGTTTCGAACCAGCGTGAGCGCTCGTGTCAGAAGGAGTCTGTACCGCGACCGATAGGTCTCAGCTTCCTTATGGCTCGGGTGCGTCTGCATGTAGTCGATGCATTCGTCCAGTGTGATCAGCATGTCGGAGAAATCCTTGCTTCTGACGAACGCTCCCGCGCCAGGGGCGTTGAGACGACGGGTGATCCTCTCCAGCGGCTCATAGTATTGCAGGTTGTCGGCGATGTCTTGGGCAATGGCGTCGTTCCTCCGCTGCTCGTCCAGTATATTCGCCGACTGTTTTTGGAACGCCTTGGTCTGCGCATCAATAGCCTTGAAGGATGCAGAGATCTCGGAGAGCTCATCTAACGTTGCGGCCGTGTCGGCGAGGAGAGTGTCGAGCTGGCTTCGTGCGGCATCGAGTTGATCCAGGTATTGTCTACGTGTGAGTTAGCAAGGGAGGCCTCAGCTTAAGTGTCGCCAGTACTTCGACTTACTTGTAATCGTCCAAGCTGGCGTCCAACAAGACATCATCCAGATCAGGAGACAGTTTGAAGAGATCCAACTCAGTCTCGACATCTCGGATTCGTGCTAGGGTGGCATCTTGCTCGAATTTCGGGGGTCCTTCTGCAGCCATGTCCTCGACGTGCCAGGCTTAACAATCTTCCGCCCAGTCGTGTCGTGCTTGACCCATTAGTATGGCCATGAGCAGCGGGCTGGCTGTCCTCACTCCGAGAAACAGAAGAGGGGACAGGGAATTGCGCGCGAACAACTAGTTCCACATTATGATCTGCTGGACAGAGTAGTAGGTGTCCAAAAGACCAATTCGGGGTCAAAGCCAATCAGAGTGTCGCCGATGGACGAGGCATAGAAAGAATTCTGCCGCCCATTAAAACCGTAGGCGGTGAGAACACATCAACATGACGTCCACGAGTCTCGGACCCTCGACACCTTCAGTGCGAATCATCAGTTTCTCCTCAACGACTCGTCCAGCTATGTGCCAGAAGTGAGGATATCCAAGTCAGGTTGTCACCATGTCGTCGAGAAGCGTGGCTCCCTCAACGCTTCGCTCTTTGGCTCGATCAGGGCGAATTCAGATCACCCGACAACGAGTGCCGCCGCAAATTTCAGTCCGAAGACAACTCTCTTCCAAACCGTCTGGCAATCCTACGGCTCATCTAGCATGGAAGCGACCGTCCGCTGCGGTTCTCGCTGCCGCAGCCACTGTGGCCTTAGTCTACAGCACTGGGCCACTCAACGCAGTCGAGGCCGAAGCCCCTACCCCCGATCCTCCAGAGATCTTGATTGAGAAGTCGAAGAAGAAACAGGGGGCCTCCAAAGAGGAAAATCGAGATCGAATCAGCTCGCAGCATGTACAAGTCAAAAAGAGTTGGGAGAACCCGGGGGTTTACGCATGGGGGTCGAATACGGGCAAAGTGGCGGCTCCAGATTCGGACGAGGCATACATCAAGACGCCACGGAGGATTCCTTTCTTTGACGACCATCTACTCCGGGATCTGAAACTCGACAGGAGCTTCGGCGCCGCTGTACTCGAGAATGGCGACCTCGTGCAGTGGGGCAAGGCATTTTCAGAAGACGTCGTCCAACCAACCCTCACGTTGAAGGGGAAGGATCTCAAGTCCATCGCGATCTCACGAGATCGTATCATTGGTCTGGCAAAGAATGGGACTGTCTACTCCATCCCGGTCTCCAAAGCCGACCAAGAGAATGGGCCTAAGCCCAGCGAGAGTTCCTGGATACCATTCTTGAGCACGACGTCCCCGATCAGTTACAGGAGACTGACGCCGCAGAAGCTAGGCATTGGTGAGAAAGTCACGTCCATCAGCGGCGGACTGGAACACGTCTTGCTGCTCACGAACTCCGGCCGCGTCTTCTCTGCCGCATCCAGCACCGAAGACTATCCGAGTCGAGGCCAGCTGGGGGTGCCCGGCCTGACATGGCTCACACGCCCTGCCGGATCTTACGACATGTGCCATGAATTGACCACGCTGAAAGGATTCAACATTGAGAAAGTGGCTTCCGGAGATACGCACTCGCTGGTTCTCGACAAAGAAGGCAGAGTGTTTGCATTTGGGGACAACTCGTTCGGCCAGCTGGGGTTCGAGTTGACTCCCGAATCGCCCTATGTCGACATGCCGTCTTTGTTGCCCATCACCAAGCTTTATCAAGGCACCAATCAGGTGCCCAAAGTCACCGGCATCTCCGCCGGCGGCCAAAACAGCTTCTTCACCATCGATGCCACACGTGTTGCAGGCCCGTCTGAGAATCCATCCGATGTCCGTACGCTCGGGCGCGTGACAGCCGACACTTGGACATGTGGGCAAGGAATCAAAGGCCTCCTCGGAAACGGGCGCTGGACCCATGTGCAGGACCAACTGACAAAGGTGCCGGCGCTTAGCGGGCTTTTCGAATACGACGAGAAGAAGAATGTCGTCGTGCCCATCCGAATGGCTCAGATCTCGGTTGGCTCCACGCACGCCTCGGCCGTGATGGACAATGTCACCTATCTCAATGCGAGCGAGAAGAGCTCGGATGATGACACGAACTGGGGTGCCGACGTGCTGTGGTGGGGTGGCAATGAGTTCTACCAGCTCGGAACGGGGAAACGCAACAACCTGGCCACTCCTCAGTATATCCGACCACTGGACACGGCCGCGGAGATCGAGGCTGGCAGGAAAGATCAGCACCGCCTGCATTTGACGCCCAAGCATACGATTCGAGTCAAAGGCCGCAAAGTCGATGTCGAGCAGAGAGTTGAATGTGGCCGGAACGTCACTGCCGTCTATTCTGCAGTCTAGGTCAAACCTTGATGTGATATATTTGGTTGGAATTGCTGCAGAGAGACTACGGTTTCACTCCGCAGTGTGGACCAGTCCATCACCGTGATCATACGCAGTAACCGCCTGAATTGGCCACTGGTATCTTCACAGGTCAAGCATCCCTGGCCCATCTTCGAGGAGTGTGCCGAAAAAGAAGATTGCGAGCTGTGAATCTCCTGCAAGAGATAACGGAGAGCTGCAATCTACTGCTGAAACAGTCACAAATTCAATCTTGTCAGCGATTGTTTCGAAACTCCCATGCATGATCCACCATGTTTGGTGAAGCCGGTGGCCGGTGGCCGGTCTTGAAGGCGAAACAGGCTGTGACCTTCCCCGGCGTGGGTCAATTCCTGTGATGATCTGGATCTTCACCAGCACGTCGCAGCAGGATGACTTGTGAAGAAGGGATCTCTGCATCAAACATGCTCATCAGTGTCACGATCTATGTGAGGGCTCCTCCTTGCATCGTCCAAGGGTGCGTGATCAATTCGCCGCACCCACTTCATCCATTCTGAAAGACTGCTCTGCAAAAGTCAGATGCCAGCATATCCGCATTCGCTGTTGCAAGAGGCCAATACGATGAAACGGCAAGAAGGAAAGGCAGGACAACAATGCATATTCCGGAGATGTGCAATCCATACCTCCAAGTCAGGTTGGGGTGCTTTCCTTGTATGGGAAAGTAGGGCAAGTCATCATCATCACACCAACAGGAATGCGCAGGCCAGAAGGAGAACAAAACACCGTTCATCTTGAAACCTGAGACCTGAGCAGTCCTTTCTCAGTCTGTCTGCCCAATTGAGGAAACGAGAGGGATGGAACGTAGCGAGCGACCAACAAATAATTTGGGCCCTGTATTTTATCTGTTAGAATGTCTATCGAGTGATGGACGCAGAGAATGACACGCATCTCAACCAAAGCACAGTATCATTCAGGCCTGATACAAGGCCAGCTTCCACCCTACCCCTATCCCTATCCATAGCCATGCCGCCAACCCTGGTACTGCTACTGCTAATGCCTATTTATGACTGAACTGGCCCTTGGACGATTCCTTCGAGATTGCCATGATTGCCGCAATCACAAATCTGCCTCCCTCCGAATACAATTGAATAAGATGACCTCCGTGCCAAACGACCGACCAAGCGACCAACGGATCCATCATGTGCCGTGCTCGCTTGCTCTGTGTGTGCGTATGTGACGATGCATGCTCAACTGTATCGCAAAAGGCCGCACCATGAATCCTCCCCAACGGAATGCATCGCAATGCAATGCAATGTAGCACATCCCAGATTCAGAAGCTGCCCGATTCCCATGTCTTGTTGTACACTTGTACATCGTTGAAACCAAGCCACCCTGCGCTGCCCTCAAAAACGCCATGCGATATCTGCCACGCCAGGCTAGACTTTTGCTAGACTTTTGCCATGCTAGGCCATGCCTTGCAATTGTCGAGGCCGAAAACCGCAGGCTTGACGAAAACAACAACGACAATACCCGCCCCAGAAATGATATACCTTTGAGGCGTGTTGTGTTTGTACTATGCATACCGGAACGGTCCTAAAGCCATTGTCAGCCATCCGTAACAAATCACCGGCAAAAGCAACCCCCTTTAGGATTTCAAAAGGTCAAGGGATCAGTAGAAGAGACTTACCACTTCCATATTGACCCTGACCCACACCAGGAGGCGGGATCCCGTACCCCTGTTGCGGCAGCGGTACAGGTTGTTGTTGTTGGTGAGACTGATACGGGTTCCAGCCCGGCGCGGACACGGGAGCCGGCGGAACATGGTGCTGGGCAACGGCAACGGCTCCGGGAGGGGGAAGGTGGACGTCCCTTATCAGCTCCACCATCTTGGTCGCGTCGAGTCTGGCGTCGATGTACGTCGAAGCTCTGGGCAGGATGCTGAGGAGAAAGGCGATCTGGGGAGGAAGCGGAGGGGGAACTGGGAACGGCGGCATTCCGGCCGGAGGGTTGTTGTTGATGGCTTGACGCTGCTGTTGATGTTGTTGTTGTTGCTGCTGTTGTTGGTTCATCCGGCGGCCGGCGGCTCCTTTGAGAGGCGACTCGCCACGAGCCATCTTGCGAGGGCCGAGATCGTCGAAGTCGTCAGGAAACGGCCGCTTGGGAGAATTGGTGGTGATGGAGTCAATCACTTTCTGGATGGGCGAGTTGACGGCCTCCGGCATTTCCACGGACGGCATCACCGTGCTCTGGCGAGGTCGGATCTGCTGTGAAGAAATCACTGGATGGACGTTGATGGTGTCGAACGTGGGTGTGCTGTAGCGGCTGGAAAACAGCGTGAGCGTGGGATCTTCCGGGAAGTGTTTCCTCATCCTCTCCTCGAGGGCCTGGAGCTGGGCCAGTTCTCCATATTTGGACTCATAGTCATGCAGGTAGGCAAACAATGGTTTGGCTTTGGCAGTGTACTCTGGATTCTCATGAGCGAGGAGTCGCTTGACTGTTGTCTCAAACACGGCCCGTGCATTGGTGACATCGTTGATCTCGAACAGATGCTTGATATATTGCAAGGGAAGGTAGTCATCCTCAGGGAAAAGCTTCATGCCTCGGTCCAAGATCTTGGTCCCGGTCGGATCCCGGTAGCACTGCCATTCTATCCGCGCCGATTCCACGTAGAAGTCGCTGGTGAGTTTGCCTCGCTTGCGCGCCTCTCCAAACACCGTGCGGAACCCACTAGGACCGCGGTCGGTAGGGAGCCCTTTCCCCTGCACTCTCCGGGTTGCGCGCATCAAAGCAATCCACACGTGGGAGATCATGCGACTGAGCATGTTTGTCTGCGCCTGAGCGGCCTTCTTGATGTTTTCGATTTGGTTGTCGAGCACGGCCTTCTTCGCAGTGACATTGGCGGCGTTGATTTCGTCTTCACCATAGCCGTTCCCGTCTCCATTGGTGGTGGTGGCGGCTAGCTCTGCTTCCTGGATATCTTCCTTTTCCCGCAGAGAGACCTTCTTGATCAGATCGTACAGAGCATCCAGGACTTTGTCGTACGGCTCTCGTATCTTCTTCATTCTCTCTTTGGCACCGGGATCATTTCCTTCATCATTCTGTGTCGATGACTCGATGCGATCTGCGAGTTTGAAGGCGAGGAGGGGCGCTTCAGGATTGGATGCAATGCCTTGATTCAGCAGCTTGCTACCGTCGCTCTCCAGGCCGTTGGCAATACAGAACTCGACGGCATCGTACCACATTTCTGGCCAGAACTGGAGGGCCATCAGAGCTTGTTTGTAGGTGAATAGAATGCGGCTGTTCAACAGCGCAGGGTCCTCGTCTTTGAGGACGAGATTGTCCTCCTTTTCCCACTCTACCCACTGTTTCCAGAGAGCGACCTGCTTCATGTATTCGTCGTAGCCCGCGAATCCTGGAGCTGGCGGCAATCGTGGCCTCGAGGTCCGCTTCAGATCTCTGGTCAGATTCTGCAGTTGCGTATACGCTGTTCTAGCAGTCATGTAGACTGGGGATTTCTCCTGGAGATATTTCCGGCCCTGAAATCAATGGATTAGCTGGGTGTCAACATAGGTACAGAAATCTTACATACGTTGATTTTGCTCAGGCCCGTTTCGAAGGCATCGTATTCCTTCCATAATGAGGTGGTCGCTGCGGTAGGTACGGCAATCGCTTTCTGGTATGCTTCTCGCAGAGTATCGACTTTGGCGCCATCCTGCCAGCCTGTGCCGCCCACAGTTCCGGGACCGGTCTTCAAGAAGTTGATGTAGTCTTGCCATAAGCTCCCGGAATCCTTGTCCATGCCGATGGTTTTGAGGGCAAAGCTGAAGGCGTCATTGATGATGTTGTAGGATCGGGCAATGTCTCCGGACTGCATACTATTGCGGCGACGGACGTAGTTGATGTACAGGGACCACAGTTGCACGTCAAGAACCTCGAGGAGTGATCGATTGAAGAGGGTCTCCATGGCTCGCATCCTGTCATGCTCTTCCTCCCACTTGACGTAAGCACACCATTGTTCCGCCTACAGCTGCTGTCAGTACGGACACAGGATAGAAAGCAAGGACTGACACGTACGGCATAGGGGAAGACTGAGAGATACTGCTCGTACACCCGGCGGACTTCATCTTGTTTGTTTCGGCTCTTGAGCTCCTGGATCAGCTCAAGATATGCGTCAATGTCTCCACGTGGGTCGTCTTTGATGCGATCTTCCAAGATACCAACCACGTCATGAGCTAGTCGAGACTTGGGCAAGCCTGGAACAACAGCATCACCATTCACAGGAGAGCGAGGCAGATCAGGCCGAGGTGGAACATCAGAAGCAGCAGTTTGCGCAGGTGTGGCAGTTGCAGTACGTGGTGCGTCAACACCCGCGGGGAGATTGGAAGAAGAAATGTCAGTGGGACTACCAGTTGCCTGGACAGGAGCAGGAGTGGTTCCAATTTCTTGTTCTGGTGACTGGGAAGTTCTATCAAACGGGTTTGCAGGGGCAGGTGTAGAGACATCGAAATCCAAGCCGTCGGCTGGATCGTAGACATCAACCTCGTCATTTCCATCCGGGGTCCCTTCTTCATCTTCGGGGTCATCATCAACTTCAAAGCCGCCGACGATACGTGGTTTGGTCTGCGCGGGGGTGGAGGCGGAAGATTGTGCTTGGTTTGATGCCGCGCCTGGGGCGGAGAGATGGTTGACAGTATTTGGCAGGAGCGCTTGCGGCGTAGACTGACTTGGAGATAGTATCGCATCGCCTGAAGTATCGAAAGTGTCCGCCTCTGATGCACTCTGTGGCTGCGTCAGATGTGCAGTGGAGAGGTCAGTCCCATCGGCGGCGCTGTTTAACCCAGACTGAGGTGACTGCACTGCCTGTTCCTCGATGGCAGGCGCGGGCGAGAAAGGTTCTTGATCCGGGCTGTCCATTGTGGATCTCGCCCAACTTCTCGCGAGAAGGTATCGTAGAAAGGTGAACGAGGTGGTCAGGCTCTGTGGAGGTCAGTATCCGCTGTTGTTGTTGTTACTGCCGCTTGGTGATGAAGCGAGACTGACTCAAGATTGCTCAGATGGCTGGGGAGCGTGAGGACAGAGAATGTTCAGGACATGTTGGAGGAACAGCGGATGGGATTGAAAATGGTAGGAGTATCACAAAGCTCTGGGTGGACTGTGAATTGAATGCGGGAGAAGAGATGAACAAGGATTTACAGAGCGAGCGACAGTGATTATAGCCTTGAGTGACGGCAGAAGCGCAGGGAGTAACAAGCAGCAGTTCGTTTGAGGCACAATAAGATGCACCGTATTATTTGCCTATTGTCGAAATCGACAATACGGTGGGTCACAGACCCCGAATAAGAAGGTGGATGCCTACACGCTCTCGCTGCGATTGAACAAGAAACGCGACCAACGCGACCGTGTCTAACCACTTTATTGTCACTATATCACTGTAGCAGTGTCCTACTTTTAGCCTGCCCACACTCCTGCGCTTCCCTTACAATCGAAACTCCTACGCACACACAGTCCAGTCTCGTATTCTACATTGTCTATCACTGGAGCCAACCTTGCGCTATACAGATCTCTTGTCTATTCATCCCAGCATCCACTGTCACCGTCACTGTAGCCCTCGCGCTCATCACAACCATGTCAGTCGTCTCGTTGCTCGGCGTCAAGGTTCTCAACAACCCCGCCCCGTTCACGGCGCCTTATGAATTTGAAATCACATTCGAATGCCTGGAGCAACTGCGAGAAGGTAGGCATCAGATCCGCGCCGTAACAATGTTCTTCGCCCGCTGCTTCAGATCGGCTGACCTCTACCAACAGATCTCGAATGGAAATTGACCTATGTTGGGTCCGCGACGTCTGCCGAACATGACCAAGAACTCGACTCCCTCCTTGTCGGACCAATCCCCATTGGCGTCAACAAGTTCATCTTCGAAGCCGACCCACCGAATCTCTCTCGACTCCCACCTTCAGAAATCATTGGAGTGACGGTGATCCTGTTAACCTGCTCCTACGATGGACGGGAGTTCGTACGAGTTGGGTACTACGTCAACAACGAATACGACAGCGAAGAGCTGAACGCTGAGCCGCCCGCAAAACCCATCTTCGAACGCATCAAACGCAACGTCCTTGCAGAGAAGCCCAGAGTAACAAGATTCGCTATCAAATGGTACGTTGTGATGTGGTACGCTACTCTTATCATTCACCTTGCTAATATCCTTCGCAGGGACTCGGAGGAATCTGCGCCGGCCGAATATCCACCAGAACAGCCAGAAGCCGATACTTTGGACGATGATGGAACGGCGTATGGTGCAGAGGAGGCAGAGTTGCAAGCTGCCCTGGAAAAAGAACTGGAAGAGGTCGAGTCTGGAACTCCGAAGGTGACCAACGGCGAGCAGGAGATGGTCGAGGAGGAACCCAGCAAACCCAAGGACGAAGAGGATGATGCCAGCGACATTGGCAGCGAAGATCTGGAAGAAGAGAGCAGTGAGAGTGAGGACGACGAAGACGATGAGGAGGCGGCTGAGGGCGAGGATGCCGAAATGGCCGAGGCCGACGAAAAGCCCGCGGCTGATACAGCAGACTCTAACGGCGAAAAGAAGGCAACGGAGCCGCAGCCGGAGGTCATGGTCCATTAGAGAAGGGACTCTCCTCTTTGGTCAGAGCAAGGCGTCAGGAGTCTATTGGGCAGGCTTACCGTCGAATGAACTCACGGAATGCAACGAACAAAATGAGTGATGATTAGACCTGGCTTTTCCTCCACATGTGACTACTGTTGACACGGCATTGTCCTTGTTCTGTGATGCCCACACATCGGAGCTGGATGATACCCAGTAGTCATCTCCTTGGAAGAAATACTTGATCAGCAAAGCTGCGGAAGTTTACATTTACGGAAAACCCAAGAAGTGCATTCAATGTGTGGCATTTTCTGTCTGAGCTAAACTAAACTGAACTAAGAGATACCATCCAGCCAACTGTTGCGGAAGCAAGTGCTGTAGGATGGTTGACAATCAATGAGCAGGCTCACTAAGCCACCCGTTCCCGGCATGGATGAGCTTGCCATCGAGTACTCTTTTTTTGTTGATATGGATTTTGGTTGGCCAATTGCCAACGCTGGAGACTGCATGCAACTGGGGAAAAAGATGGCCCTTTGTGATAGGACCTCGCCTTTTGTTTCGAAGCAGAGACTTCAACTGCTGCAGGCCGAAAGTCGAGACTGACTTGGGTCAGTGGAGGCAATGTCGGCTGTACTCAAGACAGAGTAAAGGGAAATTGATGTTGGGTGCTGCGCCATCATTTTGCACCTCGGCGCGCCAACGTGGACGTCATTGGCATCAGATGTACCACATCGCATAGATAATGCCATGGCTATTGTAGAGCGGGATCAACGGCTTGACCTCCGATTCAGAAGGCTCCGAGCTGTGAGCTGGCGGAGGCATCTGCTTGAAGCCTGCACCGCCTTGAGGACCTGCAGTAGCAGGCGTATCTTCGTGAGCCTTGGCTCGGTTGGAGGCCAGATGCGCATAGTAGACTGCTGGGTGGAGCGACACAGATGTGGTCGAGCGCATGTACTGGTAGCAGTGCTCGTAGATCATATTCTGCAAGGCCTCAGGACGGTGGTTGGCATCATCATGGAGCACTGTGTAATGAACAGGTCGCGATGTGCCTTGGAGTGCAATATGAGAATAGAGAAAGAAGTCCCACTCGTTTGGCATGGTGACATCTCTCTCGATCAGACATCCAGGCAGAGGATTGCCCTTCGGATCGGCACCACTTCCGGTCGGGAATGCGCGGACGTGATGGCGCTTCGATGCAACGATCACTGTGATCTTGCCCTCCCACTTCTTCCCAGCCGCGACGTCCAAGACTGACTTGATATGCGGAACCTCCTGGTTGAGCACATGAGCAAACTGCCCTTCAGACACGCCGTCTCGGATGTAGTAGACCTGTTGGGGGCCTCTTCCACCGCCGACTTTGTCTTTCCACATCTTGACAAGTGGACCAAGCATGTTTCTGATATTGGCTTCAGAGATCATTTCCACCCGATGACCGTTGGTTTGACAAGCGGCAGCGTACCGTCCACCAAAGCGATCGAACGAGATGGTGAGAGCGGCCATCGATGCCTGCTGACTACCTGGCGAGGCATGAGAAACATCCGCGCCAATGATCATCGTCGGGACTGAGAATGACTTGAAGCCACTGCCAGGAGCAGGAATTGCCTGGGCAGTGGTGCCTCCCAACTTGGCATTGACCTTCATGAGTACGTTGGAATAGTACTGCGCGTTGCCTTTCAGTACCTGCCCAACCTGCATCACCTGCGATACCACACCATAGCGACAGTCGCAGGACTTCTTGATGCGTAGGTAATGAAAAGCCTGTTTGTCCTGAACCAAGAAGATGAGTAGTTGAGGCTTCTGGTTGAAATGATTACCCGTCTGCTGGTGAAGAGTCTCGACGCCTTTACCAGCATCCTTCTCGACCAGCTTGATGAAGGGCGGCCTATTCGCAACCTTGCCACCGTGGGCACGGTATGCTCGAGCAAAATCGAGGCAGAACTTGTCGATTGCTGCCTTATCTGGCATCGATTTTCCAGGATACAAACCCACACCCCATGCGACAAGTTCGGTAGGGTTGCCGAGAAGGAAACGCTTGTTTTTCAGATCCCAGCGACCTCTGGTGCCCGGATTCTCCGTCTTGTTGCCGAATTTGATACTAGGCGCCGGAAGGATGCGAGCAGTTGTCTTAATTTGCTCGTTGTCCACGCGTAGGCCGTACTGCGTCAGATACGGATCCTTGTTCCAGTTGAGCCATGATTTGCCCTCGTTGATGGCGTTGAGTCGGACCTGTGGCGGCGAGACGGCAAACTTGATCATGTTTGCAGTTTGGTACTCATCCAACTTGGCTGGAAAGCGCTGCCCATTGAGGATCTGCAAGAACTCCATAGGGTACTTGACGCCTCTCTTGGTCATCTCCACTAGAGGCAGACCAGGATACTGCAAAGCCATGTTGTATTTGCGCTTGAAGTACTGAGCAATGGTCACCATTTCTCCAGTGCCTTGCTTGGTTTGTGGATCCTTCCATTCGATTCTCTCCTCATTGGCGTTGCTCAAGTCGAAACGATGGATCTTCCATTCCTTGTTCGGCAACGGATTGCCCTTGTACTGAGCTTTGACGAGTATACCCTTGAAGTCCTTTTCGATGGCTTTGTGTGCGGCGCTAGCAACTTTGTTTCCATTGGTTCTTACCGGTGTCATGAGATGGACGATATGAGAGACATCTTGGACCTCCCGATTCTTGGTGACGATGGCAGCAGTAAGGGAGGCCGGTTTCCAGAAGCAGGTATTGGCAACGTCGAGGTTGATGATCAGCTTCTTTCCTTCAGCAAGACGCATGGACTGGTAGATACCACGCCAGACTTCAATGCCACCTCCGAGATCAGCTCGCTGACCTTGGCGCTTGAACAGGGACCGGCGGACAGTGATAAACTCTGGAGAAGTTGATGGGCCTTCACGCAAGAGGTGGTCCATAAAGTTGATGGCTTCTGCGACCTGAAAGCCAAACTGAATCCTACCATCAAGATACTGCTGAACAATACTCATGTCCATATTGCGAGTCTTCTTGATGTGGAGTCGGAAAGAATTCCTACCATCACGTGTAGGGCGACCTTCTTCGCGGTCCAGGTCGACCATGAGACGAATTTCAGGTTCGTCACGCAGGGACCATGCCAAACGATTGCCATCGTAGATCATGGCAGGACCTGTCGCATCCTTGCGAACCTTGGAGTCCCAGACTTTGCGCTGCACAACCCGCTTCTCTGCACCGGTACCGATGATCACGTCGTACTGATAGACTTTGACCGTCGGATACTGTATGACGGTATAGGCGTTGACAGCGACTTGTGCCGTGGTGCCGCTGGTGTTGAAGCCTGGACGCTTCTGAAACTGTGTTGGCAACTCGTACTGCAAGTGGTCAGTGCCCGGAGCTGCTATGTTGCGGATATAAGGGATCAATTTGGTTGATCCTGAAGCCATGATGGTCGATTGATGCAGAGGCAGAGGCAGAGGCAGCGGCAGAGGCAGACGCAGATACAGACGCAGATACAGACTGGAGGATTTGGGGGGAGCAAAGGAGGATATAAGTACTCGTCGACAGGCCAGCACCATGGTGAATGGGATCGTATGTCAAGGACATCGAGGGAATTTCTCAGACACGAGGAGGTCTGGTGATGTGCCATAATAGAAGTATGAAACGGGCATTGAAGCTGTATCCTGAGCGGTGCCCCGGTGGCACCGGAACGATGTGAAAGGAAGTCGCATTGTGGAACGAAGACAATGTGCAAAGGCAAGGAAGGGCAGATGTGATTGTGAGGAATTGAAGCGTGAGGAGTCGAAACGTGAGGAGTTGAAGCATAAGGAATTCAATGCGTTGAAGCGGAGCAGTGGCATATTTACTGGCCGCTTCAGATCGAGGAATGCACTTACCAGCTGGTCAATGTTGTAGAACGAGGCGGGCAAGTCAAGGTTGCGGAGCTGATCAGTGTATCTCGGCTGATGATCCCTGGCCGGGTCACCACGAGTGACTGGTGCGTGCTGCGCTGTTGGGCTTGCTGGTTGGGTCTGTGGAGGCGGGCCACCCGACTGGCTGCTTCGTCGACTCGCAGGTTGAGAACCTTGTTGCGCGAAGCCGCCCTGTGGAGGATTTGGAGAGCCACGGCCAGAGCCCACAGACGGTGCAGTAGAAGCTTGACGACCCTGTGAACCTGGACCCGATGCCGAAGCGCTACCTCTTGAAGCCGGACCATCGAAACCACCAGCCGGGACTTGAAGCCGATCACCACGTCGTGACGATGATGTCTCGGACGCTTGACCTCTAGTCGCACGACCGGCACCACGACGACGAGCTGCACCCGACATCTTGGCTCAGTTGGAAGTCTGTAGAAGAAGGATGTCAGTGCCGATCTTTGCAGGTAGGCTGTCAATGCATTGAACAGATGGCGTGAGAGGGATCAGTGAGAGCAGAACCGAAAGATGGAAGGCTAAATACTGTTGGAGTGGAAAGATGAGAAATGCAAGCAGTTGTCTCTCAAATCAATTGAACCGTGGTGTGAGGAGAGTGAGGGAATGGAGAGGAAGTCGGTGCAATTCGCAGTGTGAGAAGTACAGATCCGCAGCTGGAGAAGGCACGGGACAGGAGCGTCCTCTTGCCAGCAGTGAGCACAGAGGAAGGAACAACGATGAAAGGGAAGAGCAAAGAAGAGGGGATAGGTCGAGGTGGAGAGGGAGAGAGGGAGAAGGAAAGAGATGTGCGTTGTGCAGACTGTTTGTTTGGTGGTGGAGCAGATTGAAGCGAGCGGGAGCAGGAAGAGGTGCAACAGAAGTGAGGTTCAGGTTTGATCCAATGCCAGTTGAAGAGAGACGGTTCAAGCTGAAACAGACTGACGAGAAAGAGCAGCAGATCTAGCTACTCACCTTGACGATTGAGAAGAGCGACCTGATTGTGAGAGAGCAGGATCAGGCTGAGATTGAGAGAAGCTCCAAGAGGATCGAGACGCCCAATGGCGACTGCAAATCCTCTAGAAGAGGAGAGGTGGGAGTGTTTGTGCAGAGCAATCACATTGGTCTGCCAGAGAAGAAGAGAGAGATGTAGAAGGAGAAGAGAGAGAAGGAAGAGTGGTGGTGGTGGTGGTGGTGGTGTAGAAGGAGAAGAGGGAGGAGAGGGAGATATTTGTATGCAGGGAAACACGCTGCAGTGACACGTCGCTCGCCAACGTCACTTGCACATGTGAAGCCGTGAGCGTCCAACAGCATCAACAGTGTCAACGCAGTGATATTGTTTGTTATTTGTTGCTCGTCAATGGCATGTGCTTGTTATCAAGGTGCGTTATGAGACAGACACAGCTGAGAGACTTCTGAGACCTTCGAGGTGGGATATCAATTGCTACAAGTCGTCCAGTCCGCCAGCCTTGCCCCCATATCACCGGCCTACGCTACGATAAGGATCTGAGTCGTGTGGAGGAGCCATGTGTATTGGTATACCACAACTTGTTATGACCTGCAATCCAGACAAAGCATGAAGTTGCTCACTGTATAACATGTTTATACAATAGCCCAGCCTGGTCTCACTGTTTGAGACAGCAACGAACAGTCCACGCGTGTCAGCTCTGGCAGAGACTGACTATCTTGTTCTGAGCAGACTCGTGCCCAGCATGTCCCTCCTCCGACGGCTCAAACATGCCTCTCCAGAGCCAGCCGTATATTCCTCAGCCCTCATTCGAGTTGCAGCGAAGACCGCCCGCTCCGAGATGAAGATACTCCCCGAGTTCTGCTAATGACAGTATAAAGAGCAAGGAAAACGAGCAATGGCGTGGGTTTGGGGATTCTACCATGTCCAGGAGGCAGTCTTGGTCGAAGCAGCGCATGAATTCGATCGATCAACTTAGATACCCAAGTGCTCCCATCGAACATGCTCCAGTCACCAGGTACGATACAATCCTCTCGGATGACCTTGATCAGATAGAATCGACCAACTTGAGGCAGCCACCTGGAATGGAGACCACCAGCCGCTTCCACACCTCTTACTCGATCCATTGCGGCCTTCTTGAGCAGGCAGACAAGCGTGCGGCTGCAATTTCCAAGTGTCAAAGGCAAGTCAAAGCCGACATCGTTTCCATGGAGTGAGAGAAGACGTCAGCAACAAGACGACTATTTGATCGGCAGCAATGAACTTCCTAGCACTGATCCCGCCCATGACATCTCCAAAGGTGTCAAGAAGAAACTCACGGGACATGCCATCCTCAGCGTCAACAAGGTGCAGACACCAGGCCAAAACCAGGGCGCAGCAACCGAGAAGCTAGATAAGGCTCTAGATAGACCAATCTCAGCAAGGCCGATATCGTCAGTCCTGCACCGACTGGGATTCGAAGCAGAAGAATGATGGTGTCTCCCTGGTACATCAGCAGCTTGTGGAGGTGACTGCGCGTACCAAACAAGGTCGGAGATGATCTGTCTCCTCGCACCGCGCTGCATCGAGACGCGTTGTCCTGCATATACCTAGGTATGCAGTCTTTCCTAACATTCTAATGCGGAAGACAGACCGAGTCCCCGGTTCATGGGTTTCGGAATTCATGACCAAGGATGGATGCTTGGACAAATAACAAGCAATTGATTGCCTAACTGATATACTTTTAAATAAGCTGTTATGGAGTGGGACCTGATTGTTGACAATTCAAAATTGCCCCGAGCTTTGGTTACACCAGACCGAGGTACGTATAATACGTAGTTACAGAGTAATATCAAAAACAACCTCCCATCCATCTACATATCTCTCCTCTTCTTACCCAACCATAGCAGGCACGCTTCACCCGCTGCAGGACTACACACCACGCACTGTACTTCCTTTTGCACCCACATCCCGGTTGGATGCAAGTCAATCTGTGTGGGGAAGATGCAAACAACGTCTTGACATGAGCAGAGCGTGGTCCTGCTGGTGGACGATCGACCCATGAAGATATGGCATGTACCGAGATGCCTTGACTTTGATCATTTAGTACATTGCAAATTGTATCTGGCTATTGACCCAAGGCAAAACCATACCATCAAACTCTGTCCTTTCCGCGCTTTTTGTCCTTTTCTTCCACATGATACCTCGTTAATGTACAAGACGTGACCTGTTAAATTCATCGACACATTAAACCCCCCGACCTCGTGCGGTCCCAGCCATGTCAACTGGGATGATAGTCGACGATCCCCAGGCTCTGTCTCATCTGTGACAATCGTTCAGGCGCGGACAGAGCTGTACCATCACGGTCGTCACCGGTGGCCCTCTCCTCGTCTTGGGAATTAGCTTCCGCCTTTGTTTTCGCAGACCTCAAAGCAAGATCCTTGAGACCAGGAAGGCGGGAGATCTTCATGCCCAATTTCCCCACTTGATCTCTTGCATGGTGGGATGTATCAGTCACCGAGTCTTGCCTCAGCCGACCCATTTGGCTTCCAGTCGGGCCATCGTCGAGAGCCTGGCCCGTCCTCGACTGGGTAGGACTGTAATTCAAGGCATCGGAAAACTCCATGTGGCCGTCTCCGTTTTTGGATTGAAGACTATCCGTTGCAATGGCTACGCTTTGGCGTCGCATTTCGTCTCGTCGTATTCTTTTCATGCCCAACCGCTTCAGCTCGGTCTTGAAGTCGTCGAGCATGATCGTGTCGGTTAAACACTTGAACATAAGGGAGAGTTTCCACCAAGGGTTGATGCTGATGAGCGTTAGCCGCTATTCTGTGCTGATAGATGGAGAGCTGATAGATCGGCCCCTTGGGCCGTGCCACCTTCACACTTACCCGTCTGTAGATCCAATAAAGCTATGAATGCTTGCAACGATATCCAACACAGTGAAAATCAGAGAGAGGGTGATTGCAGAAAGCAGGATGGCAAAACGAGGAGACCGCTTGATCAACTCTAAAACACCCGTTCCATAACACTTTCGAATGACCTCGAACAGGGTCAGAACGGAGAACACCCACCATGGGTCACGCATCAACGGTTCGTATGGCCTCACTGTGACGTAGAGGTCATTGATGTTGTTGAAGAAGCGGAAATTGTTGTAGATCTGAAGTATGATCGGGGGGATCGTGCAGACCAGGGAGCCCAAGTAGATCCTTCGAATCCATTTGCCAATTTGGGGCTTGAACATGGATCTGGAGTCGCAGACTAACGGGCCAATCTTCAGCCATGCCACAATGTTATGCACTACCCAGGAACAGTAGAGGAGCGCCGCGGTCGAGCTCAGATACCAGCCGTAACCGGGAAAGGTGAAGAAGCAGAAGGTTCCTGTATATGTTGGCACGGCGGGTTCCACAACTCAGAATTCTGTGCTTACCATGAGACAGCGCCGCAAGTTGCTTGTTCAGTTGTCAGCAAACATCTTGCGACCAAACATCTTTCACGCATGACCCGACTACTCACCTCGAGAAGAATCAATTTGTGCAGGAGGACGCCCTTCCTCATGTTCGCGACCGTCACACAGCCCATGATGAGCAGACTCCCCACCAGACATCCTTGACTCCAGCTTTCCAGCACCAGATCTTCATCCGACGCGAACGCCCGCCAACTGCCATTGACGGTATCCGAGCGCCGATTGACTGCGAATCTCGGTGCCATGTAGTTTGTCAACACGAGGAAGTGCGGACGGGTAACATTCTGTGGGTGCGGGTGAGCATGGAGGCCGCTGGTCCGCAACAGAGAGGATGAGGCCGTTCGCGCGGAGAGGTCTCTTCTTCGACAGAAAGCGAACGTGGGGAGTTCCTATCGATCCAGATTGCGAGATCTGGCTGGTGAGCAGGATAGGTCGGCGGCAGTAGGAAAAGCCAGGATTCGAGGAGAGGAGAGAGGCTCGTGTAATATCGCTACAAAACGCGGGCAAGGCGAGGTGGGAGTACAAGAGTAAGACAGATCAGACGGTGCGACGCAACAGGACGCGCTTCTGCAGGTCGTGAACAGATGGACAGGAACAGAGGAAAAGAGGTGTAAGAGAACAACGGTGACCAGAGCAAATGAGTCGGAATCGTTCTGATGAGGATGACTTTCTCCTCTTGCGTGTGAGAGAGAACAGCGATCTCGCAAGTCTGCCTACCTGCCAATGGATAGTAGCTATCCATTCCGCTACGTACCTATGCTGGCCTGATTTCACCAGCGTCGAGGATCATTTTCTGACGGCGTCCAGCCCTGTACGAGAAGCGGAGGTGGGAGCGAATGAGATGGAGATGGTCCGGGGGTGGAAGAGAAGCTGGAGGGTTGGCAGCACGGCCAGTGTCTATCTACTAATCTAGCACGGTTACAAAGAAGGTAGTTGCCCGCAGAATATTCATCATTCATCATCCCCACAACATTCTCTCCACGGATCCGAATCGACTCGGGAGAGCCTCCTAAGCAGAGCATCGGGGAGAGGAGCTGGCAGTGCCCGATCAGCCAGTTTTCTACACTGGTAGTATAGTACTTAAGGTACATTATGTGCGAGAATACTTTGTCCCACCGCTAAACGGTCACTGCTAACGGCTATGCAGCACACCCTCGACACCTATTACTCTCTCTTCTCTTCTCTCTCGTCTCTCTATTCCCCCCTCGGCACAAGGCAGAGTGCGGAAGTCGGCCACGGTCATCATCATCATCGTCATTATCAGGACAGTCTTTGGCGGTCGACGTTGTACTTACAGATTGATTGACACCTGTTCCTGTCACGCTCCCAGCCACAAGATCATCACCTCGTCTCGACTTGCTCTCCTGCGGTACACACAATAGTACCTAGGTACCTACTCTCCTCTCTGTCTTCAGTTCCTCCACGCATCTCCGCGTCAATCCTTTCGTCCACTCCGAATCGGTTCTGCTTCGGTCGTCGGTCTGGTACTGGTTCAAGCCATTATTGGTTTCCTACCTACCTACCTAGGTGCTGCCTAAGGTAAGGTACATCACCTGAGGACAGGCTCTTACGGCTTCATCTTCAAGACAGCTCGCCCAGCCTCGGCATGTCTCGCTGATCGAAGTGCAGCGCGTCCGCGTGACATACCCCTCCCCATCCTCCATTTTTTGACAATTCGTTTCCTCATTGTGGTCGAAGAAACGAACTGGAGACTCTTCCAGCAGTGTGTCACCCTCTCCTCCAGGTACCTTGGCGAGGTAAGGCAAATTCAAAGAGGCCCGCGGGATGTCAGACATGAAGAGGAAGGAGTCCCTCATACCCACCATCCTGTACACAAGCGTCAACGTCCAGAATTCGCCTGATTGCTCTGTTCGTATGCCTGCAGAGAGTCTTTCACCGTACAGCCTGACCCGCAATATGTACCGTCTCTCTGTCGAAACTCAAACTCGATTCCAGAACCCAACCCCGGTGCGAACCGGTCTTGGACCTTCCCAGCTGAATGGAACTAAACAAAGTTCGGGAGCCAATTGCAATACTCGCTTATTTCAAGGTATGCTGTCGCCCAAAGGTCATGCAACCAAACCAGGATTTGTGTACAAAGCATCATCGCCTTACACAGCTGCTCAAAACCTACCGTGCACTTTTTTTCACTTCTCAAACAAAGCCACCTTGCATCCCACGCCGCTGGACAACGTGATGGTCACGCGTTCGCGCCACTCGCGAGCATCTCGGCTCTCGATCCTGGGAAACGTCTGCACCAGTCTGATGGTAGCATAGCTGGCTTCGAGCAGAGCATACTGCTGGCCGACACAGATCCGCGGACCGCCATTGAACGGGAGATACTCCCAACCCGGCCGCAGGGTTTCCCATCTCTCCGGCTTGAATTCGAGGGCGTCGGGTCCGTAGAAGTCTTCTCGACGGTGCATCGCCCACGGACTGTAGGCCACGATCTCGCCCTTGCGCACAAGAGCCGGGGACCTGCCGTCGGGACCACCTCCTAGAGGAAGGATTGTGTCTCTGACCGCCTCGCGACTGTTGCCCGGCACGACAGGCATGAGACGGAGCGACTCATTCAGTAGCCATTTCAGGTATTTCATCTCCTTGATTGTGCTGTAGTCCGGCCGCGCGCCGCCGAGCCGGTCGACCTCGTCTCTCAACGTCGCCCAGAGATCCGGCCGTTTCGAAAGGACGTGCCACGTGTTCGACAACAGGCCTGCCGTAGTGTCGCGTCCGGCGAGCAGGATGTTGAGCAACTCCGAGCGAAGCGTGTAGGGATCTCGCGTCTGTTTCAGCAGAGCGTGGAGAAAGACATAGCGGCCGGTCGGCGACGGTTTCTCGATCTCGACATGTTCCAGGGCGTCGCGGATGATCTGGTCGGCGAAGTTGTGGATGGTCTTGACACTCCTGCGCCACCTGCGGTCTGGGATGTAATCCAGCAGCCCGCCGGTTCTGAAACTTTTGGAGGCATCTAGTCAACAATCAACCAAGCGTCAGCCAATCTGTGTCTAAAAGAAGCGTTTCATCTCGGTTCGTTTCATTTCATCTCAATTGAAGGGTCGGAGGCCAGAGGCCAAGGTCAGGGACTCGGTAGAACACTTGACCTACTCTCGGTGACATAGACAAAGGCCTTGACAAAGTCATTTGCCGATTTGGTCTCCAGGCCCGGCGCCAGCGTCCGGGTCGACTGTCCGAAGAGGAACTCGGTGGCCGAGTCCATGGTCAAGCCGAAGAACAGGTCCTGGAGATCGACGGTGCTGCCGTCGCGCGGAACCGCGCCGATCAAGTTGCCGACGTGGGTTTCCAGCATGTCCAGGTCCGCCACTTGCTGGCGGGTGAAGTTGGGCCGCACCAGGCCGCGCGACCGCTCCCAGGCCTCGCCGTCCGTGGAGAAGATGCCGTGGCCGAAGATGGGGATGAAGACTGCCTTCCGGCGCTGCCCGAGAGAGTAGTCGCCGAACCTGGTCGACAGGATGGTCTGCACGTTCTTGGGCTCGATGGTCCCAATGACTTGGAGAGTCGGTTAGCCCTGATTCCTCCCCAGGGAGTGCTGGAGTGCTTTGCAAATTGAGCTGGATTGGGGAGTAGCCTTCAAATCCCTCATAGCTTTGCTTGTCAAGGGCAACGATAACGGGACTATATGTCGGGGGAAGAAAGGAATCGCTCTCAATTATGGTCGATCACTCACTTTTGTTCCGCAAAATGTGCATCTTCACCGTGTGATGTCCATCGCCCCAGTTCCTGATACGCGACGCTTCTTGCGATCGACCCTCTCTGCCTGCCGCCATGCTGGCTTGGATCACGTCCAGGCCGAGCAGTTTGCCCAGGACGCCTCGATGGGCGTAGCCGTGGATCGGCTCACAGCCATGCTCGCGGATCATGCGACGGCGACGCGCCGCGGTGGAGAACGCAGAGTAGATCCGATGAAGAATGAAAAGGACGAGACTGACGAAGATGAAGGCTGGAATGGAGATACGAGCATGAGAGAATGTGGCCATGGTTGAATACTGTCTGTCATCAATAGGAGGAGACAGACAGCAGATGCATGGTGGGAAGGAGTCCAGTAGTAGTGAGTGACAAGGCGGATGATTTGACTACTAGTATAATAAGTCAGTCAATCAGTGGTGGGTCAGTCGAGTCAAGAAACGAGCTGAGAAGACATAAGACTCCAACCGGTCGGTATGTAGGTAAGCGCCACACCTTGAGTCGACGTCGAAGGATCAGTTTCAACCGGTCCCCGTAAGCGGAACGGGACAATCGTAGAGTCCCGGGAAGGTGGGGATGTTGTGCACGGTATAGAAGATCCACTGGTAGGTTATGCCAGCTGGTCAACTTCTGCGTCTCTTCTGGAATGATTGATGCCTGCCAGGCAACTACCATTCATTATTCGAATTGATGACAGTCATACCATACTACTATCGCCTAGTACTATCGCTTCGCCGCCTGGTGCTCGTGGACATTCATCTCGTCTGGTGGTAGCGCGCGTTTGCCAATTCCGGCCTTTGACACGACGGGAAATACGAGGAGGATTCGGCGAACCCCTTGCCATGTGTAAGATTCGCCAGGGGTCGAGAAGAGGCGAAGGATGGGAAGTTGGCCAAAGGGCGGCTGGAGACCTAGGGAGCCTTTCTACGCGATAGTCCAACGTCGGTCCATCCCCAATTCCTATTGCAAGCACGTATCGTGTCTTTAACAAGTTGATCCGTGGCTCGACAACATCCTCTCCTCATCACCTCCTCCCAACAAGCTCGATGTTAGCGTGCGAGAATGGTCGACGCTCAGGACAGATCCGTGCTGGTTCTCGTGGCAGCCTCATCCACCACTCTCGATCGACCGACAACTAACTTGTGGCTCGAACCCGAACCCCGACCCCTGATATCGCCCTTCCCTCGTCCGCCAAAGCCTCCTCTCCCAGAGCTCCCGCCACCTCGTCCTTTATCTCCATCCCTTCCGCCACTCGTCCGCCCTCGACTGCTGCCGCCATATCGACCACCTCCATGGCCACCTTTGCCTCTGCTTCCCACTTTGAAGTCGATCTTGACCATCGGACGTTCCACCATCTCGAGGCCTTCCAGCCCCAGCTCGGCCCTTCTGTCTTGACCCACTTTCCACCCTTGGAATATTTCTTGGGGGTCATCCAAGGCCCGCAGCTCCTCCACCCAAGCCTTACAGTACTCTCCGTGGGGATCGTAGTCACAAGCTTGTTTGACCGGGTTGAAGACACGGGCTTGTCCCCTAGGATCGTTGCCCACTCCTGCCACATATTGCCAATTGCCCCAGTTGTTGGAAACGTCGTAATCCGCCAGGTTGGCCTCGTACCATTCGGCTCCTATCCGCCAGTCAATGCCAAGGTGTTTAGCCAGGTAACTAGCAACATTCTGTCGGGCTCGATTGCTTGTGTAACCGGTCAGAAAGAGTTCGCGCTGGCTGGCGTCGATCAATCCGGTGCCAGTCGTTCCGACGAGGAACCTTTGTACCATGCGCGTCACTTCTGCTCCCCCCTCTCCCGCGCCGGGTGTCCTCCACGGGTAAGAGGCGTCGTTGCGAAACCCTTGCAGACGAAACAGTCGAGGGCCGAACTTCCGGGTACAGAGTCTCATGTAGTCCCGCCATAACATCTCGAACCGTACCGCCGCGGTCCCCCTGTTCTCCCCTTTCCCATATCCTTCGGCACACTTGTACTGCTCGTCTCGGCCTTCTTCAAAATCCAACAGCCGAGCATGCACCTGACGCGCGGTAATGCAACCCAGCGCCAGCCAGGCCGAAAGTTTGGTGGAGAAATCCGTCCCGATCAGGCCATTGCGGGTGTCTTTGTACCCAGACATAGCGCCAGATCTCAGGAGGTTTTGGATACGCCCGAGTCCTTCCTTGCTTCCTCCGTGAAAGGGGTGTGCGGATGTTACCCCCGGGGGGAATGACGGAGGCTCTGAGAGGAGAGGTTCATCCTCGAGCGGCTTCATTAACGCCGCTTCCAGTCCGTCGTGGGTTTCGGGGATGGCAAACGGAGGAGCCTGGTCGGGGATGAACGAGGGTAGCGGCAGTAGAGAAGGAGGCGTAGGAAGAGGGCTCCTTGGAGCTTCCCGGAGTGGCTCTACCGATTTCCGATAACTCGTGAAGACATCTGGTAGGTCCGTAGGTTTATCGAACGGCAGATCCCGGCTGTGATTGAAGTCAGCCTCAGCAGCCTCGCCAGAGAGCCGGCCGTCCATACTCATCGACGAAGTATTTCTCGTCCAGCCACAACTTGAAATCCACTCCGGCTCTTTCAGCTGCCCTCCGTACTTCTCGTTCCTCTCTTTTCTCCTCCACACCCTCCTCCATTGTCATCCAGACTGCCGACACATGCGCCTGGCCCTGCTTCTGCTCAAACTGATGGAGGAGGTCCTGCGCAACCTGGCCTAGCAGTCCGACACGAACCAGGAGACCACTGCCTACCTTTTCGAGCTCTTCTTTCATCTCCCAGACCGATTCTGCCAGGAACTTGACCCGATGTGGGCCGCACCTCCAAAACTTTCCAACCTCAGATCTGGCTTCAGGAAACGGTGATGTGGCATCGACATCGACCAAGAATCCGCTGACCTCAACCTGTTGAGCAGGAAACACATACACTGGGAGTACATGTGTGAAGGGTTTGGGTGATTGTTTGGAAAGCCTGTCTATTTCGTGGAAAATCGGATTGTCCGACAGGCGTAGATCCCGGCGCAAAAGGTAAATGAGCACCCGCTGGACCGCCATCCTGTTCCTAAATCCTGTAGGCCAAGATATGCAGCATTCAAAAGCCGATTCAGGCGTTGCTCTCCTTCATATCGTGCCCCAACACACATGGCCAGTCCCGAGAATGTGGCCTGCAGGAGAGCTTCTGGGGTGGAAGGAAGCAGTTTCTTCGCCTGATTGGAATACTTGCCCCGGGGATTGGACCTCAATCTTCTTTTTTTTTTTCGTACGTAAGTTTGGACGGAAAGGGGTGAAAAACAACATAGAAAGTCTGGGACCCCAGCTATGATCACGGCGAAAGACGGTCCTTATAATCCATTCGGCCAAAGACAAAGCTCTCAGAAGATGTCATTGATCACGACGCATTCAGTGGCTGGATCTTCAAATCTTGTCAGGGGTATGGTTAGTCCGATCAATTCAAGCTTCCGACAAAACTAAGCGACCATTAGGATGGAAGCGACATAAGATGTCGGCTTCCGCGCAACGCAGTCAAGCCAGTGGTGCAGGAGCTGCGACCGAGCCGGGGGTTTTCAAACCTTGATGAGGTCAAGGATCTTGAGTTGAGTAAGAACTCATCTTGACCTCCATGAGATCACCAGCCACCCTGGGCAGCAGAAACGTGGAGACAAGGTCCCCCATCAGCATAAAGGGTGGCGGATGACAGGGCACCATCACTTAAACCGGGATCCTGCACTGAGAAAGAGCGGAACTGGAAGCCGGGGCGTCGTTGTGGCTTCAGCCAGTTCAACGTGACACCGCAAGCATCGTCACCTATCAAAGGACGACGGTAGGATGCCGACAGTCAGGGAGCACTGTGCAATGTATGGAGCACTATTCAGATCTGACAGTGTCGATCTGGCCTGCGAGATCGAGCGCGGATCATATAGATGGCGATCGCCGTCCGGTTCGATAGGGTTCGGGCATCGGGCTCTAGCAATGTGATCGGCTGCAGCCTCCCTTCGGCGAAGCCGTGATTGAGATCAACGGCAACGATGGGGAAACACCTTGTACGAGTCAACCAACGCTCATCGGCGAATAATGTTGCAAAACGCTGGAGAAGACTCGGCCAACACTCGTAACGCCCACAAGAGCAGGGAGAGCGCGTATCGAAGATGAAAGACGGCCCGCAGTCTGTTGTAAGCCGCTGAAGTTTGACAGCTGCCAGATCAGAATCTCCCGTGCCTCAATCATGCATCTTGCCATCCAAGGACTTGTTCTGGTCTCGTCGTGCAATCGATGTTCGTCGGCTACTTGCATAGCATGGATGGTACAACCGGGTTGCTACGATGGGCGAGGCGACCGATCGGGGTGCATGTATAGACCTGACCTCCTAGGGAGCCGTACTCCCTTCACCTTCACCTTCACCCAGTCCTCCTCTGTCTTTGTAGGTGTGCATGCGTCTAGATGCCTCCTTGCATGTGCAACTGGCACTTGTCGATTGTGCGATGCCTTGTAGTCTGTCCACAATATGGCTTCACGCTCCAGTTTCCGCCAGGTGTTCGTTGCACGCTGCAAGATTGAGAGGTAGGCCTTTGCACGGGGGTGTTTCAGTGGCCGTAGCTCTTCCGTGTGTTTCAAGTTCTCTGTAGTGAGGCCTGGCCGTGGGGATCAATGAGGACTTGCAGATTCCCGCGGGAGCTGCTTGTCCACATCGCTCGACAAGGATGAAAGTCTTCGACCAATCTACGCGTTAGTAAAGAAGAGGAGCTTTGGACACCACATAACAGCATACAACATGTCATGACGGCCCAAACTGTGATGAAATACAGACGAAGAGCATTGAGATGTTCATATGTTGGCCGTGGCCGTTGTTAGTATGAGGGGTGCCTCTACATCATCAGCCACATCTCCAGGCGGCAGGCACCACTGCACGCAAGAGCCACTTTTGGATGCCACAGTGTGGCACGCCAAGTGCAGTCGAGGGGGCTTCCACGTGATGGCTAGGGTTACCCGGGAGGTACCTAGGTACCTGAGGTATGCACCAACTGCACGTGATTGTTCTCAGTGTAAAGGTGAAAGCGCCACGGCGCCTCCCGTAAGCGAGGCTGCATCATGTTCAAGCCATTGCGCCCAATCAAGCCACACGCGCATGGCTACAGGGGTCTTGGGCCAAATGTCAGATGCTTCAAACCTGCGCCCAGATCTCACTAACCTGGTGGCCCCTCAAGTTGTATCCATGATGGAGGTTTTTGCAGTATGCGATAAACGATAAAACGTGAATCAATCGGGTAACCGCGTCCACCTTTTTACACATCAGTCGCACGAGCAATCTGCCCAGTCCAACCGGAAACCGACTTCATTAGAACTGTAAGGCCTGGTCCCTAGTAACTGAAACGCTCATCCTGGTCTCTGAGTCTACCGTCCATCATCCGAGCGCCGTGCAGATAAAAATACTCCCTCGCCCTGTGGTGCCATTCCGAATCCCTGGGGGTATAATAGCAACAGAGGGACACAGAATTCCCAGAAGCCGTCAAAGAAAACCATCAAAACGTTCCATCTCATCTTGCCAATCGCTCGAGGCTGCCATCCATCATATCATGCCTTTCAACACCACAGTACCCAAAATAATTACCCACAGGAGCCATGCCTGTTGCGTTGTATTATACAGTACCAGAGTCAAGGTAAATAACTCAACAGACGTAATCACAGACGATATCTGTTCATCATGCTGCTGTTGCTGCCGCCGGGCTGCCGCTGTTGACATCGCTGCCAGAGTCAGATTTGCCGTGTTCGTCACGGGACATGCCGTCGGCGGTAGAGCCACTGCCGCATCCCTTGACCAAGATGTGCCTCTGTCCACGAGTTAGTACCGTGGTGGAGACGAACTGGAAGGATACAAGACTCACCTTCAGCGCATCCTTGCGCGAGAAACTCTTGTCACAGTGAGTACAAGGGAACGGCTTCACGGCTAAATGGATCCTTTTGTGCCTCTTCAAGTCATGGTTGCGATTGAAGCTCTGGGGACATTGATCACATTTGAAAGGGCGGTCGTGAATTGGAGGCTGTTGTGGAGCGTTCGTCCGTTGCTGGCCGTACATAGCTTGCGGATTCGCAGCGTAGCCGCTATTGAAGCCTACTGGCAACATATTCGCTTGCATATTGCCCACCATTGCCATCTGTGCTCCTGGGCTGTGTACATTTGTCATAATAGGGCCTGGCATTGCTGGCAAAGAATACGAAGGAGGAGGAGGCCGCATAAATGGCGCCTGCGGTTGCGGTGGGAGTGGCCCTTGATGAAGGGTGGGAGACATACGCGGTCCATGCAGCCCGTGCAGATGCGGGCTCTGAGAGACTGGTGTAGATGTCGCATAAGCATAACTAGACGGGTGGGGACCCGTGCTGGTCACGGTTGTGAACAAGGCAGGATTCGGGGATGGCTTGCTAACTCCATCGTGTGGGGATATAGGAGACTGTTGGCTCGGCGGTCGAAGTCCATTCTGCAAAGACGACAGGACATGGTGCTGATGAGCAGAATTGGTGGCACTCATGGGAGAAGACATCGGGAGAGAGGCGCCGTATGGCTGAACTGAGTTGAGATCATAAGGAGGAGGAGGCAGGGCCGAAGCTTCTCCAGCGGTAGGGGAATTGGTGTGATGCCGCATCTGTGGGCCTCCCATGGGTGAAAACATGGATCGAGGAGGAAGCAGAGCGTTCCCGTTGTGCCAGGGCTGAGGGGTGAAGCCCGTGTTATACCCGGTCGGTGTTGTGCCAGTATTGAAGAAGCTAGGGGTGTAAGGAAGAACTGGTACTGCGGCACTGTTTGGGGTCGTGCTGATGCCAGATGAGGTTGCGCTTCCTTCTGAGGCCGAGTTTGATGGCGGAGTAAGAAGTTGACCCAGGCTCACAAGCCCAGGACCGGCGTGAGAGGCGCCGAGGCCGGAGAGCGGAGGAATCTTGTGAGTCGATATGGGAGTGAATTGGATGTTCGATGGCGGTGGCAGCTCGAACGCAGGAAGATTAGATGCGGCTTGCCTGCGCTGGGTCAGGCTGGCCGGCGCATTGAGGGCATCAAGGGATGTCCCCATTGGAAGGGGTATTGCGACGGACGCCAGAGTGGCTGTTGGCGGAGTTTAACTGCGCGATGGCTACAACGTGAAGGGAAAGTACCAAAGACAAGACTGATGGACGTGGGTCGGCGGCTAGGTCGATTGTCCTATATATTTGGCAGACCTCAGAGCCAGTCTATTGCAGGGTCACCAGTTGAAAAGGCTGGCGAAGGCAGCACAACAGTTTCCTTTTCGCTTCGCGAGTGGCCAGGTCTCTTGAGTGCGATATCAGGATGCGTACACTGGCCAGATGGAGGATTTCGGGTTTGATATGCGCAAAATGGTAAGGCCTTCTGTCGACCTCAACCGGGCATGCGATACAGAGTGACGGTTGTAGCGAGGATGGTGTTTGTGGTGGAGCGACGGCGAGTGATGATCGGTCTTCGGCTGGGTGTCAGCTGGGATTTTTGCGGCCACCTCAGTGGTCGTGGGGCTTCGGTGGACGACTCGGACTCGGCTTGCTGGACAATCGAGGAAAGAGATCTGCACCGCCGACAACCAGCGGTCAGGTTCCGAAGGACAGAGATCCGTCGAGGACAATGCGCGTTCGACAAGAGATATAGGTTCCCGGGTCGTACTCAACAGGGCAGGATTGCTTTGAGGGATCGAAATACCGTGGTTTTGGGTGAGAGAAGTTCTGGTGAGGCTGTGGAAAAGAGCGGTTCAAAGACTGATTTCAAAGATTGAAGAACCTTTCAGAGCGCGATCCTTTTGGTCGGGGCAGCACATGGCGTTCTTAGCGGGCAGCTGGCGGCCGGCTGGCTGGACGGGCCTGTCGCCTGCTTCGCCTAAAACGAGGAGAGCTTTGTCGAAAAGGGATGGCGGAGACAGGGAGATGCTAGGATGCGAGAGCCATGGAGGCGATAGCTGAACGGGCGGCGGGCTGCAAGCTTCAATGCTATTAGCACGCGCGGGTGCAAGGCTCATGGAAGCTGATTGCTGGGCTTGTTGGTGGATGGGAACATTGGGTGGGCGGACGCGGGAGAGGCTAACAAGACAGGGGACAGCACAGTTGAGTCGAGGTCAAGGTCGACATGGGGCCCGGTCAGTTGGTCTCAGTTCCCTTCCAACGAAACAGTCTGGACCGAGCGTTGCAACAGAGTTTGATCCCCCCCAAAAGGGACCTCAAGAGATTGGACGATGCTTGAGGCATCGACTACGCCGGAAGTAGCTTGGGCCATTCGTGATGGGGAGCAGAGAAAACAGACTTGGGTGGAGAGGATTGTGCTAGTCACGCAAGCGCTGGGGGATCACAACCAAAGTGCCTGTCGGTGGCTTTTCCTGGGCACAAATCGTCCACCTGGGACATGTCAAATCCTCTAGTGTGCATTGTACCGTAGCTCTTGCATGATGCCCACTTCTTGGACACGAGATGTGTACCGTGTACGGATGTTGAAGGAGGCCCAGGGACGGGGAACAGGCGCGACGTGTGAGACATGCAATAACAGAGACGTCGGACGGGAGACATCATCGCAGGTCAGGCTGGAGGAGCTCTGGGTCGGGATGTTCGTAAAGGGTTCGTGTGTGAGAGAGACAGAGAGGGTGTGCTTGTCAGAAGGAGGAAAAGAGGTGGCATGGTGAATTGCATGCCCGTTGTCGACACCGACGTTCCTAGGTAGTAGGTCGTAGGTAGGTACTATTGAGCAAGGACACCGTCGTAGACTATAAGGTATGTACCTACCTAAGGTAGGTATGTCTCTACCTGGTACTACTACATGATGCAGATTTCAAAAATCGCCCTTGGAGCATAACAGAAGACGATCATATGTACAAATTAATACTGACAGTGCGCAGGCACACTGGCGCAGCGCAGGCACCATCCCTAGCATTACATACTTCTCGACACAGTAGGTACACAGTAGCTTGCTGAATGCCTATTTCTTCTCTCATTACCTCAATCACACGGTCTCACCCACATTCTTGTTATGTACTATAGGTATACTACGTACTACTGACGAGTCGGCTATTTTGACCAGTTCTCTCTGCCTGCCGAATCTCGATCATCGTTCTCGACCACCATGTTACTTGTACCAGTCTTCCAAAGTCGTCCACTGCAGTGCCTAGCGGCCCTAAGTCTGATGCCAGGTGCCCACACACTGCAGCGTAACCAAGCGGGCTCCCCAAAGTGCAAAAAAAGCAAAGACCCCGGGCCTTGTCGCGCGAGTGATGGTCTGTGTGTCCGATTCCTTTCAACCAGAGCTGCAACTTGATCAAGTTGGTACCTACAAGGATTGATCCCCCTAGTAAACCGGCACAGGACTAATGAATGATACATGCTTACCACTAGGTGGTCCACTGTCGACGAGCTATCCAGGTCGTTATTCTCGAGCAGATCCCAAGCTGCAATCGCACCTGGGACCACGAACAGTTCCATTTTCGTGTCTTGAACCGGCTGAAACCCTCCATCACTCCACCAATCCGTGGTACCACGGGAGTGAAGAAGTGGGAAAGAAAGGGTTCTGGCCGCTTGGAAAACAGCTCCAGTCCTGTTTGTGGTAGGATTACCGCAACCTAAGGACCGGCACTATCACTGATAGGTACTATTGCGCTCGCTGCCAACGAACCTCATCCTACGGGGGTGCTATAACGTCCGTCGACCATGTTTTCACGATCCGTGGTTCTTGATCCCCGCCCCCTCTCCGGGATTGTCACTTCCAGGCAGCGTCTGACTGGCTACTTACACACAAAGCATAGTTGTTTCCTTCTGCTGCCAGATAGGTCGCGCCTGTGTTCGCAAGTCGTCCTCCTCTCAACGACCCGTTCGAACCGTCCGACTGCCTCTGAAAGGTACCAGTCCAAACCTAGTCTGAGTCCCGAACACAATTCTCCGAGTTGTTTCCTTACGACCGGCCAAAGTCAGCTTTCGGCGGAGAATGCGTTTCTGGTATAGGACATCCTGGTTAAGTACAGGGTAGGAGCGACACGGAGACTTGGTCAAAGCGCTTCCCGAACTGACTACGACTTTCATCCTAGTGCTCGGCGGTCTCCCAAGCATCACGCAAGCTCCACCACCTTCAATTGACGATGGCTTAGTTTTGACACTATCCTACGGGTGATCTTTCTATTGGGCCGCTCGCCCATCGGCGGTGTGAAGGTTTTCGTCTACCGGTTAAGCAGTATACAGCCATGTGGCTGCCACCACCATTTGCCGTGTCAGACGCCAGGCAGCGGACGCGCCTCAAGATACGTCTTAGCTGGTCATGATATGGCAATGGAAGTCGTCTTGGGGCCCATGCTTAGGCAGAAAACCCAAACCACAATGGGCCCCAAAGAATCAGCCTCCACTCAACCCGCTACCTTGGCTTTCCTGGGAGCTCAGCCAGCCCAGATATATTATCTTTTGACTTTGAGGGTCATTTTGGAGCGGATGGTGCCCACCCGCCTTCACATTGGAGATCGATCTTCCAGGTAGGCTTCCGAGGCTGCCACACATCCACATTCGACGCCATCTCATCACCGCGTCCTTCACCAACGGGTGTATGATAGGTGTGGGCCTACATAGGAAGCACTTTGGCAAGACTTGAAGACAGGAGCAACGTACTCGAAGCTCCTGCTGTCTTGCTATACGGAAGGGACTGCACACCGTGTACACGGCGGGCTGATGGCTTCGTTACTGCTTGTCACTCACCTCCTGGCCTCTTCGATTGCTCATACTTCCTATCACCGAGTCTCACGGCAGTGATTGGATCACCCGAGCAAGCGAGTATGTGGTGCCTCAGTAAGCAGATTGTTTTACGTCAAAGAAACTGATTCCTGGAGCAATTTAAGAGCTAAGCTTGTCAGGCGGCAATCCCAGGTCATCAGGAAGATAAAGTGGGCATCTGTAGAGGACAATTTAGGGGATCCAATGGTTACTCTCCCTAAGCGAACCGCCATCCCGGTTCGACCCCCTTGAAAGGTGCCCCTGCAGATCGCGCGCTCGGCGTGGCCGCTGACAGCCGCTTATCGGGCTGGAAACGCCCTATTGATGGTACTTCTGAAGCTATCCTAGGGAGGCTTTAAGACGCGCGTGTGACTCTGTGAGGACCTGCGAGCTGCTACTGACTTGGAGCCAGATGTTGACATTCGGATCGACGAATATCAGATCCGGTGGCTGTTGCCTTGCCGGAAATTGTCCTATATCACTTTCCGTGACAGTACAGCTATTCGCACATGAAACGGACTCATCTGTTCCTCCGGATCTGGTGTTGATTGCTCGCCGCCGACTCGTCCCCTGTCCCATGTCCATAACTGATTTTACCCTGGCTAGCGCTCAATATTACTGCGGCTGAGCTGTCTAGCACCATGTGCATCTCTCTGTCCTGAGACACCGGCCCCTGACCGGAATTTTCTTTTTCGTGGTGAACAGGCTCAACACGGCATTCTGTGCTGGTTCCGCGACAAACATGATTGAAATGTGTTTCGGGTAGGTGCGTCAGCAGATATCACGAGTCTCGTATGAAGCAGAGATTACGGCAACACAGATGGTTGCCGGACAATCCAGTTCTGTTAGGGGTCTTGTTGCACAGACAGCGCCGGGTCATTGGGCTTTCTGATCCCACCGCCGCCTCGTCGTCTTGCAACTACTTCGGTCGTGCCCTTTCTCACTGCTCTGGTGAGATGTCACTACCTGTCATGGGCAGCAGCATTATATGTCTCGCCTACACCGATATGTGTGATGGTATGTCGCGCACGAAGCTCAACCCCGAGACGATGATCTTACCTCGGTCCGGTAGCATGCCAATTGTCCAGATTTGAGACGCAACAGTTCACAAGATACTCGGACTTTTTGATATCACTACAGGTCGATATTGCAAACCTTCACTCGCCATAAACGCATGGATCTGCGGCCGAGCAGATGGCTTTTTCACTTGGGGCCTGTTTGGCGTGGACTGTTGTCATGATCGGGTGGGTGCCCCGATCACAACAGATATCAACTACAGGCCCAGAATTATTAGGCACAATGCCTAGGGTTGTGGTCCTTTTTGTCAGGGCGGCCCCCTGTGCGAGTCGTGGGCCTGTTCGTGACAACTTTGGTATAGTCAACAAGTGACCTCCAGGCTTATACATTTCTTTTCGTGGCGTTGTTCGAGGAAGGGATCACAAACGCCGCGCGCAGGGCACCTCAGGGAAGCCAGTCATATTTGGCGCAGTCAAAATCTGAAGAAGATCAAGTTGCTCAAGATTAGCCTTCCTTAACAAACCCGGCCAATCTACTAGTATTGTGCTGACCTTGGACAGCCCATACAAAGCCAGCAGCTGCCGCTAATGTATCACAAGGTCAGCAGATAACCATCGAATCACCATTTCTTCGCAGTCTTCTCCAGCGCTGAGTGATGCAGACATGCAGCTCTGCTTAGTGCCGGATGTACCGTTCTCGTACACATTTTTTGACGAGAATGGGAGCACACAAAAAACTAGGAATTACCACTGTTGAACATATATATTGGGACCATTTTGGGAGATCACACTGTTCGCATGACAGCAGATGTTAGGGTTCGCTCCGAGTCTTGTTCTACCAGACGCCAGCAGGCACACCCAACACAGAAGTGGCTGACTTTTTGTGGTAAGGAAAGAAGTGTCTACTGCATTTAAAGATTGAATTACCGATGAATCTAAACCACCGTGCTGTGGATTATACCGAGAACATTCTCTGACCCGCAACTTGTGTCAGTAAGTTAAGGCTTGTCCTTGTGGGGGTTAAGATGGGAGTTCGCAGGGCATAACGTGCCAGGCTCCGGCGGAATTTGCGCCAGACCAGGAGGCGCACGCTGGAGGGCTGCCATACGGACGGCATAAAGCAGGGTCTGTTCGAAGGACAGCGATTTGGTGCACTTGGTCGTCCTTCTTGCGGGACAGGAGATCTCCCTTCCGCCCCTACGTACCAGCAAGAGCTGGAAACTCTTCAGTGTGTGTCCTGTCATGAATTCTGTCCTTGTGTAGAGTTTCAAGACTTGACGCAAGGGCTTACTGCCGAAGCTGAAACTGGCCAGCAGTTCAACTCGTCACGTAGTGGCCATTCTCATTCAGATAGTAGTAGAAGTCAAGATGAAGTCCCTTTTGGCTGCAAACCCTTATTGGCTCTCGAGACGTCCGTGCTTATGTAATAACCAGCCTTGCGCGGTGGTGTGTCGAGTGGAGCCTCAGGGTCACATGATTCGCGGACCCCGGAATGACGTCGATCTCGCCCGCCGCCAATTGTCTGCACTTGTTCCTCGTGCGCTGTTTACGCGAGCCATCTTCTGCACTCGACGACCCAAAGCTGCCATCAATCCTCGATTTGGACTGCATTCTGTACATACTCAGCAGCAGTGTGTCTCTTTTACCCTGCACTCACTGCCCAAGATGCATCCCAAGCCGATGAAGAGTTGGATCCCCAACATGTTCCGAATGGCAAGTTCTCCCCTTTCAAACCTCAACTCCCGCCTTTCCCCGGGGCATCTATCTCGCAAACTTAAATCGGTCGATCGATATATGCCTGTATCAAGCAAACACTGGGGTTATATACACATACACATACACACACACACACACTCTCTCTCTCTCTGCCCGCGCATTCCTGAACCAACAAAAGTCATTCCAAGCTGACCTCTTCGGCGCTGCACAGGGCAACACGCTGGATGTGATCACTCTGTTCCACAAGCCCAGCATCCCCGCGTCAGTCCGCGTCCTGAACCAGCTCAAGCAAGCATCCGCCCAAGCCAGCGAGACGGCCACGGAAGACCAGGCGTCCGACCACACGCCGCAGAACACCGCCGTCACGCGCGACCCGTTCGAACTCGAGGTCACCGAGGCCCCGCCCACGCCGGACCAGCTCAAGAGTATCTTCGAGTATCTCGGCCCCGGGGTTGCGGGCGAGCTGGTCAAGGGGGCCGCGAGCCAGAGCGATGCCCTGAGGAAAGTGCAGGAGAATGGTGATGCGTTCACGAGACCGGTCGTCGTGGATTGGCAACGGGCCAAGGCTGTGATTGGAGACAAGGAGAGCGAGATCCTCAAGCTGTTGAAGGCCGAAAACGACAAGGCGTAATAGCGTCAAACGTGCCAGCATTCATACGTGAAGGAGATTTGAAAATTAGATCCTTGGAAGTATGGCTCGCTGCGAAGCTAAGCGGTCATCACACCATGCGAGGATGGTGATGGACTGCACCACCTTCTGGACGGGAAGGATATATCGGGAGGCCATCCATGCTTGAATCTGATATCTTGTGATACCCCGAAAAAGCAAAAAGGAATGTTACGCGGATTTACCACTGCACCGGCATGTAACGGCATTGCTGGGTTATGTCAAAAAGCTCTATACGAGAATGAACTCCATCCACATTACAGATCTCATTCTACTCTGAAAAGTGTTTGGTCATTGATACTTTACTCACGACGCTGTCTTGGGATGAGCGCACGATGATGGCAGTCTCCCGCAATGGTTTTGAGCCTCGCTGGGATCGGTCTCCATGACCCTGTTTTACCAAAGGACGGTAAGCGCAATCCGAGGAAGATAGCAAAGAACTCACACAGCAGGCCGGCGTCGAGACACATGAGGATGTCAGCTACGGCTTGGACAGCCACAGCCGCGTATTCGCAGGCCCGAGGTCACTGGGATACTTACTCCACGTGACGGCGATTGCATGATGTCCGACGGAAGTCCAGCATGTCCGATCGGCAAGCAAATGTTGCTCTTTGCCAGCGATGGCCACGCGAAAAAGGTGCTTTCCGTCTTCGGAAATCATCCCTACTGCCACAATTGTCCTGTTTCATCGCTCTGACATCCCGTCGATGATAGCCCAGATCATAGACGACAACCGAGGAGGTCTTACACTCTCCCAGCCTTGAGTCCGTGAGACATGTCATTGCATCCGCAGGAATATCGGAGTCACGAGTAGGTCCACGACTCGCCCAGGGGGGCGCCCTGGCTCCAAAAAGGACTTCAACCCTAGGCATTGTGCCTAGAGATTCTGGACCTATAGTTAGTATCTGTTGTGATCGGAGCAGCCACCCGATCATGACAATCGGGTACGGGATGAATCGAAAACCGAGTGAATCTGGGAATGCTGATATCGACCACGGAAGACAATGTGAGAGGTTCTGGCGGGTGAGCGCCCTATCTGCTGACTGCTAGGTCCGCCTCAGAAACACTTCTGGTGGCATTCGTATGAAGTATGCGATGTCAACCTTGGGATGCCACTCCCGTTAAATCAGCAGGAACCAGGTAGCTGGTAGGTAACACGGTCGTGGGCATCTGATCATGTTCCCCAATGACAACATGATTCTTGTCTTTCAGTTGCCAGGGGAGATTGCTGCCGCGTGTCCTTCCCAGCTGCGATCCGCTGTAGGCGTACTCGACACGGTCAATCCAAGAGGCCAAGCAGTTCTTGGGAGAGGCGCAGCCTTGGGGGTAGCCAAGACAGTCTCAGGTATGTATGCTCGGGACAGATTGCAGTCTCAGATGTGCAGAGCAACAGCAACATATGTCAGGGACCTGGCTGGGCGAGGACTCCACGGCGATTGAACCAAGACAGCAACATCATTTCGCCATGAGTCGACCCTGAGGTGACGAGGCATGAATACTCCAAATCTTCAGTGACAGAGTGCAGCTTGGCACCAAGGAAGGCTGTGTTCAGAGCCTACCATGCCGCCAAACATGCTCAGTCCGAGATTGGAGAGGGAGACACTTGGTCGGTGGCAGAGACCACTTCTGGGATTGGATGTCCTAGTATCTGGCAGAGCTGGTAGACCTTGGATGTGTCATCTACTGTAACCAGTAGGTAGTGGTCACCGTCCTTGGCGGCAATCCGCTGAATCTGGAGAATCACGATTGCGTTCTGCAAGGCATCGGAGCTTTTCTTGACCTACCATCAACGTGAGACATCCCCAGCCTTGAAGCCTGTCCAAGAATCTTCAGCACACGAATTTTCAGACGTCCAAGACTCGCCGAGCGCGTGTATACGCAGTAGATCAAGGGCGCAGAGCTCGGTCAAGGAACAGAGGGGAAGTGACCAGGAGAGGTGACAAATTCGTTCTTGTGGAGGACGCGCGGATGGGTCGGAGAGCTGCTTGGAACCAGGCTGGGCCGTCTGGGCAGGGTCAGCGACAACTTCAAGATACCATCATGACTGCAGCTATGAAATTGCATGTCTAGAAAAGACTGTAGCCAAGGCCGATATTCGCGCACAGTTAGATTCAATTCAGCCGTGGAGGAGGAGGAAGGCTTTGGAAGCCCAGAAAGGCGTTTGGTAGAGCACCTACCAGAATTATTGCTGGTGGGCTGCTGCACTGCTGCACTGCACTGCTGCACTTGGAATCGGCCGGGCCCTTAAAGGCCAGGGGTTAGGCCCCTAGCCTCGTTTTACTAAATTACTAGTAGTTGAGGCTTCAGGTACCCTAGGTCTTCTGGTTCGGTGGTACCTATGGCCGCGACAGGCGGCAAGAGCACCCTAAAGCTCTAGGCATGGTACCACCTGTGAGTTGACAGGATGTACCTGCTTGGGACATGCATACTAGTACACCATAGTAGATACGTAGTAGGTGCCTGGAAGAGCTACGCAACCTGGCCCGCCCAGGTGCAGACCAAGGCCTAAGGAGCCCCGACCACCGACCGGGGGCTTCCGCCAGCGTCAATATCGGCCAATGCTTGATGACACTAGACTGCATGAGGCGTAAATCCACATCCGGCTGGAGCCGTTGCCCTGCACTGAGCCTGGCATGCGAACAGACTCAACAATGCATCTAAAAGCATATAGTCTTCTCATCACTTGATCGCAGAAGAGCCTACTAGTACTTCCCTCAGGTCCAGTTCCAGTTCAGTTGCAGTTACAAATCCCCGACACCGCTCGTATTCACTCACTGTCACCAAAACACTCCCTCGTCTGTCCCTCGCTGCGCTGCGCTTCTCCGCTTTAGACGCCTCTCCCGCTGTCCAATCCTTCCGATCTGAGATCGACGGATCAACGGTAACCTCCAGATCACCCCCACGTCACCGGACCAGGGTGCGACGAACCAACAAGAAGAGTCCATCAAGATTCGGCCGTTATTCAGCACAACAGAATACATACTGCGATACCCAGACAAGCGAAATAGAAACTGTGAGCGTCGCCTCACAGCTGCGGCAGCGACAACAAGCACAACAAGATTGCTCATACAGAAACCAGGCAATGAAACCGTTTAGAAGAAGATCGGTCCTGGCGACAGGTCTCTCAGTCCTTCTTTCCATCCAACATGTCCTGGCGATACAACTAGATTTACAAAACACACACTCGATCAAATCGGCCGCAAGTACAATCGCGGGCGAGATGGTCTCATACTACACTGGCTATAGGCCTGGCGATGTCCCGGGAAATCTACCCGCACCGTATTACTGGTGGGAAGCAGGTGCAATGTTTGGCGCCCTGATTGACTACTGGTACTTTACCGGAGACGACACCTACAATACCATCACCACTCAAGCTCTGCTTCACCAGGTCGGTCCTGACAACGATTTCATGCCTCCTAATCAGACGAAAACCGAAGGTAACGACGATCAAGCATTCTGGGGCATGGCTGCTCTCTCCGCGGCAGAGAACAAATTCCCGGATCCTCCAGCAGGCCAGCCGCAGTGGCTCGCTTTGGCCCAAGCCGTGTTCAACACCCAAACAGCTCGATGGGATACCACGTCTTGTGCAGGCGGTCTGAAATGGCAGATATTTGCTTTCAACAATGGATACAACTACAAGAATACCATCTCCAATGGCTGTTTCTTCAACATGGCCTCTCGCCTGGCTGTCTACACCGGAAACCAGACATATGCCGACTGGGCTGTCCGGATGTGGGACTGGTGTTCGGCCATTGGCCTTCGGGATGCACAGTACAACTTTTTCGACGGCAGCGACGACACCCTGAATTGTACCCGGATGGACCACATCCAATGGACCTACAACGCCGGCACTTTTCTGGTCGGCGCCGCCAATATGTACAACTTCGTGAGTGAAAGTCGGTCCAAGGAGGCAGAGAACAATCCACTAACTTAGATTGACAGACCGGAGGGAGTCAGGAGTGGGCCGATAGACTGAATGGCATCATCGGCAACTTGAAGGTTTTCCTGAAAGACAACGTCATGTACGAGCAGGCGTGCGAAATTCCCAACAACTGCAATGTCGACCAACGTTCATTCAAGGCGTACCTCGCGAGATGGATGGCGGCCACAGCGGTCAAGGCACCTTTCACATATCCTCTTCTAAAACCGATTTTGGAAACCTCAGCAACGGCCGCGGCTGCGGCGTGCACGGGCGGCACCAACGGTACTTCGTGTGGGTTGAAGTGGACAACAGGCACGTTCGACGGCAGCACTGGAGTCGGCGAGCAGATGTCAGCCTTGGAGGTGATTCAATCCAACCTGATCGATATCGCTGCTGGGCCCGTTACAGAGGTCTCAGGAGGAACGAGCCAAGGAAATCCGAACGCCGGAACAACTAGCGACATTGGGCCCAGTGATCTGCACGAGGGAGAAGTGACCACAGCGGACAAGGCTGGCGCCGCAATCTTGACTGTGCTGCTAGCCATGTTCGTCATAGGCGGTGCATGGTGGATGGTGGTTTGATTTGGCGCAGTTCGGAGCGTCTTTATGATATTGATGACTAGCCAGCATTGGTTCGGCGTTTCTACAGTCCATGACCGGACTTCGATTCAGAGCATCGGCGTCTGGAGTGCTGGACTTTCCAAAGTGTCTTCGAGAATTGAGCATTGCGAGCTGGATGACAGCAAACTGGGAAGCCGGGGTTTTTTGTGTTAGATATTGCATTAAGAGCTCGAATGATTCCGGAACAGTTCTCATTAAGGCTAACTCAGCCCATGGGCACACAACATGAATGATACCATCCCAACCCAATTTGAGTATGTCCGTTTCTTGCTTTTTGAACATTTTCTCTCGAGTTCATGAAATCGCCATGCATCAGTTTGATGTATCATATCATGGTTCCGGAGCCGAGTTATTGGTTTTCACTCGTGAACAAATTCAAACTCCGCTTGCAAGCAGCCCATTACTAGTATAAAGAAGCACAATGTTTTTGGATGGGTCCCAACTACCCCTTCTGTACCTCGGCCCTCAATTCCTCTTTTATTTTCTGCCGTATCGACTGCTCTTCCTCCTTCTTCTTTGTGAGTTCCTCTCTCGCCTTTGCCTGTGCCTCGGCCGCTGCCACCCAGATGGGCTTGTCGGATTTGCTATACTCCTTCAACTGGTCGAGGAATTCTTGGTAGTCCTGCTGTCGCTTGTCACGTAGCTCGAGGTTGCGCTTCTGTAGCTCCGGGTTGAATTTCTTGAAAAGTTCGCCTTCCGCGGGGGTCACGCTGTAAAGGGCGAGGGAGGTCGGGTCAGCTCAGGAAGGACGGACGGACGGACCGATGGATTTGGGACCAAATGCGACATGGGATGTTCTCCCCTTGCGAGAAGCGTAGAAATCGGACTCGTAAAGCACGACCACAATTTCGCTGGATATATGGAGGGAGAGTGTGAGGGAGAACGTGAGAGAGTGGTGTCTTACTAGTACATCAAGGCCGGTCCCCCTATGCAGCAGGTGATGAACCTGTCGCGATCCTTGTCAGCCAAAGGAAAGGACACATCAGGATGCGCGGAGTTGGTCGCCTCTTACACTGCTGCCATTTTGGCATACATTCCGCCACGAGAAGCCATCTTGCGATATAATGCGATTGGGTTCGTGCCCGGTTTGCCAGCAGTGTACAGTCACTGATTGCCAAAGGTGTCCGACGCAGCGGAGGCGAAACAAAGGATGGAGGCCGTCAAGTCAGACGCGAACTAGTCAAGGCATGCGCAAATCTACATCTTCCCCAAATCGAGGCTCAATTAGGTAGGCATGCCTGCAGTGTCGATGATGGCTAGTAGAGATCCAGACTCTTTTCTGCTGCGCGCTTGGTCCTCCTTCCTATTGGCGGAAAGCGAGCTTACATAAGATGCGAGTAGTGGATATCTTTCACGCCGTATAAGCATCGGGCGGTGCGCTGCTTTGTCTGCTGCCTGCGCACCCAGCGGGATTCAGACCCTCAAATAATAGAATGAAAGACCCCTTTGACGTCGAGTCTACATTGGATGAGTGGCGCGGCGAGGATGTTGGTTAGAGAGGAATGATTGTAGCCTGGTGAAGAATTGCATCCGGTCGATCCATTGTGGAATGACATCTCCGGGGATGAATGCTAACATATGGTGCGCTATTAATGCACGCAGATCAAAGAGAATTGAAAAGTAACGAGAACCCAAGGTACCTGAATTGGCTACTGCCTGGCAAGCCTACCTGGCAAGCCTACCTACCTTAGGTACCTAAGGTAGGTACCAATTATTCACTCAGACATAACCTGACCACGGAATAGGCGGCAGGTTGTCGGGCATAGATGGGTAGCAATTAACGCCCGTCTACCTAGGTACAGGTGCCTACTATATTATTTGCATTATCATGGTGCCGTCATGTTGCCGGGAGCACAGCCTCGCTTCAATACGACACGCGAGCGAGCGAGGGCCGGGCGAGCGTTTTGTCAGCCACCACCACCTAGAGGCCGTCGCGTCCCGTTGCCACGGGCTCACAGGACTGCAAACCGATAATTCGAACCCAGAGTTTCATTATTGAGGGACTGAGCATGAAAGATGTAATCATTTTTATAAGGATTTGACGGTCTCCTTTACAATCCTCCAGACCCCGTCTGAGACATTGTAGGCATGGATTGAGCACACAAGTAGTACCTACCTAACGCACCTGGCTGTACTACGTACCAGTTAAGCTAGTCACCTATACCTAAGGTAAGGTATCTACCTAGGTAGGACCCTACCTAATGTACCTTAACGTACTGAGAGAATAGAAGCTGGGAGAGAGAGCACTAAGCAACCACCAAAAAAAGCGTCACGTGCAGTGAAACATCTTTCGGTGCCAGGGGCTGCAGTGTCAATCGGTAAGGTATTTCGTGGCCTGTGCAGCCAAGCAGCTGCGTTGCCCGAGTCGAAGTCCGTCGAGCCGTCTCAGGATCCCTCCGTGTGCCTCCCTCATCCCCCTGACACACTGCCATTGCCACTCCGACTTGCTAACAGTTAGTACGTACTGGGGGATCCTGAGGACTCCTTAAGTTGCGCCAGGCTCCTCCATCCGCCGGGCCCTTGCCGCAGCCAAAGCGCCAGATTACCAGCCCGGCGTCAGCTTCACCTTTCCAACCTCCAACTATCCATACCATCTATCTTTCATTCCCATTCCATTCCGCATCCCATCCCATCCTCAATTCAACCACCACGTAATCAAACTCGCACTCGCTCCACATACTTTACAACTTCAGCTACTGTCGTCGCCGTGTCCTCGTTCTCTGTTTCATCATCGTCGCGTCGATAATCGAGACCCTCACCCGTTCAGTCCACAACTCCTTCTACCATGGCCGACCGAGACCAACCTTACGACCCCTACATCCCCTCTGGTGGACAAGGTGGCGCGCCGCAGCCTGGAGGCAACCAGAGAACAGCTGCTTTGCAAGCGGTATGTGTGAAAACATTCCTATTTCGTACCTTGAATCAAATATTGGGCGGTTGGCGCTGGTGGTATCGCTGCCTGCGTTGTCGCAGTCGGGCTTGTTCATGAGAACATCCTTTGAGCGTAGCAAAGGGGCCCGTCGAAGGACTGCCCATCGCTCCTACCATGCACACGCCCCGCGTTGATGGCGTTTGCTGGCCTCGACCGCTACCTGTTCAAACTTTGATGGGCGAAGCTGACAGAATTGCAGCAAATCGATGACACGGTTGGTGTGATGAGAGAGAACATCAACAAAGTTTCTCAACGAGGCGAACGACTCGATTCCCTACAAGACAAGACCGACAATCTCGCCGTTTCCGCCCAGGGCTTCCGAAGGGGTGCCAACAGAGTCCGGAAACAGATGTGGTGGAAGGACATGAAGATGCGCATGTGTCTGATCGCCGGCATCATCATCCTACTTATTGTCATTATTGTCCCAGCAGGTACGTCTTGAATTTCTGTTGCGTCAAGTCAAACACTGACGGGGAACAGTGGTGGCCACCAGGTAGCTTTGCGCAAGATTGTATACGACACGACACTCCAGCGACATGCTCCTTACGAAATGGAATTGTTTCTGTCTTTTTGGGCTAGCGTTTGTACAACTTGAACTGAACACAAGGCGCTCCAATCTGTGAAAAGCGTTAGAGCATCAGATCCCCGATGGTGTGTCCGGGCTGTACTCTTGAACAGCAGACCCATCCAGAGCAGAGCTGGAGGAAACTATCGGCGTGATCAGAAGCTTCGACAAGCGCTCAGGGGCGTCAACGGATGATGGACAGAGGGATACGTGCTACAATAATACCATGGTTTCTTCAACATTGCTTTTCGACCTTGTCTTCCGCATTCCAAGTGAGATTTAGTGATATATGGTTTGCCTTGTCGCCAGATGGCTCGAGTGGGGAGACGATCGTCTACGTGACCTCTTAACAGTCGCACTGCTTCAACAGGAAGGTAGAAAGACAGGCCTGAGAGACCGAACTCTGTCCATACTTTTGCTGACGCGAAGATTCCGGTGCTTTGCATGTGATCCGGAGATATAACAGAAGCATTGACGCAGAAGGGCGTAGAATTCTTCGAGCCGGTGAAATCGCCTCGCATTCCTGGCTTACCTGACTAGTAGCATGTTCACTTGCCATGCAGCGCGCTGATCATGCAGGGCGTAGGCCCCCTATGGACCAAAAATCCCCTAGCTGGCAACAGATGGTGAAGAGAGTGAAATTTTTTCGCAGCAGTGCAGCAGCGCAGCCGAATGTCGGCCTGGGCAGACACGCCACTCACGGACACTGGCAGTTTGGCTCAAGCGTTGGAGAAGCACCCGCAAGAGCTCTGGAGATGGTTGGCTCCCGTCCCAGGCACTGCTGCCATTGATACAACTCCGAGTCACATTTATCACCCCGCAGATATTTTGTTCTTTGCTGCACCGATCGCAGGAAAAAAATTGAAACGGGCCAGAATCGCCGACGTTGCTGTTCCATATATTCAGTTGCAGGCGTACCTCACGATACTCCTGTCGGTCGTCTTCGTCTAGTAGCCGACCTTCGCCATTTCATTCACTCTCCGCTCCCTGGTACAGCTCGAGATCCTCTTCTGAACGCCCGACGTCACCGACCTTGGATTTTCCCCAGTCTTGTACCAGCTGCCGCATGACTTGAAGCACGATGTCAACAATAGGTGCGGCCGCTGCGCGAGCAGCAACCAGGACAGCTACGTCTGCTCTGCGTCCTCATTCATCTCGAGCTCTTCGGTTCGCTCGACCCTCCTATACACCTCTGGTCGCACACCAGATCACTTCGCGACGGACATACTCGTCTCCCTCGGAATCCTATGCCTCTACAAGGTCGACCGTAGTGCAGTTGCTCAGTAACATTGGGTCTAAGAGAGAAGTTCAGCAGTACTTGTCACATTTCACGTCAGTCTCCTCACAGCAGTTTGCCGTTATCAAGGTCGGCGGAGCTATCTTGACCGAACACCTCAAGACCCTCTCCTCCGCTCTGGCCTTTCTGAATCACGTCGGTCTCTACCCGGTCGTGGTGCATGGTGCGGGTCCTCAGTTGAACAAGATCCTAGAAGATTCGGGGGTCGAGCCACACTTTGAAGATGGAATCCGGGTGACGGATCCGAAGACATTGGGCATTGCGCGAGCGTTGTTTTTGGAGGAGAACCTGCGTTTGGTGGAAGAGCTTGAGCGTCTCGGCGTTCGAGCAAGACCAATCACCTCGGGGGTCTTCACCGCGGACTACCTCGACAAGGAGAAATACAACCTCGTGGGCCAGATCAAGCGTGTTGACAAGAAGCCCATCGAAGCTGCAATCCACGCTGGCTGCCTTCCAATCTTGACCTCGATGGCCGAGTCAGAGGAGGGTCAGGTCCTGAACGTCAATGCGGACGTTGCCGCGGGCGAACTAGCTCGAGCCCTTCAGCCGCTCAAGATTGTCTACCTCTCCGAGAAAGGTGGACTATTCAATGGAGATACAGGGGAGAAAATCTCCGCCATCAACCTGGACGAGGAGTACGACCACCTCATGACCCAGTGGTGGGTGCGACACGGTACGAGGCTTAAGATCAAGCAGATGCGAGAGCTCCTGATGGACTTGCCTCGCAGCTCAAGTGTTGCCATCATTCACCCTGCAGATCTTCAGAAGGAGCTATTCACGGATTCTGGTGCGGGCACTTTGATCCGCCGAGGCAACAAAGTCCATGTCAACACCTCCATTGACCAGTTCAAGGACATCGACCAATTGAAGGAAGTTCTCATTCGCGACCGTGCTGGACTCGATGCCCGTGCCGTCGTCGACCGATACGTCCAAACACTTCGAAACCGGGAATTCAAGGCCTACTTTGACGAGCCCATGGAAGCCTTAGGTATCGTGCTGCCGCCCAACGGTGAAACTTCGCTGGCTCACTTGGCCACGTTGACCATCACGAAAAATGGATGGCTGACCAATGTGGCGGACAACATCTTCACTTCCATCAAGAAAGACTTCCCGAAGTTGATGTGGACTGTCAAGGAGGACGACGAGAATCTGACCTGGTTCTTTGATAAGGCCGATGGTAGCCTGTGCAAAGATGGTGAAGTCCTCTTCTGGTATGGTCTGGAGACTAGTGACGAGGTCAAGGATTTGATGGTCGAATTCACAAAGCATGGCCGACAGATGTTTGGCGATTTCAACCTCGAGTCAAGACTGCAACGAGCTGCAAGGGCCGCCGCCCAACTAGCCAGCAATGCGGCCAAATCGGCAGGATTGTCCCAGAAGCGAGGGTTCTCCACGCAAGCCAATCCTCTGAGGGCAGCAAGACAGACCAGATATGTGGCTAAACCCGCCATTTCTGTTCGCACGTATGCCACAACGAACCCCAACCCTCCTCTTGGTGCGAAGAACAGCTCAAACGACAAGCCTTCGAGAGTCGCCTTGATTGGAGCAAGAGGTTACACCGGCAAGGCGTTGGTGGATCTCCTCAACCGCCATCCTCATTTGGACCTCCGTCATGTTTCATCTCGGGAGCTTGTGGGTCAGAAGCTTAGTGGCTATGACAAGCGTGAGATAATCTACGAGAATCTGAGTGTGGAAGACGTCCGACAAATGGAGGAGAACGGAGATGTCGATTGCTGGGTCATGGCTTTGCCCAATGGCGTATGCAAGCCCTTTGTCGATGCCATTGACCAGGCGGGCAAGAACAGCCTCGTTATCGACCTGAGTGCCGATTACAGGTTCGACCCTGCCTGGACCTATGGTCTTCCTGAGCTTGTCGACCGATCCGACATTGCTCAAGCCACAAGGATTTCCAACCCCGGATGTTATGCCACGGCCGCTCAGCTTGGCATTGCACCGTTGGTGCCATATCTTGGAGGCCAGCCAACCGTTTTTGGAGTCTCGGGCTATTCAGGCGCCGGCACAAAGCCCAGTCCTAAGAACGACGTCAACAACCTGACCGATAACATCATTCCTTACAGTCTGACAGACCACATCCACGAACGCGAGATCTCTACCCGGCTGGGAACCCCCGTGGCTTTCATCCCTCACGTCGCGGTTTGGTTCCAAGGCATTCACCACACCATCAACATCCCGCTGAAAGAGGAGATGACATCGCGCGACATTAGAAACTTGTACCAAGATCGTTACGCCGGGGAGAAGCTGGTCAAGATCATCGGTGAGGCTCCTCTGGTGAAGAACATTGCCCATCGTCATGGTGTAGAAATCGGTGGATTTGCAGTTCACTCCAGTGGCAAGCGAGTGGTGGTCTGCGCCACGATTGATAACCTCTTGAAGGGCGCCGCTACACAATGTCTACGTGAGTATTGTTCCCTCGTGAGGTCCCGTGGATACAATTGCTGACATTCTGCGCACAGAAAACATGAACCTGGCTCTCGGCTACGGAGAATACGAGGGAATTCCACTTCCATGAACGTGAGGTCAGGTAGCAGGGGTCCATGGATGTTCCACATCTGCCAAACATCCTAGTATTTGGAGATTGGTGCGGACACGATGGACAGCCACGAGTGAGCAACACCTCAGCTGTTTTTAGTTGCAAGCCTTATATGATGTGGTGTTTCATTTTGCCCCTGCAGACCGGTCTATCTAGACAAGGAAGAGCACGAATATAGAGAAGGGCTCCAAGCGACAGGCGATACAATATGAAAACCGGGGCCGGGCCATTTCAAGCGTGCTGCATTGCATGATCAGCTGGATAGGAGTTGGAGTATTGATGTGCAGACCAAAAAGTGGGGATGGTATTGAGTGAGTCGCATCGAATGCGGCGAGGCTGTGATGAGAAAATTTATGATTCTTTTACTCGACTGGAGGGCATTCAAGTTCTGTCTGAGGCTGGTGTTAGAATTCCCTTTGCATACTAACATATGACGGACCATTTCTCTGACTGCGCTGCGCACCCGTCGCCCACGTTTTCATCCAACTCACGACGCGTCCGGCCAGCCCTCCTTGCCGCGCACCCATTCCTTTCCATTTCCTACTCAATACGCTCCTTCAGATCAGCTTTCTTCATTCGGAATCTAGCCTCGACAGTTGAGGCAGCCAGCCCGAGTTGATCGCAGACCCAACACGGACGCGGCTGCGGATACGGCACGCTTCACCAAGAGACAAGATGTTTTACAGCCATGAAAGTGAGTCCGGTTGTTTGCAGCAGTCATCTGCTGCAAGACACTGGAGAAGTGTTCAAACGCAATCCAGAGACTAACGAAGTGACCATTCTAGTGTTGACGAGTCGTCAATATGGCGTCGCGACTATCTGGTGATTCAATCCCTCCTCTTCCTTCCTTTCTCCTTATGACGGGCGATTGGCGAGTCTCTCACGGTCGCCGTTGACAGTCTCCTGGCTTTCCCGCCAAATCATGATGACCAATGCTTCTGTTGCTCGCGCGTTCTCTGCACTCTCATACAGATGCTGACGGAATCTTCTTCCACGCGCCCTCTAGGCTCGTCGCAACCCTCGGTTCAAAGTCCACCTTGAAGAAAGTCACCCGCCGCGCCATCCTGGACGTCGACCTCCCAAAAGCATGCCAGACCATCACCGAACCAGTGACGCCATTGGCATTGCGCCTGCAGAGCGATTTACTGTATGTACCCTCTTCCCTTGCGTCCGAACAGCCCTGAGCACAACATGGCACAGACATGCTTCCGTGATTCTTCGAACATGAGCTGGGCTCCTAGTCACTGCTGTGTGGGAGGTAACTGACTTCGCGGGCCACAGATTCGGTGTCTCGCGGGTCTTCTCGCATCAGTGTGGCTATGTGTTGGCGGACGTGACGAGTCTGAGGGACAAGATGAGAGTGTCGCAGCATGTCTTGAGGGATATGGAGTTGGATCCGGATGTGGGCAAGATGAGGTATGTATTCTCTGGCGGGTATTGATGGAGACACATGCGGCCTTAATATCTCTCTGGCATACCACCACGAGAGCTAACCCACCTGACATAATATAACAGACCCGAACAGCTAAATCTTGCGGAAGATCCATATTTCATCCCCGACCTTGACATCAATTTCGATCTCACAGCCTTCGGCCTGCCTTCAGACGGGTCAATGTCCCCTGGTCTCACCTCCCTTCACACTCTACCGTCAAGTCAGTCTAGTCAAGCCATCCACGAGGATGACGAGGCCGGGTTGGAAATCCCTTCCCTGGACACGCCTGGCGGATTCGGCATGCTTGATGTGGCATTCGGTGCAGGAACAAGTTCTGTGGTCCAGACTGGGAGTCGTGCGGCACATCCACCTTCGGTGTTTGATGAGGAACCTGCCATTATTGAGGATCCGATGTTCGATGTCGACGACGACGGACTTCTCCAGCCTGCGATGTCGGGAGATATCCAACACAGTGACACTCAGGGTCATAGAAGTCTCCGCCTTGCAAGTGAAAGCGTCGACGCCGAACGGGACCCTGCAGACGCCTTAATCCTGGACGATGATGTGCTGATGTTTGGAGACGATGATCAAGTACCGGCTGAAGCACCCCCAGTGACGCCGAGAGCCACAACAGTTGAAAGCGAGCTGACAGGACACCCTACCTCCTCCGTCCATCCGGATGAGCGGTCGGAAGAGATATCGGAGACTGTGGATGCGCCACAGCGACGAGCGCGACCCGTAAAAGCTCTCCGGCCGGATCAGCGCACCGAATTGAGCAATCGAGACCTGAACGACTGGAACGATAATTATCTTCTCAACATGGCAGCAGCTCTGCATACTCGACTCAGCCAGACATCACGCTACGAGGCGAAGAGAAATGCAGAGTTCTGGGCCCTGCATCAAGGAATCGGGAACGTTGCGACCACCTTTGCTGACGAGCGAGTTCCGCATCCATTCGGCATGTTCAGTGGCCACTCATTGTGGGATCTGTTGAGAGGTCCAGATATGGGCGCGAAACGATCTCGCAGCAGCTCACTTACGGGCGACGATTATGGAGACGAAGATGCTAGAAGAGTTAGAGCCAGAACGACAGCACAGGAGGAGATTGCCCGTGGCGACAAAAACGAGGTCTTCAACTTCGGCGATGACGACGGCTTGATACTTGCAGCAGATGACTTCAATCTTGAAAGTGAGGTTGGTCGCCATGCACCTCCGTCGCTGCCGGACCGGTCCTCGGGCATGCCCTGGAACATCTCGGGGTCTCGCCAAAGCTCAGCACAACCACTACTGCCACGGGGTAGTGGCCTAGTGAGATTGAGCTCGAGCGCTGGCGGCCTTGTCGGTGGGATGGAACTGGGGCCTCCCTCCGCTTTCGGTAGACGTGGATCTCGTTTCACTTCGGCCAGTCCATTGCTCGGGAAAGGTCCGGCCCTGTCTAGACACGGCAGCCAGGAAGCAGGGGAAGCGTTACGACTCAGCAGCATCGAAGATGACTTTGCAGATCTGGACGCGCAGCTCGGTGCTGACGTCGATGTGGATTTCGAGCTCTACGGTCCATCTGCCAATGTTGACACTCAGACCGCAGCACAGAGTCAATGGATTGCGGAGACACTGGAGAACGAAGCACACAATTTCCTCACGTTTGTCAATACCAAGATACAGACCCTGGCGGAGGAAGATGACGAACGTGACGACATGGTCACCTTCAACGAACTCCTTCCACCGACTCAGAACTCTCAGATTGTCGGTGCTCAAGCTCTTCTTCACGTGCTGGCGCTAGCGACCAAGGGACTACTCGAAGTGTCTCAAGCGGAACCATTTGCCGAGATTGAGATTGCCGTTGTCAGCCGCTAGACTGTACGAAGACGGAGTGAGGTGTACGGATAGGCAAGTTAACAAGATCAGAGGAGGGGAGCTTGAAAAGGGATCCAAGATGTCAATGGAGAATGTTTGACGAGCTTGTATCAACACGGGAGGAAAAAGGTGTTCGAGCTATCTGCTGGACAAGCGTGGCTTATGACTTGTATGGATACTGCTGTAATGAACTCGTACAGCTACGTACCACGGGAGGGGCATCGTGATTTCCAGAAGATGTGCTGAAAGGAGGCATTTCCGATACTGCTGTGACCGGAAGATTGAGATCCGGCTTGCAGAGATTCGAGTGGATAGACAATGTCATCACACGACGAGGTTCAGCCTTGTTGCTTTTCAAACAAAGGGCCTCCTTATCCATTATGGTCGGGAAGGGATGATTCGATTCAGCGAACCAAACTCTCCGCCGTTTGATCTTGACGCTGGCTTCGACCATAACCCCGGACAGCAGACAGGCCGCGTCCCATACATTGTGGCGCAGGCAACGGCAGAAGATATATGGCTGCGGGCTCGTCGACGTTTCAGTTTTCTTCGGCTAGTCGACGACGACGAGGGAGAGCCAATTAGGCTGAGATTGCAAACTTGAAGTCGGGCACACAGGGATGTTGTATCACGGGGTAGCCAAAGGCATCAAGTAACCAGCCTGCGCCCACGCGGCGCAGGATATGTAGACTGTGGCTTTGCTTTGCTTTGAAAGAGGCGAGTGGGAGGGAGTATTGCTTAGCGGACGATCTGAGTGGCAGGGCAAAGAACGCGTGGTCGGTTGCGTCGAATCAGAGGTCTGTGCCTGACATGAGGATTGCAGCGTAGTTCGAGTTGAAAGGAGTGTGGATTGGGATTGTGGAAGCTTGCGAATGCTTGCGAATGCTATACCGGTAATCTACGGTTAGGTGCCTGCCAAAGGTATTCTACCAGTCATCTACCGCAGTCTCTTTCTTTGTTCTCCGCAGTTTGCAGCCAGCCACAAGCAGCCACCGCCATCTGCACTTCAAGCTCGGTATCACCGGCAGCTTCTCACGACACCCTGACGACACAACTGTACACAGTAATGCAGCGATCGAGTCAAGCTGTGACAGTGTGTCGTTCTCTTGTTCTCCAAAAGTACAGTTCTATTGTGTTGCATTCATTGTTCACCTACTCCCACTCTCTCACAGCCTCCAAACCAGCTTCAAGCTTACATTAGATCACCTCTTCTGCCCTTTTCCTGATGCAACCGGTGGCCCACAAAGCTAGCCGGGGTGCCTCCTGTACGGCATTCCCCTACTCCAAGTTCCACAGTACTATACTGCATCCTTGTTAGGCGCTCTTTAAATCAAGTGGTGCCCGGAAAGTGGCTTCGGTAGCCACACTGGTGGCAGTGAGCCTAGATTGACCTTGTGCCGGCGCAAAGGTTTCGACTTTGTTAGGATCTTGTTGATCACAGACCACCCAGCTGCCAGTGACACTGACATCTCGCAGCAGCGACACCGACCATATTTTGTCGAGGTCAAACTGTGATGTTATGACTGCGGTGTTTACGAGCCACGAGACTCCTGCGCATTCTCTGACAATCGCTCCACCAACTCATGTTCCTCTTCAGATCCCTCCGCTTGACTGTGCTTTGAGAGCTGTTACCGAACAAACATCTCACTTTCACGTTGTAAACAACCAGAAGACAATGGAGGGCATTGTTATCCGGACCTGACCGGTGCACAATTCTTTGGTTGGCTATTTCTTTGTCCGGTAGCGGCCAGCCAGACATCCAGCTCCAGAACCTCCCGAACTTCTGCGCGACGAAGACGCTGGTCCGGTGGACCACTCCGGGGACACGAATACACAGTCACAAGATGATGGCCGGCAATCAATACCATCAACAATGGCAACAAGACCCTGCGCCGGTGCAGCAACAATATCAGTATGGTCGCCGAGTTGATCAGAGGCCATGGCAAGAGACCGGGAGAAGTCAAGGATCATACAATCAGGAATATCCACAATACAATGAATATCCCAAGAGTCGGAATGGGTATGGCCAGGGTCCGGTGCCCACGTCGAGCAATATTCACGAGCAGAATTGGCGATGGGAGGGACAGGGCCAATACCCTCCGGATGGCTACCACGACCCATATGCCGGAGATGGGGCCAGGTACCAGCAGGCGCCGGCTCCAGATCCTCACCACGACCAGGGTCATTCTTCGAGTCGTGCGTACCAGTATGATGACAGATATCGCAACAACGGACACCGCAGACCTCCTATGGAATCTGAGCACTCGGGATTCTCGGACCACCAGAAGCCACCACGCCATCAGAGATCGGAACCTCCCACGCCTCACAAGAGGGCAAAAGGTATGGAGTATCCAAGCTTTGTATATCTGCAGTTGCTAATACAGTGTAGGGCGCGAACGAATTTTAGCTCAACCCACTTCTCCCAAGAACTTGGCTTGGGACAATCCGTTCGGCGCGTTTCCTGCAAAGAAGAGCTCGGCCGACAGGGACAGGCGTGCCAGTCTAGACAACGGGCTCAACAATCTAACTATCGACGACCGTCGCCATAGCGGGGAGCATGACTCACGTCCTCATACATCTCACGGTCAGCGTGGACCACGGAAAGAAGTCCCAAGGCCTAGTACTTCTCATAGTCGACCTCCGGAAATGGCGCCACCACCATCCCAGGCCCATCAGTTTCCTCCAGCTCGAGGTTCCTTGGACACGACTCGTCCACGTCAATACATGGGATCAGACACCGCTCCGCCTCCATCACAGGACTATCGTATGATGCCTAGACAGAACTCGTCAGATACGGATCGTTCCCGTCAAGATTTTACTGCGGATATGCGTCGAGGTCCTTTACCTCATCAGGATTATCAAGCCCCACCGAAGCCAGAGCCCTCAGACATGAACTATGCACGGCAAAACGTCCCTTCGAACACAGCTCGAGCTCCATTACATGAGTACCAAAGATCTCCCGGGCGAGGGTCGTCGGCCACGACTCGTCAGCATCAAAACATGACTTCGGAAATGGCTCGGCCTCCGTTGCAAGATTATCAATCAGCACCGGGACGAGGCTCGTCAGATGCGAGTCGTCAGCGTCCAGATCTGTCTGCAAACATGGGTCGACCACCATTTCAAGACTATATTCCAGCCGCGGGGCGAGGCCCGCCAGACCCGACTCGTCGTCAAAATGCCAGACCACAAGTTAACAGCCCGCCAATGTTTCGATCTGAAACGGATGCACCGCGTGGCCCTCCACCACCGCCTGCAAGCCAAGATCGATCTCGGCCCATGCCATATGGATCCATGCCCAACCCCCAGTCTCAAGGTGGCATGGACTTTCCAGGCAGACAAAATCCTCAACGTCCTCCACCCAATGAGTATTACGGTCACGACGAGCGATACGCTCAGAACTACGTGGGTCCTTCTGCTCCCTATGAATCACCTTCTGGACCGCCTCCATCTAGGCCACCACCTCGATCTATATCCCAGGAGAACTATGCGAACACCGGGTATCGAGCTGGGCCGCCCAACAATGTGCCGCTCAATAGACCGCGAAGTAAGGATATGCCCAACTATGATGCCATTCCTCCTCGAGCGAACGAGAGGCCGGAGGATCACATCATTCCAGGCCAAACGACTTCCTATGACCCTCAGATATATCGGAGACCCACGTATCAGGTTTCCCGAGAGTTTCCAGGTCAAGCCGACACCGCTCAGAACATACCATCACGGCCCGACCATCCCACTTCACCTCTTGCCGAGTTTTCGTTTGACTTACCGCCTAATGTCAATGCGAGACCAATGACTCCCAGCAGATATGGCGATTCTACTCCAGTGCCATCCCGACAGGAATACGCGGACCGGAGGACTGCTGAGATGAGACAGCCGCCGGTACGTGGATACGAGGCTGAAATGGGCCCAAAGGGACCGAGCTCGCAGTACCCCCCTCGAGCGGCGAGTAGGAATGGGATGAAGCCCCCGGTGGGTGTCGCTCCTCCATTACCCGTCAATGCTCCCGGGTATGGGTCCTTTGATCAGGGTCAACCTCCCGTTCGACCTCATACGAGCAACGCGCAACAGCCCTCTTTTGGAAGTTACGATGTGGGCAATCCCTACGACCAGGAGTATCCGGAGTATCCAGCGCCTTCGGCGCCGGCGGTTTCTGGGTCATATGAACAAGCATACAACCGTGCGGCCGGAGCCAATCAACCAGTCCGACCTCCATACGGGCAAGGCGCACCTCCACGAAAGGGGTCGGAGGACAACCACAACCCTGGCGGGCTTCGGCCGAGTACTTCGAATTCCGCCCATCCAGTTCCTGTCCGCCATTATCCGGGTGTCAATACTAACGGCGGCGGCAGTGCCGGTGCTGGTGCCGGAGGCAACAGCAGTGTTGTCAATATTAATGCCTCCGTCAACCCTGACGCACTACCAGCTCACCCGGAGCCGGTCAGGCCGGGGCTGAATAATGGATATGCGGCCACTCCACCGCCGGCCCAGGCAGGATCAGGGCCAAAGCAGGCAACAGCACCTACCCCAGCCCCTGCCAGTGGGAACGCCACTCCCCAGGTCACCGTGCAAGAGCTCACTAATCTGCGGCAAATGTATTCTCAACGCCCGGTGGATCATGCGTTGGGACTGAAACTGGCCAAGAGGTTGGTGGATGGAGCCAAGGTGTTGTCGGATGAGGGAGGCAAAGCGGATGCGAAACAGACGCAGAAGAATCGAGAACGATATATATTCGACGCGCACAAGCTGGTGAAGAAATTGGTGGCGGCGAACTACCCGGAAGCCATGTTTTACTTGGCGGATTGTCATGGACAGGGACTCCTGGGATTGCAGGTGGATGCCAAAGAAGCGTTCCATCTGTACCAGTCGGCGGCGAAACTGAATCATGCTCCCAGTGCGTACCGGGTTGCGGTGTGCTGCGAATTGGGGTCAGAGGAAGGCGGTGGCACCCGACGAGATCCGATGAAGGCGATGCAGTGGTACAAACGGGCCGCGACGTTGGGTGACACTCCGGCCATGTACAAGATGGGCATGATTCTACTGAAAGGATTGCTCGGCCAGGCGAAGAACCCACGTGAAGGTGTTTCGTGGTTGAAGAGAGCCGCCGAGCGAGCGGACAAGGACAATCCGCACGCATTGCACGAGCTGGGTCTGCTGTACGCATCCGTGACACCTCTGGATAACATTGTCCGCGACGAGGAATATGCCTTCCAGTTGTTCCAGCAGGCGGCGGAATTGGGATACAAGTATTCACAATTCCGACTGGGGTCGGCGTTTGAATATGGGTTGCTGGGGTGTCCGATCGATCCGCGGCAGAGCATCGCATGGTATACTCGGGCCGCGTCTCAAGGGGAACATCAGTCGGAACTGGCACTGAGCGGATGGTATCTGACCGGGTCTGAACCTCTGCTCACGCAGAGCGACACGGAGGCATACCTGTGGGCCCGCAAAGCGGCGAGTTCGGGCCTGGCCAAGGCGGAGTACGCGATGGGATATTTCAACGAAGTTGGCATCGGGACCGCGGTAGATGTGGAGGAGGCGAGGCGATGGTATTACCGGGCGGCCGGTGAGTTTTCTCCTCTGCCGACTTTTGACTTTGGGGGTGTAATGATTGACTTTTTGGAATCTAGCACAAAACTACGCCAAAGCACGAGAGAGGCTGGAGGAGATCAAGCGCGGACAGAAAATGTCCAAGACTCGAGTATCTCGATCGAACGTCAATCGGCAGAGTGATGGAGAGTGCGTGGTGATGTGATTGCCTCGAGGGGTGTGAGATGTCCGCTATTCATTGGACGCACATACAATCTGATGATGGACACATGGGTTGGATGAGTTCGGGGCAATTCGAACACATACACGAGGAATGAGCAAGGATAAATACAGGCTTGTCTGATGAGGATTGTTGTGATGATATGAGGCAGATGCAGATGAAGAATCAAAACAACATAATGCCGACTCGGACACAGTACCGCATATGGTAGTCGGGAGGTTGGTAGGGGTCCTCTCCGTGGACATTGCAGCCTCGTTGGAATAGATGTGTCTTGGACAAGACTTGACGGTGAAAGCACAAAAGGGCGTCTGTGGCATACAATAAAAGCACAATCATGCCGTCTGTGCCGTTGGATGTACTCTGTATTCTCACAGCTTCTGTTGTTAGTACTATGTAGTCGATGAAGTCAGCGCACCAGATCGACGCCATGGCAGGAGACCAGTATCAGTATCAGTATCAGTGCGTGTAATGGTTGTCCATTGACCAATTGTCGAACGGAAGTTCTCCCTGAACTCTGCCCGTCGAATGCAGGTCAACACTGTGACTCTCTCATAACTGGGGGTCTGGGTCTGATACTAGTAGGTACATACATACCCTAAGTTACCTTAGATAATTTTCTAGACCATTCATCTGGTAGACCCTCGTGGCTGTGGCTGTGGCTCTATCTCTGTTGTTGTGGATGGAGGGAATGTTTCAGCTGCATGTTTCACATTACCATTCAATAACATCGGCTGGAATCCCATGGTTGTTCCATACTAGTCGATGCAGGGCAGGGCAGGGCAGGGCATCACATCGGCAAATGAGTTAATTGTAGCCACCGGTTGCTATCTCCTCTGTGTAGAGTACAGAGTATATTAACAGCTGTTCTACTCGCTCACTACTCGCTACTCACGCCAGATCGACAACTTGAACTCATTCACAAGTCACTCGCTCATCCTCGGCACGTTCAGCCGCATCCCCTGCAGTCTACGATCCTACGAGAAGAGCAAGCGGTGGTAAAGGTACTATAAATCATACGTGACGTCGTGATTGACATCTTCTCCTATCTCCTTTGTACACGGACCATCCCGCCCCGTACATCATCATCATCATCATTATCATTATCATTCTTTTTCGCCTTCACTACCTACTACTACCTACTACTACCTCATACTTACCTCAGTTAGTACTTAGTACTACTCTGTAGTTCTTGAAGATCCTCTCTCCCACTCCCACTTCTACCCCAGCACTTCCCCAGGCCTGGTTCCGACCAACTCTAACCTCCACATATCCTCTTCTACCTTTCGCCTCTTTCCGCCTGATTGTTTCTCTCCTCGCAGGCCTGGATCTCCTTTTCGATTCGAACCGGCCATCCCTCATTCGACGACCTCACTTCATTTACTACACTCATCGACTTGTCCCAACACCGTTGCATTCCTGCTTCTGATCCCGGTCCCGGTCCCGGTCCCGGCCCTTCTTCGATCACGATATCACCGAAACTTCTCCTGTCGAGCACGTCCGACCTCAGATCAAGCCCACCTACAAGACATTCATCGACCGAACCCTCTTCTCGACATGATTCGATTTCCTACCTTCCGCTCATCCCCCTCTTTCGACACCTCTTCGGCCGAAGGTTCCTTGCGCGAAATCTTACGCAAGGCTTCCGACCCCGAGTCCCGTCCCACCTCAGCCTCGTCTTCGAGATCAGCCCTCGCCACAAACACAAAGAGGACCGCTTCCGTTTCCACAACCACTTCCACTTCCACAGTCTCAAATGCTTCACCCACCTCGTCACGCACCTCGAGTCCCAGGAGTAGCCAGTCTTCTGTGGACGAGAATGTCACCCAGACCCAGACCAAGACCAAGACCCGGACGGCGAAGAGACCGAGTTTCTCGTGGCGGTAACAGTGAAGGGGTGGGGATGATGAATGATGACATGAATCAAGATTCTTAACCAACGAAACCTGTATGATTATGATAGGCTTTGAGCATTGGCGTCACTGGCATGGTTTCGATTTTGCTGTCCTTCAATAGTAATGTCAAGAGCTGTATTTTTAGTGCAAGACTGTTGTTACGAAGAGGTGTTGTTTGTATCTCGTTCCGTTTTTATCGAGGTAGTTCTCCTTGGACTGGGCCAGTCCATACTTTCAAGTCCAATCGAATGTGACTGCTGTGCCCCGGAGCTGCTTTCTGAACATGTCAAAAGGGACCACATCTCATTTCACGCGAGAATCGATACCGTATTCCTTCCAGACTTTTCTTTCAAGGAGCAATATCCTACTCTCCTGGTGCTGCTCGAACTTGAACACATGTGCGACTCACAGGAAAGCGGCCGGGCCTACCCCTGGCAGCCTCACGAGACAATCGAGAAGGACCCTCTGTTTTGTGTGTTTGAATAATACGCGTCTAATAGTGGTCCATCGAGCCACGTTTCCTGCTCTCTCAAATCTGCAGCACTTCAGGTTTAGATCTACTACTTGTAGTAGCTTCCCATTCAATGGCATCAGTAGGTATATCGTGTTCAAAGCAACCCCTTTTGTAAGTGAGTGCAAGAGCGGGTAGACCGAAATGCATGAATGCAAGAATGCATGAAGCGTGGTTTTGGCTGCTCGGGCTACAGCATGGGGAAAATGGAAAGTGCAAGGGAAAACAAACATAGATACAGACAAAACCAGGGAGTTCAGCTGGAAGATACTTTTCTTTTCCAAGGTCGATATTGATGCATTGACACGGGTCACAAACATGACAGATACGAACGGAAACAGCGATCCTATCTCCTCTCTCACCGAGTTCCAATTCTGGAGAGGTACGGGGCTGAAACCCTCGGGAGTTGGAGACAGGCGTATTTATGCAATGCTGACTCTGAGGATATAGAAAAGGTAGTTGTGTGAATTCTGTTTTTGGCTATGGGTCGCAAATACAGCGAGTGCCGACCACCTGGCCCCAATCCCAATCCCTTAGACATGGTTTACACCTTCTGCTCGACCGTCTTCTCCACGTCCTTGGCCGCTCCTACAAGTTCTTTCTCCATGTCCTTCAAGGCCGCAGCCGTGCTACCGTCCTGAGACCGCTTGTACATGAGGATCCGACCGCATTGGATCGTGCCGACCAGGAAGAGACAGAAGTTGACTGCTGCGAGACTATATCACCGAATCACCATCGTTAGTCACCAACCCAAAGACTTTGCTTCTAGCAAAACAAAGCAAGGCAAAGCAAGGATAGGTACGGATATATACATACAGGACATTCTTGGGTCTGATGATGAAGCACCATCTCGTCCAGATGGAGCCGGTGGCCATCAACGCCGCGTTCTGCGTCAATGACAGCTTCTCGGCCGGTCGAAGGAAGTCCGATGCGCCGGCCAGCACGACTCCCCATTTCATGACCGGGGCCCTGTACGAAGAAAGTTGTCAGTATCAGTCCACCATCGTTCACTTGGCCTTTCGCGGTTGGACAATAGCAGTATTCGTGCCTCTCGTGCTTGAAATATCTGTGGGCGCACACAGCACACCACATCACAGAACGAAGCAGACACACATGGATAGTAGTGGTGTATGGGAGGGCAGAGTATGCTCTTCTCCTTGTTCTTCTCCGTCTTCGTCTTACCAGAAATGCACCGTCTTGATCCCGACTTCACTTGTCCATAATCTCTGCCAGAGGCTCTGCTGCGGCGCGGGAGCCTCGACGGCCGGGTTGGCCGCTGTGCCTTGGTACCGGCGGAAAACGGGGTTTCGGGCCTTGAAAGGCGTTCGGGCTGCGAATTGGCGGGTGGATTGTTGCGCAAAGCGCATGCCGAAGCGGGCCGACATTATGGGAACGATGGAGCTGTATATTCTCGACTGACAGAGGTGGTCGAAGTGTTGCAATACAGTCAGGAAAGAGAGCGGTAAAGGAGCGGAGGGTATGGTGCGGAAGACTCAGGTCAAAGAGGGATGTGTTGGGGAAACTGAAGTCTGAGTCGTCGGAGATGAGTAGGTAGGTAGAGATAAAGGATGAGCAATCCCAATCCCAGTTCGCTTAGAGCACTAGTAACAAAGGCGGACAAGCTTAAGTCCGGCCTACGGCAGATCATGCAGCGTTTTGTACGGCATTGCATCTCCGTACAACCTTGTTATATGATTGGCGGTGATTGGCTGAACTTGAACGGGAAGCCAAGGCTGGATCACGTTGCAGCGGCATGAATGATGCTTGACTGCGCTTGTTGTAGTTGTATGAGTTAGAGACTCAGTCGGACTGTCCACGAAACGAGTCAAGTTATGCGCCAGTGATCTCGTCTCGTCCCAATCTCCAGTCTTCTGTTCCGACGAGAGACGCCGCCATGGCCAGCAAATATGCGTTCACGCAGACTCTGAAGGAACTGCGTTTCCACCTGTCCGGATCAAGCCAGGGAAGCGAAGCTGCAAGGTACGCAAAGAAAAGGAACCCTGGAGTGGTCATAAAGCTGTTGCGGGAATTTATGGAGCTAACTCTCGCGTGTGCTTGTCGTCCAGAACCTTTCTCAAAAGAGCATACCCGACCATGAAGCACCACAACCCCAGCACGCCGATTTTAATACGAGAGGCGAGCGGCGTGGAACCCAAGGTGTGGGCGAGATATGGTATGAAGCCTGCAGAACAGACGGCGGAGAGAGTATGGAAATGGCTGACTTGGGTGGTCGCACAGGGTTCGGCAAGGAAAAATCGGAATCGTTGGCAGGTGAGCTTCATCAGCCTTTCAACCCGAGACGTTGTCGGGATCGGTATGGACGGCTCAAGTGCTGACTCGACCGTTGCAGGACTCTCGGACAAGGAAATCGAAGACCGGGTGACGACGCTGGTCAAGAACGAATGATGGCGCAGCTTTAGAGAAGGTTTATGATCACCGCATTGGTTGTAGCATATGTTGGTCGGGCTATGTGGATTGAGACTGCAAAGAAATAGAGAGGAACAAGGGACCTTACACGGGCGAAACCTAGCAGATTCCTACCGCTCGCCGGCCTACCCTGAGACCCTGAGACGCCGCTAGTGTAAGGTATAGATTGCACTGTGTGCTCAATACTCAATATCAGAACAGACTCATACACCATCCAGCTTCTACATCTCAACTACAGACGTTGCGCTTCCTCCCTGGTTCCCTCCTCCGCTTCAAACTTGTACTGCGCCCAAGCAAGACTCCCGTCAGCCATTGTCCACAGCTGCTTCCCTGGGTCTTCCCCGGCCGCACCCACGGCGATGTGGATAGGCAGCAGATGCTCAAAGGTAGGATGAGCCTGTCTGGCATCCGGGCGCTTCAGTAACTTGACCATCTGTTCGTCTCTGGCTTCGCCAGGCTTGGTCTCCACGGCCTCCTTGAGGGCGACGTCAAAGGTCACCGAATACGGCATGGTCTTGCCCGTGCCCATGGCCATCATCATGTGCCGCAGGTTGTGCACCGACATGCCGCTGGCGACCACGAGAATGTTCTGGTCGCGGAGCTTCTGCACCGCCCGGCCGAGTCGGATGTGCGCGGCGGCGTCGGTGTCGTCGTCGAACAGACTCACCTGCACGATGGGCACGGTGAGCGGGTTTGTTGCCGGGTCGAACATGATCTTGAAGGGGACGAAGACGCCGTGGTCCAGTCCTCGTTTGACCCCTTGCGTTTTGATCCCGTTCTCCCCCAGCGCGGCCATGACCTTCTGCGCGACCTCGGGCGATCCCTTGTTGGGGAATTTCTCGGCGTAGTAGTGCCGCGGGAAGCCGTAGAAGTCGTAGATCAACGGCTCCTCTTCGGCCACGTTGACTTCGATCGTCCCGGGCCGGTCGGCTTGCCAGTGCGCCGAGAAGACAACCACTGCTGCCGGCCTGACTGTTTCGGTGATTTCTTTGCCAATCCGCTGCAGCTGCGGGTAGACCGGGTGATTGGTCTCATACATGGTATTCGGGCCCTAGGAGGAACATGTCAGTCCGTCACGATTCAGAAAGAAAGACATCATGCATGGCTTGAGTCAAGGCCGGTGACGGAATGCGGGCTCCTTACCCCATGAGACACAAAGTACACGGGTGTCCGTTTCGCCATGGTTGATATATTGGCTGTCGGTGTCGTTGATATAGGCGCGATATTGGTCGTGAGAGATCTGCTCGAGAAAAAGAGCCCGTTCACCACAGACTTGAGCGGGCCGAAGATCCGTGAGGGATAAGTGGAAGCCACGTCGTCGACGGTGTTGGAGACGGCGGATGAGTAGATCGGCGAGGCTGGATGGATACTTGCTGCCAACAGGACTCCGAGAAGCGAGACAACCGCAAAGGCGGTGGTTTTGTTGCTGAAGAATGACCTCGAGCTGGGCGTGGTTGTTTTCGGTGTTGAACTGGACGATGTTGTGTCACTGGTGCTGCGACTCGTATCCCGACTTGGAATCATATGTTTGGAGGTTGACTGGGACTTGCGATGGCGTTAGACGAGCATATAAAAAAAGACCGCAACCGCATTAGCAACCGCCACCAGTTTCTCGGCCTTTCTCTGCCTTCTTGGAAATGTGCTTCTGGATCCTTGTCGTCTTACAATATCAGCACTACAGTGATGTACAGGAGAATGGCAGGGAGTGTCTCATGCTTTTAATCGTCTCATACACAATATTAAATAATGGAGATATATCTCGCATCTGATTTGAGCGGCGGGTGTTCGGATCGCGACTCGATTGAGTGCTGGTCATCAAATGTTGTAAAGAGTCGTTGACTTACCTAAGCTGCGGTTTCGTGATGCGGAATTGACTCCGATCGTTCGTTTTACTCACTCCACCGGTAACCAACGACACTCTTACCAACACACACCATGACACACTGCATGCAGCGACAAGTACGGTGCAAGTACACACTCTTTATTTGTTTGTTTGGCCGAGTGGAGGCTCGGTCGCTGCATCTGTAGAAAATGGAGCTGGAGGCGCAGGCGTCGCAGGCGTAGGCGCATTTGGCTGAATGTCCTGTACATATTTGCGCGGTGACATCAAATCAATGCTGCTGGCAACTTATCCAGGATTCCCGGCATATCAACGCTACATGAGACAATGTCTGCATTCACAATTTCGTTTTATTCGGACCCTGTTGTTTCTTCCTCTCCTCAAACCATTCCTGGATCTTCTGCCTGGCGGCCTCGACGACCTCTTTGTCCTCGACCGTTGCCGGGACATTGACTTCCTTGTCATAGTTGCCCTCTACAGCATTCTCGACCAGCTCTCTCAACACTCTCCTAAGTGTCTTGCCACTCCGAGTCTTGGGGATCATTCCCTTGCCCTGCACGATACCCCCCAACGACGCGATGGCGCCTATCTGTGTGCGCACGATCTGGTTGATGCCGTCGAAGAATTCTTTCGAAGGCGTCGCTGGCAGATCAGAGGGCGTCGCGGCCGACGGGATCACGAACGCGAATGGTAAGTGACCCTTCATCGGATCAGGAATGCCGACGACACAGGCCTCGGCCACGCCCGGGTGCGAGGTGATGGCTTGTTCGATGGCACCTGGGTTAAGTGAGTAGGTTTCTGCTGCTGTGGGGAACAAGGCAAAAGCAGATGGAAAGTGAGACGTACCTGTGCTAAACCGATGTGCTGCGACATTGATGATATCGTCGCTTCGGCTCATGACATGAACATATCCATCCAAATCGATCATCCCGGCATCGCCGGTGTCCAGCCATTTGCCATTGAAGCGCTTCAGGTAGCCCTTGTAGAATCGGGCATCATCGTTGAACAGTGTGGTGAAACCTGTTGGCGCCAGGGGCATGGCAAGGACAATGTTACCCATCTTTCCTTGCTCCACTTCGTGGCCTTCATCGTCCACGATGCGGACATCAAAGCCGGGCATGGGTTTCCCGGCGCTGCCCGGCTTGATCCCCAGAGCCTTGTGCTCTTCACCGCTCGTGGGGTCGAGTCCAATGGCTGGACGCAACGCAAGACCTGTCATGGGACTGCCTGACTCGCTCGACCACCAATGGTCAATGACCCGCGCATCTGGAGCGGCGTATTTGCCCAACAGGTCCTGATAATGTACGACGATGGAAGGCTCTGACCTCTCGCCCGCAAGGAACAACCCACGCCAATGTCTCAATCGGCCCTTCTCCCCGTGCTCCTTGAAATATTTGTCCTCAGGGTCTTCCTTTCGAATGGCCCTCAGAGCGGTGGGGGCGGTGAACAAGGATGTGACTTTGTATTCGTCGACCAAGCGCCAGAAGGTACCGGCATCGGGCGTGCCAATCGGCTTGCCCTCATATAAAACGGTCGTTGCGCCGGCCAGTAAAGGTGCGTAGACAATGTACGAGTGACCCACGACCCAGCCAATATCACTGCCGGTGAAAATCACATCGCCTGGTCCCTTGACGTCGAAGAGATATCTGATGCTGAGATGAAGCCCGACGGCATGACCGCCAGCTTCGCGTAGAACCCCCTTCGGCAGACCCGTCGTGCCGCTGGTATAGATGATGTACAAGCCATCGGTGCTTTTCACCGGCACAGCCTCGGCACGTACACCTCTATTTCGAGCACTCTTGACCAACCGCTGCCAGTTTCTCTGGCCCGCATCCTTGAGGACAGGATCCCACCTCTTGACGTCCCGTTGCCAGATGATGGTCTTGCTGGGCTTCCACTCACTTCTCTCAACAGCTCCTTCGATAAACGGCCTGTACTCCAGAGGCCCTTTGGCGCCTTCAATGGCACAGCTAGCGGTGAGGATGACCTTTGGTTTGGCGGCATCGATGCGTTGGGCCAGACTGGCGGCGGCAAATCCTCCAAAGACAACCGCATGCATTGCCCCCAGGCGGACTGCAGCGAGCATTCCGAAGATGGCGGCGGGGATCATGGGCATGTAGATCAAAACGACGTCGCCTTTCCTCACGCCCTCCTCCCGTAGGACGCCCGCCAGGACCTCCACCTCCTCCAGCATCTGGTTGTAGGTGTACTTCTCTTTCGATCCGCTGACGGGACTATCCCATATCATGGCGACCTTGTCTCCATTGCCGGCGTGGACATGCCGGTCTACGCAGTTATAGGTGGTGCTGATCTCGCCGTCCGGGAACCATGACCAGTGAGGATGTGTCGTGCCATCCTTTAACCTCTTGGTCTTTCGCTGTAGGACAGAGCTGTATGGTTTATGCCAGTGGAGCTGCTTTGCATGTTTGTCCCAGAACTGCTCCGGATCGGTGAGAGAAGCACACTGAGCAGCGTCCTGCACAGTGTTATTGGGCGACATGGATCCCAGGACGGAGGTTGCAAGGACGGCCTCTCACGAGAAAGGCTAGGGTGGGTTTGAAAGGGACTCAACCCTGAATGCAGAAGGACAAGGGCAGCCGTTTCTCGTGGTCGGCCGGTACAGGATCAGGTACGTGGAGAAGACTGAGCAGAAGTGCAGGGACAGACGACGACGTGTTTTCCACCAGATATAAACACCTGGCAGCCGCGAAGCCGACGCCGAAACGCTGGCACTATACTGGCATTCTCTCTGGGGTGAGAGTGACGACAGAGGACGAGTGCAGACACCATACTCAGGTAGATGACCAGAATGCCAAAGTGCAGGAACATACCTTAGGTCTTGAGGACATGGACCAAGGTGGGCACTGGGGAGAAGATCCCAAGCCGTGGGGTATGGGGTAATGCGGACACCATCGGACGGACGGACGGATGGAGTGTGTGTTTGTCACCTAGGAAGGGGACCGCAGACCAGCTTCACGTTGAACATCATTCGAGAATTGGGAGTAAGACGGTTAATAAGTGAGTCCAGCTTGGTCCAACTCTTCGTTATTGACCGAGGCTGCTGGAGTAAGTAGATTAGTGAATCAGCTTACCCGATTAGAGATCATAGGTATGTATCTTGGGTACTAGGTAAGGTAGTATCTGCATGGGTACCTAAGATATATGTACATAGGTACCCAAATGCAAGGTACTCTGTAATAATTCTCTAATGGTCTCCTCTAGCCCCCTCCAGTGTCACGCCAAGCTATCATTGATAGAGAGGTTTCGTGGTACATGTGTGAGGAAAGAATTCTATCAAATCGCCTTCTATCCCTATAGACTTACGAGGAGGAATCGAGAGAAGAGCTTCCTAACTATATGTCGATTATTATGGGATGATATCTGTAATCGCGATAGTAGAAGAGATTAGAAGCCACTGCATGAATAGCCATGTAGCCATGAAATCAATCCCCATAGATATAGCAGACCAACTGCGCGGTCTCACAGAATATCCTGCCACACAGTGTGCGGGGACTGTCTGATAAGCAGCAGTGATAAGGAGAACCGATAAGAACCGATAAGGACTGATAAGGATGCCCTCTCCTCACTTATCGCGGATATCATCGAGCCATCAACGGTGCTGGTACCACCATCTTCGCCATCCACTACAACGTAGTACTACTACATAAGACTGCGCCAGCACGGCAATCTGAGCTTCTTTACCATACTATTCCATTCATCGGCCCCGGTGTCAAGTTCAAGTTAGATGCTACCTTGCTCGCGCTCTTCCCACCCGTCTTTTCTGCTTGTCTAGCGCTGCCCTTTGCCGCAAGTTGTCCTCCATTGTCACCGGACTACTCCGGCCACTCCGTCTCTTTGTTGCCTCGAACCGGTTTCTGAGCACATCTGGCCACCTCGCTTGTCCATTGACCATCACTGTCATTACTCCAGTCGGGTGTTTTGGATATCGAAGAGCTTGGAGACCATCTAGAAACGTGCTCAAAAGCTGAACTGTGATCAAAAGCAATTGCAAGTCAAGTCATTGATTCAAACCTGTTCTCACTATGGCCACTACTCAGCCTTCCGGTGGCGTCAGCACTGAGCTCGTCTTGTCCGAGATCCTGACCACTCTGAAGAAGCTGCAAGCCGACCACTCCCAGTTGGCGGCCAGTGTGGAATCTCTTCAGAGTAGACTTGAAGTCTCCAACTCACTCAACCAGTTACGCATCGGGCACAACGTCAAACAATCCGACGGCGTCAAGGACTCGCCGAGCTTAGATCCTGTCCAGCTTGCGAAGTCGGCAAACGGGACTATCTCGCCTCCTCCAGATTCAGCTCCCCTTGCAACAAAAGCACCGCCGTCGCCCAATACCAAGAGATCTTCCACCACCTCGCGAATCATCCTCACCACTTACCCGGGCCAGTCAGGAATCGACCCTATCCCGCTTGAATGGGGCGAGTCGGATCCGCTCAAGCGCGGTCCCGTCGTGGTCAGCAGACACCAGCATACCATCCGGAGACGGAATGCCATCGGTGCTCATGGAGGCTCGTACTCGATCTACCATGCTCTCGCCGTGGCCAGCCACAACCTGAACCTCGAGCACATGCCCGACTTCACCAACACGGAGCCCGCCGCGTTGATTGGACCGTTCCCGGCCTGGGGCGACAAGAAGAAGATTGTGGCCATGGATCCGTTCGGCCACCTGGAACCCTGGCTGTTCAAGGACTACATCCAGACCCAGGACATCGACATCCGGCCGACCATCGCGGTGACCAAGGCGCATATGAAAATCCCCGAGCTCGAGCAGAGCGTGAAGGCCGGCCGACTCGTGCCGGACGGCAAGATCTGTCTGAACGAGACCGGCGAGCTGAGCGTGACTAAGTTTGCCGTCGAACCCGTCTGGTATCTCCCCGGCGTGGCCGAACGGTTCGGGATCGACGAGAGTTCCCTACGCCGAGCCCTCTTCGAGCACACCGGCGGATCGTACCCCGAACTCGTGACGCGGCCCGATATCAAGGTCTTCCTGCCCCCCATTGGCGGGCTGACGGTCTACTGCTTCGGCGACCCGGCGAAAATGTCGGACCCCAACGCCTCACTGGCCCTTCGTGTCCACGATGAATGCAACGGCAGCGACGTCTTTGGGTCTGATATCTGTACGTGCCGGCCCTACCTGATCTTCGGCATCGAAGAGGCCGTCAAGGAAGCCCAGAAGGGCGGCAGCGGCGTCGTCATCTATTTCCGCAAGGAAGGCCGCGCCCTCGGCGAAGTCACAAAGTACCTCGTGTACAATGCGCGCAAGCGCGGCGTGGACCGCGCCAGCGAGTACTTCAAGCGCACCGAGAATATCGCAGGTGTCAAGGACATGCGCTTCCAGGCCCTCATGCCGGACATCCTGCACTGGCTGGGCATCACCAAGATCGACCGCATGCTGAGCATGTCTAACATGAAGCACGACGCCATTGTCGAGCAGGGCATCCCTATCATCGAGCGTGTGCCGATCCCGGATGAAATGATTCCCGCGGACTCGAGGGTCGAGATTGATGCAAAGATCCATGCTGGCTACTTCACCACCGGCAAGGTCATGACCATGGAGGAATTGAATGCCGTGCAGGGCAGGAGTTGGGATGACATTGAGCACTAAGCACCCAGCTGTTGATCTATAGGACTAGTATAAGATATACAAGGCTGTTAAAAGTGCTGAAAAGATTACTAGGTCTGTTGGAAATACAGCGCCAAGTGCACGTGGCCATAAGAGAATGATAGAGACAGTCTAGCCAAGCACGAGAGATCAAAGACTCTGTATACTGGTACCTACCTTTGCTTTCTGGCTTGCAAGCTCAGTGTCATTGCTGCCGAGGCTGGTTACTGGTAAGGAAAACAAGGAAGAAAAGAATTCCATTAATTACAAAAGAATCGGTCAATGATAGACAACGTCCTCAGCAGAATGTGCCTATTTCTCAATGCTGACTTGAGGGATGAACAATCATGCCCGTGGGCAGCGAGGCAGATCTTAGCCAGACATCAAGTCCCGAATCTTCAAGTGGCCCGATTGAAGGTCGGGTCCAAGACAGCGACTGTTAAGTAGCCATCACCACCATCGCACCATCTCGCCACTGCCACAGGCCTGCTGCATCAAACCAACTGCCGGGAGAGCATGGAGCAAGACGAGGCTGGCTCAAATTCAAGACATCCCCACTGCGATGACACACTCACCAGACAGATTTCAAGGTAGGCAGAGAGTATAACGACAGCCACTCCGTGTGAAGAGGCACCGACGAGCTATGAGGCCCGTCACAAAACGGACACCGTAGCAGTCCACGGCGAAAAAAGACCACGAAGATGTTGAGCTGTAACCAGACATGCCTGGCTCGTGGGTTGTCCAGACGTCTAAGGTAGGCCTCCTCACCAGGCGATGCTGAAGCCGCAACTCCTGAGAAATGCTCTATTCTTGATGGAAGGAAAGACTAGTAAAATGAAACAATGTTTGACCATGCAACACTCACCTTACGTGCACCGGCGCCGTCCAGACGATGTCCCAGTTACAGGATTTGTCTGGTACAGAGGCACACTCTCATAGCCTGTCGTCATGTGTCATGTGAAGCGAAGGACATAAGAGTCGTCACCTGGTTCCGATTGTATCGAGGAAGGGGATATCAGTGGAGACGGTCTGCTGTCTCTGATCGACTTGAGACTTGTAGATCACAGGACATCATTGCCTCAAGCAAGAGGCATTACCCTGCGGAAGTAGCACGATGTATTTGATCGTTAGGGACGGGTCCCATCTCGTACAATGAATACGGTGGAGGCGACTGAAGAGTGAGGGATACTGGCCAAGGGAGACAGACGTCACCTCTGGGCTTGGGAGATCAACCAAAAGAGGACTCCGTCCTATTGTCGGCCACATGTCTCGGATTTCCATCCCTTCCCAGTGTCTCATGCAACTGTGATATGCATGAGAAAGGTAAGTCGTTCCGGCCTCTTACCGAGGAGGCTGAACCAGCGAAGACCTAATCGATAGGATGCCATTGTACCAACTTCGAAACATCGAGTCCGGTCTCTCTTGTGATTTGTGGCTCCTTGCGGAGTATCACTGGGCGGGGCTTGAATCCCCCCAGAACTGGGCGTTGATCAGAATCCTGTAACTTTTGGATAAGCGAGAACAGCACGGTGACACCAAAGAAAGCAAGGAACAGCTTGGTCGGTCAGGAGAATGAAAGACGAGACTTTCACTGCGCAAGTCCTTATGCGGCGACGATCATCGATGCGAGATCGGGGTCGTGCAGTGGACAGGGATGTAGTGCAATGCAACGCGCAGCCAGCGGCAGCAGCACTAGAAGGCTGAACATCGCAGATATCAGAGAATGGACCGGCCTGCATTGTTTCGAATACGGACGGCTCAGCCCGAAGTGGCAGTCGTTTAGGCGCTCTCTGCTTCTGAAAAATCAGATGTGAGCAAAGAAGCGGACAGACTTCCCACAAGTGGATTTGCTACAAAGGATGGCTGGGAGAATCATGACGAACAAGGCGACCAGCTTCGATGTTCCAGATTGAAGGAGCGGCGAGGACAATCCTGACAATCCTGCTGATCTAGCGATCCGTGTCACATCGCCCTTCCGACGTCCATCCTGGTGATTGGTCGATTGGAACGTTGGCTGGGCCAGTCCGACCGGGGCGTGGGTTGTCGGGTTCTCCTCCGCAAATCAGGGATTGACAACACAGCACTTTGCTGGATAAGGGCGGCAGGCTAGGAGGAGGCTTTGTACGAGGTCACCGCTCTCCGTGAATTGTATGGCAGTGGCCGTAGGAAGCAGTAAAGTCTCCTGACTCAGGTCGGATTGGAAGCCTGCATCGTAGGCTATTCGCCGAAGTCGTGAAAGGATCCATCTCTGAAGTTGTTCAAGGCCGGCCCGTGAGAAACCTGGCGAGGCAAATCCATTCACTTGCCATGTGCTGTCGACATTTCCCAACATGATTACAGGCATGATGTGTACAAATAGTATGGCGATCGTCCTGGGATCAGCCACGGTGAGCGGTACAGATACCTTGGTCGACGACCTGCAAGTCCAGATGTTGGGTCCACAATATAGCTTCACATCTATCGGGGCGAGAAGTAGAAGCCCGTTGGCTTGCAGCCGTCAGTCGCTGCCAGTGCATAGGACAAGCTTGCTCATCAGCGGATGAGCACTGGCTTCCGCCGTCAACGGGCAATAGACGCATCCAAGGTGGACATCTCCTCCGTAGTCCTGGTTCCCAATGCTGCATGATCAGTACAAGCGCCGATGTTTGCCATGTATTGTGGCCTGAGGAACTCCTTGATCTTGCATCTCCACGTATACGCACCCCAGCCGGCAGCTTGAGCATTCCACGGCCTTCAACATGCAATGCGGCCTTATTTGAAGTGGGTGCAATGCATTCGCGGCAGATGCCCTGCATCTCAGCATGCAAGCAAGCACGTCGCCGTGAAGATCGTTCGACCTCCCCAAGTACTGTGCATATAGAGACAGCACCGGCACACGTATGGTACTCGTGTCATTTGTTGGCCTCTAGTCCACTAGATAGACGATGCCGATGTTGCTGCTCATGAGTATCCTATAGTCGGACCCTCAACGGCGAAGCTTCAAGGATTTCGTCCGGTATCGACAGGGTTGGACCCTTGGGAAAGTGCTGGTCCATCTCCGTCTCACTGTCCTTGAAGTCGGAAATCCCAACATCAATAAGTTGCCTTTTCAATCGCCGTTCAGGATGCAACTACCAGCATATCTGGCGCGTGAAGGATCGCCAGGAACCTCTGTTAACATTGGCGGGGTTTCCAAACCAACGATTGAAGGTCTTTCCATGTACTTTTCCCAATTGGCCATATCTTGCACGACGACAAAGGTTCTACTGTTACCGAGATGTGACGCTGGTGCGCATTGCATTGCCGTTATTTGCGTTCCCCAGATCACATAGATCGCAAAACACGTGAGAGAGGGTCATGCTGGATCGAATACTCAACGGACGGCTCGCTGGTAGTTGCCATGACGCACAGCAGGCGGACCAAGCTCAAAGCTGAAGCCTGGTCTGCGCCCTTGCCAGCCATGCGCTGACAGCTGATGGAGCTCCAGTCCGGGGATGCGGCACGGACGACATTTTCAGTACAGAATACAGAGGATCAGGCATTGACTGTACGGAGACGAGATCAGTCGGTGGACTTGTCTTTGATTCGACATGAGGTTGACAGCCCACCTCTTCCAAGATGGAAGACATCAGAAGCAAGCACGTAATTCGTCCCGGGGTTGTGAAGGTGTTGGGCAGAGTTGGCGCTGTACCTCGGTCTAGCGTCTGTTCACTCTTCAACGAAGCCGAGATGTGGCAATTGTGCAGTCAAGCCGCAATACGACAACGCGAGAAGGGCGAAAGGCCGAAAGGGCGAGTAACAGCCGACCAGCAAAGGGCCCAGGAAGGCGCGAGGTAGGATTCATCGCGGCTGTGGTGCACGCTCGCATGCCGGGCGAGCAATCGGAAGTCCAACGACAGGGATAGGGCATCGAGACAGGTTCAACGATCAGGGCGGGCCTGGTTAGCTGCAACTCCAGCACCCATCCCCATCCCCTATGTTGCTGGGCTCTGGCATAGGCTAGCTTAGTTGACCAAGAAGCTCCGAGTTCGACAAGCCCGACACCACCGGGAAAGGCATTCGTTATTTTGATGAGGCGCAATTCTGCAGCTTGTTGGTGCCACCTGCAAATCTTCCGGCGCTGTGGCACAAGCCTTTTCGTTAGGACCGGTCGAACTGCATCAAAGCTTTGGGATTTGAATGGCTGTAGATTGCGTAACAACGAGAACAGGAAGCGCCGCGGATGGAAATTTCGGTGGTGGCATCGCCACAGCACAAAGATGTCACACATTGAATGATAATGCGAGGGATAGTACTGCCGTAGATTGTAATGGTCGAGAGCGGATCGGACACTGACGGGCTAACCAGGCCTTAGCATCTTCGACCCCCCAAATTTTGGCAGGCTTTGATAAGGGTGAAGGGGCGAAAGCGCGCCTGGCCCTAGCCTGTCGACGATTGGGGCATTTGGGGATGATCGTGATAAAGCGACGGCTGATTCTTCGAGCGGCTTGACTGATAGAGCGGTAATGGGCGGTACGGGGGGATGGAGCAAGTGGTTGTAGTCTGCTGTCTCGCCTCCTTAGCCCTGCTGAACTGTCCTTTGTGGCTTTTCGATGCAGAGCCTAGCCCAATGATGGCTACCCAAGGTGTTGCGGTGGGCCGATGCTGACTGGGATTGTCGAAGGCTGGGGGAAGTGGACTCTGTCGGCAAGACGGTTAAGAGTCTGTGTGTTGTCTGTGTCCGACTGTCATCCGGAGGTGTCAACGCCCTGGCCTTCGTTCTCTTCTCTTGCTGCGTCCAGTGCATATAGTGTGACACCTGAAGCGGCCTACAGCCTTGAGTGCTTGATAGAGAGGAAAGGGACGGCTCGCATGCGTACAGGGGTGGTTGTCTTCCCTATGCGGCGGTTGTATACATAACACTGCAAGGGACCTCACACCTCTTCAACCTTCACCAGCGGGCAACAAGCCCGAGCGGATCGACTTTTCCCATAATGGTGAGCCCTAGGAAAAAGCTGCAGCCCTAAGCGAATACTCTTCCCCCGTCGAGCACCCGCGGTACGCGGTCGTAGATAGGATTAGTACTGTAAGACCAGGACGCGGGACGGAGTTAAAAGGTCCCAGTTCAACACACAACACACACACACACACACATATGCATAATAGTAATAATGTCTCCGTTGCTGGGATTTTGCGGCTGTACACATCCATGTGGATGTCAGTGACAACGCCCGCAGCTATGACAGGAGCCACTACCACTCTCATTGCACAAGTTGAGGGATTGAAATCTTGTTGCCATTGCTACATCATGCTGGCCGGCGGCCGGAGCTACCATTTGGATAAGGAATGAGGGTGGCAGGGAGCGACGGTCGGTTGGGTCGAGGTCTATCCATGAGATAGCAAGGGTAAGGTAGCGAGGTACTGTATCGTTACTGAACAGGTTGTAGCCGTAAATCGTAAGCCTGGATGGTGTTGGGCGAAGCCAGCCAGCCCTTGTCCAACTGCCATTGGCAGCCTGCGTCCGGCCGTCGTGGGGCTTTGTTGGCCCTCTTCGTGGATCTTTGACTCGCAACTTGCGGCACGCTGGGATCGCAGCAGCGTGGGCTGGCTGGTGAGAACGGTGGGCGTTGAGTGGAAGGACAAGTCTAAGAGCAAGCGTGGGTGCCAATGAACGATGGGCGGTGGGTGGCCAGCGGATGGTCGAGCAGCAGATGGCGTGCGGTATGGAGACACATCGACGCTGCTGAAGAGCGAGGGATTCAAGGGTGGTGGTGGGAGTGGTGGAAGAGGTGGGAGAGGTGGTCGTGGTGCAGTTCCTTAGGCCTTCGCCGCTCTGGCTTTTTTCTGCCTTCTGCTCTAATGCACCAACCTGCACACCCTCACTCCTCCCGCTCGGCTAGGTCGCGCACCGTCGTCCTTCTTGCATTCCTGCATCCTGCTTCACACCTCACTGCCACTGCCTCTGTTCTCCAGATCAGATCTCATCTCCATTGAACTCGTGCATCCGCAGTCATCGTCCTCTGTCTTCCACCGGCCATGGATTAACTGCGCGTCATCAGGCTGTGTAGTTCATGGTGTTTGAGGAGCCTCCCCAGCTGTCCGGTACGTCAAAAGTCCCATCGTCGGTGTTGGGGAATGGTGTGAGAGCACTCGTGCACGACCCGTACATCTGATAACATGCTGCACTACCTGATTCTGCAGAGTGCTTCTCGTCCCTGCATACCGCTATGTTGCTGTTAGGAAGCATTGCTAACGTATCCCACGATCCTACAGTTGGCGATTGACCGACTATCTCTGTGTGTTGCCTCGTTCCCACGGCAAGCTCTACGAAAGTGCAGAACCAGGAGCAGTCTCCAAGCTCAGCCAGGCACTTGACGCTGTTGACAATCGCGCCCGCACTTCTATCGGTTCGAGCCGACCACAACACTCCGCAAAGTACTTCTTCATTGAAGTCGGAAAAGCAAGCCTTGTGCGAGGAGCGGACGACAAGGCTACGCCAGAGGGACACAAGACTGGAGCTTGTTCGCTCACAATTGCCCAACAACTCTGGATCCTGCTCAAAAGGAGGGACAAACTTGATATTGATCCAACTCGGCCGCCATTGGGCTGATCAGATCCTGGCCCAATCGCCGGAGGAAGGAAGGTTCAAACCGCATCGTCAGGCAAAGGGTGGTCGTTGTGTCCTTTGCTTTGAAAACAGCCTGGGCGGACAAAGTGATTCAGCTGCCTTTGCTCCAGACTCCGATTCAAAATGAATCAGGCTCAACCGTATATGGATATGCATCCGGCATCGCACATCTCTTCCGGTCCTTCGTATTCACACTCCGCAACCACGGCTCCATTGGGTCATTATCAGCAGTATCAGCAGCCTCCAGTTATTCCTCCTGCGCCGACGCATTATGGACACCCACAGGGGTATAGCAACTATGGCTATGCCAATGGCGTGACCTCCCCGCAATCTGCGACTGGCCATGTCGCTCAGCAAGTCCAATCTCAGATGCCATCGCTTCCTGGTGAGTGGGATCGTTATCACAAAATGTCTTCTCGTATACTGACTCAACCAACAGCCATGATGCCCGGTCCTAGCCCTCAACAGACCTACGTGCCACAGACATCCAGTCTGCCTGCACCTACTCAAGGATATCCAGCCCAACCAGTACCTTTCGATACCACTGGGCAGATTGCCCCACCTGGAATGAAGCCCCGAGTTACTGCAACATTGTGGGAAGATGAAGGGAGCCTGTGTTTTCAAGTCGAAGCAAAGGGGGTTTGCGTTGCTCGTCGTGAGGGTATGGTTCAATGGCTCGATTCATCAGCATTAATTGACATTGGTCGCAGACAATCACTTTATCAATGGCACCAAGCTTCTCAATGTGGCTGGAATGACACGCGGCCGACGTGACGGCATACTCAAATCCGAAAAGACTCGACATGTGGTGAAAATCGGCCCGATGCATCTCAAAGGCGTCTGGTAAACATTGGAATTACCCTTTCCCTAGTAGAAGTGGCTAATGCTCCCCAGGATCCCCTTTGAACGTGCGCTCGACTTCGCGAATAAGGAGAAGATCACCGATCTTTTGTATCCGTTGTTTGTGCATAACATTGGTGGGCTTCTCTACAATCCGGAGAATGCACCTCGGACAAACGCAGTTGTGCAGGCTTCGACGGAGCGCCGCCGGATGGACAGTGTTGACACTGGTCGGGCGTCGCAACCTGCGCAGACACCGTCTCTGCCGCATCATAGTACAATGTCGGGGACTGGCCAAGCTCCTCCGGCATCTCATTCGATCGCGCAACACTCAAATGCACCACGTCCTGGTATCGACCGTGCTCACACGTTCCCAACACCTCCCACAAGTGCCTCGAGTGTCATGGGTATGGGGAATCAAAGCAATTCGTATGACTGGGGCAATCAGAGTATGGCAAATGGGACATCTGGAGCCCAACCTTTATCCATTGACACGGGTATAAATGCTCGATCCATGCCGACGACACCCGCCACGACGCCCCCCGGTACTGCAGGGCAAGGAATGCATTCATATCAGGGCCAAACAGGCTACGACAGTTCCAAGCATTACTACAGTACCACGCCAAGCTCCCAGACTGGCTATGCGCAGCACCCAGATGGGAGTCGATATGGCCAGCCTCTGCCATCTGTACCCTACGGCAAGACCGACATGGGCCCACCGATAGCGCCTGGATCGGCAAACGGGGGTGGAGATGGTCACGATCACAAAGCAGAGGCCTATCCTGGACACACTCATGGCTCTCAGCACGAGAATGATCACCCCGATGGTGGGTACATGACTACCAATGCCTCCGCGTATAATGCCAACCGCACGCAATATGCATATGGCGCTGCTGGTGACCATTCTCATCTATCTCCTGAACAGATGTCTGGTTCGCCCACCCACCAAGCTGGCTCCGGCCATGCCACCCCGCGAACCATGCCCACCGGTCAACCACAGTGGACGCCCGATTATCATACTCCACCAAACCGTACTTCGAGCAATGTTTATAATGTCATGGGTCGTGCTCGTACTCCGCAAGGAAACTCCGCCGACGGTTATGGCAATGCAGCGTACTCTGGCGGAGGTCATCACGCCGGTTTGTCGTCTGCGAAACGTGGCCGAGAAGACGATGATCAGGATCGACCGGGGAGCCGAGATTTCGACGGGTACGACGCCAAACGACGCAAGATGGGACGACAGGAGACTTTTGGGATGCCACTCAACGCACCCTCTCACATGCAAGCCATCAAAACCGGCGGACAGCGCTAGCGGCCATTTCTTGTCTCTTTGGGATGGGGCTTTGTGCATGTGCGCTAGGGCATGACAAGTGGAAAACGACTTCGAAACGAAAGGGGCTCCGATTCCGAGATAACGCAAAGTCACGACAGATTCAAAAAGCGATTACGAAATTACGACGGCTATAGCCAAAAAGAGATCAAAGACTAACGAACCGAACAAGCGTGCATTTTTTGCTGCCCGGCTTTTTTAACGACCTCACGACACGATTTCCTTTTGCAGCGCTTGCAGACGGCGAGGTTGATGAATTCATTTTGTCGATGATATGGCCTCCGCAGGAGGAGGGAAATCGTTGGTTTAGATGTGTTGCTGCTGTTAGTACTTTTTTCTTTCTTTGAATGAAGGAACGATGATATACGTGTGGATGGATCATGATTGAGACGGATACGAATTCCAGGGCGCCTTCCAGATGTGCTCTTGGCTTCGAGAGCACGACCACAAACGGGTTCTGCTGCCTTCGACCTCTCGACTCCGACCTGCTTCTGTTGAGTGTGCCAGCAGCGCGGTCTGTTGGGTGGTCAGCAAGGAGGAGGGGGTCTAGGAGAAGGTTGGCTGTTTGCTCCCCATCGTGAGACAGTTCCGTGATGACATGTCAAATACAATAAAAGCTCTATTCATAATCATCAAGTTCTGCACTGCCGGTGGTTCGTTTCGTGCTTCGGTAGGCTTTGGATGGATGAGCAGTTGCCCAGCAGATGCGCCAATCCTCGTGACAGCGCTGAAGGGAATCCTTTTGGCTTCCAGAAGAGTGCCCATACGCCTTAGAAAAGATATGCTCTTCACTCGTTGTAGGACAGACATTCACCTAATATCCCAGCTCGCCAGGTACATACCTTATGGGGCCTCCCATGCCACGCCAGCTCTCATGCTCCATGAAGCAGCTTACATAATCCAGACGAACCGTGCGTTGTATGGACGAGGGAATGTTGCCGATTTGTATGCAAAGCGCCCATGCAGCATGGCAGCAATAATTTATATATGTCAATTTCAAGACAGCACCTCTCAACAAAGGTAGGATGCAGGATTGGGCTAGTCGTCGAAAGTGTTGCAAGGTCACAGTTGAATTGTTTGAAGTGAACTCGGGGGTTGATGATGGATGCCGTAAAAGGACTAGCGCCATATTTGCCAAGGCGTGGTCACCGCACTCTACGATTTTTTGCTCCCCTCAATTACCAGGCAACCTGCAGTCAGACTTCATCTCGAAGCCTCATCCAGCATCACGCCCTCATTTCCTAGAGTCATCGCAGCAAGATGTAAGTGTATCCGGAGCGACCTTGAGAAGACCTTCTCCGCCTCATATCCTCGATCACCGGCTCTGGACACTGCTGTTCAGCCATGTCTATGACGCTTCTCCATGCGAGGTCGATGCATCCGAACAGTGACTGATTCGATTCAATGTTAGGACGAACCTCCGTACCCAGAAGCGCCTCGCGGCGTCTGTCATCGGCTGTGGCAAGCGCAAGATCTGGCTCGATCCCAGCGAATCCAACGAAATCTCCAACGCCAACTCTCGTCAGACGATCCGAAAGCTGGTCAGCGATGGACTCATCATCCGCAAGCCGGTCGCCATGCACTCCCGATCCCGTGCCAGAGAGCTGAACGCAGCACGGAGAATCGGCAGACACCGAGGCTTCGGTAAGAGAAAGGGTACAAAGGATGCGAGAATGCCTAGGTATGAGATGGTTTCCGTCCGCGAAGGGTTGGACGCCGGGGGTAGAATGCATGATGCTGATGATTTATTTACAGCCAAGTCCTCTGGATGAGACGTCTACGTGTCCTTCGACGCCTTTTGGTCAAGTACCGAGCTGCTGGCAAGATCGATAAGCACTTGTACCACGAGCTCTACCAACTGAGCAAGGGTAACACCTTCAAGCACAAGCGTGCTTTGGTTGAACATGTGTGTTTCCCTCCACTGAAGCATCAACGGCAATGCTAACAATCGCAGATCCACAGAGCCAAGGCCGAGAAGCAACGTGAGAGGATCCTCAAGGAGGAGATGGATGCCAAGCGTGCGAAGACCAAGGCTGCTCGTGAGAGGAGACAAGAGCGCATCCAGACCAAGAGACAGGCTTTGGCTGGAGAGGATGAGCCAAAGCAGGAGTAGGACTTACCGACATCACTGGTTTCTTGAGGTGATTTTACGACAAGAGCATAGTCGACGGGCATGTCTGAGGACGATCACGAAGACAGTTCGTTCAATGATTCCATGCATATCTGGGAATGTCTCTGCAACCAAGGCGATGGTGGAATCAAGCCATGATGGTTTGCATAGAGTTGTTCGCCCCGGTGAGGTTGCGGTTGCAATAGGGGCAATGATAAAGCAATGGAAACTTGTAAGCAGAGCTTCCAATGTACCTGCGCTCTTTGCTGGGAATGTATACTGGGCTTTCGGGTTCATCTGCATCTTCCACTGCCACTTGAATTACAGTACCCCTGACAGCGGGCAACGAGCCTAACGATGCTGCGTAACATGATCATATCGCTGGCAGACAAGAGTACCTAGGGTCAGTAGTAGTCGCGGATCCAAGGCACTTCGATTGTTTGATGCGGCAGTGGATGGTCACGGCCGGTGAGCTGCTTGTATGTTTACAAGTCTAGGATGCTGCCCGCATACCGCAGCTGGCGGGATCTGAGGTGCCACTCGCTGTGTTGTATGTCCTAGTAGCAGTCAAATGGCTTTTAGTACCGCCTGTACCTAAGAGACCTTTACTACTACTAAGGTACCTACTAGGTGCAGGTGCGGTGGTGGATGGTAGTAGTACGTAGCATTGGACATCGCTGCCACCGCCTGCGGCTAAATACCTGACCATGTTTGTTACCTTGGACTCACCCACCACTTGCACTTGAGAGCCTGCTACTTCGACACTCTTCCACTGTCCCGCATGCCCAGTTCTATTTCTTGACCCTTCAAATTAGTGTCGCCGAGTAGCCCACACTGCTATACAGTGTAGGGTCGAGGGCCTTCCGTTGCTACCCTGTTGCAGACTCGCGGCCCGAGGGGTTCGCCATCATCACAAACCAAGCCCATCACTTCTGCGTCGACTACTGCCGGATCGCGGGTCACAGCGACGGCCTCCCTGGAGTCTGCATGCAAACCTGCATCCGTTTCACGACGGCAAAGCCATCCACCATTAGCCAGTGGCCACCTCAATTTGTGTCGCACAAATCCTCCATGCCTTTTCCAAGTCCAACATCAACCTGACATGCGGTCAGATTGATAGCGTGGTGTATGGACAAACGGTGCTTTGCAACCAGAATATCAAGAGTTTACTTCGCGTGCGCTACCTCGCTCAATTGTAACCGAGTCTTGTCCGCGTTCTGAGTTGATCTGCCTTGGTCGCTGTGCTATGGACTACAAAACCATGGTGACCTGGTAGGATTCTCCGGCCTCGACTTTGTTCATTGCGAGAAACCTTGTCACGTCAGGACGCAAGGCTGAGCCAGCCTCAAATACACTCTGAGCCATCAACTTGAACTGCCTGCCAGTCCGCCACCGTTGACGTTCGCGCCTCCACGGGCAACCACCCCATCTGCAGCAGCAATGTTTAGTGGAGGACTTTGGGGTGCGGTTGGTAAGTACTGCTTTTGTTCTCACCCTTATCACATCTGGTGTTGGATGCTATTCTGGTGGAAACCCATTAGCGGCTGGCTTTGGGCACAAGTCTCTGGTCTTTGACCCAAGACAGGCGCTGGATGTCACGATCTGGGTTACTAAGCAGAGGGTGTGTCTTCAACGACGGATCATTGAGCCCAAAGATTCGACGACATCGAATGCTCCAGTTCCCTGTTCCAGCACGTTCCCAATTTTCACGCAGAGTACTTTTCGCACGCTCTGCAATTCAAGCTGCCTCTTCCGCCAGCCCTGGGCCCATTCGCGATGTCCCTGCCCAGCTCCAGCTCCCGCTCGCCCATCACCTTAACTGGAGCAGCCTTCCAGTGCACTGTTCCTGATTCGTTATACCATGCAAACTCTTTCTGACCTGCAGCAGCATCAGGGGGGCTCTCGCTGAGCGAGCAGGAACGCAATCCTCCAGCAAAACCAATCGCCCTCGAATTTCCAGGCTACATTCCCCCGCGAGGCGATAGCCCCTTGACACGCAAACATATTGAGGCACTTTGCAAAGACCTCGTATCAATACGAAGACCTTCAGACATCCAAGACTCCCATTTCGCACATCTCAATATTGATCTGGAGGAAGACATCTCCCTTGCAGAGCTCGTCCCGGAGAAGCACTTCGAATCCCGCCCGTTCTTGTACGATGCAGACCTGACTGCTATGCTTAATGAGCTCGAGGTCGACAACGAAGATGCTTATCGCGAAATCCTTCGCCTGCCTCCGCTCGAGGGAAGGAAAAAGCCGCGGTTGGCCTACTCGAGGAACTTTTTTGGAAGTTTAGAAGATATGAGTCGTTATTGGGATGACAGCAGAGACCAGTACTATGAAGTTGAAGCAAACGAGGCCGACCACCCAGCCACTAAGCCCTCTATTTTGAGACCAAGTATCCTTACCGCGCAAGCCGGTAAAGACGAGGACACCGAGATTAACGATGTTGCCGCCCAACAACGAGCTCTCGAAACAGGGCCAGACACGACCGCGAGTATATCCGGCATTCCGTCGGAAGGGCATACTATCAAAGTTCCAACTCGGCCAAAGCTGAAGCCAGTGTATAAGGGGCACCGTCTGGGTAACGGCGAGCAAATGAATCCTGGGACCAGAGTGGGAGCAGTCAGAAACCTGCTGAAGATGGCTGTTCACAAATTCACTTGTCGAGACTACGAAGTCAACCCGCGTGAGCGGCTCCGGATTGGCAACGTCAATCTCCCCTCTACGTACTACAACTTTTGCGTAACCAAATTACCCGCTGAAATGAAGCTGGCGAGGGCGAGGATGGTCGAGGGCCCGCTGATGGCGGTGCACTGCAGGAATGAGGTCAGGTTCAAATCCCGAGACGACCTGCTGGGCCCTGCCAGTGACTTTGTTGGCGAAAAGTATGACCTATTTAGGGAAGTGGCAGGCATGTTGATGGTTGCGCAACAACGTGCACGGGAGGGTCGGAAGCTGTCCGCCGAGCCAGGCGAGCACCAGTGGTGGGCCATCAAGCCTCGCTGGGGTGGTGGTGAAACGAGATGGGGACAGCTTGCCAACGAGGTGTATGAGGATGATGACCCTAGTTGGAGTCCGGAGGAGCGACGACTGCAGATGGAGAAGCGGAAGAAGGAGGAAGAGGAACGGCAGCAAGCCGAGGCTGCTTCTTTAGCCAACTTGGAACACCTCCAACCCGAAGATTTGATGTCGCGACAGTTAGCGAGCGGTGAGCGGCCAAAGAAGAAGAAGAGAAGTGGCGAGAATGGCGGTCCTTCTAACGGCAAGGCTGAGTACAGAGAGGGCAGAAGGCTGATGTACACTCAACCAGTCCGACGGAAATGGTATCAAGAGTGGCTGAAGATCCGTCCCAATGGTCCGACCTGGGACGAAAAAATCATCTACAAGAGAGTCGGCATGCGTAGTCGAGAGCATGGGGGAGATGGCTGGGACAATATCTACATGGTCTCTGCGGTAAATCACCACGCTTGCATATTGAGGTTGTGCGTGCACGACGACTATCTTCAGTGGCTGGAGATGGAGCAGACCAAGGAAGATCACCCTGAGCAACAAGCTCACGATTCTCCATGCGAGAACACAAGGCATGAGCATATTCTCTATATGAGGCGGAGTCATTGGTATGATCTGTTTGACGCGCAGCAGAGAAAAGAGTTCTTGGTGGGCATATGGAGGATCATGTGTTGGCTCAATCGAGACGAGGTCCCGCCGGGAGAGTATGAGAAGATGGAGCAACTGAGGAGAGATCAAGAAAAGGACGATGGAGACCATAAAATGGAGGTCTGAGGGCGGTAGACAGCATCACTCGTCGATATTTCGTACAGCGAAAACATCTCAGGTTTGGCGGAGGCGTCAAAAGAGACTCCAAATTGCCAGTGCCGCAACGTCCGCTCTCGAACCTCTCTCGAACCGGAGAACGCATACCACAGTCCCATGCAGCACGTTTAACTGTAGGGAGACTGGATTCCTAGTATTATACAAAGGTAGTTTGTACTCAATAGTATAGCGAAACACGCGCAGCCAATAGGAGTGTCCGCAGTGAAGGGGACGAGGCTGAGTCACGTCATACTAAGTTCGAGTCATGATCCATTGCAGAAAAAAAACAAGGGCCCGTGAGCCACGGGCTGCGCGGACAAGGAGTCACCAGCAACTGTTTCTCTTTCCATTGACTCACATTTGTTGCCATACTACTAGAATACCTTGTTCTTTGGCCCTTTTCCAAAGCACAACGTCCAGGCCACTACCCTCAATCATGCCTGCCTCCGCCCTCACCGAGAACATCAAGATCCCCCAGAAGCAGAATGGCGAGAATTCGGTCCGCCGGGAAGTCTCTCGCAGCCTGTCCATATCGACCTCTCCCCACGATGCCTTCCACCACCGGCAACCGTCCATGGGCCTAGAGGGCTCGTCGCCCACTCTCCGAAGGACGACGACCGGGGCAGTTGCAAAGCAGCTGAAGCCATTCCGAGAACAAGACGTCAAGATCCTGCTGTTGGAAAATGTCAATCAGACTGGAAGGGATATCCTGCAGGGCCAGGGCTACCAAGTCGAGTTCTTGAAATCCTCGTTGCCAGAGGACCAATTGATTGAAAAGATAAAGTAATACCTCCTGTTCCCTTCTTGTACTCTGGAGGCCCCGGCCTGGTTGCAGACGGAACACAATTTGGCTGACCATTTATTTCCTAATTGTTCAGAGATGTACATGTGATCGGGATTCGCAGCAAGACGAAACTCACTTCGCGCGTACTGGCAGCGGCCAAGAACCTGATAGTGATTGGGTGTTTCTGCATCGGCACGAACCAAGTCGACCTACAATACGCGGCGTCGCACGGGATCTGCGTGTTCAACTCGCCGTTCTCGAATTCGCGCAGTGTGGCGGAACTGGTGATTTGCGAGATCATCGCTCTGGCACGACAGCTGGGCGACCGCAGCAACGAGATGCACCGCGGCACGTGGAACAAAGTGTCGGCGAAATGCTGGGAAGTGCGCGGCAAGACGCTGGGCATCATCGGCTACGGGCACATCGGGTCGCAACTGTCGGTGCTGGCCGAGTCGATGGGCATGGACGTCATCTACTACGACGTGGTGAACCTGATGGGCATGGGCAACGCGCGCCAGGTCCCGTCGCTGGACCAACTGCTCTCGACCGCGGACTTTGTGACGTGCCATGTGCCCGAGCTGCCGGAGACGATGAACATGATCTCCAAGCACCAGCTCGACACCATGAAGCAGGGCAGCTACCTGATCAACGCTTCGCGAGGCTCCGTCGTCGACATCCCGGCCCTGGTCGACGCCATGCGCGCTGGCCACATCGCCGGCGCCGCCCTCGACGTCTACCCAGCCGAACCCGCCGGCAACGGCGACTACTTCACCAACGAGCTGAACCCGTGGGCCGAGGATCTGCGCAGTCTGAAGAACTTGATTCTCACCCCCCATATCGGCGGGTCGACGGAGGAAGCGCAGTCCGCCATCGGCGTCGAGGTCGCCGATGCTCTGGTCCGCTACGTCAACGAGGGCGTCACGGTCGGCGCCGTCAATATGCCCGAGGTCAGCCTGCGCAGCTTGACCATGGACGAACCCAACCATGCGCGCGTCATCTTCATCCATCAGAATGTGCCTGGTGTGCTGCGTCGCGTCAACGAGATCCTCGGCGACCATAACGTCGATAAGCAGATGACCGATTCGCGCGGCGACGTCGCCTATTTGATGGCTGATGTCAGCAGCGTTCGTGATGAGGACATTGCCCAGCTGTATCGCGAGCTCGAGAGCTTGAAGGAACGCATCATCACTCGCATTCTCTACTAGCCTCGAGCTGCGGCCGCATCTGGCGGTGGGAACCTGTAAAGGATTACAATCCAGATGCTAGGTTGTCGTGTTCGACATTGGACATTCTGCATCACATCAATATACAGGCAGCAAAAAAAGGAGGACTAATGGTTATGATATCTACGGAAACGGTTGCAATGGAAGCTCTCCTCAAACTGCGTTACATGGCGGACCGCAGCTTTCAACAGCTGGATCTGGCGTTGTCAAGGGAGGAATTTGCGTGGAGACCGGATTCTTAATAATGGGAATGGGCTCGAGGTGTAAGATAGTGTCCTTATACGCTGAAGTCTCGGTCCAGCAGGCTCAGAAACGATATCCAGGAAAAAAAAGTTACTACAGTATGCTCGTCAGATGGCCCATATAAGTTCATGCTGACCCCGTTTACAAAAGTCTTCTGCTGAAGTTGGCTTCAATTGTCAGATACCCGCTTCCGTATCTACGTCTTCTCCTTCTTTACAGCAATTGTGATTCTGTGTGCTCTGCAGCGACGATATGCTGTTTCATTTGTTGCTGAACCAGAGCCTGGTAAGCCAGATCGACCCGGGTTCGTCCGTCAAGAGGCCGCTTGTATTGAATTCGCATCAATCCGGGCGGGCTGGACGTCTGGCCTCCAAGCGAGGTCTTATCGAGGAATGAATACCCTCCCTTGCTTCTGTTTTTGGAAGCATCAGGCGGAAGCAAGCCCCATACATAGATGGCCACCACTTCAATATAGCCATGTAAATGTTTTCGGATCTCGATCCCTTCTTCGACATCCTGCACCGTTCAGATGGTGTAATATCGATCGCCGAAATCACCCAGCCCAGGGACAATATAACTGAATGACTTAGCTTGATGACCAACTACGACAGTAAATGCGGAGAGCTTTGACTCACTTGTGCTCGTTCAGACCTTGGTCAATGAATGCCGTAACCACTCGGACCTTGGGTACTTTTTCGGCGAAATTTTGAATGCCCTCGGGACTCGCAATCAAGTTCAAGAACAAGATGCGGTCTTCTGGCACACCTTTGCTCTTCAAAACCTCCACGGCCATGATCGCACTACCTCCCGTAGCCAACATGGGGTCGAGCAGCAAGACCCATCGATCTTTGATATCCGTAGGCAGCTTTTCGTAGAACAACTTTGGCTGGCTAGTCTCTTCGTTCCGCTGAATGAGGATCTTGCCTATCCTGACGGAGCGGCAGCATTCTCGCAGACCTTCTTCCATGGACTCGCCCGCCCTCATGATCGAGACGCCACAGATCTTGCCCTCAAACTTGACTCCGACATAATCCTTCCCCACGGGAGACGTCACGGTATGGGCGACCACCGGGAGATGGTTCAATCCTTCCTCGACAAGGAGCCGGATGATGCGATTGGAGTAGAAGATGAAATCGGCTCGTTGGGTGTCTTTGTCGCGGATGATCCTTGTCATGGGACATTTAGTCTCGATGTACATTTCATTTCCCAGAATCCAGCAATGTACTCACGTCAGCAGGGCAATGAGCTGTGGTGTTTGCGGAAGCACATGCACATTCTCGTGCGACACATCTCTTGACACTGTGGCCGTGGGCTTCTCCTCGGCCGGCCGATAGGACGGCCCTACTCCCACAGCAGGCGACTGTACGCCATTTGCCCGGGGCACTGATGCCATGGTGCTAAGTTCGAGTGCCGAGGGAGGCGGTAGCGGAGAGGAGAGAAGGCAGTGCTTCAGTTGCTCGCGTGCCAGCTGGGAGGATTAAGGGATGGATATAGCGACCGGTCGATGAGATCGCACTTGTGCGTAGTGACCACAGGGGGGTAGACCTGGTTGGAGGCTTGCTTCGACAACGGCTGTTACAGTGTAGGACGATTGAACAACATCCCCGACGAGGAAGCTCTTAGGTATGGCCAGGGTGAGAGCATATGGTACGGTAGAGAGATAACAAAGGTTCATATACGCCGGCCATGTGGGAAGATTCCTGCGATCCTCGAGGCTTCTTCTTAGGCGTACCCCTCAGTTGCAACGCCCACTAGCTAACAGGCGCCAAGGCTACTGAGCAGTGCCTGAAGAAACCCTAGGATGCCTAGCTCGCTCTGCTAAGACGCCTAAGGAGCCTAAGACTCTCCCCCGCGCGATAGTTGAAAGGTCGTCCATTATTATTGTTTATTGCTTGACATCACTCCGCATGCCAGTGCGTTGATGGATTCATCACTGCAATTGTCTCCGAATCCAGATCCAAGTGAAACTGAAACTGTGACTTCCACCATTTCCTCTCTATATACTTAGGTATTGAGCCTCAACCGTGAATCAATACATGCGTCCTCACCTCGATTCATTGACGCGTACTATGAGCGACACCATCACTTCAATGCTAACTTAGGCAGTCATGTCACCTGCGAACCGCGAATCCCAGCCTCGAATGAGCGACGAATGAAGGGGCCGTTTGTTGTCCACCTAAGTCCAGAAGCGCCATGGAGTTTCCAACTGCGCGTCGAAAACTGAACACGTATGGAAAAGGGAATCGGAAGGTTTTGGTGCACGACATCTTCGGTTTGAGCACTCAATCACTTCAATCGACACCGGCGTTGTCTGCTTCTGGCTCTCGTGAGCAGCCTCCAGAACCCTCCCAACATGACGCTGTACCGCAATCCGAAACCCAAGGCGCAATGAACAGGACGACGAGTGACACCTCCACCGGTCGACCTGGGGGACAGAGGACCACCTTGGCCAGTAAAAGCGTGTCGGCGGTTCCATCGCCGAGAAAAACGTCCCCTTCGTCTCTCTTTGAGATTGAAAGCTCTGATGATGACTCCTCTGGACTCAGAGCGAAGCGACCCTTGAAGAAGCGGAAAGTAGTGTCTCCGCAAAGAGAGCCTAGTGCTGGCGTTGAGGTCAATAGGTTGGGAAGGGGGTTGTTGTCTAAGAGCCAGTCAGGCAGCGTTAAGCCGGAGACGACGGTGCCACGGAAACAAGGGGTGGGGGAGGAAATGGGAAAGGGCTCCTTCAGGCCTCTGGATCCCCCGGTGCTGAAAACAGATTCAAGGCCAAAGAAACAGATACCAAAGATGAAGCCGGCCAGCACACAGCCTGTGGAAAGGCAGGCGAAACGACTAGGGGCCCGACCAACCTCTCCAGACGTGCTCTCCTTAGCGAGAAAGACAACCAACAAAGTCCTTCACATCGGTAGTGATTCTTCCGCGCACCAGTCGGACGACTCCAATGTGCTGGCCTCGTCACGCCACAGCACTCCGAAGCGAAGGCGACTTGCACCTGATGGGGGTGCAGTTGATTCTCCGAGTCCGTCAGAACTCCACATGACCGCTCTGAGATTGACATCAGACACGATTGGACAAGAACTGAACCTATCTTCTGATGACGAAGAAATGACCGATGAGAGTCAGACAAGTCGTCCTCCGCTGCGAGGCCGCAGAAGACTTGTCGACAGACTGGACGCTCCCGCTTCTCGAAATATGGGCAGGATGCATTCAAGAGGGCGCTTGCACACGGGAGAAACATCGAAACAGACTTCCAGTCAGCCGGTCAGTGGCACGGCATCCCCTGGCAGGGCGGGTGCAGCGCCTCTGTTGGTGAGGGCGGACACAGCTCCCTTGAGTGTCTCCAGCGCCGCCCCATCAGGTCGTTCTCGCGCGACATACGCAAAGCAACGGTCATACCTGAGCGACATGGTCGACAGCTTGGAGACCCAGCAAGGATCTCTGAGCCAGTCTTCGTCTCAGCAGGACTACTTTCCGCAACTGTCGTTGGCTCCTTCGGGATCTCAGATGGATCTTGTCCACGAGGATAGCGACGACGACGATTTCACCCAAATCAAAAGCATTCACGAACTGCGACGAGGGGGTGCAATCAGGAAGTTCGACCTGGATCTACATACTATTGTGGAAGACATCGAGGCCGACTCCAAGTCGTTGCGCATTCAAGCTCTCATACAGCTGAACAAGAAGTTACAGGACGGCTCTTTCTGCCGGCACTTTCAAGATTCCGGTACCTTTGCCCGATTTCTGGAATGCGTAAAGGAGGGGGTGGACGATGTGAGCGCGACATTGATGGCATCTGTCTTCCAGAAAATGTCAGCTGGCGAGTCCTCGTCCCCAAAGAGTTGTCTCCAGATGTTGAGCGCATTGGACCGGTTGCCCTTGCACTTGCTCTCGGACACGCGATCTCTATCAAGAATTGCAAAAGATAGGGGCCAGAATCTCTCCAAACTGCTCATCAGGGATGTCAAAGACTTCGACGAGCACGTTGAGCAGGAGGATGAGCGGACTGGTAGACCTGTGAACACTGTCTTTATCGGCGCTCTCGATGGTATCTTACAAAGTCTGATCAGGCTGAAGGAACCTCTTCCTCAATTGCCTCATTCCCTGCTCGACGCGATCGTCTGCGCTCTGGTGAGGACCGAGAAGGATATGCAGGGACAGGAAGGAGCACACGGTCCTGTCAAGACGATCCAACAACTACTTTCGATTCTCGAAATCGCCTGTGCGAACCACGAACTGCTCGGATCCAGTCTGTCGAGTTCCCGCGTGTCGGAGCTTGGTGCCAGCATAGCAGGCGTCTTGGGCCGGGCTCGCCATGCCCAGCCTCTTACGGAACAGTCTTGCCTTCGGCTCATCGTCACTCTCAGCAACAACGAACCGAGAGTGTGCGACGCTCTCACGGAGAAGAGACTCATGACCACGGTCTTCCAAGTGATTGAAGACCATTTCTCGACATTGGCGGACCTTGCTGCCCGAGAGGAGGATTTCGACACCACACAGCTTGATTCCGTCATACTTGCCGTTGGCTGTTTGTTAAACCTTGCAGAATGCGCAGACGCAGCACGCGAGCAAATGCTGGAACCGGACCATGGTGGCAAGAGTCTCGCCGATCGATTGGTGGGCATGTTTAACAACCATGTCGACCAGGCATCCGAGGTGGGTGAATCTCAACGGCTAAAGGATCACGTGCTAACATGTACAGGCCATGACCATGCAACAGACTCACGTCCTGGTGGCTTTTGGATATATTTCAGCTCTGCTCTGCACCCTGTGCCTCAATGCGCAGGCCCGCAAGCAGATTTCCGAGTCTATAAAAGGAGAAGGCCTTGCCGAGTTGTTTGGCCAGGCGGACACCTTCCTCAACCATTTGCAGACGGTAGAGGCTGCGCTGGGTGACGAGGGAGGGTCTGCATCAGGATTCACGGCTCGCTTCACGGCGGTCCTGGAGAGTGTCAAACAGGAAACTCGGAATGTATGAATGATTGGACGATCAGTCGGTATTTACGAATCAGGCATCGAGCGTCCTGCCTGCATTGGGCGTTGGATGAGCGAGGGTTGGACAATGTCTGGAGTCGTCGGCCTGGATTGCATAGAGGCACGATACCCTGGACATATTTGCTAGATGAGACCATAATCAAGAGCTGTTTGTTGTCATACTAGCCGCAGTGTGTTGGTGATTCTGTTTGTTTGCTACTAGGTACCTAGTGTCTGAAGGAAGGTAAAGAAAGGTTATCTTCGTCAAGATGAAGTGTTGAGCAATTGGCGCAGAGACAAGGAAATTCCCCCAGGATGGCGCAGGCTGCAGCCCGCAGACCGCAGGCTGGGATCTCCAGGCTTTCAAGACGCCTAACGGAGACCAGACTCGTATGATGCTCGTTCATCATCAGTCCGTGCGTGCAATAGTGAGAGGTAAACTATGCTCTGACTATCAGTTATGCTACCATGTAGAGGTGTAACTGACCACCATCCTCCATCTATCCTCTGTCCTCTGTCCTTTTCCGACTCCATTGATACGGTAGCTCCAGACACCTCAAGTGTCTCTAATCAACTCAACTGTCGCCTGTTGTGGCAAGTTGTTCCTTCCGGAAATCCAGACCTTGGACTCTCAAATATAGGCTCCGCAACCGCCGTCATCCTGCGAGTTCCCATTACCTACAACTATTCGCTTTCGGTTTAGAACCCATCTGAACCTCACCACCTATGGCTCTGCCGGGTCTATTATTGTTTTGCATCTAGGGAAAAACCACATAACCGCTACCTGGCATTTATTTTCTCGCTACCTAGTAACACAAGTCCAACAGTACAACACAGAACCTCCTTGACCTGAGACCTTCCGAGCCCTCCCTCATCCTACTTCCCTCCATCCGTGCTCGGAGAGACCACCACATGCCATAGGCGGTGTATATTCCGAACCCGCTCCTCTCTAGCCTCTCTCTTGTATTCGACTTCACGGCGTATCCTTCTTCCTGATCTCTGCAATACTTCCCGAACCGACACATACAAACCATACACTCCAAGACATGGCTCCCTCCGTCAAGCAGCGCAAGATTGCAATCCTGGGCAGTCGTTCCGTCGGTATGTTCGACAGTGCTCATCCGGTGGCCCTTGTCAAGTTTGGCCGGGCTCGCGTTGGTCGCCAACCATTGTTATGATGATGCTATACCGAATAGAAAGAAGAAGAGTGTTGACGTTGACGATGTGAATTGTGCATAGGCAAATCATCGCTTACGGTGCAATACTGCGAAGGCCATTTTGTCGAAAGCTACTATCCTACCATCGAGAACACCTTTAGCCACGAAATCGTCTATAAAGGCCAGACCTATCTCACCGAAATCATCGATACTGCAGGACAGGTTGGGCCCCCACCCCTTTTTTTGTTCTTGGGTTTCGGACAGACATGCGCAAGAGATATTACCCTGAGGATTGGGATCGGGTTGGATTGGACAGGACTATGCTGACATGGGGGAACCAAAACAGGATGAATACAGTCTTATGAACTCGAAGCTGTATATCGGCATACACGGTTATTTGATCGTCTATTCGGTTGCGTCGAGACAGTCGTTTGAGATGGTCCGAATCATCCGAGACAAACTCCTCAATCACCTGGTATGTGTTTCCGTCTGTTTGGGAGTTGGAGGATTGTGTAGTCTATTTGGGCGTTCATGTCGGCTAATTGCTTTCCTGGGGGTGTTCGTGGTATAGGGCGCAGATTCAGTACCGATCATGATTGTCGGAAACAAGTGTGACGTCGATGCCGCAAGGCTACGCAAAGTATCTCCCGAAGAAGGCCAGAAGCTGGGGCAAGAACTCGATTGCGGCTGGATCGAGACCAGTGCTCGGAATAACATCAATGTCGCCAAGGCCTTTGAGATGATGATTGCCGAAATCGAGAAGTCGCAGGAACCGGACAAGCCTGCCGGCGGTGGGAAGTGTCTGGTGATGTGAGTTGTCATTGGAACAGGGACAACAAGAGGAAGCAAGAAGATGCCACTGAAGAGACGGGATTACGAGGCACAACGAATTTGGCGTGGAACACTATCCAGATGGGAGATGTTGTCGATGGAGGCCCGTATCAGACGCCCGGCGAAGGTCTCTTCATAAGTTCAAGGCATGTATGCATGGGTTCGGCGTCCTCAAGGTATGGCTGGGTGAGTGTATGGGACAGCGTTGTCGAGATTGCTTCGTTTATGTTTCATGCGGGGCATTGGCAGGGCTGGTTAGACATCTGAGATCAGGACATGTGGGAGGTCGGCCGGTTTGTCTTGTCAGCGGGTTTGGTTCGCCTTTGGGGACTTGGGGATGCTGTGGTATGTATCGTCGCTCGTTGCGTTTTGGTGTACCGTTATGCTATGCCGCGTTGATTTGTTACCAGAATCATGTACAGTTCCTGCTCGGTTTAATCCAAACAAATCCAGACAAATCAATCACAGTGTGTTCGAAACCCTAGTCTGGTTGTGAGTGAAATACGGATTGAAGACCTGTTCGTGCTGTCGATAGTCTTGATATTGTAATGTGCTGTCTGTCCTATGAAAACGGCCTGTCGACCATATACTAGTATGTCGTTGGATGGGCAGGCGGCGTTCATTCGGCCATCGTAGCATGCCTGTCCCTAGTAGACAGTATCTAGTAATAAGTGGTACATATATCGTAAATGTATGCGTATTGTATGGGGTAAACATTCCCCAGACTTTCGGCAAAGGTAAGTGGAGAAAGATCTACGGCTAGCCACGATTGCTACATCAGGTCAAGATATGTTGATATGTTGATATGTTGATATGTTGATATGTTGATATGGTGAAACGATATATTGATATGAATAAGATAAAGCGTGATGGACGAATACACAAAGGATTCCAACCCCTTCTTTCTCCTAGCTGTCTAGATGGGTATGTAATGAACATTTCCCCCATTGGGAAGCGCGAATGTGTGAGATCAATCCAAACGACCGAGGGGCATTAGACTTTGTGGTTAGGTATATTTCGGCATCTGAGAAAGGTCACAGGAAGGAGGAGTGCACCTTTGGTAGGTAGCCTTGTGCGAGTTATCCAACAGGGCGGGACTCTGTTCAAGGCAAGGTTGAACGTGGTGGACGCTGAACACTGGACACTAGACAATGGAGATAGACACTGGCATCATGTTGCATGCTGTTCGGGTAAGTCAAGATCCGGATTTGCGGGGGAGGATATGGGTTTGCCCCGACGTTTGCCCCGACGTTTGCCCGCTTGATATGGGGGATTGATTTTGCGGGGGTGGTCGGTTGTAGAGGTGTCATGTCCAATGAGATCCATCATTGCATTCCCCGGATTGAGAGGAGCGAGGAGCACACCTGGATTTGGACTCTTGGAGATCAGGTGGGTGGACGTGAGGAGAGGTGGTCGAACCGCTGATCACAATAAGATGAATGAAATGTCCTTGAGTTGACGGCCGGCGTATATTATATCTTGAATGCCTACCTTAGCCAAACATCCGGCCTGAGCAGTTCCCCGATCGCTCCTCCCTCTCTCTTTGAAGCCGAGGTTCTGATTGTTCATTCTGATTGTTGGCAAGTTTCAAACTCGTAATCACTGCAAGCATGTCTCCAGGACGGGTGACTGAGCTAGATGAGTACGATTTTATCGTTTGGTAAGTTCGGCCAGGACTTGAGAAGACAGAAGGCTTCGAGAAAATGCTGACAGAATCTCGTTTCCCAGCGGCGCCGGAACATCAGGGTGCGTGGTAGCGGGTCGACTTGCTGAAGACAGCAATTCTCGGATCCTGCTGGTCGAAGCAGGTCCTCACAACCAAGATTTGGAGAATGTGCATATGGTCGGAGGCTGGTCCAAAAACTTCGACTCGGAGACGGATTGGAATCTCGTCACCGAGCCCATGGAGGGCGTCGATGGGAGGCAGGTCAAGCTCAGCCGAGGCAAATTCTTGGGGGGCTCGAGTGGCGTGAACGGCACGCTCTGTGTTCGGGGGTGCAAGCAGGACTATGATGACTGGAAGTGAGAACTAAGGAGCATTTTCGCGTGACTGGGAAAAAGTCATGCTGACACAGTCCTAGTCTGCCCGGATGGTCTGGCGAGGAGATGTTCGCATCCATGTGCAAAGTGAGAGTCGAGTGCAGGGTTCAGGACAGCAGTCACTGATGGGGTATCCAGTCCGAGTCATTCCACAACAAACCGTGGTTCGAGGCGAATGAGAACGCCCACGGTTATGATGGGCCGCTCCACACCGAGCCGCATGATCTCGCCCCGATCTCGAAACTGTTGCTCGAGTCCATGGAATCGACGGGTCTGCCGTTGGTCCCTGATATGTTCAGTACGGGGGAAACCGCGCATGGCTGTGGACATGTTCCGCGAACACGTATGACGCGGAAGATATTGTTGGGTGTGTGCAAGCTGACAAGTTGTGAAAGATCATCAAGGCATTCGGACCACCGCGGCCGATTTTGTGACAAATGCTCACCATCGGAATAATATCGACATCGTCGTTGAGACCGTCGTGGACAAGATCAACTTCGAGCAGAAAGACGGCGACTTACAAGCCACAGGCGTGAGTCTTGTCGACAGAAGTGGAGGCAAACGAGCCGTCAAAGCCAGAAAGGAAATCACGGTCTCTGCAGGTACTAGAACGTACCTTGAGTCTTCAAGCCAGCATTGACGGTCGTAGGGTCATATTGCTCCCCAGCGATTCTTCTTCGTTCAGGAATAGGACCAAAGGCGGAACTCGAGAAGTTAGGCATCCACTGCCTTGTCGATTCGCCTGGCGTCGGAAAGAATCTGCTTGATCATCTTGTACGGTTGGATCTTGCTTGCGACAAATACCGGCTGACTTGCCAACAGATCGTGTTTGCGTTTTACGAGACCGAGCAGGAAGGCTTGACAAATGATTCCATGGTGTAAGTGACGTCCCTCGACTGCTTTGCCGCTGACTGGGACAACAGATACCACGGCGACGCTGCAATGGCCGCCTACATGTTGTATAAGGACAAGAAAGAAGGCGTTTTATCCACCTTCCCGTTCGGTGCTTTCGCCTTCGCCAGACTGGACGATAGGTTGCAAGACGACCCCTTATGGAGGGAGGCGAAAAAGGAGCCGGGTCGCGATCCGATGGGACTGTCGCCTAATCAGCCTAACATTGAGTTCTTCACCACCGAAGTAAGTCCTCTGACTGGGCGACTGGAACTCGAATGTCTGGAAACCGCTAACACCGTGGAAGCTGTACGGCGGTCCAAAGCAGTACGCCGATTTTCCGATAGGTAGGTGGCGACAGCCAGAGCCAGATATCCAGCCCAGCTGAGCATCTTACTGGTGCTAGACAAGAAGCATGCCTTTGCGATGATCACGGAGCTCTTCTCCCCACGATCCAAAGGCACCGTGACCTTGAAATCGACCGACCCCTTGGAGAACCCAGCGATAGACTGCAACTACCTTGCGGATGCGCTCGACCTGTTGGTTCTGACCGAAGGCTGCAGACTTGGAAACGAGATAGTCATGCAAGGAGCCGGGACGAAGGATGTCGTGAAAGGTTCATGGCCTCCTAGTGAGCGTCCAGACCTAGAACTTGCGAGACGAGAAGTTGACCCGTCGTCCAGGTTTGACACATCATGCTTTTACCGCTCGAGAAGAGTGGATCCCGTACGTGAAACAGCATGCAACAACATGCTACCATGCGGCCGGGACGTGCAAGATGGGACGCTCCGACGACAGGATGGCCGTCCTTGACGAAAAGCTGTCAGTTCGGGGGGTGAAGGGCCTCAGAGTGGCGGACTGCAGTGTCATGCCCACTCTCCATTGCGGCCATACCCAAATGCCTGCGTATGCTCTGCAATGATTGCTGATTATGATTGTGCTGACCACATGAACCTTAGGTATGGAATTGGGGAAAAGGCGGCGGACGTGATAAAGGAGACTTGGTCGAAGCTGTGAGACGGGTGCCGGGTTCATGGACGCGGTCTATCTGGACACCGAGGTGATAGATATAAGCCGAAGCATGCCACCTTGACTTGGATAAAATGCAAGGCTTGACCGAGTCATATCAGTCTTTGTAGACACGTTGAAAGGGAGGAAGGAGAAAGGAGAAACTGGATGTCGTCGTCGGTTCAGAGCTGTAATGGATATTTCGGTAATTACCAGAATATACCACGGGAATCGCGGCACTTGGCATGTATTTCTGGTCTTTTGACGTTTTTAATTCGGCCTCAGTTCACGTTTTCCACTCTCATTACCTAGTAGGTACGAACGCTCCATGTACCTATAACTTTCTATCATTCGAACACTTTTTCTAATTGGAGTTTTCTATTGCGTACAGAGCGTGCACGTACACTCATTCATTTGTGCAATGCCCCCAAGAACACAACCTGTGCTGCTGAGATCACTCACGTCCCGGAAAGTCCAGAAGCGCCATTTCAGCCAAGGGCTTCGCCGTGCAGACCAAACATGGGGTGAGAAGGAGGATCTGGATACGGCATGGATGGACGAGCGAACCTCATCCAACGAGAGAGTGCCCCTCCACAAGACGAGACGAGTGTTTTCCGGCATCCAGCCTACCGGGGTGCCACATCTAGGAAACTATCTTGGAGCTCTTCGACAGTGGAAACGCTTCCACGACCAGTCGACCGATCCGAATTTCTCCATCAACTATGAACCTGAGCAGTATTTCTCCGTTGTCGACTTGCATTCCCTGACCGGGGATATTGCTCCACAAGATCGGTTACGGCTGAGGAAGGAATCGTTTGCTTCGTTACTGGCTATGGGACTGCATAATACCGCTGAGACTACTGTTTTCTTTCAATCCGATGTGCGTTTCCATCTATACTCCTAAAGTCTGAGATCATTGTTCTTACAGTCTGTCAGGTGTGGTGTCATTCGGAGTTGATGTGGATTTTGAGTACTTTTGCGTCCACTGGCTATCTTTCGAGGATGACACAATGGAAGGTATGAGTTCTCTTTTACTTCCTCGAGCTTCTCTCGTTAGCAGGACTGTATACTAAACTGTCATTGCAGAGCAAGTTAAATCTACCGGACACTGCCAACCTGGACAGTGACGAGGCTACGGCCAAACTCAAATTGGGACTGTTCTCATATCCTGTGCTGCAAGCAGCCGACATACTGTTGTACCGGTAAGTTCAATGCCGGATGCACCATTGCCTGTCGCTAATCAAGCCTAGTGCTTCCATGGTGCCAGTCGGGGAAGATCAGTTACAGCATATCGAATTCACTCGCTCTCTGGCACGGACTTTCAACTCACATGTCCAGAGAGTCGGCTCGGGTCAAGCTGTGTTCCGAATACCATGGCCAGTTTTGTGTATGTGGTTGTTACCTCGTTGACCAGTGTTGCGACCATGCTGACCTGCCATGTTAGCCCCTGCCAAACGAATCATGTCTCTCAAACGACCAACACAAAAGATGTCCAAATCCGATCCTGACCCCAAGTCACGGATTCTCATCACCGACAGCAAAGAAGACATCTACGCCAAAGTCAAGGGAGCCGTGACCGATTCGGAGCCGGGCATTTCCTTCGACCCGGAACGGCGGCCGGGCGTGTCGAACTTGATTGAGATACTGAAACACGTCACGGAATCTAATCAGCCGTCGCAGTTCATTGCCAAGGATCTGGAGAACACGAGTATGCGCGCGTTCAAGGAGATGGTTGCAGGGGAAATCGTCAAGGCTTTGGACGGCATCCGCGACAATTTCTTGGAGCTGATGCAACCCAACAATTCCCGACTGCATGACGAAGTGTTTCAGGGCGGGTGGAAGGCGCGAGACAAAGCCAAGAGTACTCTGCAAGATGTCAAACAGTCTCTCGGTCTGCAGACATTGGCTCTGCCATGGTTGGAAAAGGAGCGTCAGCCCAGGAAAGACTCTCGTCCCGAACGAGTCGTCAGAAAAGAGGAAGAGCTGGATTCACCCTCGTCCAGTCCGGACCAATTCGAGGGCGCACCCATCAGACATAGCTCGGCCGAGGCTCATGTGCCGATCCGGCATATTCCAGTTGGACATGAGAAGAGATCTAGCGGTCGTTCGGGGAGGTCTTGACGGCAGCATCCTCGGGCAGTGGAGGAGACACTTCCAGTGACTAAATCGAGCAAGAGCTCCACGGGACTGCGAATGGAACATATACTCTTCCAGACAGGTGATGAGCAGTCAGACTCCGGAAAGAACGTCTAATGACAAGATCTGCGGTTTGTTGCCGACGAGGCTGCAGCCCCCCAAAAGTATTTTTGGCCATGAGTTTGCAACCGGAACATGCGGCGAGGCTGAAGCGATTGGAACGACGTCATTGGCCGCCAAGCAGCTCTCCAAATTGCGCCGGATATTGTTATAGTACCAGCTGCTTCTCTCCATGTACCATTAGATTCTTTTCGGCGACTCACCTTCAGCGAGGATACTTGATACTGTACAATAATAGAGGGGGTTCACCAATCCTTCTGCTTCTGTACCACACTCTCCTTTCGCCTCTTCCCTTTTCTCCTGTTCCTCCCGCGCAAGAATGCACATCCCACGCATCCCAGTCGCCAATCGCGTGCCATTGACCTTGTCAACACACCGGGCTTTTTCAAGCAGTAGCCTCCGCCGCGATGTGGTCGACCTTGCCTTCCACCGATACGACCCGCCGGACAACACTTCGATCCAAGGACCAGCGGTGATCGTGATGCACGGGCTGTTCGGGTCGCAAAGGAACAACCGCACGTTGAGTAAGTAAGGAGCACCGAACACCACAACCGTCGACCGTCGACCGACCATGGAGCCCACCCATTGCAAACCCAACAAGTCAAAGAAGCTGGGGCCAGAAGTCAAAAAGAAAAAGGAAAACCGAAAAGGCAAAAGAACAAGGCTGACTGACTGGTTTTCTCCATCACAGAGCGCTAGCCAAAGACCTTTCCCGACCCATCTACACGATCGATCTCCGCAACCACGGCGACAGCCCTCACACGCCGGTCCACGACTATCTCTCGATGGCGGCGGACGTGGAACACTTCATCGCCACGCAAAACATCACCCGGCCCACGCTGATGGGCCATTCGATGGGCGCCAAAGTGGCCATGGCGCTCGCCCTGGGCGCCCCGGACAAATACTCGGCCCTGATCCCCGTGGACAACGCGCCCGTCGACGCCGCGCTCAAGTCGGATTTCGGCACCTACGTCAAGGCCATGCGCGAGATCGAAGACCACCGCCCGCCCATCACCAAGCAGAGCGACGCCGACAAGATCCTCGCCAAGTACGAGCCGGACCTGACCATCCGCCAGTTCCTGTTGACCAATCTGGTCAAGATGCCCGCCGGCGGAGCCGAGTATCAAGACCACGCCCATCACACGGGCGATCGCCACGCCCAGAAGACCGAGTTGCGCTTCCGCATCCCGCTGCAGACCCTGGCCAAGGCGTTGCCTGCCATGGCCGATTTCCCGTTCAAGGACCCCGATCGGGCACGGTACGAGGGGCCGACGCTGGTCGTGCGCGGCACGAAATCCCATTATGTTGCGGATGAGATGTTGCCGTTGATCGGTCGCTTCTTTCCGCAGTTCGAGTTGTTGGAGTTCGATTGTGGCCATTGGGTCATGAGTGAGAAGTTTGAGGAGTTTCGCGCTGGAGTTGTCGAATGGATTGGGAGGGTGGTGGATGAGAGGGAGAGACAGAGATGATGGAACACATTCTGCGATACGTGCATTCTGAAACTGAAGATCAGTATTGCAGACATGCAACACTCCACCCCAGGTGAATCAAGAATTCCGCCCTCGCAAGCCGTTACTGTTTGCACCGTACTGCTGCAAAGGGCGGACGATCCTTGATCGGCTCCATGGCACATACAAAAGAGGGTCCCACAGAGGCAGTAACAATGTCCACTGGATCTGGGTGTCTCAATGGCTGAACAACACAACACACCATATCAGGAGTCAGTCGCGCTCGGCAAAACATAGACAAGTGCATAAGAATGAACCATAGACCTAAGATCTGTTTTCTGAACGTTGTGTGATTTTTTAGCAACAAGCTATGCTATGACCCATCTGGGCCATGAAATCTAGCATAATCCACTTTCAGCCCATTGCTGTATTTTTGGCGCCGTCATGGGAATTCCCACGAGAACCTTGTGGTAACAACAATCTTCATGCCCTTCATGCCGCGACCATTTCCACTACCCTGGTCATCGACTGCACTACCAGACTTCCATCGCCTGGGTGTCTTCTTTCCGAGGGCATTCCACTTCTCCAATGTGTTTCTTTCTTGTCATGCACACACACAGTAGCCCCGTTGCCCATGATTGTAGATGATGACCGTCACAACCGCCCCATCATTTAAACACTCTCCAGAGGCGCAGGCTCCTTGAATTCCCGCTCGACCTTCTGACCAGCATCATCGGTGCTGCTCTCGCCGTGAAGCGCAAGCAGAGCACCGAGATCGAACTTGGGAGCCTTGAGCAGCTTGACCTTGCGGATATGGACGTTCTGGAGGGGGTAGATGCCTTGGGTGGTCTTCTCGATTTCGCGGCCAATGACCTCAGGGATGAGCTTGCCAGTGAGCTGGGCGAGGGTAACGGAGGTAGCCTCACGCTGGATGATCTCGGTCATCTTCTTGCGAATCGCGCGGATCTGGGACGATTGAGCGTAGGTGGTCTTCTTGATCTGGTTGGGTCGGCGCTTGGTGAAGGCAATGGCGAACAGGCGGATCAAGTAGTCGTCAGTGGTCTTGACCGTCACATTGGCCTCGATCAAAGTCTGCCACTTGCGCACCAAAGATCGCAGTTTGTCCGAGGTGAAGTCCAATCCGTGGAAGTTGGTCAAGCAGTTCTTGCCTTGAACCTCGTCGATTCGCAGCTTGACCTTGCGGAAAGCGTGGTCTTCATCACTCTGAAGGTCGGCCAAGCTGACTTCGACGATTCGTCCCTTCAACGCATCGTTCGCCGATTTGAGACCGGTTGTGCGGTTCACCAAAGTTTTGCCCACACTGGTCCGTTTATCAGCCATTTTTCTCCCATTTCAGCTCATTCTTTCTACTCACTCTCTCGTGTTGAAGGTCGAAGGTGCCCGCAGGCTATACCAGTCCTTTCGAGCAAAGGGATCTTGAGTTCGCTTCTTGATGCCCTTTCTAGATTTACTAATCCGTTTGTTCTTGCCGACAGCCATGATGGCGACGATGAGAAGAGAAGATTGAGGTGTTGGGAGGGGGTGGTGGTGGTGTTGTGAGGTTGAAGACGAAGTTGAGATAGAAAGTCGAGGTGGAAGAAATGAGATGCGGATAATTCATGTGACTGCGGACTTGAATTTTGGTCGCACCTTCCTCAACTTCTGTGCATCTTGGCGAACCCCACCTTCCACTCAGGCTGTACTTTACATTGGGTACGTGGATGGCCAATAAATGGTGACTGCACCGCATTCAAGTTATTGCAGCTGCTGCGGCCAAGAGTCAAACTGCGTCAAGAACAAAGTTCCCCAATTATTGCTCCTGGGTAAGAGATTCGCTCTGAACCTTCTTCCATCATCACCTCTACTGTGTAGGTAAGGTACGTACAAACACCATTTGTGCCTTGATACTTCTTATCTTGCCGCACAATACAGTTCTGAAAGTCCACGATGATACGATTAAGGTAAAGGGGACTTGACTTGGTCAATCTACGGTGGGAGAAGATAACATTGACTCAGCGGTACGCTGGAAGCTACAGGTGTCAGGTTGGCTCTTGGATTTATGGCTCACTGTCTGATGGCATTCATGCTCTTCACAACTTGAAGCACAGAGAGCAGGTGGTGATACATGATAAGGTGGTCTGCGTGTGATGCAGAAGCGATCACTCTCATTTTGCTTTTCCAGACGTTGCGTTTTATTCCCCTTGTCGTGTGCTAATCGTTGCAAACCGGAAAAATGGTGGAACAACACCAGCGTTTCCCTCCTGCTTGATGCTGCTTCATCCTCTGACTCTCTGCTACCTCTCATACGCACGCTTTGTTATCCAAACCTCATTGGACGACCATGTCGCTGCCTGCAGAAGTGGAGCCCTCCCGGCAGAACTGGCCTGTCAGAGGAGCCTTCGTCTTGGGAGGGACGGCGTCCTCGTGGAAGAAACGACTCAGGTGTTGGACGTAGACCGCCCTCTTGAACTCCTCGCTCACTTTGATGTGATTAAGCCCTCCAGGTAAGCAATTATGTCTAAAGAAAATATTCTTTCGTTAAAGGCCGCCGACTGGAATCTTTCTTCTAGAAATATGTTCTCGGAGGCTATTATAACCTCAAATTTTATACCTAGCCATCCTAATATTCCGATTCTGCCTCCGGAGTCCGCCAGTGACATTGAGGCACCAGCAACCTCTTAGGGAGAGGTTGACTTTGGGTTATCGCCTCCGGCATCCCCGGCCTCAAAGGCCTCTACCACGGAGGACCTCCCGGCGGGCATCGAGTACCTTTAGGGCTCATTTGTCCCGGCCAAACGGGGGCGCGACGGGGAGGCGGAGGAGGAGAAGAGGAGGAGGAGAAGGAGCCGCCGAAGAAGAAGAGGAAGACGATGATGATCCGGGCCAGGATGACCCACACGTCGACTCCGGCGACCAGGAGGGCGCTGATGACAACGACGACGACGACAAAGTCGTCGTGAAAACGACCCTATAATGGGCGTTTTGAAGCTGTAAGAAAAGAAGAAAACGAAAAAAAAAAGAGAAAAAAACTAAAGTGAGTTGCCCTTTTCCAGAATCACATTAGTATACTACTACGTACTAACATCTTCCAGAAAAAGCCTCTGGCGACCAGCCTGTCAAGTCCCCCTGGTCCTTGCCGGGTTTCCACCTTATATGGTCGAATCTTCGACCATGGGCCCGCCAACTTCGTCTTCAGCTTGAGGCGCGGTAATCGTTCGTCCACAAAAACACCTTTAGTCGGGACTCCTTCTTACATCTCCTCCTCGACCTACATGAGCGAGCTCTCGGCCATTTCTCCACCCCGGTTGTTCCTACTCTCAATATCAGTATTCTACTCTGTTCAGACCTCTTATACCTGGTCTTCGCCTTTCACCTCCACAGCCTCTGCGAGGGAGCTCTCGGCCACAATCTGGCAGTACCAGTATTATACCTCAAATCAACGCCCCTGTGCCGGGTTTCCACCTTACGCCGTCTCCTCCGGGACCCCGTAGGTTCCGTCTTACAGCTCCTCTTCAAGCTCCACTGGCGAGTCGTCATCTGTATATTGGCTTCCTTTACTTCAGGCGGTATTGTACCTTTATTCGACACCCCTATGCCGGGTTTCCACCTTACGCCGTCTCCTCGGGGACTTCTTAGGGCCCTCGTTTGCCAGCTCCTTCTCAGCCTCCGCTGGCGAGTTCGCTACCAGTGCCGTACCTCCGTTCAACCGTTATGCCGGCTTTCGCCTTGCAAGTCCACTGACACTCGACTGTGGCATCAGATTTACAACACCGCGTTATGTCCATTCCACCTCGACAATCGAGACGATCAACAACACTGCTTTCAATTTGCTCCGAGCATTTCTCTATATACGCTAAAAGAGCACCAGATTGCGCAGCAATCTCGCCATTCCGATCTATCACAATTTGAGATACACTGTAAGCGCCTCTACTATGTATAGTAGGCTGGCCAGGGTTTACTATTGCTACTACATTTGATATCTCAGCGGTCTGTCACCTGAAATCTTCTATGTATTGGTTTTTCAAACAACATGTGAACATATCTAGTACATAGGGGAGGCAAATTTTGAAAACTGGCCATGCAAGCATCGTGCTATAAGCACACGTCCTGTCATTGCCAACGTACAAAGACGACTACAGGGATGGTCCTTTAATCGGGGTTCAAGATGTATTATTGTGCTATCTAGGTATGCATCGTTTCAATGCCCATATCCTGACCTTTAGCCCCTTTCTCAGAAGCCGTCGGCACCCCTTTAGCCTCGACGGAAAGACAATTGCTCTTCTCGAGTGCAGGCTGCTAGTGAGCTTCTTACAAGCTTGTCCATTTGCAATGCTGTTGAATGCTGTTGAATGCTGTTGAATGCTGTTGAATGCTTTTGAATGCTTTTGAATGTTAAGAGACTTATTTCAGCGCAGAGGACCCATGTGATGCTGTTTCTTGCACTACTCCAAGAACTTGCGCAGCTGAGGATCATTCATGCGCTCAAATGCTCCTTGGAGCAAAGGCTGAGTTGACAAGAGCTTGTAAACCGGGTGGGAATTGAAGTCTGGGTGGGCAGGATTGAGGTCCGCTGTCCAAGAGCAAACGATGCCATACAAGACGCAAGTCTTGCAGATGATGATTGCCATCACGCTCACACTTCCCAAGCCTACCTCCGCCGCCCAAGATTGCGCAAAGGTCGCATTGGCTTCTGGAAGTCTTGATGAACTTGCTTGGCTTTCCACCAGTGGGCCAGGCATGGTCGATCATCCCGGCTTGTGCGTCCTTCAGCTGTTGGATGATCTGCTGTTTTGAAGATCTGGTCGGCTTTACCGCCGGTGTTGTATCTGTGATATCGAACGTCGCGTCCACTGGATCAGAGCAGTGCCTGTCTGTATTCGATTCGACTTTGAGTTTGGTCTGTGTTTCTATCGGAGTGAGATGGTCTGGGTCAGATTGTTGAACGTGATCTGCTTGACTCGAGCCATACCACCCAGGTCGACCTGCCAAGTCTCGTCGAATTTCGGGATTGTTTGTCGAAGAAAATATCGCCGTATTGCCATACAATTGGAGTAGGCGGCATGGGAAGCTTGAGCGGAAGACTTGAAGCCAAATGCTTCCGTAGCTTGGACGTATCTAAACATCCAGTCGCCAGTTTCACTGTTGAACCATTCCAATCTAAGAGCGACACCCGTGGCAAGGTTCCAGTCTGACCAGATGGCGAGATTTGGAAGCCTTCCATAGCCTTGTGGATGACGTTCCCCGTTTGTCATGATCTCAATGACTGGATAGACAACATCACCGACTTTCGGGAAGGGTTTCACACCAATGAAAGGGAGACGAGTAGCCCAGATATATTTGCGAGATGGCGCGGCACCGCGTGATTCAATGTTGAAGATGCCCCCCTTGACGTCTAGGGTTGAAACAGAACGGCGAAAAACAGCCATCTTTCTCGGCACGTCGAGACGTGTCCAGATCGTTGGAGCGTAAAAAGTATCATCCTCAAACAAGGGGCTTGTGTGGTTCCATCCGACCGTAGAGCCGAAACTGTCACGTTCTGTTGCGATTTTCCAGCCGGTGGTTCTGAAAGCATCTCGACCCAATGTCATCAGAGAGGCGGCATTCAGCTTGTCTCCGTAACCGTAGGCGAGATCCTGCTGCACATCAGCCGCTTGCGTGGCTGCATTTGGAAGTATGATAGTAGACGAGGCAGGGATCAGTTTTGGCTTGTAGGCACCAAGTTGGACAATGGTGAGATTCTCGGCGAAGGTTCTGTCATCGTCTTCAGCGAGTCCTTGAATGAGAGCGTACATCTTGTAGTCACAGTTCTGTCGACAGGCGACATAGAAGGTGTTCATGCCATTCTTCCTCCTATTGTCGTGATCCGATTTGCGTACCCAGAGATCTAGTGCCCTGCCAATGCGGATCTCAGGCTGTCGACCCTTTTGGTCCCTGAAGTTCCGAATGACCTGTATGTAATCACCACCAATTCCAGCAAAGCTATTGTCGACTGGAGTCAGAGATTGACAAAGTTCTCGCAAAGTAAAGTCGGGTTTGTTCAGAGTATCCAGAGAACCAGCTTGTCGGGCTCCATCCACGATCAACTTGGTGAGATGTTGTTGGTAGTTGTCGTTCTTGACCTTCCTCGCGAGCTATTCGCTTAGGCCAATTGCTTCTCCCTTTTCTCCGAGAGCTACCAGGAAGGCATAGGCCGTGCGGGCATACAGTCCAGAGAATTTGATACTCTTGGAAGAAATCTGCACATTGAAGGTCATAGGCAGGTTCTGCTGGACTGTGATTCGACCATAGATTGTATTGCGGCCGATGTTGATGTATGCTGGCGAGAAGGGAATGAAGCCTTGGATGTTTCTCCGAGGCACAGTGATCCAGATGACTTCGTATGGTTCCTTGCCTTTCTTTACAATGATGCACCCTTCATCTCCCACCTTGGTGGCGATGTATTGGACATTTGCCAGCTCTTTGCTTGGTGTGAAAGCAGTGTAACATATGTATGGTCTTTGCTCAGGATATGGTGGGTCAGCAGTCGGGGTTGGTCGGATGGCTAGAGCCTGCTGAGGCCGAGGGAAGATGGGATTTCGATATGGCTGCTGATCCGACATGATTGCTGTTGGATGGGGGGCAAGCGAGGAAGGAAACAAGCGGGAAGAGGGAGAGGGAGGAGGGAAGAGGGGGTATAAGTAGTCAGAGGAGTAGAAGGATAGTGAATGAGCATAAGTGATGTGAGTTACAACCAAGGGAGGAGACCGCCATGAACAACGATCCGGGATGATAGGAAGATGGTGAAGAGAAGGCCGCGAGTAACAATCAAGGAATAATAGGATGATGGTGGAGAGACCGTCATAAACAACAATCCAGGATAATAGGATGATGGTGAAGAGACCGCCATGTGTGAGAATCAAGAAATAATGAGAAAGAGACCACCTTGAGAAACAATCCATGAGTGACAATTGACAACTGGAAGACACCATGTTCATGCATTCTTCTCTATTCAGAGCTCGATGCCATAGCCCAGATCATTCAAACATCAGATCCACGACATAGTGTATGCGGACCATCTAAACCTTCATGTCCTTCATCTTATCAGCAACATTCTCCGCCGAGGGCATATTCAGCTTCGGTCCGCCGTCAGGAGCACCATCCTCGCCCTTCGGTTTGGGCGGCTGCTTGGCCTTGACCGAAGTCGACTCCTTGGGCAATTCCCTAGTGTAGGGGATGATGTCCGGTGTGCCCGGCGGCATATACGGTCTCAGGACCTCTGGGACTTCAAAGCCATCTTCTTTCTGGTACGTTTCCAGCAAACAGCAGAGCGTGCGTTCTGTGGCGCACAGCGTGCCGTTCAGGGCGTGGACATACGACTTCCGCGCGTCGATGGCGCCTTTCTTCTGGCCGTAGCGGATCTCGAGCTCGCGCGTCTGGTAGTCGGTGCAGTTGGAGCATGACACCAGCTCCTTGTACTCGCCTTGATAGGGGAACCAGGCTTCCAGGTCGTATTTCTTGGCGGCGGCGTTATTGAGGGCGCCGGACACAATCGCGACGACGCGGTAGGGTAGTTTGAGAGATTGGTAGAATGTTTCGGCCGTCTCGCGCATGTCTTCGAGGGCTTGCCATGACTCTTCGGGCTTGACGAATAGGAATTGCTCGATCTAGATTTGACGAGTGTCAGTTTTGTCATGATGAAAGTAAATGGGAATTTCCATGCAGATGGATTGGAATTTTCGTGAATGAAAAACAGCGAAAACAAGTCCATACCTTTTCAAACTGGTGTATCCGGAACAACCCCCAGGCATCTCGACCATGAGAGCCGGCCTCTTTCCTGAAACACGAACTGTATCCGGCAAACTTCATCGGGAGATCCTTCTCGGTCAACCACTCGTCGGCGAACATGGCGGAAAGCGGCTGTTCCGAAGTCGCGATGAGATATTTGTCTTCCGCATCCCCACCCTCGACGACCTTATACAGTTCCTCGTCGAATTGCTCCAGTTGCGCCGTTTTGGCCATATATTCGGCCTTCATGAAGAACGGGGGTTGGATCGGGTCGTAGCCTCTTCCAACCAGAAAATGCAAGCCGTAGTTGATGAGAGCCTGGTTGAGCAGAACACCCCATTTCTTCAGAAAGTAGCCGCGATGGCCGACCAGTTTGACGCCCCGCTCGCCATCGTACACTTCGGCGCGGGTCATGACTTCGTGGTGAGAGAGACAGTCTTTCTTCTCGACCGTGACGCCTTCGGGGGCCCATTTCTTGACGACCTCGTTGAAGTCCTAACAGAAACAAATGTTAGTGAGGGAGTGCTCTTTTGCTCTGTCTCTGTGTCTGCCAGGGCATCATTCCAACCCACCTCATTGTCATTGATCGGGACCGACTCGTGCACGTAGTTTCCAATCGATTTGCACTTTTTGTCCCGTAGCTTCTCTTTCTCGGCGGCCTCGTCTTCGGTGGCTTTCTTTTCTTTTTCGAGATCGGCCTTTTCTTTGAGGAGGTGGTCTGCGTTTTGTTTTGCCTGGGGTCCGTACATGTTAGTCGAGGCCAGTCGCAGAATTCAGAGCATCTATCTTTAGAGAAAGGTGGATTCTTGACGAACCTTCTTCAATTTACCAATCTCCTTTTGTACAGCGTTGATCTTTGCGCCGAACTGTGTCGCTTTGTATCTCGCTACATGGACAATTAGTTTTGGGAAACCACATTTCGGACGGCACACCGACTCTGGTAGGCATCGTTCCATAGGGCAATGACTTCGTCGACGATCTCGGTGGGTGCAAATCGCTTCTGTTGGCTCTCAATCACTTTTTTGGGATCTCCCCCTCTGCGTTGACGGTGAGTCAGTGGACCGTTACAGACTGCGAGACAATGACTTTACCGAGAAGTGATCAGATCCTGGACTTCGATCATGATGGTGACAAGCAATATAATAGAGTAGTCGGAGGATTGAGTCGTGAGTGTTGTCTAGGAATTGAAACCGAGGGACGGCCTCAGGTGTGTGGAGAGTTGGAGCGCGGTGTAGTTGCCAGTAGACAATGATTGACGTTCGCAAATAATTTGCACCGTCTCCCCGCAGCCTTGCGAGTCAATGCGGAAGATGAGACAGCCTCACCTAACGTGTTAACTTTAATTACATCTGTATGTCGGAGACGTCCCAAGATTTGCGGATGGTTGATTGGCAAGCTCATCTACATTTTCTAACGGTGTGTCTTCTACGAGATGACGACTGAACCTTTACAAACACGAGAGGATTCGATGGAGTCGTGGAATCAAAGAGACCAAGTAATACACGGGAGAGGCCAGCGGAAGACAAGAATGGGATGGATGTCGTGGAGAGAGACATGACTCCTCTTGGAGAGATACAAGGAGTCATGTCTGTTTCTCTCTCCTCCCTGCTCCTTTGTCTAACCGCGTCTCTTCGCTTCGTCCTGCCTCGTTTCTGCTGGCTATACAATCCATCCTGCTTTCAGGCCGGCACACCACGACAGGCTTCTGAGAAGCAACATGAAACTCCAGTCGACAGCCACATTGCAGCAGAGTATTCGCAGCACAAAAGATACACAACACAAGTTTTCCAGTGCCCTGAGTTACCTGTCCTTGAACCCTTTCTTATCGTGTCATGGTAATGCAACACAGACATAAACCTCTCAGCAGCAATTGCAGACCGCAATCCAGAAAGTCCATCAAAATGGATCACTTGTCACTCTCGACTTCTCTCTAAGCTCCGACATACCCACCCCGACCTGTCTATGACCCTGCTTATCCATGATTTGAAGCAAATCGTTCTTCTCCGCAGACGACTTGTTGAAGCCAAACAGGCGTAATTTGTCGTCGAGTTGTTTCTCAAGAGCCGCAAAGTCGCGGTCCATCTTACCGGCAACATCTGGAGAAAAGAAATTAGTATCCTGGTATCACCACATGAAGATCCCTAGCTGACACAGAAGAAATGCCACGGAAGAAATGCCACGGGATGTGAAGAAAGAAAAAAACATACCGAGTTCCTCCCATTGCCAAACATTGGCTTTCATCCCGACTCCATAGAACTGCCACTTGCGCAGGAATGCCAACCAAATCTCCACCACCTCAGGCTGCCCGTCAAACACCGTAATCAGTCTTTTCAGTGTGATTCGTTCAAAGTTTTCCTGTGCCTTCTTGTTGACGAAGTTACTCTTCAACACTGTCCACCGCTCCCTTTTGCGCGGGAGAGGAGCGGGTCCTGTACAGGGCAGACCCAGGTAATATGCAGCACGGACGGCAAAGTCGGCGTAGAACTCGAGGTTGCGCACGCTGTAGCTGCGAAGTTGTAGCTCGGCCACGGGGATGCCGTGGGTTGGGGTGTGGCGGAGCGGAGTCCGGTATGCGGCCAGGACGTTGGGAGGAATGGTGGGTGCAGAAGACGAGGTATCCTCGGCGCCGGCGGCTTCGGCGGTGCTCCCTGAGCTTCCTTCCGGCTGTGATTGTGATTGTGATCGTGACACGATCGCGGACACTTCTTGTTCAGGAGATTTGGACTTTTCTTCTCGGCTCCTTCTAGGAGCTTTTGCACTTTGCTGCGCCGGCGTCTGTTTTGGAGTCGAAGAAGCAGGTGATGCCGACGACGTCTCTGCTTCAAGGTCAGGTAGGTCCTGGATTTTGCGGGATCCAAGTTCGGGCATGGGAAAGCCGGCGGTGATGTCTCGTTCGGGCAGGCATTTCGGAACGCTCGAAGACAGCCCTCGGGTATAATGCCTTGAAGAGTATGAGGGTCGGGTCCGCAGAGGGAGAGCAGAAGTCTGGAGAAGAAAACGTTAGCTTCTGAGCTGCTAGGAGTCTGGATGATCTATGTCTTCTTCGCCAAACTGGATGAGAGACAGGGTTCGTACTTTGCATGGTCGACATGCTTCAATAGCTATGCGAAGACATCGTGGAGTTGACATTTTCGTCAACAGTCGGTAGTGCTTCGCCTGTCGGCGGATGGAGCTCCAGCTGACGGTGAGAGAATAAATATCTCGTAGGGTATCTGACTCTTCAAAAGTCGTAGTTTGTGAGTCGGAGGTGTTGCATCCAGCGACGGCGCATTCAAACCCACTGCATGGCTCGGATTGAGCGAGACAAAATTGGTGAAACATGGCCGGTCACGTGACTCAGCCTCGTCGGACCGTGGGCCAATTATCGAGACGAACACCATCCAGGGTCTTACTACACGATCTCTCGAGCCGACGTCCCAGCAGGTCCAGATTCACATCTGAAGCTGGCCACTAAAACTAGAATACTCATCATACGCAAGTAGTGGGTAGTACGGTCACACTGCACGTTTTACTCCGAGACATATGGTCGACAGACATTCTCCGTCTAGAAGACAATCTACCTCCATAATGAGCACATTCATTGCATTGGTGCTCAAACTATCGAATCCTTCCGGTCGGAGCCATGCTCGTCCCAGGCCATAATAGTACCCATTACTATCGGTCATACAGTCCCATATCGTCGTAACAAACCGCTCTGAAGGTAGAGCCACACCCAAGGTAAAGAAAATCATAAGCTCTTGACATCGTATCAAACCCAGCCAAGTCATGCTGGAAAGGTGATTCAAGAAAACAGTCTGGTCGTCAAAAGGTATCCTGCTGGATCGGACTGAAGGTTACTGAAGGTTCAGCAGTATCGCCAACGCAAGGTTATTAGACGAAATCTTGTAACCAAACAGGATAGCAATAGCCAAGATTGAAGCAATCCACCCTCACTTCAAAAGCGGGTGGTAAAACTTCGTCCTCCCAAAGAAGGTCGACGAAGGTGGCCAGCAGAAACTGGTCCGTTGACATGTGTGGACGGGCCGCCAATCTTCTCAAATCCTTTGAAAATGTCGACGCCCTCTTCGTTGTCAGAATTGTCATTCTCAAAAGAATTGAAGTCAAAGAGATCATTCTGTTCATCAACGTGCGTAACGTTATTCATGGAACCTCTCAGGGGAGATCCAGAGAGTGAAGCCCGAACACCCGCTTTGAGTAACGAAGTTCGGGTCGGGGTCTTCGTATTCAGCTTGTGGGAGACTCCCATCATGTCACTGAGCATGTCTCCAGTCGTGGTTGCTCGTCCTAATGCGGGGCGAGCCACCGATGTTTTCATCGGAGACGAGATGAAACCTTGAGTGGCGGGGGTAAGACCAATGGCCGGATCGGAGAAGATCTCAAATTCTTCCGGCATGGAAGAAGCCAGAGTGGCCCACTTGAGAGGACTGTAGGTTTCAACATCTCCATGCAACAACCCAAAACTCTTGATGGGGGAATTGGCAAAGTCACGCATGGCTTTGCGATGGAGATGTAGTTGTGTATTGGGTGATAATGAGGGCGGAGGACGCATCGGCTTCTTGAAGACGATTGGAGGCGTCACCGGATTCAATCGGGACCCTGGACTGACTCGAACAGGAGAGGAAGTGTGAGCGCCATCCGCTGGATTGCGGAATCTGGCGCGGCTGGGCGTCATTTCAATGGAGGAGCCTCTGATGCGAGCAATCTCTTCCTCGGCTCGACCCCGGTTTCTCCTCAATGGCTCAATGTCCAGTTCTGAAGTCAGAACGACGGCATTCTTGTTGGGTCGCAGGACCGACGACTCGATAGAGGAGAAATAACCGCTGTCATCCATCTTGGACAAAGACCGCTTTTGCCGATGGGATGAAATAGGCCGCTGCATCCGTGCGGTAGGAGAAGAGATGTTGCGGTGATGAGTAGGAGCCACCACTGGTGGAGACGAATTGATGGCATCTGGAGGTGACGACTTGGGTCCCCTTGGGAGAGGATGCTCCTCAAACTCCACAGTCTCCTGTTCATTGAGAGCGGGATCTGAAGCTGGCAGTGTCGCGTCCGATGACAGCTCAGGAAGCGCGGGAGCGGTCTGTGGTCGTGGAGGTTCATTCGACTGGACGATGAACGGATTGGGGGCTATAGCCTCGGATAGTTGTTGAGGTTGAGTCACCTTCTGGGGCTCCGGACGCATTACTCCGGCATTGATGGTCATGTGTGGCATGTTATTGCCTCGACGGTTCTTGTCTTTGATGAATTGTGCTTCCATTCCTGACTCAATGACCCAATAGCTGCCCTTGCCTGCGTCGCCTTTCGGTCTTTCCTGTTTCTTGAAAGCCTTGTGTAAGGACAAGTTATGCCGGATGCTGTTGTGCCAGCTCTGCTTGGTGTCTTCCCGGTAATAGGCAAACGTGTTGGAAATCCAGTCATAGATCTGGGCAAGAGTGAGGCGGCGGTTAGGAGCTCGCAGAATGGCCATGCCGATCATCTGAGCGTAGCTGTAGGCGGGCTTGTTACCGTCATCCTCGATGGGAGGCATCTCATCCGGCTCTGGCAGATGCGTGACTGAGTCTTGATCTTGTCGAGCCTTCTTCAACGGCCGGTCATTCCCGACCTGTGCGTCCGAATATGATCTTTTGAGTGGCTGCTTGCGGACGTATGAAGGTTCGGGGAAGTCGACGAAGTTGTCGTGCATACTGGGCACTGGGTAGTTTTCTTGTTCGAAGGCCTCGAAGCTGCTATTGAAGGTGGTGAAGAGCGGTTGTTGCGGCATCATTTGAACATGTCGGAACTGTTGGTGTTGCTGCGACGGAACCATCGGTCTCTTTGCGGGGGAGTCGGTGTAGATATTGGCTCCCATAGGAGGCGGAGGGATAGGAATGTAGTTGAGATTGCCATAGTTCGGCTTCGGTGGTGATAGCGGATGGCTCTTGAGAGGTGAGAGCTGATGACCCGGAGCCATGGGAGCGTTGAGGATGACATCGGGATGCGCCGGAGGGTTTCGCAATGGTTGCAGAGGCATGGCGGAAGGTTGGAGTTGCGGTCGTGGCTTGTGAGTGGGAGACATGTTGGATGGGAGCGGCATTGGATCCTGGTAGATCTGAACAAACTGGTGCTGACGCGTCGAAGCCATGGCGACAACTGGTGCAGAATGTTCAGAGACACCAAGAAGAACGGTTTTACAAAAGAAGTCGCGTGAATATGAGGATAGTGAAGCCCATGAACCAAATTTGAGGATTGACAGAAACTGTGCCCGTCAGGCGGGATCGGCAGTGTGGGCGTAATGAATCCGACGACCACTGGTGACTGCCGTCTGATTTTGCGAGCAGGTCTGGAGCTGATTCCAGGCAAGGAGAGATTTGATCGATGTCAGACACTGAACGGTGTCGAAACTAGGAGAAATATGGACGTGTCTGTGCGGGAGGAGGGAGGTGGGATCCAGGCTGCGGTGGATCGAATCGAGGGGTGGTAGGGTGCGGTGCGGTAAGCGCAGGAGGTATGAGATGTTGAACTGTCGAGATGATGAATATCAGGTGCAACTGTTCCTGCAGACGTGAGGCTATTGAGATGAGGGAGCCATTACTCTGTATGGGAGGATGGAAGAGGACCGATGGAGTTGTTTACTGTTTATCGGATCGGATGGAAGTGAAGGGTAGAATGGTGCGCAGGGTATGCGTAGGGCACCGGTACCCTTTGTAGGCAGGTAGGGATTGTTGGTGGGCGTGGAGGAGGTGTGGGTGGACAGGCGAGATGCAGGTTTAAAGAGGAGCAGGACGAGTAGGAAAAAGTCTTTTGCTCAGAGGTTGCAGTAGTGAGAAGAAATGGTGGTAATAGTGGGTGGGCTACACAGGTTTAAGGCTTCAGGCTTCAGCTGCAGTGGTAGAAGCACAGAAGCTGAGAAGAGTGGTGACGCGGGTGGTGGGTGACCTCCATCTGACCATCCACCAACTGTATCTGCCTGTGCATTCTTGGATAAGGGAATTAAATGATTGATGGGGATAGAGCGGAAGAGTCTACTTTGTTTAGTACTCAAGCATTGTCCTCTCTACCGAGCAGTCTAGCAGTGATAGGACAGATAAGATCCTTAAGGTGGTCTGTAGTAGGACCGAGTGTCCCTATGTGGCAAGTGGTAAATAATGGTGGTATTCAATGCTCGCGGCACCGAGACGCGCACCGTGTCATGGTCCCAAACAGCCGACCCGATATCCCGTGACTACGTGTACTCTGTGCCTGTAACATGGACTAGATACCTAGTGTCTGACTAGCGCCTACCCGCGAGCATGGGATTGGTAGAGGCGTCGCATAAATTGCCAGTAAAGTTGGCGCTACGGACGCCCGTCAGAAAAAGCAGGAATTGTCATGACTGGGTTGGTTCTCAAGTCCGGCGGCATTCGTTCAGGGCTCAACGACTTCTCTTCCACCCACATCCAATCATCCATCGTGATCGAGATCGCCCTGGAATGCCTCAAACTCTTTCTTCTCACTCTCTTTCATCTCCCGCCCGCTCGCGCCCGCTCGTTCCTGGTTTGTGTCAAATATGCTGCGGGCCTTCATCAAGGGTAAATACCTGATTGGCCGACCCCTTCATGGACCTCTGACCCCAATCCGCTTCGTCCCTCTCGCCCTTGCATCGGCCACTGTCAGGAACGCACACGAACCCTTCGTTCAATCTGTGGATGGGGAACGGCCAGTTCTACAAGAGGTTGTGCTTGGGACGCGTTGGCCGGCCCAGTGGTCAGCCCATTCACGTTCATGTCCATGTCCATGCGCGCACATTGTGACCGGCCTGGCCTGCTAGAGTTAAGAGAACCGGCTCCGATCCAGATCTTCAATGGCAACTGTCATCTAATCTATTGCCGAAGACACTCGGCGTGTGTCGGATCCTTCTTCAGTTAGGTGAAATTGAACAAAAGTCTTTTTGCCGTTGGGCTCATCTTAATTACCTGCCCGTCAAGGCGGAGACGGCGGCTGTTAATCATGCATGTCGCCCACAATCTGTCAGCCAGTCAGCCCGTAGCGGTGATGGCTGTCCCGAGGCTGATGTGGACGCATTAACGACTAGTTAGGTAGTTTCTGTGGGCTGTCTTGGATTCATTTTGACGTCTTGTCATCATTGCGGTGGCTATGCCTAAATCATACCACCTTTCGAACCGTTCAACTCTTTTGGACATTTCAGTCATCTTGTCTAGACAGCCATCGACATCATAATGCCAATGCTCTGGGGAACCAAGCACAGATAGTCAGCGCTGTCAATCCAACAAAGCCCGCCCATCCAATTTTGTCTTTCGCAGATATCTCCATTTTTGGTGTACTAATTGTACCAATCATGCATCCCTAGCTAAGGCAAATATGGTCCAGGAACTCCAGTATATCCCACGTGTCCTATATGCACCACTCCGTTATATGCAGATGTCGCCAGAAACCGCTGAAGTCAAGTCGCTCACAAAAAACATCGGATCATGTTTCGAGAAAGGTGAAGAGATTCGTGTGCAGGATGTTCAACGCCCGGTCCGCGTCACGCTCGTCAATCACGCATGAGATGTTAATCTCGCTGGCTCCTGCTCGACGGGTCAGTCCTCTGCTCTCCTCTCACACTCTAGCCATCAGGCCACCATGTTGCCCGTACGTACCTTGTGAGATCATCTCAATGTTCACATTGTTCTCCCCCAACGTAGAGAACATCCTGCCGGCAATGCCAACCATGTTCTTCATCTGCTTCCCCACCAGACTGACAATGGCCATGTCCGGGATGATATCAACCGTGCCAAAGCTTTTCAGCTCGTCTATGGCACCGCGCAGATCTTGATCCACAATCTGGTATTCATCATCGCCTCCTCCCGTGTACAGTGGTGCTTCCGAATGCAAGGCCATGGACATGTTGACCTCGCTGGTGGAGATCACGTCCACCGAGAGCCGCCACTTGTCCAACGTGGCGAATATGCCCGCAAAGAACCCGTGAGACAGTGCCCGCTTATTCGAGTGGATGTTCATCACCAAGATCCTGTGTTTCATCGTCACCGCCGTGGGCCGCTTGGGCCTCTTCCGCTCGCTCAGGTAAGTTGCACTCCGTGACCTGAACAGTTTGGGGTCGTGGCCCGACAACGCAGAGTTCAGCTCGGATGGCGTATCAGGGTAGATGACCGTCCCCCCTCCTCTGGGGTTCATGACGTTTTTGATACGTATCGGTATCCGTGCCCGGATGACCTGGTCCATGGTGGAGGGATGGATGACCTCAGAGCCGTAGAAGGTGAGTTCGGCGGCCTCTGCAGGGCTGATCTGAGGGATTAGTTTGGCGGTAGGGACCTTGCGTGGGTCGGCGGTGAAGATGCCGTCGACTTCCTTCCATATCTGCAACTCATTGGCCTTGACACCGACGGCCACCAGAGCGGCACAGAGGTCGGTGTAACCCCGACCGACCGTCATGAGGAGGCCACGCGGAATGGCACCAAAGTAACCGGTGATCACAGGGACCTTGCCGGCGACATTTTGTAGTCTCCTGCCGAGTCTGTCGGCCACATTATCGTAAAATTCCTGATCGAGACTGTGGCTGACTTTGAAGTCGATGACATCCGCGAGATCGATATATTCGGCTTCAATTCCTCGGTCCTCCAACAGAGCTGCCATGAATCGACAGCTGAGTTTCTCCCCCGCGCTCATCACCTTGTCCCGCGATCTTGGGCTGGTTTCGCCCAAGGTCTGGGCGGCCTCCAGTATCCGAATGACCAAAGAACATTCATCCTCGATTTCCTTTCTTAACCGGGCGCATATTTTCTGAGACTGGATATAAGAATCGGCAGTTTCAATATGGTCGACTCGGACGGCGTCTATTAATTGTCTGAATTCTCGATGGTTTTCGGCTTCGGTCGCTGCTCGTAAAAGTCGGTTCGTCGTCCCGGCGGCTTTTGTACTACTTGATCTCTGAAGGTATAGCACGTTAGTATTTGACTCAGAGACACAGGGGTATCCATGGTCGAACTCAATGGACTTACCGCCGAGCACACAATAGCCACATCATTTTCCAGGGCACTGGTCTTGACCACGTTCACAATGTCGAGCGGGAACTTGCCCACGCTGGTGCCTCCAAACTTTAATATGTTGATTGCGCGATGTGTAGGTGTGTCGGTGCCATCGGTGAGTGAGGGTTCGGGGTGGACACCGTTGGGTAGAGAGGTGGTGGTCATGATGAGAAAGGGGAGTTTTCTTGTCGACAACGCTGGAGCATTACTTCAATGCAGTACTGGTATATTCGGACGTGGAAAGGTAGGAAGAGTCAGAGATAGATGCGAATGTCTCGCGCGAACAGTGATACCTCAGAGATGTAGTAATACTCAGGTAGCAATCAGCCGGTGATCGTGGTTATGTCTCTTGTAGTATGACTCGATGCATTGCAGGACTAATAAGTGACAGTCACGAAAAGAGGCTCGGCGCGCGTCGAATCGGAATGCGAGCTGAAAGGCGGCAGAATAAAAAATTCGTCGGGGGGCCGTCAGCATTGTAACCGAATGCGGCAGCGGTGAGGGACTTGTAGCTGGCGACACCGGGAATCAGGAGGCAGACGATTTGCTCGGTAAGATGGTGTCATTGTAACAGCATACCTGTATTGTATCGCTGTCATTCGAAAGTATGGTGGAGCATAGTGACACTCATGGTAAGGACTTTCTGGACTTCGACTGACAAGGCGTCCGGACCCAGGATTTGGAAGGCTGGACAGATTTCGTATTGAAACGTACCTACAGTTGCACCGTCATTTCAAGTCTCATGAGGTCTGCTTCTCGCCCTTTAGGTGCCTTTTCTTTGTAATGTCACCTAATCTTTCCCCCCTGAACTGTACGCGTAAATCCGCTGAACTGAGGAATCTGGTCCAAGCAACCAACCTCATCTTGGAACACTCTATCCCTTGGGCCGTTCAGTTGACTCTTAAACTATTCCAATCGGCCGCTTACAATCTTTCGGTCGATTCCCCCAATTTTCTTCGATTGGGGAGTTCCGCAGCAATTGCTGTCTCAGCAAATGCCCTCTTGCAAGGTAAACGACGCAGTTTGCCTTCATCACACACGATGAGGGCGGTTTGATCTCTCTATCCTGAATATGATATCAACTGCGACGAGTATGGCAGCCAGCTCACAGAAAGAGTATATGAGATGCCCGTTTTGTCGTTATGGCAGCCACAATTTCGACCATCTTGACCGACATGTGCGGCAATCACACCCCGACAAGAGACTACACATTGATAGGGAGTCTCATTCTGACTGCCCTCAACAATCTGACACGTCGGACTTAGACGACTTTCAGCTGGCACAAGTACTGGCGTTCGAGGAAGCTGGACTCCCTTCCGAACTTGCCTTGTCTGATCGTCCCAGTCTTCCTGCCACAGATGGGGACAAATCGCGGGAAACCGCGAAGAATCATGCGTCGCTTCCATCCCCCGCGAGACAAGGAAATGGAGATAAAGTGCCTTGGGTGGGTTGTTTCTGTGGTGAACGGGTTCATTTCCTCGAACTCGACGCACATGCCGACATGCATGCTCAAGAGAACGTCTCCATGGATGAACCGCAGCAGCCATCCAATGCCGACTTGTCCACTCGTCCAGCCACTGCCGCACGTACGTTGGGCGACATCTCCAATGCTTTCACCACGACTATTTCTGGTTCACTTCGGAACCATGATCAGCTGAATCCGAAAACGCCCCCTTCCAACAACAAACGCCGAGTTCCTTCTCTGAGAGAGATCTTCTTGGGCACTCCTGCATCACCCAAAAGGAGGTCGCCATACAAAGCGGTATCGTCGAACGATGGCAAGACCAAGCGTCTAGGGGTATGTGTGCACGGTATGTAATTGATGGCATCCATCTGACGGTGTACAGAGAGCAGAGCTGGGTCCGTACGCACACGAACAACAAATGCCAAACTGGCTCCGTCGAATGCTTGAGGAGGGGGCCAAGGTCACCGTTACTAACAGGATTGGACCCGACGGAACCCTCATCCGAGTCGAGAGTGTTGCCAATGAGACCCCTGACCTGGTTCCAGCCCTTGCACGACTTTCTCAGTTAGACAAGGGCGTCGAACGAGCATTCTACTGCAATCCCGAAGTACGTCATGTCTGCAAGATGCACAAAGAGGGAGGGTTTTGTGGATACAGGAACATTCAGATGCTCATCTCGTATATCCAAGGCGCGGGTGCCCCCGGCGCTGAACATTTCCCCGGCAGGTTGCCCACGATATTGAGACTTCAAGACCTCATCGAACGGGCCTGGGACATGGGATTCAACGCCAGCGGACGAGTCGAGACTGGAGGGATCAGGTACACGAGGAAGTATATTGGCACACCTGAGGCACAAGCCTTGTTCATGAGTCTCGGCATTGCGTGTGAAGCAATCGCATACACCACCACCAAAGAGGTGGAAGCCTCTGAGACCATGCTATGCGCGGTTTGCGAGTACTTCGACGATGAGACCACCCAAGACAACTTGGACAAAGTGGTCATTACGAACAAGCCGCCGATCTACTTTCAGCATCACGGCCACTCCATGACCATTGTTGGCGTTGAGAGCAGACTGGACGGATCCGTCAATCTGGTCGTTTTCGACCCAATGTTCAATCCTAGTCCAGCTCTCAAGAAACTGGCGGTTTCTGGCACGACTTTGTTCCGTTGTGGTGGTCTGGAGAGATTACTCAAGGCTCATCGTAGGGGAGAACGCTACCTGGCTAAGTATCGGGACTTTGAGTTGCTGAAGTTGAAATGAAGGGTCCGCTTTTGGGGTGGTTGGCAGCCAAAATCGGTGATTTCCAGGGCTGACGTGACGAGAAGGAGTCGTTCAGTCAGGTATTTGACAGCGAGGCATTATTTTGGGACAGCTTTTCTTGATATTGCATAGCGAAGGTATAGGAAGACTGGGTTCGATAGAGCGGGATGGGGTTTAGGTGTCGAAATGGTGGCATTATTCGAAGCACCTCCAGGTTACAATTACATACAATATTGTCGCATATCTTGCGTCTGATCACTCATTCATGGTCTCCTAGACTCACCGCAACGTCTCGGCTTGAAATAGCATCTCTAGCATCACATCTACGGGTGAGAATCGTGATACTATACTGTCACAAACTGGTGGCATTGATCAAATATAAAATGATCGAAATCCCGACTCATCTTGTACCGCGTTCATTTCCAACTCCTTTCCTCTCGTCAATACCACAGAACGGCATGAGTTGAATGCTGACTCTTACATAAAGCAAATTCGAAAAATACCTTGAGTCATTCTCGGTCGCAACCGTTAATTCAGGTAGTCGATCCTCATACCAAGGATCCGGCCAACAATATATAAATTGTGGAGAATCCCCCCCAATCCGTTCCTCTCTATCATCATTTCCGGGGAACAGAAACTGCCGATCCTTCTACCTACATCTACCTACAATTTCTTCTCCTTTTTCTTCTTTTCTTTGTTCCTCTTCTCGAATTCATGCACAAACCGAACAGAGACCATTAACAGACATTGACGAGAGAAAAACAAGAAGAACAGAAGAACCGAAACCAGAGAACATACGTAGGACCTAGCCAAAAGAATTGAGGCCGGCGCACGATCAAAAGACCTGAGACCTGAGACCAGAGACCGAAGCTCTGAAATCTTGAAAGTGTTGAAAGTTCTTGAAGATTGAAACCATGTCTTCCTCAACACCCACCACCACCACCGACAGCTCCAAGGCAGCACGGCCGACCACTCTCAACTTCATCACCGGCAACGCCAACAAACTGGCCGAAGTGCGTGCGATTCTTTTCACAGAAACAAATGTGGTGGAGGGCGGCGACAACAGCAGCAACAAACCCCAACTCGTTCTCCAGAGTCGTGATGTCCCAGGCCACGAAATCCAGGGGTCGATCGAGGAGGTGGCGCGCGACAAGTGTTCTAGGGCGGCGGCCGTGGTGGGCGGGCCGGTGTTGACGGAGGACACGGCGCTGGAGTTTGCTGCTTATAATGGGTTGCCGGGGCCTTATATGTGAGTTTCTTTCTCTTTTTCTTTTTTCCTTTTTTCTTTCTCTGTCTTCTTGGTTTTTGCTTTTGGTGGTCGGTTTTTTTTTATCTCTGCTTCTCTCTCTTTTTGGTTTTCAGTTTTTTACATCTCTGCTTCTGTTTCTGTCTTGTTGTTTTGGGTCCTGGTGGCACTATGGGTTCAGCTCTAGGCTGGGGTTGGAGGTGTGAAAATGTGAGGGTTGAGGATCGAAAGCGAGGACTAAGAATTGAGTATGATCTTCGAGTCGCAGAACGAGGGAGTGTGGAACAAAGACCCCTGTGAGTGGTGAGTGAGTGTACGTGTCTTTCGGCAAGGCTTTGGGATCAAGGATGAGAGACGAGATTGAGATTGAGACGATATTGTCATTCTGGGATATCAGCAACATGTTCACTCCCATGGACGATTGGAGTCGAGCATATTGCTGCCTTGCCTTCCATCGCAACGACGGGATATGATGCGATCTGGGTCGAAGGTCATCTCTGGAGTATGATCATACATTGCTACGGGCTGTCTATGAGGCATCTGTCTATCCTGGACTCGACTCGACTCGATTTGAGACTCGACTGACGACGGACATGTATTCACCGTGTCGACAAGCTCAAGAACGATCACACCCACTTCCCAGGGCTGACACTGAATATAAACCTGAATTGGATTGATACAGAAGCAAGGCCAGGAGATGGGAGACATGACGTTGTTTTGGAGGCTCCAGGCCATCGTGATGGTTGCTCATGACTCTTATCATCTGCTCTCCCTACAACACTGTCACTGTCACTGTCTCCACGACTTGTTTTGATTGCTCTTCTGTCTCCACAGCTAGTTCGTCCTGTTGTCAACACTGCTAACATTGTGCTCCTCTTCTCTTGTCTAGCAAATACTTCCTTCAAGCCGTCGGCCACGAAGGTCTGAACAACATGCTCGCCGCATACGAAGACAAGACTGCCTTTGCAGTGTGCACGTTCGCGTATTGCGGCGGACCGGGTCAAGACCCGATCTTGTTTCAGGGCCGGACACAGGGCCGAATCGTGCCGGCTAGAGGACCGAGTAATTTCGGTATGTTCAAAAAACCCCCTTCTCCCCAACACCCCCAGTGCTGTAACCCCCTTGATCCTGACAGATGACTGTCTTTGTCAATGGCATATGTGGCATATGTGGCCTCGTTCTGCGTGCCATATGCCGACCTGACCTCGAGTTCGAGTTCGAGTTCGGCTGCGAGAAATAGTCGCCCGATGCGAGAACAGGCTGACGCGACCAAAAATTTAACAGGTTGGGACCCGGTATTCGAATACGAGGGCAAGACGTACGCCGAGATGGACAAGGCTGAGAAGGTACGTTTGGGCCCCCAGAAAATTATTCGACCCTCAGCATGAGCATGAGCATGGACATGAGCATGGCCATGGACTCCTGCCTTTCCAGATCCAATTCAAACCCACTTCGTGACGGTGACGGAGCGGACAATGCTGACCAGTTGCGCACAGAACCGGATATCCCATCGCAGCAAGGCGCTGGCCAAACTGAAAGCCTGGCTTGCCGGAGGAGAAGCGGAGCCTTGAACACAGGTTCGAACCTGGAGAAGTCCCTTCCCTCTTGCCTCTTGTGTCTACCAGAAGTAGAAATAGACAGAGACAGACACCTCAGATGCATGCAGAGAAATAGACAGATATCTCAAATGCATGCAGAGCATCCCTTCAACCACTGCAACTGCACTTCACTTCGAATCATCAATGCAACCTCCTCACTCTCCATTCGTCTTCGATCCGTGGTCTTTAACCCAGTTCTTAACCCACAGCAGAATTCGCTCGGCATTCTCTTCAATATCTTCAGCCTGGACACTCTTCAACTCAACCACGCGCCCATCTTCGACTTCTCCCCAACCCTCCTTGGCCTCTTCGCTGACAACCCCAAAGATCTCGGCGTCCATGTTCTCCTGGACTTTTTCGTCCCGGTAGCCCCTCGACGCGAGTCTGTCGTAGAGCACGCTGGTCTCGTCGCACCGCAGCACCACGACGAGATCCACCCACCGCACCGCGAACCCCGCCGTGGAATGCCAGTCGATGATGAACCCGCCGGCGCCGTCGCCGTCGGCAATCTCTTTCTCCACTTCGTCCATGAGTTTGTCGTCGTCCACGATCAACGTCTGTAGTTCCTCATCGTAGCCCGTGTGGCATGATCGCTCCTTGACGATGTCGTTGATGGACACGTGTTTGAGGTCGAGCGGCGGGCTGGACTGCGACGCGAGACTGACGAGTTGGGTGCAGGTCGTTGTCTTGCCTACGCCTGGAGTGCCGGTGACGAGGATGTTGGGTAAAGAGCGCATTGTTTTGTATGGGAGAGTCGGAGTCGGTTCTTGAATTGATATCTGAGGAATAGTATCTTCTCGAGTGAGTGTGTCCTTCTGTATACAAACTCAACCGCAGGCTGGTTTGTTTTCGCTACCCAGAACTTTTTTTGGTCGCTGCGAACTCGAATTTCTTCGGTTTGCGGGGAACTTTCTTTGTCTGGACTAGCGTGGCGGAGGTGGTACGGCGGATCATTGGGCTATATAATGTATTGGATAGAGAGTCTCAGATATTAACGTCCAACACCATTGCATTGCTTGCAGTGTTGCTCATTGTTGCTTTCCATACTCATTTGACGCCTGTCTCCTGTCTCCTGTCTCCTGTCTCCTGTCTCCTGTAATCATTACTTCGGTCCGGAAGAAATAGAGACAATTGCTCGTCCTCCCAGAACGTGAAAGAAGAGTAGCTCTGTGATTCAACTCTTTGCCGAACGAGGACGCGATTCACCGTGCCACATGGAGCTACTTTGCAATAGATGGATGAACTTAATGGTAAGACGTCCAATTCGAGTGAGATTGATTTTGAACATCATTCTTTGTTTCATTTCGATCTGGAGCATCGTCGCATCCTCACCAGGCTGCCCTGCTCCCACGCCAAAGTCGAGTGAGTCAAGTCGTGAGCAATGCGCAAGCCGAACAGAGACGAACCCCCGCTTGGTCACCGGTTGCTATGCCTAAAAACATTATATTTTCGCTTGGATTGCAACAGACAAGAAAGAAAATGTAGCTCGGCTGAATTCAACTCCAGGCAACGCTTGTCCACCGCCTTTCTCTCCCATGCGACATGAGACACGTAGTAGCCGACAGGAAAATCTGACTGCTGAGAGGTTTCATTCGGACATCCGTCCGTCCCTAACTTGATCCATGACGCCAGTCTTGTTGTTAAGGAGAGTCGCATTCGATGAGAAGGGAGTCGTGAGGTAGAGAAGAGGAGATGAGGTCCAATCCTCTACGCAACGGCTTCGGCCTCATCAATAACTTCTTCAGGCAGGTCTCCCCGTTCTTGCTGAGCCATAGCCTGAGCGGAAACGATCTCCGCAAGACGCTTCAAGCGAGGTGTTTGAAGCCCTAATAGTCAATAAACATTAGCACGGCGGTTCTCCTTTGAAGAATCTCATCTGGAAGCCAGTAGATGAGGTGGAAGAAAAGGGGAGTTGGTGAGAGAACTTACATGACGGAGTATACGTTTCCAACGCAGTGATGACTCTCGGCTCAGCAATTTCGTACGGTCCACTGTCATCCATGTCGACAGGAGCCAAGAGAAGAACGTCGCCCTTCTCCGTCACACGGGAAGCCACGGCCTTCATGATCTCGCCGTTGATGGGCTGTTCGTAATCTGCCACCAGGTACTGATTGAGCAGTTTCTGGATCTGGTTGGGCGAAAGCATCCAGCAAATGTCCTGGATGATTTCAATGTCGTTCAAGGTCGCCTTCTTCAGCTGGAGGAGCTTGGTCGCTTGCATGAGATGTTCGAGCTGCAGAGTTCCCTCGGGCATATCGTGGCTCTTGCACCATTCCTCGATCCGGGTAATGTTGTAGTTGATCTGGAGCCCTCGTTTCCACGACAAGAAGTTACGACGCATGAGGAGATCGTTGAAGGCCGTCACCCCCACCAGTCTGAGGAGTTCAGTGACGGTTTGAGTGATGATGGAATCCTCCAGGTAATAAGCTTTCATTGCTTTAAAGACATTGTTCAATAAACTCAACAACTGGTCCATGCTGTACGCGGGGGTGTTGTTGGAGGGTAGCAACTTCCCAAGGAACCGGCTACTTTCGTTGGTCACGAAGCCTGGGAGTGACTGAGATTCGATGATGGCCGGGACAATCATCTTGTGCAGTTTTTTCTTCAGCACCTTCATCCATGTATGATAGATGTTGAACTCGAGACTTTCCAAATCGTGCTTGACGATCTCAAGTAGTCGGTCATACTCGTAATTGTCCGTCTTCTGGGCTTCATACCAGTCTTCGGCGAGGAAGACAAAGGACAGCATTTCATGCACGTTGGACAGCCAGAAAGCACCGGGGTTGATGGCCTCGTCCCCGTCATGCTGCATGACTTCCTGTTGAATCGATTGCATGACATTGGCAAGGAAACGTTCGGATTCCTTGACGAACCCATTGTTCCACATCTCTGAAGTCACCAAGTTGATGAGATAAGAGGGGAACAAGACTTCCTTCTCGGTAGGTGCGGGATTGGCTCCGGGTTGTGGAATCTTGATGCCGCGAATGAGGCCCATAGTGACTTCGTCGTTGAGTTCTTCTTCCTGAGAAAGAAGGCTCTCAAGCTCCATTTCGACACCGTCTGGTCCAGCGTTGAATGTAGAACCAGACAGCGTCTTGACGTGTGTGTCAAGTGCCATTGAGACGGGGCGAGCGCTGAAGGCACCACTGTACCTATCGGTTTCGCTTCGCTCGGCAGCGCCTGCGCTTCGTCTCTTCAACGGTTTCTTGGAAGAGACAAGGTTGATGAGGCCATTTGCGAGCTGAGACCCGCCGTTGGCATACTCTCCGTTGACTCCGTTGGTGGCCACGGGAGGCGGTGCTCTTCGGGCCATCTCCAGTTGATCTTGCAGTTCGTTGATCTGTTGCCGTAACGTGCCCTTCTCGCTCTCGTGACTCGCAACGGATTGTCGTAATTTGTCCACCTCTGCATTCGATGTTTGCAATGACTCTCGAAGTTTGCGCTCTTCGTCTTGCAGTCTTTTCGCGTTACCCATATGTTCATCATGGCTGGCCTGGAGCTTAGCATGCTCTTCCTCCAAGGCACTCAAGCGCGCCGCGACAATACCGGCCTGGTTTGCTTCGGTTTGCAAGTCTCGAGATCGCGCTTCCAAAGCAGTGTGCCTTGATCTCCACGACTTCAACTGGCCCTCGTAGTTCTCCAGCTGTGAGAGTAGCGTTTTGTTCTCTCGCTTGAGCGCTCCAAGAGATTGTGTTAGTTCGACCACCTTGTTCTCGAGTTTGTATGAAATTTGCTTGAGGTCCCGGGCCTCTTCACGCATCGTTTTATAGTCGCGCCGGGCGACCCTGCCGCGCCAGAGATTCTGTACAATGACAACGTTCTTTCGATGTTGTCGCCAGGCTCGTGATGCTCGCCATGATCGGAATGCCCTTTGTATGGTGATGGCGGCGTTGCCAATGCGCGTTTCGAGGATGTTTCTCCTGCAAAGGTAGCCCTTGGCAACGGATTCAAACAGGACGAGGTCCCTCCTGATCTGACTGTAGTTCTTACGTGCTCTCTGTCCTCTCCAGAATCGCTGAATGTCGGTGGCTGCTTTGGTCTGTCTCGTTTGCTCCGCCTTGCGTCGAGCAAGGAACGCCCGAGTCGCTGCTTGGAAGTTGATGATGGACTGTCGTGCGTCGAGGTATTTGTGGCGGTAATATTTGGCCCGCAAATTCTTTTGGATCATGATCGCGCACTCCTTCAGACGAGCTGACCTGAGGTTCTCCAAGAATGCTAACATGCCTGCCCGGAAGAAGATCTTGGTCAGACCGAGCTGGTACTTGTCGGCCTTCTCATGGGCTGTTTGTCCCAGTGCTTTGATCAGGATGTTTTGAGCCATCTGCCGGATCTCAGTTGTCCATTCGGAGGAAGGACAGAGCATGTAATATCTCAGAGCAAATTCCTCATACGTCCAGCGCGTAGGGTAGCCGGCAGTACTGATCCGCACGGTTTCCAGCACACCACATGCTCTGAGCTGACTCAGGACCATGGGACCTTCGAATTTCCATGCCTCTTTGGCTTCGTTCGGTTTGATACAACGGATGTAATGGGCATCCGTAGAGTTGATCGTGTCCATGAGCTCAATAAGAGAGCTCTTGAAGATGCCGCCTAGAGTGGGTTTGCGGTTAACAGCGACACCGACTCGGCGTCCGCCTGGAGCGGCAACTGCCTTGGAACCTGTTTGCGCACTGTCCTTGTCTCTGACGGCAGCGGCAACATTCAAGACCTCAACCAAGAATCGATTGGAAGACTTCTTAAGCACTTCCATCTGTTCATCTGGTACCGTATCCCGATTCTTGTCGATGAAGCCATCAGACTCGTACGTGACATCAAGAGCGTAATGGCACACGGTGAAGGAGGTCTTGCCAAACCGAGGTTTCTTATAGAACTTTTGTTTGTCCCCCGCGAAATGGTGGTGCAACTTGGTAACGAACTGCTCATCAGAACCCATGGGCAGCCTTGACTCTTCATCCAACAGCGACAGGATTCCCATCTTGCCCTCGATCAGGTCAATGCAGGGTTGATTGTCGGAGAAGTCGATGAACGTCCAATCGATCTGTTCGCGCATGTACTCTTCCTGTTCCAGCTTGAAGACATGCTGGTTGAATTCTTGCTGCAGCTTTTCGTTCGCGTAGTTTATGCAAAACTGCTCAAACGAGTTTTTGGCAAAATGTTCGAATCCGTAGATATCCAGCACACCAATGAATGTATTAACTCGTTGCAAGACTTCTTCAGTTGCTAGACCGTGGTTGATCGTTTCTACGAGCCAGTCAAAAAGGCTCGAATAAATAAACTTGGCCACTGAGTCTCGGACAACGGTGGCCTGCTGTTGGTTGAGATTGGAAGTGATCTTCTCCCCTCGAGTGATGAGCTGTTTCTTAACAGTCCATTTGGCGAAGTCGTTCGCATCGATACCCAAGATCTTGCAAGCCCGGACCAGGGCGGGCTCGGTTGAAGAGAGGGTAGACTCGCTTCGAGTCGCTGTGATTTTGATATTACCCATATGTAAAAGCGCGGCAAGAATGCGGAATATCTCTTTCTGCGTGCTGTCGGAGACGTTGATTGTGGTCAGGGATTTCCTGGTTGCTGTGAACTCGGCAGCATCATCCACACCGTCGATGGATGGCTCATTCCCCTGGTTGAGATAGTCGAATTCTTCCACAGGCAACAGACCCAGCTCTTGTCTCTCCTCATCAGTGGCTCCGGCCACGAGCTGGTAGAAGATGTGATAGTTTCTCTCCTTCAATGGCTGAAATACCAGACGTGAACGCTCGAGCAGATATGTCCTTATTCGGGCACCGATGATATTCGTGCTTTTGTCAAACATGATTTCGATGTATTTGCCAAACCGCGACGAGTTATCGTTCCTTGTCGTTTTCGCGTTACCGAAGGCTTCCATGACCGGGTTGGTTGCCAGAATTTGTTCTTCGGTTTCACTGATGACATCTCCCCTCCCCTTGCTGGTTTGTCCGGGGGCTCCGCGCGTCGCAAAGTACCGCATGATATATTTGGCACTGACTGTCTTACCGGCGCCAGACTCTCCCGACACGACAACAGTCTGGTTCCTTGAATCTCTCAACATGTCCGTGTATGATTCCTCGGCAATAGCGAAGAGATGGGGTGCCTGCGATGCTCTTTGCTTGCCCGCGTACACCTGCACCATCTGCGGCACATAGAGGGAGTCGACCCGTGCAAACGGATTCGTCGCGATCAGCACGATACCGCTGTAGGTGTAGATCTCTTTCTGGGCATATCGTAACTTGATCGCCTGCAAAATTGCAGGCTCGTTCAAATGGGACAGGTTCGTCAGGTCTTCGGCGGCTTCGAACATTGGAGGGTTCATAAGAGGAGGCAAGGAGGCGTTCTGATGGGTATCGGCGAGGGCAGTCTCGGTGGTTTCGACCGTCTGTTGTGAGCCATCGGAGAGATTGAAGACCAGGGCTATCTTGCCTTCGCCCAGCGGCTTTCGCTCTGCCACTTCACCGGGAATGAAGCCCTCGGCCTGGTTGGGAAACCAGGCCCGGGTACCAATATCCCAGCTGGCCATGGTGGGCGAAGTTGCTGGATAAGTGAAGTGAAATCTCAACAACTACTGACAGCGAGGCCAGCCATGTATTTGGGGATGGCAGGGAGATGCCTGGACAGACGTGTCAAGAGAGGGTTGTTATCTTCACTTTCGGGTTGGGGCGGCGTGACAGGAACCGACAAACAAGACAGATGGGTGTAGAGGTCTGACGGTCCAAGTGATGGGTTTTGATGACGGGCTCAGGGTGTTGAACTATCGTGGCATCAGGTGCGGCCAGCCGGTCGGTCAGGAATCTCTTGATGATGGATGATGGGTTGTGCTTGAGGATAGCACAATGTTTAGTTTAGCACAGAGTAGTGGTCGTTGCATGTCAGAATGTCTTCTTCAGGGATCCAACTGGGGGAGACGCGCCACAGCTCATCGACGAGACTAACGCACTCTGCTACTCACCATCGCACCCGCGCCTTTCCACTTCCAACCAAAAAGCGCGACCCCGTTCACCCCCTGCCAGTCTGCATGAAATTGTCCGCAACACCAGCACCCCTTTTTTACTGTCGCTCCAACCCTCCTCGCCCTATGAATCTGAAATTTATGCACCTTCAAGGGTGACGACTTGGCCGTTAGAGCTGTGACAGCCTTCCAGAGCTCTTCCTAGATTGGCTCGAATGGCGTCAACTATCTCTGATGGGCACTTGACATACTACTGTGTAAACAGAAGCAGAAGCAGAAGCAGAAGCAGAAACAGAAACAGAGAGGAAATCGCTTTTGCCCGTCATTATCGATCCCTTCCCTAAAGAACTAATCACTACATACTGCATTGCTGAATTGAGAATCTCACACTGGCAAAAGTCCTGCGGCTGAGATGGTTCTGCCCGAGCGCAGAGGACCCTACCCTCCGGGCTTGAAGATCCCATACCCTGCTGTGCATGGATGCACCGATCAATGCCCCTCATGTCAAACGCCCACCAGTTATGCTTGAAGGATAGAAGCTGGGCAGCACCTTGCAGGTCCCTACTCTGGAGTCTCTAGACCGACCATGCCATGGCAATCCGCTGCCCCTCACATAGACAAATGAGACAACCGCGTGCTTCTGTGTTACTGTCCAATTCCTTCGTCGACACTCCTGCAAGTGAGCCCTGACAAGCTCCGTCTACTGGTTCTTGCACTCCGAGGCCTGCTGGGATCGAGGTTTGCCACCTTCTTCCTCATCGTCCTCTTCGGACTCGGCCTCTTCTTCATCCTCGTCATCTTCATCGTCCTCATCTTCAAACTCGGCATCGTCGGCATCGTCGAACTCCTCGAACGCCAAAGCTTCGCCGGTGAACCAGTCGATGGCTCGTGGGATGAGCTTCTCCTTGATGTCTTCACCCAACTGGTAATCCAGCTCGAGTCTTTCCTCGATGTCGGAAGCGACCTCATCCTCGTCGGTCGGCGGGACAGGAGGGGAAAAGAAGTTGAAGAAGGACTCAGTAGGGACGGTCTTCTTGATGACTCGCGTCTGCTTGGTGTCTGCTCTCGGGTCAATGGCTGCGCAACACGTCTTCACCGGATAGGACTTACTCTTGTTTCTCTGCTTTTTGCTTTCGACGCGGACAGTCAGGTCCTTTCCTGGCTTCCATTCGATCTTGTCGCCCTCGGCGTGATCATAGATGAAGTCACCACCGTAGCCATTCTCATCTCTGTAGTAATACGTCTTGGTGATGGTCTTGTTGGTGAAGAAGTCATTGGGGGCAAATTCGAAGATTAGGCGGAAACCAGGTCGGTCGAGGTACTCCATCCGAATGTCGGTCAGCGATCGGAGAGCCTCCTCGTCGCGGTCGGTGATGAGTTCCGCAAGAGAGATCTGGTTCTTCATGGCCGTAAGCCAGAACTCGGGGATTCCCTTCAGGTCCTCGGCAGAAGTCTTTTCCTCTTTGTCTGCCTCGGCCTCTTCCTCGGTTTCTTCATCTTCCTCGGCCTTGCCAGCCTCGATCTCGGATTCGGTGGGTTCAGTCTCTCCGTTCACAATGGCCGCTCGCTTTTTGTACAATGGAGTGAACTTTGCGAAGTATTTCTTCTCGAGTTGAAGGACCTCTTCCTGAAACTCGGCTTCCAATTTGGCATGATCCTTTTGGATTCCCTTCAGGCCAGTGACGCGTCGGCGGACAGGGGTGGGTAAGGACTCGACGTATCCAGATGATCGGCCAACAAGGGAGCCGAGCTTCTCCTGCATCATAGAGACAAGAGCAGGATTTTTGGCGAATATCGAGGCCGCTGCAGCACGGTCAAGGTCCTCTGTCGAAAGTCAGTATGCCGTCACGGGCGCTAGACTGGAGCCGGCTCACCTTCTTGAATATCACTGATGGTGGGAGCTTGCGCATGGGAAGAGATTGGTGCATTTGAAGCAGGTGCTAGAGAAATGTGAGCATTGATACATGGTTGACCCTAAACTGGGAAGACTGACTGTTCTGCGGGGTCCTAGATTCTCTCATGTTAGCGACGGCGTTTCTTGAAGAGCGAGATGGCTCTCAGAGAGAATGAGCAGTTGAACGTACGGAGCAGTAATATTTGACCTGCCTCTTGGGATTTCGGAGGCCATGGTTGTTTGTTGGGAGGAGTTGGACAATGACGGGGGGTAGTGGTTGGTTGTGCAAGATCTGTTGGACCTCTAGTGTCTGAGAAAGGAATGGCCTTGCAGACACCACAGCAGGATGCTCTAGTGTGACACTTCAGAGCAGTGCCAGGTGATGGAAGAACAAACGCTCAGTGAGAGGCGAAGAGAGTGAAGATTTGGTGAGAGGTTGGACTGTGATTCAGAATTGTTGACCGTTGCGACGTCGAGAAAAAGTCTCCATCTCGATAAGAGGCCCGTCCAGCCGGTGATCACGTGGCTTTGTTTCGCCGCTTTGCAGATTTGCAGTGCTGTACTAAGGTAGTACGTAGTAGTACTATTGTGGTAAAGACCTTCAAGGGGTAACTTTTCCGAGCCAGCCTTGTATCGGCCCCTCACCCAGCCCACTTGCTCCCCTTCATCGTCAATTGCGTTATTGTGCTTACCTGTCTTCCTCTTCACCATAAAATGTACTTTGATCAAGCCATCTTTTCTCCCTCGTGATGATCATGTCCCCAGTAAGTAGATAAGATGATTCTCCAGCAGTCTAAAAGCGGCGTAACCTTTGTATCTGACACAGACGTCTTGGCGTTCCTCTTGCTGTCCACTCGCAGCCCAGGGAACTGCACGCTGCTTCTGCGGCTCAGTTGACGTAGTGTTTCTAGTGGTACTAGCGCTTCTAGCGGTTACAAGTTGTACTAAAAGTATGGTGGATGAGGTGCGGGTGCTCTGGAGTACTATTGCGCAGTTTTGATAACATTATTAGCATGAAGGCCCTCCGTAACTTGCCTTTTGTCACTTCAATCTACCTGATCATACACGATGTATTAAATACCCATCAGTAGTGCCTCTGAGGCACCTTTGCCGCCAATGGATGTCCCTGAAAGACCTCGTGCTGGACTGCCGCGGCGGTCTAGCTCAGCACGACGGATGCATCGAAGAGATTCGAACATAAGCAATGCGAGCATTGTGTCTGAGGTTGAAATGGCTACGGACGAGGTATGACTGTGCCACAGTGTGATTCTCAATGATTCCTTCTAACACCATTGTCAGCCGTTCTCGGGACCAATATCTGAGAGCGTTCCTTCGAGCGTAACTGGCTTCGCATACCAGCGCCCGAGGCGTCGAAAGGGTTCCATATCGAGCTTCACTTATTTCCAGGACGAAGAGGAATCGCCTGACTACTCCGACGAAGAAGCCATCCTGGATGTTAGTGATGACGAAGATGGGCATCTACAAGGAGATGGTGGCGATCTCGAGGCTGGACATACCGAACCTCTTCGACACAAGCACTCTGGTCGTTTCAGATCTTCTTCGGACCAGCCACTTCTTGGGAGACGGGAGTCTGCTCGCAGTGATACCCAAGAGCTTGAACAAGGAGGCAACTTCAGCCAAAAACTATACATCGAAACCGAAGACCTTACCATGGTCATAGCGGGTTTCATAACCAGTTCTCTTGGGTACCTGGCGTATCTCGCGATATGCATTTTGACTGGTGGTATTGGCTATCTTGTTTTTCGCTGGGTGCCGCGGTGGCGCATTTCACTTGTTGGCTTGCCTGCTCCCCTTAAAAATTGTTCTTGGGTGGTCGTAGAGGTGAGCCATGGGCCCGAACGAAAGCGTCCCAAGAAAAAAGCTAAGAAGTTTCAGAATCAATGGGGCGAATTCACCGTTCATTATGTTGCTGTTGAGGAATATGGCCACCCGATGTCCACAGTCTTCACGCTTTCCGGACGAGGAAAGCTCAATGGATACCGATATGATGGAGATGTCGAGTTGCCCTTCCTGCGGTTTCTCGACTATCGGTACATGAGGCTCCTCTATCATCCACTCGAGGACAAGTTCGTCCTCAACAACGATTGGTGGGATCCCCAATGGACATCCGTCAAAGCTCTCCGAGAGGGCCTCGATTCGGAAGAGAGGGATCCCCGGGACCAGGTATTCGGCAAGAACGTGATTGAGATCCAGCAGAAGACCATACCCGAGTTGCTCCTGGACGAGGTTGGCACTTCCCTAACACTTCTTGGTCCCTAGCAAAGCTAATACCTCGAAGGCTTTCCATCCTTTCTATGTCTTCCAGGTTGCCAGTCTTATACTCTGGTCTTTGGACGAGTATTACTACTATGCTTGCGCTATTTTCCTAATATCTGTCTTCTCAATCACAACCACTGTCGTTGAGACTCGATCAGTAAGCAACTATCACTATATTTCTGACAAGCCTCTAACATTGAACCAGACGATGCAGCGTTTGAGAGAGATCTCACGCTTCGAATGTGATGTCCGCGTCCTTCGCAACGGATTTTGTAAGTGTTGAATTGATGGAAATGGACTTGACTGACGATGTAAAGGGCGATCTGCCGTGTCCAGTGATCTTGTTCCTGGGGACGTTTACGAAGTTTCGGATCCGTCGCTATCTCAGATACCTTGCGATAGTCTCCTGCTTTCTGGAGACTGTATCATCAATGAAAGCATGCTCACAGGTATGATTACATCTGAGACTGGTTCGATGCACGGCTAACAATCGAAGGCGAATCCATTCCGGTTTCCAAGATTCCAATCGTGGACGAAGCATTGCCTTACATCAATCTTGGGGCTACATCAATACACCCCAGTGTGGCTCGGTATTTCCTTTTCTGTGGGACCAAGATCATCCGAGCTAGACGGCCGCAAGATACAGACGACGATGAAGCTGTTGCTCTTGCAATGGTGGTGCGCACTGGATTTAACACCACCAAAGGTGCCCTTGTACGGTCGATGCTCTTTCCGAAGCCATCGGGATTCAAGTTCTATCAGGATTCTTTCCGATATATTTCCGTCATGGGATGCATTGCTGCAGTGGGATTCATTGCCTCGTTCATCAATTTTGTCAAACTCGGCCTGGCATGGCATCTCATCATAGTGCGAGCCTTGGATCTGATCACTATCGTCGTCCCTCCGGCGCTTCCAGCCACTCTTACGATTGGAACAAATTTCGCCCTTTCCCGGTTGAGAAAACAGCAGATCTTCTGTATCAGCCCTCAAAGGGTCAATGTCGCCGGCAAGCTTGATGTTGTCTGCTTCGACAAGACCGGGACTCTGACTGAAGACGGACTGGACGTACTTGGTGTCAGGTTGGTCCAGCATCCGGAGATTCGGTTCGGAGATATCCTAGAAGAGGCTCATGAAGTCCTGCCTCCAGCTCCATACGATCGCGATCCAACCGTCGACTACCGTGTCAACAAAAATATGCTGTACGCAATGGCGACTTGCCATTCTCTTCGGTTGGTGGACGACGAGCTCATAGGTGACCCTCTTGATCTGAAGATGTTTCAGTTCACCGGTTGGTCTTTTGAAGAAGGGTCACGCAGCACCCACCACTTCATCGAACCTGGATCCCACCAAACGGCGCCCAGTGTGGCCCGCCCTCCTCCAGGCTTGGAGTACGATGTGGATGATTCACAAGACAATGCCAATCCAGTGCGTGTTGAGCTCGGCGTTCTCCGGTCTTTCGAGTTCGTTTCACATTTAAGGCGTGCCAGTGTTATTGTTCGTCAACATGGCGACCCTGGTGCAAGTATCTTTGTGAAAGGCGCTCCCGAGGTCATGAAGGACATATGTACTCCCTCCAGCATCCCCGACGATTTTGAGGATCTGCTCAGCTACTACACACACAAAGGATTCCGTGTTATTGCCTGTGCCTCAAAATATGTATCCCGACTAAATTGGGATGATGTCCAGGCTATGGATCGCTCAGAGGCCGAGTCAAGACTACAGCTCCTTGGCTTCATCGTCTTCGAGAACAAATTGAAAGAGATCACTACTGAGATTATCGAAGAACTGAACGAAGCTCGAATCCGAAACGTCATGTGTACAGGCGACAATATCCTAACCGCCATTAGTGTGGCGAGGGAGTGCGAGCTGATCGATCGCAATGCCCATTGTTTTGTGCCGCATTTTGTGGCAGGGGATAAGCTGGATCCAAAGGCACAACTGACATGGGAAAGTGTCGACAATGCTATCTATCAACTCGACGAGAATACATTGTTACCGTTGCCATTGTCGGCCGAGGACGACATCTCTTCACCATATGATGCGATGGCCATTGGCGAGTATACACTGGCTGTGACTGGCGATGCATTCCGCTGGGTCATCGATTTCGCCCCCACTGAAGTCGTCGAGAGAATGCTTGTCAAAGGAGCTGTATTTGCGCGTATGTCTCCCGACGAGAAGCATGAACTGGTCGAACGATTGCAGAGCATCGACTATTGCTGCGGATTTTGCGGCGACGGTGCGAATGACTGCGGCGCCTTGAAAGCCGCTGACGTGGGTGTCTCGCTCTCAGAAGCCGAGGCGTCTGTCGCGGCACCTTTCACGAGTCACATCTTCGACATCTCATGTGTCCCCGCCCTTATCAAGGAAGGACGAGCTGCACTAGTGACGAGCTTCTGCTGCTTCAAGTACATGAGCTTGTACTCGGCCATCCAGTTCACGTCCGTCAGCTTCCTCTATGCATCCGGATCGAATCTGGGCGACTTTCAATTTTTGTTTATTGATCTGGCCCTGATCCTGCCAATTGCCATATTCATGGGCTGGACAGGTGCATACCCGGTCTTGAGCAAGAAGCGCCCGACTGCCAATCTTGTCTCCAGAAAGGTGTTGACGCCTCTTCTGGGCCAGATCGCGTTGGCTGTGCTTGTCCAGTTGATCGCCTTTGAAACCGTCCAACAGCAACCTTGGTATCAGCCACCGCAGCTGAACCCGGACAAGTCCAATGTGGACAATTCCCAGAACACGGCCCTGTTCTTGGTCTCTTGCTACCAATATACACTCTCGGGGGTAGTGTTGAGCATTGGGCCGCCTTTCCGACAATCCATGACAACTAACGTTCCGTTTTGTGTCACGATTGTGGTGGCCCTCCTTATGTCTTTGTACATGCTCCTCGACCCGGCGCAATGGTTGGCCGATTTCATGGATCTGACGGAGATGTCCCTGGGCTACGAGCTGTTCCTGCTAGCATTAGCAGCAGCCGCTTTCGCCGTCTCTCATCTGGCCGAGCGTCATTTCTTTCCGCTTCTGGCGAAATACATTGGCCGGCTCAAGTTGAGGATGCGGCCGTCACATCCGAAGAAGAGGAAGAGGTACAAGCTTATCGCCGAGGACATCTTGAAGAGCAAATAGACGCTGCACAATAGATCTGTCGGGCCAAGCTATAACTCTTATAGATTGGAGATTGCTCCATCCTAGACTTGTAGCTGGAAGCGAAGGCATTGTACAGAGAAAACCCTTCGCTGTTTGAGTCGAAAGAAGGCGTTGTCTTGGGAAATCCTTGAACATGATCTTCTTGCCTATCGATTTTGCATTGTTTTAAGATTGATGGACATGTCTGAGCGGCACAAGATAAAGCGAACATAAAGATATTGTGGCCGACTAGTCTATCCGAAACAGATGTCACTGGGTCATGTCGATCGAGTTTCGCGAGCAGTGAGACGCAAAAAAAGAGATAGACTGCTACCAACCATGGACTGCAGCCGCAGGCTGTTCTCGCAGTCTATCCGCGGAAGGGACTGGCCGTATATTTCACAGAATGGGCGGGAACGGCGAGAGCACGGTAGCTTTAAAAACAATCGAAACAACCGAGACATTCTGGCAAGAGATTTTAAAATACATACTCTGTCTAGTTTGGGTGTTCTGGTGTTCCGCCCAATCCACCACAGGTGAGATGCGCCCACAAGAACCAGCCGGATGATATCTTTCTTGCTCCTCGGTTCTTTCGGCTCAGCCCGGTTCAGGCGGCGGACTCACGTTTCCCAATGCGATAAACGCCTTTCGGTAATGCTCGGGTGAAGGGTCGGATGAAGAGGTCATGCGTCTCGTGGGGTGAGGATGTAGGATGCAGTGAACGGTCGTGTTCAATGGTCCCAAGGATGCTTCAAGCCGATCAGTGCCGGGCCGTCTTTCTTCGCTCTGTACATCAACTGTTTTGCCCTGTAAGTCACAATCCCAACTTGAAGATGACGGTCCGCAAGAGCTTACGAAGAACCACATGGCTGCGCCCAGGCCGGTTGCGGCGAATCGGTAGAGCGGTCGGGGCTGGTTGATTTGCTGGACGGGGTGGTTCCCTTTCCACACGGGTTTCGCCATGTCGAACGGAGCTGGATGATGTTAGTTAGAAAGTGTCTAAAGAGTGCGGGCAGTCGGGGGCCGGAGCGTACTCTTATTTGTGGTGAGCTGTCAATGTACTGGGGATGTGAAGCTGGTCAACTTGAGCACGAACTGATTGAAGTCGCATTCAATTGACGAGCCGAGCGAGGTGGTCGGTCACATGATGGATAAGTCTAGTATAGATCTGGACTAGCACGGTATGGATCGATACGATGACTAAGCAGTAGATAGATCTATCAGCACAGCGCAAACACAACACAACAACTGCCAGTTTGATCAGCTGGCGACTCCTAATTCCACAAGAACCTCGTTCAACGTATGTTGGTTCAACTAGTCATGCCGAACAGGGCCCAATTGATCGATACGAAGTCCTCAAGGCTTGCAACGCGTTTGCCAAAGGCGACTTTCGCAGCGTTGTGGCTGCGGCCGATGCGTACGGCGCTCCTGTCTAACGGTTGCGAGGAAGGCGTCGAGGCCAGCCAGGGGAGTGCAGCAAGGGAGGACTCAATATGAGGCTTACAGAGGAGCAGGAGATGGCTCTCTGCAATCTTATCACGCGAAATAACGAGTCTGGAGTGTCATTGAGTCCTCAGATGATCACTGCAATGGCCATCGAAACCCCCTGGATCCTGCTCCGCACGTATCCAACGTATCTAACGAGTGGACACGTCGGTTCCTGAGAAGGCAACCTGAACTCACGTTGAGGAAGCGTGAAAGTACCGCTGTTCAACGCCGCGGTGCAGAAATTGACCGTTACGCTGAGATCATTTTCGACATGAAGCTTCCAAGCGCACACGACCAGATTGTGAAGTGTCTTTCCATGGCTACCTGCCTGGGTATGTTTGCACCTGGTCTAACTACCAGAACAACGGCATGAGCAGAAGGGTCAGTCGCCCCGGATCCGTCGTCATATTTGCGCCATTGCGCCGCGCGATATCCATTAGTGGTTGGAAGCTGAAGCACATCAATTCGGAAATAAATTACGGGACCCCGAGTACCCTTTACGTGGTCAGTCTCTTCAACGAAGAAATGGTCCTGTCGCGTGCCGGGTTACGCACGATCGGGTCAGGTCCTTCAAGCCTTCAACGGTTCAAAGCTGAAGTGCTAGCATCATTCCAGGCAGGACACAGAACGCCTGTCATGTTATGTCTTACAGGGTACCAAGACCCTATTTTGTATCTCCTGCTCGCTATGCAACCCTCCACCTTTCCCGATCGTCCTTCTGCGATGCCATCCAGGCTGCCTCTCTGTGCAGAAGTCTGGCTTAGGAACATCAGCTACTACAGGCCAGCGACCATGCCCCAATTCAGCACGCCCTCTCCACCCGGCTCTGCCCATCCTTCAGCATTGACTACTCCTACTCCAATCCGGACTTCCTCCACGACCCTGAACCCCAGATGGATATACACATCTCTGGCATGCTCATTCGTTGCCTCGAGCCAGACAGGGAGGTTCTGGTCCTTTGCTTTCCTGAGGAACGGCTCGACGAGGTTACGGATGGCGCCTAGCAAAGCGGGAAACCCCCGTAAGTATTGTTAGCACAATTGCAACCTCAACCACAACCACACGCTTGCTTGGGGCCAGACATTTGTATCCAACATGGGGCATGAGGCTTGCGGTAACTACCCCCTCAGAACCTAGGAGAGACAAGTCTTTTTCTTACCTTTCTCTGTCCGGCCCGGTGCTCGACCGATGAGATTCAGATACCAATAGAGTCGATCCCCCAGGTATTTCTTCTTGATCTGGCCGAATTTCTCTCTGTACTCGACGGCACCCTCGGGAATGGGGGTATCGCTCGGCTGTGGCTTTTGTACTCCAGGAGGAAGCCTGCGTGCCAGACACAATGATAAAAGACAAGTAAGTAAGTCTACCTCCTTGACTATTGTTTCAAGCCTCTCAGCCATGCTTTGCGTGGTTTCTGCACTTACCACAGAGCAACCGCGGCCCAGTCATGCGTCTGAAGCAAGATCCCTCCGCCCTCCAACCGGCTCCGGATGTGCGGTAGCCAGTATTGCAGCCGAAGCTCGGGCTGGCTCAACTTGGGATGGCCTGGCCTCGACTCGCGGCCGAGAAAGATATACCGATTCAGAGCGTCGTCCGCGAACGCTGCGGCGATCACGCTGGTGAACTTGATGATCTCGCCTTCTTCGATTTTGACGGGTACGGCGTCGGAGTGATGGTGGTGGTGGTGGTGGTCGGTCGACATGTCGTGTATCAGTACCTGTTTAATGTAGGTCCTTAAAGTCAAGTAACGAGGGTAACCGGCTTTATATATCTTCGTCAAGGGGATCATACCCTGCTTGACAATACTCGATGTATTGGTTGAAGGCTTGTTGTCCCTTCGCAGAATGGTAGATACGTACTTTACTTAGTAAAATCGCCTGGTCTATCGAAAGTAGAGCATACACGGCATGTCAGTACATACAATAGGTACTGTGTATATGTAGTGTTTGTCAATGTGTTGATGACTCACGAGCAGTGACAGTTTGGAAGCCTCCTTATTAGAAGTGGATACATGCCATTTCGACATCAAGGTCCTAACCAAACCCCGTATTCGCGAGCCAGGGGTAAACAGCAGGCACATTGTCAAGTAATGGTATATACTACCTAAGTAGATACTCGAGTTGCCTATAGCTATAAGTATAGTTCTGATGTCCATCGACCATTATGTGTGGTCTGTCTCGGTGTGTATTGCCTGGCAATGGCGTGGCCGTTGAGCTCAGCCGCCGCCCCTTTCCTCGCCAGCCTTGTCGTTTTCGTTGCTTATTAGAGCACGCACGAGGCATCCACAGAGTTCTACTTGTTTACCGTTGCACTAGGAATGGGTCTCTTGGAGCATTGTAAAGTGCAAGGACGTTCGCTTTTTTCAGAGGTAAGTAAACCTCGAAGATAATGGTAACATAACACCAGCTTAGGACCAGATCGAAAATCTGTGAGACCGGATCGAAACCGGATCATACTGTAAGGCAAATCGAACTATCATGTTGGCTGAACTTGAACTGTGGATGCAATCACCGTTATACTCCCGATATCTGGTCTCGCCTGTCCAAGAGCAATTGCGATGATGGCTTCATACTACCTCGTTTCTTTTCTCTTTTCATCCCGAAAAGCCCCTGTCGCAAAAGACTGTTATGGCCGTCGAGCCAGACGGTCTTGAAGAAGCTGACCCTTCCTCTCTCATTCCTCCGTCTCTTTCGCCCCTTCTTCTGTTTCTCTCCCTGCCCCTCTTTGTTCTCAATGTGCGCAGCTCCCATTCCATTTTTGAGTCACTTGCCGTGCCCATGACATTTAGTGGTCATTTCCCTCTTTCACTTTCAAAACACCAACCCCGTCCTCTTTTTCACCAGATACAGCATAGCATCTTGTACCCAAATCGGCCTCTTGCGGAACATAGTATTGCCTTCCTCGCTTCGAGGCATGAAGATCTGCCCACTGCGCGCCGCAAGGACCTGCTCGACGACGGCATCGCTGACATTCGATGCTGGGTCGAATCGGACGCCGGCTCGGGCGAGTTCGGACTCGTATGGTTTGACGATCCCGGTTGAATGCCATGATGGGTGGACACAGGTCGTTTGGATGCATGTCCCGTTGGGATACATCGATCGGAGTTCGGCACGGAGACCTGTGCGCCACAAACGGCGTCAGCATCGTACCAGTATTGAATGACCACATAGTCCTTAGGAAAGAGAAACGATTTCAGGAGCAAGTTCCCCGTCAATAATGTCCGGTGAAAGGGATCCCGGGATGTGTTGGACCCGTAGGCATAGGTAAGATGGCAGTATACATTCAGGCATTGTCCAAGCAAGAGTTCGACATACCTTCGTGAAGATACAGCGCCCCGACTTTGGAACAACAATAGTCAACAAGGCCGGGCTGGGACATGAAACTCGCCATGGACGCCATGGTCACGATATGACCCTTTCGCGCGTCCAGCATGCCGGGAAGGAACTCCTTGATCAGGACAAAGTGCGAAGCCAGATTGACTTTGAAGATGCGTTCCGTGAGTTTGGCAGAGCTGTTGATCAGTCTTGTGCCGTTTGCTAGGTACGACGTTCGTGTCAGTCCAAACGGCATCTGCTTTTCCATCCATTCCGAGGTGGTGCTGGGAGAGTATTGGGTGGTACGTACCGACTCCGGCATTGTTGATTAGGACGCTGGGGTTGCCGTGTTCCTTGCGGATCAATTCTGCTGTGGTCTCGATTGCAAGGAAATCTGTGAGGTCGACGTGATAGTAGGACACACCGGGGACTGAGAGATGTCAGTTATTACACCATTGAGCAATGTTGGCGAGGACAGGCTGAATCAAGGGTTCCGAGAGAATGATGTAAGCGTAGTATATGGCAGCACCGGGCAGAAACCTTGGTCTGAGATAAGCAGACAAGCAGATGAGGAACAAGAGACTGACGAACAGCATGGGCGAAGACATGCTGTTGGATATCAGGTGCGAGAAACATCCAGATCAACAGCGGACGCAACGAATGGTCGATTTCACTCACTCCTCTCCAGTTCCTCCGGCATGGGGGAAATATCCAGGATGACCACACGAGCGTGCCTCGAGAAGCTCTTGACCATTTCATATCCGAAGCCGCTACACCCGCCCGTGATGACAACGAGCTCGCTCTTTTCAAGGTCGCCGAACTGATATGGCGTGCCTGGCTTCCTGAGGTGCCAATGATTCAGCGCAAGCTTCGTAAGTCCCTGATTGAGGCGTTTGGCCACACCAACGGCGAGCAAGACTTTGAGTGTTTTGATGAGTACGGCAAAACGATCGTTGGAGAGCCCTTTCTCCTGCAGCAGCCTCACTAGACGCGAACGGTATTGAAGGGGTGCTCGGGTGAGAGCAAATAGTAGAGATCCTGTAAGGAGGGGTTCAGTAGCCGCGTAGCGCAGCAGTGAGTTGGGGAAGGTGAGAGTCCCGATGAGAGCACGATTGATGCGGTCTTTGGGGCTTGACGATGCCATGTTAGCTCAAGAGGTTAGATACCTTGCTGTCACAGGCAATGCTGGAAGGTTCAAAGACCAAGGAAGATATAAAGTGATATCGCTGATGGCGTTCGAGTCTCCAAGTGTTGCCTCGGCTTATATACATATTCAAGGTCTGGACTCTTCGGATGACCGCAGATCAAATGCGGAGCAGCTTTTCATCCCTGTAGGCAGAATCTGGGGTTACTCGGCTAATCCATTCGTAGACATGGCTGTCAGCGGATCGACCTGGGGCCGAGATGGAGGGGAACTGGCAGATATTGTCGATACATACAAGTCGGTAGTTGAGACTGCTAGAACATGCCGCCGACTTTCAAACGAAGTACTAGGAGGCGACCCGCTGGCGCCAGGGCCAGGGTCTCTAGTTGACCAGGACCAGACCCGTCTGTTATGGACATTAGACAGTCCATATCGTGCAGACATTATGTCCATTTTTTGCTGTTTGTTGTTTGTTGTTCGGATACTTGTAGTCTTCAATATCGATCTCTGCGACTGGAGACGAGGAGGACCTACTCTGCCATCTGGGCCCCAGCGAGCGTCGAGCAAGATTCCAGCCTCGATTGGCAGCAGCGGCGGTACAAGCAGGCTAATCATTGACATACCATTTCCTTCTGTTTGCTTTATCGGCGTGCTTCTTCACTACAGCTGAAGAGTGGAGGGTCGGGGAGCTGGAGGGCCAGACATGGCACGGGTTATGGTCTTTCCTCTCCTCTCGGCCAGACTGCGACACATCCAGGGACTTCGTCTTTTCATCCTTCACTGTTTCCTTTCCGTGAGTAGTTAGCTTGCGTAAAGGACTTACTGGCGTAGGAGTCGGGCAGACAAGATACAACGGTAATGGAAACAAGGCGCAGACGTGATAATAGCAGATGTTGCAGCGTTAATTGTCGACTTGAACAGTTGAAACCTGCGCTGCCAGACCGCGTTCGTGTTTGTCTACTCCGCCGTATCACAAATCGCGCTTCGGAATCCGGTGAAACATTTCATCCGGTCTTGGTATCGGCCTCTTGAGTTGGAGATCGTCATTCACTCCCGTCGTGCAATTCACTCACTCACCCATTCATTTCCCCTTCACAATCACTTCACTACGTTACGAATACCATCTGCCCTCGATTCGGTCCATCCAGGTCAGCGACAGCCTCGACCATTCATCACCTGGTAGCAGCCTCAAACACAGACACTCTTGGACGCCTCAACACACTCCCAACGACTCGCTAACACCTTGAATATCATCAACTCGGCGCAATCCCCCGTCACCGAGTTCCTTCTCTGCCTTGCGCATTCTGAAGCCACATCCTCGACAAGAGAACGGGAATATTTCTGGGACTAGATGACGAGAAGAAGCCATCCATTTTGGCCTCGGCCTTCCCGGTAACATAACTGATCTCGACTGTCGCATCTTGACTCTCAGTTGACGCGTCCCATCGCTCCACGGCAGCGCGGTCGCGGTCGCATTGTGAGACTTATGTGACGGCTGGTTGAACGCACCACTTCTGTGGGATCCCTGGGTAGCCTCATTCATATAAGAGTCTCAGCGGCTTCTACGATCGCGGCGCAATGTCTACGCCTACGCCAACGCCAACGCCTCGTCCTCGAAAGACGCTCGAGCGACTACCGGACGGCAGACCTCGATTCCAAGGCTGCTCGAGAATTACCGAATATGACTATCTGGGAAAGCTGGGCGAAGGCACATTCGGCGAAGTCTCTAAGGCGCGCTCAAAAAAGACAGGACAAGTCGTGGCGTTGAAAAAGATCTTGATGCACAATGAAAAGGATGGATTCCCCATAACAGCCCTTCGGGAGATCAAGCTACTAAAACAACTCGACCATGTCAACATACTGAAACTGGAAGAGATGGCCATCGAGCGACCGAAGAGCGCCAGCAAGAAACCCAGCATGTTCATGGTCACGCCGTACATGGACCACGATTTGTCGGGTCTGCTGGAAAATCCCAGCGTCAATTTCACCGAGCCACAGATCAAGTGCTACATGAAACAACTCCTCGAAGGCTGCGCGTACCTTCACGCCAACAAAATCCTACATCGAGACATGAAAGCCGCCAATCTGTTGATTAACAACCGAGGCATTCTTCAGATTGCAGATTTCGGTCTCGCGCGACCCTACGACGACGATCCGCCTAGACCTGGACAAGGAGGAGGCGAGTCCACCAGAGAATACACGACTCTGGTGGTGACACGATGGTACCGGCCACCGGAACTGTTACTACAACTGCGCAAATATACCACTGCTATCGACATGTGGGGAGTTGGATGCGTCTTTGGCGAAATGTTCAAGAAGAGGCCGATCCTGACGGGAAACAGTGACTTGAATCAAGCACAAATCATCTTTGACCTGGTGGGCTCTCCTACAGACGAGACGATGCCTGGTTGGCGAGACCTTCCAGGGTGCGACAGCGTTACAGACTGGGGTAACAAGCCCTCGAGACTGGCCACCGTGTTCCGCGAACTCAGTCCACAAGCGCTTTCACTCTTGAGCGAGCTACTCAAACTCGACTGGCGGAGACGGATCAATGCCATGGATGCACTTCAGCACCCATACTTCCATAGCGAACCGTTTCCCGCACGACCAGAAGATCTTCCTTCATTCGAGGACTCTCACGAACTGGACAGAAAGAAATTCAGAGACCAGAAATCGAAACCGCCGCCTGCTCCGGCCGGTGGGTCCGTGGGCATAGCGACTCAAGGAGAATACGCCATCAATGGTCGACCGATTCCTCCATTCGAAGGAAGAAGCGGTGTTGGCGGAGGTTCTGGTCATAGACTGCCTGGTGGAGGGCGATATGCAAATGGACACAACAACAACCAGAGCTACGGCCGGCGTCCATTGCATGGCCAGAACGGCGCTTACGGCGGCGGAGCAGACTACCGGGGCCCAAAAGCCCATCCACCCCTGCACCGAGATATGCCGCCATACGAACAGAATCATCGTCCGCCGTACGATCAAACCCGAGCACCTATTCCACCACAAGTCTACGACGAAAGTTACTCGCGCCGACCTCCAGGAGGAGAACTGTCTTCATTGCCCCGTCCGACCGGAGACCATGCGCTACCACCGCGCCCTCCCATCCCCGAAGTCGACCCTTACCGCTATGGACCCCCTGATGCGATCCCGCCTCCTTACCGAGACGATGGCCGCGGTCCACCTCCACCTCCCCCTCCGCCACACCCGAGAACCAGAATTCCCGCCGGTCACGCCGGTGTGGACCATCGACGACCACCTCATGATCGAGACACGTATATTCCGCCATATTCACACGCAGATCCTACTGTGCGGAGCACCGCCACCAAGAATCGCAGAAGGGACGATCGTCCCATGTATAGAGACGGCGGTCCGCCTTCCGATTATGCTGATCACCTGTCATACGATGATGCGGCTGGGCCAGACCGGGACCGAGATCGAGATCGAGATCGCGAGCGAGGACGGTCACGCGAGATAGACAGTCTACTCCCTCCGCCTCCGCCCGCTCACCTGCACCCACATCTGCATACGCATCATCATTCCCAGAGTGGACCGTACGACCGAGATAGGGATCGAGACAGACGACCTCGAAGTCGAAGTCGAAGTCCGGTCCGAGATTGGGAAAGAGATAGCTATGCCGGTCATAGAGACCGAGATCGAGACCGAGACGTGATGCACCGTGACCGAGAGAGGCCTAGAGATTGGGACCGGGAGAGAGACCATCGAGATCATCTTCACAATCACAGTCATGCGCATAGAGACCGGGACAGGGACAGGGGATATGCCATGCCAGAACCTTACCGTCGGTGAGAGTCTGGCTTGATTCTAGCTGTGTGCCTGTATCTCGTCGATATGGGTAGGGCAGCAGACTGTCACCATGCGACGACTTGCTCCATCATTTCCGATATGTGAATCGTTGATCTGGCGGGAGAAATATTGGCGCTACCACTTTAGCAAGACGTTTAGATCTTGCCAGCTTGGAGGTTCAGAATCAGGTTCAGAATCAGGTTCAGGTTCAGAATCAGGATCGTCTCATTTACTCCTTCCTCAAAATGATACCCAATACAGGAGAAAAAGGACAGGATGATGAGCCTTACTGGCATTGGCATTGGCACTTGGCGCTTGGCCTGGGCATGCCATGCATGGGCTTGGTATGGATGGCGGAGGTGAAAGTTGTCCATCAATCTCGGTGTTGGTGGTGTTATTGATGGGCGGTGGTGTCTTTGCAGATATCTACGCATCTGGCATTGCATAGCGGCGACGGCGACGGCAAACGGCGCAGAACCATGTTTTTTTCTCACTCGAAGGGCAGCTTACATTACATATGAGGCCGAGCACGGGCAAATGGCAAAGAGATGAATGAGGCGGATGATCAATCCTACGATATAACAGTTTAGTAGCTATGGTCCCGGAAGGACCTACGTGGCAGCTATTCAGTCAATCAATGAAATGAGATGAAACAACTGGCTTCGAACACATGAAATGAGAAACGAGGCATGGGAAAGCAATTGAGCTTCCAGTTATTGTGATATTAGATCTCGCCTCCAAGCCCTTTCCATCGGATTGCGACTGGGATCGGAATTCAACAATATAGAACCAGTGTACTAAGCAATGTTTGTCTTCGACGATATCGTTTCCTGATCGATCCTGCATAGGTCATACCTTGCCTTGCCCTGCCCTCCTCGCCTCGTCTTCCCTGTCCTCTTTCCAAGCCTCGAGTGTGTCAGTAGTCTTAACGGCGAAAGGTCAGGTCACCAAGCGCTGTAGAAAACGAGACAGAATGAGAAAGCGAATGAGATTGCACAGGAGCGAGCAGCGATCATGTAAAGCCGGCGAACATATCGTCGATGGCGTTCTTCTTCGCCTTCTTCTTGGTCATGGTCGGCTTGTTTTTCTTTGCGTCCTTCTCTTCCTTCAATGGTCTGGGACCGCTTGTACTGTTCTCCTTCTTCACGTCCATGTCCACGTCCACGTTCAGTGTCTCCCGTATCTTCAGGCTCCGAGACATCTGGTTCCGCCCCTTCTTAACCGAATCGCCCCCGATGGATTTCTTTTGGGATCTGGGTTGAGGAAGAGGGTTAGTTGGGGGAGAAGAAGGAGGAGGTTGTCTTTCCGTAGCGAGGACCTTCTCCTGTGGAGTTGGCTCTTTCCTGCGTTTGAATGTCGCTGCAGGTTTGGACCCATTGTCACTCTCGTCCCCCGAATTCAGGATGGGTTTACGGGCACTCTTCATTCGCGTATCTTGCTTGCCACCCTTCTCTACACTCATAAAATCACCCGTGCGGGAAGCAAGTTCAACTTCATCCATAGCAACGTCTTCTTCGCGAACGGTAGTACCCAATTGCTCGTCTCTCGAAGGCTCACGCTTCGTCCTCTCAACAACTTCCCCCAAATCGTCGCTGTCGTACATTCTCTCGACGACCTCGCCGCTCTGCGATCCTGTAACTCTGAGACTCGTGGCTGCTAGACTTCTAGCAATCCCTCGGTCATTACTCAGAATCTTATTCTGGTTCGTGGTCCCAGCTTGGTGCCGGTCATCATCCTCCACACGCTTGGGCGCACCAGCCACGCTCATGACATCGGCGAGAATCCCCACAAGCACGACTCCCAGAGCCGCGAACTGGGTGTCGCCCACTAAGCCAGTAAACCCGATATAGGCGCGCGGGATAAGGACTTCGCGGATCCAGTCGAACCATACATCCCTCTCGCGACGGATTTGGGTTTCTTGCTCGAACCGTTTCCGCACTTCTTTGGCGTCAATGGCGTTGACGTTGGTATTGCTCTGTAGTTGCAGGGAGCGTTCTGCTTCATCCATGGCTACAATGCGGGTGATGGCTTTCCGCAGCATTCCCAAAGATTTCCACCATGGCTGGGCACGGTGTTGGTTCTTGTTGCGCGCCCAGATCTGGTCGAGGAGGGACTTCGTGCTGGATAATTTGGCGCTGGAGTCAGGGGTTGCTGATGGTGGTGTTGCGAATGAACTGGTTGAGTTTGAGGGTATCTTCTTCGCAGATGAGGAGGAGGGTATCGGGTCTGCGAATCTGTTCTTGGGCAAAGGTTTTCCGTTGTAGTCTAGAGGTCGAATCTGACGTGGTGGCCGGGGTTTGATCGTCCGGCGCCAACCTGCAGGTGGCTTTGATCTGCTCTTGGTTCGTATTGGTCCTTTTGCCTGAGGTTCCGTTCCAAGTGGAGGCTGGGTTCGCGGGTGGTTCAATTTCCGCCGCTTCGAAGGATGCTCTCCTGTAGCATGGATTCTGCTGTGGCTTTGGTCCGAACTCATGGCTGAACAGCCTGGTGCTTAACAGACGCTCTTCTATCGGAGCCTCAGGTTCTTTCTTTGTCCAGGATTACAGCCCTCGTGTCCGCATACCCTGGCTCTGAGGGTGCATCTGAATGTCCGTGAAGCATATGGCCGGCTTGGTTCCCTGTAGGAGAAAGATTCCTTGAGGAGGGTAAGACCAAACCAACACCGCAACACCTGTAGCAGAGAATGGCGCAACCGCAACCGTCTCTGGATGATCGATACACCAGAGCTGCAGTCGCCGCGATTCTGGGATGGCATCAAAAAGATGAATTCGTCGTTTGACGAGGTTGAAGGCGACACGATGCCAAGCGCCAGCCTTGTCGCTACTTTGAGGGATTCTCATTGGTCAGCCTCGCCCACTCGTCTTTCCACAACCACCTCAGTATCATTCTATCATTCCAACAATCTCATCACCTCCCCATCTTGACCACGCTCCTGTGGTTATCCTCAATCAACGTATTAGATCCTCTGTCCATGGTAAGATACTATCTAAGCCGCGATGGAACCACAAACTCTTCGCTTCGGCCCTCACGATCTCCAAGAACTACTAGTATGGCTTCCGCAACCTGAAGAACAAACTACACACCGGCAAATGCGCTCCCTGTTCTGGATCATGTAAGTCAATCTCGGGCTCCTCGTACGTAATCAACACTATGCTGCAACACAATCACCATTTCGCCCGGATTCCCACTTTTCTCTCCTAGGTCACAAGGGGATTTTGTCACCCAGTCAAGATCGGCCTGGCTGTTGGGCGCGAAGAAGACTTCAATATACCCAGGCCACTTGCAGCAGCTCACAGCTGTCTACAAAGTATTCTATATCTATGAACGGCGTATTGACCTGACTAACTCCCTCCTTTCGTCCTAACAGTATGATCCACGGCGGCGCCTGGCGTGATCCAACAATCACACATCTCAACTTTGCCTCGCCGGCAGTCTCCATCCTTCTCTCTGGTATAACCACATCAGCACCAGCATCAACATCCACATCCACATCACCCCCATCAAGGCTGTCAGCCTCATCTTCACATTCACCGTCGCGATTATCGTCATTATCATCATTCCTAAGGGACCATCACTACCAATTAGCCATAGCATCAATATCATACCGCCTATCACCTCATCCATCACACCCGCAGAACCCTGAGACCACTCCACAAACCTCGCTCCGCAATGCGTACCACCCAGACCATCTAGATGACGTATACTCCGGCCTCGCCATGTTGAATGATACATACGGACTCACAGAACGCAATCACATCATGGTCGGCCACTCCTGTGGCGCGACTCTTGCATTCCAAGCTTTGCAACGCTCCTGTACTCATAATTCCGACAGACCTCTCCCACCGCCAAGAGCACTGGTCGGCTTAGCAGGCATATACGATCTCCGTCTCTTATATGAGTCCCACAAAGACGGCCCCTACGGGGATATCTACGCTTCCTTCATCGAAGGTGCTTTCGGGAAGAACATGGACGATTGGGACCGCGCGTCGCCTGCATATTTCGCAGAACGAAATTCGGAAATGTTCTCTAGTACTTCTATCTTGCTGGTCACGGCCGAAGGGGATGAATTGGTCGAACCGGCGCAAAGGGATGTGATGAGACGAGCGATACTCGGATCAAAATCATCATCATCATCGGAGACAGTGCCTGTCCAGGACAAAGAGCCTGAGATCGAGACTGGAGGAGGATCGGCGATGATGACAGAGAATCAAGGCGGTAGTAGGTATGCCGAGATGAGTGTGAAAGGTGGACATGATGACATGTGGCTTGTTGGCGAGCGGATGGTGGCTGCTATTGAGAAGGCGATTCAAGTCATGTTGATGCCGAAAGCAACACCGCCAGAGGCAGCAGTAGCAGCAGTCTCATGAACGAGCATGGTCCTCTTAGTCGCATAGCACGCTCTGTTTCTCTCTTTACCTTTTTCTCTTTACCTTTTTCTCTTTACCTTTCTCTCTTCTCATCTTTCTCGCCTGATTTCTCTTCCCGATGCCCCTTTCCGGCTCTCGATGACTCCGCCCTTCCGTAGTCCGGCTCTGTTTGTCGTTGTCAAGTCAAGCCACACCGTCTGGAAACCTTGGAGTGATTGAACGGTGTCTTGTGGTCTAGCCAGAGTCATAGAGCCCTACACAGAGCATAGTGTTAGCACACAAACCGTGCAAGGTTTGTGGGTAGTGCACACCTATAGGCTACCATTGACCGTCTCCTTGTCCTGATCGAGCCTCTGCATTTGCCAGCACTCGGCTGAATTCGTCTTACTCATGCCTGTTGTCTGTCAAGCAGGGAGACCTATCCCCATCCTAGTCTGGCGGCTCTGGGCTTTTGACCTGGACACCATATGTGGCGTCAGCTGAGGCTTACTCCAGGGCCCCTCTGGTAGGCAATGGGTCTCTTTTCTCCGTTCAATCACCTAGACATACTTCGAAGTTGCTCAGCCTCGAAACTGTCTGCGACAATATCAGTCGGCACGTCGATGTAGTTTCCTGCTGTTAGTAAGTCTTTCCTGATATACCACCAAACCCTTTCCGTAGACAGAGAGACAAGCACGAGAAGAACGTACCTCAGACATAGGATGTTGCACCCCTCGGCTTGATCTCCTGTATATGCATTTAGTTTCTCTGCTGCCTTCTGGAGCGAAACGTGTGGCGTATCTAACGACGTGTGAGCATGGCAGTTGTTGGAATCTCTTTCGTAGGAGCCCAACTATTCCCGGCAGCAATGGTGACTCCGTGATCCTGGGTCAGTATAGTGCAGAGTGTGAGGAAATGAATGACCATCAAGACCCAGGTAGGTCGAACGTAGCATCACACCACGCACAAGCAAGCATAAACAACAACAAGGGACAGGTTTTTGACTCAATCGAGTACAATTTGCTAATCTGATAACTAAACTAACGGATCACCCTTGTGATCGAACATGCTGGTGGTCGTACTACTTGCCGGAGTAACAGGTAGTTTTGCCGAAGACATGATATCCCATCAAGGTTAAAGCTCAATCTGCGCATTTGACATGCCGAGTGCTCTGATGTTCCCGTTTGACTGGGTACATTGATCCGTTTGAAAACACAAGTAAAGACATCAAGCTCACATTGTCGAGAACCGAAAAAACTTTTGTGGTATTAGGGCAGGTTGTGTGGTGACACATGGGGGAAGATGATGACTGCTGTCAAGCCATGTTGGTGAAGGGTGATGCGGTGCTCTGCTGATGCCACATGGCAGTTGTCCAGGATTGAAATTCAATGATCTGAAAAGACCAAAGGACTCAATGACTAGTCGTTGAAGAAATCATCCAAGCCCACGGGCAAGAAATGACTCTCCAGATCTCCGTGTGGACAACCACCAACCACCAGAAACAACAAAGTGTGACCTGAATTCTCGGAAGACGTCCAGCGTCACAATGATGCTGAGCTAGTAGTGTGGGAGTAGGAAGCCGTTGCTGGCATCAATGGAGTCGAGTGCCGGATCGTGGAGGCGGTAACGCTGCACCATGCCCATCTCGTTCTCGGCACCTGGAGTACCACGATCGAATTGAGAACGACGGCGACGTTGTTCTTCGCGGTAGGCTTGACCTTGCCTAGGAGCGAAGAGTCCTGAAAGGGAAATCAAGGTTAGCATGATTGTCTGCGGACGGTAAGGTAAGAGATGATTGTGCTCACGAGAATCGGGCAGGGCCGCCGGCAAAAGGATCATAGGGACTGTTGACATTGACAGTGCGGGGAGAACCACGAGTCTGGTTGACTTCCTCCTGTGCAGTCTCTATGAATTTCTGAGGGCTGGATGCATTTGCACGGGCAGGTGGAAGATAGTGGCCTGCACGACGACCATTTGCAAGCTTGATCTGGCCAGCGCGTCTCACACGATGCTCCACAGGGCAGGGAAAGCGTCGGGTGGGAGATGTATGGATAAACAGACCGACATGTTCCGCATTCTCCACAGAGCGGCGCATCTTGGAAGCATTGTCAGGTCCAGGGAAGCGTTCTTCTTGGCCAGCATTGGGAACGTTGCCAGCGACGAAGAGCTATGGAATGATTAGCATGGATTCAAGGCGTCAGTCAAGACGAATCTCACCTTTGGGCGAAAGCCAGGATGCTCAAGCATGACGGAAGAGTTGCGGAACTTCTGGACGAGACAGTCGCGGCCTTGGATGGCTGCAGGACATCGTTAGCTGAGGGAAGTGATGGGGAGGGTGAGATCACTTACTGGCATAGGAGACTTCGGCGACCTTGTCAGATGCGAAGCAGTTCCAGCGCTTGCCGGCACGGGCGAGAACGAACTATAAAACAGGTGAGCAAGGGGTAACATGGGTTTGGAACTCATGAGCACCAACCGGAATGATGGATTGAGCCTGGGAGAAGTTAGTCATGTGAACGGGATTGGCATGGAAATGCTGAACTTACGTCAACAAAGTTGATGAAGGCATATCCCACGTTGCAGTTGTTGGCAAAGTCTGTACGTGTGGATCAGTATCGAGTGGTTTGTCTAGGTCATGGAGCGAGACTTACCAATGCGGAGGTACATGAAGTCGTAGCGACCATGGCTGGTGACGTCGAGAAGTCTCTTCAACATGGACTGATCGACACGATTGGGGATGTTGCGCAGCATGATCTGGATTTGTTCAGTCAGCGAGGTCAGGTGAGGGCAAGTAGAAACACTTGCAGTAGTGCGAACATCAATGCCTGCTTGGATGCGAGCGATGTCGACAGCGTTGTGATTGATGCTGGGGCTAAGACGACGGCCAGTGCGAAGTGCTTCACGCTGAATGGCAGTGGCGAGACGATCGTAGTCAGGATCGATCGGAACAGTGGAACGACCGGTGATCGAAAGCTGCTCACGAGGGCTACGAGGCGAGCCATGAGCAGAGACGACAGCACGAATGTCTGGCTTGTAAGGTTCGAAGTCCAAGACAGTACCCTGTGATGCACGTCAGTATTGGGGACCACATAGGAGAACAGGAGAGTAACTTGCATGAACCATATTGCCGTTGATCACCTCTTTGGCAATCTCAACAGACCCGGCGTTGAAGAACTCGACACGGAACTCTCGAAGGTGACGCTGAGTGGGTGCCATGGAATGGAAGGCCTTGATGTCACCACACTGGGAGAGCAGACGCTTGACCTCACCAATGACAGGGACCACATTGGTCTGGGGCATGCCAGGATGACCATTGTGGTAGACAGTGACGATGGCTTGACCTTCAAAGTCAGAGACCTGGTGAGGATCCTTGCCCTCATCGGTTGCAAGTCCCTTCGGAGACAATGGGAAGACGCGAGCCAAGGGAAGAATGGAATTGATAACGTCAAATGCCTTCTTAGCATCACGGACATCCGCGAAGGAGACAGTGAAGAGACCGTTGGAGATGATCTGAGAAGCATTGATGGATCTCAATGAAGGGAACGAGGAAGTCTGCAAAGTCAGTGATGATTTAGGACTGAATGGAGTCACGGGGAACGTACCTTGAATGCCACAGCGATGTCAGTGGAACGGAAGTTGGCTGGAATGCCGGCGACGACCCAGGCACGGGTGACGTTCTCATCGGTGCTGAAGGTTCCATGGTGGAAGCGCACGTCGGACAATGAGGTGCCAATGAACTCGTTGAATCCCAAGTCAGAAACATCGATCTTACAAATGGACTTGCGGATACGCTTGAATTCGACTCCGACACGAGGACCTCCGATGACTCCTGGGACAACGGGCTGAGCCTGCTCGGGGGTTAGAGCCTTGGCCTCGCGTTCCGGGGTACTGCCTCTCAGCAGGGAGCTTACGCCGCCAGCTTGGACAACAGGTGCAGGAGTGACAGGCTTGCCACGAACCGGGGAGTTGGTGAAGTGAGTCTTGGTGCGAGCAGCGGCAACAACTCGAACAGGGAACTCAAAGCTCTTGTTCAGGGGAGTGCGAGCATTGGGACGAAAGACTTGTGCAGTTGGCGAGAGCTGGCGACGATTGCGGGAAGTCGGAGCGTTCAAGAAGACGTCATCACCAGCACTGTCACCAGTTAGTATGGATGTCTGAGAGATAGAGGAGTAGGAGGGATGGAGGAAGGAGTGAAGAGCAGATGGGGTGAAGGCAAGATGTCATGAAGGAAGAGTACGATATGTATGAGTGGGAGTGGGAGTGGGAGTGGGAGTGGGAGTATGGGAGGGAGTGTGGATGGAAAGCACGTGTCATGGGAAACGCGTCGAGTCACGCGTCAGAGTCAGCTGACTTACTTGTTGTTGGCCTTCGACGCACCAATCTTGGCAGCCGGACGAGGAAGGATGGCGGTCACACGAGCCTTGCCCTTGGTGCCAGAAGCAGCCTCAGGAGTGAAGGTGGTGGGATTGGTAGAAGGAGTGCCATGAGAAGAAGTTTCATTCTCGGAATGAGGGCTGGAAGCCATGCCGGCGCCACGAGGGGGCGACATGATGGTGACTGTAGAGAGTGTGTCAGCTAGCTGGCTCAATGATGCTGTGAGGATGATTGTGGGTGGGAGGGATTGTAGGCGATGCTACAGTATCTTCAGGGCAGGATAGGGCAAGGGAAAGGATGGATGGAGGGTGATTGAGATGATTGAGGCCTGGTACTCTCGCCTCGTGTGGAAAAAATCCCACAGAGATTTCGAGTGACCACAGTCTGCAACCACCAACCGGGGGGGAAATGGGACTCACTTGAGAGATTGAGGTGCTGCAATGCAGTGGAAGGAGTGTGGCAAGGTGAACTTGCAAGGAATGAGATGCTTTGAGAAGCAATAGAGAGAGAGAAGGTGGTGTGGTAGTGATTGTGTGAGGATGAGTGAAAGGAAGAGGGAGAGAATGAGAGAGAGGATTGTTTAGAAAGTTGGGTTGGAAGGGCAGGCGAAGAAGGATTTGTAGGCCCAAGAAGGAGCCTGTGTCGCTGCGGCCCAAGAAGGAATGGACTGCATCGGCACCCACGACAATCTCCATTGGGCGTGTCGACACGGCGACGAGGTCATCCAGCGGAAGGTGGGAGAAGGTGCAGCAGGTTCCGTGACGACCTCATCGTCGGTCAGTCCTGTCAAGATGTGCGGGCGACGACGAGGTTGTGCAGCATCCCACCCAATTAGTATAGGAGACAGCATATCATGCTTGGAATGACACAGTCGACGACGATGCTATCAACTCCCATGACGGTCCCAACGGACTCCCAACGATTTCTCACCACAGCAATTCATGTGCCCACGACATCATAGCAAGAGAGGGAAGGAGACGACATCACCAGCAGTAGCAGCAGCAGCACAACAGCAGCATCAATGTCCAGCATCAACGGGCAGCCGACAGCCGACAGCAGACAGCAGACAGCAGCACTCGAATAGTACTATGCCACATGGTGGACAGTAGTATCAAAGCCCCCAAAGAGCCTTGATATCAGCAGCTTGTCTGAAGAAGCAGCTGGAGCACGAATTCAGTGCCAGCAGACTGAGCAATCCATCCATCTTCCAGCTTCCAGCTTCCAACCTTTATCCAGTTCCCATTGTCCATCATTTCCATCATTTCCATGGTCAGCAATTCACCATATTTGTTGGCATGTGTGCAGTGGTCAGTGTTATCAATCTCTCTTGTTGCCCACCTCTGACTTGTCCCAGCACTTCGAAAGAACTCCCCAGTCCTGAGAAATTGACTGTCACCAGCTGGCATCCCCCATGATCTGTCACAGAATGGAGCGTTGATTGTTTCATTAGTATCATATATTTACCTTGGTCTCTACCTTCTCTTCTCTTGTCGGAGCCTCTCTCTTCACAGCTTGAAACTGACTTGAGTTCTTCACAGAGTTACCCTCCGGTCCGAACAGTCTAGTGACAGCTCCGATGTCAAGCTGAGGTCACTGTCAATACATACGTCTTGACAGTGACTACAGCCGCCCATTAGCCCTCAGACCTTGTCCAAGAGAAGGGTCCTGGTGAAGACAGACAGGCAGACAGAGTGAAAGGGAGGAAAGAGAGGGAAGAGACGAAGGAAACAAAGGAAAGAGCGAAGAAGATGAAGTCGAGTCTGTGGGGATGAATGATCGACAGATCGACAGCTACTACTGCAACTAGCACAGCTTGGCTACCAGCTTTACTTGATATGGTTAGCGTGTTCTCTCGATGTCAAACAGCGGGATTTGTGATGGACTGGTCACGTGGAGGCATGGCTTCCGTTCATCAGACTGGCAAGGGAGAGAAGAGGGAATTATGTCGAACATAGAAGCAGTCTGATTAGAAACAATTCCACAGAGAAACTACAACAGAAGCATCGCAATTCACGGAGAGCCTTCAAGTACATATCAGCATATTCATTGTGTGATACTCAAGCCCCTACAGCTTAGTGAACGAGAGACGCGTCTCCCGAGGCCAGCTTACCTCGAGAGTCATCGAATCGATGAGGCGAGGCTCACGGGAAACAACCCGGCTGTCTTCACTCCCACCCTTGAAACACCATGCCTTCAATGGCTCCGTACAGAAATGACACCAACAGTGTTCTGCAGCAGGTAGGGACAGCGCCTGGACCATTCCTAAGGTAGAAACATCTACCTCTCTACTAAAGCTAATCGGGCCCTCAGATCGTCACGTCGTCGTCCGACGCGGACACGTTGGATCAACTAATCCCGTACATCAAAGACTACAGCTACGGCAACAAGACGTCGCATCTCCTGAGCCAACTATCGGACCTGGCGGCGGAGCGCGAAGCCGAGATCGAACGACAATGCAACACCAACCACCAAGAATTTGTGAAGTCGGTCAACCAGCTGCTACGGATCCGCGAGGGCACGGTGACGCTGACCAACGAGATCCTGGAGCTGAACCAGTCGATCCAAGCCAGCACCGAGCAGCTGGTGGAGCAGAAGAAAGCGCTCGTCGAGTCGCGCGGGGTGAGGCAGAACATCGACGACGCCAGCCATGCGTTGCAGGACTGTCTGGAGGTGCTCCGGCTCGCCAACCAGGTGCAAGAACTGCGCGACCAGAAGAAGCACTACGCGGCGCTGCGGGCGCTGGACGAACTGCAGAGCGTGCACCTGCAGAGCGTGACGCAGTACCAGTTGAGCGAACTGATCCAGAAATCCGTGCCGGCCACGCAAAAGGCCATCGCCGAGGCCGTCATGGCCGACCTGAACACGTGGCTGTTCCGCGTGCGCGAGATGTCGCAGTACCTGGGCGAGCTGTCGTTCTACCACACGGAGCTGCGCAAGCAGCGGCTCAAGGAGCGGGCCGAGAAGGATCCGTACCTGGCCAACTTCAAGCTCAACTCGGCCATCGAGCTGGTGGGCGACGAGCATGAAGAGTTCGACCTGCTCAAGAGCGAGGATCTCGAAGTCGACTTCTCGCCGCTGTTCGAGGCCCTGCACATCCACCGCTCGCTGGGCCAGATGGACAAGTTCAAGGCCGACTACACCACCAGCCGCCGCGCACAGCGCGACCTGCTCCTGCAGAACTCGATCTCGCTGGTCGACGAAGAGCTGGGCGACCTCCACACACTGCTGGAAGACATTGCGGGCTTCGCCATCATGGAGCGCGCGACCATGAAAAAAGTGCCCGACCTGCGGTCCACGACCGACGTCGAAGAACTGTGGGACTCGTTGTGCCAGACGGCCATCTCGCTCATGTCCAAGGCGCTGCTGGCGGTGGACAATGCCGAACACCTGCTGAAGATCAAGAACCTGATTTCGGTTTTCATCCAGACCATGAACACCTTCCACTTCAACACGGCGGCCATGTCGAACTTCGTGCTGGTGCTGTTCGACAAGTACGCCGAGCTGCTCAAGCAGCGGTTCAGCGAGGATTTCATCGAGATCGTCGGCACCGACGACTACATGCCCATGCCGATCCAGAACGCCGAGGAGTTTGAAAAGGTCGTCAACGTCTCATGGTACACGCCGGACCGCCCCGTGCACGAAATGACCTTCCCCACCGTCTTCCCCTTCTCGCAGATGTATCCGCTGTGCTGCATCGACATCCGCAACTTCGTCAACCAGTTCTACTTCTTCGCCGCCCAGGACGACAACAGCCCCAGCCCCCTGTCCGGCAAGATCGACGCCGAGCTGCTCACCTCGCTCGACGACCTCTTGACCACCAAAGTGTGCGCCAGCCTGGTCTCGAAGCTGTCGTCGCAGTATCTGGGCCAGATCGTGCAGATCCTGATCAACCTCTCGCACTTCACCACGGCCTGCCACGAGCTGGAGACCCTCCTTGCCACGGCGCGGTCGTCGTCGTCGCCATCGACCGACCCGGGCCCGGCCATCTCGTTGCGCGCCACCTCGCAGTTCTCGTTGCACCAGAAGACGGCCGAGAACCGCATCTTCGAGCTGGTCAACAGCAAGGTCACCGACCTGATCGAGACGGCCGAGTACGACTGGCTGAGCCGCGACCTGCCGGTCGAGCCGTCCAACTACATCCTGACGGTGACGCGGTATCTGTCCAACATCATCAACTCGGTGCTGCTGTCGCTGCCGTCGTCGCTGAAGGACCTGATGCTGTTCAACGCCGTCTCGCACACCGCCAGCTCCATCCTGGCCCTGCCGCTGTCGCCCAGCGTCGACCGCATCACCACCACCGCCATCGCCCAGCTGTCCATGGACATTGACCATTTCCGCAGCTACGTCGAGACCCTCCCCAACAATTCCATCCTGCTCGAGTCGCTGGATGAGCTGGTCCAGACCGTCGCCCTGATGGCCACCGACCAGCCCGACGAGTTTTATGATATCTCGCTGCGCAACAAGAAATACCGCAACGTCGACCCGCTCAAGGGGCCCCAGCTGCTCGAGAAGGTCGTCCATGTCAACGTCCATGTCCAGTCTCCCGTGTCCGGTAGTGGCCACGGCCACGATCGCGGCGGAAGCATGAATGGTGGTGGGGGAATGCAGAGTCCGAGTCTCAGTCATCATGGTAGCACCGGTGGGAGGACACCCAACACTTTTGCCGCGTTGCAGAATCGCTTTATGCATGGAGGAAGATGACCCTAGGCCTGCCATGCTTCCAGACCTGTCCTTGACAGTGTGCTGAGGAGGATGCGTAGGTATATGCGCAATGCGCAATGGAAGGCGGACTGTTTGGCCTTCAGATCATCGGTACAATTCCTCTGAGTGTTTGCTTCATCTGAGCGGGAGTCAAGCAATGCCTGGTTACCGGTCTGGGTTGGTCTACTAGTATTTTGAGAGTCGTGTAAATGTCCATCCCCCCGAGCAGCTATAAAAATCCTTTGCAAGATTGGGAAAGCCTTCCGCCAGCTCTATTAATTCGGAACTCCTTGTCATTTAACAGCATTGCATGACCTGGCCGTTGTCCTGTTATCCACGGTCAAGCAGTCAATAAGGGAAAAGGCCTTCACTAGCATGGATCAATATTATTGTTTTGCTGGATTTACAAGACCAAAGTACTCGAGTGCAAACGTCCCGCCTTCCTCATCGACCCATGGTATCAAATCATCAATCTTCAAAGCTTGTGCTCTTACAATATCCCACCCTGCTTCCGCTAAACTCCAGTAGGATGAAGGCCATCCAAACCCTCTTCGGCACTGCCTTTCACTACTCCTAGCCAGGCCCGTAGCCTTGCTCGTTGACTGGTTCGTTCCTGCCTGCGGTGCCAGGTCTTGGGCCGCCATACCCTTGGCTTGTTGGCCTCTGGCCGGCCAGGTTGGGATACATCTGTAGGCCGAGAAAGCAACAGTCAGCGAATCTTCTTCAAGTCATCCTCATGTCCAGCGTATACAGCGACACTCTTACCACACTGAAACATCAAGCAAGCAAGATCCTTCGCTGGGGGGAGGTGGGAAGGCGCTCGCTCATTGTGGATGTCCACCTACCTGTTGCGCACCGCCGCCACCAAATTGTCCCTGAGCATAAGGATTGTACATGTCGCCACCACCAAACATTTGCGGGGGCTGACCGTATCCTTGATTTGGATCTTGCTGACCATCGCCGCCCAAATGTCCCGGATACATCTGAGCTCGTCCGTACTGGGGGTCGGGTGGACCCATTGCGCCATGCTGTGCTAAGCCATAGTCGGGCGGTGGCATTTGCTGTTGTGGAGGCGGTTGCTGTTGTTGCGGGACTTGATTTGCAGCAGCTTGTCCGCTGGTATTCGGCCGCTTGGAGGTGCTGCCGGTTCCTTCTTCTCGAGGTACTATATCGATGAGAAAGTCGAACATATCGCTCTTGGCTAGCGCAGCGGCAATATCACTTCGCTGTAACGTCCTTCTCTTGTTGTCCTCGGCATGGATCCAGGCGCGCATCGTCAGTTCCGTGATAAAGATATCACATCCCTTCGCGAAGAGAATAGGTGCTTCGGCGGAGATCATCTTGACTTCGGGATCGGCCTTCATGACCTTCTTGATTCGAGCGAGAGGGAGTTGGTGGATCTTGAAATCATGGGTATCTGTTTCGAGATGGTTGATTGTCTGTTGCCAGTATGTCGCCAGGATCTCGCGAGACGGTCCGGTGAGGCCTTGGTTGATCTATTGATAATGAAGTTAGCTCACTCCGCGCCGATGGTCGGATCGTGTCAATGCTCACATTTGACCATAGCCCGGAATATAACTCGGTGTGAGGAACGTATCCTTGGGCTGACAGCTGTACTTGTGTCAGTCATATGCCCGAGAAATAGAATGATGTGCAATATGAGGTTTGGGAGCCATCTCTCCCCTGCTCATTGTCCTTGATCTAAGACGACCTGCTGAACGGCATCGACGAAGGGAAGAACGCGCACTTACAGCAGCGCTAGCTCCATAGTGTCCTCCTTGACCTGCACAATAGAGTTAGCGATGTTTAGACAGATGGGAATGTCGAGACACTGACTTATATCATATATGGGCGGCGCATTCTGTTGCTGCTGTTGCTGCTGCTTCTGATCCATGATTCTTGTGGAAGCCGAAAGGACCGGTCAAGAGAATTGTCCGAGCAAACTAGGCAATTGACTGAATCCGGACAGGACGTGCAGATGGTACTGAAGGCGCTGATATGCCCCGAGATGAGCAAGCGACGAGCACTTCGCGTTTCAGACGGCGGTGAAGAGGCTGGGAGCAGAACTATGATTCTTGCGCGCTCTCGTTCGCGTCTCGAGGAGATGGTTGTTGCGCTGGCCGAAATCAAGTCGAGGCCGATGTCAACGGAGCAGTCCAGATTACGACAATGACGTGCGCGCACGATGATAGAGTCGGAGTCGCGAACAGGATGTGATGATGGCAAACAGAAGTCGGTGAAGTGAAGTGGCTGGAGCTGTGACTTTATTAGGGTCGCGCTCGGTGCAGAGGGAACAGTGGGAAGAATGAAATCGGCGGGGTCGCCAGCTGTGCAGCGCAGCGCAGTTCCAACTTCTACCTACTAGTAGTACTGGTAGTTGTCCACGGTCAGTCATCGCCAAATCGCTACTCTACGACGAACAAAGAATCTATGTCTACTTCCTCCCTCCTTCACGGTCTACGGTGCCTTGCGACAGCTCCACCTCCACCTAAGTTGCGATGTCAACAATGGCCTCCAATCGGACTATGTAGACAACAATTAGCGTTCCAGGGCGACCAGTTGGTGGCCGCTCTTGATCGCAACCATTCTGCCTATCAGAATGATGGGAACCAGCCCGACCCAGTCAGCCTCACTCTCAAATCCAGGAACATAAAAGTCCGACAGGAGAGTGGTGGCTGTCTGCTTCTTGTTGAAACAACCCCTGCCCAGATCCGACGCGGAGTCAAGAGTAGGTCCAACCGATATCATCGGGGGGTCAAGAAACGTGATGCGTACAAGGCTGGAGATGACTCGCATCTCCTACGCTTTATGCGATTTGGATACGTGCCTGAGGATCAAAGAAGATCATGACGGTGTGAATCTGTAGTCGATCGAGACAACAATGCAGGGCCGCAGGAGGTCGGAATCGCCTCACCGAGACAGCATGAACAAGGCTGGCCGTCGACCATGAGGATGGAAGCATCGCCCTGCGGTTGGGTATCAATGCAGATGCAGCGGGAGAGCGAGCCTCGTAAGGGCGTTATACAGAATAGACTCGGGGAGAGACACTGGCATGCCAGCTCAACAGCCTGAGGCTGGGAGGGCGGAACGCCGGGGCTCTTACTCGGTGCCCAGATTTTCACCGCTCGGCATACTTGCCCTTTCAGAATTATCAACGGACTCGAGTGTCAAATTTCTTGCCTCCAACTTGGACTTGAACCCGCAGTATCTGGTTTGCACTTTACTTGCCCTGCCATGATCCTCTAGCGAGCCGCTATGAGCGAAATCTTGACAGATGAGCAGATCGACCAGCTTTTGGTCGAGGCAGAGGCCCGTCTGCGCGAGAAAGCAGGTCTTTCTTTGACCGCGTCAGGCGCAGACGAAATCAGTCTTGTCACCGCCGAGGTCAAGGCTAAGCAGAGGAAGCCGTATGCAAACCCCTTGATCACTACTTGATATTCAACTAACTCGCTACGCAGTCTGCCAAAATTACGGCATGGCCTTGGCCAACAGACCTACATCAAGGACAGCCAGGGAGTCGCCCTGACTAAACCTCAAGCGACGATTCCCAAGGAACAACGCAAGCTTGCGGACGGATTGAGGGCTGTCGAAGTGGCTGAGAAGACCAAGAAAATTGTATGTCTCCTTCTGCTGTCTTTCACCCGGGCTCCCTTTGATATGAGGAAAATTATCCCATTTTCATTCTTGACGCAGATCAGCAGTCCATTTTGGCCTGCCCTGCATCCATGAGAGTTCATATTCATAGTTACTCTGATCTTTGCTCAACACACTCATGTTTGCACAAAGAAATCGTGTGGACCATGACTGACCAAATCAGAATGACCAACTCTCTGCCGGCCCCGAATGGTTTGATTTGCCCAAGACCAATCTTACTCCTCAGTTGAAACGCGACCTTCAACTCATCCAAATGCGATCGGTTCTCGACCCTCACCGACATTACAAGAAGAACAACCGGAAAGGGAAGGTTCCAACCTTCTCGCAAACTGGAACTGTCATTGAAGGTCCCACCGAGTTCTTCAGCTCGCGAATCAACAAGAAGGATCGTCATAAGAACTTCGTCGAGGAAGCCATGGCTGCTGAGCAAGAGAACGGCCGGTTCAAGAGGAAGTACAGTGAGATCCAAGAAGCAAAGACTAGTGGTAAGAAGACGCACTATAAGAAACTCATGGCCAAAAGGAAGAAGAGACCTTGAAGCACAAAATCAGAGATCCCAATAGGGGGTCATGGTTTCAAACCTGACTTTTGTGCTGAGTTCACTCGCTGTGGACGAATGCCACTCTCAAGAGACCAGCTGTGGCCCTTGGGCCTGAGATTGGGCTGAGAAGCCAATCGGAACTGATATCAGCTGAGATGGGCGGCCGGCATACCTCTCTGCTCCGCTGGATTAGGACAGATCTAGTCGCCACCTGAAAGAAGGCCTGCGTCCCGTCGAGGGTCCAGAAGTTCTGTCCAGACAGCGTCCCATCATGTTATGGGGCATGCAATGCTTTGCTCGTGCGACATGCAATGGAAGTCCAGTCGGCCCCCTGGGATGGGATCAGCTAATTGGTGAGAGTGGTCTTGAGGGGTTCATGGAGACGGTGTTCAAGATCCTCGGGCAGAAAGCCTGATGGAGTGGCCTTGATGGAGAGGGTGTCAAGCAGCAACAGGACAGCGTGCTCTCGCATTGCAGGCTCTGTCAATTGTCAATAAGCGTGGACATTCGGGGCGGACCAAACACGCCCAAGAGTGCAGCGCATACTAGGGAATAGCAGTCACGATTTTAACATCTTGATGGATGAATCCCTAACTATGATGATCGATCATTGTCGCTTATCTTGACTCCCACCCTTGTATCTGATCTGAATCGAGCCGCGTATTCCTCCAACCAACACACCACACTGCTGTTGCCAAAGCATTCAGGATGTTCGCTTGAAAACGCTAGACTGTGTATCACGAGCTCGAAGTGGAATCTGCCTTTTTGACCCCACGGAAACTCCCTTGTCTTTTGGCGCCACGATCCCCACGAAGTACCCAACCTGTCAATCTGTCACGGTGACCCTGAATGACGAACGTACGGGACAAACGGGACAACGAACCCACTGTACGACGACAATGTCCCTGAAAATCCCCAGCTCGCTGCGAATGAAATGTGACGAGAAGAAGGCGGGTTTCAGATACGTGGATACCTTGAAAGATGTATGGAAAAGTGATCACGAGTTCTGCAGGACCCAGGAGGCCTGTGGTCTAGCAAAACATAACCTCTCCGTCAATGGTTATCCAGCTGAATCAATACGAATCATCGGCCGTCTCGTCATGATGATCTCGGTCGTTGACTCCAGTGTCCTGGTGTGGAGAACCCATACGGCCAGCGTATGTGAGACATGCCATCATACACAATTACCGACGCAAGACACACCATCTTCGAGGAATGTCGGTTTCACTTGGTCACTTTCGGCTTGGAGAAGTCAAGATCATTGCCACCACCGGCCCGAAAGATTCAGAAGCCTTGTTTGGGGCCCATCCTACAACGTGTAAGGCTCAGCAGCTGGCCTGACCAAGAATGCTCCGGAATGCTCAGGGCCGCTCCGGTGTTGCGGACAGTTGAGGTCTCTCCGCCCCAATCGTATGATGTTCGGGCCTATGGCACGCAGACTGCCAGTGGTCAGTAGTAACAGGAAGCCTGCGCCTTGACTTCGCCCCCATTGGCATGATATCTTTAGCTGGCGCCACAACATCAAACCCCAGACTGTCTACTAAGCTCTTTCAGTCACAGCCTGGCTACAGACCAGCCTAACTGGGCCAACTTGGCTACAATCCCAGGTTTGTTTGAAGGTGGCCCCAACCACCGACCAAGTGACATGGCACCGTCTGTTTCGAAGTCGGATGCAGCTCCATCATACTCTCGACTTGCCAGATGGCCTCGGACCTGATCTCAACCCTGATCGTTGCCTTCTTCTTCAGAAATATCACTCTGCAATGCATTCGAGGGTTGAGTCCTCGTTGACAACCGATACAACAAGAAATCCACACATCCTGATTGGAGAGGCATTCTGAAGCCCATTGCTTTGAGGGACTCCATATTTGACTTGACCATGACTTCGATTCTGCGACTGAGTAAGGACCGCTCTTCCTTCCTCTTCAGACGGCAAAATCAGGACAACCAAGTTGGCAGCTCTTTCGAAAGCCTTGAGCACCGCCTGCCTGATATTTCTCTTGTCGACACTCGTTCTTTTGAGGATCTCTTCGATCAATTCAAGGGCCAGGAGTCTCTAGAGGACTGCTCCGATGCTCAACCACAGCTGGAATCCGAGAAGGCTTCCGGGAAAGGTCTGGGTCAAGCCAATGTCAACATCAACAGGACTGATTCGAGAACGTCGTCTTCCTACTCGCAACCAAGCCAGAGAGAAAGTGATTACTCCCCGATTGTCACCAGGCATTCATCCAGCTCCAGCTACACCCAGGAGCCTCCGTTCGCCATTTCGAAATCTGTAACTGACCAAGGCCCTGCACGGCCAGTGCTTGCCGGCATTGATGGATCTTATCCCCGAGCTCATGGCTCCCGTACCACAACCAATTCTTCATCACTCATTGTCTCTTCGACGCCGCCAAACCTCGACAAGCCGCTTCCACCGGGTCCATCTGGAGGCCAGAAGGCTTCAACGTCGGCACCTACTCTGCCCTCTCGTCAAACCGCCGCAGAGCTTCCATCGGAGCCTATTATACCGCCTCAGACTCAGTCCGAGCCGAATATCACTCATCGAGCACCCTCCCGATCAGATGGAATCGCAACATCAGACCAGGTATTTCAAGTTGCGGTCATATCAGACCTTCTATCGTCGTCAACCAACCCAGTGCCGGCTGTGGGATTAGGAAATGCACCCTCGACCAGCCACCGAAGGCATCAGTCAGCCTCGGAGACTGCTTATCAGCAGAGCATGACATTCAAGGACGATCATGCCAGGCGAAAAAGTGCAGATTTGTCACTGCTTGCCTCGAAAGTAGAAGGTTCCACGCGTCTGGCAAAGTCCCGATCAAAGCAGCTCTATAGGCCGATCACTGCAGCAACTGCGGAACGAGTAATTTACAGGGTCATGTGCAATCTGCAGAGTATCGAGGACTTGCTAGCAACTGCTATGGTCAGCAAAGGCTTCTTGAGGACGTTCCAACGCAACCAATCGAACCTTGTCAGTCACCTACTGTTCAAGACGTCCAGGCCTGCCTGGGAATTCCGGCGAAGCATGCTCGCTCTACAAGGGTCGAAGGACTTTGTCTTGAAAGACTTCCGACGCGACTGTGCACGCCTTACCGCTCTCAAAGCTCACATTGCAGCTCATTGCAGGTCCAGCTGTAAACCAAGTACGCTTGCTGGCCTTCTTGGAGAAGATACAGAACGCCAGGCAGAGGTTGACCATGCGTTGTGGCGCATATGTACCTTTTCCACCCTTTTCGGAAACACCGTGGGACAATCTGGAGCTTCCAGCACAGAAACCGACTGGCTCAATGGCGGCAGAGCACCGAACAATAAGCGACTAGGCGCAGGGTTTTCCATCGGCAACGGACCAGGCCTTAGCATCCCAGAGCTCGAGAACATGAAGGAATTGTGGCAAAGCTTACAGGTCATTGTCTCTGGCTTCCACGGCAGGGAAGAAGAGGCTAAGCAGTTTGGAGTGTTTGATAATTGGCATCCAGAGGGCACCGTCTCGGAGAGTCAACATCTTGCCGAGTGGATTTCCTATCTGCTGGCTCTCGGACCGCAAACCGTCCTTTCAGTGTCTTCGTGTTCGTTTGAACGAGCGAGGACGCTGGGCCTGACGACGTGGGCTGCACCCCCAACAGGCAAAAGCCGGTGCTCGTTCCTAGTAGCCGCCATGACACAAGTATACCAGGAGAGAGTGCTTGAAGAGGCTACGCTAAAGACGACTCGATTTTCGGTTTCTCGAGCCCCTATTCACCGCCCTACCAGATCGGTCGAAGAGCGACAGCTGCCTTTTCCCCCGTCCAGTAGACCAGCCACCTCCAAAACACAACCTCTCAGAATCGACACGTCTAACACTAAACGACGCCCGGCGTCTGTTGACGAAGCTGGGAACTCCAGACTTGAGATACGGCCCGACTGCGATCCAGATCATCTTGAAGGCCACACTTCGGGCATCTTCCCTGCCTCACCCACGGCAGATCCGACGTTGTTCTATGCCTTGAATATGACCTCGACAGCGAGCACGAAACTGGGGGCAACGCTCTTTCCGATGGACTACGCCAGACCGACTCCGCGAGTACCTTTCCCCGCTCCTGAACGACCAGCAGTGAAGAGCAGTGGAGTGATAGATCCCGTTGACAAAGCCATGACATTCCTGGTCCAAGAAATGGGGTTCCAGGAGTCGAGAGCCAGGAAGGCGCTTGCTATGTGTGACACTGGGTCTGGACTTGACTTGCAAAAGGCCGTCGAGTTGTTGGCAGTTGACTCGAAGGACTCCAGACAGCAGTTTTCGGCGCCGGTCGAACTACCTACATCTGTTGAGATGCCTGGACCGCCGAGCAAGCTCAAACAGCAGCATCTCTCCTCTTTTTGCGACGGCCAGTGCAAACGGACCGGCACTATCGTCCATTCGCGTAGCCGGTCCGCTGGCGCCATCACGGAGGTTTCCATCAGTCCTGTATCCGCAGCTGACGGGAGTGAATGGCAAGATACAATCTCCCCTCTGGCCGCTTCGCCCATGTCAGCCACCCGAGCTCGGACACCGATGCGTCGCGGACCAAGCCGGTCGACTAGGACATGGAAAGTGCTCGGCATGGATACCATGCTGAAACGGAAGACCTCTCTCTCTGTGCTGGGGATAGACGAGTATCAGGCCAAGGTCGAACGAAAGAGGAGCATGCGCGCGGTGAACGGGACATCGGATCCTGGGGTCAAAGATGGCTTGAGCAAGAATCTGCTCGGTTTAGGTCTGGCCGTGGGGAGCGGCGCAGGAGCCAAGGCTTCTGGAGAGCAAGTCGAACATGTTCGGGAGAAAAACAGGCACAAGAAAGAGAAGAGCAGCGCCAGTCGTATGGCCAGGTACGCATGAGTCGAGGATACTCGGACAGGAATGTGAAGACATCCAATTGTCACCGTCACCAGCAACAAACCACGAGCCACGAACCACGACCTGACGAAGGAAAGGGACCATGATGCCCTTGAGCATTTGCAGCGGCGCAATCTTTGTGTTTTGTGTTTATTGGAAACTGCGTCTCAGCGTCAGAAGTGTGTTTGTGTGACCTATTCTGGGCTCCGGTTCCGTTCTTGGGCGCGCAGCGCACGAATTCTGCTCCAGGCTGAGGCACGCATACATACGAACCTGAAGTCTGGCGAATGGGTACAATTGATGGGACGAAAGCAAAGCAAAGCCAGCTGGAAAGTGAAAGCGGAAAGAAACAAAACCTCAGCATCGGCGGCAGTGCAATCGATCCGACCCATCTACGACTCAATCAATCATTGTTGAACTGCGACGACCGACGACCCAACGACCGACGACCTAATGACCCGACGATCCAATGACCTGCAAATGTACATGCATACATACAGACATACAGACAGACATGCATACATACCCTTCACGGACCATGACACCATATCTATGACAGCGACTCACACTGACATTCATCCATCCATCCATCCACATCTCTCCCCTGTATATAGGTTTAGTATAGCATAGCTAACAGAGAAACCCGCCGAGCAACACATATACATATATACGATATACCTACCTACCATCCACCGAATCCTCGAACCTGATCGGATTTCGGATTCTGCATTTGGAGGTGTGAGAAGGAATAACCATCACATCCATTTATTGACGCATATTGGATATTGGGTATGGATATGGATATGGATACGAAACCAGGAATCAGGAACCAGGAATACCCTACTACTAGCATTGAGATATTTACGAGATACATGGCAGGCACTTCACGTCGTTGACCTCTTCTTTCCCCCTCCGTCGGGAATTCCATCTCATATTTCGGTCTGTCTTCCTGTATGATAGATCCCGAAACCCGGGACATCAGATTACCTACAGCTACAACGAGATGCGACGATATGACGCTGCCTCCCGAAGAACAAAGAGTTGTGGATAGCCATGGCTGCACAGGTCTGCAATGTTCGAAACGAAAAGGGCACTGTTGCAGAATGAGAGAAGGAATAGCTTGGTAGTCTCGTATTCTGACCATTTCCCATCCGATGGTTTCCGTGCCACCAAAAGTATGGGCCCTGTTGTCTGAATATGAATATGTGCTCTTCACTGACAGCCCTGGCACTAACCCCTTGAGATGGAGACGTCCCCGCTCCCCATCATAGCATGCCATGTTTTGTTTTGTTTTGTTTGCCCTTGTCTCCTTTCAACATGACCTTGTCTCTAATCCAGCGCCGCAAATAGACTGAGATAGATCCCCCAGAACAGACCGACGACACTCGCCACAATGACCCGCCTATCGACAGGGACGAGGGTGAAGTTAATCAGTGCGACCGCAGGCCACAGTTTCCAGCTGTTGATCATGAGAGGTACTACGTCCTAGAAGAGGAAGAAAGGTCAGTCAGGATGTGAATGTTATACTCCAGTCTTGGGGAATTCGCACCCGCACACATATAGAGCTTCCAGTGGATGATCGGCGGCCGGATTGTAGGGTAGAGCCATATCAAACCATACTAAACCAACCCCTTCCAATCATGTATGCAGATACGATACCAGTGAGAACAGGCAGAACATAAGAGGCATATTGCTATTGCTTCCAGGAGTGTAGACTCGCAAAACAAGGATCGAAGAGGAAGGTAATGAGGCGTAGATTGGAACATGACACATGAACAAGAAACAAGAGACAAAGTACCAGGAGTGTGTGTGAAAACATCAAGTATGAGGAGTATGTGGAACCAAGTACCATGAGTGTATGGAATCATCAAGTACGAGGAGTGTGCGAAAACATCAAGTCTTAAGAGTGTGGAAAACGAATCAAACATACCCTTTCAACATCTCTCTGCACCCCTTTCCAATTCTTACCCTTGAACGCAGCCATAGCAGCCACAAAGGCCACGGTATTCACAAACGCCCCGAGCGTCTGGTCAAACAGAAACTTGCGCGCCGTGTTGGCCTTGTTGAGCGTCCTCTCGCCGTCACCATGACTGGTAGAGACGACAGTATATCCCGGGAATTGGGTCTCGAGGAACTCCTGCCACAGGATATTCGGCGGACAGGAGATGAGACTGAACAGGACGAATTGGAGAAGAGAGCGGACGTTGAGGGCGAATGGTTTCTAGAGAAGCAGAAGGAATGGTCAATTAATGATCTTGTTGGATACATCGTACTGTCGAAAGCCAAATATGACGAAAACAAAACATGAGACAAACCTCTTCTCGATATGCTTTGATGTATTGGGCCATGACATTCGACATGCCGCTCAGCGCGGCGGCTTGAAGAGTTGTGTTGAGTAAGTGTATAGGCATTGTGGTTGTGTGGAAGCGGACGTGGAAGTGGACGTGGAATAGACACGGCTGAGAGATGGATGTGATGTTCCTGGATCGTTGAACTCTGAAGTCGCTTCATACACTGCCAGTGCCAGGGTGGCTCTTCGAATATTTGTCCACGTTGCTCGAGTGTAACAGTAACAGTAGCAGGTCGCTCAAGGTGCCGGCTTGTTCACCGACCCGACTGAGAATGATGCATGATGTTCAAGTGTTCACGGCTGGCTTGTCTGTGGTTATGTATGTTTCACTTCTTCTTTGTATGATTCCTGTCTTATGTTGTGTATGTATGCTTCACTTCTTCTTTGTATGATTCCTCTCTTATGCGTCGTTTCATTCACACGACTTATGACGGAATTGATCTCGACTTCAATCCCAATTTCAGCTTGATTGAATGGAAGATAAAAGGGATAGATTGATCGAGGAGGAGAGGCTGCGGCTGCGGCTGACAGAAGATAGGAGATCAAGGACGAGTACCGAGAGACGGGCGGCTGTGAGGCGGTGTGACGGCATACAGGGATTGACCACGGCGAAGAAGAAGGGGAGTCTGGAGTCGGTTCACCAGGAGCAAGTCCTAGTCCTAGTTCGTCCTATGTAGATGAGCAGGGTATCGATTAGTAGGTAGATACCTACCTTTCAGAGGAGGAGACAGAGATAAAGATGTATACGAGAGAGAGCGCGAGAGAGAGCCGTTGCGCAGTCTGGTCTGTTTGAGAGATAGTAGAGAGTCGAGAGTAGAGAGTCGAGAGTAGAGAGTCGAGAGATACCCGTTTGGAGTAGATAGTAAATACCCCGGATTTCTCAACTTGACAGCTGTCGGTCTGTCTTTGATTGATCGGTCATTTCCGTGGACTCCATTCATTCATTCATCCATTCATTGTTCGTCCGGCGATGTTAATCTTGTATACACGAAGCAACCTAGCGATTTCTAGTCCCTTCGTATTGATACCAGTCACCCACGCCATGGACTGCTGTGAGATATACGGCGACAAAACCCTTCTCCTAGCACGACCTAACATGTTCAATCCAGACCTTCCTTGCCTCATCGACCCCCTCAACCTCCAGTCCATGGTCGTACGATAGCCCCAAACTGCCGTCAATCAACGCCAATCCCAATTCCCAGATCACCCATAAACATAAGCACCACCGCTCCGATCATCTCATCCCATCTCATCTCAACATGTCATCATTTGGCTTCAATCCTTCAACCCACTTGCCCTAGGCTTCGAAGCATCATCTTCCTCGCCATCCACGGTGATGATTTTGCGACTCAGCAACAGCCGGACTTCGGGTGTGATGACTTGTTCCTTTTCCTTTTCCTTTTCCTTCTCCACTTCCTTGGCTTTTCCTTTCGGCCCTTGTTTGCCTTGTGCTTGACGGGGCCGGGCAGGGAGAGCTTGCCGTTGAGAAGCCGACGCACCTGCGGCTGTCGATGGTACTGTGTCTGTACCTGTGGCCGCGGCGGATGTCGGAGAATCCTGACTCTTGCCCTCAGCACCGTCAACCGGTTTTCTCTGTCTCACGTCCCCCCCGCTCGGAGCGGGAAAGCTGTTCTTCCGGTCCACCGCTTCCACGGTCTTCTCGAATCGTTTGAACAGCCGTTCTGCTCGGACGAGAATCTCCTGTAGTTCAATCGTGCCAGACAATTCATTGATGTACTTCAAGATCTCATCGAAGTGGCGAAGATGGTCCATAATCACGTCGCGATGCTTCTCGAGAATCGCGACGGCAATGAACAGGTGAAATTGAGAGCTGTAGTAGTCGGTCCACAGAGCTTCCCATAACCTCAGGGTGTCGCTCCACTCGAACTCGCGCTTATACCAGACCAATAGCATACGGAAGAAGAAGAAAAAGTTCGTCGAGTCGGCGGCTTGCAGGTGGAGATAGAGCTTCGGGTCAAGGATTTGCACCAACTGATCCAGGGTGCTGAGTTGAGCCCGCATGCCCACCTGTGAGCGCACGAAGTTGCGGGACATGCGCCGCATGAACTCCACAAATGCCCAAAAGGCAACCGCGTCGTCTTGGAAGACGGCGTAGAGAGGAGAGAGGAGGTCGGACATGCCCTGGACATAGCCTAGATTGAGAGGATGGGGGTTGCGAGTTTGATAATGAGATGCATTGCTGGAGGAGGGAGGCGTGTCGTATTCCAGATATGTCAGGAGCATGTCTTTCAACTGCTCCAGGTGTACATTCGTGCCAGGACCATCCGGGTTGAAGAATGGCGAGGTCGGATCCGGGTGAGGGATGTCTTCGCCAGCAAACAAAGGAATGTGTCGATCCGTCCGATGCACGTCTTTTTCTACATGTCGAATCGCCAGGTCAGCCATGTTTGTGAGTTGGGAACACAATGAGGGAATCTTGTTCCGGGGAAGACTTACCGATTCGGTTCTTCTGTTCTTTCCACCACTCCTCTTGTTCCGGCGTCGACTCTCCTTCGACCATCCTGTCCCACCATGCTCCTTTTAGCTGAATATATTCATCTCTCTTGCTGTTCATGTAGGCGAGTCGTTCTTCCTCGGTGCTGTCCCAGTCATACACGCCCAACAAGAACGGCCAGGCTTCCTTCCTCACTCCATCTTCCGGATCAAGGCCGCCGTGGAATATTCGCTCCTTGACCTCATCCACGGTCACCTGCAATTTACCCGAGGAGTCGAAGAAAGACTCCCATTCTTTCAAGTCCACCGGCCTCCTCCTGCTGTCGCTCAGCGTCATCTTCCCAGACTCCATGTCGAGAATCTCAAAGTCGCCCACGCTTGTCTCCTCCGACTCCAACACGTCTCTAGCCGTCCACATCCGCTGCCTCTTCTCTCGTTCACTCTGCTCGGCTATAGTCATGGCCCATCTCGCCAGGTATAGTTTGGCACTGTCGAACTCATCCTGGAGGGTCTGGATTTCGGGGTTTTGGATGAGGCGCCGGACTTGAGGAGGGATGTTCTTGTTGTTAACAAGGTCCTCGGCAGTCCGCCGCGTAAAGGTGGTGACTTTGGACAACTGCTCGAGGATCTTCCACCTCGTCTCCTTCAGAGCCTTGGTGAGCGGATCCATACCCGGTCCCGCTGGGGGTTTTTGTTTGGGTTTCTTCGAATCGGAACCAGCAGCTTTCTGTCTGCCTTGGGCTTCCATCGAACCTCGGCCTTGCCCAAACCCGAGACGATCCTCCTCAGATGGGTCGATCAGATAGATGGACGGCTCCGCGGTGCTTCGCTCTACGGTAACATATCTCTTGAGCCACCGGATCACCTCGTCCCCGCCCCAGAACAAATCTCCCGTCTCACCGAAAGGGTCGAAAGACTCCCGAGTCCGTCTCTTTTTTTGTAGGATCGTGCTTTCACACTCAGAATCGTGGAAGAAGAGAGCGGGTAAACTCGACCCGGCACGGGTGTTGATGACTATGCTGCCGTACCACCAGCCCAGACTCGGAGGACGAACGTGGATGGAGTAGATGCTGGACAAGGGTAGGGAGAAAGCGTACGGGCCGACGGGCGATTCGTCAAAGGAGGTCGCAAGAGGGAGCGGAGGGACAAGGTAACTCTGTTTGGGCGGTGACTGGCCGTCCTTCAAGTCCACTCTGACATAGGTGCTGAGGTCGTCCTGCGTCAGAGAGGACTCGGGCACCCATGCGAGCAGGTACGACGAGGCATTGGTTTGCTTCCCAGACGAGTCTCCCGAAGAGTCGGGTCGGTCATCGGCAGACAATGGGGAGGATTTCTGTTGCACCAAAGCGATAAAACCTGGGATGTTGTCTTTGGCGGACGGTGTGGGATGGACATAGACCTTGCTCTTGGAGTAGAGTAATTTGACCCCTCTGGTGGCAGAATTGTGTGTAATGGTGTTATAACCGCCCTCTTCGTCGTCGGAGAGGTCGTAAAAGGATGCGGAGGGAGAGGGAGGGTTTGGTTTGGACGAGGACTCCTGCTGGGAAGTCATTGTTGCGGCGTGTGAGGTGTGATGTATGATGGGTGATGGTTTTAATGGGATGAACTCAGCATGATCGTGAGAGTATTGGAGTAGTAGCAGATGGCCTCAATGCCATCTTTCAGAGTTAGACTGACAAGAGAGACGCGATCATGTGGCGAGTGTCGTGGAGATGAATTCCTGATGCCTGGTGTCGATGGTGTTGATGGACATTGCACTCACTGTCCCGCTGTCCCGCTGCCTGTTTGACAAGTGACAGGTGTGACGTCGACTACAGTGTACTAGTAGTAGGAGTAATCATATTCACGAGGGGCAATACTTTATACTTACTGAGGTATTTAGGTAGGTTTATATTATATCCTGATACTGTGATCATAAGTGTCCTGGATCATCATCATCATTACTATCGTTGCTTGAGCCTAGTCGCATCATTTTGTCAACACAACTCTTACAAGCCATGCCAGTGACCAAAGGACTGCTAAAATACCCTTGGTATCTTCTGATCAGAGAAAAGGTCCATGCAATTGACCAACTTTTGGCTAAACTCGACGAATGCCATACCTGTAAACAGTGTACTTTTGCCCTTTCCTCCAACACCTTGCTTGCTGTCCATTTTTGCGTCCCGTCCGTCCCAAACATTCCCAATATATCAAGACTCCTATTGCAGAGTCCACGGGCTGAAATCCAACTGCGCCGCCAGAGCACCATCCTTCCGAAGGCCACCAATGTCCTCTCGAGGAGCCGGAGTCCTCTTGCCCCCACCTGGGGGTGGTGCTGTAGCAGGGCTAGAGACTGAGGGGACCCCGCCCTGCCTTTCACCTGGCCGGTTCATCATCCGTTCCTTCAGCCGTTTGACCTGTTGAAGTCTCGCTCGCCATGTACTGGGGAACTCGGTATCGCTGTCCTTGGTGTTCCAGGTCTGACAGAAAAGGTTGGCGTTTAAGGCCAGAACTCGCACGAATGGGCCGAGCTGGGCGGCTGAAATGAGTTTGGGATCTGCTGCCGGTGATATATCCGGGATATCATCTCGTGTCACGACCTGAACGGAATAGAATGCAGGCATGAAATCGGGGTCGGGTGTTGCCCGTGCACGCTCCGCAGGCCTGATCACAATGTTGACATAGTTTAGTTGAGACCTCAGATTGTTGAAGTCCCAGTCTAACCCTGATCGATTGAAGATGATGTTGACGTGACAGTTGCCGACGTGGGCCTTCTTCATGATGCACTGAGGATCATCCTCCGCGTCGGTCGGCATCATCGTCGGGACCAGATAGACAATCTCATTGACTCGGTCCCGCCACGCTATCGTCTTGTCGCCATCTCGCGGATACTCTAAACCCTGGGGATTGAAGCGTAGCGGTGGTTCCAGCGACACAACATAGCCAAGGCCTTCGAGAAGACGCTCGAAGTCACGGGAGCCCTTGGTATTGGCCAGGTATTCAGACTCAGCCGACTGTCCTTCGCCGATGTAGAGTACGCCGATCTTGTGGCTCGATACGGTGGGGATTCGGTCAATGCCCTCTAGAGCTCGGGTGACAGAGTCCTCCTTGGGCAGAATAAAGGGCTGATCTGCTACACTGGTCGCGGCGGCACTGGCCACCATCTGCAGAATAATGTGTGACGGTAGCATCTCAATCGTGGTAGCTTCATGGTGACGGATCTGTGTATGACTGGGTGCATGGTGCTTGGGCAATGGTGCCGTGGCCTGTTGATACCTGGCATAAGTGGTGCCTGAAGCCTGCCGCTTGATGATCTGAGTCTTTCCAGTATGGCCCGCTGTCTCCGCCGTGATGATACTGAGGCCGACGATCCATGAAGCCGACGTTACCGGGCCATCCTCAGGCTCTGCAAAGTTGACGATTGGAGACGACTCTCCTAGGTCAGAGAAGGCCGACCTCTGCATCATATCGATTAGCACCTCACTTTGCTCATCGATCGTCTCTTCTCCACGCGCATTCTTCCAGATCAGTCTCGGTACGATCCACGGGACATATTTGGCTCGAATCTCGAGGCGAAGCGAAAGAAACCAAAAAATCATGTTATGATAAGCCAAGCAAGCCGAGTACTGAGGCAGCCCAATATCCGTCAGCATCGATGCTCGGTACGGCGGGCGGCGGAAGTTCATTCCACTGTGGCGCGAGGTCGGATGGATTCTCCCTGGTGGGGAGATGAGAGAAGCATGCTGTTGGTCCCTTGTCTTTTCGAGAAATTGTATGCACATCCCAAATATCATCTGAATCTCATCCAGGTTGAAGTTGGAATGCATTTCGGGCAATAGCGAAACCTGAATCAAAAACTCCAAAATGTGAGCCGTGAGATGAGCCTGAGTCATGTTTTTGGACATCTTGTCGATAATGGTAGGGTATAGAGTCGCCACCGATGCTGGTATCTCTAGACTGCAGACGGACAATGCATGGATACATGAACGGGATGTCCCTTCCCATGCTCCACCGATTCCAGCAAGAAAGGCCCTGACAAGGTCGTCTCCAAAACCTTTCTGAACCGCCTCAGTTTTGATGGTGGCATAAGGGATAAAGGCAATGAGGAAGTTGAACAAGCATATAGCAACATCCGAACGCTTCAGCCCAGTCTGGGGAGGGGCTTCACGAAATGTATTGCTCACAACCTGATCACAGAGAACTTGGCGCAGCTTGACGACAGCTTCCATCGAGTTGGAAAACAGAGCAATGTTGCTCAACTGTGCAGCCGCATGCACCACGGTGTAACTGTAAGTTTCCCAATCGCAGTCGATTTGGAGGCATCTGATGATGCTCATGAGCCAAATGTCCATGTCAAGTTCCGCGTGCGTGCCTGGGTGGGTGGACATGTCGACATTTAGGATAGTAGAGGTACGGCCGGCGAAGGGAAAAGTGACATCCTCTGTGTCTGGATACATCCATAGTGGATCACCGACATCTGACTTTGTCGACAGACTCATGCTGCTGGCTGACTGACGCTGTGAAGAGGGCAAGTCATAGTTGAAAACTTCAGCCGAGTCTCGAGTCCGTAGAAGGGCACTTGCAATATTCTGGCTTTCACTGGCTTTTGCAATGTAGATGGAGCCAGCATCGTCGGCGCGGAGGCGGAATAGAAGTCGTTTCGAGACCAACCTAGCTGGTCGAGCTTTGCACCTGGGACTTGCGACGTCGAGTAGTACCTCATATGCCCTAAGGGCTGATCTGGTCGAGATGTGGATGCTGTGACTGAATATGGTTACGAGGACTTTGGTTGCTGAAACCGCTAGTTCGTCCGTAAAACAGCCTCCAGCTGAACCTGATAGAACTAGGCTGTTGATCCTTTCAATCGTGCGCAAGGTCAATCCTTCTTCTTGCTCTGCCTCTCGATGACGAAAGAGGAGAGATTCCACGGACTTCAGCAAAACTTCCAATACCTGTGCATCTTGCTCAACATCTGTTTGGTCCAGAAGTCTCTGAAGCATCAATAGGCAGATATCTCCACACCCTTCGTCGGTACTCAATGAGGGGACATGAGTCGGGTTGCTGAGTTGAACGAGTAAACCAATGGCCTCGCTGCGGCACGTCGCAGATATCGAAGAGGATTGCACTATCCGTCCGTAGATTTTGTCACAGTACTGGTCCCTCAAGCCAGATCCATTCGACGCAAGACACCTGTCCTTCGCATAATCCAGACTGAGTGATAATTGGGCTGCTTCGGCATATTGAGGGAAATCCAAGAAGAATTCATGGATCACATTCCGGCTGGATGCAGGAAGCTGATCCCATTCAAGGCAGAGGTCTTGACCCAACTTCGTGACCAATACCTCTCTATCTTGAAAACGTTTCTCGTAGTGGCGTTGAAGTTCCTCGTCTTGGCTTGAGGTGGGTGACAGAGTTGTTCTGGCAGCATTCGTTCCCGGCTGATTTGGAGGAGTCATATCCAAACAAAGGCGGATAATGCTGACAACGACATTGAAATCAAGGTCAGGAATCTCGTGGCTCCGTTGCGCACTGGAAAGCAGAGTATGGAGAAGGCTGAGGATGTCGTGGCAGAGTCGAAATACCCCATGTTGGGCAGCGGAATGAAGCTGCTTGAGAAAGTCTTCCAAGTCCATGACCAAGCCTCCGTCGTCACGTCGCTCATCCACCAAGGCCTTCAATAAATGGATGGCGCCTCGAGCATGTGATAAATTTTTGGCTCCGTTGTCCATGGTGGGCACCTGTATGAAAGAATACAGCGTCGCGATAACTTCTTCATGAAGGTATCCGGCAGCAAGAAATCTCGCACAGTCGAGAAGGTGGTCCGGCGGTCTCTTTAGATTTGCTGCAGAGGCGCATAGTACCACCAACGTCTCTTCCAGCCTTTCCTTCGGATACTCAAAGTGCAAAAGGACAGAATAGAGTACGTTGATGCCAGCGTTGATGTCTTCCTCCCGGCTAGCACTGAGACAAAGGGCCGTCACGCAATCCACTGTCCGGGACAGTTCGAGTGGATCAAAGCCGACATGGCCTAGTTCGAGATAGTCGCAGACATATTGGAGAAGCCAGTGCAGATTCTGTTGGTCCCTAACCGGAGGAGCGGACCTTGAGTTTCTGTGCTCCTTCCTTGCCTTCTCCGCTTTCTTCCCCCAGACGGAAATCCACTGACTGAGTAATGACAGGAGAGAGACAGGGCCCGGCTGACCCTGATTATCTTTGTGGAGATCAAGCAACCTGAGCGAAACATCCGTCCCAGACTTGAGGTTCCCCAAACCGATAAGCCAGGAACGTGCCTCTTCAGGCGTGTCACCAAGTAAGCGCCCCTCTTCTAGGACGTCTCTCAGATCCAGCGGTTCATCAGTATGGGACGGTTGCTCGGCGTTGCGATCCACAGGAGAAGCATTCTCTATGTTGCGAGAGTTCTGACCCAACACAGGCATGTGCCAGAGCGACAGTCTCCGGCCTTCTCTGTCAGGATTGGTGTTCGATGGCCTTTGTTGAAACGGATCATTTCCAGTCGACATACGATACAGGCTCGTTTCTGGACGACTCCCAGTCAGCACTTGGAACATGTCGGAGAGTCCATCAAGGAAGCAATAGATAGGCCGATCCCAGGTACAGAGACAGCATCCAGGCAAAGGAAGAGGAAAAGCCGGAGGACAAGCAACAGTGGTATAAATGTTCCAAGTGAAGGAATGAGGGTCCAAATCACACAAGTCTGGAACTCAGGGGAAGTCCACGAAAAAATGTGCGCTTCTAGGAAAGTCCGCCCTCCTTCGCATCTGGAGCAGGGCCACACTCAAGAGCGGGCATAGGCAGTTGGAGTTGACCTACCTTAGGCTGAGATTGCAGGAAGAACGGTAGTAAGACGAGATGATGGAGGCGCTTACATCGGCTGGACGAATTGAAAATTTTCGACGTTGATAGATATCAGGCTGTGCCAGCGGTGGAATGCGAGGTCTAGTTTTGAGCGATAGTACAGACGTCAGGTGGAGGGAGGGTGTATTTTCGGTCTCAGATGCTCCCCTTTGATAACGCTAACGATTCCATCGGAGTCTTGACATCAAAGGATGGGCAGACAGGGATCTTCGACGGAGAGGTCTACGGACCGAGGATATGGCGCATTGAAGGAGAAAAAACCCATGAGATTTGATGATCGAAAGTGGAGGGACGTTATCAGCAGTGGATGGAGTGGATGGGGTGTTTTGAGATGGCCAGATCCGCAGAGAAACCCGGCATGAACCAACAGCACAGCGCAGGCGCAGGCGCAGGAGAAGATGAGGCGGAGAGAAGAGGTGCGAGTGGCTCGCCACTTTGAAACATCAGCCACAGCCAGATAAGGATAAGCCTGAGACTGGAGAACTTGCACCACGCAGACTTTGCACTGGCAGTGTCATGACTTCATGCCTGCGGCCGTTCATCTCCGAGGCTAACCGACGATGAGTAATCAAGCCAGCAGCTGCGTATGAATTGATACAGCCCACCGTATATATCGTACGGGGCATCGTAGTTAGATCTACCGCAGTCTTTGTATAGAGTAGGCGGTGAGAGAACAATTCTGCCACATCCACCGTCAAACAAGGCTACGCAAAGAAAGTCCTAGTAAACAATCCCGTCACATTTCTACCAGGTGCTTTCTCTTATAAACCCCGTGCTTCACCACCTTCTTGCTCCAGGAAAGACCTATTTTACATACTCTAGAGAGAGAATACTCTTCTCAAGCAGCTCCCTCGTCATCTCATTTCCTCTCTGCGACCATCCACTGCGTTCCTGTCGTCAAGTTGGATTGCCTGCCATCATGCGCTAGAATCCCACAGTCTCTCCAATAACTCTGTTGTCCATACCTATCAACCTTCGTCATTATGGCAGCCCTGCAGCCCCTGGCCCAGCTGCTGGATGCCACTCTCGACCCTCGTCAAAACAAGGAAGGTAGGCAGATGACTCTGATCTCTTCAATCGCTTGCATTCTCACGTCTCTTCTAGCCGAACTCAAGATCCGTGCCGAAGAAAAGAAGCCAGGGTTTGCACTGTCTCTCCTCCAAATCACAGCCTCGGGCGAATTCAAATACAACACCCGACTTGCCAGTGCCCTGGCCTTCAAGAACTTCATCAAACGCAACTGGACCGATGTGGAGGGCAACTACAAACTCCCCCAGCAAGATGTCAACGCGATCAAGTCCGAGATCGTGGGGCTTATGATATCGGTGCCTCGAGGCATTCAAACACAACTGGGTGAAGCCATCAGTGTGATAGCAGACAGTGACTTTTGGGAACGCTGGGACACGTTGGTTGATGACTTGGTATCTCGGTTGAAACCAGGCGATCCCGTTGTCAATACAGGGGTTCTCCAGGTCGCTCATTCCATCTTTGCCCGGTGGCGGCCGTTGTTCCGATCCGATGAACTTTTCACCGAGATCAATCATGTCCTTACCAAGTTTGCACAACCTTTCCTCACGTTGTGGCAGAGTTTGGATGCCTACATCGAAAGCCATAGCAATGACAAGGCTGCGCTCCAAAGTGCATACGCAGAACTCGACCTCATTCTTCTGCTCTTCTATGATTTGTCATGTCAGGACTTGTCACCCGTTTTTGAAGACAACTTGGCCGGAATCTCTGGTCTGTTGTTGAAATATCTGGTGTACAGGAACCCTCTCTTGGAGACCGATGATGACACGGAAGCCGGACCGCTGGAAAACACAAAAGCAAACATTTTCGAGGCCTTGTCCCTGTATATCGCCAAATACTACGACGATTTTTCAAAACATGTCCCGAGTTTCGTGGAGAGTTCGTGGAATCTTTTGACGACGACGGGCCCGGAACCGAAAAATGACATTCTCGTCAGCAAGGCTCTACACTTTCTCACACAGGTGGGAGGGATTGCCGAGCAAGCACAAACCTTCAACGATCCCAACATCCAAACCCAGATCATCGAAAAGGTCATTCTTCCCAATGTGGCATTGCGCGACCTGGACGTCGAAATGTTTGAGGATGAACCGATCGAATTCATCCGTCGAGATCTCGAAGGGTCCGACAGTGAGACTCGGCGGAGGGCAGCGGGGGACTTCTTACGGCAGTTGAGTGATCAGTTCGAACAGTCCGTGACCGGAATCGCCATTACGGATGTACAAAAATGCGTGCAAGAATTTGCAAGCAATCCGCAAGAAAACTGGAGGGCCAAAGATACCGCGGTGAGCTTGTTCCACGCCATTGCCGCCAAAGGAGCGACAACATCCACCCACGGAGTGACCAAAACGAACCCCTTGGTCGATATTGGCGACTTCTTCTCGAAAAACCTGGCAAGTGACCTGCAGGACCCAAATGCCCAGCCTCTGATCAAAGTGGATGCCATCAAATATCTCTATGTGTTCCGAAGTATTATCACGAAAGACCAGTGGCAGCAAGTCATGCCATTACTGGTGAATCTCCTGGGCGACGCCAACTTTTGTGTCTACACCTATGCCGCTGTTGCCGTGGAGAGAGTGCTGGCCATGACTGACGAGACTGGGAAGCCCGTCATCGACCCAGCCCACATCAAACCGCTGGCGAGCAGTCTGCTTGAACACTTATTCAGTCTAGTGGAGAGAGACCAAGCGCCGGAAAAAGTGCAAGAAAACGAGTTCGTCATGCGTTGCATCATGAGAGTCTTGATCGTACTCAAAGACGGCATCTCTGCCGTGGCAGAGAGTGTGCTGCAACATTTGACCACCACCACAACCATCATATCTGCCAACCCGAGCAATCCGAAATTCTACTACTATCATTTCGAAAGTTTAGGAGCGTTGATCAGGTTCACTCCTGCAGGACAATCAGAAGCCTTGGGTGCCCACCTATTCAATCCGTTCGCGGCGATCCTTGCAAACAACGTGGAGGAATTTGTGCCCTATGTCTTCCAACTGATGGCAGCTCTCCTCGAGGCCGAGCCCACGAAACCAATGCCGGCACAATACAGACCACTCATTGCGCCCATCCTTGGCCCTACGCTGTGGGAACAGCGCGGTAATATCCCCGCCCTGGTGCGATTGTTATCTGCCATCATTCCACGAGCTGCCGACGAACTGATTGCGGCCAACCAAGTCGAAGCCGTGCTTGGCATCTTCCAAAAACTGGTGTCGACCAAGGTCTTCGAAAGCTACGGCTTTGATCTGCTAGAGACGGTGATTGCGACCCTGCCGCCTGCTGCTCTGGAGCAATACTGGGTGCATCTCCTCACCATCATGCTCACGCGTCTGCAAGGCAAGCAGTCGCAAGCCTTCCAGATCCGGTTCGTCCGATTTTATCACTTCGTCTCATCGCGCGACGACAAGGGCCTGGGGGCGGATTTCTTCGTGGCCGCCACGGATCGGGTCCAGCATGATGTTTTCCGTCAGCTCTATATCGGCATTATTCTTCCAAAGACACAAGAACTGGCTCGCCCTCTCGACAGGAAGATTGCCGCTATCTCATTGACCAAGACGCTTGCTGATTCTCAGGCTTTTGTCGATCGATATCCGAAAGGATGGGCTCTGACGTGTAACGCATTGCTCAAGTTGTTGGAAGACCCTCCTTTGCCGCCAAAGGCCGAGGACGTTATTGCCGAACTCGACGTGGAAGATAGTAGCTTCGGCGTGGGGTTTACTCAGCTCAACACCGTTCGACGGCCGGTCACCGATCCGTTTGCCGAGGTGACGGATCTGAGGAAGTGGGTGGGCCACTACCTCAAGGCAGCTGATCAGAGACACGGAGGCCGGATAGGCAAGGTGGTCGACGAGAGTCTAGGTCCAGATTCAAAAAAGGTCCTGAGCGCTTACATGACTTTGTGATGAGCGAGAAAAACGGAGGGTAGAAAGGCGCGTGGTGCGAGGATAGATCAGGTATGAATGGTCTTGAGGGGACCCTGGTGGTGGTGGTGATGAGATATTGAAATCAAAAGTCATGTAACTCTGTCAATAGACCAATGAGACTACCACTGCGTCCGATCAGTTACTGTATCCTTGAGTCTATGCCTGCCGTCATTCTCCAACAGACTGTAGTAGTACTGTGCAGTGTATATCACCAATCGCAAGGCTCGCGGCTAACTTGCCGCAAGAAAACCAATCAACAGACCCCCGGGCGTCAAGTTTCTTCGAACACGACTCGGAGTGGAACTGGATCGTGATCGATTCCCACCAGCTCTTTTTTTGTGTGGACTAGGCACTTGAGAGAGCGGTTCCGTCTAGAACCAAATCCCTTATTTGTCTCTGTCATGTAGCCATGCATCGAATCCGCCCATGGCGGCACCCTCCTCCCACCTCCGGCCTGCACCATGAACCTCGCGGATCAAGGGCACGGTATTCGACCATAACGACAACAAGGACAAGCACAAGCACGGCCTCGATTACCGCCAGTCCGTCGCGACAGCATCTACGCATCCCCTCGAGGCCGATGGTCCACCTTGGCCTTCAACGCTTTCAACGCCTTCAACACGCACCAGACCATCCTCTACCTCTACGGACCCTGAGACAGAGCCGGAGTCAGAGCCAGAGCCAAAGCCAAAGCCGGAGTCAGAGCCAAAGCCAGAGATTCCTACATGTCTGCCCAGTCCCCGTCCCAACCCCAGCTGTGTTCCAATGCAGGCGATCTGTATCGGCAATGTCAGTGTCGAAGTCTTTTCGGCGCGGATTCCGCACAACCAGCCACCACCTCGTCAAAAAGAACCCCTCCTCCTCGTCAGCTTCCACTCTCCCCCCACGGCCCAAACTGCCCGACTCCGAGATCCACCACACCTACCTCAAAGGCTCCGGGCCGGGCGGGCAGAAGATCAACAAGACGTCGTCGGCGGCGCAGCTGACGCATCTCCCGACGGGGATTGTGGTCAAGAGTCAGGCCACGCGGAGCCGGGCGCAGAACCACACGATCGCGAAGCGGCTGCTGGCGGAGAAGGTCGAGTTGTTGCAAAAAGGCCCGGAGAGTCGGGCGAGCAAAGTGCAGGAACGGAAGAGTCGGAAGAAGAAAAGTGCCGAGAAGAAGCGGAGGAGGAAATATAGACGATTGGAAATGGAAGGTGGGGAAAGGGGGGAGAAGGAGAAGGAGAAGATGGGGGAGCGAGGTGGGAATGGTCGTAGTATAGACGATGGAGAACAAGAAGATCAAGATGACCAGGATGAGGAATATCAAGATGAAGTAGATGACCAAGGTGACCAAGATCAAGATAAAGAAGATGATCAAGAAGAAGAGCACGAGCACGACAACGACAACGAGAACAAGAACAAGAAAGAGGTCGAATATAAAGACAAGTGAAGGCACAAAATGAAAAAGGAAAATACGTAAAAGAGCAGCATGCCGGAGTGAGAGCAGTAGGAGAGAATGCTGTTGGGAATGACGGAAAAGGAGAACCAGAGATAGACAAAACACGAGACGAAGCAAGAGGCCGTGACGAGATTCAGATGCCGGCCAACTCTGAGCAACCACGCACCCATTGATCTCCTCGTATTGTCTGTGTCTGTGTCTACGTCTGGATCTGTTTGAATTTTCTGGAATTTGCCATGTCTATCAACAATCACCATTGCTCCTTTTATCTACCTCGAACAGAAGACCGGGTTTGGACCCAAGTAGCCCCTTTTCTTGACCTCAAGTCCTGCCAGGAATCCATCTATGCTGACAACCAAGCATATCTGCGTGTTTACTCGCAACCAGAAATCTGGATCTATTCGATCGTCTTCTCCTTCAGGTAGATGCCGTACTTCTCCCTCAACTCGTTGAGCAGCGGCTCAGCCAGGTCCCAAGTGACCGGGGCCAGGATGCCCTTTTTGCTGATGCGACCGTCGAGAACCATCAAACAGGCCAGACCGCAGGGCACGCCGACGAGTTTGGCCATGGAGCTGTAGCCGTTGGGGTCGCCGTAGTCGCAGAGGGTGCTGGTGCGGGTTTCGGTGGAGCCGTCCTTCCACTCGATGTCGAACTTGTGCTGCAACATGACCAGGTCGCGCTCGCCCTTTTCGTACTGCATCTTCTCCTCGAGCGTGGCGCAGAGGGTGTCGAGAGGATTCCCTCGCGGGGTGATGGGCGTCTCGGAGAACAAACCGAGCCACTTCAGGCCCGACATGATGCGCTTCTTCTCGGCCGTGTCGTTGAACTTGGTCTTGGAGCTGATCGCCCACGACAGATCCAGCTCTTTGGCGCTGGTGGCGCCGATGATCTTCTTCGTCGCTTCCGCCCACGTCAGCGGCTTGGCCGATGGCTGCAGATAGTCCTGCTCCTCGTCGGAGAGGAAGCCGATGTCGACCAGGACCTTGACGAATTCGGGGAATCCCTGGTACCGCAGCGTGCCGCGGACCACCGTCTGGGCTTCGGGGATATTGTAGCGTGCTCGGTACGGCGTCGAGTCTCGGTTCGGGTACGCGACGAACGCGAATCCGGGGTAGATGAAGTACGGTTTAGCACTGCTCATCAGATCCGGCCCGGAAATTTCTTTGACCGCGCCGTCCTGGTAGAATTTGGCCGCGTTGCGCAGAGCCAGCAGCACACCACGACTCGACCATGAGAATTTGTAGCCGAGCGGGTTGTCGCTGTCCTCGGGCGCCGGCAGGCCTCCGCAGTAGGACAGGAAGGATTTGATCTTGCCGCCGGCCTGGTGCACTTCTTCGATCGTCTTGACCGCGTACAAATGGTCGATACCCGGGTCCAGGCCGATCTCGTTCATGACCGTGATTCCGGCCTCCTTGGCTTGCGCTTCAAGCTCCAGCATCGCCGGAGAGACGTAGCTGGTTGTGACCACGTTCTTCTTCTTGCGGATGGCCGACTTGATCACCGTGGCGTGGAAGGTGTACGGGATCAAACTGATGGCCAGGTCGGTCTGCGCCATTTCGGCATCGAGTGCTTCGTCGTTGGTGACATCGAGCGAGATGGGGCGGGTGTTCTTGATGCCTTCGGACAATTTCTTCGCGCTTTCGAGGGTTCGGCAGGCTGGACAGCCATGTTAGGCCCAGCAACATCAGACTCGTTGAAACGTTAACTTACCAACGGTGACCTCGACGCCAGCATCGGCAAGGATCTGGACTGTAGGTTTGGTTACGAAGCCCGCACCGAGAAGGAGGGCTTTTTTGGAGGAGTAGCCCAGCTTGGACTGGATGGAGGCGACGAGAGATGCCATGTTTGACGTTGTGTCTGTAACTCTATCTCAATCTCTATCTTGCGAGGACAGATGTTTCGAGAGCTGGAGAAAGTAGGAAACAATTGCAATCAAGGATGAGTCAATTCATCAAATGTATGTCTGCATATTCTGTCCAAGGGCGTCGACCCCCAGAAAATTGTGTCGTCGGAGTCGCGGAGTTAAGCGTCAGTGGCTGCCCCTCGATTGTCCAATGATAAGATATCACATGATTCAATATCTGCTTAGTCATTATCATCCCCCACTGCACTTCTCGTGTCTGAACCATCATACCAGCCTCAGAACTCGACGACTAGGTACTAGTATACCACAACATAGTAGTAGTAGTAGAGGTTTATCTCTGAACAACAAGGGCAAGTACAAGTCAAGGTCAGTACACCACTTCCTCCTACTCTCTACTCATTCAGCTCCTCATATACACCTCTCCTCTCCTCTATCTCTGACCTGTTCATATCCATTCCATTCCATTCCGTCTTGGTGTGCCTACAAACATGGGCGTCCCCCTTCTCGTCCGTCTGCAATCCTACCTAGGACCGCTTCTCCTCCTCAGCATCTCAATCATCTACCTGCCCATAACCCTTCTGTTCCACCCCTTCCTCTTCCTCTTCTCCCCCTCATCCTTCCGGTCCAAATGGTTCGAGAACTTCTGGCGCATCGTCGGCCCGCAAATGGCCGCCTCCGAACTCCAAGCCGAGCATATCGAAGAACTCCTTTCCCGAGCCCACGGCCAGGTCCTGGAACTCGGCCCCGGCGGTGGTGACCAGATATACCATTACAAAGCCGGCCAAGTCGAGACGCTGTACGGCGCCGAACCCAATGCATTTCTGCACTCCCGACTGGCTGAGATGGCGGCCAAACATGGCTTGGGGGACAAATTCGTGGCCATCGACGCCGCTGCGCAACCCGGAAGTCTGCTGCCAGCTTTGAAGGAGGCGCGGTTGGTCTCCAGTAAAACCGCGAGTCTGCCGGAAGAAGGCGTCTTTGATAGTGTCGTCGCCATCAAGTCGCTGTGTTCGGCGCCGCAGGGTCAGTTGGCTTCCACCGTGGCTGTGGTTCAGGCTTTACTCAAGCCGGGCGGAGAGTTTCTGTTCTTTGAACACGTCGAGAATAGTACCGATGCTGTCACCATGTATTATGCTTGGTTACTTGACTGGATTTGGCCGTTGTTTATGGGCGGGTGTCGGTTGAATGGGAAGATTGATAGGGTTGTGTTGGGTATGGGAGGATGGGATGAGAGAAGGGTTACCACGGTAGGAGACTTCCAGGGTCATGAGGTATGTCGGTGCTGCTTGCTGCTTCCTGCGTATCCTGAATGGATCTTTTATCTGTGATTGTGCTGACGTTGCTGAGAATTTAGGTCTTCAGATATGTCAAAGGTATATGCCGAAAAGCATAGAAGAGTCATGTAGTCTCGCAAGCCGGGTTGCTGAGAATGAAACAAAGATGCACAAATGAAGCATCATTCCACAACATATATAGTTTCTACCATGGCCGTGGGAGAAATGTGTGGCATGCATTGGAAGAGGTTCAGGATGACATAACGCCATTGGAATCATTCGACAATTTCACAGGTCAACAGAAAGCGTTGAGATCTTTTCTGAGGAAAGCTTGCTGCAAGGAATCCCGCGATGCGACCAGTTGACACTCGCATGCGCACGCCGTTTTGAACACAGAATGCGCCATCCCATAACACCTTCTCAATATGCAATGATCATCGTCGTCGTAGGAGTAATCCATCTCAAGCAAACAGTGTCTGCCTTTGCGGCAGTTCCGTCTCGTACTCAATCTCCACCCGACCCTGCTTCTTGCGAGGCTTAGCAGGTGGCGCGGCTCGTTTCCTCTTTTTGCCTGAAGCGGGCTGTTGTCCTTCTTCTTCATCATCTTCGTCACCGGTAACTTCTGATCCATCGTCGCTCCCATCTTCGTCTTCGTCGTCGTCGCCAGTACCAGCGCTCTCTCCATCAAACCAATCGTCAAAGTCCTCCATTTCATCGCCACTGGCCTCGACATCGGAGACATACTCGACTTCAGCCTCACCCTCGACTTCGTCTTCGTATTCTTCATCCTCATCGGCCAACTCGTCGCCCTTCTCGGCCCTCTCCAGCCCTCGAAGGACTTTCTTCCACACATTCTCCTCGACGTTGATGGGGCGATCACCATACGCCCCGCTGCGCAACCGATCAATGAGTTCTCTCTCAATCGCCCGCTCGACTTTCGCCGCGCTTTCGGCCTTCCTCTCACGCGTCTGTTCCCGGCGGCGGATCTTGCCGGACAACTTGGGCACCACCTTTTCGCCCAGTCGCTCTTCTTCCTTGGCAAGCCTCCTCTGCCGGATCGCCACTTGCGTCAGCCTGGTCAGCCGTTGTTTGCATTTATGCGTGTAGAATTTCGGCCAGTAGATCAACTTCTCGTCGATCTGGGCAAGAGCCTTTTCGTAGTTGTTGGGCAGGCGGATCTTTTCCCACCATTTCGACGGCAGGTGGGCTCGTTCGGGCGATTTGATGAACAGATACAGTGCCCCAGTCTCGGGGTCGGGACGAACAGTGGCGTAGCGCGAGTTGGCCAGGGGGCATGATTGTCGATTACAGAACCCCGTTAGATTGTATTCGTTGCGGCAGAAGTTTTGTTCTTTGGTGTTGAGTCTGGTGGGAAATTTTTTGTTAGATATTGGAACAGCCAGGGAAGAAAGGGTGGGTTGGTAGCATACTTTAACTTGAACGAGCAGAATTGCTGGTTGATCACCTGCCATACAATCTCGTCGGACGCCATGTCCAAGAGAGAGGGAGATGCAATGGACGAGTAGAGAGAAAGAGTGACAGAGAGAGACGAGGCGGTGGGTGTCTGGACAGTCTCGACTTGCAGGCGCAGGATCGACGAAACAAAATTGTTTCTTTTCAAACTTCGGTCTAAACCAAACACGGCAAACTGGCCAAGATGGATTCTTATCGATAGCTCTTATCGATAACATGACATGTTTAGCATCCATGATCATGGCACGATGTTTGTTAGTAGTGGCAGCTTCAACTCCCTACACTTTCTACCTACCACACAGTAACTGTGAGCCCCTGACTCTCTGTTCAGCTCGAGACTCAACTTGGAATTCTGTCAATGATACCCGCTTAGCATGTCTGGCCAGTACTCTATCTCTCGACTTATGGCACGGACTTCGACCTCCCCCTTACTCGCCTGGTCATCATTGTGCTGGAGCCCCTGGTTCTGGCCGATGCCATTTCGTCCGAATACAGCTGAATGCCATGCTCCCTTTGTTGCCAGCATTTTCCCACTGTGCTGCTGCTGCTGCTGCTTCTTTCCAGCACGGCAAGTTTTGCTGATCTACCCCAAGATACCATTCTGGGAAACAAGATCTTGCACAAACCAGCGAAGCTCTCATGACAAACGTCTCCCAGTTCAAGTTGTTGGCGTGAACCTTGCCACAAGCCATGCCAGATCATTCTCATGCGGTCTGGGCCACTTGGAGTAATACTGCCACCGCTGTTCATCCCTGTCCCATTTGCGACTGGGCACGAAAGCTTCGACACTATAATAGTTGTCACGCATATATATCGGCTGATAGCTCGGCGGACCGCTCCGTTCAAGAAACTCATCTGTTCCCGCTGCAGCCTCCTCGTCTGTGAGGTGGTAAAGGCGCGGTTTCTGAGGCTTCTGCTGCTGCTGCTGTGCCGACGTTGTTCTGTCCTTTGTATCCACACTTGTACTTGTATGTGTGTTCGTCTTATCCCCCTTCCTGCGATATCTCTCCGAGCGGAGAATCGTCCGAGTCGTAACATTCAGGTGGACCTGTAGTATCCTTCCATAAGCAAGAGGACTGTACATGGCCTTCATGACGATCTGGGCGTTTTTCTCCAGCAGCTCTACGTTCCACTCCGGGTTCCGACCACGAGGGATGATGGGAAGTGGTTCGCGACTGTCCAAGTTCGGCTGCCAGTGTGCCAGGTCGAGGATGATGCATAGATTGTTCCACGCCAGGACGCAGCTCATGCATGTGCAGACGGTCGTCGGGTCGATCTGCTTGATATGCTGGTAGGGGTTCTTGTGGATGCGCAGACGGTCCTGCCACTGCTGGCTCAAGAGCGCCGGTCGCGCGCAGTCTGGGACCTTGTCCAGTGTCACTGGAAGTGGGAAGCATTGGCGAAGAACCCAGTAGCGGCGACTCATGACATCCTCGGCGATGGCGTTTTCGTTGTCTAGAACATAGTCTCGCATTGAACGGTTGAGACGCAGTAAGGAGTAGATGTCGCTGGGCTGTAAGAAACTAAGCACCAGCGTGAGCAGCTCCGGTGGGAGGTCAAGGAACGACTGGATTTCTGAGTGGACTTTCCGTGCCGACTGCTTCTTTTCCTGTCGTCGTTGCATGCGAGCGGTTTTCTTGGAATGCAGTGCTAGTTGGGCTGTGGTATCAATCAGGGGTTCGTCATCGGAAGATGCGTGATCTGCTCTTGTATTCGCCGGTTTATTCGCCGGTTTCTTCGTCCGCTTTGGGAGTACACGTACAGCCTTGCCATCGGTTTCGGATCGCGAGGTGTGGCTATGGGTAATGCTTGATGCAGGGCTCTGCGGACGCTCATTGCTTTGCGCGATGTCTGGCCCACGCTTGTCCTCCGCTGCCACAGCCTGCAAGGACGAAGACAAGCCAAGGGTTTCGGCCGGCGTCACTGACTCTTCCCGAGGCGAATATCCTTGATCAGCGAACGTGTCACAGTCTCCCAAGGCTTTGGCCATCCTCTTTCTCGGCCCCGAGGCGCTGAACAGTCAAGTCATGATGCATCGGCATGAACCACACAGACGCCTCTCAATATAGAGTAGAGATCAATGCTAGCGGAATCCAGTGCAGATGGACCTAGTCTATGGTCAAGTCAAATAAGAAACAAGTTACAACTTTGAACGAGACTGAAGGCGAACATCAGGCCTGGCACTATTCCTTTTATGGCGGATGACGTAATGATCAGGCTGCGCAAGGCTGCGAGTTCAGGAACGTGAAAGAAACTAAACAGTAGAAGTACAGAGTAGTCGAGGACTATAGATTGGGCAGATACGATCACCGAGATACAACTATATGACTGATGAAAGCTACATAACATGGCACGGTCACATGTCGTCGAGAAATTGTTCGAATATTGTCAAACCAAAACTGCAGCACAAACTGCAGGGCATGTTGCCTCCTCCCACACATCCAGGACAGCAATACACATCTGATATAAACAGGCTCAACACCGTTGAGCTCGATATGGCAGTGGAGTCTGAGCCGACAAATCCTCGAGCTCTCAACCCTCCAGCAACCACCTCTTCAGGAAATCGGCTTGTGTGCCGGCATTCCTCTCAAAATGAGGGCCAGAATATGCTTCGAAGTGGCCACAAGGCAACAGTTGCAGCTGTTTAGGCTCCTTCGCGCGAGCATATGCTCCAAGCGCCAGGTCGGCAGGTGTGAGCACATCGCCGGACGCGACCGTCATCAGAAGCGGTGTCGGCGCGATCTTGTCAATGAGCTGTTGTGCCTCATAAGAACGGAACAGTTCCAGCCTATATGAAGAGATCAGCACTTATATGACTACAACACAAAAACAGAGCTGGCTTACGTCTTGAGAGTGACTTTGTTCGTCCAGTCCGATTTCTTCTCCCAGGCGGAGAAGAATTCGTAACTATCAGGCGTCGGAAGGGCCGATGGCTGCAAAGGGTTGGCATCGACAACGGGAACATAGCCCGGTTCTTTACCCTCAGCTCTGGCGATCCTGTCTAGGGGACATAAGCATCTGTCTCGTGCCTGACTACGTAGTGGCCAACATACCTGCGGCAAATGCTGCATTGGATCCCACTGCAAAGTCCGGACGGACAAGACGATTGAAGTTATCCCATCCACTCACGCATGGAACCTGACTGAGAACAGCTTTGACCCTTCGATCCACGGCGCCAACAAACAGGACGTGACCGCCACTGTAAGAGGACCCCCAGATCGCGATCTTGTCGGGATTCACTTCTGGCCTCGTGGCTGCATATGTGATGGCGTCAGAGATATCGCTGCATTGAGTCATCGGCACGATTTCATATCTGGGTTCGCCTTCAGCATGATCACTGGCGCCAAACCCGCGGTTATCATAGACCAGACAGGTCATGGGAAGTTTGGAGACGAAATATTCGGCGAACGTGTCGAGGTCCATTTCCTTGAGGGCGGAGAAGCCATGGGACATGACCAAGCAAGGAGACTTGCCTGTGGACAAGTCACCAGTATAGAACCAGCCTCTCAGAGTGACCCGATCACAGGTTTTGAATTCGACATCTTCTCGTCCCATGGTGGGAACGTGCGAGCGGAACCAACGGCTTCTGTATTCAGTATGTTACACAAGATCTCTCAATGGCAAAAGACAATGATGGCCACAACAAAAAGATCAACTTGGATGGGTATCCCACAACCTCGGGTCAGGAAATGGTGGGTGAAGGATAGGATGAGACAGCACAAGGATCAGGGACATGACCGCCTGTCGCTTTAAGGAGAAACGAATCCATCTTCTCAAAGTCCGCTTCGGTTGAACTATCCCGGGGACGATGAGAGATGGCAACGGTGCAATGGTCATGTTCGTCCTTTGCCCCGCATGCGGGAGCGCCCAGTAGCATGTTTAGACTTATCTTCCTGGACGGGGATACTAGTATTCCTCAAAACACCGAGGTGATTGCCGTCGTCTCCAAGAGGGTTTAGACTGACGCACCGATCTGGGTCTGACCGGAACCGCAGAGGCGTTGTTCTGAAGACAAGCGAATGGCATACAAGAAGACGAAGGCCGTTGTAGCCAAAACCAGGTTTAGCCGTTACCAATAAGAGATAGTCGTGGAGGGATTCAAGTTCGGGCCGTGGCGCATTGACGAATTGGAGATGATTCTCCTTCCCAATTGCACCTCGAGCCCGTGTATCACCTGAGGTTGTTTGATGTTTCCGCTTCCATGCTTCTAATGGGGAATCTGTGATCGTCAGGATCCCACCGTAGGTCGGTTGGCAAGACGAGACAGGGGAGGTTAGGGGGATCAACGGCGTGGACCTAGCAAACAGGAACCTGCATCGTGCCAATGCATGCAGGCGTGTATGACAGGTCTGAACCTGCCGGATGGTCGAATATCAATGGACAGTAGAAATAACCTCTAGTCTTGGTCGGCTGGTCACAGCCACTGGCTGTCAGAACGGCATGGCATGTCTTGTTATCGACGTCGAAGTCTTGATATGTTGTTCGCTTCTGACGAAGGAGGCAACCGTGTTTCTGGGTGTACGACAGATTGGTACCGAATAGAGATTTTACAGGGGTGTACGATGAAGGATGGAAGATGGAAGATGGAGGGAATCGAGATGCAAAGATGCAAAGATGCCTGCGCAGGCAGCAAAAGGAGCAGTCACGTGATTGAGAACCCTCTCTCAGGTGTTTGAAGCTTGAAGCTTGATACCACGGGCATTTTTTGACAACTGCATGCATAGTCCTGACTTGATGTGTTCTACTATCTTCCGGTATCGACAGGTCATGCCACGCCTGGCAGCAGACACGCCGTACGGACAGTCCAATGGACCATGTGTCCGTCGGCGACCGTCAAGCTGAACCTAGAGTCCTTGTCCTCAGATTCACGTCGATCGGCTCCGGCCTCCACCTTCCTCGCAGTTGAAGGCAGAATATATATGTTCGACATTCAGCCTTCTCTGTGATGACTCAGCCTGTCATGCATCGGTGGCATATCTCCTCATCCGCTACTCGACCCAGCGCTGGCCTACCTGTTGTACTGGTCTCCATCGGGCTGTCGACCAGATATGAGGGAAGGCCATAGCAACGCGTTTGAAGATAGGAGGGGTAAGACCTGATCCTGAGATTGAAGCAGAGCTTCTCAGATTGACCATGCCGTCCCCCAATGGTGACCGCCGAGGAGCGGAGAACAATATCCAGATGCATGTTCACCTGCTTTGGACATCACTCATCTTCCTTGAAAAGTGACTGGATGCGTCTCACGATATCTCTGGCGTCGTTAAGCCTGTTGCAGTCCGCATCGTCCGCATCTCCATCGATGCTGCGAGAGCAGATATAGGAACCGATGCCCCCGTATCTAAAGAGTTCCAACTCCCACTGACCCACGTGGTCAACTTTCTGATATCATACTGACAGTGTTCTTGTCAAATTGCTGCGACTGAACTCCCGTCGTTGGCTGCCAAAGCAACCATGTCGCCCACAGCCATTTGTGCACGGCGAAGACACAACTGGACTTGGCAGTTAGACGATGCCAGTCTTTCCAAGCATCCGCAATACTTCTTATCCTTCTTTCCTATAGCATGCCTCCCGAACATACCGTCACCCAAAGAAGAGCGAGACGCGGAGCCACTTGCCTTATCCAAGGAGATTATCTAGGCGTCTGAACGCTCGGAAGCGAACTCTGATAAGGAGTCCTCCAGTTTCGAGTTCCGAGGCGGAGAACGGCGACGGACTCCACCTCCACGGATTGATTGATTGATTGATGTTATGCTCTTAACAGCAGGCTGTCCGCAGAATGTCAAGGATATAAATCAGCCCAGGTCACGAGCGGACTTGGAAGTCCTAGCCATAGCCTCGTCTAGGCGGTACTCCTAGACACCGAGCATAAATGTCTTCCACCTACGATGTGGTGGTCGTGGGCGCCGGGCTGTCGGGCCTTCAAGCAGCATTGACCCTCGACGCCGCTGGTCTTCGGTATATCGTCCTCGAGGCTCGCGATCGCGTAGGAGGCAAGACCTTCACGCTGCGCTCGCCGGAGACCGGAGCAGTCCAGTGTGATCTAGGCGCGGCGTGGATCAACGACAGCAACCAGAGCCGGATGTGGGCGCTGGCCAACGAGCTAGGACTGGAGACGTACGTACAGAACACGGCCGGGAATGTCGTGGTGCAAGATTTCGACGGGAAGCTGGTCAAATTCCCGTATGGCCAAGCCCCCGAGGTCAGTGTTTCCCTTTCCCTTTCGTTCTCTTCTCATTGACCGTTGATATCTTATGTATCTACGTCTTCGGTGGTAGAGTATGATTGATTGACCGTCGAGCATTAGTATCCTTCGGCAAAAGACACAAGATCGTGCATCAGCATCCGCGATGAAGTCGAAAGACTCTCATTGACACAGTCGCCCTCCATCTTGTCGGCCGGGCCATACCGCCAACACCTAGACAGCATGTCGTTCGAGACGTATCTGCGGAATGCAAAGGTGACGGAAAAGGCGTTCGCGACCGCTCAGGTCTGGACGCACGCCATGCTCGGCGTGGATCCGTCTGAAATGTCTGCGCTGTATTTCCTCGAATATTGCGCCGCGGGAGGGGGATTGATGACGATGCGGTCCGACCAAAAGGGCGGCGGACAGTATCTTCGCATCCGCCAGGGCATGTCGGCGTTCGCGGAGGGAATGGCCGGCAAGCTGCGTCCTGGGTCGGTCGAGCTGAGTAGTCCCGTGGCAAGCATTACTCAAAAGCCCAATGGCACGGTGTCTGTGACCACCAAGGGTCCTTTGTCGCAAACATATCAAGCTCGCAAAGTCATCGTTTCCGTTCCCACGCCAGTCTACAAGACCATCACATTCAGTCCTCCTCTGCCGCCCTCCAAGACCGCGGTAGTCAACCGCACCCGCTATGGCTTCTACACCAAATACATGGTGACCTTCAGCAAGCCGTTCTGGACGGAGAGGAAACTGTGCGGCCTGGCCCAGTCTTTCATCGGTCCCGTTTCGGTGTTCCGGGATACCAGCCTTGGTGACCAGAGTTACTGTCTGACTTGCTTTCTGGGTGGACAGTTCGGCCGGAAATGGGCGGCCCAGGATGCCGAGGGCAAGAAGTCATCCGTCTTGAAACAGATCAGTGATGTCTTGGCCGATGGTCAAGATGTGACGCCGTGGTTCATCGAGGTGCACGAATCGCCCTGGATGGAGGAAGAATACTCTGGCTGGGGGTGTCCTTGTCCGGTCATGCCGCCAGGAGTGTTGGCCGATGGCTGGGGAGCGTTGTGTGCACCAGCAGACAACCTTCATTTCGTCGGGACCGAGTTGAGTCCGGTGTGGAGAGGATATATGGAGGGCGCCGTCACGAGCGGCGAGAAGGGGGCTACGGACGTGATTGCAGAGTTGAGCAGGGATGAGGTGAAGGCAAAACTATGACATTCTGAGGTGGATAGTTGAGGCCACAAACCTCGCATAACGCTGTCACCACTACTTACTGATAATAGAGAGAAGATAAGTGAGGTATCTCATACGTACCTTATACCTAGAACCCGGTGGTCTGTAAGCTCGAAGGGAAGGATCCTCCCATCCCCTGGCAGGTAGTTTCGTACAGAGGAAATCACATCCAACTTCCGCATTCCAGACTGAGATCTCGGAAGCCTTGATGCAGAAAGAAAAATAGTCTCCTTACGACATTCAGGTTGTTCTAATATCTAGGAAAGTATAGTATCTTATGCAATGGACCGACGCTAGGACAATAACCTAGTTTCGCATAAACCTCAATACAGATTAGCTCTGCTTATTAGATGTTTTTCGTCAATTGACTATACTGCTTCAATCACCTACCATTGGATCGATACCACTTTAGTACTCCCCTTTATTTACTCAACGCCTGTTATCAGTTCTTCAATCTTCAAACCCTTTTCGTCCTAATCGATCATTGACCACCCCCATCCTATATTCGTCCTCCTACTAGTACTCCTATACCAGAACAGCAAAACAGGTAAGCAACCAAGCAAACCTCACTTCGAAAGGGACATGAACATTCCGTTCAACTTCAACTACATAACATGCCAATGCCAGCCAGACCACTACACGAGGCAAATGGCTGGCTTCTTTATGACGTGGACGATATTAATATATTCAAAGAGATCATTCACCACTGGCATATCATGACATTCACCATTCAATAACTCTCGTTCTATTTTGACTTACTTACTGTCTTTCTCTCTCAACGACCACATACCTAAGGTATCTGTAGATACCTTATACCCGTCGAAACCAGGAAGGAAGTACGTATTTTGGTGTCGGTGTCAGGATTACCATGACCACCACAGCTCAAAATCAAGATCCCTCCTCATCCTCATCTTACCAAACCCTCCTCTCCCGCCTCACACCCCCATCTCTTCCCCACGACCCTCTCTCCCTCCCAACTTCCCCCTTGAAACCACATCTCCCAGCGACCGAAATCGCATCCCTGCAACTACATCCGGTCATCGAGTCGGCATTACACATCCTCAACCACGATCTCCCCGCGGCGCATTTCCTGCTACGACACATGCAGGCCCCGCCGGCATGGGAGGCGATGTATTTGCATGGGATCCTGCATCGGGTCGAAGGGGACGTGGACAATGCGAGGGCATGGTATGGTGAGGTTGATGGGGTGGAGGTTATGGAGGTTGTTTGGGGTCAAGTTCAACATCAAGGGCAAGATCAAAGTCGCCATCAAAGTCACCATCAAGGCCAACATCGAGGGCAAGATCAAGGCCAAGGGCAAGATGGCAAACAGCACAAAAAGGAAAGGGAAAGAAAAGGCCAACTACTTCGCACTCTTCAGGATCCGCCGTGTCATCAGCGACAACAACCTGACCCGGACTCTCGTCGTCATCACCATCACCATCATCATTCTCGGTCTCGTTCTCGTTCACAGGCGATGGAAAGAGCATTGTCGTTTCTCGACCGTGTCGAATCATATAAATCCTCGCTTCGGAGAAAAGGATCACGGTCAGATTCGAATTCAAATCCAAATTCCAGGCCACGTTCCCCTTCAGATCGGGCCTTTTCGACGGGCCCTCGTTCGGGTGTCATCCCCTCTGAACCGTCCAAGCCTCCCCAGTCTTCCTTGTTATCATCGTCATCCTTGTCATCATCATCGTCAATACCACCACAACAGTCTCATTCACAAGACCATCCCAATTCGAACCGCACTTTTCCCATGCCATCCGAGGCACATACACATTCCTCCCTCGGCGATCTCTCTCTACAAGAACTCCTCCGCTTCCTTTCGTACTGTGAAGCCAAGTTCGGCACGGACCGGGTGGTCGATGCGTCCGGGATCTGGGTCTCCATGGCCGACAAACATAAGGACAAGGCCGCGGATATGATCACCGGAGGCGAAGGTTGGAGGGAATTTTGAAGGCCTAGAAAAGAAGGCAGGTCATTGCGTCTCTCATCATCGTGTTCTAAGGTGGCATGCTCTAATTGTAACTCCCGGGACACACAGAAGACTGTTGACCGGACCTGGCGACCCACCGAGCAACAGTTGACGAGTATTACTGAACATACGAATCAAAGCCATAAAAAACAATAACTGTCACAATAAAAGGGAATCGAAGCAATAACTAATTCAGTTGTTCGAAGTAAAGCTATGAGTGATCATTCTCCATCAATCCTCGATGAGTCTCCACCATCAATGTTCGGCTTGAAGGAGCGGCATTTCGTAACACATGAAAATAGGGTATCGCATGTCTGTTTGTCCTCCGCGCGATGCAGTTTTCCGATACTGGCGCACCCGTCGTACAGCCGAGAAATCATTTCTTCTCACCAGAAGAGATGGTATTGGCAAGATCTTCAAGAAAGGTCAGTATCACTGCATGACGAGGTGTGGGGTGGAGATGTGTATTTACCTGCGGCAGTTTTACTAGCACTGTTCAATGCATTGGCAGCCATGTCTTGGGCCTGTTGCAAGTAGCCTTTGCCGGCTTCCTGTGCTGCACCAACATTTTCACTGGCCTTCTGCGAGACGTTTGAAGCAGTGTCTTGCGCCTGTTGAGTGACATCGGAGGCCGTCTCTTGAGCTTTCTGCGTGTAGTCTGAGGCAGTACCCTGGGCCTGTTCAAGATACTCTTTACCGGTATCTTGAGCGGTAGCAGCATTGTCACTGGCTTTCTGCGAAACGTCGGAAGCAGTCTCCTGTGCCTTCTGGGTGTAGTCGGATGTGGTGTCTTGAGCCTTCTTAGTCACGTCGGAAGCAGTATCTTGAGTCTTCTTAGTCACGTCGGATGCAGTGTCCTGTGCCTTCTGGGTGTAATCAGATGTGGTATCTTGGGCCTTCTTGGTGACATCGGATGCAGTATCTTGACTCTTCTTGGTGACGTCGGATGCAGTATCTTGACCCTTCTTGGTGTAGTCCGAAGCAGTACCTTTTGCCTGTTGCAAGTAATCCTGGCCAGATTCTTGTGCTGCACCAGTCTTGTCACTAGCCTTGTCTGCGTAGCTAGATGCCGTGTCTTTAGCGTCTCCAGTAGCGGAAGACAGTTTGTCGCCGGCAGTGTTGGCGTGGGAATGAGTCTCGTCGGAGAGTTTCTGGGTCGTAGACTTGCTATCTCCTATAGAACTTGTCAGCTTTGAGAGTTCAACGACGGAGCGAGCGTAGGGGCGACGCACCTGGCTGCGCCGTTCCTGCAATGCTGTCGGCAGTGCCACTGGCAGACTCTTTGGTCTTGTCGAAAGTGGACTTCTGGGAGTCGGGAATGACCTTCTCTTGGACCTCTGCGAGTCAAGTTAATTGGCTGTAGAGTGTAGAAGATACAACTCGACTTACGATCGGTCAAGGGCTTGCGGGCGGTATCGGACATGATGTCGGTGGGATAGTTGTTAACTCTGGATGTTCGGTAGTAGTATCGAGAAGAGGGATGGCTCGATGAGTGAGTGAGCGTTGAGTTGAAGGTTTGCAGTAAAGTAATAACAGTGGAATGGCTGACGAAAGAATTGGATGGATGGTGGTCAGAAGAAGGAAAAGCAGGTAGGCAAACAGGCAGAAGGATTACCTAGTACTACCGTAGGTAGCAGTCTGTTCTTACCTCGTGCCAGTGCCGTGTTTCAAGTTTCTTGCATTCACTTCCTGCCGTCTGTTACGTGCGTTTACGCAGGGAAGGCACGAAGGAGTAAAAGTGATGCAATCCGCAAAACAGTTTGACGTCATTGTAACACGCCGCAGCGCAGGCAGGGAAAACAATCCCATGCAGCAAACATGTGAAAGAAAATACTCACAAGACCAACTTGTCGACCAACACTCGATGCCAATGATACCAACATCAGCAATGGCATCATTTATGACCTGCAATCCCTGATTCAAACCTGAACTAAATGGGGTATTCGCCTGCGCCTGCTCAGAAGACGGACGCTCTCTTCCAGCCAGTGACAACCGCCCCCCGTGTCTCCTGCATCACTGCATCATTACAATTATCAAGCGCCATGGCATAACGTGATCTGACCTTTCCCAACGCGCATTGGTCGGCATAGCTGCTCCTCATCTTCAATCGACTCGCAACCTCATTGTTCATCCTCAAGGGCAGGTTGCTTCCCTGTACTGCCGAGGTCTGCCCCCTTTCCACCATATTCCTTGGGTATCAGGTCACCCAGTCCCTTGACCGAGCTGCTGGTGAATTCTTTGGAGAGATTGGCACCGTTGCTCATGGGATGGAACTTCTTCAGAGTCTTGGGAGCCACAAATAGCTTCATCAGCCCGTAGACGAACCCCATCAGTGCCGGAACGTTGACAAAGAACTTCTCCTTCAGCAGCTCAGGATAGTTCTGCGCAAAAATCTCGATGGTCTTCGTGCTGGCGGCCTTGACTGAGGATGACTGACGCAGGAAGCTGATCGACTTATAGTCATGGACCTGGATGATCTTGTATGGATCTTGCTCGGCAGTGATGGGCTTGGTGGCTTTGGAAATGTCAAGCGACTGAAGAGCCTCTTCCATGAGGGCCACTCTCCATTGGATGAACCTATGCCATAGTCAGTCATAGTCCTCTGTGTCGGAGCTGGCTTGGCTTATACTTACTCGTCTACGTTGCCAAAGGTCTCGTCCATATGCTTGACGCTGCCATAGATGTTCCAGGTGATGACCTCCTTGGCCTCGGGCTCAGGTGAATCGGCCGCTCCATAGACAGTCACATAACCCAAGCCCTGGAATTTGCTGCGGTTGAACTTCTTTTTCAGCAACTCCAGAGGCTGCATCTTGGTCCGCCAGTCGAGTGTCTTCTTAAGTTGGTCCTTGGCTTTGGCAAGATCCCCGTCATTGGCATTGAGGTATTTCTGCAGCACAATCTGAGTAGGGATGTGGCTGGCTGGATCGGCGAGAGTCACGCCCCAGATTTCGCCATGGCCGTGACCTTTGACAAGAGCCCAGAGTTCCTCAATGGGGGTCACAGCCTTGGCCACCGGCACCTCATTCTTCTCATCCTGTTTACCTGCCTCGCGTGTTGTCGCAGAAGCAGGGCTGGTCGCCGCCTGGTTTGGTTCAGCTGTCAAAAAACCTCAATTCTATAAGGTCAAGGATTGCAGACGTACAGCAGTTGGAGCCGCGTCCTGAACAGGCTTCGGTTCTTTCGTGTCCGAAACGACGGACGAGACCTCTCCCGGGAGAGTGGTGTTGTTGGGCGCAGCGGTTGTGTTACCGCTAGCCATGTTGACTGTATTCAGCACACGGAAAAGAGAGTCAGGATGCCGGGACTTCCTCGGCGACTTTGAAGCGTCGGTTCAATCTTGTGTTCGGATTGTGCTCAACGCCAAGTGCAAGTCCTAGAGGAGGTGCGGTGGGTATGCGGCGCCGTGTAGTACTTCGTTCACAAATGCACCGGATTGTGCTCGCCGCAAGACAAAAACACGTATAGGAGCGGGTAAAAGCAAGAGTTGTAAAAGGAAGCAACGGCGGCAATGCACTCGCGTGGTTGCTGAATGCTACAATATCAAGAATCAAGCCGATGCAGAATAAGCCTTGCACTTTGATGATTTGAAGTTGGTAGAAGTCGTAGAAACAGATGGATGCTCATAAAAGGGGATGCCTGATACCGGGCCTGCGTAATCTAATCTGATCAGCCCGGAGTTGTTGTCCGATTATCACCGAGACAACCACGTGCCTCCACGTGATCGGCCCAAGCAAGATTGAAGGGGCGGAGCAGTAGAGTATGGTATCTGTATACCTACCTACTACATGTACCTATAAGGTATCAGGTAGGTAGATTTGTACTTATGGCGGACAAGCAGGTGGCTAGGTCTAGGTAGGTATCTGAGATCCTTACTAGATAGCGTGTGGTAGCCAGTGTGATGAACGAGAGACAACGAACATAACATCTTCTCCTTCTGGATCAAATCTGCTGCAGTGTCCAATGTCTCTAAACTCGCCATTGTATAGGTATCTATGTATTATCCGCTTCCGAATGCTGCCTCGTCCGCCCAGTTCGGGACCGTCTCTCTTCTCAATAACAACATCAATGCGTCTGCAACCCCGGGTATACGAGTAGTCCCCTTTCTATGTCATTGCAAACCAAATCATCCTGGTATCCAGTCTTTGAAAATCAAAAGCCAAGTGCGCACTTCTGCTCGATGCTCTTTATACCCAAGCTCTCGAGACAGACGCGGTGATATCACGTTGTAAAAATCACAATGTCGCAGACGACAAATCCCACCATTATATCCGCATTGCAAAAATCAGAACTCTCGACCAGATCGAAACTGCCAACCCCTGCCGTTTCTTCTGCGCTCCGCATCCCTCCGAAGGGATGGGTTGTAGGTTGTAGGTTGAAGGATGAAAGATTCGTATATCGCATGGTCATCAAGTCGTATAACTGGAGCTAGGGATATCAAAGGAGTTGGGAGAACGGTCGACGTGCTCTATGTGCGCACGACAAGAGTTCAAAAACAAAAAGAAAGGCGTACAGGCTTGGCATGGCAAGGCCAACCAGTGCCCATGTCGACGGCCAAAAGTCCCGGGAACAATCATCACAAACTCATGGTCAGCCATTCCCACTCTTGGCTGTTGCCGTGCGGGCCTCCCGGCACGTTTTGGACGCCGGCATTGAGCAAACCATTTTGCATCACAGAAGCCATGGTAGTGGCCCCAGCCGTAGAGGAGATGCTGGTGGCTCTCGTACGGGGATCAGGTGCCTGACTCATGGTGGGTGTTGAGTGGCTGGCCTCCTGCATCTCGGTTTCAATGGGTGACCCTGAGTTCACGGAGTTTCCAGAAGTCACAGATGTTCCTGTCATAAGAGGCAGAGTGGTGGTAGAGGTCCGGGATTGCCTCCTCTGACGTTTCGGCGTCACCTGGACAGGTCGGGCCATATTAGGACCAGGTTGGACAGGTGGTTTGGGGGGTGCCGCAGCGATGGGCACAACCCCAGGTTTGCCTCCTGTCGTGCCGGAGGGATAGGTGGTTGGCGGGGTCATAGCGGATCCGGAATGGATGGAGCCTTGTACCGAGGCGGGGGAGGCCGAGTTTTGCTCACTTGCAGCGTTGGCTGAGGTAGGAGTCGTTGCTGGAGTTTGGACAACCGAATTCTTTCGAGATGCCTTCTTCGAGGCCCGTGTCGCTGCCGAGCCCATGGGCATTGTCGTGCCGCTTCCGCGGTTACGCTTCTTGATGACATCCGTCTTCAGCGACAGGGGACGCACAACACCATGCAGTTTGAGGAACAGCCCGCAAGCATTACAGAGGGGGTGACCTTCTGGGTTCCGACGCCACAATGGTGTAGTCTGAGTGAAACAATTCGTGCAGGTTGTTGGCACACCGTTCTGGTCGGTGTTCTTAGGACCAGGGCTGCTGGGTCTCGATGGCTGCCGACTGCTGAACGCGGACTCCGCAGGAGAGCTGTGGTTGGACTGCATCTGATGGTTCGAGAGCGCAGGTGTCGACGTCGTCCTCGGGATCTTTTGTCTCCTTGGGTCCGGATCACGATTGCGGATGTCGCTGATCGAGGCTGCCGAACCGTGGGTCCGACTCAACATCGAAGAGCCCCAGTCCGGTGGTGAGTTCACCATCTCGGTGCCGCCAATTCGAACCTGTTTTCCTGAGCCATATCGCGGCATGCTGCCGAAATCAGTGACATTCGGATCCCATTGCAAACTCGAGCTGAGGTCTAAGGTTGGGTCTCCCATCTGACCGTATTCTGATTGCATCATTAGACTTGGGTCCCCAAAGTTGCCCTCCTCATCTTCTTGGTCCGAGTCGGCTCCAAAATGGAACATGTTGTCATTTCCAGCCATGGATACTCCGGGCGACGGTCCATGTCCATACTCTGGAACAAGAACGCTCGAGGGATCGACGTGTTGCTGCATGGAGAATCCGCTCATGGCTGGCGCCGAGCCGACGCCGTTCATAGCAGTATAGATCTGTTCATTATTGGGCCCATAAGCAAATTGAGATGCCAGAGGATTCATCAGATGATTAGGCCTCTGAGATGGGTAAAAGGACATCGCCCGCGGATGACTACCCTGATCAAAATAATACTGGTTAGAGTCGTTTTCCTGACCGGGCTGAGGCGTCGACACGGCCGATTGGTAGCCAGACTGGGGCGGTGAGTAGATATCGGTGGAAGTCAAGGAGGAGGCCATCGAGGTTTGGGGGTACATGTTTGAGAAGGGGCCATTAGTCACCATTGGCGAAGCGGCAGGAGAGAAGGCGAGGCTGTGTTGGAAAGGGCCCGCGGAGGTGAGAATGGGGTCATCATTGAGGTGGACAGAGTCGAGATGCAGGGCCATTTGGCCCTGGAAATTAGCCTGACCAGTATATTGTGGTGAGGTGTGTTGGTCAAGAGCATAGTCAGGAACAGCATGATCCATCTCCGAGTGACCTGTACCATTGGGGACAATCAATGGAGGTACTTGGGGAGAGAACTCGGCCGGTCGTTTTCGGTTCTGAAAGCAAAGTTAGTAGAGCCCCCTGCAAAGGAACAAAAATGGAGGAACTCACTCCTCTTCTTTCATCAATACTGGTCTTTCGTACTCTTTTCGGTACATAGTCGAATTCAGACGATCTGTGTATGGGGACTGATGTTTGGGGCATAGAGGCAGCAGGCAGCCCCTGCGGGATCTCGACTTGTGGCTTCTTGCGTGTAGCAATTGGAATCCCTCCCGCTTGTTCCTGCCTCTGGTCTTGCTGTCCGGAGGAGTCGGGTGAAGTTATGCCGGAAGGCGAGGCAACAGAACTTGGCACGATGAAATCGTCAAGGTTCATGGGATCAGAGGGATGCATGTGCTCGTGCTCGTGCTCCTGTTCATATTCATGCTGACTGGGTTGTGCAGATTGTTCGGCGGAGTTGTCGATTGACTTTCGTAGTTGCTGAGCAATGCCACTGGGGGCAGAGGTCTGCGGAGTCGGCTTTGGTTGGGCTTGCTTTGCACTAAAGAAAGCGTCAGTGCCGGCCATGCGATTGTCGCTGCCGGAATGGGTGTTGTTGGCATACGCTGCTTGCATCTGCTCTCGACGGCGAAGGTTCATCGCCATCATCCGCCAGGTCAAGTTCTCCATGCGCTCTTGATTGGGAAGACGAGACTTTGTCCGGCTGTAGAGTTTCCAGATCTGAGTGCCTAATGGATCCTTCTTTTGTAGCTCTTCTGGACTCTCCACGTCGGTGGAATGAGCCTCAGTCTTCCACTCTGGGAAGACGTCGTCTCGAAGTAGCGACTCATCGCGAGTCAAAGACTGGGATGTGGCGAGATCCAGATTGGTACTGGTGAACTTGTTCGAGTGAGTGGTGTTGAGGTTGAAGGTGGCTGTGGAGGAGTAGTTGGTGGGTGAAAGGTCGGCGGAGGTATTTCCAGTCAGAGCACCGCCTAGGCTGGACCAAGTCGAGGAGTCGGTGTCGTCGAGACTGGAGGAGGGCTGAGGTGCGAAGAAATGAGAGAGGTCGGCGTCGGAGTGGAAGGCGGAGGTTGCGCGAGAAGCTGCAGTTCCCCCACGTTCTTCATAATCCGCACTCGACATTACCGGGGTCGATAGGAGTTGTCGCGTGCAGCAGGCTGGATTGGAACAAACAATGGCGAGGGTATCATCAGCAACTGAGTCGAGGGAGGTACGAAATAGTGAGGCAGGTGTAAATGGTCGGCAACGAGTAAGAAGTAATTGGCAGCAGAAGAGGTATTAGTCGTGAGGGCGGCAGTGTCATCACCACGAGACGAAAAAGTCGGCAGACACAGACAAGAAGTATGGGATGGAAGCGTCCTTACAGGCGGGAGGGCGCAGGTAAGAGAGGCACGCAACCTATGAGATGAGGGACAGGGAGGCGTCGAGCGATGGATGGATGGGATGGTCATGGCGCACACAGGTGGGCATGGGTAATGCCAGTATGCGTCAAGTGTGGGCAGGGTCAAGCCAGATGGTGCGAATGGCGCGCCGGCCTAGTGGAGGAGGACTGGAGCGGACTGGAGCCCTGGGGGGGCAATCATCTTCTTGATGGGAAGAACGGGTGTGGACGCTGGTGTTTGGAGCGCGCTGGGCGACTCGGGGGTTGAGATGATGACCGGACAAGCTACGAGAAAAGGTTTAGATGAGCGGGAGGAAAGGTTAGAAATTGTGGACGAGGCTTCCGGCTCGAGAGTTCAATTCACCTGTACCATGCCCTCACACGTTGTTGTGGCGGTGGGCATGGGTTGACTGCCCTCACGAGACTGAGCGAATATTCTCACCATGCTTGCTGCGAGTACAAGATATCCCTTGCAGAGTCACGGTTTGTCGCAGGTACCTAGGTACTTTTTCTGCGGACGAGGCGACGAAGAATCCCCGAGAAGGGACAGATGGGAGATCGAGTCTCGCGCCCAGGGTCTCTTGAGCGTGGCGCTGGGTCCTGATCCCCTTCACTTTGGAGATGATGAACGACAGGCTACTACTCCATACAGAGTAGGTCCCAGAGTCCTGTGGTTCACTGCCGGCTTGGTGTGTGTGTGATTGACATTGCATTTTGCCTCTCTCCAGAGCTGAGTGGTATCCCGTCTCTTCTGTATGGCTGGAACCCAATTGGTACTTCGGGAAGGCTATGACCGAGTCATGGTCGGCATGGCGCCGGTCGGTACCAGAGGAGGAGCTAAGGCCAGAGCTGGAGCCAGCCAGAGGTCGACCGGGGGGACGGTGAGGGATTCGAGAAAGCAGTGGTGGATGCACCTGAGACGTTGGTACCAGAGGAGAGTGGGAGTTTGTGGGACAAGATGGCCATCATTCGTCCAAAGAAGGTCAATTCGACTGTGCTGATGCCACTACCACTGATGGGAATAATCATCACTGGGGGGTAGAGGATATGTGTCGCAGGCAGCCCAGCAACGATCGAAGGGCCGACTGAGGGTCAATCCGACCCTCAATTCTTCCCTCAGACACTGGCAGAACCCGGAGTCGCCTGCTAGTGGGAGGACACCAGAGTTTCGGCGGGGCCTTGATTTGGCTCACCACGAAATAACGAGGGAGGTGGCAGGTGGCAGGCCCCAGGCTGACCTGAGAGACAGCATCTGGAGGGGTTGGAGGGCCGATGGAGCCACATTAAGCGGCCGAACGGACTGCTGTGTTTGGTGAGGCCGGTCGGTTACTGTAGGCGGGTAAAAAGTAGGGGAGGTAGCTTATAATTAATTCCAGGCCCATAAAAAGATGGATCCCAGGGCTAGGGCCCTAAGTCGGGCGTCGAGTGCCTGGTAGCGTGGGTCGGTTTAGGCGTGGCTTTGAACTGTGCGACTGCCAGTGCGTGAGTGGTGGGCGTCTGCATCTGCCATCCTGCAGGTTCGTTCCCGGGCTCGGCCTAACAATGGATCTGCCATTAGCCATTACTACACCATGTTATTTCATTAAACTGCCGCCCGCGTGGGAGAGACAAAGACGTGGACGTGAACGTGGACATGACGGTGACGGTCGACAGTTTCTCTGGATACAATCGTGCTATAACGGATTGTGGCCGGGCGGCAAGCAGAGGCTTCCTAGTGAGGGAGACTACCCGACACACAAACCTCAACCACCTCTGCGTGGGTTGACCTCGGTCTAAACGGCCAATATCGAGTGGCCAGAAGAATGTGACAGACGGAAAAGCCACCCAAAGAGCGTGCACGTCCATCGGAACTTGCTACTCGTTGGGAGATGCAAGGACATTGAAGTTGCATGCAGAGACAACGTGAGTGCACACTCCGGAAGAAAAGATTTGTGGTACATCCCTCAGTAGTACGTAGCATGAGGCAAGAAAAGTCATCGGGTCAGCGTCTCATAGGACGTCTACCACCACCAAAGACGGGTGGGAGAAGTCGAGAAGTGGTGGTGCATGTACAGGGTACGTACTACTGTGGTGGAAGCATGTCCCATAGGACATCGGGTATAATGGAGTACGTACCTACCCTGTACTCTGTACTTCAGGGATTCATGAGAGGTAGGTACCTACTACTAGTGGTAGGCTGTTTAGCTTGTGAAGCCATGGGTGCAAGTGTTCTTACCAACCTACTACAGACTACCTGTTGTAGAGAGGGTCCAGAAGAATCCACACCCTCGTTTCTATAGACTCCACTACTAAACAGCTCTCAGGAGTCAGCATCCCAAGGCTACTCTGAGTCTGTACTAGTATGATAGAAATGCCACGGCCAGAATACCCGAGACAGGCTGTTGAGGAATGAATAACCGTGAATTACTTCTGGTTATTTGTTATGGTTTCCTACTATCGTCATGTCGGAGGACAATCTGTGGACATGGCATCGAAGTACAGGGGTACGTCTTGCGACTCGGGCCCCTTAGGGTCTGGCCTGCAGTTCCTCGAGCATTGTCTAAGGTACCTCGGTAGGTAGTAGACAAGTAGCTACTACCTAGGAGGGACAGAATAGTAGATGACTACCTTACCCTCGTAGGTATGCTCTCCCTACTCTCTACAACAGAGTATCTCTGCCTGCGCCTGCGGTTGCGCCTACTCCTACTACTAGTATGTCGGGCGAGGACGGGCGCCAAAGGCATCCAACGCCGTAGTTAACAGTCCCTAACTTTGAAGGTAGCACTACAGCCTTCCGTGCAGCGCGTAGACAGCAATGGTACCTCTTTCCCCATACAATTTGCCACGGCGGAGCTGGTACCTCCTTGTCTTCTGTACCCTTTGCTCCTCTCTCATCCCTCCTTCTCCGTGCCCAGCGACATCGACCCCTCGACGGCCGCAGTCTAAACGCTCCTACCTGCTAACTAATCTGTACTCCAGAGTTCGGCCGTCAATCAATCAGTCCTTCCTCCAGCCATGTCCATCGACTATCCTCCACAGGACTACTCTGACTGAACTAAAATGATTGACAAGATGATCGCAATTTCCTCCTCCTCATGGCCGCCCCCAAACACCACCATTCCCCAGGCGTCCATCTTTATCCTTACGCTGTCATGCGCCCTTCACGTCCCCGCGGTACCTATCCGATCCTCTTACCAAAAAACTAAAATAGTACCCAGCACTGTGGTGACAATAATGTGGCACCCCGGTCACAAGAATTAGCGAATTCCTGGGATCGGAAGCGTTCCTAGAGGGGACTGACTGTCAAGCAACGAGCTGCAGGGTGCCCAGTGCAACCCTGTCGATTTCCATTCCAACAAGGCTTCAGCCAACCATGAATCAGTCATCCCACTTCCGGCCTTTGGCACCGAAAGGCTTTGGGTGAATCACAGCCCGGGAAATCCATCGGACCCTACCTAGGAGCCATGTCGCCGCGCCTGGCTCGTGCCACGGCACCAGATGCATAACAGCGCTGTGCCACCGAGTACGTTGTGTATGCACTGCTTGACCCGTGGTTCCTCCTCCAAGAACGAATGGCCGTCTAGACTGTTGAAGCTTCGAAAGGAGCCAAGCACTCAAACCTGACACCAAAAGTATGCCATTTTTCGAAGTCAGTGGAAGTTCTGGTCTGCATGCGGCGTAAGATCATCAAAGCATGTGCTTCGCTTTCCTTGACTACATATCCATTCACCTCACGCGGGTCCGACATTTTGCCTTCGCTCCATCGCCGGCGGCAAGTCACGCCCGCAAATATTCCACTTCTAGAGCTTCCAGCACATGGAGCCGCCAATGTCCTTCCTCGTGTTCGCCCTTCTAGAGTCCAACAATAACTCTGGTGGAAAGGACCCAGTCTCCGATTATTCCCGGCCACTCAGGGTATCGCAACAACGACTGGAGAACACACATGGTCTCTCTCTGGCAGTGTTCCTCCTTTAGGCTTTGGGCTACTGGCGATTTCGATCCACCAGTGGCATGGTTCCTGTTAGAAAAGCGACAGGTTTCAAACAATGCCATCAAACAGATGAATCAACTATCAGTTGGAACCAATGCAGCTGAAGTAGACCTCGATGTAAGGCTTCGTGGACCGGGCCTGGCTTACTACTTGTGATACAGCAGACCTTGCAAGTCCTGCAGGCCGCTAGACCGCCGTCGACCTGGCCTCGAAGTGGGCCAGAGCCATGGTGTCTACTCTGTATGCCGGCTGCAAGACCCTCGACATCTGCGCAGTGTAGATCCCGACGAGCAAGGAGTGATAGACTCATAAAGGCAAGAACTACCAAGCCCTTTTGGTGAACGAGCTTCGAATCCACGAGTCACAATTGACCACGCCGATCTCAGTCGTCATACCACCGTAAAATAGTATCGATTACTTCAAGGTCGTCTCAATCATGAACTTGGAGATTCCAGGAAAACGTCAAGGATCTTGAATGCTTCGAAGACCTGGATCAGCCTACCAGCATATTCCTCGCAGCCACCGCCTTGCTCTTTCTCACGAGATCATCGATGGCTCCAGGGTCGCAATATTTGCGCACGCTGTTGTCCATTGATTGACTGTGATTGATGAGATGCATTCAGACAGAATTGTCTGACGTTGTTCGTCTCGCCAACTCACGCGATGACGAAATGCATCTCGGGAAATATTCGACTGAGACTGAGATCTATGATCCTAGGAGACCGAACGGCGAACTAGACGTTGTAGACAGCCTGGCTGCCGTTACCACCAAGTCCAGGATGGCTTGCATCTCAGATTCGAGCGCCTGTCTTTCATGTGCTGCTGGCCAGTGGCCCAAAGATTCCTGCTTCAAAATGTCAGGGAGTGGCATGAACGCGATTCACATTACATTTTCCAGGGAATGTAATAAGCGAAGCAGTGACGACAGGTTTCGACGCTTGACAGTGCATCCCACATCAACAAAGCATTCGTAACTCCAACAACTCAACGGTCGGCATATGGATGAAGGACGAGGTGATCATCATGCGATCCTTGATTTCGGTCATCAACTATCAACTCTGGTCTTCTGCAAACGTCGTCGAAGAGCAGGCCTGGAGTGTATTACATCGGTGAGCCTACTAACACGGAGAACCCATATCTTCCCAATTCCAACCTTGTATGTTAGGCGGCCTCGCTGTTGCAGACTGGCATCGAAACGAGCGACATCGCGACCACCGCGACGACCACGACGATGCCGCCGGTACCAGCTCACTTGAAGTCTGTTCACCTTTCTTTTGCAGAGTAATCCTCCACGCCCCTCTTTCAGGTCCACACTGCCCCTGTGGCGCCGTTCAGGGACGCGTACATTAAATCGATAATCACCCAAAGCCCACTGGTTAGCGAGGGAGAAGAAGCAACAACAAGCACAAGCATCGTAGCTCTCCTGGCGGCCGCAAGAGGAATCGACCAGGTCAAACCCAGCCACGGGCACCACCTCTTTTTGTACAGCACTTGCAGATCGTTGACAAGATGTTCTCCACGGCTGAATACGCCAGCACCTGTTCACCACACATCGTTGACGACGACGACGACGACGACGACGACGACAAAAACAACAAGGTCGGCCTTGTCATCGCACCAGACGGCGGTGGCGCGGGTGAGTGAAGCATGTGAGTCCAGCTCACGGATTTGTCTTTCTGCCGTGTTGCAAGGATCCGATGCATGGAAGAATCGGAAGGGGCATTATTGGTGAGGGTGACACTTGGAGGCGTTCGGCGGCGCCTTTAGCTGCATCGTTAGCAGCTCGACCTGGCGTGCAGTAGCGGGCTCCGAGGGTGGATCGTGGCCCGTCCATCATCCATGTCAACCGTCCTCCATCGCCTCTCCATCGCCTCTCCCATCGGTCCTTGCCTCCGTCATCGACATTTCCCTGAACGAAGCCTAGAACCGAAGCCAACTCAAAATCCGTTCTCAGCCTGGTGGCATGCCCCACCAGGGAAAGACCCTTGGTTGCCGTCCCTCCTGCTCCCCCGAATCTCAACGAGGTCCCTGTTGCAAATCCGAGGGCGTCGCTTGTTCGGCCGGCATGCTGCGGCTTTTTCGAGGAGCAAATCTGCCGCAAAAATAACGATGTCCAGACATTTCTGGGATTCGGCTCGATGATTGACCAGTACCAATTTGGGGATATTTGGGGAGTGGTGGCGCCCAATCTTACCAGCAACAAGGGGTAGCGCCCAAGAAACAGAGTCATGCGAAAGCGACGAGCATGGCTGACACTGCTGAGAGAGAGGAATCCAGTACCCCCACACTAGCGCATGCCTGCTCGCTGGACTTGGAACACCCACTGGCTGCCTACCTTCTAGTGCACCAGGCTAACCGCCCACATCGACTTATACGAGAAACAGGATGAGCACGCAGGATGCGCGCAATCTGCGGCTTGATGTATCACATCTGTCATGGACGCGACCGATGGATGATGCATTCGGTTTGACCGTCGAGATCGAGCGTCCGTCAGAAGGATCAGTCGGGGGACCCTCCGCTCCTCACATTGCCGTCTCAACTTGTCCTGGGGTATTCGCCGCGGTCTGGAGACCTGTTCTCACGGTGTGCCTGATTCGAGCGAGGTGTCAAAGCGAGATGCTCTTGGCCGATCCAAGGTGACCAGAAGTCATGTCTCGAGGTGAGAATGAAGCGTCGAAAGTTCCGCACGCTGTATCAGTCGTTATGACACAGTATCATTCCTGGTTCTTTCCCTTGGCCAGGTCATCATGCAAGCCTGTGAGGGGTGAAGGTGTGCCGCCCTGCCACTCCTCCCTTAACGGATCTCGTTATGTCGACATTGTTCAATCAGGGCCTTGAAAGGGCTCGTACAGGCGAAAAGTGAGAAAGTACAATGCTATCCTCTCTTGCGGCTCCCTGTGCCTTAAGTACCAAGAGTGGGCAGACGGGCCCCTGACCTCTGGCACCGTATCTATGATAAGGGAACGGACAGTCCGGGAGATCAGCGAGTGATACCAAGCCCTAGAAAGCTCGTTGGTAGGGAATGTCGAACAATCCGACTTCTGGATACGACTGTAACATAGACCAAGATAGGTACGCCATATCTTTGTTTGACAAGACAGGACAGGAACAATGGCCGAGTGACTGATAACAGGCAACCAGCAGCGAGCTAGATTTCAGCCAACACGCGCGTGCTACTCTGTACTGCTCCCTATCAGTGGCTATGGGCTTCGCGATAGGCTGCTGATAGGGCAAGACAGGCAAGGAAGAGCCTCCCTAGGGCCCCCAAGGTCCCACGGTATCGGGCAGCTCGATAAGGAGCGACCGTGCCCGCGCATCCATGCGATAACAGCCAAATATTGAGGGCAGTGGTCGTTGCTTTTTCTTCCCTTATCCTAGTCGCGCTTTGCTTTTCGCGCAGACCATTGAGATAACAAAACCTGGGGCAAGATTTGAGATACGGTAGGACTCTTGATTTGCGTGTGGAAGTCGCCATGAGCCGAGAGACGGTCATCTTTCCGTCCTTATCTTTGAGATCCTACGGTCCAAGATACGTATCGGTGGGCCTCCACAATCACGGGTCTGGCTGATAACACAAAAGATCCGATACGTAGTGGGTAACGAAGCGGCGGTATTCGAGATGCGTATGCATGTTCATGCCATGGTCCGTTTGTTATCTGTTCGAGGTCCACGTTCAGTCACACGGAGGAGGATCTTTTCCCGTTCTTCAGGGACTCGAGGGGTCTGACCATCGTGGCTTTTGGGTCACCGGCGGGTTCTGGACAGGTATCGCCCTGTCGATAAGAAACATCGGATTTGAGTCGTAACAAATCGTATCTGTATTGGCGGGTTTGGCTTCCCATTGATCGAGAGAACCTGGACGACCTTGTCCTTGTCCTATTGGCGCATTTGTTGTTTGTCATCTCATCTCATCTCATTTCATCTTATCCTTGCGTGATCAGCCATCTCCCCTTTCGGCATGCGCGGTCCGTTCCCAGACAGTCGCCTATCGGCGTGCATTCGCGCCAGTAACGGTTTTCCCCATTCTCTGGACCACGCAGCAGATATACTTCGGGTCGGGAAAGATAATGATCTCTTGATGTTTGGTCCGCAGCCTTAGCAGCTGCACGTCATCCTCGGCCCGGGTCTGGTCCGCGTCTTCCTCCAGCCCGGCGTCTTCTCTCGTGTTTTCGCTGTAGGCCACTGCGCCGCCACGTGGTCCTTCCGGACCCGCTGCACCGCGAGACACTGTCCCGAGTGTACCGCCCAGAGCGTCGGCGGTGCTGACGAATTGGAAGATCGACGAGGCCAGCAGCTCGACAGGTTCTAGTTCTGGTTCTGGTTCTGGTTCTGGTTCTGGTCCGGGCTCGGGCTGGATGCCCTGCGTTGTCTCGGTAACTTCCGCGCTGCCTTGGGCGGCAGCGTCAGTCGCGCTCTCGCTCGAAATCCGAGGCCCCAGCTGCGCACCTGCATGCGGATATTGCGGGTATATTGCTCCTGCTCCTGCGCCTGCGCCTGGCGTGGTTGTGGATGTGCTCGATGTCTTTGAACCCGCGACTCCTGTAGCTCTTATGATGGATCCGTCTCTTCTCGATAGAATCAGGGTAGATTGGACGTTGGGTCTCTCCGTGAGACCGCGTAGCATGGCATCGATGGACGGGCCGTTCAGGGCCTGCGCGAGGTGGTCAGTGGTCTGCGGCGTTGAGAGGATATTCGAACAGAGACTTGCCCTCTCGGCTTGAACCATTTTGCCTATGTAGACTTTTTCCCGTCGATGTGCACAATGTGTATTATTCCATGCTGCAAGTCGAGACGACCGGGGTAGGCACGGTATGTGAGGGTGAGGCCCCGGTTGGCTCCTGACGTGAGTGCAATGGAAGGATAAACAAGCAAGACGCGTCGAGCCACGAGCTAACAGGCCAGCTGGATCCGGGGCAAGGGGACAAGATCTGATCAAGATCTCGATCCACCACTATTCAAGTAAAGATCCATTCAAGAGTGTTCGAGATGGGGTCGTGGCGAGGCTGTCGGTGCCTTCAATTTTCATTACGAACAAACAAAAACGACGGGAGGCTCCGCAGTTTCGCAATACGTGACGGAAATTGTGACGGAGGGAAAAGCGTGAACGGCTCGGCCCGCACTTTTGGCTTGGAAAGCTTAGCGTGCGAGCCTCGCAGGGAAAAAATGAGCGCAGAATTGATGGCTCTGGGGTTCGATTGTAGCACAGCGTCTATCTCTTAACGCTACTGGTCTGTCACAATGGGTTCGAGTGCGAAGAAGAAGAAAGAGAAGAAGAAAGACTTCCAGGTTCGTGGACCCGGCCCGACTCTTTTTCGAATCTGATGCTGACTCTCGTTGTAGAAGCAGAAATTGAAGGTCGGCAAGGCCAGGCCCAAGGCTGACAACCACACAGACACCAGCTTCCGCTCCAAAGGTACAGTACCGAATTATGTTTCTCAGACTTCCTGACCCTCGGATCCATGCTGACCATGATCCTAGCCATCGTCCTGAACCAGCAGCTGGACGTCAACGCCCCTTCGCAATCAGCGACATTCCTTCACCACGTCTCGCTACTGACTTCCCGCTCCGACTCGCAACGGCGGGATTCATTAGCCTACCTGACCTCATACGTCGGGTCAAACTCGACGTCCAAAGGAAACGCTCTTCCCATCACCACGAATGCCCTGCTGGGCATTCTGTGTCCGCTCATCCTCGACGGATCCGCCGGCGTTCGGACCCAACTGTTGAAACTGTTCCAGGCTCTTCCCCAAGACGATATCCGCGACCATGTCATCAAGGTCCTCCCGTACATGCGTGCAGGGATGACGCATTTGTCGCGGGAAATCCGCGCCACGGCGGTAGAATTTTTGTCCTTCCTCATCAAAGTGGCGGGACCGGAGCTGGTTGCTTGTCCCGGAGGATGGTACCAGACTCTCGAGTGCTTCACGACAGTCCTAGGCTGGAGGTCGGCTGATGCCAGCACCTGGTCGTCCAGCAAAGCGTCGTTTGCTGGAGACGTCAAATCCACCGCACGGATCATGTATGTGCTGGCCGAATTCTTGCAGGCAGGTCTGGGAACCGACGACTCGACAGACCCGAGCTTGAACACCTTGGCCGCCGACTTCCCTCTGTGGTTCACCGGCGCACTTGTGACGCCTACCAAGTCCAACGCTTACGCTTACTTGAACGTCTTTGGTGCCCAGGCGGAGGATTACAATCAAATCCTCGATGATCGAGAAGATAGGCTACAGGTCTTTACGAATCGGTTTCAACCGCTCGTCGTGGCTGGCGTCGACGCTGCAAAGAAGGAGGGCGGTGAACTCGGTCGAGCTTCTGGGGTTCTGACCAAAACCCTGGATCGTACGCAAATCTCTGCGAATGCGTGAATCCATCCAAAACAATGCCTGTCTCCTTTGCGGACTGCTTGTCCGGGGACGCTCGCCATGCTCTTGAGTCACTGCAGACTGAAGCTTTCTTGTGAACAGCAAACCGAAAGCTGCCTTCCCAAAAACGACACCTGGAATTCGACCATCGGGCTCCGCTCTGGAAGAAGCATTGTTTGCAACGAGGCATTCAGCATTCATTGGATATAGCTATGGACCACCTTGCATCAACTAGTGCCTTATGCCCTGGAAGAGATACCACACTGTCGAAGACCACTCTACAAGTCTCGACCCTCCTCCCGCCAACGAAGGGGAACAGACACCCATGGCTGCTGCGATAGTCGACATGCTCCATGCAGTCGTATTCGAAACATTAACCTTGATCATCAGCACAGGTCACATCCATGGTCATTCTCCGGGCTAGTCCTGTTGTGACTGACCATGCGGCGAAGCATATGAGGCCGGAGATCATCAAACGAAGACTTCAGGATTTAAAAGTCATGTTCTTCGCCCCTACCATACGGAAATGGAGATGGGTGCAATGACTCTAGACAACCTATGTACTACCAGCCGGTTAAGTAACAGCAGGGACCACCACAAATGGATAAACACGACGTCTTAGCCACCTGCAACCACAACCACAACCACAACCACATCCACGGCCCTCATCACAGTCACAGTCACAATAACAGCAAGACATCCATAGCCGGCTTTCACTCTTCATTCTTCGCTTCTCACTTCTCACCAGGCAACCTGACAGCCATCCACTCATCAACCGTAACAGCGGCCCACTCATCGCGATCGAACCAGCCGATGAAATTCCGATCTCCAAAGCCGCCGATCCAATAGACCTCGCGGACGACCAGTCTCATCCACAGGCCCTTATGCGCCGCCCACTTCTTCCCCGGCAACCAAAGCACACTATCGGCATGAGCCTTAGTGAAACAGGCCGCGACATCCTGGCCGCTGACCTCCTCGTCGGTCATTTCCTCCAGGTATCCGACCAGATTCAAGCGCGGCAGATTAGCCGCCGACCACGGCTGGTGGTGCGTGAGCTGCGCATACGTGTCCCACCACGACAGGGTGAGCGAGACGTTGGAGCCCGCGACGGCATTCTGCGTCGACGTCGACACCGTCAGCGCCAGCAGCGTCGGGTTGCCGCTCGGCTCCTCGCACGACGCGATGTAGTCGGGCAGTCCGATCGGGGTGTTGGCCACGTCTGCGGGGACGCGGTCGGATGTCAGGTTGGAGGGGAACACGGTCGTGAGGACGCCTGTCTTGGACAGGCCGAGCAGTCGACGGCCCAGGACTGTGGACTCGTAGCGGGATGGGATTGTGAATGGACGAGAAGCGTCCTCGTCGCTTTTGTCTGTTTCTGTTTCTGTTTCCCCAAAGGGACTCAACTCGACTGGCGCCTCGTGCTCAATGGGAGCCAGTCTGATCGTCTCTTGTTCCGAGGAATGTAACTCGATCGGAGCCTGCGACTGTGCTGCCAATGTGTCGACATGGTGGACCCGACGTGTCTGGATCTCCAGAGTCTCGACCGGTATGCCAGTAACCCGTCCACCGAGCAGCAGTACCGCCGACAACAATGGTGCCACTAGATACATCCTGTCCTTTCCTTTTCTTGAAAATCAAGATCTCTGATCTCTGATGACTGCTGGTATCCAATCTTCTGTTTCTCTTGGATTGTCTTCTTTCTCCCCAATATAGCTCTCTAAAGATGGAGGGGTCAGTTCTCTGCGTTGGTATGTTTTCCGTTCGTTCGTTCGTTCGGGACCTTACAGTAGTTGTTCCGTTTGCAAGGTGAAGGTGTGGATGGTTGTGAACGAACAGACTTCTCAACCAACAAGTACCTGGCCGAAGACGAGGACGAGGAGGCCGAAGAGGCCGAAGACGATAGCCTCTGGTTTCAAGACAAGAACTCCGCACCGTCTCTCTGCCTTCAGGATAAATAGATCTTTCCGCACACAGCTGTGTTCTCTCCGATAGATTCAATCTTTCCTCAGCCTGCACTCTTTCAACTCTACCTATGTTCTTGATCGTGTGTACTTCTTCTTGTTCTTGTACCGCCGGCCACTGCTGCTTTCTGTACTCCTTCCTCTTTCCTCCTTCCTCCTTCGCAAAATGACTAGATGTTCTTCTTTCTTATAATATATCGTGCAGTGGAGCACTGGCACGCCACGCCACGCCACGTCGCAAGCAGGAAATACGCCCGGCTTGACCCGATGGCTTTGAGGATGTGGGTTCTTGGTTCTTGGTTCTTGGTTCTTGGTCCAAGTTGTTATATTGACGCCCAGGCAGTGGGAAGTTGCGAATCCAATAGTCCGTAATAGTCCTTATTTCTCCCCCGCCTCGAGCAGGAGAGAGGGAGAGGGACGTATATCTGAGGCGACCAATCTTATCTGATAATCGCGCGTCCAGGCGATATCGGGGTCTGGGCCAAGGGCTGGGCGTCCCACTCCGAGTTCGGGATTGAACAGCTAGTAAGAGATACAAGCGTGCCTGAAGGGCTCTTAAGACACCTGATACCTTATGAACATGAGAGTAATAATAAAGGCACTGAAGGTATTATCATGGTAATAATGGTAAGATATCATTCCACCAGACATGTAAACTGGCTTGGGCGCCAAAGTGTGTACCTACTAGTGCTGGGGAGGGCATTTCAACTATCATTGACCCTCTTGTCTATACAACGTCTACTCCCCAGCTACGGCTGACTTGGGACCAGACTCCTAAGACTGGCCATTTTCGTTCACTTTTGTGCTACGGACAACGGCAAAGTACGGATGGTAATACTGATTATAGCTAGCACAGAAAGAGAAAAAGAATCAAGTTCTTCAAGTAGTTGATTAAGGCACTACACACTATACAAGGATTCTCCTAGATAGAAAATCCCCCCCAACCTTCGGACTCATCACTTCCGGAGGCTGTGAGTTTTCAGTCGCTAAAAGGGGTTGACTGGTGATCTGGTGGATAAGATTTATCGCCAGATATTATGGAGAGCTTGTTGCCCTTGCTCACGAATTGAATCGTGCTCAAGGTACAAACCTCCAATCTGTGTTCGGACATAAAGGGGTTCTGGAAGTAATGTCGACGGTGTGCTTTCGACCCATCAAGGGGACGCATGGTGGCCTCGTCAGACCAAGGCTATTGATCATGCTCGACAGTATCGTGGTCAATTCACCATCTAGGAAGCGATAACCATCGCATCCTTGAGATACTGCGACGCTAGATCCGGTGCAGAAGGAAACTGCTGCATCGAACAGTATGTTGCCAGACGTTTGTTGTCCATGCTGTTGGGCAACGCCTTCCGAGGCGTTGCCCAATCCTGCGTAGGAAGTTGCCATTGCTTCGGTGTGTTGTCGTAGCAAGGCTTCAGAGGATCTTCAAGAGCATCCGAACGCATACTGCCATTCAGCATGGTACACCGCACTTGTGACTGAAGATTGGTCTCTATCGTTGATAATGATCTCTTGTGGCACCTGGGGTGTTCATTCTCCTTCCGTCGGCTACCAACACCATATCCTGTCAGTTGTTGTGGAGTCGGGGTCACGCTTCTGCTCGGCGTCTCCGAATGTGTGGACAGTGACATGAGGACACGGACAGCATCAACCTCGGATATGGTGGGGACAGAATGCTTGGACAGTCTGTATGGCAAACTTCCGCAGCTTCCATATCCTCCACCTTGATTCGGGGTCGGGGTCGCTGCCGACTCGCTACGCGAGGAGCCTTCTCTATTCGAGTGGCTGCTCGAAGCGTCCAGGCTCGAGTCATCCCCAGACACCGGTATACGGTGTCGCTCAGACAACGGGCAAACTCGGGCTAGAGGAGAGCTGGAAAACCCAGTGCTGGCAATGCGCATTCGAGGGACGGCCGAGGCCAAGGACGACCAAGATGAACTGGAGGAAACAGATGATGACCTAGACCGAGATGTATAAGCCGTCACCTCCGACGCAACCGATGCTGGTGAGGACGTTGGAGTAGTAGACCTGCTTGAGCTCTCCCGAGTTGTCTCTGCAGAACGCATCAGGGATTTGACAGGTGGTAGCTCGCAGCCATTAGGTCGTGGCGGAGGGCAACGGTCTAGGTTGGCATTCATGATGGACTGCTTTTTCATACTCCGCAGAGCATCGACAGAAGCGGAACAGCGCAGAGAGTTTCGGCTGGAACTCAGGGACCACGGACATTTCTCAGCAAGTTGGGGGGTGGTCTGTGGAGTAGGAAGATTTCGAAGGTGTGGTTGCATGGGCAACGTCGAGCTTCGTGACGGACTTGTCTGAACAGGAGTTTGAGGGGTCTGAGGAGTTTGTCCTTTGCAGTGCTCGGCACTCCGTGGTTTCAAAGTATCACTGAAGTTCATGTCGTAAACATGATCCGGACTTGGTGGAAGAGCATCCCATGACCGGCCTTGTTGCTTAGTCGAGGTGGGCAACAGCACCTGCTCAATCTTGTCTTTGGGCAGATGTACTTGGAGGAAGTCATTCACCAACACCGGGTCCTTCACCATGGCGGGGTCCAGCTGTTGAATCACGGCCGCCCACCAATCGTCGGAGAACATAGAGTCACTGCGAACGTGGCCGACGTCGACTTCCGAAACCATGTCAGCCAGGATTGCATTGGTGCCACTGCCTGGTTGACCAAGGTCGAGATTGCATGACCCCGAGGGGCATTGCACCGGCTCCTTGGACAATTTGCTCAAAGCAATTACAATCTTGCTCCAGTTGTCGAAGAGCTCCTTGGGCACGTGGAGGTTGTAGTCGATCTTAGTCAGATATTCCCGCTCGTTCTGATTGATTTCACTGCTGCGGAGTCCGGAGATCTTGCTCCAAGCCCTAGCGGAATAGTTCCTGTCTTGCAGGTATTTCGAGGCTAGCATAAGGGCTGACAAGAACATCCGTCTCCCGCATTGCATTGCGCGACACTGGGATCTTTCCGAGGCCTCATCACCCGCGGATGAGCTCTGCTGTCTCTTTCTGGAGTCAGCACAAGGTAATTTGGCCTTGAGCAAGATCAGGTAGTACAAGGCTACCTGGAGCGTCGAATAGCTGGTCTTGGACCGTCGAAGAGTCTCCTGGATGAAGACGCGCAGAGGCAGGACACCAGCACCATTGAAGCAGGTTGACATCATAGGAGGGCAAGCCGACAGTGGCCAGATCGCAGTGATCAGCCTGGTAGCGAAGATTATGAGAAGGGAAACAAATTGATCGGTGACCTCGGTGTCTCTCTTGAGCTTTGGGGGCGAAATTTGCTTCTTGCTCGGACAACAGGCTCTTCGGAGACTGCATTTTGGGATATTATGTCTAGCGTTGGTGTCGACAATCCGTGCTGCAGCAGCTGCCTCAGTCAAGGCCAGGGATCGGTCAAAAGCCTGCGCTTCAAGTACGCTGGAGACATCGGGATTCGCGTGAGAGCGTAGGCTGGAGCACGCAGACTGATCAGTACTGTGGAGTCCTTTGAGTAATTGCTCCTGGATCTCGACTGATGCGCGAGAGCCGTGGCACTGCTTCAATTGCTGCACATGATCCTTTTCTTCCTCGTCGGAGAGAACGTCAACCGGATCGGTTGCATTCGTCCACGAGGTATGAGAAGATGACTCGGTCGAGAATGACTCATGAGCAGAATCGCTGATGCTCACATTGTCATCGCCAGTAGTGACACTCCCCAGGTCAGGGCTGTTGTTCGACTTGCACGGGCCATGAAACGAGACAGTACTGGAGATTTTGTCGGTGTTGTAGAAATCGCGATAACCGGATTGGAGCCAGTCCGAAACGGAATCTTGAACATTCTGTGGGCGATCGAAGGAGGAGAGGGTGACAACCTCTCTCATGCCCATCTTCGTATGGTGGTAAAGAGACTTGTGACCAGAGGTCGTAGACTAGAGCCTCTGTATACCAATACGTTTCACGTTGGCGAGCGCAATTGCCAACGTAGAGAGGAACCAATGAAGAAGAACCTGCAAGGCGTTAGAACAGTCGACCCAGCGTCGAGTTGTCAGATTCCTACCACAAGATTCAATGGGTATTGCGCCGCAAACCCACCACGAGTCAGAGTAACAATTCGTACTGTTCCAGTTGTCTCAAGACTACTTGAGCAGGACAAGCACAAGATCGATATCCGCGAGAGTTAAGCCGAAACTAACGCGCGCAGGGAAATATCGGTATACAAATGCTCGTCAATCTCAAGGCAATCCTGGTGTAGATTTACCAAAACAGTTTGCGACTCTGGCGGTGGGCTTTGACGGGTGGACGGTTCTTCTTGAATGTATGATTTTGACCACAGACTCATGGCTGACTTTTGTTTCTGCTTTCCCGACTGAAATGAAGAGTGGAGAGGTGGTAGTTGAGAGTAGAGTGCTTGGTAGCAACGGCCGATTCCCAGACACCCAATCGAGTTTATATGGAGGAGATTTGGAGTGAGGCGTGTTGAGAGTGATGTGTGCTGGTGAAGACTACGGTGATAGCTGCGTCTTCAAGGGTGAAATCGTGGAGACCAAGTGAATGCGAGGCTGAGTGACTTGTATAGGCCGGTGTTCAGCTTGATGAGGAGGCTTCTGACTCCTGCAGACAAAGGTGGTCGCTCTCTGCAGTATTGGAGGCCAGGTGGGTATAAAGACACACGAAGGGAGCCTGTAGGTAGACATGTCGACTTGAGTCAGTTTCTTTGTTCGATTCATTGTATGAGTCCGACAGTCAGGCCTGTGGCAAGGCGCCATGGCCTGGTCAGACTGCTGAGTGCTTACAAGATTGGATTCGTGATGCGGCGCAGGACTTGTTCGTTTTCGTCAGAGTGGGATGCAGTGACAGAATTCAGAGAATCGCACGGGAGAGTAGCCAGCAGCCATTGCTGCAATACATGGAATACTTCATCTTGTTGCCGTTGAGGAGGACTCACTACGGGCGGCGCTGATGCTGAGGTTGTAGGCGCTTTCTATGTATACGGGCTGGGCAACAACCCTCGCCACTGCCACCGCAACCGCAAGCAACCGCCAACTCCGCCTGCGCCTGCGCCGCTCAGATCAGCCGATGACTCAAATGACACTGCAAACTTGAAGCCTGGACAATCCACCGACCATCGGCCAGCGCCCATCCACCCTTCCCCTTCCCCTTCTCCAGTTGAAGCATCCACAAACGCAGCCAGGCAGGCAATAATGCTACGGCTCAGTTCTATGCTTTTGTCTCTTGAAGCAATCCACATGAGACTCCTCAGGCATCGACGAAGGCATCATCATCTACAGCATTTATCTGTATGCAACCTGTGCATTCATCTCTTCCTGTCATGTTTGCGGCTATTCCCTCAACGCATGCTGCAGAGCCACCAGCTGCTTGAAAGGCAAAGACAGAAATCACCATCTGTATAGAACAGAGGCTGGTGTCAACCCATCTCCAGGTCTGGGTTGTCGACTGAGAACGAGATCATCTTAGGTTGCCTTGACCATCTGGTAATCAAATCTATCACGAAACAATAATCGCCTCCTAGAAGGACTCCATGAGCCTGACCTACCTCAAACCATGTCTTTGCCAGACCACAAGCCAAATGGCAAAGCAAGCGTTAAGAGGGGGACCACACATTGGTAGAATGTTGTGCAAGAGACGCAATATGAGATAGCAAAAGCAAGACTGCACAATGTACACCCAACCTTCATGTCCAACAACGAACGGCCGAGTCCAATCAGATTGTGCGTAATGTTGAGTCGCCGCCAGCCCAGTTCGCCCCCGACGAAAGAGTGTACCGTGTACTACCACAAGCTGCGGTACGGACTCCCGTGATGGCGGCAGTTCGCTTGCTCATCGGGCGCGAGAGGACTGTCAGGACGGCAGTTTGGCCGAACGACCAGGGAGACCGGCAACTCAATGACTCAAAACAGCAGACCTGATTCAGAACGGGCGGCGAATAACGAAAATGCACCCAACGCCACCATGCCCGTTTCAGACTGTCCTCCGGCGAACTCCTCCAGTCTGCAACTTGACCCTCCAAAACTACCTAATCCTACTACCTTAGTTGACCAAGAGGCTGCAATAGTTGTTATCTTCGGTCGATAACTACATCGCTCTGCTTCGTCGCTCTACCATTATTCCGAGGCACTTTCATCAACCACTCCAATAAATACCGGGGGGCTGTTACAGTGACCGGGGGATTAAGATTGCCTCCACTGTCCACCACGTGAGTTCCGAGTCTATCGAAGCCAGCCGCCTGCTGATGCCGTGGTGGATCTTCAAGTCCGTTGGGATCCATCGTTGCTTGCCGGAATCCAATAATGTCATTTTGCAGCCACAGAAATGGCCATCGGGCCTTGGCGACGTCCAAGTCATGACCAGAATTTCCTACGATTTCCGAGAGTCTTGCGTGAAGTGCGACGTTGGTCTCGCCATCAGCAGGCAGCACAACACAATTCATGCTGACTGGTGAGCGTTCGGTCTGTGACTCGGAGAACGCACCGGTCAGATTGTCTTCGGGCTTGCTTTTCATCTAAGTGTAACGTGGTTGGCACGAGCGTGCGCTTCTTCGAGTCATCGACAGCTCTATTACTTAGGTACGTACTGTGTCCAGTTGTGCACGCTGCACAAATCCCCATCAGCCTGCCAGTATGAGCCATGACTGGGAAGCCCAAAGAGGATTTCCTAGTTTGTCATCATTGTCCCTCCGAAAGACCAGAGCTGCCGTCCCGAGTTATGGGTGCATAGGTAGTTTCAGCAGGCATATCTTATGCTGGGAGGATCCAATGCATATCCACACGGTGCGGTATGCTCATCCCCTTCGTCGTGGCTGAATGGGAATGAATGGCCAGCCGGATTTACCAGTACTGTGCAACCCACACCTTCTGAGCTGGCAATGGCTCTTGGACCGCAAAGGCAGCCGCGCGTGCGTGGGATCTCGTGAGCTCCTCTTTGCGACTTTCCTCCCGATGCGGATATTCAATCGGTTTGGGATATGGTCGCTATCTCTCTCTCTCTCCGAGAGCAAACAGGTGAACTTGCATGGCACAGCCGCCGACTCTTGACAGAACGAGTCCAGAAGATATTGAACATGTACTGAGCTGGTGGTTGATTAATTATCTCCAAGGTATGTTACCCGTCGGTCGAGCTTTTAACCCGAATCAGGGCACAGCAGTGGGCGTTCCTACTTCGAAGGGGGTGTCTTCTCATGCCCCAAGCCTGTTGGTTGCTGTAATGGTGGTGCTGGGGCGTCCAGCGAACCCTATCCTAGGAAGAGCGGGTGTTTTGCTGTCGGACCCGATATTTGCAAATGCAAATTGTATCTCTGGACAGGAGACTTTCATTTACATCAACATCGCAGGCAGCTTTGAGTGCTGCCTACATTGGTGAGTCACGTGTATTTTGTTTGTCCACGAGGGGCGTGCCGCGATCATCTCGTTCGGTACAAGCACCATTTTTGGGATGCAGAAGTGGTCCAGACCGAGAAAGAATGTGTAGAGGCTGAAGAGGAGAGGACGCGTGGTGCGCTCTGGAGCGACGCCCGCCGGACTGGGATTGAGCAGGATGACCATTCCCGGGTCTCTGGACCGTTCGCAATTCAGGCATCAAGTCCCCGAGTCACATATACGTATGCGCGGGCCAGTGGTCGAGCATTCGCTTCATGTTGAGAAAGGCAGCTGGTGGCGACGCCTGAGATCAGAGACGCGAAGGCACCATGAACTGACGGGCCTCATCTGCGTCAAGTCATCTCAACGATCTTGTTGTCTGGTAGGAAAGCATTCATCATGCACTCATTCGGTCTTTTCCTCTCCTACTGGGGCTTCAGTTCGATACCCGCCGGTATTTCCTGCGATATATTGTGCCGAAGGACATGGAGAAATCCAATGACACTGCGGCTCGCCCGTCCAAGGCGATGTAGGATGTCCAGTTCATCTCATCAAAGATATAATTTGCTGTTGCGCAGTCCAGTCCATTCGGACATGCGATAAGACGTCTGTCCGATCTCTTCAAGGGCGTTTTGTTCTAACTTTGTATATCCTTCCTTTGTGTCTCAAGTTCATCGGGCCAGTGGACTCCAGCAAACCCCCGAACCAGTTGTGTATATGGTACATTTTCCCATCTCCGACGCCCCCTACCCAAAACCCAAGCAGACGTGAACCGCGTCCAATTCTGCGCTTCTTGCGCCCGACGCGTCTCGCCCATGCAGCAATATTGTTTTAAAATGTGCGTTGTTGTTCCCGCGGCAGCCCATTTCCCTGTGCCATATATCAAAGACACCGTTTCGAATTTTCTTTTTCTTTCTTTCTATCTTTCTTTCCTCTACTGCACACAACTTCGCTCGGCCCGTTTGTCCGGCTCAAAGACTCGTCTTGGGATTCTTCTCATAATAATGAGCCATCTCGAGCCCGGCGCGCTTGAAGCCGCATTTGACGTAGAAGCCCTCGTTGGCCTCGCTGCAGTCCAGAATGCTCTTGTAGCAGCCGACACGCTCGGCCACGGAGTCGAGGGCCTGGATGATGCGCAGGCCCAGCTTCTTGCCCTGCTGGTTCTTGGCCACGGCGATGTCCTCGATGTGGCCGACCAGGCCCATATTGTGGATGAACTTGCGCTCGACGAGCACGCAGCCCGTGCCCACCACGGTCCCTGTCGTGTCGCAGATCACCAGGATGTAGTAGGTGTCGTTGCGGCTGGCCATGAAGTCGTAGCGGGCGTTGAACTCGGCCAGGCTCGGTTCCCCGACCATCGTGAGCACTCGGAGGGTAGGGAGGAAGCCTGAAAAACAAAAGTATTAGTGATTTGACTCGTGCCTTAGGGTGATGCTTGCAAGACTTAGATACGGGGGGTTGGAGGTGAGAGAGACAGAGAGAAAGAACGAGAGAGCCATGGTCATGATGACCCAGATATCGGACTTGTTGGTGTTTGTTGTGTGTTGTGTTGAGAGTACATACCGCCATAGTAATCACTTCTTCGCAGTGGTCGGATGGTGTAGCCCTCGGGCAGACTGGCCGAAACTTCGTCGCTGATCAGCGCCGGCGAGAATAAGGGAGGGTCATTGGAGTCGTCTCTTTCTTCGCTGGCCGCTGCCGGTGCCGGTACTGGAGTAGAGGTGGGTGTCGCCGTTTCTGTTGCTGTTGCCGCATGACTGACGCCGTTGGTGATCGTCATCGTGCCTGTGCTCGTCGTTCCGTTCACACCCGTCGCTGTCGATGTCGGTGTAGGTGTAGGTGTAGGTGTTGATTTGGAATCCGGCCTGACTTCAGACAGAGAGATATGTGTTCCTCCTTCTTTCCCATTGAGGACAGTGTATTCGGGGCGGAGACTCGTGGTCGAATAGAGAGACGCTTCGGTCGGAGTCTGGATGTCTGCCATGGTTGCCGGTGGAGAGGGCGGAAGGGGTTGAGAAAGAAGAAAGGTTATCGTGGTTGTCACGAGCTGAGGTCGCTTCGATGTCGAGACCGTCGGGGACAAAAGGACCGTAGAGATAGCAGAGCAGTATCTGGCGATGGAAACTCGAGAGTGGAGGGATCTGACTTCTCGACTGTCGACGTTGGGGAGGTTCAATGTTTATTTATCGGTATCCTCGAATGGGGAAAACAAGGGGACGGTAGGGGTGGTTGTTGGGGATTCGCCGCCGTTCTTTTTCAATTGCAACTGCAGTGCGGTGTGGATAGGAGGCGGATATCAAAGAGTGTAGATCAAGAGAAAGAGACGAGAAACAGAACACAGGGTACTGGTATGTACATATGCAGAAGTCCCTGATCAATAAAACGCTGATCTGGGGAGTCTGGATTCATTGTTTGGGTGAGATGGTCATTTCTGCGTGGCCCCTGCGGTGTCGATTGTCGAATGCGGGAGTCAGCTCAGACGCTATTTGTTCTGCGATGGGACCTGGGGGACATCTAGACCTGAAGCAGTATTTACTCAGTCGATACCTTACCTAGGTACTGTCTAAGGTACGTCTTGCTGGAGTTTGCTGATGATCAGCCTCTGTCAGACTTGCACTGAGTCGTACACGATTTGCCATTTGTTCGCCAATTCTCTATCAATGCTTACCCAGTAGGTATCTATGCTAACCAACTATTGATGAAGGAAGGTGATCTTGTCGGGCGCGTCTTCAGATAGATTGCAAACCTGACGGAAATCTCCAAACAAGTCTTTCCTCGAGGCGATGAAGCGCTGGAAATCTGCCAGTCGAACCGCGTGCGTGATCTTGTCGACATGTGGCAAGCCAGGAAATCTGGTGAGACCGTCGTTGATGAACAGCCTCACAAAATAGTCCTGACGACTAGTCAGGGAAGCCTCACCACAGGCAATCCGCTCAAAAATCAATCGTCCGCCCATGGGCACAATGTCGCTTGTCTTCCAGCGTCGATCCCGCTTCATCTGATTGGTAGGCAGCTCTTGTATAACACGATGCTCGTTCAGAATCTGCAAGGTGGCCATGACGGGCACGATGTCTCCGTCGTGGACGAAGCTGAAGTAGACGTCCTTCGAAGACTCGTTCGACATGAGATTCTGGGTGGCATCCAACCAGAGCCATCCCATCGCTCCAGCATAGCTGTTGCCCGGCCCGGCCCTATAGAAATGCAGAAGGTCTCGAGCGTATGCGAAGTGAGACCACTCCTCATGAGTAAAGACGTTGCACCAAGAACTGGAACCCCGAGCTAGAACCTCGAAACCACACATCTCCATCATGCTGTAGATGTCCAGATGACTCAGGTCCAGTCCCTGGGCATGCTGAGCGAGTCGTCTAGCGATGGGTTCTGTAAACACTGTTTGCCATTCTTCCAGTTTCCGGTATCCGTAGTCGTGACCGTAGGTGCCATCCTCGACATACCTATGACAGGTATCTCCTGGCGTGAGTGTGTCAGCCCCTCGGTCTCGGTCTTCAGGAATCACTTCTAGCTCAGCAGAACCATTCGTGGACCAGTCTGAACCGAAAAACCCATCAGCGAAGTATTCGGCTGTCAAGATGTCTCTCGCAGAACTACAAGACCAGAACTTGGTCGACCGATTCTTCGGCACGAGGTGGTCGTAACGTAGTCGTAGTGATTTACCGGTATTGAAGGCTTGTGACGTCCCGGCGAATGGGCCCGTTGCGGTCAGGTTCTCGAAAGCAGGACCATAAGGGTCTGTGAAATAGGTCCATCTTTTGAGAAAGGAGAGCGACCCGGTGAGCGTCACCTCGGAACTGTGTAGCCGATGCAGAAGTTGAAGATGTCTAGCACCGGCATTCCTGGTAGGATACCGTTCGGCATGACGTGACAACTACCGATGTCAGCGCTGGTGGACAATCACAATCTTCAGAGTTGAGTGTCTGACCATGTGCACCTGATCTACCGAACACTGCTTTGGTAGTGATGCATTGGAGTAAGGAACTCCATCTTTCCTGGGTATCCATGGTCCATTGCCGCCCAGGTGATAAAATAAGTCCCATACTGCGGCGAGGATTGCCGGACAACCACCCAGTCTCGGCAGGAGTGAAGACGTCCGACAAACTCCACCACGAATCTGGCCGAATAGGTTTACTGTCAGGAAAGCCGAAACGGCAAGGAAGATGATCCAAGAAAGCGTCCGTCGCACATGTCCTGGATGTGCCGCCTTGGACTTAGGCTTGGGAACAGTGGACGGTAACAGGAAAGGTCTGGCCTGCTGGGAGGGAAACATTGGGCTGCCAGCATAGGACCATCGAGCGCATCTTTGAAGAGGCTGGTCGCGAACTTGGGTCAGGAGGAAGGCCAACAAGGTGTTCAAGCTGTACCTAGTGACACAGAAATCGCCAGGAAGCAGACGTTACACCAACGGCGGTCACTGTATGTTGTCTGCTCTGCAATCGGGACTCGACGCCATAACAGCCATCAACGATGCAGATACCTCGACGTCGAGGGTTGGAGGAGTCGCAGGGGTTAAAAGAGAGATATTATGTGGAAGTTGAAGTGCGTGCAATGAATTAAGGAAATTGCATGGCTGGAAGGAGACCGCAGCCTGGCAGCGCGGAACTTGAAGCCTGACACGCAACCATCTACACATGGGACAACCACATAAAAGCGCAGGCAAAATTGGCTGGACTCGCAACCTCCAGTACTTATAGGTACTTACACCGCAGACATAGGTAGGTATAGACATATAGGGTATTTGTCTGCTGCCACTAGGTCCAGTTCAACGTGTCTCTTCATCAAAAGCTCGCATTTTGATATCTTTTCCAACTCCTACAGCCATCAGCTAGACATCAACAGCATCGCAGCCATCACTCCATCGGCCGATGTCCCCGCTTCCCCTCGATGCCGACTTTCTGACCGGGACCCTGTGGCCGAGTCCCTCCATTCTGTGCTCCGCATCGGCCTACAGTAGGTCGGAGAAGTGCGGGCGACGATGATACCACATGGCGAGCCCAGTAGAAGGCGCAATTGATATGTCGACTTGTTTACTGCAAACAAGTCCTCTTCATCCTCTGACCCTCCTGTTCAAGACGCTGACTGTCAATATACCACTCCGATCCTGATCCTACCGTTGGCCTCGACGCTCACCAGCATGGGCTCTATATTGGCCGACAAGTCCACGCCCGCGGCACCGCATTCCTACCCAGTGCCTTCGCCAGGCGTGTACTGTCCCGCAGTCACCTTCTTCGACCCTGACACGGATAGCCTTCGTCCGACCGAACAAGGCCAGTACTACTCGTACCTGGCCGATTCCGGCCTCACTGGGCTGGTCATCTTGGGTACAAATGCGGAGACATTCCTCCTTACTCGAGAAGAGCGGGCTACTCTGTTGCGATTAGCACGCAAGTCGGTTCCTGAGAACTATCCTCTCATCGCCGGTGTGGGCGGACACTCGACGGCTCAAGTACTCGAGTACATTGCAGACGCGCATGCCGCGGGTGCGAACTACGTCCTCGTCCTCCCGTGCGCATACTTCGGCAAGCAAACAACACCCACAGTCGTCCACAACTTCTACTCGGCCGTGGCAAAGGCATCCCCTCTCCCAATCCTCATCTACAACTTCCCGGGTGTTTGCAACGGTCTGGACCTCGACTCTGACACCATCGCGGCATTGGCGCAGGAGCACCCGAACATTGTGGGAGTGAAGTTGACATGTGGCTCGGTTGGTAAGATTACACGTCTGTCCGCAACGTTTCCGCCTGAGCGGTTCGCTGTGTTTGGTGGCCAGTCCGACTTCTTGGTGGGTGGACTGGCGGCAGGGAGTGCCGGCTGTATCGCCGCGTTTGCAAACATATTCCCCAAGACGGTGACCAAAATATTCGCCTTGTGGACGGCAGGCAAACATGACCAGGCTTTGGCTCTGCAGAGAATGGCCGCTCACGCCGAGAGTCCGACCAAGGCTGGCATTGCAACCACAAAATATGCCGCAAGTCAGTACAGCGCCAAGAAGGCTGGGATCCAAGGTGACCTCGAGGCTCTGCTGCGGCCGCGACGGCCTTATGAAGAGCCGAGTGAGGTAGTCATGAAGAAGATCAGAGATGTCATGGCACCGTTGGACGAGGTCGAGAGGACGCTGTAGATTCCTAGTTCTGTCCAGTTTATAGCGAAAACAGGGTGAGCGCAACACTTGCCAGGAGGACAACATATAGCCTACCCAGGTACCTATGCGAAACAATGACACAAAAGTCGGGGGCTCGGTCACCTGTAGTAAGAATGCTGCGATTATTAGGCGAGAGCTATGCGAGCAGTTATCCAAAATATGGCTCTCATGCGGCCGTCGGGCACACCTTAGCTGCATCCACAATCATTTTTTCTTAGAGAGAAGCGATTGACAGATCCCATAATTATCGACCCTACCTCATCTACCCGCGAGCCTACGCTGTCTACCATTCAAGCCCCAAGGATCTGGCAGAAATACAGGTACTGCTTTTGATGACAAAGGGACAAGGACTTCCGGACGGTGACAAAGCATTCGGCTGGGGAAGAGGCGGCATCGTGCAGATAGGCCGACGACAGGACACACAATCGATATCTGGGGCGCAGGATGACACCGCAGTGGACGGGAAGACGGTAAGATGCATGCCATACGAACCCCTTCGAATGTCTCAGACACAGTAAGGAAGCAGCCTACGGATGCCCGTTCGGAAATACACGATACTTGTCCCGAATTGGATATCAGCATGTCAATTTTCAGGTTGTCATGCCTCCGGCCTGGTGTGTTTGGTCTGTGCAAGAGTTCAGCGTAGGCTGCCAAACTTGAAGTATGTCAGCCAACATGTCAGATCGAGACGTCCGATGTACATAGTACAGAGACGTTCTCAACAGAAGGACATTTTTTTCTCAACCTGCCCAACTTTCAAGCTGAACCCGACGGCCAGAACACCTGGAAGGCTACCAGGTTGGAACTTGAAATAGCGACGCTCGGGTGAGTATCATGGCATGCGACTATTACACCCCATGATGTTTAGGCTAGGGACCTTCAAGCCTGAGTCAATGGAAGAGGGCAATTGAACCCCAGACTAGTATTAGTAGTACGTGCAAGATGCGGAAGTGCTGCGTCATTGATCCTGGTCGACAAGCGGACTACTAGTACTACAAGCTGCAGTACTACCTAACACAACCTTTATCTCAAGATCTTCTCGAGATCTACTCTAGCTTCCTCGTAGAGATAAAGGTACGCTGAGGATTGAGTTCAACAGGTCAGCAAGCAGATAAGAGTCGCAATGCACAGCTCAACTGTTGCTGAGCTGAGCTTCACCAGTGACGTTAGGACACTGGGAGCACAGATAACCAAACAAACACTTCACTGCATCAGAAGCCCAAGCAGATCAATAGTAGTCCTGGACATCCAGAATCCATCTAGCTCGTGTGTAAGCCCTTCACTGGCTAGCGAATTGTCCATTCGTTAGCTTGACGCAGCTCTGCCGTGTGCAAGTGTGTTAGGTGGTAGTGATACAGTTACTATACAATCCTGTGTCCTCCCACCACGCGAAGTACAGCCGTTCAACCCAAACGCCAACCTCTACTTCCCGCACTGCACTCCGTTTCCTGCCTCTGTCACTCTTTTATCGGTGCTGGATACTAGGTACCATACATGACTTCACAACGAACGACCGCCTCTCCACATTCGCCTGCACCTTCTAGGCTAAGGAGGCCTGCGGCCGTTCCCCAGACCTACAACCTACAACCTACAACCTACAACCTACAACCCACAACCCGAATGCCTGCTCTGCGACCCAAGTTCGACCTCTCTCGTGCCTCCTCCAGGCCTTGGATGCCATGAAATATGAGGCCAGGATAGAATAGAGAAGAAGCCACAGCCGTGGTGTTACATAACCCACGCATATCTTGCAATCCGAGAGGCTGGTACTTGATCTCCACCAACAGTCTCACTTGGTTTGGCTGAGGTATATCAGAAGAGTCCCAACCTCCTGCAGCTCTGTGCTACACATTCTTTACCAATCCAAGGCCCTCAGTTGACCGTTGAGTCTAGTGCCAACCCCTTGGTACCATGGCCTCGGTGCACTTACACCCGTGCGTATCCTGGCTGGCCATATGGTCGATGCTGCTGGCATTCCTGTCCTCCAACGTCCCCGTGGCTGCAGACCAGACATCATGGATTAAATATACGGGCAATGACGGCACAGTATGGCTCGACGACGCCCGGAGGCCGTCGTTATATACCCAGAACTTTGGCGACTGCCAGGGCGACTCTCTCATCAATGTCACTCGCTTCGATGCCGCGTACTACAAGGACAACATGACAGTCCTGTTCCACTTGGAGGGAAATTCTGCGTTGACCAACGAGAGCTTGATGCGTAAGATGGTCTCCACAATCCGGGTCATGGCATGTTGCTGACTATAAGAGACAGTCTACATCGGTGTCTTTGCCTACGGGGAGTCGCGTTTTGATCTGACCTTCAACCCCTGCAATGCAAACATTGACAGCCTGTGCCCGTTGAACTCGTCCATACCCATCACAGCCAATGGTATTATTCCAGTGTCGCAAGCCGACGTGGCCAACATACCGTCGATCGCGCTCACCATTCCGGATTTCGAGGGACAGGCCATTCTGCGGATCTTTGCGAATTCAACCCAGTCTCAGATCGCCTGCTTCTCCGCCGTTGTCACCAATGGCGCGACATTCTCCCATCCGACTGCTATTGCGTCAGTGCTCGGTGTGTTCACCGTGGTGGCCTTGATATCGTCGATCGCGGTAACAGTCTATGGACAGAGTGTTCCGGAAACCCGCAAGCATTATGCCCATTCGATCTCGATGCTGGTGGTATTCTCCGTCTACCAGCACATCTTCTTCACGGGAGGGTTGTCGATGAATTGGCCGAGTGTTCTTGTTTCGTTCTGGAGCAACTATGCATGGTCGGCCGGTATAATATACAGCCGGCAGATGCAAAACTCCATCAACCAGTTCATTGGAGGCAACCGGGGCAATATCAGTATGGTGGGGGCGGCTCCAAGTGGTGAAAATGCCGTCGGCCTCGGCGGTGGGTACCAGATCTCGCAGATATACAAGCGTGCGACCTTGATCCCTTTCGAACCCTACGAAGGGACAGGGACGACCTTCCGGCCTTCTGAGTTGGAACATGTCCTCAGGAGAAGGGACACCGGCAATTTCACCGCGGCTCCGTGGCACGGCACACCGGTGCTTCCTGGGTTGCCCTTGCCTGGAAACTATTCTGGATTTGCTGGGACCTTGGCTGAGCTGAATATTCCTGCCTCTAACGCCTTTTTGACGGGACTTCTGTGGTTCCTGATTCTCGTCGCCTGCCTTCTGGGCGCCGTTGCCTTACTCAAATTGACCGTGGAGGGTCTGGCGGCCGTGAGACTCGTCAAGACACACCGGCTAGGTTATTTTCGAAAACATTGGCTGTGGTTTTCCGGCGTGGCGGTCTTACGGACGTGTTACATTGCCTTTTTCATGATGATGTTTTTGACCATGTTTCAATTCAGTCTGGGTGGAGCTAATGGCGTCAAAGCCATTGCTGCCGTGGTGTTTGTGGTCGTCCTCGTCGGAATGTTCGCTGTCGCCGGGTATGCTTTGTGGTACCGAACCAAATCTGAAGCAATAGCAGAAGTGACTGGAGAAGGCAGTGGTGAGTCCGAGCCTGCCGAGAAGACCGCTCAATCTACATGGTACAAACTCGGCCGAAGAAGGACGCGTGGCGATGATGCCGGTGGGCCAGACATAGCCAAAGAGCCCACGTGGCTGCAAAAGCATCTGGTAGATTTCGACACAGGGCGAGTCCATGTCCATGACGACGAACATTATATGACCAAGTTCGGGTGGCTGGCAGCTCGATTTCGCCGGAGCAAGTGGTGGTTTTTCTCCGCCTGGCTGCTGTACGAACTGGTTAGGGCCGCGTTCTACGGCGGTGCCGCAGGGCACGCCTTAACCCAAGTGTTCGGTCTGTTGGCCTGGGAGACGATCTCACTGGTCGCCATTGTCTTGATGAGGCCCTTCGAAAGCAACCGACTCAACCTATTGATGGTATATCTCCTGGGTTTCAGCAAGGTCGTGACCGTGGCGTTGTCCTCGGCGTTTGATGCTCGATTTGGTCTGGATCGGATCTTGACGACTGTGATAGGAGTCGTCATCATCGTCATTCAAGGAGTCTTGACCATCTGCCTGATGATTGCTATCGTGTTGGGGGCCATCTCCAGTTACATGTCCATCACTCGGTACCGCGAGACCATCAAACCTCAGTCATGGCTAGGCCCCCGGACGCGTTATTTCGAACATGTTGATCAGAAAGCTACGGACCGACCCAAGCCTCCTCCGCCTCCTCCACCGCCCGAGCCAGAAGTTCCGAAGGAGCCCTATTTCACCGTGGCGGCTGTACGTCGGCAGCCCAAAATCGAGGACGAAGTACCCGTAACGGAGCTTTACACGTCACCACGAGTCTCGATGAACCCGGAGCGAGAGCTGAGTCAACAGAGAGGCGTCTCTCGGACACAATCCATGCGATCTCGAACTAGTGTCTCGAATCTGCCCTACGGCGCCAGACCGCATCGGATGAGCTGGAGCACTCACGACTTCCATGACTTGGAGGCGGATCGTGTGATGAGCCCCGTGCACCCTAGAATGAGCCTGGAGAATATGCAGGATGTTTCACAGAGACCTCGCACATCGAGTCTGAGAGGGCCGTCACGAAACGGGCCTGTGGGCTTTGATATAGCCACGACACCCAATAGTTCGGACACCCAGCTACAGCGGATTCGACATCGACGCAGTGTGTCCACGCCTCTTGGCCCGAACCGGAACAGTTCCGTTGTGCACGAAGAAAAGGAGACTGAGTCTGTCGAAAATGACCATTGATCCCGAGCGGATCGGCGACGACGTTTGATGAATTGACGAACATAACTCTAATCGAATAATATAGAGCTGTCCATGCTGGGCAGCCCGTCCAAGATACCAGCTACGATACACATACTTAGATTTCAGCATGCATCATGACGGCCAACGGAGGGGTTCCAGGGTCTTCGGGGTCTAGTATCACGAACTTGCACAGTTAGGCGACGGCATCATGGGATGGTTATGGGATGGTTATGGGATGGTTATGGGATGGTTATGGGACAAGGTCTCTTGCCTGCGTCTCTTGCCTGCATCTAATCATGATCATCGACGATAGGATTCGATGACTGGAGAAGCCAGTCTTTTAACGTGCGAGGCTTTGAGGAGTGGATATACGTTTGAGCATAGAGGACATTACCGTAGTAATCCCACGTGACCACGAGATTGAGCCGAGGCATGTTTTGTTAATATCTTGGCATATCACGTGATAGAACGGCCCTTGTCACATGCTCAGCTGATGGCTGGATGGCTCTCCACCGCAGGATCCATAATTACCCAACTTAGCATGAACTAACCACTAACTGCTAATAGTAATCAAGTCAAAGCCAAAGCCCAGACAGATATCGAGCCATCCAATTTTCCCTTCGCCTTCCGATATGAGCCAGTCTGTCCTTCATCCACACGTTCCCGACAGACCCCAAATACCCTCTTCATCGCTATATACCTACCTAGCATGAGCAACGGTCGCCGTTTCTGTTGAGATCTGGGCGGGGACAGTTTACAGCTTACATTCCATCTCAACGTCCATCTATCTGCCTTTCCATCTTCCGGCTCCCGAGAGATTGCAGCAACCCCACGTCCGGCGCATTCCTTCGAGCTTCCTTCGCTCGCTGAGAAATCGGACCCACTTGTTGCAGCTCGGGATAGATGAGATCAGATCTTTCCGTCAGCCACCGAGCCTGATCGTCCAAGATGAACCATCTCACGCGCCGGAATTCGAACAGGTCCATTGACCAAGAGGACAGAGGGTCTGGTCTGAGCCGAAGTGTCTCAGCCGAGCGACACCAGAATGACGGAAAGCCGTCCTTGCTCCGCCGACTCAGCAGGTCTCTGAGCAGGACTCAGGATGGTCCGACTCCGCATGAAAAAGATCATTCTCCTCCGAGTCATGTAGAGGTAAGTTACCGACCGTGGGATTCGGGTCTGGTTCCGGCTGATCATGATCATGTGCAACAGCATCACAGTGGTGACAGCGTCCACCACGCAGGAGGAGTGGCCGATAAAACGGTGCACCCATCAGCTCATGAGGTCAAGCCGGATATCAGTCGTTATACCATCAGCGCCCATGCTTCGAGATCGCACGCATCTGCGTTTTCGGAGCCTATATCCCATGAGCAAGTCTCCGCGACCACGGGGAGCACCACTGTGACCCCCGCAGCGCCGGCTGACACCAACACCACTACATCTGCGGAGCATCCAGCTCTATCACCCACGACCTCCAAACATCAAGTCCGGCATGGCCTCACCAAAGCAGACATCCATCATTTGTTCTCTGGTGCGCCGCAATTTACGCTGGAAAAGGGTCGACGTGGTCGATACTTCCCGCAAGCCTTTTTCCCCTGGGACAATGAACTCGAGATCTCCGATCTTCAAGACCGCAGATTTCTGCGTCATGAGAGCTTTGCCCTGGCGACATTGCACGCCCACCTCCCCATCCCGGACGAGGTCAACTGGAGACCAGGCATGGCACACCCTCTGAAGAAGGAAGGCTTCGACATTGGGAAGCGTCCACTATTCGAGCTGGGGATTTTTGAGCGACCTAACATGCTGAGTATGGAGGGCCGGGAACCGGGGACGGTGGGATTGAGGTACTTCCTCGAATGTCCCGTCGCGGATGGAGTCTCGGACGCGAATGAAAGGGAACATGGTAAAGACATTGAGTTCGACCTCCCTCTGTCGAACATGCCCGCCTTTGAAGCATTCAAATCGCTGGCCATCAGTCGGGACAACGACGACATGAGCGCCAAAGTGGGAATGCATGCACCAGAACAGGACCGCATGAGGCTTATCCGTGGAGGGCCTCATGCCTGGAAGACGGTGGGCGTCAGGAACATGAGCATGAGGGAGCTGGCCGTGAGATTGGAACAGATCTGCTCCTGGCGAGACGAGATTATGGCTGCCGGTTGGAAAACCACGATTCTGGACGTGATGCGGGCGGAAGAGCTTCACAATCATCTTTTCAATGAGGTGCTCTATCCTCCACGCAAGATAAATCCCGACGCCAAGCACCAGAAATCGGGCTTGAAGATCCAGATCGAGGCATTGGTTAAAGTGCTCACCACCCCTGGTGCGTGGCTGGACTTGAGTGTGCCGGAGGCCAGACTGCGGTTCGGCAAGATTCTACACAGCCGCACAACACGACATGATCATACCACAGCGAGTCTGTCAGTCGACCCCGAACGAAAATGGCTCCTGATCCAACTCCTCCTTTCTGTCGAACTGGTCATCCGCCTGGACGCGGCGTTGCGGCTGGGAATTGCAATGCATTCGGACAACTTTGAGCTGAGCAGCGATGAAATCCACCATTTCAACAAACTCCGCAACCTCAAGGTCGATTGGGATCTGGTGGCGGCGCGGAGATTTCTGATACTGTGCTATGTCAGGAAGGTTGAAACGAGGGGCATTTCGCCATCGCCCGACCGAACAACTTCGTTGAGCAAAGTCAAGTCTCCTGAGCACCACCCGGGTATATTCGGCGGGCTTCGCCACGTCTTGAGTCTGGACGACGACAAAAGCGAACCGATCCCCGATGATTGCGACCTGGTCGTCCTTCCACGTCAACCAAAGGTCATGCTCGACGGGGTGGTTCGGTTTGCCCACAACATCGGATGGCCCCGATGGGAGGAGATGCAGAAACAACTGGAGCAAAAGCTGTGCCGAGCCGACCCCAAGGAGCGAGAGACGTTCCTGGTGGACATGATGAGCTGCACGGAAACCGCCGGCCATCATGCGGAAGCGTCCCAGCCCAGCAAGATCACCAAATCGTTGGAGAAGTTCTGCGTCAACCTCCATTCTGCGACGGCGGATTCCGTCGGAGGCTGGCTCTCACACAGCTGGCTCTCGGGCATGATTCTGCCGGGGACGTCGATCTGCGACATTTTGATCGCGACGTTGCTGGAGAACGACACCGATGCTTCGACGCTCCAACAGCTGGGGTCGAGAGGTCTCCCGCTGCGATCGTCCGGCTTTATTCTCGACGGCTCGTCCTGGTGGTCCAAGTCCAGTATCGTCGGCCGGGTCATGGCTCCCCTGCGCGGGTCCAAGGAGAGCATGGGCTGGATCTACCTCCCCAACTTCGTCCCCGTGGCCGAGGCGACCAACGAACCTGTGTCCAACCGCTGGATCAAGATCAACTCCTGGCCCGTGGTCACCACGCGTGACCGACCACGGATTTTCGACGGGGACAAACTCTCCAAGGAATCTTCCCCTCTGGGAGTCGGCAAGGGGAACATCATGGCCTCGGAGTTCACCATGCTGACCGACCAGATGCTCGACAGCCCCTCGGTGCCGGAGGTCAAAGTCGAAGCCATCCGACTTCATCTGTCCAGCACCAACGCCACGCAATCAAGTCCCGACCATCCATTGGGAGCCTGGGCCCAGTTCGAACTGAGCATCACCGACCCGCGAACCCCTGACCAGAACCCGGTATCGAAACAAGTCCGCTACGGCCTGGATCGTGACGTCTATTTTGTTACAGCCTATCCTTGCCGTCCGCCTCATGGCCACGCGACAATCAAAGCTACCGCCGAACACGAGCATGAACACGGACACGACCATGAGCAGCACCACCATCTTCTCCATCATCATTATCACCATCTGCATCCACGACACAAACCGGCCGAACATATCCCCGCGCACCCACTGCACAAGACATACAGCTACGTGACCAAGACTCTGATGGACCTGATCGACAACCCGCAAGTCGAGCCTCCCGCCACAGGGTCCGGCGGCCACGGTGAAGTCTGGATCATCGATGCACGAGACCACCTCCCTCCGAGACCGCAATCGCAATCGCATGATCAGATGCCAAATCAATCCGATATTACTACTGCCAGCCCGGACAGCCCGAGTCTGCTAGCCACTTCACCATCCCCATTGCTTTCGCCTTCAATCTCCCACCAGACGTCGGACCTCTTTCCCGTCACGAGTGTGGGTAGTTCTGGAAGTGGACTGGCTTCTTCGACCCTACAACATTCTCTCAGCGGCGGCAGTTACACCGGCGGTTACAGCTACAGTCACGGTCACGGTCACGGGCATGGGCACGGCCACGGCCACGAATCTTCCGCACAATATGATCCAGACCCGCAGCTGTGGGAGAAAGACATCCTCGTGCGCGCCTGGTGTGCTCAGAAGGGCCGCAACGCCATCATCGCCCGCGTCGGCCGCACTTGTCTCAGCTGTGCGATTCGAGAGGCCAAAGCTTTGGAGATTGGGATTGTTGTCAGGATTGGAGTGAAGGAATGAAAGGGAGGAGAGAAGGGATGAAAGGGAGGAGAGAAGGGAATGAAAGAGAGAAGAGAAAGGAATGAAAGGAATGGAAGGAATGAAGGAGCGGGAAAGACAAAACAAGAAGAACAGGGAAAGGGGGCAATACAGTGACACTTCATGTCCCCGATCAATTTTCAAGGAGGGTAATTTGCAGATATGCACATCTAGACCACGAACACTGCGGAAGTGAATTGGAATGCGCAAAGTCTTCGGCAGGTACTAGTAGTAGATTGGGACAAGTTCTGTGTCTATCTACCTGTACTTATTTAAGACGAGTTTTCATCCACCCTTTTTCTTTTTTCACTCTTTTTGGCTATCAGAGGCATTGGTTGAACTTTTGTAGGATCCAGAGCGGAGGGGAGGGGAGGAAAGGACTTGCGTACAAGAATTCATGTACTGTATATGTACATGTATATATGTATATATGTATATGCATGTGTATATATCACTGGTCTCTACAACTCATGACCGACTCAAGTAAGCCGTCAAGAATAGTCAGGACTGGTTGGTTTCTGGTGAAGTCCATACTTGAAATTGCTAGTGTAAGTAAATTCACTGACTGGCTGGCTGGCAGGCTGGGGCTGGGCAGAGTAATGATAGACAATATGGACAAGAGTCTCTCTCTACCTATGTAGGCTAGGCTAGGAAAGGATGAATGGTTGGATGACTTGGAATTGATTGTACATATCTCTAAAGGAGCGGAAAGGTGAAGTTTGGAGTTGATTCCATTTCTTCCATTCTTCGCAAATTGGAAAAGGAGTTTCCGTTTCACCTGAGGAAATATACTGATTTTATATGGATTTATATGATATAGTATTCTCTCTCATCTCTGTCTCCATTCCAACATCATTCGATCGACATAACCTAAACCTGAGGTCCGTAACGTATGTACCTCGACGTGTTTAGACCAAAAGCTTGGATTGGAGGGTATACAGACATGGTCTCAAACATCAAATACCTAATACCTTCCTTACCTAGGCACCAAAAGGTTCACTGGGGGTGATCCAAGGAACGTCGACCTTGACCTCGACCTTGACCTCGACATCAAAGTAGGCTTCCATGTTGAAGCACATTTCAGATATCCAGCTCAGCTCAGCTCAGCTCAATTCATCTCAGCTCAGCGCATGAAATGCTCGAATGCTACAAGTCTCCAATCGCAGTGGCAGTGGCAGGAGACAGTCGAACAAGTGTTCCAAAAAGAAAAAGAAAGACGAATGGCAGAGGTATCATTCTTTTCTTCTCTTCCGTGACATAGAACAGAACTGTGCGTGACCCTCATTCGCTTGTAGCTGAGGCTTGAAATGCCAAATCGTGCTTAGGTCGGTTGCTCTCCTACGGCCCTTAGCCCGCCTATGAGGCGCCCACACGCCGACAAAAGTCACAGTGGATGAAGGACTGAATCAGCCGGCAGGGGGTTCAGACATCAGTGTTGCTGTGAACCAGCCAGGCTTTTGGATGTTTCTGACCAGATCATCGACCCAGCTGGTAACTAAGATAGAATCTGATGGAAGATTCAACGGTTCGAGACTCTGGCATATGAATCATGATACGGGAGGAAACCCCCACAGCGCTGGAAACAGGATTCCAAAAGTCTCTGCTTGGGCCTCTTTCTGCCATTTTCCCCTGGTTAGTGCAATCATCAATAATGTATGGGCAGTCATCTGTAAAAGAGAAGTGGAACCTGAAGACACGAGAAATGGACGGAACGTGGCTAAGGAAAGCCGAGGAGTGTCGGGGAAATGGGCCGACACAGAATGGTGAACGAATCCAGAATCAAACCGACTTTGTTGTTTCGCCGATTTTGATTCTTTTCATAGAGATAAAGGTATGCTTCTTTCGCTCTTCTTGTAGACTGTCGGACAGATCTCGGGGAAAAGGGATGCAGGACCTATAGACGAGGACTTCTTGGCCTGCAGCCGTGTCGAGAATCGAGACAGTATGGACTGTGGGTCTGGGTCTGGGTCCAGGTGATGTTTGAAGCGACCACAACGAAACCTCGAACCGACACTACACGTATGTCGGTGTAGACTGCCCTCGCTACCGCTGGTTCTATCAAGATCTTACCGGGAAGTTCCTGTAGGGGGTTTGTGGCTTTGAGACGTGCTGGTCGACTTGAAAGTTGACTTGTTCGTGCCATGCAGGGCAGACAAATGACAAGCATTTTCGCGAGCCGGACACATTTCCGGCGAATCTTGGCTCGGGTTGCGGCTGGCAACAAGCGAGTGAGTTGAGTCGGTGCGTGGATATGGATGGATAGTCAACAGACCACATCCGATCGGCTGAAGAAGACTGGCGACGGCTGGGGTATCTTTACCGAGTGTACCACAGTAAAATTGTGAGTGATAAAAGACTCTGAGGTTAGTAGTCATAGTCCTCTGTTCTTCTTGCAACCCAGCAGCCTTTGGCAACTCACCTCATCCCTCTCATGGATCTGCAAGTAAGCTCGAATGGACTGTGGCTAGGGTGGCCGGCTGAAGGAGTGTGCTCTATCGAGAGGATTGCCTGAGAAGTGACCACACACACTCTTGAACATGATTCTGTGGACCTAAGATATTGGAAGTGGGGGAGGAGAAAAGCAAGACACACGCTTGTCCCTCTGGTCAAGATTCGGACAGGAATCTAGATACGTATAGGAAGGTCGGATAGGTAAGGGATGCTTGCCGAGGAGAAAGAACAAATGATGGTCATGTCTTGAATCTTGACACGAGAGTCGACGGCGAGTTGGAACTCTTGCCAACGCGTTGATCCTTCATGTCTGTGAGCACCCCTAGACAGTGGACACAAATACTTACCTCAGGCCCCGTATTGGTGCAGGGCTGGCTTAGGCGGCCTTGCTTGGGTCGTCGTTGATCGACATTGACTTCCGTGATAGCCGAATTAGAACAACATTCAGGCCCAATCAGGACATATCCCAAAACAAGGAGCCCTACTGGAATCATCACCCGGCTGAACCACTGGCGAGCTCTCTCCAGGGGTTGAATCCTCCCTCGTTGGCCACAGCAGCTTCCTGGGCCGCGTCCTAGAACATCCAAGGAAGTCTTGTCCCTCTTGTCCCACTCTGCCGGGTTGCGCCCGCCATTGCTGCGCCTCTCCTGTATGTATTAGTATACTCTGTATGTTATCATATATGCAAGTGAACGGCCGATCTTTGACGATCCAACAAGAGGGACACTGATACTCATACTGTGTGATCCCTTCTTGCTGGAACACTTCCAGCGTGGTGTACTCTCTAGGAAGGGGCGAAGGTTAGCCGGTTCTCCTCCAACAGCCGCCTGGCCCGTCGGGACGTAGATGCACAAAACGCCCACTGGGTTGCTGCAGAACTGGCTCTGGCCTTAGAGTATCCTTAGGCATGCAGATCTGAACACTACTGTGTAACACAGTACTGCACCTTAGTGGAGGACTCAGAAGTGGCGCGAGCAACCAAGATGTCCGTATAAGGAAACAAGTACAGTCCAAATCCTAGACCGTCTTGATCATCTAGTAGCGGCTGGATATCGGAACAGAAACACCAGGCTTTGGGGGTCTGACTCGGACATCACCACACAGTATTCACCCAGAGGCCTCAATATCATGATAAGTATCTTCCCGTGGATGCGGCGCTTGAGGCTAACACCAAAGGCGTCCGTGATGGGCTTCAAGCTAGGGGTTTGATGGTGTTGGCAGGCTGATTATCATGGACGCTTGATATGTTGAATGTGTGTCCCCAGAAGAAATCTTGAGCAGCGATCAACCCACAATGGAAATATGAAATCAAGAATGCATGAGTCGTCCGTTGATAACTTCGCGCTACGCCTGCGTCTTTCCTGGTTCAATCGAGGGTACCCGGTTTTGATGGTGATGATACTTCGGTCAACGGTCACCGGTCACCGGCCAACGTTATAGTATGACTTCATTTGAGATGAGGTGTGTTCACGCAAGACGGTCTGAAAACCGGCTCGTAGGTTTTCGAAACATGATCATGAAATAATGATCTATTCCGACGGCGCAATGATCCTTAGGTCACCATGATGGGAAGGTATCATCGCCGTAACAGTGGGTAGACTCCGCTACAGCAGCGCAGTTTGTAGATAGGTACATGGCTGCATGGCCTTGACGGTGCCATCAGATTAGACTTCTGCATTTCCGGAATGCTCTTGAAGCTAACTACCAACTGTGGCTGGCTGGCTGTTGCACGAATTGGATTGGGTTTCGCAAGGGCGAGGTCACTTCTCCCTGCATGGTGTGTGGGGAGCCTGTCGATGATTTGGCAAAGATGATTGCAAAGCTCACTGTTGTACCTTCAGGACCCTCTCCATGAAAGGAAATCGTTCCATGGTCCTGGGAGACCAACACCCGCAAGAACCGTAGCTGTTGTTCCCCAGAGGGCGAGCAAGTCCAGCGGGGAAGACTGGGTCACTGCCCATTAACTCCGCCATGACCCTGTTGACGAAGAGGGCTGTCCGAGTTGGCTGACTTTCAACAAGTTTCGCCGAAAGTTGCCCAGGAGTGTCTGTCTGCCCTGCCTGTGAGTCCCAAAGACTGTGGTAAAATCAATGGCATAAGCCCAGTCCGACGCCGAACAGTACACAGCAGGCTCATTGAGGACTCTGACCGTGTTAGGCACACACATTCCTGGAACATGACGCGGGTAGTCCACTTCGTCCTCTCTATAGCGCTTGAGTTCAGCACCAGAAATGTTCCTGGTAGGTGTGATCCACGTGGAAACGGCGCCACATACATGTCTTGTTCGAGTGGAAGCCTGGGAGGCCCCCCTAGGCTACTAACTTGTACAGTGATGGAGCTCCGGGTGCACGGCTATGAATCGTGTGGTGCCACAGTTCTAAGCCATGGAAGCTAAGAAGCTGGGTCTGTTCCCTAGGGCGACTGACAGGCTCCAGGCTCCGTGCTCCAGGCTTCGTCGCGTCGCCAGCAGCCGATGGCTCTTGAGAGGACTCTGCACTTGAAACTGTAACGTGAATGGCATGATCACCGTCTGGACACTCCTATTCTGATAGTAAATTCTGGACCGGCGGACCCTTTCCTTTAGGTGCCTAGAGTCTAGACTGGTCGTGAGATGATCGACGTGCTCTTTTCGAAAGAAAGCCTCATTGAGACACAGCCACACCTTTGCTGGAGATGACTTGTTGGTTCTCAACAGGGGTTGGGTTCCAGGCGTCGGACGATCGTCCGTGTTCTGACGCGAAGAATATGAATAGAGACAGCAATTGGCTGTGCCCGCCGCACCAGATGATAATCCAGTGGTTACTCCCAGTGGCAAGAATGGCGGCACTTGAACGAAGCATCATAAGGGGTCAGTGCTTTCCAACTAACACTTACTTCTTTTGCCCACTGTTAGCTGTTGAGAGGTTGGTCCTGAACGCGGCACTCGGCCATGTCTCCAAACTTGGGGAGATCGACCATACCAGTAAACTGCCACAGCTGCCAAAGGTACAGGTTGGCTCATCCTGGTCAGGGTCAAGCTTAGGAAAAGTCCATGACCACGCGTTGCACAAGTCTAGTCCTCGGGTCAAGAAATGCTGACAAAATGCACGGTTGCTCATGACGTGGGTGGCATATCGACCAGCATCTCCGTAGGTAACTTCCTGTGTGCAAAATCGCCGTCTCCGAGATCCAAACTGCATGTTGTCGGCGTTGGATCCAGCATCATGGAAGCATCATCACCGCACACCGATTGCTCGGATTCCTGCAGTCAATGGCGGTGGCATGCGTCGAATGGTTAACCGTCTGAGATGTACGGTCATACGTATCTTACCGCGGTACTTTCGAGAGGGTTGACTTCTGACACGGCGGACGCGGTCCACCACCGGCAAGCTGACTGGAGCGCTTTTTGGACCTTGAGTTCGATAGCCGCTCCCAGAACAAACCAGTGCCAGAAGTGGAGGGTGCCATCACTGAGGTTCTGGCACTCTCATGAGTGGTCTTTGCGCCCAAATGATCAACCTCCATCCAACATCCCCGAGCGAGCGGAGAGCTTCCAGACGCCCCTGTGGTCGATTCGCAGTCCCTAGAAGAGTGGTCTGGTGAATCCAGAATCTGCCTCAAGGATCGAGCATGAGATGAGACATCTATTTCGCCGCTAGTCACCACTACTGAAGACGCCGAGTTGTAACATGGATCTCCATGCAAAGCCCACAACACGTATATCACCCGAGCGTTCGACTTTCGTAGATGGATAACGCCACAGTGAATGGCAGGTGTTCATACTGTCGTTCCTTCTTTTGCGCTCTGGCCGCGAACCAATGGTCAGCTTCGGGAATGGCCGAGTCAAAGCCCGAGGTCATGAGCATCCATCATGGTCGGCTTTTGGTTGCAGGTACTGTGGTCATGTCATTATGGACTTCCTGGGTGCCTGCCAGAAGTGGCACTGGGCGCCCATGGGTCGTACAACGTCAACTGACGGAGAAACCGTAGGCGCAGATCTCTCCTAAAGTCAGACCCTCACCGCACACCGTCGGGATTCCAAGCGATGGGTTCCGAAGGGCGGATGCCTTTTCTGCCCCCAGGCTCTGGTACCTCCCATGAGTCGAACAACCTCAAGCCTCTGGGATATGCCTATCCATTGTCCAACTGAGGCTTAAAATGTCAAATCGTGCTTGGGCCACTTCTTCACCTGCTCTAATGTCGATGGTCAAACGTGCTGATCTTGGGGGCCAGGTCGTTGGATCTGTTCTGGACTTTTGCCAGGGTTGTGATCGAAGGTAGATGGATGTGGCTTTCCGGTCTGGGACGCTTGATCGTACCTGGGTCCATCCCCTATCAAGGTACTTGAGTCAACGAGCACGGACATAGCGTTGGGCGCTCCCAGCCTATTCTGAGGAGGCAGCTAGCAATCGATCTCCTCACGCTCTCTTTGCACCGCCATTGACCGTGACCAAGATAGACCAATGATCGAATGTGGAATGGATCCTGTCTGCCAGTGCTAAAGGGAACTAAGTTGGCCTTCGTGATGTTTTGACTTTCTGGGACAGTCAAGTGGGAAGGATCGGAGCCACAGGGTCCAGTATGCAAATGCACCTTCTTTTCATTCGCCATGTCTTCTTGCACATATTCTCACAAGAGTCCCATGTTTTTCTCGGTACACTGGACACTGCTTGCCCTGACTTTGCTTCAAGTGAACTTTACTGTCCGTTCGCTGCCCCAGTCTCTCCTTCTCGTGGACTAGTCGGAAAAAGGCGACTTTGGCCGTCAGGACCCTGGTTCCCTCGTCTCGTTCAGAGCGTGACCCGCTTCAGTTTGTAACGGCACGAGTGCTGACGCCTCCATGGCGCTCGAAGTCTGATCATCGCTGTTATCTCTTTCTATTTTCCATAGTTGACGAAGTGGTTGAATCCACATCCAAGAGGCAGATTCTCAAGTTACTCACCGTTCATGCTGCTTGCTTGACGTGTCCATCGCCGTTTAGCCCTGACGACAACATTTCCAACAGCGCCTTCAGTCTTTCGTTTCCGCACGTCCGTTCAGCACTTCTCGTCGGAGTTGAGGTCAACGGCTCGAAATCCATGCGATACTTCTGATCGCACAGACAGGGAGCACAAGTGGCGCTTTTGCTGCATTCCAGAACAAAACTCCCGAATCGGCAGGGACGTCGGTTGCACGACCACGGACGAAGCAGCTCAGCAAGTCTGCTCCAGAGTCTCGACGAGCGCCAGGTCCGGATTTCACCCCAACCATTCGATGCGCCGCACATGGAGTGTGTCCAGATGACGATACGAAGCCAGGTCTCCTGGTGATGTGGTTCGGTTGTACCTGGATACTGCCTCAGCCTACGTTGGTTAGGAGGACATAAAGTGCCTTTTTTTGGTCTTTCCGTGTCCCGCCGCAGGTCGCCTTTTCAGCGATGATGATGCATGAGGAAGATAACAATCCTGCGGACCTCAGAGAGGAGAGTAATCCGGCTCGAAACCATTTCTACGGCGACCCCGACGCTCTGAACATGCCTGGCTTGGGGGAAAGGGTTGATTCTTCGCCGAATTTTCGCGACATGGGATCCGAAGGATCGCCCCTTTCGGCAGCCGAAAAGAGGAGAAACAAATTAGGTTATCATCGCACGGCGGTGGCCTGCGGTTAGTCTTCTCCGCCTGGTACCCTGCACACGAATCTCATTGACCGGACATAGGCCATTGTCGAAGACGCAAGATTCGGTGTATGCCTGCATTTGACGACCCCGTGGGTCGATGTCAGAACTGTATTCGGCTGAAGAAGGACTGTCACTTCTTTCCCGTCGACCAGCAGACCCCTGGCTCGGGAAGACGCGTACGATCAGGCACCAAGTCGACCGAAGGTGGCCTCAATGAAGCGGAGACACCAGTTCCTTCATCCTCTCCCGGTGGAGTTCTTAGGAGTGCGTCCTTCGAACATTTTGACCAGATGGATGGCCCTCTGGGCACGCCGCCCTTGTCGAGGAATAGTCCGGGCTACACTGGGTTCCATCTGGGCCCCGGGTCCGTCTCGGGCAGCGGTAGGACAAACTGATGCCATTGAACGACCCATTGCTGATCATCATAGGATTCGACTATACAAGTCCATACGACTACCGTCAGCACGCACAAACACAATTAGCACATCAACATCAACATCAACAGCAACAGGTATGGGACGATCCCTCAACAAATACTTACCTAGAAGTCATGTGGCTGATTCGGGCGATTCACAGTTCTATCCACAATATGGACATTCCTCGCAGGGACCTTACCCGTCGGCGTTCATTGCAGGGTCTATGCCTGCGAATCTGTCAACAATATCCAGAGAGAGTACCTATGAATATCAGCCATCATCGCCTGTTGCCGCATACGGCTGGGCCCAATCGCCCACACGATCAATGTCGATGGGCGAGAGGGAGAACTCACCGCAAAGCTTTCACGCAGCATACCGGACACAGACTTACCCCTCGATAGAGCGAAGAATTGCGAGTGACATGCAACACCTGTCGTCAACGAGCAGTCGTTTCATGCCCATGACTCTGGAAAATCAGCCAGGCGCAGCGTTGAACTTTTCGGACCCGATGCCTTATCAGCCTTTACCGGTGGAGATGCAGCAAGAATGGGCTGGCCCTGAGCAGAGGCCACAATTGGCAAGCTCTTCTGGAGCACCAACCCCAGTCTGGTATCCTCAGCAATCAGGATTGACTGATGCGGGAGATGTCGAGCGCTCAGGGCATCTTCTGCCCTCGCAACATCAGAATCCTCACTGAGATCATTGTGACACGTCCGAAGTTGCGCATCCATCGAAGCATTCATTCTGACGGTCGGCATCTACGCCGATGCATAGCCACCAGAATATTCCAGTCCATCAACAGCGGATCTGGATCAATAGCACTCGACCTTCTGCACAAGTCAAAAGTGGATTTTATTGTCCAGCTGGCAATATTCGACGAGATACTTAGTCTCCTTGCCTCAAATTGCTCGACACAAGTCTTGTGGAATGTCCTAGCGAATACCAGCGTTGGCAGGGCGAAGCCGGTTGACTATGCTTGTGAGCACTCCAGAAGCACAAACAGACAGTCCGTATATCGAGCACGAGCTGAACAGTGGATGCCAGCGTCGGCCGCAGCGGTGACTCCCGGCTAGTATGCTTCACACCCCACTAACAGGACCTTTGTTTCCATGTGAGAGGTATGTTCCATTTTTCTTCCCACTGGTGGACCCCTCAGGCAACAAATGCTCGAATCTGGCTTGAGGACGGGGTGGACGTTTCTTCATGGCCACTTGAGACACGTGGCAACGGGCTTTGCAGTTGCGTTCGCCACTAAACAAGACAAGGAGAACGGTCTCGTCCATAGAGGTGTCAAGAGGAAGGATAGTCAAACTGCGGAGAGAACCAACGATTGTTGGGTGCCTACCCCCTTGGTGTGCAGAGCGAGAAAAAAGCATGAAAGATGAAGACAGACAGACTTTCTCTTGAGGTCGTCACTGGAAGGGCCCTTACTCCCTCGACGGTAACAAGCTTGCCTCGCTGAGAAGGAGCGGAAAAGTAAACATTGTGCTTGTATTTCGTGCTTGTGTCTATCGCTATTGCTTTCTTAGATATTGGAGGCGGTGCAGCAGTGGGCGACTGACTCGGGAATTATAGATCACGTGATTACATGACTCGTCCAGTGCCAAAACGCCCTGTAGAATGCCGTACAGATTAGACTGCTAGACAATGCTCGGCAAAGTTTCCTGGAAAAAGCACTATCGCCTGCCGCGCTAGATTTGCAGCAAGACTGGACGATTCTGTTAGCATGCCCTCCTAGGTTTCCACAAACACACTTTTTTCTCCTGTTGCGATGGAGACTTTGAGTGATGAGATCTGGGATGTCGTGATAGTCGGTACCAGTATACCTCAGTCTCTTCTGGCACTGTACGGCTCTCTCTCCTCCTCAAGATCAGGCCCTAACTGACTGACCAAGTCTGCCTGGTTAGGTCGCTTTCACGATCAGGCAAGAAAGTCCTGCATGTCGACCGTCACTCCTACTATGGAGGTGACGATGCTGGTCTGAGTCTCCAGGATGCGGAGGACTGGGTTCAAGACCTGAACAGATGTGAGCACGAGTGGCATGAGAACTAGGAAACCATCCACTAACCGCTTTCTCAGCTTCGAGCACCGTCTTCCGAACACCCTCCGTGTGGAGACCTACTCGCAGGGATGAAGACGAGTCGGCGATCAAATCGGGGTCGTCTAGGTCCTACACGTTGAGTCTGAACCCGCAGATTATCTACGCTCGATCCGATTTCCTTCCCAAGCTTGTTTCTTCACGCATACATTCTCAGCTCGAGTTCCTGGCCGTAGGGTCGTGGTGGGTACACCGAGATGGGGCACTACACAAGATTCCGAGCACTCGTGAGGATGTCTTCAACGATACATCGCTATCGATGAAGGACAAACGTGCCTTGATGAAGTTCCTTCGATACGTACTGCAAGAAGACGCAGAAGAATCACTTGATCAAGAGGAAGAAACCTCGATGTCACTGCAGGCAGCGCTTGATACCAAGTTCAAGGTCCCCAAGTCTCTACAACCGCCTCTCCTTGCCCTCGCGCTCTCGCCGGTCGCTGCAGATTTCTTATCATTCAACAAGGCTCTGGCCAGGATCAGGAGACACCTGCGTTCGATGGGCCATTTTGGTCCGGGCTTTGGAGCTGTCATCGCAAAGTATGGTAGCACTTCGGAGATCTCGCAGGTGGCTTGCAGAGCTGGAGCTGTCGGAGGTGGGGTCTATCTTTTGGGGCACGAGCTGAAACAGCTTGACTCTGTCGACGAGGACTCCTCGCGTATAGGCGATAAAGGAGACAGTATGTCTCTGCTTGAAGGTACACTTTCGGATGGAACCCGGATCAAAACTCGATTTGTTGCCGGATCCGTCGACGATCTTTCACCACTACAGCAAACATTGTCAGATGTCACACCGTCTACTGGTACCTGGAAATCCATCAATATCGTGGCAGATCCGCTGAAAGCTCTCTTTCCCCAAACCTCCGACAACGGGCCAGTCCCTGCGGCAGCGATTGTGTTGATCGACAGAGGCGACGAAGAATCCGATAAAAGCCCGATTTACTTGCAAATACACACCGAAGATACGGGCGAATGTCCAGCGGGTCAATGTATGTTGCACACTCCTCAGCCCTCTAATTCTTCTATGATGATCCAACCTATGAATACTTATCTACATTGCCTGAGCACTCTGTGCCTTGCTGATAACTATCCTCTGACAACCTGACATGGAGACCCACACAATATCCTCTTTCCAGCTCTGCTCCAAGATCATGGCTAACTCGGGTGTGGCAGGTATAATATATGCCTCTTTGGCGGCTGACGATGAGGCTGCAAAGGATCGGCTGCAATCTGCCGTCAACAGTTTCATCGAGACGGCTGGGGTCAAAGATTCGCTCCTCTGGTCGCTGTCTTATTTGGTGCTGGGCCCTGCAGAGGAGCCGGATTCAAGCTATCCCCCACTACGCAAGCATTCCTCCCAGGTCCTAGTCTTCTCACCAGAGCCCTACGACATCTCTTTTCCTGACGGTGTTCTCGATGCTGTAAAAGAGGCTTGGACAACAATCCTTGGTGCGAGTGCAGCAGATGATACCTTTTTGCACTTCGAAGAAGGTGAAGCTGAGGTTGAGCAATGACCGACAGGCGGAGCTGGCTGTGATGACGAAAGCATGGATTTCTAAGCATCTCTTTTCCCCGGCACTGTCCCGGAATCCTGAATGAGATGGCAGGAATTCCTCAGCTTGCCCAGTCAGGCTAGGCGATGAATGCTAACAACAGACTCACTCTGCTGTGCATCTCAGTGTGCCTTTGCTGGTCTATGGATGTGGATAATGCCAATTGAGCTGTTTCCTGGATGAATCGCCTGGTATTTTGCTGGAGTGCAAGAAAGGATATCTACCTCCCCCCATCACTGCACTGTTCTATGTGCACAGGCGCTTCCCCTGCATGACTTTTGACGGAGTATTCACTTTGCCATCTTTCTGCATCTAGTTTCTTGATTTGTTGACTGGAGACAATGGGTGTTGCTTCACCAGTCAATTATACAGCGCCTTCGACTTGATCGGGTTATGAATTGTACGTCGGGAGCTGTGAGGTTTCTATTACTACTTCACTGACACATCTTGTCGCATAGTGGCTCCTTCTGTCAGCCTCTGCCTCTGTCAACGACTTCCCGCCGTGGACCTATGACGGAGTGCTGCGTACAGGAGTCCACTATGCTCTCCAGTCAGATGCCATATCTGTTGTCATTATCGTTTACTCTGTATCTCGTACTCACCACCTGTCGACCAAGTTATCCGAGTCTTGACTTTTCAAGAGGTTTAACAGAGATGAAGTACCTTACACACCCAAGTTGAGACAGTGTGCCTGCCAAGAGATGCCGACTCTCTAAAATAGCACCAGGCTAGCCGTAATCAGACTAGTAAACCCTCTAACCAAACTGAGCACGTGATCAGTGCCTGCGCCTTCTAATCCGGGTTTCCTTCTCCCACACTTCAGGCCTCTCTCTGAATGGCTTTCAATCCACCTCACAAACTTCAACCTCCAAGCACCAACCAACAACCACCATCCACGGGCTGAACCACCCACCATCAACCCATCCTCTTCTAAACCCTCTGCCGCGGCCGCTGCCATGTCGTTCGGCCATTCATCTTTCGTCGCTCGTTCTGCACTGCATGCGCCTGTCATAGGCCATGCAGCTTACCGAAGACTTTCATGTGCGCTCATGTACCTTCAGACCTATCATTTTTGGTACAACTCTATCCGTGCGAAGACCAGCCCAAGACTGATGTGTCTATCTATGGTGACTTTGACATCCATCCTTACCGATTGCGGCCAAGGCAAAGCGACAGTCACCTCTCCACGGCTGGTCGTTGGGCACAGCTGCCTCGGTTTGCCTCCAGGTCGGCCTCCAGGCGAGCTCTGGGTTGGATGAAAGAGCAACATCTTTGGCTATGTCTCAATGCTACCGCACCTAACAGGACGGGTTTTTGTGGGGTTGCACACATTTTCTTCTTCACATCTTGGTAAAAGTTCGACTGACCCTGGACTTCCCGTGTCCCTTGATCGCCTGGCTCCTGAAACAAGTGGGTTGATGAGTTGGTTCCAACCGAATTAGAACTGATTACACTCCAACTCTGACCTTCCGAATACTCCGCCAATCGCGAGCCCCATACAATTCAGCCTGGCTCCATTGCCGACTACTACCACAGTCCTATGTCCTATGTTGACGTGCATGGGTATCGCACATCTAACTTTTCTTCTGACTTACGGTGCAGTAGCGTTGCCTTTGCTCATGGTCGAATGGCGGGATCTGTTGCGATCCATCTTCGCTGTCCATCCCACAGCATCACCAAAAGAGCCGATGTGCTCCGCAGCCCATCGGCCACCACCACCTAGGTACCACGCAGTACATCTTCTGATATTGGCTCGAAAGATACCTTGCTCGGCACGATGTATATCCGTCGTCTTTTGCGCGCTTCTTTTCCTTTCCTACTTTCCCGACTCTAGCATTGACACTGACTCTGATTCTGCGTGTTATTTCGCCGGGAGGAAGAAGCATTCTGTCGGCAAACTCTCGTTTTTGCATTGAGCCTCTCGTTTGCTGAGAAGCACAACATTCCCCTCTTTTAGGCCGTCCAATTGACTTTGGAAAGCCCGACAGCTTCACAAAAGCCACCACCTGCCCAGAACTGTTGATCGGCTACCGGCCCGTGGTTGGATTTACTCACGTTTTAGGACAGGAAGCTCTCGCCTAAAGCACCACGAATATGAGTATGATGCACAAGGCAATAGCAGCGCTGCTGTTATCGGCTGGCTTGGCTGTTGCTCGACCATTGACGGCCAGAGGGTTGATCAATGACGCTGCCGGTCAAACCTACGACTACATTGTGGTTGGCTGTGGTGTATCTGGTCTGGTCGTTTCTTCACGTTTGAGCGAAAACGAGGATGTAACGGTCCTCTGCCTCGAGGCGGGATCACTGTGAGTCTTGAGGCATGCCAGAGCGGCGTTGAACGACACATTTCTAACTTGGACAACAGCGATCATTACGAGGATGAGATTATGATTCCTTACTACATCGGTCTACAACCATATGGGTTCTACGAATGGGGAATATATACGGTGCCCCAGACCCAATTAGATGGCGTCAGTCGTCACATCCCATTGGGGAAAGGGGTTGGTGGTGGTTCCCTTATCAATGGTATGGTATGGAATCGAGGAAACCAGCGAAGTTTCAATGCCTGGAATGACGTTGGAAACTCTGGATGGGGTTGGAATGCCCTTCTGCCATACTTTGAGAAGGCAAGCAAATGCATACTCCCACTACAGTCCGCAGTATCTCAAAGCTAACATCACCTACCCAGTCCGAGACGTATACACCGAAGAACTACGAGGGTGCAGAGGTGCAACCCGAGCTGCAGAATCCTGCTGTCCACGGCACGAGTGGCCCGGTCCAGGTATCGTATCCCAACTATTACTGGCCGCAGACAGACAACTGGTTCGCGGCGCTCCATGAATTGGGCATTCCAACCTCGGCCGAGCCCAACGAAGGCTTAACCGCGGGTGGTTACTTTTTGCCCTTGGACATTGACCCCAACAACCAGACACGCTCCGACGCCCGTCGTTCGTACTACGATCCCAACATTGCACGAAACAACTTCAATGTCCAACCAAACTCCCAGGTCACCCGGATTCTGTTCGAGCAGGGCGACCAATTGACAGCTACCGGGGTCGAATTCGCAACCGGACCATCCTCACCGCGTCAGACAGCGTACGCCAGCCGCGAAGTCATCCTTGCAGCTGGTGCCATCCACAGCCCCCAATTACTCGAGCTTTCGGGTGTTGGACAAGCGTCCGTGCTTGAATCGGTGGGCGTGGAAGTGCTTGAGAATCTGCCCGGTGTCGGCAACAACCTGCAGGACCACGGCATGATCCATCTGGACTACCATTACACGAATCCTGCAGTCATGGACATCAGTGATTTTGCCAGCAACTCAACCTTCAATGATGAGGCCGCCGCGGAGTATTATGGGAGCAAGACCGGACCATGGACAGCCAAACCCAGCTGTGCCGTTGCCTTCCCTTCACTCCAGCAAGTCACGGACGACGTCGAGTCCAGGCTAGCGGCCGCCAGTTCTGCGCCGTACAACCTTCCGTCGACGTACGATGACGAACCGACCCTTCAGGTAGGCTATGAACGCCAGATCGCCAGCGTGCTCGATGAGTTGGCCCACGAGGACATCCCGGCGTTCGAGAACTTGAACAACAACGCCGGTGGATTGGATTTGGCGCTGATGCGGCCACTGTCTCGGGGTACGACGCACATCACATCGATCGACCCTTTTGCTTCTCCCAACGTCGACCCCCGATGGCTGGTTCATCAGTTCGACTACGACGTCATGATCCTTGCGATGCAGGTCAACCAGCGCATTTTGGACACGTCGGCGATCCAGGAGCTCGGGCCGTCTTATGATCAAGTTCCTTGGGACGCGTCGGTGGATGAACTTGGACAAATTCTGCGGTCTGGCATCGGCACCGAATACCACTACTCATGTACGACCGCCATGTTACCCCTGGAACTGGGTGGTGTGGTGGATGGAGAGCTGCGGGTTTATGGAACTAACAATTTGAGAATCGTGGATACCGGTATCTATCCCATGGTTCCTGGAGCGCATTTGCAGGCGGTGGCATATGGTGTTGCTGAAAAGGCGGCCGACTTGATCAAGGCTGCTCAGTGAGTCTAAATGGTGTCAATAAGTCGACTAAGAGGTGTCGGGAAGAAGTGTCGTTTTGATCAGTGTTCTTTTCCATTCATTTACTTTGGTTTAGGTGCGGTTCGACGCAGTCTTTATGGATTGAAGTCGGGGATATGAGGAATGGTTGGATCCAAAAGTCATTTTCGAACCGTCTGTGCGCTATAGGTATATATTTGAAGGGGGAAAAGGACAATGTCTAATGCAGTCGACGATGAGGAGGAGGTTTATGATAATGAGGATGAGGAAGGGAGCATATATATGTATAGATCCGTATAATATACTGTTTATTCTCACTTGCTCAGTGTGCTCCAGGACGTTCCGCTGACTGTCAGGTTGGGATCTTCAGATTGCATTTATCTATTTTCTTATTCACTTTGGCATAAGCATCTGAGATACTCTATGATGAGTCGATGAGCTCCTTATCCCTCCTCTCTACCCCTGACGCTTCCCCGCGCTTTGTTCTTCCAGTGTTTGCTGGGTTTGCCAGGGGATAATCCAAGGTCCCTAGCAAGTTACCCTACCATACATGTTGTTTTTACATCGTCAATGTGACCATGAAGGAGCTGTGATTACGAATGGAATTTGACTTTGAGTGCCTCATGAATGCGAGTGCGATGACTGATGCTGTGGGCTGTTGGGATACTTATCATGATGGATGATGGTGTTGACGGAAGTTTCCGATCTTTTGCCTTGTTGACATCCCATCCAGTATATTCTCTGTGGTCGGGTATTGGGAATCTATCTATTTAGAAGCTCGGGTACTCTTTTCGACGTTTATGATGACGGCGTTGGAGAATGCATGATACTGTATCAATGTCTTGACTGTGCCCGCTGCCATTGTCTCTGTCATGCTTGAGTGTTGTACATCCATCTATCCAGACAATCGCTTTTCTGTTCCAAAGCGTGGTATCATGCCGAGGAGCTCATTCCTGGGAAGCGATGTGCAGCCGTCGTCTTGACGAAATCCCGGCGTCAGTTACTCCTGAGCAGCAGCCTCAATGCTCAACCAGAAATCCACCCACTTCCGCTCAGTCTCCTGCATCTCCTCGCCGGGGTTCTTGTAACAAGTGTCCAAAACACGTCGGATCCGCTCTCTCAAGACTTTAATCGCCATCAATTGCCTCCAATGTTTGACGGCGAGCTTGACCTTGCCAGTATCCAGCACCAGCACGCCCGCGAAGAACTTGTACTCGGCGTCGCCGAGCAATAGCGCCAATGCAGATTCAGGGATGGCTGATGTTTCAAACACGTTGAGACTGCCGCTGCGGTTCTGCATGGCCTCGTAGAAAGACAGCCAGCGTGGTGGCTTTGTGTTGTTGCTGGGATGGTTGACGGAACGAGCGGTCAGAGACACCTGTTGATTGCTGTAGACGTTGCGCCAGCCTTTGCCTTCGCGCAACAGGACTCGCGGGTACAGTGCCATGGCCAGGAGAGCGTTGAGTGCTCGATCAGTGATGGTCTGGTTATACCGTGGTGGAAGGGCGTAGAAGACTCCGCTCGCGCCGCCACGGCTCCCGGCACCTCCTGTCCGCGCTCGGCTCAAGCTGGCCTTCTCCTCGCCTGACAGGATCACCTGGCCAGCGTCGACCAAATACACCAGCAGTTGGATCTTCTGCTCCTCGACCTGTGACATGGCTTGGTCGGAGACGTTGTTCTTGCGGCAGAATTCTTGGACAGAGCGGGCGGCCTTGGCTCTTCTCCAGCTCTCGTACGCGTTCAACGACGACAGCAGGTCCGAATCCCCGCGGCTGAACGCCTGCCGAGTGTCTGGTTGCGAGCCAGTGGCTGGGGAGCTCAGGAATGGAGATTTGGAAGTGAGGAGTGAGATGATGGCCAGAATGGGGTCCTGTCAAGTTAGAATCATGGTTAGCACTATCACTATGGCAGAGGAAAAGCAGACCATCAAACGTACCAGGCTTCGGAATATCACCCCGAAGATGGCGAGTTTGGCCAACGACACTTCCAATGGCAACCGTGCAATCTGCTGGCCTAACGGTGTCAACGCCTCTGTCTTGGTCAATGCTCCGGCGTCCTTCAACTTCTCGATGGCCCGCAGGATGTTTTTCCTGGACGGCGGGTCGATCGCTGCATTAAGAGTCTCCTCGATCGATCCTAGATCCCACACTTTGATGCGCAGAATAGGATCCTGCAAGCCCAGTCGCAGCATCTCCGGCACTTGCTGTTCCAACATCTGGTTGTCATGTCGATACTTCGTCACCAGATGGAAGCATAGTCCCTCCTGTACACGCGCGGCACGACCCCGTCGCTGACGGGCTGAAGACCGCGAAATGAAACCCTCTGTCAGCCTTGACAATTGACGGCGTTCGTCAAACCGCATCACTTTCTCTTTGCATGTGTCGATGACCGCTGTCACATCCGGGATCGTGATACCGGTCTCGGCAATGTTTGTGGCTATCACAATTTTCTTGTAGCCCGGCGGTGGGCGTTCAAATGCTCTCTCCAGGTCTTCCGTGGAAAACGTCGAGTGAAGGAGATATACGAGCCAATTCCTGCTGAAGATGTCCAGTGACAGGAGCAAGTTGTGCAGTCGTCGCATCTCGCCAATGCCGGGCATGAAAATCAGAATCGCGCTGCTGTACTTCTTGTACTTTGGTTTGCTGGCAATGGACGCGGCGAGCTTGACGATCAAGTTGTAGTCAATCCGGTACTCGTCCATGTTGGACAAAGTCCGGAGCGTCTGACTGCTGTACGCTTCCGGGTTGCTGACGACCGGACGTCCTTTTTCGTTGCCGTAGAAGTCATCGGCAACATCCTGGGAATCGTCCTGCACGGACAGGGCTTTATCCTTGACATCATTCGTCGCCTCTACCGCGTCTTCGAGAAAGCCGACCTCAACCGGGAACGTTCTTCCTGGAAGGTCCAATACGGGAGCGCCTCCGAAGTATTCCGAGAACTTCTTCGCGTCCACCGTTGCGGACATCAACACAATCTTCAACGTGCTCCGTCTCTGCTGCAGTTTCTTGAGAGCGATGAACAGCAGATCCAAATCCATCGTCCGCTCGTGTACCTCGTCAAGTATCAAATAGTCCAGTTCGTCCAGATCTGGAGATTCTTCTAGCATCCTCAGCAGCACCCCAGTGGTAGCATACGTGATGCGCGTGTTACTGCTCGTTTTCGATTCCAGACGAATGGCGTATCCCACGAGAGAGCGCATGGTACCAAGGTCATTTCGACCCTCGCCCAATTCCTGCGACACACGCCTCGCAAGCGTCACGGCCGAGATTCTTCGTGGCTGCGTGACAAGGATGTGGCAATCTCTGCCCTGGCTGAAGTCTTGTTCCAACAACAATACAGGGATGCCAGATGACTTGCCGGCGCCGGTCTCCGCGCAGATCACGCTGACGGCATTGTCGCCGACGCAGCTAAGAATCATGTCTTTAAATTGATGGACGGGGAGTTGCCGGCGGACTTGGAGCATCTCCTGAAACGCAGGACGAGCGGTCCGCGACTCCCATCCTTTGAGGATCTCTTCCGGATCCAATTTTGCAGGCTTGGGGCGCTGCAACCGGCGTCGTTCAGCTACAACCCCCTGTTGTTTGCCACGATCTGTGCTGGCGGTCTGGGTTTGCACTTGTTTCATCCTTTCCTGTGTTTCATGGATCAGTTCACGGATGCGACGAAGGCTTGTTTTGTGCTCTTCATCCATTACTCGTTGCTTCGCTTCGTTCAAGTCCTTGATAAGATCTCTCCAGACTGTAGGAAGACGAGTTGTCGCTTTCTGTTCTTTAGCACCTAATGAAGAGACAAGAAACAGGCCCAAAGCGCAGACATAGGCTTCGGATTGCGCACTGCTCGCAGCAGCCATGCTGACCATCTGAAGACTCCACAGGCGCGGCGCAGTTGTCGCCAAAACCTCGGATGGAAGCGCATCTATAGTGTGAGGACCTGGCAAGACATCCACTGTCCAGGATATTTCCAAGCTGTGTCTCGCTGAGTAGGAACTTTTGTGCAGGGTACGTACTGCCACTCGGGCCTTTGAGTCATGACCTTTACATATGTCGTCGAGGAGTCTTCGTGGAGATACCCCTGTCCATCGGCCGAAGTCGATCGTTTTGATGTCCTGCTGTTCTGAAGCTTTTTCTTTGGTGGAGACGGCTTCGTCGACTCCTTCGAACATGCCACCGAGTAATCCATCTGCGACTGTATCGGTATTTCCGACCAGCTGGTCTTCTTGGCGAGAAGGCGCAGTTGCAGGTTCCGGTTGTGAGCTTTTGACCTCGTGCGTTTCTTTTCTCATCTCCTCGCGCCGCTTTGCAGCTTTCTCTCTTAGACGCTGTTGGTGCTGGACTTCCAACTCGATTTGGCTAATGCTCCACGCTGCCTCTGCTTCGTATTCGTCAAACAATGGGTCCCGTATCAACTGCTGCAGTCTCTGGGTCACCCTTGCAATCCGCTTCTGTTTTCTAGAGGTGCTCTTTTGAGTCTGCTCCGGCTCTGTATTCTGCGCCTCCCAGATCAGGCTTCGAAGTCGAATGTACTTCTCAGTCAGCTTCGCAGGGTCGTTATCTTCATCGCTATCGGAGGAAATATCTGGTGAAGAATCTTTCTCTGATTCCGATACATTTGTCGGAGTGCTTGCAGGGCTCTGTCTACTTTGGCTGACTGTTGGAGGTTCTGTGATTCAGTTAGCATTGCCATTAGTGCGATATCAAGGTTACAAGAAACAATTCTTGGCTTCCATGCAATGTTCCAAGGTAGCACGAGTCCCAAGATCTCGGCACTTCCTCCTGGCAGCTTCTTGTGCTGATGTTTGAGATGATCCCAGTAACGAGGTGCCGTGAAAGGTGCAAAAACATGATAGTTCCAGCTCACTAGCCGGATTTATGGACTTGGGATCACTCACCCGATGTCGTTTGCATGGGCGTGCTCTCACCACTCAAGCCAGGTTTCGATCCTGGCACGCTTTCGTAACTGGGCAACTCGCTAGGTCCAGTATTGGACGCATACCACTCGAATGCCTCCTGCAGCCCAGGCAGAGAATCGGTGCCAATGGCCAGCTTACCCCAGGTGGCTAATATCGCAACATGAGCGATAGCTTCGGGGACTCTTGGGAAGTTCAACGACTCTAAGACTCGTTCCAGAGTCCAGAGGTCAACCAACGTCTTCTCCTCGTCCAAAATAGGTGCAATTGCACTGCCACTGGGCGCGACATACAATGACTCGGACGCGTTGAAGGTCACTATCTCGTCAACCGTCGCGTCAGCGAGCCAAGGGTATGCCGACAGTCTGTATGCCTGTGAACGTAGCTGCCGCCGTTCTGTCTCCAACTTTGCGACTTGCCGGGATGCATCAGCTATCGACCGTGCAGCATGCTTCTGTACAAGGGCCTCTAGTTCGGAATTTTCAAGATGCGCTTCGAGTTCCTCTGGGCTCATGTTCTTGATATCTGAGGACCCCTGAGACGCCGGCGAGAGCTGACTGTTCGTGTCAATAGGCTTGGAGTCAGGAGTTGCAGCGGACACCACAGAGCCACGATCTTCGGGCGCTGAGGTATCGTTGGGCTGCTCGACTGACTTTGCCTTGGAAGGAAGTGAAGTCGTGGCAAATCCTCGGGCTGGATTAGCCGCAGGCTTCTTCTTTTTCTTATTTGGAGCCATAACGAATGGGTCCTAATAGAAGCTGAAGTTATGCTAGACACAGAGCAAGCTCACTTCCAAACAGATCATCCTGTTTTTGAATGATGATTACTTTAAGTGCAGAGTGTTGAGCCATGATTGAAGTACTGTTCAATATGCCAAGCCTGGGATCTGTTATGGACAATATATCACGCCGCCTTATTGGCGGACGAAGCTTACCATTCTAAGTAAGCGTTCGTCAGTTTCCCCTGAAATTTACAGCCTGATCTCTAGGTGCGCCTTGCTCTGGACCCTTATGTACATAGGCAACAGCGTATGCAGGTCTCCATGTCACTGTAGGCTGAACACTTGAATCGTGCTGATTTCTTGGGACTCAGCGCCAGTGGAGGCAAATAAGTCGCAAGGGGTCACGGTTCAGACGAAGATAGACAAGTCTCTGGATAGGAGCTTTGTTCAATGGTAGAGAGGAGTTACAATCACGATCTTATGATGCTATGTAGATGGAATGCTTTCTGTCTCTACGGGTGAATTATCATGTCGAGGGAGATGAGAATTGACAGCCATACGAGATTGTCAAAAGCGGCGAGAAGAGGCTGGCGGAGGGCTGCCCTAATTGACCAATCAGACAGTGAGTGAAACCTGAGGCGATCTCAGAGACTTTGGGACCATTCCTCATGACCGCTACGACGTGCCATCTTCCACACCAATCGTGCAACAGGAAACAGGTCGCAAAAAAAGGCGATCCCCTAAGTTGAGTGTCATCATGCTGGCACTGGCCCTCACCGCGGAATTGGAAGGGTACGACGCCGCTGACCTCCTTGCCTCCTGTACTGCTAATATTTATTTGCCCAGCGTAACCGACTTGGTCCCTTCCGACAAACCTGAAACTCCATACTACTACACATTCAAAGTACAATGCACGTCCTGTCGAGAGATCCACCCAAATTGGGTGGGTGTTAGCCGTCATGTAGGTCTTGCGACACGGACTTAGGGATAACATTCCCTTTCAAGTGTCTTTCTGTCAAAATCCAGCCTTACTTTGACTCCTATCTGCTCTTGTCGTGATAGCCTATCCAGGCAGTCAATGGAAGTCGGGCCATTCTGACGATACGTCACAGGATACGAACGAACAATCAGGGAGCCGGGGAGAAGCGAACTTCGTGTGGAGGTGCAAGAACTGCAAGGTCGGGATAGCCAAGACCACTCAACAAGTGGAGTACTGATCAGAGAGGTGTTGGGCCATACAGAGAGAATCCAGCGCCAGCATCAAAGCCGCTCCGGCAGTTTACGAACAAAGCTCGCCCGCCAAACCCAAAAACATCATTGAGATTGATTGCAGAGGTCTGGAGTTTACTGACTTCAAAGCAGACGTATGTCCTCTCCTATGACGTGAGACTTGAAAGACTCGCTAATCTGATTGCAGGGGGAATGGGAGGCCAAAGGCATTGAATCGGGGACGAAGTTCACCGGAATTGACCTGTCAGAAGGGGAATGGTTTGACTATGATGAAAAGGCAGGTGAAGAAGTCAGCATCAAGGACATCAAGTGGGAGATTCGAAGAGCTTGAATGATACATCTATGTGCAATATAGCGAACGTAAAAACCAAAGGTCAAGGGAAGTCATCTCTAGTACTACGTACTACTAGGACAAACGCAGCCTTGCGACGGGCAAGGCTGAGCACGTGATCTATGTTTCCTTGCCAAGCTCCGCAGCTTTGCACATTTTCGTAACTGTCAGTCTCTCGCGTTCGACACCGCAGCCGTTGAAGGTTGGGTTATTGTCGCGTCCACAGGGTTTCTGCACCGTGCCAACCGCCGAGACCAGCTCTAATTCCTCCAAACCGCTCGTTGTTGTGTTCGAACGTCAGGATGAATGTGAGTGGCATCCTCAAAAATCTGCCAGGCGCAGCTAATCCAGGACAGTTCGCTCCTCTTAACCCACGGCCGTTGTTGCAACAACTGTATGTCTATCCTGTCAACGCGCACAAAGCAAATGGATCTCATTTCAAACATTGAGAAGTGGCCGAAGGAACACTAACGGAGATCGCACTCTGCAGGATCAACGATGATGTTATTATTCGCTTGAAATGGGGACAGACCGAGTACAAAGGGCGACTGATCAGCGTGGACTCATACATGAACATCCAACTGTCGAACACGGAGGAATTTATCGACCGGAAACACACTGGCACACTGGGACAGGTTCTGATCAGGTAAGCTGCTGTCACACTGTGCCGCCGCAAACATTGTCACGGAGGCTAACTATTCCGGCTTCCAGATGCAACAATGTCCTCTGGATATCGGCGGCAAAAGGAGTAGAGATGAATGGCGAAGGAGCAGATACCAAGATGGAGGGATAAAGGCGGAGACGCTCGACTGCAGAATGTGCGCTCCCGACTGAATTATTGAGACTTCGGTGACCTCGGAGCCCACAAACGTCTTTGAACCATCAGCACTACCTATCCGAACGTCCGAACACAAAGAGACGTTTCGGCCGACGGAGGCTGACTGCTTGCCGGAGGGACGCATCAGAAGCCGCCCTCATGAGCTCCTTGACACGGCGTCAACGACCATATTTGGAACAAAATTTGAAACTTGACATGGACACTTCGAGACGCCAACATCCTCGTTCTAGAACTCGGCAAATGGGCCAAGAGGTTATCACACTAGGTGTGAAGATGGCAGCTGTTTCAGGTCAGGTGCACACCAGCAGACATGTCTGATCGCTGGCAGCGCAGGTTACGCTTGAGCAGTCCAGTTCCACAACCAGCAGGACCAGGGTCAATGTCGGAGCTCACCAGAGGGGCCTCAGTTCTGACAACGCACGACCCTATGACACGTCTTGGACGAGATGATGATAGTGGAATTTCAGGGAGCATTCTTCAAGGACAGTGAGCAGCGGAGATGAATATTACGCCGCCCATTACGCAAGGTGGAAGTGCGCCCAGTTCTTACGTGGACGTCATGTCATGCTGTGCCTATTTCTGGCAAGTCAGATGATTGCATGATGCTTTCCCTCTACAGGATTCATGACGTCGGAAGTAATAAGAGAGACTTGAATACCACTTTCCTCCGTCGCACAGAGCCAGGCTACTGAGCTATATTCGGATACCGGGACCGTATATGGCTCGTTCGAGAAGAAAGTTAAACCACCGTCATACGTGCTTAGTAGGTACCTAGGTAGGTATACTAGTAGTACCTCCCTCGAGACGGACGAGGGAAGCTTAAGAGAGGAGTTGTAGCGCTGGAAGCCTTACGGTGATGGCATTCTGCCAATTGCCGGCTGCCGATGCGTGTGACTTGCTACAATCGGTCCCGCGGGCTTCAAGTGTCAGCATCGAGAGGCGAGCCAGGGTCGAGATCACACCCACTCTACCATGAAATACGAATTTACTACCTGCGTAAACGTTGGCTCGGTTGCCGATTGACTTTTGCAACCGGAGATCTGGAACATCCCAGCGACAATCAACCCTGGAAGAAAGATGAAACTTACACTGGCAATGACCATAGCCTGCAGTGCACGATGTGGTGATGCTTGTATGACACAGTGCCTCATATTGTGGCTTCGAACAGAGTGTTCGTCATTACTGTAATGGTGTGCGCGAGTTTCGCACAAGACCAAGATATCGCGCACCCCCAGGGCAAACAAAGGGACACTGCTCGGGGTGCCAGCAGCCACAGCTTTCCGTGGCCACTGCCGAAAGCCGGCTACTTCTCATAGCTAAAGTTGGGATTTTGGCGCCACATTGAGACCCTGAAGAGTTCAACCCGAACCCCTGCATCACACGAGATGGGCCTGGGTCTGACCGAACAGCGGCACCTGTCACTGTTTGGTTTAGCTGGTGGTTCCCTATCCCACCCTGGGGGTGGTGCAAGGAGGGGCATGACTCCCATCTAATCAGACGGTGTGGAAGCCACTCAATCTTCATTGGCGCCCCGAGTGGTCAGTACAGAGTAGGGGTTCCGAGGTCGCGAGGCGCCAGGGAGGTTGAACCCTAGAAATATGCAGGCAGAGGAGACACTCAATCTTGGGTGCTGGACGAAAACTCCCGAAATTCTATTTGTTATACGAGCGACCGCCATCTTTCTTCCTCCTCCCTTTCTTCTCTTCGAGCAGTTTGCGCGCATTGCGGATTGAAATTATTCACGTCGACTCTCGTGTGTCGTTGAAGCCTTCGCTGCCCTCCCTTTTTTTTAGACCAACTTCGAGAGTCGCCGCAAGTGACGCATTCCCCCATCCTTTCTCACCCACACAGGATTTATCCTGTAACCGAGTCATCGCAATGCCTTCCAAATTCACCGAGATCCTCGACTCTGATTTCCAGTCATCGTCTCCTCAAGATGACGTGCGTCTCGAAGACATCCTCGGCGCGGCCAGTCTCCCTTCCCGAGGTCGGACCACTTCCGAGGCCAGTTCTCGAAGCGCCAGTTCGTCAAGCAACGAGAGAATAGAAGAGAAGAGCAGGAAGCGATTGTCGCGCTTGTTGGTTGGCAAGAGATGATCGACCTTGTTTGGAGCGACACCTCTTGAAAATATGTCGACACGAGAAGATGATTACGACCTGTCCTTACCGGGCCTTTCAGCGGCACCCGTTGCAATTGCACGAGTACATGAATTCACGACCGAAAACACACCACTATACAAAAGTCACTCGTTAATACTTCGCTTCGAATGATGTGACAATTTCATACCAGCAACCATCTTCTCTCCACAATACTAAAAGCGCTTGAACATGGCTTCTCTGTCGGCCAGCCATTTCATGGGTCTTTCCCTACCGCCTGAGGAACGAGACAAGATTGCATCTACCATTCTCGCCTGCAATACCTTTTTCCAGCGAGAAGATATGATCAAGCCATCGACTCTCGAAGAAATACTAGTACACCAGACGAATCTGGAACGTCTTGGTCGTCCCGTCCAGCACAACCCAAAACAAGAAAGATCGGCATTCAGACGATCTGCCGGTTCCGCCCATTGGAGCGCGCCCCAACCCGCCTGGCTCTGTCTTCTAAGACACGGCTTAAGTGCACCAGACTTGTGGTCCTTGAGAAAGACCCAGCACAAGGCCCGAAACGAAACTTGTCAGGTTCCTGTCGACGATCATCGTGCTGTGGCCCAGCAGTTGGCTCGAAAACTCTGGCATCTCCACCAAATAATGGTTCTACCTCCCAATATACCAACCCTGGTCGGGACGATGCTATATGCCTGGAACTCGGTAGTCGACGACATTGTCAGTTCGTCGGGTTGTCTTGCGCACGAATCAAGTCGGCGGCCACCGTGTAAAGAAAGAAGTGACGGGCTTTTTTGCACAAAAAGCTGGATTAAAAGGGTATCTACGAAACAGGATTTCTTGTCAGTTATGTCTGCCTGACTTTTGTTTCTTACATACCTATGTATACATTATACTCTACTACCTACATATAATAGAGTACCTCTATGTACGAATACCATTCTCTCTTGACTGTACACATTGATTGTCTATTTGTAGCAAGGCACGTCTGATCTGTAGAAGATCGACACTACCTACGTGAGGTACCAAATAATTCGCACACTTCGACTGTGTCACTACATAACATCAACTAGGTGTTCACTGTAGGCGCTCCTTATACGGGGCTTTCCGCCTGATATGAAACCGTCCATGAGTCCCTATTTCAAAAACCCCAATTGGGCGAGTGGGTCACCCGGCCACACGCCAAGCCAGGTGCCAAGCCTAATCTCCACCTCCAAATCTTGGGCTGATATCCCAAAATACCGAAAATTCTTGGAAGTTTTCTCTTCGAGATTGGACGAACTCCTGGGAGGATGGCCGAGTGGTTAAGGCGCTGTGTTTAGGTCCGTTGACGAATCAAAACCGCAGTCACCTACGGTGGCGTGGGTTCAAGTCCCACTCCTCTCAAAATGCAGATTTATGCCCCTTTTTGCCGTTTGAAACTACGCACTAAGATTTGTTTTTTGAGGTTTGGGAACTGAAATGTTGACTAGTACCACTATAAACATAAGGTTTAGACACTACTAGTACTAGTATTAATAATAGTATCTTGGCACGGGCAGTCCCGTGCAGTGCAGTGGGCGCATAAAAGATGCTACAACTGGCAGACGACTATCTTATTGTTAACATACAGAACCAGGGTCCTGAAGCATGCGTGTTCACAGTTTGAATCTTTTTGGAGCGTACCCTCGAGCAAGCGTAGACCTGTCCGTAATGATTCTGCACTTATATATGCGCAAGAGTGCTGCTATGGTTTCTGATTACCAAACCTACTAGGTATCTTATTGACAGTGGCTCACATAGTAACATCAAGGAACTTACTGTGACACGTTGTTGGCACAGGTCACCTGGTACCTAGGGTAACAGCTAGTCTGCATATAGACTCACGGTGTGACAATCCGGATATCTAGACTGTGCGCCTGGCGTGCTCCTGAGGGTACTCTGTATATCTATCTCCCAATGCTTAACAGTAGTGGCAGAGATTCCATTGCAATGCCTGCAGGTCAGGTAGCTATCGCATGACTGCAGTGCACTCACCATGGGAGGAGAATCTTCAAAACGGAAGAAGCAGGCCTTGATTCAGCAGCCTGGTTGGACGACATCAGCGGATAGGAAGAGCGGAATATTGAGGCTCTGTCGTCATGCTGAATCTGAAGAGGTGCCAGTGGGAAGGAACGCCAACACTGGTCCAATCCATGGATTTTGTTGAGTCTGAACATCTTACCGTGTCGTGGAGCAGTCTTGGTCCAGGATGCAATGTGTGGACAGAACCGCCTCGGGGAGTGATAGAAGCAAACTGTGAGAGATGTGTCCCGTATGAGTTCAGGCTCGTATGGAACACTGCAGGAGATAGCCATCAACCAGTCCAGTAGAAGAATCCATAGTCCTCCACGAGCTTACTAGAGTCAATAAGACCTCAACCACCGTAGACTTGAGCCTCTGGAGACTGACATAGTAGGGTAGGTAGTAGTGCAGTGCAGTGCCCATTGGACGGAGTCATCCCGTTTCAAGTTGTGCGTGCCAATAGGCCCACGTGACGGACTGTAGGTGCCTATATATTCTCTCAACTGCGTAGACGTACCTTGTTCCTTTCTTCAGACCACAATACAATACCTGCAGTAAGTGATGCCTTTGCACTTCGTCCCCAGGCACAGTTCGAATGAACCAGAACAAGGCCATGATGCATTTGCCTGCTGAATCTTTTCGAGTCTGCCACTCGTGCAACCCTGGCTAACTGTTTGAGCAGCGAATACACATACTCCTCCGCCGCCAGTAAGTTCTCATGATATCTGCTTTTGAAGACATGCACTGACACAATTTGCTGCTAGAGATGAAAACTCAAACCTTGTAAGTCCTGTCCAGTGCATGACCCACGAATTGCAACACCATCGCACTTTCAAGTCCACGAGGTTGCACCAGAGCACATCAATGCAAGACGGGTGGGCTTTGGGAAACAAAACACTGGCATATCCAGAAGCCAACATCTCGCCTCCGCCCCCGCCAGTATGTCCCCATGGCCTTGTAACAGGATGATACTGACCGAATAATAGTCAATTTGTTTGTTGTTCCTGCCTCCTGCTCCTGCACCGCCACCACCACCGCCGCCGCCTGCCTCCCAGAGTAAGTCACCCTCGATTTCCATCAGATCCCACAGACGTGAATAGCAAGGGCTGTGGTGCCACGAAAAGAGAAGGCTCAAAGTATCAAGTGGTGGAAGACCGTTCTGGGGCAGCACTCCACATCGAACCATACCCAAAATGGGTATTGTGTTTTGCTATAATCGTATTGTGTTTTGGGAGTTTCCTTGCTGGCATCATCTTCTGTATCGCTGTAGAGGCGGTCGTTGTCTCGGGCGTCTTTCGAGAGCGAGAGTCGTTATTCCCTGTTATTTGTACAGGCGTGCTCCTGGGCCGGAACTAAGTAAGTTAGTATCTGCTTAACTGACCCTGAGCTGTTTATGTCGTTGACGAGTGCCAGAAGGCCAAGTATGAGCGTGGTACCACCATCGACATCGTCCTCTAGAAGTTAGAGGCAACAAAGAGCTATATCATCATCACTATTGCTTCCATCTTGACTGTGACTGTACACAACATCGTAATCGCTGCTATCCCGGAACAGGCTGCGCCATCAGAACCATCAGTAGTGAATCCTTAGCATCTGATAGTGACTTCGCTGATAGCCCCTTCGCGCCAGCGTGGACGAACACTGTAGATGCTCAGGGAGAGTGGTACGTCGTAGTTCGGAATAAGTTTTCAATTCTGTTGACGTAGGGCTGGGGAAACGCGTGATAGTGCTAGTATCGCTTAATTATACCAGGTACCAATCATTATTTACTGCAGGAACACCATACGCAGGACTCCTGATGGCATGTGCTGTCCGCCTCGGCAATCTCCCTACAAGGCTGTAACACGATATCTCACTATTCCCTGTACACAACCATCCATCCATCTCTTTATCACATCCGCCGATTCCTCGAAAATTGAAAATTGAAAAGGCCAGAAGTCATCCCCTACAACGGCTTCGGGATGACTACACGACACCTCTCCAACGCGGCTGAAAACAACCAACACGAATCGAGCGAGTTTGAGATTCGACGCGCCGCGTTTGTCGGAGAGATTGGAGAGGTAAGTCAACTACGCTGACAAAAGAGAAAAAAGCCCCCTTTCCCTCTTGAACATTTGATCTCCCGTCTACCTCCCTATGAGTTGGAGCGAGGCTCGTTTATATCATGACTGGGGTGTTGTGTCCAATTTGGTTCGAGCGCAGGAGGGTTATGTGTACCAGTGTTGAGAGTCTCTGGGTTCTATGCTACACCGACAGTTGGCTGTTCCTCCACGTGTATGGTGAGGTGTGCTGATGGACGGAACACTCAGTGCCCGGTCTTCTATGCTCTTACGTGGTCTGCCCTGATGTCTCGATGGTTGGACTTCTTGGATTCTGGTTTTCTGCTTACTTCCTACATGATATTCGATTCCTCGCTGAGTTGTGTGCGTGGACATGTATGTGCATGGGCTGACTGATGAACAGTCGTTAGAGCAGGTTCTTGTGCAGATCAACGCTTTGAATCGGAGCCTGGAGGGCATCATTGAGGTACGGTCTCATATTACCTGTCCCCTTCCCTCCCCCTTTATCTTTGATGTGGAGGCTCCGGTCGCTGTGTGGCACACGCTGAATTGATCTCCTCACGCATGTTCGCGGAGGCTAGAGTCTCTCTTCTGGTCGCTACGACCCAGTCTCCAGGGATGTGCTTGCAGCATGCTGACGTGCAGATGGTGTTTCTCAGATTGGAAATGAGTTCTCTTCGGTCGAAGCACTCTGGAGCCAGTTCGAAACGGTGATGGGAAGGGAAGATGACAATGCTCAGGCACAGCCCGCGACTGGCCAGGAACAAGAATCCAGCACCAGAGATCACGGCCATGGCGAGCACAGTTGAGACAGGCAGGTGGTAGACAAGCGAAGATTGCTGCCGTTGCGAATATGATGCTGCACACGATGTCGACATGGGACCAACGCTCTGAGCCTGCGAGATGATTAATATTCAAAGGCAACAACGCACACAACTCTACACCATCAGGCACAGTCGGCCGGGTTTCGCAAAGCGTATTGAAACCTTTCTCAAATTTGGACAGACCGCCTGTGCTGCTACGTACTCATTCAACGGCCGAGTCGCCTGACGTACAGCAATCCCACCCAAAGAGCCTCCCAGTAACGCCAGTCATGCACTCATGCAGCAACGCCTTTTATGAAGCGTCTAGACAGGGCCATGATGGCCACAAACAAGCACGAATTTTGTACCCGAGAATCGAAGCTGTGTCATAACGAGCCTCCAACGCATTACTGAAATGCCTTCAGAGAATGCCGCACTTTCTCTTCTTCGTCTTCTTAACCTTGACGACTCCTTTCTGGTGCGGCTTGGTCTCGTAGCTCTCCTCCTCAAGCTGGATGACGGTGTTGATGGCCAGGTCGAAGACTTCTTGAATGCCTCTAGATTCCTTTGCACTACATTCGATGTAAGCTGCGCCCATCTGTTTTGCGACTGCTGCGCCTTGCTCCGGTGTGACTGGAGTCAAGCCCTGGGTGCGGAGGAGCTCGATGCATGTTCGTTTGGACCGTAAGTCGGACTTCAAGCCCACGAGAATCAGAGGGGTGGTAGGACAGAAATGGAGGACTTCGGGATACCACTGCTTCTTGTTAGTACGCTATGGCAGGCAGAGTGGATGTACCGACCTTGTCCATGACATTCTCTAGAGAGTTGGGACAGTCAATGGCGAAACAGACGAAAAGCAGGTCGGTCTCAGGGTATGACAGAGGTCTGAGACGGTCGTATTCTTCCTGTCCCGCAGTGTCCCATAGTGCCAGCTCAACTGTCTTTCCCGTCTGTTTATGCGTAGTCTGGGTGATGTAGTTCTCGAAAACGGTCGGCACGTATTTCTGTCTCTGTTAGTCCGTACTCTAACTCATCCACTTCTTTAAAGACATACCTCTGGAAAATAACCTTGAGCGTAACTGATCAACAAACATGTCTTGCCGCAGCCACCGTCTCCAACCACCACGAACTTCTTGGAATACGAGGGTGGTTGTGTAATGTTGGTGGCTTCTGACGATCTTCCTAGACTGCTGTTGTAACTCATGCTTGTACTGACTGTGCCGTTGCTGGTTCTCGTGCTCTGTGCTCGAACTGGTCTTCGTCGTGGTGAGGGAGGACTGATGTAGGACGCTGAGACGCGTTTCTCAGACATGACAGTGGGTGTCCGCGAAGGGTAGTGCTCAGTAGCTGTGGTCATGATTGGGACTGGTGGGTGCCGTGCCAGCAGGTTGAGGTGGACAGGATACAGGTGAGGGAGGTACTTGTGTTTGACTCGGGAGACTGTTATGGAGGGAATGGCAGTATTATATGCACTCTATTGCTGCAGGATCTGCATATGTTTTGCCGACGAGTGTTGTGGAACAGGTGCAGGATGTCTCGCATGTTCCCAGTGGCATCGCAGAAGAGGTGACGCAGAGTGAAGATGCGAGGTTCCTGTGTTGTCGTGACTGCGTTGCCGAGTAACCATTCCCAAACCCATGTGAAACGCAGGCGTGAGGAGCCCATCCATGTCTCTACCATCTTGCATCAAGGCAATCCCATCAATCAAGGGCATGGATTACGCCATCTCTTCTCCGACAGGCCTCTCCAGGATGTTGACAGATGCATGTCGATTAGCGAGCCTTGACTGTTGGTGACCAGAGTCAACATTTGATTCCTCCCACTCTGGCTGCGCTTCGAAGATTGGCACGGCAGAGGCTCGGCGCAAAACACAACCGGGTCCGATCTATGAGCACCTCCGCGAAACCCTCGCCCAACCTCTACAACGGCGCTCTGGTTCGTCCTCCGCGTCCAGAACCCCTCTACATCTGCTTTTGGATGCTCTCTGGAAGGATGCGCGGTTGATGTAACGCCGCAAACAGACAGTGACGAGTCAGACTCAATGGATGCGAGTCGAATATTGTGCACACAAAAATGGACAAGGAGAAAGATAGACCAGACGCCGGGTTGAGGTCCCTCGATCACTGTACGCAGCTGGCAAGAACTCGACTTGATCCAATCTGAGACGTTCTGACCGGCTTGTAGACAAGATCAGACTCCCACGATGGCGATATCTCCTTCGAGAACAGCTTCTGCCCATCGTGCGCTGGGAAACGCCATACGTCGCCTGGCTGCAGGACACCCTTCGCACACCTGCACTTGATACCTATTTCGCGATGACGGCAAACCTGGGCACCCATACGTTCTTCATGATCATGCTGCCAATACTGTTCTGGTGCGGCCATACCAGTGTAGGAAGAGGGTATAGCATGCAGCTGCCACATCCTGATCGCGTCTGACAGGCTTACAGGATGGTACATATTCTCGCTTCTGGTGTCTTCTTCAGTGGATTCATCAAAGACTTGCTATGTCTCCCGCGACCGCTTTCGCCGCCGTTGCAACGCATCACCATGTCGGGCTCTGCGGCCCTTGAGTACGGCTTCCCTTCCACCCATTCCACCAATGCGGTCTCGGTCGCCATTTATTCCTTCCATCTCCTCCAGCAGCAAGACAGCCAGTTGAACCCTCACGTTAACCTTTGTCTACGAGTCCTCTGCTACTGCTACGCTTTCTCCATTGTGGTCGGCCGCCTGTACTGTGGCATGCACGGCTTCTTCGATGTGATTGTTGGGAGTGCCCTTGGGGCGATACTGGCGGTCGCGCAATGCCGCTGGGGCGAGCAATTTGATGAATGGCTGCTGGCGGGTGATATACAAAGAGTCCTGTTTGTCATTCTGATCATACTGGTTCTGATCCGGATCCATCCCGAACCAGCCGATGACTGCCCCTGCTTTGACGACAGTGTCTCCTTTGCCGCAGTCATGATCGGCTGCCAGTACGCCGTCTGGCATTTTGCGCGAACCTCGTATGCATGGTCAGAACCATCAAAGGGCACAGTGCCCTTCGACCTCGCCAGGATGGGCTGGTCAGTCGCCGTGCTGCGGATTCTCCTGGGAGTACTCATCATCTTCGCATGGCGCGGTGTCATGAAACCAACGCTACTCAAAATCCTTCCGCCGATCTTCCGTATTATCGAAACCCGTGGCCTGACACTACCGCGACGTTTCTTCAAACCTGCTTCGGAGTATGGGACGATTCCGCGGCAAGAGAACGATGACAATGTCATCCCCCGAGCGCGGGACATCCCGCATCTGCTGTCGTCTTTCCGCCGGCGCCGGGCTGTTTCGGTTGGACCACAATCTGAAGCTGACGCGTACGAAACCCTGGCGTATCGGAATAAGAAAAGACGGGATAGTCTCAACGCCGCAGGGTCACCCAGTCCCGCGAATGAGCACTCTCCAGAGCCGAGCTATTTTGAACCTGATGTGCCAGAAGAGACATACATTTCAAATCGGACTCGAAAGAGGTCGAGCAGTCTGGAAATGTTTCGAGCGCAGATGGGAGAAGGCGTGGAGGGCTTATCTCCTGCAGTGGTCAACTCTCCTCCAGGTGGGCATACGCCCACTCGACAAGAAGTTCAAGAGATGGATGAATTACAAGAGAAGAGGATATTCTCAAATATCCAGACGCCCAGAGTGCGGTATGATGTGGAAGTGGTAACGAAGCTGATTGTCTATTCGGGCATTGCATGGCTGGCTATCGAGGGCAACCCGATTGTGTTTCAATACGCGGGGTTGGGGGTGGATTGAATCAGTCTCAGGCAGAGGACGAAGATTGCGACATCCTCAACGCGTGACCGATGCTGAGGCCTGGGACGATCACTTTATATGTGTTGGTGTTTGGATGATTAGCACCATGATTCAACATGGTAAACTGGGAGCAATCTGCCTTTTATTGGGCACTTGACTTGTGTTATTATGATCAATCAGCGGACCAGTGTTTGGTTGGTGAACGTGCAGTGGCTCAGATCTACATCAACAACGACTAAGTATAGGTGTAAACACAATATACTATAGAGTGCGTACCTGTGTACTCTATATGCTCTTTCGATCTTCCTATACTAGTATGTGGCCGGTAGGAACCCAATTGGACTTCGTCCCACCGCATTCACCGCCCAAAACACGCTAACCCCAAAGCGGATGCCAAGGCGGTGAGCTGTTCAATTGGCCGGCAAAAAATAAAGCTTGGCGGCCGTCACTCCGCATCTTCTGCCGTTGCCTGCGTTTTCGCTTCCCTCCGTCGCGTCTCCCGCATCCCCATACAACACTTCATCAATCGCAATCGATCGCACTCTTCCAAAACAACCAGATCACCTTGTCTACTGCTCTTGTACTCACTGTATTCCATGCAGATGCTCATGATCATTCTCCGCTTCGATTGCGATTGCACACTTGACTCACAGACGCGAGTTTATTCAAGCTCACGCACCTCAAGTTCATCCTCTTCATCTCTCATCCTGGCCGATTCTTCATCCTCCAAACACGTCCGTCATCACAGCCATGGCTGACAGTTCCTCCCTCATGGACTGGTGTCCTCCTACTCCCGAACCTGTGTACGACCCATATCAAGGCGATTACATGCCTGGTGGCTGGCCTTTCGAGCCTGCTGCCAAATCTGCACCGACGCCTGGCACCTTTGCTGTGAAGAGACCACAAACCGGCCTGTTGCCCACGGCAAAACGAGTCTGCAGAGGTTTATTCTCACTTGGACTTACAGCAACTGCTGTCCTGTCACAGTACACACACAATGCAACATTAACCATTGTCAACATCCCAACATACTATGTCGTCCGTCGAGTCCAGCAGCGCCAGCGCCAGGAACGACTTCAACGACCAAGAAGACAACAGCGCACCCCACCCACATCACTCACCGATTCACCATGGCAGCGAGCAGCGGGGGTCAATAACGGATCTCTTTGGGAAATGCAGCCCTCCCAAGAGGCGCCCTCATCACCTGCTCCTGTTCCAGTTGCTGCACCTCCGCAGGCCACAGCGAGTGCACTCCCCAACATCCCTCCTCCCAATAGTCGGAAGATTATCGACCAGTTCGTCCCTTTTCAAGACATGGTTTGGCAAATTGGCGCGACTCGCACGACGCGACAGGTCAGAAGACCCGACACCCGAATCAGCAAACGCCGGTACCAGACTGCGCCAGTAGTCCGCGCGAATACTCGCCGACCAGCCCGTTCCATTGACACAAGCTCAACACCCATCGAAAAGAGAGTGGAAGAACCAACCACACCCCCAACGGAGGCAGCCACGCTGCAGACCCCATATCCAGAACTGAAGCCTGCGGATACCACCACTCCATCACCAAGCAGCCAGTCGCAAGAAGATGCCGACACCCCCCGCGAGGGTGATTCAGGCACATCCATATTGGCAGTGACTAGATCATTGCGTTCAAACAAAAGAAAGATAGAAGAGCAAGGTACAAGAGAATCAGTACAGATGCAAGGTGCATCCACGGGCAAGAGGATCCAGACAAGTGGTCCAAGCGTGGAATCCCCAAAGACCCCGACACCTGTCATCGTCGTCCAAGAAACCTCGTCCGCTGTCAGCGCCAAAGCTCAGACCCCAATTGACACAAGTTTGTTGTCGCCTCCGCGAGTTAAGAACCGCAAGGTCAGCACACCAAACTCGTCCACCCGAAACAAGGCGAAACTCCCAAAGAATCCTAAGACGCCAGAGAAACAAATCATATCGAACATCTGGTCGCCAAAGTCTGAATTCTCGTCGACTTGCAATATATCTCCAGAATTGACATTATTGGAGGCTCTCAATCAAGCAAAGTCACCTGCTGAGAGTGACATTTCATCGACTTGCAATGTATCTCCAGAATTAACATTATTGGAGACACTCAATCAAGCAAAGTCGCCTGCTGAGAGTGACATCTCATCGGCCTACCATGGTACACCGCCTGATCTAAGTCAAGACGGGCGCTTCTTCAATATGATCATGGCAGGAGGCGGACTTTTCAGCCCAGAACGAAAGGGTAACAAACCAATTGAGCAGGTTGCAGCTACAGAACCAGCTGTATCCGAACCGACACAGGTCACAGTGTCCGAAACAACTTCTAATCCTGTTGGCGCCATGGCACCAGAAATCGTCCAGGCAGCTGCTGAGACTGATCTCACTTCTCACGAGCAGCAGGGAATGGCACAGTCCACACCGCCGGAGATTGCACAGAACCCTGCCGAGACTACTCCCAGTTCAGATGAGCAGCGAGCCCTAGAAGAGCCGCCTTCACCAAAGAGTGTACAGGACGCTACTATGTCTACTTCAGACCAGCAACCAGTCGCAATAGAGTCCAACAAGGCTGCGAATGCAGAAGTCAACCTTGTTTCAGATGACCAGCAGGTCCCAACACAGTCCAACGAGGCTGCAAATGTCATTTCAGACACCAACAAACAGAGCTCAGCACCACACATTGAAGATGTGGGCAAAGCAGAGCCATCCAAGTCGAACCCGAAGACACCAGTCAAGAAGGTTCAATTCATAGAAACTCCAGTCACCCCTGAGAAGGAGTCAGAGTCGTCTGAGAGGGCCGAAATCACGACACCAGAGCAGAAACTTGCCACACTGACTCTGGATGACCCATACACACCAGAAAACCCACTGCCAAAAGCCAGTCCTCACTCATCCGAAAAGAAACATCGGATCACCAGAGCAGAGGCAAAGAGACTGCAATTGTTGGAAGAGGCACGGAACTACGGTATCACGCCGCTCACAGAAGAGTGGGAGAAGAAGATCCAGACAGCTTTACGCCAGGGTCACGGTGGTTTTAAAGCAACCGACTTCACTCGCGTGGTTCCTCTCACCCAAGGCCGGGGCACCGACAACTGGCTAAACGACGAGGTGATCAACGGATACCTGAAACTTGTGGTGGCCCATGGCCGGCAGAATGATCGCCCGACCCAAGTACCGACACACCACGCCTTTGTCTCATTCTTCTACAACAACCTCGAGAGCAAAGGATACGATGGAGTGAGACGGTGGGCCAGCCGGGCCAAGATCGGGGGCAAGAACCTGTTGGAAACCGAACAAGTGTTCATCCCCATCAACAGCGGCATGCACTGGACGCTATGCGTCGTGTCGGGCAAGAACAAGACAATCACCCACTACAACAGCCTGGGTGGGAATGGGCGGAGGTACGTGCAGACGGTGAAGGAGTGGGTGAGGCAGGAGTTGGGGGCGGCGTTCAAGGAGGAGGAGTGGTCGCTGAACGCCGTGGGGGAGTCGCCTCGCCAACAGAACATGGATGACTGCGGAGTCTTCACAATCACCTCCGCGCGGCAGATCATGCTAGGGCTCTCGCCGATGAGCTACGGGCCCGAGCAGATCTTGCTGCAGCGGAGGAGGATTGTGGCAGAGCTCCTCAACGGGGCTCTGCTCAAGAGCAGTGAGTAGGGTGGCGGGGCGGCTCTGGCGGCGGCGGCGGGTTCTGTGGCGTGGAGGATGGAGGATGGAGGATGGAGGATGGAGGGAGGAGGGAGGCCGGCGGGCGGGCTGGTTGCATGTCTGAATGTTTGAATGTCTGAATGAATGATGAATGAACGAGTCGATGACTGAATGAATTAGTCAATGGGCAACTGTCACGATTATGATACCCCGGGAACGCCTCAGGGAGGCCGGATGTTTGCTTTGGGTTTGGGTTTGCTTTTGGGTCTGGGTCTGGGTTTGGTGTTTGGAGTTCGGTTTGCTTTCGAGCTGGGTTGGTTTGGGTTGGCTTGCTTCTGTCTTCTGTCTTCTGTCTTCTGTCGTTCATGTTTGGCGTTTTGAGGCAGGGAGTCAGGAAGCATGAGCCAGGAGAGCTCCGATGGAGCAAATACAAATACAGCTCCCAAATAGCCATATGGACGGTGTGGGCGCTACAAGAAGCCCCCCTTTAATGACAATCATACTAATACTGTTGTCATTGTCAACGAAGAACCTTCCCGTGTGTGTTTGTGTGTGTAAGTAGAGTAGATTTGGTCTCTATCTATATCGACATCGAATTGATTACTCACAACGAAGAGACGACTTGAAGCTGGTGACTTCTCGTGCTCTCAACGAGACGGAAGACGGAAGACATGGAACGTATCGTGATTGGCTACCTTGTATAGAACGAAGCCTGTCTCGCCCTTCGTTGGTCACAAAACAGTAGGAGAGTCTCTGTTGGCAAAACCCTCCTCTCGAAAGTCAATGTCAAGCCTGATAGATAGCCAATGCCCTAGGAGAGTATCATCAATACTGTATGGCTTCATGGTTTTGAGGGCGGCGGTATCCTGGTGTTATGAAAAGGATACATATCGTGTCTTATTTCACTTTCCTCCTTTCCTGTAGTAACCATCTCAGCCTCGTGGCCTTCATCCAGTCCTGTCAGCCCCTGATGACCAAGCAGAGCGGATTCACACCCCCAGCACCCAGTCTGACTTTAGTCGGTCCACGAACTCGCAGAAGAGCTTAGAAGACTGACGCGATAAATTCCACTTCGACAGGGCCAGTATGTACGTAAATAGTCGGTACGAAGTGGCGTCCGGACCTGTTTCGTTTTTAAGTAGGTAGCTGTAGCGAGTGCCATGTCTTGTCTTGTTCAATGGTCATCTAATGACCTCCAAAACTGACTGAGAAGTGGGCAAAAATGCTGCGTCTGTGAACAGATGGAGTGTTTTCTGGTCAGGAAACAGCCGACATCATCACTGTCACGGCTCACCCAGCTCCTGCACTGCTTGTGTTTGGACGGATGAGATAGACATTGCCCAACTAGGCATCCCAATGCGCCCAGTCGATGGCTCCCTCGTTGGGAGTATCGCGTAAGTAGTCCTGAGTCAGGATGAGGTTGGTATCCAGATCCATCGTATCGGCTGCTCCGGTGGTCAAGAAGCCGTGGTCTAAAGCGTCGCTGAGCCAGAATGCATCATCTCTGCTCCGGATGTTTCCTTGCAAGGGCGTTGATAGTGGGTGCTTTGATGCTATCAGTTATGGCTGCAGCGGCGGTTCTTCGACCGAGGCACCCGCCGGCATCCGATGGTGCTAGGTATGAAGAGTGCCTATTTGGTCAATACCATGGATGTGACCTACCTGTTCTTGGCCATGGCATTCAGTAAGGCGTTGCTCCTCAGACTCGTATCACGGCAGCCATGTCCACCTGTAGTACTTCCCGCCTGGTTGCACGCCCACGTACTCTTCATGAAGTAGTCTGCTTCCTCGTACGCCTCAATGAATATCAGACAGGTTCATTGGTTGCTGTAGATATATACTTTGGAGTGTTGAGACCAGGAGTACAAAAAGAGTAACTTAGTTACGTGACCTCGATAAATAGAAACATACTGTTTATATAGTGCCCAGTACTAAGCCTGGGATGAGCAATAAAACTAGGGATACTTAAGCATGAAATAAAATAGACTATATAACGTGGGTTTACCAAAATCTGGGGTAGAATTATCGCCACAAATATGATGGCGCCTATAAGCACGAATAGTTTAAGGGTAGAATTCGGGCTTCCCATGCCCGAGGCCCGCGTTCGAGTCGCGGTTCGTGCAATTGAGTTTCTTTTTTGCTGTTCCCAACTTTTTGCTCCTGCCCACGTGATCCGAAAAGGCAAACTTCCACGTGATGGGCGTCGTCACTGGAACATTCTCCCAGCGCAGCAATTAATGAATTGCATGTCATCGACGCCGCAGTCTTAAAAGCCACCATCATTCCACGCCTCTCTCTGCCTTGCCTGCGCCATCTCTCAATCCACCGCTCCCTTCTACTCTCATCCGTCCCTGGACAACTACTGCAATACCCTCTGATTCACTTCAACCCTCCTCAATCAGCCTTTTTGCTCTTCTCGCAATGGCCGCCAACGCAGGATACCAACCCGCTCCTCAGCGCGACTCCATCGATGACCCGGTCTTCACCCGCCCTCCTCCAAACTACCAGGCGACCGGCCCCAACTGGGAAGCAGGAGGATACGGAACACCACGGCAAGAGGACGACAATGTGCCCGACGACTTCAAGGTAAGCAGTACAATCTACAATCTACAACGATATCCGTAGCCACGTCCCAGTGAAACTAACAACATCTACAGTTCGGCGGCACCGTGGCCGAAGCGACGATCGACGTGCGCATGTCCTTCATCCGCAAAGTCTACAGCATCCTGACAGTGCAACTCCTCCTGACGGCGGGCCTGTCGTCGCTGTCCTTCTTCTCCACGGGCTACCGCCACTGGATCCAGTCGAACAGCTGGATGATGTGGGTGTCGCTGTTCGGCGCGATCGGCTTCATGCTGCTCACCTTCTGGAAGCGCAAGTCGTATCCAACCAACCTGGTCTTCCTGGCCGCGTTCACCGGTCTGGAAGCCTACAGCATCAGCGTCGTCACGTCGTTCTTCGAGTCCCGCATCGTGCTGGAAGCGCTGATCCTCACGCTCGGCATCTTCGTCGCCCTGACCCTGTTCGCGTGCCAGACCAAATACGACTTCACGAGCTGGATCCCATACCTGGTCGGAGCGCTGTGGGGGTTGATCCTCTTCGGCTTCATGGCCGCCTTCTTCCCGCACGGCTCCACCATGGAACTAGTCTACGGCGTCGTCGCCGCCCTCATTTTCTCTGGCTACATCCTCGTCGACACACAGTTGGTAATGCGCCATTACCATGTCGAAGAAGAGATCGCCGCCAGCATCAGTCTCTACCTCGACATCTTGAACTTGTTCCTTGCCATCCTCAGGATCTTGAACAGCCAGAACGACAACTGAAATCCTTTGGTTCCCCGTGGTTATGAATCGTGTTGAAGAGGTAAATGAGCGCGCACTGGGCTGGGATCATGATGGGGGAAACGGGTATCAGCCGAGTTTATACTGATCACCTGAACCGCTCAGCATGGGTTAGTCAAATGAATCAAGCAATCGATCGCTCGGCCAGTTGTCTTGATGGGTTAGCGACAAAAGGGACATCGTTAATTTTATAATGAAAACATGTTTTGGCTTCCGATCTTCGTCCTCCACCTCCGGCAGCTATGCTAAGGCAGCCCCTATTGCGGGCTTGAACTGGAAGTCCAGTGTAGATCCTGCACCCCCCTCCTGCGTCGTTCTGGTCCATTCGTTTGGGTGTGGCTTATGATGGCAGGCAGTGTCTTAGGTAGGACGACACTGCTCGGTGGAAAATCGTCAGATGTCAAAGACTCCGTCATTTGCAACGCAGAGGAGATGGCAAATTCAGATCTTGGTAGAGACGTTTCTGTATCTCGGTATATCGTGTTTTGAAAATGGTCATATTAGTCTTAGATAGTGTATTCGATCCATGCCGCTCGGACAGGACAGAATCGTATAAAGTTGTCGGCTGACGACATGGTATATCCTCGAGTTCTTTGACGCGATCTGACTACTACCCCAGACAGTGGCAAGGCAAGACCATTCTCTTCTGATTCCAGACATTCCTTGAATCACTCTCTTTTAGAAACACAACGCAACACAACCCACCAACTCTCTATCCATATCCAATATAGCACAGGGCATGTCTGACCCATTTATTCTTTTTTTAATGCCGAACAATGAAAAAAGTATTGGTGATCAAACACACCACCATGACCACCAAGCCATAAATGGCCAGAGCGAGACTCAACCTCCTCAACAACTTCCTCCGGAAATTCCTCGATCGTCTCAGCATGCTGATGGCGCCGATACTCAGGATCCCGGAGTTGGCCAGTAGAGTCTGGCCCTCGGGGTCATGCTGGTCGTTTTCGTCGTCCGACTTGCCCGCGCGGTCGTCGTCGTCTTCGTCCTCGTGGTCATGGTCATGGTCGTAGTCGTCTTCTTCCTTCATCAAGCGCTGATGCAGAGGCGAATCCGGCGAGGAGATCTTGTAATAGAACAGGCCCGGCAGGATGAAAGAGATGGCCGTGCTTCCCGTGGAGCCGACATAAGCGAGCACCGCCTCCAGACTGGACACGGTCATGGCGACAATGTAACTCAAGACGATGATGGTGGTGGTGATGGCGGCGAAGCGCACCTCGCCCATCTCCGGAGCGCGCTTCTTGGCCGAGTGCAGCAGCGGAGTGTCGCGGGGCGGACTGGCATCGCCGGACGACGGGGTTGCCGGGCTAGAGCGGAGCACAGATTTTAGTTTGTTGCTCGGTCGCCATTTCAGAACGGCGTCGACACTGGCGCGGCAAGGGTGGACTTGGAGCGGAAAGGAGAACATGACCAGAACCACGATCATGGCTTGACCGATGGTGGTGGATACTGACGGGGCGTACTGGGCGACGATGTTTCCCCCGACTTCATTGCCAAAGGAAAGATAGCCGGTGATGGCGACGAGCATATAAATTGCAGCGGCGGTTCCGTTCGACGTGCAGACGACGGAGCTGGTGCGGAAGTGCGAGTTGTTGGCGATCTCGTTGAGGATGCTGAACATGTTCTGGTGGCAGGTGTATGCGAAGACGATGACAGGGAACGACGATAGTGCTGGCACCGCACCGGCCCACTTGAAGATCCGTAGCGGTGTCTGGTAGTGTCCGTCGGGGAGAGTGTCGTGGGCGGCGAAATGATAGACGACCAGAATGACCAGGTAGCCAATCGAGATCAGGGCAACCACCGAGGTATACTTCAACGAGTCCAACCGACGGAGGAAGGAAAAGGGAATCACGACCAGCATGAAGGCCGTGATCCAGAAATGTCGATCGAACATGAACGCGCCGAGTTTGTTCTCGTCCGCAAACCCTCGCACCACTCCAGGCATGAGATCCCCGATGATGATGAGATAGCTGACCCCCACGCCAAAACACTTGACGGCGATCGCCGTGTCAAATATAACCGCCGCATTGGGGTATGTGATCTGGGAGAGCGCGAAGAAACTGGCCGATCCGCGTTCCAGGTACGCGGCGCATCGTGTTTGTAGGTAGAGTCCGAATCCTGCGGTGATGCCGGCCCAGAGTATAACGATTGTTCCTAGCACGATACCCATATGGGAGAGTGCCAGAGGCATGGCGAGGACTCCGGCCCCGACAATGGTGTTGAGAAGGTTGACGACGCTGCTGATCCATGATGCCTGGCCGACGGTCCCTGTGAGGTTGCGTTTGTTCCGGGTCGGAGTATGCGCACGTCTGTTCGTCGCGCGGTTAGCAAGAGCGTGGCCGAGGGAACTGCGGAGTGACACAACATACCGGCGAGCTCGGGAGTGAGGTCTGCTGGAGGTAGAGCTGGAAGTCATCTTGGAAGCATGCAATGGCGGAGTGGTGTTCGTGAGGTTATTGTCTCAACATGTCTCTTTTCACAGTCGCCGCCCGCACCCGGCACGAAGAAGCAAATATCGAGGACGGCGGGATCAAAGCAAGAAGTGAGGCGTAGAGAAGAGGGGAAGCCGACCGGATTGGAGGTGTGTTGAGTAAAAGACGCAATTCAAAGCAAGGATGAGAATGTCGTGTCGCAGTCAATCGGTTAATTGAAGGTGATGGATTTGGTTGCAGTGCCAGTGGTACAGTCAGAGTACTACGTAATACCTTAGTAATCACTGGTTAGTGATGCTTATCGCTATCGTTATCGATACAGACTACTAAATGTAGACTTAGGTGTGATGGCAGATGGTAGTTGAGGTAGTGGTTATGCAAGTTATGATACCACGATACCCCAGGTAGTCTTCAACTGCTCACGACATTTCAAAGTATGTCTCCTGAACTTTGCCATCCTTCTTGTCAAGGACTCGCTGCTTGAAACGACTGTGCACCAAACATACAATACACCGTGTACATTTGTTCGATACTCTTCCCACCCATTCACACCTGTCCCCAACCAGGCTTCAACACATCCATAACCTCATCAACAAGCTTCTGTGAATCACTGGCACTGGCGCCCGGCCTGCCTGTGGCATAAGGCCCGATGTTATTGTACATAGGTACATCCCTCACGGAGCCAGCCAGCACTTCGAGACACGTGCCACCCTTGATGGGAACCATCTGTTCCTTCAGCCCACTACTGCCTCCGCCTGCGGAGACGCTATCAATCTCGTCGTCCTTGACACAAGCCAGCATGACTTGAGCCACCTCTTCGGGCGTGACCCAAGCGTCTCCGTCTCCCCCACCGTCATCCCGCTTGACCTTTACCATGCGGAGTTTCTCCGGGTTCTCCGTCCACAGAGGCGTCTTGACCACGCCCGGCTTGACCGCCGTGACGCGAATGCCGTGAGACTGCTCCAAGCTCGCCAAAGACCGGACAAGAGCCTGCACGCCGTGCTTGGAGACATGGTGGAGGGGCACAGGCAGCGATGCGGTCTGGCCTGCAATGCTGGCTATGTGGACAATGGATTTCGGGTTCGACGTGCTCGCGGGCGGCGGCGAGGCGGCCAGGAAATGCGAGATGGCCATTTGCGTGATTCGGATCGGATGCGTCAGGTTGATGTCCAGCAATTTGTATCGTCCTCCCAGGGGATCGTCCCCGGACTTCGCCGAGCCGGGGGGATACCAGAAATTACTCCAGTGCGGTTCGAAGACCCCGGCGCCGGGACAGACGATGTCGATGGATCCAAAGGCCTCCTGCGCGGTCTTGAACATAGCGTTCAGATCGGGCCACGACGTCACGTCTGTCTTCTGGAACAGACCCTTGTTGGCCGTCGACTGGTACTGGTAGACCAGGTCCTCGGCTTCAGGCCGCAGGGCGAGATCTGAAAAGAGGACGTTGGCCCCATGTTGTAGAAGAAGGCGGGCAAATTCGAGGTTGATGCCTGGTGGGTGCTCGCCTCGTTAGTGGTATTGTCCCGTCTGTATTGCTTGGGAAGGGAAAAGGAGGACGCCTACCTGATCCCGCGCCCGTGACTTGGCCGTCTTGCCTTGAACTTGCTGTGCCATCTGAGGATCCTTCGAACTGTAACTCGGTAGATGAGACTCTCAAACCGGCTGCCTAGGAAAGGCGACATTTATATTCGCTTGGGCCGCGGCCTTCGTTCGACTGTCCTGGTCTTCAGGCCTAACCCGTCTGTCCCATGAGAACGAGATCGGCGGTGATCCCCTCATGGCAGGCAGCTTCGGCGGGAGGTGGCCCGAACTTGTTCGTGACATCCTGGCGTCACTTTCAGGTATAGCATGAGGTACTTTTAGTACTATGCGGTGTCATATCACATGACCGGACCGTCTCGGCATCTTCCCGACTGCGGATCAAAGATAATCCGGGATCCCAGACTAGTCCCTTTGAGGCACCGTACCCGACCTCGACTTCGGGACGTTCGAGCATAAATGAAGCGCTGGGAACGAGAGTCGAGAGTCGAAAGTCGGCTGTACTCTTGCCAGAACATATACAGGCCTTTCTGTGAGTACCTTTGAATAGCCGGGTTCGGTATGAAGAGTCATTTGTTGTCCGTCGGCCGTCGAGCAGCCTCGACTCTCACCAAAGAGGCTGGTGACATCAGTTCCGTCTTCCCCTCTCTGTCGGGCAAGAAGGCCGAGCCTCTCCCACCACGGTACAGTGAATTGAAGAAGTCTTTGATCAAAGGGAACGAAGAAGCGGTGACTGCATCCTGGCACAGGCTTCTGGCAAGCCTGAAGAATGAGATTGCCGAGATCAAGTCCAAGGGCAGTGATGTGAGTTCCCTCCACGTCAAATGGTGCTGGTACTCATGCTGACTGTCGCATAGATCGTACCCAGCATCGAATATCAAGACGTCGTGTCAGGGACAGTCCCCCAATCGAAGCTCGATGCCCTGCGACATCGCGGCACAGCCGTGATTCGGAATGTCCTTCCCCGGCAGGAAGCTCTAGACTTGAAACAACAGGCGAAAGAGTACATCGCCGCCAATAAGCCCAAAGTCAGAGCGTTCCCTGCCGACGACCCCGCTGTGTATGAGTTATATTGGACACCGTCTCAGGTCCAGGCGCGAGCCCACCCTAACATGCTCAAGACCCAGTCGTTCCTGGCGTCCATCTGGCACTCGTCCGACCCAACGTCCGAGATATCGACCACTTACCCGCTGACGTATGCTGATCGCTTCCGTATCCGCCATCCAGGCGACGCCAAGTTCGCTCTCGGTCCGCATACGGATGGAGGCAGCGTCGAGAGATGGGAAGATCCCGAATACTCACGGGTGTACCGTGCCATTCTGGAAGGCCGATGGGAAGACTATGATCCGTTTGATGCGCGCCATCGGATTACCGCCCGCATGGACTTGTACAACGGGGCCGGAGCGTGCAGCATGTTCCGACTGTTCCAGGGCTGGCTGTCCATGTCTTCGACCGGACCTGGCGAGGGAACCTTGAAGGTGTGTCCTCTACTCCGACACGCAACTGCCTACCTGATTTTGAGGCCGTTCTTCGACGTCTCGTCAGGCAGGTTGAACTTGGACGCCACGTTCCCAAACTCGGTCCCGGGAGCATGCCAGGAATACAATCCAGAGACGCATCCTGACCTCGACCTGGACACCACGATGGTGAGCGTGCCGCATGTTGAGCCGGGTGATTATGTCGCCTGGCATTGCGACACCATCCACGCCGTCGACAAGGAACACAGAGGCAAAGGTGACAGCAGCGTCTTGTACATCCCAGCCTGTGCCATTACCCAATCAAACATTGAATTCTTGAAAAGACAGCGCATGAACGCCTTGAGGTACAGTCCCTCGCCGGATTTCCCAGGCGCCGGTGGTGATGGGGAGATGGGGTTTGTTGGGGCTGTCAATTGGGACCAAGTTAACGATGAGGGCAAGAGAGCCATGGGTTTGGGCAACTGGAAATGGGAAGTCAAGGAGGGCATGAGCGAGGGGGAGCGGAAAGTCATCGACCAAGGAAACAAGGTCCTCTTTGCCTGAAGGTCCAACAGGGCCAAAACGGCATATCGCGTTTTGTAGTTTTCGAGACAGGTCATCTTCGCTCGTTCTCTCCACCGGCACAATGGACATGTGCTGGTACGCACTGGAGAACGCAGCGGAAAGGCAGACGGGGCATAATGAGTTGATACCCGTTCAAGTCGGCAGCCGTTGCAAGGGCCGTGATTGCTGAATATGTCAAATATGGGACTATTTGTCGGTCTGTGAAACATAGAAACCTTGGGTAGCAACGAAGTGCCAGTGTACATACTGCACCATTTCTCGCAGAGCGGGTGTCTCTGCACCCCTAGCAAGGCAAGCAAGTGAGGCCATGGGAACACTCGTGCATCAGTGATGGAAAAGCAATGCCTCACGAACCGTCCTCGCCAATTCTGTGGCTTGTTGTTGCCAATCCCGCTCGCCGAGGAATTCGTCTGTTGGCAGGAGAGGGGATGCAGCAGTCGTCAGACAGGTTTTTCAGCTGGCAAGGGCTGTATCATTGCATTGCAAGCCGCTGTAACATGTTTCAAGGACTGGATAGCCCCAATAGTCACAAGCCTCGTTGTCAGAATTGGTGCCGTCGATGGGTTTCATGTAATAATTCTCTCCTGTATCGTACGGTAGAGTTATCCACGCCCGGAGAAAAATTGACGTTCGTATTTCAACTGGCGGTGACGAAGATGCGAGGCAAAGACTTTGACAGCTGTGAACAATGTTCCCCTGTAGATCAATTCGTCGGATTTCAAGGGCTTGTCCGACGATGCGGCTGACAGGAAACGGGAAGCAGGAACAGCAGCCGGATGGCCGCGTCCCTGCAGATTCTCATGTGTCACAATCACTTCCCCGAGCGTCAAGTACCGGACAACCTCCATAGAATTGCATTTTTCACATGGTTCAGGAGCGCTCTGGACTTTGCTTCAAGGGGGTTCCATACCAGTTTGACGTGAACCGACGTGAATGAAAAGAGACCGGGGCTTGGCTCTCTAGGAGTCCAGGGCCTGCCTTCGTCGACACAAGCAGGCCATCCATGGCGGAAACGAGTCCTGTTACAGAGTATTAGACTGCAGGATTCACGTGAGACGTGGGATGGAACGACTGGCTGGTGCTGATTCCTGTCTGGCGAGCAAGGAAAATATATCCAGGTCCTTTTACTGACTATGCTGTGTGTATGTGACTCTGGGTCGGCTCAGGGGAAAAGAATTTTCCATGATTAGCAAAATTGGTAGGGCTGACAGGGGTCTCATATGTATCGATCGGCTGCTCGTAACAGTCCAGAACAACTCCCTAACGCGACGTACGCGTATAGGCGAGAGGCGGATGGATGATAGCATATGACGTATACTATAATAAAGTAATACAGTAGGGCGTGGCTGATGGTGGACATGAGAGAAGAACTTACCTCAGGGAGATACTGCCGACAGACCTTTAATGTGGAGGTACCTAAAAGGAGGGGCTGAAGGCCACTGAATCTCGGCGTCGAGATGCCGCTGTCAATGTCACTGCCTTCTCGGTAACATGTCTGCAATTCTTGACATCTCCTGACTGTCGATCGAGGGCTAGATTGAGACAGGAGTCAAAGACACGGGAAGAGGAGAAATAACAACCAACCATATCAATCCTTCGACCTGCCAGATGTAGGTGTATGGAGTCATGCAGGAAAACATGGATGCCACGAGCACGCGAGTGACACCAATAACACGACTGACATAAGTGACAGCTTTCCCGTTGATGTGGCGGACGAGGTAGAAAAGTATATCCTGTTGTCACTGGTATATACGGAGGTAGGTAACAGGATACTGGCGATAGACCCATGCGCAAGGTACAAGTAACTTCGTGGGGAGACGTATATGGAGAAGATGCATACGAGAAGCCCGCTCGATCGCGGTCTCAAGGGTTTCAAACTTCAATAACGCCAGGAAGCAGTACGAGCGGGCTGTGAGATCCTCTGGCGCGTTCATATTTGACGCGTCTGCATGAGCGTGGAGCTTCGAACCGCAATGGCAATATGCTGCAACATGCCGGCTTCCCAGGTATGAGATAATAGATATATGTCGAGGCATGCTGTCTCAAGTTAGTAACTCAGAGGCTGATCTGGGATGGATCTCTGCTCCCTTGTAGCTGCATACCTTTTCCTTCTCTCTGCCGAAGTCCCATCCACGATGCAGGTACGTGTCTACCGGATACTTGGCTGGAGTTACTTAGCGAAAGATGGACCATTGAACAAGCCGTCGATCCCATTGACCGTCTATTTTCCAGGGTCTCTGGGCTCGCCCCGTCCTGAACTCTCCTCTCAGCATGGCATGTTTCCTTGTAATGCCGGTAAACAGAAGAAAGGTCACTCCATGGGGTCGACGACGGCTTGTAGATTACGTTTGCCTGGAGTGCCTGTATGCAGGGACGAGGGCTATGGAGGAAAGGTTGAGACATGTGGAGAGGCTTGCTGTTGCTGTTCCAGCTCGAAAGTAAGCAGGATCGGTCTGGACACAGAGCCCGATGTGCATCTTCGACGCGTATTCCATGTCTTCGAGACAGTGAACCATCAACGCACCATGCACTTCTCGCAGTCGTTGACTAAAAGGCCTGTGACCAATCGAATCTCAGGTCCATCGAGTCTTCCGCGACTTCGATGTGCGTACTGCAATTGCACGGATACTTCTGCTCGTCCCAGCCCGAAAGTCAGCCACCTTCGAAAATGTTTTTTATGGTTTGCCTCTCCCCTGGAACAGGGTCTGAGGCAAGACAGGAGCGTCCGGATAATATTATATCGCAACAAGTGGCGGGACATTGCCATAACGATGTCGTGTCAGTAAAGGGCTCGCTCGCTGACGGGTGTATTGCGGACCATTAGACAATGTCCATATCGATCAATAATCCTATCACAGACTCGGCTAGATTGATAAGCGGGAGCCATTTGCATGTCTCTCTCAACAGTATTGTTGTTTTCATCACCCGCAGCCGCAACAATGAATGGCAACTTACCAGAGATACAAGCCACGATGCGACGACATATCATCATTGTTCTCACATGTCGACAACGATATCCTCAAGCTCCAAATTTGCGCCGTCGAATCATTGTTGTTTGTGTTATTGGTCACCCCGGAGGAACTCCAAGGGTGTTTTACGTAGGATTGCATCGTCGGCACCAATGCCTGCATCTGTGTAGAGTACGTCCTGTGCCATTCCCCGCGCTAAGGTCAGCCACCAAGCTTGGGAATTTTGGCACTTATACTTCCACATGGCACATCGGAGAGAGGTCTTCGCTGGCCGCGATCGTTTTTATGAATCTTGAGCCTGGCATGACAAACAACCCTGAGCGTCTTCGGAAGGTCCCTGTCGTGTATTGCGGCTCTGTACCTGACACCGTACCGGATAGCTGCCTTGATTGTCCCTTCGAGTAAAGATAAGCGAGCCACAGGGCGGGAAGGGGAGAGCTGTTCACCTGCATTACCGGACAAGGGTACATCTGCACGTTGTTATTCTCCGGTTGGGTAGAAACAGCCACAAGACGCCGTTGGCGACGGCGGGCTCAGTTGCATGCCCTCGCGATTTGCCTCGCGAGATCGCATCACCGGAGCAAAGGTGTGATAGTACTCAACTTGCGCCAATCTGTTGCTTTTGCCTGCAAGCCCAGACGTATGCAACAAGCCCCAGCTCCTATAACGCGCTGCTGCGCATTTTGTACCCTTGGTAGTTGCATAGGAAGACGTCGGACTTAAGGGCCGGTCGCCTCTCCGACGATGAGTTTTGCAGCTATCGTCAGCCGCGAACGTAGTATGCATGCCCAACTTGAATCGTCACAAGTCCCCCACAAACCAAGCAACGCCAGGCAATCTCATGCTGAGCAACCAGGAGAGCAACTGCTTCACATGCTAGAGAAGTCCAGGCAATGTGGCACGCGTTGCTGTGCATAGACTTACATGGAATTGCTTTGCGCCTACATTTTCGAATGGCTCAAGCGACGAATGTCAGGGGCCTGAGGTTGAACGACGCAGACACGGCATCCTTGAAGTTGGTGAATTCAGAATGGTTGAATCGTTCCCTGATATGACCATGCGCCCTGTCATCAGCAATTCAGTGCCATCACGCTCGATCTATCATTTGTTGGGTTCCACAGGGATTGAGACCTGCTCTGACGACCTGAGGTTGGCGAAGGTCACAATCCTCAGGCAAAAGCTACCACGGTACCTAGTAAGGGGTGCCCGTTGTGACTTGGATATGCTCTTAGGCTTTGTGGCCTAATGTCCTCGGTTGGACAAGGTATGTATGATCGTCCTCGACTACCCTCCTTGGATCAGTGAAGAATAGTGGTGTAGGCCTAAGTCTTGTGGGTCGTAGCATCGCAATCACCCCTGCTGGATCTACCAAAGTTGAGCGAAGGGCTGACCGACGCGTAACAAAGGCTTCAAAGTTCATCACCTATTAGAGTGTATCTTTTGGCCCTCCACAGCTGGGTAGCAGCATCGTATGTGCACAACGATATGGAGGTAGGTAGGTATTGTTTTTGTCATTTATTGGCCATTCCCCACGTCCAGTACTTCATCTTGAACAACTGAAGAGGGGAGTTCCGAGTGGACGTCGCATGACACTCTCATCGCTTGCTTCCAGTGCTCTGGCTTGACCTGTGAGCGGTGACTACCGACTTTGGCGTCCACCAAGGAATCGGGGGCGGATACGCGGGACTGGCATCTCCACCGGCAGATTCGAAAGCATCCACTTTTGGGTCGAAGGATGCCTCCGAACGCCTTTCTCATCGACTGCCTGGCAAGCAGTAGGATGGAAGCTAGTCTCATGTCTGGCACCGACGCTTTGGGTGACGGTTGAAATGGTTTCGACGAAGGAGAACGATCGTCGGAGGGACTACTCTGTATGATCGAAGAACAGCGACCGAAGAACTCGGCAGTGAACAGCGCGTTAGGCCGTCTCCAGAGTGGACTGGTTTGTTACCAGCAGAAAAGAAGCTGGTGGGAACGATCATTGTTAGCGTGAGACGCAGGAGAAGCTCGACAAGAACGCGTATGGAACTAACACAACACCAAAAGCGACCTGAATCAGCCAAATCCACGCCGCTTTTGCCTGACGCGGTTGAATCCTGGCAGATTGACGGCAGGACCGCGTGTGGCTGCTTTTATCCTGGAGCCTGGAGATCTTTGGTGCCTGCGCCTTCCGCCTGCGCTCCTGTACTAGTATCTCTTCTCCCTTTCGTCTTCATCCTCCACTGCCGCCGCATCACGCCGGTAGAACTCTCATCACCTTGGCCTCTCGCCTGGCCCCGCGGCTCTCAAGCACGAAACCTCCTGGCTGACCCTCTTTTGCCCTAGCATTAAGGTACCTTATCCATCAGCTAACATACAGTGTATCATTCGACCGACTCTTGCCCCGGTGCCGTCGAGTCACTACTGCGTCACGCTTCCCTCTAGATGCTCACCCTCGCTTCCTCTGAACGCAGTCCTCTTACGCAGGTCTCTTGGATCACTGCAAGCGATGTCCCATATTCGCTATCCTCGCAACCGTCCAACACAACCTGGGAAGCCTGCGGCCGCTGAGAAACGGTCTTGGGCTCCCACATTATAGAAGTAACACAACTCGAATTTGTCTTTCAATTCACCATGTCGATCCCGGGTGAAGATGCCAGAAGCGGAGGGTCAGGGAGACTACCGCACCTCCCTGTGGAGGTGCCCGCCTAACCCGGCCTGTTACTCCTCGTTGGCATACGTGACCAGGGTGCTCCAGCATCTCTTCCACATCTCTGGTATGAATGAATTGATGAGACCGACTTCGGGTAAAAGAGCTTGTGTGGTCACAGCCAACTACATCATATTGCCATAGCCGCGGTCAATCAATCCTCCAAATCGTACAGTTACCTGTCATCCACGTCTCATCCACGAGGTCTGGAAGCTGCGTGTCTGGGTCAAGCTAGCAACAATCCTCTTGGACAATCCTCACTGTTGGAAATATGCCAACGCGAGTTTTCGAAAGCAAGTCTCCCGCGGCCGGAGGTAGTGATTGTCACCGCTAGCATGGCTCTGTTGTTCTCCGGGCCTGGTCAGAGCAAGCGAACATACGGCACTAGCCCATCTTGGGACTGGAGGAGACAAGTCGCTATGTTAGCGGTTGATGACCACGGCCATGGCCCCTGGTCGTCCTCGCACCCCCTGGTTCCAAGCATGAGGTCCCGAATTGTGGCTACTACCCACGCAATGCAGGAGGTCCACTTGGGCCCAGCTAAAGAAATGCTGGCTTCGACCCGCTGCAGAACAATCCACCCGTTCCTGTTCCTGATGACAAGCAGACCCCATCAAATCTCCTCGCCTGCTCCTTCACACTCCAACCTCTACCGATACCTCCCCGAGGGTGGAAAAGTCCCCTGTTGCAGTTGCTTCGCGAATTATGGAGATGGTCGTTGAGCCTTCCGTCTCAGACGCGTCTGTCGGAAAGCATAATGTTATCATGCTACGGCACTTCTGGTCTAGGTTTGTGCCTTCGACCCTGTCATCCGCGTCGAAGCCTTGCCGGCAGGTTGGGCCACTTTTCATCCCCCGTGCCGGGTCCTCGAGTCGTCTGGCCCCGAAAGACGTGTACCCTGATGCTGGACGAAGGACGACTCCTGATACGGAGCACAAAGTCCCAGGTATGAATCCGTGGTCTGTTGTGCTGCTCCACCATTCGGACTTATATGGCCGTTACGAGAGCAGCTTTTATCCAAATATGTCTTTCGTCTCGCTTGTCCATCGAGCAATATACTCAACTACTCAACTTTTCTCCTCCAGTCTCTCGCATTGTGCATGTCCCTTTGTGCAATCGTCCTTTCGTGCCACTGCCTATTCAACACACTCTGTCTGCCTGTCCCAATTCCACGGGAAGCGCTCCCTTCTTACTAATTGTCCCACTACTCGCATCATCTGATCCTCTCCACTATTTGAACCCGTTGAAGAGCTCGAATATCTTGGAATGACTATACCTGTATGAGGCCAGGAATTCTTGTCGCCTAAAAGTCACTCTTCAGACGTTTGGTGTCGAGGGCTCTCCACGCCTCGAAGGTCGTTGAAGGGCATTTATATTTCTAACTACGGCTTGAAACTTGACTGCTTCCGAATGCCCTCTATCGGTAAGACTGAGCCACTGCAGACGCTTTTATCCCGCTTTCACGTGATGCCGGACACATGGCTGATTGTTATATAACTCACAGAACCATCTCTCCCCAGCATTGCTGTCAACGCACTGCCTCCCCAGCGGCTCGAAGATTTGCACCATTTGGAAATATACCAAGCTTGGAGTTGGAATCAGTCATCATCTCACAAAAATTGAATAGCAGATCTACAGTCTGTGCGGCCTGTGATATATGACAGCTGTCATTGGGAGACCACGAGGCTGTCTAAATGGGGCGGTTTGCGTGGGGTCAAGGACATCCTAAGCAGAGTAGCGACAAGCTGCATGCCATCCCCCATGATCTGTTCTCGAAAGATAAGAGCGAAATCGCAAGGCCAGACTTGAAGGATTTGACCAGGGAGCGCAGCTCTGGCTCAGGAAACTCAGGGACCAGTGACGGCTTACCAACACGCCACGGACGCTCACGGACCAACACCACTAGCTCGGCCATATCCCTTGCCAGTAGGCCGGTGTCCGATGCTTCGAACAGCCTTACTTCCAGACCATCATCTCAGCACAGTAACGTGGACTCAAGTCTACCACTGGCTGGACGCCATGACAAACCAGGCAAAAGACTGCTATCGAAGGGGTCTCAGATGTTGAGACGTCAGGGGAGCAAACTAAGTCTCTTGTCGGCGCCGACAGAGGATAGAAACAATGTTGGAGTCGACGGAAGACTGGGGCAAGGTTCTCCAGTCAGGGGACTCCAACGGCAGCTGACCCTTAAGTCGCATCGTGGGTATCTCTCCTTTTGTAGCACCTTCTCCTGCTGATGTTGTCATAGTGAACGAGCTGAAGAGTAGCATATCAACGCCCTTTGCGTTTCAACACCTGACACACGGCGATCCATCTCATTTTCAAAGTCTTGACAGTGTCACGAAGACCGAATTGACTTCTGAGTTCATCGCCGTTCAAACAGTCCAGCAACCTGATGACAATATTCGCGGCATCCCGGTTACAGATTTGCCTGCGCAGAGGATTGAATCGAGGATTGGTGTCAGATCAGACGAGCCGACATCGCCCACAACCAATTCGATTCCTTACCTTCCGACAACACCACCTCGACCTCAGCCTCCGCCTAAAAATGGACCGGTTTCGCCATACAGCTCAGAAATCCGTTTGTCACGGTCGATGGAAAACTTTTCCCGTCCGACAAGGTCATCCATGGCAGTCAGTGAGGCTCCTTCGACGTCTCCGAGTTCAAGTAGGATATCAGCTATGAGCCCTGTCATCCAAAACAAGAACTCAGCCAAGCCACTCCCACAACTCCCAGATATGGTACATGCTGTCTCTACCACAGATGACATTGCCCTTCCCTTGCGGACCGCCCCGCTGCCTTCAACTCCCAGGAAGGTGATGGAGATTGTGGAAGAAGAAGAAGACACTGAGCGCATGAGAGATCTTGGTCCCCCTCCTCTCCTTCGACTTGACTTGGCGGACGCGCTCTCTCTCAGCCAGCGTAGAAGACGCAGTCAATCCTCTGGCGAGATCGATTTTGACATCGCATATTACAGTATGGCCCCAATCATCACAGGCCCGGAAACACCTACCGCAGCTGAAAAGCAGAGCCCCAGGCCGAGCCCCTGTGTCTCTGTCAGAGTCAAAACTGCGCCGCTCGAGGACTGGGAAGATGCTATAGACGATTCCTGGGACCAAGCTGTCGAGCTTGAAGATGTTGAGGATAGACACAGTTCTGAAACGATGGTGGAACGGTCAAAGCTACCCAGCCGTCATCATGAGAACCTTCTGAGGGTTGAACAACGCGCTGCTAACGAAACTTCTTCTTCGGGTTCGACTCCATTGATGATGCACGTGGCGCGTAAACCAGTACCACTGAACCAAGCCGAACCTCAGCTCAACCCGTCGCGTTATCTGGATGGCGAAACTTCATCATCTTTGCTGGGGCTTGGTATCGAGTCTGTTCACTCGATGCCCAACGTTGCTCCCGCACGCCCCGATTCAGGATGCATTGGACAACGCGATAGTCGTCTCGACTCGGCGGATTTGTTCCGTCCCAATTTCATACGAAGCCCAAATTCTTCCATGAGCAAGTCGAGCTCTCAAGAGAGCATCATTCTTTCCATTGCCTCTTCTATCATTGGGACACATCGGTCGTCGAATTCTAGTACCAGTTTGTCGGATTTGGCCCGCCTGGCCAATTTCGGAGGATCAGTGGACAACCTCAAGCTTGAACTTGAGGGATCCGTTCTTCCGGTGGAAGGTCGTCTGAGATACGGAAGTCAAGAGACCATCCGCAAGGAATTTCAGAGACCTCTTGATTCTCCAACCGAAGCCTTCGACGCTCGTCCTGATTCTCCAACAACCTTTACAACTTTTCCGAATCCAAAACATGATCGCGGAGCATCCGCACCGCAAGTTTCTATCCCCGACAGAAACTCATCCATGGCCGGAGCTGAAACCTCGCGGACTCCTGGTGGCCGTAAGCGTGCAGGTACAACGACCTCTCGTCCCCGTGGCAATACTCGAGTCTCCTATTCTTTGTTCCCGACCACCACATCACCAAAGTGAAGGGACGTGGACCATCAACGCAATGTACTATTCTTATCAAGGGCCATTGATCATGCTGGTCATTGGTCAAAAATACTTTTTTCTTTTTCCTGCTTTCAATTTCATCTGTTACGATTTAATGATTGGGTACGACGTCGCCACCGCGATCACGAATCGAAACGATATTTCTCTAGAGCCGGATTCTCTTGGTGGGATAGGTTGCGCTTGGAGACGACAAAGAGCTGGCTGGTTGGTGGGTTTAAGGTAGGATCAAGGCCTCTAGGAAAAGGTTGGAAAAGTCGGGTTGAACAAGCATGGAGCTCTGGGGATTGTGACCATACTGTGAAGATTGCATGCTCAAAATCTGGCTCTGGTTGTGTGAAGAAGACGCGACGATCAAGCTGTGTCGACACCAAAGGAAAGTCAGGGATTTTGGAAAAGAGTAGATGTGATTCTGAAGGTTGAATGGAGTTTGATATCCTGAATTTGGGATCCAGTGGCCAGATTTAGAACGAACCATATATCCTCTGTGAATGGGTTTTGCATCTACTGTCTATACCACCTTCGAGACGCTGTCTATATTGTAGCTGGAAAACTCCATACGCTTAATAAAGCTGGTTACGGCCGTTGATAACGCGATCACCTCTGTTATTATCACTATTGGTATGGCCGTTGACGGTGGTTGTAGCCTAACAACACAACAACAGTCGTGTCGGTGATATGGACAACAGATCTACCAGTTGCACAGTCTCTACTAGGACCTTGGACACAAGTGACAGTCATGACGGTGATATGGACAACAGGTCGACTAGTTGCATAGTCTCTACTAGGACCTTGGACGTAGTGTATGCCTCATTCACAGTTCGTAGAGCCTTTTGAGATGGTTCAACTGTTGGACGCCGGTCTCATCGACATCTGCTCATTCTGCTAATGGTTCCTGCCCCCTCTCTATTCTCTAATCTCTACAGTTCTTGCCCAGTCAATCCGGAACTTTGTTTGCGTATGTACTCGAAACAGTGCAGTTTCCAGTTAGCCTTACAATTTCAATTTCACCCTATACAATATGCAATATGCATTTATGCCACCCTAGAGGCTAGGGTCTATCGCCTACTCGTCTGTTAAGTCCACGATGACCAGGCGCTTGCGTGGAGGCGGCGCGACCTCAACCAGCTCATCATCATCATCATCATCATCACCGTCCTCGTCTTCTTCACGCGGTCGCTTCGCCGGGATCAAGACGAAACTGTCCTGTGAGACCGTCCCATCTTCATCTTCTCTCTTTGACGGGTCCAGTCCATCAGTACTGGCGTTGTCTTGGCCCTTCTTGACATTGTCTTCGTTGCCATCTTGCTCTGCGTCGACCTCACTCTTCATGTTCGGGAGGATAAGTCCACTCATCGGATCCGCGCTCAGGGGTGGTGGTAGTGTTTCCTTCTGGAGCTCATGCTGTGATTCCTATATACAGAGTATACTGTGTCAACGAGGTCACCAATATCAAAAGGCTGAGTGTTGGGTCTTACCTCCTGCTTGATCATGCGCAAATTACGCTCTCTTCTTTCCTTCCTCGAGACTCTGGTAACAACAGCATCGGGATTGGAAGTTTGGCCTGGCATGAGAGACGACTCTGCATCTGGGCCAGGGGAAGGAGTTCGAGGAATGCATCCGATGTTCTGAAGAATCTCTGGGCCTGTGTCAGCATTTCTGCACAGCTTACAATCATTCCGGGAAGACCCAGTATGAGAGGGATAGCAACTCACTTCTGTTGCGGTATTTGAAAATGAATTCGTGTTCTTGACCATGCACACCGCGGACTGGTACGGCTAGGTGAACAATCGGTGCTGGCGGGTCGCATTGGGCGCCTCGTTCGAACCTTTTGATTGATATTGGTTAGCTTGTTTGTCCGACTGCGAGGCTTGACACGACGGACGGGGATATCGAGATTTGTCTCTCCAGCACTTACTTGACCATGTTCTTCAACTGTTTCCCCTTCAACATCTTCTCTGGCAGCTCGTCGACCGTTTCAGGAATCTTCCAGTCTTTCGGTGACAGATCGGACTCCCACCGGAGCCGGAAGACGGTGACGCGGATTGTTCCAAGAGAATCGACATCACAGTTTTCCAAATGAGCAGGCACGGTGGTTTCATCATCTGCAGGACACAGTACGGTCAGTATTAAGAATGTTTTCGGAGAGCGAGGGCTAGGGCATGGAGCAGCATGTGGTTCCCACGGCTCGTTGAGGGAAAACTTGCTACTTACTGGTTCCAAAAGCTCCAAAGACACGATCGTACATGTGCCAGAGTCCGGTATCTTCGTCTTTGCATAATTGCTGTGTGAAGCCAATGCAACGAGGATGGAGCAGCTTCTCTCGAGAACCTCGGGCGAGACTGCTCTTGACGTACCTGCCTTTCCATTCGCCGTTATCGACTCTAAGATTAGCGAAGACGCCTCGTCCATTGTAAAACTCGAAGCCTGGAAGAAGGGTCACCTCCAACGAGAATTTCTGGCCGGCTTTGACTTCGATGTATCGGGTCTGTTGGTGCGAGGTGTCGGCTGGACCGTCGGGATCAAGGTATTCCTGGAGAGGTTTGCCATCGACGAGGACGCGGACGTCCATTAAATCCTGACAGGGCATGATGAAGGCTTGAATCTTTGACTTCAGAAGTCTCAAGGCTCAACTTGAGAGTTCGGAAAGGGTGTGGAAGAGGAAAAGGGCTTCTTTGACAGCATGAACAAAAGAGAAAGAAAAGAAAATCAAAGCAGAAGAACTGGCAGCAAATATGTACTTACTCCGGGGCACAAGAACGCAGGAGCGTTCTGCAACGCATTCTCATTCATCAGATCTCTCAGTAAAGGAGTAATTGATAGTGCGTGGTGGTGTCTGTCAGCCTTGCGTTCTCACGGATCCGGATACTTCTGTTGCGCGACCAAGAAGGTAAACGCCATACAGTAAAGCCAGCATAATGGTCATGAAATGTGCTTTTGCGCGGGATCAATTGAAAGAACCTCCCCCAGGCTGTCTGTGTGGATCCATATTTGGTATATCTTCCGGTGAGATGCCCTTTCCTCATGTTCTCCGAGGAGACAACCTTGACCAGCAGAAAGAGCAGGTTGGGCACTTTGGTCTAGTAGCTATTAGTCCTGCTGAGGACTGCACAGTTGGAAACAGCTGCAGGATGTCGAACTGATGGCGGCGAGGCTGAGACTCCTATTCGTGATATTGTGATCAGGCTCCAGCCCTGTTCCAACGACCACATTTACCATCACCACCACTTGCAAATCACCACTTACAAGGATAGACACACTCTGTTACGCCGTATCCTGAGTTTACACCTTCCAGTACCATCAAAGAGAAAAGCACCAACAGTATCGGGGTGCATTATTGGTAGGAACAAGAAACAAACAAAACATGAAAGATGCCAGGGAAGCAAGAAAAGCCCATTAGTAAAATGCCCAAATGGAAAAGGGGTCGTCTGACAGCAAAAGATATCATCCGATATATATCAAACTCCCTCCATATACTGCTGGCTTGAAAAGGTGGCTCAGATGTTGCAGTATCAAAGTTCTGGAGACGCTATGATGGAAGCAACGTCTTCTATCACAAGGCTATCTTGGTTGAACACGAGTGCCGCCATGGATCTCAGAATACCCTTTCTCGTTGCTGTTGGAGTGGACTGTCTGGACGGTCAAACCACCATCGATATGCCACCGATCCCACTCGGCCCTAGCGACCAGATCATCTCCATCTCCATCTCCATCTACAACATCATCGTCCAACCAGATTCTCGATTTCGCGTCGGGAAACTCCTCGTCACAACGCTGCGAAAAGGCGCGCCTTTAACTTCACGTTGCTAAGAAGACCCTGGGAGACGATACAAAGATACTAAAGATGAATTTCCGTAAAGGTTTGATGACTTGGTGACTCTCAAGCAATTTCTCTTATCAACGCAGCCCCAAGATCTTCCTCCCTCACGCCTTGTCTCGCCAGAACTGCTAAGCTTGTTGACCAGGATTTGGACCAAGAGACATCCTAAGCAAAGGAATTTCTTGTCCAGAAACAACACATATCTATCCATACCCAGCAGTGATGGCAGACTTCATCGTCCTCGGTGCTGGTGTTGCCGGACTGACTACGGCCCTCGAACTACGCCGGGCCTTCCCGTCAGCCACCATCAGAGTGGTTGCGAAACACTTGCCCGGCACGACGGCGGGGACTGAATACACGTCTCCATGGGCCGGAGCCAATTGGGCATCCTTTGAAAACGAGCTCAACCAGTTCGCCGAGTACGATCGGGTCAGTTATACCCGGTTCCTCAACATCGCGGCCGAATCGCCCGAGAGCGGTGTACAAGTGCTGCCGCTGCGCATTGCCTACGACACCGAGGAGACGCGTGAGAAGAGACTCTGGTATGAGCAGCTGGTCGGAGGTGTTACGGAGGTTCCGAAGAAGGAGTTGCCGCCTGGCGCGATCATGGGGCTGGATTGGTCGTCGTTCATGATCAACACGGTTGTCTATCTCAGTTGGTGAGTCTGCGTCTCCCTGGTCCTCCTGAGTCCTCTCCAGGAGAAGGATTGCCTTTATTGTCTTTCGTTTCCGAAGTGGCACTCGCATCACGATCTGGTGGCCGGACTACAACTAGTATCACCAAGTATCACCAAGCAGAGAGCAAGAAGAGAAGAGATGCCTTCTGTCCCAGACTGATCTCAATCGATGCAATCCCATACTAATAACCTTTTCCCCCATTCTATCTGCAGGCTGCAGACGCAACTCCTCCAATCAAAAGTCACATTCCTCCGCCGCAACTACAACCACATCGACGCACTCTTCCTGGACTTCCCCAACACCAACGCCGTATTCAACTGCACCGGTCTCGGGGCGCGGCATCTCGGCGGTGTCGCCGACGAGGCGGTCTACCCGACCAAAGGCCAGACCATCTTGATCGCACAGCCCAAGGAGCCCTTGAAACGAATGTACGTCCAACACATCGCCGCTTGGGAGAACGAGTTCGCGCATGTCTTCCCCCGGCCGCTCGGTGGTGGCGTCATCATCGGCGGCGTGCGCAGGGACAACGACTGGACCGGCGAGCCGGACATGCAGCTGGCCGAGCGCATCAAGAAGCGGTGCTGCGCGTTGGCTCCGGAGTTGGGCAGACCTGAAGACTTGCAGGTTATCAGCCACAATGTTGGATTAAGACGTATGTGGTTTTGATTGTTGCTTTTTGCTTCCTGATTGATCCCTGCTCCGGGTTTCTCCTTGAACGCTTGCCCTCTCCCCTTGATGTTAATGCTTGTTTGTCGAGCGTTTCATGGCTATCCTGTCCTCTCCTCTCCTCTCCTCAACTTTCACACTGGCTCTTCCATACAAAGTGGGAGGAACAGATTGTTCCTATTCAGTGCACTTCTGTTCGATTCGTGCAAAACAAACGACTAACGTGTCTCATGGGTGTCTAGCGAGCAGAAAGGGCGGTGCGCGCGTCGAACTCGAAAAGCGAGGTGGAAAACTCCTGATCCACAACTACGGTGCTTCTGGAGCTGGATATCAATCTTCATGGTGAGACGAATAAATCGACAGCCCTTCCTCCCCTCGCCCTTCTTTTTGGGATTTGCTTTTGTTTTATGGTGTGACCAAAGATGACTGACAAAAAAAGGGGCATGGCCGCACACGCTGTGGACCTGTTGAAGAACGAATCGGCCGTCAAGTCGAGGCTTTGAACGAAACCCACGCCGATAATAGATACCTTCATACGAAGATCGCCACGGCAGGATTGGCGGGACCTGAATACAGCTACCAGCCTCGCAATCAATGCACTTAGCAGTTCAAGTCCATTAAGAGTCCGGCCTACTGTATACTGATCGGATGTCGTGGCTTGTCGCGGTCAACTGTCGCTGATACTGGGGAGTTGGGACTCCATGCCAGGTGAGAGCCTTGATCGGGAGCACAAGGAGATGGCGATAGCGATACGTACTTACTTACCGCTCTTCCTACCGTGGTCGTGAATCGTGGTTCGTTGAGTGCGCCTGATGGAAGTTGTTCGCCTTTCTGGACTGCGCTGCATCAGGTATCACGTAGAGAACCCGGCAGCGAAGACGAGGATAGAGTACAGATGAGACGATAAATGGCTATACAAGCGGATCCCAAATTCCTCAGGGACTCTCGGGGCTTGGTAAGGCATATACGTATCTACTTAGTAGTAGTAAGCACCCAAGCGATGGGATGGCGTGGGAGAAGGATATCGAACGAAGCCTGAGCCCCTGAGTCCCTGAGCCCCCTTTACAGCCTCACGACCCCGACCCCTATCTCTAGGTTTCACAGCAGTTTCAAAACACCAGCATAGTCTCTCTCAGCCTGGCATTTGGCATTTGTACAACGCAGAACTACTAGTAAACACTTCGTTATGTTGAGCTGATGAGATTTCTGAAACGCACTCCAAGTGCCTTCTTCACAATGTTTCCAGTGTCCACTATTTCGCACATGCTTGTAGGTTGTGGTTCTCGTTCTTGTAATTCTACGGCCACACTCCGCTACGCATTCGTCGTACCTTGGAAGCCAGGTGCCTCTGCATTGCCTGCTTGCTTACTGGCGAGTGCCCGCGGCTCATTGCTTAATGCTTACTGTTCTTCCTCCACCCTGTTCGCAGCGCGACCGGGCGACTCTTTATTTTATCGAGCTACATGAGGGTCAGGCCAATGATGAAACACTCCAGATTCCCAGATGACGATCGACAAGGGGGCTGTGAAACTGTCGAGGTGTGGGAGTCGTCGGAGAAGGATGACAAGCCACAGAGCCGACGTAGGCGATTGGAAGAAGGGTAAGAATCAAGATAGACTCGGACATATGTGTGATTGCCGGATGCTCTACTACTACTACTGAGGACCTGCAAAAGAAGATTCAGTCTTTTGCCAAACCCTATGCCGTTCCTGATGTGAGCGAAGCATATCCGAATGCTTGTTGTAGAGCTTATCATTCTTAAGGTTCCGCTTTTGACGGATCGATTGAGTTCGTGTCTGGAATGAATATAAATATCAGCGTCCCTTCTCTTGACCAGACTGCGACATATCTCCTCTACACACATCCTCTCACCATCTCCTGTCGGGTGGGATAGCCTGGCCGTTGAGTCTCCATCGTTGTTTTTTCAGCTTTGCTCTTTCTCACATCGTGTCATCTGTCATCGAGAGTGACAACCATGGTGGCCAGACTGGGCAACATCTCTGCCCTCAAAGACTTCCTTGCAGTGAGTAGGGCTAGTGCCATGCCATACCCCGATGCGTGGGTGCCGTCTCTTGTGCACGCTCTTGCTGACATGTTTTTTCTTTCTTCATAGTTCCTCGCCACTGTCCGGGGCGATATCTCTCACATCACCGCTCCACCCTTCATCCTCGCACCACAGTCTCTCACCGAATTCCCCAGCTACATGGCCGAGCGACCATCACTGTTCACGGCTGCAGCACACGAGCCCTCGGCCGAAGGACGAATCCTGCTCGTACTGAAACTCTACCTCGCGTCGCTGCAACGGCAGTACTACGTCGGCCGGACCGTCCAAGAAGGCCTGAAGAAACCGCTCAACCCATTCCTCGGAGAGCTGTTTCTCTGCGAATACACGCAGAACCAGAACGACGTGACGACGACGGAGAAACCCTCCACGTCCACGTCGACCGTCAGAGTCGTCAGCGAACAGGTCTCTCATCATCCCCCGACGACCGCGTGCTATTTGTCCGCCGACGAAAATGGTGTCCATGCCGAGGCTTATTCGACCCAACACACCTCGCTGTCTGGCACGTCGATTCTGATCCGCCAAGCAGGCCATATAGTGCTGACAGTCGACAAATACGACGAAACGTATCTGTTGCCGCTGCCTGACGTCTGTGCGCGAGGTGTGTTGTCGGGCGTCCCTTGGCCTGAGCTGGATGACACGTACAAGATTGTAAGCTCAAGTGGATTCACCGCTGGAATGCGCTTTACCGGCAAACGCTTCTGGGGTGGTGAGCGAAATATGTTCGAAGCTTCGATATACCGTACAGCAGACCAGGCAAGGAAGTCTCTCTTTACAGTCTCTGGTAGCTGGAGTTCTCGCTTTACGATATTCAATGCTTTAGGGCAGAAGGTAGAAGTGTTCGATCTTGCAGATCGGAAAAACCAGCCTGTGCCGCCATCGATTCGTCCGCTTGAAAAGCAGAGTCCGTGGGAGTCGAGACGTGCTTGGGGTCCGACATTCGATGCGATCAAAAACGACGACTTCGCTGCCGTGGTGCATCAGAAGTCCAGACTCGAAACGGCTCAGCGCCATATGAGGAAGCAAGAGCATATCGATGGAAAGAAGTGGGAAGCCATGTTCTTCAGTCGGTATGATGAGCCTGGAGTCGATGGAAATGAGGCAGTGGAGAAGCTGTTCGACGAGCTTGATTTCGCCGAGGCGGAGCGATTACGTGGGACGAGTGGCTGTTGGAGATTCGACAGAGAGAAGGAGGAGAGTTGGAGGTGTGGTCAAGGTAGCTGGAGACCTGAGTCGCCTATGGGTTGATATATGGTTGGAAAGCCGTGTCGGGCCCGATATATTGTTGCTCAACGGCGCTGGGAATGCCGGAATGGTAGGTGTTTGGTGGTTCGAAAGGCACCAGGAGCTACTGTTCTCGGGCACAGTTGACACGACTCTCATGTCATGAATAGATCACAGGTCCACTGATTGGAACTGGAGAGGGTGTCTGGCCGTATACGCCTGACGGTTTGAGCTGCTGCATATTGTGCTGCGACCGACGATAATAATCGCGTTATGATCGAAACCGAGTTGGCTCTTCATTCCCTCTTGACTCGTTCAGTCACATAAACCTGATCGCCAGTACGCAGGATAGCGCCCGAGGGGCCGGCGAAAGCGTATTGTCCAAAGACGGGTTTATCTAAAGTATTGTCAACACCTGATATTCGCAAAGTACTGGGAGAAGCGATCAACTTACGAGGGAACTTGTCATTGACCCTTCGGTCGCTCGCTAGTAGACCATAAAGTTGTCGGTCTCTATGGATCATCCCGCCCGTTTCGGGATCGGCATTCAGACTGAGACACCGCACACACCTAAAGATACATTTTATTGTGACTTCTTGTGCTTCATCCGACTGCGAGCGAACGAGCAGTGAAGACCAATTGTCTTCGTCGTAAGGAGGGAGCTGATCTTTCACGTCGATGTGAATGTTGGGCCGTAGCCGCAGGATGATGTCTTCGTTTTGGTAGTTTTTTGGGAGTCGTGACCGTGCATCTTCCTCCGATGCGGTTGAGGTGATCAACAGTGGTGCGGCGTCGGCGAATCGAATCCGTTGAGGTTGTAGGCCCTCTCTAAGGGCTAGGGAAAGTGCGTTGTGCTGACTAGGCACGTAGGCTGCCCCGGGAATCTCTCGACGTCCTGTACCGCCGATGCATAGCAACCGGACGTCTTGTTCGAGATGTCTGGAGAAGAATGCGGCAGGTTCGTCGCCCAGATCAATGCCAATGGCAGTGGTGCCGAAGATGCTCACCTCGAAGGTCTTGTTGTGTAACAACGACAGCGGCGAGGGCGTCAACGGAACGGTGATGGACGACGGAGGCTCGGAGTGAATGTGGCTGATGGTCAACTTGGTCCACGAGTCGTCGATGACGGGCTTGAACTGGGTGAGCTTGAAATTCTTCTTGATGGTCAGGAACGTGGCCAGGCGAGAGTCGCCTTTGGGCGGAGTGACCAGGACAAAGGACCGGTCGAAACGGAGACCTTCGTTGGTGAGTTCGACGGAGGAGACCTGCACGGGCGGCAACGATTTGACTGGGTAGATGAACAGCTGTTGTTTTGTTACCGTGTCAGATCAGATTGTCTCACCTGATGATAACGACAAGCAGGTTACCGGGACTTACTCTCTGTATGGTGAGAGACATGGCCCTGCAGTGCTGTACTGCTCGCTCTCCGGCCACTCGATGTCAAGTCATCCTTTCATTCTCGGTCAGGCCATTGCGTGCGGAGAGGCCTCCGTAGCCGGATCAGGTAGGAATGGCCGAATTGGGAGGAAACAGACCAAAAAGCCAGAACAGGGAGTCGAGGGCGAGTCAGGCCACTTTTATCCCTCACCTCATTGATCTTACGGCTCTTGGAGGCAGCGACGTCACGGATAATGGATACATCTGCAGTTGCAGCTGCGGACGGGAAAATGATACTATTGTTGGCGTGACTGACTCACAACCGTAGTCATCATCGAATTTGGGGCTGGATGAGATGACACGTCCCACTGCAGCGCTCTCTCTCTGTCTCTCTCTATACAAAATCCACCGCCAATTCAGCCGGTAATGTGGGATTTGCTGGAGATCACGTGCCGCAGCCGTCTCGGTCGTGGTATCGACCAATGAAATTCCGCCAAGCTAGGCTCGGTCAATCTTAGTCAGACTTTTGCCCGCTAGTCTCAACATGGCAATATCGCGCGAGATTTCCCATCTCGGTTCTGACATCGCCTCTCAACCTTCATCAAACGTCGTCGCCCTCAGCATCCTATCGTTGTGGTCTGATTTTCAATCCGTATGCAATTCGAATCGACGGAGCAATTTCTCAGTCAACACCTCATTGTCTGCAATCGTCGAGCCATCCCGCTCTGCCCGCCCGTGGCGCCATCTAATGGCAACCTATACCGATCAAGATCGCGCCGCTCGCTTCTTCTGAAATTCATCTCACATGGAAAGCCATCCGGGCAACCAGACCGCGGCCGAAAGAGCCTGTAACACGTGCCGACAGCGTCGGGTCAAGGTAGGTCCCTGGCTTGCTTCCGTCTGGAGACGTCTGCTCACCGAGATTAGTGTGATAAACGACTACCGGGCTGCCAACGATGTGAAAAGTTGGGTAAACCATGCACGGGCTATGATACCGAACGCAAGTTTCTCGACGAGGGCATCAAGGTTCGACGGAAATATGATGACAACTATCAACCTGCTCCAACCCTACCAAGACACACCTCCACCACTCCGCAGAACCATCCTGTATGTACTACACCTACCGCTCCACGTGTTTCTAACCCAGAGCCTCATTTGTTGATACCATGCCAGACCTCAAGCACACCGCCTGACACTCAGCGTGTCAGTGAGTCTTCGTTTCAAAGTAGCTTGAACCAGTTCTATCCCATCATCCCGCAAATCCTATCACCGCCGGTCGAATCTACCCCAGACAATCCTGCAAGCATACCTTCTACAGCACGATCGTCGCTCAGCAATATCCAATTCCCCGGATTTGGGGTCCTCCCTCAGCAGAGTCCAGACTTTCGCCCCTTTACACCTACTCCGCCACAACCACCCCAGCCGTCGCACACCCTCCAGCCTGTTCAACCTGTCCAAACATCGCACCGTCAAGTCATTGTCCCTCAGCCAACCAACCCGGCCAACCTGCAGTATCCTCCCCAGGACTACAACAGCTTTCAACATGCCCAGGAGCATCCGACAGCCAAATTGCTTCTCGGCAGACCTCAATATGCCGAATCGGACATGGACACTTCGATCAGCGAGGACTATTTCGACCTCGATATCGATACGTATTATGCCAAGGGGAACAATGCTTGTGGATTCATTCCTGGGCTACCTGTCATCCTGACCGATCAGAGCGAACCCGAGACTGACGAAGATCTGTTAACCAACGATTATGCATCTTTGAGTGGGAGGTCGTCCGTATACGATAGGTGAGCAGCACCCAAGTCTCTGAACATCCAGCTCAGTCAGCTAACACGTGCTTTTCCAACAGCTCTGAACGGAGTCGGACGCGGCCAGAGTACAGCCAGAAATATCTTCACGAGAGAGCCACCGAATTGGCCTGTCTGACGCGGCATTTCGTGCAAGCGATATCTCCTTCGTAAGCTATGGTTGAATACCCGTGCCTAGTTAAGTCATCTAACTTTATGTCAGAATGGATCTGTTTGATCTCGACACTTACTTTAGCCGGATAGTACCTTTGAAAGCGGTACAAAACGTCATGTTACGGTCAGCGATGGCTGCCGTAGCTGCCAATCAAATTGGCCAGCTGCTAGCCAACCACTCCCCTCGAGAAGACTTACAGCATCTCTTACCGATTATGGGCGAAGATGGTGCAATGCAACATACCGATTGGTTTTACAAGGCAGCGAATTACTACGACCGGGGGATCTCTTATCTAAGAATATTCTTACAACGCTGGTTGAGTGATTCCAACAATGATTGGATCGGACACACGTCAAGATCCAACACCACCAGACACGCCTCAGAGACTGGTACCAGGAATGTCTCTAATACCGCCTTGCCTCATAAGCGGCGGAGGATTAATGAACAGGAATCATCTGGAGCGGATATGGAAGCGTTGGTGGCCGCCATCTCAGTCTTCTCGTTGTACGAGTCACTGGACAACCCTACAGAGGATTGGTCTCAGTAAGTCACCAGTCGGCCACTCCGTCCCTTTACTCTTGTCTAACACGATGAACAGGCACCTTGATGGGTTCAAGGCTCTCCTGGAAACCAAGATCATCCCTCAAGCCATGTCCGCCCCGCGTCCCCGACCCGACCCTTTCATCTCGATGAAAGCAGGCCGGGCCGCCTTTTGGAATTTCGCACGTGCCGACTACTTGGCGGCGTACATCAACCACTCCAAGACCCGGCTTGACCCAGACAATCTGACCATGTGGAAGGCCGCCGGGCTGCCAGTGACGGATGACGGCACCCTGACCTATAACGACCCAATCACACCCGGCAGTGCGGTTGTGTCATATCGACCTGGAGATAGGGAGGACCTGGTCTCCTGCACGCTGATTTGGATTGTCCTACGGACCATGAATTTCATTGCTCCTCCGGAAGATGCAGGTGGAAGCACTGCGCACACTCCCATGAGTCTCGACACTCCGGCGACAAAACCCGGCTCGGATGCTGGGGGCCCAAACTCCCTCCGAAGCCGGATTACCCGTTGGAAGCAACTACGGCGCCAACTCGAGGACTGGTACGACAATCTGCCGTTCACATTCCAGCCATACGCGATAATGGGGGCGCAGACTCCCTCCGACCAACCACCCGATCATCCACCCCGGTTCACCCGCATTTTCTTCTCCGTCCCCATGTGCGCGGCGGCCCTACAACTGTACCATTTCGCACAGATCTTGTTGCTGCTGAACCAACCTGTCGACGAGAGCGATACGCGCAATCTCGCCAACCGGATCCGGATGTTTCGTAAGGTGTCGGAAGAGTCGGAGCACCACAGCCGACAGATATGTGGGATCGCTTTGGGCAAGCCTCCGCCCGCTGTTGCCAGACAGATGGTTCACTCGCTCTATCTCGCTGGGCTGTGCTTTGAAGCAAAAGATGATCGCATGGTGGTGATCGAATTGCTCAAGAATATTGAAAGAGAGACGGGTGCATCGACGGCGCATCGAGTCAGAGAACTCCGCGAGCAATGGGGATGGGAAGAGGAGGTACAGGAGGTACAGTGATGTGATATGACGGCCGTCATTAAACTTGTTGTATAATACCCACGTGTTTGCCGAATATGTGATATGAGGGAGTCTTGCAAAACTGGGGTGGTTGGTTCGCAACATGATGGAAAGATCGGATATGCATATAACTCTGGGACTGAACTTCGTCAACGAGTGCGGAGAATGAAACATTACGACCTGACTGTCAGTTGCTCCTCACTCAAGCCAATCTCGCTGTTCGTCAACATCGTATTTCGTCCTAATGCAGGGACGCAGACCAGCCACTTGATTTCCAAACCCCCGCCGCCCCCCGGGCCCCCTATCTGTCGGGGCTGGACGTTTTGACATCCGGCACAACTCTGAACCTGATAGGTCTAGACCAATAATTTTCAACCAAGGTTCATAGTCCAGGAACAGTTTGTTAGTTGGTCGTCGACTCCATGGCGCGAGGCGAGAAGACGGGGTTCGGCGCATTTAGCCCTAAACAGCATCTCGCAGCGAAAATACCACATTGGGAATAATCTGAGCGGGTCCATCCGCATTGACGCATTGACCTCAAAATGAGAGATTTGTTTGCTGCTTTAGCACCGAGTCGAAATCTTCCTCCATTTCTATTCGCTCAACTCTTCCACATCCCGCATTTCCCCAGCAGCGGCGTCTCGCTGCTTTTCCCTCAGCCGGCGGGATCCACGTCTGAACCTTCACCCGCAAACATCCGCTAAACCGTTTGCAGGTCTAGTACGGCGGCTATTCGTTTGGTTTCGACTGTCTGTGTACCTGGTACAACGGGCAGAGTAAAACATCTCACTCGAAGGCCTCAACTCCGGACGCTTTTCTCGCCTGCAATCGTTTTATTGTGGAGAGAGAAAGCGATGTTTCATCGCCGCAGACTACCGGAATTCGATGATGCTCGTCACTGTTCCAATAGATCGCGTTCCAATATCTCTCGCTCTCGGCCCTGTGGCGTTCATTTCTGATTAGGCAGCTCGCTGCTGGATGTCACTCAAAGTCACTGGTTGGCAAATAAATACTCTATTGGTGGGCAGGTAGGTCATGAAGTATAAGATGATGGGCATGAGGCACGCGCGCCAAAGTCAAACGGAAAACTGGTGAGAGCCTGTTAGAACGATATTTCACAGATATATCCCTTGGGTCGATCACTGCCAGTGCCTACACGTCGGTTGGCCATCAACCAACCACTTGGACACCGCCATCTCATCTCCCCTGACCGGGTATTCCCTGCTCGCCTGGATCCGAATTCGAAACAGACAACAACCTTGTTTTTGTTTTCGCATTTTTCACTGCCTCACGCCCCTTTCTTATATTAATAACACGTCTCACGGACACTTGGGGCTGTCGGTGACGTTGTTGTTATTGTGTCATTACCCAATTTATAAAGGGTTGACGAAGGACATACTCGCAGTCCATCGCTGGTCATCCCAGAGGAATAAGCAAATTCGCATTGACAGAGATATATTATATACCATCTCAACACAAGGACGAGCCTGGCAAAACATATCAGGGAGTCTTGCAACATGTCAACGCCGACGATTGAAGTGTTGGGTATATCCACTGCGGCCGCGGAGGAACACGATGTGCTTTCCAACCTAGAAGACAAGTCCGCTCCTCATCCGCGGTTGCGGCTCCATGGACGCATTACGGTTTTCGACCAAGATGGTTCTTTCGACACGGTCAATATACGATTGCGAGGAGCAATCAGGACAAGAATCGGTGCTCAGTTGTCTGTCGAAAAGGTTCGTTCTGCCGACCATTACCCCCAAGTACCATGCGAGGCTGACCATTGTTTCTGATCATAGCTCCCAATCTCCACCGAACTCCGATCCAACCTCGACTTCAAGCCGGTCTATTCTGCATCCCAGCAACAGACCGACGAACAACATCTCGACTTCATTTGTCCTGTTCCTTCCACAAGTGAGCGATGTAAATCTTCTCATGAGGAGAGGAGCCTCAACACGCGGCACAGAACATCTACCCAAGGTGAAGGGCTCGACGCAATTCTCCCTTCCATGACAATCACCGGGTCTACATACATCACGCGCGTCACGGCTCTGAAAGACAGACATCTCGTGCATGGGTCGTGCGACGTTCTCTACTGGCTCGAAGCCCTGTTCTTACGCTGTGGCTCGCGCGAAGTCGTTCGAAAATTGAGCTGTCCTGTGGACATCTCTTCGCTGGCCATGCCGATGGAGGTCGAAGTATCTCCTCCACTGTCTTCGCCTTCGTCTGCGTCATCCAATAAGTCGCACGAAACAGACCGCGTCGAACAACTAGCCAAGCCGTACTCAGGACGACCTATCAACAGATTCTTCCATTCCCAGGCCCATCCGGAATTATCCGTCCATATGCCCAAACGGCTGGGATATCTGATCTCCGACTCCTCTAGCATGGCTACTGGATGTCGTCGCCTATCGATCCCCGTTGCCGTTGATGTCGTTCTACCCTCTCCGTCGCGGTCTACCCAGCAACTACAGGCCCGAGAATCAACACAGACACAAGCGCAAACGGGGATCAAGTGTCTAAAGTGTTCAGTCAAAGCGAAATGGTTTACGCGCAAGGTCTTCACAACGGGACCGTCAGCTGTTGAAACCGCCGTTCACAGCACGACGGTCTCAATCCAGGACTTGTCGGTCACTTTGCCGCCTCTGTATACCAACACACCTGGTTCTGATTTATCATCCCACAACTCAATCCCGTCCTCGATATCCACGAACTACACGACGTCAATGGATATCGATCTCCTCCTACCCGAATCCGTCACTAGCCCTTCAGTCTCTTCCGAGCTCTTGGACATCAGCTACACCCTCGACCTGTCCATGAAGTTTGAGTCGGAGGAAATGCTCAAGGGTCCGTTCATGGCGAATTTTCGCCTGCCGGTGACATTGCGAGCGGCCGAACCATACTCCGTGATTGGTCGACACTGTCTCGATCCGCTGCTGGGGTATATTGAGGAGAATGCGGAAGAGCTGCTTTATGCCCCGCCTCCGTATATGCCTTGATTACGTCCTACTTGCGGCTACAAGAAGGGGAAGAATGGGAAGCTCATGCTCGGATGTTTCCGCTTCCCATATTCTCCCACTTGCTGTGGGAAACTACGAAGATACGATACGTTTTGATTTATGCTACTTGGATTGAAGGAGCGCGCTGGTCTTGTCTCGATTCGAGCGGACACATTAGAAGTGAAGCAGGGCAGAATAAGCTGAAGAGGTGTTCATTTCTTTTTCTATCTGCAGGAAAGCGACGGCGCTTGGGTTTGGGTCTGGGTATAGCGAGCAAACATGGATAGCGAAGAGAGTACGCGGATACCCAATTGTCATAAATTTGATTTGAATATAGACTTAGATAATATCCTAATACTGGAATTCACGCAATGGCTGAGTTTGAGTCTCATGTAAATCATGGTGCACGACGATTACAAGTACGGGTCATTCATAGCAGACCACGTCTTGATCTGACGGCTTGGGGGGACGTGCTCAGAGGCTCTATACTACTGTTGTTACTACGGTTAATAGCGGCGGGCATACCACCACTGCCACTACTGCCGAGTGCTAAAAGCAGCAGTGCTCAACCCCAGATACAGCAAGAGATTGGCTAACCGTAACGTGCCTCATCCATCCCCTTGACCTGTTTGACCAGTTCCTTCACAAGTTGGCCTACGAGGCCCGTGATGAGGAGGCAAACATGTTGAGCGGCATTCTCCTCTTCAACCAGAAGGGGGAGAACCTCATCTTTCGAGCATTCCGACCCGACTGCCGGCCTCGCCTCGCAGACATCTTCCGCATCCAAGTCATCTCGAATGCCCAGGTCCGGTCACCGATCCTGACCCTCGGGTCCACGACGTTCAGCCATGTCAAGCACGAGAACATCTACATTGTGGCCATCACCAAAAGCAACGCCAATGCCGGCATCATCTTCGAGTTTCTGTTCAGATTCATAGCGCTGGGGAAACAGTATTTCGGCAAATTCGACGAGGATGCCGTCAAGAACAACTTTGTGCTCATCTACGAGTTGCTGGATGGTATGGAGCTCTAGAGACCTTGACGTGGAACAACAACAGCAATACCACAACCGTCAAAATCATTTGTACAAGAAGCTGATCTGTTTTGATTCTTATAGAGATCCTCGATTTCGGGTACCCGCAAAACACCGACGTCGACGTGCTCAAGATGTACATCACTCCAGACAACATTTCGTCGGCGATCCGGTCCGTGTCGGCGCCGTCGAGCGACACGTCCAAGATCACGATGCAAGCGACGGGCGCGCAGTCCTGGCGAAGAGGAGACATCAAATACCGCAAGAACGAGGCATTTGTGGATGTGATCGAGGACGTCAACCTGCTGATGAGCGCCACGGGGACGGTGCTCCGCGCCGACGTGACCGGCCAGATCATGATGCGGGCCTACCTGACCGGCACGCCCGAGTGCAAGTTCGGCCTGAACGACCAACTGGTCGTGGGCCAGGTCCAGCAGGGAATCGAAGGGCCCATGGGCAACTACGACGGAGGCCGCAAAGCAACGCGCGCCGCGGCCGGCTCCGTCACCCTGGAAGACTGCCAGTTCCACCAATGTGTGCAGCTGGGCAAGTTCGAGAGCGACCGGACCATCTCGTTCGTGCCGCCGGACGGCGAGTTCGAGCTGATGCGCTACCGCGCCGTCGAGAACGTCAACCTGCCGTTCAAGGTGCACGCGATCGTGCGCGAGGTCGGCACCACAAAGGTCGAGTACAGCATTGCCGTCAAGGCCAACTACGGCAGCAAGCTGTTCGCCACGAACGTCGTGGTGCGTATCCCGACCCCGCTGAACACGGCCAGCATCACCGAACGCACGACCCAGGGAAAGGCCAAGTACGAGCCGGAAAACAACTGTATCGTGTGGAAGATCGCGCGCTTCGTCGGCGGCAGCGAGTTCGTCCTCAGTGCCGAGGCCCAACTCACCAGCATGACCAACCAGAAGGCCTGGTCGCGCCCGCCCTTGAACATGACCTTCTCGCTGCTCATGTTCACCAGCTCCGGCTTGTTGGTGCGCTACTTGAAGATCTTCGAAAAGACCAATTACAGCAGCGTCAAGTGGGTTCGGTATATGACCAAGGCCGGGAGTTATGAGATACGATTCTAGGAACTGAAACACATAAACATAAAGGCTCGTTTCAAGACCATCACTGTTCTGCAGGTCGCCCCTTGTCTGGATCCGGGTTTTGACTGCTTGGAGCCGGAGATCTACGGCGACCAACGAAGCTGCCAGCTTCAGCTCCGCGGTGGGGCCTGGAGGGGACCATGCCTTCGGAGGGCCAAGATGGCGATGTCCTGATGGATCGCTCGGACCCCGCATGCGGCATACAGAACCGGGCGACCGCTTCCACGGTCGCTGAGCATCTACGAAGCTGCCCCTTTGAAGCGGCGCACCAAGCTTGACATACACGCGGCTGGTGCTCGCGGGACCGGCTTTGTCACCGGACAGGAGGGCAAGCGGTACTCGATGCCAATGCGCAAACAGTTCTACGACTCTCTTGGGCAAACCTGAACAAGTCGTTTGAGGAAGCAGCACAGCACCGGCGCGCCTGAACGCAAGCGCGGAAGCGGAGAGATGAAAGATTCGGAGCACCAGGCATGGTCTGTGTGATATAAGGTACTTGCGACTTTCCCAGTTCGCTGGAACTGGACCCCAAATATAAGGTACCTAGCCCACCTAAGGTACGTATGTAGCTATTCATACAAGCAAGAATTGTGCGTATGAATGAAAGAATGTATGGCATGATGTCTATGACGAGTCCGAGTGCACTGTCTCTCAACCCAATGAGACAGACCATCAGCCAAGCCATACAAGACGCAGTGCACCGCCATCACCAACTTGAAATGTCCAAGTTGGTCCGGGACATCCTGCCACCTCTTCTGAGCCCGACATGCCCCTCCCCTACTAACAAGCTCCACCTCCTTCCCAGACTGTCTCTATCCTTGCCCAAGATCCTGGCACAGTCATTCCACTCTCGTTTCGACAGCTTGAATTTCTCCAGGACTGTCTCAACGAGTATTCGGTCGTCTTCAACCGTCCATTCGGCATCCTCTATGGATGGAGATGACCCATAAGCTGAGTCTCGGTCGGACTGGACATGTTGCGGGCTCGTCACGGGCATGTCGAGCAGCTCTTCCTCTTCTTGTTCTCTTCCCTTCTCCTCGAAGGGAGTTTCAAGCGCGCGAAAGTCATCGGCGCACAATCCCATCGGCACGGACAAGGGTATGCGCCGTCGTCGTTTGGGTGTGCGGACTGCGCGAGGAGACGGGGGACACTCGTCCATCTGGATATCTAACGATTCCGAGGGAGTCGAGTCCCGCTCGAACTCGCTGCGTCGTCTTTTCTTGACGTTTCTGTGTATTTGTCGTGGTCTTGACGGGACCGTGAATGTGAATGGATGTTCTTGCTCTCGTCCTTGCACTACGAAGGGGTCGCTCAGCTTGCGCCGCGAGTCCTGCGCGGCTGGTTGTGGTATGGTCACTGAAGGAGTGCCTAGAATGGCTTGTAGTGCGCGACAACTGGATGATAGCGGACTGGGACGCGGACGCGCATGGTATACGGAGTGAGATGATTGTTGCTGCGGTAGAAATGCGCCGAAGGACGGCAGCTTGGGTCTCTGAGGTATGAGGTTGCGAGAGCCAGGGCCCTCGCATGAGAAGGCCGACGGGAGTAGCATTTGGGCTAGATACAAATACGCCAGCCTGGTTGAGGGACGGAGTTGGGAGTGGCTTGATTTCTTTGTCCGCCTTAGCTGTGCTCGTACACTCGAGATCGGTCGCGCCGGCGCAAAGAGCAGAGAGGTGTCGCAAATGTATATATTTATGTTATGGGGGTCGTCTCGGAGCTCGCAGGCGGATAGTTCAAGTTACTAGGACTCGTCATGCGAACGAGGCGAGGCGAGGAGGCGAGGAGACGAGGAAGGATGCGCAGGAGTGCTGGCGGTGTGCGACGGAGGCCGAAAGCTGCAGATGTGGATGCCGGTGCTGGCTAGAGGGTGACACTGCATGCAGATGAGGAGTCGGCGAACAGGTGTGATATCCAGGGGTGGACACTGCTGTTACTCCTGCTGATGGAAATGAGAATGATGAGTATGGATGCAATCGGCCGAGTTGATGGAAATATAACATGCGCTGGGATGCGATGGGATGCGATGAGATAGGATACAAACAGAATGGAAAAGTGATGGATGCCAGATGGATACATGGTAGGAGCATACTACCTACCTAGTACCTAGTACCTAGTAGCGGTAGTGATTTGGGAAGCAGCGGGCGCGCGGGAAGGAGCGAGCGTTGGATGATCTGCCACTGGCAGTCAGTGCAGCTGTCAACCAAGCGCCGGGAAGGAGCGAGCAGCTTGAACTTGAAGCCAGCAAGAGCCAGGGATCAGGGGTTCAAACCCATCGAGATTTTCTACCGAGGAGTCATGGCAAGCTCCCAGGCTCTTCAGCTACATTCACAAGCACCACAACTACTACTGCTCCTGCTAGGCTGTTGCTGCTCGCTATCACCTCCTACTAGTACTACTAGTATGATGCAGCACTAACTTCTCAGCCTCCGAGATGCAGACTCTCAGTATCTACAGAGTAACCAGGAGCCTACCAGGCGGGGACCTAGTACACAACAATCACTCGAATTTTGTACGGTCATCACCACCTCTCCCGACGCTTATGTACCTAATGCAGTGAGCGACGTTCGGCCGCCTTCTCCATCCTGCCGGTGACCCTCGAAGGTCTTCGAATGCACATATAACTCGTACGGTGCTGAAGCTCCCGCCAGTGGTATTTTAGTCCAGTTTTGCTGCACGACCATTAGGTACCTTAGGTATGCATGGCTACCTGAGTAAACCCTGTATCCATCCACCAGACGGTCGGTGAAGCGTCAACAACACCTTGCTTGGAGAGCTAACAACGTACATCTGTTTCACTAGCACTGCAGCTATCGATTGGCGTTGTTCGGAGTATTATGACCGTGGCCATGTGTACCTCTGTATCTATCTATCAATCGGACACTTGGTCAGTGCCTGGCAGATACAATCGATACGAGCCACGGCCTCCGCGCAACTCTAAAAGTTTCCTGGGTCCACCAGTCGATCGATCCAGCTCCAACCAATATATGCAACAGTAAGTATAATGGCAGTGCTCGAATACCATCAGTCTTCTCCTGGATGGTATGAATTTCGATCTGGGCACAAACTCGAGCTTGAAAACCCGAATCTGGAGCTTGACGCGTCGTTCGCGAGAATTGCTTCCGACGCGTAACGCGTGGTCCGAAAACGGAAAGGCCAGAATTCATCCTCTTCATCACCTGACTCGCATTCTTCGACTTCAGCCTTCATCTCATTGTTCAACAGCTGCTTCTAGGCTGGCCATCGTCGAGCGCTCAGACAGTCGGAGTCTTCTGAATGAATCTTGCTTGCGCATTGTCAGCTCTCAGCACTGTGGTCAACCCTGCGAATGACCCGTTGTGGTATGCAGTGCGTGGAAGACGTACACCCAGCATTGGGCACCTCCCTAGCAGGCTCTGTCCATGGCGGTAGGGTATGGCCTCAGAATCGAGAAGTCTTCTGTTTTGCCAAAGATTCGAATGCTCCGAAGCGAACACACTTTCCTGGCTTCTCAATGTGAAGCAGGATGCGAGCACTAAAAGGACATTCTCCGACCCTTTGTCTCGCCGTCGATTTCTTACCACGTGCGCACGTCTTATCCATCATGGCCTTTGTTTGTTTCCGTGCTCTCGTCAGCTTGCAACATCCAGTCCACATTCCTATAGGATGCCACATGGCTGTCTTGCTCGACCATCCCTTGAACAACACCTGATTGCTTGTTGCGGCAAACTCTTCATGTTGATCCACCAATCCACCATAGAGCCGATCTCTCGTCGCGGCGCGTCCGCGTCCCAAAGCAGCCATTTGTTCTCTTTCATCGTTTCTCTCTCGAACAAAAGCATGGCTTCGGGTTCTGACATCCTCGCCCCTCTCTCTTCCTCTCTCAGATCGACCCTCTCTGTGAAGCCCCTGGCAAGCCGTCAACATGACCAACTTCCAAGGAGCCTTTCTGGTAATCGTATTCACCTTGACCTTTGGCAATGTTGATGCTTTCTGGCGGATGGTGTGCGGCACCGTCCAGGTAGGCAGAGTCGATCCCATCATCTCTCCTGGTGGGATCTCCGGACACTGTCATACCATTGCCGGACCGAATAGTATGTTTCGATTGAGATGACATTCCCTCGATGCTAATCATGGACAGACATCAACACCACCTCGACCTTTGACAGTCTGCAGGCATCATACTGCACCTCGTGCAGCATCCAAAAGGATAAGAGTGCTTACTGGACCCCTCAACTGTACTATAGGCATCGCAATGGCTCTTTCGAGGAAGTCCCACACGACGGAACTGTCGTCTACTATCTGGACCGTGGAGTCGACATTGCCAACATCGTTGCTTTCCCGCCCGGATTCCGTGTTCTTTCTGGAGACTCGGCTGCACGGGCCTATGATCCAACAACCAATACTTATGGAAATAAGCAGTACGGCGGCCGACCTGTTGCTGATCGAACTAGCTTTGCTTGTCTCGACAGCAGCGGTCCTATGCCTGAGACCCCTGGATTCAACGTGACTCGGTGTAGTTCCGGTCTACGTGCGCAAATCCACTTCCAGAGCTGCTGGGATGGGGTCAATCTGTTCAAGTCGGACCAGAGCCACGTTGCATACCTGTCCGGCATAGACAACGGGGTCTGTCCGCCTACGCATCCGAAGTTGCTGCCTCATCTGTTCTTTGAAATCATTTATTCGGTCAACAGCGTCGACCAGTCCGATGGAGGGATGTTTGTCTTCGCCAATGGTGACACCACGGGCTATGGCTTCCACGGTGATTTCTTGAATGGTTGGGATCCGCAAGTGCAGGCCGATGCCATCAGCCAATGTATGGGACCTCAAGCCACGAACGGCGGCCAGATTGGTCTCTGCCCTCCTCTCGCTGCTTCTGTGGATCCGTACTACAGTCGGAACTGTCCCGAGCAGCAACCCTTGGTCAACGAGACTGTTCATGGCATGCTTAAAGTCCTCCCCGGCTGTAATCCCCCGACTGGAGGACCGCTCCGTGCCGCTCAGAACACCTGCCCTGTCCAGCCGGCGCTCAATTACATCCCCAACCAGGACTACAAGAACCGGTCGGTGGCAATCCCTGGAGACAAGGTCGGGACTTGGCAATATATGGGTTGTTCATACGACACAGGAACACCGCGCCCGCTGGCCGGTCTCGGCTACTCAAACACCACAGGCATGACCATTGATACTTGCACCGCCTTCTGTAAGAAGAATGGTTACTTCCTCGCCGGCCTTGAGTATTCAACACAATGCTACTGCGCCAGCGCCATGTCTCAGATCCTGCAGGACCCCATTACGTGCTCTTGGCAGTCTTACATGATCTGCAGCGGCAACAATTTCCAGTTCTGCGGCGGCCAGGGGCTTATGCAGATCTGGAACGACACAACATACTCGGGTCCTGCGATCAAAGGTGTCCCTGTCGCTGGCAAGACCAACCTGACTCTACCTTCGCGTGGAAATGCCACGTACCAGGGCTGTTTCATGGAAGGCGTTGGAGGCCGAGCCCTGACTGGAACCTCGTACTCGAACAGCAACAACATGTCACTGGAGACGTGTGCAGTGTTTTGCCAGAAGAGCAACTACGCAATGTTCGGCACCGAATATGGTCAAGGTATGTTATTCCGGAAACAAAATGGGCTTGTATTTTGTAGCCTCCCCTCCCTTTTCAAGAAACTTATGACTGATATGTTCGACTCCTAGAATGCTACTGCGGCAACACCGTTAGCACCACACAAGTCGGCCAAGGCAACTGCTCGTCCTTCTGCACGGGCGACAAGACCGAGTTCTGCGGCGGCGGGTCTCGCCTCTCAGTATGGTCGTTGTCATCATATACAACGGCCACACCATCTAGTGGAAGTGGCACCGGTGGTGGCAGTTCCTCGGGGACCCCTTCCTCCTCCTCATCGTCCGTCGCAGCGGTTCCCTCTGCAAGTGGCATCGCCTATCTCAACTGCTACAGCGAAACGAGCAACCCACGCGCCCTCGCAGCCGTGTTCAAGTCGTCGACTTCCATGACCGTCGACTCGTGCGCCCAGACGGCGCAGAGCCTGAACCTACAATACTTCGGGGTAGAATACGCGTCGCAGTGTCTGGCCGGTAGCACACTGGACCCGCGGTCCGGCGTGATCGCGTCGAACAAATGCAGCATGGCCTGCTCCGGCAACAACCGCCAGACATGCGGCGGGCCCAGCGCCATCAGCCTGTACAACAACACGCTGTATGTGAAACCGTTCAACCCCAACCCGGTCAACATCCACAACCAGCCCGGCTCGCAGTACGGCTATGTCGGCTGCTACAGCGAACCGGCGGGCGCGCGCGCACTGGGCTCCACGGCCAGTTACGGCGCGTACACCACCACCTCGACGACCCTGACGGTCGAGGCGTGCGCGGCGCTGTGTCTCGCCAAGGGCTATGCCTGGATGGGCGTCGAGAACGGGAACCAGTGTTTCTGCAACGGCGCCGGCATCATCAATGGCGCGGCCAAGTCCGCAGGCGGCGATGCTGACTGTGCCATCACCTGTGTTGGAAATGCGCAGGAGAACTGTGGCGGGACGGCCAAGCTGAATATCTACCAGCTCAAGAGTGGGAGTGGCAGTGCGAAATACGCCACGCCGGCCAAGCGTGGGTGGAGGTTCAAGACGTGGTGAAGTGAAATGCATGTCGGGGATGGACGTCTGTAGATGTGATGTGAACCGATGCTGGAAACTGTGGTAGGGAGAAAAGTAGGAGCTTCCCAGGGTGACGGCTGGGGCGGAGGAGATACTACTCCTGTTGATGCATGTGGGTTGGTTTCAATTGCAGCTTCGCGGTCGATCTCTCAACATACCGCCTCCGCTTTACTACGTACACAGGTGGTGCATACGTCTAGCATTTGCGTATATGGGCTTGACGGCAACAGAGCGGCTACTTGTACAGATGGGAGGCAATATAGCTTGATTGTAACAAACCTTTACACTCAAGTCTAAACTCTGCCAGTAGCCAAAACTGAATGAAATACAGTTGTCCTCAAAGCTCCAACCGAAGCATCTCTCAGAATGACAATGATCTGCGCTTATGCCCATGCGCTCTTCTTCGCCAACCCACATGCGCACTCGGTTTTCCTGACGAGCGCGCCCTTTTCAAGTGAAGCTTCAAAGAACCCGTTGCATCTGATTGAACTACCCGAATCAACTTCCACCCTTCCGTGCTGTGGCTGCTTGGCCGATGGTAGCTTGGATACATAACCTTGGCTGAAGCCAGAATGTAACGGGCATTTCTGCGGAAAGTGTGTTTGATACATGCATCCGGGTTTGCGATTGTGCGCATGGCCAAGGCGAGATTCCCGTAGAGCACCGGCGTCCCTTCCAGCCAGACTTTCCGGCACACTCGCAGGAACTGGGCGGACCGGCCATTGCTGTCCGCATAATATCGACCATTGAGGAGACGGGACCAGTACATGTCGTCAGCCGGCATAGAGGCATCGGAGAAGGACTGTTTCGGAGTGACGCTGCGCAGCGTCGGATTTGTGGGGAAGAGACACAGGAGGACGTGGCTGTCGTCGACGAAGAGCTCGTGGTAGATTCTGTTCATGATTTCCGCCGGGTAGTTGAGAAAGCCCATCGGACCGGTGGGTCGGCGCGGTTCGAAGAATGGCAAATGATCCATTGCTGACGGTGTCGAGGAAATCTTGAGGAAAGGAGGTGGTAAAGGCCCGCCGTACACGCGCAATATAACGAAGGAACAAGACTGTACGGTGATGCGATGTGTGAAGATGCAATGTCAAGAGATGGAGATGAAAATGATGTTCCTGGCGATGGCTCCAGTATTGGTGCGATATACTGCCGGCAGTAGTAATGGTGATGGTGATGGTGATCTGGAAGAAGGAGAGGAGACTCTAGGTCGAGATCTCACGAATGTCTTCCCGCCTGGTGAGCACCAGAGGCAGAAGCAGAAGCAGGGGCGAGGGTGTCAAGTACAGTCATTCAACCGGTTTCATCGGCAGGAGCAGGCAAGAGATATTCTGGCATGCATTTCAGGCATACTAGCATTTCCGCTTCGTTGTTGTCGCTGCATTTGCATAATGAACCAAGAACCTAGACTTCTTCTGTCTCATCGTTTGCTCTTCTGCTGCTTGTTCCTCCTGGCCTTTTCGGAAGCGAACACCATGGAATGCTTCTCCTTTTTCTTGGACACTCTGTGTTCTTTCCGGTTGGAGTGTGACTTGCCTGACTGTGGCTTGACTGGCTTCATCTTTGCTCCTTGGGCATCGATTTCCATATCTAAAAGGTTCGAGTCAGTGTCTGCTGGGAGGAAGATGTAGGCATGCAAGCCCTACCTTCACCGCCGTCATTTGTGGACGGGTGTTCTGTCTCTTGCTCGGCTGAAACGTCGAGTGCCATGACCTTGTCCTCGGTCGGTCGAGGCTTCGCTGACAGTTCTTGCAGTTTTGCAGACAGTCTTGCGGTTCGAGCATCGTGGGCAGGCCCAAACACTTTGGTACGCAGGTTGCGGTGGTTGCGCTTGACGACGGACGCTCTGGCTGATTTGGCCATAGTGTTTGAAGAGGAAATTTGTAGATGGATGGGATCTGGTACAGGTGGGTGGTGTGTGAATGGCAGAATTTGTAGACTGTGTGCAATAGGTAGTCTGTGATCCTTCAGTACCGTATTAAGTAGGCTGGTGGTTTAATCGAGATTCTTTGCGGAGAGAGGGACAAGGCGAAGAATTTCTGCCGCTACGTCGATGAATTACAGCCAGTAGACGAAGTTCAACTCTTCAGATGGGGCTTTGGGCCCGAATAAATAGTACTATTAGGCTTGATATTGATAGGCTGCGACTTGCCTGCTGCCCATTCTCGCTCTCGCTCTCGCTCTCGCCATCTCCATCGCCATCGAACGCATCCAGATCACATCCACTCCATCACTCTCCCATCCATTCAATCACCTCGCATTTACTTCAACTTCCTCTATTGCTTCGACCGACTTCCCGCCTTCAGCCTGACGGCCCAACCTCAACCTCAACGCCAATACCAACACCAACACCAACACCAACACCAACGTTAACCTCATCGTCCAACCCCAAAGCCTCAACTTCACTCCTTTACCTTGACTTTCGGGCGCATGCTTCGACAATAACCATAGAACACCATTAGGGCAGCCGCCGTTCTGCCCATCATCAAAATCATGTTCGTCTACCGTCGCTAATCGATCTATCATTGTTGAATCCGCACCACGCCTGCGATCTTCCTCCTGCTCGAGTACGCCTTCCACCATGGCGGGATACGTGCAGGCGCAGGACCAGGTGCAGGCCATGGTGGCCCATGTCAAGACCTTGACCGTTGAAAAGTTGAAGATACTGCTACGGACTGAAGGATTGCCCGTGTCCGGCGTGAAGAGTGAATTACAGATAAGAGCCATTGCACGTATGGAACTGCCTCACCACTTCCTCTACCATTCTACCCGATCTAACCTCTCGCTAGATATCGAAAAGTTGCGAAATGCCGGCGACCAGGCAGGCTTGAGCCGGGTGCGTGGGAATATCAGAGGCCTTCCACCGATCTACAACTCCTCCAACACCTACCCTTCACCATACTCGACCCACACGCCGACCTCTTCGGCGTCGCCTCAATTCTCGTCGCCCAACCCTCATGCCTCCTATGCCATGTCTCCGAACTCACCCTATGCGCCCAGTAAGGATACAATCGGTCAATATGAAAGAGACGGTCTAACAGACATGACAGACCGCATAACATTCAAGGACTCGCCTTTTTACAGTATCGTCAAACCGCTCACCAATACGCTCGAGTGCAAAGGTGACTTTTCTGAGACAAATTCAAGCTTGTGTCCGGTAGCTGACCCGCAATAGCTCGAGAAACGACTCGCGACACAGCTCGTCTGACAGTCTCACTCACAGCGCCCCTCGCAGATCAACTCCAGACACAGCCGAATTTACGAGTCATGGTGTTCTGCGCCGCAGAGGGCTTTCAACCGTACTCTCGAGAGCACGACATTGCATTTCCCCATAACGTGGAACTGAAATGTAATTCAGACGAAGTCAAAGCGAATCTTCGTGGATTGAAGAACCGACCCGGGTCAACCAGGCCAGCCGATATCACCCATCTCATCAAGAAGAAGCCTAACTATCCGAACATTGTTGAGATGGTGTATGCGCTCACATCCAAGGTACGCCTGAGCATGGTGAATTTCTCTTTCTTCTGGCCTTTCCTGTTTATCCGATCTTTAATCAAGAACGATCATGCTAAACAGGGCAAATCTCAACCACAGAAGTACTATTTGATAGTCAATCTGGTGTCGCAAAAGCCGATTGACGTGATGGTGTCCGAACTCAGGCAGGGAAAGACCATCAGCAAAGAACAAGTCCTGCGTAACAGTACGTTTCAAGATCCGACCACCTGCTCTCTCGTGCTGACAGACAACAGTGCGGACAAAAGCTGAAGACCCCGACATCGTGGCCACATCAAGCGTCCTTTCCTTGAAAGATCCGGTGGCGTACAGTCGAATCCTCACCCCTTGCCGGTCGATCGCATGCAATCACAACCAGTGCTTCGATGCGTCCGCTTATCTACAACTCCAGGAACAGGCCCCTACGTGGACCTGTCCGATCTGTTACAAACCTGCTCCATGGGATCATCTGGCGCTGGATTTGTATGTTAACGACATTCTGAATTCAACGCCGGACGATGTTGAAGCGGTCGCTGTCGAGCCTGATGGACGATGGCATATTCAACGGGATGATGATGCCTCAAATCGCAACACCAATCCTACTCCAAGTGATGATGACGAAGACGATGACGATGACGAAGATCTTGTCGTAATACCGGGACGAGCAGATTACAAAGCCAAGGTTGAAACCCTTACACCCCACAGCGTCAGGACACCTCCTCTCTCATCGAGAGAAGATTCGACGGTTCCGTCGACCTCGAGACACGCCAAAAGACCACGCGAAAATGTCATCGACCTGACTCTCAGCGATGATGACGACGATCAGCCGGCGCCGAAGCAACCGAGAACAACCGAGACTCCTTCCGATCTTACACGGTCTCGACCTGTGAGTGACCGGTTCAACTTCCAAATGCCTATGCATTCACCGTCTCAAATTCCGAATCGGTTCAACACATCACTCTGAGGACGTGAAGATCAGCATTTTAGCGCGGCGTTCAGGGTGGGACATACTGATGAGCGGCGGTTCGGACTCGGCTTCTCGGGGCTGTAGCGCGGTCAAAAGGGCGTTCATGCATTTTATGGCATCAGGTGGGGCTATACCAGTGCTTTTCACGAGGAGGCTTTTTGAGCTGCGAAGGGTCAGGGCTGAGCACATGTTTTGCATGATGGGAGGCGAGCCACGACGGCATGGATAGTTGTGAGGATTGTCCCCTTGTCCTCGGGATGGGCGTCGAATTTCTCCTGGCTCAAAGGTAGACTATGAAGCCGACATGCACCAGAGTTGCCAAAGACTATGGTTGGCGTGAGAAGTAGCGCACAATAAAATGCAATGCCCGAATCATGTCTCCATTGCTCTTATGGACGCAGCGTGGTCCCCGTACGGTTCGACTGTGTAGGGGTTGTACTGACGATGACTACTATTTTACAGCTGTTTCGTTCTCTCCAGAAATATGTCGCTGAAGCCGCTTGAGGACGGCAGCACATCACCGTCTCACCAGAACGGCGCAAACACACCATCTCTTGGACTGCTCCTTGGTCTCTCCCTCTCGCACAGGCAGCCAAGGCCTTCGAATGCCGCTGACATCGATCTCGAAAATCTCCGCCGCTCGCAGCCGTCCTTGCACCTCAGCAAGCTCTGGATCTGGATCTGCATCTGCATCTGCATCTGCATCTTCCCCGTTATGGCCATCGCCATCACCATCGCCATTTTCATTCTTCCACTCGCCCGTGGCGACCTTGAAGAAATGCCGGACGATCCCACGACCGGTATGGAACCCGGCCACGACAAATACACAGGCTTGATCATCGGGTTGGTGTTGTTGTGAAGATGGAGATGAAGATGGAGCTGGAGCTGTAGGTGAGGATTCCAGGTACCGCAGGATCGTCTTGACCAGGTTCACATGCTGCATCGGCATCCAGAGACAATCTGCGATGATGATTCTGTCGAAAGAGTCGGGTTGAGACGGGGCCGGTTTGCCGTAGTGGCTGGTCAGATACATTTTGCTGGTCCCCCATGTGTATCCGAACACGTCCACGTTTGTTATGGATGTCGCTTCGGTTTCGGTGTCGATGTCGGTACTGGTGTCGATATCGATGGTAGTAGGTTTGGTTTCGGGCTCAGACTCAACCCCAGCCTTGGATCCCGTGGATCCGACACGGTCGTTGATTTCCAAAGTTGGCTTCTGTCCAGAGGACAAAGACGTGTCTGGGACATCACTTCGCTTTCGTCGTCGTTTGAGAACGTTATCTCTGACGTTCTGCTCAATTGCCCCGCTCGTCAAGGCAGGCGAAGAGGGATGATCCGTGATCGTGACCGACGCTGCGCCAGCCAGCGCGCAGATCAGCGACGGAAGAGCCGTTCCTAAGGTGGTCACCAGACACGAAGGTCAGCAAACTGGACGATTCAGGACATGAGAATTTGATCTTGTCAGCTTCAAGGTTGATGAAATGAAGGCTCTCCGGTGCCGCTTTGAAGCCACGAAGATTCTCTCATCTTTTGCTGGAAAGAGACACGGGTGGTATTTGGTATGTTATGGCTGTGGCTGTAGCTGCTATCACGTATACGTACCAGCTCCTAATTCAAGAACCCGCTTCCCTCTCACATCCCAGTACTTCTTGTTCCATTGGACCAGGACGTGCGTTGGGTCCTGCGTATCCAGGCGATCTCGTTCTCCGCGCTCACTTCTAGGCTGGTGCTCTTCTTCTCCAACACCGTCATGATCTTGACTAGCTGTCTCAATGGCATCTGCGGCAATCACGCCGGCATTCCACAAGTGGTGTGCAAACAGTTTTCGACCTTCCTCGAACCCCGGGTAGGCTGGGATGCGCAGCGCCAGATCCCCAAACCGCGGAGAATGGTATGTCACGCTCGACCCGGGCGTGCCGTGACTGTTGGGGGCGTCGTCGGTGAAGAGGGCCGGCAGGGCCGACGAGAAGATGTCTTCGGCTTCCGGGGTTGGAGGGGCGGGAAGCGAAATGCGTGATAGGAACATGGTGTTAAGACGGGTACGGGTACGGGTACGTGGGGAGAATGAGAATGAGAATGATCTGTGACATTGGAGGGATCGAGAGAGTGGTTGGAGCATGTATCTGTATCGGTGTCAGTGTCGTTCCCAGGCCCAGTCAGTACCTCTTCCACGACCCTCTTGACATGAGCATGAGCCGTCTTGAGACTGTTGGTCGTGGAGAGGATACCTTATGTATTACCTAGGCGTCTGGAGTTGAAGACGAGGAAACGAAATTGTTCTCCATTCGAGGCTGACCGAGATAAGATGAGATGCAAGGCTGTGCGGGGTGAAGATTAGATTAGATAAGATTAGATTTTGTCGATACCAGAAATCTTTTCGACCGTTCTAAGGCTCCATGTTGTTGGTTATCCTTCGACGTCCCTCCTGTTTAAACTATCGAGATACCAGAGTAATATGTACAGAGGTTGATCCTTCCCTCCCGTGGTCATCTCTTCATCCGTCAGTCAACACTGCAGGATCAGATCAACAGTGGGAAAGGACATGTCGAGATCACCTACCCGTCCAGCCCACCTTGACCCAAGCGAACTAGGAACGAAAGAGTAGTGAGTACGTCCCTACCATCCATCCTGTCAGAAAGTCCCTTGAACCCAAGATACCCTGCCAGTGTGGAGTCTTCATCTTCGTTCAAGGAATTCCGTCTGACAACTGCCGTTCGCACGGTCTCCGACTGCAGCTGGGATCGATACTATCAGAATGATCTAGACAATGGTTCTGACCATGACCATGACGACAAAAGCGACCAAGAGGACAGAGACGATACTGCTCCCACAGATCCTCCAGAGCCATCAGAGCTTGAGTCATGGTTCGACGACGTCGGCGCTCCAGAAAAGACTCTCGCGTTTTTGACTTCGACGACATTTCCCCTTGCACCGAATTACACTCCTGTCACCAACAAGACTCCAAACTCGACCACAAAGACGGCCACTGATGGTCATAGTCCCACTAGCACTACTACCCGTGGATTACCTACCGTTCTGGATCTCGGCACGGGCAATGGCAGTGCACTGTTCGCACTGAGGCTTGAAGGAGGGTATGCCGGACGCATGGTCGGCGTTGATTACTCGTTGCAGAGTATTGAATTGGCGCGGAAACTGTGGCGACAGTATTCAGCCTCAACCTCGGCCTCGGCCTCGTCAGATTCGAACAGGAATTCGAATCCGCATTCGGACCCATCTTCGAATACGAAATCATCTTCCAGCGCCACATCCCCTGCGCCAGCTACAACTACAGATATATCCGAAGCAAGCACAACACCATCAGAAACCACCGGGGGAGGAAACGGGGATATCACCTTCCAAGTCCTCGATCTGATCAACGACACTCCGACCGAGCAAGCATGGTGGCCTATCGAGTCAGACGGCTTTGATCTGGTTCTGGACAAAGGCACGTTCGATGCCATCTCGTTGTCGTCGGCGACCGTTTCGGTGGGACCAGGTCCTAGTAACGACTCTGACGGCGCTTTGTCCGTCCGTGAGCGGCGCGTGTGTGAGCTCTATCCGGCAAAAGTGCTGTCGATGGTCAAGCCTGGCGGCTTCCTGCTGGTGACCAGCTGTAATTGGACTGAAGAGGAAGTGATATCGTGGTTCACGAGTGCTACATTACCACGCACGGAGGAGTCGGGAGGACGCTTCGAGGTCTACGATACGATCAAGTATCCGGTCTATGAGTTTGGCGGCCAGAAAGGTCAGGGAGTGGCAAGCGTGTGCTTCAGGAGAATAGTATGAATCCAGACCTGTTCTCTGATGCTTGATCTCTTGGTCTGTCACGCTTCTCATTCACGATATGTTATCTGGTGTAGCGCGTGTGCTATATGCCAGGATCGCAGAATCTTCGTTCAAGCTTGCCGCGGGGCACGATCCCACGCGAGATGATAGCCACCGTGTCAGGACGCTAATCTAGCTCATCAACATATTCACAGCCCAAGGAACCGACAACTGTCGAAGGTCTCCGTAGTGTTGGCCCACGCCGATAAACTGCACTGGCACTGAAGTGGCATGGACCAGACTGATCATGGTCCCGATGCCAGATCCGACAGTGTCGATCTTGGACACGATAAAGCCGTCGAGCTTCCGATTCTTGCCCAGTGCTTTGGTGAAGTTCTGCGCTTGTCCCACGGAATCGTTGCCGACCAAAGCCTCCGCAACCTGGAGGATCAAATCCGGCTTTGCAAGATCGACCAGCTTCTCGAGCGACGCCATGAGCTGGGTGTTTGTGTGCGCGCGTCCCGCAGTATCGACCAGGACAACCTGATAGTCGTTGGCAGCCGCAAAAGCGACCGCATCTTTGGCCACATTGGCGGCATCTTTGCCATAGCCTCGTTCGTAGATGTCGACCGCGCCCAAGTTCTCTCTGGCCGTAAGCTCCTTCAGGTTTCGCACATGGACATTCAGCTGTTCCACTGCACCAGACCTGAATGTATCTCCTGCAGCGATCAGGACGCGATAGTTGTTCTGCAGAAGAAAATAGCAGAGTTTTGACAGATTGGTCGACTTCCCAACGCCGTTGACTCCGAGAATCGTGATCACGAATGGCCGCGGTTTGGCTTTCGCCCCTGATGGCTTGGCAACAGTCTCTATCTGCTGCAGAAGATCCAACGACGACCGGGGTGTCAGTATCCGCCGTAGTGAGGTCTCCAGTGCCGGGCGCAAGGCTGTCTCGATAGACTCAAAGGCTCCCGTCTTTTTTCCAATCATCTCCTCTTCGACGCCTTGGCGAATTCGGACCGCAGCTTCGCGGGCCACGTTCTTGCTGATGAGGTGTTCCTCCATAGCCTTCAGGGGCTTTTCCAGGTCTTCCTTCGTCAACGTCTTCCCTCCAACAATGTTTCTGAAGTAGCCCGAGATCGCCCCAAGTTTGGTCGCGCCAGTCCCGTTAGTCTCGGCTTTGCCTGAATCGGCGGACTTCAGGATCTTTGTGACTTCATCGCCGAGGTCTTTCAATACGAATTGACCTTGCTTGTTTTTGGTGCCCCAACTCTCCTGACTGATCGCCTCTGGCGGGGGGGATCTTACACCTGCCTCTCCGGTAGCATCCGAGTCGACGGCCGAGTAGTCGAGGGTTTTGTCGTCTGCTTCGTCAGCCATTCCATCTGGACCCCAGACACGTCCCTTCTTCGCAGCTTTCTGAGGTGTTCTGGGTCTCCTTGTCTCATCGCCAGAAGAAGCATTTGTAGTTGCGGCGTGCACTGCCTTCCGGGCTCTGCGCGAACCCCGACTCGCCGGCCTCGCTTTCTCTGTCAACAAATGTCCTGCAACCCCTGGCAGAGGACTGGTCGGGCGCGGTGAATCGGGCGATTGAGCAGGAAGGTCTTCTGCGACTTCCCCATTCACCGTTGGCACAGCTCGTGGCTGCGCCTTGAGAAGCTGAGGCAGCTCCGGCGGCGGTGGACCCCCAGTGTCCGCCTTTTCTGCATTGACCTTCTTCTCCTCCTGCACTTCAACTCGAGGGATCTCGGCGCTGACAGCCCCGCCCGTGGTCTGATCCAGTCTGCGCAGTTCTTCATCGTAGTATTTGTCAAACGGGTATTTCAGAACAGCATAGTCAAGTTCTTCCAACTGCCCTCTGTATACTTCCACGAATATGGTTCGGATGTCATCGAGGAGTTTGTCGACCCATGTGAGATGGAGAAGGGACTGGTAGACCGCCACGAACATCAGGCCTAGGTCTTTGACGAGTGTGTATTTCAAGGTGTATTTGTCATGTTTGTAGGCAGGATGGCCGGAGTTTGTCACGGGTGGTCGAACTTTCTCCTCGATAAAGACATCGTTGATCAAACTGTTGACTGCGATGGCGCCGATATTAGAGGTGGATCTAGACCATAACACCACTCCGGAAGTGGTGAGGATCTCGAAGGCGTCCAGCATGATGAGAGAGATTGGTAAGGCACTGCGACAGACAGAGGCAGTCAAAGAACCATGCGCAGAGCCGGGAAGGCTCAACTTTCAGTCACAAACTTGACACGACTCGTTACTGTCGCTATCACCGATTGACGGACACTGACGTCGAAATATCATATCTCATGCTTTCCAATGCGCCGCCGTAATCGCTTGGCCGCAACTTATGTACGGGGAGTCATTCAACCCATTAGCGCATTATCTAATATGTACATCCCATTCCCCCAGATGGAGGATGATATCTGAACTTGTCAGGACGAAGCCTGCAATCTCTAGGACAAGATACTGACTCATCAGACACCATGAGGGGCGACAAAGAGTCACTGCTGGGCTCTTCATGCATGGTCTGTAGGTCTTTGCCGTCACGAACGCCGCCATTGGTTTCATGCGCCAGGCGAACGTATCACGTCCTCTCACCCCTCATATTGCTACCTAGGTACAGACGTGCTGTCTCCGACTGTGGAGAGTTCATTTGCCAGCGTCACATAGTATTGACCTGACGATCGACTTGCAAAGATCAACGCAATGATTGGACTCCTGACTGACCAAGCTCGTGCTTAACACATTCACTATTAGATCGGCTTTTGATACTACATGACACTTGATATAAGCAGGTCGATAAAATGACAAATGTATTCAAAAAGCATCGCGACAAGCTCGCCGGAGCCTGGAGCCTGGTCTCATGGGAGATGTACGACGCAGAAGGACCTGAGAAGAAACTCGTCTCTCGTCCACACGGCGATAAGCCTCTCGGTAAAGTGGTCATCTCTCAATCCGGATATCTCTGCGCTATCCTGGTCAAACCGGCTAGCCTGACACCACTTCAATCTGATGACTGGAGCAAGGCCTCGGACGAAGAAGTCTTGCGCATCGGACGGAATCTAACTTCTTATGCCGGGCCCATGGATCTTCATGAAACGAAGGACGGAGGGTTGCTGTGGCACACGACTGTTGAGATTGCCAACAATCCAAATTGGATTGGAAAACTACAGACTAGGCGGGCCGAGTATAGCGAGCAGGACGGAGTCGCATATATGACCCTTCGACCAGTCAAGGCATATGTTCATAAAGTTGGTCTCCTGCTCTCATTTTGGCTTCCGCATCAATAGCACAAGGCCTGGCCCTAACTTCTCGTCCAGGATGGTACTCAGACTTGGGGAGTTCTCAAGTGGAAGAAGGTTGCGACATGACGTCGAATCATATGTGGCTTTTGGGGAGATTCGGACTTGGATCGCACGAGCAGACTGTCGAAGCGGCAATACCAAATAAAGGAGTTTCAGCTGGAGAGTTTCCATAGCATTTCGCTCGATACCTTGTGTATCATTCTTTTCCGTCACTTGAGGTCTTTTTGGCACACAATACATCGACATGACCACCAATATCACCTACCTCTGCCTGGCGTCACTTGCTGATGCTATCACACCCTCAACCAGACTTTGCTCCACTCGCTTTACCATCCTCGTTCGGTCAAGTTCCCAAGTCGACGTCGTCTCAGTCATGTATTGCTTGACCCATGGCGGGTTTTGTTACAGACCAATTTCAGCCACTGCCGAGAGACATACACTTGCTCTCTTTTCTTCCCTCTCTTCTATTCCACCTTAGATCTATCCCACGGCTTTCCATCCCGCCAGAAGCCTTCCACGACTGGCTTCCGCCCTGGTTTCCCATTCCTCGGTAGTTCGTTCAGCCAGTCCCACCTACACTTCTCTTTCCACCCTCTCTCCTGCCAATCGTTTAGAGTCAATTCTGGGTCTTCATTGAGGGTGGGTAGGTGTTTGTGAAGTGTTTTGTCATGTGCCAGACAGACAAGGACTTGGGGAGAGCTTTCAAAAGCCAACAACTTGTCCACCGACTCCTGGGCAATAGGTGGGTCGACATAAGCGGACTTCTCATGAGCGGAGACTCTGAAGAAGGGTGTCTTCTTCTTTTCATCAAGATCGGCCCCGTGCGGGAGAAGCGGGTGGTGGTCCGTGAATAAGGTGCAAGGGCAAGGACTTGGAAAATAGGCAGGATCGGCGTCCAGAACTTCGGCGGGAATATGGTCGGGCATCAGATATGTTGGATTCGGCCGAAGGTCTCCTACAAAATGGCAGATATCTCCTCCTAGCAGCAGAAAAGTGCTGTCGTCGCCAGCAGTCGTCCGCGCAAGCCCGCACATATGCCCTAGACAGTGTCCTGGAGTGTCTATTACATTTCCAATGTTTAGCCATACCCATTGAAGAACCCACTTAATCCTTCTCCAGAAATCATGGACGAATGAGATTTTGCGATAGGGAACATACCAAGCAGGTAGAACGATCCATCACCAAAGAAGTCGTAGGCGGCAAACCCGTCGATCCGAAGGTTGGACTTGAAGTCGATCTCTCTAAGTTGACGGCCCCTGAAGTCTGAACTGCAGACAGGCGAGTCTGGGTGTTCTGGGAAGCCTGGGAGCAGGGCTGGCGAGTCCTTGAAGCCGGGTCCGACCACAAGTTCGGTTGATGATGGGAATAAGGACATGTTGCCTGTGTGATCCCAATGGTAATGCGACCATATGACAGAAGCTAAGACGCAATGCTTGTGATCAGATGTGCAGAAGAAGGTAGAATACACCAAGTTATGGAACCATTTGAGATACCTTCATAGTCGGGTCAGAAGTCTGAAAGGACCACTTACATATCGATTCTAGACTGATGCCTTTCTCGACGAGAATCTCACTCGTATCCCTATCAACCCGCAGACTCGGGATCACCTTTCCAAGGCGTTCCTGGATCATCGCCGCGAGATTCCAGTAGTCTTTGCGAACGCCGAGGTCAAACATGATTTTCTTCCCAGATGGTTCATGTTCTATAAGGAACGCGGCGCAGGTCATGTTCATGGTCTCTTGTCCCTTCTGGGCTGGCTCGATGAATGATTCCGCCCTTACGGTCAGGACTGCAGTGGTGTCTATCAACCTCACCCGGACCGTGCTATTGGAGAATGGGAGCTTCAGGACAGAGGGAGCCATTTTGCGCTGGATTTGGAAGCAATCTCTTCGAGGAAATAGGCGATCGTGCCGCACAAGCCTGTGTTCAGATGTTTGTCGAGATACACGCCGAATGGAGGTTGAGAAGTGTTTGCAAAAGATGTTGTAATTCGATACCAGAAATTCGGCAATGTACCGGCAGTGATGATGTTAGCTAAGGTACCTTATGCAGCCTTTCGACTCCAAATAAGTGTCACGGAGTATCCGCTTTGCTGTTTATGCGCTTTAAGGACAATGCAATGCCGTGAACCGGGTGTTCTTGCAACCGAGGTGGCAGGCGTCGAGGCCTGGAAGCATGTAAGAAGCGACTGATATTGCTTTGACTCCCGATATGACAGAGAGAGAAAAAGCTCATGGCACAGCCTTGTGATACACGTGATGACTATTTGCTATGAGGTTCAGCCTCGCGCTACCCCTGAACAAATCCAGTCACGTGCGGCGCGTCACTGTTAAGGCGGCGTCAACATCATCCTCAGACATTCAACCATGGACACATTTCCACATCACCAGCACAATCGTGGGCATACGAAGTACTGCGCTTGCAACAGTTCATCTCCAAGATTCGTGGAAGAGTATTTGGAAAACAATCCTCCCACCTAGACTCGGCACGTTTAACTGTGCACACTCAAGCTCCTCCGCCTCCTAAGTCACGATGCAGCGTGCACCGTTCCCTCCACCGCAAAAGTCCCCCGAACTATTCCACCCCCGACCGCAACACATCTCACAAGTTCCCAACCTACGATCACCTCCGCCGCCCGTGTCTCAGCACAGTGCACAACCACCGCAAGTGAACAGCTATGGCAATCCTTACCAGTCATCGCCCGCTGCTGGCAGTGGAGGAGGCGGGTTCGGGCCTTCCTTCAACTTCATGAACGATCCAGCGGCGCAGATGGGATTCCAGGTCGGACAGACGGCGATGAAGGCCGGACAAGAGTATGTGGAACAAAATGTACGTCGCGCCGCCTATATCATGTGTTGTGATCCGCTCGGAGCGCAATGCTAGAGTCTACATGTCATGTCGAAGTATCTACTGACAACCGCTCCTGTACAGCTGAACCGCTATATCTCGGTGTCTGCCTTGAAGCACTATTTCAACGTCTCCAATTCTTACGTCCTGCGGAAACTCCTCCTCGTTCTATTTCCCTGGCGGCACAAACCCTGGACCCGACAACAAGCTCGAATGACTACTTCCTCGACCGCCGCGGACGGCACGATGGCCCAGCAGACACACTCGTTCAGATATCTCCCTCCACGCGATGATCTCAATTCTCCGGACATGTACATCCCTATCATGGCGCTAATAACATACATCCTTCTCTCCACCGTTCTCGCCGGGATCAGAGGATCTTTCCACCCCGAACTGCTCGGTAGCATAACCAGCACTGCAATCGCGGTAGTTGTGTTCGAGATCATTGTCCTCAAACTCGCCATGTATATGCTGAGCATCACCAACGACTCTCAACTACTCGACTTGGTCGCGTACTCGGGCTACAAGTTCGTGGGCGTGATCGTGACACTATTCGTCAGCGAGGTCCTCACTGGAGGCAAAGGGACGAACAACTGGGTAGGCTGGACATTGTTCTTGTACACGTGGTATGCGAACGCTTTCTTCCTGGTAAGTGATCCTCTGTGGTATGTGCGACGCTTGGAGTAGGGCTTACAGTTTGTTATGCAGCTCCGGTCCCTCAAATATGTTCTCCTTCCGGACAGCTCCTCGGACCCTGCAGCCATGACCGGCGGGGGTTCGTACACGATAGCGCGTGCACAAAAGAATCGCCGCACCTATTTTCTGGCCCTGTATGCATTTCTCGTCCAAATGCTGTTCATGTGGATCCTTAGCCGGGAGGAGGCTGCCGTCAAGACTGTTGCAAACAAAATCAGTGGGCCGAAGGCTTAGCATCCCTCAAGTTGTTCCCATTCATGCAATGCGCTGCATAGGGTACCATGATGTTCTTAATGCGCAGTGATACCTCTCTCAACACGGGAGGGCGACGAACATTGTACGGCAGACACGACAACTCCAGTAAGGAGACTCGAGGTGTGGATAGCTTCCGAAACATATGTCTCCACTTCATACGGTCATGTTTTTGTTGGTATACAGCTCCGACGGAATTCAATACTGTATCGAAACATCGAATCCCTCAGGCAAGCAGCTCCAACTTCAACGATCTTGGAGGTGATGCATCCAGCGACACTGTCATGCTCCGTATTCCACGTCTTCTCCTGGATTACAGTCATCCAAGCGGCTTGCAATAGACCTCGTGTTGCCGCTTCCTTTCCTCAGCAGCGATCGCAACCCCCCGAACGAAGCCAGTCACTTCCATGGACTTCGACCGCGCTTGTGAACGTATGTCTAATCACACTTTTACCACAGCTCAACGAGCCGAGATCAGGGTCTTTTGAACAACACCGCTGATGTATGGATGGGGAAAATACCGCGCTTTTTGGGGCAAACAACTCTTATCGTGGTTTCCCTGGGGTTCTGCCCGGCAGTGAACGGGAAACCCTTACCACGGTCACAAGGTTTCGCTCAAAACTGGTCAAAGACAGCAAACACTCCAGGGTGGACTGGACGCTAGGGTCTTCTCTTGCGAGCTATCAGGGGTCTAGAGAGAACAGCAATTGAGCCTGATGGGGAAGGGAAGATGGGTCTTCACTGGGAACCTACGGGCTGGCTGGCTGGCTGGCCAGACGTATCAAGACTGGCACAAGGCCTGAGCCGACAGCACGTTGATCAAGACTTGAGGCCAATGGAGAGCGGATGCCGAGAACAAAATGATACTACTCGAGTGAACACTCACTACCTATGGTGTCCGTTCCCGTGCTATTGCACTGATGGATGAGTACTGAGACTGCTCCTCGGAGAAGATCAGTCCTTGTTTCGATCTGGCAGATTAATAACGATTCAAAAAGTCGCCCGAGAATATTTGCACAAAACCATACAAACGTAGCGAGTGACAATGATGTGATCAGGCCAGTTTAGAGCCTTTTCCATTTCTGGGAATATGCTCCCAGAATCGAGACGGTCCAATACTTCGAATCTGGCCACTTATACTACTCCACATAACGCCAGAAATTTGTAGTATCAGGCCTCGATGTGGTAAGACGAGAATAATGAACAGGTTTCACTTCACATCGACTCTACCTAAGTACGGAAGTGACTACCACAAGTTCACAACCAGTACCTAGCTGCCCTTACCCTTACCCTTACTCCAGGCGCCAACAGCTAGAAGACCGTCACTGGGTGCAGTAGTCTGTATACTAAATGAGACGGCATTATGGTCGATAACCTTGAACCGTGTCATCAGCGCCTCTCTCTCTCTCTCTGTGTGTGTGCTGTAGAAACAAGTGGAGACCTATTTCCACATCGGGCAATAGGTCTTCCCGGATCCACCCACTCATAAGTCAGGGATCCCAGCCTTGCCTTGCCTTGCCTGCAGGTGGTCTTGTGGCAAAGGCATCCTACGTAGCATCCATTACTCATCCCCCCTTTACTCAAGGTAGTAGGCCTTTTTCTCTTTCTCTTCCTTTTTACTTACTGACTTGGCCTGCCTTGGGTAGTTGGACAAGTCTAACCTGTTGTTCTCTCTCTTTGTGACGAATCCCTAGCTTGTGATATCAGAATCTTACGGCTAGGATGGTTGGTGCCCTACGCCCTACCGTGTTCGATGACATAAGATGCTGAGGTGGGTAGGGTATGATCCGAGACAAAAGGTCCAGCTCATTCCTATTCCCGCTCGGAAGTCGGCTCCGTAACCAGAGTAAACTATTCGTGGGTGTGGTGATATCAGAAATAGGTGATTCAATACTGTGTGTGAGATGGTGGCTCACTTGCTGTTCTCACTCTTTCGCCATCCCTGCATGGCACGGCACGGCACGGCCAGGCCAGGAGAACGTAGCATCCGGATGTATCGATACCCTCTGCGTCCTGCCTGCTTCGAATCAATGAATCACAATTCCCCCGTTGTAGGTCCTCATACACCGTGTGCTCCTGGGGTCAAGAATGAAAACAGCGGACTGGTCTCCAGGCTGCCTATAACGAAAAGAGTGTTGGAAAAAAGAATGTCAAAGTGCACAGATCCCAGAACCCAGCGTGGCCGGCAATACATTGTCGACCATCAAATTCAATGTCCTTGGCACACAAGCCGAGAGCCAGTCTCTGCTGTTGAATGGCCTGTCGAGTTCTGTCCCACGTTTATAGAATCTGGAGGATGGTATCGTCTTCTTCGAGTGAAGAGTCCAGATTCGAGAGAGAGATGACAGCAGCCCCCCCTTGTTCCTCATGCCAGGGTTCTGGTCGAGACTCGAGTGGACCGCAGCCACAACCGTGGGGTAAAATTTGGCGAAAAGTAGGCCTGCTGTTTCTTGTTTCGATCTCGACAAAGTCTGAGCATTGCCGCAGTTCGCGACATGCGCTGCACTCACGCGCCAGTCGTACTAGGCGGCTTATCCCAGTGGCGGAGCATCTGCCTGAGCGCTCGAGTCCATTCCACCACACAAGCATTGACGAGCCGGTCGGACTCGGCCTGGGTCGGCCTCTTTCCTCCCCAAGTACTAGCCTTGAATGCCAGAGCGCGTGCATGTTTCGTCAGAAGGTTTCTGGAGACAAAGATAAAATAAAAGTCGTCAGCGGCGTCCAAAGTTAGCCTGTACGGGAAAAATGGTGCTGGTGTTCCATTTCTTCATGCTTACTCTTTCTCGATTTTGACCAGAACTAGCCAGCAGTAGTTCCAGCTGCGGACGCTGCCTGGATCGCGCACCACCAGGGCCTTCGCTTCGTCCAGACACTCGGAACTGAAAGGATAAGTCTTGGACAGTCCGCGAAGCTCGTTCAGGAGATTGTTGGAGTTAACGTAGTGGGCCCACGCGGCCGTCATGGGCTCCGTCACTTCGGCGGAATCCATGTATGCAAAGACCTTCTCGATGCGGCGGAGTTCCGTGATGGTGTTGACTTTATGGGTCCGCAGTGAGTGGATCAGCTGGTCCTTGTCATTCTGCCCAGGTCCGTCAGCCTTGGGTGTTATCCGCGTTGGAGGGTGTGCGAAGGGAGTAAAGAATGCTCGGTCTCCATGCAGAAGCGCAGAAAGACGAAAGAGAAAAAGGGACTAAAAACGAATGGTGGAAGTGAAGGGTAACAACAAAACACCGCACACATAGGAGATTTTACAAAGATGAAACCTGGACTGACTTGGCTCATGGCTCGAGGATCCGCGGGCGTGCCAGGGGAAACAAGCTGGTATTGCTGTGGCCGAGTGCTATTGACCGTGGGCGGTCCGGGGGCAGGATAACGAGACATCGAATGTTCGCGAAATGATTCGCGACTGTAAAATGGATCTGCTCTGCTGGCAGTTTCGATTGTCCACGCAATGCACCAACTCGTGATGAGTCTGTGGGGATGGAAAAGATATATTTGACAGAAGTCCAGCAGCCTGACCTGGGACCGTCGAGGTCTCCCTTTGGGCGTCCAGCTCGGACCTGTAACTTCTTGATATTCGGTTGTCCAGTATGCCTTTCCCTGCAGATCGTTCATGCACAGTGGTGTGAAGCAGCAACAACAAAGGCCAAATCAGGATATCTTTGCCCCTTGAGTCATCCGTGGTGATATAATGCGCTATATCGAGCAGAGAAACCCAACACAGAACGAAAACAAATCGCCACCCAAGGAGAAGATACAAAATTAGTCAGGTTGCAACAACGACATGATAAGTCTAAGGAATCGACAAAGAAATGGAAGTGAGAAGCTCGAACCGAATAGAGACAACGAAGTAAAGGGAATGACACAAGCTGACACATTGATCTCGTCAAGTTATGATCTTTATGGCAATGGTGTTCCGAGCAAGATGGCGGTTTCGGTAATGTTTTCCATGGACAAGTAGATCTGCAAGTCGACAAGGTAGAATTGATTACCAGTTGCGCTGTCTCCTGCTGCCTATTCAATCCTCCGCGCCCTGCGCCAGACAGTCGTCATCCGGAGGCTTGCTGGTATCGTTCCCGAGCGTCTAAATCCATAGCAGTGGACATAATCAACCGCCGAACCTCACCTTTAGGCCATCAACGGGTCTTTGTCGTCATATCAGCAATGGTTCGAGGATTTGACCACGTGCCGAGAGCCAAGATCTGACGGAGACCTGGTCCAGGACCATGACAACAGGGAAGTAGGGGGCCCGGTGAACCCGAGTAGCGAGAAAGTGAAAGCAATGCTGATGATGCTCGAACCAAAGCCACAAACGCCAAAGTAGGCAACAGTCGAGTCGTCACTAGGCCCGAGTTGACAGAGCGTGGCGGATTATGTCAAGTGTGGTAGCATGCCGTAAGAACGAGGGTAACGAACGTTCATGCGCCGGACCAGAATCTTGGATCCAGCGGAATCGGCACCCAGCATACCGACAGATTGATGTGATGGCAGTGGGATCTTGGAGCCAGCCAGCCAGATGGGCCTGTTTGCCACTCTGAGACCAGCACTTGTTGATGCTTTATGCTCGTTTCGGCATACGAGGTCGAGTAAACCACGGCCTGGCTTACTAAGTGCAGAGGCTGACCAGGTCGAGGCTAGCCTTGTTCGATCTGGTCGCTTGCTCTCAGCCTCCCGGATTCTGACTGAGGCAGTGTTGCTGTTCCATTGACACAACCAGACCATCGCTCTCCATCGCTCTTCTCCCGCAACCTGTCGTTCTCGGTTTGTGCTCTCGGACGTAGTATTCTGCATTGCTGTAGCCGTCTGTCTGACCCTAAGCCCTGCCCGAGTGATCCGATGCTGTAGCCAAAGCCAAAGAGCTGACGATCAGCCACCGTTTCCACCTTCGTGACTGTAAGATGTCAGATTGCCGACCAAAATTGCTCAGATATCCGCAGTCTTGCCCAGGAGTAGGCCAATAATGCCGTGTTACAGTCGCAGCAGGCAAGGCCCGAAATAGAATCTGATTCGATGCCACCAAACGGGCTTGTCTCCGAACCACATAAAGAGGAGCTGCTCTAAGCATTGAGCGACTGTGGACATGATCCGAGGTTCACGGCCGGCCTTTTGGAACATTTTTCGGCGGATTGTTAAGCGGCGCCGCCGAGGCGCAAAGCCTCTGGTAGAATGTTGGATGGTGGTTACGTCTAATTGAGGCTCATTCTCACCATAGTCAAGTCGCAGCTCTCGGCCAAGCCTTGTGGCTGTCATCTTGGTCCTCCAGGTCGTTGTCGATAGTCTCGATTCGCCAGATGGTTGGAAGCCAAATGACCTCCCGTGGAGCCAGTGTTGTGCCCGTATGGCTCTCCGCCTGGCGACCCTGTAGACCAAGGCTCAGACGCCGACATATAGGGCTGAGATGAGCCACTTCCACTCTGGTTGGTATGGCTCCCGCCTGGTGAACCGTAGGAACCCTGATAAACATTTGTCCCAGCACTCAACCCGGCAGACGGACTGCTCCTCCCGCTCCCTCCTCCCTGCAAACGGGCGCGAAGCCGGTCACGAGATCCCAGCGCACCTGGATTGGCTGTTGGATTCGTCTGATAGCTCCCAGCCCTCTGACTAGGGAGAGGTCGGGCTCCAATGCCAGAGCCATTAAACGACGCCGTTTGACTGCTGCCACTGGACTGGGACCTTCCAGAGTCGTGATTTCGCAAGGCCTGCGGTGTTATGCGAGCGGCTCTAAGACTTTGAGGGGCAGGCGCGGCTGCTGGAACGGATGCCGTATCCCAAAGGTCGGAAAGGCCGCCTGCTCGTCCTCCGGAAGAACCTCTTGAATGGGTTTCCTGACCACCGTGTTGCGGGTCATACGCGTTGTTATACTGCCCATAGGATCCTTGTGGTTGAGGAGGGGCTGCCACAGGCTTTTTTGGGTCGGGTGGAAGCCATTCAGGAAAGGGCAGGCCTTTTTCCGTGTAATAGGCTCGTAGGACATTTGAGATATGGGAGCAATCTTCATTGTCTGGATCATCTTCCTCCGAGTCTTTCGTCAAGGCCTTTCGCAGGGTTGCTATGCGTGATGAGAAAGTGCTCGACCACGTTGAAGTGGCATTAGGAGTCGAAGCTTGGGACGAGGGTGCGCCGGCGGTATGAGAGGTGAAGTAGGATAGATAGGAAGCCATGGCTTTGCGGGTGAAAGGTCGTGAGAGAGGTAGAGTATTTGTTTATAATGGGAGCTGGACCTACTTGGTAGAGCAAGCCTACCTGGAGTAGTAGTCTCGCCAACTAGCACGGACGGATAAAACCTGTCCAAGTGTAAATGAGGCTGTCACCTGTTGCCTTGAAACGCAGTCCGTCATATCGGCCAAGGTGTGGTAAATCTGCTCGCAGCTCACCCCGGATGCGGTGCAGGGTGATGCCGCCCTGTACTCACCCCCGGCTCGCGCGAGCCGGGGTGAGCGATCACCCGTGTCTCACCAAGGTTGGGGGCAAACGGTCTAGCGCCTGGGCACCGGCTGTGCAGCGGCAACCCTGCTTGCCTCGGGTAGAGAAGTTCTGATTGGCTTGGTCGTTGAGGAAAGACAGTTCCATCGAGTCACGAAATCCATCCAATGACTTCGTAAGAAGGCTCAAAAGCAGCGCTAGCGAGACTTCTTGCGAGGGCTGATGTGATTCGGCCTGGGGCGGTTGGTGAGTGTGGCTCTGCCTATCACTCAGAAGCATGTTCAAGTCCACGCTGAATATATTGAGCAGTCCCTTCGCCGCGTTCAACGCCGCTTTCGTCTGCTTCAGATCTCCTAGGGATATTGCTCTTGTCGGTTTACCGTTTCCCTCGTCTCAGCTTGGGGTTATCTAATAGCGGATCCTCTTCGTACTGATCACCTCACGGACCTCGCATAGAGGACGAGCTCAGCCATCCACGATCTCCTCGTATCAATCCGAGCCGTCGATCCGACCGATGCTCCCTCTTTTCCTCCTCCATCTCGTCTAACCCTAGCCCTCCGAATCAGTGCGCCTCTACCTTGCCCACCTTGTCGACCACTAGCAGTGGCCACGACTAGCATAGATGCACTACCTCTACGCCAGAGTCGACTGTCGAGGAGAGCTGGCACTGCTTAGATAGCTCAGATTGCCAGTATGCCATACCATAGTCCAGTGCTGTGGAAGGCGCTTCATCTTTGATCCAATGGCAGAAATGACTCACACAGGAAGCTGCGCATAAGTGTGACAGTCGGATCAAGGATGTGCACAACTGGGGATCCTTATTTGGCGCGTGACTAAATATGACTTGTACGGCAGGGTTGGTTATAAAGTCGTCGCCAAGCTCGAATTCTGCCTTGCCGGAAGAATGGTGGACTCGCAAACTTGCGGGCTGAGGACAGGGTGTTGAGATCTAGTGTTGGAGCCCCAGGAGACAGAACACGGGCATTTCCTCCCTACTCTCAGCCAATGCGGTTGCCTCGAACTGTGATGCAGAAGAGAGGAATGGTCCCAGTGTATGCCAAACCACAGTGAAGATGCAAGAGATTGAGCAAGGAGATCCTCCCGGGTGGTTGGACATACCTGCACCAGCGACCATGGCAGCGACTCGCTTTCCGTGGCTCAGAGCCTTCAGTGCGTCTCGGGTCAAGATTGAGTATAAGGTCGATTATCTCGTGCTCAGAGGAGGTAGAGGCAAAGCATTATCGGCGAGTACGCATCGCCCGGAGCCACCGTCGTTCAGACTGCTGACGACAAGCACAGCTTAATTGTCCATCCTCCCGAAGACAGCTTCTGCCAACTTCGCCCAGACTCACTCTGTCTCCCACATGTTCATCATGAGTAGCGAAGACCCTATATGGCGTGGAAAGAACGAATCCAAACTCAGAATTCCGCAATATATTATTTGACATCCGAGTCTCCATCCTGTCCTTGCCTTCCCATATGCGCTTCGCCTAGCTTAGCAGAACACTAGATTAGTTCTTCGTTCTATTCTGCCTGTCTCAGCTTCTTGGGAAGCGAAAGAGGAGGGGCTCCTTATTACGGAGCCGTACCCGTAACTCTGGTATATTTGCAGCCAGTCCGGAAGTAAACGGAATTTTTGGTCTGGAACTGAATCAGCTTATGTCCTTTAACGCCACTGCCTTACGACTGGGTATAGCAATGTTCCACCAAACTGGGCTGTATGTGACTTGCAATGGCTGTTCGACGCGAACAAATCTGGCGGGGCAGTAGCACCAGCTAAAAGAATTCCACAAGATCTGCGATGTTGCTATAAGAGAAGCAGAACATACGCGCTTCGAAAACAGTAATTAGTCGCTATTTTTACATATCACTCGTCGAGATCGAGGTCATCCCACTTTTGTAACAAGTACTCCAGACCAGTGTCGTCAAGACCTCCTGTTGCACCATTTGACTGGTCCAGGTCCATCTCGTCCTCCTTTAGTTCTGCCAGTAGCTCCTTGCATCCCTTCGGCAGTGCAAGCTGACATGTCCGATCATAACGCCGGCGTTTTGAGCCCGGATATGGAGGAGCAGAGTGCCGCCTGAATATGAGTCAACACCATTCGAGAGACAAAGAGCCAAAAGATCTACCTTTCACGGGCAGGTCTCTCAGAGCATCGGACAGGCTCTCTTCGTTAACGTTGCCGTCCGAGTCGACAAGGTGGCTAAGGCTGCTAACCATCTAAAGGATCGAGTCAATAACGCCGTTTTGGTCCTCTATAACCAACTTCTTGAATTCCTGAAGTGTGTTAACAGTGGTCTCCATCAATAATTTCTCATAGTCTAGATTGGAGTCATCCTCGCTGGGAAGTTTAGATGGGAGGAAGATATGGTGAATCAAGTATTCGATCTCGGTCCTTTGCCGTCCGTTCATCGACCGTGTCACCATTTTGGCAGATACTTGGACGAAACGATCTATTGAACTTGTCAGAAGCCGAAGTCGACAGCAAGGAGAGAACTCGTCAGCGAAGGCCACTAGGCAATAGATTCAGCGCGGCAGTCCAGTCGGCGAGTCTGGTAGCAGAGACTTTCCAGCAATTCCGACTCAAAATGGCCTCTGCTCTGTTTCTTATGGACCGGAATACGGTGTGGAAGATGCCGCTAATCAGTCGATTGTTAGCTGGCTCGTAGCTAGACGCTCTAGAACTACCAGGACGCAACAGTGCCAGCGGGCGAGAAAGAGGTATACACCAATTGGAACGAGCTGGTGACGTTTAGATGCACAAGTATCTGCGGATATGACAAATGTTCGCATTGAGATGCACGTTTTCGGGTGGCACTGGTTGAGAGTAATAGGTCTTAAAGACTCTCGTCGAAGAGCGTTGGCCCGCACCGTATCGGGCGAAGAAGCGCGTAGCAGACAAGTTCTTGACAGTGTTGGCAATCCTCACCGCTCATCTGCGTGTAGAGACTTATCGGAGATTCGACCAGGATGTCCATTGCGATCATCTGCGGAAGCCAGGAAACCATCACACCCAGGAAGTACTGTGGTCGATCTCTGTGGACATGTCCAACACGAAGGCGGGCCCGGCCACCTGCAAGCATGGCCAGTCATTTGCGCGGGACATATATTGGATTGTGATCAACCGATCCCATTGAGAGACACCACAGTGGAATGCTGTGGTCTGGCTGTCCGACTTCTGGAGTAGATGATATATGGGCCAGTTGCGGGTCCTCAGTGGTTTGCACCATGCACGAGAGTGACCTCTACGATGCTTACGGAGCTACCCAGATTGAACTACCGGCGACAAAACCAATGCCATCTAGAGGGTTCGATTGTTACGCAATCGCCCACGCCGCGACATGACACACCCCAGATCCGATCCTGGCGCGATAGCATCTCAGATTTAGGTGCTGTTGTCCCTGATTCGGTGGAGAAGGGGAGGTGGCGGTTGTAAGTCGGCATCGCACGAAGGGGTTTTCCGTATCAACGTTCCCAGAAAGCGCAAGGATTTCCGTCGAAAAATCAGACATGGCGCAACGAGAAGCAGTTGAGCTCGTCCAACGAGACAGCTCAGCCGACGAGACAGCCCAACCTCAAGGCGGCGTTGATCGAGGACTTAGGACATAAAGGGTCTTGTCACGAGGAGTTTGACGCGCAGATGGAATCAAAGATTTGGGGTGACAGAGCTTCGGCATACTTTCCTTACAGGGCAAGGCATTCCTTTCCGAATTCACGCGTGCAAATCAGAACCTACAAGATTCCTCCCAACATGATCAATCATTCAACTGCTTGTTCTTCAGGCCGAGGTTACTCAATCATGTTGGTGACCTCTATGGGCTCATGTGATGAAACTCGAATGAAATTGTACTGTGGAATCTACAACGGCGACAGGGATCTTGTTTTCCATTTCGACATCGATCGTAAGAATGATACTCTTCAGACATTCGGCATGCTGTATTGGCTTTTGTCGAATCACAGGTTGCCATCTGTCGCTTTTGGGTGTCTTTGAGATGAGTTACGGCCCGGCCCGCATAGTCGAATGCAGTGCTTTTGAGAAGCCACAAAGACAGCGTCAAATAACTCCTAGGCACGCGCCAACCGTCGAGAGCGTGTTTGCGCCTCGCTTAGACTGGCGCCATAGATCTCCGAGTAATCCGGGACTAGGTAGTTACCGAAGCCGTCTAGGCCACGGTCGGCACTCTTAGATCACCACTATACCAAGAATTCAACCAATTATTTCCTGAGTTTACGCTGCCACTCCCGATCCTGCTCTCAGTGACCAGTTATGCCTTAGGCAACGCCCGTAATTACGTAATTACCCGAAAGCGCCTTCGTAACTACAGAAAGCTTTAGAAGCTGTAGGAAGTTTTTCCTCACGCTCAAAAGTAACTTGGACTGCCGACATCTCCGACATCTCCGACATATCACAACCTCAGAGTCCTCCATTTCTTGCATAGTTGTTACCGGATTCCTTCACATAGATAGACGTTTGACATGGCCGACATGCTCAAGGCAGCAGGCAATGCAGCCATTGCGGCAAAGAACTTTGACAAAGCTGTGTAAGTACTCGTTGCATCAGTCTTAGAACATCTCCTGCGTGGCTACACGACGGGAAACAACGCTTTAGCCTGGATGCTGACTATATACAAGAGAGAAATTCACACAAGCTATTGCGATCGAACCTACCAACCACATTCTGTATTCGAATCGGTCAGCCGCATACGCTTGGAAAAAGGACTATGAAAATGCGTTGAAGGACGCAATTAAAGTTACAGAGATCAAGCCAGGCTGGGTGAAAGGATGGGGTCGAAAGGCTGCTGCAATGCACGGTATGGAAGATCTCATTGGTGCTGGCTGGGCATATAAAGAGGGAATCAAGCGGGACCCCAATATTGCTCAACAATATAGGCCGATTATTGCAGCAATCGACCGCACAATTGAAGACGCAGCTAGGGCTCCCATGGAAAAGTTGTTCCGTGATCCCCAGTTGATGCAAAAGTTGGCCGCCAATCCTAATACCAGCAAATTCCTAGCCGACCCATCATTCATGGCTAAGCTTCAGCAGCTTCAAGAGAATCCACGGTTATCTCGTATGGACTTTTTCATGGAACCGCCAACTTTAACAGTGATGATAGTCTTGATGGGATTCGAGCCAAAGGCACCAGAGCCGGAACCAGAGGACTAGGAGGCGCTCGCGCTACGGAAAGCTAAAGAGGAAGCTGAGGCGGAGAAGCAGCTTGGTACTGAGTGCCTATGAGTCCAACCTCTGTCGAGCTCTTGTAGTATAAGCAGGACTTCAAAACCTGCTCCAATTCAGATCGCCCTTGATATCTTCGGCGGCTTGAACTTTACTATATTGTCTATAAAACTTTATCGTCAGAACTTTATCTTTGGAAACCTAGTATCTAGAGATATAAATCGACAGCCTAACAGGACCTTGAGACTTCTCTCTGAAGTCCTAGTTATACCAAAGAATTAAATCCCGGTAATACTATGCTCCGAGGCGCCATTGTCTCCACAGCATACCATCTACAGTTTACTATCGGATAGATGGTACCATCTTTCGAAGAGTGGCCAGTTCCGGAATGGTACCAGCTCGTCAATTTTACCAGCTTCTGAATGGCACTCACCTCTCGAATAGTGCAGCTTCTAAATGACACTAGCTCCTAAGATAGCTGGACCACCTCGCTTAATTGATCATCCTGGATGCAACTCGGCTCGGCTCTCCATGACTCCCACCGGAATCATCACGACAGCAACCCAAGTCGGATTCCATTTTCCATCCGGCGTAGAAGGGAGCTGGAGACGTGTCACCGGCTCCAGAACAGGAGAACGCTAGGCGGGATTCGAGGACGTCAGGTTGCAGCAAAGTGGCGTGATCCCGTCACAGCTGTAGAATTGGAGGGGCGTATGAGATAATGAGGGCTGAGGAGGGCTGAGGACAACGGCGAATCGAGGACAGGACAGATAGAAGAGCGGAGTCCACGAGACGAGACCAGGGCTTTGTCCGGGTCACCAGAGACAAGAGCCCGCGGCGTGCTGCTAGCGCCATACGTGGTGGCGGCCAGGCAGCAGTCCAGGCGGTCGTGCCAGGGAGCGCTCGGGAAGTTGGCGAGGGCGAAGAAGTTGGAAGGGATGGAGGAAGTGGTGAAAGAACGATGGACAAAACGGCGAGGGATCCAGGTACTTTATAGAAGGGCGGGTTGATGGGGTCGGATGAAAAGCGGCGAGGAAGCCGACGGCCGGGCGCTATACCCGGACCGGCTAGGCTTTACCCCGAACGGGGAGCGCCAACCCACAACGGGGCAGGTTCGACCCGACCTCGACAATCGGGTGTCTTTGCACCAGGACGAAGATTATTTTAAATTATAACTATTGAGAGTCCAGATGATGTGGAGAACTGCAGATCGGATTCTTCCGAGAGGTTGAAATGTATATCGGGTGGTATGGCATCGATTGCCGAGCAAAGCCTTTTGAAGTGAGCCGGCATCCAGATATCATAGACACTCTTGGTAAACTTGTATGCCGTCCATTTCTCTTTGCCATCCAATTCAGTAAAGTCGAAAGTACGAATCGGATGACGGTAGAACGTGGTCTTTTTGTCCTCAATCACAGGATAATGGCCATAAATCCGAACCGATCGGTGATCGTATGAGATGGAAAAGGCGAGAATCTGTCGATGGAGCTCTTTCTCGCGTGTGACGAGTCGGAACAATTCCACGACTCCTCGAACAGCGAGTGTCATGCTGTGTGCGTTCTGTCGATCTGCCACGTCGAGTGCGGCCGCGCCGCACTTCACCTCGCTCGAGAAGAAGGGAAAGTACATGTACCATGTCCCCATGAAGAAGGAGTTATCGGTGAGGTCGCCAACGAATGGCTGAAGTTTCTGATGTTGGGTTTCGGTGAACGCTTCTCGTCGGAACCCCACGGAGTAGTCTGGTTGCGGGCGAGGTTTTGTTAATGGAATGGAGTTGTTCCAGCCTTCATTTACGCTTTCGACCAAGAGTCGACAATGTTGATTTCCACGTATGGCCAGGACTTCTGCTGACGGGACAATTAAAAGTGAGATATCTCGAATCACTCTAGCCTCGTTCTTGTTTCTTGTTGTTTCGCAAGTCTCTTCAAAATACTCGTCGGGTCCGACTATAGACTTAGATTGACCACACCGGTCCTATCTAACATGGTGGAAGGGAGCGTGCCTATATATATTTCCTCCGTCCAATGAGCGTCGTGCTCTGTTGCCTCTGTTGCTCTGTTCCTCAGAGAACTGCAGAGCACAGAGCAATCACGTGACCCTGTTTTGCCCCTCTTCGAGCAGTCTGGTCTCGTGACCTTTTCGGCTTTCCTGCCTTTCCTTGTCGAGATTCGTTGTTCGGATGTCATACGTCGTTGGCTCGTATGAATCCTAACAAGAAGCCTAGAACCGATGTCCTATCAATATATGACGCGTAGGAGACGTCTCCTAAGACCAAAGACATCTCAGGCTGGTTCTCAACCTCAGCAACGTGCCCTGGGAGTGTATACATCCCAGGATATACGGGCTGGGATAGAATGGGGAGCCCAGGAATGTGTACCCAGTAATTACGTATACTACGCCAGGACCTCTATTTTCAGTGGATTTACCCGCAATTTCAATAGATTCCCCGACCCTCTCTTTGACTGGTTAATGGAATAGTGCAATGCCGCTTTTGGACCTTTGCTTTGCCCCATAGCTTGAGGGTGAAACGTCATCCATATTGTCCTGTAAATTGATGCATCCGGTCGATACAGGATTGACCTTGATTGGCCCTTCAGAAACGCACGCTTGAACTTATACGGTCTAGTTTTCTTAGAGGTGTGCGAGAAATAGGGCCCAGTTACTTTCGAGTGCCTGTAAAGGTGAAGCCGCAATTGAAAACGGCTGTAGAAGGCTTGCGCCAAACGGAAACAACCAAAGAGGTCAAAGTAGCGGGAGTAGGAACAACCAAAACCGGATATGTAATCCGCTTCAAGGAGGAACAGTCGTTCGCCACGGCGGAAGCCAACACGGAATGGCTGGACAGACTCGGTAAGGACACCAAGTTGGTGAAACAGTAAAGGGAAACGTGTACAGTATGTCATGGATATCCCCCGATCATGGTGTCAGCGTCGAAGCACGGATGAGAAATTCTTGACAGGGGGCGGAGGACTCGGTTCGGGGTAGAATTCAGAAGACTGGAGACTTCAGCGGCATACCGCCAATCCGGCGCATACCAGCCAAGATGGACGACGGCTACAGAGCAAAAACAGAGTGCGGAAAGGGTGGATTCGACAGGACACGGGCTGGCTTGGTAGCTTGAGGATGGTCGAAATGAGGTGAGATAAGGTTATGCAGGAGGAGGCCGGCAAGACCCTGCACACTCAGGCTGGCAGCAAAAGTGAGCACGCTCGGCAGCAGACCGCCTGAAAAGAGCGTCAGGCTGGCCGCCTGTGAGACCTAGGGACCTGTCAGTGCATGCGAAGAGAGGTAGATTGCCACTTCACCTGCGCCGACAGACGCGAGTCGAGTCCGGTTTAGACGAGGCATCCTCGTTCTTCTTCGTCTTCGCGACATGCTTGTCTCGGCCACAGACTTCTTCGACCTCTCCGTGTACTCTTCACTGGTAACCGTTAGCTTCGGCACGAGCAAGTAGTAGTTCGTCCGCCATGAGCTCCTGCTGGCTCGGCTGGCCCATGGCGGCGATGGAAGGGGCAGGAATTTCTGATTTCGGGGTGGGAGGGCCGTGGTGACGACAACGGCGAGGACCTCGTTCGAGGAGGATCGTGTTCTGGAGGAGGAAAGTTGGCAGCCCTGAGGGCAGGAAGGAGGTTTTTGTACTCCATCGGCAGGAGGGCGGATCTGTCTAAACGAGGGGATGAGACGGGGACCGCAAGTCGAAAACGCGTCAAAGAGGGAACGGTCGGCGCGCCTGCGGTGGACCGGGTTCAGCATAAAGGGTGAGTGTGAAGGTGAGCGAGGTGAGCACGAAGGTGAGTGCGAGGGTGAGTCGTTATAAAAGCGGCATGGTCGCGGTGAGTCGCACGTGAGCTCCGAGCAGCTTTTACTCGTCTTTCGGTGCCAGGGAGGGTGATAAGCGGAGATGGTCACGTGGTTTGAAACGGGGTACTACTAGTAGCAGCCACCACATTTCTCACGTCTAGTATTGAATATGTTCTTCGTTCAGCGAGGCTATGGATAATTCCCTACTTCAACAGACGGATGTGCTTGGATCGATGAAGACTGATCTGGCCTATGGCGCAGACCTCGATCTCGACCTCGATCTCGACCTCGATCTCAACAACTCCCAGCGTTGCGCCCTGCCTCTCCTGACGCCCTTTGATTAGCACGGAGGTCGGCAGCGCAGTGAAAGTCGTCCTTCTCGACCCATGCCAGTGCGGTACAGCTTGTGTGACTCAAAGTCAGCGTCGTCCTGGCTCTAGACTCTGCTCCCGATCCCCGAACACAGTTCCTTCCTCCCAGTCGACATCTCTCGAGTCCAAGGGTTCTGTCTCATTTCCCATGGGCGTAGTGGCGTCGAAGGCGGGCATCCGTGGAGTGGCCATGCCCTCTTGATCATAGGTTGCGTCGCCCGCAGTGTCGTCGTCAGCAAATCGTCCTCCGTCGTGATCGGGCAGCATGTATTCCACGACGCAGAGAGGTCCAAATTTTTCAGGCTCTTGCCACACACGCACAAGTCTCAGCCCGCTCATGTCGGCCAGTTTCTCCCAGTCACGCACGGTGCGCTCTTTTCCCCCAATGGTCATCATCATAAGGTCCAACCAGACGGCTCCGGCGTCTCTCAGAGTGACGGGCTCAGGGATCGCCATGTCGGAGATGACAATGCGACTGTCCTGGGCCATGGCGGGTACAATTGCTTTTAAAATCCGTGCAGCGTCCTTGTCCTGCCAGTCATGCAGGACGCGACGAATATAGTACATCTGAGCATTTTTGGCAGGCTGCTCCTGGAAGAAATCATGTGGCATCTTGGTAACTCCGGGGAGATCCTCCGACGTGATGTCGTCGAGCACATAGGGGCGATCCTGTAGGATCATTTCGCCTTGGAGGCTTGGGCATCCTTTCCTAATCTCAAGCAGTGCGAGACCCCTACCACCACCGATGTCAACCATAAGCGGACGGTTTGGCGAACTGCCTTGTTGCAAGACCTCCTCGAAAGGGAACATGGCAAGCACGGGATGAAGGGTGTCGAACAGGCCAAGGCCTCGGATGAAGTTCTCCATACGATGATGAGATGAGTTGAGAACCTCCCAGAAGTTCTTGCCTGTCATGTTGTAGTACCAGGAATGTGGAGTCTCGGTGTAGGTGTCCAAGAGGGAGTGGTTGCCAAAGCGGTCAAGGTAATGGTTCAGTCGATACATTGCCGGTGCCATTTCATCAAGCCTGGATGTAAGTCAGCAGGAAAGTTCTCTGTTGTGGAAGACTCCTCTACGGGAGGACCGAAACTCACGACACACTGTACAGCCACTTGCCACTCATTGCGCCGACATGCTCACTGTGTGCGATGGAAAGTCTGTTGTGGGCCCATTCGCCTAAGCGGACCTCATTGAATATGTTGACACACGTCAACTGGCGCATGAGACGAACTTGTTCTTCGTTAAACGACCGGATCAAAGTTAAGAAGGAAGCAGACGACGTACTGATGAGCTCCTCGGGAGCATCGCATTTCTGCGCAACCTCCTTGACCGAGGCAGTACCAACAGGAGGGACTGCTTCGAAGACACCAAGCTTGGAGCATGTGAGACAGGCAGCGATGGTGAATCCCTGTGGCGCCCCAGTCAGCCTTACTAGTTCACCGAAGGAGTTGATAGAGGTAAGAGGGTGTGCTCACGTTGACAATGTGATCCATGACAGCATCGAAAGGGTCCTGAACTGCCCAGATCAAGTGCTTCGCTTGCATGATCAAGGCCGTGGTTTGCTGCTTTCTGGCCATGGGGTCTTGGGCCGAAGCTACACCGTTCGCCAGTTGACTCAGCTCGCCTGCGAGGGCTCTGATCTCGTCTGGAGATGGATCCATGATGATCCGTGAGGGTGGGAGTGTCGAGGTAAGGGTTGAAGCAAGGCAGGATGACTTGAAGCTCAAAAGTGTGAGGTGAGGTGAGGTGCACGGGTTGATGTTCAAGAGGAGAGGATGCGGATCTGGTGCAAGAAGAAGACTGCGCTCGAGGAACTGGAAGGGCGCAGTTGGTGCTTAAATAGTGTCGAGCTGTTGTTTTCACAGCCAGCAAACGGGCTCTTCACTTGACGATCCAACACGCGTCCTTCAGTTCTTTTCTACCTCACGAAGAAGCAAGTGAAGACAGAGTAGGTTACTGCAGGATATCTTGACCTGGTCACAGGAACGGTCGTCTAAAAGTGATAAAACGCCACCGAATCACGAGTCTTCCGGAAGTCCAACACGCAACACGGCATCACACACAGACTGCAGTGCAGTGCAGAACATGGATCCTACAATATCAGAAGGGAGAGATGGAGAACAGAATCGGCCAGACCGGTCATGACTGGAGAAGAAGACAATCAGCGAAGAGTGGCAGTGGATTTATTTGGTCAATACCAACATGGCGCTGCTGCAAGACATCAGACTCGTTTGCAGAGGTTGAAGCAATGCCACGAGGAGAGGGGTTGAGAGTATGCTGTGCTCCATCCCCGGTGCAGCATATGCAGAGCTAGAGCATGAATCTCCTGCGGTTTTGGTTGTCATGAATTGAGTGAAGACGCTGGCATGGGACCGAGGTGCGTCCTGCTTCCTTCGTGCTCACCGTCGTGGTGGTGATGGTGATGGTGATGTGGTGGTGCGAGGATGTTTAGCCGCAATATTCCAATCCAGCCTGCACATTGTTCACCTCAACATCACGCTCCTCTTCACTCCTATTCACTCCCCAACCTCACTGTACATATGGCATCTTCGGTCTTCCACCACGGCTACAGTTGACGGCTCTTGTTGGAACGACAGATTTTTCGCCTTTACTGCAATTCAGGTCAACAGATCCTGAGACTCGCTGATTGCAGGCCGCCTCTTTGCAGCTGTCCAGCTTCCCTCGGAAACCCACATCCTTTCATCAGCATCCCAACCAACCCGAACGATCCCAGGCCGGACTAATGCAACTCCCGCAAGGGTGGTCTTTCCAGGCTGAACAACTTGTCGTCAGGATTCCAGGTTGAACGTTCCGCCTGCAGCATCAATTCGATCCAGATCTGTTGGCAAGAGTTCGGCTCTGCGCACCCACGGCCACTTACCTCTCTACTGAAATCGTCCCCCTCGCTGTCCTTCGTCAGTCGGTTGCTTGCAGTGGCCTCGGCTGCATCAATGTGCCTTTCTCCACGAGAGGCCGGGCGTCAGGTCACCACGTTCAGTGGCAGGCCCCTCTCTGCGGGCACCAGCCTGCGTACGCAGAAAACCCCATGCAGAAATAGACCGGGTGATGGGGGCCTCACCGAACGTCATTTTCGGCCTAGCACCAAACAAACAACACCCGCCCATGATCCAAATTCCTGGGACTGGCCTTCCCGGTCCAGATGCACGTCAAACGATGCAGGTAGCACCAGGATGGCTTGAGGACGTTTGGTAGCTGTGCCTATCCTCATCACATACTCTGGAAGCTCAACGACTTGGCTGGTGTTACACAAGACCTTCCACGACAACCGCCAAAACATTGTGCTGGAGCAGAATTGACCCGATCTCCGCCCGCGTGTCGTGCCGTCCACCCACATCGCCAATCGGCTCTGGTTCGGATGGAGACGTGCTAAAATCGGCTAGCAAGGCCACCCTGATGGAAAGCGGTCTGATAAGGAGCCTTCTGGCGAGTTGGAAGATAGCTCAAGCAGGCAGCTTGGCCCGGGTGATTACAAAAGGTCAGACATCGCTGGGTCATCAACGACTGGTCCCTTTCAAGTTGTACAAGGAACGCTGCATGTTTACTCTGGTATCGAATCGCATCGCGCCAAAGCCCGAAGGTCTCCAACCGTCCCGCCGCAGCAGTTCCGGAATGCTCGTTGTTCTATGGCAGAACACCAGGATTTTCCAATGCCTCCGATGTTACAGCACATGATGGTTACGCCCCAGTCTACTGGTGATGACACGGCTCGGTAGAATGTCCACAATGCTCAATTCGTGATCCACAACTCCACGCTGCTATATACCCTGGATTTTACGATAGTTGGGCGGCTTCCACATTCGCCTGATCACCTTGCCTCCCCAGACAGGAACAAGACTGATGGATCCCACCGCAACGACTCTCCACACCCAACTCCAGCTGGTAACATATGCAAGGTCGAAGTAACCGCCCAAGAAAGGCACACTGGCGGCATACACGGCAGCCGTGCCTAGAATACATACAATCATGATGGGATGCCACGTGGTGACTGCCACGGCCACCATGATGAGTTCGTTCAGCACCAAAACCGTAAAGCTGACACTGAGCATCCGAGGGCCATCAACCTCTCCTACCAACAGCTGCGTCAGGCCCTGGATGATGATGCCTTGGTACACCGACACGAGCACCCAGGTGAAGAAGGTCTGATAGCTCAAGCTCTTGCCTGACTTGAGTTCCTTGTAGAGCTCGGGATATAGTTTCGCCAATTGCTCGTCGACGTCTCGATCAAGCACCAACGAAAACACGGGCGCCATGGTGTAAACGGTGGCATAGCCCACCAAGAGCCAGTCCTTGAAGAGGCCTTTGGGATCGAAGTGCCCTGCAATGTTATACATGGTCTGGCACACGCTGATGATCAGTCCGCGATGGATGATGAACTGGGCGAGTTTGGCCGATCTCTTGTAGCTGTTCCGGCCATGCCAGACCAGGAGTTTCGTGAGATGACAGAACTGCGTGATGCTGAAGTCGGCGGCTAGCGATGCCTGTCGTCCCTCCTTGCCAACTATGCCAATGCCCACATCCGCGGCTTGGATCATGCTAACATCGTTGCCGCCATCTCCGATACAGCAGACTCGCTTCTTGGTGTGCTTGCGAATAAGTTGGGCGACTTCCGCTTTCTGGGTCGGCGAGCACCGACACGCAATTACGGCGGGCAGCTTGACTGCTACCGAGACGAACTCTTGCCTAAATTGGCTGAGCATCAGACCAAGGGATTCGCCGTCAATGAGCAGGCAGGACTCAATCTGGTTGCGCATCATGTCGAGCGCGTCTTTGGCTTGACCTTTTGCCTTCAGCTTTGCCATCGTTTGGATGTGTTGCCCACGCGCGACGAGGCGGGCGGACACTGCCACACAACGGGCAGTTTCGATCTTGTCGCCTGTGAGCATCCAGATCTTGACACCTGCATTGCGGAGAAGTTCAAGGGATGGTTTCACATCCTTCTGCAGCCGGTCCTCCACACCAGTGACACCCAGGAGTTCTAGGTCGTGCTCAAGGTGAGTTTGGATGACCGCCGCCATGCGGGCATCACGGTCATGAAGTGCAAGGGAGGCGTCGGCGTACGCTGAGGCGAATGAGTCATATTGTGATTGGGACAGTTTCTTCCTACCCACGACCAGGGTCCGCAGCCCTTCTCGAGCCATGTTCGCAGTTTCTTCGTCGAGCCAGTCATTTGCAGCCACAATAGATGACATGACAGTGTCGGCGCCCTTCTGGAAGAACCACAGTTCATCGGCGCCTGCCAGGCCCGGGATATCCGACGATATCTGCACAATGATTCCCATGCGCTTACTATCCGAAGTGAAAGGGAAAATGTCTTTGATCTCGGCCCGGATCACGATTCGGCTGGTGCTCACGGCTTGGAGGACGATGTGCTCTCGGTCCCGCTGCAGGAGGCGAAGACCGACACTTTCAGTAAATTCCACGATTGCTATTTCATCCGGCGAAGCAGCTTGATATGACACCACTTTCTCGCCATCAACCTCGTCTGTTGTGGGAGTAACGTTGTGGCACAAGGCTAGAGCAAGCACGAGGTCGCGGACTCGAATGCCGATTTCTCGACGGGTCTTTGTTGTAGACCCTGGCCCCGTCACTCTGGAGCGTTGATCGTTGCCAGGCGCGAAGGTTTCCTCAACGTGGGCTGCCACTTCTTCCATCGCTTCGCCCGCATATGCGACTGTACCCACATGGATCTTGCGCAATTGCATTTCATTCTGGGTGAGAGTTCCAGTCTTGTCCGACAGCAGGTATTCGATTCGACCAAGATCCTCTGGGATTGTGCTCGTGCGAACCACGGTGTCCGGAATGCCTTTATCATGTTCGATGAAATACGCGTACACTGACTTGCCAAGGTCGAGGTTGACGCGCAAACTGATGGGTATGATGGTCGAAAATAAGATCAGGTAAATCATGATGGCCACATACCATGGCTTCCTGTTCGATGGTTCAAAGCCTTCGAGTGCGACAAGAACGATGGAGAGAGTCAGCGTCATGATACAGAGTATCTTGGTCAAGTTGTTGATTTCCACCTCCAGTAGGCCTGTCTTGGACCGTGACGGGGCGGTGGATAATGCTGACCGGGTTTGCCGGCCGGTGTACACAACGGCGCAATAGGTCGTAGTGCTTGATGCCACCACTGTATTGGCCCAAGCCGTGTTGTCGATTGTGAGAGGTGCAGACTGGGGTTTGCTATGCGCCGCTCGAGCCAGATCAACCGAATCCGATGCCGCTTCGGCAGGATCTTCTCTCAACACATGAGGGTCATAGGCCGCATTCTCACTGGGCCTGAGTTCAAGAGTCCCAACAAATTCGTTGACCTTCTTGTCAGGGGCACCAGCCGTGATCTTTAAGCGTCGAAAGTCGCGCAGGGCCAGGCCCTGACTCAACGGACTTGGGAGGCGAAGCTTCCAGTCTGTCTCACCGTCAAGCTGATCAGTTCTGATAAACGTCTCCCCTGTAGCCTGGGCCGCGGGAGCCGCAGAGCCATCGCCGTTGTCACTAGTTGTCAGTTGGTGAAGTTGCTCGCTCAGCTTGCTCTGAAGAATGACAACGTCTGCTGGCACCCTCTGATTCTTTTCGAGCTTTAAGACGTCTCCGACTTTGATATCCCGAGATCGCTTCTGGACCTCGACCGGACTGTTGGAGGGGTTCTGCTGCCTCGCTGTATCAGGGAAAGACAAAGCGGTGAAAAGCTCCGAGTTTGCCTCGGCGTCCCGCCGCCTGCGCGCAATATCGTCTATGGCTTCCTTCCCGATCGTGATACTCAGTACGCACGCCAGTGGTACAATGTAAGTCGACATGTACCCGATCCGCAGATATGGTATGATTTGAGATAAAGCCACCAGGAGGAAATAGATGTTCAGGAAGAAGGAGAACTCGTTGTACAGCGTCCGAGGAAGGAAAGACCAGGCGGTGTATTTGGCATTGGACACCTTGTTCGTTGGGAATCGCCGTTTCTGTACATAGCCGACGTTGATCTCGCGGGACTCCTTGTTGTCTATGTCTGGATGCTCCCGCATGTCTGCAAGCTCTTGCCTGACGAAATCCGACAACTGCACGCTTTGACGCATACTCGGTCGACGAGAGGGGCCATCACGGCCAAATGGACCGTTCGGTGGTACGGTATCTTGACGGGTTGTTTGTCTGACGTTCCAGCCAACTCGCTCGTCCGACCAACTCCTGAGGTGTCCGTTTCCTGGAGACTGTCCCGTCCAGCTGCCCAGTAACCTTTCTGTATCTTCATCCTCCAAAGTCACATTATTTTGCCGACCCTTTGGACGCCATAGATTGCTCGCCCCAAACTTGTGTAGTCTTTGTAGTGGGATGTTGGAGGAAGCGTTTCCGGACCGGCCGCTGGCATTGGAGCCTCCCTTGGTGGCAGTGAGATCCGGGCTATAGACCGCGGGATCGAGTTCGTCTAAGTCGAGATCATCTTCGGAAGCAGAGTCTGCGTCTCCCACAGTCTGGTACGGTCTTGGGCGGGACATTGTCTCGACTGATCATCCTCAGATTGGCCCCTGGACGGCAGTCTGGTTCAATGAGTTGATTCAGCCGGCTAGAATATCGGAATAGATCGCATTTCCGTCACGCTGGTTGTTGGGAGGTTGAGACTTTTAAGGCGTTCGTAGGCAAGGAGACGAAGGTCGGATTCAGGCAGCTGGTTTTTCAGCAAAGGGTGCAGATGTGTTGAGTCAATGAAAGTGCTCTTCGTTAATACTAGGTACTCTTGTTGAGTGATATATTAGGTACGTAGTACTGTAGTACTGTAGCAATAATAATGTACACAACGCAGGCTGCGCGCCGAGCCGTAACTCCACGTCGCAAGTCTGAGTGTCTCGAGAACTAGAACAACTTGGCCTCCAACATCTTTCATCATCACATTCACATTCACGTCGGAACTGCGCAGCATCTACACTTTTGCTGCGCTGGTAGACACCTTGATCAGGATGGTCATCTATCAAAGGAGTCACTGAGAACGTCACCTCCCTTCCCAGTGTATATGTGCGGACACTTGCTGCCGCCTACCTCTCCGTCCCTGCTGATCTCGGCCAGCTTTACTATTGCTCGTCTTGACCAGTCGAGATGGAGACCACATACCCTGATAACCATGATTCTACCGTGACATCAGCTCCTCCTGGATCCGGCCACTGGCAGCCTGCATTGCGCCCCGAAACACTTGAAGAACATGACCATGAGTTCCACGCCGATAGCCACCTGGACACGAAGTCAAGAGGTTCCGTCAGTATCGAGACGCAAACAATCCCACCAACGCCAGTCGTGGTGCAAGAAGATGCTGATGTTGCTACGGTGGAGGGATCATCCTCAGCCCGGGCAATGGTAGAATCAGACACAATGGGGACAAAGCAGCATGCGGACGAACCATTGTCGTCTTCACCAATTCAGGCATGGGCATATCATTCGGTCACCGTGGGCAACGGGGGTGATGAGCTACCGTCCGACGACGACGATGAGCGCTTGGATCCTGCTTGGGGAATACAGCGATTGGATACATCCCATATTCTAGACACCGTCCATCGTTCAGCGACGTTTCCTGACGTCTCAACGCCTGAAGTTTCGGACAACCGCAATGACGAGCCTGCGCATGAGGAACCCGTGCAAATAACGAACAAAGAAACGCAGCAACCCCAGGTCACAGAGCAGAACGGGGTTGTCGCAGAGCCGCGGGCCTTGGATTGGCTTGATGATAGTGATGAAACAAACCGTGACTCACAGCCTTGGACGGTGCCAGAGCACATGGAAGCACCTGATGAGGTGGCAGAACGCTTTGAGGAAGGCGTCCCTTTGATACACACCGAAGAAAAAGCTGTCGAAAACGGGCATCATACAAATGACGAACCTTCAACCAATCCCTTCGAGACGGCAGCCGACGATGAAGAAGCGGCGTTCTTCTCCAGCATCAACGATTCCACAACTGATTCCGAACCTCGTCATCTTGACAGGAAATCCACTACGCAAGTACTGGACTCCCTGCACTTTTCCACTGAGGAAAAATCAGGGACTGCCCCTCCAGCGGAAAAGGCAGAGCCTTCGTTCTTTGATGAGGTGGCGAAGGCGCAGAATGCGGCTCCTGATAACCCGCCGGCGGAAGAAGTCGATGCAATGTGGGCGGCCGCACTTGCGGACGATGAGTTTCTGGTCGAAGACGCGGATGATCTCCTCCCGGAGTCTGAGCCTGGTTCTCCCTCGTCTTTCATTGCGTCCTTACAAGACTCTGCCACACTGCCCGACGACAAGCTTGATATTTCTACACCACAGCCTCCCTCCAACTCTACCATCCAACAGAATCCCATTCGACCGCAGCGGCCAACGACTGCTTATGCTCCTCATCAGCCATCCACCTCAGACCTCTTTCAGTTGTCACCTACCACGCACAACAGCGTTGGCCTCTCCAGACCGCAACTAGCTCCCTTAGGCTCGTTTCAGTCCCATCTACAGACAGACGCTCCAACTCAACGCACGCAGAGTTTTGTGGACCAGGCCAAGGATGGTTACAAGTCGCCCTACGATCTACCGATGGATATTGCAAAACCCAGACGGAGAGCGCATGTTCCTCAACCTGTTCAGACGACGCGGCCTGTGGCCCCGCCACCGAGGACTAGCAGCCTATCTGAATACCCTCTCCAGTCACCCTTTTCTCCATATGCTCCCCCAGCAACCGCGTCCGGATCGATACCTCTGCCTCCCCCGGGGCCTTCACCAGCACTTCCTCCTCGGAGTGTCTCGGCGTTTGAACAGCCTGCCAAACCCGAGAGACCGAAGCCTGCGTCAAGTTCTTCGAGCTTTTTTGTGGAACTGCCCGTCAGCTTCAAACCGAGGCATCATACGAGCCACGTTCCGCACCAACCTGCCTCCGTTCCTCCGCCACAAAGTCTTCCGCAGAGTCAGCCCATCATGCCTCTATCACCTCCACCAACACAATCTCCTCCTCGCAGTTCTGATCCCTATGCGCAGTATCAGCTTCGTGCGCCCGAGCCCCTTGATCCGTATGCAAACGTGCCACTAGAGCCACCTGCTCCGGCGCCCTCGACCTTGGCCGCGAGATATTCGCCAGCACCTGTCAATTCAGCCCAACCTCCGCGGACTGGGCCTTCTCCCAGGTATTCCCCGGCGCCTCCATCTCAAACCTCTTCCACACATATTGCACCCCGGTATGCTTCCAAGCCCACGTCAACTCCACCGTCTCAGGCACCACCGACGGCGCCGAATAGATATGTGTCACAACCTCCTCCTCACCCCCCTTCGACTGCCAACATCCTCGCTTTCCAGCCTCGTACGTCCAGTCCTCTTGCATACCACAAGAGTTCCATCGATGAAAGTGCGAATGGTGTGCCAATTCCACCGACTCAGATACCCAAACCCCGTCAAGGGTCCACTACCGGGTTTGTTTCGCCCCATAGTATGCCAATCCACGAAGGTATCAGTCTTGCCGAGCCCAATGTTGTTGGCTCACCACCACGGCGTCCTCCTCCCGAACGGTTACCACCTCCGCGGCGATCACAGACACAATCTCCGTCCAGGTACCGACCACAGCCAGGCTTTCCTATCTATAACAACGATGCAATTGATCGTCCAGTTTCAGCCTATGGTCAACCGCCATTGAACCGGTCTTTGACACAATTTGATTCCGTCCCACCAAGGCCAGATGTTCATCCAAGAGGATCAGTGCCGGAACTGGAGTTCGTGCGACCACAAGACGACACGCAATTTGATCCTTTGGAACGTTGGAAAGGCGCCCCAGTGTTCAAGTTTGGCTTTGGCGGCTCAATAGTCACGACTTTCCCGAAGCATGTTCCCAGATATACTGCAGGTACAAGCAGACCTCAAATCAAGGCGTCAGCAGGAGAAGTGTCGACAAGGAACACGAAAGACATGCTTCCACAAGTCGACTCGCACGGCAGCTTTCCCGGCCCGCTGAGATCAAAGTCGAAAAAGAAGGAAGTCCTGGCCTGGATGTCAAACTACATATCTGGCCTTGAGGACTCTATGCCCGAGGCTGCACCGAATCAATCACTTCCAGATATGGGAAGACGTCACCATGAGAAGATACTGCTTTGGAAGATAGTACGGGTTCTCGTGGAGTACGACGGTGCTCTCGATGGTGCGGCCTTGAAAGCGGTCAACCTGATCTTGGCGCCTGAAGTCCACGCTCTGGATGAAACGTCCGCTACCCAATATCGGGGAGACGAACAGCTATCCGGAATCTATCGTCCTGCCGGGGGCAACATACATCCCGAGTCCGTCGATCCCATGGCCGTCGAGGTTCTGCGGAAGCGCCTTCTTATTGGCGATCGACAAGCTGCGGTAACCCACGCTATGGACAACCGCTTATGGTCGCATGCACTGATCATATCCTCGACCATGGATCGATTGGTGTGGGGCCAGGTTGTGCGAGAGTTCGTCCGTCAAGAAGTCAAGACCGTTGGAACTAATGCCGAGTCATTGTCTGCTTTGTATGAAATTTTTGGAGGCAATATCGAAGAGAGCATCGATGAGCTCGTACCGCCTTCCGCTCGCGCCGGACTGCAGATGGTGAGCAGAGTGGATACAACCGGGCCAACAAGAAATGCTCTTGACGGGTTGAATCGCTGGAAAGAAACGCTCGGCCTTGTTCTGAACAATCGTTGCCAAGGTGATCATCAGGCTCTGGCAGTGCTCGGGAAGCTGCTAGAGGACTATCACCGGATTGAAGCAGCACATATCTGCTACCTCTTCTCGAGAAACCCTGCGAAACCAGTAATTGTTGGCGGAGTTGACGACGAACAAACCCCTATTGTGCTCCTGGGTGCTGACCATAGAGCACAACCGTTCGACTTTGGTCGCGATCATGAAGCGATTTTACTCACCGAGATCTACGAATTTGCCACAAGCGTTCTCGCAGCAGCATCACCAGTCTCGTTCATGCCGCATTTATCTGTCTACAAACTACAACGGGCGGCGGTTCTGGCCGAAGGAGGCTTGAAATCGGAGGCTCAATCATACTGCGACGCTATTGCTGCAACCTTCAAGTCTGGCACGAAAACATCACCATACTATCATCCTCTATTCTTAGCTGAGCTAGACGACTTGTTGAACCGTCTTAGACAAACGCCCAGTCAAGCTTCCTCGTCCTGGATTGGAAAACCCAGCCTGGAAAAGGTCTCGGGATCCGTTTGGAACAAGTTCAGCAGTTTCGTTGTAGGTGATGACAGTGACGCAGAATCCAAAGGCTCGGCCAAGGACGCCGCGGAAACCGGGCCATTTGCGAATGTCACTGGCACGCCTTCTATAAGCAGAACTGGCTCTCAATCCGATCTGTACGGATCGTATCCACCCAGTACGTCTTTTACAGGGTCTCGGTATGCTCCCAACGGCATTCAATCTACCCGCTCGTCTTCGGAGCTGACTCGAGGACGTCCTTCACTGGATCAACAACGGTCGCCTGCTTCCACTTACTCCCTCGGGAATCGCCAATACGAACCATTGAACATGTTTCAACAGGCTCAGGCCACACCACCTTCGAACCCATACCAGGCTCTCGCTACATCTCCACCTTCAAACTCGTATCCTCAAAGTCCTCCAAGATCCTCGTATATGCCGAATCACGTCAATCAAATCATGAGCTCAAATACGCCTCCAGTGCATCAACCAACGTATGTACCTAGTCTTCCAGCTGAAGAGGATACCCAACAACCTTATGGGTATACACCAGAGCCAATCTCAAACTTCCAGGACCGGGAGCCAGCAGGCTATGGTAGCTATGAGCCCGTGCAGCAGGAGCAGGAGCGGACCCAGACCCCTGTCCAGCAGCAGCCGGACGATGTTCAGAACGGTTATGAGCCTTCCAGCCAATCGTACGGCTACGAACCTCCATCCGGCTATGTCCCCTATGAGCCAGAACCCGACTCTCCCGAAGAGGAGCGAAAAGAGACGAAGCCCAAGAAGAAGTCAATCATGGACGACGACGATGACGACTTTCCTCCTGTGACTGCTCAAGCGCCACCACCTCAAGCTCCTCCGCCTCAAGGTAAACAATCCGCTGGCGAGGACGAAGACGCCCGTCGACGTGCAAACGATGCGGCTGCAGAGGCGGCGTTCCGTGCAGCTGCAGAAGCAGATGCCGCACAAGCGAAAGACAAGAACCAATCCAAAAGGACGTCTTCCTGGTTCGGTGCTTGGTTGGGGGGCAAAAAGGCCGCGGAAGGACTCGACTCGGGAAGCAAGGGTGCCGAGCCGAAGGTGTACAAGGCAAATCTAGGAGAGTCGAAGATGAAGTTATACTACGACAAAGATCTCGGTAAATGGGTGAACCCCGACAATCCAGATGCCGCGAAGAAGACCGCCACACCTCCGCCTCCGCGTATGGGCGGGACGCCTGCACCTCCAATGGGTCCCGGTGGACATGCTAGGACCCCGGGATCCGGGCCCACCTCGAACCCAAATCTGCCGAACATGCCCATGCCCATGCCCATGCCTCCGCCTTCGGCGCCATCGAGCAGGACCGGAACACCAGCCGGCGGGCCGAGTTTCACAACAAACGCACCGTCACCGCTTGCAGGGTTGTCGGGTCCACCGAGCGGTACTGCAACGCCACCTCCAGGCGCTGGACCAAGCCATGGCCTCGCTCCGCCGCCCGGACCCGGCTCTCGTCCCAGCACAGCCACTAGCAATGCCAGCAGCATCGATGACCTCCTCGGGCCAGCGACGGGGCGCAAAGGTGCAAAGGGGGGAAAGAGGGGAGGCAAAGGAGGCCGATATGTGGACGTCATGGCCAAATGATTTTCAAGCACTGTGGCGAAAATGGACGAGGAATGACTACAGTCCCTGTGCATGATGATAGACAAATCTGTCTTGACTGTTTGATTGTACGATAATAATATCATAACCCGTCGGCAATGTGTACAAATGGATCATAGGAGGGAGCCTCGAATGCACATTCCCACTTGATGCCTTCCATGCGTTCTTTCTTGCTCTCAGCATCCAACGGAGCTGGTAGAGTATCAATAATCTTAGGAACCTGTCTTTGCTCCTCCATATGCTCGGCAGGGTATGACAAAAGCTGATATCCGCGCTGTATGCTCCGACTGATAATGACACAATTTGAGTGTCCTGAAGAGAGCTACTAGTAATAGCCTCTCTGCTTGACAAGATACAGAGGGCCAGGTATGTCGGTCCTCCAACGTTCAGTTGGACCACTAGACTAAGTATACTACTACTACTACGTACCTAAGTCTCAATTTAAAGGAGAACCTCAGCCTTGCGACGGACCGGACACGTGATCAGACCCACAGTGGTCCCCGACGCCCTGACACGGCCGACGCACTGCAGGTCACATACAGATTCGGAGTCGAGGAGTGATTGATCGATCAGCTAAATGCCGGTTGCTGAACGGTCCGGTCCATTGGAATCTACAATCACAATTACAATTACAATTACTTTTTCTATACTTGACCAGACGTTCGGTTTCCCATGAGGAGCACCGCTATCGATAGACCTTCCACATCAAATCACGGCTTGAATCTACCTTACCTACCTTTCAGACGTCGAATGGAGGCCGAGGAAGCGGGCTCATAACCATACCTGGCACCACACCTGCCTGCCTAACCGTTCCTAATACTTTTCCGCTCGCGCTCCTTACGTACCTCCCTCTCTAACGACGACGACGATCCTACATCTTTCTGCGGTCCTCGGTATAGAGTCTCCATCCTGTCGCGCCTAGGCAAAGCCACCTGCCACGACCGAGGCACGACGGCAGCGACAGACACGTCTCTCGTTTCTTTGTTGGTGGTATTGTTGCTGTAGTCGTTGAAACCAAGTCTGATCTGGTCTGGTCTGGTCCAATTGAAACATACAAGCGTCCGGCAAGGGCAAAAGCAAAGGCAAAGGCAATGGCCACAATAACGACGACATCCTCGCCCGACACCTTCCTTCTGGACGCGGCTTCTTCGGCGCTGGTCAATATCTCGTGTTTCGACCTCCTGCTGATCGAGCTCGTCCCGCTGGCTGAGCGCATGGCTCGATCGTTCGAAGCGTCGCTCGATAAACCTGCGCCGGCGCCGTCATCTGCGGCGTCTACCACCTCCGCTCCTACTACCGGGGCGCAGACGACGTCGACGAAACCTCCTTCCTCTGCGTCTGCTGCGCCTCTTCCTCCTACGACGACTACTACCACTTCAACTTCTACCTCTACATCCACCACCACCGCTACGAATGGAACAGCTACACCACTAGGGACGTCGATGGGCGGGGCCTTGACTCTCGCCGCAGATGGATTGCCAGAAACAGATATCTTCAGGGACAGTGTGTACGTGCGCCTGGAAAGATTGGGGTTCCGGGTCGGCGAGGGTCTGAGCGAGCGGTTCTCGCGTGACCGGCCGCGCTTCACGGATCAGTTGGACGTGATCAAGTTCTTGTGCAAGGATCTGTGGACGGTGGTGTTCAAAAAGCAAATCGATAATCTCAAGACAAATCATCGGGTACGTGTTTGCGGCGATGTGAGGTTGACTCACTAGACTCCATCCTCGTGGGTGTCGTGGAGCGACCACGACAATGCCCCCTGATACCCGTTCGGGACAAGTATACTAACTTGTCTACTTGCTTTCCAGGGTGTCTTCGTTCTTACAGATAGCAGATTCAGGCCGTTTTCGAGGATGAGCATGGCTAATCCTGCCGAGGCTGTAGCAAGGGCGCAGCCACATCTCTATTTTCCGTGCGGGATCATTCGAGGTGTCCTGTCGAGCTTGGGCATCAAAGCAACTGTCCAGGCAGAAACGACCGAGCTGCCCGCTGCCACGTTTCAAATCAAGACGCACTCGGCCAAGTGAATAAGACGAGCAATCGCAGGAAATAGTCACAATATGTGGATCGTGAACCCTGGCCACGCAGGTAAAATGCATTCCTCTCAAGACCCTGAGTATTGTGCATGAGGCGTGAAACTACCCTCTAGTCACTTTGCAGAACAGAGCCCAGGAAATATGAAACCGTGTCGAAGGGAAAATCCGCTAATAACGACATGTTCATAATCTGCTCCGGATCTCCATGTCAGTTTCCGTGGTTGCTGTTCTTTCTCTCAAGGCCGGGGAATATGGAGAGCTCCGTGGCAGGCAGGCTCATTCTGGGTCAGAACTCGCTCACGTCCTACCTGCGAATCGAAGTCAGGCGATCGGCACGCAATGAGAGGCGGCTACACCTACTTGGAAGCGCCCTTGACAAAGTTGACACCAGCTTCAATGTTGGTCTTGAGAGCCTTGGTTGCTTCATCCAACAACTTCTTCTCGTAGTCGTTGGCCTTGGAGACGATGTTGATCGCCTTCTCAGCTCCGCCCGGCTAAAAAGAGGTTAGCATGCTTGTTCAAGATAGGAACGGATGGTGGGCAGAGATGGATGGAAAGGGAAGGAAGAAGGTCTTTGGAAGACTTACGCCCAGTTCAACAGGAACGGCAAAGTAATCACAGCCAGTCGCCTTGGCTATAGCATCACCGCCCTCGACGCCAGGCAGATAGACGAATGTTGGCTCGACGATGCCTTTCTCGCCCTTGGCGGCTTTCAAAAGAGCTTCGGCGAATCTGAAACCAGCATATGCCATGGACAGGGTTGCGGAGCCGGCACCATCCTTGGCCTTGACGACCTCGTCACCACCGAACTGCACACGATGAACCAATCCGTCGAGCTTGTCGGCCGGGATGTCGACTGAAGGCTGAGTCTGGCTGAACAGAGGCACGATTGTGTTACCAGAGTGGCCACCGACAACCGGGATGTTGAATTTGCTGGAGTCTTTCTGGTTTAGGAGCTCGGCGACGAAGTTCTCGGCACGGACGACGTCAAGCGTGGTGACACCAAAGAGTCTCTTCGGGTCGAAGACGCCGGCTTCTTTCAGAACTTCAGCGGCGATGGGGACAGTCGAGTTGACAGGATTGGAGATGACCAAGATGAATGCCTTGGGGCAGTATTTGGAGCAGGCAACGATGAGGTCCTTGACGATACCAGCATTGATCTTGAAGAGGTCATCTCTGGTCATACCAGGCTTGCCTTGTGGACAACAAATGTCAGTCAGGGTTCGTGTACTGGCATGTAGATCTTAAGACGTACGTGGGACACCGGCGGGGATGATGACAATGTCTGCACCTGACAAGGCTGCTTTCTTCGCATCTTCAGTCTCTTGCTGCTCTCCCTTGAAGTCACCCTTGGCCGCGACAAAACCCTCAACATGCTGTGCACATTTGTTAGAGTAGATCCGGAAGTCGTTTCGAGCGAGATGGGGGGTAATACCGCTTTCGTGGCAATGTGAGACAGATCGGCCGCGACACCAGGAGAGTTGACCACATCGAACAAGGAAAGTACATCGATGAGAGGGGACATCTTGCAGAGGAGGGACAATGGCTATACAGCACAGGTCAGCAATGGTCTCTTTCTGTTCCGACAACCTGTAACGCGTACCTGGCCAATGCCTCCAGCGGCACCGAGCACAACAGCTTTCACCATCTTGAATGGAAGGTGTGGGGTAAACGGGACTGTGACGAGGAGTTAGAGATAGGCCTTTGTTGTGGGAGGCACAGTTGTCTTTGACCTGAGAGTCGAAGTGAACGCAGACGATAGGAGTACTGTGGTTTTCTGCGAGAGTGAGAGAAATTGGGTTGTTCAAGAAGCAAAGAAGGTCAAACGAGAAAGGTGTCGCGCAGGGAAGATGTGGAGGGAGTCAACAAAAGTGAAAGCGAACAAACGCTCGAATGATATAAAGAGTAAAGGATAGTGACAGTGTGACTTGGTTGCCGGTGGGCGCCCACATCCCCCGCCCGCAGAAAGGGCATTGCTAAACAAAGTGCGCACTCAAATGCTGCCCCGCGTCCTGCTAAAAAGGGACCCTATCGCACTACCACTAGTAAATTCGATTGCCATTCGCCCTCCCCCGACTTATTACGCAGGATCCGCCCTCCTCGGCCAATGCCAGAGTCAGGGATTCTACGGGATGCACGGGCGGGTGCTGGAGTCTCGTTTCTTGTCGAGAGTTGAAAGAGCTACTATTTCCTACAGACGAGAATGGACCGGGTCAGGCTGAGTGCATCATTGGACGAGGAGTCACGATTGATCTGTTTTTGAGGGGTTTCTTCTTGATTGCTCGAGCGATCTGTCCATTCGACTACATGTAGCGCTTCCCATGTGCCTCGGACCGATCTTTCGAGTTCAGATCCGGTCAGCAAAACAGTCGGAAGCCATGCACCTTTCGGAGCTGTCCACTGTATGTCTCGATCCCGCTGGATCAGGCTAGCATCTCATGTCTCGGCACACCGTCTCGGACTTTTTTCGTTCGATTGACATTTGCACCCGTGGTGTCGGATCGTGCGCTGCTCTCGATGCCAGTGCACCACTACAACATGTCTTGGGTCAAGCACTTCAGAAACCCAGCAGCTGCGATCGACACTACATTTAAGCTTCGGTCTTGTGTCCCTTCAAACCACGGGGCTTTCTCTCCGGAGTCTCCTTCTTCGGGCGCTGGGAGAGCTTGATGGCACTGGCACGAGCAACGGCGGCTTTGTTCAGGTCTCCTCGGTAGGAGTTCTTGCCAACAGCGTCTGCGATGTTCTTGTAGAGCCTGGAGAAAAACAAAAAGCACGTTGTCAGCAATCAAGTTTTAACCACCTTCTTCGCAATCCAATGCAATGCAATGCAATGCGTTCCAATCCCACTTGTGAAAGAGACTCACTTTCGGTTCGACACAGTGCTGCCGTAGGCGTGTTCGTTGTATGCCGACGCGGGCTTGTAGGCCTTGCCGGGCTTCTTGGTCTTCAAGGTGACGCCACCCTTCTCGTTCGGCTGGACGGACACAGCCTTGTCGTTGACAAAGCCATCATACTTTCGCGAGTGCTTGTTGACCAGGTTGAATGGGTCGCGAGAGAATTGGACACCGCCGGCCGCGCTGTGCTTGACTAGGTAGGCATTGCTGTTGCCTGCGGACGAAACTCAGTCACTCTTTGCTCCAACAACAGAATGGGATGGCGAGACTTACGGACAACCTCCCAGATGAGGTCGCCGGAGATGTTTGAGCGTTCAGACATGGCGACGGCTTGTTACTGATTGATATGTCGGATTTCGAGGAATTTGTCCGTTCAATGCGATTTCGTGCGCGGTAGTGTGCTAATCTTGGCCTACGGTGGGCTATTGGGATCGAGGTGGCAGTTCTACAATTGAGGTCTGGCATACACTGACAAGGACACCCTATGATCACTGCATCCTACTAAGGTATGTACAAAGATCGAGGATAGTTTGTTATTTCCCCTAATGTCAAGGCTTTCGTTGCAGAGCAATAGATGTTCTGTGGTAGATGATGGAGACCTTCTTCTGGTGGACTTTCCACCACTGAGAAGTCAAGTCATGTGATTCCAGGTATTTCGCTCACTGACAGCGGCAGCCGAAGGCTTCCTTATCCGGTCTCCGCTAGTCTCAAAGGCTGACGACAACCACCAACCTCGCGGCCAGAAGACGAAGACGCGAAACATACCTAGGACCCCATCACGGCAAACTCGTCCTGGTAACCACCGCAATCTCAAGCAACTTGCTTGCAAGCTCCGTATGATGGGCACGACGGACTGAACCTCTTCAAAACAACTCCTCTACTCGACCAAAAGACAGCCCAGCCCTCTGCTCTCGGCACATCCTGTCGTCGCATTATAGGGTCCTGCCCATCCGGCTCGTCCGAATAATATTCTGCTACCGAGTACCTCAGTCATGGGATACCTACTATACTCTGCGTTCTTCGTCTCGATCGTGCTCGGAACAGGTGAGTCACTGGCCTCAATAACCCCTCGTTTCCGGCTGGCCTGTTCCTGACCTGTCATCCACCAGCCCTCTACCTTACCCGCGCGCGATGGACGCCGTATCTCCCTGAACGAGTCCAGGAGGCCCTCAACTTCACATACGCCCGGCTCCCCACCACATTCATGGGAGATGTCGAGTCTGGCTTCACATCAGCCGACTTCGACCTGTCAAGCAACATTATGGAAGGTGACTCACGGGGCGGGCTCGACCAGAAAGCCAAGCGCGACATACAGCGATTGATGAAGGCCCGGAAGATCAACTTCGACGAGGCGAGACGGATTTATATGGAACAGAGATTCAAGAAGAACGGGATTGGCGAGGACGGCATCCCGCGCGATCCGAAGTTTGTTTCTTTTTCTTGACTGGATTGGATTTGGCATGGAAATTCACAACTTGTGGAAGCTTTGGCGCTGGATTCTTCATCGCAAAAAATGCTACGGTCTGGATGTGTGGAACCACTCAGACAGAGTTCTGGACAATGTCAGATCTAATATATCCCACGCCGGTTCGATCCAGTTCTGGTCGCTTGGGCTGGGTATCTTGGTACTTTCGGGCAGTCTCCAGCTTCAGTGCTCACTGTGACTTTAAGGCCGCTCTCTCCTGGCGGCTAATGTCGTATGCATACGGGACATCATTCCTTCAACAGGTCATTTCATGGTTCTGGGGCAACATTGGCCCTATGGCCTGAGAACGACAAATCTAACCTGCTTGCAGACGAAAAAGATTTATATAATGGAGGCTGCAATAGAACGATCAATCAACCTGAGCCCGTGGAGACTTTCGCGCCACTGCCGCATCAACTCGGGTTGGCAATCATCTCATCATGGTATCGGACAATCCGTCCCTGAAAATACCAATTTGGATTCTCTCGACAGCAGGTAGAGACACGATGGCTCTTCTATTGGACTTTTCGTACAAGGATGCTGGCTTGACACCCAGCAGGCCTTCTCGACCCGAACCTTAAGCTAGTAGAGTTCATATCGTCATCCCGGTAGCACCAGTTCGGCGCATGGTATAAACATCGTCTTATAGTATTTACATTATTCCCAGCCTCCAAACGCTTAAGCCGGTACCCCGTTCCAATCTAATCTATGCCACCCACACACCTGGCAGAACGCCCTTCATTAGAAATCGCTGCGCCAGAAAACCGAGGATAACGATCGCCCCCCATGACGGAAGTCTATATGCAATTTCGACCGCATGGAGGGGTTTCGCTCCGTCACTGGCAAATAAAAGCCGCAAGCAAGTGCGCAATAATCAGCCAACCAAATTCATAGGGCCTGCTGTTCTCTGCGCGCTGTTTGCCAGAAGAATGTCGGACAATGCTGTCCTGAAAGCAACTAATAATCATCATCCCACCGTTCCTACTCCAGCTTGCCGAGCTTTGTCTCCTTGTGGAACAGCTCATCGGCAGGCTTGCGATAACTTCCGCCCAAGCGGTCCCACAGCGTCGTAAACTGACCGTAGTTGTAGTTGAACAGCGAGTGGTGGACACTGTGGCAGGCAGCCCCGTTGATTATGGGGGACCTCGCGTAGTACTCTCCGTCATGGATCATGATGGTCCAGATGTTGATGAAGCCGAAGAGCAGGACGTAGGCGTATTTCTGCAGGGGAAACAGGAACGGGTAGAGGTGGTAGGGGATGGACTGGGCAAAGCCGTCGATCGGGTGGAAGGCGTGAGAAGCGTACGGGCTCGGCATGATCCATTTGTGATGTGGTTTGTGGAGGCTCTTGTAGACGAGCGGGTGATGTAGACCGCGGTGGATCCAGTATATGCCGAAGTCGGTGAAGAGAACGAAGAGCGGAAACTGGAGGATGTTGTATAATGGGAAAGGAGCATCGGCGGCGGTGTCGTAGAGCTTGGAATAGCCTCGCACTTCGGCCAGCATGCACAGAGCGGTCAAGAGGGCCATGACAGGCATTGCCCTCTGCGTCTGCATGATCTCCAAGCGTACCTGGTTCTTCAGGAATTTCGGATGCTTGAATGTCTCTTTGTCGAAAATGAAGATGTAGGAAAGCGTGGCGAAAGCGAAATACAGAAGAATCCCGAAAATCCTGAGAGGAATGGTGAGTGAGCGGTCAATTGAACGACTGTTCAGCTATGGTCACTTACCAGACTATGAAGAACAGACTGATAAACTGTCTGTACAGGTTGTCTCTGGGCCAGGCGCTGCTGTAGGTCCACTCGGTAGGCTGCATACTGATATACTTGGACGCGGGTTCATAAACGTAGGTGTACTGGGGGGTCGCGGTCGCGCCCTCTCGCATGCTAGAGAACGTTGATGTGCTTCCATTGTGGGAGTGGTACGGAAGGTATGAGGATGGACTCGCGGGTATTAAGGACGAATAGACGCGGTCTAGCAATAGCGTATCGACAATCTCGAGGACGATGTCCATGGTGGAAGTGTAGGGAGATCCGGCTCTCAATCGCAGTGTATCGTGGACATGGGACTTTTTGTGTTTGCTCGGAGGGACGATGCAGGTTCGGGTTCGGGAGCTGCAGAAGAACCTGTGTTGAGCAGGCAGGCCGGTAGGGGATTGGGGTGAAGGGATACAGTCGGTTTTCCTTCCTGGCCGGAATTGAGCAGGGAAGAAATGATGCGACCGAAGTGAAATAATAATATCGCGTGGAACAGTGGCGTGAAACGGCTTATTGCAGATCCGAAAGGCCCGATAACGGCAGGGAAAATCAACCCTGCACTTCGAGTTCGCAACAGCTGTTGATCGAGGTGGCGGTGGTCTGAGAAGCGACTGTGGATGAGCAGCAAGCTTTGTTATTGGCTTATAGCAGAGATTCCTGAGAGTATCGTATTCTTTCTCCCCGTACAATACCAGACTACAAGAAATCGATCAGATCTTTTCGTTTTGCTCATGCGAACCAACGCCCTGAGCTTCCTGCAGCTTGTTATGTCCGTTTAATCACCGAGACCGAGAAGCGAAAAAGCTTAACCCGGTACCTGGCACGTGACAGTCTTCTACGGTGGCACATACGAGCGAGTGACAGCGCACTCCGCACGTGATTGTGACCTTTCTGCGTAACTCGATTACTTCATGCAGTCAGTGACAGATTCTCATCCGTCGGTCAGGATCGATATAATAATTCTCGACTTCGTGTGTACACCGACTCCCCGAAAATGTCTCCCTGAGCCTTGTTCGTCTGCATGATCCTCGATGTCGGGTATGCCAGATACAGTCGTTCCTCCTCGGTCTCACGATCGCTAAACGCGGTAATCCATCCGGCCCATGACGTCTCAATCCAGTCATGGCCTCTCACCTGCCTCCATTGAGACCATTGCAGGCCTGTCTGCAGGTCTGGTCGCGACCATCATTGTCCACCCACTGGATATCATAAAGACAAGACTTCAAGGTAGCTTACCTGTACCTACGCATCTGCGTGCAGACATTGGCACCGACGGCACTGACAATGGCATCCACCAGTTGACACCTCCACCCATCCTCTTCTCAACTCCTCCCGCTCCGTCCTCCGTGACATTTGGCGAAACGAAGGGCCTACACGATTTGCGGCATTATACCGTGGACTGACTCCAAATCTGGTGGGCAATTCTGCAGGATGGGGGCTGTACTTCTTGTGGTACCGGGAAGCTCAAGATGTGATCCGCACACTTCGGGGATATCAAACAAGTCAACAACTCACATCGGTTGACTACCTGACCGCCTCGGCACTATCTGGCGGACTATCTGCTATACTTACAAATCCAATCTGGGTGGTCAAGACACGTATGCTTTCCACCTCGGCCACACAAACGGGTGCATACCAGGGCATGATTTCGGGTCTCAGTTCGATCTACCGAACAGAAGGCGTTCGTGGGTTCTTCCATGGCATGACACCTTCGCTCATCGGGGTCAGCCACGGCGCGTTGTATTTTGTGGCGTATGAAAAGCTCAAGTTCTGGCGGAGGCAGTCCAGAAAGACTGATCAGCTCACCAACATGGACACTCTGATGACTTCGTCCCTATCAAAGGTATTTGCTGGAGTGATAACCTACCCGCTCCAGGTGGTGCGTGCCCGCTTGCAGACATACAAGCCAGGCGCCACCACGCACGTACGCGGACCTGGCATCGTTGCCTTGGTGAAACAGATCTGGCACAACGAGGGGCTCGTGGGCTATTACAAAGGCCTTCTCCCTAATCTCCTTCGTGTCATTCCCAGCACTTGCGTGACTTTCCTAGTCTACGAGAACGTGAGATGGAGTCTGCCGAGGATATTTGGAGGGCAAGAAGATGACGTTGCGGTCACCAGCACGAGTGTGGCGCCGAAAGCGAACAAAAAGGGCACGATATGAGGCAAAGACAAATGCATGGATTTATGGATCCCCCACTGCAGCGAGACTACAGCTTGAACGTTCCTTGACGACAAAAGTAAATGGCGACCAGAAGCTGCTTGGAGCGTATCATCTATCTCAAAGAACTCCCCCACGACAGTGGGCATTAGTCAGGTAGCTGCCAAGTCTCCTTCAGCTTAGTTCATGGAAGGCAATAACAATGGGATAAATGAAGCAGCTGAAAATCGAGAAGAAGCCTTGTGGCGCTGCAACACGTGTCGTGGGCCACTGTTGACATAAGGCATATATATATAATATATATATATAAGCTCCATGCATGAATAGGGCACCTCGCCTGCCTCATTGGTAAGATCCTCCCTTTCAGAGGAACCTCCTCTGCAGTGACGATTGACGGTCTAAGTCAGCATTGTCTTCATTGCAATTTTTCTTCTCTTATAGTATCAGTGTGATCTAACGGGCGGTGCCGATGAGGCGTTTGTATCGGATGGACTGGTCAAGATGACACAGTATAGATATAATAGGGCATCAGTGGACACTGGCGTACTACTTAGTATCCCTCCCCTTATCTACACATCAGGTACGTAGTACGTAAGTACCTAACATATTCCACAGTCGAGTTGGAGATTTCCGCGGTGCCAGATCTGGAATTGTAGGACGGTTCTGCTTCTGCATGTAAGATAGTACCTCGTGCATAGTAGTACTTCAATTAGGTCGACCAAAATACCTTGAACTCTTTCCTCCCACGTACTTTAAGGCCAGTACTTATCTTACTTACTTAAGTACCTACCTAGGTGAAATTTGACACACGACATGGTTCAACAGGTGTATTTAGGTTGACTTGACGCTTTGAACCCCCTGGATTATGGGCGACTAGTTCGCCTGATGGACCGATGGACCGATGCACAGATACCTAGATAGATACCTAGAGATAGATAGATAGCCAGGCTCCAGGCTCCAGGCTTAACCCGAGGGCGGCACCGACAAAATGCCCACACGCTCGCAGTCCGTTCTCTTGCTTCGGCAAAAAGAAACCATTTCAGAAAAAGAACGGTATCCGTTCGCCCGGGGCTATTGACACACAACGGGGACCGCCCAGAACAGAGACATATGACCTGAATGGGAAGCCTGGACCGGACTCGGAATGATCAGCTTCTTGCTTTTCTCAAGCTCAACTGCTCCTGCCGACTGGTCTCTCAATGAAGTTGATGCCGGTATATCTTGGAGGGACAAAGTAGTCAATGATAGTGTGGCTCATCTTCTTCCAAACCCGCCAGAATCAGCAATAGAGACAAAAGGTAATAAAAATAAAAGGTCGTAGACATTGGTGGCAGAATGTATATGTATAAACGCTCAAAAGGCTCGCTATAATCGCTTTTCGGGACAGAAGAAAGAGAGAAAACCACAGGCTGGTGCTTCATTCACACGAGATATTGGCCTCATGCCGGAATCCATGATCCAATTCGGTTTCAGCTTCCACCCGAGTCGGACTCTCCACTAAGGTGGGAAAGCCGTACAAGTGCTCCTCATAACAGACATGATGAGTATTCCTGCTCGAATCCGAAAACATATAGAAAACATCATCGTGAGCGACAGTCATTGCTGCTCTTTTTCTAGAACAGCACTCGTGGAGGTTGTGGGCAGTGTCCTCCATTTTGTCGACATTTTCAAGGAACACATGACTTTTGCATCCATTCAAGGCCCTGGCTGGAGCTCTGGAGTTGGAGTGAGAGCCCTTGCGAACGATGTCTTCTGGAGATTTCCCATTCGCCCCGCGGATATGCAGTTGTGTGAAAGTGTACTTGACTTTCTGCTGCTTTCCGAGCTCGTCGGACGCTTTTTCAAGGTTGATCAATAGGGACGAGCACTTCGACTTTTCGTCCTTTGCCCCGTCCCTTGATCCCTTTATTGCAGTGCTTATAGAGCTCTTGGAAATACTTCCTCAATTCGGCCTCCTCTGGAGGCGTTTCATCTTGAGCAAATTGTTGGGAAAGTTTTGCCAATGTCTCTTTATGGAATTTGTTCATGTGCGCTTTGAGGTTTCCCAGTTGTGTAAAGACCTTGCCGGCATGACCCTCTTCGACGCCCTTGCAACCGTCCAGGATGCACTCATATTTTCGGCCTCGGGCCCCTGGATCGGAGGAAGACCTCTTGCGATTGGGTCGTTGCCCGACATGTCGCCGCTCATGGGTGCGTAGATTGCCCAACTGCGAGAAGGATTGCCGACATGAGGGGAAAGAACATGTATAAGGCTTCTCGCCAGTATGGGAACGCAGATGGATCTTAAGGTGTGTATGTTGAGAGAAGGACTTTCCGCAGTCTGGGTGAGGGCATGGGTGCTTCTTGGGTTTGCCATTGGAGCTGGTGGGCTGAGGCTGCGGTTGTTGGACGGGCTGCAGCGCTTTCATGAGGGAATCAACCTGGGAGGTGTTCTCTTGAGGAGGCGGCTGCAGCTGTGGGAAGACCGGAGGGGTAGTCCTGCTCGACGACACAATCGAATCAAACTTGGGCCGTTCCGAGAAATCGGAGGAGAAATAGCTCGACGGAGCTTCTGAATAGGTGGACACGCAGTCATCAAAGTTGCCCTTCTCTTCTCCAGCCCAACTCCCTGGCGTCAAGGGATCCAGGCCCGTGAAGTCCTCCCAGGAGGTGAACGCATATTCGGACATGCTGGCAAAGGTATGTGCGCGTTGGAGAGAGGCAGATGTTTGTCCAGGGCTGCTGAGCGTGTCACAATCGTAAATATCGTTGGAAGGAACATTCTGGAGGTAGAAATCTTGTGGGAAGAGTTGGGTGTCCATGCTCGAGGTGAATTTGGATGGTGCAGGGACTGTTGTCGGAACCATCCACTGTCGCAATTGCTGCATGTGCCACTCGATCTGGTTCGCGGTAGGATTGAAAGCCATGCTTCCTCTTTAGTCAAGTGTGCTAGGACCGTCGAACTATCCTTCCCTCCCACGGGAACCCAGTCGGCCTTTGTGTCTTGAAAGAGGAGGGGCTCAGGTCGGACGCTCGTTTGGGGATCCAGGAAGACGAACAACACTGCAAAAGAAGAACAAAAGCTACGTCGAGGTCTGGGACATGACCGAGGTAGGATGGGGATCTTCAGCAAGAGAGGAGGGCGACGTAGAGGTTATGATTGGGCGAAGGGGGAAGATCGTTGGAGATGGAGATGTCTTGGATACAACGTCGACGCAGATATCGGAAGAGCAGAGTACAAGAGGGTGAACCGATTTGCAAACGGGTAGACAAATTCCATCAAGGCAATGAGATCAGCCTCGGGTTTATACCTTTGCATTTCATGGTTGTCTCTCGACAGTCTGATACGGCCAGTCAGTAGTAGACGTGGGCTTGACAAGATGGGACGAGCTGACTAGCCCATATGGTCAGGGTACGATTGATATGCAGGTTGAAGAGATTGCAGACCCCATCCAGAAGCGAGTGCTGTTGGTGTCGTCAAGGCTAAAAACATCGAAAAGAGATGCAGCCTTGCCTGAAGATGTGCTGGAGCATAGGCTCCACCATGCCTCATAACGCCTGTGCTTACCCTGTTAGGAGACGCTCGTGTGACGAGATGAAAAATTTTTCTGGAGGGAAACCGCCCTACTGGCTGTCCCATGTCCCGGTAAGGCTTGAGACGAGTCAGATCATGTCGGGATGGGTAGATGCGAGGGGGGCATGAGAGGTGCATGAAGGAGGGTGGAAGGGGGGTTAGAAGGGGTGCCAGAGCGGAGAGCCGAGTAAGAGTCCGCAAAAAAAGCCAGACCTGACAGGTGGTGGAGCTGGGATTGGCAGATAGCGGCAGCGATCGCAATGATTCCTGCTAGCAAATCCAGAGATTTCAAGTAGCCGGCCCAGGGGGGGAGTGCGTAGTCTGGAGACTTCGAGAGGGCAGGTGAGGAAAAAAATGAATGGCTAATCAGACGGAAATCGAGCACACCTCTCCCTATCGATGCTGGCGCAGCCATAGCGCGTCTCTGACGACGCAAGAGTGGCAGTGGTCGATGAGGATGGGTCTCGTTTGAGCTTCACTGATTGGGGTGCGTCGTAGGCCTCTATTCCTGAACAGGAGAGTCGTTGCATGAACCAACTCGTGGCTTTGCCAGGACCGAGCGAAGGCTTGCGACCCCCGGTATAGTAGAGGACACCCTGGTCGTCGCGTCATGTCATCTCTTCCGCCCGCTCCATCGAAGGTCTGGAGACGAAAGACGAAAGAGCCGAGGGGCCTGCTAGCCGCTGGGGGCTAGGGAGACCCCTTCTACCTACCGCAATGTACGTACTGTAGAGGTGCCCGGCGTGGACATAGGCCTAGGGAGCCGTCAGGTACAAGGTTTTTTCGAGTCCTAAGGATCCCCTGTTTGCTTGTCACCAGTGATAGCGCCGGATTGTTGGTTATCTTGCAGGAGCTGATAAAGATTCAATGTCGTTTCCTATCCTCTCCTTTTCGAATTGTCCATGCACAGTGAAAATTTTTTCTCATGCAGGAGGATAGCAGGCAATGATCACTCCCACTGGAAGTTCAAGTTCTTCTTGACCTTCGTACGGCTGGAAAGGCTGCCTCAGTGAAGATCGACCATATTGAAGGATCGGTCATGGCACATGAAAGGTGTTGGAGGACGTAGTGTCCATGTCCCTCCCTCCAGACGGTAATATTTTCATCCCACGCCCCCGTCTTGCACCCAGGCCAAGTTGGAGAAAGACCCTATGCTTTTTACACAAATAGATCAGTGAAGGAAACGTTCGATCGGAGAAGGATGGTTGGAATAGTGTGCCGGTTTTGGTGGACGAAGAGTCTAATTGAAAATACGAGATGCCTGAATGATGGCGATGTTGATGTGGTGACGCTGATGGATCAACGGGGATTCATTGAGATCTCCGAGGATGTCCAGAATAGTAGTTTGATACCATGGCGACGTGATGCTCGAGAAGGCAACTTGACGTGACCATATGGCTGCTCTGCCTGTCCACCAACAAGCTAGCTACCAGGATAGCAGTAGGATGCAGGATGCAACTGCCTGGAGCATGGTACATACTGTACTGTGGACCAGCTGCGGCTGTGCCCGTCCGGCAGCCTCCGACCGGCAAAGACAAGTCGAAGGAGGGGGGGAAAGGGGGGGGAGGTAACGAACCTGAAGGACGTTAGGCGCGTCCTTCAGGGCAGCCAGCGATATCTATGGGTACCTAGGTACCTACCAACCTAGGCACCCTAGGCACTAGCTGGTACCTAATCCCCCTCGCTACAGCCACCTCCATACCTAGAGGTACCTCGCATCCTGTCGGTACAGCATAACGCCTCATAATATGAGTCTTCATTGAGAGCAGATTCCTGTGTCGAGTAAATTGGGTCCCGGCCCATCGATGTATCCTACGGCCAGGCTCTCCCGTAAGTACCATCAGGCAACTGCTTTGTTGGATCTGTACTAGTAGTAGGTATCTGAAGTGAGGAGCGGTCCGGGTGAGGTACCCCCGAAGTATTCGGGACTTCGCTCGCTTCTAGGTGCGACCCCCGGCAACCTTTCCGCCTGGAAATCCGCCTAAGCCCTGCCTGTCAATCATCAATCCCCCCGGAATCCACCCTCCAGGCTTGAGGCTACAAAGTACACAGTATAGTAGTACGGCAGACATCCTAGGGTTCCCCCACCATGCCCACCATGAAAAAATAACTGCCACCAGAGAAATCTCACTCAGCACCTTGGGTAGCGTCCAACGAACCAACGGTCTAAGGTTTAGTACTCTGACTCCCACGCGACATGCATTGCTACCTAGACAGTATCATCTAGTGAAATCTTCTCTCTGGTAGCCTACACGCTTAGAAGACGACCACTACCCAAATCAAAGGCTAGAGAAATTTTCATCCACCATTGCATGAACTTGATCTCTTGATTTTCAGTTGCATTATTCCTACTGAGCGGCTATTGTATGGAAACTGTATACCTTTTTTTCACGCCTTGCCTTCAAACGTGTCTGTCCTTGTAACAATGCGAAGCAGAAGTAAACACCAGACTCGGGTGACAAACATCCCAAAGAAAAATCTGCTTGTGGTAAGCCAGACCGTCCTCCCCAGGTCACGAGCACAGGAGTTGGAGCGCCCATACACCAACCACATCCATCCAGCTTCCCACTAATGCGAACCTCCCACGCCCCTAAACCAAAATCCCAAGCTTCCAACAGGGTAGCTAGTCAGGACACGAACAGAGAACAAGATCCCTCCTTTGGATCCCAACGTGGCCCATGCAAGGAGAGTGTGTGTATCTGTCCCAAGCCTCAGCGTCTCTCCACTGGGGCTGCCAGAATATCATGGGGGCAGACTGTAAACTGCTGCTGGCCAACATGGCTACTCGAGCCCAAACCCCTCCTGTAGGCATGTCATTTCATCCAATCTCCAACTCACCATTCAGGTTCCTGCTTAATGTGCGGAACACCGCGAGACGGCTCCAGGCGTGGTCTCTAAATGCCTTGGTGCGCACCTCGCCAGGTAGTGTATTGCCAGATGCGGGCCTTCATGTCTCCGGAACCAGTGGCAAACAGGTGACCGGTCGGGCACGGTGCCACCGAGATGACAGAGTTCTTGTGACCCTGGAGCATCATCTGGGCATTGCCGGTGTTCGGATCCCAGAACTGTACGCCACGATCTTTCGACCCAGACATGACCCATTCACCGCCAGGAGTAAGGCAGACCGAGAGCACATAATCCTAAAGAGCTGGGTTAGAGTCCAAGTGCAACACGAAGGAAAGTGGGGGATCTCAGAGGACTTACCTTGTGACCTTCGAAAGTGCGAATGCATTTACCATCCTTGGTGGCACTTGTCGGAATGAGACCGCGTTGGGGTGTAAGCTCCCACATCTTGATAGTCTTGTCCAAGCTACCGCTGACAAGCTCTCGTCCACTGGGCGAGAATGCAACAGAATACACGCTGTCCTTGTGGCCTTGGGGTCCTTCCAGGCGATCGATGAGATATCCGCTCGAGCAATCCCACACACGCACACTCTTATCCAACGACCCGGCAGCAACGTGCCGCCCATCGGGTGACATGGCCACGGTGGTGACGCCATCTTCAATGGACAAAACCATAACCTGCTGGTTCGACTCTATGTCCCACAGACGCACGGTCTTGTCACCGGACCCCGAAGCTATCAATCGGCCGGTGCGAGAGAAGTCCAACGAGTAGATGTCTTGCTCGTGGCCGTCAAACGTGGTGCGAATGCGCTTGCTTTCAATATCCCACACGCGAATCCTCTTGTCCTCCGCACCGGTGGCCAACAGCTTGCCATCGGGCGAGAAGCACACTGAACGGATGTATAGATCTCCATCCTTGTCCTGGACGCTCTCATCCAACAACTCGCACACCTTGCGCCCATCCCGCGCATCAAAGATCTGCGCGCTACGGTTGCAGCCGGTGGCAACGTACTTCCCATCGTTGGAGAAACGGACACAGCAAACCACGGATTCATGAACAAGGTTATGCAGTAGCTGAATATCGAGAACCCGGGGGACGTTGGGGTTGAACACCGCATGCCATTCGCCATTGGGCCCCATTCGCTTCAAGTGGTCTGGGAGATCATCGGGATTGAGGTCGGCCAGGACGTTGCCCACGTTGGGATACTGCCCTTGACCAGGCATCTGGTGGCGAGGTGGCAGTTGCATATCACTTCCTGGGGGCGTTGGGCGAGGAATCTGGGGCGAGGCCCTGGGATCATTCTGATACGGCATTGGCTGGGGCTGGTTGGGATGCTGCTGAGGTGTAGCCGGTCCGGGGCCGCCTCTTGCCGTCATCGTTCGATTCTTGCCTAGTCCGGGTGAGTTCGTGGGAGGCTGTGGCTGTGGCGCGTAACCGTTCAAGGTAGGGCCTTGCTGATACCCAGGAAAGGAGTTGGGCGGTTGAGGTGGGCCTTGAGGCTGTCCCGCGGGCGGAGGAGGCTGTAGAGGGTGCTGCTGCTGCTGGGGAGGCTGCTCTGGAGGAGGTGCAAGTCCTGGCCCGCCCTGACCTTGGTTCGCCATGATTCCACTAAATAGACCACCTTGGCCATGTCCTAAGGACGGAGGTGCCTGCTGCGCAGGACCACCATGTTGTGGAGGGCCGGTGAGGTGGGATTGTACCTGTGGCCCTCCGCGCAACTCCAGTTCATGACGAAGCATTCGGATTTCAGCCTCATAATCTTGTTTCATCTTCAGCTGGTTCTGTTCGAGCTGGTAGACCTTGTTGCGGATCAACTCCATCTCCTGGATCTGTTGGGCCACTTGATTTTCGACCTGTTCGGAGGCGCGACTTTGATTTTCAAATTCGGCTCGCAGGGAGTCCATGATCTCGTTGAGACGGTGGTTCGGCTGCCCGGGAGGAGCGGGTCCCAAATTGGGATTGCCGCGATGTTGGGTGGAATTGAACATGATGAGCGTAGTCGGACGACAACTATCGGCGGCAGGCAAATCTGATGCCCAAGTATGGGCGAAGGGGGGTTTTTGGGGAGGTGCTATGAAGGATGGGACAAGTTGAAGAGAGAGAGGTTGCGACCAGTGCAGGTACCGTTTTCCACGGGCTGGTCGGGCGGGAGCGCGCTAGTGGTAAGGGGAGAAAAAAGGGCACAAGCTCATCTCAAGCCAGGCGAGAGGACCACGGCAGCGGATAGATCAATATCGCGACCAGGACTTGTACTGGCCAGATATCCGCGTGCGTGATAAAATGGAGCCTTTCGGATAGACGATGCGGGCAAAAAGACTGAGAAGAGAAGAGAGAAGAGACAGAAAGAGCTGGCAAGAGGGAGAGCAATATGGGGACCAGGTGGTTGATGGAAAGAGAAAAGGTGTGTCGGTGGAGGCAACAGCAGGAGGGTGACGGTGCAGGCTAAGGCAGGCGCCGGAGAGAGGACAAGGGAGGAGGGTGCGTACCAGATGGAGCCTAACCGGGGACGCCAATCATACCAAAGAGCCACAAAAAACGCAAGCGCGTAGCCGTATATTATTGTGCGGCGGTACGTGCAATGCAGGTGGCTGTAGCAGTAACTGACAACTTGAAGCTGTAGCCGTGGCCGTGGACGTAGCCGCAGGTGCCACACTGCACGCCTCAAACAGGAGGCACCCTGGGCTGCAGCCCCCCAGACAAGCCCAAAAAGAGGAGCTGGCACTAGGGGCCAACGCCCGAAAGATCCGCTTAGCACTGGCAGCCAATGCCACTACCCGGCCTAAGCTTGTACCTGGTAACTCTGTTGGCATAGTTCCCTGATCTTCTACCGAGCGGACGATTGGCGGGGCTGAAGATGGCCACGGCCCACGGGCAGGCGAAAGCCGCCAAAGACGAACCCGTCCGAGAAGTTGCAGCCTTTTGGATCATCTTTGTGGAACCATGATGCGCACCTCAGTAACACGTGAACCCAAAGGTCGAACATCATCGGGCGCCAGCCTCGTACTAGCGAGCAGACTTGTCTAAAGCGCACCGCGCAGCCAGCTCTTACGCATTTAGTCAGTAAGTCATGCAGGCCTGCTTAATGTATAAATATCTACCTGCTATCTAGAGGAGAGCAGGCTTGTGGAATGCAGTGACTGGGGAAGAACACTACGTACTACCTATGTATGTACCTTACTGCGCGCGCCACGTTGTGCGCAAAATGCCACCCCTCCGGCGCCGAACAAGCTTATTTATCGTCTCCAGTGGGCCGTCTAACGATGATTTGACCATAACCTTCCCGCCATCAGATCCGGGTGTTCTGCGCAGCGAGTGACATCCACATCCCAGGCTTCTGCACTCAAAAGGGAAACTACCTCAGGTACTATATTGTTAATGTTGTTCGTACAGAGAGCGCACCTCCGTATCTTCATGCGAATTGTATCTGGTGCCACATCTTGCAAGCTTACCGCGCCAATTACTGCCTATCTACTCTGTGGCTTCCAATCCATTTCGGTACATCAAGGAACAGTGATGATCATGACAATCCAAGCAAGCCATGTCTGGCTCTGTCCGGTCAGACATGATGCAACTGGATTCCCTCCGGCCTACGAGGATCAGGCATGCTTTAGGGGTTCTCGCTCTGTACGGTTCGAAGTTGGGGGTTTATACAGGTCCACCCAGGCATTAAACCACATCAAGGAGAGGGGCGACGAGGTGGCACAAATGATTCCATTTGCAACTCAGGTGTTGGGTCACAGAGTTCACCCGTCATCAAACGGATGCTGTCACCCTCGGATGGTGATAGAGTCAACGGTCGATGGGGGCTGTAGCTGACACCACAGGGCTGTTATACAAGGCTTTGCTGCTCCAGCTGCCGAGATCCAAGCAATTACTGCCGCATGACATTCCACATCCCTCTTCCCACAGCATTATGCCATCTCTTCCAACAGAAGTCTTCTCGCCACGCAAGGCTCGAGTTGGAGTTGCGATTCTTTCCTTCGCGGGATGCGCGTTTGTAGGAGGCATCCATCGGCTCGCTGCGCCCAGTCTTGAGGTCCTATGGTACATGGTATTGTTGCAGGAATTGGCGCTCGCGCCCTAGTTCGCAAACGGAGAGATTAAGCTGGTCTGGGGTCAGTTCTTGCTCCGGAGTCTGCGAGCTGGAAAGAAGGTACCTGATCAAAGCCGGTTTGGGTTCACTTCGAGTATAACCTGCACCAGTAAGCTTGTGGATGGTTGTGTAGAGCACGATCATCGCATACCCAAGTATAAGATCAAGGGAAGATACCCATAGTGGACGACCTCACGGGTGATGTCGATGATCTTGGAGATGCGCTCCTTCGACGCAGATATTAGAAGACTTCGATATTGTTCCGCGCGGTGAAATTTACCTTGGTCTCTTCCGAAAATTGCATCATCTTGAGGATGAAGCGTAGGATCTGGCACCGAGTACAGTATAAGGATGCTCTCGACGGCCTTGGAGATGGATATTGTCGTACTCTGTAGATCGCAGTGACTTGTTTAGGACGAAATAAATCTGGTGTCAGTGATGCAAAAGCTGCTGCCGCCCATTTGATGAACGATCAATGTCACGTGACGAGTTACTCCCGCTAACTCAAACCGGCAAGGCGGCATGATATTCAGACAAGACGCCTTCAAGTCCAACTTCCAAAATATTCTGTACAGGATATTATCCAACGTCTTACACGCAAATTCGCCTCCTACACTGGACAGTGGGTGCGTTATCCTCACAGGATCTGTTCTTGATTCTTCTGTAGCGCCCATAACGTACCAGTCGACATTCATCCAAGATGTCCGGCGCAAGACATTGGGAACAAGACAAAGATTCGACGATATACATCGGCAACCTTGATGAGCGCGTTACGGATGCATTAGTATGGGAACTCTTTCTGCAGGCGGGACGGATTGTCAATGTGCATCTACCAAAAGACCGAGTCACGCAGACTCACCAAGGCTATGGCTTCGTTGAGTTCACCTCCGAGGAGGACGCAGAATATGCCGCTCGAATCATGAACCAAGTCCGACTATACGGCAAGCCGATCCGAGTGAACAAGGCCAGTGCCGATAAACAGAAATCAGTGGAAGTCGGCGCTGAGCTGTTCGTGGGCAATTTGGACCCCATGGTCGACGAGAGGATGCTGTATGAGACGTTCGGCAGATTTGGCACTCTCGTTGCTCCTCCCAAGGTATGTGGCCGTAACCTTCCAGCCTCATGGCTCAAAGACCAAGATTGCTAACTCGGTGGCAGATCGCTCGAGACGAGAATAATCTGTCGAAGGGCTATGGGTTTGTTTCGTTTGCCGACTTCGAATCGTCAGATGACGCTATCGCCAACATGAATGGCCAGTACCTCATGAACAAGGAGGTCACGGTGCAATACGCCTACAAGAAGGACGGCAAAGGCGAACGCCATGGTGACCAGGCCGAGAGAATGCTGGCAGCCCAAGCAAAGGCCCACGGCGTTCAGCCTACCCCTGCGACCATTCCCATGGGCGGCCCAGTGTTTGGAGGCATGCCTCAAACCCCCGCGACCCCGGCCGGGTTTGCACCGCCAGGGGGCAGTTTCCAAGCCGTTCCTCCACCAGCGCAAGCCAGACCCCCTCCTCCGCCGGCCGTACCGCTAGCAGCGCCGCCAATTGGCCTGCCGGCCCGGCCTCCACCGAGTCAGGCTGGCTACGGCGGACCGCCACAAGGCTTCATGCCACCAGGTTTCAATCAGATGCCTGCAGGCTTCCAGCCCCCCAACGGCATGCCCGCTGGGTTCGCTCCTCCTCCTGGCTTTGGTGGCCCGCAAACCGGGGCAATGCCGCCGGCCCAGCCTGTTATGCCACCGGCAGGCTTTTCGGGATATGGCATCCGCAAATAAGCGCGTAGTAGCCATACAAGGCGCAAGGTATCCAGAAGAACAGTCGAGACTTGAAGCCATTTTGGTTTGGTTCTGGACACGGAGCATCGCTCTAACCGTAACAGTCTCGGTCTTGCACTCATGCAACTACTCGCTCGGCGTCCGGAGATGATCCACGCCAGTATCTCAACCACCACCTTGGAATGGCTGAACATCTTCCTCCGAACAATGCAATCGCGCACCTATCGGATTGCCCCGCCTATTTGCAAACCACTACGCATCACAACTCTTACACAAGTGTGCTAGTGTTCCTACATCTGTTGTGGCTCCGCACCCACTGTCACTTCTCGCCCTGCAGGGGCGGAGCGCGAGCAATCCTGATCGACGTCGACTATTCTAGAAAAGACCACGAACCGGCCGACGGGAACCATACCATAGAGAGAGAGAACCTCCACTTCTCCCGGCCGCCCTTGTTAGAGCTATCATAGAGACAACCACAACAAAACCAGACCCAGGCATCCAGTGTGCGAGGGAGCATTTGACTTGAGACCCCACACACGCGCTAAACGCAAAGGACATGCCGGATTACTGGCAACTGAGGCCCGGTTGCGGCACAAATAGCATCACATGGGAGCGGAGTCCTTCGAATTGACCTCCATACGAGCCAGCCTTTCAAGGAGATGAGTTAGCGGAGGCTCTTTGTGCCGCGGGGGATTCGATGGGGCCGTAGTCTGGAGTTCGGATGAGTTGTACAAGATGAATGCCGCCGGTGCATTAGTGATTGAGGGCGGAGCAATCGAGTGCCTTAGAAGATGAAACGGGAAAGAGAAAGGCACCAGACACGCCAAAGAAAGGGATGCCTGAGGACTGATACAGTATCCCAACTCATAAGAGCAGCCAATCCGAGCAGAAGATATTATATTTTTTTCCTACAAGCTCCCTCGTACTGAGAGCTGAGAGAGTCGCTTAGTATGCATGTGCCGGCGACACCACTCTGCTTTAGCCCAAGCTCATCAGACTGACCTTTCCGTCCAGCATTGATTTGATCCCCAGGGAGGACTCACCATTGACCGCGCCCCATGTCGAACGAGAGGTGGAGCCACTGCACTATTCGATCTGATCATCGGCATCGACAGCGGTTCCGTTCTGGCCATCAAGGCTCCCGGCAACCTGGACTTCTTCCATCTTGGTATCCTTGGTGACGGTCTTCACTTCAGGTTCTGGGATGGGCTTGGACAACTCTTCACGCACCCAACTGTCTTCGACGGCATATTTGCGCTGGAATACTCTCGCCCATTTGCCGCCCCATGCCTTGAGCAAGTCTTCCTCTTCGGCACGGAGAGCATCGCTACTCTCCATCATCTCATCCTGGTTGCCGTCGCGGATGCTGCCAACCGCATCTTCGATGATGCTGAACAGATTCTTCATCGTCTCCATTTCGTGGGCCAATGCCTGCTGCAGCTCGTCCTTTCGGTCGTCGGCCAGACCGGGTTGCCGGATTGCACCGACAATACTTCTCACACGTCCCGCCACCTTTCTGGTTGTTAGGCTCACCAGTTCGTAGCACCATGTTTTCGCGAGCAGCGTGCCTCGAGCGACATGGTCAATGAGCGCCCACTCGAGGACGGTGGCAGGTGTCAAGATCTGATAGTTCAACAATTTGTCCAAGATCACGACTCCCACACCGGTCTGGTCTTTCCAATAGTCCATGACCGATGTGATGATTTGTTTCCTGCACGCAGAACTCGCGGAGCTGATCGCCATGAGACGCTCCTTGCAACGTTCAATGCAGGCCAGAGCGTGAGACAACGACTTCGACCCGATCCAGCATATCGACGTAACGAACGCATCCGTCGAAGCAAGGGCAGGGTCTGTCAGTCCCGAGGCCGCGGCGTCCTGCTCGATCTTTTCGAAAACTGGTGTGAACTCCTCGTTGCTGGCTTTGCGCCGTATCATCTGTGCAAGCTGTTGTCCTTCGGCTGAAAATGGAGTTGATTCGTCATTGTATTTGAAGTCGGGCTCATCCTTGTCTTTGGCTTCGGAGATCAAAGCCTGGTACGGTTCAGGCAAAGTGCCCTTGATCCGTTTCGAAAAGCTCAATCGGATTTCCTTGTCCAGGGCGTCGATGATGAACGCCTTCTTCGGGTGAACATCGGGCAAGTTGACATCGTCGACCCTTGAATTCGCTGTCAGATTTTGCATCGGTTTCTGGGGCACCAAGGAACGTTACTTACCATTCGGTCCATTTCCACGTAAACCCGAAATTACTCAAATGATGAGCAAACCAGTCCAAGAACCGCTGGGCAAGCTCCAGGTCCATTCTGTCCACATTCCTGTACAGGTATCGAATGGCTCTCCCCAAGCTGGGTGCGACAGCGGCCGGCGCAAGTTTGCAGGTCTCAGTTAGTACCGAGTGGAAGTAGACCAATTTATGCTCAGGGGCAGGCAGCTGCAATAACTGGGAGAAGGCTGCATCGACGATGACATCTTCCGGTTTCCAGGTAGGCTTGTCTCCTGTCACTTCGCGCAGCTTGTCGAAAGGCGTCGCTCGTTTGACGAAAGTGTCTGGAGCAAAGTAGCAATCCACGTCAGTGAGGAATTTCGCCGCAACCATTCTGTTGAAGTCTAGGACGTTGATGGTGTCAGACAATGCGTCTCGGATCAGCAGGGCGGCAGTGTCAGAGGCGGTGGGCACTGTCTCAATTTCCTGTTCGCCATAGACCGAGAAATAGACATCAGGGTAAATAGCGCGTGGACCAGTTTGGACGACCTGTGGCACTGTCACCTGCGGAAAAGAGTGTTTTTGGGCCGCCGTCAGAGCGTCTTCCTCTTCGGCAGATCGAGTGCCTTTCCACGGACGAGGCAAGCACGACAATTCCCAAGAGTTCTTAGCTTCTTCTTGCATGTGCTTTTGAAGCAGAGCGAGCGCGCTCTCGGAGCTCGTGGGACCACCAACTTCCGGGTTTGGGAACGGGTCGACAAGAGTCTCCAAAGGGTGGGCAGTCGACGCAATGATGTCGGTCTTCTCTAACAGAGAGCTTGCCTGAGTCTCGAAACCGCTTGCCGAGGAGGACATAATGTATGGAATGGTCATGAGGATGACTTTGACGAGCTCAAGACCCAACGACTGTCGCAATGTTAGCAAATGCTCCGTATCCTGTTGAGGAAGGCGTACATCTTCAGACGACTTCATTTGCAAGTCCGCTGCCCGGGAGAAAAGCTCTTCGAGTATGGTGAAAATCCCGTCACCCTCGAAGATACCCTGTAGGCAACCAAGAAAGCGGAGGTACAGCTTGACTTCACGCCATTCTCCTATGTCCAGTCGACGCTGGAGTGCTTCGCCAATCTTGCCCAAGACATCGACTGTCAGTTCAGGCTTCTGAGAGTTGCCGAGGAGGACAATGGCGGCGATGAAAGGGATCTTGAGAGGTTGTTCAACAGTACTTCTAGATCAGTCTCTTGCTTGTTATCGATGTGTCATTTCTCTTACAGATGCACCACAAGATCCACAAACCCGGACGTCAGATCATGATCGAAGTAGTTTTCCGCGAGGCTCTTCGCAATGGTCGCAACATCATCCTCTGCTCGTCGAACCGGCTGAAAAATGTCAGTCCTACTCTTGCACCCCAAGCCAACCTCCAGGCCACCACTTACGCTTTCTGCGATTGACAAGACTTGTTTGCGCACAGTCACAGCAAGGGGCTCTTCGTAGCGGCGGCGTTGAGGACGGCGATCCTCGTAATCATCATCTGACTGATTTAGTAACAAGCAACATTTGGACAGGGTAGCAAGAGTAGCAGACCTCTGTATCTTCTCTTCCGGTTGTTGAAGTGGCTTCCACCACCACCACCACCACCACCACCATCATCGCCTCCCCTTCCTCCTCCTCTGCTGCGCCGGCGGTCGTAATCAGCCATGAGGTCAAACGGCCGTACTGGTATGTATGGTAGGGATGGATAGGCGACAAAGACTCGCAGCAACACAACGGAGTCCGCTGTAGTAGCAAAAACGGAAACTGAACCCAGGTCAGGCGCGGTTTGTCATTTGAAACGTGAAACTTGACCTTTGACGCGCACCTCAGCTGGAGATCGCAGCCTCCAGCCTCGACACTCGCTTGGCAGGAGAAGCATTAGGAAAAGTGTTCGCACGTCACGTGCTGGCAGACCCAGAGCGCGCCGCTTTTATATCCAGTTGCTTCGCACCTCATCTTTAGACCTACTTCTCTACATACATGTATACTTACCCTCCTCCTACCTGCTTCTTACTCTTCTCCCTACCCTGCCCTTACTCCTTACCTAGGTACCTACATTCTGTCCTGACATAGTCCCAGCTCTATCACGGTCTTCCACAGTTATCGTACCTAGACCACGGCTCGGACTCTACTTATCTCTTAATAATAGCGGTTACGAGATTCTATTTCTTTTCTTCTCCTTGATAGTACGAGTGATCTCTATTATAAGAGATTGCCTTCCTACTTTCTACATTTCCTTGGAAGCGCCGCTCTACTGCTGCATCCCGCTCCGAAAAATGCAAGCCTTGAGATGACATGCAGACTGGACGAACATAGCAATGATGACGACGGTGACGACGGTGAAAATGACTCCCGAGTTAATCTACCGCCTCACAACACATCTTCTCCGAGCTGCGTTCAAAATTCTTTGACCCCCGTCTCGACCTTGAGGCCAACTTCTCCGAGATTGTCGATATATGTCTGACCCAGACATGCGGGGGTGTACACTCCGCCCGTCAACCGCCCGCTCTTATCCTCAAGTAGTGTCCTTGCCCCTTGCGCAACGAGTGCCGCCGTCACTAGAAGAAGATTGAAAGGTCAGAGGAGAATAGAGTGGGGACGATGCACGAGCAGGAGAAATGGTGAGCAGGTTCATGAGTTTTGTGTGTGCGTGTCATTTGGGCATGACGTACAGTAATACATGCTTCCAGTGTACAAAAGCTTCCCGAAGACTTGCTTGCTCATGCCGGCCTTGGGCTCGATGTCGGGGGTTGCAACCGCTCGAAACTCGATGCTTTCGTTGCGGGCCTTCTCCCTGTCCGGGCCTTCGCCGGGCTTGAAGAATTTCTTCAACAGACTCCGGAATGGAGGGAAAAGAATGAGGCCGGCACCAACGAGCACGCTATAGTGCATGAGAAAGGCTCCGATGACGCCGTGGCCGTACATGAACTCGCGATAGGTGAATCGGGGCCCGTAGAACTCTTTCTGCAGGTTCGACTCTTGCTTCGTCAAGCCCCAGGTCCGAAAGACAATGGCGGCGTTGGCTGGCCCAGTAACGCTGGTCGTCAGCGTACCCAGACCTGGCACGCGAGTGACTCCAGAAAGAGATGACAGAAGGGATTTTCGAGGGGCGGGATGGTCGTTCGGGACCGGGGACAGTGCGTACGGCTTCAGGGACTGGCGTATCGTCTTGAGCGAATACTGATCAAAGATATTCATCAGGGTTGTGACGGTGCCTCCAGATGGGATCGACCTGCCCATCATCAATCACTGCGGGTCTTGTTGATGAAAGTCCGATTCTGTGGACAACTTACTGAAGCTCGTGCAGTTCCAGGACGACATCGCAGATCTGAGAGAACATTGTTTTCCTCGCCTCGGCGGCCAAAGCCCAAGTCAAGAGATCGGATGGAGCGGATTCCATGGCGCACTGTGGAAACATGCACGCGCCGCTGGCCTTGGCCATAGCCTCGTACTTTTTGATCATGGACATGGTCCAAGGAACCTCCGGCGTGCAGTCGAAATAATGGGTGCCGGCCTCAGCACAAGCCTTGAACGCATGCTCTCCATAACGAGCATAAGGTCCCACGACAGCGATTAGGCAAAATGTCTTCCGTGCCAACACGCTCACTTCCTCACCGTTGAGCTGGCAAACTTCGATTTCTGGAGGTACGAGATCAGTCTGGAGACAATCTTGAACAAGTTCGAACCCTGTGTCGTACCTGGTTCGCTGTGACCCTGTGACAAGACTTTACATCGCTCAACAACTTTCTTGAGCTTGTCTGTCGAGCGCCCGCTGACTGCCCACTTCAGATGAGCTGGAAGATTGGCCGCGATGTGCTCGGCGACCAGTTGTCCGGAATACCCTGTTTGTCACGGTGAGTAGGCGGTATACATATCTTTTGGGGATCACCTACCGGTCGCTCCAAACACTACTAAATCATACTGACGACCATGATCCTTAATCGGCATGGTTGATCGGTTGGTTGATCGGTTGGTTGATTGGTTGCTCGCTTGACTGTCAGGATGGTTCAACTATCCGGCCCACTCTCGATATTCTGATTCCCCGAAGAGATGGACACAACGCAAAGGAGCTAAGTCGTTAGTCAACGCGGACGAGAAATCAACAAGGCGGTAGACCTACACTTCATTTTGTATCCTCGTAGCCTCGTCTACTTAGTGAAGATGAAGCTACCAACAACATCGTCGAGGACGGCACAATAGATTTCTTGGCCGGAGCATCTTTGGCCCGGGATCGGACAAATAGATTGTCCACTCGCCGGCGACCGTTCCCCGTCAGGAATTAGATGCACATACAGAGTCGTGCCCATGGTCAGATTCGGTCTTCCTCTCCAATTCACCACAGATATAAGGGGAAAAGGTTCCGGGCCATATATGGGTTTAAATAGAGTTTATAGAGAACTTGTTCTATCTATCTCGATAGGGCTAGGGCATGCATTATCCGAACCAGATTTCTGGCACGTGATCTTATCTGAGACCGATTGCACACGTCATGGCACTGATATCATTCCGCAGCGATATCCAAGCGTCCTCGTTGCGCACCACTGCACTGCACCATGCTCTGCAGCGCAGCTGCGATTGCTACTGCATTTGCGTCGCAAAAGACCTTCCAAGGGGAAAAAGGCATGACCAGTCTTGATCCGAGTCTATCGCCTTACAGCGGTAGGTGTTCAAGTTGGTGAGATGCTAAGACGTTGATCTTTCCTTTCGCAGTGCAGTGGAACGCGCCCGCATCTGACTCCGTCTCCGTCATGCGAAAGTGAAGTGTTCGCATGCAGGAGATTCAAGTTGCACGAAAGGTCCTTACGAGTATCCAAAAGAATGAGCAGCGCTTGTTCTTTGTTCTCGCCGTCAAACGAAACCAATCGGAGCCTCCATCTCCATCTCCATCTCCCTCGTACAGTGGATTGGAAATGACCCTGCACCACGAGTGTGCTGCCTTACTTGAAAGACCACGACGTGACCACTGGAATTGGAATTGGAATAATTGACACATTTCGGCCGAAAGATCTGTGTGGCGACGAGGGTTTCGGCCCCATGCAGTTCAGGAGAACACGCTCCAACAAGAGGCGGAACAGTTCTAGCCATCGGTGCTGTGGTGTAGTGTGGTGGTTGAACGCATGAGTTTTCAAGTTCTTGGAGACCTCCCCTGCAGCACCATTCTACAGGAGGGGGCGTCAAGAACTCTCGGGAAGATACTAGGACCTCGGTGGAAGTTCGAAGTGTGTCGGTCGCACATCCCGAGTCTTTCTTGAAGAGCTTCGAGGGAATGTACCAGAGTCCTCCCGGCGTGCTCTGCTCGCTTTTAAACGAGACGGTCAATCGGCGTGATGCCGGCCGTACCCTGGGTCGGTCCGTCTGTGGAAACCATCTTCTTCGTTCGAGGCGAGCTCCGCCCCGATTGGACCAACGACGAGCTCGACGCAACGTGCATCACGTGTCCTACTTTGGCAAGTACAATACATAGCCTGCTTTCACGGCTGGTCTCCTGCGCGACAGCTTCTCGGAGGACGGTGTTAGAAAAGTGGAATACGACGCCGAAGTCGACAGGCCATTCTACTCCACAACTATGTTTTCCTTTCCTCATGTGTGAATCCAAGACAGGGGAGGAAGATCAAGTGTTACAGTGAGAGCCATCGTCCTGCTCTACGAGCTGAAGCCAAATATATTGAAGTGACGAGACCTAGAAAGCCCCCCCATACCTACCATGAGGGCTCTACTAGGATTAAGCACGCACCCTAATCACAATTTAAAAATGGTTTAGGATAAGGGTCGCACCCAAGAGAGGCCCTCTTAGGCGGTCTGTGATTGAAATCGTCTAAAAGCCTCGTCCTCCTCGAGGTGTACGCAGTAGCAATATACGCACAGCTGTGTGCCGTCCGCTGCAGATTCGGAGCACAAACCCGTCTGCCCAATGCCTCAGCTCCCGAGTCAATTTCATTCCCACCCATTCGCGTGGTAGACACGATGACCCAATAACCAGAGCACACCTTCCCTGCCGGACCAGAAACGGTCGATTTTGTAGAACATCCAGCTCAACCCCGTTTTTGCAAGGTCACTCATGAGCCACCAGCCCCAGTGACGACCTGCATGCCAAAGCCGTCGGTTTTCCGTTCGTGACAGATATCCTCTTCACAGCAAAAAGATATCCATCTAGACACATGATGACTGAATGCTAGCTGTAGGAGTCTCCGATGCATGTTGCGTGGACGCCAATGAACCTGCATACAATGATGGACACATCAACGGACAAAATCCCTCTCGGCGTCACGTCGTTACATATTTGGGCAAGTCTTGAATCAATCAAGTCGAGCCATCATTTCCTCCTTGGAAAGTGGGGTGAAATTGTCCAGGTCGAGACCCTTGGCCGCAAGGAGCGGACGGGCATGGGGCGGGACAAGTTTCGAGTTGAGGTGAGGCGCAATCGATAGTTCTGGTTCACAAATTAGCCTCGATGATGCCAACAGTCAGATAGAGCCGAGCACGAACCATGTCGAGAGAAATCAAACAGAGGGGGTAACTCGCGTGGTGCTCCACCAGCATGACGCGAGTCGGGGAGGCGGGTATTGGGATCTCTCAGCTCATCGAAGAAGGGGTGGCACATGGCTTCGATGGCAGACAGTCGTTGAGTCGGGGTATATTCCAGGAGAGCAGAGATTAACTCGATCGCGTCGGGGGATGCCTTCCGAAAAACCTTATTAAACGGATGAGGCTTGATCTGGGGGAATTTGTGCTCCATATAATTTGGGTTCATGGTGCGAATTTGGTCCCTGGTCGGGGTCCCGAGGACTTTGATGATCTCGACAAGTTGATCTATGCCCGACTCTCCTGGGAACAATGGTTGACCCAACATCAGTTCGGCCATAACACAGCCCGTTGACCAAACATCTATGCAAGTCAGTCACAGTAACACGCGAGAAGTGGACGTCCAATGTACATACCGATCTTGGTAGTGTAATTTGTGGCACCAAAGATCAACTCCGGAGCGCGGTAGTAACGAGAGCAAATGTAGGAAACATTGGGCTCGTTCTCGACCAAGATCTTTGCGCTGCCGAAATCACACAACTTCAACACGCCCGTTGCCGGGTCAAGTAAGAGGTTCTGCGGTTTGATGTCTCGGTGACAGATTCCTTGTGAGTGGATGTAGGCCAGGGACCGGAAGAGCTGGTAGATATAGAGCTTGACCTCCAAAATGGGCATGGTTGTCTTCAGTTTGTTGAAGTAGCGGGAGGCGCGGTAGACTGTCTCTGGGACGTATTCGAGAACGAGATTGAGGTAAACTTCATCTTTCTGTACACCAGACCTGGTTAGCTGCCGTACGGGAGGGCGCTTGGGGGTTGGTCAGAGTATGCGTACCCGTTCTCCATTTGAGTAGTAGAATGCTTTCAACTCTACGATATTCGGATGTCGGACAATGCGCATGATCTGCAACTCACGGTTCTGCAAGTCATCAGTGGATGTTTTCGGGACACGAGGTGAACACGGAGACCCGGTTCGCTTACCTTGAACCGTTTGTCTTGTAGGACTCGCTTGATCGCCGCATCCTCCCCGCTAGGCGACAACTTTGTCTGAAACACTACACCAAAGGAACCGTTGCCCACGATCTTGCACTGTGTATATTGCATCTCTCTTGTCTCGCCCGTGAGGCCATCCTGCACCTTCTCTCGTACCACCTCTAAGAGCCATAGTCAGCGCGAATACCGCAGAACGCCACCAGCCGTGTGGTGGCACAAAGACAAAGAGAACACATACCGCCCATGCGCAAGCCAGAGAAGACTCCTCCAGGCCTATTTTGCGACATTGTCGAGTGCTAGGGGAGTGTGGGATCCACTTTGGCGACGGAGCGGTTGGGTTTGGAAGCAGCAAATCTGAGGAAAGGAGCGACGTAAAGAGCTGAAGGAGCGTTGGCAGAGGAGCCGGGGTGGACGGCGGGCGAGATCTCGAAACCGGGGACGACAAGGCTTGCGACGACCGCAGGAGGATTGGCGATGTCGAGACTCGAGGGAAAGAGATGGTCGAGGGTCGAGAGGGTGGAGGAGCAGGTGAGGGTTGGCGGAAGAAGCGCTAATTTCCCCACTTTGCGTAGGTGAGGCTTTCAGAAATGAGGTGTGGGCACCGGCGTAGCGATGATGAAACCGGGGAGATGAGGGCTGTTTGACGGCCGGCGGAGATGCAGAGCGTGCTGGTGCAGCCGGTCGGTCTGCGTACGGTGGACAAGTGAGAATGAGGAGTTGGTGGTAGATGGTGAGAGTAATAAGGATGAGGGATGGAAGTGTTGCGAGGTAGCGGTAGCGGTAGCAGTAGAAGCGGTAGGTCTACAAGGTTAAGTCGAAACAAGGTGGAAGAAGCAGGGACGAGGATGAAGGTGAAGAGACTCTGAGAGCAAGGGTGCTTTAATCCTCACTTGAAGGAGAATAGCATGAACACAACCCTGACTCTGTTTTGGCCTTGTTGTGGATGAAGGTTGAAGGGAAAGGGAAGTGCAGCGCAGCGCAGTTGCAGGATCTTTAAGGAATCATAAAAGGTAAAGAAAGGTATGTCCTAGTATCAATTAAGGTGCAGCTGGTAAGCAATAATAACCTGATGAATGGGCTCTGGGGCACTGCACCGGGGCAGGGTCACTGGAGAGAACCTTAGCGACCACCGCACCTCAGGTACCTGGGTACCTAATGAATACTGCTTGTTAGTATTGCAGGCTGAGGTAGCGACTACGATTGTTAGGCGGGCAAGGTACTTTAGGTAAGGTTAAAGATTGCTTTAGGCGTCATTGGGCCTGTTAGCGCACGCCTAAGGAGCCGTTGCAGCGCTGGCACAGGCATCAGGCGCAGTGTGCTGCAAAGAGCAGCCCGGGGGCAGGGCGGGGGCTTCGGAGACTTCAAGACAAAAAGCCCAGGACTTGTACTGTGCTCTGTACTAGGCTGGCTGCCGCGCTCTACTGCGAGCCACTCGCTGCTTCCACCCAGCACAGAGGAACTCAACAAATATCGACAATCTGAGACTTGGATTGTTCACAAATTCCGTTGCAGCAAACAACCAGACAAAGCCAAGGAGTAGATGTAGCACACTGCACAGTAATAGAGTCGAAGATCATCCTCCTTCGCAACAACCCCCCTTTCCCCTGACGAAGCACTCGACGCATGAGCATGGCTGACCACTCTCACGCCCCAGTTGTCCGCCAATCCCAGAAGCCGACTCTACAGCCAGGTCGGGGGGATCCAGTAAGGAGCTGGCAAAGGCATTTGAGTGACGGCAGCTTGCGAGGAGAAGCAGCAGACCTGCAGAAAAAAGTGAAGGCAAGGCACTAACTTAACTGGAGGAGACGGCAGGTCAGATGATGCCCCTCAAAGCCCGCACTGGTGCATGATGTCTCCATCATCAACTAAGAAAAAACCACACCGTGAACCTGGAAATCCATTCAGCGTTCAAGAGTCTGGCTTTAGGCTCGCCCGCTGAGAGGGTCAGGTCCACCACTGACTCCCGACCTCCCGTTGACAAGCAAACTGCTATCCAGGCCTTGCCAGCCTCTTGACCAGCCAGATCTCACCCATTTACGAGAGAAGAGCCCCCCTGGCCCCCTAGGGAAGCTCGGTGACATAGTGGTTTGGACCGTCTGCTAACTGCGAATGATAATTGCCCCTGCACAAGAAGTCTTCCTCCACGTGCTCCTCTCACTTTCTGATGGCCATGACCAATTGGAGGCCCGACGCCTGTGCCTCGACCATGACTTGCAGTCTTCCTAGTCGGCGACCTTGTCCTTGTGGCGCGAAGCTCAGAACGTGTCAGTGTTGCCGAAGAGCTCCATGCATCTGAGAGTTGGGCACGGGAGCACCGCTTGTGCTGCCAAAGTCGGAGATGCAGCCTGACAGCCTGCCACACACATTTGGGAGACTGACGGGCCGGACGCCTGGCGACTCTCAGTCAAGGCCACAGGCATAGCACGGGCAACATACCATTTACTATTAGCAGCCGTATACGGCTGCATGGATCCGGCGGGTCGCCTCAGACGACCAGTAGCCATACACACAAAGCAATTCTCAGGACGGGGATGCCAACAACGTCATCCAGCGTCCGCTAAAGGGCTTTCGGAAGCTGAGGTGCGAGAAGATCAAGAGTCCCAACAACCAACCGTCGAAGCGAGGAGGCAAGAATTAGTGCGGATGGAGTACTACTCCATGACGCTCCATCCCAGGACCAAACCTTAAGGGGTCAAGCCAAGTGGCGGGCACGAGTCATCTTGATCCAAGGGTGGATTCAATAATACAGAGTACAGAGGTACAGAGTACGTACCTAACAGAGTCCGAGGTGTTCAACCCGCAAAGATAGGCCAGGAACGAGGGCGATTCGCAACTTTGGAACTGTCGCCCGGAACGGCGAGCGAGGCACGCCCGCACTACACCGCAACCGACTCGGGCAACAGTCAAAGATCCAGCAATTGATGATGCCTCATCCATTTCAGATCAGACCTCCGCCACCGTATGGCTTTCAGCATGGTGCAGCTCCAGCGAGTCGCCCAGGATGCGATGCCTGACGTCCCGAGACTCGCACCACGAAATTATCATCCACGAAACAGCAATCTGCGGCCGCGTGCCAGAGGCAGTTGTCGGGTTGACCAAAGGGCCACCAGCCATGAGAACCCTCCACTCACACACACACACCGCGCTCGCTCTCAACCATCCTCTATTTTAATTGCAAGCCTGGGAGGAGTTTGTGTTGCACAGGTGACCCATTTTGTCGATCTCTTGATCCATCCATGTTACTATTATTATTATTACCGACTACCATTATTGTTGTTGTTGTTGTTGACCGTCAAATCAATCAGGACGACCGTCAACAAGAAAATCATACCTACAAAGGCATTCCCCAAGAGGAAAATGTGTTCGCCGCCATCTCGCAAAGTGTCGTTACTGAATCCCAAGACTCCAAAGAAGCGGGCATGAAACATTATCGAAGCTAGATCAGTTGTTCAATGCACCTTTTCTGGTCGTGTGCGCCATTGGCGAGCTTGGAATCTGCAATCTTCACTTTTGGGCGCAACAAAAGACACATGTGGTGCGACTCGGACGGGGTTTAGCCTTCTAGCTTCTCGCCTCACCTTAATGAATGAAGCTACAGGTCCAGCGACAGTTTGTGTTGACTTTTAGCCCCCATTCCATCATGAGAAGCGCCCGATTCGACCAAGTCCGACAAGGTACAGTATTCTAGCATTCGATGTGCGACTGGTATGTGAGGCTTGTATGGACCACCGGAGGAGCTTGCTTTGCCCTCTGTTGGCGAGGCTGTCGAGTGTCTATCCTTCCCTCAACAGTTCTGCCTGAGGAAATTTGATATGCCCCTGTCTTTTCGAGATGTATGAGTTTACCTGCTACATCCTTCTTCCCAACAATGCAGGCCCCCTTCCCCGTCTGATGCCTGTCTGTTGGCTCGCCGACCACCCTACGCATGCTACCACCACTACATGACCAGCTGCACAAGGAGTCGAACAGAAAAGGCCCCTTATTAGAAAAGCAGCTGGCTGGCCAAACAACCTTCCTTTGCCCGCTCATGCGAGAGCACTGATCCGGCCACGGGCCTCACAATAAGCTGCCCTATTCCATTTACGCATACATCAACATAACATCCCTGCAAGGCCGGCTGCATTACGGGCACAAGGTCATGCATGGCCTCCCCCCTCTGCTGATGGGCCTGTTGGAACGCTCATCCATGTGTGTCGCTGCTGTCGCGAATTGCAAAGCCTTCGCTGCGGACCATTATCAGCCACGGGCGAGAAACAGCTCAGCATCGTCTCCTCCCTCTTCGACTCTACTAGCTAGGCGATGCATCGCTCGAGAGGCCGCGCGGGTCATCTCCCGTGGGCGTCAAATCATATGTTCACCTGTCGATGCGAGGCGGTGTGAATTTCGGAATTCGTCGTCTGCTGGGCCACAGCGAACACATTACTGGTGAAAAGGAGTGCACGATCTAGATCGACAAGACAAGAATTGAACGCAGGCTCACACGACCAGACCTAGTCATTTGGGTTCAAGCTGTTCGTACAAGCCTTCTATTACTATGCAGTGTGTCAGATCTCCATGACCGAATCCATTCCAGGTACGGCTTGGGGATCTTGCGCCACCAGAATTCGTCATGAATCCATGTACAGAATGGAGGCACAGGCATACTCCTCCATACTGATTTGAATGCCCAGCTCGATCATCCTTTTTGTTCCCCAAGGTATGCCAAAGACGTCACAACCAAAAAGTCAAAACGCCTGCAGAGGGCACCGGTATTGGATGACTGTCACCGGCCAGAGCAAGCAGTCACGACTCTTTTCCCAACGGAGGTTTTGGTCTCAGGCTTGCTCAGGAGTGAAGAGGGTAGTAAAACACATGTCGAATAATGTGCCTGATGGAGATGCTGTCGTAGCCGCCGCCGCCAGACATCTCGTCTGGACCCATGCGTTGGGCAGCACTAGCATCAACTGCACAAGCATGATAGCTTAAATAGGGGGAGGGAGCTGGTTTGAGGTATCGGCCCGCTCAGCGATCTCCTGCAATTCTTCTGGAGCGCCTTCCAGCGAGACTGCAAGACCGAGCTTGTGAGTGTTCTGTAGCGCAGGTCAGTAACGATGCTCAAGGAGGTTTGGCAGATCAACCACTCACCTTCCACTGGTCAATCTCGGCGGCGAATGTCAACGTCACCGGCGGTGCAACTCGCTTTTCGAGGACGACACCAAACTTGCCGGCGCTGTCAACCTGCGCGCGGTAGACGGACGTAGCGAAGTTGTACTTGACCCCAACCGTGGTAGTGCCTTCACGACGAATGCCACCAAACATGCCAGCACCCATGCCGGGAGCGAACTGCAGTTGGCAGTCGACGCCGGCTTCCACCTTGTCGGTCAACTTCCGGTAGTATGATGCTCCCAATGACCCTTGCGCAAGATATTGAGCGCTGGCAATCCAGTCCGTTCCCTTGTATCGGGCACAGTAAGACATCGCCGTCTCCGGTTTGGCATTGAGCGCGGCTCTTTGCCAGACGCCCTCGAGACCCAACGCGATTCTCGGTGTCACCGATTGCAGATAGCTTCCAATAACGATGCCAGTCAGCCCACCCTCGAGGACGGAAGGGCTTATGGTCTTGAGCGATGCCGAGAAATCTTCACCGGTATACTCGTTTTCAAACTGCACCATTGCCTGCGCCTGACGAGGATCGATCGAGGTCTGCGTCTTGGTCACGAATCGGGGACTCCATCTCAGGTTGCCCCACGCCGTCAGTGACTTGTCGCTGGAGTATGCGGCTTGCATGAAGACCTTGTTCGCAGGTTAGTCAATGCTTCGATGAAAGAGACAGAATGACAAGGCATTACATTTGAGGTTCCATACAAGGCCATCAACTGCCAGGGCGGGAGAGCTTGCGATCCCATTGCGAATCCATGCTGTAGCCGAAACAAAGGAGACACGCTGAAGATTTTCTGGAGGTCACAACGCAGGCCGGAGAACATAAAATTAGATAGGAGGACATCTTTCTGCACTTCGCGCGCTATGTTATCGACGGTGCCCGGGTTCTCGAGACCCAGAAGTTTCCTTCGCTCTTGTAGGCTCGAGTAGGTGTCTGATAGGGCTGCAGAGATGGCATTGTCGGCCAGAAAGGCCAGCGGAGATGACGACGATTTCTCCTCTATCAACGCCATGATCTCAATACTTGATGTAAATGTTTTGGAAGTAGGTGCCCAGTCCGATTGTCACCTCCCGCGGACAAGATGACGGCGACGGTTGAGGAGATGGAGGAGAAGGGATGAGGAGCTGGTGATGAGCTCTCGTGATATTCCTAGGTAGGGTATTGAGAGATTGCTGGCTTCAAGTCGTCGTAGTAGAGCTCGACTTTTTGCTGCGCAGGGAAATCTGAGGAGCGAAGCTGCCAAGCGACTCTCTTGTCCAAGAAGCCAATCAACGGGCGACATACCGTCTGACGGTCATATATTCGGCATTTAATACCAAAATGCCGACTATCTGCGAATAATGGCTGTGTCAGACGGCATCTTTGTCCTTCCCCGGTCTTTTATCGTCCTCTACCAACGTCGCTCGTTGACCAATGCCACGGACAAATCAATGCTCGGCCATTGGCAGGGAATTGCAATTGATCTTCCAAAAGAAAGCCATATATCTCCTCTGTTGACCTCCTTATCTTGTCAACAGACAGACGCAATGACGAGATTGTGTTCGTGACGAAGCCTCTACCGGCAGACAAACGAGTCGACGATTATATTGAGCTTTCCTTTTGCCCGTTCGGGTGCTAGGCTCACCCCGGATTCCCGCCTTCCATATCTACGTACTCCAGTTCAGCCTGTTGTCTGTTTCGAGAGTCGTCAATCCAACCTGGTCATCAGTCGTCCAACACCATGGATACTCTGTTGACCGCCGAGTCCGCGGTGAAATCGCCTCGGTATAGACGCAAGTCCAGCACATACGTGGACGCCATCCACGACCTTCCCGACAAGAGCGAGCTGGCGCCTGCCCAGCTATACAGTACCGAATCTGGACGTCTGTTTCATTCTGGTCGGATCGCCATTGCTACCGTAGGGTTGCCCGCCCGGGGCAAGACACATATTTCCGTGGCACTGGCTCGATATCTCCGGTGGCTCGGGGTCAAGACCCGGATCTTTCATCTCGGGGACTATCGAAGAGCCATCGTCGGTCCGGGCGGGGACGTCCCCGACGACTACTTCTTTGTCAACGCCTCGGCCTCGTCGGTCCTGTTGCGGCAGAAGATCTTGAAGAAATGCAGAGAGGACATCTACCACTTCCTCAACCATGAGAACGGACAGATCGCCATCTACGATGCAGTCAACCCCCTCTCGGCGGGGCGAAGATCTCTGGCCAAAGAATTTGCCAAACACGACATCAAAACCCTGTTCATCGAATCCAGCTGCGACGACCAGCGGATCATCGAAGAGAACGTCCGCAGTGTTAAGATCTCCTCGCCGGACTATGTGGGATGGTCGGAGGCGGATGCCGTCAAACATTATCTGAGCAGGATCGCAGCCAAGATCCCGCATTTTGAGACCATGGAGGAACAAGACCTGGATTGGATCAAGATGATCAATGCCGGCCAGAGACTGGTGGTCAACAATACCAGCTTCGGCTACCTCTCGCACCGAATCGTCTTTTACTTGTTGAATCTGCATATCAAGTCTCGACACACGTACTTTGCACGTGCAGGCACGACGCCGGAGGAGGAGTCCTTCAAAGCAGACGCCTCGTTGTCCCCACAAGGAAGAGACTATGCCAGAAAGATGACGGCCACGTTGCTGAATCACCGGGAAGAGGAGAGGAAAGCTATTCATGAAAAGGGCGGGACCGAAACTCCACTGAAGCCACTTATCGTGTGGACTTCGACCCGGCGGAGGACGGTGGAAACGGCCGCCTTCTTGGAATCAAAGGGATTCAAAGTCAGGCAGCGGTCTCAAATGAGTCAGCTGAATCCCGGCGTGTGCGAGAAGAAGTCGGAGCGCAGGATCCGTCAAGAGTATCCCGAAGAAGTCTTGAAGCATGAGCTAGACCCATACCACCACAGGTTTCCCAGGGCTGAGGTATGTTCTCTAATATAATCCTTGACGTGGACGACGCGAGCTGGCTGAACTGAACTGACTTTTCACCAGTCATACCACGACGTCGCTGTGCGCCTGGAACCGGTGATCCTCGAGTTGGAAAGAGAGCAGAACGATCTCCTCATCATCGCCCACGAAAGTGTGCTTCGTGTGCTATATGGGTATCTGATGGCGTGCAATGCCGCCGACATTCCCTTCTTGTCCTTCCCCCGAGATGAGATCATCGAGGTAAGCCGGAGTGGACTGTGATGCACCAGCCAAATCAATACTGACAGTCCTTCAGATCATTCCTGCGAGCTATAACAACGAGGCCAAACGCATCAAAATCCCTGATCTCCCGCCTGAGATCATCCCCGCGTCACCCGAAGGCATCCAAGCACCTGCTCCGCCCAGCGGGTTCGCCACCCCCATCCCCGGCCTCGGAAGCGGATTGGCAAGTCCTCTCGGTCCTGGTCGAGGGTCTGGGACGCCCGAGCCATCGGCATCTGGATATAAGACACCAGAAGACTCGGAGAACCTGTCTATCCGGATGCACGATGTGGTGTGAGATTGATCGGACGGCCACGCTCTTCTTGTCTCGTGGTACTCGGGCCCTTTGACGACGACGATACGCACACGTATTGCTGGGGACTTGATCTTTTCGGCTGCCTTTCAGACATGATGTTGACGGGTGGCTCTATATCTCGATGATGGCTGCACGGTGCTGCTGTGGTGCAAATATTGTTTTTGCTGTTGCTTGTAGTAGTAGTCCATAGTGCTTTTGTCACAAAGAGGCCTCGTTTCTCAGCCACCGTGCAGAGTAGACACGAATAGGATGTTATCCCGATTCTGAAGTTCATATTTATCCTCGCCCTCGAGCTCCCAATCCGAGTCGTTGATCAGGACGAGAATGCCAGGTCGTCTAAGAACGAAAGAGAGTGGGTTAGTTGTTAGGCTGTCTTTTGGACTCGGGGCTTCGACAGATACATGAATGTGTGTGGAAGCATAGGTGAAAATGAAAATGACATACACTGCACCATCCAGTACGAAGAGTTCCTTACGAGAATCTTTCATCAGCTGCTCGCAGATGTATTTGACCAGGTAGCCCACCGTCAGCGGGTTTCCGTTATCGGCGGTGCGGGAAAGTGTTAGTTCGTGTTTGTTGATGTTGTCGAAGAGCATTTCGAGGCCGCCGCTTTTTTGTTTGGCAAATCAGCCCGTCAGAGTCGGTGGTAAAGAGGGCATTACTTACGTGAACTCGACTGTGATTGTAAGGGTGTCTGTCATGTTGACGATGTCTCTGCGCGACGGTTCTCTTGAAAGATATGGTCCGTAGGTAGATAGATATGGCTTCGACAGGGTCAACACGCCTCGCCGAGTAATATAGTGAGAGTTGTGTGTGGGCACCTTTGGTCCGACAGGATCGTGGACAAGGATAGGGAAAGAGGGGATTTGGTCAGCTGCCAGCGTGAGGGCGCAGGGGAAAGGGGAAAGTGCTTGGTTATTGCAGAACCAACTTGAACTGCCATTGACTGTGTAGATGTAAGGGTGAGAAGACAAGGCTGATGCAGTGTGGCAGGAGAATCACAGCCACATGATCACGTGACAACGGTGGAGTACTAGTCCTCCTCTGTAGGTCCTCAACGCGGAGATCAAGTTGCCTATTTTATTCATCGGTCAAGTCGGCTTCACGCTTCACTCTTTCTCATTCCTACCATCTACTCACCACTATCACAAACTTGAGAACTCGCAGCAACCAAGCAACTGAACGATCGCCTCATTTTCGCAGACGCCCACCTTCAACCAACGTCTGTTCTCCTCCATCTGCATCTTCGAAATACCTTCAGACACAACCCGACAATATGGTAAGTCTCTTTGCGGACATTGCTTCTCTTTGGAGTGGATAGATACTAACTCGACCACCCAGGGCAAACGCAAGAAGTCGTCCAGCAAGCCTCAAGGCCCTAAGAAACGGGAACCTCTCGCCACGACATTCACCTGCCTCTTCTGCAACCACGAGAAAGCGATCCAGGTGAAACTGGACAAAAAGGCCGGCGTCGGCAATCTACACTGCAAAGTCTGCGGCCAACGCTTCCAGACCGGCATCAACTACCTCTCCGCCCACGTTGATGTCTACTCCGATTGGATCGACGCCTGTGAAAACGTCGCCCAAGAAGCCGCCGCCCAAGAGGCCGAAGATCAGAAATTCAGCAGCTATGCTACCGCACGGTCAGGAGCGGCTGCGGCAGGCGGCGATGACGAGGAAGAAGTCGACGCCGAATACGACGGCTATTGATCTTTTTCTTTACTGGAGTTGATGTTTATTGGTCATTCTGGGATCAGTTATGGGATATTATCATGCATGGCATTGCGGGAAAGCAGTTCGAGACACATCACTTGGGAGTGGTTGTATACAAGGGAGTTATATGGTGGAGGGGCGGAAAGTCGCATTACTCGGCTGGAATACAGGGCAGATGCTTTTGAGTGTCTGGGAAACATCTACACCGATATCAGAGCAGCAAAACATATCAGAGCATCTCCTCCTAAGTCTCCTCTACGGACATGCCGGCCCGATATCCAGCGCGTCTCCAACATACATCGATCGAGGTACCCAACCGGGATACCATCTGAGAGGCCATCGAGTATTCAGCTCTTTATGGCGACGAATGGAATCGTGGACATCATCTGCATTCGGGCGGCGCAGGAAATATGTTTCGCAATAAGGTGGCGGGGAGGAATTGGCAACATTTCTTTGAAACCAAGTGGCAGGGTCTAGTGAAGGAAGAGCAATACATGCGCGGCTATTCCATCTCACACCAGAATCCAAGGAGATGATAGGGGCACTGTGGGTGGCGTTCTTGATTTTGGTGGCATCTTTGGCGGACGATTGGTTGGGTCGCTGGGCATCGTGGCCACAACTGTGGCGACATCTCATATTCTATGGGCAGAGCATTTCATCACTAAAAGGGTTGTTGGGACTGATATGAGGCCGTGTCAATATCAAGCCAGGCAAATGAATGCAATATTCCTCAAAAAGTACTCTGACGCATCTCTGAATGGGAGCTGACTCCTGCACTCTTCTTCGACTGACGATATTTTGCCCACTCCAGCCAACATGATCGGACCCAGGTTCTTCCCGGGGCTTGGTGAGAGTGATATTTATGAAAGCAGAGATGAGATGAGAAGGACGTTGATTCTTTCATGTGATGATTATAACCAGCAATATCCGCAGTGACCACGCCATCCACCAGGGTCTTTGTTAAACTGCCGTCAAGTTCGAACTCACACCACCCAACACCGTCATCTACATGACTCATCCCGATGCGCTTCGTTGGCGTTTGACTCTTCTTGCCCGACGACTCAAACCCCATCTAGTCTTTAATCCATGGCTCGGCAAAAGTGCCGACCCAGTCCTCGACCTCCTTTCTCAAGGTCAGGATGTCCGGCACGTCGGTGCCATCCTTGAGGTATTCGAGGAAACTCTTGACGGCGCGCGGGTTCTTCTTGCCCTTGCTCTCGGCATCGGAGCGGGCCTTCTTGTCGACGTTGATGGCGATGGAGACGGCGCGGTCCACGATCTCGGCGACTCGCGAGAAGTCCTGAGGCTGGAAGCCGCGGGTGGTCATGGCGGGCGAGCCCATGCGCAGGCCGCCGGGCTTCAGGGCCGACTTGTCTCCGGGGACGGTGTTCTTGTTGGCCGCAACGCCGCACAGCTCCAGCACTCGCTCGACGCGGGCCCCGTCGATGTCCTTCGACTTCAAGTCCACCAGGACCAAGTGGTTGTCCGTGCCGCCGCTGACAATGTTGTAGCCCAGGCCGCCCGTGTAGGCGGAATTGCCGAGCCGTTCGGCCAGCGCCTTGGAGTTGGCCAGCACGGTCTTCTGGTATTCCTGGAACTCCTTGGACTGGGCTTGTTTCAGGGCGACGGCCAGCGCGGTGATGGTGTGGTTGTGCGGGCCGCCCTGGTGGCCGGGGAAGACGGATGCGTTGATGGGGCCCTCGAGATCGTACATTTCCTTCTCGCCTTTCTTGTTGGTGCGACGCACGCCTTTGCGGTAGAAGATCATGGCCCCGCGAGGCCCGCGCAGAGACTTGTGCGTCGTGGTCGTCACCACGTCCGACTGCGTGAACGGGCTGGGGATCACGTCGGCCGCAACCAATCCGGAAATGTGCGCCATGTCCGAGAGCAGGTACGCGCCCGCTTCGTCCGCGATCGCTCGCATGCGCTCATAGTCGATGAGTCGGCTGTATGCCGACGTCCCGGCAACAATGATCTTGGGCCGGTACAGGAGTGCGTTCTCGCGGAGCTTGTCGTAGTCAATCAGCCCCGTGGATTCGTCCAGACGGTACGGGAATGTCTCGAAGTACTTGGAGACCATCGAAATCTTCTTGGTCGGTGTCTGGTAGCCGTGGGACAGGTGTCCGCCGTGTGGGAGGTCCAGACCCATGATTCTCTCGTGGGAGGCAAGCAACGCTGAGTAGGCGTACAGATTGGCCGGGGAACCAGATAGCGCTTCATGGAGTTAGAGTGGGATGATCCCCGTAAGTGGGAAAAGAGAGGTTGAGCCTTACGCTGGACATTGACACCCCATTCCTCCGGATTCAACCGATACGTCTCCAAGGCTCGCTTTTGGCAGAGCCTCTCGGATTCGTCGATGTGTTCGTTCCCGCCGTAGTAGCGCGCACCAGGATATCCCTCAGAGTACTTGTCTGCCGAATTATTAGATCAACGTGTAGATGTTTGGGCAGTGCAAACGGACTCTGCATGATACTCCCTAGCGCATCTAGCACTGCTTGAGAGGTGAAGTTCTCGGAGGGAATGAGATTGATGAAGTGCTTCTGCCTCGCTTTTTCCTGAAAACGGTCAGAGGGAGCTGGGGTCTGAGCTGGGATCCATCAAAGCATACCTTTTGCAAGATGGAATAGATCTCAGGATCTGCGTCTTTCAAGTGGTCGCCGAGTAGCTGGGGTCTTGTCAGATTTGGCGTGCGGCACGTCTTCACTATGCAGCACTCGTACCTTGCTCTGCGCCTCGGACAGGGACGAGGCGACCGCTTTGGACGATGACAGCCCTCTGACCGTGGCTCTGCATGATGAGCAGACCGAAAGTCTGGAAGAAGACAGGGAGAGGGGGCCCCAGATCCGCCTGGAGGCAATAGAACGGGCCATGTTGCAGAGTGAAGCAGGGTGAGTGTTCGAAATCAGTCGAATATAAGATTTCACTCCACTGTGAAAGGTCGGAAAAGCACAAAGATATTATCAACTGTCAGACCTGCTAGTATTGTTCTTCGATATCGACAGCAGGCAGCCACAATGCTCGACTTGCAACCGAAAGATATCTCCCGCCCAAAACGCCTTTCAGTCCAGATCCTCTTTATGAGGGGCCAGACTCCTCAGTAGAGAAGAGGAGCCGTAGGTTAAATAGTCCGGGACGGGATAAATTCTGTCTGGCCTTTTGAGTCAAGATCAAGGAACGAAGTCCAATGCTCGATTTGCGGAGATTCGCCCGATTCCGCCGTCGCTCTCTACAGGGCAGGTTTGCCGAGAGCACATAATTTTCACCACGACAAACTGGAAGTTGCCTTGATTTCTTCTTCTTTCTTCTTCTTCACAACTAAATCCAAGATGAAGAGAACCTTTACCGTCCGTCTCCAGCTCTCGCGCTTCAGCTTCGGCTGGAGGTCTGTGGGCGATGTTGACATGTCCTGGGTCCACTCACCACCTTTGAAGGACAATTTGAAAGAGACTGATTGGAGATGTTGTTAAACAGACTGTTCACAAAGCTTCAGCTGTGCATGCTCTTTGGCGATATCCTGCGTCTCTCGTTGATATGCTCTGTCTCGGCCGCAGCTCTATGACCTCTCTCCCTGCGCCTGTCGTCTGTTATAGGCACCTCGCCATGTGGAGCACGATGGTTCACAATCGGGAGGCAGGATGGCCATGGAAGTCTTTGCGGGAGCTCATATATTCTGGCAGCGCCATGCACAAGGTGGGATGTTGGAGAGTGTTGAACATTCATAGTGATAGCAGGAACCTCGTCATTCCTACACATGCGACAGGGAGAAGCTATTGGTGGTGATACGTTGATTGGTTGATTCTATATTCCACCGTCACGGCTATGTCCTGTCATGTTTGTCGTTGTCGTTGTTTCGCTGCTATTTGAGAAGACAGAATGAATGATTGAATGAGACACTGATTCAACGGTAGCGACTGCCACTACTGACCGTTCTCTCCATTTCCGAAAGTGCTAGCAATGATGTGAGGATATTGATGGTATGCATTGGACAGATACAATGAACAGTCCCCCTACACTGCCCATGGGAGCGATAGAACCCTGAAGACCCCCTACCCAACATCTGAGCCCTCTTGCCCTGCGGCAGGATGCTATCCCAACAGCACGAGGCCTCACAACGTTGTGTCGCGACAGCTTTTGGCTGCAAGAACAGGCTGTAAGGCAGTCTCTGCTCGGAGTGCGAGGCAGTGTGGCAGTCAACCTCCATCTTGGCCAAGCGTGAACTCGACTGAAAGGCAGTGTGGTAAAGTGAAGCCAAGTGCCTCAGACGCACTGTCGTGGACACAGCGCATCGCCTTGCACGTGAAAGCAATATCACTGCCTTGTCGTCGCGTCTATAGAACGCGTCTCGCCCAACCGATCTATCAATCTGTCGCACCTCGCACTCTTACTCCCGCACTCGCAGTTCGCTCTCTTCTCTTCTCACTTCTCACTTCCAAACAATCAACGCACCTCGTCTCCAGAAGACTCCATTCAATCCAGATACCTCCTTTTCATCGCCGAGCCACTATATAAGTGCACTGATTGTTGCCGCGCTGTCGTTGCTTATCAGCAACTCTGACCATCATGTCAGCGCAGGCAATGACTCTGCGCTCTGGCGCGAGGTATGCAGACCTACCTAAGCCACTCGGCACCATCAAATTCAAGGAACCAGTTGACGATGACGACGATGATGACGACGGGACCGCTGCTGGACGAACCAGAAAGAGAAAGAGAGAGGCAAAGGCGGCCAAGGATAAAGAAAGACAACTTCGCGCTGACGCTCGCGCTGAACGTCGCTATGGAAAGGCGCCTGCAGCCCCCAAACTCACCGACGACAAGGTTAATATGTTTGCCTATTTCCAGGAGGCGGATGAGGGCCCCTCTAGCAAGAAACGTGCAAAGACTTCAGCCAAGGGTGCAGACAAGGGTGCAGACAACAAGCAAGATGAGGAATCCAAGAACTTTACCTCTCTTGTCTTGAAGGACGGGTCAGGGAAGACAACCTTGATCAATCTCGACTTCACCTTGGCCAACTTCCTCGCCCACCGCTCGCCAGAGCTGCTTGCTCACATGGAAGCTGCCAAGTCTCTACAGACCTCAAGTGACATGCAGATGGTCAGCTACATCGCTTGCGACCCCAACATGGTCAACAAAGCGCCGAAACTCAAAGCACCGAAACTCAAAGCGCCGAAAATCAAAGCGCCGGTCCGTGCGGGTCCAACTCTCCTCGGCCTCCCTAGCGAGCTTCGCGTCCCGATCTATCGTCTGCTCTTCCTCCGAGGAGGCCCCATCGATTTCACCGAGCGTACCAACTTCTGTCGCTCATCGGGTTTGCTGAGCACTTGCAAGGAGATCCTGAAGGAGGGTCGCAAGGTTCTGTACGGCGAGAATGCATTCCACTTCGCTCGCAACCTCGAACTCCGTGGAAAATACTGGGAAGCCATCTGGAAAGAGATCGCATACCACGACGTGAGACGATTCTTGGAGACGATCGGCCCGGTCAACGTGTCCCACCTCAAGCATGTCTCTTTCATCTTGACCGACGGCGCGCTTGGCAAAACCAATAGGTACATCCCCATCGATGAACGTCGCTTCGTCAACGACGCCAATTTGCACCAGATCTTTCGCATCATTGGGGCCAACGCCACACTGCACAAGTTAGCCATCCAGGTTGCAGGTCGCTGCAAACTCGCCAATTCCGACCACCACTTCCTCAAGGCCATCAGCGAAGTCAAGTGTCACGAGCTGATATTTATCAACAAATACCGCCATGAGATCGCGAAACTCCCCGACAAGATCAAGGCTCAGCTGGAGGCGGCCCTGGTCATCCCCTTCGACACCACCGACGTCATCCATCCGGCATACAATGACAGAAACAAGGTGCCCATGTATTGGGAAGGGATGCCCGGGCTGCACCACCCAATCACCTTCATGTGACCTCCTAGCAGAACCAGTGAAACGAAGCGGGCATGACTGATGTCAACAGTCACGCAGCATGGATAGGCCTCTTTGGTCTATTTGGCACGCTCGTGAACACTGGATAACTGCGCACCACGGAACCGACGTCAAACGAACCGGGTGTTGAAGAAAAGGAGTTCTGGCATTCTGGCAAATCCGAGCTGGCAATGGGGTGGACAGAGCTGGGGTTGGATTGATCTTTGCTGGCTGTCGAGCATGGGAGCGAGAAAGGACGAGACGGCTTGCTGCTGATGCTGTTCGTCAACAAGGAAGAGAGTATCCAGCCGACAATCGCGGTTTGCTGCACAGATGGGTGGACTCGATGGCTTTCTTCCTTCTTCTTTCTCGTGTTTCGACATGACTTGTACGGTACCTATCAACGCAGATCAAAGTGATCACACAGTGCTCTTGTTAGTTGAGCACAGACAGACAGACACACAGCATAGCCAGCCAGAATGCCAGAGGAATTTGACAATAACCATTGTTTCTGTTTCATTGTAGACCAGTTCTCACATTCTTCACCGGGTTCACTCTGGAGATGAAGACATCTTAGAGAATCGTAGTAGTACCAACTCCTAACTCTACCTCTTCAGCAGTGCCTCCGTACAGTAGCAGTAATAATACAATGTCCTACTTTCTGGTATGCGATAGATAGAAACGTAGTTGAACTGAAGGAACAACGAAAAGGAAAGGGAAAGGGAAAGGGAAAGGAAAAGAGAAAGGAAAAGACGTGTCGTCGTTGGAAAAGGCAAATCACGTGCTCCCTATCCCCTGCAGTGCGAGTGCAGTGTCCCTTTCAAGTTCTCGGCGGCTGGGCCCTATAGTAATCTATACACAAGTCCGTGTTGGCGTATTGTCTCCATCAACAGCGGGCCCAAGGCCCCAATGTTTCTCCGCCCACTTTAACTCTTCAAGTTGTGCCTTTCCACTGTTGGGGCGATGGAGACCTCATTTCGCGTGTCTCACACCCGGCTCGCAGTCTAGTTGTTATTAGTCAGAGTACGTATTCATGGTCAACTCAACTCAACTCGCCCACATATCCGTCCGAAAAGAGTAATACAGAGAAAGTAAGGTGAGGATGGGTACAGAAAGGTACATTGGGTCTCTGACAGTGATTGGCATGGTCGTCTGAGCGAGCCCACTCACTCAATACCTGTACATAGTAACATACGAACTGGGAAGTTGATGATGGGGGTCGCTTGTTAAATCGTGACAGCTCGGTTCCTTTACCACGGTCCTGATCCAGGATCTGGGTCTGGGTCTTTACAGTACAGAGAAGAGGCGAACTGGAAGGCGAAGGCGATGTTCCGGTGTGTATGTGGGTTTGGGTGTAAAGGACCTACCATAGGTACCTAGGTAGGGCGGTTTCTGTATATCCTGTGTCTGGATCATAATGGGTGTTGTTACGTACTACGTATGTGTGTATACACTGTGCGTCTCTCTAGGATCTACTATGTAGATTGCTCGTATACAGAATCTGGAAACAGATAGGCGAGGGCGTTCTGGTGGTTGGTATGAGGAGAAAGAAGGAAAGGAAGTGAATCATTAAGTTAATGTGCTTCTTGCTGCTGGTGCCTTGGAGTTTTGTTTGAGGAAGAATGTGGTATGTATGTGTATATATATATATGCTTTCTCTCATCTGGGTCAAGTGTCTATTATATCATTGTTAAAGGTCAGGAACTTGGTAGAAGTTTGTTGTTGTTTGCAGTTGACTGTAGAGTTGTGACCTGGTTGAGTGGATAGTGGCAAAGCATATATATAGTATATTCATCAGAGTCCAGGAGCCAATGCGAGTTCTCAGAGCATGTATTCGTCAACGACACTACATAGTTTCGCATAAGGATTCGTCAGTCAGTCAAGGTGATGATAGACTGGCCCGTATCAAGATACGTAAGGTCATCCTTCTGGGAAATCCATCAAGAATTGATGGAGAGGAAGCAAGCATATCGTTCGATTACTGAAGAGCATCGGTCTCGAGGCAGAGCACAGACAACAGAAATAGGACTTCAGTGATTGGTTGACACCCTTAGCTTTTGTTTGTTTGTTTGTTTGTGGCCACTGTGGGAGCATCGCTTTTGTTTGTTTTGATGTTGCCAATTGGGTCTCTGTCAGAGGTTTGAAGGTGCATGATCCATAGCTATGACCATACAAGGCCGTGACAATCCGGTAATTCGGCTCATGTTTTTGGTGGCGATTGATGGAAAGACGTTGAGGAGTTCGTGGATGACGGCGTTCCAATTCACCTTTCTCGAGCCATAACGCTTTCTCCTGAGAGTGGTTACCCGTTTGGGAGCATGACTACATACTCCTACTGGCATGAACTAACAGTCCCATTGGTCGGATCGATCCAGGTGTTTCCTAGTTCTATTAGCTGTGGTCCAAATCCGGTAGCTGGCGTCTTTGTTTGATTGTGATCGAAGACCGAACAATGCCCCATATATATGTAGAGGTTATCCACAACCGCCATGATGGCGACACTATTCTCAGTAAGTGATAGAGAGTGACTCTAATAAAAGAATATCATCAGACTGTGGTTTTGAGCTTTGATTTGCTTCGCTTGAGAGGAGAACTTCGTAGACACTTGGGCCGGTCTCGCTGTTCTGTTCCGCGAGCTTGTTTCCTAGTTCTCGGCCTAACATGTTGACCTACCGGTTATGGATATTGTTTTCAATGGTCAGTGCTGATCATCAACAAACAACGAAACGTCAAACTCTGAGCGTCAGCCTGTTCTAGATGTTCGTGGCGATCGGTTTGCATCATCACTTTCGGAGTAGTCTACTGTCCCAACATCCTTGTCATTTACTGCATACTCTTTGGCGTGCACTTGCAGCGTCCGTGTTTCCTCTCATGCAGGTCATCCGCCGGAAAGGCGGCTCAACAGTGCTCCAAGGCAGGAAGGATCTACCGCATGGCTTGGTTCGTGCTGGAAGATCTGGAGCGGCAGGCGTCTGCGTCCAGGATACTTATCGATTTAGCGTATTGAAGCAGCGCGGAGTAGCGAAGCGGACAACATGAGATTGCACCGTCAGCGGCGAGGGAGATTTGGGAAAGCGTAGACGGAAAAGCGTAGGTGGTAGACGTTAGCCAAAGAAATGTAAAGGTGGAGGAGCATGAGAGGATGGAGGATGATTTAATTCCGGGATGAAGTTGACCAGGTTCCAAGCTCCCTCAGCTCAGACGCCCATTGGCTGGGTGCGGGTCCGCAGACTTGGCACTCATTTCCGCAAGGCGCCAGGTCTGATCACCTTTGAATCCTGCATCCAACGAGACCGGTGGGTGAATAAGCAATCTCAAGCTTTGCCTCTGGGTGCTATGGGACACTCGTCGCTTCTCCATACTATGGCCCCTTTGCTGTAGCACGGCGCCGGTGACGGCATAGTGTGCAAGCTCGCCGGCAGAGCGAAACACGGTGGTCGACTGATGGCTTGAGCAGGCTCGAGTGACCAGTCACCCAGACCCTAACCAGGGAGTACAGAGCTACGTACCTCCTCATCATCATAGATGAATGGCGGCTTCCTCCTTCAAGCTCCGATCCGAGAACGTTACCGTTGTCTTGGGCAAAGAATAGTGATTGGCACGTCTAGAAGGACAGAGAGATGATTATTGCTATCGGGGCCAACCGAAGGGGTCCAGCTCTCGTCCATGGCCCACGCTGGGTAAACAGCTTCATCTTGTTGGCAGGAAAATGGATAGAGGTGCCCTCGGCCCAAAGACCAAACTCCACGGACGTTCTAATCGGACATCCATCATAATAATATGAAGATTGAATCTGAGATGGTCCAACCACCAAAACAACATACCGGTGTGATTCAACAACCATCAATGCTGCTCAATTGACGGTGACATTGACAGCCTTCAGAAGCAAAGGGCCGCCATGAGAGCTTGCAAAAACTTTCCCGAGACAGCTCGGGCGAGCAGGTTGATGGAAGTCGTTGCGACTACTCCGCCACAATTTGGACCGGCGACCCAGACCGGCCAATGGTGCAATGGTCTGGCCTGATGAGGCTGCGCTAAAGAGACGATGTGGATGTGTGCAGGGAATTGCTGGCGCTACCCCTGACGCCTCGACATACATCCTCCACCAACATGTACCCACCGCGAGGCCCTCACAACAAACTCGTGGCACGGCTACAGCACCATCTGGATGGACACCAACAGGCTAAGATGATACCCTAATTTCCTGCATCTTGCGGTCCCTCACCATGATCCTTGGGTGTTATATATGGCCGAGACTCTCTCCTCCAGTCTCGTACTTTCTTCTCTTCATCCCACGATCGCAACTCCAACTTCCAGTCACTCGTTAGACTCGAACAATCCCGGTCCTTGTACCACGACACTCTTTTACAACTCCAACAACAATCCACTACCAGCTTTCTAATCAGCAATCCACCCCCTCAAACTATCAACATGAAGGCCGTCGCATCTTTCGCTGCCGCTGCAGCCATCGTCTCCGGAGCCGCCGCTGTGCCCGCTTCCAGCCAATGGGCCGACTGGGGTGTCAACGCGACCACCACCACTGCTGCTGCTTCTTCAAGCGCCTGGGCCGTCCCGGATAGCTACACCACCACTGTTGTGACCGCCATCACCACCTACTGCCCCGAGGCCACCCAGATCACCCACGCTGGCAAGACCTGGACCGTCACTGGTGCCACCACCCTGACCATCACCGACTGCCCTTGCACCGTCTCCGTCCCAGTCTGGACCAAGACCTCAACCTCGTGCAGGTAAGCACATACTCCATGTTGACATTCAAAAGAGCACCTGGCTAACTTTTCACAGCGAGACCCTCACCACTGAGACACCCGTTGCCGAGGTCTCCTCCGTCTGGGTCTCCTCTGCCTCCTCCTGGGTTGAATGGGCCTCCACCTCCGTCGCCGTCCCGGCTGTTGAGACTTCCATCGTGGGCACCCCGGTCGTTGCCACCTCCAGCGCCGCCTGGGCCTACCCACCATCTTCCACCGGCCCTGCTGTTGCCGTCTACACTGGTGCTGCCAACGCCCTCGTTGCCAACGTTGGCGCTGGTCTTGCTGGTGTCGGTGCCGTTGCCGCTCTCCTCCTGTAAATGGTGGATTGATTTCGGCTGTGAGCAGGATCTGTTGATCCGTTCGATCCAGTGGTTTACGACTTCCTGAATCTACAATGGATCTACTTTTCCGGTCTCATGGCTCTGCATTTGACTTCTTGATCTAGTGGCTCAGGGGAAAACAGCGATCAGCCAGCGCTGTTATTAGCAGCATCCGAAGGCATGGACTTATGGCGGACATGACGACTTGCAATTCTTCTTGCATGCTACACCCACGGGCGCATTGGATCAAGTTTATGGCTGGTCGTTGTTGGGCATGTAGGGTCTCATCCCTGCATTCAGACCCTGGGCGTCAAATTTTATATTAATGAATGGACATTTTTTTTTTCAGGATAGCATCTGCATTGCGAGTTCTCGGGGTATCCAAAATGTGATGTTTCTTGCCTAGTGAAAGCCTCCCAACGTGAATCGTTTCCATTTGGCACTGACATCTCTGGTGTCAATTTTGGGGAGGTGTTCTCTCGGTCAATTTGACCCAGTGCTTTGACGAGTATTCGCGTTTTCCCCAAAATCCCCCTCCATCGCTCGTCATATTGTGATCATCATCACAAGTTTGCGTCTTTTGTGATTGCACTATTTTATCTGACAGCTTCGGCACGTCGCCTGCTGTCAGATCCCCCAGTGACAGCGGATACTGATTTCTCTGGGACCCGGATACTAATGTCTGACACCGACACCCGGACACTGTTCGCGTGGCGTGCGCTTTTGTCAACAAACAAAGAAAGTCGAATGAAATTGGAGCCGCACGAGCCGGATGACAACCACCTACCTGTAAGCTTGTATGTGGGAAGCTGTACAAGCAACTTGCAGTCAGTTTAGTCTGTAGGATCAATCAGTGTGCTCCTTCTTATCATTTTGTTAAGAACCGTCTTGTGAATCTTTGCGGATCTCTCGGGGCCCTTCAGGCACTACCTTACTATATGCAAGCCCATGTATCATCCCGTTCAACTGCATGTTTTGCGTCGTCATTTCCTGGTGTATGATAGATGGATGCTACAGGAGGACGTGGATGAGGTTCGAGGGCAAGAGAATGAAATCCGGCTTGTCCAAGTACATAGTCAATCTTCATCTTCATCTTATTAGTAGTACTTTTGGCAGACCAAATCCTCCTCCGCGGACGTGCGCAGGACCCAATGTACCGCTTTTACGTGTAGTGACCAACTACATCTTGAGTATACACCATACTGTACGGTCTTCCACCCTTACGGCGTCACCGTCCTTATCCAACCTTCTTCGACATACTGGGCATACTTTGTCCAGAAGTCTGTCTTGACCTCACTCTCGGTGGCAGTCGTATTGGCACCGCAGTTCTCGAGAAACCCGCCGCTCCGTGCGTACTTGTCTTCCACATACTGCTTGTATTGCGCAACCGGGCAAGATCTCCCAGGTCCAGACTGGCATGCAGGAATGGGATAGACCGCATCGTTGAGACGTACTCGAAGATACTTGGACCCGCAACCACAGCTCAGGCGCTCGAAGGCGACGGTGCCTCGCATACTGACGAACCGCGAGGCGACATACTTGCGCGAATCAGGCATGTACGTCGAAGGCAGCGCCGGCTCGTCGTCGAAGACCCCGATCTGGGCGACCAGTTGGGAGATTTGGCCGTCGTTCAGAAACGCCATGGTCAATGGCTGCAGAACGCCAACATCGCCGGTGCTGTTCGAATAGGTGTCGGTGTCCAACATGTCCGCGATCGATGCCAGAAACGGAAACATCATGTATTTCCCTTTCCCCTCGTCGCTCCCGGGGCCGTTTCCATAGTAGTACCGCAAGTCCTGGAAATACTCGTACTTTCTGAACTCTTCGGCCGTGAAAACATGACAGAAGGGCGAGACTGTGCCGCAAATGGCCGTCTCGAACCCACACAGATACTGCATCGTCGCGACGTCGGCTGCCGTGATGTTGAGGTATCCGCTCGTAATGTATTCCTTTTGCAGCCGTTCGGCTGTGGCTGGGTTGTAAGTGGCGCCCCAGATGGTGGTCTGATTCGCGCCAGAGTCGTCATGGTAATTGGGGCATAGGTCGGAGGGCGCCAGGGAATTCCCCAGAGCGGAAGATGAGCCGGTACTGTTGACCGCAAACACGGTTCCCAGAACAGGCCCCTGGCTGGCGTTCACTCCTAGGTATGCGCGCAGAAAGTTTTGCGCGGTCTCGATGACTCGAGGGTAGTCGTTGGCAAAGACGTGGACAGGCCCGCCGGGGCTGAAGAAGTCGGGATATCGGGCGCGCAATGACACGCCGAGGTCGAAGACCTCGCGATACCCAGTTATGGCTTCACTGGACAACTGGAGAGAAGGGTTTTGGACAGGAAGAGTCCACGACTGGAGGAAGGATAAAGGCCCCGTGGCGGTGAAGGTCGAGTTTTGGATCTTTGAATGTTGGTTCAACTTAGCCAATGCTCGAAAATGATCACTGTTTGGGCAGAACAGCGTCCTGATCAACAGAATCGCCTGGGCCCGAAGATCCTACTCACCTTGTCGTAAAGGGTGACCCATTCTCTATATGCTCCGGGGTCTGGATACCGGGATCCATGTCTCGACACGTAGACTGCCTGATCTACGCTGCATCCCTCAGGAGGATCTGTGCCTAGTCCATAAACGTCCGGCCCTGGTGAAGGATCAATATCTTCTCCCATGTACCAAACCCGGTGAAGCAAACAGGTTGTTGAGGATCATTAACGTACCAGGAAACCACGGCCCGTTTCCTCCCAACCACCTCAAAGGGTTGAATGGTGACTGCAGGTCACCGCTGTCGCAACCTTGCAATTGTGGGAATCCAGCACCAGTGGAAGCAAAATCACAACACCCGAAAGGAAGGAGGAGGGCGGACGTGATCATCCACGACGCAACAAAGGCACGTTTCATCTTAGCTGTTGGATCTCTCACCAGAGTAAGAAAGATGCGACGGAGACAGCCCCTGACCTTACCTGAAAGTCGAGATGAAAGAGATATGTAGGATCTTACTAGGTACTTTATAGATCCCTCGTGCGTCCAAATTGGGTTCTTGCCATATAAACCACTCGGCTTCCTATCAGTCCATGTGTCGTGCTTTATCCATCTCCGTTCTTCTAATCCACTTCTCTCCCTACCTACAGACCATTTCCCTTCACCACCTACCTAGGTGTCTTCTGCTCCGCCTTGGACAAAGGCAGACGAGGAAAGCAGAAGACAAGAATTGTGCAAGTAGTGGAGATGAATGCTCAATATATTCGAGAGGACTCTTGACCTCGGAGTGGCTAAACCACATGAGTTGGACTGGAAGTCTCACGTGTAGAGACGATAGGTACACGGTTGCTGTAGATATCGAAGAGCGGACGGCGGACTGGCTGGCGACTCCACCGTCTTGATATTGGAATCATGGACCAAATGCTAGTATGGCACGTGGATTTGATCGGAGTTCTTATTGGAATGTGACATTCGTCCCGTAGCTAAAGGTCAAGTAGTGCCGAGGTCAGCCTCTACGAGTAACGAACTCGATTGAGCCATTATCGACGATGCTCCCATAGGTTCTCATTTCGATGGATACCGCAAACATGAGGCTAAGGTACGAAAGAGAATGACTGTGGTACAACGCATTCAAGACAGAGATAGATATACAACTTGATTGTTGTCGGTGCAGTGGATGACAGGCTGCCGCGCCAAGGCTGTAGTTGTGTCACGTGCTGCATCACGTGATCAGGCTGAAAATCATGATCAAGATGGTTGAAGAGATCACCGTGGTATAATGAAACGTCCAAAATACCTGGTTGCCGGTTTTCCCCTCTTCAAATGCCTCTTGAGGTTGAATATGAGTATATTAGCGTCGGTGGCAACAGACATAGCGCTGCAGCCGACTGGTCGGCGTCTTCGGGCCTGTTGGCCTTTGGTGCTGACCAGAACGTTGCCATATGGGAGCCGTTGAATGAGACTGGGCGTGGCATTACAGCTTTGCTTTCGGGACATTCTTCCAAAGTCACGGCAGTAAAGTTCTTCACAGGCTCACAGGAGCCGCTGACTGAAAATCTGGTGACTGGTTCGGCGAATGGTGAACTTTTTCTTTGGAAGATCGACGGTCCATCTCACACCTGGACTTTGCTCGACAAGGCCAAAGCGCATGACGGGACCGTCAACACCATCGCCGCATACGATGGCAAGGGCATTCTGGCAACAGGCGGCGCCGATGCAAACTTGAAACTATGGAGGCTCGGCCAAAGGAAACTTGAGCTTGTGGCAACGCTTCCTCTCAAGCCTAGATTCATCCCCTTGGCTCTAGCGGTCGGGCTCTTCCCCTCAGGTGACTCGGGCTTCCTGGCCGTTGGAGGCACACGAAATGAGATCCATATCTTCGCGGTGGAAGAGCTGGCGTCAGCCCCTCAGATACGCTTGTGCGCATCGCTAAAGGGACACGAAGCCTGGATCAGGAATCTGGCCTTGACACCACATCCAGAGGGTGGCTTCTTGCTGGCGTCTGCGAGTCAGGACAAATATGTCCGCCTCTGGCGCTTCCAGGAGGGAGACGCCGTACTGTCGAACAAACCAGTCGATCCGACCACTGCAGCAACCACAGGGAACGCGTTGACAGCCAAGGTCCAGACAGTGGCGACCGCCGATGGGAAATACTCCATCACCTTCGATGCACTCCTCCTGGGTCATGAAGACTGGGTATATACCGCTACATGGCGTCCTTCAGCTTCAAGTCCACAGTTACTTACAGCCTCGGCAGATGGATCGCTCTCAATATGGGAAGCAGACCCAGCGTCCGGGATCTGGATCAGCATATCTCGGCTGGGCGAGATCAGTACCCACAAAGGAGCGACGACAGCCACCGGTTCTGCTGGAGGGTTTTGGACAGGACTATGGAGCCCCGATGGGAGTATGGTCACCTGCCTGGGACGTACGGGTAGCTGGCGCCTGTGGCAGTATTCCGAACAAACACAATTCTGGACACAACGACACGCCATCAGCGGACATGTCAAATCAGCGAACGGTATATGCTGGGCACCGGACGGGAGCTATCTTCTCTCCACCAGCTCTGATCAGACGACAAGATTGCACGCCGAGTGGAAAAGGGGGACGAAACGAAGCTGGCATGAGTTCTCTCGCCCCCAGATCCACGGATACGATCTCAACTGCATCGCGAGCACATCTCCGTATCAGTTCTCCTCGGGCGCAGATGAGAAGCTGCTTCGCGTCTTCAACGAGCCGAAGGATATAGCGAAGATGCTTCACAATCTGTGTCAGATCGCACTGCCGCCAGAGAAAACGCAGTTACCAGACACGGCTGCGATCCCGGTTCTTGGTCTGTCCAACAAGGCGATGGATGACAACCACGGTGACCAACGTGATGTTGGCACGGAAGAATCGGATCCGAATACAGCCTCCAATGGGCTTGGGCCATCATTGCTGGATCTCCAAGAACCTCCAACAGAAGACCTTCTCTCCCGGCATACTTTGTGGCCAGAGCATGAAAAGCTGTATGGGCACGGTTACGAGATCTCCGAAGCCGCGACGCCGGCGGATGGCAGTGTTCTGGCAACTGCATGCAAGGCGAGCTCGATTGATCACGCCGTCATTCGTCTTTACGATACCAACAACTGGCACGAAATCAAGCCACCACTGACAGCACACTCTCTCACGGTCACTCGGCTGGCATTTTCTTCTCATCCGCCAGGATATCTACTGAGTGTGAGTCGAGACCGGCAATGGGCAGTGTTCCAACGGGGCAATGGCGATGTTGTACGAAACTGGACGCGAGTGGCCATCTGCCCAAAGGCGCATAGTCGGATGATCTTGGATGCTGTGTGGGTTAGCAGCGACCACCATCTGACGTTTGCAACGGCGGGGAGGGACAAAGTTGTGAAGTTATGGTCGGGACAGGAGGGCGCGGACGGCCCTGAGTTTGCATGCAAGGCCTCCATTGCCCGGAAATCCGCGGTGACGGCCATTTCTGCCTTGTACAATGGTAACGGTCGTTCAGTGCTTGCAGTTGGTGAAGATGATGGACGCATTTCATTACACCTGGTCAACTGCACGCAGGATGGCCTTGAAGTCGGCGCGAGCCTTGAAGTGGACAGCTGGTTCTGTCCGTCAAAGACGGTGCATCGATTGGCATGGCGACCGATCTCTGATCCCGGGGAAGATGATCGCACAGGACAACTGGCGATCGCGTCAGAAGACGGGTCTGTACGGATATTGAAGATTGATCTTCAATCCTTGTCAAGCGAGTGATATTGAGTCTGAACGAGCTCTAAACGCCACAACATGAGAACGAGCTATACAGAGATGGTGTTAAGACCATATCCTTCTGTCGGTCATAATAGCACCTTGTCCAGCGCCACGGGATGCTGATGCTGATGCCGATGAGGACGTCGATGCCAGTTGCTCGTGATCTCCCAGAGATGTTGAAGATCAGACGGGGTATCAGAGGAAAATGAAGACATATATCCCTTCCCTCCACAAACAAACCAAAATCTGTAACCGTGTACAGGATACAGGATACAAATGAGACACCATGCCATGCCCGCGAGTCCCATCTAATCATGCCAGCCCAAAAAACACCAACCACTCTCTACCTCCTTTTCCTCTTCCAGATCATCAATCTATCCTCCTATTCCTTCCCATCATCTTTCGTTTCCTGCCCATAACCGCCCAACCCCTCGAGACTCTCATAAGTCTTGTCCTCGCCAGTCCCCAGGCGATTTCTGGGCCCCCTCTCCGCCAGATCCTCCTTCAACCACTTCAAGACCAATTCTCCCAAGCGACTGTTCCCACTACGATTATAGGAATCGGTCTCGGCATCATATTTGGCCATGGCCCCCCACTCCTTGACACGGCCGAGATGCATATGGACGAGATGCGTCGGCCACCCAACCAAGTTGTCCAGGATATGCGTGGCATAGACGATGGTGGCGCCCCTCCGCTCCGTCTCGCCACGCAGCCAACCGAGGAAATTACTGCGACTGAGCAGATCCAGATCGACCGTGATTTCGTCCAGGAGCAGAATGTCCCACGGCCGAATCAGGCCCATGGCCAACTGCACGCGCCGCCGCTCGCCGTCGCTGACCGCGTGCATGCGCCAGCGGAGGTCGATGTCGAGGATCCGCACCAGCTCGTCGCGGCGGTCCGGGTAGTAGGAGCCGCCGACGGAATCCAGTAAGATGGGCACCGCGATGTCGGTTCGCACGATCGGGTTCAACACCCATTCCAGGCCCAGGTACGTCACGCCCTCGAGACCCGCGGAGAAGGGGTCGACGCCGGCAATGCGGATCGTTTGCGCCGGTGCTAGTCTCTTGCCGGACAGGAGACGGAGGAGAGTCGTCTTGCCCGCCCCGTTGGCTCCGATCAGTAATGTCCGGCTGCCGCCAGGTAGCTCCAGTGATATATCTCGTAGACCGAGTGATCCGTCTTGGAATTTGTAGCTGAGGCCCGTCACGTTGATGTCGGGTCCCGTCCCGGCTGGGGAGTCTTGGTTGGACATCCTTGACATATATGGTGAACAGTGGCAGTGGTGTCGGTGACTGTTGACAGAGTGGGCTGGGTTGGTTTGTTCGTCCACTGCAGAATGGAGGTGTCCAAGGTTGAGTGGTTGATTGGCTCACCTTGAGGTTTGCTTGAAGTGGTACAGGTGTCCAAGATATGGTCGTTATTGATATTATGTATATTTACCTTGTACAGAGCTCTCGTGGCGAGGTTTTCCCGACTCCACAATCTGTAATAGATGTCTACATTCGGCCCAATTACACGGAGTTGTTGAAGAGATTGGGGAGTGAAGATAGCCTTCCCGCTCTCTGACAGGCCAGACCTTTAACCATATCAGGCAACCGCTTGTCGAAAACGCCTATTACGGAGTAGACCGCACCGCAACCGGCAAGGGCCCGGTTGTATCGTACGATCGGTGTATATATAGGCAACTCTGCCCTGGACACCAGCATACATTGTTGATATTGGAGGTGCTTGATTATTGTACAAGCCTACGTCTATCTACAGGAAATGGACGGGGCTTTCCCGCCCAATGCACCTTGATGGGACTGTGTGATCCGCCGTAAGCCACGCCAAGACCGTTTCCGCTCCGGTCGACTGCTTCCGACTTGAAGGTAGTAGGAGCAGTGACTGACTCGCTTCAAGTTGGTTGTGGTACACGGGGAAATGGTGGTTCGAGGATGCGTGAGCCTGGAACAGTGTGTAGCGCGTCGGACCCTTTGCCTGCTTATACCGATTCCTCCCTGCGTGAAGATACCTGCATGACCTGGGTAGATATCAGCCTGTTCATCCGGCGCCTTACCACGGCCGACGACGACCGCCGTCATTTGGCTCTCACAGGCCAAAAATCCCAACGCTCGATCGCAAGAGCGTGATCGCTGCAGAGGAAGGAAATATAATGATTGCCCGATGCCAACATTGGCTCGATCACAGCGAGGTTGTGCCTATGGCAGGTTGAAAACCACGCAGCAAGAACAAGCGCAATCAGGAGGAAGGTTCAAACAGTTTCCGCATTTTGGGTATATCCTGCTCGTGTTTCATGAAAAACCCGGAGCGCCACACAACGCCCTGCATGCTTATTGGCCTTGTAACAATCAAAGAATTCTATGTTTCGCTCGGTCAATCCTCGCTCTTGACCATTGATCGACCATCCAGATAATCCGTAACGCGTTCATTTGAGTTCGTTGAGACGTGTATGAATCAAAGACATGTTGAATCGAGAGGCGTGCCTCTTGTGGTCACTGACAATAATTGGCAGGAAACGCCCCTTTCACCCCTCTCAGCTCGCCTTGCCACCAATCGTCGGTACTCTCGGTCTTCTTGATCACTCTGATCCGGTCGCCTTCGCGAAACACTAGATCCCCTTCGCCTTGACCTTGGAAGTCATACAACGCCGTCACAAATAACGACTGCTGAGAAGGCAGTCTCGGAGGTGGCGGTGGCGGGCGCTTTTTCTGGGCGATTGAGGCCGCAGAGGGTTGCCGATCTCGAGAGAAGTAGTCCGTATTTGGTGCAGCAGGAGAGTAAGCCAGCGGAGTCTGATAGACCGATTGTGGCGAAGGGCTGGCCATGATGTCCTGGGGTGTGGCAGGACTCAGCAGAGCATTGCCTGGAGACACTGATATCTTCGGCTTTGTGTCATGTGACGGAGAAGCAGGCAATGCCCGCGCAGGTGAGACAGACTGTGTGCGACTGAAAGAGGAATTGGCACTGGGCCGTCGAAATCCGTTGGCGGGAGGTTGAGCATTTTCTTGGTTCATGGGTGCTCTGATGGCTTTTCCATTGGCCAAAAGCGTCAACGATTCAGCCTCGTGTTGCACGTGTTTGAAGGCATCGTCCCACAGTCTGATGACTTCGTCCATTGGCGGACTTGGAGACGGGAACCCTTCCTCCGTACAGTACGCATGCAGCAAGGTGTAGTGGTGTCCCAGTAAGCTATTCTGGATCTGAACCTGAGCGCCAAGGAAGTGTGGGAGCAGCGAGAAGACAGACGTCAGTAAAGGGGGAAGACAATGTCTCAAGTGTTCGTCGGCCGCCGAATAGGTTTCAGTGGCTGTTGCAAGGTCCGACTGGATCTTGGCCAGAGCTGCATTGTCTCTCTCAGATCGTTTGGTCTTCTTTTGAGCCGACTCCGCTCTGCTTTGGTATCTCTCAAAGTCCAGCTTGCGATCCTCCCTCTTCTTGATCGTCTTCCGCATCGTCTGAAGGCTGTCTTTTGCGACTTGGGCCGGTTTGATCAGCCTGTCGTCCACTTGAGCCAAGTCTCCTGTGAGGTCTTTCATCAAGTCGGCATAATCCGATGTGATCCTCTTCACTCGGCGAAGGATGTGATCCGGGGTTGGCGCCGGCACGTGGCCTTGATAGCCGTCGCCCGCTCCCACGATCGGGTTATAGAGGATCTCAAACTCTTCAACGATACGGTGTTGATGACTCAGGATGTTTATCCACGATTCCCGCCATGCTTTGGATGCCTCGATGATCTTTCACGCCGTTAGTGGACGGAATACGGCTTAGGCGGGCAGCAACACTCAACCCACCTTTGTCAACAGCCGATCGGCTTCTTCAAAATCTTTGAGGAGGAGTGAGACCTGTTGTTCATCTGCGCTCCTCTTCATGTATTTGCCAAAATGCCGGTGGACGCTCTGCATGGTGGCTGCTGGGCGAGGGCAGACCCGGCACAGCGGCCCTGATTGTGTCCTTTAGAAGATCCAGGGCGTCAATGGAAATACAGGAGGCATAGGTGGTGTTGGAGTGAGCGGGAGGAATTTGGTGGCACGAAGCCGCCAAGGAGAGGAGAGTCAAGGGATTGAAGTAGCGGCAGTGATAGTGTTGGTAGCGGTGGTATCGGTGGTAGCAAGCGCAGTTCTTCTTCTCCCTTTGCCTTGCTTTGGTGGCCAGATGCGGACTGTGGACATGACTTTCTGCAACGCAAGACAAGACGCGTCACTAGACGCCGATCACGTGAATTCACAGGGCTGTGCTGCTCCTAATCATATCGATCGCGGACTGCAATTGCTTCCGTAGTTGTAGGCCTGCTCTACTTCTGTTTCGGAGCTTGATGCCGAATCGTCTGGGAGAATTAGAGAAGCGCTTCCAAACTTGAGGTGCCGCAACATGGCAGCGCAGATTGAGCCCGATCCTATTGCGGCTGTGTTCTAATGTTCTGCCGTATGCCGTTACTTGTTGATGCTCCGGCGAATCACAGAAACCAAGTGGACGCGTGTTTCACTGCCTTGCCGTTCACTCGATGCTATTAACACCCTGCTCCATGATTGCCGCTTCGATGTTGAGGGCCCAGGAACACATGCTTGACGCCCAGATCACATCCTATCAAGCACGATGTCGCTGACGAATCTGGCTTCCAGTAGTTGTAATCATGGCAACTACTGTGACCTCGACACTCCGAGGAACTCCAGCCCTTGCTGTTGCTCCGACACAAAACACCGCTCCTGTCCATGAATTCCGCTGCCTCTACACACGCGATCTGCATAAGAAGGCGAAGAAATGGCACGATGGCTTCCTTCGCTTCCACACCTTCAATCGACGCGTTATGGTCTATGATGACGCAAAGAATTATATTGGAGACCTCCACTACACGCAAGAGGAGGAGTTTGTTGAAGGCGTCGAGATACGACTAGACCGTGGAGTCAATGTTGAGGTTGGTGAACGGCTCGGCGAGACCGAGACTGACCTGGCCCCGATCCTCGAAAGACAGCGTCCAGAGAAGCCTGGGCCGCAGCATCGGCAGACAACTCATCCTGCGACACGTCCAAATTCCTCAGGCTTTTCTCAGAGGCCGAAGTCATTGCTTGAGGTTCTGGGGCCGTCGCAAGGTCGACTTGGGCGGTCAAGATTGTCTCTGCAATCACCCTACGAACTACGACAGCCGACTCATCGTGTCGAGCCCGCCCAGCCCCTGGCTAAGAAACGGAGACTGTCTCGCGAGAAAGAGAATCAGTCTGTGAGTGATATTCAGCAAGCCACCAGGTCTAATCAACCAATAAGTACCCATGCGGTGCGTTTGACCAAGACCACGACGCTTGTTGGCCGCCGAGAAGAGACTCCTATCGTATTCGAAGATGTCCTGGACCTTTCCTCCGACGACGACCGACGACGGCCACGTAACGGAAATACAGGACGGCAGCGCATGCAGACCGAGGCGCCAAAGCAGCAGTCAAAGGAGAAGGTTAAACCGCTATCTGAGTCTCTAAAACCACGTCGAGCAGTTAGGGAACAGAAGGTGGAACCTCCGCGCCGGACCAAGCCTTCGCGGGCTATTTCAACCAAACTGAAAAATGCTTCCGAAGCTCAGAAAGGCAGAACATCTACCACGGCCACAAGCTCACGTTCTTCTGTTCAGCGGATTGCGCGGTTGTTACTGAGCCAGCCCAAGCCTAGGACCAAACTGACTTGCTTGCTGCCTTTTGTGAGGGATAGCAGTGAAAAGGGCACTGTTAACGCTTCGAATGCCGAGAGTCAATGTCGGATCGATGTCGTTGGCCCCATGAGAAGTCATCGTTCAGAATCAAGCATGCAGGATCAAGAGCCAACGCATGGCAACAACAATGGACACCATAGTCCGACCCAGATCTCGGATTCTCGTACCTCTACTCCCGAGGCTCCTCAGCAAAGCATCCACGAAATCAGCAGCCCACTCTTCGTGCCAGAAGACAACGCAGGTCACAGATCACCCTCGCCAAGGCCATTGCCCACGCAGGAAGACTTCCCTTTCCTAGATCTGTCTGGTAATGCAGCCTCGTCACGTGCTGAGCAACTACATCCGCCTCATGGCAATATAGATGCGCCAGATACGGATCTGGACGGGATCCCTGGTCAAGATGCAGTCGCATCACCGCTGCGTACCAATACTCACGAGAGTGTCCATCAAGAAGGTGTTGGTGGGGATCCGGATTTGTCATTTCCCTTACAAGATGCTGCATCACGCACATTCAGACGGGTTTTCTCCGAGAACGACGCCATGGATGATGAAGAACTTGGCCAACTTCCTGCCCTTCATGCTCATGGCACACGAAGTCCACTGAAGTTGCTAGACGATCGCAATTCCCGACGAGTTCCACGTAAAGCAAAAAGCCCGACGAAAGTACATCGGTGGGCATCAGACACTGTTGCCCTGGACAAGCAACTAGACAATGAGGCAGACCAAGACATGGAGGAGCTTCCGAAAGGCGAGACGGGACCTTGGACTGCTGAAGAGGCTTTCCTGCTCTTCGACTGGTGGCCACCTGAAAAGCAGAAACCGGAGTTTTGGGATGCGCTCGTGAACAAACCGTCGGTGAGGGCTGCTGTCCCTGGACCCGGGCAAGGCGGTCGGACGGGCATTACCACAGCCCGACAGTTTCTTCGTGATGATATAAATGTGCTATGATCGGAATGAATCATGATTGAGAATGACCTATTGTGCCCTGAGCAGCCAACCTTGTATTTGACTGGCACACTTCAAGCCTCCGTAGATCATCTGAATGTGCTATCTTTGCCACGTTGTTATGGGCCATACTACAGAGTACAATCCGAAGAGACCCTAACTCGGCCTCCCTGTCAGCCTCCTCGGCCTAATTGTTCTCTCAGCCTCGTCCAAGGAGCGGGTTTCTCCGGGTTCCACCATCCGGATATGTGCGGAGTCAACCAATGAGCGATGATGGAGATATCATTGCCAGATAGATGGTCTCGACCTCTTCCATCAGAGTAGTACACAGTGGTTGTGAGGGTGTAGAAGGCTCGGGCGGAATCAAGTATCTCGCATCCCTGTATCGATATCATGAAATTGGAGCGGGTGGACATTTCTGATTCGAAGCCATCCCTCGATAAAAAGAGAGATATATATATATATATATATATATAACTATACCTACCTACCTATATATGTATATATTTCTCTCCCTCCTCACACTAGAATACCACCCCACCTCTCTTCCTCCCTCCACGTTCGTACGTACCGAAAGTCTGGGTCTTCATCCATTTATCCATTTATCCCAACTACTCAAACATCTGTCGTCCTCCTTGCCTTGCTCTACAGTACATTCCAGTTCTCACGATGGCGACCTCAACAATGACATCTCAGCCGGTCCCTGACCCCCTATCGGCACCAAATAGCAACAACACATCTCTCAACCTACCACACTCCAACTCCATGCCGACCTCGACCTCGACTTCGACGCCGCCAAACAAGACCCTCAGCGTATTAGAAGAAGTCGAAGCAGCCCAGGACCGACTCCGCTCCCGCCTCGCAGGAGCCTTAACCAGCCCACCACCGAACATCCCGCACGACGCTCTCCCGTCGGTCCCATTGATCGACATCGGCCCGTCGTTCGACGGCACTTTGGAGTCGCGGAAGAAAGTGGCCTCGCAGATCCGCGACGCATGCCTCACGACGGGGTTCTTCCAGATCAGCAACCACGGCGTCACGCCCGGCGCCATGGCGAGTGTGCTGAAACAGGCAGAACGCTTCTTCCACGACCTGGCCGAACCCAAGAGACAGGCTTTACATATCAAGCACTCGACGTTGTTTCGAGGATATGAGCCGCATGACTCGACTTATGTCAATCCGGACGATCAGAACAACAGTAACGACAACAACAACAACAACAGTAACAGCAGCAGCGACAACAGTAGCAGCAGCAGCAATACTTATGACACGGCCGAACAACAACAACAACAACAGGAAACCAAAGAAGGATTCAACTGGGGCTACGAAGAAGCGCTGGACCCGACGGGCGGAGATGGACGGTACGTCGAACTTGACGGGAGCAAGCCCGATCCCGCGCGCGGCCATGGGAACGTGTGGCCCGCCGAGGAGGATCTGCCGGGGTTCAAGGCCGCCATAGCCGAGTATTATGGGCAGGTATTGCAACTGGCGCGCCATCTTTTCCGGTTGTTCGCGCTGTCGCTGGGCCTGGAGGAGAGATATTTCGACGAATTGATGACTCACCCGGGCGGGATTGCGAGGCTGTTGTATTATGCTGGACAACCTGTGATTGAGGACGAAAAGACTGATAGAGGGATGAACGACGCGACGACCACAACGAACACGACGACTGTAACAGCAAAAAAAGAAGAACAAGAACACACCACAAAACTAGGTCTCGGCGCCCACACCGACTACGAATGTTTCACGCTCCTGCTGTCGTCTGCGAACCCGGGCCTGGAGATCTTGTTTCCTCCGTCGCCGGGCACGGCCGGGAACCCGATCTGGCGGCCCTGTCCCGTGCGGCCGGGCACGTTGACTGTCAATGTGGCGGATTTCCTGATGCGTTGGACGAACGGACTGTACAAGTCGACGATCCATCGCGTCGTGAGCAAACCCGGGGCCGGGGAACGGTATTCGGTGCCCTTCTTCTTCAGTATCAACTATGATGGCGAGGTCGCGCCGCTGCCGGAGTGGTGTGTGGGGGAGAGTCATTTCAGGCCGCTGAAGGCCGGCGAGTATGTTCTGGAGCGATTGAGGGCCACGCAGATATTGGAGGATCAAGAAAAGGAAGAACAGAACAGAACGAAGTGAAGGAGTAAGAGAGATAGATGACTGGGTGGGTTGAGAATGGGCACTCGAACGGAAAGATCGCAGTAAATTCAAGCAGGCCTATATATCAGGAACATCTCTCTCTGCCTGAGATATTAGTCTCGGTATCGGATCATACTGTGTCAGGACACTCATGATTGAAGTGGGACGAGAGTGTAGCGCAGCTGTTGCATTGAGAGAATCTTCATTGGACCCTATGCCGTCAATATGTGCGTGTACATTCTTCGGTCTGTCTTTTGTCATCTATGATACAATTTTCCGTCCAGGTCAGGACTTGTTTTGAAGCCAGTCAGAACATGAGGGATAATATTTCACAACAACGTCGACCAAGAGTGAGAGAAATCTCAACTCCTCAGTTCAGCAAATATGTATGGGAAGATCACGACGCATGCCTTCCAAAAAACCAACAAGCCTTGAATGAGGCTGAGAGGTAATAGCAGGAGACCGTTCTCCTGGATTAGGATCCAGATACTCCACAACGCCACGCTGAAGAAGTGATAAAGCAGAACAAATGGCCGCCGAATGAGAGCGCCTAACAAGCCCACGGGTTCCTCAATGCGCTTCCCGCCCAGTTGGAAGTAGCGGAAACAGCCCTTCTGGAGATATTTGAGCTGCCAGTCGTTCGCGGCGAACAACGAATACAGGGCCATGGCGAGGATGTTAATGATCGATGTCAAAGCCTTCCGGCGCCAATGGAATATCCTAAACTGCTCAAGGACGAGTGCTGTATCGGACAGTTCCGGTACGTTCTCTGGGGAGAGAAGCTCCGAGATCAGCACCACGTCGTTGAGCGCGACGGACATGCCGCCTCCAGTCAGAGGATGGCGCATGTTCAAGGCATCTCCGAGGATGGCAAGCCCGCGAGTTTTGTTCATGGTCGGTGGCAGGAAGGAATTGGGCATACTGCGAAGCGCACCCTTTTCCAGGGCAACCTTGAAAGAGGGCTGCACCATGGGTGGTAACGAGGGCAGAACGACTTTCCCAAGATGGCCTTTAATGCCACCGTTCGCCGTCGACGTGGACGGCAAACCCTCGGGGACATCCACCAAGATACGGGTCTCATGAGTGCCAATCTGATAGAGAAGGACCGGCGAATCTTTGCCCAGAACCACAATCCCGTGGTGAGGCGTCGGCAACGGGCAGTCGATCAATTCCAAGCCCCAGAACTTCGACTTGACCTGAGGAGTGTGGTGGATGTAGGGCCTTCGGAATTTGGACGCGTATCCGTCACAGACGACGGTCAATGACCCGAAGTAATAGTCATTCTCGGTCTTGCCGGTCAGAGACTCCACGCCCAAGATCTGGTCGGTATGTGTGGATTTGATCAAGGAAGTGGCCTCCGTCTCGAACACGGAGATGTTAGGATGCGCCAATGCCGCAGCTCGTAGCCGCGAGACAAACCGCCCATGGTGGAAAGACCGTCCCTCTGGTGTCGAGGGCTTTGCTGATTTCTCTGCACCCGACCCTGCTTCCTGCGTCGCATTGGCGGGATAAGGAATGGCCACCGACTCATCATAATATAAAACCGTGTAGCCGGTGACGGGGATCGCGTCGATTCCTTCGAGGGTTTGGCGCAAGCCCAATTTGATCAATGCCTCATACCCTCCTGGTTGTAATAGTTCCCCCACAATCCGGTCAGGCTCTTTGAGAGACTTTTCTAGTAGTATGACACTGCGCTCTTGATCTGCCAACGCCACCGCCAGGGCCGAACCTAGAACGCCTGCGCCGACTATGACCACGTCGGCCTCGTGGTGTACCCTCCTAAGCTCTTCGCGACCATCTGCTTCGGATTGATTGGAGGATTCTGAGGAGGAATCGAGGATGAGAGGCATGTTGGATGGATAGGAGGACGGTAGGTTTCGCGCGGGCGCACTCCGAGTCTATCAAAACATGAAGCGGCCGGGGAAAGAGAATAGGATAGGAGGAAGAGAAATATGAAAGTCGAAAAGTCAATACAAATGAGAAAGAGCGTCGCGGTGAGCAGAGAAAGACTGGTTGTGGTCTGAGATGTGGTGTGATGGAGCAGAAGTCGACAATTTTGTTATAATGGTGAAAGGCTGCGCTACAAGTGTAGAGGGCAGATCAAAGCGTCGATGGGACGATCATAACGATGGTATGTACAGCTCGACAGGTAGTAGGTGTATGCAAATACCGCAATCAGTTACTACTCGTGTGCTCAGACATGCGAGAATGATGAATGAATCATGGCATTCAAGTTGATTGGGATTGGCAGGGGTAGAGAGGTAGAGAGCATTCGACGGTCGGACTGATGGTGAGGATTGACAGGGGCCCCTAAGCCCTTTGGCGCATCTTCCGGGTCGTACGAGCAGCGCTCACTGGCAGGACCCGTTCAGGCACCAGGTACCTTGGCAGCTAGGGCCAAGGAGGCTCCTTAGGCTCCCTAGGGTCTGCTACTACTGTTTTATCATAGGCTCCTTAGGCTCCTTTAGGTGAAAAAGCCCGGCGCCACGGCATCCTACCTAGGTATGTAGGCACCTTGGCCTAAGGACCTCTCAGAATCAGCCTCAGCCTTGGGTCAAACTTCCCTCAGCCTCGTGCCCGTTGTTTCCCCCTGAATCCTGAACCTCAGCCTTGTCCGTACAGCGTAGGTTCTCTCGCTAGAGCATTTACCATGATAACAATGACCTCTAATACTAATACAGTCACTCCGTCTCTGATGCTCAGGCTCACCCAGGTCACTCACAACTTCGAGGCCCTACAGTATACATCCTGCCCATCGAAGGCATCCTCATTGGAGTCTTGAGCAGTACGGATACATAAGAGCACTCACAATCGTTAACAATGGTCACATTCTGTTCATTCAATCTGCTAGTCGACTTCTGCCAACGTGTCTCCTGGCCCAGAATGACAGACACCTGTCTTCCGTTTTTTTTCTTTCCATCCACTTTTCATCTTCTTTGCCTTTGTACCTTGACAGCAAGGGGCGCCGGGACCCTCTTGCCTAGCTGCTGCTGTCGTGACCCATCTCTTCTATGGAAATCTCGGTGGTCAAAACATCACAATTGCTCGCTTCTTTTTTTCAATGCATCCGTTGTAAAGCCGTGTCATGACCGTGGTTCCTTGCCCTTGGAAAAGTGTCAATCAGATCCTCGCAGCGGCCGTCAACCGCGCGCCTTTCCCAAACGCCTGCCGGGATCTCGAGACTCGCCGCTTCGATCCGTCAGCGTGAGGGTATCAGCCCGGGGACCGACCATCTTCCAGCCGTGGGCTCGTTCCAAATGCCGCTCTGACGACCAAGAAAGCGCCTGCAAAGCCACCCTTCCCCGGTGTGCTCTGAATGAAAGCTCCGTTTGTGCTAGATTGGCGAACGCCAACAGATTTTGTCCATGCATAACCCAAAAATATAAAAATGACTAGATGTGTGCGGTTGATACCATAAATGCACCCCAGAGAGGACATGGCGCTGAACCCGCATCACATCCTTCCCGGACGAGCACAAGCCACCCATTCCGAACATCCACATCGCAAGGATGCCGAAGCCCACGATGCGTATGTCATACCTGATGGAGTTAGGAACATCCACAAAGGAGCCCCTAGCCACCTTTTCGTAGGGACTCATCGGCCGGCAACGACTCTCCGCCAGAACTGTTCAAAAGGTGGCTGTCGTCCTCTGGCTTCGTCGCCTTCTTGGTCTTTCTCTTTTTCTTTTGTGTTTGCCAGCTAGGGGCCGAGTGTGGATCAACGGTAGAAGAATTGGTCGTCGTCAGCTCCGTGGATGCCACCGAGCCATTTGGTCGTGACGATAGCGGTCTCAGCCCTGGTTCTGCACCATCTCCGTTCGCCATTAATTCCTCCGCGGCGCCCGGAGTCTGCTCTGGCCCGGCTGAGCCTCCAGATTGGTGAGACAGACATCCCGAACTGAAACCTTCGACCTGTGGGGAGGGAGTTCGAACTTCCTCCACTGAAGAGAGCTGTCGATCCAGAGACCAAGCCGTGCTTCCAGCTTTGGTCGTAACACCCAGGTTTTTCACCCCACCTGTATCGAGGGGTTTTGTGCCGGTCATGTGAGACTCTTCCTTGGGGTTGTTTCCCAAAATCCTCAGTGGCAAGTGTCCGTTCATGTATTCCGAAGGCCCCACTGATTGCATAGTCCGCTTGCGGATAGCACTGAGGCTGCCTGGCGGGCTCCTGTCCCGGCTGCGAATATCGAGAGTGTCTGATTGTGACTGTTCATCGGAACTCGACGGAGTATCAAATGCCAAATCGTCCGACGTGGAAGCGCTGAAATTTACGTGCTCATCAGGCTCGATCAAAGATTGAGTTGTCTGGCCACGTCTCGGCGAATGGACCGAGCCATCCACGATCAAGGGGCCAGATCTGGGCTTCGGTTGCGCCACTTCGGCATTCTCGTCCTCGGAGTTACGACCTGATCCTTCCATCGTCTGATTCTCCAAGGTATGCATTGAGACTGGTTGTAGAGGAGGAGTTTGATTCGTCCTAGAAGATCGAGCCGCCGACGACGCCAGCCGCGGAGACAAGCCTCCGTTCTGAATGGCCAAGCCTGCATGGGAGGGAATGGGGGAAATGGTAGTGCTCTGAGTATAGGCTGATAAGGAAGGAGACTGTCCGACATAGTATCCAAGATACTCGGCAGGCCTTCGCATTGACTCATAGATTGCGCCGGATATCCCGAGGCCATTTTCCACATATGCGGGAAAGCGTTCCTGGGAAGTCGAAGACGCAGAAGACCTGCGCCCAATGGAAGAGTCTTGCAGACCAGAAGCCTCCGGTCTCGCGTGCATCTGGCCCAACGAAGAGACTGGAAACGCTCGAGCAGGTTGCGACTGAGCCCGCAATGAAGCGCCGGCCGACGACTGCGTCACGGATGTTCGCCGCGAGTATCGCCGCGAATCCAGATTGACCGAGGTCATCCTGGGCGACGAAGGATTCGTTGCAGCGCCCTGACCGGGGTGAGACCCCGTCAGATAAGGCGAGGAAGGAGCAAAGCGGTGTTGGTACAAAGGCGCGGACATCGGTGCTCGGCTCAACCCATTGATCTGCCCGTTGGCAACCAGATCGAGGCTGTCGTCCTGCGGGGCGTAATGTGCATACCCTGGGTGTTGGTGGTAAGCCGATGCCAATAGTCCTCTTTGCCGAAGATTCTGTTGGTGCAGTTGCATCCTCAATTCGTGCTCCTGTAGTTGTAGGTACTGGTACTGCTGGAAAAGCTGGTCGTGCAGTAGATGTTGCTGATGTTGAGCTTGCAGTTGCAGTTCTTGCGTTGTCATCTGGAATGGCAAATTCCGCAAATAGTTTGAACTGCGCCCCACAGGGTTCGAAGGTCTTCGACCATTGCTGTTGCGGTTCTGGTTGGCATTTCTGCTCCCACGCCCGCCATTTCGCCCACCCCGTGACGGCGCTGCTGAGATCTGGGTGGTGGCCTGCGTCGGGGGCTGTGGGATCACTGGCCTGGCCGACGGGGCAACGAAGTGTTCAGAAGACTTGATTTCTTCAGCAGGATAAACAAACTGCTCGCAGCATTCGTCCAGTTTTCCCTCTCCTACCAGCTCGTACGCTCTGCGTAATTCCAAGTGTATACCGCGCATGGAAGTATCGTCGGCGGTGTTGGCAAGATTCCGGGATACATTGAATGGTTCTTCGACACATAACCGATTGTCCTGGAGTAGATGCCATGATTTCTCGGTTTTTGGCAAGACTCGACCGGTCCGCACTGAGACCACATTTTGTTCAAAATCAAGCTCGTGACCATAGTAGCGGAAGAAATGGAACAGGAGTTCACCAAGCGAAGACTTGTTCCGAGCGCCGAAGTCCTTGTATGACTCAACATTACGGTCGAAAGACACGTTCACGCCTGCTAAGAACTTGGGTTCCAATCCGGGTGCCTGTTGCAAAGCTGGTAGGATAGGAGGATCTCTGGTTTGTAGGAAATTCAATGCTAAGCATATCCAGGTGTAGGAGCTTAAGGTGCCTCCGAGCGCTTTGAGACAATCAGTATCCGGTGCGATCATGAAAAACACAAGGAGAACATACCAGCATCGTTCAATATCCTTCGTTTGGCCCAGTGCTTGATTATCATGGCAAGAGGCCTCACCCGACTGTCAATATCGACATAGGTTCGAACCAATTCAGTGTTCTCCAGCGCAAGAGGATTGTTGACGTTTATATCACAGGCCACCTGCAATTTGGGATCCCAAATCTTGACAATAGGGACTTTGGCAGAGGAAACACAGACCACTCTTTCCATTCCATGCTTTGCAAGCAAATCCGCAATTGAGCAAACACGCTCCATTTCTTTGCAATCAGTGGTGATGCAGACATCGACGTCAGAATCAGAGGTCCCGAGCTTGTTGCCAGTGGACCCGAAAACGTTGACATTGATGGAAGAAGTCGGCCACCTGGACCGAAAGATCTTGTCAAGCTTGTCGAGAAACCGCGATCTGCGTTCTTCACTCTCACCCGTGGGTTGTAGTGCTTCATAGAGCTTTTCCATGTCTGCGGTCAGCTTTTCGTCTTCTGCATGTGTGAGTCGAGTTTTCAGGTCCGATTTGACCCTCTCTAGAGGATCGGGTCCGAGAGAGTACGGGACACGCCGTCTTGCCCTTGCCATCCCTGTCTCATATTTACAGCCGCCATATTGCTTTCGGGCTGCGGACGGCGTATGACCGTTGTCGGAGGGAAGTGAGGGAGGAGAGGCGCTCTTAACCACAGGCTCTGGTGAAGGGGAGGCTCCTTTCTCCGCATAAGACTGTGGACGTTGAAATGGAGTCGACGGTCCTGAGGTTGAAAGAAAGGGCTGCTGGGTCGGTCGTCTCTCAGGCGAGGGCTGTGTCTTTGTTGGTGATGCCGCCTCCATCTCTGACAAGGCAACCGTTGAATATGACACGGTCATTAAGGTAGAGTCACTCTTTCCACCATCTTTCGGCGCTCTATAAGTCATACGACGGCCTAGGTCGACTGGACGAGCGTGCACCAGTGGCGGTGATTGATTAGACACCAAGTGTGGAAAACGAAATGCTTATATTGCCCAATCCAAAGGAAAGTCTATCACGGGTAGTTTCCCGGATTGCACCCAGTGCCCCAGGCTCGTAGGGTGTGGTCGAAGGTGCAAGTGGGTAGTGTATATTTCAGTGCGTTCTTGGAGAGAAGAACCACAAAGAGTGTTCGGAACGTAGCACGCGCAACGCTCACTCGTCTCGGTCGGATGCAAAGGGCTCCTGTCGAGGGAAGGGCACGAGTCTGTTGTGGATGGACTGTTCCAACGGTCTGAGTAAGCCCTCGAAGGGCGGCAAGGAGAAGAGGATTTATCGAAGGATTCGGTGGGCACGACTGCCAGGTCGACGTGGAGAGCAGGTCGCTACGCGGTTTCTTTGAGCGATCGTGTATAGGGAACGACCAGTGGTGGAGGTGCGGCGGGTTCGAGGCTGATGAGATTGGCCTGCTCTGGGGGCGTTTGAAGGGAGAATACGGATCGAGTCTGGCGATATACAGGAATGAGGATGCGAGTCGAAGCAGGATAGGCACCTAGACGCGTGTCGGTAGGAGAAATTGGGGAGCACGGAACAAGGAGAGGCGGGAGGAGTGAGGTGGTTGTAGAAGGTGAGGGTGGTGTCGAGGTGCAGTCTGCATAAGACGATCTTTCACTTGTTCCTGGCTGCTACGACGAGGAACAAGGTCAGATGGGAGCAGTGATGGTGGTTCAAGGCAGTAGCAGGAATAGCAGGTTAGGGCTCCTTAGGCCAAGTTTAGGCACTAGAGGCCTAGGTATCTAGGGAGTAATTAGTGGGGGTTTTAGGTAGGTTGGAGCGGTAATAGTGGTTGCTGGTTGTAGTGGCAGCACCGGTGGTAGGAGTCACCATGCCCATCAATCACCATTATTGCCCACTGACTGACGAACTACTAGTAGGTGCCTTAATTAGAGTGAGTAGGTGTAGGTGTAGGTGTAGGTGTAGCGGTAAGTGAGCAAAAAAGGAGAGCACACACACAACACATAATACACCGCCGGTAATTAATCCCCCTCGTGTCCGCTACTCAATGGCTTACTAGTACGAAAGCACTGCTTATAGGAATCATGGTCGGCGAGTACATATTGTGGTAAAACTACGTAGTTCATTTGCTAACCTCAGGTACCTAAGGGTTTGTGCTCCCAGCATTTAGAGCGCAGGTCAGGTACTCAGGTTGGTGCCTTATTTACCATACTGTTCCTGACGCGGTCGTGCTGAAGTGCGTGCACTCAATCTGACCGCGTCCTTCTCCTTGCCAAGCCTGAGGTGGATTGATCTCTTCATTGGAGTTCAACTTCGAATTTAGTCCAGACATGGCACAGAATACATGTACCTAGGTACCTATTATGTATTCTGCTGAACATCCGGTGCTATAAGTGCTACCAACACCCCTGGCATGAAAGTGATGGAGGTCAGAGTATGCACTTGAACTACCCTGGTCTTCGAGTCACCGCCAGACTCGCATGGCTGATGCTTACCTACCAGACTCTTGTCCAGTCATTGTTCCCATCTTCACCTGGAGAAGGTAGGTTCCTGATGGCGATTCGTGTAGACGGACCGCCAGTTTGTGGTGCACAGCAGGGCGCTCCAGCCAGGGTAGGATGGGCTGAGTACCTATGCAGTGTTGGAGGTAAGTGCAGCTCCTTGTTGTGAATGCTCGTCCCATCGTCGAGAGCTCTTTCATGATGCTCAGCCGCATTCTCTTCTCTGAACTCCGCCTTCTTAGCAGGCTCTTCCTGCTGCTCAAGGCCTGCACCTGAGACTTTGAGGCTTTTGTTATACTAGGTACTGCTCCAGCTATCAGCCCGTGTCCGTGGCAGGTGTCTCGGCGCGTCAGTGGGCACAGGTGACTTCTATCGGATTTCTTGCACCCCTTCTGCGGTGATGCCACTACGACCACGACTGGAACGACGCCTCTGCATTGAGACCACGGTGCACACATAGACCATACAGAATCTCACAGACCTCCACCTGATTCGCCCCTGACACCCGGCAAGCCGGACAATAAGGCCATGGCCATTTCGTCAGCTTCGCTCAGCTTCTGTCGAGGCTGGGGTATTGTTTTCCACTGTCTATTTCTTCCGTATGGCAGCGTTCTTACAAAGCCAGCCTGCTTTGTCGATGCTGCCATTTATAGACCGCGCTATCCTCCACATATTTGGGCTGCTTCAAGAAATGGATCTGACCCTGAAAATGACATTTATGCTTGATGAAGCTCGTCGTCCTTTTCCCTAAGCGGGCGGGGATAGTGGAAACCTCTATCAATGTAGCTCCGACATCATATTTCCGTCTGTTGGGCATTGTCGAGGGTGAAATAGGACAATTACAGAGTAGATTGTTCGGAGATCCTGCTTCATCAATAAACTCCCATTTTTAAGGAAGTCTGGTTTCGCAGAGGGAGCAGAGGCCGGTCACCATGGTTCTCTATGCACCGAGACAAGGCCTGAATTATCGTCTCGGGGACCTTGTACACTTCAAACCTTTGAGCACGTAGAAGGCCTGGGTAAAGGTTGCTCAGTCTTATGCAGTGCTCAATGGCCCAAGCCATCCAGACAGAGTCGCATTATGTACTAACGCAGTTACCTATCCGACGGGCACGGAAGGGCTCGTTGCTGAGCAGGTGAACAAGGTAACGGTCATGGCCATTGACCCTTATTCAGCCGACTCTCTTCCTCCCCAACCCTGCTGAACTTGAGGGTGGTTTTGGGTTCCATAGGTGATATGTCAGATAGGATGGCATTTCGAGGTAAGTCCATCAGGCCAGTCGCTCACAAGTGTCCACCACTAGCGATCTAGTACGAAGAACAGACCCATCTGCGACTGATCAGTTTAGACTCTGCCCAGACGGTGGAAAACCCAAGGTTGTGGAACCGTCCGAGATTTGAGGACCTGAATAAATCTCAGCCCAGCCCATATCACGAAATTGAGTGACCTCACTGGGTTTTGGGGCGCCGTGACGACTTGCTTCGACTGATTCGGAGTCATCAGGCTTGTATCACCTTGCAAAACCAAATTGCTCATGCTGCACACCCCACAGCACAATAACCTGATCATCTGTCCGCGAGTTGACGAACGTACGGCCGCGGCTCACCATTTTGGAGCTGGTACGGTCAAGACCAGGGTTATTAGAGAAGACGCGGCTGCCCAATGCCCGTAAAGCGTTTGGGGACACCAAGTGACCTTCCCCATCTTATGGTCCGAAACCCCGCTTGAACGGCTCCTAAGGCTCGTGTTCGTGGCAGAGCTAAGGCCACGCATGGCGGCAACGTGCCCTGTGTGCATTTTTGGCATCACTGCCCCCGTCAGTCTGCGAGAGTGAAACCTGCAAAAGCTCTTGCATGGCTCGGTCCATCTCAAAGCATTGGAGTTTTGTTATCGATATAGGATCAAATCGACACCGTGATATTCGCTTGAAACCGTAAGGGTATGGATCGCAGACGAGGAGCCCTCCGCCCTGGCGCTGTAAGGATTGGTTGGCTGTCTTCAATTGGCATTGCGGTTGTTGATATTGGACGTTGTGGTAAAGTAAAGACCATCTCCTAGCCGCCAGGAGGTACATACCTAGATATGGACAGGAGTATACGGTACCTACCTGAGTCATGCGTCCTCTGTGGCTTCTTGAACGTACCGGAAGTATGCGTCTCTCAACAAGTCCTTGTAATACCACGACTAAAGTGGTAGTTCCGTCAACGGTCGCAGGAACTGCGGCAGAAGAGATTGTCAGAAATCAATTGGAGTCTTCATCTTGAATCCCCCACCTTCAATCGCGCGAACTAATCTACCGACATACCACTAGTGATCCACCAACGTGTTGTCCGTCTCATGGGCTATCTCACTTGTCATGGTGTTATGGTCACTACCGAGTGTTATTGGCGTAAAGCAGGGGTTGGCCGGTGTGTACCTTGGTAGGGTATATGTTACCATCTGCAACCCTCCATCGTGCCCTGACAACATTTCTACCATCTCTTTCCCTCTGTAACTTGAATGCCCAAGATTACTTCATTGTGGCGCGCTGAATGAGGCTGCGAGGTGCGGGCTATCGGCGGCAGTTCTAAACCATCCTTCTCGAGGGGAAGTTGCTCAGAAACCTAAGTACCCGTGGTGTTCTTCGAGTGCAAGGCGAGCTGTATGTCTAAAATGGAGGGCGGCTTTAGCAGAGAGACCGGTTCGTTACTAGGCTCGAGAATGTCCCGCCTGCGGTCTTCACCCAGTTGTCCTGTCAGTGATTCTGAATTCCCTTGATTCGGAAGGGGACAAACGGAGATGAAAGGGGGAGATGTCAATCGTCCTTCCAACTCGACCAGAAGCAACGGTGGGAGACTCTCAAAATTTCAATGGAGGACAACACTCATCAAAATAATGGAGGAAAACCGAGAGATGGGCTTGACGGGATGCACCACCTGTGTGTCAGGTCCCGAGAAGCACCTAAAGTGTTATCTCCGGTTACTACCACGTTGTACCTAAGGTACCTACCTAGGTACCTTGGGTGTGGTTATAGGCATGGTATAGTACAAGGCACACTGAACTGCTCGGTCGGTTTCGTTGACTCTCCTTCGAATTTCCTCTCCCTTGTCCTCTCTACCGTACGATTAGTTGTCCTAGTAGCAATATGCCGTAGCTTTCATTATTCTCCCCTTCAGCACCACCATTAGTAGTATTATTAGGGCCTGTTGTTGAAGCCCTTGCCTTTCTCTGCTTGTCCAGGCTTTACGTCGTCTGCTTTCTGCTGTCGCAGGTGGACAACTTCATCTAGGGTACACCATTCTATATAACTTAGGTAGTATTGCCTGCGTCCTCATCCCTCCATCCGGTCCATCTTCGTAAGTCCCAATTCGCTTGCTCGCATTTTTCCCGTGTGTGCAGTGGCCTCGGGCAAGTCGACCGATTTCCACTGTCCCCATCATTGGTTCGACCCGGCCGATCCTCGAAAAAATGCCCTCTCCCCACCCAAAACTTCGCACCAACCCAGACAATACAACCACCACATGTCCACCACCCCCTCTCCCATCCAACTGCGTGCTTCCCTTCTATCAGCTTCTAACCAGTCGCATTTGAACTGTCGTCTATCGCCCTTTGGCTGTTCAGAGCGCATCAGACTTATTCGTCCTTTGCTCAGTTCGAGGCTCTCCCACGGTTAAATCTGCGCTCCTTTCCAAACCAGAAATTCTTTCTGCCTCGAGACCATTCAATCCTACCTCCTGCTTGTTCGCGTCCGGAAAGTCGTTGGCGGACAATGTCTTTTTACGAGCCACAGGGATGGCAGGCTCCTGTTCGGCAGGCGTCCTGGGAACAGCCTCCGCCGCCGTCCAGGTCAGGTTGGTCACATCTGAAAGGCGTCACCCAAGGGAAAAAAGCTGACGGTCTTGCCAGGCACAAGCTCTACCTCACAACGCGAAGACAGCAACGCCTTCGCCACTCAATTCGAAGGTCCGACTCTCGCTCTGGTTCGAAATTGAGGTGCTGATTTGATATAGAGGTGGACCGAGCCATGGATAATCTTCTCAAGAGCGGCAAGTTCTATACTCCGGGCCCAAGACCGATGCCCGCACCCATACCAGCTGGCCGACCCGGAGGTGATTTCGGTGCGTCCCGGTGCAAGAAAGTGATTCATTCATCGATGCTGATTTGGTAGCGAAAGGACCTCGTATGTATGGAGGCCGTCATGGTGACTTCGATCCCTCTCGGCCCCAGCCCGGCGCAAACCTTCAAAGCTTTTATGCTTCACAAAGGCACCAAGGGCGGCATCCGGATGCTGATCAGGTAGCACAAGCAAAGAGGAGGATGGCTGCTCAACGAGAACGAGAGCTTCGCAACTATCATCAGGAACAGCAATATAACCGAAGTAAGTGATTGATCCGCAGATTGAGACCCAGCCATGTTGACTGACTTCTCAGTAGGCGTATTGGCGGAGATGTCGTCCACCAAATCGGATCGTTCAATGAGTCCCAGTACCCTGAGTGAGGAGGGTCGCCGCGAACTGATTGCTCGGCAACATCGGGCTTTGTACGGCGCCGAAAACCCAGCCTTTGTCGGCCAAGTTCCCTTTACCAATGACGAGACTGCTGGCAGAGATCAAGGAACCAATGTTCCTGCTGGTGCAGCGGGAGCGGCTCGAGGTCCATCACCTCGTGGAGTCGATCCCTTCGGTATCGCCGGCGCAGCTCAACAAGGCGAAGGCAACGCGCAAAGTACTGGTCCAGGTCAAGATGGATCTCGTATGGAGCAGGCGTCCTCCCCCTCTGCACAGACGTCATCTGGGTACGGCAACTTCGACGCCTCAATGCAAACCTCGGGCAAGGCGCCGACGCCACCTTCAGGAGAGGAAACCTCTCACTCTCGACAGATTTCTAAATCCACGACCGCACCAGCCAGTGGCGGTATGGGTCCTATTGGAAGCCGTCCCATGGCCCAACAAGCACCCAGCCAATCCCTGAACAAGCGGACCACGTCACCGCTTCCTTCGTCCCTGGGCTATGGATTTGGCTCAAATGAACAAACCATTGATCGAGCGAGTTCGGCGAATTCGACCTCGAACGTGACGAAAGAATCGTCTGCGACTTCCGCCACGGCACCATGGGGCACAGGGAGCGGAGTCTGGGGGTCTAACAAGATTGGGACCACCTCCGTCTGGGGTTAAATGAGCTACGACATGACGATCGGGACATGGTGTGTTTGGTATGCGCGGAGTTGTGTTGTCTTTTTCAGCATACCCTTCGCTGTACAGTGCATTGAAAAGGTGGAGAGATCAGGGTTGTTATGCATATCGGTGTCATTTTGATGCTTCTGCATAGCGTTTCTATGGGAAAGGCTTCCTCCCGAGCGGTTTTGCCCACTCGTTTAGGGGACTTTGGAGTTTCTGCGACTCGTGCAAAGGGGATGATTGGGAATGCGGCAAAGACTGTCAACATCAAAAGTGGAAGCTTTTCGTTTGGCAAGCTTGAGTATGATATCATTTGGGTGGCTTACCGGAGCGGATGGTCCGTCAAGAAGGGGTGTGTCCTGGAAATGGGTGCTGCGTCGAGATAAGGCGACAAATTGGTACGGCATGAGGTTGTTACTTCTCATTTGTTCAACGCTTGAGCGGGCATGGCTATGGGCTTTTTGGCTGACGTGACATGGCCCTTGCAAAGCATGGCGTCGCGGACAATCTGATGAGTTTGATTTGTTTTTGGATGTTTGCTGGGGTTTGAGTCTTGCTACTTAAGAGCAAGAGCAAGAGCAAGAGCAAGAGCAAGAGCAAGAGCAGGATCGGGATGAAAGTTGGCTATTGGGCACGAAGGAAACGGGAATTGCAGGAAAACGGTCATCATCGGCATGGTTTTGGTCGCGTAATTGTTCGTTAGGCTGCTTGTGGTTGTGGTCTGGTTTTTGGTTGGTTAAGAGGTTGATCATCTATGGCTTATACACCTAGGGGGTTGTTGATATAGGAGAGCATCGTTAACGAAGGGCTCGACAGGGGGATACAACAGACATGGCAATATTGTTATGCTCGCTGATGGTCGACGCAGCCTGCCCATTCGGTTCTTACACATCCGAAGCAACATCCAAAGGTGTTCGCGCCCAAAGCGTCTATTGTCGTCGCCTTGAAGTTGTCTCTGTCCTGTCTCTCCGACCTGTGAACTGCTGTGCTGTACCAGTCATGGACCCACAGTCCTTCATATAGGACCCTGGGGTACCTCGAATAGTTTACTCTTGTCCAGTTTTTCGTCCAGAGCGGACACTCGACGGCTAAGTGGATCTCGGCTAGAGCGTCACGCTCGATGAGAGGTCGAGGCTTGCGGAAGTCGGTGTCTTGAAAGGTGACGACAAGCGAAGGTTGGCGTGGATGGACTACAGCTCTGGTAGACATACCGTTGTGGAGAATGCTCTTTGAACGTCAAGCCTGATGTCCGCTAGTCAAATACCAGAATCTATGCCTGGAATTCCAATGACACTGGCTTCCGATGTGATAGAGCCAGCATTCGAGACCTGATACACATAGGAGGGCGCTTGGTGGTCTGAGATTCGGAGCTATGGAAGCCGTTCCTGTCCTTGACCTCGTGTTAGGAGTTCGAGCATGTATGTCCTCATCGCGACATTTGGAGATCAGATAGAAGCAGGGGCTTTCTCAAAGTCGCCGCCATGGCAGACCAGATGCTGTCTTCATCTTAGGCCAGTGCCCGGCCAATAGTCAGGCACAATCATCACGCAATCCGTATATTCGGCGTTTGTTGGGAAAGAGGTTTGACTTGGCACGCCATGGGATTTGCCATGGACCTTGCAAAATGGGATCCCTCATATCGTGGGACCGACACGTGCCACCGGAGATACAATGCTGGATCTCAAGTGTTGGTCGAGAGGGTAGAAGCAGGTTCAGAATGCTCTTCCAGGAGAGCGACTCCCTCGAGCATGCAGCGGGGTCTGGGGAAGTGGTACCTGATACAACTTGCTTTCTTGTTTGTGTCAGCAAGCCAGTGCCACTCTTCTCCTTGCATGAGTGCCCAGATTCTCATATACCAGTGGTAACGCCTTCCTAGGATAGCTTCTGACCGGGGCCCTCGGCGGAAAGGAATCCCCATGGGGTACACACATCGCAGCACGTCAATGTTCTCGCCAAAGCTTCTGGAAGGCAGTTGACTTAGACGATGCTGCGGCCCGTCCGTGATCGCTGTCGTGGATGGACGTTTCGATCATGCAGTATTCCACACGACTGCTGCAAGTAGCGTCTCCCCAAAGCCGGAGTTGACCCACGGCAGCATGAGGCCAATCCTCGAGTCCCTGTGAGCCATGTCGGTGCAGAGCATGTGGCACTAAGCTGCAGCCAGCAAGGCATCCTGATCACGGAGGTACTTGATTTGGGGCAACAGAACCGACTGCATTTCAGTGCTGGACAGCAGTACCATCTGGCGTATCACAGTGCGGTCAAACTGCAAGCCGTCCGTCCTGTGCAGTGCCTGGAATCCCGCCCCGAGTCCCCGAGTCTTGGACGTCACTCTTGGCATCCTTAGCGCGGGGGCGGATACTTGGCATCTACCTGCTTGTTGCCTCTCCAAGATCTTTCTCTGCTCCTTTCCCAATTTCCATGTGGTGCAAAAGGCAAATGCGTAAAGGCAGGTAGGTAGTGGCCACCACAGGTAACGTTCAGACGCGCCAGCCTGAAGATTCTTACGAACCAATCCACCTCTGAGGGTTGGCGCCTCTCATACTCGTTCTCGCCCATACTACCTGGTAGTGTCGGTAAGTGTTCCGCAGGATTGGCATCAGCGCCCGCATGTACGCTGTCTTGAGATCGCATGGGTATTTGCTTGGCCCAATATGATGGCTTAGACGATACCAAGAAACAGTTGTCATACCCTCACCAGATCTGGATTCCTTTTGGCCGGACGAGTGAGTCTGTCGATTCGAGAGCCTGCCTTCAATCTTTGGGCTTGTTCTGGTGGGCTTCGGACAGGGATACCCTGTACACCTCACACTGGGCCCGGGGAAGCCCTCTGGTGCAACGCGGAGGACTTTGTTGCGATTGGGGAAGTCGGCATCTGGTTGGTACCTAATCACTTGTGCAACCCTCCCGGAAATGTGAGTATCACAATCAAGCATAAAAGGCCATAAAGCGCCTGTTGTGACCCGGATTGTCTTCTATCCTTGTGCATCCTTCGTTGGACATCCTCCTTTCCGTGCTTCTGCCTCGGAATTGCTCGATTATCGCGTCTGCTACTTGTATCGCCCTGAGCTATAACATCGACTGTGTTTCCTCGACTGCAACGCAAGCCAGCAGACGAGAATGGCTCCTACAGAAGTCGAGGTCCCCGTCGAAATTTCCCCAAGCAAAGAGAATGTGGAGATGCTGGAATCAGGTTCCACTAACTCTCAAGAACTGGGCTTCGATAAGAAAGCTACGAAGAAGTTGATCAGGAAGTTGGACTGGGCTCTTCTCCCATTTCTGGCACTGCTCTATCTTCTCTCATTCCTCGATCGAACAAACATTGGAAATGCTCGCCTTGCTGGACTCGAAATGGACCTGGGTATGACCGGTTTGGACTACAACGTCTGTATCCCACTAGTGGTGAACATCTGGGATTGAAGGTATCTGACATGGAATAGGTTGCACTCGCTGTCTTCTTCCCATTCTACGTTGCTGCCGAGGTGCCCTCCAATCTGATGATGAAGAGAACGCGCCCCTCGATCTGGATACCCACTATCATGGTTGCATGGGGCGTCTGCTGCACATTAATGGGGCTTGTTCACAACTTTGCGGGCCTCCTCGCTGCTCGTGCTGCTTTGGGAATCGCAGAAGGCGGCCTTTTTCCGGGAGTGACCTTCTATATCACTATGTGGGTCGGCCGACGCAAACATGGAGGTCCCTGCTGATAGGACGTGTTCAGGTGGTACCGACGACATGAGTGCGGCCTCAGAATGGTGAGTATTGACTCAGTATGACCGTGAAAAGTTGCAAGAACTTATACATCACTATCACAACAGGCGATCTTCTTCTCCGCGGCCACAGCTGCTGGCGCATTTGGCGGATTACTGGCTCGTGGTATCATCGAGATGGACGGCATTGGAGGTAAAGCCGGCTGGGCTTGGATCTTCATCCTTGAGGGTATCATTACGCTCATAGTTGGTACGTAACGTCGACTTACCACTCATGTTCAACGACCTAACAGTCCGTCTACCACAGCTGGAATGGCATTCGTCGTTATGAATGACTACCCATCTACCGCAAAATTCCTAACCCCTGAGGAGAGAAAGGAGGTTGCCCGTCGCTTAGAACACGACCGAAGCTCACTGGCCGACGAATTTTCCATGAAGTATTTCTGGGATGCTGTCAAGGATTGGAAAATATGGGTTCACATGTTCATCACCATTGGGTAAGGGCATGTTCCTCCACGGACCCTCTGTCTTGCTTACACACTCTAGCGTTTATACACCCCTCTACTCCGTCTCACTATTTCTGCCAACAATTGTGAGGACTCTTGGCTACACCAATGAAACTGCTCAGCTCATGACGGTGCCTCCATACATTGTCGCCTGCTTCTGCTGTATCAGTGGAGGCTTTGCCGCGGACAAGCTCAAGAGTAGAGGTGTCTTTATGATCGGCTTCAACTGCATCGCCCTGACGGGACTCACCATGCTCATTGCATCCCAGAATCCCCATGTCAAGTACGCTGGCTGCTTCTTCTTTGCCGCTGGCATCTATTCCAATGTCCCACAAGGTGTTGCCTGGAACGGCAACAATATCGCCGGGACCGTCAAGCGCGGCGTGGGCATTGCCATGCATGTGGGATTTGGTAAGCCTTCCACGTGGACTCTGGCGCCGGTACCCTACCTCTGTCCGAATGCTGACATCTGGCTCAGGTAACCTCGGTGGTGCGATCTCAGGTTTCATCTATCTGTCCACGGATTCCCCAAAGTTCACCAAAGGCCATGCTATCTTGATTGGCTTAGTCTCGATGAGCACAATACTATCCATCTTCATGACGACCTACCTGCGCCGTGAGAACGCACGTCGGGACCGTGATTATAAGAGTTTGGATCAATACACAGCCGAGGACAAATTTGCGGAAAGAGAGAAGGGCGATAACGCAACCTTCTTCCGCTACACTGTCTAAAGTCCAGATGAGAGAAACAAGTTTACACAAGAATATTCATCCGGCTCCACCACTCTTATTGGACGAAGTGGATTCTATAGACCTTGAATTGAGACCCTTTCTGCCACAGTTCTTCTATATGGCATTTCCAATCATAGCAAGGCTGGGGTGCAGCCTTGCCGAGCCTCAGCCTCGTCAGTGGCGTATCACGTGATTCTGAGCGACATCGGCATTACGCCTGTAAAATTTAGCCCGCGCTTCTCAAGGCAGGACGCAGCGCTCCAATCGGAGAATAGCTGTAGTAATGGCCTTTTTCGTCCACGAGATCTTTGTTTTTTTTTGAGAGCGAGTATATCCAATCTGTCACCAGGAACTGCTGTAGCCAGGTGTCGATCGCCGCAGGTGCTTCTCTTGTTCTCAACGCTACTGAAAATTTCCTCGACAACAACCGACGACGGACAATCTTGCTAGCGATATGGTGGTGGAGTAGCATCCTGCTACAGAGCCATTGCAACTTGAGACTCTGACTGTGACTTTTGGCAGACTCTTGCACGATGGTATGTCCAGCTGGGTTCTCAAGACAAACACACTTCTAAGCTGTGCTAGGTTTCTCCGCGGGCTTTTGCGCCTTGCGCGTTCCAAACGACCAATCTATCCTTTCGCGTGCAATGGCGACAGACGCGCAGTTTTCGCAAGAGTGCGCAACGTGTTCAAGAGGTCTTCCATGCGCAACTCGAAGATCCAAACGCCGCGGCGGTGTTCACCTCGATGAAGACATTCCCCACGATCCCTCAGACACTCACCGAGAAGATCGTACAACAGTATGCTGTGGGGTTGGCAAAAGACAAATATGTAAAGTCAGGCGACTATGTCACGATTGCACCACACCATTGCATGACCCATGACAATTCATGGCCTGTTGCTTTGAAGTTCATGTCGATAGGGGCGACAAAATTGAAAGACCCCAAGCAGATTGTCATGACACTCGATCACGACGTTCAAAACAAGTCGGACAAGAACTTGACAAAATATAGACAGATCGAGGAATTTGCAAAGAAGCACGGCGTGGACTTTTACCCCGCTGGCCGGGGTATTGGACATCAGATTATGGTCGAGGAGGGCTACGCCTGGCCCGGAACATTGGTCGTTGCCAGTGACAGCCACACCAACATGTACGGTGGCATTGGCTGCCTTGGTACACCTGTGGTTCGGACGGATGCCGCTAGCATCTGGGCTACTGGACGCACCTGGTGGCAGATTCCCCCTGTGGCCAAGGTGACCTTTAGAGGTGTCTTGCCCAAAGGTGTGACCGGAAAGGATGTGATTGTGGCGCTTTGCGGTCTGTTCGACAAAGATGACGTGCTGAACCACGCCATCGAGTTTACTGGGTCAGAAGAGACTCTTAGAAGTCTCCCTATCGACTCCCGATTGACCATTGCTAACATGACCACGGAATGGGGTGCCTTGAGTGGATTGTTCCCGATAGATGATGTGCTTCGAGGTTGGCTTCGCGCAAAGGCTACAATGTCAGCATTGGATGCATCTGAAGGCCGGAGTGGCAATCCTCGTTTCACACACGCTCGACTGGATCAATTGTTTGAGTCTCAACTTGTGGCCGACAAGGGGGCTCAATATGCTAAACAGCTCTATCTCGACTTGAACACCCTCTCTCCCTACGTGGCCGGGCCCAATTCCGTCAAGGTCGCGACTCCTTTGAATGAGCTGGAAGACCAAAACATCAAGGTTGATAAGGCTTATCTTGTGTCTTGCACCAATTCCCGCGCTTCCGATCTTGCGGCAGCTGCGAAAGTTTTCAAAGACGCTGCCGAAAAGAATGGTGGTAAAGTGCCCCAGATCGCCGACGGCGTCAAGTTCTATATCGCCGCAGCCTCGCTGCCCGAGCAGGAGATCGCCGAGGAAGCTGGTGATTGGCAGACACTCATCGATGCCGGTGCCGTGACGCTCCCTGCAGGGTGTGGGCCTTGTATCGGTCTTGGGACCGGGCTGCTTGAACCCGGCGAGGTGGGTATCAGTGCGACGAACAGAAACTTCAAAGGTCGTATGGGCAGCCCTGATGCCAGGGCCTACCTTGCCAGCCCCGAAGTTGTGGCAGCTAGCGCCCTGACTGGCAAAATCAGTGGTCCCGGATGGTACGAAAGGCCGGACGGATGGTCTGGAGTGGTGCGGGGTGAAGGCGACGGCATCAAAGAAGAAGAACGCATGATCACTGCTGATGAGGCTTTCCAGAAGATCATCAGCCAATTAGACAACATGATCGAATCGGCCGAGGAAACATTCGGTGATTCAGTCAAGACAAGCGAGACTACGACGAGTTCCACGGATGTGTATCCAGGGTTCCCAGAGCGGCTGGAAGGAGAGATCGTCTTCTGTGATGCAGACAACATCAACACAGATGGCATCTATCCGGGAAAATACACCTATCAAGACAACGTCCCCGTTGAAAAGATGGCCGAGGTGTGTATGGAAAACTACGATCCGAAGTTTTCTTCAATCGCAAAAGCAGGAGACATTCTGGTTGCCGGTTTCAACTTCGGATGCGGTAGCTCTCGAGAACAGGCAGCAACTGCTATCCTGGCAAAGAAAATTCCCCTTGTGGTAGCGGGCAGCTTCGGCAACATCTTTTCGCGGAACAGCATCAATAATGCTTTGATGGGTCTAGAGGTGCCAAAGTTGGTCCGCCGCTTGCGGGAGACATTCTCGGAAACTTCCACACCTACGACATCCGACGAGATCACAGAGCCTGTCGGCAACAAAGAGGAACAACAGAGCCTCGATTCCCCTCCACCAGCGCCGACACAGCCACATGAAAAGCAGCTCTCTCGCCGGACCGGTTGGACCCTGGTCTGGGACGTGAAGAAGTCGCAAATCGAAGTTACCGAAGGACCTAATGGAAAGACATGGACGGAGAAAGTGGGAGAACTTCCGCCGAATGTGCAAGAGATCATTGCCAAGGGTGGCCTTGAGAAATGGGTACAAAAGGAGATTGCCGCAGCATGAAACGCTTCGTCAAGCTTCTGCCGGTACTTTTCTATGCAATTCAGCAGAACAACGCTTCACTCGGTGAAAGGCAGTCACTCAACAGGGTTCCCGCTAGCCCTCTATTCCAGTGCTAGCCAGAAGGCACACATCCAGCCGCTGGTACAGAGATCAGCATCTGGATAGATCTGCAACAAATTTGGTACAGATCAGCATCACGCTCCATACAGTCCCGAATATCCACGATCAGATGCCTTCGCAGAGGGTCACCGTCTGTCATATCCTTGGAGCTGACTGCTTCGGAGGGAAAATGTGCAACAAGCAGCCAGTGATCCGTCGACGGTTCGGTTGCATAGCAACTATACTCATACCTGGCCTGGTCATTGCTCATTTGGCAAATGCTATTGAGTGCGAATGGCCGGAGAAGAGCTTGCATGCTTGCATAGACGATCATGATCCCAAGGACTGCTGGTGGAGCAGTCCGTACGTGGAGGCTACCCTCTACTGATCTGAGAGTGCACGGAATGGTATTTCTGGTCGCTCGGCCTTGTAGCGCAAGGTGTTGGAGGATGGTTGCAAAGATGCTGGGTGAGACAGTCTACAATTTGGGTACCACAAAAAGACGTTATTTATTTCTGGTCGTAGTGGACTGTGCCATGGGCCACCCAGCACCTGTCGATGGTGGAACATCGCTTATTTGACCAGAGTATGGGCCAAGCGGTGAGACAGTTCAAGTTTTCTGCATCAACACTACTAGTAATTACCCACAGCGAATACCTGAAGGACCAGGTGGGACACTGCACAGTATAGTATACTATATGTAGGTACATACACGGCAAGGCTACGCCCGAAAGGGGGAACTCGAATCGGAAAGGCGCCGGGACCCACCGTCGGCATCCCGAAGCTTGGCGAAACCTAAAACGCGCGAACATGAGACGAAACCACGTGATGGACCGATTGGGCGCTTCAAAACCCCCTCGACTGCTTCTCCTGCGCTTATTGCAACTTACCGGGACTGTGTCTTGACCGCTGTGCATCACTATAAACCTGGTCTTAACCTCCTCACATTCACCCTTCCAGCGTGTGGCAGCAGGAGTGTCAGCACTCACGGCAGACCGACTGCCGACTCTCCAACATTCAGCCGAATTGATCCACACCAAGATACCGTCCTTCATTTCCAAAAGTAGAACCTCTTCCACGCTAAATGCCAGCTACGTACGAATCGCCTCTCTGCCGCTGCGCTCCGAGGTCTACGCCCTTCTCTCTTTTTTTTTTGGCTCCGACCTTCGCGCTGAGACCACATAGGTTGGTGGTCAGCAAGTGCAAAAGACATACCACTCAACTGCCAAGTGTCCAGAAGGTGTCAACTCGCTGCCAGAGTACCGCGCGAATCCGCTCTCTATGGCCAACGTTTATCCGCTCAAACAACGCTATTGATTAGGCCTCCCTGGCCAGACTGTCGCAAGGACTGTCCCCTGACCTCCTGCGCTGCCTAGTCCGCAGCCTTACAATCTAAACGCGACAGCAAGACCCTCAGATCCAGATCTAGCCCGTGCATGGTACTCTGTATATTATTACTGCCCATACCTTCACCCTCCGGCATCATGACAACCTCTGCAGAAAAAGAGCCTTTACTTTCTTATACTACGCACCCTCGTCAGGGTTTTATAGCCGCTTCGCAGCACAATCATTCACATCAGTCGGTCGTTTCACCTTCGGAATCCACCTTGGCGGCACCACAAGACGATACTAAAAGTTTTCCATTTTTGTTGCGCACAAAGATCATACTGGCCATGGTTGCTATCCCTGCATATTTGTTGGCCTCCTCGGCCGTTTCTTCCTTGGGACCCTTGACGCCTCGCAACACAGTCATCCGTTCACCAGAGCCAGCGCCATTACCGGAGAAGGCTTCCTCCGAGGGCGTGTCGGCTCCGTCGACAAACCCCTTCGCCTCCGTGATAGGACCTCTGGTGGAGACAAACTTCCCCGACCCGGCCATCATCCACGTGGATGGCGTTTCATATGCTTTTGCGACCAACAACCGAGGAGTTGGCGGCGAGATGATTCACATCCAAGTCGCGACGTCGTCGGACAATCAGACATGGACGTTATCGGACCACCATGACGCGCTACCGCAGGTCGCCGCCTGGGAAACTGGCACTCGAGTTTGGGCGCCAGATGTCATCCAGCTTGTAAGCCATATTGCAACTGACAGAAGATCTTTCTTATTCATATGTTCTTGATTATTAGGATGACGGTTCATTCGTGCTCTACTATACCGACGCGCTAGCATCGACTCCGAGATTCCACTGCGTGGGCGCCGCGACGTCCCGGAATGTCATGGGACCTTATGCCCCTCTGGACCACCCTATTGCATGTCCAGATATTCTCACCAAGGGCGGTGCCATCGATCCCGACGGATTCCAGGACCCAGCTACAGGCAAACGCTACGTCGTCTATAAGACGGACGGCAACTCAATCGGCCATGGCGGCAGTTGCAACAATGGTATCGCCCCGATCGTCCCTACTCCCATCATGCTTCAAGAAGTAGGCTCCGATGGCATCTCTCTGGTCGGCGATGCGATCCAAATCCTCGACAGAGACGACTTTGACGGACCCCTGATCGAGGCCCCTTCACTCCATCGTTCCGAGGAAGGTATATACTTCCTCTTCTTCAGTAGTAACTGCTACACGACGCCCAAGTACGACGTGTCCTATGCTACTGCCACCAGTATCTATGGACCTTACACCAAGTCTGGCCGACCTCTGCTGGTCACGAGTGATGCCGATCTGGTGGGGCCTGGTGGCCTCGATATCATCAAGGATGGTGATCTGGTTGTTTTCCACGGACACATGACGTTCAGCAATGACCCTACACTCAAGAAGGAAGCTGAAGAGATCGCCAAATCCACTGGAAAGCCGATCAAGGACGTCAACCTCCCCTTGGTCAGGGGCATGTGGTCTGCGACCACGACCTTCAGGGGCACGGACATTTCACTCTCCTCCTGATTGCCGTCATCTACTTCCCTTCTTACGCCGTTATTCGATTATGATCTCACGTCTTTGCAGCGTTCTAGCGAACATTTGTCAGCATCTCAGCGCTATAGATATCTAGAGTGGCATTTTTGGGTTGCGATGCTTATAATCATCTACTGGCTGGGCTTGCACATGTGCCACACACACACATTTGGAGATATAACTGTTTGCACATGCGGAATGAACATATTTGATGAGATGACATGTATCATTACATACCTTGGATCGTGCGGAGAGACAGGAGACCATCAAGTCATAAGAATCGAACGAAGACGCTTGTGCCCTGCACCGGGGGTCAAAGTGTATGACATAGTAGTGCTCGTGTAGGGGGATTCTGCCAACAAACCTTTTGCTAGAGACTCCGCTGTGTCCCAGTTGTCAAGTTGTTGCGGATCTCCTTGCTGGTCAGACAAGGCTCCCACTACTGGGCATTGGTGCAACCAAATCAGGCAGGTTGGCCGAATGCGTCTCTCACCTTTCGAGCTGTGTGCAATTTTGTGCTTCAAGTTCTTGAGATCAATTGTGTCCTCTGGTTATTCAACGCCGGGAACGAGATTTACCTGCTATTCACTCTCCAGCTACGACCGCTGTCATCCATTCTCTTTATGGAGGCCATGCAATAGTATTTCTATCCATCCCAAGTCTCCGACGCCCTCAGATATCTCGCCACCATGCCTCCACGAATACCGTCGTCGGCTGCTTCGATCGCAGCAAAGCCTACACCCTCCATCCACACTCATTGTAAATCATGCCTCAACCGCGCTTTCTCCTCAACACCCTCCTCTCAAACAACACAACTTCGACGCCGGATGTTCGCCTGGCTCATGCAAGGACCTGGGGCGAATTTCCGGCAGCCTCTCGCCAATTCCACCAACTATCTCTCAGCATATGACAAGAAGGGCACCCTTCTACGTGAGCGAAACAAAAAGCATGGCACGTCTCCGGCGCCGTCTTCCGAAGGCCCCGAAACCGATGATATGGCTGCCCTCGAGGAAGCTGCGGAAGACGAACCTTCATTGCCGAAAGAAGACCTGGAAGATTTGCGCCCTTTCCCACTCAACAAAAGCTTCGTTTCACAAAGTATATTATCGGACGAGCTCCGCGAGGAAATATGGAAACGAGTCAAGGTCGATGGGAAATCCGTCCGCCAAGTCTCGGTCGAGATGAGCATAGACATGCGCAGAGTAGCCGCTGTCGTTCGCCTCGTGGAAGTCGAACGCAGAATGGCCTCAGAGGTATGTGAGAGATAAACCCTTCTCCTTTTACCACTACTGCTCTTTTCTACTGTGATGAACAACCAAAATCGATTAGTCTTCCAGACTTCCACCATGGTGATCTAAAAAAACAAATTACAACTCTCTGATTTCTATGCCATTGGCCAACCAAGCACCGTCCTTCTCCAGGTCTTCTGCAAGAGAAGCACAAAGTTGCTAACGGACTTCTCAAATCAACTAGGGCCAACCTCTCGCCATTCCCTACGCGAAAGCCATCCACTCGATGGTTCCAGTGAACAAGCTGGACGCGCGCACACGCAAGCCCGTCGAGGAGCACGAGTCCATCAACGACCTGGAACAACATCCCATGACCTTCCCGCAAATCTTCTGGCCGACGTCTGAATCGCGCGCCTTCAACCGCACGGACGCCGGGCGAGTTTTCAGCGCTGCTCCCCGCCTTCCAGACGAGCAGGAACTGGGTGAAGATGGCAAGCCAGTCCTGGAACCCTGGCAGGACAACAAAGCCGAGATCATCGGCAAGCCTGGCCACGCGCATCCCGTCTTGAAGCCTGCGGACGCACGTATCCCGCATCCACACTTGGTTGCGTATGAAAAGGACAAGCTCGACCCGACCCTTAGGCCGAACGAAGTCCGGGCGCGGTATGCCGAACGCCTTCAACAGGAGGACTCGAAGCGCAGAGAATTCAGAGAACGACAGATCCGAGCAGAGGAAAAGAAGAAGTCGCGCATCGATACAGACCGCTGGCAGTTTGTCGTCACTGAGGTCAGTGCCACCAGGGCAGGCACCGGTCTGGATGGCCGCGGCACCAAGGCTCCGGGATTCCGCTACGGCGTGCCCAGCCAAGAGCGGAAAAAGGGACAAGTCAAGATCCCTACGAGCGTCCAAGTGTGATTCTGATATCGCTCTGTTTTGGGTCGTTGTTTGCCATGCAATTTTCATCCAGCAGCAAGAGATGCCGAATCCCAATATTTACTTGATTCCGCCCGAGCCTTCTACACAATCACAACCGCTGTGTACCACTGTGATGGACAATGTCGAAACCATCTGGCAATGAAGTGCCTCGTAGGCTATCATGGACTGTGGGCTATTCATTGAATCGATTGTGTACCCTTACGTATGAGGGAGCTTCGTTAGAATACGGCAGAAATGGACCTGACGAGAACAGAGCTCACAGGTCATCCTGTGAGAAAGGGCCATTGAGATGACATTTGGCAGGCTTGACTTGACTTGCCGGATTGAGCCATGACATTCTCTGTCTATTCGTCAGCCTGCTACAGACTCTCTGCGCAGACTCTTGCAGAGGCTGTAACATCTTTAAGGAGATAAGAAGGATTGATGACAACCACTATATTTCATCTTGGTCTTCTTTGTAGACTCGAAAGCGTTTGATCGAACCAAGACCTGGCGGTCTGCTACATAACAGGCTTTTTAACGAGACCTTTCTAGACCTTTCAGAGTCTGAGATCTCGAGTCAGTGCTGAAGGTGGACTGGATTGTTCCTGGTCTGCCGTGTTCAATTTCATTACATGTGTAGAGGATGATGATATTAACATGAATGATATCTTGCGCGTTCTGTGTTCCGCGGTATATACAGAAAAGAGTCATAACGTCGTACTAATTATAATAGCTAGGCTGCTTAGACTTCGCTTCGTGCCGTAACTGCCTGTGTGCATGGTGCATACGTGTATAGATTGCACTGATAGTTCAGACGAACATCTTTCAATGATTTGAAGCTTGGCAGCGTCGAGTAACGCTTCTTCAACGAGGCGTTGGTACCCATTTCATCTCGGCCGAGTCGGTCACTGCTGCAAGAAGCTGGTAGACAGCCATCTACCCCCTATGGCGCGCTTGAGGTGAGGCCACCGGACAATACCGAAAGATGAGATGTCAGATAGAGGCGAGGGCGAGTATCAACGCACGGCGTAAAGATGATACATGGCACCGGTAGCTTCATGAACGGTCTTAAGCTGACCGGTTTAAACATCCTCTGCATATTTCTTTTCGTTCACCATGGACGGCATACTGCGGGTGCTCGGTTTCGCGAGCAATTTCTTCCTGCTTAACTTACCGCACAAAGCAACCTTGAGGATCGGCAGTGGATCTCTTGCTTCGGGCAAAACGAGCAGCAGAAATACCAGGGTCACGCCGGCCGTGGCAGGCAAAAAGCCGTATAGATAGTGTGCAGCTGGCGCAAAGTCATGTGGCATGCTGAAGATGGCGCAGGCCAGCGCAAATGGCGCGTAGATCAATGCAATTATCGTCAGATATCGCGAATAGTCGGCCTGGCGGACTGACTCGGTTTCGATCGCGGTCAACGACGCGCTGTCTTGCCAATGTGAGACGACGGAAACATGCTGCATCTGTGAGTCGCATTCGACCCGGTAGTGGTGGAGGTCGACCAGAAGGCTGCGGTAGTCCTCGGTCAGATCCGCGTCCGCGCCGACGAATGACTTGATGCGCGTCAGGATGGGTTTGTACCGGCTGAGCATTGAGTCTAGAGAGATGCATTTATCGAGTATCCTCTTTGTCTTCGAGGGGTCGGCTGTCAACGAAGTCGAAACGGATTGGCTCTCAAGCGTGGCGCGGATATAGTCGAAGAAATTGCTGCATTCGCTTGCAGCAATCTGGAATGCTGGTTTCATGATGTTGAGCAGGTTTCTGTCCGCTGGGTTGATCAGGCCATCTCGGGCCATGATCTGCCAATGTCGACACAGGTCGTCGAATGGATTGGGACACATGGGCCTTGCTCCGCATTCGCGAAAGTCGTGCTCTTCTTTCGTAGGAGGCCGTCTGTGCTCAATGAAGTCGAGATAGCCTCCATGATAGCCCGTGACATCAAGGCGCGCTGTGGGAGAGAAGGCCCCAAATGTCGATTCAAGTCCGAGTGTGAAGTATGAGATGGGTGGATCGACAAGGACGATGCCTAACTAGAACTCAGCATGTGTCACAATTTGGAAAGTTCAACAAGCGGATCACGGAAGGCAGTTCGGGAAATACATACACAACCATTGATCGAGAGACTTCTTCATGTAGAATGAGATCTTCCGACGAGCCAGAGCGACTTTTGATTTTCCATACTTCGAGCATACCTCCACTCTTCGCCGATAGTTCCCCTTGCAGTAGAGCTTATCAATGTCAACATCCTTTCCACAGTTTGCGACGACAAATGCACAAGGATATTCGACGGTAAAGAAGTCTTTCTGAAGGCGTACGTTCTGTGACGCCAAAGGGGATGCCGTGTTGACCTCCCCGACGTTCCCGATGCCGTGGTCAGCAAGATGCGCAGCAAAGAACGCTGGCTCAATATTGAGTAGCCCTCCTAGACTGTCCACCACCTCAGGACTGATGTTGTTGACCATGACAATCCGGCCTTGAACGCCGGACGCTGGCACAGCTGGAGCATTCGGTGGGCGTTTCCTGGTCCATTCCTTCAACAACAGTCTCAGTTTCGCGGTGTCTGAGAGATCCGATGTTCTGAAACTCGATGTTCCGAACTCGAGCAGAATTGTTGTTGATTGTTGAGGACGCTGAGCAGCAGGGAGTCGCCCGGCTTCTACTCCCCACTGAAGATATCCGTCAAGGCACGCGAGGTTGTGAAAGCCGTGACTTCGTAAGAAGCAGACATAGTCTGTGTACGTCCACGAGTGAGGATCTGGTGGCGCCATTGAACAGGTATTGCAACCACGAGGCTGATGGTCAGACTGCATCACATCTAAGGCCCGGATTGAGGTGAAGCTTTCGTGGATATAGACCATGCGATGCTGGCATACAGGTTAGGTCAAAACAGACTGCAACTCTAGAATCAACGTCAAAGGCGGGAAGCGACTGGCAGGAAGATAGATACTCATGGACCAAACCGGGAAAGCCCGGTGGAAGAAGCATAAGCTCCGGTCTCATGACTGATATCTGCAAGAGAGCACCTTTAGACTGATTATAGATGGGCTGGGAAGAACCAGGTATCTAACCCAGGGGAGGGGCGAAGTTGGATAACGTTGACATGGGTTGTTTCTAGGATTCATTGACGGTGGTTGACAAGGTTTGCAGCGGTCTTCAACAGCTTACCGTCTCTTTTCTAAGCAGCTTCGTCGTCAGGGGTTTGTCTGCATCACTGCATCGTGCCCAAGCATTTTGTTTACCTGTTGGCCTGTGCATCTGCCTCGATAGACGAAGCAATCGGCTTACCGAAGCTCTCAGCTGTAGGCCACTCCATGCGCTGACGTGCAGGTTACGGAGGAGAATAAGACAGTCGGCGGGGTGCGCAAAACCATTGGCGAAGGTAGCATTAGCTTCCTGCCACATCAAAAGGACTCGGTTAGCGGAAGGACGGACGGCCGTATCGTTCAAGTCGTCGAACAAATCATTGTTTGGGATCCTTGGGTGGGGAGAGATGGTATCGGGCCCAGCCACCCAGATTCAGTGCCTGGGTTTGTTGAGCAACATTGTTATACCGAGTCTGGTGGAGGAGTGAGACAACTGCACGTGTCAGAAGCAGGAATCCGTCTCTGCAAGTCTCATGCAAGGTCCGGCAGCGAACTTGGGCCCATGGATGGTAAGACAATCAGCTGCGTCTCCAAAGATGGTGTTGCAGACGCAAAGCTGGAAGTTCAAGGTTGGATGCCTGGAGTGCCAAACTTGCCGCAAACACGCCAAGATATAGGGCCATTGTTTGGTGTGTTTGCTCGATTTGTTTATTTCGCGTTGTCTTGCGCTTCTCCGTCAACTTCGACACCTCCTGTAAACATTGTTCATTCGAGGGGAGTCAGAATGGCCACAAACACCGTCGATCCTGAGGTGGCAGCTCGTGGAACCCTAGCCCTCCTGCAAACCCGTCTTCATCGACTGGAATTTCTTCTCTCCGGCTACAGCAATGAGGAGGGCATTCCCGAGCCCACCCTCGCACCTGCCAGAAGCAATGACACGATCTGGGCAAAGTTGCACTCACTCGAAGCCGAAGTCGTGAAATTGAACAAGCTTAATGGTCAAGCCGGCGAGGTTGTCCGCAATGTAGAGCGTCTATGTAGGCAAGGACCTAGTTCCTATAACCACTTTGAAGAAGCCGACTGATGATGGCTCCAGCGTCTACGTATCCTGATCTCTTCTTGCCCACAACGAGCCCTTCCGACATACCAAGATCCCAGGATTTGAATACGCTGGCCTCAATTGTACTCTCACACGCGACCTTGTTTCCCGAGACTGCGTCGAGGCTGTCATCTTTACAGACTCTTCAGGTTCCCCCAGCCGAACAAAGCTCGAAGCTCGCATCGCTGATCCCCAGACTGGCTCAATGCAAGGAAGCTGAACGGAGCATGGGGGAGGATATTCGAGAGCTTCGAGAGCGCAGCACCAGATGTTTAGAATGGTGGGTCAAGATCGGCGTCATCGGAACTGCAGACTTATATGAAGACTGGGAGATAAGAATCCACGAAATTGAGAGACATCTTATCCGTTCCGAACGACGTGCGGGAGAGGAACAAGGATATCTATGAATGACAAACCTTGAAACACTTGTGCGCTCAATAGCCGATACATTGGGCGTCATGCAGGCATCTGGGTAGAGAAATGGTTTGACTCGGCTCGAGGTGGCACACTGAATGTATGGTCAGTTCCTTGGTAATGGGACTGATAATGGGAAACCCTGGATCAACTGGCGCAACAACCAGTGCGTGTGTCATCCAAGGTGACCGAGCTGGAAGTCGCATGACCGAGCTGCGCCTTTCTCGGAGCAATCATTCCAACGGCTCGGAGACATCGACCGCCATGATCGACGCAAGGATGGGGCAACCGTTGATACAAACTTGTAGCAGCTCCAAGGCGATGACAACAGTGCCTCGAATCACTATTGCTGGACACCTGAGAGTTCACGATGCCGGTCAGAGCATCAGTCACGGACCACAACCGACTTCCCATAATCCCCCGACCAGCGTGGCTGATCGCTCACGGAATTTATTGTTATGCCAGCCACACGGCAAAGTAGTCTATTGAAATGGGTGGAAGACGCTTGTGGCGGTGCCAGGGGTGAATTGTGGAGTTTCCAGTATTGGCCGAGAACAATGGATCAGCGATGTCAGGGGCAGAGTCGTGTCTCACCCAATCGTTCGTCGTCAGGGACAGATCGCGTTTCACCTGGCAAGGATTTTGAAGTCGGAAAGGAAACTATCCGGATTGAGGACGCGTCGAGATGGTGTAGGCGCGACGTTCCGGAGGCTGAAGGGCGCAAGAACTGAGATGATTGTCTGGATATGTTAGCGCAGGCAATCTACCATGAATGACAATCTTGTAGACAACATCGAGTCGCTCGTGCCACAAAGCGCATGCCTGCATTGCAGACGAGCGCGTGGCTTGTGCGACGCGGCCAAGGACTCATTGTACCATCGACTCTGAAGGAAGAAATTAGGCTGCTAGGATTGTGTAGAAACTTGAGGGACGTCAGATGGAGCAGATCCACTAGCTTGTATCTTGACAGGCTATAGCAGCAGCAGCAGTCAGTCGGTCAGTCAGTCAGCGATGAAACGATTCAAGCTCTGTTCAGAGTCAGAGGTTGTAAATCTAGGTAGAGACAGTGCATGCTTCAAGACGTGGGCGAGTTGAAACGCGTTGCAGGGCTTGATGAAGGCTTGTTGGCCGTTGGTTGAAAGAACGGCGGTACTAGTGGCCTAAGGAGCCTGTAAGAGTCACAAATAAGGCATAGGGAGCCTGGAGGACCCCTAACCGACCATGTTATTTCCACTGGGAGTTCTCAGTCTAGGAGGCCGCCCGGCTTAGACCATGCCTATCCCACACCTTTTTGCTCCTCCCTTTCCCTTCCCCCTCTCGCTCCCTCTCGTTTCAATCCCCATCCCTGGGTGCTCCATCCATCCACCCATCCATCCATCTAACTTTATCCCTTTGCTGCGCCTTTCCCTTCGACTTCAACCTCGTCCTACCGTCCCAATTGATTCTTTTCTCCTTAACTCAATTCTTCACTGCTCAAACCTATCAGACAATCACCACACCCAATCGCACCCGCAAAAAACCCACGCTCGTTCGTTCAGGCTCCCACATTCACCTCCTGACTCTTCTCTTTACCAGCTTCCGTTGTTGGGTGTCAGCCCGCCGTCGTTCGTTTATTCTTTGACTCGTCCACTTACTCTTCGCCTCTCTTTGATCGGCAACTGCGTTGTTGGCATCTACTTCTCGCTAGCCGAGTGCACTCGACAACCCGGACCACACCACTACCTCCAGCGCAGTGCACAGCCATCTTACGCTCGGTCCCCTTCCCAGCCTGCGCCTGGTCTCGAAAAAGCCATAGTTCAACTTGACACCACGACTTGCTTTCTGTCGACTTCTTCATTCACGCCAGTTTCGCTTGTGTTGGCCTCGCCATCGCCAAACCTACCGCGCCGTCGTTGACCATTCATGCCCTCATACGGATCTACCTATTCTCCCTCCTTAAAGAAGCACAACATGTTGGAAGCTCGAAGAGGAGGCAGGATCGATTTCGGCCATATTGTGGGCGACCCGTTCGCGTTGGCAACAATATCAATCAGCTTGGTAAGAGACATGCGGTCTTGTTGCGGAACCTGAACTGACGGAGAACAGCTTGCGTGGCTGATCGCGTTTATTTCCTCAATCATTGCCAATGTTCAAGATCCCTTTCCAAAATATGCCTGGTGGACAGTCGCCTACATGCTCTGCTGCATTCTGGGCGTTGCGTATGTGTTCGCTACAAACTCCAGCGATACTTACGCGATTGCGGTTGGTATACTCGATTCTATTGAGGGAACTCTCCGCTGACATGATTAGGTCGTCGGATACCTCGCTGCTGGCCTTGTTATGACAACTTCCGCGGTCAACTCGCTGGTTTATCAACCACAAGGTGCCATGGAAGCCGCAGCTGCTGGCCACATTCTGCTCTCTATGGTCGCTGTATGTCTATCGCCTCGCGTCAGGCTTGTTCTAGGCTAACGGGTAATAGATTGTCTGGATCTTCTATTTCGGCTCCGCGCCTGCGGCGGCTCATCGCGAGTTCATCGACCAGTTTGCCTTGCACAAAGACCGCAATTCCTTCCGCGGGCCTGCGCAGAGCATGACCAATGCATATGATCGTCCTCAAACGACAACTTCCGCTCAGCCACCGCAGATGTACACTTCGGCGCAATTGAACGGTTTCGAGACTTCTTCTCCTGTTTCGGGTTATCCCGGTGGTCCCACGGGAGCGGCCGCACGGCCCTCAGCACTACCGGCCTCCAACACGGGCACGACACCCGCTGGACAAGATGTAACCCAGCCCACCGAATACCCCTATCGAGCCAAAGCCATCTACAGCTATGAGGCAAATCCGGACGATGCCAACGAGATCAGTTTCAGCAAGCATGAAATTCTCGAAGTCTCAGATGTGAGCGGACGCTGGTGGCAGGCCAAGAAAGAGAATGGTGAAACCGGCATTGCCCCCAGCAATTACCTGATCCTGTTATAAGACCGCAAGAATCGATTGCGATATCGTGTGTAATAGACCATGGGTACGAAAACGGCAGGCCCGCAACAAGGGCCCAGAGTACTCCTTTTTAATGACCCAGTCGACGACTTTGCACTTCTCTTCTATCCACACCACCGCTTTTCTTCCACGAAGTGGACTTGCCAGTCTGGCTTCAGGTTTTGATGAACTGTCAGCAAAGTTCTCGGGGAAGCTGTTTGAGCGTGCCTAGAGATCTTGGATGATCCGAACGAAATCGAGACTGGATCAATTCGGAGGCTGATCTCGGGAATTGGTGTGGTGTTTTTTCTTTCTCGATTTGGTTTACGATGGAACGTGTGAATTCTTCAGGAACAGAGTTCAGTACAGGCGTCATGGCGCATACCGGGCCTGCAAGATGGGTGGAAGTCTTTATGGCTACCGGACCGGGCGCGGGCTGGGGTTTGAAGGGACCGAAATACCCTTCTTTTATGCCCCTTTCTCCTTCCCTTCTTTATGGGCCATCAGGCGGAACTGTACCATTGCCAGCGGAGACTACATTGTTGGAGCTCAACAGGTTTACCTAGGGACGATTTTGACAGGAATCAGCGGTAGCACACCCAGAGGGTTCCACGAGAGAGAACAATCTTGTCCAGATACCATAGAAAGAGTCTGTACGATCTTGACTTTGAGCTTGAAGTCGCGACGTTTTGCCTGATTGAGAAATGATAGCAGATACCCAGAGACAGTGGAAAAGACAAACAGAGCAAAGTCATCAATGTGTTTGATGTTGTACATTGTACGTACAATAGTACAATAGGTTTTCCAGCTTCGTAGACCTATTTAGAAAGGGCTTTGAAGGTGCGTGGCACATTCACTGTCTGGCCCCAAATCAAGAAAGCTTCTCAAGGCAACGATGTTGATTCAGGTGCTGGAGAACGCTACAAAGACGTAGGTTAAATTAGATGTAGTCGTCGACCATCTGCCCGTCCAACGTTCCCTCTGCTATTATAGTGACCTGAAACGCGGAGACCGTCTGCCTCGACCAGGCGCGCGGCTATACATCTCATGCTGGAATACACGTATACCTAACCGCCGCCGATCAACACTCCAGTGGCAGGAATGCGCTGCAAACGCTCGAACGCTTCAAAACAACAGTTAAATGGTATTCATGTACTAGACATCTGTGACCTGTCCAAAGGGCATTGTTCAGAGTCGGCGAATACTTGATTTTGTCAGTCACCGGCAATCTCGTAACAAAACGGCGTAATTGACAAAGAGAGAACGGTCGTCACCGTGGTGGCAAGTGATGTCCCTGGTTCCCATAGGCGCCGGGATAGCTCGTATCGTAATCATGGATGCCCAAGCCATTGTGGCTCAAAGGACTCTGCGGCTGTTGAGGAGGCAAGTAAGCAAGGTCGTTGTCGTCAGCTTGGTGGACTGGGGCGTAGACATCGTTATCGAGAGACGTCTTCCCATACGCATATTCCTGTCTGTCGGGGTCATGGTACTGGCCGTCGGCGAATCCTTCCTCCTCCTCCTCGGGTCGCATATTACTCGAAAAGGCGTCTTGGGTGGGATCGGAGAATTCGTCGGTGGGTTTTCCACCTGTCCCCGTTTCTGTCCCAACTCCAGCTCCAGTTCCACCGGCCATCTGCGCAGGCATCATGCCCGTGCGTTTGTAGGTCATGACCACACGGAAGGAGAGCCAGGCCGTGGCCAGAAACAGGAGCATCTCGAACACCCCGAACACAATGATGGCCTCGCTCAACTTGCAGCGTGCGGAGCTGCCGTACTTGAAATTTTCACAGCCTGACGCGTCTTTCTTGTCGCCTTTCCCTTTCCCAGCGGACACGTACGATGCAACCGCTGCCCAGGCGCTCAACCATAGAATCACCGATAACCCGTCCAGAGAGGCAAAGGCGTATACGTTCGCAAACCGCTGGGCGCGAGACCACATCGGCACCATCACCAGGTAGACGAGGAAGGGGATCATAAGCCAGCACTAGATTTGGTCTTGTTAGTATATCCCCAGTAAAAAGCATACATGGTGAGTTTCCGGTAGTGGTTGTGCGTACCAGGCCAAAGTACCAGCCTACTCGGCCATCTGTGTGTCCTTTCCGCGTTAAGATGGCTATTGTGAGGATCCAGGCGAGGAACAGAATGGCCGCTTGTGTCCCATGGATAATATTCTTTATGCGGCCATATTTGTCCAACGGCACGCGCATCTTTCAGGGTATTGTGACTGGGGAAACGTGGAAGGACCGACAGAGCAAGGCTGCGCACAACCAAATAGGACGCGAGGAGAACTGCGTGAGCACCTAGTATGGTCTGCCTGTGTCAGGTAGCCAGACGAGTTGCTAGGGGTCGAATTCGTGGTATTCAGGGCTGATGCTCATGGGGGCAAGGAAGACTTGTAGGGCAAGGGACGAGAGGTGTAAGAGATTGATTTAGGAGTTTGATAACGCTATAACTGTACAGGAAGAGGGTAAATGAAAGACAACAGGCTAGGACTGGCAGTATGAACTGGATATCTGGTAAATAGATGAAGGACCAGAATATCATGGTGAAACACGCAGTAAGTGAGGCTGAGCTGCGCTCTGTAATAGCGTGGCGCAGTTGCAGGGTCGATCTCAGCTCACTACTATTACCTGCAAATCATCTCACTCGGCGGCTTTGGAGGAGTCATCAAGCTGAAATTGGCGTTAGACAATTACGAGGGCTGAAGTCGTGGTGGTTTAAGATGGACAGAGGGCTTAATAAGAGTCAAGATTCAAGACATTCTCTCTGAAGTGAAATGTTCCCCCGGGGCTCGTGCGCCAATAACGGGGGTGGAATGGTCTGGTGTGGTGAGGGACGGGGACAACAACTACCTGGGGAACCTGCATCTGTCCCAGTATACGTACTAGTAGTAGACCAACAGCTCTCGCTCCTCTGTATGAATGGCCTCTCCTACGAACAAACGCCTTCGAGGCCGACTCTGCTTGGTGTTTCCTCCACACGCATCTCCATGACCAAAGGGGAGTCAAGGTTGCCTTCTTGCGCGCATTAGTCTAGCTTGCGCAGGCAGCCTAGCGTTCAAGGTAGCAAACATGATGTGCAAATGGCAAACCGCAACAGGTACAGCAATCACCAGCTCCCCAATCAGTGACAACAGCGGGTGAAGAAGGCTGCGCAAGTGAGGCTGCGGTGGTAAGGCTGCGACGCGAGAGGGGACATGGCTCATACTAAAAGATACATGTACGGTAGCTCTTACCAACCATAGTAAAGTACTACTAGGTAACTATGCGCACTGCAAGTGCAGCATGTTATGCGGTGGGTGATTTGCCCCTTCCCTTCCCGCTGGTTAATGTCACTTAGTCTGTCCTGTCCCGGGTAGTTGCCGTCACTGTGTCACTGCCCATTCGTCTGCCCCTTCCCACTAACTCCGGTCCCACCGTGACTGCTACTAAAGTTGATTCCCAGCTAAACTAATTTTATTATTTTCTCAGCCTGCGACGCCCCTTTGGATCTTCCCTTTCTCTCTTGTCTCTCATCAACCACATCATCCTTCTTCTGATCACAATCCGAGCTCATCTTCAGACAAACCTTTGAATCTAGGGCACTTAGCTACCCTTCAAACCCCTCATCCAACTGAATTCCCAAGGCAGCCTCTAGCTACCTGAGTCATTTCCACTCCACAAGTCTCCGTATTTCACGGTTAACCGCAACACTTGTGCCTCAGCCACAATGTCTTCTGCCGTCGACAACCTCGCCGAGAACCTCAAGAACGCCAGCATCGAGGATAACTCTGCTGCAAACAATGAAGCTGTCCTGGCTTCTGCCGCGGAAGGTCGTCGATTGTACATCGGGAATCTCGCTTATGCGACAACTGAGGTGGAACTCAAGGAGTTCTTTTCGGGCTACGACGTGTATGTCGCCACTCACATCTTTTGCATCTTGTCATTTCACGCGCTAATATACTATCTTCCAGCGAGACAACTTCCATCCCTGTCAACCCGCGTACCAACCGTCCTGTCGGCTATGCCTTTGTCGATCTGAAAACTGCCGAAGAGGCGGAGAAGGCCATCGAAAACCTGTCTGGCAAGGACATCCTTGAGCGCAAGGTTTCTGTGCAACTCGCTCGCAAGCCTGATCAGAGTGGCTCAGCTGAGGAGGGTGCTGAAGGTGCCGAGCGCAAGCGATCCTCTGGACGTGGTCGTGGCGGTCGTGGCCGAGGTCGTGGAGGTCGTGCTCGTGGAGGTGCCAGAGCTGCCGTATGTTACACACACCAAAAAGGGACCTGAATCTTTTCGCTGACTTACAACAGGAGGGAGTCTCCAACGACTTCACGGAGAATCCTCTTCCGTTGACCGACGTTACCGCCGACGCCAACAAGGGCCCTTCCAGCACCGACGGCAAACCCCGCGCTCCCCGTCCCCCGAAGCAGCGTGGACCACCGGAAGATGGCATCCCATCGACCACCAAGGTCATGGTTGCCAACCTGCCCTACGATCTTAGCGAGGAAAAGGTAAGGATCATCAATGCCCATGCAGACATGAATACTCTAACACGACTCTCCAGCTCAAGGAACTTTTCGCCGCCTACGAGCCGGTATCCGCCAAGATTGCTCTTCGTCCCATTCCCCGATTCATGATCAAGAAGCTTCAAGCTCGCAACGAACCTCGCAAGGGCCGCGGCTTCGGCTTTGTCACTCTTGGTTCCGAGGAGTTGCAGAAGAAGGCTGTGGAGGAGATGAATGGCAAGCAGATTGAGGGTCGTGAAATCGCAGTCAAGGTCGCCATCGACAGCCCAGGCAAAGAGGACCATGACGAAGCTCATGAAGCAGCGGAGAGTGGCCAGGAGAACGGTACCAACGGTACCACGGAGGAGGTTGCTGCCGCTTAAATCAGAGGCCAGCACAAATTCTCCAACCCTTCCTGGATGAAGAAGTCGATATTCTGTTAGCAAGGCATGCTCTTAGGGAGAAGGGAAGGCTTGACTGCTTTTTCCACCTTTCACGAGGGTGGTGCCGGAGCTGAAATATCGCGCAGTCAAGGAGGTTGATGGATCAGCCAGGACAACCATATCTTTCTTGCCTCGATGGTTGTATCCTCCAATACCTGAATATCATTCCTGCAAGGTCTGACCGGTTTCTACCTCACTATGTTTCATCTCTTCTGCCGCAGTAATCGCATTGGCCAAATGGGAACAATCGCAAAAGAAACAAACGCTTGGGCCGAGGGGGTGCACGTGAGACAATTACTACCACGTTCTGGAGCAGATCATGATGTTTTTGCACTTTACTAGTACTTTTCCCAGCCTCGCGTGGCGGCGTCATGTCAAGTCAGTGTCAGGCTGCCATTTGTCGATAAGCGATAAACAGGCCCTAATAACTTGGCAATGCCTCTTTCGTCTGGCGACCAAATGCCCCGCTAAACCACCAACCACGCGATTTCGACAATCTGCATCATCACGATTGGGAATAGAAAGGCAGGCCTCGAACACTGTGCAAGTCTCTATTCTGCACTTCTCTCCATCTCTGTGTAAGTTTTTGGCTGCATGAACTTCTTGCATTGGTGTTCCGCTGCTGTGTAACCACCACCGTCCGCCGTCCGCCGTCCGCCTCCTTTCTCACGCAGTCCTGCAAGCGTGCTGGGATCGTTGATTTGTTGACACAGCTCTCGAGGCTTCAAGACGACTACCATTGCATCACTTCCCAGACCGAACGGCAGCGATCTATCTACAAAGAGAGGGAAGAACCCAACCGAGTTGGCCTCAGCTCCTGCTTCCATTCTGGGACGTTGGATGATCTTGCCTTGAAAGAGCCAATCCGAAGATCGAGTCGTTTGCGCAGGAGCCAACTCCTGCCCTTCCCCTTTTGGCCTCAGTCGAGATGTCGCAAGACTCGTTCCAGGGTGCTCTAGACCCTCACCCTCACCCTCCTCCTCGTCCATTGCCTCTCAACTTGAACTCCGTTCACCACGATGACTCTCTGACCCTCCCTCTCCCCGCTCCTACAAGAGGCCATCAGCGCTCTCGGACTGCTATCGACCCTGCCCCTCTCTTCGCGCGAGACCAGCCCTCCTCACTTGCAAAGCCTTCGACATCCCTACCATTCCTGTGTACCCAAAGCACTCGATCGTTGTCTCCTGAACGAGCCTCTGTCGCCGAGGCCGCAGCTCTTGCCTCTGAATCACTTTCTGAAGAACCACTTTCAAAGAAAAAGGCTGGCGCGGTCGATAGGCTAGCGAGTTGGTTCGACGGGTCATCTGAGCCCGTCAATATCGGTCTCATCCCCTCACCGCGAAAGGAAAAACTGGATCCTGTTAACGAGACAAAGACAATGGAGAATTTCTTCTTTGCCAGTCCGGATTCTCTAGACACTTTTACAAGGAGACCCAAAAGGCCCAGTTTGTCGGGGCCTGCTGCTTCGACTGCCACTACCTCTCGGTTCAGTTTCTTTCGTCGATCGACTGTCGCGGAGTCTCCCACAGATGCTATGGACTCCGACGAGCTTGCGCAGATGGATGTTCAGGAAGCTCTATTCCCTCACGGGTACCCGGATGAATTCTCCCCCGCTGCATTCAAGAACCTCCAGCTCAATGCCGAAGGAACACTACGTAGGTGTCAGCAAGCCTACGTGGATCAAGCAAAGTCATTGAGATCCACCCTCTCCGCCAAAAATGTCCAAGCAGATGAACTAGAGGCAGCGCAAACGAGGACTGAGCATCTCAAGCTTCAACTGCAGGAAATGGCAGAGAGAGCAGCAGATCAGGAAAAGGCGATTTCAGAACTCAGGTCGCAACTAGCTCTGCAACGAGCATCTCTTGAATCACGCCAGTCACAACAGCAAAGCATCAGAATGGTCGAGCAGGACTGCGAACTTGATACTACATCTCAATTCAAGTACCGCCGGAATCGCGCATCGGACGTTTCGACGCTAGGAGGATCCGAAGCTGGGTCCGAAGTGAGTTCGGCAGTAAGTGTGTTTTCAGAGGCAATATCTGCAGCGCCGTCCCAAGCGACGTCGGTCGCTGGTGATGCCAACATGGCCTATGCTCGAGTCACTTGCTCCAGGTGTCACGGCGTCAGTGAATCCGAAGCATGGGATGTCATGGGCACGATGAAATTGGAGGCAACAGCATTGAAACAACGCATCTCGCAACTGGAGAATGCTCAGGAAGATGCGTTGGATTTCCTAAGTGGGCTCAAGTTGTCCTAGGCACGGAACTTGACGTTATATATACATACAGATTCTCAGATAAAGATAGATACCCCGGTTTGGCATTATAGCTGGCATTTTATGGCTCCAGCAGAACAGTTGTGCATATTTGCGGCAGTTGAGCCTTCGTTCGTTCCCTTCCTGCTGCTGAATCTCTACATCGCATCTTATCGTCATGCTGCCAATTTGTCTGGAAGCTGGTCTGGCATCTCGAGATGGAAAAATAATATCATAGGCGTAGGGAGACCAGGGAGGCCGTCTGTGTTCCTATACTGTGGTGTGTATGTGGGGTAAAGCTTCCGCCTGACCTGATTGGCTCTGCTCCTGACGAGGCTGGACCTCCGCACCGCCCCTTTTGACGCCCCAGCCATCAAACCAGCCCTCCGTCGACCCTTGACAATGTCCAATGATTTCCTTCAGTCCCTGAATTACAGGTTCACTTCAATAAGTTCTCCATGGTGATGGCGTCTGCGAGGGACTCAGATCTCTACCCATATGCACTGTCACCGGTGTGATGGTCAGTGAAGGTCTTCGTCTGTAGACCACGCTTGACAACCGCCAACTGCGGTCTCTGCTCGAACGGTTATTCTCAAGCTTTCATACTACTTAGAGGTTGCTGGCCTTACATTGATACCTACTCACCAGATAGTATCAGAGAACATGTCATTCAGTGGGCGGACTCCCGAATCACTTCTGCCACGTTCCGACTCAAAGAACCCAGCAACTACATGTAGAGGCATCACCTCGACAGGAAGGCCATGTCGAAGGGCTCTGGCAACATCGCCTAAGAACTCTCCAGCTCCATCTCCAAGTCGCGGCGCTGGAGTGCTTGCAGTGTTAGACGAATCGCATGCAGCCGCCTTCTACTGCTGGCAACACAAAGACCAGGCCGAACAGTTGGCAGCGAGAGATGACCGGAGAACTCGTCTGCACGCGCTGAAGGAGAAATCCAGCATCGACACCTTCATCGAGCGAGTGGGAATCTTGGATCTCGATGATGAGGGTCCAGCCCAGCAGAAACGACATCGTCGGCGACATCCAAGTAGCCACGGTCCTCCTCGAAGGGAAACACTACCGTCGGGCTGGAATGAGATGCAGAGTCCCCTGATGACCGTCCCGGAGGAGATTGTGCGTCGTCGACCACCACCACCACCGAAACCTCGAAGTCCGCCTCCACGGTCCAACACCAGACTGTCATGGGCATGTTGTCTGCAAGCCGATGATGATGACCATGATATGCCTCCGCCGAGAGTCAGACCGAGTATAGAGAGACGACCGTCCGAAAGAGGCCCAATGCAGTCATCGAGACCAGAGATGCGGCAGTCCAGTGACATATTATATATGCCATCGATCCCACAGACACCGTCATCTCGCGCTACACGACCAGAACCATCAGCCACTCCATCCAGTCACTCACATACACAAACACTTCTCTCTGTTATCCCATCCCATCTCTCGCCACAAACGACATCACTTCTCCTGGCCGAGTTATCGCGGCCAATCTCTCCGGCCGACGAGGCTGGGTATATCTACATCTTCTGGCTAACTCCAGAAACCGAAGCCTCCAGACCGGACGACGAAACCGCTTCGTCGCTATTAGATGACGATGACGATCCGCAGGTCTCGACAGCACGTTCCCAGCGCACGAATCAGACTCTCACGCGCTATGCTTCTGTCCGACATGCTCAGTCGCGATCTCAACCCGGGCCCCAGCGCACCATCACGCTGAAGATCGGCCGTGCAGCGAACGTCCACAGACGAATGTCTCAATGGACCAAACAATGCGGCCAGAATATCTCGCTCATACGCTACTATCCATACACAGGATCGTCGAATCATTCGCATTCGCGGTCCACTCCAATTCAGGGGCGAAAAGTCCCTCACGTCCATCGTGTCGAGCGGCTCATCCATCTCGAGCTGGCGGAAAGGCGCGTTGTCAAATCCGAGTGTGGGCAGTGTGGCCGCGAGCATAGAGAGTGGTTCGAGATCGAGGCTTCCAGGTCTGGTTTGAAAGGTGTCGATGAGGTCGTGAGACGATGGGTGGCATGGGCGGAACGACAATAGGTAACACAGACCGATACGGATGGCCATTTGATTACCTGGCTTAAGGACGTTCAAGGAATGCTATAAGCAAGGTTGCCCTATGATGAAAAGCTAGCTTACATTTATGACTTCCAAAATCTCATGACATGATACCAGAGCAGACAGAGCCTTGTTCTTATTTTACAGCGTTTGGAGGCAGCTCAGATATGAAGTTGTGGTTTGCGATTCTGCGAACAATCAACAAAGAATACAGTAATATCGGGCTCTACAGAGCCAGCTGACTGGCATCGCTCACAAGAACATACATGATGACTGCGAGAAGCCAAAAACTCACACGACATGCAAAAAATCAGACCAAATTTGAAGTATATACCCCTTTCTCTCGGTCTTGGTACTAGTGAGATTCCAATGATCAGGGCAAAAGAAACAAGGACAAAAAGATACGTAGATCACGTGTGGAGTAGCTGGCTTTATTACGTAATCAGTACCTAGTGGTTGTCCGTAAAGCGAAGGCAACTTACGAATCGAACCCAGAACCTTTTCCAATCGTATATAACGACTGATGCTAAGGAACTGTTTGAAATTAGCTACTTGTGGGCAGTGCAGGTCAATGAGTGAATACTAACACGTCATACCACTAGACCACAACCCCTGAATAAGCCCGAAGGTCGTGAGACTTGGAGGCCATTTTTGGCTCGATTTTTTGGGTGTTGGTGTTATCAACCAAAAGCTGGAGTGGATTGGGGGCGTCCATGGGTAGCCAATAGCAGACCAGCCCACTGCGGTTTAATTTCAACCTCACCCTCTAAAAGCACGCATCACTTTCACATCTTTCAATAACAGAGCCTTGCGCAGTCCTGACAAGAGGTCCATGATATTCTGCTGCGGAGGTCATCCTAACAACCGTGTGGGTTCCTCGATACCAAAACAGACGAGGCTGCACAGTTTCGGTGTAAAAGTGGGGCTATAGCCACAGCAGCCACAGCAGCCACATTGTTCGCTTACGGCAGCAACAACATACGTGCCACAGGTGCTTCCTGAATCCAGGGCGTGTCTTCCTCGGATTGAGTCGCGCCTTTCATTGCCTTTCATGGAAGGCCATGTCCATGTCTTCCTGGAACAGGTCATGGGCTCCCCAAACAGACAGTGGGTTCCTGAAGATCTCGCAACTGCTTTGGCTGCATTGGAAGTTGGCACCTTCCCCGGCAATGTGCCAGAGGGACTGCATCTAACCTTTTCCTAACGTCTCAGAGGAGCTACACGAAGAGAAGCGTATGATAGGGCCTTCGATCACAGATCAAACGCCTGATCATGCAGTGTTCCCGTACGACTCTGACGGAGATGGCCCTCCTACATGGCAGACTACTGACGCCCCAAACTCAACGGAGCGGAAAGAGAAATGGCATTCAGTCTCGCGAGCCTTCAGCCAGCGCATTTACAGCTTCATCATGTCGTGGACTGGCACTGTGAGTGGTGGGTGTTTGGTAAGAGATAACGAATACGACTACATCGGCTGCACAATGATCTGGAATCTGACAAGTCGAAGCGACCCAGCTCCTTAGCTTTGGCACTCTGCATTTGCCAGTCAAGGGCGTAGAACGGCTGACGGACATTTGGCCCATCATGATGGAAGAGGATCAAGCTTGACGATCTGCAGACATAATTCAGCAGCAGAGGCGTGAGACAAGACGATGAAATGCCTCCAAGAAGAGTTGCGGTCAGATGAGCCCTCCAGTCTCATCTTACACCTCACCTGGGTATGTCCGGTTGCCCTCGACCTTGTGGATCGTACTCCCATCTGATTCTATCTGGCGTGGTCTTGTCTAGCAGAAACGAACAGCTGCCCCCATGCCACATGACAGGTATTCACCGTCCTCCACCTCATTCACATGTGAGGTCTCCTCTCATCCTACTCTCACTGTTCCCTCATCTCAGTCTCTCCGTGCAGGAAGTGACGCCTCAAAACTTCAAACAAGCACTCTAGTCACTTGTTCCACCGAAGCATGTGGATATGGCCAGATTCTTGTGATCAAGCTTTGCCTACTCTGCAATATCTGCTAGACTCCAAGTCTCCAACTGTCTCGATTGAAGAAGTCTGTTCTTTCACTGTGACTCTCAACTTCCCAAGTCATTCTGCCACTGCCGCCGTGATCTTCTATCCTTGACTCAACACCCTGAGTTCTCCCGTCATCTCGCAGGCAGCTTTGTCTACGAAAGTGTGCCTGTTAATCTTCCAGCCGGACCCTTCCCAAGGTCTCACCTTGAGATCGACATCGATCTTTCTGACGTCTCCTCTTTGTCAACTCGAATCAATATGGAGCGCCATTACCAAGCGCTTGCTCGTCATCTTCTTACCACAGATCCGTGCCGTTCGTCTGCTCGATTATCCTTCGCAGACTGGGACGATTATACGAAACATTTAGCAATTTGCGCCGCAGTTGAGCAAGAGTTGTCAGAGAAAGAAGAAACGGAGGAGATCAAGAGTCGTATAGTCCTCCTACAGTACGAAGAAAACAACCGCAATCAGTACATCGCAATATTCGAGGTGCTTAAGGAACGAGCAGTCAAGTTATCCCCGGGCGACAGGGCACGGGTATATTTGTCCAACACCCCAAACAAGTTTCTCCCGGATGAACTTCCTCCGTCCCGCGACGACATAACACTATTCCAAGCAGACGGGCCCGATCCATCTACTGATCGCCGGAAGCCTGGACGAGGACAGTGGGAGCTTCGGGTATTGCAGCCAATTCCATCTTCAAGGAGAGGCATCGTTACCGCCTTGATCGAGCGCCGACGAAGTGCAAATAGTGATGACTTTCTTGACAACAGATCCCATCCCATCACCTCCCTTTCGAAAGAAACTCAAACCACACCAGGATCGATAGTAGGCTGGCGACCAGGGACTTCCACCATCCTGGCAAAGGTGCTGAAAGAGGCCACGATTTTTGGAAAGATCATACCACAGGTGAGGCATAGCATATTCTGTTATGTCTTCCAAGGTCTAGAAGAACTTGAAAAAGCAGCAAATCGTGGACAGCGGTCAATGGCTACAAATGTGGTCCAGCTTCTACTCGGATCGAAGCTTGACCAAGTTCGAAAATATGACATTTATGCATCGTTGAAGGACACCTCACACGCATCTGAAGAGACCATGAATCTCAACGACAGTCAAAAGAGCGCAATTCGCCTCGGCCGTGCAGCTCCAGCTGGGTTTGTCATTGCCATGGCGGGCCAGGGACAGGCAAGACTCATTTCGTGGTACAAGCAGCCACGCCCTTTTTCCTCGACACGAGCAAACTCCATCACATCCTGCTGACTTCGGCTGGCAATCGTGGGGCGGACTCGATGGCAACAGCCTTGGATTCTCAGCTTCAGCGTCTTGTTGACGAGGGAAAGTTGCCCGCTAATAGATATGTTATTCGGCTACACAGTATTATGGCCGAGCAGGCTATTGCCCTTCGCGATGCCGAGCGTGAAAGAAAGGTCGCTCTTCTTGCCGCCTCGACAAAAACTTCTCAGACCACACCCCGTGTACCATCGACCTCGGCGTCGACCTCGTCATCTCCCGAGTCTAGTATAATCCTGGCCTATTGCCGTACGTTTGCCGCCTGTAAGTTTGAAGGTGTGCCGGATGAGAGGGTTCAGAATCTCGAGCTCTCCCTCGGATACAGAATGCTACAGATGGCGGGAATTAAACCTGGAGGCCCGTCGCTTTCACCTGACCTTGGAGCGTTCCACGAATGGTACGACAAATATCGAGCGGGTGAGAAGTTTGAACCTAATGACTGGGACGAGTTTCACACGGCCACCGATAACCTTATGGCATTTACAATCAAGCATGCCGCTGCAGTGTGTGCCACAGCTGCTGGCGCAGCGGATGCCACTTTCGTGAAGAACTATCAAGCAGCAGAACCTGTCGTCGTGGACGAAGCTGCTCGCCTCCCTGAATATCAGCACTGGCCGTTACTCGGTCTATTCCCCAATGTGGTTGGCAAGATCCTCGTGGGCGATCCCAACCAGCTACATCCTATGACAGAATCGAAGGGCGACTCGATCAATCCTTTCGAACGACAGGTTGAAATGTCGCTCCAGGAGAGACTCCAGACCCTAGGCTTCGAGTCGGCCTTCTTTACGACCCAGTACCGCGCCGTGCCGGACATCGCAGCCATCTACAATAACGCGTGCTACGAGTCCCGGCTTACAAACGACGAGTCTACTCATGTTACAGCGCGCCCGCTGGCACAGGACATTGTCAGCCACAATGAGCAGAGGTACGACCGTTCCACGTCGGTCATCTTCTACAACCCGCCAGACCCCAAGGAGGAATATACCTTCAACGGCTCCAAGTGCTGCGCACAGTACGCCACCATAGTACTCAAGATCCTAGAGGGTCTTCTCCTCGCCGGCTTCGGCAGCGACAAACCTTGCTCCATCGCCATCCTGACCCCCTACCAGGGGCAAGAGAGGATTCTGCGCATCGCCAAGGCGAAGATGGCAGAAAAGTACGGAGTCGCAGCGAATGTGATCTTGGAAACGGCCGGCAAAGTCCAAGGCATCGAATATGACATTGTCATCGTGGACCCGGTGGCCGTCAAAAGCCCGGGCTTTTTAGATAAAAACCGCCTGAACGTCCTCTTCTCGCAGGCCAAGTCCGGCCTGTACGTCGTCGGCCACTACCGCTCGTGGATTTGGATGTGGAAGGACGACTCACTCCCGCTGTGGACGATCGCGAAAGAATTGAAGAAATATCAGGTCGATTGGCCAGCAGGCCAGACGTTGGCTTCGGAGTTCTTTGATCCTAGTGTTCTGGATGATTGAGAGCAGTTGGCACAGGAGGAGAATGATTGTGGTCTTCCGTTCTGATTGGGGTTATGCTGCATCTGAAAGAGAAAATGGGATCTCGGCATGAGATGGTTCTTCTTGGTTGAGAAGATTCACAGGGCTGTCAGACGGCATCAGTCTTCAGTTCGTAGTCCGTTTGGATCACAGTTCAAGATGGGATAGTGACTTCGCCTTCAGTGCGAACAAGCCCGTTGGAACCGCTCACAGTCATGCTCGTTCAACAGACGTGGGATCAGAGAATGGGGTGTTGGCTTTCATATAGCCGGCTGTAGGATGAAACACACAAGACACAAGACACAGTGACTAAGTGACTCTCTCTCTTCTGGCCCCCGACAGTCAAAATCAGACTCGTGATAGACTGCGTGGTACTTGTACAGTTGGGAGTCACTGTGCAGTATCTACAAGAACAACTAATCTACTACTCCGACAGCAATGCTCCTGGAAATCTAGTCTGGCACCGGCTTGTGGGTTGTATACTATACAACAAGAGTACTTCATGCTCATGGGTTTGCGCACGATGGTGTATTTCTACTTCTTCACATGCAGCAGCACCCTCAACCTCCATCCATCATTTTTCATACCTCCCGACCGGGTTCGCAGTGACAAGTTGCCGTCTCCAGCAGCGGCCGGCAACTGACTCTGGATTGACCCCAAACCCTCTCTACCCATTAAAATACACCCGTGCTGCTTCGTGTTGTTGCCATCTGAACTTTTTGGATTCGCGGAGAGGCCCTGTCCATTTTACCCACCTGAACCAAGCTCGCTTCAGTCCCGTGGCTACTGAAAAGCAGAGGTTCGACGAGACCGGCGAAACACCGTCGCAATGATCGCTAACATAACCAACAAGACACGCATGCTTTTCCCGTATCACATGCGGCCAGGCATATCTCCACCCCAAGCACTGCCAAAGTTCGTGCTGGCTCGGATTCTCAACCTGGGCATCTCGTCATCTGGTTCCTGATGTGTAGTCTCTTGTGATGGCTTCTCTGGTTCCTTCTCCTCAGTGCTTCCGGAAGGACCAGCCTCCTGCTCGGACTGCTGCACCAATTCAACCAGCTTTTCATCGACAATACCGAGGAAAGTACTAGCCGCCTTGGTCTTAGCAGTCGGATCTAGCATGAGTGGCCCTTTCAGCGCAGGATCGTCGTCGGGTTCATACGACGACTCCTGCTCCGGGTCTTGTTCTTCTGGGATGGTGTCCTTGGGTTCATCGATCTGTTCTTTTGCTGCAGAAGTGAAGGAGAAGTACGAATCCGAATTCTCGGAAGGACGTAGGGGAGGTCGCTTTGTAGGAGCTGGCTCAAGAGGCTCCTCTTGCGGACTCAGACCATCGGTACTCGCCAGGCTGGAGGAATCAGTCCCAATGTAGGCCATGGGCGTGTGTCCAGCATGCATCCTTAGCTTCTGGTCCAGTGGAGACAGTAGGCTCTTGACATCAACTTGGAAAAGGCCGTCGGCACCTTCCTTTGGTTGGGCTGGCGGCGATTGGATAGGGGAGACAAACTGTGGACTGGTGATTCCTGTGTCGAAGGACGAAGTCAAACCCCCTGATTTGAGGGTGATTCCATCCAGAGTGTTATCCACCTGCTCAATCGGCACCGGAACATTTTCCTGGCCGCTCGACGTCGGCGAAATCTGTTTGGACAACGATGGGAGCGGTTCATTTTCCGATATACTGGGAAGGTGAGCGACATCATCGTCACGCGAGAAGACTCTGGTGACAGGGGGAGTGCTCTCAGGGCCCTTCCAAACGGGCGGTGGTGCATTGGCTGGTTCAGAGATGAATCGGCGTTGGTGAGTACCGTCAACACCAAAGTAGTGATCCGACCGAAACGAATGAAGACTATTACTCGAAGAGTCGTTGCTTGACCTCCTCTTGGGGTCTCTTGTTCTGTTCAATCTCCTCTCCAACTCGGCAATGCGGGCTTTGAGCGCAGTCCGTTCTATATCCCACGCTCTTCGCTCCGCTTCGTGGGATTCTCTCATCTGTGTGTTCCACAAACGACATTGATCCATGTAGGCGGTGATGTCTACTTCCGAATTCGTGTTTGTGATCTGAAATCCATGCTTCGGTAACTGACTGGCAGAGGGTACAGGTGGAAGTAGAGGGACATTTGTGGTGGCTATAGAATGACGACCTCGAAGTTGTGACGCCGGCGCTTCGGAGAATCGCACGGCTTTGGGATTGTTTTGATTGCCACTATTGTCTGAGGCAACAGCCAGTGTGTCTGAACGTGTGAGAGGAGAGAAGTTGTCTGGATCGTGCTCCAGAGCCGGAGTCGGCTCGAAGGCTTGGGTTGGAGAACGCGGAGGCATTGTGTATGTGGAGGGTCGTGTCGTCCGTCGATTCGAGCTGGGGGGTTTGGGAGCAGGGTAGGTGACGACAGCGAAGGAGTTGAACAGAACACAGGAGTGAAGTCTGCAAAGAGAGATTATGGTCGTCCCGTCGGCCGGTGGGAGAGAATATGATGTGTTGACTGTGAATGCCGAGGTCGTTGGTGTTTGATATAGCAGCGTGCTAGTATAACATCAATATGATGGACCAGATGGATGCAACATTGACGATACGTAGAACGAGCTCATGGTCAGAAGAAATGAGAGTCGAGTTCGTGAGAGCTGTAAGAGTCGTCAAAGAAGAGGACAAGGAGGAAGAGTCTGAGCGAGAAGTAGCGATTGATCAATGGATGTGTTGTGCTTTGGCGCAGTGTAGGAGCAGCGCAGTCAAGTGGTCGTCGTGAGGTTGTCGTGATCTTGCAGGGTCACAAGTACCAACACAGCAAGTGTAGCAGTGTCCAGGCTCTCTTCAATCGAGTGTGTGGGAGTTGAGACGATGGCAGGTCTGATCGCGCGCAAAAGAAACACACACACTACACAGCAACTTGAACAGAGAACAGCACTCTCTCAACGGCTGCGCTGCTTGCTGGCTTCAATAATGGAGCATGAATGACGTGAGTTGGTCTCCTAAGCCTCTAACTACACTGGACATTTATCCTGGCCTGGCCTGTGGTTCTGCGCCTTTTCTGAGCTTGGACTGACGCCTGCCCCCCGAAACAGCCAAACAGGATGTTTCAGGTGGACTGTTGGGTGCTCGATTGGGGGTCCAGCTCCAATTTTAGGGGTGCCTGTCAACGACCTGTTGGGAACCCGTCCGAGCTTTGGAGCCGGGGAGAGCCGATAAGCATTTAGGGGTCTCGGTGGCTCTAACTGCTTGAGTGTTAGGGTTCATCAGGCTCTGTCTAGGGCTTGGGAGGCCTCTGCTAGTAGAGTCACTTACCTGAACGGTGCCTGGTAAAGAACTGTGAGGCCCCCGAGCCTAACAAAGCAAGTGCCTGGCTAAATAGCGGCACCCACTGCAGAACTGGAACTGCGCACCTGCGAAGAGAAAGGGTCCATCAGATCCCTCAGGTACCACATACTGTCGTTCTAAAATCTCCGAGCAAACAAACAAAGGAAGCACACGACAACAGACCCGCCCACGCCGCCTCCAAGATGATAACACGTATGAAACACTGCCATCCACCAGACCGACCTCTCCCACCAGCGTTTTAATCTCGCATACTGCCTCAGAAGCCGAATAAAGTCCAGCGATCTTTCACCGCCATCCATCAACTCTCACGGCGGACCTCATGCTTCAGACAGACACACTCTGTACAATTCTCATCCTCAACCTCCAGTCGTGGCCTCACTCCGACGCCACCACTCCATTGCTCCCTCCTTCGGGGGTGTAGTACGTACAGTAGCTTTGCCACACATCCCCCTACCGAAAAATCATTCTGGCCGTGTGGGAAAATAAAGAACAACGTGTCTGTCGATGCGATGAGGATGAACACCCGCACTTTCACTGCTTACAATTACCTAGAGAGAAAAGATGGGGGCACACTGAAACAGCAAAGAGAATGGCGAGTTTCCTCACATGAGGCTCCGTTAATGTGAGCATAGGCCGAGGAAGGTTACAAGATACAACAGTGCTTGGTGAGTGTTCAGTCACACGAGCATCCTGGTGTTTCCTGACTGGCACCACTCTTCCCTTTTGCTACGACAGCGTACAACCGTATATTGTTCGGCGGAACCATAGCTGGCTCAGACAGCGACCCCTGAACACTCGGACGAGAATGAAGATACAGCTGACCAAGACGATCAAATCCGGAAAAGAGAGTGAAGTCGCTTTTTCGCCAGAAAATTTCCATGTAAGCGACTTCTCTCAGCCATAATGGGCTTGACTTGACCACGAATCCCTGTCCAGGTCGGGACATCCAGAAGATAGGGGACAAAGCCGCCATATGATCAACTCCAAAAGTCCAACACCTGTCTAGTATAACACCTCCTCTCCCTGAGGAACATGATCTCGCTTGCTTAATGGTGTCTCAAACAAGCCACGCCGAATTGATACTCTTTTCCAACAAACGGTTGCCGATAGAATTCCCCTGTTGACCTCCGTGGCCTTGAGATCACCCTATCGTCTACAGTGTGTGGATGGGCTACCCGCCGAGAGACTCCTTTCTTGGCACCTGCCTCATCTTCGTCAGAAACAGACTGAGGACAGGCGGAGCGCACAACTGAAGCATACGGATGCTGGCTTTTTTGGGGGACAAAGTCTAGGCCCTTCAACCGCTCTTACCGCCAAGTTACTTGGCTTAGTCTTGGAGACTCTTGGGCGTTTCTGGGAAGTTGCTTGTCGTCCAACGGTCGCGGAGCTTGTCTATCCGGGGTGTAGACACGCGTCCACCCCCCGGGGATGGATGAGTGGCCCGGAGACCAGATTGGACGCAACAGCGGTTTCCCAGGCTCACCTCTGGCTCAGCGAGAAGACTCCTTCAGCCTTGGCTGTCAGATATCACGTGGCGCCCAGATGGGATTTGCATGCTTTTCTCCCTCCGCCTCCGCCTTCGCCATGCTTGTTCTGCTTATTCTTCTTAGCAAGACTTGGAATTGGCTGTGGAAAGGTGGCTCTTCGAATTCTCCTTACTGGACTTCAATTGACATATAGATCGAGCCGCTGACGGCGCCGACGGCAGCGCGCCTAGCTCGTATATGTTGACTATTGTTGTCTTTGGACACAAGAGACATGTTGTTTCCCAAGCGCGATGAACCGCCATATCGAGCGTTTCATGGCTGAGGCACAACACTACTGGAACAAGCGAGGCACTCGGCGCCCCTGTTGTTCATTCCTCACACATGGAGGATAGGTTAGCAGTCCACTGGATGCCGCTTGAACCGGTAAGACATAAAGATGAGGTCCCGCTGGGCTCGACAAGAGCATCATACCACTATTCACTCCCCTTCACGCTCTCTGTTGTGTTCTGTTGTACTGTCTTGTTCTGTGCTCTTCCGTCCACTCCTTCTGGCGAGTCTTTTAGTTGTCTGCATTTGGACGCGTATCTTTCGCCATGCTTGTCTCCGTTCTCTTCTCCTTGGCCATTCTCACGACAGCCTGGTGCTGTCCCAAGCATGACAATTACCAGTCCCATCCTCATCTAGGTCGCAGACAGGTCCGAATAGACGTCGGTCGGGAGCCGAAGGACTGGAACTACGAGCATTCGTCCGACTGGGCTACCATAAAACCCGGTAAGTGACCAACCCGCGACAGGCGAGAAAGCTGTTCTGACGGCCTCCCTCCCCAGAATATCATCTCTGCCAACAAGGCACCCACCAGTCACCTATCAACATCGTGGGCCAGGAGCTCGCAAAGCACCATCAACCGACCTTTGAAGGGTACAAGAACGAGCCTCTTCCAGGCAACTTCTTCAACTGGCAATTCGCACCAGCCTTTACACCCCACCATCCGGACGGACAAATAATGCAGCTGCCGAGCATGAAGTTCGACGACCGCGAAGTCTTCTTGATCGGCTGGCACATCCACGCGCCCTCGGAGCATTTGGTAGACGGCCGTCGAAGCCGGGCGGAGATCCACATGGTCCATGTGACGGAAGAGGACGATGAGGCTGCGGTCATCGGCATCCGCATTGGCGTGGCACCTGCAGACACTCCCACTGAGTCCGCCTTCATCAAGCAACTGGGTCCTATGATCCACTTCAACGACACCTCGCAGCTCGAGGGTCTCCAGGTCAACGTACGCCTCGCGATCGACGAAGTCGGTGGTCTACAAGAGTTCTGGACCTACAAGGGCAGTCTGACCACGCCGCCCTGCAGCGAGGGTCTGCGCTGGTTTGTGCCAAAACAAGAGCTTCTGGTCAGCGAGGCGCAGATGGTGCAGATCCTTGCTGTCAGCCGATTTTCCCACCGCGTGCCGCAAGAAGTTTGGCTCCATGACATCAACCTTTGAACGACTGTGCACAGTGTAGATGGCAGCCGTCGCGTACATGACATGAATGGTGTTTGGAAAAAGAAAAAAGTCGTAGAACATGATGCATCACATGGAACGGAAACGGGAGTCTTGGTTGGGGTGGAATGTCGCGGTTCTTGCTTCGGCTGGACCCTGAAGTCTGGCTGCTATTTGCGAATACCCTACAGTCGTTACCCCCGATCTAGAACCTGAACTATAGCGATTCTCCATGGCGATGTCCTCCGCAATGGATAAAATTCAGGCGTTCAATAGGCGTGTCATCCATCATCTTCCTGCGGGCCGCCAGGCAGAGGGCAGGAAACCGGTGGACTCTTGCTGTCGATGGGCATTTATTTACCTAGCATTGACATGATAACTTGTAGGCTTAAACTTCTGCCTCCTCCCTCTCTCCCTTGCTGGATGCTGCATATAGAGGCCTTGGGATCATGCGCCAGCTAGTCCGAATCTTAAACAGACCATACCGAAGAGTCTGTACAAGATCTGCTCCGAAAGGCGCCCTGCGAAAAAAGAGGTCCTTATCCCCTATTTTCGCAGCCTTGTGTGTCACGTGAGAGGCTTCAACCGCGACGGATCTCCCTTCCCAGCATCCCTCCCAACTGTGGCGCTCACCAATATCCTCCATGCTTGCTTGCGAGAAGTCAGCTTGAGCATGAGTGTTGCAAACTCCGGTGGAGGAGAGCAATATACCTGGGGACCCCTCCACCGAGGGAGACAGACATGTTACGCTTGCGTGGAAATGGACAGTCCCTTGTCCAGAAATACTGAGGAAGGGGAGTGTCTCAGGGACAATTCTGCCGGAGTCTTGCCTGGAACGGCTTGGTCAAGATGAAGAGAGGAGAGACGAGACAAAGGTATGTGGTCTAGGATGTTCATCATTTGGTCATCAAATGTACAATATATACGTCATCACCGGGCAGATATGTATTAGCTGAAGACGGGGTTCTGATCTCTTCCTGTCTTCTGAACAGACGACCACCAAGCGCCTGTATCGTCTCAAGATGTATTATATGCCACCGTTGTGGTCCTCCGCTCTTAGAAGCGCGTACAGACCCTCCCAAAATCACCGCAAATAACGGGTGCGCTGGGGTTGACCAACTCCATCTACCCCTCCCAAAGTATCCCACAGACAGTTCACGCTTGCTAATCTGGCGCAATCAACCCGAAAGACCAATCTTCTCCTTTGGCAAGATGGCAAACACTGTCCCTATGACAGCCAGAACACTGCTGATGACGACCAGTGTCCAGTCAAGGATGCGTTCCATCAGACTGATCTGCTTGTCCTCGGAGCTGAAGATCTTCAAGTAGAAGCTGACGGGCAAGATGATGCAGATGGTGAAACAAAACGCCGAGCCCATGAGGGCCATGATGCTGTCGAAGTCGGGAAAGCCGATGGCAATGCCGAGCGAGACAAAGTTGACGAGAATGGCGACTGCACCACGCCCGGCGCGATGTTTCCAACTTTTCTCACTGTAGAGCCGCGCCTTGGGGTCCATTTCGCGCAAATCAATGTGGAACTTCTTGTTCAGTGTGTCCATGATGGGTCGATTCGAAAGTGGGATCTTGGTGACGGGGATGATGCAGATCAGCACCACCAGTAGAACCGACAGAGCGTGCGGATAGGAAGTGTCCCGGAGGATGTTGGATGTGATCTCGTCGCGTACCTTGTCGCCGAACATCAGATAGCCGAGAACCGCCATGGAGAAATCCAGGCCGTAGGTGAAGATATAAGTGTATCTGACGGCACGACCGTATTTTTGCGGATGCCGCATGTCCTTGTAGATGGCCGGAAACACGCTGTGGCCGCCCCAAGGTGCCATGAACAGACCTAGACTGAGAGGCAGCGTCTTCCAATGTTCGGGGAAGGCATATGTTTTGGCTATCTCTCGCAAGGACCCTGGGCTATGGGGTTTGATCAGGCCATCGGCAAAGACGATGATGATGATCCCAAAACAGCAGAAGATCCCAATCACACTGGTGATGCTGAGAGTCCGGAAGGGTACATAGTTCAACGGAATCAGGCCTAATGCGATCAGAGCCTTCCACTCATTGACGCCTACCCCCGGCAGAAGCGAGTTCATGCTATCAGCAAACAAAATGATCAGCGCCACATTGGCGGCGGTAAGCTCCAGAATGAAAAGTGCCTCGACGGAATTTCGACCCCAGGTGTCAAACGCAAGAAACGCGATGTCTCCATACGTGGTCGAGGCGACGTTTGTGTCTAGACATTTTGCCAGAAGCTTAGCTGTGTAAGCGGTGGTTACGGCAGCCAAAGCGAGAAGAACGAGGCCAATGACCCAACCGGAATATTTGAGACCAAGTGGAAGGGCCAAGATACCTACACCAATCAGGACATTGATGGAGTTGAAGACTGTCATTGGAACGGTGGATTCGCCGACTGTGCGAGTGATGACCTCGCCGTCCGGAAGGATGTCTTGTTCAAGCTCTCGATGCGGTTCGTCCTTGAAGTCTTCCGGATGCTCCCTTGCTCGTCGGTTGGCTTCTTCTTGCTCGGCAATGAGGATGGACGCTCGTTGCCTTACAGCGGGTGTGAGCCTGGAAGAGATACTTCCATAACTCGTTCCCAGTTGGCTGGCAAGCAATGGACCGGATCCTATTGAGTCTGTATTGGGCTTGTGGGCTCGCTGCTGCTCCTGCGGAAGCAGTTGGGACTCCTCCGTCGCCTCTTCCGTCTCGGGTTGTTCATTTTGTAGGGCATCCTCACTCCCATTCTGCATATGATAAGCGTTCAACTGTTCTCTCAGGAGCGATCGACCCTGTTCTGGAGAGCTTTGCTCGGCACCGTCCGCGCCGGCTTCTTCCTCATCGCCCGGAAGACTGACGGAGTACTTCCGCACAGGTGTTATCTCTCGAAACCCAGCAGCTCTTTGAAGCGACTTCGCAAAGTTGTCAATGCTATTCGGCCCGCCCATAAACCGGAGACTATCGAATTTTCTGCCTATGGAAGATGTCCGCCTTAATCCGGAAGGGCTTTCACCGTCTGCGTTGCGACCTTGCATCTGCTGTGGGTTCGGCGAGGAGGAAAAGGGACCCTGGTGTTGTTCGTTCTCAGGGACGGAATCAAGGGAATTGAAGGAAGATGCACGTCCATGTTCGTACGCGTCCCAGCTCGTCGGGAGAGCATGTCTATTCCGCTGGCTCATGCTGGGCCGGATTGCAACTTGGAAAGTCTGTCAAGATACCAGTTCCACAACAACAAAAGCTTCAAGGATCGTCAACTAGGGGTCTCAAGACATAGTGTGCAGAGGTGCAGAAATCGAGGAATGTGAGACGCAAACACAGCAAATAGCGACCAGCAGTCAGGACGATGAATGAATTTTCCAACAGCAGAAGAAGATCGAGCCAGGGTCACGATCCGACTCTGTCGAGAATGTCATGCTACAGAGTAGTAACCGACGATAGCCAGGGTACATCCATGCCAAACCCTGATGTTACCACGCATGCATGCCATAGGCGCGACGAGGTGAATTGCAGATTGTGGCGGGGAAGATTCGATGGGTTCTGATAAGGAAAAAGTAGTTTCGTCTGACAGGGAGAACCGACCCCTGCACCCATCATCCCGGAGCCTTGCACTGCACGTCACAAAACAGAGTCTGACGGTAAATATCCAGGCACGTGATCAAATACCCGGTGAAGTTTTGTAAGATTATTAAATTATTGTCAAGCATCACAATAATCATGTCCTTCAGCCTGCAACGCCGCCGCGCCACACTACGTAGGTGCCCAACACCCACCCGCGCACACACACAACACACAACTACCACAGGCAGTCTTGCGCCTATTAACTGACTGCAGTCTCACCCGCAATAATAAATTCCACCACTGCACTGCAGCGCACCGCAGCCCACCAACAGCGGATTCCATCCACTGGGCGACCTCCACGAACCTCACTCAACTCCTTTCGCCTTTCCAACGTCACCTCAGCCTCATACCCGACGGAAATTTCCTACCTCCCTCCTCCTTTCCTCCACCACCCTATTCCTCTGCCTGTTCTTGTGTTTTTCCAGACTTTTCAGCCGTGAGCAGGCCGCCTCTGGTCGGCCACTTCTCCGCCAAAATGAGCGCTCCGCAACAGAATGAAGCAGAAAAAAACATCGAGATCTGGAAGGTCAAGAAGCTCATCAAACGTCTCGAGGCCGCTCGAGGCAATGGAACATCCATGATTTCCCTCATCATTCGTGAGTGCTGACCCGCTGGTCGTTTGAAGCTGTATGTGGTGGACTAACAAATGTGTCTAGCGCCCAAGGATCAGATTTCTCGAGCTGCGAAGATGTTGGCTGAAGAATTCGGTACTGCTTCCAATATCAAGTCTCGAGTCAACCGTTTGTCCGTCCTGTCAGCCATTACTTCGACCCAACAGCGACTGAAGCTTTACAACAAAGTGCCTCCGAACGGCCTGGTTGTCTACTGCGGTGAAATCATCACCTCGGAAGGAAAAGAGAGGAAGATCAACATTGACTTTGAGCCGTTCAAGCCCATCAATACCTCCTTGTACCTTTGCGATAACAAGTTTCACACAGAGGCCCTGAGCGAACTCCTCGAGTCCGACCAGAAATTCGGTTTCATCATCATGGATGGAAACGGTGCCTTGTTTGGAACCTTGAGTGGCAACACAAGAGAAGTCATCCATAAGTTCTCTGTGGATTTGCCGAAGAAGCACGGTCGTGGTGGTCAATCTGCTCTGCGTTTCGCACGCCTGAGAGAAGAGAAGCGTCACAATTATGTGCGTAAAGTCGCCGAGTTGGCTGTGCAGAACTTCATCACCAACGACAAGGTCAACGTTGCCGGCCTGATTCTGGCCGGTTCCGCCGACTTCAAGACCGATTTGGCCCAGTCCGACATGTTCGACTCCCGTCTTCAAGCCAAGGTCATCAAGGTCGTCGACGTGTCCTATGGAGGTGAGAACGGCTTCAACCAGGCCATCGACCTGTCTGCCGAAACTCTGAGCAATGTCAAGTTCATTCAAGAAAAGAAGCTCATCGGCAAATACTTTGAAGAAATCAGTCAAGACAGTGGTCGAGTCTGCTACGGTGTAGAGGACACGCTCAAGGCGCTTGAGCTTGGCGCGGTCGAGACCCTCATCGTCTACGAAAATCTGGACGTGACTCGCTGGGTTCTGAAGGCTTCAGATGGTACGGAGAGGATTCTGCACACCACAAAAGCTCAAGAGGCCGATCGTGAACAATTCATGGACAAGGAGACTGGCCAAGAGATGGAAGTGATTGAACAGACCTCGTTCCTCGAATGGCTTGCCGAAAAATACAAGGATTTCGGTGCCACCCTTGAATTTGTTTCGGACCGCTCCAGCGAAGGCAACCAGTTCGTGAAGGGGTTTGGTGGTATCGGAGCTATTCTGCGATACAAGGTCAACTTCGAACAGTTGGCTGACGTTGATGACGAAGACGAATTCTACGATGATTGACAATTCAACGAACCCGCAAACGAGCGCCAGGAGCCGTCCCCAGGCAGCCAGCAGTCCCTCTCAGGCAGCTTGACGGCAGTTCCCAGCTCGGAGCGTCCTCGCGACGCCAACATGTCCCAGCCACGGCACGGGACAGAATTCCTTGAGGGTCCGAGCAAGCCACGTCTCAAGCCGTTCGACACGTTCGGCGCTAGCAATGGTGCTGGTGCTCTTCCAGGCGTCGAGCGAGTAATGACGCCGCCGGCAAGGCAAGACCTCGGTCTGGTCCATGGTGAGTCAGGACGGGGTTCTCCTCCCACGGTGTTCCGTTCTAATCTGCTCGTTGCAGGCCGATCCAATCTTCGCAACATGGCCATGATCTGAGTTGGAGACGGCGATCAGCTCCAGCCACCGATCCATCTCTCGGCGCTCTCAACGCGTTTACTTGCAGAAGAGATGGCCCGAATCGTCGGCGCCGGAGCTGATGTAAGCCCAACCACCAAAAGTTTCGTCAGTTTGGATGGCAGTCAAAAGCCGTCAAAGGTCGTTCGTTGAGACGGTCCTTCCATCATGATGCGGGCTACTGCTAGGAATGAGGATCCTCAGACTAGCCGCTCAAGAGGCCGCCCATGAAGCCTGGCAAGCAGTGTCTTTTTGTTCTCTCAATGCTCATTGAGCCAGTCACTCCTTTATCAAGCACCCTTTTCTTTTCTTTGTCACCTGGACATCAAGGGACAATTTTTCCGCGGGGGACATAGCATCAGAGTGTCTTCTTCAACCGGTAGCCTAGACCCGTCACGGCGGCCACACTCATGTGTCGTTATTCAAATAAGCCAATCTTTTACTTGGAGAATTTGCGCTAGATCAAGGTTGCACGTGTGCAACGCCGCTTCGTAGCTGATCCTCAAATCTGCCGAGATATCTCAAGCTTTCAGTGAACTTCCGCAAATCCTGAAGCATACTCCTTAGTTTCTTTTCCTTGTCGTCGTCTCTTCGATCTCCGACCGCATCGAAAGCTTCCTCACACTCGACGAAGAAGACATACTGCCAGTTCCGCTTGCGACTCGGCCGCGTGTCGATGCTCGTCAAGTTATACGAGTATTGCTTGAACACGGCCAGAGCGTCGGCCAGACTTCCAGGTCGTGTGTGGTCGATGGTGAAGGTGATTAGTGATTTATAATACCTGGTCTTCTTCTTCTTCTCGAGAGGCTCCGTCTGTGAGTGACTTGACTGTCCACTTGCAAAGTGACTGTCCCCTTCGAAGAGACTTTGCTGGTCTTGTCCGCGCTGTCGATTCCGCATCACGAAAAACCTCGTCGTGTTCGAGCCTGGTTCGTCCTCGATGTTCTCGGCCAGACAGACCAGATTGTGCTTCTGGCCAGCCAGCTGCGATGCAATGGCCGCACTGAGCCCAGACTCGCCGTTCACCTTCGTCGAAGTGGCTTCACGCGCCACGAGCTGCGCCGCGGCCGAGGTGCTGCCCATATCAATGCGTTCCACCACGTTCGGCGGGAAATGTGTGCCCAGGAACCGTCCGCATTGGCCCCATACCTGCGGATGGGTGTAGAGTATGCGAATGGCTGTTTTTGGGTCTTGCATCGCCTTGTTGGTTGTAGTAGTGCTGTTGCTCTTGTTACTGTCATTGCTGTCGTTGTTCTTGTTCTTGTCATTCGTGGCATCTACCGACAACCGGGACGGAGCAACAAACAAGCAATGGTGGACAGGGAGGTAGTACTCCGCGCAGACTTCCAGGTCGGGATACAGGACTGGGACTGCGGCCGCAGAGTCAGAATCAGAGTCGGACCTGGTGGTCCCCGAGTCAAGCCCACACTGAGCAAGCAAGTCAAGCACCTGCACGACCGAGCCGTTGGTGCTGTTCTCTATAGGGACCACGGCGTAGTCGTAGGATATCTGCGGCTGGCCTTGCTCTTTGCTCTGCGCGGAGCCATGGTTTGAGTTTGCATCTTGGATCGCCGCGAAAATCGCCGAGAAGGAAGGTAGAGGATGCAGTGTTACCGGTCGGCTAGGAGGAGCAGTGGTGGACTGCGAGGAATAGCAGCTGGGACTTTGGAAAGACGACGGTGGTGGTGGTGGTGGTGGTGTGAAGACTTCAATGGCTGCTTGGTGCGAGAAGGAGGCTTCAGGCCCTAGGTATGCGACGTTCAGAGGGGGCCCATCTTCCGTCATGCTTGGGAGGAGGAGGCCTTTGGGGGGCGGGAGATGTACCGAGTGCGATGGAAGAAGAGATGGATCCAACACCACACTGAGGAGAAGTTTTGCGTATAACAACGGTGGTATAGTACCTAGGTAGGTATTGATGTCTGTAGTAGTAGAGTCCGCAACATCGATATTTAATATTTGGTTTGCTTCCCCAATTTTTCATGGATGGACACTGCAGCGCTGCGCTTGATTCTCCGCACTGCACGGCAGTGGGAGCAATACGCTACTGTACAGTATACGACTAACTATGGCAGTTCTACAGCCTCGTGAAGCACTGCATATCAATTCTAGGGGCCGACTCCGAATCGCACAACATGACGTTCGTGGACAGTCTCGTGGGCTATCGAAGAGACGAATCTCACACCACCACATGACAGTCTGTCTTACAGGTCTATAGTGTACCATTGGGGATACTCTGCATGTTCGTGATGTCGTGGTGGCGTGGGCTTAGGCCTCAACTGCAGAAGAGCAATGGAGATGATGATAGTAATACAATTCTGACCCGTGCATTATGAATACTATTCCTTTTCCTTCAGAGGCACAGATTCCAGACACTGCGCCTTATCATTTCGCATCACCCTCCAGTACTTTGGATCAAAGCACGCCGCTGCAATCAACAGTAACCCGCCAATCATGTGCCACCGCGGGCCATTGGGATCTGCAAGGCTCACACCGACCTAGGCAACTGTGTGACCTTTGGTACCGATTATAATGTCCGGCATGATGCTCCGAGTATGTACTGATCTTCCAGGCGACACTTTCGCATCAGTCGGGCAGCGTTGGGCAAAGTTATGTACTGTGCACCGACTTGGGTTGCAAATCCTTGTCATGTCCATTTGATTGGACACCAGAGTGAACAAACATGCTATCTTACATGGTCTGACTTCTTCCGCAGAAAAACTCTCTTGATTCCACTCATGTCGCTCAAGCTCATGCGCGTCTTCGACCTTATAGACAAACTAGACCGGTGGCTCTTTGCATCGCTCGCCACAGATCCAGTGCTGGGACTTGAGGAGACGGTCAAGGGACTCGAATTTGAACTCGGACTTGATCCAAAATACGAAACACGGCGAGTCGTTGGCGTGGATGAAGAAATTGAGGTGGTAGTGGTGGTGGTGGTAGTCGTTGTTGGGCTTCGTATTGAAGCCGGGCTGGCCCCGCTCACAGCTCGGGCCTTGCCAACCATACCCTCAACCCAAGCCTCGTTACCGGGAGTCGTGGTCGCGCCAAAGGTAGCTGCTCGTCGTGCATTCATTTTCGGACCCGCAGCACCTAGTGGAGTGTAACTGGAGGTTGTAACTGGAGGTGTAACAACTGTGGTCGTAGTCACGCCAGAGCTGCTGATAGAGATAGACCGCATATTCGATGGCCACCGAGCAGCGCCCGAGGAATGCCGCGAATGGACCGTGGGCGGATTTCTGTCTTGTTCCACAACACTGGTGGCGACGGCATCCTTGTCAAACTGCGTGGCGGTCGTAAGTGTCGGAGATGGAGTAGTATAAGATGGCGGAATGGGTGGTACAGGTGGTGGCGTCCATGTTCCATCGTTCTTAGGGGTTTTCCGACCGGCCTCGGGAGACCGAGGCCTAGACAGTGATGTCCGTCTCTTGGAATTGACCAGTTCGGGCGATGCTGTTGTACCGAAAGCTGTCTGGGTCGTTGAGGGCGAGACCGCTTTTCGACGACCGTAAGGTCCTGACACTCCGTTACCACCCGCTGTGGTCGCGGAATCCTTCTGACCGCTGCCAGGGAAACTCGCAACTTCCAACCGACCATCAACGGTGGCCCGAGTCCCATGGTGAAGGCTATATTCTTTCAGATATTCTCCCAAATCGGCCCATCCTCCGCCCACGCGTACCATGACGCGATGGCCGTCTCCAACAGTCCGGACAAACAGTTTCATCGGAGGGGCGTCACGAGCTTGGCCGGTGCGGGTCAAATGGTATAGACTAATCTCCGGATCAGTGGCGTTGCTTTTACGGCCGGATGAGTCTGCCATCACCGCTGATAATGTCAGGGAAGGAGCTGGAGTTGAAGAGCGCGTGGATGATATGGAGGGCTGCACAGAGCTTGATGATTCCCCATCCTTTGTCAGCTGGATTTTATTTGGAAGCGTCGTGAGTATGTCTTGTATCTTCTCGTCCAAAGATTCGCCGCGTCTTGGCGGTCCTGGGAACGAAGCTTGTGACGGAGCCGTGGAAAGCTTCTGACGCGGACTCTCTTGATTGTCCTCTTTCAGGCCCATAACTTGGCTAGAAACTGGTTTGCGAGAAGATAGACTAGAGCGGTTCGTGGTATTTCTCTTGCTTGATCTTCGTGGCACAGACGGCAGAACCGACGCACTCCTGTGGTGATCTCTGTTCGAGATGTGCAATGGCTCCACCTGCAGTGAGGGCGTAGCCAGCGGACTCGTGTCGACTGATCGAACTGGAGAGTACTGAGCGGGGTATGATGCTTCAAGTTCAGCGATTGGCTTCTTCGCCTCTGGCGATTCAGAACCGGTCAACTGTTTCAATGCCTTGGTCGGTGTGCTCTCAGGACTCGAGGGGATTCGAGAGAGCATATCCCAGCTGACAGTACGCCGTAACATGACTTCTCTCAGTTGATCTTTTGGAATGACTTCTATCGACGCTGTCGATGCCCTCTGCAAGACGGGCGGCCTCGATGTCATCTGATGCTGGGCAGTGGAAGAGTCGCCGAACCAGGTGAGCTCGTCTCGACTCGTACGGAAAGGATTGTCCACAACACTGACTTTGGGACTCGGGAGCACGCTCGTGGTTCGGGCATCCATAATTTCGGCGTTTGATATGTCGGAAAAGGTGGAAAATGTAGAATCTGCGACCGATACTTTGGACATTTCTCTTTTGTGGCCCCTGTGACTGGACATGTCAAGCTTGAGGGAAGGTTTGCTCTCCCGGTGGGATTCCTCCTCAGCTACGACACTCGACTGCGACTTTGTGCGCTTGAGATTGGAGTCGGACGGCAACTCCAATCCTCCCGGCTGGAACGCAGTCGGCTCCTCGCGCACAACTCGTCCTGGGCTGAGCTCTCCGGTCCTCAATTCAATTGAGGTTTCTTGAGTCACGGAGCTCTTGCTATCCGTCTTTGCAGCTAATTCGTTCTGCAGGACCATGTTTTGAGCTTCGACGACCCAAGCAGCGTAGTCGAGTTCAGTCTTCTCCAGCTTGTCGATCCAGGTTTGCGGTAATGAATCCTCATGCCCTTCAAGCATGTCAAGAAACCGGTCCACCCACCGTCCCATGTCGGAAACTCGACCACCCAACGCCAATTTCCAGTTCTCGAAAGATGTGGCTACGAAGTCTCGTGCAGATGCTGACTGTCTGATCTCCTTAAAGGCTTCCTCAATCTCACGTTGTGTAGACTCCATAGTCGTAAGGAATGCTGGGAGACTTCTCAGCACCCTCAAGCGTATCTCCCAAGTATCAAGCAGAACATTTAACTTGGCAAGGTCCGGCAGTGCTTGGATCACGGTAGCCGTAATCAAGGCAGTGAAGTCTCGCATCCTGCCATAGCTCGCGCGGACAGCGCTGTGGTCTGGCGATGCCGGCGAAGAGGTTGATGGGACATGAGCTTCGAGTACGTGTTCCTTGATATCTTCAATTCCCAGGCTATCGAGGTCATCCCTAATCTCCTCAAGCCTCGCATCGTATTGCTCCGCCAGAGCCACAGGAAGAAATCCTCGATACTCGCTGTCCGTCTCACGGGCTGCCCGGGGGGCAATGAACCCTAGTCCCAGAGTACGTTCTCGTCTCCCCGGCCAGCTCCATTGCGATAACTCGGTCCGCCAGCCTCGAATCTTTTGTGCCACGAAAGCAGCCCTTATGCCAGTTTCTCTTTCCGCAGGCGTGGCATCCCGGATGCTGGAAGTTAAGGCATCTTGTGCAGAGCCGCCGGGTATGAGTTCAGTAGCCTGAAGGGCCTTCAGCGTCGAATCTGGAGACAGATTTCCAAGTAGAGGGTCAAGCTCTTTGATGGCAAACTGGGGTTTACGGCGAGGGGAGCGAGAGGGAGAGCGGGAATCAATCGGCAGATGGAAGCGAGGAAAATGTGGTCGGGTCGGCGTCGAGACAGCCATTCTTGCTTCCCTTTCCAGACTTGCAACTATGTTGCCAGGACAAGCTCTTTCTCCTTCATAAAATCCCGCCCAACTGAGACCGACAGATGGAGCATGCTGCAACTGGAGGAGCATATATAGGACAACCAAGCCGGTCAAAGCGGCGAGGCCATTGGATCTAGTGTGAGGTCGAGGTGCGAGCGAGGGATAGACGGCACCTAGGTATACGAGGGAGAGGAAGTCATAGCGGACCTCTAGAAAGGAGAGGCCATGGTCAGAAGGATACGAGGACTGGAGAGCTTGCGTGCAAAGGCGCAGTCTCCGAAGGTGCTTGCTGGATTTGCCTCCCGCAGAGGTTCCTGTGGTTCCTGTGGTTCTCAGGATTCGCCTGTTGCCGTGTCCAGAATCAGGAAAATTCAGGGCATCAATCCGCCCAGGGGCATGGAACAAATAGTAGTGGTAGATACGCGAGGTGAACCCTCCACTGGCCGGTGGTGAGTGGTGTTCGAACAGCCCCTGGCTGATGTTGGCGCGTTGCTGGATGACGCGAATACTGCGCTTTGGGAATAGTTCAATTGTTGGTCTCCAGTACTTTAGTTCCAGAGTGTTGTGGAGAGACGCGGTCTCGCGTGCAGTATGTTGTGTGTTGTGTGTTGAGCGTGTTGTGGTAGGTACGTAAAAGGCTGAAGGAGGGGGCACAGAGGGGGGTCTCTTGTCTCGGTCTGTTGTGTACTACCTACCACCTGGTGTGTCCGTGTTTGTGGTCCCGCCTGCGCCGCTTGCCGCCCGGTAGGTATCTAACGTACTTCTGGTTGACCTTGATGTCGCTGTCACAGTCTCTACATTCCATCTCATTGCGGCCCACCGTCTACATCTCATAATGCAATGCGCTTCAAGAGCCAGATCAAGAATGTGAACCTCTTCGCCAGTGAGCACAATCCATCCTTGACTACAACATTGGCCAATCGCATGCTGATGCCTCCCAGAATTCTGCGCCTCTTTGGCTTCACTTGGGCAGATCGCCTGGTGTCGTCTAAACGATGACGATGTTCAATTTACAATCATCCCTGATAAAGGCAGCCAGGTGTGGTCCGTCCTGAAGCCCGAGACCGTCTTCGAGACGTATGTACTTCAATCAGCCTCGCCAAAGAACACAATCAACCTCGAGGTGCCTATCCAGGCCCTGTCCAGAGCCCTCAAGTCCGCACATGGCTCAACGTCGGCACAGATCCGCCTAACCAAAAAGGACAATGTGCCTATGCTGTCGTTAACGATCGTCATCAATTCATTGAGCAGTGGCAACAGTCTGGTTGCAGCCCCGTCCATGAAACGTGCAGGCGGCGCACCTGGCGAGTTCGATTTCAACGATGATATGCTCGATGCAACCTTCGTTGAAGGAGGCCCAAGGGAAAGGGAGACTATCATCACTCAAGACATACCGGTGAAAGTACTCTCGATGGAGGTCGTGGAAAGGATCCACCAGCCGCGAACCCAGGAGCCGGATGTAAACATCTGTCTGCCACCTTTGGCACAAATCAAGACTATATCTGACCGCTTCACTAAACTTGCTGTGGCAACTACGAAGGGTTCTTCAAGCGCCAATCCCCGCCTGGAACTCAGTGCAAACATGCATGGCTCACTAAAGATATCCGTCCGCACAGACGCCCTCAACATAACCAGCCGGTGGATTGGCCTTGTTAACCCGGAACTCGACCCTGCTCATTTTCCCGATGGATCGCAAGGGGTGAGAGACCATCCCAGCACCAGAATGAAAGAGCTGGGCGGGCCGGATGGGGAGAATGAAGCGGGCTGGTCCAAGGTCAGGATCGATGCCAAAGACTGGTCAAGGGTACTGAGCGTGGGTAGGGTCAGTGCCAAGGTGATTGCATGCTTCATCAATGAGGGCGGCTTGGTGTTGTATGTGTACTTGCCCAATGATGAGAATGGGAGTGAGGACGAGTCATGTCTTACGGTGAGCTCAAATGTCCGACTATTCAAGAGAGCGATATTGACATTGGTATTACAGTACTATATCAGCTCATTCTCCGTCTAAACGCTCTCTGAGCAGACCCCTTGGGATGAGCACTATCGTAACGCCACGTTAATCTAGCGCCACTAGGGAAGACGAGAATCCCATCGTTCAAGTAATCTGGTGTCCTTTTCAGCTGGAATGGGACAGCTCGCAGGGTGGCAAGGGACTGACTGGCCCTGGATGGCCGTTCAGCAACCGAGAGTTCGAGTGTTTCGGTAGGCGATCCGGAATTAATTAGCCAGATGATCGGGCAGGCTGCAAGATTCGGCCGCATATGGCAATGCCAATCAGGGAAATGGTGGTTTGGACCACTCCGGAGAGAAGGCTGTCAGCGTGACTTCTGTGGCCCGATCCGGATGATCGACCGGTCCGTTCTTTCTTCTTGTCGCTGTTCAATTCGGTCCATGACCTTGACACTTGCTTCTTTGAAGCGGTCAAAGTCAAGCCCCGGTCATGGACTTGTTTTGCTCTGCGTCGCGAAAAGGCTGCTGATGCCATAACTGAAGAGGTTTTGGCCCACGCAACCAGCGTGAGGTGACATCCAATTCCGGAAACAGACAAGTGAGTCGAATCTAAAGAAATTCGGAATTCGACAGGTTGGCAGCATCCTAGCTCCTTTCCACATCTTCGTCTTTGTCCTGTAGCTCTTCGCGTTCTCGTCTTCGTTTCTCCTGCCTTGCCATGGGATGTTCACCACCTTCCCGAGCCTCATCAGGCTTCAATCCTAAAGCCTTCCGAAGCCGTTCGCTTTCTCGCTCTTTTGCTTCTGCCAACTCGTGCACTTGATAACTCTTCAATCCCTTTCCGTCAACTCTCCGCGCCCTCCCCCCTTGATCCCTCTTGCGGCCCATCTCTGAAGTCAAAGTCTCGCGCAACTTGTCACACTCGTCTTCAATCTTTTCCTCATCAACCTCTTCGTCTTCAAGCTTTTCCCGAAGTTCTAGTACTTTGACTTCGATCTCCCTTAACCGGTCATGGTTGAGGATATCCTGATCTGGCTTTCGTGACTTAGGTGGTCGTGCGGAAGGGTCCAGGCTATAAGGCACACCGACGCCGGCGTCACGAGGCTTTAGGAGTGAGAGATTTCTTTGGACGTAACCAGACGTCCCCGAGCCGCGGGGCGTAGAAAGCCCAACATTGGCTGACATTTCGGATGGAACCGACGCTGTGGTAGGAGGAGTGGCCAGAGACAAGTGCGATATTTGCTGGGCAATGTAGATGCCTGAACAGGTACGTACGACAGGTAGAGACTGGGGGCTTGAAGCAGTATGGTTCGTTAGGTTCTGAAGAAGGGAAGTTGAGTGTCATGTCGGGAGACCAGAAATCAACGCATCTTCTTATCGATAGTCATCACGTGAAACCTCCCCACTTGCAGTCGTCCGCTTGAGAAAAAAGGCGAGTGCCTATCGCCACCCCAGAGTGAAGTACAGACTCCGGAGTGTGTACACAGTCTGCCTGGAAGCACCGCACCATCAGCAATCACCAGGCATCGATCCGCCATGGCTGGACCACAAAACTGACTCTCCTTTGACAACGCAGCAGTTCTGGAACAGGGTGACTATTTTTGGGCCCTTCTCCTGCACTCATTGCAGATCGGACAGGCTTACGAGCACAGCGAGACAGGGCTCTGCCAAAAAGAGACTGCTCGATTACATTTCCATTGTCGTTGCGTGTGCCACAGTCACTCTCGGACGCCCACGGACATCGCAGATCCTGATCATCTTCTTCGTATGAGGAGGCTTGTGGATCGACCATCCCACCCGGGCAGAGTCAAAAGATAAAAGGGTACTGTGCAGTGGTAGATGTGTTCCATGGCTAGAGGGCGGTTCAGGATCCGGTACGCAGGGACTTGTCTGTGGTGCCTCCTAGTTACTTTATAGGCATGATTGAGCCGCTAAGTCCAATCACCAGTGCCCGAGAGCCGCCTAGACTGACCCGGTCCTGGGGCGCCCTAGGCATCCAGTTCCGGGGCGGATGTGTTTTTCCTAGCCTGGACCCTGCCCCAAGCTAGACGGAGCTGCCGCTGGACTAGGGACTTTGTCGGGCGCCTCCTGCAGCGGAGACCTTTTCCGACGACGGATCATATATTTCTTAATTCAATGTTGCTCATTCGGCTGGTTTCTTGTTTACCTCCTTGACTGCTCTTTCTCGACCATGAAAAACCATCGCTGTTAATCATCCCGATTTCTTGGGGACCGTTGCATCCACCAGGTCTGCAATCGCAGTCGTGGCGTGGTTACTGCTGCATCCGACGTCTACTTCTTCCCGCATATACTTGAAGTTGCTCGGCTTAATATTCCCGTCCTTCTAGATCGGAAGATGGATGCTTCCTATCTCCCGGCGCAAATGTCGTGGCTTCACGCATCGTCGTGACGGCCTCTGTTTGCCGTCATTGCTGCCATCTGAGCATAGTCGACACTCGAACTTTTGCCACTGCGTCCTCCTATCCTCGCTCGTCCAACGAATCGATCCAATGGAGTGCTTGGAAGACCAAAAGCACCCCTGCGTGGCGCAGTCCCGACGCCTGCTCCCAGATACTACTGTTGTGGACTTGAACCGTGGAAAGAACTCCCATCAAGCTCTTGTTTGGTACTTCTGTACACCGCCGCCAGGGTGCCTGGCCACGGCAACGTCCCGGCAGGCTGTAACCCTCGTTGGATGGCCCACCCTGAGCCATGGCTGGACATCATTCCCACATCCTGTGAGCTTTGAGACTGCATCGGTGTGTGACTGGATGGAGGCGGCGGTTGCTCGTCAGTCTGTGTCGTCTGTTCGCTCGGTTGAAAATGCAGTGAATCCACCTCCGGAAATACCGCACCACCGAGGCTCATCATGTCCATTTCACCGTCTTGAAGCATTACAGGATCAATTGCACCGTCCATGCCGTCGGAAAATTGATGGGACAGGTTCACCGATGAATGCCCTGGCTGTGTCTGCGTGGGCAGCCTCTGGGTGCGCAGTCCTGGCCCATCCAACCCTGACACCCCGTCACCCATAATGGGTCGGTCCTCGCTCACCACCGATCGTGGTGTTGGCCTCGAGGAACTTGTCGAAGCCCTGGATAGACGATCTGACTGGACGTCCGGTGGACGATATGACGGTTCGGAACCTCGTTCGATGCCATCCAGAGCAGAATCCGACTGGGTGGTGCCGAGACCCAAGCGCTCTACTGGTGGAGGAGTCAACCCCAAGCCTCGAAGGATCGCATCGGTCGGGACTCTGCCACCGCTCTCATCGGGAACGACGCCAGGAAATCCTCGACCCTCCCTACATGCCCAGTAAAGCCTTTGCAACGCTTCATCGATAATATCCTGCATGCCCCAATACCTGGACGAGAGAAGTGATCAGAGCGGATGAACAAACCCCATCACAGGGACTCACAGGGACCGTGACCGCACGATGTGTGCCAACGAACTTACCAGTCTCTCGCCTCACGTCGGCGGCGGACGCTGTATTCACAGGTGCTGTCGCTTGCCACGCAACTCGAACATGGGCTATTGCCATCGCACTATCGAGGGGTCAGCGTGTGTAGCTAGACCTATGAAGCTTGACACCGTGTTGGCTACCTAGGTACACACACCTTTGACTTTTTAAGCTTGCAACGGTCACAAGCTCGCCCGATGCGTGCTCGAGATTTCGAATGTTCAATACCATCGGTCCTTTCCTTCCGCCCTGACATTCTGAGCTGGACCGAAGGATCAGGGACCCTCGTCCCAATCGTCGTTTTGCTGCTCAGATGCGATAAGACCACGATGAGAGCAGCCGTGTTGATGATACAACAGGAATCCGGGCAGGCTCGACAATTGACGCTCTCGACTCCCACAATCAGCGTGACCAGCGAACGGTTTTCTGTCGTTCGATATTTTCTCGATGTCACAGTCGATACCCAAGTCTTCCAGATGATGATTCATCCCTCACGCAAAGCGGCAGACAATCTCGTTCAGCAACAACGTCCAGACCGCTAGTATACAGACGCCTGTCTAATGATCGACTCAGTCAAGTATGGCACCCAGCAGTACCAAGCACATTCTGACGCTTGCTCGAATATCCCGCTATTACGCTCAAAACAGTAAAGTGGTGTTGGTTTGCCTTGAATGAGTCCTGCAGATGCAATTCGCAGCAGAATGCCATTCCACCATGGATAAGGGCAAAAACGATGAGGAATTGACAAGTCGGGTCCCGTGGGCCACAATTAAACCGTCCGCGCTAGGATCATAGACCCGGCTGGGCCAACCTTGTCCGCATGGCCATGGCCATGACCGTACCGAAGCGAGTGCCCCAAAAGCCACAGCCTTCCCTGGACCCTCAGACAGAATATTTGGGGGCGGCTCTCCAACTAGCGGAATGTACTCCAACACAATCATCATACCATCCAGCAGTAACTAAACACAGGTTCTGGCCTGAAGGGCTGAGGGGTGGGAGTATGTTGTAGCAGAAGCAATATTCCCATTCAGAGATTCGCACCACAAGCGACTGATGGGATCAATGACAGAGGCGACATCCAACACATCGAGCAACGACACGTCTACACAACAAAAAAGGAAGGTGTCAGATGGATTGCCGACATGGCCGCCATCGATGCTAGACGGCCTCTAGAAACTAGCAGAGCAGCAAGACCAAACAGACCGGTGGACGGAGCGGTGGACAAAGCTTCTCTTGCAGAGTGGATTCGCCAATGGACGCATCGATCTACGGAATTACACATACAACATCGCCATTTGAGCGCACTCGACTCCCTTGGTATTTCACCGGCTGTACCAATTTGTATTTACAGGTGTGCTAGGCCCTGATCGAAGGCGTCACACTTCTGCCCAGTCGAAGGTCATGCCGGATTGCAAGCCACAATCAGAGGTCTCCCGGACCGCTTTGCAGTCCTGTCTGGCAGACCACTTCGGCTGGCCACAACCCCAACGTCCTAGAAAGTACCTCTTGCTGGGACCTGCTTGAGACGACAGAATTTATATCAATAATACTGACACACTCCGTGCTTGAAATTCGATCAACACCGGTTCCACAGTTTGCTACAAAATTCTCCTCCCCTTGGATTGCGAGGAAGCCGCTAAACAGATGGCGGACCTTGCATCCGGCCTCTTACAGCCCAGCGACCAAAAGCCAGATTCAGCCACCACACGCCCCTCGACAGGGGACCGAGGCCTGTAGCTATTAACCGCCGACTCTTATTCGTCTTGATAGGGACGCTGCAAATCGGTTAGGCGATGCGATGACGCTGCTTCCAACCTCGTTCAAAGGCCTCCGTTGATCTCGACGCCAGGTTCTTCGATTCTGGAACGCTACAGCCACGCTTACTGTGGTATCATCCACGGAAAACGCACATCCGGCTAGGCCTAAAGAAGATAAAACTCCTCAGCGGGTCAAAAGGAGTCTTGTGCTCTGGAAGCCTTCGTTGGAGTGAGTCTCCGACATCCCTGGGACGCATGACCTGCCCGGAAGAGCAGGTCGAGTGAGAGGTTTTCCTCCTCCGTCACGGCTTTCTTTCGGTTCTCATACCACTCCCGACCCAGGCCAAGTTAGCCGGCAGCGAAGGTGCGAAACGGTGTTTGCCTGACAGTCGAAAAGTTCGGCCGGTGCAGTGATCAAGGAAACAGCACGGAGAGAAGGTGCAGCGACAGCAGGACAACCATGCCGCAAAGGTTTTGTTCATTCTGACCCTACAGGCTTGGCTCTTGCTTGCCCTTCTTCCGCCAGAAGGCACACCCCATGAACCATTCCGAACCCATAGAAAGTTGACATTGTTGCAGTTATCCCACTTGCGTTGCCCGTGTCCGAGTCTCCGCGATGCTACTACCCAAATTATGAGTCCCACATCCCTTCGCCGAGCGCGAGGAGCACGTCCTGCAAGCTCTTGCGAGCCTTGATGGCTTCCTCTCGATCCTCTCCCCTCAACTTGGCACTGAACCACAATTCCACGAGCGTCCTCAGCTCATCGTATGTATACCCGACGGCCTGTTTCTGAGCCTTGCAGTCTCGAACGTACTGCAGAATCGCCTGGGGACCGGAGAGGAAGAGATCAATATACTGCGAGGAGGATACCAACAGTCCGGTGTCCTCGTCCTCTGCATCCTCTGCGGGTGGCTCAGTGGATATACCAAGACCGGTAGGATCTGCCTTGTCCCTGTCACTGTCCTTTTCCGTAGTGCTGTCGTGGCGCGGACCGTTACTGGCCAGAATGGCCCGAAGATTCTGCTGCACAACCATAGCATCGATCCGGAACCTCTCCGCCCCATTCTCGTTCATGACCCCGATCTTGTCTGCGGCCATGACAAGATATCGATCGACCAGTCTTGCAAGACCTGACAGGATAAAATCACGCTCCTTCCAGCCTAGATAAGCGGCAATGTTGGAATCGAAGGCAATAAGGTCGTGATTCAATTCGAGGACGAGAGGTGACGCTGAGCTGGGCGGAGCTGGAAGAACATACGGATACAGGCCGGAATCCAACGGCGGGAGAGCAGATGAGTCCCGGTTATCTGGTGGCGATGTAGCCGCTGCCCCAGCAGGCCCGCTGAGTGTGCGTGACATTTGATGGATAATACCACAGCGGATGTCGATATGCAAGGTCAACAAGCTGGTCTGGGCAAGAGTTCGGAACGATGACACGGTCTGATCAAAAGGAATGGCTGTTTCCGACGTCAAAGGTAAGAAGATGGGATTGACAGCACCGGGCAAAGACGGCGTTTTGTTGGTACCACGAAGGGTCGTGATCAGGGTCCATCGCCGAGCACTCTTGCCTTGTGAACCGCTCCGAGCATGCGACAGCCCGGAAGGCATGTCTGCATCGACTCGTCTGATCTGGGCCAGGGCTGCGGATAACCACTGCATGCTGTTGTAGAGCAACGATAGTTGATGGACCGATTTGGGATCCGAGATGATGTCGTACGATGACAGAGGATTGGCCTTTGTGGCTGCAAGCAGGGCCTGGACCTCCTTCGAAATCAGATTCGACCGAGACACACCATGCCTGCCAGATTTGGCCAGGTTGAGTAGCTCCAGAGCGGCGTCGTGCACTTCTCCTGACTCGGCCAAAGAAGCAGCCGCCTTGGGCGACAGCGTGTTGACTTGCGGATTTGTATCTGAAGGCGCGACTCGGCTGACCAGGGCCTTGTAGTAGCCGTAACATTTGTCGTAGTATGTGACGAGCTGGTTGATGATGAGCTGGGTGAACATCTGATCCTGCGGGATCGAGCTCAACATGCCCGAGAAGGCGCGGATCAGGGCCATGAATGAAACGGTGCCCTTGAATATGGGATGGCGCGAATGCCTGGACCACTGTGCGTCCTCTGAGAAAGCTTCCAGGTCAATCATGCACTGAGTGCAGAGCTCGGTGACTGCTTCTTCCAGCTGCGGATGGAAGACGTTGATGAGGAAATCATCCAGGAAAGACGTCAGCGTACTCATCGGGATATGCGACGTCGGCGGCACCACGTCCTTGAGGCGTTGCAGGAAGGTCAGTGATGGCGGCAGGAGGACGGGCATGTTGAAGACTCCCGGCTCGATCAGCAGCTTGTGTCCGGCAGCAGAACTGTCCTGGCCGCTGCGTTCCAAGACGAGATCGGTCCCATTGGCAGCGCGGGACTTGCTCACCAACCCGGGCACCGAGCTCTTCAGGATATCCTCCAATTCTTCTTCCTCGGCCTTCATGGCTTCGGATTTCCGATCGACCTCGGACAGCTTGAACATCTTCTTGTTCTTGTCGCGCTGGGGCCGGGCGAAGATGTCGTTGCTGGTCGTGGTAGTCAGTCCCGACCGGATCGCCATGTCACCGTCGGTGGCCAGATAGTCATGTAACAACGAGCGCATTTCCATCTGGTACAGTTTCCACAGCTCCTTGAACCCGCCCGTGTATTTGTCCGGTTTGGCCAACTTCTCCCTCGCCGCGATGCCTGCGACAACCTCGTGTAGAACACGGTGACTTTCGGCAATAGCCTCGAACTTGGAATACAAAGTGTAGAGGAAGTCGGACAAGACCTGGCTCCGGCCGTCGTTGAGGTGCAACAGCATGGCTTTTCGACTTTCCTTGGTCGGCCGTCTCCTCAGATGGCTGGGATATCTGGCGTCAATCTCGGCATACGTCCTTTCGACGACCTTGTACAATTCGACGGGCATTCGTTGTTCGATCCGCGAGACAGCTTCTCCGAGCTGGCCGAGCTTGTTGAGCGACTCCAAGATCATGTGGATGTAGTAGAAAGTGTCGGCCTCGGGATTCTTGGACGCATCTTCGATCATGGGAGAGGTGACATCCACAGTGGTCAAGTAGTGGTTGAAGGGCCGGTCCCAAGCGTTCACGCCCGTGCCCATGAGATTGTCTTTGGGGTCTCTTTCTTCACCATTGGCCTTGGTGCCTTTCCACCGATCCTGGCAGTAAGGGCTGCGCAGGTAGAGATGATCGTGCAACTCCTCCACCAAGATGTCGAGCAAGGTACTTTCCTGATTGACGAAGTAGCTTCTGAGATCCGAGATCGCGCCGATGCCATCCAGGCCGCTCTTGGTGATGCTCTTCAGACTGTCCATCAGCAGGTCCACGGCTCCCAGGAATTTCTTTTCGCTGATCTTCTCTTCAAGCTTGCCAGGGACCGATTTCAGCGACTCGATATTGCTCAGCGTCACCAGCATCTCATCCAGCTGTCTGCTTTCCTCGGCCAGGCCCCTTAGTTCGGGCCGGGTCGTCAGCATTCCCCCTCGCACGTTCATCAACCCGCCTTTCAACTGTCGGACGCGGGTCTGGCTTTCCTTGATCGCGGTTTGGATCTTATGATACGTGCCCACGGCACTGTTGAAGTCGGCGTAGTGTTCGTTGACTACGGTCTTCAAGCTCTTCTGCAGATCAACATGCGTATTGGCGAAGTCGCCTTCTTTGCTGGCCAACCCCAACGAGCTCGGATCCATAAGCCTGAGGGCCATTTTGACAGGGACGCATTCGTCGCCCTCCATCTCCTTCCAGTCGGACTGGATGTGGCGTAGGATTTCGTCCATGCTCTTGGCTGGCCGGCGAGGAGAGTATTGTCTGGGAGGGTTCTGTGGTGGAGGGTAAGATTGATTGCTGTTGCTGTTGCTATTGCTATTACCGTTTATTGCACCCTGTTGACTCAAGCTGGATACAGACGGTTTATGAGAAGGTATGGTCGACGGCGGCGGCATCATCGTCCCAGCCAGGCCACTTCTGGTGTCATTGTAGCTACGGTCTCGTTCTCTTGTTGGCGGCCGCGGGGGCCTTTGTTGTTCATATTCATGAGATGTCCGTGACCGTCCATAGTCATATTCCGTCTGCGTCTGCGACTGCGACGGCGGGTTCACATCTGCATATCTGGCCCGGGGTAGTCCGCCATAGCCTCCGCCTCCAGAGCCGGCGCGGCCGGAAGGTAGAGGCGCGGGTGAGTCTCGGTCGCGGTCGCGGTCGCGCGGGTCATAGGGATTGGACCTCCGCCTGCGCTCGTGAGAGCCGAAACTATTGATTGAGGCAGATGAGGCATTGTTTTGCTGGGTTATGTAGGGGTCGACGTAACGTCCGCCGGACACGGCATTGGGAGCGTTGGTGGGAGCGTAGGGGTTTGACTCGCTGGATTGACGGGGAGCGTGGCCGTTGACGGCATAAGGATTGTTACCACTCATGCTTGCGGGCGACCGAGGGGCGGGTGTTGGAGGAATAGACGGGATGTTGTCGCTTCATACATCTCCTCTGCTGCGAGAAGAACCCTCCGACCAGCGGAAGCGATTGTTGTTGCCGTTGTGCATCTGTATGTCTGAGTGACACGACGTTGGCTCAGTCGCGGAAGTGTTGGAGATGCGTCTCATTCAGTTCAAGTTTGGCACCAGAACTGATCGATCGAGACAACATTATTTATTATTCGTCTGGCTGTGTTCTTCAACTCCTCACAGACCCGGACCTTCTTCTCCTCTCTCTCCCTCTCCCAACGATCTCACCATCGACGTAGGTGATTACTGTCGCCCTTTGACCTTGCCATCTATCGATCGTCGATGACACCAGCGCCATGCATGCTAAACACACAACACCAGTGCGAATGCTTCCCTGTCGCTGACCCGGCCTACTCAGGGTCACAACTAGCTAACTGATCGAGTCCATCCTCCGTGGCCCGTCTGTACTCTCACTACTTCAGAGCCTCTGCTATGATCTATGAGCCGCTATGTAGCTGTCCAAGGACGGCGAGGATACGGTGTTTTGGCCAGTGCAGGAAGGAGGACGGCCTGAGAATATTTCGATGGTCTATGGATAAGCTGGCACTTTGCAGATGAGTTCTATGTCTGGATCGGCAGCTTCCGTGCCGCCCTGACCATGTCTTTCATAGACTTGCAATCGCTCCAATAGAACAGACCTTCTTGGAGCTAGCTCCACAGCCTCGTCCAAGTCCCTGCGCTCTAACAGCATAGGGAAACGAGTACCAAGCCTGTCTGCGGATGCAACCATACCTGCCTGGGCTCGACCATCCATGTCTTTCCACGGCAGGACAGCTGGTCTTGAGTGGCCTCATATCGGGGCAGTCTCTCTCTTCAACCACTTGGTCGTCTTCTCGTCGTTGGTGAAGAAGCCACTTGTCTTGTCCCACACTTCCTTGTGATATTCATTCAACCAGACCTTCTCTTCGGGATCTAGTAATGACGGGTCGATCAGCTTTCGACACATGGGCACCATTGTGACATGCTCAAACCCGATCCAGGGCTTGTCGCCGAACTTATGGTTCGTCTTTGCTTCTCTCGCCATAATCACGTTCTCGATGCGAATCCCAAAGCTTCCGTCTTCGTAGTAGCCCGGTTCATCGGATATGACATTGCCAATACTCAGTGACACCTCGGAGTATGCGGCGCGGGTGCCGATCCCAATAGGCCCTTCATGGACATTGAGGAATGAGCCAACGCCATGACCGGTTCCATGTCTGTAATCAAGGCCCTGCCGCCACAGGTGTTGTCGAGCGAAAGCATCGATGGCAAATCCAGTGGTACCCTTGGGAAACACCGCTCGATCGAGCCCAATCACACCTTTCAAGACCAATGTATAAGCCTTCTTCTCCATCTCAGTAGGCTCGCCAAAGTGTAGAGTTCGTGTCGTATCCGTGGTCCCATCAAGATATTGGGCCCCTGAATCGCACAAGTAGACGGCTTTCGAGTCGATGACTGCGCAGTTACCACGTTCAGGAGAATAGTGGATGACCGCAGCATTTGGCCCTGTAGCGGAGATGGTGTCGAATGACAACCCGACGAAATGTTCCCCTTTGGACCGGATTTCCTCGAGCTTGTCGGCTGCCTGCACTTCGTCTAACCATGCGTGGTTGTTGACCAGCTCATCCTCCAGCCACGCGAAATACTCAATCAACGCAGCACCATCTCGAATATGGCACTGTCGCATTCCTTCGAGTTCTGTAGCATTCTTGATGGCTTTGGCATCTGCGACAGGGCTCCGAGACTCTTCTACTTTCTCTTCTCCTCCCAAGCCAAGACTCAATGCCCATGACGATTTGTTTGAGAGGAGGAGTTTCGGGGTGTGCGATTTCGTGATTTCGTCGGTCTGCAACTCATTCACAGCGGTCTGGGCAATGTCTGTCAGATCGGAAAACAGCGCGTCGTAAGGCTTGATTTCGACCACACCATTCAGGTGTTCTTTCACCTCTGGGCCGACTTTGCTGGAGTCGACGTACAGAATCGCCGACTTGGGAGTCACAGCTGCATACGAGAAGAAGACAGGGTTGTAGGGGATGTCACTGCCACGCAGGTTGAACAACCACGCGACCTCGTCAAGCATGGACACGACCATTCCGGCGGCTTTTTTCTTCTTCAGCTCTTTCCGTAGATCATCCAACTTGTCTTTGTAGGGTTTGCCTGCATACACTTCGGAGAGCACAATAACCTTTTCCGCCGGCCTGGGAGGCCGGTCTGTCCATATCTCGTCCACGAGGTTCTCTGATATGCCGACCAGCGTTGCTTGTGACTTCTTCTTGAGCGTCTCCTTCAGTTTTCGCGCATCGGAGGCTGTGATAACGGTGGGATCAACACCGACAGTCTTACCCCCTTCGGCCTGCTCTGTCGTCCTAGCCTCAGCTCAGTCTTGCATATATATCAAACACGGGAGATGTGACATACCATTCTTGCCAGGTCGGGACATCTTCCATACCCTGCTTCAACAAGTGCCAGTTGCTGTCAAGCTGTTTGGAGGCTTGGTTGAAGTATCTTCCGTCCGTTGCCAGCGCGGCTTTCTCAAGCGTAATCACCGCAGTGCCCGCTGACCCTGTGAACCCTGAGATGTATGCTCTTCTTGCATCGCACGGTGCAATGTATTCTGATTGGTGACTGTCTTCTGAAGGCACAATGTAGACATCCAATTTGTGTTGGCGCATAAGATCGCGCAATTGCGCCAGTCGCTTAGAGGTGTCTATGGTCTCCATTTCGACGCTTCGCAGCGAACTTGAGAATGAGAATGATCGTACGGACTGGAATGGCGAGGGGGACCGAGTGCTGGTCGCAGACCGACGGAGCAGAGAAGGCAGACGCCAAGATGACCAGCGCATCGAGCGGCCGTGGATGCTTCAGAGTCACTTGGGATCTGAAGAGGTCGCAGCCCGTCCACCCTAAACAATGCTGCAAGACTCATCAATAATGAGGATACGTATAAGGATGGATATGGGGGCATCTTGCTTTGATTGGCGGATTGCAGACAACTGCGTCGTCAGGCTGTTGCGACCCCCTGATCTCACGTGATAAGCATCTCGCCGCTTTTACTTGTTGGAGGACGAGGCTGGCAACATCAGGCTGTGGCATCAGGGATTGAAAGGTTGGGGCATTTATTGGACTAATCGAGATGGGCTCATTGCGATAAATCCTCTCCCAACCGTTGTAGAATATGATGCTGTGGCATCTTGCTATGCTACAAGCATACCACACACCTATCCGCGCTTAGGACCTACAACCTGTTGCCCACCTGGTACACGGCTGGCTAAAGCGGCAGGCGACGGGCTTGAACAATCTATCAACCAGTTTACTTCGCGCTCGGTCGCATTTTATCTCCAGGAATTCCTTGCAATAGACTTGTTCGCTAATCAGTGGTACGGGAACCATATATGTCAAACACATCTCGGGCTCAATGTATCAAAAGGTCAAGACGTCTTCTCAGGCCTAAATTGGGCGGCAAGCAACACACAGCTCCCGCAGAGACTACAGCAGCACAGGATGCCATGTCCCTAGATCGGCTGGAATACACATCGAATTGTCTGTGCTCCTGGGATCTCTCACAGTCTCAGTAGAAGGCATGCACGGGGGTGATTCTTCACACTGTCACAATGGAGGAGTTAATCAGAGAACTGAATGATCCAAGCAATCAATCCGCTCCCGAACGCATCAATGAGATCCAAAGACAAATCCAACGGCTTCAACGAGAGAAGACTGCATGGCAACTCGGGCTTGATCTGCTGCAGAATGAAGATGCCACCCTCCGGTTTTACGGGGCGCTGACCTTGACCATCAAGATCAACGCAGATTGGGACAACGATGCTCTAGGCAAGGACGAGGGCATGAGGAATTACTTGATCGAGGCGTTGGTCACCAACTACACGCGGCTTGTGGATCTACCAGATTCCAACTTTGTCCTTCGGAAACTGTCTTCGACCCTAACGGCTCTGTTCGTCAGAGCAGATTCCGGCTGGAGATATCCGTTGCGACAGGTCCTGGCATGTCTGCTCAGCAGGCATTATGTTGCGGCAGCGGATTTACCAGAGATGGGTCGCTTGCTGGACCACGCACAGAGCTGTGCCTACCAGCAGCTCAAAGGTGTGCTTATGATCGCTGCCATCATGGCCGAAGATCTGAGCAGCCATTCGCAGAGTTCTGTTGCTGAAAGCAAACTCATGTCTCGCGCAGCTGCGAACTGTTCTGACGCATGGCAGCTATTTCGGTTCTGCCTTGCTCGTATGACAGAGAAAGAACCCGCGGCGTCTAGTCATCCTAATGAGTTGTTTCAACTGCTCGTTCAAGCAACCCCTTATTGGGCCAGCTTGCTGAAATCCCAGGAAGCCACTGGCGACAGTCACGTTCCACAGCAATCCGAACTTGTGGTCAAAGAGTGCATTGGCATCATCAGCAATTGGTTTGAGGATGCTTCATATACTGCATGTATCCTTCAAATGCTCATTTCCTTACAACAGTCAACTCCGAAACTGCTTCGAGAGTCATTACCAAACTTCCCGGCCAGTATCACAGCTTCTAGGAAGGCAGAGGAGATGGTGGACCGGCTGACGCAAGGAGACTTCGACTCTGATGGGATTCTATACGTCGATCTGCTGGAGACCATCATGAGCCAGCTGGACCTCACCAAGTCGGATTTCCTTCATACCGGTCTGTACGATACCATCATCCGCACGTTGCAACGACTGCTCCGGTGCGAGGGTGTGGCGGTCATCGAGGATCCAGTGTGCCAGATAGCTCTCGAGAAGATCAGCGAGATAGTAGAAGGCTCGTCCGACTGGGAGGAGGATGATCAGGCAAAGACCTTCGTCAAGGCTTTGGCTACTGATGCATGTCAGGCATGTCTACACAAGATCAAGCTTCCAACGGAACAGATGTCAAACGACACCCAAGACTGGGACATGGATGAGCGACTGAAATTCCAGGACTTCCGATATGATGTGCAAGATTTCTTGCAATCGGCATTCACGGTCCTCGGGTCCGGGCTGATCGAAGAGATTGTCGGTCTGATCCTGTCACAGGGGCCCTCGACAGACTGGAGCACCTTCGAAGCAGCCACATTCAGCCTTGCCGCGTTCTCCGACACCATGTCGTCCGACCCAAATACGTACGACGGAGTGATCACAACCGTGCTCAGCAGCCAGCCTTGGACGTACCTGCTTCGATCAGGCCCGGTTGTGCCGGACCGAGCACGGCAGACCGGGATTCGATTCATCACGGAGAACGAGGGATATCTGCAACGGCATCCAGACAGCTTGGTCATGGTTCTGAACTTCCTTTTCTCATCTCTACATCTGCAGGCATCTGCATCTGCAGCGTCGCGGGCCATCTACAGCCTCTGCGATTCACACCGGTCGATACTGAAAGAGGGGCTCCCACAATTTATGGGATCTCTTGCCACAATAGGCGACCTTGGCGAGGCTGAACGGCATCGAATCTATGCTGCCGTTGCCGCGATCATCCAGGCTCTTCCGAGCGATGATGCCAAAATGGAGCCGCTGTCCCAGCTGATAGCGTCGGTCGCGCAGGCGTTGGCCGTGTTGGACGAGGGACGCTTGGACGGCGAGGAGCTGGTGAAAGGCTGCATCGACATCATGCAGACCTTGGCTTGGATCGGGAAAGGCCTACGCTCGCCTCATGACCAGCCCGTGGATCTCGAGGCGTCACACCCTCAAGGACAGGTGGACTTCTGGATCAACGGCCCAGGCGCAGCCGTCCAGACATCCATACTCAGCCTGTATGGGGCTACGCTGAAGAAAATGCAGGCCCACGTCGACAGCGACTTCATCGAGGCCTGCTGCGACTTCATCAAATCCGGGTTTCCTGAGGACCATCCTGCCCCATTCAAGTTTGCGGACTCGACCGCCCTCTCACTGATCTCTGAACTGGTCCATCTAGACAACCCGGCCATTGACACCACATTGGCTTGCGCGTCGAGCTTGTTGGCTTCCATAGCTCCCGCCAGCGTCCCGGCTGCTGTCCGCAAGCTTGTATACCTTGTGTGCGCAGGACTGCAACAAACTCTGTCAACGTTTCACGAGTCGCGCCAACTGCCAAATACCAACTTCGCGTCGAGCTCGCTCGACTTCCTGGCTCGCTTGGTGGCCAAATGGGGCGTGGTCTGGTTCGGGGTGGAGGACAGTGAAGGCACGGCCGCCGTGGCTTTCGAGTCGGGCCTTGTCGTCCTGGCCGACCCGGACACGCTGCCTCGGCGGTCGGCCGCGGCCTTCTTTGCAGCGTTTGCAGACTTCACTGTCCCGGACGCATTGACTGCGTTTGACCCCGAGGTCCCCGTCCGAGTGGGCAATCTGTTGCGCCAGTTCGGGCCTCGCATCCTGTCACTGATCCTACGCTTGCTGGGCGGCGAATGTGCTCGATCCGAGATCGACAGCCTCACGGAGCCCTTGAAGAAGTTTGTCCAGAAACAACTCATGCTGACCAAGACGGTACTTCGCGAGGTCGTCAAGCCGGAGTCTGGGGTCATGAGCGAAAAGGCTCTTCAGGCTACGACGCTTGAGGAGAGAGAGAGATTTCTAGCACAGATCGAGGCCCTTCGAGGCGGGCGCAAAACGAACGACATTGTGAAGGACTTCTGGATCGCTTGTAGAGGAAGTGGGTTTGGATACATTGCTTGAGCGCTTAGCACAGGCGCAGAGGAGCCGGATGTATCAGACTGTCCACAACTTGAAAGTGCCAGAACAATGCTATCTTGTGGTCCAAGACTTCACGCATCATCATATTCGTTTGTTTCCTATCAAAAAAACTGCTCTGGGAGCATATGCCCCAGAAGTACCCACTCGATTTGACCCCAGTCCTGCTGCGATACCCGACACGCCTGTAGACCAAGACATCATATACTAGTGCAGGGGTGCATTACAATTCATCATCTCAGCATCGTTCGGAGGGCATTGCACGTCGATTCCCGTTGCTGTTGCTACTGCTCCATCCCAGTCGACTTTGCGACTTTCTCTCCTCATTTCTTTGCTTCAGTCTATACACCCCAAGGACCAGTCAGATACGCTTCGAGAGGAGAGGCTGGACATACGTTTTGTGTGGTCTTGATGGTAGTTTGACTTCCCGAATTCCCTGGCTGGGTCGCAGCAGGCTTGAACTTCTCTGCTCTGTACCATAGACATGTCATTAGTTTCGTCCGTCCGCCACCTTAAGGGGTGGGAACATACTCCTTGCGCCGAATATAGTCGTCCTCCAGGGCCTTTTCGCGCTCGTTGAATTTGGGGATGTTCATCGTTACAGTAGTTCGGGAACCGGATCTGTTCGATAACAACTAAAACTTTCTAAAAAGGCAATTTGATCGCCTCGAATGAAGTGATCTGATGGATGGCGAGGCGTAATGTATGTCTGTTGCTTCCAGGTGGGAAGTTGGTAGGGCGGCAGCCTGCTCTGCTAATACGTCACTGCGACCCCGTGGTGCTAAGGTACCTAGGCACCGTTAGCAGAGGCAAATGATCATACACGCCAATCAGCTTGGTTGGCTTATCACCATCAAGGGAAAGGGGCAATACGAGAGACATAAAAACCAAATAAAGCACAAGAATCCACGGCAGAGAAACACGAACCCACAAGAAATATACATTCAAGGAGCTAAACAGCAAAAAAGTGAACATGTGTGCCTGCCAGGACTCGAACCAGGACCTGCTGCTTGGAAGGCAGCAATGATAACCCTTTCACCACAGGCACTTGAACCGGAGCTGAGGAGACCGATTTAGGGACAAATTTTGTCTATTTGATATATAATCAGGTTTTCATGTGAAAGGTGGATTCCAACCTGATAGCCTGTGACGCTCGCTACTTTTAGTGGGTACCTAAGGTACCTTAGTGACTACTAAAGTCACTAAAAGTCTAAGCATGGGCCCCTTAGCCTGGGCGGTTCCCCTGCTTCTCGGTGCTGTAGACACTTATCTGTTGTCCCCTATAACGCATGACTTGATATAGGTTCTTACCCACCCCATCTACGTGAGTCAACCTCTATGGTCCTTTGTCGCTATCAGGCTTCCAGTTCTTAGACCTACCATCATGAATGAGCCGGTATGTGAATTGATGTCCCCGTGGGAATATACAGTGTAGAGGTAGGTGCCAACGATTCCATGCGGTTCCACATACTAGTATCTAGGTATCAGCCTGGAGGCATCCCTCTACTCTGTACTACCGCTGCTAGTACGTGCAGTCTGATACGACATCCTGCATCTTGCGCTGTCATCTTCCAAGCCGCTCACCGCCATGGTCAAACGGTCGCACAACTCGTCGAATGCGACCTCCGAAGATGAAGGATCTTCCATCGTGGAGGAGTCTGCATCTCCGCCTCCTAGAAAGCTCAGTGCAGCCGACATGGATGCGACCGCTTCTCCCAAGAGTGCCATTCAATGCTCCCTGCCGCCGCATCGAGAAACTCTGAAGTTCCCGTCGATCGAAGACTTCGAGGTCCATTATGCCAAAGACCATTCGAATCGGTGTACATCGTGCGGCAAGAATTTCCCGACCGCCCATTTCCTCGCCTTACACATTGACGAGCACCACAACACCTTCCGAGAAGCCATGCAAGCCAAAGGTGAGAAGACGTACGCCTGTTTCGTCGAGGGTTGTGAACGACGCTGCTCCACGCCCCAGAAGAGACGGCTGCATCTGATCGACAAGCACTCGTTTCCCAAGATGTACCACTTTCGCATCGTGGACACGGGCATCGATCAGTCAACCTCGATGCTGCACGAAGGTCGTCGAAGGAGGGTGTCTACGGCCATGGACCACGCTCAAGCCAACAGGCATCGGAGACAGGAATCACGAACAGAACCGGGGACTGATGCACAGGACAGCTCTACCTCTGTCGTACGAAGAAGCGACGGTGCAGATTCATCTAAGCGAGACCGAGAACGAAATGGAGTCGGTAATCTCAAATCCGCCGCGCCTGTCTCGGATCCCACCGTCAACGATCTGGCTGCATCCATGTCGGCGCTTCGGTTTGTGCCACATAGTGTGGCCAACAAGCAACGCAACAAGCAATCTCTGAAATGACACCTCGACTTCGAATCCGGGCAAGCAAGGTTGCCCATTCCTAATCGCCGAGACCATCGGAAGAGCCAGATGGAAAGCTCCTTGATTCGCGAATTCTAGGACAACAGCATGTTGAGAAAGGGGTACACTATGTCAACGCCGCCGATTCTCAGCATGGTTTCTGGAGACTGTGACACGCTGTCTTTGCTCTTCCCCCCCCACGAGGCTTCAAGATATCTGTCCTTTACTCCCGCCACGACTTATCCGGGCAACGTTCATAACAACCACGTCGGTGCCTGCGAGACTTACCAACCGGAATACCAAATTCATTGTTGGCAATGGCGCTCTCAGTTCTTGAGGTGGGAAGACACAGCACAACTTGGGCAAGCACATGGTCTTAAACTGGATCCTACTACCCTTGATTCAGACGTTAGAGATACCTTCTTTTGATGCTGAACATCAAGACCAGTTCTCGTGGAACCTCTGGCTTCATTCCCGGCTGCAATGGACTTCTTCAGAGATGGAACCGTGTACATCCCTCAATGCGCCTGGCCATCTCCAGGACATATTCATCTGCTATGCAGAATGTCCAATCAGCCAGCGAAGTCAGTCTGTCTGGCAGGGGACCCATGCCACGACCTTCGAGTGCTCACAGGAGAGAAGGAGATTGTGACTTGGTTCGATGAGACTGGCAGGCGTTGCTGCATGCATGTTGACATACCAGGATCGAGGGAGACCCTGGCTCGGGTATGTGCTGCTTCGAGAGATGGGTTCCCAATCGAGGTGAGGATCGTTCAGCTATGGTTGAAGTAGTCTTCGCACATGATATTGAGTGGGATCACTTCGTCCAGATGAAAGGAAGGTTCTGGCCAGGCAGCTTGTAGATGTGTGTACTGGTTGCCTGCCCAAGGTTGTCAGTCTCAAGGTGTTGAGTGAACCTACCGAAGCAAAACATCGCAGTCTGCAGTGAGCGTGAAGTCAACGCCCATTTTGTTCCCGGCCAGCTGCGAATGGGAAGTGATATGAAGAAAACCAGCTTCAAAACCCTGAGGAAAGTACACAAGCACCTAACAGAATGGGAGATGACATGGAGGTTGGGAATAGTTGAATTGCAGGAATCAGGCTGTGAGATGTATGTGCTGTACCATGTAGGTAGGTAGAGGAAGGCGTTTTCTGTAACACGCGGCGCAGTTGTTCGGATCTTCCTCGAATGGGAATGGCTTCTCGCCTCTACGGAGGAAATAGGCTCGAGGAGAGAGGCTCAGGCCAGGCCCAGCATGCTAATCAGGAGCCCCTAGGCTTGAAGATGCCTAGAGAAACCCCCCTTAGACCCCAACCGTGCCCTGGATGCTCCCCGAACCCTGATCTGGAACTCCTTGTGGCGGCCACCTGGCCCTTATGATTGGCGCTGTCCAGACTCACTCCCCCCTCTCTTGATTCTCATCTGTGCTTCCAGTGTTTCTACCATTCGGCTATCATCCTCTCCATCGTGATCCGATCCCTGACAGTTCCTTGTCGCGTACCTTCGCTGCCACGAAGCTCGGCCACATCTTGTTGGTCCCCGTGGTGTGTTTCAGGTTCGCCGACCATGCGACCATGATGCACCACTGCTTCTTGACAGCAGTGACACTGACCAGCTAGAGTGGTCGGACTCGTCATCCCCAATCGCCCGCCATCTACGCATCTCGACCCCAGATCCCTTCTGCTCTTACTCCTGATTCAGACGCCATCTGGCAAAAGGCCGCTTCTGGTAAAGCACCTGTTTCCACTCGCAGCTCGTCAGTCCTCTTTGTCCGACCGACACCTGCCTCCTTCCTGCTTCACACTCTACGGTTTCCTCGTCCGCGGGCTTTGACCTCAGGTTTCGGTCCTTGTGCCTGATTCTTTCTCCGCAGGCGGGCAAAGCGGGCTCCTGAGATGCAGTCCATCTGAAAAGAGGCGGACTCGGATCACATTTCGTTGTCTGTATCATCCTCTCTCAGATGACGCCGTAAAGCCGACGCGACAATGTTGGCCTCCAAGCCGCCCTATGTCGCGAATATCTCAACCACAACCCAGCAGATACCCATACGCAACTTCTCCGACAGTTCCCAGAGAACGCAGGTTTCCTCGATGGCCCTTCAAGATGGTCTCTTTACATCCCCTACCGATTCAGAGTTCTCTGACGGCTACGATGGTCTGGATTCAATTCGAGCATGGGACGAGAAAAAGGTCGGGGAATGGCTACACACGATCCGTTGCGGACAGTATGAATCGCTTTTCAAAGCAAACAATTTTACCGGCGAGAGTCTGCTGGAATGTGATCAGAAGATCTTGTCGGAGATGGGAATCAAGAAAATTGGTGACCGAGTTCGAATCAACGTGGCAATCAAACAATTACGCAACAAGTCTTCGTTGCTGCGGACTAAAAAGAATCGGGATTCTCTTGCCATCCTAGATGGCTTCGCCGCTGTCGCTGCCGCCACTCCATCATCCTCAGACTCCCCTCGCACCCATGCATCCAGATCACAGGCGGGAAGTGCAAAGCGTTTCTCTCGCCAGCTGGATCCCTCAGCACTGCAGAACTTCAACTCCGCGGGGACGGGATTCAAGGTCGGGTCCAGGCCAAGTTCTCCTCAATCCGATGTCCACAGTGCTGGATTGAGGCCTCATCGGTATGCTGGGAGTCCCATGGATGCAGGGGGAAGAAGCAATCCGAGCACCGGCTACTTCAGCCAGCCAGGATCAGCCAACTCGTCCTCAGGAAGGCGACCCGAAACACCCCAGCTGGCAAGCCAGACTACCAGGGCAGCGCATCTGCGGCAGAATTCCAGTATAGATGGATTAACTCCCGGTGGTCTGCCTACGGGATCACCTGTCATCAAAATCATCCACAATGGTGGACAAACCAAGGTTGTGAACATCAAATTTTGCAGGACCGCCGACGAAGTGACTGCCACTGTCCTCAAGAAATTGCTCCTTCCAGAAACCCACTTTCGCAATTATTGTTTTTACGTCCTTAACGGTGTTGAGCCCGAGCCTGCCAATTGTCGTCGAGTCGGTGATAGCGAGCTTATAAGGATCTGCAACGAATCGACGCGATCGGAGAGGAATAGGCTGATACTCCGGAAGATAAACGATGGTCCACCAGATCTGGAGGAAACCCGTAAGGCTGCGCAGATAGCGGCCGATGAATCACAAGTCTTGCACAACCACGCGTTGAGCAGCAACAACATGCGCAATCAGATCAAACTTCAGAAGCTGACCGGCGAATCCTGGCATCATATCCAGGCGCCAATTTCTCCAGTCACCACCACTGACAGAAACCGGAATGTGATAGCCACGGCTGATGAACAGGACCGGCAAGAAGCACAACGCCTTAGGGTGCCAAGTCAGCAGAGCACGAAGCTGCGATCATTCTTTGGCGCTCGACCCCCAAGCGAGATGATTGTCCAAGAACTTACCTCATACTTCCCTGCGCATCAACGCGAAGATATTGAGAAGACAATGAGATTATCGGTGCGGCGGTCGCAACGTATGAGCCGGGCAGCGAGCCGATTGAGTGTGATGAGCAATGTGAGCTACGCCTCAAGTTTGAAAGATGCTCCGCCAGTGCCCAGTATCCCCAGTATTGCCGAATCATGGCTCTCACAAACTGGGAGCACCTCTCGGACCCCCACAGGCAGACCATTGTCGGTGGTATCGACCAAATTCAATCTTCCAAGCTCGGCCTTCCGAGATTCTATTGCGTCGTCGACCCTTCAGCCACTGCAGGAAGAATCTGTGCAGGAACCGAACCGCAAGTCATATGTGTCTTTTGACAGTGGCTCTGATACTGCAGCCGGCAGCGACGCCGTCCGAGGCAGTTATTTTGACGAAAGTCCTGCAGGTACAGGCAGCGACACCATCCACGAGCGGCTGTCCGTCATTGTCGCCGAAGATGGTGAGGAAGAAGACCAAGCATTGACTTCCTTTCTCAAGGGAAACAGCTTCGACAAAAATAACTGGATGAAGGGCGATCTGATCGGCGAGGGCTCGTTTGGTAGCGTCTACTTGGCCCTCCACGCCGTGACGGGTGAGCTCATGGCAGTCAAGCAAGTCGAGTTGCCCAATATCGCCAAAGGCACCGAAGGGGACAAGAAAAAGACGGCAATGATCGCCGCTCTGAAGCAAGAAATCACATTGCTGCAAGGACTTCGCCACGAGCACATCGTGCAATACCTAGGCACGTCGTCCGATGAAGACCACCTCAACATTTTCCTCGAGTACGTCCCCGGCGGGTCTATTGCCGGGATGCTCAAACAGTACAACACATTCCAAGAACCGCTGGTGCGGAACTTCACCCGCCAAATCCTGGAGGGCCTCTCGTATCTGCACGCACGGAACATCATCCACCGCGACATCAAGGGTGCCAATATCCTGGTTGACAACCGCGGAGCGGTCAAGATCTCGGATTTCGGCGTGTCCAAGAAAACCAACTTCAACGGCATGAACGCCGCCCCGGGCACGCGCACGTCTTTGCAAGGCAGTGTCTTCTGGATGGCGCCCGAGGTCGTGCGGCAGAGCGGCCAGTCCATCAAATCCGACATCTGGTCCGTCGGGTGCCTGGTCGTGGAAATGTTTACCGGCTCGCGCCCCTTCCCGTCCATGACGACCCTGCAGACTCTGTTTGCTGTCGGCAGTAATAACGAGAAGCCGTCGATCCCGGACATCGCCAGCGAAGAAGCCAAGAAGTTCATGAACAAGACCTTCGAGGTGGATCATGAGAAGAGACCGTCGGCCGATGAGCTTTTGAAGGAGAAGTTTCTGCTTCCGATGGCTTAATGAAGGGCTCGGAGTCGTTCATTCATGGAATGCTAGGTGAGACATGAAGAGACCAGATCTTGCTTGACCTGAAGGACGTTATGGGCGACCGTCATCAGACTCGCGTCCATGTCAATCGATATCAGATGGACAGAATGCACAGAGGGGATGGATGAATCATGTATCAACCAAACAGCCTAAGCCCAGTGATAGGAGAGCAAACTGTTCCTCGACTCACATTACATGATTGTTGTGTCTTGTATTATTTTCCCTTGTTTCGTGTATCTATCTCCATGCACAACATCTCGCTGGGTCAGTTCTATCGCGGAGATGCCGTGGACTCTTATTTATCTGTAGTAGCTTAGTAGTAGCAGTATTCTTAGTAGGTTATACCCTCCCTTTTTCCCTTCAAGATCACAGCTATTACCCCCGATGCCATGGTCATGGATGGATGCTCCGTTGAGCCTTGCTCTGGATGGTGGGTGGTCAAGTAGTGAATGCAGCCTTATAGCCCATCGCTACGAGTACAGCACAAGTTACAACTACAAGGCTCTCGGTCACTCATACCAATTCCCTAGTTGAGGTAAGTTAGTAGTTACTTGATTCCCACATCTGGATTGAAGAAACATGTTCTTGTTCTCCGTTCCTCTCTCTATTTCTCTCTGGATATCTCTCTGGATATACACATACAAAAGGCGAAGAAGAGGGCTCGGAAACGCGACGCAAGTCAGCCCTCAGAGAATCCGAGCCGGGCCGGGTCTGTATCTAGTCTCTCTCATTTTCGTTGAAGGTGGGCTGGGCTGGGCTAGGCTGGAGGACCAGGTGAAACCATCTCTATGTTCAATTTGTACATGACAGTTCCAAAACCGACCGACATACCAGACGCCCGTATGTATGTGCGTGCGTGGCCACAGACAGGACACCGCCACGGAGTTGCTTGGCCTTTCTATCTTCTAGCTTTTATCTTCTAGCTTTATCTCTGTCCCCCTTTCCACTCACTATCCTTTTCGCGCCGATAGGCGACAGTGGACGGGTGATGTGAGTACTAGGGCCCCGGGGGAAGAAGGGGAAGAAGGGAATTAGTTAGACAGGCGGCGGACCCTTCCCATGACCTTGATGCTGGTCGAGCAGAAGATGCGGCTTGATGTAGTCCTCATCCAGCTGGCGGAACCAGGCTGTATGATCGGCGGTGGCTCCGCGGAGGAGATTCCGAATACTGCTACTGGGGCCGGTCGTCGCGGCTAGTCCAGCTGCGGCTGCAACAGGTCCAGGTGTGCCGGTTCCAGCTCCAGCTCCAGCTCCTTCCATTCCTCCCCCTGCCCCGGGGTTGCCCATGTCGCCAGAGTCGTCGTGGCTCTCGGTGCTGAAGATGATGTCCGGAGTGGACCAGGTCCGCGATTCGTACGGGTTCGATGTGTTGTCCTTTGCCGCCGGCACCGGTGCCAGGGGCGAGGGTTTGCGCCGTGGCGCAGCGGGCGGGAGATCGAGGTCGGCCGCCGCGGCGTCTTCGTCGTCGCTGGCCGACCCGCTCCCGGACAGGAGGTTGCCGTGCTGGGCGGCGGCGTCGCGGTCGCGCTCGCGCTGGCTGAGCGTCGAATGTCGGCGATGGTTTGCGCCCTTGACGCGACCCAGTGGCGGCGACCGCCCGTTGCTGCTGCTGTAGCCGCGGTCGGTGTGTGGGCGGGCAGCCGACCCGTTGACGGCCCCGGGGCGACTGTTGCCCACGTAATCCAACCCGATGGACGGTCGGGGATTGTGGCCAAAGCCGGTCCCCGAGCGCTTGTAGTATGTGCCGCCGTTGGCGGTTTCAATGTCGAACTCGTCGTCCGAGTCGATTTCCTCAACTACCCCGGTGCGAATGCCTAGAATCTCCAACATGCGTGCGGTGGTGCCACCGAAGATGATGACAGTCAACACCACAACGACCAGCACGGTGGCGCGCAATGCGGGTCCTTCGTTCCCTTGAAGACCGGCAGCCAGCGCGACTCCGACCGCACCACGTAGACCTGCCCAGAACAACATGGCTTGATAATGCCAGGGGAGTTCTTCGGCGACTTCATGGCCCCTGCGTTTGGCTCGAAGTCTGATAATGTAGTTGATGGCTTTGGAGAGTGGGAAGACTGCCAACCAGCGCGCGGCGCAGATCCCAACCACGGTGACCAGAATGAACAGTGGCTTGAAGACCAAATCGGTCTCGGTGAACAGAGTGAGGCCCAGGTAGATGAAGATGAAGTTTTCGGACAGCTGAGCGAGGATTTGGAAGACGAATTTGGTGGTGAGCTGTGTCCGTCTCGACATGTTGTAGTAGGCATAGTGTTCGAGGGTGATACCGCAGAACAAGAGCGACACGATGCCTGATGACATGTTAGCATGTGGCGGGTGAAATGCGCGAGCCTCAAGGACCCCATACCTGACATGTGCACGCCATTGGAGAAGAAATAGGTTGCATATGCGATCAAGAAGACCAGGCAACTCTCAATCTTGGGAAATCTGCGCACGAGTGTGTACTTGAGGGCGAGCGCGGTGCCGACACCCACGACGACACCGATCATGAGACTGGTGAAGAACACCAGCAAGAAAATCCCGATGGCTTCAAAGAGACTGATGATGTTCAGATTGCCCGATGCTCCTTCGCGGTATCGTTGAGCGGTCTCGAACAGGACGATGGCAATGGCGTCGTTCAAGATGGACTCGCCAAAGATGACGGTGTACAGTTTCGGCTCGACCTTGTAGAGATTGAAGATGGCGAGGATCGTGACCGGATCGGTGGCGGAGAGGGTTGCGCCGACCGAAATGGCCTCGACCCAGGTGATGGAGAAGCCGTCAAAGGGGATTCGTGTCCACAACCATAGAATCAGCCCCAACGAGACGGCGGAGATGAAGGTCCCAGCGAACGCGAACGTGAGAATGGTTCCGATGTTTCGAAAGAAGTTGGCCTATGCGCGCTTAGCAGTTTGTCCGGATGTCTGGTCTTTCGACTCTTGCGGTGATCTAACCTGGTGCAGTTCGTAACCCGAATTCAGGATGATCGGTGGTAAGAGAAGATTGAAGAAGAATTGATAGTCGAAGCTGACCGTGTCCTGGATCGCGGTTCCTGGTGTGACACGTATCACCAGCCCGACAATCATGCCTGCAAGATACAATCAGCGCAGTGTCCCATGTGTGTTCCTACGGAGTGTAACAGGCGCACCGGCAAATATGGAAATGACCGTCTCATGAACAGCCTGGATTCTTTTCTGTTGGAGGATGTAACTCGTAAAGAGCGCCGCAATGAGCAGCATGATCAGGATGAAGAGTGCCCATGACGAGAAGATCTCTTTCTGTCCTGCTTCGGCGGGTTCTGCTCGCGGATCGTTAGAGATAGGCGATTGGGGTCAAGAGGGATGGTTAATCGTGCGCACCATCTGGATCGACGTCTTCGACCTGCCGGCCTTTCTAACAGTCAGTATTGTTGGGCCCGAGGAGATGGGGATCCTGGATCTCACGAAGAATGTTCAATGTCGCGCCCACCAGACTCGACGCCATGTTGGCGCAGTTGCCAGAGTCACCTGTTCATTCGAAGTGAGGGCCGCAGACGACTTCGCATCGCAGGAGGAGTGAGCTCTGTAGAGGAGGGTCGAGTAGCTCGAGATTAGGGCACAGGGGATGAGTGGTGCTTTGAAGGAAGAAGATTGCGTAGACACAAGAATACGGATGGGTGTTTTGAAGGTTTGTACAGAGTGATAAGTTGATGATGGTGGTGTTGGTGTCGATAGTGGTGGTGGTGTTCACTGTAGTATACTAAGTACGTACTACCACTCACTCACTCAGGCATTTAACGAGACGACGAACTTGACAGCTTTGACACTGCCAGGAAGCGCCATCAAGTCGCAATCGTGGTCGCAAGCCTCCTACGTCCTCGCGTGCTTGCGGGAACTTCCCTTCTACCCCTTTTCCGGGACTTCTATACCGTGTACGTGTTGCTAAGCTGTCATTCTCTTGATTCGTTCTGCTCCAGTGGTTACACACGGTATGTATTTACTCATTGAACAATTTCAACGCTCTCGAGATGAACCCCGAGGCAATCTAAACACTCTTCTGGTCGCTTTCGACCCATCTTACAGCCTCCACGCCTTCTGAGCAGTAATGAATCCCTCCATACCACGCCCCCCCAAGCATGCTGAAAGAAAGCAACAACACCCACCCCTTCTTGCTTCTCCCAGCAGCACCATGTCAAATGCATAACGAATCGACCGTGAAACGCCCTCAAATCCAGGGTTACAATTGAACCACCACTGCCCTGTCGGCTTCCTAGTTCATCCGCGTTATTGTACAATGGTACATCATTCCGTTCCGCTGGCAGCTCGGCTGGTCGTGCCATTCGTGGCGTTTCCACTCCCGCCAGCCCCCAATGTCAGTCTTAGTTTGGTCCCTCCTGAAGGGGCGACAGATCCTTGGGGTGTGCCGGCACTCGATGCTGCTGCGGTAGAGTCGCCATCCGGATGAGCCCTCTGTCCAACGTTCCCAAGGATAGGGTGCTGGGCAATTTGCCTCGCGATCGCTTCGTTGCAGAAGTTCTAAATCAGTGTGATCAGCAAGAGCTCTATGTCGAGACTTGAGTCGACGGGAAACTTACCTCAATGGCAATCGCATCATTGTAGATCATGCTGCCGTCTTCGTTGTATGTTTTGGCGTTCTTGGCCAAAAGAGCAATATCCCTGCTTAGGTCATTCAGGCTCGTGTACTGGTAACTGTTGATCCGTTTCTCAATGATGTCCATCGCGATGGGCTCCTGGATGAAGTTGTAGTAATCGGGATACAGTTTCTTCGGCGGTAGCTCCAGGAAGGGACCAATGACCAATCGTGTGGGTGGCTCCTCGTCGCTTTCGTCTTCAGATTGATCCTCGGGGTCGGAATCCGGCACTTCCAGCGCTTTGATCGACTGGAAGATGGACTTCAGTGCTTTCTGTAGGGCATTTCGTTCGGCACTCGTGAGCGGGTCCGAAGCCACTTTGTTCGGTTGCCTGCCACGCTTCTTCTTGGGCGCCGGCGTCTCCTCTTCGATATCATCCCCTTTGCGCTTCTGGCCGGCCGACTTGCGCGGTCCCTTCTTCTTAGGCGGAGGCTCTTCCTCAGAGCTTTCGGCTTCTTCCGGCGAGGAAGCACCACCCGCGGCGTCACGTTCTCGTTTCTGCTTGTTCGACCGTCTCTTGTCAATGCGTGCAGCCTTCCGCTTCGCCGCTTCGCCGATAGAGTCGTCAGAGTCGTCGACAGCAGCCAGCCATTGCTCTTCCGTAAGACCATCATCGTACTTGACTTGTGTCTTGACACGAGCACCGCGACCGGCGTACTCTTCCTCGACCTCTTGGACCGGGTTGTCTTCGGCCATGTAGATCTCCGGAAGTTCATCTTCGCACATCAGCCGAGGAAGCGGCCGTCCAGGTCCATACAGGTCGTTGTCGAGACGATCTTTGTCCATCTGTTTGAAAAGCACCAACTCGTTTTCATTCCGAGCCATAATCTCGTTCAGATCGTCGTCGTCCATTTCCTCGCTGTCCCCAGCCTGCTCAGCGGCCTCGGCAGATTCCAACAAGGTTTTCAGGAACGCGTCACGTTCTTCGTTGGTCGACTTGTTATCGAATTTACCAGCCTGAATAACCTTGCCATCCATGTCAAGCTTGAACTGAGCGCGCTCCAAGATTTTCTCTTCCACCGAGTTCGAGCTGATGAGTCGCAGGATACGCACTTCGTTCTTTTGTCCAATTCGATGTGCACGATCCTGGGCCTGCAAATCCTGGTGGGGATTCCAATCTGAATCGTAGATGATGACAGTGTCTGCAGTTTGCAAGTTCAGACCCAATCCACCGGCACGAGTCGAAAGCAAAAAGCAGAAATACGGCGACCCTGGTTCGTTGAACAGGCGAAGCAGTTCGGAACGGTCCTCAGCCTTTGTACCACCATCAAGACGGAGATATGGGATTCCTCGCAGCCGCAAAAAGTCCTCCATGATGTTCATGATCTGCGTCATTTGGAAGAACATCAATACCCGATGGTTCGTCGCACGAAACTTGGGTAGAACCCTATCGAGGAGCTCGAACTTGCCGGATGTCCGCCAAATAGAGTCATTGGTGCCTCGGCCAGGATTCATTTGATCTTCCACGGGTTCGAAGACATAAGGATGGTTGCAAAGTTTCCTCAGCTGCATCAACATGTTGCTGAGACCACGCATGCTAGTCTTGCCACCTTTCCCGTCTGTCACGGCCAGCTTGTTGTGTGTCATCAGTTGCATGTAAAGCTTGGCTTGAAGGGCAGAGAAGCGGCACTTGACTACACGCTCTTGTTTGTCGGGAAGGTCTTTTTCCACATCTTTCTTGAGACGACGGAGGAGGAATGGCCGCAGCACCTTGTGGAGACGGCGAATGATCAACAACTGTTCTTCTTCGGTCAACTCCATCTTGTCTTGACCACCAGTGTTGGCAAAAGGAGTATTGAACCATTCGTCGAACGACTTGACCGACTTGAAGATCGTAGGCAGCACGAAATTGAGCAGGGCCCACAACTCAGGAAGGTTGTTTTGCAAGGGCGTACCGGTCAAGATCAAGCGATATCGTGTCGTGTAGTATTGCGTGAGAGTGCTGCTCAGCTTTGACTCGGCGTTTTTCATGCGATGACCTTCGTCAACAATCATATGGACCCATTTGATCTTGCTGAGAACGGGGCGATCTTTAATAATGTATTCGTATGTCGTCAGCAGCACCTGGAAGTTGCCCTGGCGAATCCTCATCTGTTGCTGTTTCCGAGTGTTCGGCGGCCCTTTATACACGATCCGGTTAACCGATGGCGCCCACTTTTCAAACTCCATATTCCAGTTGGTGAGGGTGCTGAGAGGAACAATGACCAAAAAGGGACCATTCTGTCGCTTCTTTTCGATGAGATAGGTAATCAGACTGATGGTTTGAATGGTCTTGCCCAGCCCCATTTCGTCGGCCAGTATCCCGTTAAGATTGTTGTTGAAGAGAGATATCATCCACTGCAGACCTTTGAGCTGATACTCTTTCAGCGTACCGCCGACCAGCATCGCAGGCTGCTCGTTGACTTCTTCTTTGATGCGATGAGCGACAGCATAGTAGTCGACCTTGCCTTGGCCGTCCTCGTCTCCGGACTCGTCTTCTTCCTCTTGCTCGTCCAAGTATTTGTCCTCTCCTTTCCAGGCCTCGGCAGCAATGCGTTGTTGCGCCCTCACAGATGCGGCAAGCTGCTGCAGGAAGCCATCCGTCTGTTTGAGGAGGTGAGTGATACGGGAATCTTTGGCCTGTCCGAGAAGCTTCAAGTAGGTCTCTTCATCGTTGGCCTTCAGTGCTTGCAAACGCTGTTTGGCGGTGCGCTCGATTCGCTTCTGTTCTTCACGCTCCATGTGCTGATGATGCGTGATCATTGTGCGACCCAGTTTCTGGATCCGACCTCGTTGGCTGATGGCATTGTTGCGGACTTCTTGACCGTGCGCAATGATGGATTGCAGGTGATTGGTCTGGCGGGTCTTCTCCTTGTTCTCTCTTGCATCGCGTTGTTGCTTTTCAAGTTTCTCGGTAATACGAGCCTCGCGGAGCGATTGCTTCTTCATTCTGCGATGCAGCGATCTATTTGCAGTCATGGCGAGATTATCGTAAAGATACAATTCCTGCTGGATCTCGTGGCGGAGCTCGCGTTGTTTCTGGAGCAAGGACAGCTTCTTGAACTCAATCAAGGCCTTGATCTTCAATGTGTGATCAACGGTCGGATCGGCTGGTTTACTTGTGTCCCAGGAACCGATGTTGGCCGGAAGGGAGGCTAGCTCTGCCTTGCGAGCCTGGACCCGATTATAGACAAGTCGTTCTTGTTCTTCGCGGACCTGATCAATATCGACACTGATCGGCAGGATACTCGGGATCTTCACCCGCTTCGAGCGCTGCGTGTGATCTGCGTAGCCTATCGTTTGGCCAAGGATGTCGTAAGGGGATTGGTAGGTCTCGAAGAAAGATTTTGCACGGGCGAGCTCGCTTGTAAGCACCTCCTTTTGCTCTGCAGTGTTCTCGGACACTTTTTCGCCACCCGCAGCAGCATCGGACGGTGTAGCTACCTGCTGCTTCGCGGAAGGGAACAGTTGCTGCTGGAGTTTCACTGGAAGTGCGATGTTTTTCGAGAGCATCTTAAAGGCGTAGATTTGCGTCCTCAACAGATTCAACTGCTCCGGCGTGAAGCTTCCATTGTTTTGCGAGACCACGCGTTGCGCCTGTGTTCCCGCGCCTTGCGCATTATTCGTCACTGCAGTCTGATTAGGTCCAGTCGAGGTCGTCCCATTCACAGGAGCACCAGCAGTGTCAGTCTGTCCGGTAGCAGTGCCATTGGCTGTGGGGGTGCCTGAGTTTCCATTCACCTGTTGAGCATGAGGTGAGTTATGATGCTGATGCGCCTGCTGTTGCTGATGCTGTTGTGCCTGCTGCTGTTGTGCCTGCTGCTGTTGTGCCTGCTGCTGTTGTGCCTGCTGCTGTTGTGCCTGCTGCTGTTGCGCCTGCTGCTGATGTTGCTGTTGCTGTTGAGCTTGAAGTTGATGCTGCTGCTGCTTTTGAGCCTGCTGCATGGCAGCCATCTTGCGGTAGTTCTGCTGCTGTTGGACTGCAGTGAGGAAACGATGGGCTTTGATATACTCGGGATCCGTTTCGGGGACATTTTGGGCCTTCATGCGTTGGAATTTCTGTGGCTCGGTGAGTATAGTCTCCATGAACGGGCAGGGATGGACATGGTGGGAGCGCGGCTGGAGAATCATGTCATACCTGATACACTTCCTGGACCTGTGAAGGGGAAAGATTGGATGGCAGTGCTGGCATACCGGCCTGCACCGCAGGCGCAGGCTGAACGGAAGCCATGGCGACTGATTAGTCGAGGGTGCAAAAGTGCCAGCTTGCGAAGGTGTCTTGTCACGATATCAGTGAATATGTGGCTGGACCATCTAATGCCAATCCACTGTGTTGTCTATACCTCCGAGTCCCCGTTGGCGGGACTGAGGCAGCCTCGTCGCGCTCGACGACCTTGGCGACCGAGTGCAGGTGAAGGACCGGTGGTGGTTCGGCTGAGGCTGGGGGGCGTTTGCGGTGGGATAGCGTAAAGAGAGGACGAAGAGTCGCCTCCGGTACTCGGAAGCTATCCTCAGGTGGTTCTGCGACCAAACACTGACCGGTTGAGATGGACGGAGATGAATACGACGCGTTGATGATGATTTTCGCGATTGGAGGGGCCCTTCGCAAGGAGGATGTGACACCCAAACGTGAGAACCGCTGCACTTTTGCTACTAGTACGGACTCTGTTGCGGAAACTTGGCTTTTCGGGAGGCAAGTCACGTGCAAACTGCGCCATGCCACCTTCTCTCAATCAGGCAACTACCGCGAACGACTAAAACAACATGTAGATAAGGTATCTAGTAGCTTATCAATCCTACTACTAACCTAACTACGTAGGTACTACTAGTACCTAGATACAATACCTCTTGGAGAACATGCTAAGCGACGATACTACGTAGTACTGTGGAAATGCTATATTTCTTCCATACAATTCATATATCTTCGTGCCGGCGCTTTTAATCATTATATACAGGAGCCAAAGCCCAGTGTGTTTGGACTGGACCTCTACCTTGACTATGCAAAAGCAAATTGATGCCCGATCAATCCCCGTTCCACAGGGGGGAACGCGAAAGTAACCATAATAGAGTGCTTCATGGTATCCAATCTGGGTTCAAGTGAGGACAGTTCTTTTGGCTGGGACCGGTGGTGGAGGCGGTTTTTTAGCTCGAGACGGCGGCGGAGGAGGTGGTGCAGCACTCTTCTTCCCCGTCAACGGCGTGGACGAGCCACTTCCCTGCGAGGTTGCAGGAGACACGGAGGGATCCCCGTAGCCATGGTCAGAGTTGCTGTTCGTGTAAGATCCTGTGTCGTCGGCAAAAACGTCCTGCTCCTCTACATTCCGGAGCTGTGACCGAGTGGTGCGGATCATCAGAGTGTCACTGGGTACTCGAGACATCCGCGACATGTTTCCTGGAGATAGATCCCGGCTGAAAAGACTAGCGCTGTCAACCGTGCTGGCCCTAGCAAAGTTTGGTCGTATTGGTATCCCAGGAGAATAGTCGGGAGTTGCAGTTTCCCCAAACCGGCCACTTGGGATTCGATTGGATTTGATGGCCGGACGGACTTCGACTGGAGTGACTTCTTCGACTGGCTCAGCATACTGTGTGTAAGAGCGGACTGTGTTCGATCTTGAGCGAGGGGTGGGACGGCCTCCGCGAAATTGTGGCTGTGACCTGCGCGACCGAGTCAGTCATATCCAGAGAAGGAGCATGGCGATAACGTACCTTGCTGGCCACTCGGACTTCAGCTGTAAGAGTGCTTCTCTGCATTTATCATGGTACGCGAGCTCCGCATCCAGGAAAGCACCGAGGTCTGCGACGCTCTCCGGGTCGGCATCACGGATGTCCTCCATCCTTCTGAACACGTCATCGGCCGACTCCTCGTATTTGGCCTTCTGGTTGCGTAGTTCTTCTTCGACACGGAAGTCCTCCTTCTTGGCTTTTTGCATCTTGGCCAGCGATGTGTCATAGGCTAGCCGTCGTGTCTCAAGTCTCTTTCGGGCGGCTTGATACTCCTTCATCTGGACCAGAGATCGTTCCAGCGACTCCAACCAGGAAGAGGTGGCACCGGCGATGTATGTCTCCTGCGCCCGAGCAAGTCTTTCTTGTGTCCGGCCAAACACTGTTCAAGGGTTAGCTGCCGAACCAAATGTCCACAAATGGGGTACGCACTGTTGAGACATTGCCCATACTCTGAGTCGGGCTCAAAGTCTTCGCCATGAGATATCATGGTACCTCCCAAATATGCAATCGGGAGCGTCTTCTCTTTCCCCTCCATCTCCGATCGCTTGGAGACAGCCTTCATGTACGCGTTCATGGATCTTTGCATTTTCTCCAATCCTACAATAGACGGTCAGTACTGCTCAGCATCTAAAGCCCCGGCACATCGCGGTTGACACCCGTACCTTCTTGCCTCAGAGACATTTCCAACTCGAGGGCCTTGAATTCGTCCGACATATTGGTTTTGACCTCCCCACCCATGCGCTCGCCCGCCCATTGTTTGAAGCGGTCGAGTTTCTTGTTGACATTCATGATGGGCGACTGGATTCTTCTTGGAGGATGTAGACTCAACGAGTGGCCTTGGATGAGAGAAAGATGCAGAGGGAAGGATAGGTAGAAGGTCCAATATTCTGGTCTCCGAAGCTGCGCTGCGGAGTGTTCGGAAACAGGCAGACTCCGGAATCTTCACTGGAATGCGGCGATGGCGGATCGGACGACAAGAAAGGGACCGGGGCGAGCAGTGGCAGGCGAGGACATAAAAACGAGTGACTGCGCTTACAACGTTCACAATTGAAGGAAGTCTGGACAGTAGATATAATGCAGTACTACTGAAGATAAGGCGCAAACAAAACGACCATACTCCAGAGCCGAGTATAATCACTCGATAATGCAGGCAACTTATGGCAATCGTGACGTGCCACTCTAAGGGTATAAAGGTAAGATACGTAGGTCAGGTAGGTAAGGTAGTAGGTAGTAGTGACCAGCCCGCCCTTGAAAGGAACGCAACAGGAACCACTGGCTTTAGCAGTCTTGCCCCTGACTTCAAACTCGTTATGCGTGTGCTGCGTGTTGCGTGCTGCAGGCTGGCACCGCCTCTGAAACAAGCAACGCCACCAAATCGTCCACGAGCCGCTAAACTGGGCCATTGGCTTGCCATTCCATCTACTTGACACTAATCTGGCAGCTCTTCTGGCACACCTCGCCCCAACGGGACCTTGTCGCAGCGCTTGACTCCTCACTCACGTGTGTTACTGGTTTGGAGCGGAGTATGGCAGTATGCGCCAGAACGGCATTGACAGTCCAGATGCCGCCACAGGTATTGGCTATCTATTCTAAGGAAATTACGGCAGAGCTGATCCGCAGCCATTGGCACTGCCAGACAAAAGGGATGATAGATGAATTTGAACCTTGAGACTGCTTGCACAGCAGTGGAGGGATTTGCTCCCCGCTGCTGAATGCCTTTTGGCCAGACCTTGGTGGGAGACTCAGCTTAGCGCCGCTCAAACTGTGCGTTTTCGAATTGCCTTCATCGGCTTCTCATTGCCAGATATCTGAAAACTTCCCATACTGCTAAGCCTAAGGAAGTCGTAACACAATCGCACCCTTTTTGCACACCCAATGCACCACTCAGCTCTAGTCCTTGGTCTTCTGGGTACCACGGAGCAGACCGGTTCTTCGGGCGGCAATGAGACCAGCCTTTTGACCTTGAGCCGCGTATCTTGAGATGGTAGAGGCCTTTCCAATATGTTGATGGTTACCACCACCGTGAGGATGGTCGACAGGGTTCATGGCAACACCACGAGTCTTGGGCCAAGAGTTGCGCTTGACAGCGAACTTGTGCTTCGCGCGAGATGCCTCTGTACCGTTTGTTAGCACGTAATTCTGATTCTGATTCTGAATTTGACAAAGACGTACTCAGCATCGGCTTGTCGGTACGTCCACCACCTGCAACGATACCAATCATGCCTCGGGCAGTGCTGAGAACCACCTTCTTGGCACCACTGGGGAGCTTGACTCGGGTCTTGCCCTCGTCTGGGTTGTGTCCGATGACAGTGACATAGTTTCCGGATGTTCGTCCCAACGCACCCCGATCACCAGTCTTCTCTTCGACGTTGGCGACCACGGTACCCTCAGGAACTTGACCCAAAGGCAAAATGTTACCGACCGACAAGTTGGCGTTCTTTCCAGCGTAGATGAATTGTCCAGTGTACATTCCTTCCACCGCGATCATGGTCTCGGTTCGGTGCTTGTAGGCGTAGGGGTCTCGGAATTTGACGAGGGCTAGAGGCGCACCACGGCCGGGGTCGTGGATGATGTCGGTGACGGTGCCGCGAAGGTAGCCGTGTCTCTCGCCATAATCGAGCGTTCTGAACTTGGCCGGCGCCTTGTTGAGTCGGGTATGGGCAGCTACACAAATATATCAGCACAACCTGGGCAGAGCATTGGGAGCCACGTTGAGCCCATGTTCAAGATGGACGTACTGAAGATGGAGCCTCTGCCCTTTCTCTGATTTCTGATGACGCGACCCATCCTGTGCTGAAGTGAGCAAGAGATGGGTTGACAGCGTCGATGTTGAGTTTACCTGGCAGATGTTGATGTTGGACGACGACGACGAGGATCAAGCTGAGAATCAGAGAAAATTGGAGGTCCTGCCTTCTGTGCGCAGGGAATGTCCCAAAGCAGGATAGCCCAGCTGAACTCTTGGCAATACTTTCCCACGTGACCCGCGCCTCAGATGAAATTCTAGTGTCACGTGAATTAGTTATTGTAGCAGGCCGAGTCTCTTATAGCGGCAGCATCCCAACCTCGATCTGACAGCGCAACCTCACTTGCCTTCGCAGTCAGCAGCTTCATTCAAGTTCACAGCCAGCACTTGAGAGTGTTTAATTTCAGAATGCCCATGACCATGCATTGGTGAGAGCGTTCGCGGGGTATCGATTGGGAGTCGTCCGCACAACATCATAATAGATGAGTGCACCCATCATCTTCATTATGGTCAGCTCATCGTCTTCATCTCTTCTTGCAGTGAGAGCGGTTCTATGTGTCATATCATGGCTCTGGTTGATGACAAGGTAGGCGGGTGCACATCTTGAGGCTGGAAGATCTACTCGGTTTGACAGATCGGCCGTCCACTACAACGTCCTGGCCTAGGTGTGGATGAGAAGGCTAGACTCACGACAACACCCAGAGACAACTTTGAATGAACAGTCTTACGTCTTCACTCAAAGATACTCCATGTGTCAATTAAACATTCCCCAAAGGGCGCAACAGTGAGATCCATGTCGGTATCGCCGAAACTTCCGATAGGGGCTAATTGTGCATTTGCCGGTTTTGAGCCTCTCCATTCGGGCATCGGGAGAGTCTGTCTGATTATGGGAAAAGAAACAGTGGCTCGATTGCCACATTTGCGCCTCATCGACCATCTGCACGAGTTCCGCATATGCAGATCGAAAACATGCAAACAATGAGACCTTCTGACGGATTGTCCATTGGAAAGAATGGTCGGAGAAGCCCGCGTCCACTGTTGCAAGAGCCGTCTACGACCAAATCAATGTGAAGAGGTCACATTCCAGCGCACGGAACTGACTATCGCCGGTCAGCAGTCACAAATATCAGTGGCAGCGGGCACAATCATTTCAACATGCAGACGAACACACTTGATTACATGGGCCCATGAACTGGAGACGAGGAGGGCCACGCTGGCAAAATGCCAGTGGAAAGGGGCATGCTTGGCGTATGCCGCCGCTCTCAACAACGATCCATGCCGTGCAGTGGCCTCGAATACCTAGACTTCGACAGTCGCAGAGAAGGAGTCGCATGAGAGCTTCAAAGAGGTCTGACTCTGACCTTGGCCAACATGGCATACAGCTGGGCGTTCTAGAAGACAGACCGACGGTGGGCCTCGCCTGGGCATGGAGCATTGAATTGACAGATGGGATAATTGCGCCGGCCAGACGCGTAGCAGTAGTAATAGGAGTAATAGGACTGTTAATACCCCCTTGACACGCGCTAAAGATTCCAGAACTTTAGCTCATTTGTTGCTTGACTTCACAGTTTTGATTTCACCGACTCTGTTCTGTTCAAGTTGTCCATGGTGCCTGCCCAACACATTGCACACTTCGCACCTGCTAAACACACGCGACACAAAACATCCTTATACTCGGCAACGTCCTCGGCTACACCACCATGGACGACTCAGACTCCTCATCCTTGTCCTCCGTCCCATCTTCCGACGACGAAGAGATGGTGCAGCGAATGACGAAACCCACGGGGTTGAATCGGTATTTCAAGCCTGCGCCGAAAGAACCCACGCCCGAGCCCCCCAAACGCGCGCCTTCGCCTCCTCACGATTACACGCTGGCAGACAATGATGCTATAGCCTTTATTGTTATGTTCCGGAGTCGATTCCACGACGCGTTTCCCAAATCCCTGCCGCATTATGGCCCGCAGGATATCGAAAGAGGGGTCTCGGGTGATTTGCCTGCTGAACAAGTCGAGAGACTCTTGTGCGCACTCTTGGGGTTGGTGTTGAACAGAAAGAAGGACGTCGAGTGAGTCCCCCAGTCATACCGCTACGATGGACTGCGGCTATATTGGAGGAGTCTAACCAGCGCGACAGACGAGGACACTATGGCCGAGCACTTGAAGATGCAGTCTCAGCAAACAACCATCAATGGCCAGCTGCGTGGAACGGGGGCAATCCATTACACGGCGGCAAGAATTTCAACAATATGACACCAGAGGAACGGGTATGGCTACTTCCAGGACTGTTGTCACGCGCGCCACTGATGTTTCCTGTCTTTGCAGTTGAACCTACTCAAGGCCCTGGTTTTATGGTCGCTTAATTCGTCCGAGGCGGTACAAGGCCTCATCAAGGAATCGTACAAACAGACTCGACGCGACGACGATCGCAATCAGCCGCGCAGCGTTCAGCCTTGGTTTACAGACCAGTATCGCCGGAAATACTGGCTTATTGAAGGATTGGAAGATTCGCATTTCCGGATATACAGAGAGAATGATGGCAGAACTGCAAAGACCAACACCTGGTTCAGCGTTGCTGGTTCGATTGAAGATGTCAAGGCATTGGCAGACAAATTCGGCGAGGAGCACACCTCGAACTCCAAATTGATCGCTGACAAGTTGCGCTCGGCAATCCCTAGATTTGAGGCCGGTGAAGAGGTTTGTGGATGTGTAGCACCATTGCAGACACGATTGCTGACAGAAGTCATAGAAACGCAGACGCCGCGACTACCGCCTGGCCCGCAAAGCCGCATTCTCACGGCCTGATCCCGGTTTCTCCATGTATGAGGGACGGACTCGAGGGAAGAGACTGAGATACACGTTCTCCGACGACGAGGATGGGTCTGATGGACTTTCCAGTCGACGCTCCGCTCGAAATTCCGGAGTTTCCACCCCTCCGGATGCGGGACCGACAGTCACTGCAAGCGGTAGGCAAGTGAAATCCCGCTTGGGCGGGATATACGGAGAGACCATGCTTGTGGACCAACGCAAGGAAATTGAAAAGACTACAGGCGAGGGTCACTTTACAGAAACCAGCGAAGACATGCCTGCCACAGTCCCGACTGGACGGGGGGTAAAAACCTCGCGATCCGGACGACCAGTCAAGGCCACAAGAAAGGCTTACACCGACGGCGCGGACTCGGACAGCGACGAGGCTCAATCATCCGGAAAGGAATGGAGCGGAAATGAGGACGAGCCGGAGGATTCCGAGCCAGATTTTGATGCCGAGGATGAGGACGAAGAAATGAGCGACCACGGACTCGACCGGGACGAGTTGGGCGAGGACGACAATACCCAGGACAGTCTGGTGGTGCAATTGAGGTATCGAAAGGGTCAAGAGCCGCCTGGGAAGACCGAACAGAAACCACCACCTCCTCAAGCAGTCACGAATGGTGTTTCAAGTGTCAGCAACGGATTGGCGCCGGTCCAAGATGCTGGCAAAAGCGAGCCGGTCATGATGGACACCATTGATGTGGCGTCTCCTGTCAGAGCGGCGAGCAATGGAGTTCCCAGTATGACGAATGGGGTCAAAGAAGAGGAGAACAAGCCCGAATCACTTGCTCAACCGCCAGCGCAAACGACAGCACAGGCCATGGAGGTATAGCGAGGTCGACGTTGCTTGTTTTGACACGGTTCTTCTTTTGTGAGGGCGTATGACCAACGGCGGAGGAGGAATGAGGTGGGTCAGTATTGACTTGCTGAGGAAGAGAAACGCGGAGAACCGGTGTATGCGTGTGTATGGGATCACATGTTCCATTGAACGACAGCAAGAGTGATAGATGACGATGACGACGACGATGAGGCTGAGGCTGAGGCCTGTGGGCGCTCTATCTATGTGTGTGATACAAGACTATGGGACGGACCTTACGGGAACCATCATTGATGTACTATTACCATTACCACCGCACGATCGCCATTAGTACCTTGGGCAAGTAGGAACCTATCGCGAAAGAATTGTTCATGAAGACAGCATTTCCAAAGTGTCCTTCCAAAGTGATCATGACCATATAATGTTCTGTTTCTCGTCGTTGCTGGGTTTGGCTCTCCCGCTGGGGAGATATAGTAGGCATATACAGCCAGACCAAGGAAGAACCGAACATCTATGAGATAACCAACGTGTCTTCAAGGCTTTGGATGAGGCGAGGAGGATATTCGTTTGTGAATACGTAGTGTGAAGAAAGACCAATTGGCCCAACCCCTGAAAAAAGTGAAGCTCTGAAAAACGTGAGGCTCTGAAAAGGGGAGGCTCTGACCACCGTTCCATATCTAGGTTACCTAAGGTATATATACTTTTTCAGGTACGTACGTATATGGATGAGGTTGTTTTATGTGGCCTTTGGTTCTTGGTTGTGTTCTTACGTAGATACCAGGTAGCACGATCAAGGGAAGTGGACTGACTGTACTGTCTACTTATACTACTTACTACCCATTATATATATATCTCTCATTCTCCACCATATACACCATATACACCATATACAAGAGGACAAGAGGACAAGAGGACGAGGTATATAGATATACAAACTAAATGACCTTACCAAAACCCCCGTAGTCGCGCTCCATGAGGTCAGGTAGGTATAAAAACATCCATCAAAACTTGAAATAATCCAATACGTTATCAAATACCTAGTGGATGGCTTCATGTCCGAACGAACAGAAAAGAACAAGATTAATTGTTTGAACAAAGCTAATAAGTCAAGTCTTTAAAAGTGTCCAAGTAGAGGGTAGGTGAACAAGTAGTAGAGTAAGAAGTCTCCTCCCGGCCAGACTGAGTGTCTTGCACTCTCTTCCCCCTTTTCCCCCTTCTCCCTTCTCTCTCTCACACACACACATCACAGATTTCCTGATGGCGGGAGTATGTGTAGCCATCGGGCGAACATGGTTCCTCATCCAAGTCCATTCACCATCGCCTGCAAGTCCAGCCTTTGGTGACCTGAGTGTCAACAACTCAACTCCACACGACACCGCACGACAGGTCGCAAACAACCAGGCCAACGGCAATTATTCAAAGGATGGTCGTGCGTTCGCCTCGGTACCCTTTCATTACCGAATGCAGCCGTGTCATGACATCGATGGGCTTCCAGTCCGCGAGTCCGCCGAGAGACAACTTCGAATAAGTATGCTTCTTGAGCAATCAAGTTGAGGGTATCTCTTGAAGAACGCAGAAAAAGAGGAACAGGATGGGCGTGCCTGTCAATACCTTCGCTCGGGTCGCCAATTCAAATCCAAGTCATGCTGGGACAACCATGATCACGTCACAGTTTCACTTCCCGAACCGACGTCGTCTTCACCATGGGTTTGGCCAGCCTCTTCTGAAGGCTCGTCGTCCGGCGTTGGACTGACAATGATCGCGGGTGGAGGTTGACTCAACACAGGGCTCAAAGTGGCTCCAGATGATCGTTTGTCATCGGCCGAGACGTCGCCATCGACCCCATCAGCATTGGAAGATGGGTGCTCAGGAGCAGATTCGTCTGCTTTCGTCTCGGCTCGAGCCTGGACAGGAACAGAATCCCTGGCAACAGTACTGCTCTGATGTGCTGTCCGTCGTCTCAACCTTCGGTTTTTCCGCTCTTCATCCGCCCCTTCTCTTCGCCTGCGTACGTCGATTTCTTCCCCGTTCGACGGCGCAGAACTTCTCATCTCTTGAAGAGCCTTCAGAGCTCGATCAGCAACATCTTCGCTTTCGCTCACATTGCCCCTGCCTGTGGTCCCATCTTCCGGAATGAGGTTGTCCTGGCTTGGCTGGTCTGCCGCCTCGGCGAGACCACCGTTCTCTTTCGGGCCTTCCTTGACGGGCAGATCGGGTATTTGTTGGCCACTAGCAATCCGTTGATCGTGTCTCTCCTTCAATCTAGCCCGTCGTCTTCGATCCCGCTGATCTTTGACCTGAGGTGCGGCAGCACGAAGCTTCTCGAGAAGAGTTTCCATGGCACCATTGGCCGGTGGGCTGCCAGGAGTTTCTGTTCCGCTGACTCCGCCGCTGGCAGGGATACTGACTTGTGCTCTCTTTCTGGCCATGCTCGCCTCGAGACGCCGCTTCTTCTCTTCCAGAGTCATGTTCTTCTCGCGAGACTTCTTCCACTCCGTCACGAAGCCGGCAAGCTTGCTGAAGAAATCTCGTCTAGCATTATCGTCCTGGTTGTCTTCACCGAAGTAGGTCATTATATCATCATAAGTCCTTGATGTCTCTTCCACGAATAGCTGCAGTTGCTCCGCTTTCCGTCGGGCGTCTTTCATGCACCTTTGTACAACCTGTGCAACACGATCTTGAGGATGGAACTTCTTAGGATCACTCAAGTTACCCGCGTCAAGCGAAGCCTGGACGTTCTTGATGTTGTCAATGTACTTCTTCGCATCCTGCAGCAGTTGGTCCACATTCAGTTTCGAGGCCACCACAACATCGGCAATGTCCTCAATGAAGACTTCCCACTGAGAGTATTGGTTCCGAACGATACGCTCAATCAAATCGGCAAAGGTGGTTTCGTTCTTGTCATCTTTCACCATGCCTAGACGGGCCAACGAGCTCAGCTTGAAGCCCGTCGCTTGCTTGTTCGAGTCGTTCATGTAATTTCCAATGTCAAGAATGAGGGCCAGCACGCTCATCAATGAGGTCGAGTCGCGAATGGACTCGGACACATTGACAATCTGCTTGAGTTTGCCGGAGATTTCGTCATACTCATATTCGAAGGACCTCGTCAGAGCGAGCGCCCGCATCCTTGCCTTCCAATAATGGTGCAATTCGAACGCGGTTTGCAGAAAGATCTGATCTTCTCTCGTCAGCTCCGAAGGATCTTGTTCGCGCTTCGAGTTCGTGGCATCCGGCCCCGTCCAGTCTTTGCTGTACGGCGCCATCAATTTGGCAATGTTCTCCGGGATGTTGCACAAATCTTCTCTCTGCAAAAAGTCCATCACCACATTATTGTCGAGCACCTCCTTGTCGCAATGGATGATCTTTCGTACAACATCATCAACCGAGTCGTTCTTGAACTTGGCCATGGAGACGTGGAAGTTCTTCCTCATATCATTGCTGATGATCTGCTTCTTTTCATCCTTGCCCTTACCGGAGCCGCCCCCGATGATTCTGACGTCTTTGGCAATAAAGAGCTTCTCAACCTCGTCAAGGACGCCCTTTCGCTGCAGCTCTCGGTATTTCTCTTCTTTCGATTCGGCCTTCGCAGTCTCCGCCCAAACGGTGACCTGAGGCGTATCGACCTTGTCCCAATGGAAGGCTTTCAGTTTCTTCTTTGGACGCATGACAGGGTTCTTCAGCATGGTCACGGGTGACAGTGGTGATTGGGGCATGAAGTGGCCATGTGCAGCGCCAGGAAGCGGCGGTGCACCTGGCGGAGGGGGAGGAGGAGGTATCGGCGATACCGGGCTCATGGGTAGTGACCCTGGGGGCGGCGGCGGAGGCGGTGGTGGACCGCCCGTGAAGCCCGGCAAAGATGGCAGAGGCGGCGCTGGCGGCGGTGGAGGCGGAGGAGCGCCAGCCTCGAAACCTGGAATGAGCGAGGGCGTCGAGGAGTCCGATGCAGCTGGCGGTAGTGGCGGCGGTGGAGGAGGGGGAGGCCCGTCAAATTTCACTTCCAGTTGTACTTCGTCCAAGGGCGTCTTGGGCGATGTGGAATCCAGACTCGGATGAGTCGGGCCGGTGGTGATGCCGGCATCATCGCCTTCTGGTGCGGCATCATCACCGTCAACATCCATCTTCTTGACCCTAGAAGTGATCTCGCTCAGCAGGCTTGCCTGTTGATCAGCGCTGATCTTCGGTCTGGAAAATTCCACGAGGCGTGGTGTTTCGTAGATGACCTCCTCCTCCACGTCTGTCTCCTGGCCGGCCTCCTCACTGATGGCCAGAGCCTCCACAGCAGCTCTCCGGGGTCCTTTGTGGGCATTGCTCCGATGGACACTTCCGATAACACTGTTGGTAAGATGCCGTTCCGTCTTTTCCTGGAAATCAACATCCAATGCATCGTCCATCTTCTCGCGAAGCTCTCTGAGTCGATCAGACGGCCCGGTTTGGCCCCAGACCTTGCCTTCGAGTTTGAACTGGGTCTTAGTCCGCTCAAGGTTGCGCTCGAGGCGGTCCATCAACTTCTCCCGGTCCAGGATCCCTTGCATCTGAGTGGGATCGTGTGTGGCCACTCCCTCTTTAGCAGCCCGCGAGGCCGCAACGTCCTGGGCATCTCGAAGCATCAGATACAGCTCCCTGGTTTCCAGCTCATTCCGCTGCAACTCCTGAGCCCGAAGTCGTTGAAGTTCAGCCACCTCGGATTTGAGGGACTCTGCTTGCCTGGACTGCATCTCGATGATGCCCGCCTGCTCTTCTATTTGCTTCTGCAACTTCCTGACCATTCCTTCCGCTCCCAGGGAGACCTGTTCTGCCATTTCATCTCGTTCGGCGATGGCGGCTTCTGCGATCTGCCTGGATTCGGTGGCCTCATCGAAGGCGATCCGGGCTTCCTCGTCGGTATGCAACCTGTCCAAGAGGTTCTGCACGCTGAAGTTCAAGCTCTGTTTCAGATCCATGTCCGGCAGTCTCCTGTCCATGGCAACATAGCTGAGCATGGAATCCATGAGTTGGAACATCCTTAACCGTTCATCCGGGCTATTGTCCCGTAGCAACAGCATATGCTGCATGGCTGAAATGAAGTAGTCCTGAGTTCTTGTGCCATGGATCTTGGACATGATGGCGTCGGTGATCTGAACCGGATCCGTCATATCCTTGACTTCGCCCTCAATGCTGTCCACCATGCTGCTTCCTTCGCGTTGTAGCAGATCTTCGTAGTCGATGGCTTCATTCTCGCGAAATTTGGCAACCTGCTTGTCAATGACATCGTACTGGAAGGACTCCATCTTCACGAGGATCCGCTTGATCCCACAAGCGATGAACTGAGCCCTGATATGGCATCGTAATTGCAGGTCGTTTTCCGGAGCATCGACCAGCATGTTGATGAGAACCAAGGTTGCCACGGCATACTCCATCAACAGATTCTCCATACCTATCCCGCCGCTCCGGACCTCTTCGCTGGCACCGACAAGGCTGCCCATCTTGCCTCGGCCATCGATCGTGACTTCGACGATACGCATCCAAGCGTCAAAGCGGCCATTTTCGTTGATCATGTTTTTCACCTGGTCCAAGGCCTGAAGCACCTTGAGGTGTCCCTGACCTTCATCCCAGTGACAGAGGAAGGTCAGCACTTCGCTCACCAGCTTCCTCGTGGTAAGACGGGGGGATATTAAGCAGGTGGCCATAGCCACGGGTATCTGTTCATGCGTCAAGGCATCATCCGCGCCGTACTTGTTGTTCATCAGAGCCTTCAGGCACTTGACAATGTCGTATTCTCTGTCGAGATCCTTGTCGGCCGAGGTGGTATTGTTGAGGGGAGTTGGTCCACTGGCTTGACGCCGATTAATCTTTATTAGAACATTGGTCAAGGCAATCTGCCCCTGTGCCTCGATGAAAGCCTTTACCCAACTGATCGGTTGGGTGCGTAGACTGACACTCAGGCTCTGAAGCTGTTTCGATGAAATGGTGTTGTCGACGATCTTCCTTACATACCATTCCGGGGTCCCCTCCACATCACGGGGAGTGGCCCCATCGATGGTGCCAGTTTGTCTTGCTTGCTGCCTTCTCTTCTGCTCACCCTGCCACTCGGTCAACTTGTCTTGGTGAACGAGAGTCCATTTCTTGGCCGGGGCATATGCCATCATTTGCCGCTTAGCTTGCTCGGGGAGATTCTGCCAACCACGCTTGTGCATCAGCTGGAGAAACAACTTTTCGATCTCGGCTTCACTTTGTGGTTTAGGGAGATAGAATCCCGCGGGAGTGAAGGAGGCCGTCGAACTGAAGGCCGAAGCTTGTTGGGCCGGCCAGCCGGAATGTGAACTGAGTTTCGAAAGTCTTGAGTAGGTGGGGGAGATGACCGTAACAGACGAGTCTGTATCCTGTCGCGATGGTATTGCGGTTCTGGAAGAACTCTCGGATGAGAAGAGGCTAGATCCCCTGGTCGCCGACGAGGCCGTTGACTTGATACTGGCCCCGTCGAACGATCTTCTGTGTCCTGCATAGGAGTCATTCGTGGAGACAGAATCATACGCGTTGTGCTGTGGCCCGTTGCTACTGCCCGGTCGACCCCATTGCTGGTATTTCGTACCCCGATCACCGGCCTGGCTTGTAGCCATTGTAAGCCCATTCACACTGGAGGAATGAGGAGGGGGACGGGGCCCAGTTGGGTGAGACGCGCCATTTGCGGCTCCGTTGAAAGCAGGATACTGGTGGAAGTCCGAGCCTCGCGCGAGTTGATGCGGTTGAGGCTCTTTTCTGGTTGGGACCTGGTCATCCCGCGGCAGATAATCCACCGATACGGGGGCGCGCGAGTCGGCCGTCGCCGAGTACGGTATGGAGGTGATGACACCGGCGGTCATGGCCAGGCCTGAAGTATCAGGTTCCTGGCCCTCGTTCGAGACGACCGACTCCCTCTTTGAATGCCGTGAGCCCCAGGAGCCATTGGTATTGGTATTGGCATGGGCGTTGGCATGGGTGGATTCAAGACTGCCATTTCCTTCATAGCGACTGTCAACTTTGTTGTCTCGGTGGCGTCGGAAGAACCCTTTGCTGGCGGAAGACTGTCTTGTCGTCTTGTCGCTCTGGGTCATTGGGGGCATCCTCGGTGCTGCTGCTCACGAGAGACAGACCACGGGAATCATGTGTGTAGTCGAAATACCCCGGAAGGGGGTGATCCACCTCTTGTCGCCTGCACTCCCCTCAACGCGAACTCTTTTCGTGACGTCTGGTGTTGGGATGAACGTCTATCCTTGCATGGTGCCTGCGATCTCTCTGATACACCAAGTTTCGGCAGGAGGGAAGGCGACGTGCACGTGGCTAGGTCCGACCTGCGAACGATTGAAACAAAGGGTGGCTCGGCGAGCGAGCGAGTGAGCGGCGGTAAACGGTCGAGCTGAACAATGAAGGGGGTAATAGAGGTGGCCGTGGAGTTGTGCAGGAGTCGACACAGAGGTGGAACGGAGAGACGCGAGTGTTCAATGCGACGAAAGGACGAGTGTACAAAGAGTCGACGCAGCATGAACTTCAGTTCCTTAAACGCCAGGCGTGCACGGGTGACGACGGTTGTGTTTGGGTGAGGTACCTAATAAGATGAGCCAGACAGGTGCAACGACCGTTGTGGTAGTGTTAGTTTGCAAGCACAGGCAAAAAGTCAACAAGTGGTTTAGCGGAGAGAGAGTTTGGCTGTCCGCAGGCTCCGTTCCCGGCTGGCCCCACGAACTGCTTTCGGCGCTGCGTGCGGCCAATTACTACTGTCCCGGGGCCACCACAACGGCTAGGGGTGCCTAAGACACCTAAAGCAATGTTGCGAATCCCCTTTACACAGGTGGTAGTAACCTGATTTATCACAGCGGCTGTGACGCCACAAGCCACTCAACTGACTGCGCTTCAAGTTCACGCAGATGGTCTTGCTCTTGTGACTGCGGTCCACAGCAATCGACTGGCTCGCGAGGACTGCTGGAATTCAAGTTGCAAACAAGATGCCCCTAAGCCTGCCTATAGGGAGGTCGACTATGATAATAACCCCATTTATCAACATTTGTGCAGTTCGCCCTTATACTAGACCGCTTTGTGGCTGCCGGTACTCCGTCCCCCTAAACGCAGCACCTCAATGCAGCCTACGCCTACACCAGATTTTTCTTGCCAGTTTGACATTTTGTCACCTCTCATCGGCAGGATACACCTTGTAACTACCAGGTATATGGCAGCTGGGGCTGTGAGACATGAGATGGTGGAGGAGAATGCCCGAGAAGGCAAACCGATCGGACAAGTAACGGTTGACCCAAGCACACTGGCTCCACGTGAAATGCCATCCAAGTTTACTTGTGATGAATTGGGATTTGGCATTTCGGGGGGGCGTGGTTTAAGGGCACTCTAGGCGGGAGCCGATGCCAAAAAGCACACCCATCAGCCATCAAACCATCAGCCATCAGGAGGTCAGAGGTAAGAGACCAACCACACTAGCCACTCCAGGCCACCGACTCAGGGCACCGAGGCCACCTCTCTACTACACAGCACTGTACCAGTAACCAGTAACCAATCAGACGGTACTACTACGAGCAGTAACAACAGCGACTCCTCCCGGTCCGTGCTATCGATGCTTCAAAACTGCCAGAACCGGGTCTTCCCAATTTCACGACAGCGGACAGACGGGGCCATTGCCTTATTGAATTGCAACGCGCTCAACCCTCACGTCCCCCCGATCCACAAGCATCTACGTATATCTAAGCCCTCAGACCTCGTCGTGTCCATCGAGCCGCCTACCATGGCGGCATAATGGCTTTCTCGTTCTCGCTCCTCAAGCGCTCATTGCCGGGCAATATCGCATCATCCGGAAACACACCACCTGTGCAGGTCAGCGCCAGCATCGCGAGCAACCACCACAGCAGCAGCAGTAGTAGCAGCAGCAAGATGGCTGGATCAGGGCTGGCCAGCTTCGCGAGGGTATGATTGACACCTTGCCAGATTGTACAAACCCAACTCCCTGACCTTTATAACCCAAACCCGATCACAAATCAATTGGAACAATGAGCTGGGTGTGGATGTCAAAAAGGTTACGAATACATCACTGACGAGTTCGATGTGCAATCGGTCAAAATACAGACTATCCTCCTTCCCATGTTCATCTCCGCCGTTCTCTACCTGGTCATCTTCCACGCCCTGCTACCCTTATATCGACGACACCGCGCCCGCTACTCCCAGTACCTCCCGCTCCAGTCCGGCTCGCTGTCGTCGCACCTGCCGGAATCATTACAACCGTCCAGCCTTCGGGACAGCCTGTCGACGCTGATGTACCGCCTCTTCCTGCCCTCGACCTGGGCCTTCCGCAACCGGTTCCGCCGTCCCGAGAGCGTGGTCAATACCGACGCCGAGCTGTTCGATGAGGAATCCGGCGAGGCCATGGTCGGCTTCGACGTGCAGGAGCGCAGTCGGCGCCGGGATGGGATGGAACGCCAACTTGCAAATATGCATGCCGCCACCAGAACCGTAAGCCGTTCGACCCTTCCCGAACCGGACTCGAACCGCCGGTTGAGCCGCGACTTGGAGGAAGGCTTTCGCGACGATAGTGAAGATGAAGGCGAGGGCGGAGCACATGCTGTCGCGGGAGGCCAGAGATGATATAACCTGGATGACTGGGGAAGTTGTCCAGATGTGAGAATATAACAAGTTGATTGCATGCGCTGCGCTGTTCTTCCATCTATCTTGCTTACTGCGCCCTTGCACATAAAAATGCCTTTGTCTGCGATCCATCTATATCTGCGTGAAGAGCCGGTAACAACGGAATGGGAACTCCGCCAGCCATCGAGGCTCAAGATCCTAATTCTCTCGAAGGTATCAGGTCTCATTGCCTTCTGGAGATGCCGGAAGAATTGCGAGCATAATCATCCCGCGGAAGCCATATGCATATAGATCGATCGCCAGAAGGGAAAATGGGAAGAGACGGAACTGTAGGAAAGTATCCAGATCATGTCATGGAGATAACCTCAATTCAATCAGTCATGGAAAGTGGTCAACTCAATCGGAACATCATCAGTCTTCAAGTCCATTTCAAGCGATTTTCGCGGTAGAAAGCTATATGTACAGTTTGTCCAGCAGCGCCAGGTTTCCAAGGCTAAATCTCAACCGAGGGAAGCTGTCGAAAGCCCCGTCATCCTATCCAAGAAAATGAAAATGAGACAATTGTGTGGCTAAAGTGTGAGAACAAATTGGACCACGCTTCGGGCGGGTGTAGATGTGGCTGTTGTGGCCCGTTGCCTGCTGCAAACACTCGCTGGACTGTCTTGGAGACCGCTACAGTCGCCTTGAAATGTCAAGCTGTTGTTGCCGCCACTGGGGAACACTCTTCTGGACTCGCTCAATGTCCACAGCTCGCAATAGAAAACAGCAAAAGATCTTTTGGCATACCGATCATCAGCTTCGTGTCATGATATGTTTACAGATTCTGCAACATCGAAGGTTGGACGAGTTGACTAGGAGCCATCATTGAGTGTGACATGGTTTGCATAACCAGTGTCGACGGCGGAGGCATCGACATGGCAACCATGCCAGAAACACTGGTGGGACGGGTGACTTCGTCCGGAGAGGACAATTCCTCCATGGAACCGAAGTCATTTTCATCATTATCCAGTTCCTCCTCGCTGTTCATGTGAGCAGGCTGACCGTCTTGTTGCGATTCATGGGTTCGGCGATGCCTGTGAATACTGGTTAGTTACCACCCTGATCTAGTGTGATCGTCCACTTACTGTGCCAGGTTGTCGGATCGGGAGAATGCCTTGTTGCAGTACGGGCACACATACGGGCGCTCCTGAGTATGTGTTCGGACATGACTAAAGCAAGATCCGTCAGTAACGAGAGAGGGAATAGGAGCGAGACGACCTACCGCTTGAGGTGTTCAAGACGCTTGAAGAGCCGACCACAACTTGGGATAGGGCAGGAATGTGACTTGTAAGGCACACCGAGTTCCATCATGGTCGCACTCCGTGCTCTTCGCACAGGTCCTGGCCTCTCCAAGCGGACAGCAGGGCTGGCCTGGAGCGAGTGCACCTGCATGTCGTCCCCGCCATAGCCAGCCATGGGATCACCGCCATGGTCCATTGAGAAGCTGTGCGCTGCATCCTCCTCTAAACCATGTAGAGGCGTTGAATGGCGGGATACATCAGTAAGATGGTCGCGGTTGATGAGGGAGGATGCATAGCTGTGAGCAAGCCCTGGCGGAGACTGCCCCGCTGATTCATCCCCTTCAGCGATGGGGAGAACAGAGCTCGACATGGATCGTCGAAGATCGCTAGGCCTCTGGGGAACATGAGTTTTCATGCCGTGAGTGACCTGAGCAACGGCGTTGGCCGCGACGGCGTTCATGATGGATGAAGGAATGGAAGAGCGCCTCCTACGGGCTTTGTAGGTAGGGGAACCTTCAATGACCGAGTAGACGTTTCCCGGTGGAAATGCTCGAGGAGCGCTGGCATAAGTCGGGCCAGCCATAGTCGACGGAGGCAGCGAAGCCATGGGGTTATATGCCTGCATCGGCTGCATCTCCGGGATAGCTGAGTAGAGCCCAGTATCTTCGTTTGCGATGTACGCAGGCTCCGTACCGACAGGCATTGCATGCTGGGGTGGGGTGATGGGCTCATATGAAAGACCCCTGGTACTGTAGTCCTCGAAATGTGACGAAACGAAGGAAGGGGCCGGGGAGTACTCCATGTATGCAGGCATAGACGCGTGCCGCAGCTGAGCGCGGTCGTAGGCAACGCCATTTCGGTCATAGGCGATTTGGGAGTAATCCTGCTCTCGTGGCATTGATGTTGTTTGGATCGGGTTGGACATGGCCATGCTGGTGTACACAGACTGCTGTTGCTCTTGTGATCGTGGCATAGGCGGTGGTACCATCTGCGGAGGCGGCATTGAATCAGCCGCCCGGAGTACGGGAGATGCGGGTTGAGAATATGGAATGGTGCCGTTCGCAGTCGCGAAAGATGACGAACTGGCTTGTTGGGCTTTAGTGAGCTGCTCAAAGAGCGACTGGGATGAGTCGAATTCAAATGACAATGCCGGCTCTGCCACAGCCTTTGTCGTGGCCTCCTGGTTCATCTTCTCGCGCTTCAAATCTCGCTCCAGGGCATCGAGGAACAAGCGATCGTGCGGCACACTGTACCAGTAAAATACCTTCTGCTTCTTTTGGGTGCGAATGCAATTGTTCTTGTACAGGAAGTCCAAGAAGGGACTCTTCGGTTCCTCCAAAGAAGCGTCTGTGCCAGACTTCAGATTTCGCAAATCTGAGAAAATGCCTTCCTCGAATTTCTTGGGGTTCTTCACTGGCCGACCAAACGCCTGGAAACGAAAAGACAGACACCTGACAATATCTGTGCCGGAGATGTGAAAAAGGTTGTTCCATAAGACACAGGAGACATATTCGCCCGTAGGCAGGAGAAATCTTCTGATCAGAGATTCGGGGCTCCAGTCTACGGGAGCGGAGATGAGGAAGTATTTGAGGTTGTCGACTTGCTGCAGGGCCACTTGCGCATCCTGCGGCAAGCTCTGCTGAGCCTCGTTTGAGAGCATGAAAGTCTCGGGCTTCTGAGGGTGGGCCATTGGCGCACCGCTCGAAGGATGATACATGGCAGCAAGGGAGTGTGGTTGTGGATGAAGTCGAAGGATAGCCGGCGGCCGACACAGACTTTCACAGTTTCTTGGTGACCGTTGAGCTATTGCACCGAACAGTGAATGTAGCACAGTTATCGTCTCTTTTCCAGGTGAAACCCAAAGGTGTGGTCTAACGGTGTAGGCGGAACCGTCAGTAAAGGATAAGGAGGGAGCGAGGGAGCGAGGGAGCGCGAGGACAGGTCGATAATTTGAGGTCCGCGAGAATAGACCGTGAGGGCGATGATTGTCGATATTGTATAGCGAATGTACGGATGATGTAAATGGAGTCGATGCGAAAGACCAGCTTCGCAGAACGTCCAGACGTGGTGAAGCTCCTGTCTCGAATGAGGGAAGCGAGTACAGGTGAAACGAAAGTGGATAAGGAGAGGAACTAGTCTCTCTCAAAAGTCCTCCAGGACAAGGCCGAGGATGGAAGTGAAGACCCGGCCAGGGAAGAGAACTGGCGTGTTGTAGCAACAAAGAGGTGAAACGGACGGAGGAATGAGAAAGGCGGAGAGGTTGAAGTCGGGAGAGGAAAGGGAGGTAGAGTTGTATAGAGAGTCGAGGTAGGACCGGACCAGCGAGGAAAAGGTAGGGTAGAGGTAGGTAGACAGAGAGTAGTACTAGGAGCGGTAGTGACTAGAGAAGCACAGTCTACTGTGGGCATAGGCTTCGGCTTGGGGGCAGGAGGGGACCCTAGGACTAAAATTACTAGGGTCCTTAGGGCTCAGGGCCACTGGCTAGAGGACGGGTGTGCCTAAGGGAGGGAAAATCCTGGGCCGGATGGGGGCAGACTCCTTCAAGTTTGGCTGCCAGGTGCCACTGCAGTGCCAGCCTGCCAGGGCCAGTCGGTGGGGAAGCCCGGCAAGACGGACTGCCCAGCGCTACCAGCTGCTAACCAACTGCATCCTGTGCAACTTGAACTCCTAAGACCGACGCTCCAGTCACTGTCAATGGAGAATAAAAAAGGAGGAGCCAGTAACAGTGACTGATGAGCTAGGAGGAACATGGTTTAGTGGTGATGGCAACACCCAGGATCCAGGGCCAGGGCAGTATCTATCCGCCAATTGATCGATGTACGTACTTCAAATTGTCGATTCTCTTCCAAACCACTTCGATAGTACCTATAGAATAGAAGCCGTACCGCAATCATGTCTGCCTGGCTTCTGCGTGCGCAGGAGACACAGTAGTACTAGTAGTAGGTAGGCATCTCAAGCAAGGTGTCCGTCCGCTCCCTGGCTATGTTTATCTCTTGGAGGAAGATGCTCTCTCCCTTGCTGCCTTCCACCCGCTCTCGGGATTTAGCCGCCAATTAGTGTAGCCGTCCAGTCTGTCCCACTTGGGCTGTCTACATTCACTAGAACAGGTACGAGCTCTCCACCCGCCTGGAAGGTCTTGTTGAAGTCGGCATAGTACGTATCATTTGACGAACAAGAATGCTGGCAGCTGCAGCGCGCCATGCCAGGGTCTGTCCCTTCGGATCCCCCAAGCCCGCGATCATTCAGTGCCTCATGAGCCGCATCCTGATCGACTATTGACGCATATCATGTGTCTGATTTTGGGATTTCCCATGGGCTTCGCGCGTCATTCTTCGGAAGCAAATCTATCCAGACCATGTCACAGTAGCAGACCGTCGTCCGGTGCGAAGCGAGGCGAGTCGCTCGACGAACACTGTGTGCCATTAACCGAGACACCCGCAGAGCAGCTGCATAACCTAACATCTATCATTTCCTTCTGGCAGGTTGAAAGGATCGCACAAGATACAAACGAGCGAGTACACCACGAAAGGCCTGGACAACCCGCTGAGCGTTGACTCCATCCGCAGTTGCTATTTTGATCCGACGAGGGGGATCTGCGCTTGGACATCCTTACGATCAGGTCAGCGTGTCGCTGAGCCCATGGGCCACAAACAACTTGAACTGATCTGAACAAGGCTTGGGGTCAAGAGGGTGGCATATGTTGATGAAACGAGTGGCTGAGAAGCGGCGGCCCCGTTACACAAATAGTGTGCCGTTGGCGGTTGTATCTTGGACTGTCAGGTGTGTCCCGGCCGCTCTGGCGCCAAAGACGTTCCCCAGTCCCAGGAATCTTTCCCAGCCAGCACCTTGTCCATTCAGAAACTCGTCTCAAACAGGCGCCGCAAAGCATAGACCACGTTTCGAGTTGACGACCACTGCATCTTTCTGCCCGCCGACAAGGCCCTGCTTACTTCTAGTAATCTAGATCCTACTGCCATGCTCTTGCACCAGGTTCACAATTGGCGCCAAAGGATGGCGTGCCAGCCACAGCCTGTCCTTCGCATCTTCGTGTCCACCACAGCAATCTGCCCAGGCAGAATGTAGAATGTGTCTCCGATGCAACAAGGGTCGACCCTCGGCTTGCCCCTTTCTTCGCGTGACCCAATGTGACCAGGGGACATCCGACCCGCCACTGCATAAGCGTGATTGTTGTTCACACACACATTGGCTACTGCGAGTGTAGCTCTTCACATTGTTATGGCTTCAATGAATCATGGCAGGGAATACAACATTGGTCTGAGGCTAGACGTGACTGCGAAGGGGGGAGCCGGCTGTGGTCATAGGAGGCTGACCGAGATGAGCGCCGAGAGGACCACAGGTCTGTACAACAAAGAATGGGATATCCGTGTCGACGACAGCTGGCGCCACAAAAGGGGGAAAGAGCAGAAATGATTACTTCATACATATGTCTGTTTAGGTCAATTGGTGAGGATTGGTCGAGGACTGAAGAGCCAAATGCGATGGACACGCAAATCGCATCGCAGGAACCGTAACGGACAGTCGGCCAGGCACCTGTCTCGCTGTGTCCTACTAACAACTAAAATCCTCAAGAAGAGGGAACCGCCAACTTCGGACTTCTCTTCATCCCCAATCACAATAACGCACCGCAGTCTTGTCCTGGCGCGGTCGCGAAATGTGTCTGGCCAGCCACGGTGGCAGGCTTCCTGTCATTCATCCTATCCAACGAGCCTCTCGAACCCTGCCTGCCCCTCATGTTTGTTGGCTTTACACCGTACTACTACTAGTAGTAGTCCGGTTGTGGCCACCACCGCAGGGAGCCTGTCGCCTCCTAGGGCCTGGTCGGGGCGATTGGTGGTCGAGCTCATACTGGCGCGCTCGCTCGGCCAACGGTTTCAGAGCATCGACTCAGAACCTCAAAGACACGGAGGGGAGACCTCAGCGACCACAAGCAGGCGAGCCGCCGACGAGGCTAAAATCCCCTTTTCTCAACCAACCGTCTGTTCGTACAAGACTCCAGAATCTGTAAGCACGCGCCACGCTCTACTAGTAGTAGAGCACACCCAGATGGCGCTACGTTTCAGATTTATTCTCCTTAAGCAGTGACATTGGGCGTTAGAGGTTGACACTGGCAGGACATATTTTCTCCGTGAAAGAGTGATCGGCGGCTCGTCGATCAGCCTGGAGGCTTAGCAACGCACAACATCAATACTGAATGCGCCCTCGTCCTCCCTGGCTTGTTTCTGCACACGTCTTCAAACCCTACCGCAAGGCATCCGATCTACATCCGTTCGTCGTTGCGGAAAAGCGTTGCCGAGTGCGATATGAAACATCGCACCATAGTCAGGTGCTTTTTCCCCCCTGCTCGCACCAAACCGAGTCGGCGGCGTGGCGCCATGTTGTCACGAGCTCGGACAACCCTTGCAAATCTCCCGTAGGCAGACGTCTAGCCTTGATGGCAACACAGGGTCACGTCGCAGACACACCAAAGAGGTCAATGCCCGCTGCCACTTACTGTTCTTGGACGTCCTATTGAGCTTAGCCACCACGGGTACAGAGAGACCGACGGATGGTGCAACGATTGTCATCGAGAAGGCGAAGAATGCCGTTCGCCATGTGAGTATGGCATTGTTCCTTGCAGTAGCTCCAAGGCTGAAGCGATGGTGTAACGCGAAGAATGTTCTTCGTCTAAAGCAGAAAAGGTCAGCCCTAAGGCGAGGAGACAATGTTTCAAACGTCGTCGTTGATCCCCACGGCACCCTCGACGTCACTTGCACACTGACAAATATGCTTCATAGAGTTTCAGCAACAGACAAGCACCATCGGGGCCTGATGACGGCTCGGTCTATCCGACGGAAATGTCAGTATGGCATATCATCCTAGTAGAAGTCGAAACACGTTGCGTCCCATCAATTCCCCGATCGAAAGGAAGAGAAGATGTACCCAGGAGGAGCTGTGTTTCCGAAGACTAAAGAATGGTCAACACGGAAGTCGCTGGTTTACCGTCGGCCTCTTCTCCCCCGGCCACCAGAACGACTTGGGCCTTGAATATCGGCGACATCCCTTCTGCTGAGTTTCAGAGTGCCTCCTCGGAACTTGCCCACTGCCGGCACATCTACACCACGTTCTCTTCGAGCTCGGCTGTTGTTTGATTTTCCTGTGGGTCTTTCCAGGATGATGCCGTTCTCTCGCGCCTCCTTTCTTCGCACTGCTTCCCGAGTCGTGGCTTTGGTGATGATTCCTCTCCTGTGCGTCAGGGGCATTTTCTCTTGATGGAAGATCGACCCCTTTGCACCCAGTGCCTGTAGTCGCATATCCAGCGCTTTATGGCGGTGTGAACCCAGGGTCGATGACGCCTTCGCTTCCTCTAACAGGTGCGATTCTTTCAGCAAGCGCTGTAGGTCAAGATCATGCTTGAGATTCAGAGTCTCCGCTGCATCTTCTTCATCGTCGGCTGGCTTTTCGGGTTTCATTTTTGCCGTTGGCTCAACCTCCTTAGGTGGTTTTGAGGTCTGGCTTTAGCGTCAGCGACCCGTGAACATCTCTCTCTTGTACAAACTCACTCACCATGAATGTTTTGTATTGCTGCCGCCGTAGCTCAACCTCTTCGGTGTCATCGGTGAATGTGCGATGCTCTATAACCTCCACCGTCGTCTCTTCCTGTTCAGGTTCTGAGAGGCCCTCCCAATCCGAGTCTTCTTCCTCTTCCGACGAAGGTTCAGTGGCGTTATCTTCGTCTTCTAGCAGCGAAGGTGTCCCTGTTTGATACTCCGGCAAGGGTTCGAAAGTAGACTCGAAGTATTTCTTGAATATGTCTCGCTCGAGTTCGGGGAATGTTGAGGGAGGCTGTTCGTTGTCACTGCTGCGGCGGGTTTCTCGAGTCGCAACCACGACTTCTCGCTTTCTTTTCCCCAACATCTTAATTCTACTGCAGCCCAGGAGGCAGTCTAACTCCTTTGAGTAACTGCGTAATTCTCGAACTCACACCAGTTGTAACATGCCATTCGCTGTGACGGTGACGGGCGGTGCAAGAACCTGAACAACAATTCGATGTCCGAGACCGAACATTTGTGCCAAGACGATGATAAATTCTGGCCCACTTCAGCCCGCTTTGGGACGAAGCTGCCGCCGCCCTGTGCTCACCTTCAAATATCGATTATGGGTAGAAACCACCCGCCATCAGTGCGTTTTAGGTGTTTCCTTTTATATTGAGAACCATCAAGATCTCACTGGCAAGCTTAACGAAGGACAGGCCAGAATAGATGATCGTTCGCTCTCCCGTAACCCATGAAAGACTGGACTGAGAGGCCAAGCTATTCTGTACTCAACATGGTGCCTTGTTACTGTGCTTTCCCACCGGCATCTTTCTCCTTCAGGCTCCTATAATAACGTATCACTCGTGGCACCAATTCTTTGCCTCCCACGGATTCCGTTCCCCTGTCCGAGATCTCCTGCACCTCTCCGTCGGTCAATTTGAAATCAAACACCGTCAGATACTCCTTCATGCGCGTTTCCTTCTCACTCGTTGTGATGACTACGATGTCCTGATCAATGCACCATCGTAGACAGATCAGTCCGGTACTCACGCCGTACTTCTTGGCTAGAGACTCCAGCGTCTGGTCTAGCGGACCCGGGATGTTCCTGGTGACAGGCGCCAGAGCACCATAGGCCGAAGTGGCGATGTTGCTATGACTGTGCGAGAACGCCACTGGCACCACGTCGCCTTGGCGCATATAAGGGTGAAACTCGATTTGATTGATACTAGGGGGGATGCGAGCTGTCGCGAGCGTGGCCGAAAGATGTGTTTGCGAATAGTTGGAGACGCCGATGGATCGTGCTTTGCCACTTTCCTTGACGGCCTCCATGTCTTTCCAGGCGCGTTGGAGGTCGGCATCCGAGTCTGTCCAATATGGGGAGTGGAGTAGATACCTTGAGAGGGAGAAAGAAAGAAAAAAGGATTAGCGCGCTCCATGAATAGCAAATCGATGCAAGGAGTTCGGGATAGGGGGCAGGTTGGTTATCGAGCAGTAACATACAAGTCGACGTAAGCCAGCCCGAGGTTCTTCAGGCTAGCGTCGATGGCATTTTGGACCTGGGTGAAATTGCTGGAGATTTTGGTGGTCACGAACAGGTCCTCCCGTTTCACAATGCCCTCGGCGATGCTTTCGTTGATCGCGACCCGCGTCTCGGGCTCGGTCTGGTACATCTCGGCCGTGTCAAGATGACGATAGCCGAGTCGAATGGCGGTCTTGATGTGCTCAATTACCGTACGATCGAGGGCCATCGGATCGCCGCCAGTAGCACGGCTGCGTTTGTTCTTCAACAGAGTCGTACCGGTTCCGTACGCCAGCTGGATGGAACAAAAGACAATCACATCAGTAAGCTTTCATCCGAAATGGAAATGGAATGAAAGGGGCGAAGATTTCGTCAAAGAGACTGAAGCAAAGGAAAGGCATACCAATGGGATCGAAGCTCCATCATTGAGAGTCAAGGTTGACATGGCGATATTTGCCTCAATATACCTACGCCGCTTCGTAGGTTGGCGGTGGAGGATATAGCCCGGATGACTGATTTCAAGGAAACTCTGCCGATGTCGAAAAGATACCAGACCAAAGCGTTGTTCGGATGAGAGGAATCAAGCTGGATGACCTCTAATATACTTATTGTATTGGACAGGAGCGTCTTGGTTGTTGGATCCCAGCCGGACTCCGGACTTCACACAAACCGGCCCGGACGTAGGCCGATTCAGGATTGCATGCCGTCTTAAGTCTCCTTACCTAGGGTACATAGTCACTGCAGCTGCGCTGTCTGGAGCGCCGACGAGCTCTTCTCACGTAGGGAGGGCGCTCAAGTTGGTCATGTCTAGTTTGTCCTTCAATGCCACAACCCATGAGACTTGCGTGCTGTCAGGGCCGGTAACGGACATGATCGAACCTTCTTCAATGGCTTGATGTTTTGGGGTGCCCGGTATCAGGTGGCCGTACAGTAATGCTTCCAAGACCAACTGCAGCCCCGGAACCGGCGTGCGTATGCTCTGCTAAATGTCAAGTTAATCGATGTGAGCATTGGTCACTCTGTCCCAACCGCCGGTGAGCCGGTCCGTTCTGTCACACAACATCTTTCCAAAAGTAGGTTATCGGCATGATATACATGCTAGACCGGTGATAGTGCAGTGTCTGGACTTGCCTTGTCCTCGTCGCCTGAGGGAAAGACGATTTTCAGTAGCTCCGACTGTCTAATTTCATCAGTTTTATGGCCCCTTTTCCCGCCAGCCCTGCCCCTTGTGACCTGCCGAATTGCTTACCTAAGTACTACATTAGCCTACTTAGTACTGCTCCGTAGTAGTGGTGCGCATACTATTACTACGGAGGAGTACTTTGTAGTATCGAGTAGTATAAGCGCCTGGTTTGAAATGCCAAGAACTAGAATTCCTCAAGAGTCAACGCAGCCCGGAACTCGAACGAAAATTGTCCACGGGGAAAGCAATTCCGACCTAAAAGAAGGAATCAATTGATTACTTACGAGGAGCCCTCCCGTCTCTTCGTTCTACACGTCAGATACACCATTTGACACCAGATACTGGAAGTCTCAAAACGCAGTAACATTCAGATCGCACTTGTCGCATGATACGAGCAGCGGCGGCCAGAGCATCTCTTGCGCCGCCATGACCCGCTTCCGACCCTGTATCGACCTGCACGCGGGCCAGGTCAAGCAGATCGTCGGAGGCACGCTGAGCACGAAAGAATCGGACCTCAAGATAAATTATGTCTCCAAACATCCAGCCGAGTACTTTGCAAAGCTTTACCGCGATGCCAGCCTCCTTGGAGCACATGTCATCATGCTGGGGCCGGGTAATGAGGAGGCAGCCAAAGCGGCATTGGCGGCCTGGCCTGGCCATCTTCAGGTAGGAGGTGGGATCACCAATGCCAATGCGAAGGAATGGATTGAAGCGGGCGCCGAAAGGGTGAGTGAACTCCGGCAAACCATCAAAGGCATTATCAAACAATGTCTCTTCTGTTTCCTGTCACCGGGTTTCTCCTCGCTCCATGACATCTTCTGCGTCCGGCCCCGATGCCATTTATTTGACTGTTCGTCTCAATCGAGTGCTTCCTTTTGCTGAGTGAATCAAGCAGTAGGTCATTATCACATCTTTTCTTTTCCCCAACGGCCAGTTCTCCTTAGAAAGATTACAATCCGTGCTGGCATCGCTGGGCAATGACAAGAGCAAACTCGTCATCGACTTGAGCTGTCGCAGGAAAGACGACACCTGGTTCGTCGCCATGAACAAATGGCAGACCATCACTGAAATGGAGATCACAAAAGGTAACGGAACACTACTCCTTTCCAACCCTCATATGAGGACAATCCAAAGAGCTTGGGTCTTGTTGATCGGAATACTCTATCCCTAGCACATGGTGCTGACCAACCCGCACAGAAAGCATCATAATGCTAGAGCCTTATTGCTCTGAATTCCTGATTCATGCCGCAGACAACGAAGGTCTACAGCAAGGCATCGACACCGAGCTGGTCACCATGTTGGCCGAATGGTGTTCCATCCCTGTAACGTACGCCGGCGGCGCACGTACCGTCGAGGATCTGGACCTTGTCAAGAAATGCAGCAATGGCAAAGTTGACCTGACGATCGGCAGCGCGCTGGACATCTTTGGCGGCAACGGAGCAAAGTTCGACGACTGTGTCCGTTGGAATCAGGTCAATGCATCATCATGATTGCACTATCTGAGTCACTCATTCATTCAGTTGTTCTTGTCTTCCTTCCAAATCTGTCATATCCAGCAAAGTTCGAAGACTGTCCCGCCGGAATCATGCCAATGCTGCATCATGATTGCATCCTTTTGAGGACTCAAGTCATTTCCAATGTCGTTGTCTTCGTTCCAGATCTGTCATGTCCGGCCAAGCCTATGTGGGTTGGTTGTTTCTTGTCACTCCCCATCTTGTCCAATGCATTCTCGGTCTACTGCTCCAAGAATGCTTATCTGGGTTCTGTTGCCATAAATCCAAGGCATAACCCCCATCTCAGCCCCGGTTTTCGGGGTCACGAAGTGGTGCTTCGGAAGGATCTGCTGAGTCCAGTCTATTCAATACCAGTGGTGTCGGTATCGATATCGCCGTTAGACCAATCCATCGCATCCTCACCAGCGACGTCCCCCTCTCTCCTGTACCCCAAGTTGATGTTCCAGACCCGCGACCCTTCTCCAGTTCGAGTTCGAGTTCCATTTCCAATGCTGGTCTCATTCCCGCCCGTATCTTCGTTGTCTTTGAGGGTCCTCTTCAGTCGATATCCGCCTTCCAGATCGGTGATGAATTCACCATCGACTGCGACGCACTGTTTGTGCTGCCACTTGCACCAGCCTGCCGCGCTCTTGAGTCCTCGCATCTTCCAACGGCGATTCTCGCGCATTGCTCTGCTCGCCAGCTGGATGCGCTGGAGAAGCAGATCCCAACCAGTCCCCGAGGCGAACGAGCCGTCGTGATTGCGCAGTGCGGTGGCAGCGGAAAATGCGTCGGGACGGGGCAGGTCAAGCTGCGACGGGAATGCTTGTCGAAGGCGCTCATCGTCATCTCTGTCGTTATTGGGGTTGTCGGCATTCTCATCGTTGTCAGATCGTGTGTCATCCTCTTCAGTCTCGCCACTTCTGTCGACAGGGGCCGGCGGCATGACGATGGGTACACGACAGGTCGGAATTGGTGGAATATCGTTCTCCCCTCTCCACAAAATCATGTTTGCCAATAGCCTCTTGAGTTGGATCTACATCCACCCGCCAGGGTTGCAAAGTCAGTGAGGTTCCTTTCCCGTTTGATGAGATTCCAGTGGAGAAGAATGACAAAAAGCAAAAAAAAGAATGAAAACTCAAGACATATGTTACAGGTAATGCAGGGTCACAGCAAGCCTCGGCGGCGAGCGCAGACTGTTGTGCCTCTTCCTTCTCGGCATCTCTGGCTTTGTGTGTATGCGTGTGTGTTGTGTTCAAGTGTGGTTTTCTCTTTCTTGTGACTTACGTTTCTCACATCCGTCGCAAGCCGTGCAATCCACCAGTCCCAATGGAACGCCATGGTCTGCGGCATGACTGCTCTCCGAACGACCCTCTGGCGCTTCTAGACCACAAAGTCGCCGTCGGTGTTGCAGTCGGTGTCGAGATTCAGTTTCTGAGCTGTGATCTTGCTCATTTTGGCATCGCTGTCCGTGTCCGAATGGGTATCCACTTGTGAAGACTCTCTCTTGGTACGCTTGCTTGGGTATTGTCGGTATCGATCTGGGGTCCGGTCTTCGTCTGACCAGTCTTCTCCGCCTCGGACCACACGGCCAGTACCATAGGTTTGGTTCTGGTTCTCATTGCCGAAGAACCCGTCAGGTAGGCCTTGATAGTACGCTGGCAAGGCTGAGGGAGGTGACTCTGCTGAGAAGGAGGCCTCGAGGTGGGTTGGGGACGGCGTTGCGAGCATGTCTGAGATACCGGTTGACCGTCTTCTGGTCTGTGTGTATCCTGGTGGGCTGGAGCCGGGCCTGGCGCCTCTGTTGGTGTCGCCCTTCATCTCTGGCGCGGAGGTATGTGGTAGGCAGATAGGTGAAATTGTGAGTCCTGGAGATGCCGCGCAACTTGGTCTGGCTTGATGGTTTGCTCGAGAGGGAAGAGGGATGTTGGGTACGGAGAATGTAGTGTGAGAGTTGTGTCTGCGACAATAACAAACGCGCGCAAGAAGGCTTCGTTTGCAGTGAATATGCCATGTTCACCTCGACGAGTATGCACTTCAACTCATCCTCACCTCGACATTCACTTCAAACACGTGCCACTGTATCTCCAGACCCATGTTCTCCAGAGTAGATATCCTTTGCCACGCCTCTATACATTTCCTTTGGACTTGGAAATGGCAAAGTGCAGATTGTCAACCATAATCGTTCTCAACTTTGAGCAGACATGTTAGGTGGAAAACTGGCAATCAATCTCTCATACTTTTGCTTGTACAATATTTACCCAAATCCTAGCCATTTGATACATATATCTACCATAAGAACAGAAAAGTGTCTCAAGAGTCGTAGGATACATCACCGATGGACAAGTAGACTATTTTATATGCATTTTCAAACAGAAACAAAACACCACAATTGTAGAAAGTTTGGTTTTGTCAGGATATCATATTGATCTAGCTACCTATTTTGGTGCCATTTGCTCTTCAGAGCATGTCATAAGAGATACATTCATCAGGGATTCATGAAACCCGCAGCATATGCCCGCGGTATTTTGCCATGGTCATGAATGATTTGACCTCATCCACCCAGTTTGGGAAACATTTTTAGGAGTTGTTGCAAAGAGGTATCATAGGTGGTGCGGATGGAGGAAGGCGCTTAGTGAGTAGCCTTCTGCTTGTTGCCCTCAGCGGAAGCCTGAATGAGTTGTTAGTATGGACGGAAAGTAACATGTTGCAAGCAGATTCAACATACAGAGTTCTTGCTCTCATCAATCTTATCACCGGCAGCATCCTTTGCAGCAGAGGCACGGGTACCGAGAGACGCATCAGAGTCCTTGGCGACGTTCTTGTTGGCCTCCTTGGAAGCACCTGAGGTAGCCTCGTTGACCTTGTCACCGACGAAGCTTGAAGAATTCGAGTCAGTATTAACGATGACAGGGAATTGTCGAGATGGATGGGCAGCAACGTACTTGGCAGCGTTCTTGACGGAATCCATTGTGGAAGTTGATTGATTGATTTTGTTTTGGTTTGGAAGTTGAGAAGAGTCTTGCAGGATTGGGATTGAATTGATAGTTTGTGGGTGATGAGAGAAAAGGTAGGAGGAAGAGAGGAGGAAAAGGCAGATACTTATAGTGGTGCAGTTGCCAAACCTTCACTGCAGGAGTGACAACGCGGAAGGTGACCTGGTGACTTCACCAACTTTCCCCCTGCGCACCTGCCGTGAATGCAAACAGCACTTACTCCTACTACTACTGCTCTACTACTACTACCTCAATTGCCCCGCGATGGCATTGACCCTTGTGCAGTTGTTACCCCCCACTTCTTCCGTCCTCAGCTTCAGTATGAGCCTGTCATTTGCCTGCGATACCCTTGATTGCCCGAGCAGATGACGTCTGCTGCCCTGGTGACACAAAGGTAAAGCAGAGAAAGGAATGAAGTTGGGTGAAGATGGGAGTGACGTAGGGAACCAGAGATCTCCTTAACCCCGGACCGCCACAGATGACACCATCAGACCAATCATAGGGTGCACTTTTGTTCAGCTGGATCCATTCTGCATGCAGGGGGCTTGTGGCTGAGCCAGAGATCATTGCTCTGACTGGCTGTCGGCTTGCCACACGACCAACGCCTCCCACGATGGGTCTTTCTTCCGGCCACACAATCTTACTCAGTACAATACTAGTAATACTAGAGGGGCCTTTTTTGTTCCATCTCAGAATTTGCCCAGGTACTATACTACGCCTAGTACTTTACTACTAGTACGAGCAATTGTATCCACCAACAAGTACGGCAATCTCACATTCCCATGACGTCTATCGACAACAGCCTCGGGTTGCGATGCAGTCGTTGTTTGATGATGATGAGGGCTGACGCCTGGCCAGCTTCATGCCCACTTTTCTGGGCCGTGACTATGCCATCTTCTATCCTCATTCGACCCTTTGGATCCTCGTTGCACGGGGCTCATACAAGGTTCGGGTGAGACGAACGAGATACGGGACACGATGCACCTTTCCGTCACTTGCTGCACGTTGCCTGCGTGGTATTCAGAAGAAGCCGCGTCATAGTTACCATTGGATGACCTGTCTCGATTTCGAGGTGGCCATTGGGCAGCAACTGCAGTGAGCAGCGTGATGCTCAAGCCTGAGGCTCAACAACAACTCATTCTACAGCTCAGAAATCACGCCAGATGTCCTCTGACCACCTTTGATCTTATGTGTCGTCGCTCTGAGAAGGTAATCGTCGGACTCAACCAAGCAACCGTCTCGCAATTCTCATTGCTGCGACTCGATTTCCGTCCAAGTTCAGCTGCCAGCCTCTGCTATGATGAAATCCTTTTTCTTGCAGGCCGTCCATGTTAGTGGTGGTCTCCCTTTTCATTCGATCCCCTGCTCTCCTCCTGCCTGAGAGTTTCTGTCGACCCGATACCAATGGCGCCAACGCGGATGTTGTGTCTTGCTCAAGCAGGCTGATCGCCGTCGTTGTGTCAGCATGACACCCAAGATGTCGGAACAAAAGACAAGGAATGGTAGGAGATCGGACGAAAAATAATCTGATTCTCGATGAGACTGGCAGGGCTGCAGATGTAGCGGACGAGCACGATACTAAGCAGGAACAGTTTGGAACTTCAGGCAAGGGTTATACAAAGCATAGCCTTTGCCGAATTATATTTTGCGGTCCTCCAAGAACCCCAACATCAAGTCACCGATTTCGGCTGCATGGCTCTCAGAGGAGAAGTGGCCACCATCCAACAAGACGACTTTGACATCCTTCACATCCCTCTTGAATGCTTCTGCACCCGGCGCCGCGAAGATTAAATCATTCTTTCCCCAGACCGCCAACACGGGAACCTGACTCTTGCGTAGATACTCCTGAAACTGCGGGTAGAGGACGACATTGCTCACATAGTCCTTGAACAGGTCGAGCTGGATCTCTTTGTTTCCTGGCCGAGACATCAAGGCCCAATCGAGGTGATATGACGCTGGGTCGTCGATCTTGTCGGCATCGAGTTCGCCGACCAGATACTGTGCTTTGGTAGCCTCAAAGGTAAGGATTGCATTCTGCACTGTCGCCCGAATCTGCTTCTCCTCCTCCGAACCGTCGGCCGCAGCCCAGAGTTTGCGCAATGGATCCCAGAACGGGGCGAGTCCTTCGTCGTAAGCATTACCATTCTGCGACACAATGGCTGTGACGGCTTCAGGACGTTCCAAGGCCAGACGGAAACCAGTGGGCGCGCCGTAGTCAAAGACATATACCACGAAGTTCTTGATTTGGAGCGCATCCAGAAAAGAGCCGATGGTGGAAGCGACGTTGGCAAAGGTGTATTTGAAGTCCAATTCCTCTGGGATCTCGGTGAAGCCGAAGCCTGGTAAGTCCGGTGCGACGACGTGATATTTGGCAGCGAGAATGGGCATCAGTTTGCGGAACTGGTTTGACGACGAAGGGAAGCCATGAAGGAGAAGGATGGTTGGACTGGTCGGGGACCCGTCTTCCCTGTAGTAGACTTTGATATCGTTGGGCAGAGTGATATACATATTGAGAAAGGGGCCGGTTATGTCGGAGATGGGCTGGGCTGGTCGAGGCTGGCTGGAGTGTTTTGCGGCCGAAAATATTCCTGTTATTGAACCGGAGAAATTGAGTGAGCTTGATAGATGAGAGGATTGATACTTTACCAGCCAGATGCATCCTGCAATATATATACACATTTATTGCTTTCAACATCTTCTATGCACATTCGTCAAATGCAATAACAGCAAGACAATCTGACGAATGCAGGAGTTACACGCAGCGTCATCTTACTAGGTGGTTGCATTGGGTTTTACCAGGGAGCTGTTCATGCCATTCGACAAAGTCAAAAAGAGCGAGAGAATCATGGATTCCGTCTCAAGGAGCCTTGTCGCATCAGACCTTCAGTGAGTGATGGTGGTGAGAAAGATACGAAGATGTTTAAACCAGCGATGCATCCATTTTTCAAAGAGCAAGTCGTTTCATCCGAAAACGGAAGTATACCCGCATAAAATATCTTGATACGGCCTAGCTTGAAATGACCTAATCACAACTCATGACGCACTGGCTGCTTATTCGAGACCCTGGAAGAACTAGTCTTCTTTGAGCATCTCACCCTGCCGCTCTTGTCTATCTCACTTTCTTGCCGCTACAAGTCTTACTCATATCATATCATATCCATTGAATCAACAACAAGCACGTTTGCAACACGAGAGATGCAATTTCCCAAGGTACTAGCAAGGGATCTAGGAAGTCTGACTTTCAGCTGGGCTTCTCCTCGGAGAAGTTGGTGGACCGACAACCTCTGAATCTCGTGTGACTGATGGTGCAGTGGTTGATGATGACAAAGGTCTACTCCAGGAGGGCCACCAGCCCCCGAAATGCAACAAGGTCACCCTACAGCAACATCAATGGGAGTCTCTCTGGACATCCGACTTGGGCTAATTAACCCTAAGCCCAAGAAAGTCAAGCGATCCCAGAAAGCAGGCTTGCAAGCCATTTAGGTGATTAGACACAATAGCGACGTGCTTTTCTTCGTTTCATAGCATATGCATATTCTCGTCAGCGTTACAATTTATGTTTCTTTTGACCACTGGCGATCTTTCGGAACTCTTCCTGCGGCGCGCCCTTGATGAAGCGCTGCATGCCCTCCATGACCTCCCTGACGCCCTGAGCCTCCAGACTCTCCAGCGACGGCCTCCGAATCAACTCCTTGATCTTGATCAGACTCTCCTGATTCAAATGGTCGCCCAGCTTATCATCCACCTCGGCCAACACCTGCTTCAGGAAGCCATCGCTGTCATTCTGATCTTTACCGGAAAACACCTTGTTCACGAACCCGCAAGCCACCAGCTCGTCACAGGGGATCTTGCGCGACATGATCAAGGCCTCGTTCGCTTTCGACAGTCCCAAGCGCTGGACGAGGCCGATCGAAGCGCCGCCTTCAGCGACAAGTCCCAGAGAGGTGAACGGCGTCAGGAGGAACGTGTGTGGCGTGGCATAGATGAAGTCGCAGAACCCCAGCAGCGCCGCGGAGAGGCCCACCGTCGGCCCGTTCAATGCCGCTATCAGGATCTTGGGATGCGTGTAAAACGACCGTGTGATGTCCAAGTTGTTGGCCACGAAACTGCGCAGAATGTCGTTCCGCGCCTGGTGTTCGTTGATGTCAGCCCCGACGCCAGGGCGGGTGGTCGTCACGTCGGCGCCCGCGGAGAAGAATCGGCCTGTGCCAGTGAGCACGGTGATGCTGATGTCTGGGTTCGCTGCGATGTCGCGGAGGAGACACGAGATGCGGTAGTAGTAGGCTTGGTTCATGGCGTTGAGTTTCTTCGGTTGGTTCAGTGTGATGATGGCGATGCGGCCCTCGGTGCGGTAGAGCACAGCTTCTTCGGGGGATGCCATGACGGCGGAGTGAAGGATCGGAATAGGGCGAAGAAGGGGTCGATTGGTCTCGTGGGATGTCGGATGTTGCAGGGTGAGAAGCTGTCCCTGACCTGCGGTGACAGTTGAAGTGGCAGTAAGCTGGTGTGGACAAAGAGTAAGAGTAAGGGGGGTTTCGAGGAAGCGTCGCTTTCTGCAGGAAGTAAGACTTCGCAGCTAGGAGAGGCGTATACAAAAATCTAGAGGTGACCCTCGGCAGAACAACATCTCGCAGTCAAGCCCGGGACAATGGTCTTACCGGCGCAGGGGGTCATCCTCAATGCAATGATTATCAGTAAGCCTGAGGATACGACGAGACGAGTAGCGCAGCGCAGCGGGGAGGTCGGGGTGCGGAGATTCAAACTTCATTATCATTGAACCGAGGTATAGCTTGCTTGGCATCAGATAAGATTAGATGGAGTTGTATCACTGCACTGCATCCCCTAACGTCTCCTTTACCCCCTTAACCACGATTCACTTCCTCCTAATGATGAACCCCTCCTCTACGGAGCCACGATGACCTGGAGGAAACCGGGAGGGTCTCACAGTATCTTGTGGCTTTGTCCCTGAACTCGCGGGACAACTCTGACGAATTGGAACCGTCCCCAGTGTACACAAATGCCCTTCTGTCTCGACGAACCACTCTCGAGAAAACAGATACCGTCACCTCAGCCATGTGTTCGTTCAAATCCTGCAAAATATATCTACATGCGAAGTAATATTTCACATGTGATAAGATACTCATGGTCGATCAACCCTTCCAATCCACAGGGGCAGTCGCTTGAAGCACTCGACGGGAAATTCAATCCGTCGTGACCCAGGGCCGAGGCAATGTCAAGCCTCCGGTTTGGCTCACGCAGCCCGCAGAATAGCCGACTTCAAGGCCTTGCTGGTAGGGTACCGGTCACACTAATCATCAACGCAATCCTCTCGTAATAGAATGCGATCATATCATTCCAATCCGATCATTAGGGTTCAGTCCTCGCCTGGAAAGCCTTGTGAAGGCTGCAACCTGGTTGGATTGTTGGAGCTGAGGCTGAGTGAAAATACACAACACAACACATAACAGCTCGTCCAAGACAAGGCACAGCACATCGAACCGCGAGTCCTTAACGACAGTCAAGACAAGATAGACATCAGGATGGCTTCTGAGGAGAGGAACATAGCGTTGCTCATCACGATCCGTCCCAACCGGGCAGAAGATAGAGAGAAGGTGTGTCTCCTTTCCTAATGTCCTCACCAATGCTTTCCTGCCACAACCTCTTCACCTCATTGTCGTTACCATTTATTTCCGAGACATTCGTCCTCAGCGCTTGTCTCGCATCTCGACGAGCTACCCAAGGAGCCTTCTGGCGGCAAGAACCAAGATAATCAAGTTGTCCGTTGTAATCGAATCACGCACCGTCCTTTCGTCTCTCACAAGCCATATAATATAAGACGAGTCATCAAATTCCCCGACTGATACCGATATCCATACAGGTCATCGACTCCCTCTCATCTCTGGCCCCTTTCTTCCGCCGCCCAACCACGCACTGCACGATGCGATGCTTCTTCACCCCGGCGACGCGCAAAGGTGCCCCGCTAGGCAAGGTTCCTCCAGGAGAGGCTGAGCAGACGAGCCTGATCGCCGGCATAGAGATCTTCACGCGCCCGTCCGCGCTGACCGCCATCCAAGCCTCGCCCGAATACAAAGAGTATTTTAGCCCCGTCGGCCAAGGGGAAGCGCTCTTCACCCGCGACGTGACAGCATGGTATCCCACCGCCGGATTCGTAGCGCGGAAAGACAAAGACCAACCCGAGACCGGGCCGGCCAAAGTCGTCATGCTGGCGAGATTTGTGTGTAAGGATGGAGAAGGGATGAGGGAGAAACTGGTTGCTGTTCTTGGGTGAGTGACTAACTAGCTAACTATACCTCTCTACATGCTGTGGTTCAGTACAAGCTTGCATTGGCCCAAGTTGAGACCCTGCACAATTGCCTACCTACCTACATTCACCGTCTTTCATCTTTCATCTTTCCCGACATCCAGAGCTGCTCTCTTTTCTCTCTTCGAGGGCCTTGGCTCGTTGTTGGGCGTCTATTCCATTTGGTGTACGACCCTAAACAGTCAAGCCCTTTTCTACTCTACCCCCATCCCATCATCGCTTCCTGCTCTATATTGTGAGGCTATATATATCCTATGCTGTGCTAGCCTACTCTCTGCGGACTGTGACTTTTCCAGTCCTCTGAACTCCAATTTCCTCAATCACTTTCATTCTGTCTACTAACTAACTCTCGTTCCGCTCCTTAGGACATTCTGCGACTGGGTTGAATCCCACGAACCCACAACCCTAACTTACAGCGTGATGATCCAACCGACGAAGAACAACGCGCCGAACGAGGTGTTGCTTTTCGAACGTTACAAGGATCTCGCGGCGCTCAGCACGCACAGCAAGACCGCCGAATTCCGAGCTATGTTGTGAGTGTCAATTCCCGATCCCTTTCTAGCCCTACAACCCTTGCGAGCATGCAGGATCGTCCTTCGTCTGACGAAGCCTTGCTCTCTCTCTCTCTCCCTCTCTCCCTCTCTCTGTGTGTGTGTGTGTGTGTGTCTGTTCCTTTTAGATATCGCTCGCGGTCTGTCCACTGATATTCAATCTACAGTAAAGCAACAGGTGCGTTTATCCAGCCTAAAAAAACGGTTCTGCGCGAGTGGGAAGAGCTAGACGGCTCGTTCGTGTCGAATATTCCGGGCGGTGCTGCTGCTTCTGTTCAAGCAAAACTATAAAACGGCCATGTTTCCGCTCAGACATGTCTATACTGTATTATACATAAGTATATCTACCATATCTACCTCCTCTGCTATTCACCGAAGCCGTATGATACCACAGGAGGTGTCTCACAAAAGCATTTCAATTGATGAAAAGAGAAGTAACCGTAAATCCTACCACCATCTGGAAAAATGATGGCTTGAACGGCCACATGCTACAAGAATCTCTCCCACTGCCTCCTGTAGCCCTTGAAGCACGCACGTTATCTATCTTGACTGAATAACAGCCGCCCGGGGACGCGAGTCGCAAAACTAAGGCCGGCCAACCAGAATCGACGCACATACCCGTAACCTTTCCATCTGATATATAATCCACCATATCCAGTGCGAGTCATGTAGTAAAGCGCAAGGGATCGTGACTTTAATCTGATATATTTTAAATAGTATTGACACATAAAGAGTCTCCTCTCCTGGCTGCCTGATGGATGCCTCATTTATCGTTTCTGCTGCATACAAGCAACCACAAACCGCCGGCGTCACGGTGCTCGGGTCTCACCCGGTGCCATACTTCCATTATCCACGCATCCGTATCCGCAATGCCTCTGTATACTCCCCTTCGTATCCATGTACTCGCAATCCAACCCAATCCGGTATTTGACAAAGTCCTTCCATCCCTTCCCAGATCCCTCAAAGGCGAGGGATTAACTCCAGCAATATATATATCGACGTGTGTTGTTGCCAGTCCCGGTCGTCCTCCAACCATGTGCGCGCGTAAACAGGATCTCCAGTATATACAAGATATCGTTTTGGACGGTGACAATAAATGGATCTGCTGGCCGGGTTGTAATGTACACCAAGCACCGTGGCCTCTAAGGAATTTATGTGTGCGGAATCAGACAGCCGTGACGTGCTCGTTCAATCGTGAAATCCCACTTGATTTTTTGGGCTCTTTGCTTTGCTTTTCGATTTTTGAGTTTAATAAAAGAAGGCCGCCACGAAGACCAACGTCGTGAAAGCGGTGGTCACAGAGTACTCCAGCTCGAAGAGGGCGCTTTGGCTTCGGAACCCGATCTTCTTGGCCTCTGGCTTGGGATGGGCGACTCCGGTCTTCTGGTCTCGGATCAAGAGTTCTTCTCGATCAGGCATCGAAGGAGGATCCACGGCGTATGTGAAAGGAATCCAGAAGGAGGAGCAGGCAATGATCCATGTCAGAGGTGGCCAGAAGGCATGTGTTAGCAGACACACAAGCTTCGCTCGGGTCCCATGCTGCAAGAAGCAACGGTAGGTCGACATAGTGACGGCCACCAAGACAAAGTAGACGTATGCAACATGGAAGCAGGCCAGGTAGTTGACCAGGATAGTCCAAACACGTCGGTACATCGGTGCGCGCCGTGCGGGGTCTCTCTCGTTCAGGGATGACTTCAGCGAACCGGTTGCTTTGAAGGCTTGAGTTTGTCCGCCCAGCCATTTGGGAAGAAGGAAGGACCGTATGATTGTAATAGCAATGTACGGACTCATCCACATTTGTGATCGACTACCCCTCTGGCCCGTTGCATAGCCCGCAGGGATGAAGAGAATGAATTCGCAGAGTCGGTTGCACATCACGGCGGCGAAACAAGCCCGAATCAGCCATCGAAGTTGTTCGTCCGTGGCGTAAGCGACGAGAGGTTTGTTGGTGATCAAAACGATTGGCATGGCGAAGATGGACAGTGTCAAGAAGATGTTGAACAAACTCAGGAAGGCGTAGATGAAACCCGAGGCTCGTTGTGCGAAGGTCATCTCTTTGATCTTGTCGCCCCAGAGGCAGAACCGAAGCTTGAAGGCAGTGTCGACGGTGCCAATGGCCTAGAAGGATGTCAGAAACACGAAAATAAGTTACTTTGTGGGATTCAACACTTACCCATCTTGTTCGTTGTTTCAGATGACCACCGTAGTCCTCGGGAACAGTGCCAAACTGAAGAGCCTCGTGCACGAATGCAGTCTTCCAGCCTTTGCCGAGCATCAACGTCGAAGTGGCCACATCTTCGGCCAACGAACCAGAAGGAAAGCCGCCGATATGGTCGAGAGCAGCTCTGCGAACAACGTATCCCGATCCAGTACACCAAGCGACGCCCAAAGCATCCTTGACTGGTTCCGCAACATTGACGAAGAAGTCGAGACTTTGGCAAAGAGGATCATCTTTGGGTACATTGTAGAAGAGCTGAGGCGGACATGCAAGGGCAACCTTGGGGTCTAGCAGCAGGTGAGGCATAAGAGCTCGCAACCAATGCTGCTCAGGGATCATGTCCGCATCCAAAGCAGCCATGAACTCGGAAGCACCGCCAGGCAGATCGTGGACTGCATCGAGACCATAGTTGAGGTTCCCAGCTTTGAAGTGGTGAGGAACTCCAGGAAACTTGGGCCGACGAATATAGAAGACGTTGGGGAAGGTTTCTCGCATATCCTCGAGGGAAGATTTCAGCACATCAGACTTGCCGTCGTCCAAGAGAATGACTCGAAACCGATCGGCAGGGTAGTCCAGGTCACAAGCGGCACGAACAGTGTCCAGAATCAGATCGTCGTCCTCCCCACAGCAGGTAATGAAGACGTCGACTTTGGGCACATCGTTGCCAATCAACCGCAACTTCGGCCGATTCCTCTTCTTCATGACAAACATTGACCAGAAGGTCTGCATGAGGATTGGAACGGCGACAGTAATCTCGATCGCAATGAAGACCCAGGCCAGGGGGAAAGACGAGCCATAGTGATGCTGTGCCGAGACGACGAAGGTGATGCGCAGACCGAAGTACAGCCAGTACAGTGCCATAGAAAGTGCGGCTAGTAAAGGCGCAAACCAATAGTATAATCGTCTCTTGTAGCCAGTCAAGATTTCCTTGTCGTCCCTCGAATGCAATTGAGCGATTGATCCATCCCTGACCCAATCCTTGCTCAGGTACGTGCTCGGCGCGTCGGGGACAAGAGGTCTTAACGTTTCTTGACTTCTCTGTTGGTAGTCAGCTCTGTCTGTTCTTCGCACTCGGCCAGGATGGGGACGGGACTCACGAATGGTGTTGACGTGGGATATGGGGAGTTAGCTCCAGATTCCGAGTAGGAAGAGATGGTTCTGGGGGCAAAGGGTGGGAAGCTTCCATTGGGAGTCTGCAGAGGAGGACTGTCTTGCAGGTTCTCATCGGCAATGAAATCTGAGAGTGTTCGAGAATGAAGGTCGGGAGCACCTCGTCGGGATTCCGTCAACGGTATGCTTTCTCTGTAGCTACCATAGACAGGATGCACCGCTGAATGAGGAGGTTTTTCCAGATAGGCAGGTGAACTCTCATTCAACGTCGTCGACGAAGCGGCCGACATTCTGCCCTCTGTCATGGGCTGGAGTTGTTGCTGTGATTGCAGTTCTGGTCTCTTCCGATCATTGTTTTTGCGAACGAGAGGCATCTTGAAGAGTCGCGGTGTGAGTGAGTGTGTTTGTGAATTTGTGAGGTCATGCAAGGGCTGGGTGTTTTGATCAGGTTGAGGTCCGGGAGATCAGGAAATTAGCTTCAAGACCGGGCAAAGCGTTTCATGTTCCGCGCCGAGCAGCAATCAAGTCTGGAGAGTTGATGTTCCGTGCGTATTACAGTCTTCTCTCCCCCTTAGAGCTAAGCGAACGACCAGGCAAACGAGCGTGTTGAGAGAGGGAGAGGACGTTCGGTGTTCCGTACCCCAGAAAGTAGCTGGGTTGACGCTTCGGTAGAGAAAAAACGAGGGTGAATCGAGAGGCAAATTGCACAAGGAGAGTGAAAGGTGACAAGATTCGCATTATTCGGTTCGGGTAAGATGGACAGAGGCGGACAGGTCAGAGTTTGAATGGGCCTTGCTCCGGGCGGGTGTTTGTCTGTGCTACCTTATCATGTCATAGCATTGTTGCAGAGTGGGTTTTTGCGTGAATACCAGGTACCACCGTCCCGAGTACCTCCCTATATCCATACCTCTTCAGGCCGGCACCACTGACTGACCAGCGATCGAGTGGTTGGCAACAATGACGCTGGGGACCGGCAGGCCAGGAGGCTTCCCAGCGCCCTCTACACCGCACCCGAGTACCGCAGTAGCCACAGTGGCCAGCCGGGCAGATCCATGCACTGGGCTGGCAGAGACAGTTACGGATACGCGAGATGGGATTGGTCCCGTGGGCATACGACCGGAGGTTGGAGCGAACCAGGTAGCGGTCTGGAAGAGGGAGGAAGGCAGGATGGAGACGAAACAATCCACGTAACATGGATGGGAGATGTTCGGACCAGTGGCAGAGTTTTCTGATAAGCAAAAAAAGCTGGTGCTGGGGGAGGCAGAGATGGAGAGATGCGAGAGTGGAATTGATGGGAGTAAAATTAGAGAGGGTGGGTAACAGTACGTTACAAGCCCATACCGGCGGCAAGGTGCGTCCACTGCGTCCACTGCATCTGGGCGCCGGGCATTCGGCCGCAGTTGGTATTGGACCTGTTCTGCTCCGTACCGGCCACGCTGGGTTCCAGGTACAATCTTGGCCCGGCGAACAGCACGAGGCTTAGCACGGGGCAGTACGGTGTTGGCCCAAGGCGCGGGAATAACGAGAGGAAAAGGGGAGCCTCCTGAAGCCCCAGGGAGGAAGATGGGAGAAACAAGCGTGATGCTAGTACCGATCTGTACCACCATTACCAGTGCTAAGTGGTCCTAGGTGCCTGGGACTGGAGCCTGATTAGCCCACAACTTGCCTCTCAAGGCTTAAAGTTGCTGTCAAATGCCGCGTCCTCTCAGCCATCGTCGCCTGCAGCCGACGCCACTTGCGCAGTCTCAGCCTGCGCTCCCCATCATCTTTTTCTTGTCTCATTCTTCCCTCCTCCACCTGCTGGCCCTGGCGCCGAGTCAGCAATCTGGCGAAGTTTGCCGGTTGTTTGAGACTTTGCACGAGTCTCCCAATCCAATGACAAGTTGGTCCAGAGAATCTCCTTCAGCTCGTGCAAAGACGAACTCCAACCCCCGACCGACACTGCCGCCCTTGCCACCGTCATCTGCTGAGATCGTACTGAGATCATGCTTCCGGAGGCAACCAGCCTCACAACCCTCCCTCCAACTTGAACACCACACCACACCACCACAGAACAGCACAGCACAGCGCCCCTTGGCTTCCGACACCCGTCGAAAACCCAGCCAGGCCTTCTCGAGGAACGAGGCACGCGCCCGCTCCGGGTCTCTCATTTCTCGAATCTCCTCTCTCCTTGACGGCTTGTCTTTTCTTCCAACAATTCGATTATCAGCCACGCTTTGTCTTCAAAGACTACGTTGTCGCTCTCCACGATCGCTTTTCCTCTTTGCGAATTGTTTTGCAGCACTTTCCTTTATCCTTCGCTTTCCATTCGATTAGGACAATCGTGCATATCCCGACTCTGCTCCTGAGCACGCAGTCATGGGCGCCAGATCAATCATCAGCTATGGGTTTCTTGTCCTGCCCATAGGAATAACCATTGGCATTCTGCTGGGGCTACAGGCCTGGCGAGAGTCTCACGGCTTACCGCGACCTTTTGTGACCACTACCAAGGCCATAAGAACCAACACATACTGCCAGAGGGCCTTTGGTATCACGCCTGATACGGACGGGCAACAATATACACGTGAGTTACTTCTGGATCACGATCTGCCTTTTTGTCTCCTGTGGCCACCCGGAGAGCAATCAGTGCCCATGGCATCCTTGACAACATTGAGTTGTTAAGGTTTTCCCCTGTACCTGGGACTATGACCGGTTCGGATTGGCCGCGCCGCGACGTGGATCCGACGCAAGGATGTTGTGCTGGTGCTGATGCAGCTGCATGTTGCTGCTCGAGCTTGGGCCGTTGCTTTCCGGCCCCGGCTGCCACCTGCTCTAGCGAAGTTGTTTTCCCGCCCATGATCATCTCCCCCAATCATGTTCCACCATTTCCAAAGGCTGACCTCGTCATTCTAGTGAATCCCAATCAATGGGGTATTACTGAAGATTATACCGGCCCTGGTGCTCTGTGTATGAATGTGAGTTGATCACCCCTCTGAGACGGAGGAAGGTCTCCCGCTGACGGAATGTTTAGGTCACGACGTTCGACAATGGCACATATCCAACAAACACCACCGCCCCGGCATGGTCTATCACATGGGCGTTCCCGCCTGGCCCGGAAACTCAGCCAGTTCATGCTTTCCCCAACATCAAATTGGACACCAAGCATGTCTTTCCCATTCAAATCCAGAACGTTGCACGCATCGATTTCCAAGCCGACTGGGCCTACGGAGTGGGGGACGAGAAACCGTCCACCACCAATGTAGCGGACCTTTCAGCTGACGACCTGAACTCCAACGTGGCCATTGATATGTTTTTGGACCCCGACCCGACCAATGCCACAAGCACCGTGGATGCCAAATACGAAGTCATGATCTGGCTGGGCGCTTTTGGTGCCGCCACACAGCCCATTGGACTGAAGCAAGGCGCCGTGGCCACGCAAGATGTCAATGGCACCACGTTGTATGACCACCCCTCTAGCCCCGCAATATGGGTCGCACAAGCTGACTCCCTTCCAGTTCCCTCTACTTTGGTGAGAACGGCCTGGGTCAAAGCGTCTTGACTTGGGTTGCCGATGGTACAGTCCAGAACTTTGTCGCCGACGTTGGACCATTACTTCAAGGCCTGACCGGCTTGGGAGGTCCGACTGTGAATGATTACCTTGGCTACATGGCCTTTGGTTCGGAAGCGCTCAGTGCCACTTCGAACGTCACCTTCTACAATCCTACCCTTAACATGGATGTGATTTCCAAATGATCGACATTTACTCCCCCATATAACACCACACAACATACGATCTTATTCGACATTTGGACACCTACGACATTTAACGAACTATCTTCAATAGCATCTGAAGAATATATGCTTGTCCACATCAGGGACGCGCTGGGATGGATTGTGACTGAAGGGCCAACTGGTGAAGGAACAGTCAAATCTCGACGATTGACCCTTCTTTGGACATGACCAAACCCATTGTGGCTTCGAACGCCCCAAGGACCAACCACAGGGTTCTCAAACAGTCCACACCGAAAGCACTCGAAAACATACGTCAGAGAAATGTTGACAGAGCCTCCTCCTGGGATTCTATGACAATGACAGGGGCCGCCTGTAGCTTCCATGTCTGCCGTCCTTGAAGCAGACCTTGGGGCCAGAGTATCATGTCCTTTGCCGACCAGGATTGTTCCCAGCTTCAGTAGTGCTTGCCCTGGACTGATCCTGCGCTACTACGATACAAGGCGCGACAGAAGGATCATCGTCGGGGCAATGCAATGATCCAACGGACGAAACACGATTCCGTGGTACATATCTAGACGTATATTTTAGAAAAGGAGCGGCATGGGAGGAGGGAGGAGACCTGGATTGGTTGGGACCCGGGCAATTTTACCGGCGAAAGTGGACATGGATTCAGTCAAAGCGAACAATACCCACGAAACAACAGTATCTAGGTATGAGTTTGCCTCTGATCCGCCGACTCTCCGACCATGGCAGAGTCGAAGGAGCAAAGGTATCAATCATGACACCATTGGATCGACGAGATTCGCCAGGGCCGCTGGACACTTTCGAAACAAACCCCCAAGCAGAATCAGGTTTTGGATAGAGACCGGCGTCAACTGTTTCATCGACTATCGAGTTCGTCTCGTCGATCAAACACCGCCCAGCATGAATTACATACATACTATGAAAATGCCTATTGTTGATACAACCCAAGCAAGACACCATGAAAGACGCAATCGGGATGTTCGGGAATTGGTCGCAGGCTCGTTCCAACAAAAAACTTGGTTTTCTGACTTACTAAGTAGTAGGGCCGGGGCTCTTTTGTCAGCCGATGACAAGCTGAGATTGGATCCGGACATCTTGACAGCAACGCATTTTGGGAACCGTATCATCTGTTAACGTCAGTGCTGCTGCTGCTGCTTTCATACCTGGACTGCATGAAGACACTCTCCAGCCTACTCTAAAAGTCTATCTTGCTGTATCACGTCAAGGACGCCCGGCCACCCTATCAGTACGGCTGCATGCTGATATCCAGCCCCCAGATTTTCGTCGTCGGTTCCGGATGGCATTGCTTATCGTGCCTCTTATTCTTCAGCTTTCAACATCCTGTTGCAGGGGCTATCCTTGCATGATTTGGCGAAGCATGAAAACGGAGTCAAGGCTGGACATTACACAGTACTAATATGGAGCAGGAGTTTTGATTGCGGAACAGCGCCCTTGTCCATCTGATCACGGTCGCTTTTCCAGCCGTCTTGTGACCGTTGCGTATCTTCGCTTGCAGAACCGACCACTGCTAGACAGCTAACCAGACGGCGGGACAGCGCAGACCGCTGCAAGGATCTAACGACAGGTTGCAATTGCATCAAGGCGTCCAGCTTACTATGTATTGAGTCTCTTCGCCAAGGCTTCATTCGAGATGATCAAAGCCATCAAGCCGTGAAATAACGAGCTACTACTAAGTATCGGACATGATCGATCGAAATCTTGCAGCGAGATTAACAATCAAGACTACGAAGTGACCAAAGGCCTGATCTGAGCACACCCTGTTCATGAAGCGGTGACACATGCTGCTCCTCACGTTCGCGATAGCTTTTCTGGCTCCCAGAGTCATCGTGATGGATTGACGATGAAATATATTCTTCCGTCGACATGCGAAAGGTGCAATCAATGCTTTGAGCTGTGTTTTGGTTCGAAAGTTCTTCAATGCTCAAAAAGTTGGAGAATGCGCTCCCGTCTCTGGAATGTTGTTATCCTGGTGTCCATTTGGACGATTCATGATCTCGTGGTTGCTGATCTACCCACATATACGTGAAGTATGTCCAGCAACAACAGCGACCATTGTGAGCATTTCTCGTATCTCTTGACTTTGCAACTCCATCCTTTTCAGCGCTCTTTGCGAATTACAAGCAAACATTTTCCAATATTCATGAGCTGCCTCGATCGAAGAGCCCTCCTCGACGTGGAGACTTACATACAGTATTCTTTTCGGCGCATAAGTCGCGATCCAGGGCGACCTCGGTGCCAAATATGACGAGGAGCAATCATACCATGCCCACTTCCAGCCAAATGTCAGTATCCAGGATGAACGGTATCAGCATCGCAATGGTCGAGTACACTTTTCGAAAGGGGCCGTTGGCGGTCGTAAGTGATAACCTTCTGCGGATTCCCCGGTGGCGTCGACACTCTTCTTCAGGCGGCAGGCTCACGGTATCTTTTCGTCTACATGCAAGTTGTCACATTCGACACTGCCTCAACACCTCAATCATTGTCTTCGCCTACATTACTATACACTACTCTCCTAGTGATTTCTAGGCTAGGTGGTCCATAAAGGGTCACCACCACCACTGCCTCGTCCCAAGCAGTGATACTTCACCACGTTTATCATTCTCTCCTCGCACTTCGAAGTGATTACCTATACCGGCAGTGAGATGCTCTGCCACCGAAGGTGTAAGTGAAGAGTATCTTCAAGCGTATAAGTATCCCTTCTTCATTTTGCTCCCTCTCCTTTTTTCTCATACCATCATCAACCATTACCAAAGCAAGCCACAGCAAAGCACAAACCACCATATTAGACGTCAAACCCATCCCAGACTTCAACGCCCGCTGCTTTAAGAGCAACAACGACAAAGCCCAAACCTCCATCTATCTGTCTCTTAAGATGAGTGGCAAGCCTCCTTCCAAGCCATATCCGAAGCCGCAGGAACCGAAACCTTTGCCTGGCGTCAGCTAGATGCCCTACTTGCATATACTTTCGCGAGGTGCAGATTGTTCGACTTCATCTCTGCTGACGAGCGAAGCCGGGAGATATGCATCGCGGAGCTGCTTGCTACCATCTGGGCGTCTGGAGTGGAGACGTTTGGAGCACATGTGGTGAAGGACGATAGCCGATGGAGGAAACATCATTGCTGGTAGAGCTCGATCTTGCGCGAGAGAACGGTGGGAGATCATCAAGTACCTCGGAGTGAAGTGCATAGGTCCCCTTCGGTGTGATACCTGCAGCAAAGTTGAAACTTGACATCCTCGAGGCTATGGCTTATGGCTCAATCAAAAACTCCCCTGGCTCGTCGACCGAGGAGAGGTGTATGCACATGAACGGGTGCTGCACGTATTTGACCATGAAGTCCTTCAAGACCCCGTGGTGGGCAGAAGCAAATAGGCTTTGGTCAGGGGTTATCTGAGCAGCCATCGACCCATCAATCGAACACTCAATCATTGAGCAAACCAAGCCATGCCATGTAGGAGTAGATTCAACTTGGAAGCACCTGTGCCCAGATAGCATCTGTAGATTGTTCCTTGTGAAGACCGTCCCTTAAGTAGGCTCATGCCCATGTCACGGTCTCCACGCGGACCCTGCAAGCCTACTGTCCTTTCGTATCTTGTCCATGTCAATATCGAGACTCGTATTCGAGTCCACTGTACGGAGGGACGATTGGACGCGCTCTTCCATTCTCTAGCGCTCCAGTTGTTCTCCCTCGTTGATCGGGGAAACAATCATGCACGACCCTTCTTCTCCTGCTCTGCCTTTCCGACAACTGACAACTGACAACTGGGGAACAACGGAGTCCGACGCCGGAGGAAAAGAAAGGAGGTGCAGTGGGGTATCATGTTGTCTGCAGCAAAAAGGGGTTAGACTCTAGATTACAGAAGCTCTGATTGGCTGGCTCATAACGTCGGCCAAGATGCAACCAAGACGATGGAATTCGCAGCTCCACCACCGGCTCCCTCTGTGATCACTGTGTTCTACAAACACGAGGAAAGAATAGCGCATCCTGGACTGAGTTATGATGCAGTCATGTCACTGCCATCACTAAGACCCGACCAGTCGACCAGTCGACTTGACCTCGGTTTGGCCTCGTATTGCACTGCAGTGTACGAGCAGCTGAGGATGAGAACGAGGGGTTGGGTGTTGGGGACCGCTAGGTCGAAGGCTATCATGCACCCCAATCTGTCAGGGCCTCCGCACCACGCTACAGAACACGGCGAGACGGCAAGTGAGCGTACAACCCCGGAATAGCAGAATCCTTCGTGGAACGTCCGAGGTGCAATTCGAGCCTGCCCCGCGCCACGGCCACGGCTCTTGCAAAAGCTTACAATGGAGGGATGTTTCCAGTTGACTATTTGCACTTATATCGCTCATATTGTGTCGTACTATTGTCCGTTTGGAATTGTCCTGCCCTCTCCTATCTATTTCCAACTCAGCCCGAAGACGAGAACTTCTTCGACCTGAAAACAATCCGTAGCTGTTCTGCTTCCCATCCACTGACTGAGTCATCATGGGTTCCATTGGTGCCTCGTTCGACGTCTTCAATGGCTTCTACAACACCATCAACGGCAAATTGACGAGCACCGAGAAGACCAGACACGGTATCAACCCGGCGAACGGCAAGCCGAATCCAGAAGTGCCCATCTCCACGCCCAAAGATGTCGACGACGCAGTAGCAGCAGCGAAAGAGGCCTTCAAGTCATGGTCCAAGGCCTCCTATGACGAACGAAGAAAGGCCTTGCTTGCATTCGCAGATGCTCTCGAGAAGTATGAAAATGACTTTGGGAAACTGCTTACCCAAGAGCAAGGGAAGCCTGTAAGTCCATATCACGGAACTTACTTCTGAGTTCTTACCTTGCTTTGTCTTTGTTCTAACCGATAATGGTTTGGCAGCTTCAATTTGCCCTGGGTGAGGTCAAGACGGGCGTACACTGGTTGCGCGCCCTAACGAAGTTGGAACTCCAAGAGGAGATTGTCGAAGAAGACGACCAGAAACAGGTCATCGTCCGATATACCCCACTGGGCGTCACAGTGGGAATCGTGCCTTGGAATTATCCCGTCCATTTGGCCTGTGGAAAGATAGCTCCTTCACTACTCACTGGAAACCCCATCATCATCAAGCCATCTCCATTCACGCCATATTGTGATCTGAAGCTCGGCGAGCTTGCTCAACAGTTCTTCCCGCCCGGTGTTGTTCAAGTCCTCAGTGGCGACGACAATCTCGGACCCTGGCTCACTGCCCACCCAGGCCCGGATAAGATCAGCTTCACTGGATCGACCGCAACGGGCAAGAAAGTGATGGAGAGCGCTTCAAAGACCTTGAAGAGAGTGACTCTTGAATTGTGAGCACCCAGTCTTGCAATTACCGCCATCTTTGCCTTGCTGGTGACTTCAACTGACGCACGTGTGTGTGCTAGGGGCGGCAAAGATCCCGCGATCATCACCAAGAACGTCGATATCAACAGCGTTGCCGAAAAGGTAAGCCACGGATCATGATGCCAAACAGCGTCTTCGACATGACGATATTTTCCTTGGGGTGATTTGATTGACAGATTGGCTTGCTGACTGACTTGTCCTTCTGTAGATTGCCACTCTTGCATTCCTCAACTCCGGCCAGATCTGTCTAGCCATCAAGCGAATCTACGTCCATGAATCAATCCACGACGAATTCCGTGACGCGATGGTCTCGTTCACCAAAAGCCTCAAGGTCGGCGACGGTGCCGAAGCAGGTGTCTTCCTCGGTCCCGTCCAGAACTCGATGCAATACGAGAAAGTCAAGACATTCTTTTCCGACATCGAGAAAGAAAACTGGGCCGTGGCGGTCGGGGGCAAGAACGAGGAGAAACCAGGCTACTTCATCACCCCGACCATCATCGACAAGCCCGCCGACAACTCGCGGATTGCTACCGAAGAACCTTTCGGCCCTATCGTCCCGTTGCTCACCTGGACGGATGAGGACGATGTCATCGCTCGCGCGAATAACACCAAGATGGGGCTGGGGGCGTCCGTGTGGTCCGACGACTTGGATGAAGCTACGCGTATCGCTCGACAGCTGGACGCAGGTAGTGTCTGGGTCAATACCCATCTGGAACTTGATCCCAAGGCTCCCTTCGGTGGGCATAAGGAGAGCGGAATCGGCTTCGAATGGGGTATCGGCGGCCTCAAGGCGTTTTGTAATGTCCAGAGTCTTTATTTGAAGAAGAAGCCGGCTTCGAAGATCTAGGTGGGCTAGCTATCCAGAATTGTGACTTGATTTGAAACATGAAAATCTGTTCAAGATCTCTCGTCATGTCGTAGTCATCCTCTGTTTGTGCAGCGGCGATGATAACATATGGAAGTTTGAACGAGGCAGACTCTGGATTGGGAGATACAGCAGAGCCGACAGTAGTTGGACTCTTCGACCGGCTTTCAATCATCTCCTCAGATCTCAAGCATTGAAGTCTCAATGTTTCACTCACCCATGTATTCACGGATTTCCGGTCTCACATATGTGTTAGGTGTGTGCCAGGGGTCTGTGACCTATGTTCTGCCTGTCATTATACTCGAAGACTGATCTTTGAATATAAACTTTCCGGTACTCTATCCGGTGATGCAGCTGTGGGCGCATCAAATTCAAGGCTGCTTCTGGCAGCTATGATTGAGGAGATACGTATCGTGGTGACGATAGTAGCATGATGCTCGCTCAGGCTCAACCTCCACCTGCAGCGGCAATTTGGCCTGGTCTGAACTCACAGTAACCTCCAGTTCCCAGTTGCGGAGAATGTGTGATGCCAACATGACCATCATTTTAATCCAATTTCAACAATGCCCGTGCATTCAAGAAGCCAACTCGCTTCCTAGTGTTCTCAGACAGCTGCAACCCATCGAACCATGCGGACAATTCCTGCATGTCCTCATAAGGATAGTCGACGCTGAACAAGACCCGTTCCTCGCCCATCTCCCGAATGGTGTCGAGCAAAGTGCCCTCGCGTTGGACACCGGAACATGTCGCCCAGAAGTTCGTATTCAGATAATGGGCCAGCGGATGCTTGTGCGGGCCGGATTTGCCAGGCTGTGAGTGGCGCAGGCGATGGTCGACCCGGTGGATAGTGAAGGGCAATCCTTCTCCGCAGTGGCCGAGGATCACCTTGCAGTTGGGATACCTGTCGAAGAGCCCGGAGACCATGAGCCGAAGAGCGTGCTCGGCCGTCTCCCGACCAAAGGCATACGCGCTGCCCAGGAGAAAGTCGTAACCTCGGAATGCGCGTTGCTGGTCTGGAGCAGGGAGACGTGGATGAAGGTAGACCGGCACATCCAACTCGTGGATCTTGGCCCAGAACGGCTCACACTGGGGCTCGTCGAGGTACTGGATGGTATTAGGCCCCCCTATGTTGCTGTGTCCGTTGATCAGGATCCCACAGCAGCCGAGCTGCTTGATGCACCGCTCAGCCTCAGCTGCGGCGGCCTCGGGGTCTTGCATCGGCACACATCCCCAGACACGGAACCGATGTGCATGCGGACCGGTTCGGTACGTCTTGTGCAGCTGGTCGTTGACCTTCCTGGCCATCGATACGGCAGTGGGGGCGTCAAAGATCCCCTCGATCCCGGGCATAGTGAGAGACACGCAGGAGATGTCGATTCCGGATGCATCCATGTCCTTGACGCGGCTTTCCACGTCGGCCAGTCGCTTGACTACATCGCTCATGTACGCTTCGTCGTTGAAGGCATGTTCGCTGGTGTTTTCCGAGTCCGGCAATGTCTTTGTAGCGTCGAAATGATCGGTCATTGAATGCTCCTCCAAGGCGATTTTCCCTCGAAGCAAAGGGGAGGCCTTGGAGAAGGTTGGCCGTCCTGAAGAAGAGACTATAGCCGACATGTTTGCGAGGGGTTTGAAGATGAAGGAGATGAAGAAAGTTTAGATGGGAAAGACAGAATTCTCATAGAGCATCGACAATTCCCAAGTGACGTTCACCGGCTCTTATAGTTTAGACTGTCCCCGGATCACCCCATCCGAACTCAACAGGCTCATATGACTTTCGGCCCGGATGGTGTTCTGACTTGCTGTAGCGTACATCCACAGGACAGAGCGAATGGCATTGGATAAGGAATCCACTACTTGTCCACGCACGCACATAATGAATGTGCCGCATTGGGACACGTGTACTTAGTACGAATGCAAGGGCCCATAGATAAGTCTGTTCGCGAATGGCTGAGGTCAGCTTCTCATTCAGGGATATACGGCACGAGCCAGGTCATCTCGCAAGGCTGGGGCCTGCACGTGACTATGCACCAAACTTGCCAAGAGGTATTTTGATCTAACCGGATTGAGTCAGTACATCTACTCTGAGTCTCTACAGGAAACTTGGAGGTTGCGGACTTCCAAGTAGGAGACCAGAGCCACACAGGTCAAGCGAGAAACGCCGATCCTCTGGGTCCTTGATGAAGATATAAACCTTTCGGTCCCTATATATGAACCTCGATCGAATCCGGAGCGTTCGTCCCTGGTGGACGCTCGCATCACCCTCCGCAGACACTCATGGCGTCCTCGACTCCCACACCTCATGGAGTGGCAGCGACTAACGGCACCTCGCATCTCGAACTCGACATAGCCAAACTTCATGCCCTCCCCACCGAACAACAAGACTTGTATCTGTTGACTTTTGTCTCCGACTTACAACGCCATGTCGAACAGACTTCCCCCGAGCACCTCCCTGCGCATCAAGCGTCGATCAAGAAGGAGATCATCAAGATTGTCGGTTTGGGCGCTCCAGTGCCGTCTCGTGTGATCCGAAATACACTGGGAAGAATACTGGCAGATGCCTTCGGACGCGGCAGTCGGAGCCTGCTGTACGAAACGGTCAACGAACTGGTTGCGATCGTCAATGGGGGCAAGGTCGATAAAGATGTCAGTTCGAAACATGCCGCCACCGTCTGCTTGGGTGCCGTTTTTCGATCCGCTGGCGACAGCGCGGTTAGCCTCTCTGGGCTCGTGGTATCCTCGCTCCTCCGCCTCTTGAAGTCATCCCATACGGGCCTGAAGGGCTGCGTTTTCAAAGCACTGGACGGAGTAGTGATGGGCATACGAACCAGTCTGGATGAACATGTGGCTCGAGATATCTGGAAGCACGCCCGAGGTGCTGCAGTCAACGACAAATCCTCATTCGTCCAGAGGTGTGCATGTTCTTGTCTTCGAAGTCTAGCCTGCGAGACAGGGTATTTCATCAACCATAATGATTTTGATAATCTCAAGACGACAATATGGAAAGCGCTGGATAGTCCAGTACCTTCGGTCAGACATGCTGGCGCTGGAGCTCTGGCTGCCGGGTTGAACGGGGCGTTTTCCGAGACTGGCAATGCTGACATCCCCATGGTACGGAAGCCAAAGAAATCCAAGAAACCCGGCACAGATTTGGAGGAGGGTGGGGAACAGGAACGATCAGGCTCACCAACGCCAGGTCAAACCAAGCATACTGTGCGGCTGACTCTCTCGCTGAACGAGTTGCTGCGAGTGCTTTCCTCTCAATACTGCAAATCATCGACGACCAATCGAGCTCGAGCAGGCATCGCGATGTGCTACAAGTACCTTTTGCGTCTACTGCCCCGGAGTGTTCTGGAGGAGAACTATGCCTCGATTGCTCTTCACACATATACGGAACTGCTCAATCATCCGACCATCTACTCCAATCGGTACCGTCTACTCCTCACTAGAAGACTCCTCGAGTGGATCCTTCGACATGTCACGGCATTGCTTTCGGAGAATGCTCAGGTCAATGCCGCTCGTCATCTCATTAATGATATTCTGAAAAACTATCCGCAAGTAATGCCAGAGCGACGGGAGCCCTCGAAGCGGATCCTGTCAGGAGCATTGTCGACCTTGAACGACCTACTCTTGCGGCTCGGCCCCGCAGCGAATGTCTTTCAGGACTCGTGCAGAGAAGCGCTGTTCCAGGTTGTGCAGCATCCAAGTCATACGGTCCAAAGCCATACCGCTCAATGCACCAAGTCCTTCGTCCTCGGATGTCCAAGTCAACTGGTGCCCAGCCTCGAGCACGCCATGTCTCAACTGCAGAAAGAATTTCAACCGTCATCCGAGAACAAGCCTCCCCATCGTAGATGTTATGGCTATGCCATAAGCATCGCTGCAATGATTAGTGCTGCGCGACAGAGGCCGCTCTACGGCTCGGCCGAGGTCTATTCCAATATTTTCACCTTTGCGACCGATCTCCTGAAGTCTAGCGCCGCGGCCGAGCTGCGATTATCTGCAGCACAGGTGCAAGTGGCGTGGACCTTGATCGGTGGTTTGATGAGTCTGGGGCCGAGTTTTGTCAAGGTTCATTTGAACCAGTTGATGCTGCTGTGGAGAAATGCATTGCCTCCTCCTTTGACGCATGAAAATGCCACTAAGAGAGGCCATCTGGAGCTCAGTTTCCTGTCTCACGTTCGAGAATGCGCCCTCACCGCCTTACTTATGTTTCTCTCCTCTTGCAGCACATTGGTCACTACTGATGGGTCAAGACGAATATCTACGATGCTTCACAACACCATTCTGTTCCTTGAAAGCTTACCCGTTGCTCGTGAAGCTGAGGATCTTTCCAATAGACTGGTACCTGCACTTCAGCTACAGGACTATGCGATTCTGCTGCGGCGACGAGTACTCCAATGTTTGGGCGCTCTCGTGGGTTTGAAACATTTGGAGCAGAACGAAGTCGTATCCCACTCGGACCTGACGGGTCTCACGATGCGCACCTTTATAGACCCGGAGCGTCCACTTCTGAAGAACTTGGAAGCATCTTTGGCAAACGCAGCGAGTAACTTCGAAGGGCTATGGAGCACTGGCGATAACTGGAGCTTCGGGGTCAGCAGCATAGCCGAGAGCTTTGATACCTACATGCCATTCGAGAACCATCTTCAACCGAGAGCAGACGCAACTATAGAGCAGGAAGTCTCTTATCCAGATGTCGTGGTTCGGTCTCCAGCACTTTCGGCAATCGAACATGATCCGGTTCTGATCTGTCAGCAAGACGACGCAATTAATGCTGCCGAAATGTGTTCGCCGGCAACCTCTTGTGTCAACTTAGCCATCAAGCTCTTCGCAATCTCGTTACCACTTCAAGCCCCAATGGTGCAAGAGAGCACAGTCGAGCAGTTGATCACAACTGTATCTCAACCTCTCCAACGCGAGCCCGGAAGGAAAGCCGCGATGCAGGTCAATACAGCTCTGGCCCTCCTCTGCGCTCTTGCAGTTGCGAATAATGAAACGCCTTATATGTCTGGCAGCTTACACGTCGGAGCTATCGGGCAGGTCATAATTGAAGTGCTGGGGAAGTACGTCTGTAGCCCTGATCCCATCTTGAGACACCTGGCCGCCCGTGCTATCGGGCGCATCTGCAACCTGGCGGGCACACAGTTTACCAACAAGGAGGTGAAGTTCCTCATCGACACCATTGTTGCCGATCGTGACCCGAGCGCTCGCGCGGGTTGTGCCCTCGCTCTGGGCTATATTCACTCTGAGGTTGGGGCCATGGCGGCTAATTTGCACATGAAATCTATCGTCGGCGTCCTGCTATCGTTATGCAGTGACAGCCATACGACTGTCCACTTTTGGGCCCTGCGAGGGCTGGTACAAGTGGCCGACTCTGCAGGCCTGGCATTCTCGCCATATGCCACAAGCAGCCTCGGCCTCCTGGCACAACTATATTCGAATGACACCCATAACGAGGAATCTGCATCCCTCGCCACATCGAATCTGGAGTTGGAACTTTTCACACCTCTAGCAATCGCTCAGTGTGTGGACAGTATCATCAATGTCCTGGGCCCGGATCTACAAGATGTGTCAAAAGCCAGGAATCTGATTTTGATATTGATCGGATATTTGCAGAAGGAAGCTTCGTCGCAGCTGCGCCACGAAAGTTACCAATGTCTGCGCCATCTTTCCATGTATGCGCCCGCTCATCTACAATTCGCACGATACGTGGAGAACTTGCAGGAAAGCCTCTCGTCCGACGAAGGTCTCCTGCGGTCTGCTGCGATAAGGGGGTTGAGTGAATTGATAAAAAGGAATGCTTCTGAAGTGGCGCGAGTAGCAACAACAAAGCTAAGTGATGATCTGTGGGCCCGTCTGGATGACAATCCGGGAGACAAGTCGCTACAGGCGATGCTAGAGAATTGGATGCAGCAGACGATTCTGGTTGACACAGCTGAGTGGATTGACAAATGTCAAACCATCCTCGCTCGGACTCGGGCAAAGGGCCAAGCTCCGTCCCCGACTCGTGCGGCTACATCGAAAACGGCAATGCCCGACCTAGCTGATGAAGAGGTCGCGGGATTTGCGGCGGCTGCTGCGGCTGCACAAGGAGAAATGCCAGATGCTGGTCCCGAAGGCCAAGAGTATCTCCATTGGCAAACAAGAGATTTTGCCATGCGTTTACTCAGTCAGTCTATGGATCTTATACAAGCAGCCATGTCGCCCGACCACGTTATCCACGCGGAGGAGGTGTTGCAAAGCAAAGTAGCCGACGTGGTTCGGGTCGCCTTCTCAGCATCGACTGCCAATGTGGTGGAGCTACGTATATGGGGCCTCCGCATCATTGACCAGATACTCAAACTGTTTGGCAAGACGCCAGATCCAGATTTCCTCGAGGCTTCCCTGCTGGAACAATACCAGGCCCAAATCAGCTCGGCGTTGACACCTGCGTTTGCAGCCGACTCGTCACCAGAGTTAGCCGCTGAGGCTATTGGCGTGTGTGCAACATTCGTGGCAACAGGGATAGTGACCAATGCAGAACGCATGGGCCGAATATTCAAGGTACTCGCCCTGGGCGTGGATAACCTTACTCAAGAAACACCGGAGCCCGCCATTGGCGACCTCAAAAATCTCAGCCCGAATGCACAGGCGATGCTGAAGATGAGCATTCTGTCTGGATGGGCGCAGCTGCAGTTAGCCAGTTCGGAACAACCCTACCTGGAAGACATCCTGCAACCATACATCCCCAAACTGGCGCCGCTTTGGCTCACTTCACTCCAAGAGTTTGCAGGGTTACGTTTCGAGCCTGAGATCTCCGACACTCTTGGGGGCGAAATAGCTGGTGGGAATCTTGATGAACGATATGCTTCTTTCAACCGTGAGATCCGGCTACAATTCTACCAGAAAAGTTGGTTAAACATCGTGGATGCGATTGCTGTTCTGGTGGAGAAGGACAGTGCCTCCGTGTTCGACGCATTGGACAACAAACGTGCCTCTTCCGACGACGAAGCAGTCAACGGCGCCCTAGCACAAGGGAGAGACATGAGCTTCCGTGAGGAACCGGTGGCATTCTTTTTCATTCTCTTCGGACTTGCCTTTGAAGCATTGGTAACTCAAACTCGCGAAGATCCATCGCAAGCCCTGTCTATCCTCCAGGCACTCAAAAAGATCCTCACGCCAGAAGTGTGTGGGAATGCCATTTATGAGACGGCCGTGTTCAACGAGACAACCGACACTCTTGACCGATTAGCCCTCACCAGCACGCGAGAGACACAGAGTGTCCTGGTAGAGATCGCGCGCAACCTGGCCTTGGATCACCTCGCCGCCAAAAGTCAGGATCGGGACGAGAACCTATCGGATGACATTGAGCAGTTGTTCGAGCTGACGAGAATTATCCTTTTGGTCTTGACGGGTCTCATTCCGACCCTGGAAGATCCTCCAGGATCTGCTGTTCGGCGACTGGGGGACGATGGTGTCGCACTGGTTCAACTGTCTTTTCAGGCCCTTGTCGACGTTGCCTCCGTGTTCCCAACAATCATTCGTGCAGATCTCCATGCTTGCATCATCTACAGCTACTGCACGATCTTGGCCACGGGCATATGTCAAGATGAAGTCTTGCCGCACATCATGCCCATTTTCAAGGCGTTCTTACAAGACGTGATTAAGTTGCAATCTGATGAAATGGCCTCGAGACTGGTGAGAGGTTGCTTACATCGTATGCTGACCATCTTGACCATCGCTCAACGACGTGAGAATGAGCATGCGATCACTTGCGCAAAGAACACCCTATTGTCGATGACAATCTTGCTTACAACTGCAAGTTCTGTTGTACCTGCCAACGATGGACTTGTGACCAGAGCTCTGGCTGAGTTGTTGGACTGTCTGCAGGACGTCGGCCTTGCCAAAATCGCGGCCGGCTGCATGCGGTCTCTGCTTCTGACGAACCCCAAAACACAATGCGAAGGAGTGATCGGGAGAATCTTGTGGACAAGGTTGATCCCCTTCATCAGCGATGCGGAAGCCGAAGATCCCGAGGGCGTGAAGACGCCATTAGCCCAAGCTCTGGTGTCTTCTGTCCTGACTTTACAGGGTTCTGGTCGGTTTGCTGCCATGTCGATCCTCGTGCCGCTGCTGCTGCTCCGAGCGAAGCAAATCCCGTCGGGAAGTAGTTCGGAAACAGTTGAAAAAGAGAGTGCAGCACGGTTACTCGAACTTGCGGCTGCTGACCAAGTCGCTTTCAAGGTGACGGCAGGCCTCCTGGCTGAGGAGCAGAGGACCGAATTGGAGAGTCTCTTAAGGGCGACGGCAGTTGGGAGCAAACAGGAAACAGCTTCATCGGACAACGTCGAATCCCGGCCAGCGATCGAACTTCGGATGGATTTTGGATGAAGGCAGCATGTTGGAGGAATATATAGTTGAAGGGGTGATGATAGAAATAAGACATGTGTATTTGCCTCTGTTCCTATCCCGAGTCATAACAGCATTCAGCCTCGCCAGCGGGAGTTCAGCCTCGTCGTATGAGGCTGCCGTCATCGACTCCTCTCATTGGCTCTTGGCATGACCCAATTGGGCAATTTTGGGCGAACCTCGTTCACGTTCAGAAATCGATTGAGTTTCCTGGAAGCACAACTTCTTCCTTTTAAAAGCCATATAATGATAAATCGATATTTGTAGCTTGGTCAAAGTCAGCGTTGAAGTTGATAGAACAATACTACATTACGTCGTCGACATGGAGTACGACCCTCAAGTGCCGACATATCAAACATCCGACCCGACGTCGTTCGCCTTCATATCGGCGCGGGAGCGATGGCCGGCCATTGTCACCGGCGCCATCGACGACGTCCACCGCACCGTAGCGTCGCTGCCTGACTCGGAGATCGACGCCGTGGCCGAAGGCAAATCGATCGTAGCCGGCCTGGCCACTCTGAAATACGAGCTCCAGCACAACCGGGCCCTGACGCCCATCCCGGACGACGGCCAGCCCGACGTGGCAGGCTACCACGCCGAGCTCGCGGCGCGGGGCCCTCCGACATGGCACGACGTCGAATGGTTGTATTCGGAATGCTACCTGTACCGGCGCATGGCGACGCTGTTCAGCCGGGCCCAGACGCCCTTCTGGAAGTCGTACGACGTGTTCCAGCGCCAGAAGATGGACACGTTTAAATCGTCGCGGCCCGCGGTCCTCGAACTGGCAGGTCGGTACCGTGACATTATCACACAGATCCGGTCGTCGCGTGACCATAAAGTCATCAACAACAGCAGCGGCAGTCCAGAGACGGAGAAGGAGAAGGAGGCCGAGAAGATGCTGTTCGTGGAAATGGCCGAGATCTGTCTCTGGGGAAACGCCACAGACCTCAGTCTCCTGACCAGTCTGACGTACGAGGACCTGCAGAAACTACAGGGCAGCCGGGCGCGCAAGGAGTCGGAGAAGAACGTGCTGGTCAACGATCTGGGGTCGGCCTTTGAGGTTCTATACGCTGCTCAACGGACTTCTCAGGCCAACGCTACTGGTCCCAGTGCTTCGTCCAGACGGGTCGACATCGTGCTGGATAATGCCGGGTTCGAGCTCTTCGTCGATCTGATTCTGGCGGGATACTTGCTCGCCACGGGTCTCGCGACCGAAGTCGTCCTCCACCCGAAAAGCATCCCGTGGTTCGTGAGCGATGTGGTGCCCGCGGATTTCGCGGCCTTGCTGAATGCCATGCAAGATCCGAAAACGTTCTACGCTCCCCCTGCTGCGGCTGGTACCAAGGATAGATCTGGAAAAGATGCTGTCGCGGTGGGAGCGGGTAGAGATACTCCTGCTCTGTCGGACAAGGATGCCGAGTTGATCCAGTTCCTCTTCGACGACTGGAGCAGCTTGCACGCCGAGGGCCAGTTGATTCTGAGGCCGAGTCGCTTCTGGACGCATGCGGGCAGTTTCTGGCGAATGCCGCATACGGCGCCCGAGGTGTTTGAGGATCTCAAGGAGAGCGAGCTCGTCATCTTCAAGGGAGATTTGAATTATCGCAAGTTGACTGGTGATGTAAGTTCTCTTTTTTATTTGTCTGTCTTACTTTGTGTCTTCTTTTCAATTGCATTGTTTGTTATTTACCATCACCTTCTGGTCTGTCTCGTCGATGCTTCTGGTCTCGCATTCACCTCTACATCTTGTCCCGTTTGTATTATACTTCTCTTCAAGTTCGAGAAAAAGAAAAGCTAATGTCATCGCGTTTCTTCAAATCCTTACAGGCTGCATGGTCCCCTACTACTCCCTTTACTACGGCAATCGGGCCCCTCGGCCCCTCATCGGGGATCAGAACTCTGGCGCTGCGCACGTGCAAGGCTGATGTGGTGGTCGGCTTGCCTGAGGGCAAAGACGAGGAGATTCGAAAGGCCTCGCAAGGCGATGACGTCGAGGCACGGAAGTGGGCGTGGAGTGGGAAATGGGCTGTCGTGCAGTTCTCGGACGGGAAGGCATAGAGTTGCTCTCTCGTAGTAAGCCTTGTAATTGTTGGTCCATCGAGATCAGAAAGGTCACAACATCAGAGACAGAAAGAAAGAGATGTGGCCCAGATAGACTGGAGGACAAACATATATAAATCGAGAATGGGCGATCCTCCTCTTCGAGGCACAGTAATGACATATATTGCCAAACCACTTGAGTGTCTGAGCGAAAGCGGCCTCCAAGCCTCCAAACGTGCCGCAATCATGATTCATCCTCGTATTCACAGCCACGAGGCTGGCTCTTTGATTCACTGCTCCCTCCGCCTTATTGGCCAGCAGCGGCTGGTGTGAAGTGACCACTTTAGGGAGGCTTGATATATTCGATGCGCACAATATTATCTTCAACAATCTGAGCCGGGACGGAGGTGTAAGTGGTGTCGCATAACCCAGCCGTAGCAACGCTCAGGTTAGTGGTTACCTTAGTGGCTAGGCCACCTGTGCCTTTGGATTGCCTCCCTTCCAGTATCTGACTTCCCATGATTCGAGATGGCGTCAGAGAGACGAGAACAACGAAAAAGGCCGGGCCTACCTAAGCTATTCTGATCTCCTCTTCCAGTATCTGGCCTCCCATGATCGAGATGGTGCCGGAGAGACGAGCAAAGAATAGAACCACAAATAAAAAGAACACCCACTGGGGAGGGAAGGGGGTGTTTTCTCTAAAGCAGAGTTTTTTTGGGCTGGTTCGACAAGAACGTCGGACGTTCGAGGCTGGTTGGGATATTGAAAGAACCCTTTTTTGTACCAGCCGAAATCTTACTAGCTGCACTGGAGGATAGGGCAGGCAGTAATCATTGGCGTGCGAAGGAAGTGCTCGCCATGCTGGACCGAGTTCGAAGTCTGGCGTGCTGGGTTACGGTAAATGGATTGAAGCCTTGTTGATCGTCCGGCGGGGCGTCGGGGACCCTGATCCCGAACGTAGGATCACGCTCAGAGAAGGAGTGATTACGGCGGTATCAGGATGGTAGGCTTCCGTCTGATATCAACGACGCGCAGTATAACATTGCATTGTCCGAACGCATGTCGTCGTTCGTGAGCACTACACTTGCCGACGACACGGCAAGGATGTCGAGGACCAACTTCAGGAGTATCAGTAATCAGCCTGAGTTCAAAGGTATGCAATATTTCCACGGTTTGCTCAGAACACAAGGCACCGGCCCACCCGGATCTTTCTAAGACAGGTGGATCAGGGGGTGAGGCAGTGCAGACTCTCGGACTCTCAAACTCGACAATGATGCACATGTCTCTTGCCACTCAATGTCGGAAACAACGCGAGTCAACAGGTCGAGACGCTGTGAGGAACGAGTATAGGAGCATGAAGATCGGTGACCTGGTGGCCAGACACTATCCGTTCCAAGCCGGATTGGGCAATGTTCTTCACGACCCTCAGATCCTGTCCGCAGACTTTAATATTATTCCCGTTGAAATGTGGACGCCGCGTGGGCATTGGTTGGTCTGCAGAAGAAGGGTCAGCTCTTTCAGGAGCCATCATCAATAGGGACACGCCGAGGAGCGCAGGAATGAGGCATTGCAGTGTACAAGGTCACGGTCGGAGCTTCAGAGAGGACGAGTATAGAGAGATTTGGCATGGAAATAGTATCCGTCCGCCAATGTGAAAGACGATGGTGGTGGTGTTGGTGATGGTGATGGCTGCGAGAAAAGGGCGACGACTGCGGCCAATCGAGTCCATGTAGAAGAAGGATTGACAGATTGAAATTTGGCTCCTGGCTAGAGCGACTAGTACCTGAGTTACTAGTACTTGTGAGCTTGAATCCAGGGTCTTGGGAGAGGCCTAAGGAGCCCCCTAGCCTAAGGAGCCGTACAGAGTAAGGAGAAGCGATCCACGGTGGAAACAGGGTCTTGTAATTAGAGAGGGAGGTAGCCAGATTAGGGGACACAGGGTGCCTAAAGGTACTCTGATAGGGACCTGTAGTGAGTGAGATAGACGCCTGGAACACTGCTAGTCGCAGTCCCTGCAGTGCTGCAACTCCGCCGCGGCACGCGCAAAAGGGCGAAAACGAGAGACGAGCGCGAACCAGGGACGAACATCAACCACCCTGAACCTCAACCTCAACCTGAACCCCCTTCCATCGCTTTCCTCGAACACTCACTCTGTAACATCGTCGACGCCTTTGCCAATCCTCATCCTCATCTTCATCCTCACGACACCCTGATATTAACACCGAGAACTGTCCTTGGTGTTACGCCTTTCTCTCATATACGATTACAGTTTCTGTCGCGCAATTCCTCACGAAGTCCCAGAAACTTGAACGCTGTCGCTCGCCTCGCACAACCGCGATTGAATCCCTCTGCATCACACTGCAACGCGCAAAGGATCATTCCAGCGTCACTCCACGTCCTCTGTATCTGCGAACTGCACCAGATCCAAAACAACAGGGCAATCGCCCCCTGACCTGACCTCCCCTCTCGCGACAGTACATCAGACTTCCTCCTTGTGCACTGCACCTCATGTCCATACCGACCTTCAGCTTCGAAATGCCCGAGTATGCCAAAGGCACCGGGGAACAGAGAGGATCGTATCTGTCGTCTTTTGCACGCTGGTTTCAGCTGAAGAAGTACCAATACGAGGTCACTTTCTCGCTGTACATGCTTACGTCGACCGAGAAGTTCATCTTCAGTGCGTACCCCTCATCCTCGTCGCCAACTAACCCTCTCTGTTGAATCGCTTCCTAACCGCACCTTTCAGATCTAATCCTCTTCATCCTTGTCTCTCTTCTGGTCACCGCTGCGTCGTTCTACCTGCCGAACCACATCGCCGTCATCTACAACCGCATCTACTACTACGTCAACGGCGAGTTCGCCTACGCCACTGCCACGGCAGGAGGGAAGGCGGTGTCCTACATGACGGACGGGCTGGCGATGAATTCGGGAACACCGGCATTGGTCACTTCTACTGCACAGGTTATGGGAGACTCGGCCGCGGCCGCATTGAGAGACCTATAGTGATACCCAACATAACTTGTTTTATACTAAGCACACGCCTCACATCGGCGTCTGGGTTTTCGGGGGGTTGAGAATGAGTTGGTAGAGACGAATATTACTGATTTTAAAAAATGCACATTTCAGCATGGCGTGTCGCATTGGCTTGTTGATTCGTGGTAGCGGTAGCGGTAGCGGTTTGAGGAGTGTCACATGGTTTGAGTGGAACTGTATCATATTTCACATTAGGTGCTGGTTGTGTCGAGTTGAGCTGATGTACTTTTATTCCTCCTGGTATCTGCGCCCAAATGGTCGTGTTGTACAAAGTGCCGTTGAGAACGTTGCTGGCTCTCTTCATTCCAAGGCCTTGATACCCTGGTGTCTTTTCCCTCTCTTGTATTATCATCGATCAAACACCGTCGCCATGCCAAAAAGAAAGTTCTCAAATTTCGGTGTCATACACATCGTCAAGGGAGAAGAGAGATGCAATCAAGCCGTACCCTCATGTTTCTCTTTCGCATCCCGAAACGCCAGTTTGGCCGCCCCCAGCGCCTCTTCGGCCCGCCGCCGTCTCTCAATCTCGCGCTCCTTCATCACATTCTGGATGCGCTCGACCTCGGCTTTGATCTCTTCGCGCTCGTACGGGATCTTGTTGCTCTGTTCCTGGGTCGGCCAGAAGTCGGGCACGGAGAAGCGCTCCTCCAGATTCGTGCCGAAATAGTACATATATCCTATCGGGAAGGCGAGGTAGATACCAAACTAGCGAGGGACATTAGACGAGACCATAGGACGAGAGGGGGGAGAGCGGGACGTGAGTGCTGTACCTTGAAGACTTCGAGGTTGGTGCCCCGGAGGGACCGGAGGATGTAGTTATACACCATCAGGCCTGCGGCCAGGATTGCCCGGCTTGTTGGAGTCTTGTTGGATTCACTGCTACTCTCTGAAGCAGGACCGGATCAAGAAGAATCTTTCTTCTGGTCAATCGTCGGATGACAGGGCAGGGAAAAGAGGGACTACATATGTAGGTATGTACATACGGCTCAGTCCTCATTCGATGGTTGAGTTGGCTTGGCGGCTGCTCCAACCTCAGGTGAGTGCCTACCTATATCCTTCTACCAATAGGTGCACACCCTGACCGGGCCGCTTTAAGAACGACTTGTCCTCACTCTTACTGCGACTTACCTCTCGCCTCACTCTTCAACTTATCCTTCTTACCCTTAACGATCCCATTCGATGGCTCTAATTAATACCCTTCTTCCAATGCGTGGACTGTATGGAACAAACCTACAGCTATGTAATTTCACGTCATGCCCGCCGCTCTACATGGTCCTCGATCGGGACTAGCACTCACGGCTCCCAGGTCCTCCTCGAGTAAGCGGCGTCATCTATCGCCGGAAACAGATGCGCCATCCTCGTCCTTTCTGCCTCGCGAGGCAATTTGGACAGGCCGTGGCAGATATGTTAGATCAGCATCATTGCATTTTGAAGCTTTCTAGCCCTCTTTGATGGCCACTTTACTCTTCTAGCCCAGGAAGTTGACGGTGCAAGACGCACTCCACCACGCTGTCGAGGTATGTCGGTGACGCGACCTGCACCCCCTCTCTGCAGGGATGGGTTTCTGTTAGTCCCCTTGCCCGCACCGCCTCGAATGCCTTGTGGTTTGGTTCGGTTGTCTCTTGATGTCTCGCAGATCCAGTGCCATGACTTCAACAGCATGGATGAGGTCACTCAGCAGGCCGGGGGACGTCTTGCGACGTCGCTTCACAGGACGAAGCCGGTTGCTCTGCCCTCTGCCAACCCGCGGTCGCTGACGGCTTCTTGTCCGAAGCTCTTGGAGCCTTTTCTGACATCTATTTTCTACGGACCAGCCAAGGGCTCGGGCTTCTCCACCAGGGTGGCCATTGAAGATCTTGCCGAGGTCGTCTTGAGGATGGCTTCCGCGATTATGCCCGATGCAGAGTCCATTGCAGGGCTGGGTCCGGAGGAACATCTTCATGGCAACTTACCCAGGCCGACGGTACCTGCATCTCCTGCATTTCTCCACACTCTCCGGTGTCTTGCCGGGGTTTAGCTTTGTGAAGACCTATCTCTCGACGAAGGTAGGCAAGGTTTCCAATACCTTCCCCTGGTCACAGTATTTCCCGGGAGTGATGGTATGTGAACGAAAAAGGTCATGAACAAAAAAAGTCATCAAAGCCATCCCCAGCGAATGGTGGAGCCCCTGGTTCGGAATGACACCTAATGGGAAAAAAGCGTACACACGCAACAAAGAAGGTGTCTGCGATTGACCTCGTGGGCGAGTAACTAGTTCCCAAGACCCCCTATGGCCTTTGGGTGCAAACAGCTTCCATTTTCCGCGACGGGGAGTACGTCTACTACCCTCTGCCCGAACGTGGAGGTGAGCATGTCGCCGAAGCCGCCGGAGCCATATGCCATCCCAGTGCTGGATACGCCCCTCGACCAAATTGTCAGATTGTTTTCCTTATACGTATTACGTATACAGGTGCGGTGACGATCCACGTGTACACGCAGGACGGATTGTCCGTGGGACAGTATCGGTTTGAGATTACGCAGGATGATAGAGCGCAGCAGGCCAGGGGAAGGCTTCTGGTCTTCTCGCCCGGCGATTTTCGAGACCTGGCGTTCTTTGAGACAGATGAATGTCCGTTGACGGTGTTTGCGGCACAGAATGAGATGAGGGTGTTTGCGGCCAAGATTTGGCCCTGCACGGTGACGGTGGACGATTTGGTGGAGGTTAGGGTCGAGAGCTCAGAGGATGTTACATGTCGATACAATGACGCCGAGGGTCAACAAAGACTCCAGGCTGCGCACGGGCTGGCTCTGATTCCATAGTTGATTTCTAGGAGTGACCGGAAGGTTGGTTGATATGTAGATAAAATTTGCATTGAGCTACAGAGTTACATTCCCGCTTCCCTCGCTGAAGTTCGTGATGCCCTCTTGACCAATACGTCCATATTCCGGTATACTGTTCTTTTTTGCTAGGCTACTACGTACCTCGTTCTTGGGCGTACACCAACAGTGGCATGGCGTGGCCGAACCACGTGGGAGTCAACGCAAACGCGGAGAGAGCGCGGTGCATGCCGAGTTTCTTACGAGCGAGTCAGAGGAGGCGACGTCGGCCGAGAGCCTCGCCTTTCAAGTTGCAGTCATGATTGAGTTCAGCGGTCCAATCGGGCGGGTGTAACTGTGGTGGAGCACAACTAGCGCCCGGACATTCAAGGTACATGATTGGCTTACCGGAGACCGTCTCCCGCCCCAACCCACTACTTAACGAAGTGGTATACAATTCCTACTATAGTAACCAGGACGATACTGCTAGCAGATGTTGAGGTGGCCATCCACAATGCAGGACACCCCCTCAGGCTACTGTACACATTAGTGCCTTTCACACTACGCCGAGATCGGAATCGTCAACCCAAAATAGAACGTCGTCACGTCAAAGCAGGCTGGGGATAGGAGTAAGCTCGGCCGAAAGGGATTTCGAAGAGCGGGAGCGACATAGATGGACTCGAAAGAGGGCCAACCATATACCGACGCACGTTGATGCTCATCTACTGCTCAAGTTTCGCTGGATCTCAGTCACTTCAGCTCTGCTGCTCTCCTACCAGCTGGCTCTGTGAGACTGTCGCCCGTCAGAGCCAGAATCCAAAATGACTTCCAAGCCTCGTCTGACATTTGCATGCGGACCATACGACCGCATGGACGCCCTCGCCCACGGGGTGGTCCAAGCCGCTGGCATCGATTTGAACCACATCACGATCGACCACCCCAGGGACATCTTCGACCGCATGGCGGGAGGACTAGAATTTGACGCATCAGAGATGTCGGCATCAGAGTACATCTGTCGCTACGCCGACGGCGAGCGAGATCTGACGGCCGTCCCGGTCTTCCCATCGCGGGCCTTCCGCCACAACTGCATCGTGGTCAACACCAACCTCGTGCAGAAGCCGTCGGATCTCAACGGAAAACGGATCGGGGTCCAGCTCTACACCATGACTGCGGCGGTGTGGATCAGAGGCGCCCTGCAGGACGCCGGCGTCGACCTGTCCACGATCACCTGGGTAGAGGGTGCCCTGGAGAAACCTGGCCCTCACGGCAGCGCGCACACCAAACCCAAGCCACTCCTCCGCCAGGTCAAGCGTGTGTCAAACGAGAACAAGTCAAAGTCCCTCAGTCAGCTGCTGGAAGATGGGGATATTGCGGCAACCATTGGTGCCGACCCCCCTCCGTGCCTTGGGAAGGCTTCCCACGTGCGCCAGCTGTTCCCCGACATCAGGGAGACGGAGAAGCGGTATTTTCGAGAGAGCGGCATCTTCCCCATCATGCATCTCGTGGTGGTCAAGACAGACGTCGTGGATCGGTTTCCATTCGTGCCGTCCAGTCTGTTCCACGCAGTGAACGAATCCAAGGACATTGCTCTGCGTCGGATGAAATACTCGGGCACGTACCGCTACATGTTGCCCTTCTTGACCTCGGATCTGGAGGAGATTGAGGAAGTCTTCGGCGGCGATCCATGGCCTTACGGCATCGAAGCCAATAGGAAGAGCTTGGAAGCCCTGGTGTCGTTCCTCTACGATCAGGCGATGATAGCTCGCAAGATTCCCTTGGAAGAGCTTTTTGCACCAGTGCGCGGCAAGAATCTGAAGATCTGATACTTAAAACAGAGATTCGACACTCAGCAGCTATATAAAGCCAATTCTATAGCTCGGATACATCGTTGAAGACGTGGTGGATGGGCAACATCATCGTGAGGCAAGGCTGTTATGTTGACCGAATTCTAAGGCATTTACAGGTGGGATATTCACACCCCTTGTACTTACACCACCTATTGTCACGCTTATATAGAGAAAGCGGTCCTGCCTAATTTACTCGCAATACAAAACAACAGTTTACCACCTTCTACAGCACTCTCTGGGCTGTGCTAACGTGTTCTCCTACTGGAATCAGTGCTTCCTACCACCACTCACCCACTGTGCGAGGTAAAATTTGTGAAAAAAGATCAGATCCCCATCAAATAGCTGGAGTCTAGAATCTATTGCTGTCTAAGCACTATTCAACCCCTATGCTAACCTCCAAGTGCTCCTTGAACCACAGAGCAGCTTGCAAAAAGGAATTCTCCTTTGCATACTCGACGTGCCGGACATCGGGGTCCCCTCGAACTGCAAATCCATGCCCGACACCACCGTACAAATTGATCTGGTAAGGGAGACCCAAATCCTTCAAGATGACCTCGGTGTCGTGGCGTTTCTCTGCCGGGAAGATGGAGTCCTTTTCGGCGGCAGAGATGGCCAGTGGGCCCTTGATGCTCTTCAACTCGTCCTCGTCGATGAAAGATGGATGAGCAGCGTATCCCACGTCAATTTTGGATGGGCCTGAGACGAGGTGTCGAACGACATACTTGGCCCCAAAGCAGTATCCGGCAGCAGCGATTTTCTAGATCTCGTCGATTAACGCCATCCCTCAAAAGTTCCTTCGTTCCTGGTCAAGACTCGACGCACCTTGCATTGGTATTTTGTTCTCATCTCCACGAGACAGGCGTGAACGATGGGATCGATGGTTGAGGGCGTGTGAGACTTGTTCAGTCCGCCGTACTCTCCCCGTCTCCATTTTTGCATATCGAAGTCCCCTGGCCGATTCAGCGGTACGGGATCACCATAGAAAAGATCCGGCATCATGACAAAATAGCCATTTGCCGCGAACTTGTCGGCGAGGAGTTGAGCATTGTTGAAGCGGTGCCCGATAATATCAGTCAGACTATTCGACATCTTAGAGGTGTGCTCCTGTAATAGATCCAGAACATCAAGGGGCCTGCCGCCTGCACATACATCAAGACGCCATAATCGGTCGATCTATCGTCAGGAAAACTGGTATAGATCTCGAAGTCGCCCAAGCTGGACAAACTCCCTAGGGGTTGTCCCTGGTGCTGGGTCCCTTGGAAACAACAGGCCGCAGGCGGGTGAGAGGCCATTCTTCTGGGCCTTGCAAGCGTCGCGAGGATATGGCGAGATTTGGAGACATGGAGATTACTTCGCCCTTGATAGTTTTAAGCAGCTCGAAGGGAAAGAAACAAAGAGCAATGTTTCGGTCGGATCGGCTCTATCCATCGTGATACGACCGAGGTAAGAAAGGCTGACGTGGACAGTACACCCTCTCTTGAATGTTAATGGATGTGGTCTCTGCGTAGAGATACAACTGAGACTGGTTATTTCTTCATCAGTGTGAATGAGAGCTCCGAACACGGAGGTACAGGATACTTACCTGGTAGACTTCTCCTCACAGTGTTGTCCTGCCGTATCTCCACGGGAATTTGGCCCCCTGGATAGATCGGCTTGAAGACTCCCCTGATTGGAGCATCCTTACTGGACACGGCACGTCCTACCTTAGCGAGCACAGAACAACTCTTGATAGGGCAGCATCTGTATGATCCATGAGCTAGTATGCTGGTTCTTCAGTAACTCCAAGCCGACTCAATCTCAGGCTCCTCGAGGCACTTGCTTTGCTAAACCTTGACTTTCTTCGACCGAACCACCTGGCCGAATGAGCGAGGTCTCCGTTGCTCTAGTTCTGCTGACAAAATGCTTCCGACTATGATGTCCAATTCCTCTTGAATAGTTGTTTAAGTGTCTTGTTCTTCTCAGGATCACGCATGAAGTTGTATCATGGTCCGTCAGCCAGCCAGCCTTGTTCACATCAAATCTGCTACGGGTTTCGATTGCGATTCACTCACACCTCAGTCGCCAGAGAGAGAAGGGGTTAAGTCAAGTCCAATTATGGCGCTGGATCCAACGGAAAAGCATTGTCTGGTCACCGACTCATCAAATGATGTTGCAAGAACAGCTGCGTCTCCAGATCACCATACACAGCATACCATGGACGGCGACCAACGCTGTATCGAGGATCGATGCGAAGAGCACACTCCGGGAAACGAAGACAGAAGCACATGTCCCCTCAGTAATCAGCTTTCTGCGCCAAAGAACCGTCTGTGTGAGAAGATGGTGGACCAAGGGAAAGAAGATCACGCTCCCGCGACTGCCAATGTTACAAGCGGCATTCAAGTGCTGACTCCGGCCGCAGCAACGACGGCAGTATTAGGAGTAGGAGCAAACACAGAGGAACCTGAGCCACGGATTCTGGTCCGTTGGGATGACAACGACCCTCGCAATCCATTCAACTGGAGTGTCACGTATAAAAGTTGGATCATGTTCCAACTCGGCATGTTAGCCCTGGCTGGATCACTAGGGTCGAGCATCATTTCACCTGCGAGCGAGGTGCTGGCGCAGGAGCTGGGCACAGATCTCGAAACCAACGTGCTGAACGTATCATTGTACGTGGTGGGATTTGCCGTTGGTCCTCTGCTCTGGGCGCCGCTCTCCGAAGTCTTCGGGCGGCGAGTGAGCATGATCCCGGCCATGACGGCGTTGGCCTTGTTAAGCATCGGGACAGCGACCAGCCACAGCGCGGCCGCCATCTTCATCACCCGGTTTTTCGGGGGCGTCTTTGGCTCCGCCCCGATCAGCAACGTCGTCGCTGCGCTGGGAGATATCTGGACGCGCGAGGTCCGCGGCACGGCCGTCAGTCTCTATGCGATTTGCGTGGTGGGCGGACCGACCTTGGGCCCTACGATCGGGGCCGCGCTTGTGGTGAATCACAACCTGGGATGGAGGTGGACCGAATATATCCTGGCGATTTGGGTCTTCGCGGTCACCTTTCTGGCCTTTTTTTGTCTCCCGGAAATCTACGGCCCTGTGCTGCTGAAGCGAAAAGCAGTAGACTTGCGCAAAGACACGGGCAACGACCGGTACTTCCATCCACAGGAGGACGTCAAGATCGACATTCAGTCCATTATTACGAAACAGCTCACCCGGCCGCTCCTTATGTTGGTGACCGAGCCGATTGTCACCTGTATCGCGCTGTACGCTTCCTTTGTGTATGCCATTCTATATCTCACGCTCGAGGCCTTCCCGATTGTCTTCCAGCAGCTTCGGCATTATCGACTGGTGGTCTCAACCTTACCATTCCTGGGTCTGTTCATCGGTGTCAATTGCGCCCTGGTCATCAACCTGGGCAATCAACCACGCTACATCCGCAAATGTCGCGAGGCCAAAGGACAGCCTGTGCCGGAAGCGCGCCTGCCGCCCATGGCCATTGGCGCCGTCTTGTTCGTCGTGGGGCTGTTCCTGTTCGGCTGGACCGCTCCAGCTCACTACTCTTGGGTCTTGCCGTCGCTGGGCGCCGTCTTCATAGGAGCAGGCTTCAACTCCATCTTTCAACAGTGCCTGAACTTCCTGGTCGATGTCTACGGCCAGTACGCCGCCAGTGCGACAGCCGCCAACACGTTTCTGCGAAGCCTCCTGTCCTGTGGCTTGCCTCTGGCGGTTCGGCCCATGTTCTTCGCCATGGGCGTGGGGCCGGCCATGTCGGTGATGGGAGCCGTCGCGGCGGCCGCCCTGCCTGTGCCTTTTGTTTTCATGAAGTACGGCCATGCTTTGCGTCGAAGATCAAAGTTTGCACCGATGCCAAAGGAAACCTGAAATGTCATAAGCCTAAGGGCGAGCATAAGAAATGCCGCGGTAGCTATCGTCGTAGATGTGGAGAGGAATTTTGATATCTTATCTAGGTCAGGACAATGAGAATCGAACAAAGGAGAAGATCGCCCGAGGAGAAAAGCCCGAGCACCCATGATGTTGAAAAGGGAAACCGAACACTTGTATCTTCGGTTCCAAGCGAAGAGGGTGTCGATGGCTTAGCCAGCGGTGGGTGATTGCGCTCATAGCATTTTCATGAATGAGGTCGACATGGTTCGTTCTGCTTGATACATGAATCAAGAAATCTGACGGCGCATATGCCCCAGCCCCATATGATGAAGCTTATCGACCATGCTGAGGTTCATGAGTACCAATTCGATCTCGATGATTCTGAAGTGACCCTTTTCATTGGCTTGGAACTCGAAGCAATAGTAGCGGCTTCCCACTGTCGACAACGTCCGCCGGTTTAACCAGGACCTTTTCGACCCTGGCGCCGGCCAAATGATGCGCGACATCAACGTTGATCTCCAACTTCATGGCCTCGAGGATGACCATGGTCTGGTCGGCCACCAGGATGTCACCCTCTTTGGCAAGGACCTTCCACACATTGGCATTGACGGGTGCTTCGATAGCAGTGATCTCCGGGTCTGTTTTCCCATATCAGTAAAATTCATATATACAAGGGGACTGATATCATGATTACCTTTCAGCCAGCTGTCGACAAAATCCATCGGAATGGCTGATTCATCCTTCTCCCTCGTCCAACGAGCAACCAATGCTTTCTCCTCAGCCAGCACCTTTTCCTGACAGGCGCTACGGTATGCATCCAAAATCTGCAGCTCGTCCTTCACCGAGTCGAGAAGCTGGTTGTGGGCCTTCATGTCGAAGTTTGTATCGACCATATCGTACTGATACAAACCGCGCCGGAACATGGACATATGGTCATCGTACTCGCCTTCGGTCACTTCGTAGAACGTGATGACGTCCATATCCTCGAACAGCCACGGCCGAGAGGCAGAATACCCGGCCTTATAGCCGAGCACGTCGACGCCCGGGATCGTCATTCCCGTGACCATATATCCGCCCGGACTGTCCGCGTTGTACAGCGCCATACAGGAGCCACCCCAGGAGACTGTCCCTTCGGGAGTGAACGTCCGCGAGGGATTCATCTTGGGCGATTTAAGGCGATGGCGTGGGTCGGCCGGCAGACATTGGGGCAGGGCGGAAATGAAGCCGACGCCGACGACGACAAATTGGGCTTCCAGAAAGATTCTCTTCAGGCCACTCGCGTCGAGGCCGTTGTTCCAGGCCACAAAATCAAAGTTGTCGGGCAGATATGTCGCGTACGGCCGTTGGTTCGTCATGTATCTTTCCACACAGTCCTTCAGCTTGGGGTGGGTGAATGTCAGGGGCAGGCGGAATGTGCGATTGAGCAGCCTGACGTCGTGGAGGTCGCCCAGCCTCTCTTCTGCGCGGACCAAGAACTCGACGAGATTCCTTTGTGGGATCCGCAGGCCGTCGTAATAGATTTGCAGTGAGTTGCCGCAGCCGACGGCGTTGATGAGTCCACCCTGGAAGCTGATGTCGCCCACCGACGCTCGCAGCAGCCTCTGCAGGGCTGTGGCGCGACACTTTTTGTTGATGTCGAACGACTCATTGCCGTAATCGACGAGCAGAAATTGATCGCCACCCTGCCGGTAAGTGACAGCAGGTCTCCCAGGCACCGGGGACAATTCTCGAACGACCGACAACAGTGTTGCATCTGGTGTTGACGCGGCGAGATCTTGGAGGGGAGGCGATGTGTTGTCGAGTGGCTCGATATCTTTGAAGGAACCGCTCTTCACCCCTGCCGAAATCTGCTGGACGAAGTGATCGCCGCGTCGTCGAGAGCGGAGCGCTTGTTCCAACGTCACTTTGTGAAACCTCAGAGTGTTTCCTGCTTCCAGTTGTCCCACCTTCCAGAGGTCGGCCTTGATCACGGTAAGGCTGCAGATAAAGCCACCAAAGTCCGGACAGTCCACAGGGAAGATGACAGGCTCGTCGCCCGTCCAGTTCAACCCTCCCAGGGGATAGCCATACTCTACCACGTTACTGGGGTGTGCTCCGCCGTCACCGCCGTCCAGTCGAGCCCACTCCGGGCTGGGGCCGATCAAACGGATCCCTCCACGTGCTGCATTGTGGGAGATCTTCCACGTGGTGTTGTACAGCATCTCAATGTCTTTGGCAGAGAGGTAGCCTTCTTCGTACGGCCCCGCCATGGCTTGCACGTCCCAGTGCTGCGAGTACCGCGGGATCAGAGGTGCAGGGATGCAAACGCCGTCGTCTGGCGCCGGCAAGTCACCCTGTGGTGATATCCTCAGGTAATCTCCCGACTTGAGAGATCGACCCTGATAGCCACCCACTCCAGAGCCCGGACATGTCGCTTTGGAGCCGAACCACGGAGCCACATTGGGAAATCCACCCTTGACGGCGAGATACGCCCGACACCCACTGTCGGACGCCGCCTTTCCAATCCTCAACGTGTCTCCTGCGTGAATGACGAGTCTCGTCCACATGTTGATGGCTTTGCCATTTAGTGTCGCATGGAAAGGCGCACCACACAGTGCGACAACGGCATCTCCAAGAAACAGTAACTCGGGCCCGTTCAAAGTGACCTCCAGGGCCTCTAGCCCAAGCTCGTTCCCGACGAGAGCATTGCCGATCTGGAAAGCGATCGGATCCATGGGGCCTGCATGCCCAAAGCCTCGGCCGATGGTCGGGCGGCCTGGGTAGTCTTGAATAAGTGTCAACGAGCCTCCAGATATCACGTCGATGGCCGGGGGGAAATAGTCGAAGGTGTCGAGAAACTTGGTCGTGGTATTGCCCAAGCCAAATTCGGTCGATTGGAGAATAGCCAAAAGGAAGTCGAGGTTGTTCGCAGGGCCCGACACGACGCTTTTGGTCACGACGTCGGAGATTTGTTGGATCGCTTGGGCTCGTGTTGATGAATGGTGCATCACCTTTGCCAGCAATGGATCTGAGTCGACGTTAGCCAAAGCTGTCCTGTCCTTTCATTTGCATGTCATGTCATCTCTTTTGGATCTTGGTCCCCATGTCAGGCTCAGATTTGCTCACCGTAGTAAGAGCTGATTGTGATGCCAGTCCGAACCCAGCTGTCAATCCTCTGACCCGGAGCCTCGTGCCACCGGACCTCCTGTAGAACTCCCGGAGAAGGCGCAAAGTTCCGGGCCGGATTCTCTGCGTAGACTCTCAATTCGATCGCGTTGCCCTGCGGTTGAAGAAGGGCTGGCTGTGACCTGACCAACTCGGCAGTGTCCAGGCCACCTCTACCGGAGAGCTCTGCATCGGCTTGTCGATACATCAACTCGACGAGATCTACTCCATAGCAAAGTTCCGTGATACCATGTTCGACCTGCAAACGGGTGTTCATCTCCAAGAAAAAGAAGCTCCCCGTGGCATCATCGACCAGGAATTCAACCGTTCCCGCAGAAGCGTACTGGACGGTTTCGGCAAGGCTGATGGCGGCCGCCGTCAACTGTTCCCGGAGCTCTGGATGTCTATTCTCAATGTACGGCGATGGACATTCCTCGATGACCTTCTGGTGCCGACGTTGAATAGAGCACTCACGTTCCCCTACCGAGATGGCCTTCCCTTGGCCATTTCCAAAGATCTGCACCTCTATATGGTGGCTAGAAGGGTAGTAGCGTTCTAGAAAAAGTCCGGCATTCTTGAACAGAGCTTCTCCTCTCGACCTCACCGTCTGAAACGAGCTTCTCACTTCATCCTCGGTAAAACAGGTCAAGAGTCCCATGCCACCACCACCTGCAGTAGCCTTCAACATGACCTAGTCATTTGAGACAGACAGGCGTCAGCAAATTTTGGAGGCAGCGCGTGAAACAGTATAGGTAAGACGCGAGCTTGGTTTGCGAATAGAACTTACCGGGAAGCCCAGTCGCTGTGCCATGGAGACCGCCCGCTCTTCATCGTCCAGAAGTCCGTTACTTCCCGGGACGACTGGAACGCCCGCTTCGATGGCCAATTTGATTGCAGAATGCTTAAGCCCGAAAGACTCGATATGTTCGGGGCTAGGCCCGACGAAAGCGAGCCCATGTTCTCTCAACTTTCGCGCGAAATCGGCATTCTCGGAGAGGAATCCATAGCCAGGGATCACGGCATCAGCGCCATTGGTTTTGGCTATCGAGATGATCTGATCACTGCAGAGTTCCAAGCCAAGTGAGTAAATAAGGTTGCTGCATTCGAGCGACCAAATGTTTGGGGCGTGTGCACTTACCTATCAAGATATGCCGTGGCCGGGCTTCCCTTTAGCAGAACTGCTGTGTCTGCCAGAGACACGTGAGCCGAGGGAGCATCTGGCTCGGTGTAAATGGCGATAGTTCTGATACCAATCGATCTGTCGTTTCATTAGTGTTCCAGCTGTGTTTCTTGGAGAAAATCGTGGCCCTACTTTGCCGATCGAATCAATCGGACTGCGATCTCGCCACGATTGCTGACCAGTACAGTTCTCAGTGACTCCATCGTCTTCTTTCGCCGGAACCTGCTTCGTGTTGGCGGTTTCGCGAAGCCTATAGCGCTAGATGAGCTTCTATATCTCCTGAGCGACAACCTGGGGCGGTCTTTCCGCAATAGTTGATGATGGGGTCACGGTGGGACCGGGAGATGACCGGCCTAGATAAGAAATACCATTGCCGGCTCCGGTTTCACCGGCTCCGGGCTTATCTTTGGTTGATTGTGCGATAGATAGGCAAGTTTTCTCAGACCTAAGACGCTGATATCAGGGATACCGGCTTCCACTCTTCTCTGAGAGAGAGTACCACGGTGGGTCGAAACGATTACCATTTTACCTTTTATCATGGTCCACCAATATCACACAAAGCCTCCGATTACTCGGCTCCGCCAATGCCCTCCATGTTTCGGGGAATTCAAAGGTGTAGCTAGATGTCATTGTACAGGACCTAGAACATCGGGAGTTTGATGAACGTCTCGACTTGATCCGCCAGGGTACCCGTGCGGAGGCTCACGTCCGGGTGGCCATGTCTCAAAAAAGAGTCGAAGACCTTTTGCCGTTACAATTACTCTTCCCTGAACACGAGCGGACGGCGACTTGATCAAGAACATTCCTGACATACTGGTACTTCCCAACTCGCCATGGTCACAGTCGTCAACGTTGCCCTCGATGAGCCCAGGGAGGTGCTGGCAACCACCCAGACACTAAGTCTAAGCTCCCAGTCTGCCAGCCACATCCAGCTCTGGCAGGAGAAAGTTCGTGGTGGATTTGCAGCATTGCCGGTAAGGGAAAACCCGGGACCAAGGCCAAAAAACCGTCTTTACAAGTGACTGACATTGATCCCATAGATCGTGTTCGCCAGTGCCCACGGCCATACCGTGACCGATGTAGACGGCAAGAAATACATTGACATGATTACACAGTTTGCCGTTCTGAACTTTGGCCATGGCCACCCGAAGATCGTGGAAGCGGTGGTAGAGCAGACACGCAAGCTCAGTCTGGTCAACACGAGCTTTATCAATCCACTCTATGCCAAGCTGGCAGATCGTATCACCAAGGTATGTATGTGTTAGGGTTAAGTCCTCTTTGGTCGGTAACATGCTGTGCTGGTTGATTGACCTTGCAATAGAAATTCGGCTATGACTCCATTGCGGCCATGCTCAGCGGCTCTGAAGCAGTTGACTCGGCCATCAAGATCTCTCGCAAGTGGGCATACGTCAAGAAAGGCATCCCTGCCGATGAAGCGCTGATCCTAACCACTGATCGATGTTACCATGGTATCAATCTGACGGTGATGCCATTGTCAAATCGCATGGCAGAAAGTAAGATTGATATCATATCGAACGTGTACTCCCCACTCTAACCTGGCCATAGACTTTGGAAAGCATCTGCCGAACGTGGGGCCGTTCAGTCCCATCGACGGCAGGCTTATTCGATATGGGAGCTCTGAAGATCTGGAGGAAGTGCTGGAGCAATGCGGAACAAAAGTGGCGGCCTTCCTGGTCGAGCCCATTCAAGGCTATGCTGGGTATGTTCTACTCTGAGTCTGGATAAGATGAGATGAGATGACTGCGAGTCTCAAAATCCGGAACTGGTGCTGATCATGGTCGTCTCAATGCCAGAACGCGCATTCCGCCGGACGGATATCTTCGACGTGTGCAAGACATCTGTCAGAAACACAATGTCCTTGTCATTTGTGATGAAATCCAAACCGGGTTCGGCCGCACAGGTCGTGATCTGGCTTATCAGCACGAGCTCGGTGTCAAGCCTGACCTTGTCTTGCTCGGTAAAGGCCTTACTGGAGGTATGTGCAGGTGGTGAATCCTTCTGTCCCCTCCACCCTACCTACTCAGGAGTGCGAGCATCGAAGACGGAAACTGTGACTGATGCTGGACATATATAGGAGTCACACCGCTTTCCCTTGTCATGGGCAAGAAACATGTGATGGACATCTTGGCCCCAGGCGAGGTTGCAAATACCTATGCCGCATCGCCCCCGGCGTGCGCGGCAGCGCTTGCAGTGCTGGACATCCTAGAAGAAGACCAAATCTCGGCCCGAGCACAACGCCTTGGGAGGATAATGTCCAACGCTATCCAGGAGGCTCAACTACCCCATCTACTCGAACATCGCGGCAAGGGCCGGGGCCTGTTCCAGACGTTGGTCATCGATGAGTCTGCAGATGGGTTGGTGACGGCTCGCCGTATCGCGGCTCTGTGTGCAGTCAGAGGCGTCCTGGTTGGAAATGGGAGCAACAGGGTGCGTCTGAGCCCGCCGTTGACCATCTCGGAGACGGCCTTGTTGAAAGCCGTGAACGTCATCGCAAGCGCGTTCAGGGATGTTGGGGCGTTGGGAGATTTCGCCGGGTCGGAGTATTTGAATTGAGATCTCAGGTGGTCATCATAGCCTGATCTACTACGTAAGGGGTAGAAAAGAAAAGATAAACACCCTTTAAGAATAGTCGAAAAGAGGTCACTTGTTGCGAACCCTCTATACTCAACAGGACTGGAGATATAGATTTGAGCAGAAGTTTTGATTACTTGAACCCTCTCTTCTTGTTGACCTCGTCGACAATCTCCCTGGTAGTCTTGACAATCTCCACACAGCCAGGGGAGTCGGAATGACAGCAGACGGTGACGGTGGCGTCTTGGTCAAAGTGCCAGTCCACGAGTGTGCCATCGATGGCCGTCACGCTTCCCTCCTCGACCTCCTGTCTGACGTGCTTCTTGAGCTTTTCCTGGTCCCACGGCAACCTCACCCTCTCGATGACCAGCTGCCCGTCAGCATAGTACCTCACGTCGGCGAACATCTCAGCCCAGAAGGGGACGCCCAGCTCTTCAGCCGCCCGTTCCATACATGTTCCCGGGAGCCCGACGACGGGGATCCCTTTCGGCACGCCGGCCATGACGGCCCGGGCCACGTTGATGTCGCGGCAGCAGAGCCCGTACAGCATCCCGTGCGGCTTGACATGCGACAGCAGCAGTCCCTCGCGGTCCAGGAAGCCCTTCAGCGCCCCGACCTGGTACACTATGTTCGCCGTATGTTCGTCGGGAGAGAGCACCAGCTCCCGACGGCCGAACCCCTGTAGGTCTGGCAGGCCGGGATGGGCGCCTGCCGCTATGCCATATGTCTTGCAGGCTCGGACTGTGGCCGCCATGGTCAATGCATCGCTGCATCATTGATGTTTCTCGTTAGCACATTCAGACATTCAGAATTCCTGGATGATCGGGCACCTTGGATGGAGCCAGACAATAGACATACCCAGCACTGCGAGAGACGGTGACAAATTAGCAAAATCGCTCTTTTTCGTCATTCATAGGAGCACTGCAAGATACTAGTACTTACTGGAATCCGCAAGCGATGTTGGCCTGGTCGATGTAAGGGAACAGCTCCTCGTCGGGGCCGCATTTGAAATTGCCGTACGCCTCCCCGAGATCGACATTGATCAAGACCTTGTTGTTGAACGGTGCCATGCTTGTGCTTCTCTGTAGATGCTAATGGCTGGAAAAGAACAGGAGAACTAGTCTCGCCGGGGATGCTTGGGAGGGACTATGGCTGATGATGGAGATAATATCGCATCCAACTTATACTTGATCAAGTGCAATGAAAATTACTAGATGATAGCTGTCACAAGAGAGGGCCTTGTTATCATGGTGGAGCAGTGAGCCTCCCCGGCCTAGGGGGGGTGCTGAACACACACCTTCCCAGTATGCCAATAGTGGGCCGTCAGTACATATAGTATTGATAACAGTCGCTCGACATTCTTCCAAGAGATCAACTAGGAGATCAAGATTTCGTGCACTTTTCGGCTCATAAGGACACAGGATTGATCCAATTTGAGACAAAGTAGACTCTTGCTCCGTCTAATACATCTAACAACATCCTATCTAGATAAGAAGTGGTGGCAGAGGGGCCGGATGACGGCCTCGGAGCCAGACAGAATTTGATAGACACGGTTCACATTTGTAGTCAGCGTCAAGACGTCTATCCCTTAACTGACCTACGCGGATTGACAATCATCATTGACACGACCTTGTTGTCTCCACTCAGCACAGGATATGCCTAGCTCTGGGATTCAGGTGTGGTTGTCTACTACTTTGACTTCAAAGGAGCATTCTGATCACATTATAACAGAGTCCTTCCTCCACGTCCCTCCACATCCACCAAGATGACGCATCTATTGAGGAGGGATGCCATGATTGAGATATACCAAAACTTGCAAGTGAATGTAGCTCGTCTGTCTCGTCAAGACTCGAACAATCCTATCCCGTAGAAGCCCCGAAAATCGACTCTGTGTCGGTTTCCACTTTGTCGAGCAGGCTCCGGGTTCGCGTCCCAATGACTTGCAAGGACCGGGATTGAGTAGCAAGCCACTGTTATGCAGTAGTGCCAAAGCCTTGCTTGGTTATGTGACTCGGTCATGTGACACGGGAGCCACTGTTGTCGGCGCATGAGAAGGCACCTCCAATGGTGCCGGCAGCGTAGGCATCGATGACGCCTTGGATGACACCATAGGTGCCGCCGACGGTGAGAAAGGCGCCAACCAGCCCCATGAGCCAGTGGCCCCAATATAGAGCCATCTGCCACATGTTCCCCTTCCTAAACTGCGCGTGGTCGTGGAGCCAGAGCCAGGCAGGCAGCATGATTGCCAGGGGCGCGAACCCGAGACTGCCCGCGAGGCTGAGGATGTAGTTGAAGATGGGGACGGCGGCACCGATCAAGAAGCCGACAATGGTCAATCCGATCACGCAGCCCAGCCAGACGGCCCAATGCACCACCGTGTTGGCCTGGAGGTGTCGGGTGTCCCGCAGGATGCGCACAAACATGTACTTTGCGGACACATGCACATAGAGACAGCCGGTGGTCAACAAGCCCAACAGGCCGACGCCATAGGCGGCCTTCTTCAGCGTCGGACCGGCACTGCCCAAGGAGGGCGACGCAACCCACTGTCCACACCACCGGTACACCACCAAGCTGCAGGTCAGGTACGAGGCCGTGACAATCCCCATACACACGTACAGCGCCTTGGAATAGTCCTGGGGGCGACGCATCTCGGAGATGACGGGCAGGAATGCAGACGTGCCCGCGCTGGAACTTAAAATCGTGGCCGCGGCGATGATCCCCGTCACAAATGTCGGGCTACCGATGACATGGTAGCCCAGCTCGTAGGGGCCCGTGGGTGGAGCGGCCGCAGGACGATCGCGGAGAGTGACTCCAATCCTTTGAGGAAAATCAGTAAAAAACAATGGCGGTGACGGTGACGGTGACGGCGGGCCACGAGGCTGGACTTACACCACGATCATGACGGCGGTAAAGATACTGACAAATGCCGCCCAGGTCAACCAGCCAAGATGTTCAAACTTGCGGATACTCGCGAGCAGGGCAATGATGATGGTGGCAATGAAGGAAAACCACTGCGTGCAAAGCGAGTGCATAGAGAGCGCGTTGAATGCAGTGGCCGACCCCACGATCGCCGAGGCCGCACAGATGATCCACGTCAAGACGAACCAAACCCCGGTAACCTCTCGAAGTACGCCGCCTCCGACCACGTTGGCCATGTCGGCGATCGAGTGGCAGCGAGGGTGCCGGTTTCGGAAATCCCCCTGGATCACGCCGGCGTACGTGTTGAGGATGCCAAACCCCACCACCGTGAGAGCGCCGGGCAGAGCACCCAGCGAGTACATGGCGGATGGGATCGTGAGCACCCCAGTGGCAAACGTCACTGTTTTGACCCGTCGTCAGTAGACAGACCTCGACTCGTCGGACGTAAAGACGCTTGCTCTGCAGAACTCACTCTTGAGGAAAATGACAGAAGCCCATATCCAGCCGACAGTCCGGAAATCGACCATGCCTTCCTCCTTTTTGAAGACTTCGAAATTGTCGTCGGTGTTGTTCAGCTTCATCCCCTCATCAAAGGCCGCCGTCTCCGGCATTTTGGAAATGTCTGAGCCAGTCATCTTCGAAGGCCGAATTCCTGAGTCGTGATACAGAGTTCTAGGATGCGAGCAGTGTGATGGACCAGATTAGGGTTGAGAGAGGAGCACGACGAGGAAGTTGGTTCGATTCCCCTTCCATGATAGGAGCAGCAGTTATATAAGTGATAGTAACACGCCTTCAACCCTGGACATGGCTTCGAATCAAGACTTTGGTGTGGTAGGACTACCTACCTAGACTCTGGCACACTGAAGATAGGGGTCCAGATCTGAACGGTATTAGATGGCACAGACAAGCGACGATAAAGTGTCATGATAAACACGATAAAAATTTGAACCGAAAGACTTCACGGGCTCCGATATCTAAGTGCCAACAAATCATATGGTCGAGTTAGAGACCCACCAACTCAGTTGAGTGATCGAGTTCCACCTTATCCGACCACTGATCAATCATGAGTGGTATAGATGACTGCGAGGTACTCGTTATCGATAAGATGAAATGGGATACCGATTCTCACGTTGGGAGCCGTTCACCTCGGAGCCGGCCATGTCGGAGCCGTCATCAGCAATCTCCATCCTGGAAGCGAGGTTTGAAAGGGTTGCGGACGCGGGCTCCTGGAGATGGCCAGGTGCGACTGATTGCCAAATCCGCTGATCTTATTGATGCCTCTCAGTAAAAGCGCTTTCGGACCTGCAGCTCCTGGAGATTCAGCATATAAAAATAGGGGGAAAAAAAAACAAGACGGTGATGTCTAGACGGATCAAGCCATCCCCAAATGTTATGGCTTCCATGGCGCAAACCCCCGACTCTGCGGCGACGCCGTACCAAGGCAAACCCCTGCCAAACGTATCCGAAGATCTGGTGATACCGGGCGTGCTCCAACTCGACTGTGACGAGAGACTTTGGGTTCCTCAAGCAAAGGATGTGTGGTTCCGACCTCTGGTGCTCAACGTCTCCCAGGGGTACTTTGTCAACATCCTGCGTGTCCGCAAATCCGGCATCCTCTCGCGACATCGACATACTGGACCAGTCCACGCGACGACTCTCAAAGGGAAGTGGCACTATCTGGAGCACCCCTGGTGGGCGACGGAAGGGAGCCACGCCTTTGAGCCGCCTGGGGACATCCACACCCTCGAGGTGCCCGACGGGGTCGACGAAATGGTCACTCTTTTCCACGTCACCGGTGCGTACATCTATGTCGACCCGCAGGGGAACGCGCTGGCGATCGAAGATGTCTTTAGCAAGCTCCAAAACGCCCGGGAACACTATGCAAAGGTCGGGTTAGGCGAGGATTATGTGGACCAGTTCATACGATAGGTTCGGTTCTGGCCTAGGCTGACCGGCTTCCATCACTTCAGAAAAAGCCAGACACGGAGGGGATCGAACATCAAAGGGGATTTCAATCGGTCGCATTTGCTTTCTGCGGAGCATCCATTCATCGTGGACCAGGGAGACGTATCATTCGGCCAACCAGTCCGCCGTGTTCATCCATTCTCGGCCCATATAATCAGGCGTCTGGGAAAAGTTGAGAGTTTCGAAAATGTTTTGCCAGTTGGTATCGGTTTGCAATGTTTGTTGTCCGTTGAGCCGTGTATCTTCGGCTTGGCCTTGCACCCCGGAGACGATCAGAGTGCGAAGATCACTCAATAGGCCCTCGAAAAGGGCGTTCACCGCACCGACGTTGGGCCAGTATTTTGCGAGCTCGGTGGCGCATCTGAGCAGGCGTGAGAGCTGGTTGTGAGCATTCGTAGCCACCAACGTCGAGCTCTTGTCCAAGGCCATTTTGATGATGTTGGCGGTATGGATGGCAGCTGCCGTGATGGCCATGTTTGCAGTAAAGTAGCACCGTCCAATTGTGCCCTGAGAGATCATGAGCTCGAATAAAGATATTATTGCTTGTGTAGCCTCGATGCAGATGTCTCTCGAGTCAGCGCTGTCAACAAGGTTGCGATGAAGGTGCAGTTGAATCAGATTGTAGTGCAGACGTAGTTGGCACGACAGGAAATCGTCGCCTTGTGGCAAGTCGAGAGCCCACTGGGCCAGGGCCAAGCTGACCGAGGCCGCGTCTGGCCCACTGCCACTTCCCTGTGGCCGAGTCATGTCAAGAATGTCGAGGATGATGAAGCAGAGCTTGACGTTCTTCGCACAAAACTCAAAGCTCACCTGGGCGTTGGGAAGCTGTCGATCCCCTTCAAGGAAGTCGTCGATCTTCAGAGGAGGTTGATCTGTGTCTCGAATATTGATCATGCATGGCCGCCCATGATCGAGGGCCGAAAAGGTCTCGGCCTGGAATATCGTCCACCAGACTCGGCGATACAACCTTCGTTCCCACTGTGGCAGGCGTGTTGCAGCCCCGTGGGATACATCCCGATGCACACCCATGCCAAATCCAATGCGGCAAGCAACTCCCAGCCAGTAGTAGCTTCCTGAAGTGACAGTGTCGGCGTTTTCCAGGTGCCAGGTAAAGAGCATGGCCGCCTGCATCAAGTGTAGACGATCATTCTCATGGCGAATGTGAAAAAGCAGGCTTGCCCTTCTGAAAAGCGTGCCTTTGACGACCGCACGCGACTCGGCGACCAGGGGATGGTCGCAGACATGAGCACCCGCCAGCAGCACAGCCTGGAACAGCAGGAGCGGTGGCGGCATGTCTGGGTCTTCGTATTGACGTCGAAATTTGGCCTCCTCGATGATCGGGAAGCTCGGGTGAATGCGTGTGAAATAAGCTTCAACCAAGGCGTCCCGCGCCTCCTTGGACGGAAAACACGAAATGTCGTCGGCAATGTCAATGTTGCCGCGTAGATTCCAGATGGTGTTGGGCTTCCAAGGTAAAGGACTCCGAATAGGAGGAAAAGGATAATGCAGTGTCGGTCTCGTAGGCTTCTTTAGGTTCACCAGATGAGTGAGGTTTGAGGCCGGCGTGCCAATATATGCCAACCGAACATGATCGCCATTGTTGTCGAAGACCAACCATTCGGTGGTGTCTACTCCGTGCTGGAAGAATTGCGTCAAAGACTCCTTGGTGAGTCCATGGAGAACGTTGTAGTTGTCAGAAACAAGCTTGCGACCCTCCAAAGGTGCTTGGTCCCCACGGGACATAGAAGCCGGAGAGCTGGCAGGTCGATCAACTCGAGCGACCCCGGTCGAGGACGCGGGGCTACATTCCTCACGTCCTTTGTCCTGGCTCTCATTACGGTGCCAGCTTGCCGTGGAGCTGGGGCGGTTAGCAATGCACGATCCAGCGGAAGTCGAAGATTTCTTACCGGCATTCGAGCCTTGACCTTTTGCACGTTGTGCAAGGATATTCGTCAATCACATCGCACGCCACCTTTCGCCGGCGACATGTGTCGCAAGCCTTCTTCTGCTGCCGTTTTCTCCGAGGTCGCTCGGATTGCACCATGGCGTAGAAAGATTACTAGAAGTAGCTCGCAGAGCTGCTCTGGAGGACTTCTTGGAGAGTTGGCTTATGACCTTAACAAAGCATTCTTGTATCTGCGAAGGGTTCAGGAGGTTGGTAGGGGAGCCTGGATGTCAAAATATATAGGTATTCAATACCAGATTTGGTGATAACAAGGTTATAGCGCTTGCCAGTCCGTATACAGTAGTCCAGGGACGCTGCTTTAGACATACGCTGCAATATCATTGGATGGCCAGGAGAGCACTGTGGAGATGCTACAGCGTCCAATCACATCCATCCATCCGGTCAAGGAGAGTTGCTCAGGCATTCCATTCACCAGGGGACTCGGGAGTGCTCTCCAGTGGACGAATTATATGATCAATACATATTAGTATGCCTCAACTCTTGGTCTCCGTCCTCCATGTCATGCACAACAGGCTCTTGGGTCTTGACCAGCATGCTGTGTGCATACGATGATGTTTCAACGGAAGCGCCGTGATCACGGTTCAACTTCCAGCCGCAAGGTTGGCCTACTGACAGAAGGTGGCACATATGCATAAGATGGATTTTCATGGCCTCATATACACACAGACACACAGCACTGCCAGTCAGCAACGTCAGTGAACACGGAGGACGCAGCTGAGACGATCCTAGACCCCGGCCTTTCATCCTGGTCTTCCGCGCCTCAGCCCCCACACGCCTTGCATCAGCCAGGGGCCAGGGTCTCGACCATTGTGGCGCAGGGTTCCCCTCGACTGCCAACAAGTCTCTGGTCGAGGTCTCACCGCACCATGAACCTCATATCTGACGATAAATGCCTACCTATGTATGCAGAAGCACTTGATGCTCATGAACAGGCAAAATGTCAACAACCACAACATCGATCCATTTACAGCCTTTATCGCCGACTGCTAGTGCTCCAGCGTCAGCTCCAGGACAGCAGCCTCAGCCTTGTGTAGCACCTCCAAACAACATCCCCAACAACAATCCAGTCAATGCCAACCTACCGAACGCTCCTCAACAGGCTGCAGCCAACAACCTAGGCGGTGCGGCTCCTGGGACGACCTCAGCAAGGGCGCGCGTCAAAGGCTGGCTGTTCTTCTTCGTCAAAGTACTCGCTGGTGTCGCCGCCCTCGTTGCAACATACATCGCTTTAAATGTCGCCTTGTGGACTTCAGTCAAGGATTTCCGCGACGACTGTCGGAGTCAGAATGTAAGAATGGCTATGCATTCATTTACCATGAGAAGAAATGTGCACTAGTCGACTAACATTGGACTTCCTGCCCAGACCACTTTGGGTGTGCTCACCCAAACATGCCGTACAGCCTTGCGGAAACCACTTTCGCCGCCTCCATTCCTACCCAAGTCGTTTGGCAGCCAGCGAGTCAAACGATGGCTGGAAAGTGCCTTGACTTCGTCGTCTCTAGTCCTCGGGACTCCGACACCTCCTTCGATCAATGTTGACATACTCTCCTACGCAGCAGCAGGGCTCGCAGGCGTCGGCTTTTTCCTGTTCATTGCCTCACTTCTCCATCAACAAATTGATGTCAGCGCTGGTATGGTAATGACCTTGAGAAGAGCAAGAAACGATCAAACCATGAGGTCTTCACAAAATCTGGGTGCTGGAATGTCAATGTCATGGGTGGCCAACGCGGTGCCTCGACAGGCCCTTCTGTCAGGATACGAACATACTGTACGAAAAAGGCAGCGCAGATTCGTCCAATTTGCCGACAATGGCGATAGTGAATGGCTGCCAGCGGGACAGTCAGCTATGAGGGCGAATCTCGAAGCACAATCAACATTCCGTTCCAGTGACCTGCCGTTATTGTCGAATAAATATGACTCTTCATCAGCAACAGCTGCTTCGTCCGTGGCGAAGCAATCAACTTCCGATGCTGAAGGACCCGGTCTACAGATGCGCAAGTCGACTGCGTCGCTCATCTCAGAAGGGCAGAACTCGTTCTGGGTGTCAGAGAGGACCGCATCAGAAAGCGACAGTGACTACGGGATGGACGCAGATTTCTCCGGTGAATTGCACGAAGAACCCCTTAAATTATGCGAAGAACCTATGCCTCGCCCAGTCAATCCCAGCGTCGTTTCCTATATAAAAGCTCCACCGATCGGAACCGAGTTCGATTCAGTCACCTCCCAGAATTCTGGCCAGTTCACGAGCGGTACCCCGAACATGGCGAGGCCAGATATGGCGCCCAACGAGGGCCGTGTTCTTCAGACCGCCCAATCCGAGCCACTCAGCAGGATGCTTGCCGAAGAGAGCACAACCACGTATTGGACGCCTTATGCCGTGGGAGCTAGAACTTGGGTCCAGTCCCGTCCACCTACGAATCAAAGTGAGGATCTCCTGGGTCTGAGACGGCCTGATCCGGGAGACGTACCTCAACCAGATCACATTGTTGATGATATCGATGCGTGATTCTTCAGGTATTCATCATGTATGTACCTCACTTTGAGCGGACGTGGCTTCTCTTGACGTCCGTCGATGCTGTTCGCTCTCTTGCACATAGCCAGCACTGGCAGCAACTCCAGTGGCGACTAGAGAGAGGGATGAGACCACAGAGGTATGTGATTCCAAGTGAAGGCGGAAACAGTGGCAGATATGTTGATGTAACCCTCTTTCTCTGTGTAACAACGTCTCATGGATTACACAACAGGAGAACGTGGAGAAAAGGTTTTCGGTGTATCAACACCCGATCAGCTCACTTGACGACGAACAAACCTTAGCCTCAGGTGCCTGATGGAGATCCCTAGCCCCTCCACCCCTCCTCCAGGCTGGCTGTCACCCAAATAACCGAGCATTTCCGTGGGGGTCCCCGCAGGTGAGAGATGAGTTGGAATCCGAAACATCCTGATTGGAGTGTACCTCTGGAATCAACTTGGAGTGGACATCGGGTTCGCGCCGACAGCCGCCGGCGTGTGACCGTGTTCGTCTCAAGCACCTATGTATATTTCCGCATGGTAGCCGTACGTATTTATGTAGGTTGTCCCTGTGCAAGGAGAACATATTCGGACCGAAACCGTCTACGCTTCAAAGGAGTGCATGCCACCCTTTGATCAACAGCAACTGCAAGCCATCAATTAGTCCGACAACCACTCTTGCAGCCACTCAATCAGCATGAGTTGCCAGCAGGAGTCATCGACCTCCGTATCCTGTAACTCCTGCCCCAGTGATGGCCAGCACAATGGCTGTGTGGGCGACATTGAAGACTACAAAGTCGAGCTGGACTCGTTACGCAAACGCACTCGGGAGCTTGAACAGAAGCTGTCGGAGGTAGGCCTGGGGACTAATGGCGGTGGTGTCGGGTCTTCTTCGTCGCCATCCAAGTTCCGGTCGGCTCGCTGGTTCAACGACAAAAGCAATCCCGAGATGTCCGCTCTCTATGCTGACCGGTATTTCAATTTCGGGCTCACTGAGGAGGAATTGATGTCTGGAAGACCGATTGTCGGCATTGCACAGTCGGGCTCCGACCTGGCGCCGTGCAACCGGTATCATCTGACACTGGCCAAACGAGTCCGTGAAGGGATTCGGTCAGCTGGCGGCATTGCATTCGAGTTTCCAACACATCCCATCCAGGAGAGTTCGCGAAGGCCTACTGCGACGCTGGACAGGAATCTGGCATATTTAGGGCTGGTCGAGCTGCTGTTTGCTTATCCGTTGGACGGTGTCGTCCTTCTGACTGGCTGTGACAAGACAACTCCCGCCTTCCTCATGGCCGCTGCTACTGTGGTGGGTTCGATACGGGATCCTATCTAGCATGCCCGTGGATGGATCTGCTGAACAATTTGATTTTAGAATATCCCAGCCATCTGCCTCAACGTGGGCCCGATGCTGAACGGCCGCATCAAGGGCTCGAACCAGCGCATGGGTTCAGGAACAGTTGTGTGGAAAGCCCGAGATCTGCACGCCGCAGGTGAGATCGATGATGATATGCTGGTGGAGATGATCACGTCTGGGTACGTCGTGGAGGCTGTTGTGTTTGTTAGGAGGTGTTCTTCTGGCTGACTCTGACTCTGGATCAACAGGACGCCATCTGCTGGCCACTGCAACACTATGGGCACGGCATCAACCATGAACGCGCTTGCTGAGGCCCTGGGGATGGCACTGCCGGGATCCGCGGCCATTCCGGCACCATATCGTGAGCGAGCCCAAGTCGCGTACAAGACGGGCAGACAGATTGTCGAAATGATTCATGCGGACCGCAAGCCAAGTGACATCATGACAAGGGAAGCGTTCGAGAATGCCATCGTGGTCAACAGCGCCATTGGAGGCAGCACCAATGCTCCGATCCACTTGAATGCGATTGCAAAGCATACTGGAGTGCCTCTCGATCTGAACGACTGGGACAAAATCGGATTCGACATCCCGCTGCTCGTGAACGTCCAACCGGCCGGCGAGATGTTGTGTGAAGAATACTACAAGGCGGGCGGTCTCCCGGCTGTCATGGCCGAGCTCCTGGACCAGGGCAAGCTGCACGCCCAAGCCCTGACGTGTAATGGCAGGACAGTCAAGGACAATGTGAGTGGTCAACACTCCTGGGACCGACAGACGATCAGGGCGTACTCGGAACCGCAGAAAGAAAGTGCTGGGTTTCTCCATATGACCGGCAGTCTCTTTGATTCCGCCATCATGAAGACCTCTGTCATATCGGACGGATTCCGCAAAGAGTTCTTGGAAGATCCTAACGATCCCAACGCTTTCGAGTGCAAGGCTGTTGTGTTCGATGGTCGGGAAGATTTCATCCAGCGCATCGATGACCCCAAGACTTCCATCGATAAGAGGACCATCTTGGTCATGAGAGGCGCGGGCCCGATCGGATATCCCGGCGCCGCAGAGGTGGTCAACATGCATGCGCCGGGACATCTGTTGAAGCAAGGGGTCCATTCTCTGCCGTGCATCGGAGACGGCAGACAGTCTGGCACGTCAGGGTCGCCGTCTATTCTGAACGCCAGTCCGGAAGCAGCTGCAGGTGGGAACCTGGCGCTCTTACGTGACGGCGACCGGCTACGGGTCGACCTCAACAAAAGAAAGGTCAATATTCTGGTGGCAGAGGATGAATTGGAGCGGCGTCGTAAGGAGCTCGAGTCTAAAGGCGGCTATGCGATTCCAGAAAGCCAAACGCCATGGCAGGATATCTTCAGGCGGGAGACCGGCCAGCTGAATGAGGGTATGGTCCTGAATTGCGCTGTCAAATATCAACGCGTGGCGCAACGCTGGCCTGCGCCCCGGCACAACCATTGAATGGATCGCTGGAGTGTTTATAATGGTCGAGACCTGTGTCTCCTGGTATGGCTTCAGGTTCCCCATGGTACGAGTTCTGGTTATCACCAGTTTTCCCAGATCACATCTGGTAGCACTGTTCGCATGACTCTCCAGTGGCCCAATGCGCTCTGGGCCTGCCATTTCTCCAGTTGTTTTGTCTTGCCGCTGCGTAGGACGTCGCCAGATTTCTCGAATGCACCCAGTGGGATCTCGTGTCTGGGCAGGAGGAACTCTCTCCGAGCACCGCTGCCAAGAAAGTCTGCGTGTGTAGGCTTTCGGAAAGTGATCGGCATGGCTTGTTTGCGGCAAAAGATCACCATATTCGTGAAGTCGTCGGCTTTTGTACCAGGAGCTGGAGCTTCGTCTTCTCTAAAGACTCGGCAGGATGGGAAGACGGATGTGATGGTGCGATAGATGAGAGATGAGGCGGGCATGGTAATGTCTCCGGCGTAGTTGATGGCAATCACCCCGTCAGGTTTCAGCAGCATATGCAGGCCAGCCATGAATTCGGCCGTGAAGAGCTCCACAGGTTCTGCTCCACCCGTGAAGACGTCGTGAATGATATAGTCGTATGAATCAGCCTCCGACGCATTGGCGTTTCGAACGGCTGCCACGGCGTCGCCGATCAAGTAGCTGTGATTATGCGGCAGAGCGAAATATTTGACCGCGAACTCATGTACCACCTGGTCGATTTCGAGGATTGTGGTGTTGATTCCATGGGCTATCAGCGCAGATGGCGCAGTTCCGATACCCAAACCGATGTTTAATGCTGTCTTGTCCATGTTGCTGGATGATGGTTCCACGAGTCGGACAGCTTCAAGCATGGTGAACACGGCGTAGATTGGCTCTCCCACTCTCCGTCTCCTATTCCGCTGCTTTGATGGTTCCATCTTCCATTCACCTCCGAGTAGACTATGGTCGCATCTCATGACGCGGAACCCACGCTGATTGTCCTCGAGCACGGAGATGTAGCCCGTGACGGACTCCTTGCGTTCCAGTAGAGTGTAGTCGTACAGAGCTAACGTGTTGTTCAGCACCTGCGTGGTCTTTGACAGAGCGCAATGCGGATTGGCCACCATGGTGAAAGCGACGGCTGGCATGGAGGGCCATAGAAGGCTTCTGGGCAATACCATCCCATACAGCGAGGCGATGAAAAGTTGTAGACCGATGCGAGACCGGAGAAAGCCCGGTCCGGCCAATGAGGAGATGAAGCTTTTGGAGGCCCTTTGAAAAACCGTGAAGAGCATAAACAGACCCATGGATGGTACCGCATCGCCGTAGCGCGAGTCCAAATGGGTTTCGTTTACTTTGTCAAAATATTGGATGGCCACGTATACAGATAACACCACCAACGGATAGCATGTTAAGCTTTCCGTAATCACGGGGCCCAGGGGGTTTCCGAGGACCGCGCTGAGCTGGAACAGTAAGAACTGAATCGTGGGAATCCAGAAACAGAATGGTGTGATGCCCTGGGCAATCCAGGGGGGTAAATAACCACGCAGGGCAAAGGCAAGCAGAAACGAGGCGGTAAGTCCATAGCGATGGTACAAGGCAGCGGGGACAGCTCCGTAGACAGGTGACAGGGTCAGTTGCGAGATTGATGCATATAGCGACGCGAGGAGGATCAGTTGCAAGGCTCGTTGGGTCCTGAGATCGCTCAAGATACTCCAGATGGTTCTCGGTCTCTGCGTGTGCACATGAGAGCTTTGTTGAGAGACAGGTGCGGTGTTGTTTTCCACAGTCTGTTTGCTCTGCTTTGGAGGCTTGTTCTGCCTCCTGGCCATTGTACCTCTGGACTTTTGATCAGCAGATTCGAGCTTTGGAGGTGCTCGACGAGGTTGTCTTTCAGAAATGATGATCGAAAGACGCGTGGCATACAACAAAAGAGACACTTGGGTTTCAAACTCGCTATCCAAATATAAGGTCAAGACGACGAATTACTCAAAGGCAGGTGTAAGGAAACTGGACGTGGTGAAGAGGAGGGCAGGTTGAAACATGTTCAGTTCAATTGGATTGATACTGAGCTTTGAGGTTGGAAGTTGATATTGCATTGATCCGGTTTTGTGCCTCACCGTAATTCTAGGGTGAATAATCTCTCTCTCAGACGCATTCTCTCTTCCAGCACAAACGGAAACATCGCTGACAAGACGACAACCTGGAGCATGGCATCTTCGTTGATAAAGGTAATACTGTACTGATCATGCTCACCCTGGAGCCCGCTCAGCGATTCCAGTACGGTATGTCTTAATCTGATCGGGAAGAGGAAGCATACCCTTCGTGGATCATTGTGACAATCGAGGAGACAGCCTGATCAGCCTCAGCTTCCCCCGCCGCAAGCAGTTCGAAAACATATTTTCTTTTGGCAAGCCTCCACGAACAGGCCCCCAATGACCTCCTGGCCGCGGCAATGCAAGCGCACCAGATGCAGCCAGAGAGGCAGCCAGAGAAGCTAGGGGGCTATGCCCCCTCATTGTCCGGGCCAAGACTCGAGTCTTGTGTAACATGTCCAGCAGCTTGCACCCCAGGCGGAACGACACCAGCACTGAGCATGTGCGATTGCTTGTTTCTCGCTTTGTCACTGGTCCAATCATGACGATTTTGAGAGCCAGCTTCGACATCAGCCCTGATCTATTAAACGACACGTCCAATAGCATATCTTGCCTCAGGAGGTCACACCTCTCATGTGGGCGACTTCTCGCATGGGCTGAAATCCCATGCGGCTCTGCTAGCACCTAGACCGCTCAGAGTCACGCGAGGGGGCTGGATGCTGGCTTGTAACTATTAATGTATACGATGCTCTGTAGCATGATAAAAGTGGAACACAATCGATCCTCAGCCCATTGAGGCGAGGTTCCCTCAGCAGCAGTCACGATAGAGGCAATCCAACGACTCCATCTCTCCAATAACCACGATCGAGCTCCGCTCAAATGAGGCGACGAGGCACTGGCGAAAGTGGCGATGACAGGTCACTCCGACGCAGGAACACTCGACCATACTCCGCGCAAGGTGATGAAGCTCCGCGGCTCCAGCAAGACCGGTATGGAGTCTACAATGGAATGACCTGGGCAAAGCTCAAGGGCTACTTGGATGCCAAATTCCCAAAGTCCAAGTATCCAGGGCTGGAATTCAAGGAACAACGAGTAAGTGTCCGTGGCCATTCAATTCCATGAGCCTCTCTGACGGCGTCTGTGCAAATACAGTTGGGCGACTACTGGGTTTTCGAAGTACCCGAGCTTCTGACCACGGTAAGTCTAGGCCACGGAATGCAGGGGATGAAGTCTCTGCTCGGACGTAGGTCTAAGGTGCTTCTACTAACAGGTGCTGCAGGACGACAAGAAAGAACTCGAGAAGTTGAGGGACAAGAGCCAGACCCGTCATCCTTCTCAGTCGCCAGAGCCGGAATGAGCATGAAAGTTAGGCAATCCATGTACATTATGCGCAGACGAGATTGTGATCAGGGACTGAACTGCAACCACGTAACCATCACAGTTGCCTTGTCTCGTATCCTCCATGCCTCTAGCAATGGCCAAGAATCTACAAACAATGTGTGCTACTCACCAACAAGGCTGATGGGGGCGTAGCACAGGAGAGAGGGGCTGACGCTTTGGTCAGTCGCTGTCAGCCACGATTGAACAACCCCCCTGCTAGCCCGACTGAAACATGGGCTCTCGCTTGATATCACGAACTTGAACAAGCCGCGCTGCCACCTGGCCAAGATTCGGGACTTTTGTCAGGTCCAATCCTGCCAGTATCTGGTTCATATGCCGCAGTCGTGGCCGAGCCACCGGTCACAACATACCTAGTGTACCACTGGCGCCCACAAACACGCCACAGATAGGCCGACTGGGAGGTCTGTCTTCTTGAGACGCGCCGGATTTATAGGAAGAGTCGTATCTCGCGATAAATATCTCATCTAGCCTCAAAAGTTAGAAAGTCATACGTTGCATTGAGGTGGCATCCGAAGAAGGTATGCAAACGCTGCAACTGCCCACGATCTTCCAGCGCTCGTGGCTGCATAACGAGTCTTACCCGCAGAATTTGTTTCACAAAAGTACCCTCACCTACCCTACCGCCCTCCAGGCTTACAAAGATCGTCTGGATGCAGCCGAACCTGATCTCTTCGTTAATGATGAGTCCAACGTGGAATTGTCGTTTAGGGACCTTCACAATGCCTCTGGCAAAGGTATGAGCTGTGGCGCCTCTTCTGGAAGTCGTCATCTAATCCGGGGTATGTTTAGCATTGGAGAAGTACAACATCCATACTTCAATGAAACTGACAGAATGGCTGGGGCTAGACACGGTCGCTGACCCGGCTGATTCGACAAAGCTGGTTGTTGTGGCCCGGAAACCCGACCCCAGATGTCGATTCATGTGAATCTCCCATGTTAACAGGCGTTACGAAGGCTGTATTCCCCTGACTTTGCGACAGATATGTTTATGGCGAACACTCCAGGGCGCCGCTAAAGACAACCCGCAAGATGCTGGCTCGAATTTTGACATTCCACCAGGTGATGCCAATCTACCTAGATTTCATCTCAGTCTTTGGTTCACAAAGCGAGCCGCGCGACCGCAGGTTCAGCGGATTCCGTGAGCAGAGCACTCTCTCTGATCCTCCCCGTGGTCTTGCGATCCCCTCTCTAGGCAGAAGTGGGCGCCAATATCAGCTTTGTTATAACTTGAAAAGCGTTGCTTTGGCGTCCAAGGATACCACGAATTCACGGTTGAACGAGTGGTCCATCCGGCCGGCTGTCATACACCACCAATTTGACGTTGTGAACGGCACCAGCCTCTGGATCGTGACAAAAGGGAATCACGATCTCCAAGAGCGATATAAGGAGTTAACTGGAAAGGATGGCAGGCCGGAAGACAGATCTTTTGGGAGCGTTGAGGAGTGTCTTCGGTCCAGCCTTGCTGCACACTTGATGTTCTGTCACTGGTCGACAGAAGACTGGCGTTGGTACATCCTTTGGCTCGAGACCGTGATAGAAGAACAGGTGAGCAGATCCCTGCCGAACTACCACGGCCGTAAGTACGGATCTAAATGATATCGCAGACATCCATGGTTATTCTGGGCGCGCGAGGACCGGGACACGCCTACCGTCTGTCGAAACCAGAACATGTCCAGCACCTTCAGCTCTGGGAAGACAAGATCAACGAGGTCATTATGATCTTGGAAGCAAACGTCGATATCATGTTGGCGATGTGCCGATTTTATGACGGCCTGAGGAAGAACAAGGATGTCCCCCAGAAGCTAAAGGACGATTGCGATCTCGACATAACCACCTTCACGGCCCAGGTCGAGGACATGGTGTCTGACTTCAAGATGCAAATTGCGCGTGCAAAATTGCAGGTCAAGATCACGAGCGACAGGAAGGAAATGGTAAGTTGGGTTTGCCCACAGCAATACATTCTGCAGCTGCTTTGTGGCGAAGGCTTCGTTCTGACCGAAAATGTTACTCCCTTAGGTCATCCAGCACCTCCAAAGCCAGGCGACAGAGAGAATGGAAAGACTCAATCAGAACATGGAGAGAGAGGCAATTGTGATGCGGATCATTACCATTGTGACTCTGGTGTATCTACCAGCCACATTTGTTTCTGTAGGTTGCAGTACACTACGAGCCACGATGGATCAGAGGCTAATGCGACTACAAAGACCTTCTTCAGCACAGACATTGTCAAGTATCAGACTCAGAACGGTGGGCCACCGCATGACGGGACATTCTCTAAAGCAGCCATGTATCGCTGGCTGCAAGTGACGTTGCCGTTGACCTTTGCCACTCTGATTGCTGCAATCGTCTCCTTGAAGCTTACTGAGAGAAAAAGGCGGAAGCAGCAGCAGCCGGCGGGCTACAAGATCTGGAAAAGGTGGACACAGAACAGGACTCAGGACGTGGAACTTTCGAAGCTGTCTTCGCACACCAGCACCGACTCCATTGTATGACTCTGAGCACCGAGGACACAGGCAGCAATGAGACAAGCCGCACTCTTTCATACATCCGCGCCATGGTGTTGATTTCGACCCTGGTTTCTCCTTGATGGCTTGTGTTAGTCACCAAGTCTTTCTTTCGCCTAGCGAGAAGGAATGGAACAGGCAACCATTCTGCCCATCCGACATAAGATGCCTGAATGGATGAGTTGAACTGACAGTCAGGTTGTGAAAGAGGACGCTTAGAATGTTTCTGCAGCCACTCCGATCCTCTTCACAACCATATTGTCAGCCCGACCGACCAGGATCTTGTCCCCAGGGTGGTTGACTCCACTCAGACTGCGTAACAAGCATGAACCTGGACCCTCGGCGGCCCGGGCAGAGGCTTCTGGGGCAGTGTCCTGTACTTGCTGCCGGAGCACTTCTAAGTGCTCGGCCTTGTTGACGCAACTGTCATCCATTCCTATCGCCTCCGTCCGGGAGAATGAGCTATGCTGGTCATACGGATCACTGTGCCTTACAACCCAATTAACAGCGCATGTACCGCAATCAACCTGGGCTAGTCTCAACACAATCTGCCTTTCAATGGCACAATCGCCCTAGTCTGTAACAGCCTGTTCAGGCACTCGAGAGACACTACGCTGTACAGGTGTGAGTGGAGCATTTTTCACGGGCCTAGAAGCCAACGATTCAGCCCATCGAGGCGAGAGCGACCCAGGGAGCCCTGCTCTCGCGAAGCTTTAGCCTCATTAGCCCCATGGCCAGTCCACCATCTTTGTGGAGGGTTGAACGAGCAGCCCCGGGATAGGCCGAATGGACGGTTGTGGATAGGACCATGGGCATTGACTGTTCACGTCCGGTTCCCTTCCTCCTTCCTGGTATTCCAGGGCCAGGGAGGAAGGTGAGGGAACCCTCAGAAGACGCGACTCAGCCTGCCTCCGGAGGCAGCGACTCTGCTGCTGCATGCTGTCTGGAATGGGGTAAGAACAGGCAACCACCAGGCCTTTTAGATCTGTGGTCGCCCCTCCTCATCCTTTTGATGGCTAGCAATGCAGCACAGCAAAACGAAGGGCGCACACTTCTGATTCTGGCAGCTTCTTCTATCCTTCTTTCCTGCGCAATATTCTCTTCATCGTCCTCGACTTCTCCTTCTTCTCCATCTGCTTCTTCTTCTTCTTCTTCTTCTACTACCAGCATCGCTGCCCTCACATACGCCATCCACCTCATCGGGTTTTTGATCTGGTTGCCGATGACAAGCTCCGCCAAGGCTCTGGCCTTGACTGCTCCGTCCGTCGCAGTTCCGCCTTGCCATGGCTGGTCCTTCCACACAACCTGAGGTGGAGTCAGTATGTCGACGATTTCAAAACAAGCTGCTCACAGAGTGGTACCACGAGGCAGCATGCGGCCGGTACTTTGTCGATATATCTAAATTGCTGGCATGGATGGTGGAAACCGACACCAACCAGGGGAGAAAGGCCAACCAGGAGACAAAAAATGTTGGCAGACTCCTCCGGGAACTCCACCACCGCAAGGCGCACAAACCCATGTTCTACGACTCGTCCGACACGATTGCGAGCGCCCTTCTTGTCTTCGGTATCCTCTTGGAGCTTGGTCATGGAGATCTGATTCATGTCTTCCGTCGAGCCAATATCGTTGATCAGCACCTATTGTCAGCTCCGCACTTCTACCCAAACGTCCTGGATGAATTGCAGAAGGATGAATTGCTTAGGGATTCACTGAGCCCTACTAAGGTAAAAGCTATCATCGATGATTTCGACCGCAAAAGGTGGTCATATACACCAGTCACAATCAACTACAAGATGAGCATGTCCCTGCATGGTGGGAACCGGGTTCTACCTTTCTTACGGAAAGAGTCGATCAATGGCAAAGGCGGCACCGCCGAAGTCTACCAAATTTTGATCCATGAGGACTATGTGAATGACGCTATGAGAAAAGCAATCATTGAGTCACGATTCTACGACAAAGATTTGGGGTGGGTAAGTAACGCTGCTGGCAGACGTCCCTCTCATTCACTGAATGTGATCGACTCAGACTCTTACTGACTATTGGTAGTGCTATCAGTTGGCTCTGAAAACTTACTCCCCTGCAAACAAAGGCTACTTTGACTGGGAGAAGACGGCATTCGAAGGACTTCGAGGCCAACCAGGAATGGTACAACATCTTGGTGACTACACCTTTGAAGAGATACCCGACATGCCTGACTCACGGACCTACAACATTCTTCTTGAGTTTGGAGAACTGGATCTCGACGAGTTCTTTGCAGACCAGCACTCATACCCACCCGTTCGAACACCTGAGATCATTGCCTTCTGGAGAGCATTGTCCAACGTGGCTGAAGCCATCAAGCGGCTTCACAATCTGGTCCGGCAAAGTGGGGACGGTTTCACCGACGAGTACCACGGGTAGGTATGCAAGACCTTCGAGCTGCATTGCGCTTGCTGACAAGCTGAGATAAGCTGGCACGCCGATATCAAACTTGATAACATCCTACGCGTGCACGGGGAATTCAAGCTCGCGGATTTTGGATTTGCAAAATTCAAAAGGCGAAGGAACGAACTCCCAACGGAATATATCGAAGGGGGAACTCAGACCTATGGTATGTCGGACGAAAGCCGTTTTGACTTCAGCAGCTGATCTCATTGCTCGTTCTCGGTAGGGCCTCCTGAGACTGATCCCATTCTGACTCCCGTCACCCAAACCATCGACACCTGGTCTTTTGGTTGCGTTCTATCCGTCGCAGCCACCTGGGTTATTCTAGGTTATCAAGGAATTCTTCAATACGAGACGTTGAGAAAGCAAGCTATTGCAGGTCTGAGAAAACAACGAGAGCATCAGCCGGACGCCATCGCTCCCACAGCTCATGACGCCTTCCATAATGGACGCGATGTCCTCCCAGAAGTCATTCACTGGCACGACTATCTAAGCACGATCGCGCGCAGGTCCGACTCTTTGTCCAGGAAAGTCCTAGGCCTTGTGGATAGAAAAATGCTCCTGGGGAACCCAAAGGACCGAATATCATCCACTGATTTGTGTAAAGAATTGAACAATATGCTGGAGGCCTCGGACAATGACTACAAGTACCCCCGCAAAGGCACAGGTACACATCAATCCGTCCTCACAACCCTCCTGGAATACGACCGAGGGGCTCCCGCCAACACGACCGAAGCTGCCCGAGCCAAGTCATCTGGTACGGAGAGGCTTGCTCCAGCCCCGTACTCGAGCTCCAACCCCGTCAGATATTCAATGCGTGGAGCGACAGGCAGTGTCGAATCTGCTGCTCGGGGTAGCGTACCTCGCAAAACCAGACGCTTCGGAAAGTCAGAGCGACTCGAGAATATACCGCGTGGGAAGACAGCACACAGAGCTGATGACCTCGAGAGGGAACTGAAAGCCCAGACTCATGTCCCTGAGAGCTCGAGCATCTCATGTCTCCTTGACAGTCAAGTTGAGCATGCTGAAGAGCCCCTGAGCATAGTGAGGCCTGTACTTTCAAGCCGGTCTTTAGCACCAACCCCCCAGTTGAGACTGAACCACGAGACCATCGATATTGTCCGGCACCAAGATCAAAGGGGTAAAGGCAGGCCGTTGAATGAGTGGGAGAATCCAAGCAATGATGTATCCCCATTTCGTCCACACCAGACACCCAACGACCAACTTCCCACCCGCTCATCGAAGATGTCTGACTATGAATTCCAAAGTCACCAGGACGACACACCCAATGGCACCCAGGGAGAACGGCAGATGTTCACGTTAGCAGGGGGGCATGACTCGGTATTAGGGCATGCAGCCACTCCAGCAATAGGATATTCCCAGAGCAATCCAGACCCATCGAATATCTCACCGGCTCCACGACTATCTCGTGGCTTTGTCCTTACAGAAGTTCATGTACCTACTCTCGCGCCCACACTCGATATTCGCCGAGTACGTGAGGAGCTCGATAATCGGTCGAAGCGTCCCTTTGCCACTCCAAAGAAAGACGCTCACCTGAAGAATGTCATCAAGGATCGAGACATAGTAAGTGGGCTTTGCATTGATTTTGGTCTGGTTCGGTTGGGCCTGCCCCCTTTTCCCAACTCGCTCGACTCCTTTCTTGCTCGTGATAGTATACTAAGAGCCAATCCGTCCAGGAATTTATCGTCGACAACGGGCCTACAATGTGGCCGTTCTGGGATGTAGCAACTTACGTATTGGAGACGTTAGCGATGAAATTGGCCGGGCTGGACGACGACGGTCTCGACCTGGTATTCACGATTGGGGATAAGTACAACCTCAGAAATGCCAAAAGTTGGAAGACCGCGTCACTGTTCCGCAAGGCTATGAAGGGCGCAGCCCCCGGTCCCCTCCCCACGGCGGCAGCAGGCAATGGTCAAAATGAAACACAAGAAGTACTCCTACGAACGGACATGACTGCCGTCCTTGGAAGGGTGTTTGACGATTACCTCGAGACCAACCGGAAAAGGCCTATGACATTGCTGATCCTAACGGACGGCCTGTGGCTGGGCTCGGTCAAAGAAGATGTGGTCGAGAAGAAAATTGTTGATTTTGTCAGGAAACTCAACTCCATGGAACCGCGGCGGTTCAGTATCCAGTTTATCAGCTTCGGCGACCATCCTGACGCTATCCGAAGGTTGGAGGGATTGGATGATGAGATGGAGAAACGTTTTGGGATTGAGTAAGTTTGACACACCACCCTCATTGACCTTACTGCTGTTGTTTTCTCAGCCCCCCCTGAACTTAGCATTGCTGTTGATATCGTAGCCACCGTTATTCTCATCTTCAATTATCGAATTACTCCCTAACATAGACGGTATTAAAGACTGATAACCTGGATTTCTAGAGATATCATCGACACCGAGCCTTGCACAGGTCAAGTCTGGAAAATGATCGCCGGGAGTATTCTCGAAGACGTGGATGAAGACGAGCACAAGGGTCCGAGCCAGAGTTCAAATCCCACGACCAGCCCCAGTTCAGCTGGAACATCGCATACAAGCACACCCACCGCACCGCTGGGATCGTTTTCTCCAGACTCAGGGCCGAGCGACGATAACTATTCAGTGGGTGAGAAGATGATCAATCTCCTTTCCACTGCGAAGTGGTGTTTTATCATAACAATACTGACGTCTTCTTGCGCCTAGGTCGGATAGGAGGTGGTAATGGTGGTACTGTTGAACATCGAATCCAATCCCGGGTCGAAAGAAGTCAGAGTGTGAATCAAAGTCGCGGCTACAATCAGAGTACGAGTCCGACTCCTCGGCAGAAGAGCCGGGTCGGTTTTCGAGATATTCTGGTCAGAAGAACTTGAATCATCAGAAAGTAGGTCCAAGGCTCGATCATTTTCATTTCTGCGACGGATCTCTTTTTGACAGGCGCGGCTCAAAGATCAGACTATTCGGAGATCATACCCAGGTCGGGATCGAGAATCGTACAAAATTTGATTCCAATCATCAGCCAAAGCGCCATCATTATGAATCTGGTTGGGCATTGCGAAGATCTATATCTTCAAAAAAGAAGGTCTGAGACATGATGGGCGGTGTGTTCTGCTTTATCGAACCAACCAGAACGGCATGAGCACCTCTGACTCTCTGAGGTCACCTTGTTTTTCTTTCTCTCCATATATACGAAAGAGGAAGCCTGGAAAGGGTGATCTAAACAGGAGCTTGGAAAAGGGGTCTACATTCGTGTTAATTTACTTCAGTCCCAGCATCAGGTACGGAGTTTAGGTTGGATAGAGGGGAAAAGTTCTCCCTTTCCTTTTCCTTTTCCTTTTCCTTTTCCTTTTCCTTTTCCTTCTCCTTTTCCTTCTCCTTTTCCTTTGATATTTGATAAAGTAAAGATGACCCTCCCTCACCATGTCGGAGTCTGAAATACATAGGCAAGGAAAGATCGAGTGGATAGGATTGCAGTCAGCCCGAAAAGGTCATGTTGTCTTGCGAGTTCAGGTTTGAAGGTAACAAACGGGGATTGAAAGGCTCATTGTTCTCTACCAAAGGAACCTGGGGTAGGCCTTGACCAAATACACACGATTACGGGTCCCATGAGCCTTGCAGGCAAGGCTGGGAATGCCAAGGATTGACAGGAGGGAGAGTGAGATGGAGTGAGAGGCTCTAGGAGAATCTGTTTCCCGACATGAAGGATTTCCCGAAGGGGAAAACAGTGGGGACCCCGCCAAGTTCTCCTGGAACCCATCGTGCCCATACTGTGGGAACTTGAACCTCGAAACACAATGAAGAAGACGGCCTTGACGGTTAGAATCTAGTGTGAAAATCTAGTAGCAATTCAAAAAGTTCCTCGCGGGGTTTCGATAGCCGGCTTATGTCAGGGGGCGTGTAGATGGTCCGTTGATCTGACAGGGGTTTTAGGACTTCCTTGCACCACAAACCCGAGCCGATAAGGTCAACGCTAAGGCTGAAGAGGCTGGATCCTCATGGCAGGACATAGAGTGGTATGATAAGGTAAGGTACGTACCTTAAAAGTGTTGAATTGCGCGCTGCATCACCCTCACTCCTACTGACTTGAGCGACATCTTATCCTGACCGATGTCCATCACAGCTCGGAGCATCTTGCCCTTGGATAATGAGCCGTGTATCATCTACAAAGCTATCTGGTCAGATCGATGTACAGGGTACTAGGTCGGGCCATCTAGAGCTTATCAGTCGACTGCAATCCCTCACCACTCCTCCGCCAGCCCGTATCCTGAATCCCGATGCCACGCTCCAGAGCTGGTTGTATCAATTGTAGGCGGGCAAAGGTCAAGTGTCATGAGGAGCGTCCCTCATGCAGCACATGTACTCGGCGTGGTCACACCTGCGAGGGCTACAGGACCCAACTGCGGTGGCGCCGCAATGACGGGTCTCCCACGCCCATCAAACGCTCTTCCGCATCTTCCTTTCAGGCGAAATCCGGGGACGTGAAAACCAAAGACCTACTCTCTGCGCCTAAAGCAGCGTCCCTGCTGTCGACTTCACTCCACCGCGGGCCTGCCGCTATAGCTAACGGCATTGTTCCTTCTCAAGACGCAGTGGCCGTTCAAGCTGTATGGGAATTGTCCACGAGTGTCTAGATACTCGTTGCGCTGCATGTGCTGACTCCCCATCTTTCCAGTGGTTCGACAGGCACCCGAGGGAAATGGTCGTCAGCTCCAACTTCGTCCATGAGATGAACGCCAATGTCCTTTCTCTACTGCAGCACCATCCGGACGCGATTCGGGATACGCTCGTCGCCATCGGCCAGTTGTATCTCGCCAGACTGGGCCGAGGCTCTTTCGTCTCGGCACTCAGCAGACGCCAGAGGACGCTGGCAAGGCTGCGAACGATGGAAAATCCGCTACAGAACCTAGAGCTGTCCTTATGCATGCTTTTGCAGCTTACTGGGCTTGAGGTACGTTCTTGTCTGCTGCTGTGCAACCAACCCCTTAGCTGCCTTTTGTCGTTCTGACAAAACAAAGATCATGGACATGAAGCCGAGTGCCGGGGAATTGGGCCTATCAGGCCTTCTTTCCGGCGCAGCGATGCTCGTCAACCGGTTCTTTCTCCAAGACCGTCAAGCGAGCCATATCGCCAAGTATTTTCTACGCGGACTCGCCCGTCAGGACATGATAATGGCGCTTACCCATCGGCGACGCCCCTGGATTCATACCGCACTCTGGCTGGACGAGGAGTGTCTGTCTTCACCCGACCGATTTATGGGCTGGACGACGACGTTGATGCCTCTTTTAGAAGAACTGTGCGAACTCGCCGAGGACACCCGACTGGGAGTTGGTTGGGGCAGAGGCAACGTGGGAGAAGACGATGACTCTTGGCCAACGACGCGTCGACATGATTACGCTATCGATCTGCGGCTGAGGATTGAGAACTGGCAACCTATAGTCACCATCAAGGACTCGGCTGCGGTGACTCCGACCCTCCTCGCACAGGCGTCTGCTCTTCGGTTGGCGTCTCTGCTCTACCTACACCGAATCCTGTATTCTGCTGGCTCATCACCGGCGCGTGATCAAGAAGCTATTGACATGGGCAAGGAAGTGCTGTTGACGTTGGGTGTTGTCCCTGAGGAGCTGAGGACCATGTTATGGCCGACGTTCGTTGCTGCCTGCGAGATGCGCCAGATAGAAGACAGGGTACTTGCGCTGGATGTCTTCGATGGGATCTACACCAGCAGGGCGACGGCCACTGCTCTTGCTGTGAAGGCCTTCTGCGTGAAAAGAGTGTGGCAGGCTAGGGATACGGGACTGGATTGGGACTGGATGAATCTGATCTACCGCTACCCAGGAGAATGTACACCTATCTAGTTTGGTCTGTCATTGTTTGTCAGGACTCGAGGGTCTCAAGGTAGAGGAACAGAAGGGTATATTGACAGACTGATATACCTTGATAAATCCATAACTATGTAGCTACCAGCTAGGCACCTACAAGGTCATATGAAACTGCATCATGGAGATGAAGCTTCAGAAGTAGCTTGTGATCAGACTCATACATCCAGTGGCTCTGATGTCCTAGACTCGACTTCTCAGGTCGTCATACTCAAAACTAATCATACCACGAACCAGACACTAGATCCTCGTACCACACACTACTCTGTTTAAAGTGACTGGGGCGAGCGGCGTTAGGCGAGTGTGCATGCTCCACATGGACCCTTCTACCTTTATGCTATCAGGGGGGATACCCTGGACGGGACAGATAAGGATTTGCTGGCTTCGAATGAATCCGAACTATAAGATCCCTCTAGTCCCAGTTCAGACGAGTCTCTTCATACAAATAAATAGTCATCTTGGAAAAATGACTGTCCAGAACTGGCAAGAAGTGTCCAAGGCCAAATGTGCGGCGGTGTCCAAGCTCGTGGATCCATGGCTGCCCCCCGACTTCGTCGACGACGACAAACTGTTGAATGTCATGGACATCCCAGCAAAGTACCTTTCCCGCACAGACAATGAGATCACCCTGATGACTGCTACGGAGCTGGTGGAGAAGATGAGCTCGGGATCCTTGAAGTGTGAAGACGTTGTCAAGGCCTTCTGCAAGCGTGCTGCATTGGCCCACAAGCTTGTAATGCTTCTTGTCAAGTCCTGACTGTCCAAGCCACGGTATACTGATAGAACCAGGTCAATTGCCTGACTGAACCCATATTTGAAGCTGCAGTGGCCAGATCCAAAGAGTTGGACATCTACTATGCCGAGCATAAGAAGCCTTTTGGCCCGTTGCATGGTCTTCCTATTTCGCTCAAGGATACGTGCAATGTCAAGGGCGTTCCTACATCACTGGGATACGTGGGACAAGTCGACCGGATTGCTCAACGGGACTCCAGCCTGGTGGAAATCCTGAAAGCTGCTGGAGCTGTGATCTTTACCAAAACAAACCTGCCTACCGCTATATTTGTATGGATGGCCCCATCCAATGTTCCTCAGTTGCTAAGAAACACAGGGATCCGAGACTGTGAACAATCTGTTCGGGAGGACGACCAATCCGCGGGGCCGGAACATGACCTGTGGAGGCAGCAGCGGCGGCGAAGCATCACTTATAGCTTTGCACGGCAGTCCGCTCGGCTTTGGGACGGATATTGGAGGGTCCATTCGCAGCCCTTCACACTTCAGTGGTCTCTACGGACTTCGACCAAGTGTAGGGCATCATTTCCCCCAGTTTTCCGCGGCTTGAGACTGATTAGTGACAGCATACTCGCGTCCCCCATCAAGACGTGGTCACCTCGATGGAGGGCCAGGAGACGATCCACACAGTCATTGGGCCCATGGCCAATTCGCTCCAAGACATCGAACTCGCCATGCGAGTGGTTGCCGATGCAAAGCCCTGGCTTCTGGATCCAAAATGCGCCCCGATCCCCTGGCGGGATGTGGAAGTCCCGCGAAAGCTATGCGTTGGAGTGATGTGGGATGATGGAATCGTACAGCCACAACCTCCTATCCAAAGAGCATTGAAGCACGTCGTGGAGAGCTTGGAGAAAGCTGGACACCAGATCATCAACTGGGAACCCATGCTGCAGAAGGATATCGTCAATGTGTGGGTTAGTACATCTCCATCGTCTTTCAGAAGTGAACATTGAACGCCGGTCACTGACGGAAGCAGGAAACCTTGTTCGTCAGCGATGGAGGCCAGGACATCACGATTGAGCTGGGGAGAAGTGGCGAGCCTGTCCTACCGCGGATTCAGAGGATCCTCGACAAGGCGCATCCGCTGTCGACGTTCGAAACGTGGCAGGTATGGCTCAACTTCAACCATCTATTCCAACTTCCAGATGGGTAGACTGTAGTTTGCTGACCTGAATCACAATCACAGCTCCAACAACGCAAATCAGCCATTCAGAAGGCATATCTAGATCGTTGGAATGCCACCTTACAACAGTCCATGACTGGACGGCCGATGGATCTGATCTTGACCGCTGCAAAACCCACGATAGCCACCACTCATGATCAAGCACCAGTGTAAGGCGCCTGTCGTTATGGTATGATGATTCTTCCGTACTGACGAGTTGGCAGCTATGTTGGATATGCCGGCTTCGTCAATCTGCTGGACTATCCTTCGGTCGTCATCCCCGTTACTGAAGTGGATCCAGAGATTGATGCTCCAAAGTCATCAACTCGACAGGCTTGGAACCTGGACGACGAACAGAACTATGCAGCATATGATCCGGTGGTTATGAAGGGGATGCCGGTGGGCCTCCAGCTGGTGGGCAGGCGACTTCATGAAGAGAATCTCCTGGCAGGTGCTCGACAAGTCCTGGAGTCTTTGGGGGCATGATAGAACATGGGGACATATCGCTTCCTTGACGAGGAATCAAATTCTTCCCAGAAGACACCATGAGCTTTAGGGGTGTTGTGCCAACAGGTGACTCAGGCATTGGTTCCCTCTAGGGCGTTGGCTTCGGCTTCGGCTTCGGCTTCTCGTCGAGAAATGACAGTAGCCTAGGGAGCCCATCATCGACTCTCAACGCCAGTCTTCGCTTGTGCCAAAAGTCTAGGCGTCAGCGTCCCATATCTCAAGCACAGTATCAGAGATTCTCGAGGTCAATCAGCAGTAAGTGTTGTCACGATTCTTGGAGTTCCGTAAGTGAATGTATTCTTTCTGGAAAACAGGTTTTGAGCAAATCGACGGTTTTCGCTGTCGTCACTATTCAGCATCCAGTAGATTCGCAAGGTATCGAGACGTTCCAATGGGTCCATCCACCAGCCAATCAAACGGCCACTAGACGACTGGCTGGATTGATAGGTCCTTTCCCACTTTGGCAATTTGAAGCTATCAGTTATCAGCTATCAGCTATCAGCTGTCTCATCTCACTCCATACCCCGGCTCCCTGGCCCAGGCTGACAAGGCTAAGCGATTGTGGTAAGGTCGTCTCCATCCCTCCACAGACAGAGAGCCAGATGAGCGGGACCTATGAGAAGGACACTACCTTGTTCACACTACGACCCTAACAGATTGTCCCGTATCCAGTGTCATGGTGACCTCGCGCAGAGAGTTTGGGCCAAGCTCGGCGCAGAACATGCTGAGGCAATGAATGGATGATAGCACTCATCACACAATGTTTTCCAGATCCGGGACAACAAGTCTTTCGACGATATCGCCAGAGCCGGCAAAGTCCCTGATGTCTCCAGACGAAGTCTCGGCACGCAAGAAAACTGGAAGCTACTACCGTGAACCAAGCGATGTTGTATTATACATGTTGGCGCTATGCCTTGAGATAGCATATCATGTCCTGATCTCGCCCTTGGACTCCTATCTCTGGCGGCCAACGATGCGGTCGATCATATCTGCACAATCTAAGGCAAAGGGTGAAGACTTAGAACACACGTAAGATGTCATGTGTTGATAAAGAGGAAGCCATCGCACTCGATCCAACTGCTTCTTTGATGCTCGACATCGTCCCCGTCCTCCGTTCCCATCAAAGCCTCGCCTTTGAGTCTTTGACCACAGCCATGGACGTCATCCGGAAACTCTCCGTGGCACCGGAGGAAGAGAGGAAGGGGTCATTTGTGACCGGCACGTCTGAGGTAATCGAGGTCCACGACCACGTCCACCGCGCGCTCGGCACCCGCCAGATCTCCTTCATCGCCATAGGCGGCTCCATCGGCACCGCGCTGTTCGTCAGCATTGGCCTCGGCCTCTGGCGTGGAGGGGCTGCCAGCTTACTCATCGGATTCATCCTCTACAGCACTGTCATCGTGTCCGTCAACAACTGCCAGGCCGAGATGACCGTCTTCATGCCGGTGACTGCCCCCTTCATCCGCATGGCCGGGAAATGGGTCGACCAGGCAGTTGGGTTTGCGGCCGGCTGGAACTACTTTATCTACGTGATATGTCCTTCCCCGATCAACCCTCTGGGAGGGCTTGTATGCTGACTCCACTGCACGCGATTCTGATTCCCTACGAGATCACAGCCTTGTCCAGCGTGCTCGGGTTCTGGTGGGACAACGTCCCCCTGGGGGCCGTGTGCGGGATCTGCATTGTTTTCTACGCGTACGCAATTTGACTCTCCTCTGCTCGTCTTTCATCTCCTCTCATCTCATCTCCTCCTTTCTCTGTTCTTCTACTATTCACGCCGGCTGTCTGCACCGAAACTGCACGACTGACGGCAAAATCAGGTTCCTCAACATATTCGCAGTCAAATGGTACGGCGAAGCAGAGTTCTGGCTCTCGATCGGGAAGATTCTCCTGATTTTCATCGTCTATGCATTCACCCTGGTGACCATGTGTGGTGGCAATCCCCAACACGACGCCTATGGCTTCTCACATTGGAATGAGCCGGTAAGCTATCCCATTATGGCAGCGGCTGTGGTCACGAGGCGAGTTGCTAACTTGGCACCGTCCCCCAGGCACCCTTCAAGGAATACATACATACCGGAGCCCTCGGCCGTTTCCAGGGAGTGCTAGCAGGCATTTTTATTGCGGGCGGCGTCATCTGTGGGCCAGAGTTTATTTGCATGGTTGCCGGCGAGGCCAAGAATCCTCGAAAGGACATGAATTCGGCCTTCAAGACCATGTATTGGCGGTTCAGTGTCTTCTTTCTGCTGGGCGCTCTCGCCGTTGGGATCGTCCTGCCTGCCAACGACCCTAACCTCACGGCAGTCTGGGATGGATCGGGAGGGAAGAGTGGCGCTGGATCGTCTCCCTACGTGATTGCCATGAGCAACATGCACATTCACGGGCTGCCTCATCTCTGCAACTTTCTCCTGTGCACCAGCATCTTTTCGGCCGGAAACTCCTACGTGTAAGTCACTTCCAAGTCTTCCCTTTCCCCCTTCTAGTTCTCTCTCTCTCTCTCTGTGTCTCTCTCTCTCTCTCTCTCTCTCTCTCTCTCTCTCTCTCTCTCTCTCTCTCTCTCTCTCTCTCTACACTATCTCTTATCCCCCTACAAATGCCTTCATATTCCCTTGTGATGAATACTGAGTACAGCTCTTTTTTCAGCTATTGCTCAACTCGAGCCTTGTACGGCCTGGCTCTCAATGGACACGCACCCAGGTTCCTCCGCCAGGTCACGCGCCACGGTATCCCGCTCTGGTGTTTCCTCATCTCGATTGCCTTCTCCTGCCTGTCCTTCTTGCAGGTCAGCAACGGCAGTGGCGTGGTGCTCGTCTGGCTGGTGAACATCATCACTGCGGCGCAGCAGCTGGATTACATGTACATGTGCCTCACCTATCTGTTTTTCAAGCGCGCCTTGAAGGCACAGGGCATCGACCGCAGCACGCTGCCTTATGTCGGCTGGCACACCACCTTCTGTGCCTGGTGGGGTCTGGCCGGTTGCTCGTTTGTGGTTGTAATGCAGGGCTACCAGGTCTTCTACCCGTCCTTCTGGAGCGTCGGCGACTTCTTCACGTGGTACTGCATGCTGATCGTCGCCGTCGTCTTCTATGGCGGCTGGAAACTCGTCAAGAGGACGAAGGTGGTCAAGCCGCACGAAGCCGACCTGGTCTGGGAGAGACCCATCATCGACGCGTACGAAGCCACGCTGGTCAACGAGAAGGAGCCTTTCTTCCGAGAAGTTTGGCGGATGGCGACTGGGATGTTTTCCAAGAAACCCAGGACAGCCGCTGAGTAGATCCTCGTTTGGCCAGAATTGCTTTTATTTGGGGTAGATATGGATGGTTTAAGAGTCTTTAAGTCACCTACGAATCCTATATGAACGATAAAGAGTATATGTCAGCATCGCCGAGTGGACTTCTGGGCTTGAAACCTCATTGGCTCCATCTTCGGTCGATAGGCCGATCAGATAACGGCAGCGATTCCACATCCCCGATCAAAACCGGGGCAGCGTCTCGATAAGCCCTCCTTATCCTCCTTTCGGCACCTCGGGAAACGGACCCTGACCCCTGACCTTGCTGCGGGAGATGGCCGAGCATACTAATCCTAATATGTTGGGGTCCAACGTCTCCGCTAGTTGACCTTGACTTGGTTTGCTCTTCTTCAATCTGTACATTGCACAAGTCACAGGTGGACTTGTGTGAGAACTCATCAACCAGCAAAGCAAGCGACCGCAATTCTTCCACACATGCGCAAGTCGTCGTCCAACATTATTGGCGATCCTTCTCTCTCCTTTCGAGCGCTTTCCAGTATCTACTATCTTTCGAACACACACACATCCGATCAACAGCCATCATGTCCAATTTCAACGGGCAAGTAGTGCTAATCACCGGAGCGGCCAGCGGCATTGGACGCGCCACAGCACTGAGAATGGCCAAAGTCGGCGCCAACCTGGCCTTGTCTGATATCAACCCAGCCAGCCTAGACGAGACTCGACAACAATGCGAGTCCGTCAGCAAGAAATCCACGCAGCAGCACATGGCAAGTCGTGTGGACGTACAATCGACTGAGAGCATCAACGACTTCGTCCAGAGCGTTGTCTCGCGCTACGGCACCATCCACCACGTCTTCAACTGTGCCGGCATCAACCCGACCAAGCTGGAGATCGAGCAGATCACGGACGCGTACTGGCACAAGCTGATGGACACCAACGTGAAGAGCATCATGACCATGACGCGTGCCTGCGTCCCGCACATGTCCCGCGGCGCTTCCTTCGTCAATGTCTCGTCGATGTGTGGCATTTATCCTACTGCCCTGTTTTCCGTCTACTGCGCCACCAAGTTTGCCGTGATAGGCTTTTCCAAGTGTATGGCCTTGGAGCTGGGAGCCCGAGGGATCCGTGTCAATGTCGTTGCTCCGGGAAGTATTGACACGCCAACGAACGCCTCTGTTCTAGCCGGCGGGGACCGTCTGCAGCAGATGGCGGAGGGCGTGGGCTTGAAAAGAGCCGGTACTGCTGAGGAAGTCGCGGATGTGGTGGCTTTCTTGTTCAGCGACGAGAGCAGATATGTCAATGGGAGTGTCGTACAGATTGATGGAGGTCTCGGACTTCCTGGGTGAAAATAGGCCATCCTTCAATCGACGTCTGTTTTCTGGTTCCATGAGCATTCGATCGTTGCAAGGCTGAATCTCTCTTGCGCTGAACCTCAGAAGACTGAGCGAATCGATGCGGGTATCAATGTAGTCTACATTCCAACCAACGTCAATCGAGATCTCGCCCGTGACGAGCTCCTCCTTAACGGATCATCGGACACTGACCACGATAGAGATAACATCATGGCCTTGATCGATTTGACTTGCTCAGATCTTTGGCAATCGACCCTGATGCGAGCACGTCATTGAAATTGAGACTACAAACACAAACCCAATCTACAAAGTTATCCTTTCTGACTCTGATTTTGCCATCGTCGCCAACCCTGTCTTTTGTCTGGACTCTGTCCGTTCGACAAAGCCCAATCTTCTCGACTGGGCCCCCAGCCATTGACCCCCCAGCCCGTGACGCCCACGATCCTGGCATTGGATGGTCTGAGATCCTCTCGACATGTTCGTCTCGAGTGCGAGTGTTCAGCAACATGCATGCTCCGCCTTCAGTTCCTTTGCGATAACACTGAACTCTTCCCAGCCGCTACAACTGCCAGCACCTACCGGTTCCGCGTGGGAGACCGATAAGATCCCACGCGCTCTAGCAAGCCAATTCCACGCTAGACCGATATTGGCAGTTAACGACTCCAACGCTAACCCCAACAGCTCTAAAGCCTTACCCTTTCCGGTTAACTTGGCAGCAAGAGCCAATCAAAACTTGCTGAGCGACTCCATTTTGCTGGAGTGGAAGGCAACAGTGGGTCTCAACTCCATTCCGAGTCCTTGATTGATTATCAACACTTGCTGCAGCTTGATATCTCTCTCATGCGTCCTGGTTATCATGACCTCCTACTCCTCGTGGTGACTTAGCTTAGGCAAACCTGAGACTGATCAGGCAGAGTTGTCGACTCCTACTTATTGCTTCCCAGATCGGCACTGATGAGATCTGCTTGGAGGCGCGCAGCAGCAACGGCCAGCCTGGTGCTCGACCTGGTTCCACGCAACGCATGGTCTCAGAGTTCCAACTCGCCGTCGGTCAATGCAAGACCTCCATCCAGCCAACCCCCACATCTCTAAACTCGGCTCTTATCAGCCCATTGCAGTTCAGGAGTTTGGATCCAGAACTGAAACCAAGCATAGGTGATCGCCACGGATCAGAGCGGGCCCATGGATCGTCGCGGTCCACACCGAAATTATGCGGTCTAACATGCTTGTGGGCTGATCGTCCACAGCACAGAAGCATGGCCAACACCAGTGTTACCCTACTTGTGCTCGGTTCGAATCCCATCGTCAACCCATCAGACCACTCAGATACGCCATCAAGGTCTCCAACGTCTCCAATTAACCAGGATAGCCCCAGATGAAGTCACACAGTCAAGATAAGTCAAGCCTCCAGATACGGTGATGTCCGACATGCTTCTTCAAGGTAAGTAAAGATGTACCAAGGGGTGGGGGGACTTGTTATCACTACATGCCCAAACACATGCGACTGATTGAAGGCGGTGGCGAGGGAAAACATATATGCCCATGCCAGCCTACGACATGAAGCATGAGACCGATGTTCTTGACGCTGTGTCGATGACCACATAGCCACATCTTTCTATACTATACTACACTCCTCTGCTTTGCTCTGCTCCTCAATATCGATCTCCTCCAAAAATGTCAGCCGTCGAGCCTATCCTTGGGCAATCCGTCGGCTATGGGATCCTCTGCGGAGCGGGCGCTGTCTTTGCCCTAGGCATGACGCTGGTCTCGATAGGACTGAGCAGATATTTTGCCGAGAAGCAGACTTCGGAGATGTTTATGACTGTACGTTGCCAATTGCCTGGAAAAAAAAACACCCCAAGAGCAACGGGAGCCTGCTGACACTGTTATACGATACTTAGGCCAAGCATTCGGTGCGAACGGGTTTGACTGCCTCTGCGGTCGTCTCGTCTTGGACAATTGCTGCAACTCTGCTCACATCTACCAACTGTGAGTCCCCCGCGAAGCCCTCTCTTTCGAAACCCTCTCTGGGATTCTTCCTGTTCCCATTCAGAATATTGACTCAACGCTTTCCAGACGGCTACCAATTCGGCGTTAGCGGACCTTACTGGTACGGCGCAGGAGCGTCGGTCCAGATCCTCCTCTTCTCGGTTGCGGCGATCGAATTGAAACGCAAGGCTCCCAACGCCCACACTTTCTTGGAAGTGGTCAAAATCCGATACGGAGCACCAGCGCACATTGTCCTGTCACTCTACTCGCTGGTTTTCCAGGTCATCCAGTCCGTGAATCTACTGGTTGGCGGCTCGGGTCTGTTTGCAAACGTCACCGGCATGAGCAGTGATGCAGCTTGCTTTCTCTTTCCGCTGGGTGTCATTGTGTACACATTATTCGGAGGGATGAAGGCGACGTTTCTAACCGATTGGGTGAGGTCAAGCCCTACTTCCTTTTTCTTTTTATGCCGAGTTCCACATGCTAACGGGGAAACCTGACCCAAAACAGGTACATTCGGTGACCATCTACATGATCATGCTGGTCTCTATCTTTACGGTTTATACGACATCATCATTGGTCGGCTCGCCAGCCAGGTTGTGGGAACTGCTCACGGAGGCCGCCCATCTACACGCGGTCGAGGGCAACGCTGATGGTTCCTACCTCACAATGAAGAGCCAACAGGGCGGATACGTCGGGCTTATCTTCATCGGCAGTGGGTTTTCAGCTGCTGTCGACAGCCAACTGTAAGGGACCCACTATTGAATGTCGCACCAAGATCAAGATTGCTGAGAAACTTCTCTTGTCTAGGTTTCAGAAGGCCATTGCTGCAGACCCGGTTGCCACGTTGCCCGGCTACCTCCTCGGAGGGACGTGCTGGTTCGCCATTCCTTTCGTGCTTGCCTCGACATACGGGCTGACGGCCGCGGCTGTCGAGCACTTGCCTTCGTTCCCCACATACCCTAACCGAATGAGCGCGCGAGAGGTGGCCACGGGAATGGCGCTCCCCTACGCCGCGACGACCATTCTGGGAAGAGGCGGGGCCATTGCCATCCTGCTGATGGTTTTCATGGCAGTCACTTCAGCCATGTCGTCCGAGACCATGGCCACCGCAGGTCTGCTAACCTACGACTTCTACCACGCCTACATCAACCCCAACGCCACGGGCAAGCAGCTCATCCGCTTCTCGCACTCGGTCGTTGTCCTGTTCGGTTTGATCATTGCGGCCATCGCCTGCGGCTTCAATCATGCCGGCTTCTCCGTCAACTACCTGACCACCTGCATCGGCATTATTGTGGACTCGGCCATCGTCCCCATGGCCTGCACCATCATGTGGTCCAAGCAGTCCAAAGCGGCCGTCATCCTGGCTCCCCTGCTCAGCTCCGCGGCCGGCCTTGCGGCCTGGCTAGGCATTGCTTACACGAAGTACGGTGCCGTGACCTTGACGACCACCAGCGAGAACCTGCCTCTGGCCATCGGAAACGTCGTGGCTGTCGTTGCGCCCACAGTCTTGGTGCCCCTGATCACCTACATCAAACCGGAGCACTTTGACTTCAATCGATTCCGAGAGATCAAGACCGCCGATGATGCAAACCACGGCGTCGCCCGTGCTAGCTCGGTCATATCTGCCGAACAAGAGGCGACCCTGGTGGCGAGCCATTACGATGACAATAGGTTGCGACGCGCTCGTAACTGGGCCGCCACTGCCAGCGTTGCGCTGACATTGTGTTTCCTGGTCCTTTGGCCCCTACCTATGTATGGCTCTGGTTATGGTGAGTGTTCCCTTTCCGTCTCTCCATTCTCAAAGATGATTACAGCATGTGTTGACCTGTGTTTCTTCGAATCAGTCTTCTCCAAAGGCTTCTTCACCGGCTGGGTGGTCGTCTGCTTCCTGTTCGCCATCTACGCTTCCGGCACTATCACGCTGCTGCCGTTGATCGAAGGTCGCAAGTCGATCGTCCGCTTCGTCTTCGAGGTCGTCCTGCAGCGTCCTGTACCTGGAGAATCCGCGCTCTCGGAGGGCGTTGAGCTTGACACTCCGGGATCACAGGATGATGGGATCACAGCTACCGTGGGCAAAGAGGGCGAGAAGGTGCAAATCCGAGCATCATAGGCCGAACATACACAGGTCATATATGATCTTGAAGATGACGAGAGAGGCTCGGATGTGAGTTGGCGAGGGAGAGCTGGCAGCTGCCGCTATAAGGCATAGATGAGACTGCATGGGATCTCGCACCAGGTCAAGGAGCCAGTGTAGAACCTGAAGTACCTTAGACTTTGCTGAAAGGATAGACAATGAATTGCCTTCAAAAACATCAAGATTCCTGGCTTTTATCATCAAAGGTGGTGGGGGTGTGAGCAGTCAGTCCACGCTAATCTCTGATTGGATAATTCCCCTGTGTTGGGCGAGGCTAGCTTACTTCAGGGGCCCCGCAAGGCTGAATGCCCCTGAAGAAAAAGTGATTTCATACTCCTTAATAACTCACTATTAATCCGCAATTGATGGTTGCGATCTGAAGCTAGTCTTGATGTAATCACTGATCCTACCTGCATCACTCCATCTTTTATAGTCAAAGGTGGTTGGGCTGTGCAAAAGACTACCTACCTAGTCATATTGATTGATTAAAATGTATTACGCTTCACGCGGACTAAATAATACCCTAAGGTAATACCGTTCTCTATGCAGCAAGAAGGGGTTGTCGATCCCGAACCACTGAGAGGTAGAACCAACTCCTAACAAACCAATGTCCCTGTTCTGTCTGGCTACGAACAATATTCTCCAATACATTCACTGCCTGCGTTGAAAATGTCAAAGTCCGAGTCAACGATGAATTGATCCCTACGGAGGAAAAGAGAAAGAGTAAGAGAACAACAACAACAGGAATACTGATTTCAACAACAGCTCTCAAGCACCTCGCTAATAGGACCTCTACTAGTATGAGCAATGATTAGAAGAGTTTTCTTTTTTCCTGCCTGAATCAGGCCGAATTATTCAGTTAGTTGATCTGCAATTCGCAATTCGCAATTCGCAATGCGCAACTCATTTCCGGTCTCGCTTTGCAATGCTGTGCAGAACATAAAATCTTTCGGTTGGCCTCCCCGGAAAGAAAATGGGGGAGACCTGGACAACCGAAGACAAACAGACGCAGTAAAAAGAAGCCAAAGAGTCAAACATGATCACCAGAAAACTCGAATCGCCAGGCCACTGTACAAGCCCAACCTCATCATCCTCACTCGAGATGAGAGGATCACGAATCCAGAACCCACAACCCTAGCTCCAGTTCCAGCTCCAGTTCCAGCTCCAGCTCCAAGCCCATCATCCAGACCTTGGGTATCAACCAGCGCAAAACAAAAGAAGCCAGACAGAGTCGCCCGCCATCATACCACATCCCGGTTCTCCAAGCTCTATCCAAGCCGAACTATAATTAGGTAGTAGTCGTGCTCGACCGATGCCCCCGCCCATTCATGAGAACTCGTATGGCATAGCTCGAAGAATCACACAACACGGATGCCACACCCATTGGACGTCTTCCAGTTGTGGCCTCCATCATCCGCTCGTGCACGTCGTCGAGATTCATCACAGTCCCGTCATTCAGCTTCCAGTTCACTCGTCTCATGTCGTGACAGAAGGTTTCGCTTGGTTCATATTAGGACCTCACTTTCCATCATACCAACACCCCCAGGCCGATTGGTGAATCCACGGGATCACTGCTGAGGAGCCAATCTCTCTTGTTGAATTTCTTGGCCTCTTTTTCGGCCTCGGCATCGATGTCCAAACCAAGATCAATGCCACTGTCGTCATGAGCTTGGGGGCCAGGCTGCCGCTTGACCGGACTGCTCAGACCGGTGTGAAAGCTAGGCAGATCTAAAGGGCCTCCGCGACGCAGTTCATCCAGTTCTGCGTCGGTCTCATCATCGTCCACCTCCTGGGTTGTCTGTTCTTCACGCCTGGCCGGTGGAAGACTTGGCGAGCTCTTTGTCGCCTTTTCCTGTTTCTTGGGCTGATGTGTGCCGATTTCGGCCGCGGCCTTTTCATCCCCCTCGACGTCTTCTTCGGCTCTCTTTCGCTTGACTCCATGAGTGGAAGGACCTAGATGCAACTGGATCTCTGCACTCTTCTCCTGTTCGCGTTCATCCGCAAGCTTCTGGCTCTCTTCATCCATCAGCAAGCCTTCCATTTGCGTCATCCAGCCCAACATTTGAGTCGCGAAAGACTCCACGAACCACCAGGACTGATAACTGTGCGCTCCGTTTTGTCCCATCTGCATCATCACACTACTCCAGAATCGTGAATGCCAATCAACCATGCATTGAGGATGGTGGCCTTCAAACAAATTGGGTAATCGTTCCAACCAGTTGATCCATTTTTCCAACAAGGGACTGGGTTGGTCGTCACTATCTGGCGGGAGGAGCCCGCCGTCACGATCCGAGGTTTCTTTGAGAATGTTTGCGTAGGCGCTGGTAGTATCATCTTCGGCTGCCCGTACCAACTCTCCGTCAACGGGGAAGACTAGCGGTCTCATATCGTACTTCAATACTCCCCGAATCTTCTCCAGGCTTTCTGGAGGCGGCATACTCTCCTCCAGTAAACGCTCAGGATCAACCATGGCCATAAGGTCGAGCCACATTTGCGTTCGTTGCTGCGGATCCTCCAGCATACGGCTCAGTTGCAGAGTCGCAGCATTGGCGCCCTTCAGCTTCTTTAGCAGGTGGGCAAATCTGGCTGCCGGGACAGTCTTGGCGACGACAACGTGAACCGGGCACTTTTCCTCAAAGGCCGATATAAGATGACTGACCAGCCTCGACCCTATCCGGTCGAAAACATTCCACACAACATCTGGCACGTTTTGCACAGCTAATGGAGCTATGAATCGTACAATCTGTTTGTACATGCGCATGTCGCATTCCTGAATCCAAGGAGCCAGACATTCCATGGAAAACAGTTTGGATACCGGCACAGTCATCTTGCCATTGAACGCTGAATGATGGTTGAAGAATGGCTTCTCCTTGCATTTGCGGAAGGCATCGATGACATCGATACAGTAAGAACGATAGAGGTGGAACAGTGCCTTGGCTATTGAGACATCATAGTTCGTCCCTTCCAGATAAGCAAAGATGTCGGGAAATTCAATAGGTGCCTCCTGCGATGAGGTTGAGACCTGAGAGAGAGAATCGATAGTCGGCATAGCGAGGTAAGTGGCCATACTGGCAGGGAGGTTAGGCCGGATCGAAGGCAAGGCAGCAACGACATTTGTCGGCAGAGTCTTGATGGGTAGTCGGATCGTCGGGGTATTGATGTATTTGCAATCCAATTTCTGGATATGTGGCCTCGCGGGCTCTGGTACAACCTCCTCAGGCTCGGCAGTCTCCCGCGTTAGGAACCCAGCACTGGGAGCCGGGAATTCGGCCGTCTCAACGGTAGCTCGAGACAAAGGACGTTCAATAGGAGGCGAAACATGTGTCTTGAACAGTTTGCTGGCTTCCGCATGAGAACAATGTCTTTCATGATGGTTGCCGTTTGCTGTTCCAGGTCTCTCAGATTGTCGATCATCCTCGTCGAGTACCAGAGACAGATCCACGTAGTGGTACTTTGACTCGCCTCGAACGCCTAGTCTTCTCGTCTGTACATTAGGGAAGATGATTCGCACGAGCTTTCCGAACGATGCGGGGTTCAGGGTGGGAACGCGCTCATTACCGCAGCGTTCGGTGTATCGAGTAAACACACGATCGCGACGGACCGAGTTTGAGGATCGTTGACAGTTTTCTTGAAGCCTGTAATAGTCAGCGTCGTCCACTTTTCCACGGTTTACACGCACCAAAGCATCGCGAACACTTGTTTCGCTTTTTCAGATTTGCCTCCAGACCCTTCGTTTCTTTGCACCTCGGCGGCGACCTCTTTCAACGACTTGCCCTGGTATTGCGCAAGTAGACGTCGCAGCTCTTGATCATTGGCAACACTCGATGCTGTTCCCTTTCTTCGCTTCGCCCCACCATTTTCCGTGTTTGAGTCTTCCGGCGCAGGAGAGCCCTCGAACTGTTCTGAATGATGACGCATATGATGCATATGCTGAGGAGCGACGGCGTAGGCTGGTAGGCCATGCGCGTATTGCATAGGGAAGTGTTGCATTTCCTGGAATGCTTGTTGTGACATTGGTCGCATCTCGTGTTGTGGTAAGCCGGCCGAGGGATCTATGGGTTGTTGTTGAATGTGGGCAGCCATGTTATGCGGATAATGCATGAGCATCTCTTCGCCATTGGGACCGTACATGGCAGCAGCTTGGTGATGACCATGTTGCACGTAGAAGCCGTTCTGACCGAGCGGCATTGTCGGGTCGTCGCGCTGTTGCTCCTGCAGCGACGGCGGTTGAAAAGCGCTTCCTACACCGACGGACTGCAGACTCGTCGTCGAACCCCGAGACTTTGGACGGTGTTTTTCTTTATTTGATGTTGCATTGTTTGTATGGGAGACATCTCGGTGTTCTGGAGCTTCCTCCATCGTGTGGGTAGGCGATTGCGGCATTCTGAACTGTGCGCCAATTAGTCTGCTGTCATGCGCGAAAACAAACAACTGCTCAGAGCGATTTCGGTCAAAGCTCCTCAATTTCACGGGAAATGAGTACCTTTAGCCTTTCGTAATATCCTGGGATCCAACAGGTTCTTTCACTCTCTCATCGGCCTTGTAGTTTCTTCGTTACGAATCACCACTGGCCATTGGAAAACAAGAGGTGGTGGAGTTTGTCAGAGGCGGGAGGGCGCGGACAGGATCCAGGCTGCTGGGTGTAGGCAAGAATAGATAGCACTGCAATGAGCAGTCAGATACGACTTGAAGAGGCGTCCCACTATACTACTAGTATGCCAGGAAGTGCTGAGTAGGACCTCTAACGCACAGAAGACTTCACGCGCCTGTGGCTGTTGATGCTTTGTGCTGGATCAGGCCCGTCGAGTCGCAATTGTTATGCCGAGTTGCTTCAGCAACAGTGCCAAGAGGGCCGCTTTTGCAGCACCCGTGGGTGAAGACAATGCTATTCTGTCTGACAGTGCCAAAATATGCACTATCAGGCGGGATGTGCCAGCCTAGTGGGCTGTTTATTCACTGTCTGACGCTCTTTTACCGCCGGGGTATCACGTGAGTGCACTTTCGGCAGATCGACCACTGAAGGGTACTAGTAGCAAGGGCTTAGTGTCAACGCTAACTCTGAACAGCCAGACCAATATCACGTGCAAGCCAATGCCATCATTGACGTTAGTCTGGATGCTGATGAATCTCCTTCTCAGCTCTCCAACGAGTTAGAAGCTGCGGTGTGCAAGTCAATTCACACAACCTGAAATTCGCCTGCCTGCCGTGCGACACCACGTCACCCGCATTCTTCTCAACATCATCCCAGAGTGTCATCAATTTTGCTACACCTCGTCCACTTTTACAACTTCAATTGCCAACCTGAACCTTTCCGAACTCCCTACCTCTAGCAATCTTCGCCGTTGACACCATTACCTCTCCATCAAGATGTCTTTCCAAGATAAAGCTCAACATCAGATCTCCCAGATCGATAAGGAGGTACGTGAGCACATATTCAGCAGAAACCTACACTAGCTTTGCCGCTGTGCCAGCAGTCTTGACTCTAGACCGGGGCATCTTCTTCTGTCTCGGCTTACAACATCCTGTCGACCACTGTTGAGCTGACTTCCAATGACTGCAGCTTTCGAAGTACCCCGCCCTCAATAAATTCGAGCAACAGACCAGTGTTCCCAAGGTCTATGCCTTCCTCGGCCTCGTCGGCCTTTACTTCTTCCTGGTCTTCTTCAACATCGGAGGAGAATTCCTTGTGAACTTCGCCGGGTTCATTATTCCGGGATATTATTCCCTGGATGCGCTCTTCAGTGCCAACAAGGTGGACGACACTCAGTGGTTGACGGTATGTGATTGCAATGGAGTTGCGGCAGAAGAGCTTTTGCGGATACTAATGGTATTATAGTACTGGGTTGTCTATGCTTTCCTCACTGTGCTTGAGAGCGTGATCAATGCCGTCTACTGGTTTCGTAAGTCGATTTACCACCTACGCCGTGTGCACCGCTGACATTCCAACAGCCTTCTACTACGTCTTCAAGTTTATTCTGATCCTTTGGATGGCCCTCCCAGTCACCAACGGCGCCCAGATTGTCTTCAACTCCTTCCTCCACCCCATCTTTTCCCGCTTCTTCAGCCAGCCTGCAACCACTTCCGCCGATGTCCGAGGAAAGGCCGATGCCGCTTTCAAAAGCCAGTAGACGATTCCAGCAATCGTACAAGAATTTCGTGCGGGATTTGAAAGCCGTCGCAAAGGCTTGACGTTGAAGGACTGCAGGACAATATGCCGTTGCGGCGAGACCCGTACATATGGTACCCACGTCAGTACCTAAAGGAATGCCCGCACTGGGCGGAGTCATAGTTGCCGTGTGGAGTTGACAACGACAATGGATGACAACGACAATGGAGCAACAGGGATAGCAGGAACAAGGAGACTGTGACGGGTATGCACAATAGACTTATTGGACTTAGTCATGTTTACTCAATCACTCGAGGAAATCAATCACAGCCTGATTGTGAAGGATGCCTCCAGATAGCACTATTCAGGACCAAATGCAATATAGTCAAAAAGCCATGCCCTTGTCCGAGTGCAACCGATATATGCGCGCGAATAGTCGAGTTGACCAATACTGGTCACACAATCTCAATTCCAGCCTCCGAAGCCTCTTTCAGCGCTCTCCTGCTGTTTCGGATTGACCACTATCCGATAAGGAAAAGGGTTCTGTTCGCTTGTGGTTATGGGAGGAATATGATCCTTGTCTTTGTTCACAATTGCAACAATCTTCATTGCAGTCTTTTGCAGAGAAGACTCCATTGCTCTGCGAACCTTGATACGGTCTAGTAGAATTGGGGGGTCAGTGACAAATCACAATAGATCGTGGTAAAGACATATAGATGAGACAGCTTACCGGCTTCGCTCCGAGGCCTAGCCACGATCACCTGCACACACCATTCCTCCCAGCAGACTTCTTCCTCTGTTTGACCTCCGCCGCCAAGGCGACCTAGCCATCCGGTGGTGATCCCGGTCTTTCGACGCTTCCGATCATAGAACCGAACCACGATTTCTCCTCGAGAACCTCCCGACGCCGGACTCGTCGCGGACTGGGGTGTGAGCTGAGAGACGAGCAGGGCAGTATGGGAGTCAATGGCTGCAGAGATCTCCGGCGGGTCGAGGATAGATGGGAGCGGGATGGGCAGCGACTGGGCCGAATGCGATGCACCGTGGGACGATGACGCCGCGGGCATATAAAGCGACGGTCGGACTGGAGGAAAGTATCGGTGGAAGAATATGGTATGCAAGACTCCTGTATGAGTGGTTGTGTCAACTCGATTCTTGATGAAGAGGGGCAGTGGCGACAAGCACATGTCTGCCAGTGCACAAGATCGGGTGTAGCTCTTACCTTTGACAATATCTCTCACAAAGGTTTGGTCGGCAAACACTTCGAGGTTGTATTCGTGACGCCGCGGATCCATGGTTACTGAGTAACGCTCCCTGGGCCGACGGGCTGTATGGTTATGGTGGGGGGGTTTCGGTTGGGCGCAGGATGAGGACGAGGAGGAATGGGTGGCAGCCAGCAAGTGGCGCCTGTAGAAGAAGTGTTTGGGTCAAGACATGTTCATCCTCTGCTCTCAGCTAGATGCGCCTTGGGCACTTTCAGAAGGGTTGAATGTTGGTGCGTCAAAGTATCTACACAGGGAGGTGTGTAGTAGTAGTAGGTAGTAGGTACGTAGGTAGCAGGCAAGTACCTACGCCCCTTGCGTAGATAACCGGATAAAGGCAGTCTTACCTGCTACGTAGTATGGACTATGCTGCTTTGAGATGGTGGGGTCCAAGTGCAGGCAGGTCTGGCGGGCACGGAACAAGCCTAGGGGCCTAGGGAACCCCTTAGCCTGGTACTAGTACTTACCCTCTTCTCTCTCTCGTTTGCCAGACATTGTCAACACACGACAAGACCCTCATGTCGAGAAGTCTTGCAGCCATAATCAAACACTTGTCGACAATCTAGGTCGCTCTGAAGACCATCGAAGAACGATCACCTTGGTCCGATACTGGCAAAGAGAAGCCCAACATTTCAATCGAATCTATTGGGATATGCTTCAAAGCCCGTCAAAACAAACATCGATCAAGGGGCGAAAGCGCGCGGCAGCAGAAGCCAAATCACTGTACAGATGAACCTGTCTCTTCAAGGTTACGGAACAGTCGCCCACAAGCTTCCCCAAGGTCGGCAACAACAAGCAAAGTGTCACACAAGCGGTGAGCGGACAAGTCATCTCGGCGTGTTGTGTAATTCTTCACAGGATGTCTACACATGACGGCTTCATCACTTCTGGACAGAAGATTGAGGAAAGCCCTTGAATAAACGTCTCCGCCATTACTAACTGACAGTCATCATTCAACCTCGAGGTACTTATACGCAACGGGCGGTGCAGCTGCTGGAAGCACGGATGAAGAGGAGACACTGACCGCGACATAGTTGATGGGAAGCGAAAACCCACGGTGACATGGTAGTCTCCGAATACGTGTGGACTATCCAGGATTCGCTAGTATCAAAGCTCTACTCTGGAATCTGACTCGTCTATAAGGATCCGATCCATCGGGACTGTGACCGACTGTTGTGGACCCCTAACCATGTGCCACGTACTCCGTGGAGTCCCTTAATCGAGGTCTAGACACTTTCGCAAATACTTCCAGCCTTAATCGAGGCTTCATTAATGGAGTTCCGATATAGCGATTCTACGCGGGACTTGTAGCTACTCAAAAATCCAGGTCCGAGGCTCGGGTTGGAGGGATAGATCTAAATTACTAGATACCTGGGTATATATATGCACTGCCCTTGTCTTACTTCCACAGGACGAACTCTCAACAGTTGCTATATCCATGCCCTAAACTCCAGGTTTTGTGGCCACTTTAGACATTGTTTGAGTAATGGGCGACTGAAAGAAAAAAGCTGTTTTGGTGGAATTGGGAATAATGCCATGACTTGATTCAGGGTATGGTCTAAGTGAAGGAGATCAAGAATTCAACCATGGTTGCCCATAAGAGCGTCTTAGATCTCCAGTGCCATCGGGTCAAAGAGCTCTTGTATTTTGGAGATATTTGACCCTTGGTAGGCGTACAGAGCCAACATGAGCAAAATCCTTGCCTTCTGTGGATTGTAGCATCCTGCAGTGATGCATCCTTTACGCGGTGCTATGTATGTCGAGACCAGACGTGAAGAACGAACCACTGGGATTCCCGCACTCAGGAGTTTCTGTTCAGACGCGGCCCATTCCAAAGGCAGAGTCCCATCGCCAGTACAAGCCACCACGATGCCCGCAGCGCCGTGGTCTACCACCAGACGTAGAAGGTGAGCATCCATCTCCTGGTGGCCATAGAGGATGGCGACTTTTGGCAAGACGACACCCCGGCCACTGACGTCCAAGTATGGGTGTCCCGAGGAGCGACTGGGCGGATAGTAGAATACAGGACGGTGGTCGACAAAAGTCCCGACCAGGCCTTTGTCACCAGCATCGAAGGCGTCCACAGCTCGGCTGCTGACTTTGGTTGTGTACATTGCAGAACCAATGCGATTGGACCATGTCATCATCACGCCTCGACCGCAAGCCGTGGGCGACGCAGCCAGAGAGACTGCTTGATATAGGTTGAAAGGACCATCGGCGCTGAGCGCCGCGGCTGGCCGCATAGCCGCGACGAGAACTATTGGTGCATGGCCGTTGTATGTGAGGTCGAGAAAGGTCGCTGTCTCTTCCATAGTGTCTGAGCCGTGGGTGATGACGAGGCCATCTGGCGCATCGGCGGAGAAAACATCGTCGATCACGTTTCGGAGGTTGATCAGAATTTCAGAAGTCATATGCTCACTTCCTATCATGCAAAACTGTATCGTGGTGACTGTGGCAAGCTTGTTGATGGCAGGGACCTCAGATAGAAGAGCGTCGGCCTCCAGGCTGGCATCGCCATAGTTTGTTGTCTGAGCGGCCGATTTGGCAACACTGGCAAGCGTCCCTCCTGTAGCTATAATGACAACCCTTGGTAGCTTCCTATCTATCCGTGAGGCGGAATGGACGGATTCAATGTCGGTCATGATTGGAAAATCGATGGGAAGGTGAGGATGTGAGTTCGAGGCGAGTATGTCCCAACCAGCCCTACCGCTCTTAAACCAGGTCGTGGCAAGGGACTCATACCAGTATCTCCATTATCGAGATCGTACCACACGACCGGAACGGAAATGTTTGAGTTCTGCGCTACACTCATCAATTCAATCTCATCCGATCCTCTTGTGAGGTGGGTCAAAGAAGTGGAGACCTTATCGGTTCACTAAACTCCTTTTGGAGCGGGCTTCGCCCTCCGAAGTTCAAATTTGTCGGAGGTCTATATCAAGTGGTGTCCTTTTCCAGTTTCTCAGAGTATTACTTATTTGTCTATTGTGGCGCGGGATGCGTTCTCCGAAGATGAGGCTTCCCGGAGTTGTCGTTTGACCAGCCTACCTCTCCACCATGTCGAAGTGTTTATCTGCTCAGGGTTCTCTGATTCAGCTCCTGCCGTAGGAACAGAGTTAGGACCAGAGATGCCAAGAATATAATAAGGGGTGGACATCCTTCCTCGCCTAGAACAACATCACCATCACTGGAAATTCCTACTGGTACAGAACATGGAAACAATTGAACTGAGCCGAGGGCCTGACCTCGAAAGCCTCGACGCTGGAGACATAGTCAAAGCGGACAGATTGGTGGAAGAGGAAGCCTTCGAGATATACGGCAACCAGCAGAGTGCCGCTGAGTATGGATATGTCGCTCGTGATCTCAACGCCCGTCAGCTCCAGTTCATTGCCATCGGAGGGGCGATTGGAACCGGGCTGTTTCTGGGTATCGGTCGTGCCTTGACTCAGGCAGGCCCTCTGTCTTTGTTTTTGGGATACACGGTCACCGGAATCGCAGTGTACGGCATGGTAAGTCTCGCAGAAACCATGGTACTCTTTGACCCATTGACTGACTTGCTGTAACTGGAAGATGCAAGGCTTAGGCGAGATGGCAACGTGGTTGCCGCTTCCAGGCGCCATTCCTCAATTTTGTGCTCGTTACGTCGACGAGTCACTCGGCTTTGCTGTGGGTTGGAACGTAAGTATCACGGAGCTCTACGGAGGACTGGCCATTCGAGCTGAAATCATCTAGGCTTGGTACAATTCCACGATCATCATGTGCGCCGAAATATCTGCAGCATCAGTGGTCATACAATATTGGCATGGCGTGGCCAACATCAACGTGCGTCCTAAACCTATTGCCGCACCATATCCAGAGACTAGAGGGTTGACCAGACATGCAGGTTGCGGCGTGGATAAGCATCATCATCGTTTTGATAGTTCTCTTGAACATCTTTGCAGTCACCATATTTGGAGAGGCCGAGTTCATCTTCGCGGTGATCAAAATCGTCACCCTGATAGGCCTGCTTATCCTCGCTCTCATCATCGACGTCGGCGGTGTTCCAGGCCAGCCTCGACTGGGATTTCACTACTGGAAATCGCCAGGCGCCATGAAGACCTACAAGAGCCCTGGGGATCTCGGTCGATTTCTCGGTCTGTGGTCTACTCTGACCAATTCCGCCTTCTCATACAACGGGGTGGAGATGATCGCTGCAACTTCTGGGGAGGCCCAAAACCCTCGTCGGAATGTTCCAAAGGCGGTGCGCCGGCTCTTCTGGAGGATTTTGTTCTTCTACGTTCTGGGATCTCTAGCAATTGGAGTCCTCGTCCCGTACAACGACACAAATCTTCTGAGAGCCCAGGCCAGTGGCTCAGCCGGAGCAGCACAGTCACCGGTAGGCACGGGCCGGGATGCGCATGACTGACCAGGACTTCAGCTAACGTTTGCCTAGTGGGTGATTGCCATTGTCAGAGCTCATATCTCTGCTCTCCCTTCTATTGTGAATGCCGTCATCCTGACCTCTGCTGCCTCATCTGGCAACGCATTGCTTTACATCGGCAGTCGGTACCTCTTTTCCATGGCACAGCTTGGTCAAGCGCCACGATTCTTGCGGAAATGCACCGATAGGTACGCTTCAGATTTCGAAGCCATATAACCCATTTGCTGACTGATTACAGAGGCATTCCGTATTGGTGCGTTACAATAACCGCTGCTTTTTCAGGTCTCACATATCTGTCATGCGGCGACTCGGCAAGTGTGGCATTCACCTGGTTTCAGAACCTTGCCACTCTGTCAGGTCTGTTGACTTGGTGGTCGGTTCTTCTGGCTCATCTTCGCTTCCAGTCTGCGTTGAAGGCCCAAGGCATTGATCGCAACACTCTTGTGTTCAAAGCTCCTTTTCAACCATACCTGACCATCGGCTGCCTTTTTTACTTCAGCCTGGTCATGTTCTTCAATGGGTTTTACGTCGTGAGTCCTCCTCCTTCCCCCTTCAGTAATTACCGGGTATGCGATGGCTAACCACTGGATTGTTCAAGTTCATGCCCTGGTCCGCCAAAGACTTTGTAACCTGCTACGTTGGGCTCCCGATCTTCGTGGGACTGTATGCCTTTTGGAAGATTCTAAAGAGGACAAGAATCGTCAAGCCAGAGACGGCAGATCTTCACTCCGGCAAACAAGCTCTGGATGCCATGGAAGGCACCTGGCCCGAGAGAAAGCCCTCGAATTTGTGGGAGAGAATAGTCGATTGGATCTGTTAGGGACATGTAAATTCTCCGATAGAGTGCACGATCTACGTAACTGAATGATAATCTCGCATGTGGCCATTGTTTCAAATATAAAGCGTCATTGAGTCGTGTTGATGATTACAGATCATCACCCAGAGAAAACCAGTTTTACAAGCTCATTCCATAGTCATCAGGTGCCGGAAACACATCCAGATCATTGATGTTGAGACAGGGGTTAGCAGAAAATCCGTCCGCTCTTCTGGATGAAGATCCATGAGGCTCTGGTCCTGAGTCTACATGTGTCTTGTCAGGAGGTACGTGAGCCTTGCCCTCTTTGCTCTTGTGGCTTCACTCGTCATCTACTTTCAGGAGGATAGCAAGGCTTGTTCTAGCTTCTCAAACCACCTTACGAGTTTGACACCTCGGGCAGTCAGATATGAGTGGGGAAACAATGTCTGCATAAACTCCGACGGAGAATATACGACAGCCGTCTCGCTTCTTCCGTCGTACTATCGGTCAAAAGTACGTACCAGATGGCGGGAATGATGGGCTTAGATAGGACCCAAACTAGCCTCTATAGACTTGACAGTGGAATAAAGGGGTATGACACGAATTCAATATCAATCAAATCACATCACCTCACCCGAGGCGTAGATATACAGCTCCGCAATGCCTCAATACTGCAGTGGCCTGAGAAATGATTGTGCCGGCCATAACATGCCGATCGATAAGACAGTATACGGACTTCGTTCTCCGCCGGAGAACCGCCCCACTTGATGCTATCCCGAAGGTGACTTGCGTACTTCTGTCACCACATGGGCCCCCTCTGGATGCATCTCAAATAGGTAGATAGGATTTGTACACTATAAGGTCAAACTTCGGAAAATCTGCAAAGCAGTCATCGGCGAACAAGAGATGAAACATTGGTGACGCTATAGGCCAGTGATAAGACGGTGTTCAACTTCCGAAATGATTCCACCCGCTGGGTCAACCTCCGACAATTGGCTTGAAGCCCCCCAATCCACCCCCCCTTCTGATCTTCCTGTTTGTGCTTTGGGAGGAAACGATGTCCATGTAGTTCTGAAACCCCATGTGAAGTTCAAATGCTCCGATGTATTACAGATGTTGTCTATGTATCTCAACTTCAGAAGTGTATATCCCTTCAGACTTGTACCCCTCCCTCAACGCAGAAGTACAACCACCCTTACCCCCGCCTTTTGGAATACAGCACAGTCCTAGAGTGAATGATGGCAACTGTATCCGTCCATGCTTTGAGCGCAGGCTCTTTGACGCTGCCTGAACGATTCTTTGTCACACCTGCCGATCCAGCAGTTGGACACAGCGTACCCTCGCTCTCGTTCTTGATTCAGCACAAAGACAGCTCGGCGAATGTCACACGGATTCTATTTGACCTAGGTCTTCGGCGGGATCTCGGACTTTATCCTTCCCCTGTACAGAAGCATTGCGAGTCACGTCGACCGTTGACTACTCGACCCGACGTCGTCGCATCTCTGGCGGCGGGAGGTCTTGTTGTGGGCGACATTGATTTGGTCATTTTCAGCCATATTCATTTCGACCACGTGGGTATGCCTCGCGAGTTTACGCACCCAACCCAATTTCTCGTCGGGCCTGGCTCTCTCGACCTTTTGAGTGGCAAGCTGAGTCTTGACATTGGCAGCCACAATGCCTTCGAGCCTGATCTCCTGCCCCTTGACAGAACGGTCGAGCTACACTCTCCTCTACAATCTTTGTCCACAAAGTTGCCTTCTACCGAGCTCGATGGTGCAGATGGTTCTCCTGGAGCAAGTAAATCTTTCTTGTGGAACAGGCCATTGGTCTGGACGCCTTTCGACCGATTTCCTCATACCATCGACCTATTCGGCGACGGTACCGTGTTGATTGTAAATGCCCCGGGGCATCTTCCGGGCCACATAAACCTGCTTTGTAGAGTGGCTTCTACAAAATACGTCTACCTAGCTGGCGACTCCTGCCATGATGTCCGCCTCCTCACGGGCGAAAAGGATATTGCCATGTGGACCGACGACAGAGGCAAGAGTTGTTGCATACATGCAGATATTCCCAGGACCAAGGAGACTTTAGCTCGTATACGCGAGGTTCGGACCAATGGCTTACGTATGGAAAAAGACGAATTGGATGGAGAGGAACAAGTCGCAGAAGTCGAGCTTGTTTTTGCGCATGACTGGATGTGGGAGGAAGACGCTAACAGAAGAGGCAGGTTCTGGCCTGGCAGCTTGTGATTTTGATGTATTGGTCTGTGGAACAACACGCAGAGAACACCATTTGACCAGAAGATCTAATGGACCTGCCCGACCTTCTCACAGGTGTAAAGCCGTATTTCACGCTCAGCTATACACTAGGTAGTAGGCAATCAGCCCCTTTCCGCTCTCTTACGGTTAACAGCGTGCAATCAAGAACAAGGCTGTGTGGGACACTCATCCGCGCTTCGATATCCACTCTGAAGGCGTTGTGGACCCTCAAATCCCCTTTCAAGTTAAGCGGTTCATGTCCAGCGCTCCGTGCCGCTCAAATAATAGTACTACTACTAGTATAGTATAGTATAGTATAGTACTACTATACTCAGCCCAGATCCTGACATCACAGCCTTGATCTCCAGGAGACTCTTGACTACAATCACCTTGTCTGTCGAAGACTAGCATGGACATTTCAAGCAGGCAAATTGTATCTACGTTTATTCGAGTACCTGTGGTCTCTCATCCGGTGTTTTCAACCTCGCTGACATCTCGTGATCCAACGCGAATGCGGGATCCAACATCGTTCAAAATCAGCCTTCTCGCTTTCCACGGCGTACCTACAAGGCTCGCAAAGTAGGGTGGATTTGAGCGTTGCCATTGGAACTTGCAGCCGCCGAGTTGATGCACGATGATGTCCATGATCACCTACCTTCGAATGAAGATGACCACAATGCATGTTCTCTTACCTTCATCAGACCTCGCAGCAGAAATCCTATGATGAATGCGATGTGTCCAGAACGGTACCGAGACCGAGCAGGACATCACAAGATCCTCAGATATTTTAGGACAATATTCTCTCCCATGATATACTCATGAAAGACGCGCTGCAAATAGACAAAGTGGGCGTCAAGTACAGTGCTCTTTGCTTTGAACTGGCAGCCGCGGGGCTCTTGTCTGAGTTTCCCTGCTTCGTGGTTCGAGGTATATCTGATGATGCCCATTGCCGACTCTCACAAGAATGACGCTTTCGCCGCACTTACGGCTGCAGCATATGCCCAAGAGTATCTAAGCGTTGTCAACCCGACTACGGCGGATACTGAGGGAGAGGACAGTTCTGTTGGTTCGGAGCACTCCCTACTATGCTTTCTAAGTCGGCTTCTGATCACCTACTAGTAGTGCAGCTGGGTCATAGCCGGCGCTATCTAGGTATACTAGTGGACCGGATTTAGGATACAATAGTGGGCATAAAGGTGAGAGAGAGGGTAGTATGCTGTTGTAAAAGCGGCATGATAGCGTCCTCCTCTCTCGCCGCTATAGCAATCCGGAGCACTAGTGCAGAAGACATCGTCCTCTTACCTCATTCCGGCCTTTAGCCTCGGCACCGCCACATCTCTCCCTCATCACTCCCAATTCGATAAATGTGATCGATCAATAGACCGCGTCCTGGAACCGCTTGCTACGCCTTCTCCTCCTTGAGAAGCTCCTCTTTGAGGACCCCATCTCCCATACCACCTGCGGTCATGAACCACTCCACGGCCGACTTGTACCCGAGATAGAGGTACTACCTGTTCCATCCCACCACCATGATCTCAGCCACACGTCGCTGGCTTCGGCGGAACCGCAGTGGGATTGCCATTGGTGCCGGCGTTGTTGGCGCTACATACCTCGCGGGACAGTATGTCTTAGGCAAGATCAATGAGGCGCGAGAGCGCATGCAGATGGACAGGATAGCGAAGGAAAAGTAAGCATGTTCTTTGCCCCTGGCGGTTTTTGGAGGCATTCGCTCACCTATGGCCCAGCATTCGACGACGATTCGAACAGAACCAGACCGACTGTACCATCACAGTCCTCGCCCTTTTACCCACGCTGACCGAAAATGTCATGGAAGAGCTGCCTGTCGAGCAGTTGACACACGAACTGCAGCAGAAGAAGGCTGAACGTCTGGCACGTGCTTCAGGTGAAGGCAAGTCCGAAGCCTCCAGCATGCAAGATGGGGATTCTGTGAGCATGTCCAGCTTTCAGACTGGAAGTTTTGTGCATGCCATTCAATACCCCATAGAGGGAAGTCAAGGTGGAGCACGAAGAACAAAAGCACAGCTTTGGAATGAGTTGAAGGTCACATCCATCACACGAGCGTTCACGTTGATTTATTGTTTGTCGCTTCTCACGGTCTTGACCCGGATTCAACTCAACCTACTGGGTCGGCTGAACTATCTATCCTCTGTGATTTCGCTGGCGCGACCTCCTCCGCCGGGACGCGCCAATTCGATTTCGCTGGAAGACCACGACGATGGAAGCGTGAATACCAGTTTCGGCAACGATTTCGAGACCAACAGAAGATATCTCACCTTTTCATGGTATCTTCTGCACAAAGGCTATGCACAGATCATGGCCAAAGTAAGAGCGGCGGTTGAAGAAGTGTTTGGAAGCATCTCGCCAAATGAGGGAATCACGGCCACTAGGCTTAGCGACTTGGTGCTCGCGGTGCGGAGGCGCGTCGAAGGCGGCTCTGAGCAGGAAAGATATGCCACGAGATGGCTCCAATACATGCTGCCTCCGAGGGACGAAGAAGAGGCCGTCTTGATCGAATCAGGCGTCATCACCCCAACCTTATCGTCCCCACCTGACCCGACGTCTGACGGAGAGAATCCATCGACACAGAGCACATCTGCTCGGATTGACACCTCGACAGGGCCTTTGCGGCGCCTCCTGGATGAGACGGCGGACCTGATCGACTCACCGACATTCACCAGAATCCACTCTCTTCTCTTGGGGTCGATGTTCTCTCATCTCATCGACTCCAAGGTCATTCAACAGCTGTTCCCGCAGCCAGTACCCATGCGCTCTCATTCGCCCTCCTCTTCGATCTCCAGCGCGCCTCATCCGCGCATTGTAGAGCTCGATTCGGCCGTCACAGTGGTCCCCGGTGAACCGCGCGTCAAGCTGGCCAACATTCTGGCCGTCATCACCCGTCAGGCACACGCCATCGGAAACGGGAACAGCCCTCCGAACGAGTACCTGTCTACCGCGGAAGCTGAGGTCAAAGAGCTGGAGGCGTTTGCGGCCGTCATCTACACCAGCAACGTGGAGCAGAGCGTTGAGGAGAGTCGACACAGTCCTGCGGCGGACAGTGGGCTGAAAGGTGCAGAGGGAGTCGCGGTCAGCGATGTAGGGACGGAGCCGGCGGAGGAGATGGTCGAGAGTAAGCTCGAGAGTGCGTGGACTAAGGTCACAGGATCGTCGATTGCTTCGAGATGATCTATACAGGTCGGGTCGACTCTTGGACCTAGGACATGATGCCGCTGTCCAGCGGTGGAATAACAGGGGGTGTAAAGGCTCATCAAGGCTCATGATGGATGTTGATTGAACCGAGAATGAAGCAGGCTTGTCGCATTCCCAGTGGCCTTGCGGATGGGATTGCTTGGGGTTCTCTCCATGTGTCTTATGCTACAGCTAGCAAGGAAGATATGCTCAGATATAATATTCCCCATTTTTGACGGACTCGAGACTAGAGTCTATGATTGGCGTCGAATGACACATGGTACAGGCTCTTGTCGACCAAATCACTCTTCCTTTTCCAACTTGAACGGTTGTTCCTGACACCAGAGGCTGTAGAGGCACCTGATACGCCGTTCCGGCAAGCGGAAAAGATGATATAGAGACCATGGTGTGTGGAAGAACACTTTCATCCCTCACTTTCTTCCTTGACCTGATATGCAACACTCTTTCGATGAGGTAAGCCTACCTAGATATAATATGTCGTGAAGACTCGGCAAGAAGGGGTGACCGTCTGGAGAAGAAAGACGCCAGTCTTATCCTGTATAAGGCTATCTAACTTTTGAATTTTCGTCATCATTATCAATTTTGTTTGAGTTTGATTCTCATCTTCTATAGATGCCAGTTCCCCAACATATCCTCAGCACGGCCAAGCCAAAAGCCATGGCGACACTGTCCCTGATGACATTCAATTTACTCCCGAAGACCTCCTTCCAACCGACGGCGACCTCGACGACCGGAACGCCGGCAAACTCGGCCAGCATGAGCATTTCGACATCGAAGATCCAGCCGTCCATATGCATGTGGGGCACGATGTAGGGCAGGGTCGGGCGCGAAAACAGCTTGAAGCCGCACTGGGTGTCCTTGATGCGCGCGGTCTGCGGCGGGGTCATGAGTTTGAGGAGGAAATGGAACGAATGCATCAGGAAGTTGCGCAGTTTCGAGCGCTTGACCACGGCCTCGCTGCCGACGAGATGGGCGCGACTGCCCACGGCGACGCCGCGGCCCAGGTCGTCCTCGATCTCCTGGCACGCGGTCACGAGTTTGGTCAGGTCGGAAAACTTGGAGGCGCCGTCCGCATCGGCAAAGACCACGTATTGGCCCCGGGCGTGGCGCATGCCGTGGGTCACGGCGCCGCCTTTGCCGCGGTTCTCCTCGAGCGACACGAGCCGGATCGACCCCGGCGGGATCTTGACGCCCGTGTCGCTCCGGTGTGTCCACGGCCCGGACAGGCGGCGTGGGTGTTTCGGTAGAATGTGCGTTCGTGAAAACGTCTGCACTGTCTGCACCGTACGGTCGGTCGAGCCGTCGTCGATGACGAGGATTTCCCAGCCTCGCAGTGGAGGGGGTGACGAAGATGATGAGTTCTTGGTGTTCGTGCCATTGGCTTGCCTGCGTCGTGCGGTGGGTTTGTTGTTCAAGTTTGCTTCGACCACTTTCTCGCTTGAGGTGGACGTCGTTGTGGTGGTGGCGGTCGTGTCTGCCTTCTCTTGGATCTCTCCTGCCGCGGAAGACCCATACTCCGTCTCCAGGAAATTGACGGCCTCCTCCAGCATGCCGGTGAGTCTGTCCTCCTCATTGAACGCCGGGACGACAAGCGTCATGAATAACTCCGGAGGTTCGATTTCTTTCTCCAAGTCGATTGGCTTGTCTTCTTGTTTCGCCTTGATGTATTTCCGGAGGATGTCATCGTACCAGCACGGCAGAGGTTCCGGCGTGGTGACTTGGCCTGTTTTGTCGACTGTGGTGTATTTCTTTTCCGAGGGTCTGGCTTTGCGTGGGTTCGGGACGAAGAGGGTGATGAACAGCCATATCTGCATGCATGGTATACGGTTAGCATTACACCCGGTTCTTCAGGTAGGGTGCGCACTGCATGTTGTTGCTAATGCTAGACGGCAGACAGGAGTAGATGGGCCGAATAGGACAGATATTGCATACCACCAACACAATTGTAAAGGCTGCCCAGATCAAGACGAAGGGCACCAGTCGCCATTTGAAGAAGCCATCTCTTGGATATAGGTCGACGAAGTGTCCGCCCATTACACCCATGGCGGCGACTTCGTGGCCCGAGGGCACCTCTGACTGGGAAGAGAACGCGACGTTTTCCTGGGCTTGAATTCAACTCGATCAGGTATCACAACTCAGGTGTTCAAGTGTAAAGGTGATATATTCGCAAGTGCTGGCATTGAGGCTGCACGTAGAGCGCCGGGAGTATGCCTGTACTCTGCAGGTGTAGGGTAAATGTATGGCTTTGGGCGACTTTGAAGTGCAGATGACATCTGTTAACATTTCCGCGATAGACGAATCGGCGTGCACGATACAAACTCCCCGCATAGGCTGTTATACAAAAGTCTCCAGGTCCGCCATCAGGGTCGCCAATGTTAGTTCAGGGTCCAATACTAGTAAACTTGTGTAACCATCTTGCGAGTAGGTACCTATTTAGGTACAACAAAGTGTACTGGAGTGTTCTCGGCCTCCGTCTTTATGTCTGTCCCTCTATCGTCCTCATGACGGCTCCTTGTTCAACGCGTCTTTCCACTTCTTCGCCATTTCCATCCCTTGCGCCAGTGTGCCGACTCGAGCATCGACCGCAAACCCCTGTCTATCGAGCTCCGACAACTCGTTCCACAGATTATCCAACGGGACAGTGAAACACTCAATATATTCGTTCTCCTCCAGCTCGGGCTTGAGATTGCCCTCCTGGTTCCTCGGATCCGACATGTCCACCTCGACAAAGATCATCTTTGTATTCGTGTTGCACATCCCGGGATCGTTCCACATCAAGAATCCTTCTGCTGCACTGGCATCCTTGGGTAACGTAGCGACGTAGCCCGTCTCTTCTTTGAGTTCGCGTATGGCCGCTGTCGCAGGGTCCTCGCCCTCATCGATGAGCCCGGACGGCGCTTCGATCGTGACCTTGTTGAGCGGCGGCCGGAACTGTTTCTGCAGAAGGAGGGCCGGGCCCTTGGAGGATTTGGGGTCGTTCAGGACGGCGATGACGCCTACACCGTCGACGTCGGTGCCTTTCGGCCGTGTCTATTTACAGACGATCAGCGCCGCGCAATGTGTAGACTCATCCTTCGCTCAAAAGAAGTGTAGCCTCCAGTGGAGCAGGGGCAAAAGACCACCACTTTGGCCAAGTGACATACCTGTCGCTCGGCCGACTCCCAGGTCCTCTCCTTGCCCGCAGGGTCTTGGTAGGTTATCTTCTTCAATGTGAGCCATTTCGCTTCTTTCGGGTCCTAAGGTCCTTCAGCAATCAGCCGCAGGGCTCAACATGTAAGTCATCGTCAGGAGGCTCAGCCATACCATTGTCTCGACCGCCGTGACCTTGGCCGACAGCGGCGAGTACGTGGACATCTTGTCGGCCATCTTGGGGACTCGGAGTCGAGCAATGCACGGTCTATGAGTTCTCAGGACACGAACGCGAACACTGGAAGTCGTCGTCAAGGGAACTGTAGAACCGAGACTCGCTTTCAACATGTCATTGTCAGATGGCTGATAGACGCAAGGTCGAGGAAGGATGCATTTACTACTACTACATTGCGAATTCGGAGACGGAGCCTCGAGTCCTACGTAAAGGTAAAGGCCCTTAAGGAGACCAATCATGACGTAGCTGGGATAAATTTCTGGATACGGCTTAGCTCCCTTGCTGCTTTAAGTTGCTGCTTCAAGTTCAGCCTCGTCAATTCTGCTTGTTTTGGTTTGTAACATCCAACATATCTCGTTTCCTGTCTCATCATCGGCTCTCATGTTAGGATTGCACCACTGGTCACTGTGTGGAAGCAATGTGTGATGTGTGTGTCGCAATGTGATGAGAACTCCTTGATCAAGCAAGCCCCCTGACGTCTTGTGCCCAACCGACAGCCGTCCCCACGTACTCCTTCAGTCCATTCATTCATCGCGCAGTTTTCGCAGCCAGGAGAAGCTAAGTTCTTTCATGCCACCGCCACTTCCTCAACCCCATTGACAGCTCCATCATCGCACCTAAGGCACGGCAGCAATCCCGACGCACGCGTAGCAAACAAGCTCCTCAGCCGCGCTGACGTCCAGCAGTCGAGGCGTTGTGATCTTACTGCAACAATCCCATCTTGCGCAGCTGGTCAGCCATGCGAGTCTTGACAATGTTGACCTCCTCCGAGTCCTCGGCAAATGCCTTTCGGACCAAAGCCAGGTTGGCTATGAAGTTCCGCAATCTGACATTATCGTTCTGCGCATGGGCGCCCGATCTCTCCAGATGTCCTCCGTACATGATGGCAGACTGCACCTCGATTTCCTCCTTAGTGAGATCGGCCAGCCGGGCTGTCGAGTTGTTGGCTTGTCCCCAATCATCGAGCTGACTGACGACCTGGGAGTCCGAATAGCTGAGTTGACGGGGCACGGGCCATGGAAGAACTCGCATTCTCATTCGGTCGCGACGGCGTCGGTGGTTCAACGTGCCTTTGCTCGGTCTATCTTTCGTAGTACCACCATTGGCACGGCCTAACGGGTTGAAGACCATGCGATCGACAAAATCTTGGTGGCAGATGTTTGGGTCCAAACGACACAAGGCCTCCATTTCCCAGCCCTCGATCTCCGTGCTGACTTTGATCGGCATGACGGGTGACCACTTGAGTGGGCGATGTTCGCCGGTGAGTAAGACTCGTCCGTACGGGTCCAACAAGGGGCGGAACTCGTGCGGTGACTTCTTGCGGCGGCCGTTAGCAGGGGTGAAGTCGTACTGACCGATGGGGAATAGCTCGAAGAGAATGTCCGGCCGACCTGCATTGCGTTTGCTGGTCCAGTCCCGATACTGTTCTTGACGAAGCGTGGTGTTGTCTGTGTTAAGCAACCACTCTGCATACGTGGCGTAGAGGAGGTTGTTGTCGTCTACTTTGATGTACGGCTCGTTGTTGATGTTGATTATCTGGACGACATATCGAAGGCGCGTGGTATGGTCTGCTTTTCGGATCCAGATTACCGGAGGCATTGCGGGCATCTGGATCACAGGAGCTTGTACTTCGACTTGATCATCTTCGTCATCTTCGTCATCATCATCACCATCATCATCATCATCGTACTCCTGCATACGGGTGCCTGTCTCGTCGACCATGGAGGTGGGTGCACATGCTGGCTGTGGGATTTCAGGCAAGTTCGAGAGCTGAAGAGGAGGAGGAGCTACCTGGTATCTGTTGGGCGCAGGCGGTGCAAGGGCGTTGGCTTGACGATGATTCCTGGATCGAAACGCCGGATTGTCAAAAATACCTCTCGGGGGGCTTTTTGGACGTCGACGATGGTCCTGTTCAGCAGCCTCATCCCCCTCGGCACTTTGCAATGGGTTGTGAGCGGCCTCAGTTTCGGCGAGCTCGGCGTTGATGGCGTCGCTGACCATCTTGGCCAAAGTTTGCTTTCGCACGCGCTCAGCATATCGAAAGTAGTCGTATGGCTCCAAAGAACCACTACGGGCAGGACCTTTGTCCGGAACATTGACGTGCTGAGAACTATCAAGTCCATCGTCGTGGTTGGCAAAAGCTACCTTTCGTGGGACATTCGCATGCTGATGACCGATGGAATCAGCGCCCTGGTCGACAACAGTGCCTCTCTGCGGGATGTTGAAATGCTGATTAGCAACAGTCTGATCGACGACTCGGCGAACGCTGCCCTTCTGCAATGGGACATGAGGCTCTGCCAAACCATGATTAGCTCTGCTAACATTCAAGCACCCAGCCACAACACCAATCTTCTGAGGAAAACATACCTCCTTTCTTTACTGCTTGTTTCGCCTTCTCTGCCTCTGCTTTCTTCACTGCCTCTTCTGCTTCTGCTTCTTCCTCTCCTTCCAAGCGAGTCCGCTCATACGACTCTTGAAACTGTCCAATTCCCAAATGTATGTATGACGGCTGAGACAAGGGTGCCGGCGGTGGTACTTGAAACGCAGTCTGCATGTTCAGGAACTGCGCTGCCTCTCCTGCAATGGACAAACGATCGAGACCCAGGCCATGGCTGATGCGATTGTTGGCCATGGTGCCTGGCCGAGTTTGGGTTGTTTGTGTTCGACAAAGAGAGGATTCTTGGAGTGCTATGTGGTGTTCTGTTTCAAGGATATCCTTGGAGAGCAACTGATGAACACAGCCGATACAAGAGAAAGGGAATAGAGAGAAGAAGAGAAAGAAGAGATCACACTGCAAGAATAACAGTGACTTTGCAAAGTGTCAGTCAGTCAGGCAGGCATTCATCAAGACCAGTGAGTGAGTCCCGAGTGAACAGGTTTTCCCTCTGCAGAAGTTGTTCTTTTATTCCCTTTGGCTGCGTTCCGTTCTGCTTTCTGTCTGCTTCCGTGCTTCAATGTCTAGGTTACTGCTGCGTTTTAGGGAGGCAGACGCCACGGGTGATATCAGAAAGTGACTGCCCGTCACTGGATCATTTGTTCTGCGCGGACAACACAGTCCCCAGGCTGGTGAGCGTGAGGGTGACTGGCACAGCAACACTATGAGTTTCGTTGGGAAGTGAGGCTACAGGCCACGGGCGAGGCGCGGAAGATATCATGGGACGCCGTCCGTTTCTTGGACCAGTTTGACTATCACGATCGATATCAAGCACTGTTTTTGACCATACGGTGTGTGATATCTCAGAGCACTGGCAAACGTTCATCACAAAGCGAAGACACACTTCTAAGGAAGCGAAATGAACATTCCGGCGAGAGAGGGACACACAGACAAGGCAAGGCAAGGCAGAGCCTTCCTCAATCCGGCACATCAACTGTCTCCTTTACTGCTATTGAGGGGGTTTGAAGCACCAGGGTGGAAGCCTCGTCTTCGCAGAAACCCCCCGAAAAGTAAATGTCCTTCGAGTTCGAGTATGAAGATTGGCTATCGGGTGCCGACATTCGCCCTCTTTGGTCTCTGATGGACTCAGCGGCACGGCCTGAACCGGAAAACTATGTAGGAAGAAAGAGAATGGTATCGTGGTATATTCACTACGGTCATCGATGGATCAGCCGGGGTTACCTCAGTGAGTCGCTACGAGCATACTTCTGGGTGGGCTCAGACCAGCGAAAAGAGAAGGGAGAGTTCTATGGAGCGGTTGTGCTCATCGTCAATGTCTGTCCATAGCAAGTAAGCCCTCCATATTTCCAGAATCGCGAACGTACCAAATCCATGATCTGATATATAGCCATTGTACGGAGTCAAAAACGCCGTTTAAGCATGGTCCCAGTGAGACACGTTCATGGCTTCTTTCACGAGCGAGACTGCCAGGCGTTGTGTCGATGCCCTGGACGAGAAGCTCTGCCCACGCAGTGAGAATAACCAAGCAATTCACAGTGACCATACTACAGATATGTTCCAATCAGTCCTCACATTATGTCATTAATTAGGTATAGGGCTATACGACTTTTTCCAAACGCTCAGAAATTGGTGGAAGGCCTGATATGGCCAGCTCGGATGGGCACTCGCTGATGCAGGGGAACTTCGGGATCCACGCCACGGTACCCAGCCCCCGACTGCGCTGCTGCAGGCCCAGCACTTTGGCCGGGCAGTTCATATGACTCCTGTGCAGACTGCTGGCCAGAATAATATGGTCCTCCGGCCGAATCAGCAGATGGGCCGGACACTCCGGAGATGTTCCGTTGGTGAGAGGCTCGAGGTTGAACTTGGTCATCCGGAAGCTGGTGGACGTTGCGCTGTTCTTCAGGCATTCCGTGAATCTCGGCAACATAGCCGGCCGCGGTAGGATCCATCGGGGCCGGCTGTTGGAATCGGCTGGTCGGCTGATGTTGGCCACTGCCCTCCGAGTATTCGCTTTGGTCTGAGACAGACAGGTGCGAAGAACCCTGAGGCGGCGGTGATGCTGAACCCCACGAACGGACTGCTGCAGCGCCGGGCAGAAGTCGATCCGGAGATCGAGGTGGAGGCGACGGTACAGAATTCATAGGTTGAGAGGGCAGCTCAGATCGTATATCAGATCGATTCGAGGAGTATCCAGCCACAGCCGCCATGGCACCCATCGTTGGCGGTCCCCCTGTCGAAGGGCCTCCCAAGCCGCTCATGCTGGGCAAAGGGTTGTTAGGATATCGATCGGTGGCAGAGACAGAGTTTCGTCTTCTCCGTCGTCTCATGAACCAGCTGTACCAAGCGCCGAAGATCGCGGCGGCTAGAACAGCAACTCCCACGCCAACGCCAATACCAGCCTTGGCTCCAGTCGATAGACCACCACCGCCCCCGCCGTCCCCGTTTGATAGCGCAGCAATAGAAGGAGTGCTGCCGGGTGTGCTTGTGAAGGTACCGACGTCCACCACTGTGGTGGCAGGGTTGGTGGCAATCACCACGGAGGTTAGTGTCTGAAGGCCCGTTACGCCATCCGAAGTGGTTGGAAGCACTTTAGTGACGTATGACGTACTGGTTGAAAAAGAGACAGAGGAGCTACTGGTGGTAATCACCACCGGCGGTGCCGTGCTGCTTGTTGTGTCTTCTGAGGAACTCGACTCGGTGGTCAAAGTGGATTCGGAGAAGGTCGATGGGGTGGTGACTGGAAGAGACGAAGTGGTTACTGGAAATGTACTGGATTCGGTGGAGACAGAGGATGTGGGTATAAATGAATTCGATGAGGCTGCAGAAGAGCTCGGGGTTAGGGTAGTACTGGACACAGGTTGCGTGCTTGAAGGTATTGCAGCTGGCAGAGATGACGAAGATAGCGAGGACAGTGACGCTGTATACTCACTGGTAGGGCTGCTGGAGAAAGTCGAATCCGAAGACAAAAGGGACGAGGAGGTCTGCGGAGGAAGGGGAGTGGTGTCTGTTGTTGCTGGGGAAAGAGGGGAGGGCGAGGGCGAGGTTGTAGTGCTATCAGTAGTGGGAGTGGGAACGGGAGTAGGAGCTGTAGTTGACGATGATGGGTTAACCGGGGCGGGAGTGCCGGAGGAAGTGGACTGCGCGGTGGCAGAGGTAGATGAAGCAATACTGGAGGTGGTGATGGTGCTCGTGGAAGTAGTGAGTGAGGTTGAGGTTGATGCTGAAGTTGATGTAGATGTGGAAGTTGAAGTGGAAGTGGAAGTGGAAGTGATCGTTGTAGCAATTGGGGGAGAGCTTGTGGTAGCTGCCACACCTCGAACGTTATAAAAGCATCTGGTGCAGAGGTTGTGCAAGGCTGAAACAGAAAAGACTGGAGGGAGAACTGTGCATCCATGAACATACTGGTGCTAGACACTGTGGGAGTATCACTGGTAGTGACACTGATAGTATCACTGGTAACATCACTGGCAGTGGTGACTGCAGGCGGGGATGTATCGGTCGTCTCGGTAGAGGAGGTCGAGATCACTGAAGATGGGGCTGGAGTATCGGTGATGATGGTCGTCGGCGTGGTTGTATCGGGAACAATGGTACTTGTGGTGAAGGTTGTTGGGCTGATTGTTGCAGTGTCTGAAGTAGAGATGGTGCTATCAGAAGTAATCGTCGTAGCTGAGGCAGTATCTGAAATACTAGTAATGGTGGTGATCGCGGCGGAGGAGGCTGAGGCGCTGTCAGTCACAGTACTTGTGCTGTCTACTTCCTGAGCTGCCAACAAGGCGGCCAGTCTGAGCAGCAACAACAGCTGTAGCAGCTTCGCCATAGCTGAGGGCAGATGGCGAATGTGCCGCGTACTGTGCTGCGCAAAGAGTGTGCTGCTCCTGTCAATGATGAGGCTGTAAAACAGAAAGAGAAACCGCCAAAGAGCGGAACAGTGAGGTCTTGAACTCTGTCGGCCACCAGAGGCTCCCAGACCCTACCGCGAGGGTGGTCACTAAGGTGATCATCGCGCCCCAACCAGTCTCAGTCAGCCCAGGTTTCATGCAGTAAAAAGCTCTACAGCCTCTGAGACCTGTGGATGTGATGGGCAGCCCGCCTTACAAGAGCGGCGGGGTTCTTTTTTCAGCTCCCGCTCATATGTGCTAGTCCATTGGCGCACAGACGGAGTAGTGCCCGAGGGCGGAGAGATGGAGTCAAAGAGCTGCGTGGAATCGGCCACAAATCGACTAGCTGTCAAGACCATCGGCCCAGCATGCAAAGGTGGGAAGGTTAAATCCAATGGGGCGCTGACGGCACAAAGGGAGGATTCGGAGACGGCTGGAAGCCAGCACTGGTATTGGCGGAAGTGTATCCTGTAGGTCTTATCTTGCTAACGAACCTGGAAGCCTCGGGCTCAAGAAAGGTAGGTTCAACACGAGAGGTCTAAGCGAGGCATGCAGCGCCATGCAAGGACATGCGAGAGGATGCAGCTTTGGCATATGATCTTGCGGTTTGGTGCCGTGAGGCTGATACGAGGGACTCGTCGTGGGAGAGAGATGTGACCGGAGAGCCGCCAGAAGGAGAGTGAAAGCCGATATAGTAAGACGAAGAAAGCAAGTTGCATGACCAGTGCACTGCATCACTGAAGCCAGTCAAACATACAAGCTCTCGTTCCGACGATGAGGTTGCCATCGATCGACGACGGGAGTAATAGTCTCGTAGTATACAGAGTAGTAGTGAGCAAGCGGGAGCACTTTGGAGCCGATGCGACCTTGATTCCCGGCGTCGAGCTGGGGGGCGCGGGAGCGGGAGGAAGTGAGAAGAAAACTGCTCGGTTTATGACAGGTGTTACATAACACATTTGACAGTAGTGGTACCTAGTGATTCCAACAGAGCAGCCCCATATCAAAGATCAAAAGCAAGTGATGAGACAAGAGAAATAGTAGAGTCGGATTAGGTATACCTAACAATAAAAATAGGTAATAATAGGTCAATGCTGTCGGTGGTCTAGGTACCACACTTTAGGTGGCATGATGAGAGACGATCCAGGACTTTTGTCTTTCTTGCTGGCGCAGCGCAGGCGGGGAAACTCAAGCCGCTCCACTTCTTTTCGCTTAAGTTCTTATCAGCTCGTGACTTTTTAGCAATGATAAAGAGCTGCAGACCTCCAAAAACCAGCATGAAACCGCGCAGGCTTGAAGCACTCCATCTGTTGTTACTATTGATCGATGCAACAGTGGTCTACTACCGGTAGTAGTAATCCAGTCCAGTCGAGGTCAGCCGTTGCGGTCATGATATTGTTATTATTGTTGCAGACCGAAGGTGCCTTCTATGCCTGCCCACTCATGGTCCGCCGCGGTCAGCTCGGATGCCTGCGACGTCATCCTGACTCAAGGAATTACAGGTTCAACCTGTCTAATGAATCTGTGCTCGACACGTTGCGGTTCTTGTGTGGCCGTGGGTTACCAATGTTGGTATATTGCCAGTGAAATACTAAGATTGCAATTACAACCATCCACCGGATTTCCTTGCCACATACAGGCGTTTTCCTTTGGTCTGGAGTTGTAGAATCGTTGTCTCGGGCCTTCTATCCTTTGCTCCCGAATTCACCGACTTTGATGATTCACCGAATCTTATGATAAGAAAGAATATATAATTCGATATCTCCTCTGTCTGGCTTCCACACGTCCATTTTGCTTCCGGTCATAAAACGTCGAACCTCTCTCCTACTGTCCTATGGCAACCGCAAATGGAGGTTCCTCGTCTGAGGACAAATCGCCTGTGGTTTGTGTCTTGTGCGTCTCAGAGAAGAAGAGCCCCCAGCAGAGATGCATACATGAAAAACTAACATAATCACTCAAGCTGTGGCTCTTCGCCTGGAAAAGACCCCGTTCACCTAGAGTCGGCGCGGACACTTGCCGAGTCCCTCCATGATGCAGGCTACAAGCTCGTCTATGGCGGAGGCACCATGGGAATCATGGGCGAGGTGTCCAAAACACTGGTGTCGCTTTCAGGTCCTGGCTCAGTCCGTGGTATCATTCCTCGTGCATTGATCCGCACGGAAGTCGACACCTCGATTCGCAGCGAGACCAGTCAGAACGGCTCCAGAAAGGCAGAGCGGACGATGTCAGCTCAGGAACTGCAGCGCATCGACAGCAATGAAGACCCGGACAGCAAGATTGTCCCGGCCAACGAATTCGGGGCGACCACCATCGTGCCGGATATGCACACTCGCAAGCGCATGATGGCTCAATGTGTCGAGGCGGGCGGCCCCGGCTCTGGCTTTGTTGCTCTGGCTGGTGGCTACGGCACTCTGGAGGAGGTCATGGAGATGGTTACATGGAATCAGCTGGGGATCCACACGCTTCCCATTGTCCTAGTCAACGTCAATGGATACTGGACTGGGCTTCTAGACTGGGTCAAGAATAGCATCAGGGAAGGATTCGTCGGTGAAGGAGCAGCTAATATCCTAGTCGAGGTCCAGAGCGCGGATGAAGTCGTCGGGGCACTGAGAGAGTATAAGCTTGCCCCAGGGAGATACCAACTGGATTGGTCCAAATAAAGCAAAAGTTCAAAAAGTGAACAGAGGGGAGGAGAGGACAAAGATGGGCGACAGCATCATTGAAGCAGGATATCTTGATCTTGCCTCATAGTTGCCATTTCCACAGAACGTCTTGACCATGCCCTTTTGGCAGCCTTTACGCTCCTAACGCCGTACGATATGCTATCCATTTCCAAGTCTACTACGAGTCCGTCTCCATAGCCTCGCCACCGGCGTCTTCTGCCGACGTTGACTCTGCAACAGCCTCCAGCAGAGGAGCAATATCCTGTCCGTCGTACAATTTGAAATGCTCAGTCTTCTTTCTGCCATCCTGCTCGCCTACTCCGATGATCGCCAAACTGGTGTTGTCGACCGTCAACTCTTTATCTTGTGCAAGGCTCTCCTTCAAGGCCTGCAATGCATGCTTGATCAATTCATCCCGACTGCAGTCCGCAAATGCGTCCAGATGTCTCTCTAGATATGTGCGAGCCATCTGACTTCGAGCACCGATCGCACAGGCGAGCATCTCTTGAGTAAGACCGGAGGGCGAGAACTCGAATAGATGTGGTCCCAGGTCATCCACACCTGCAACCAGCAGTCCAACACCATATGGTCGCTTGCCGTAGTGTTGTGTGTTCGTTTGGGCACGATCCCCGATCATATTGACGATCCGTTCCACCGGTATGGGCCGACCGTAGGTCATCTTGGAAGACAGCGACTGTTGCTTCATGAAGTTCGAAAGGACGCGAGCATCAGAGGCGAGACCTGCAAGTGCGACCCCAAGGTGATCATCAACACCCACGATCTTTTTCTGGTACGACGACAATTCCTCTGCGTTCCTCTGAACGATGTGAGCATGATTTTCCGCCAGGACAGTCAGAACCTGTACAAACCTTGACAGCAGTCAAGACGACATGCTTCTTGCTGGCGACTCCGACCACCACCGAACCTTGCTTGACAGCCTCTTGAGCATATTCGACCTGAAATATCCGGCCCTGGGGTGAACTGCGAAGTGTTAGCCATGTCGCACACAGGACAGTTCCAGGAGCAGGCTCACAAGGTGACAGAGTCGTTATCGTAGTTATTTCTGAACATCTTGCCGGTGTAATGACTGGTGTAGCAGAGCAAGCAGAGGATCGATGGAAGACGATGGAGAGGGTGACGGATTGCAGATGGCCCCTACAATAAAATCGTATATTAGAGCCAGGCAATGGTAGACGCGCAACTTCTGGTTAGGCGCGGTTTGTCCCAGACTGCAGACTGCAGTGGAGGAGCTGCTCCAAGCCAGACTGCGAGTCGACCCCAGCCACAATTTCACTCTACTCTGTACACCTTCAATCGTCACAGCAAGACGGCCGCTCTTTGCGTATTCTACTCATTATTCAACAAATCTCATTCTATCTTTGTGGTATAGCACCCTTCTCAGCTCGTTCCAAGGACCTGCCGCCATTCTTCCGCATCCTAGGAGTCCCGAAACACAGCGAGCCTCATTGCGCCTCTTCCAGAACGAGCACCCAGTTGCTCAGTCAAGCTCGCATTAACCCTCAGTCATGACGGCCGGTCTCAAGACCATCATTGCCCTTTCGTTTGTTCGCATGCCTTAAGACTCTACCGGATGATATGGGTATTGACCAGTGCATAGGTCCTTGCCATTGGGTTTCTCCTCGTCATCCTTTCGGCTGCGTTATTCCATAATTTCCTCACCCTCCTCGTCGTCGCAACCTATGTATTAGCGCCAGTACCGAACTGGATTGCTTCAAGATGTGCCAACCCGGATGACTTCATTGAGAGCGGCTCAAGCGCATGGCTAGACCTTGGCCGGTTTGCTACGGGCTTCCTCGTTGTTATGGGCATTGGTACGTTTCGCGGAGCAAACACTCAGAACTGGACTGACATTATTGGATATCAGCACTACCGGTCCTCCTGGCACACTGCGCGCTCATCCAGATCCCGGCCATGGTGATGTCGATAGTCGGTGGGCTGTTGATATACGGAACCATCATCAGCTTTTCCCAATTCTTCAAGGAGGAGCAGGACTTTTAGCGGCGACAGGAGAATGACTGAACTTATATGCATGTGGAGGGCGTTAACATCTGCCCGAGGACTCATAGGACTCATTGGTCTAGAGGAGATTGGAAATATTGGACGAGAATACGGTGAACAGGATCACTTTCCATTCTGGGTGACTGCACGTCGACGTCTGCTATATCAGTATGAGTGAAGACAACCCCAATGGAAGACACGGTGTCCCGGCCGGTCCCAGGAAGAGAATGCCGGACTCACAGCATTGTGTCTCTTTGAGCGTTCTGCATCCGGTTCATCAGTCTCTTGCTGGCACTCGGCTCAAATGTCCCAGCGATGCCCCCTCGACGAGTCACCCATGGGAGAGTTGTGAGAGTAGCAGGCCACGAGAAGCAACGTATAATTTACATGACATGACAACCACTAGTTGAAGAGCAGAATGCCACCTAAGTGTTCAGTCCATGTACGTAGTTGTATGCTTAATGAAACGGGCAGCCTTCCAGGTACCAGGCGCCTGTCAAATGCATGTCGGGCGATAATCCCGAACTCCGGTGCCAACATCATCGTCACCAGCCACAATTAACAAACCGACCAGCCATTTGCGACACCACTGACCTGACTGCAGCAGTGCACCTCCAACTTCGACGTTCGCAGAACGACAGTCTTCCTACACCACAGCGAACAGCACACGACCATATCGATATCCCGCTCTGCGCACTGCCTGAGTATCGTGACTGCCTGAGTATCGTAACTGCCTGAGTATTGTACGAGGAACATACAACTCTCTGCCGCCATGTCGTCGAACCGACTTTTCCGCTTCTCGAAGCCAGCATGGCTCAACAGCGCAACCACCAGAACCGCAGGCGTCTACCTCTCAGGAGCTCTTGTATGCACCCAACAAGCACCACCCCCTCTAAAAGTCTCCAATCGATGAACCTACTATCTTTTGCGCGAGTACATTGACTAACAAGAGCTACTTTGTTCCTCCGGTTCTAGTTCTCCCTCGGCTTCTTCTTCTTCGTCGACGCCAGCGTCTTCTCGAAATCCGCACTCAACGGTTCAACCGTACACATCAATTTCGTCGACTGGATCCCGTTCATCTGCTCGGCGCTGGGGATGCTGGTGATCAACAGCATCGAGAAGTCGCGCTTGTCGGCCGACAGTTTCTCCTACAGCGGGAACGGCGTCGCATGGAAAGCCCGTACCGTGCTATTCCTCGGATTTGCGCTCATGGCGGGCGGGTTGGCGGGCAGCGTGACGGTCATGGTGCTCAAGTATCTGTTCAAGGACTATGCGCTGCGGACGGTCTACATGGGCGCGGCGAATGTCATCGCTAACGGGCTGGTCATGCTGAGCTCCGTGATCTTGTGGGTCAGCCAGAACATGGAGGATGATTATACCTATAACTTGCAGCTGTGAGCGGAACTTGGATACGAAAGGTCGAGCAGTTGAGCATGGGGAAAGTGGGAGGCCAGTGGTCACTACCATTCCAAGACACTGGATCCAGATCCCAGGCTAAGGCACGTTTGGGAGGATCTGGTCTACAGCGAGAACCGGCAATACAGGCACTTGCATAACCAGCTCCATTGGTGGTTACCTATGATGGTGATGGTGGCGGTTCCGGAACACGGCATTGCGGTGTCTAGTTCTTGAGCGTATATTGTTTTTGAGTTGGGCAATGGTCTCATATTCGCTGAATCGCTGTCTCAAACTTCCATTCCTTTCTTTCCCGAACCCTTAGCCTGCGCTTTTAATGACTAGCTCCGGGAGCCTCTGCGAAAGTACATTGCACAATGTGCCAGCGGAAATCTGTCATACCGTCGTCCTGGGACCAGGCGCCAGAGTACGTGGCGAGTCCTTCCTCAGCAGAAGGCGTCTCTTCGCTCTCGCATATGTGATTGTGAGAGAATTCTTTCAGCCGATTTGCCTCTTAGATCCTCTAGCAGAGCCTTTCCTTCTTCGGACGCAACGTCTGCCGCAAGCCTCATATGACTGTGGCCTTTTGTTGCCACGCTAGGCTCACTGTCCAATAGCCCACCAGGCGGGCAACTGCCTGTTCCGCCCTGAGTGCTGTTCTGCTTTTACCTTTCCCTCAGTTTCCCCATGATAGCGTCTATAACCTCCATATCTGTAGCCGAGACCTGGTCAGGCCCGACAATGTCCTTGGGCAATCGCTTTACGGCCTCGTTCATGGCAGGCTGATAGTTTCTGATTCCCGAACTTAGAGCATAGACGGCTTTCCTCCGCGCGGCCTCGTCCTCATCATCGAGCGCCATTTTGCATAGTCTCTCGATCCCATTGAGGCCTAGCAGGCGTTCTTGCGCTTTCACGTTGTTTTGCACGGCGGTGCCGAGACACCAGGCGGCCATTCGCCTCAGATCCGCCACTGGGCTGTCCAGTTGTGATAGAAGCGGCGTCCATAGTCCCAGCGGTTCCATGTTGTTGGCGTTGTCCAAGCTTTCGATCAGCTGCTCGAAGTTGTCGAACGCCGTCATTTTGGCATCGTGCGTGACTCCCGGGTCGGAAGACTGGATGATGGCCATGGCTTCAAGCATCAGGTCGGCATCGCTGGGACCGCCCATCAAAGCGCGCAGAGCCTCGGCGGACAATCCCCGCGGTTCTCTGGCCGGCTCGTCGGACGTGTGGTTTGTGGTTTCGGAGTTTTCGATACCCCATTTGAGAAGTGAGTTCATTGCTGGATCCATTTTGGAAGATCAACTTTCGTGTGGAGTGTGCCTTTGCACTATTTACTGGTGTAGAAATGTGTATGCCGCGTCTACAGTGTATATTCAGAAGTTCAATGATGGTTGTTCACTATTGGTAGTTTCCTGCATTGATATCAGGGTCGACGTTGATATGGGCGATGAAGGTGAGTCAAGGCTGAGCCTTGGCCATGCAGGGCTGTGGCGGAACAAATATCCCGCTTAGCTTCCAGTACCTACGATAACATTCTGCATGTTTCGCACTGGCATACTATGGACAATTGTTCGCGTCGACCTTGGGAGGTGGGAAATCTGAAGATTGAAGCAATATGCGCTCTCTGCTTCATGTCCAGAGCAAAGTGTAAGTGTCGGATTTCTGTACCACTGTGAGTTCTATGAACACCGAACGTTCATGGTAGTGCAGTTGATGGAAACGGTGGTTGGAGGCGGTGAACCATTTCGGGGCCCCTAGGCCGGTGGCGGTAAGTGGCTCATGCCCCCAAGGCTGGGATCTCTAGCGGATGGGGCTTAAGGTGGCGCCTGCTTTAAGCCCCTAGCCTGATTAAGCCTGATTAAGCAAGCCTGTCTAACGTCCTCAACATGCCCCCCGCCATGTTGTGGCTGGCATCTGGGATTTTTGCACTGCAACCGAACCCAGATTCGAGGTTGGTCCATGACCGTGTCTATCATGCACTGAGCACTGAGCAGGCTGGTCGACCAACAAGGTCATTAGTATCCCAAAGACATTGTCTCCTTGGTGCAAGAACAGGTTTAGCTGGGGCAGTGCGTGACTGCATATAGTAGTACGGCGTACCACAAAGTGGCCTGGTGCAGATCTGACCCATCGACGAAGTACCTCATATATGCCTAGGTAGGTAGGTACCCACAAGAACCTGAAGGTTGCCTCTAAAATATCCATGTATTTCATCCCACATTATATTGCGCATCGCGATGATAATGGCCAGATAAGTGCCGTAAAACGGGAGAATGGGAGTTGCCTGAATTCACCCGGTCGTGGTGACGAGGCTCCGTCTGGGTCTGGACATGAGGAAAGAGCATTGCGTGGCCCAAGCCGCCACTCAGCGTGGAGCATCATTTCTGACCTATAAGTTGGTAGCATAGTAGCCGTAACGTAGCAACCTATCATCGCGGGATGTTTCATACAGCGCTTCGACCATGTGCTTGCATTCCTTGCAGTCCCTTCAGTATTGCTGGACAAGACAATCATCTGCATCGATAGACTCTCCTTAATCAGTGGCTCTACAGAAAGATCAAATGTCCGTTGCAGGGTTGATAGGAAAATTGATCTAGGTGTTAATTATTAATCTAAGTACCTTATGTTGGTATACCTTAGTCAATCAACCAGCCTGTAGCTGAGGTTGGTATAGAGCAATAAGGGGGCTGCCTAACTAAAAGTGGCACCCGCACAGCACTAACGCGGTACTACGCCTCCCCGTATCACTCACCGAAAATCGTTGGCTGAATTGCAGTGAAGGCGAAGTTGCAGGTGAAGCTCGAGGCCCGCGGTGCAGTGTCTCATCAGCTCTCAGTCTTGGCGTAGCTTCCCTCGCCCACGGCACCGCCCACCGCCTACCGCCTGCTCTACAAATCCACCACCTCACCCTCTTCTCGCAACATTCCAGCTTCGTCTCCATCTTCATCCTTTCTCACCTAATCCACTCTCCTGACTCGTCTTTCCGGAGGTTCTGTCTACCAACCGTGAATCGAGTCTGCTCAACCACTTGCTCTAACAACTTGTGCATTCACCCCTCATTTCGACCTCGTCCGATCAGTCACAATGGAAGGTAAGCTGCACCCGACCTAAGCCCACCGGCTTTGCAATGACATTGTCGTGTTTGAATCAATGCTAATATGCATTTCTCTGTACAGAAGAAGTCGCCGCGCTCGTCATTGACAATGGGTAAGCGCCTATTTCCCTATCTTGACCTATTCATCCTGCGCCCCTTCTGTCAACTCGACATCAGACATGGAATGCAATGGGCCGGAACCTCGGAAGAGCAGGCACTACAGCAATATGATGAATATGATACTGACAAGACCTCACCAGCTCTGGTATGTGCAAAGCTGGCTTTGCCGGTGATGATGCGCCACGAGCAGTTTTCCGTAAGTCGTACCCCGCGTCGGAAGCGCTGACAAGCCCACCGGACGATCTTGCTGACCATCTCGTCAGCATCCATTGTCGGCCGACCTCGCCACCATGGTATCATGATTGGTATGGGTCAGAAAGACTCCTACGTCGGCGACGAGGCCCAGTCCAAGCGTGGTATCCTGACCCTCAGATATCCCATCGAGCACGGTGTCGTCACCAACTGGGACGACATGGAGAAGATTTGGCACCACACTTTCTACAACGAGCTGCGTGTCGCTCCCGAGGAGCACCCAATTCTGTTGACCGAGGCCCCCATCAACCCCAAGTCCAACCGAGAGAAGATGACCCAGATTGTCTTCGAGACCTTCAACGCTCCCGCATTCTACGTCTCTATCCAGGCCGTCCTCTCGCTGTATGCCTCCGGTCGTACCACTGGTATCGTGCTCGACTCCGGTGATGGTGTCACTCACGTTGTCCCCATTTACGAGGGTTTCGCGCTTCCTCACGCCATTTCTCGAGTGGACATGGCTGGTCGTGACTTGACCGACTATTTGATGAAGATCTTGGCTGAGCGCGGTTACACTTTCTCCACCACTGCCGAGCGAGAAATCGTCCGAGACATTAAGGAGAAGCTCTGCTACGTCGCTCTTGACTTTGAGCAGGAGATCCAAACTGCCTCCCAAAGCTCGAGCTTGGAGAAGTCCTATGAGCTTCCCGATGGTCAGGTCATCACCATTGGCAACGAGCGATTCCGAGCTCCCGAAGCGCTCTTCCAGCCAAGCGTCCTGGGTCTCGAATCTGGCGGTATCCACGTCACCACCTTCAACTCCATCATGAAGTGCGACGTTGATGTCCGTAAGGACCTGTACGGCAACATTGTCATGGTAAGCCAGTATGATTTCCTTACATTTAGTTCACATTCTAACATTTTTTCAGTCCGGTGGTACTACCATGTACCCAGGTATCTCCGACCGTATGCAGAAGGAAATCACTGCTCTCGCCCCATCATCCATGAAGGTCAAGATTATCGCTCCCCCTGAGCGTAAATACTCGGTCTGGATTGGTGGATCCATTCTGGCGTCTCTTTCTACCTTCCAGCAAATGTGGATCTCCAAGCAGGAGTACGACGAGAGCGGTCCATCGATCGTCCACCGCAAGTGCTTCTAAACTCCTTTTAAGCATTCTGGAATGATTGGTCATCGGGTTGAAATGCAGCAATTTTCTAGAGTCACCAGTGAACGATGTCAAGATCATGAATGAAACAACGGCGAGCGGAGCATAGAACTATGGAAGGCGAAGTGGATGGTGAATGGCCCAAAAGTAATCGCGAGCTATCACTGGCACGGACTAGCGGCCTGCTACACGGTAGGGGTTCTGACCCATCGAGGCATGTATCGAGAGCGAAACCGACATCTTCAATGAGTAGCATCATCCCCATAGTGTCTAGAATGCAATGCTAGCAAGTTTAAGTTCTTTAAGATTTTCATGGCGATCCCTCGATACGTATCCAACCGCTTATAAGACAGCCAATGTTGCTAGGGAGCAACACGGGAGGCTGGGTAGTATAGTGATGCGGACTACCCACGCTCATATCTGGCTTACGTCTGTCTAATCTCACGTAGATACGATGGAACGTCGCCCGGGACTTCCTGGACAGTTGCACCGTCTTCGGCCGGCTCCAAGATCTTCCACTCGCAGCTGATGCCCTCGTCCTTGAACCGCTGGACAATGACACCAGCAATGGCGTCGAAGTTCTCGGTGGCGAGGGCCAATATCGTCGGGCCGGCGCCCGACAGACATATCCCCAACAGGCCCTTGTGCGTTTTCGGTGACATGGAGGATAGAATGGCGGGCAATGCAGGGATCAGGGTCTTCCTGTACGGTTGGTGGATCTTATCTTGCATTGCGCTGTAAATGAGGTCCGGATCAGGTGGAGAGTCGGAGAGGACAGTAGTCAAGAGAGCAAGACGTTGCAGATTGAAGATCTATAACACCCACCAGCAGGCAAGAGAAGTCAGTAAGCCTGGTCTAATCATTCGCTCCTAAAAGATCGTAGATTTGTCGAGCTTTCAGTCTTGTGAGAAAACATGGGAATGATCTTACCATATCTTGCCGCGAATAGGTCTTGGGCAAAACCTCCCTAGCTTTGGCCGTGCTGACTTCGAAGTCAGGGATGATGGCCAGCGCCTTGATTTCCTTGGCCCAGTTGAACCGTCGATAGTGGCCGATATTCTCGGGCGGGATGGGCGGTGTCAGCCCCGTATCCACGCCACCAGCAGGTTGAGGGAGGACTTCCGACAACGGGACCTCCTTGCGCGCCATGTCGTCCGGATCGAGCTCGTTGAGATACGTGCCGACAAACCCGCCATAAAGGGCCGCAGCGACGTTATCCGGGTGTCGTTCGACCATGAGGCAAAAATCCAGCAGCCGCCGCTTCGACAGCTTCAGATCGCCGACCACATTGCCGAGCAAGACGCCGGCGACCACGGCGGCGCCGGATGACCCCAAACCCCGACCCAGCGGGATCGGGTTGTGGATGTGAACATGTGTCTGGGCTGGGAAGTCGTGCTGGTCGTGGCAACGCAGAACGTACAATGCCGTTCGGGTAATCAGGTTATTGGCTGGGTTTAGGTCGATCTCGTCCGCGCCCACTCCCGTGTACGATACAGTACAGTTCAGAGGGATTGATGGATCGGATGGCTGAGTTCGGTCAATGCTGACGCGGAGTTCGAGGTACATCGACAGAGCGAGGCCAATCACGTCGAACCCGGGGCCTGGTTTTGGGAGAGAGACATGATGAGTACATGAACGTGATAGCGACATGGCTCATCAAGCTCTTGAGGTGGGATGGTATTGTCCCGAGCACAGTTTAAGAGGGTAATCTGTGACTTACCAATGTTGGCTGATGAGCATGGGACCTCTGATTGAGTCAGCTTGACGGACTGAACCACGATGTACTGGAATGTAGGACTGACTTATGAGATGCATTGTTCTAAGACGTGGCCCTAGAAGGGCCAGGAGGACGTGAGATCTGTTTCTGTCGCTACCACGCACAGTGTGATTTTCGGTCGTTAGGATTGTCAACCGAGTCCGCCAACAGCTGTCTCTACGCTTGGGGCGTATGCGTGGTTTCGAATTTGGGCGCGTCCCTGTATATAAGACAATTGGAAGTTCAGTGCGGATAGCGAGTCATACTACTAGCCCGAGCTTGCCATCAAAGGAAAATCCTCGCCTGTCGTTGATCAGCCAATCGCAGAAAAGGTCTTGCAGCAAATCGGAGCCAGGTGACTGACTATATGGGGACGTCACGTGCATCAAAATAGTGCAGTTGCCTCACTTATCATTCACCGTACTCAGCTGTCCCCGTTCGTCCGCCAATCGGAGTGAGCAAAGATTTTATGAGCCTTGGCATGAGAATGTCCGGCTTCTAGATTTTCTCCCCAGATAGAGAAAACTTCAATGTTCAGCCCCTGATGTTGGACAATTAAAATCCCGGGGTTCGTCACCTTCTGCCGTCGATGAGCTATCTTCTATCGCTTTTGTAAGGTAAGTTTGAACTGCGTCGTGCCGAAATCATGCCTTTCTGTGCCCCTGGCCGTCTTGCGTTCTGAGCCAACCAGCATTGAGAAAAACATTGGGAAGGTCACAAAACACAGAGTTGTTGAATATGGAATACACTTTGGGTGTGAATGGACTTCCTGATCTCTTTGCCACGATGTTTTTGACTTGCTTGACCACAGGTTGAGGGGTTGTCTCACTAACTCATCGTCTCTTCAGCCTCGAGCCAAACAGCACATATTCAAGCCATGTCGGAGAGGCTACGCATACTGGTCATCGGCTCAGGCGGGCGCGAACATGCACTCGTCTGGAAGCTGGCTAGGTCACCATCCGTTGATGTCGTCCACATCGCACCCGGCAATGGAGGCACCGAATCCAATAAGGTCATCAATGTTAAAATTGCCGCCGATGATTTCACAGAACTGGTCGCCCATGCGAGGAAGCATGGTTTGAACCTGGTAGTTGTCGGCCCTGAAGCGCCATTGGTGGCTGGTATTGAAGGATTCTTTCGTGCGGTCGGTATTCGATGCTTCGGTCCCAGCAAAGCTGCTGCCCAGATGGAAGGATCGAAAGCATTCTCCAAAGATTTCATGCGAAGACATGGCATCCCCACAGCGGCATTCCGAAATTTCACAGACTATGAAGCGGCACGAGACTATCTCGACACCGTCAATCATGACGTTGTCATCAAAGCAGATGGACTGGCTGCCGGGAAAGGTGTCATCATTCCCACGACGAAGAAAGAGGCACATGATGCTTTGAAACAGATCATGGTTGCGCGTGAGTTCGGGTCGGCCGGTTCACAAGTAGTGATTGAAGAATTTCTGGAAGGCGAGGAGCTGAGTATCCTCACCTTCAGTGATGGCTACACGATAAGGTCGTTGCCGCCTGCTCAGGACCACAAACGTGCCCTTGATGGAGACCAAGGTCCCAACACCGGAGGCATGGGCTGCTATGCGCCTACAAGAGTTGCTTCGAAAGAGCTGATCGCACAGATTGACCGAGAAATTGTTCAACCTACCATTGACTGTATGCGGCGTGAGGCTATGCCTTTTGTCGGCATGCTTTTCACGGGATTGATGATCACCAAGAGCGGACCCAAGGTGCTGGAATACAACGTTAGAGGAGGCGACCCGGAGACCCAGACTTTACTACCCCTCCTCAGCGACGACACTGATCTCGCCAGAGTTATGCAGGCCTGCACGGAACATTGGCTGGATGGGGTTGATTTGAAGATTGAGCCCAAGTTCTCTGCGACCGTGGTTGCCTGTGCTGAAGGCTATCCTGGACCTTACGCCAAGAACAGGCCGATCACGTTGCACAAGGTCCCGGAGGACGTCCTTGTGTTCCATGCTGGGACCAGCAAAGACGGGAAGCAAGTTGTGTCGACAGGAGGCCGGGTCATCGCCTCAACAGCAACCGCGACGACCTTGGAAGAAGCGGTTGCCAAAGCTTACAAGGGCATGGACACGATCAAGTTCGATGGCATGCACTTCAGGAAAGATATTGCCCATCGGGCGTTCAAGAGAAAGGCTCAAAACAAGGGCTCTGAAGAAGCACCAATGACGTACGCGTCGGCAGGTGTATCCATCGATGCAGGAAATGATCTGGTCGCCAGGATCAAGCCAGCCGTGAAAGCGACCTCGCGACCTGGCGCCGATTCCATCATTGGTGGCTTCGGTGGTGGCTTTGATCTGACGAGGGCCGGTTACAATGAAAAATCTCCCATGTTGGTTGGCGCGATTGACGGTGTCGGAACCAAGCTCAAGATCGCCCATGCCATGAACGTTCACGACACTGTCGGCATCGACTTGGTGGCCATGAACGTCAACGACCTCGTGGTGCAAGGTGCAGAGCCGCTGATGTTCCTTGACTGCTATACCTGCAGCATTCTGGATGTGGATATTGCCAGCGACTTCATCCGTGGCGTTTGCGAAGGCTGTAAGATCTCCAACTGCGCGCTTGTTGGAGGCGAGACCGCCGAAATGCCCGGTCTCCTTAGCGGAACCGAATACGATGCTGTGGGCGCCGCAATCGGAGCCATCGATACGGCAGCTGGCAAGAGGGTCTTGCCCGATCTCGAAAGCATGGTTGCAGGTGACGTACTTTTTGGCCTGGCTTCCAGCGGGGTCCACTCGAATGGTTTCTCACTGGTCCGCCGCATCACGGAAAAGATGCATCTCGCGTTCTCCGATACTGCACCCTGGAACTCCGAAACCACCGTTGGTCGATCCCTCCTTACTCCGACCCGCATCTATGTTGTTCCTCTGTTGCAAGCAGTCAAGCGAGACTTCATCAAAGGAATGGCACACATCACAGGTGGTGGGCTGACCGAGAATGTGCCACGAATGCTGCCAGACCACCTCGCCGCCGAGATTGATGTGTCCGCCTGGGACCGACCGGCAGTGTTCAAGTGGCTCCAGAAGGCAGGCAATGTTAGCAATGAGGAGATGAGCCGAACGTTCAACAACGGAATTGGAATGGTCCTTGTTGTTTCCAGCGTGGCTTCGGGAGAAGTGAAGAAGATCCTGGAGGCCCAAGGAGAGTCAGTCTACAAGATCGGCAGGCTCGTCAGCAGAGAGCAAGGCAGTGAAGGCTGTATCCTGAGGAATCTGAATTCATGGAGCTCTTCCTAGACGTTGTGGCTCGAGTTGCTCGTATAAGAAAGAGATGAAGTGCGGCAGAACGCCTCACCTCTGGACTTCGAAAGCCCGTTGTTCAACACGAGCTGACATGCTCATGCGCATCCATCAGTATCGGTTACAAGGCGATCCTGCCTTCGGCTCAGACGGCCGATTCCGGGCTTCCCTGACAAAATATCGCAGGACGATACATGGCTCATGCTTTTCGCCAATGCAGTCCTTTCTTGACGCCCAATTTGCGGCAGTATGCTGGTGTTGTACTTATATGTGTCTCCTCCTACCTCTATACACTAGCATGGTCAAGTGGTCGTTCGTCTTTGTGACTGATTGACTATACCGTGGCCCTGTCACTACTCGCCTAGCCATGGGCGATGAACCTGTCCAGAACATGGTCCCCGCGCCCCAGACGGACGCTGTTACAACCATGTGGAAAGGAAGTCACACAAGGCTGACCAGCAGTGCGTACCGGACGGCTGGTGCAAATGATGCCGCCGGATCTGAAGCGGCCAAAACTTCTCAGGGGCCATCGTGTCGACCGCCGGCGTGGCCATGGGCAGACATGATCTCTTGATCCGATCTGTTAGGCAGGCTTTCAAATAAGCCTGTTGTCCTACGACTGGTTATCATTACCTGTTGCCCGCTCCCTTCCCGCCTACGACGCGTGAAAGATCCACATATCAACACATGCAGCATCTTTGCACGAGCAACCTGGCGGAGCGAAAACTTGGAGAACAATTGACTGTTCGCTCAGCCATCTTGTCTACGTAGGACATACGCACTTCATCGAACTGGGGAAATGAGGGCGCCGCCGACGGCACATCACTCATGGGAATCATGACAGTTTGAGGACGACCGTAGCCCCCTACTCCGGTATTACGCCTGTCATGTGCCGTTATGATTTGCCGCTATGATTAAATGAACGACTTCGCTATTGAGAAGTTGCCCGGGCTGAGATCTCATAGAAATAGCTATTGTACTATGTCAGTACAACACTAATAAGCATTGAATTGAAACAGCGTCCTGTAAGACATTGAAATGTTCTGTGCACCTAGTAGGAGGTAATTGACTTGCGGAGAAGCGTCAGGACACAATGCTGCAACGAGGCTGACACGACGAAGCTGACGAGAATGATGCCAAGCCTGCCACGTGCAAAGAAAAGTACTTGAATGCGAGTCGCGCTTCAACATTTATGGCCACAGCATCAATCTCCCGTCTTTCGAGTCTCACGTCAGTTTATTGCTTCCATTCTCTCCTTTCTTTGTGTGAAGACTTTGCTTCTCAGAGGAGTAGTTCTAGGGTGTCTCTCCGGCGGCAGGTATTCTCATTCCTTCAAGAATCGTTCTCCGGAGGCTTTCCTCACATGCTGCCCTTCTCCGCGAAGCGGCCCATATGTCTATTATGTCGACTTAGGCACAGTAAACAGGCGCTCTCGCCGACCTTGCACAACCTCTCCTCCACGTCTGATGCGCGGCACTTATCCTCGGCCGCCATTCTCAATGCACCAAAACCTCGCCGAACCGTTTCAAATGGACAGCGATCAAGTCGGACTCGAAAGTCGGCGAACCGAGACCCTTCCCAAGCCGCTGGAAGCACATTGTCAGGGGTGCAGAAGAACAGAATAAAAGCGCTTGCCGACTACCTGCCGCTGCTGCAGGAACATGCCAAAACGCTGGTACCCGAGACTGCGCCCACAGTCGACGATTTGACCCTCGACCAAGTGCTTGGTAGTTTCAAGCCCAAAACGCGGGCTCTACGCCGGGCAATACCTACTCTCCAGGAGTCATACGGAGGACACCCTTTCTATACATTGGACTCTGATCTCCGTCGAATAGCATCCCTGACGCCACGAGGAAAGACGGATGTCGTCGATGATGAGACGAAGCGGATCCTCAGCGGACTAGGTATTCTCGAGGACCCTGTAGTCCAAGAACCCGAATCTAGCTCCGTCACGACCAAGCCTGGCCGTCGAAAAAGTGTCCCCAAGGCAGAGCGGCCCGTATCGACTCCTCGAATCCGCCGACGATTCAGCAAAGGGGCCCCGATACCTCCTAGACAGGCGTCGCTGGAATATGGAGGTGTTGATACAGAAGTAGGGGTATCGAAGAGAACAAAATCTTCCGACAAGGAAAGAATCGCGCAACTGGATCAGGCGCGCGTAGCAGTTGCACATCTCAAGGACTTTGCATTAAAGCCGGTGCAAGTCGAACGCTCACAGGTGCCTACCTTGAGCCACGACCTGTCACGCGTTCTCTTCAACCCAGGCGTCTATCAGTTACAAGATCCGCGCTCGAGGGTGTGGAACTTCGATCCCTATCTGGGCAATATCATGCCAGTGTCTGAGTTCAACTTCGATGCGTTAAACAGGTACATCACGTCCTCGGAGGACTCGCAGCTGCGAAACGTGGCTGCCGCGCACAAGAAGCGTTACATCGGTTCTACTTCCAGCATGTCAGGTGTCCTGGCCCATTTCCACTTTCTTCTCTCTGCGTGGCGCGAGTTGACCATCGACCAATTGACTCGAGGATTCAAAGATGATGGCACCTCCTTCACCAAGATCCAAAGAGGTCCGACAGCCATCTTCCTTCGATACAAGGACGGTGTCTATGCTGTCGATGCGGACAAGGAGTTTGATTCAGCCAATGTACTCATGAGCCTGGGTCGATCCATGGAGAAGCTCCTGACTCTGGAGAAGGATGACTACGAACGATATCGCAGAACGCACGACGAGCAGAAGGATGCCGAGGTGCACTCAAGCGAACCGGAAGCATACCACTATAGCGAGCTTGGGAAGTTCCTCCTACGATCTCAGCTTGATGCACACGACCCTCGACTTCCCGGGACAGGCATGTTTGACCTCAAAACGCGGGCGGTGGCGGCGGTTCGAATGATGGTTCACAAACATGAAGCAGGTGCTGGCTATCAAATCAAGAACAGGTTTGGCACGTGGGAGTCCTTTGAGCGGGAGTATTATGATATGATGCGTTCAGCCTTTCTCAAATATTCGCTCCAAGTACGGATGGGTCGAATGGACGGGATTTTTGTCGCTTATCACAATACAGAGCGTCTCTTTGGCTTCCAGTACATACCGTTACCGGAACTAGACTTGGCCCTGCACGGACAATCAGACCAGACACTGGGTGACCGCGAGTTCCGGCTGAGCTTCCGGCTTCTCACGGATATTTTTGACCAAGCGACGGCGCGGTTCCCCAAGCAGTCTCTAAGGTTCCATTTCGAGGCGAGAGAGGCGACATCAGTTCAAGCACCTCACATGTATATTTTCGCGGAACCGGTCACGGAGGATGAGATCACTGATATTCAGAGCAAAAAGAAGGAGGAAATCGAAGCCTATGAGCGACGTATCTTTAATCCCAAATCCCACCAAGCACAGACACCTCCAGATGATGAATGGGAGAATGCTGCGCCCGAGGACGAAGATGATACGTTTGATGCAGAGGCAGAGGCAGAGATTACTGATTTCGCAGATCCAGACACGGCAGCGCCTCAAGCGTCCACGGCGGAAGCTGGGGAAAGCACGGTGTTGACAGGCTCGTCGAATGCGGCCGATGTTGGCTTCTTGAAAAGCCTCATGGGCATCGATATGGCGCCCAACAACAAGTCTGAGCCGAAAAAGGAGCCAGCCCAGCGTCCTGAGCCAGCGCAGGAACCAGCCAGCCAAAAGCCTCTTTTGGCTTGGAAACTGAACATCCGGAACATTGTGAACGGGCTTCCTGTCAGTCGACCTCACGACTTGAAGGAGAATGACAGCTGGGATGTTCAGTACACTCTGACACCGTTCCCCGAAGTGTCTGGGCATCGAAACTATTTGCTGTGCAAGAACCGACGCAAGGCGGTGTTGGAGGCTCCTCAAGGTGAAGACGAAGCTGTCAGCTACTACATCCAGCAGTTACTCTCCATGAGCCAGAAAGGAGCAGACTGGCGACGGAGGTTGGACGAGCTCGATGCCCAGCGAGACAGAGTCGTCCTCTATGGCGACCGTGTGACCGGAGAAAGGAATTAAGGAATTAAGGATTGTCCTGCTATACCCTGCCCTGCCCGGCGGACACCGAGATTCTGTAAATAACACAGAAAGTGCTTCCACGAAGATCTTGTGCGATATGTACCATAGCCACTGATATTTATTAGAGACACCATTGCAAGCGGCGCCAAATTGGGGGCCTTTCAACCCCCCAAGATATGTGAATAAGGGGTCTCCATGTGTGACGTTCCGAGGCCTTGGTTTGAGGCTGAGACGGTGTTGCACAGATAGACAAGTACATCGAGACAGAGGCTCGAAGACAGAGTCAGTGAGAGACAGACCAGAGACATGTTTCATGAACCATATGGTCATCGTTATTGTTCTGTGTTTTGAGAACAGTCAAGAACTGAAATGTACGACCAGACTGTGTCGAGCAAGCCTACAGCGTAATAAATGAGCGTTCAGTGGTGCCACTGTCGCAGCAGGCCAGTGGGTTCTTGCTTGAGCTTGTAGTGGAGTTGGTATTGCTTCCTATCGTCGATTGATCCATTCGTAGGTACGTGTGCAGTGTGCAGTGGCGCCGGATGATCGATCACAAGCCAGTAGAAGAGCATACTACCGTAGGACCTAAGCGACGCCGAGGAGAGAGAGAGATCGCCGTGGCAGTCATGGGCTGTAAAATGGTACGCGAGGTATTTATTCTTCCTTGAACGCCGTGAATGTACTTGGTCCATACCAGATACCTACCTACATACCTAGGTAGTAGACATGTAAACAAACGACCCAAGGAACACGCATAGGTGGCAGTGAATTGCCGCTGTGGCGTGGTTCGGCAATCGTCCCTTCGTTGGGCATGCGCTTGGGGAGGTACGGAGAGAATCGAGATGGTGAGATGGCGGCTGCGAGACTCGCCAATCGTAGGTTTGAGAGGGACGGCATTGGGACGGGATAGGGACGGGATATCGACGTCTTCTGCTCTGCTGCCAATAAGTAAGTGTCTCAGCACGTATCATCCGGGGCCATGCCGATCGGATAGCCCTGAAGCCATGGAGCCATGGAGCCCTGCATGGCTTGCATGGTTGGGAGACAAAAGAGACCAGGGAGACAATGGAGCTGAGAACCAGGTTGCGGCGGGAGGGAAAAGCCAGTCAAGCAACGAGGAGGAGCGGCAGACTGGAGTCCGGAGACATCACCCGCTGCCATCGTCCCATCAAGTTCCCATCGCAGTTCCACTGCTGGCACCAGTTCAATCAATCAATAATGATTCTGAACGACGGTTGAACCGGGAGCGAGAAAGACTTGCTTGCATTAATTAATATTGGATCTTCACCTCGTGGGCGTTACCTTACGTACTTCCACGGTTACTACGTACCTCCCTGTCCAGCTACTCTGTACTCCTCTATCTCGCTCCATCCTACATACAGCCTGAGCTTCACGACCATCCTCTCTATCCCCGGCCTCTCTGTCCTACCTGTCAGAAACTCTCCAACTCCTGCGGCGTCCTATCGTCTCCTCACGATCCCCAGGTGACTTCAATATATTGCACGCCGGGCACCACCAGGTTCCAGACACGAAGCACAGCCTCCGAGACCCTGTATCCGCCGCAGACTGTCTTGTCTAGACGAACCTCGTCGTATGCCGCAGTTGTTACCACTTCCGGAACGTTCCCGCCGTCCGCTTGTACCTAGTTAAGAAAGACCCAAGAGTGGGATACAATGCTGGACGGGTTGTCACTATCCGAGTGGTAAAGCAGCCCTGGGCGGGCATGACTGCATCCAGACTCCCAGGAGAAGTTGTTGAACCCTGACGCACTTAGAAACATCTGCGTTGTGCAATTAATTTGCGCCGTGGGAGAGTCATGAAGACCATCACGGTGTCAGATGTCATGGTCGCCGACATGGCCGACAAGCGGAGGAGGAAAAGCCTCAGCATCTTCCGCCAGAAAATTGACGCCGTCCCTCCCATACAAATACCCTCGCGCACTTCCGCCGGAATGCGTTCCAGCGACTCGCATCTTGCCAGTCCCATCTCTTCGGATCAACCGAGCCCCAAGGGTCGCCCCAAAACTTTGCAAAAGTCCAGCCGGAGCTCCGTCTTCGGATCGCTACGATCGTTGCACTCCCTCGATGAAGACGAGAAAACCGCCTTGACCCGATCGGATTCCAAAGCGTCTTCTCTCCAGGAAGACGGCGACATGAATATCAGGGGGCTCTTGGGCGATCAGGTTCTGCAGTACGGCGAGGTGCAAGCGGCAGGCAACAACGTCTTCCGGAAGCGGACCCAGTTCATGGTCTTGACCGAATCACATCTCGTCCGGTTCAGAAGCCAGTCCAAAGCTGTTGAGATGTTCCCCAGTATCCCGGCCCAAGTTGGCAGGGGTCATACGCCACGCACATCCTCCGTGAGCTCCTATTCGGAGCTCCAGGTGGCAGCGTATTCAGACATTACCTCGGGTATCCCCCTCGACCAGGTCATCGCCGTGTACAAGATGGATGATGGTCGGCCCTTTGTCACAGTTGAAGTGGCCTACCTCGACGAAAAAACAAGAAGGTCGGCCACAATGCAAATGCAACTGAGCGAGTTTCGGGAGGCCTACTTATGGACCAGTGCCATCCGTATGGCTGCGAGTCAAGCAAGGGCTTCCCTGTCCCAGCAAATCCCCGAGGCGACAGTGGAACATCTCGCCCGGGTTCTGGAGCGAGAGAGAGATTACGATCCGCATCATTTCCACGTCTTCAAGGTTGTGCAGCGCTCGGTGAACAGATCTGTGGGGAGAGCATCCAGCGATGACTTGACGAGGCTCGGGTCCGGAATTGCCTATCTGGTCATTGGCCTTCATAAAGTTCATTTGGTGCCTTTGCATCGGACGTCGACACGATCCTCCAGTGCCTCCCTGAGTGAGACCGAGGCGATGACCTCGTTCGCCATTGTGACTTTGACCTCGATCAAGGTTCAGGCGGGTGAAGACGCCTTCCAACTGGTATTTAAAGCACCCATGGGCAAACCCTACACCGCCCAGCTCGCGTCTTTCTCCGCCGGTGAGATCGCCCTTCGGTTGCGATTTGCGTCGGAGTATCTACGACCCGAATGGCAGAGGCAGCCTTTTGTCTTCGATGTCCCCGAGGAGCTGGAGGATCAAATGGACCCTCCGAATTTCCCCAAGGAGGATCACGACTGTTTCGATAGGACACTCATCGCATATTGTGCGGGATACAACGTGAACACGTCGCGGATCTGCTACTCTGTAGATTACCATTGCGAGGACGCTCCTTGCTTCCAGCTGCTCCCCTCCTCCACCGGGACCTCGTATTCGGCGCTAGAGCTACTCGCCGTATTTCGAGCCCTCCGCTACAATGAATCGTTCACGTCAATATCGTTTGCGCGCATCAGTCTGAGTCCTCTTCGACACCTGTATGATACGTTCGCATCGGACGTGGATAGCCTATCCACCCGATCTGGAAACCCGACAAATATAGTCGGTCACCAAGATCTGCCGGTGTTGGGGCAGGAGATCAGAGCACTGGCCCTGAAGAGTCGTCGCCTGAGACGGTTGGACTTTTCCTACACCCTTCCTTCGAGGACGTTGGCGGAGGAGGAACAACCACTGGACTGCGGCATTCTGGAGGCACTCGCACCGTTGTGCAAGAAGTCCTTGACCAATGTCGACTGGATTGTGCTCACGGGGTTGCGGCTGGCCGAGTCGGACCTGAATTACCTGGTAGATGCTGCTTCGGAGCGGAAGTGTCATCTCCGTGCTCTGGAGATTGGCGAGTGCGGCCTGTCAGTGCACGACATTGACGTGCTTTTGTCTGCGCTGGCCGTGCAAGAGAGTACGGTCGAAGTGGTGGATATCTCAGGAGCGCAGGGGCGGTTCAGTCCGGAACTCTTCCAACGAGTCATTGGTGCTTTCACGCGAATCCGACGGCTGAATCTCACCCGCGTGCAGAAAACGGCCGGTCCTGAACCGTTGGTGTGCCCAGACGCATTGTTTGCATGGCGACTCGAGGCGCTCCATTTGTCTCAGACGACCCTGAACGAACAGACGGTTGACTCCATTTCGACGTATCTGGCCAGCACGAAGTCCGATATCCTGCGGGAGATACACGTCAACCAGTGCGGTCTCACGGGACGCGATCTTGCAACCTTTTTCCAATCCATGGCTCGGGATGACGGGCTGCCGAGAGTGATGCACGTGAGCGCCAACGAGAACCGGCTGAAGTCAGGCAATTCTGCACTGTTCAAGACTCTTGCCCAGGGGTTCGGACCGACTTCGTTGAGTATGCGAATGATGGACTTTGACAAAGACAGCCATTTCCGTGAAATGATCAAGGCTTTGGCTGACAACACTACTCTGCTCAGCTTGGATATCGCGGGTGCTTCGCTACCGTACGATGCCAGTGTCGAGACGTGCGAGGCGTTGAAGGAGTTGTTCGCCACCAACCAGACCCTGGAAGAACTCGACATCAGCGGCGAACACGCGCACTTGGATGCGACTCGGTTTGGGATCGGGCTCAACATTGCATTGCGAGGATTGAAAACCAACAAGACTCTGAGGCTGCTTCGGATTGAATATCAATCATTGGGATTACAAGGGGCAAACACATTGGCCGAGGTTCTCGAGCACAATAACACGTTGCTGGAGATCCATTGCGACCACAACGACATCAACCTACAGAGTTTCACAGCGCTGGTGGATGCGTTGGAGAGGAATCATGCGCTGCTGTACATGCCGAGCATGGACCACGACCGAGCCAAGTCTCTGGAAAAGGTGCAGCGAGAGTTCGAGACGATGGAACACGTCGAGAGCCCCAAAGCGCCGTCCAAGAATGGAGCCACGACGCTCAAAAAGACCTTCACCGGCGCCCTGACCGGCCGACCGCATCGACGGGGCCACGGGCATCGACACAGCAGTTCCATGTCGTCGACCGCATCGTTTACAGACCACGACGTGTCCGCCGTGATCAGGACGCTGGATGAGAAATGGGACGCGCAAGTGGCCAGGATGCAGAAGTACTTGTTCCGCAACTACTGTCTATCGCAAGGCGTGCCGTGGCAGGACGACTCGGCGGCGGGCGGTGATGGAGACCACCAATCCCTCGATACCACGACCACGGCCAATGGAGACTCGCTGGCACAGTTGCTGCAGCATGTGCAGCTGGACAGGACGCCGACTGTGGAGAACCCGACGTCATTGGACTACTTGGATGAAAAGTCGGTCGATGTTGGGCCGCTGGTGTTTCAGATGCCTGAGGATTGAAGACGGGCGACGGCGTCTACTACGCCTTGGAAAGAGGATCTCGATCCGTTGTACAGACAGGGCTTATGAAGAGAGACCCCGGGGTTCCCTTGCGAACAAGAAACAAAGAAATGGAGCCCAACGGAAGACAAAGGTGGCAAGGACTCGTATTCTTTTTCTTCTTTTTGATACCCCCCATCTTTTCCGGGCTTGCAGTGCAAGCAAAGCACATGATAGAAGTCCTTTTTTCTTTGGAAGGGGTGTTGTATGCGATGGATCGTACCTGGATGTATATGACTATGCCAGGACTGCGCGGGATGGGCATCACCACCATCATTGATCCATCACCATCACCACGTACTTGAACAACAACAGATGAGATGAATGGACATTGACCAGGAACATGATTGAAGGCCTCCGTACAGTGACTTCTGCAGTTGAGGATGTGCATATGTGGTATACATGCCGAAACTGGCGTTGGGCGTGGTATGTTCCTAGTAGGGACTTGACCTACTGATATATAGGTTGAAGCTGTACCGTATGCATGATTCTGTTCTAGCATACCATTTGAGTCTTGCATCCATGCTTTTGGTCATAGAGGTGAGGAGACCGGACTGTCTACCACGTACTAGTACTGCGTGTGGTAGGTACCTTCGTATCGGCATAGCAAGCATCAGCATCAGCCTCAGCCTCAGCCTCCGTCTCAGTCTCGCAACATACTGCTATGAGGGGAACGGATATGCGGTGGACGCGTGGATTGTCAGCGCGATCAGAGCATATATATAGTACTGCAGCACTATGATACTCCGTAGTAGTGGCGGTGAGAGTCGGCTCCTCGTGCAAGTTGCCTCTTCCGGCAATTGTAAGGGTATCCTCAAATGGTCGGCGAGGAGAGAGAGAGATAACAGCGGGGGCCGGGCAGGATATTTGGTCCGGGAGACTAACTTCTTACCTTGACTCCCCACCAACCTCCTACTATAGTAGTAGTACCTAAGATACTTACCTAGGGTACCTAGCCTCGCAAGATACTCCTCCATGTCGTTAGCACCCAGGATACCTCAGTAGGCAATCTCAGTGGTTGGTGGGTTGGTGGGAGTCGTCATCATCGTGGGCCCAGCTGTGCAAGGAAAATCCAAGGGGCGGTTGATTGCGACTCTGTATGTCGTATGATGAGTATGGAACACGAGAAATGAGGCGGAGCTTTTTCCACGTACCTTACGCACTACGGTATTGCAGAGGGACAGTCGGTACCACGCTAAGGTATCTTAGTCGATGTTAGTGAGGAGAGTAGAGGGTTTTAGGGGGCATTGGAATCCAATCATCCAATCATCCAGTCATCCAGTTCTGTAGTAGTGTCTCTGTGATTTGCACTGCCACACTGCGCTCGCAACATGAGTCCAGTTCTGGCTCTAGTTCTGCTCTAGTTCTGGCAGCCTGCGCGGGTCGTGGAATCAGTGCAAAGTGGCATTCTGCCCAACTGCACTGCATGCCATCCCCATCCCCATCCCTCTTTTTCTTCGGCGCGCAGGGAGACAGGGAGGGAGACAACTGACAGAACTTCTTCCAACATCCAACCTTCTCCTCTTACCACTTACTGCACACTACACCATCCTTTACCACCCATTACCACTACTCTCTACCTCAGCACACTCCCTCACTCGTCATTCATTTAATTCCATACCCTCCCCATCAGTCTACTACACTCCTTTGCACTTCTTTTCCTAGGCTACCTACCTAGTTACTGCGCCTCCTACTACTACTTGTAGTTTGACCTCTCCTTTTCTGTCACTGCTTGTTCCCTCCTTCATACAAGCAAAGACACCTTCCATTCCACTGGCCTCCTGGTCCTGATCCTGTCCTCGACTCATCTCATCGCCGCCACTTTGTCGATTAGAGCAATGCTCCTCTCCGCCTCCACCTGCCTCTCTCCTTAACGCAGTATATTCCGGTGTTCACCCGGATCCTCATCACTACCCTCAGTGACGGCATCGCCCCGGGTCGTCTTCTTGGACTGCAAAGAAGAAAGAGTTTGCTTGGACAAAAAGGACGGCGCATTTCCTCGCTGGTATCCCACGAAACGACAGTTTGTACATGGGCAGGGGTTGGCCGTCACAGTCGCCAACATCAACATGCGCCGCAGCTTGTTGATCTTCCTCCTCTTCTCCATCATCATCCTAACTCTCCTTCTACACTCGGTCTCGACACTACTGTCGCTGCTCATCGAAGATGCTTCGGCCGACGCGATTCACCGAGCAGAAATACCCGAACCGAACTCGACACTACTCGAGTCGCGCCCTCAACTAATTCCCAAAATAATTCACCAGACGTACATCAACGAGTCCATCCCCTCTCATTGGAAACCAGCCCAGCAATCCTGCATCGACCTGCACCCGGACTACGAATACATCCTATGGACAGACGCCAAATCTCATGAGTTCATTGCCCGAGAGTATCCATGGTTTCTGCCTACTTTCGTCGGTTATAAACACAACATTCAACGAGCCGATGCCATCAGATACTTTGTGCTGGCCTATTATGGCGGCATCTACATCGACCTGGACGACGGCTGCATGCGAAGACTAGATCCGCTTCTGTCCTACACCGCATGGGTCCGTCGGACTGTCCCCACCGGTATCAGCAACGATGTCATGGCCTCCATCCCTCAACACCCTTTCTTCCTGCGCGTCATGGAATCCCTTAAGGGCGCGAACAGGTCATGGCTGCTGCCATACATCACCATCATGGCTTCCACAGGGCCGCTGTTTCTGTCGGTCATTTGGAAAAAGTGGATGGGCCAGCATGCTCATTTGGATCCCGAAACCTGGGTCGGTCGAGTCCGCGTCCTCATGCCAGACGAATATACCAAGCACCCCTGGAGTTTCTTCAAGACCTACAAGGGGAGCAGCTGGCACGGCAAGGACGCCAAATTGATTTTCTGGATGGGCAAGAATTGGATTCTTCTCACCGCCCTAGGGTTCCTCGTCGGGGGTGTGGTGGCCTTGGCTGTCTGGTGGCTGTACACTCGACTCATCGTCATGGGCGCCAGACGACGTGCCGCCGGGGGCAGTCCACGCCTCACTGCCTTTGGATTTCCTGTCGTTCCCAGGGTCCCACTGTTCCGGAGATGGAGTGGCACCAAGCAAACCTACGAGATGGTCGCGCAGCATGATGCGTGATGCTACTATACGGGCCAGGATTTACCACAGTCGATGTCCATGGCCATGGTCCTGAGCGAACCTCATGGACCGTGACCAGATATCTTCCCTTCTCTGGACTTCAATCAAATACTGTGCGCTGGTGCATCGAGGTCTACCGTTGCATACAAACAAAAAACCGGAACACGCTCATCACCTTTTTTTTTCTGTTCCAAGCGAAGGCGTTAATGGAGACGATAAACATTCCTCCAGGAGTTCGGCGGGAAAATGTCGATGGATTTAAAATACGAACAGGGACCACCCTTGGGAAACGGCCGCTTCAACAACCCAGCAAGCGCGCAATGCAGGCCATTGTTTTTCTGTGTTTTGGTCCTGTTTCCAAGAAGATCCAACAGCGAAGACAGGCGGACCTCCTTTTCTTGGTTCACCTTCTTCTGCTTTTCGGGCATATTTGGCCTGCTTCTTTTTTCCGCTGTGCCACAAACTTGGCCGACGAATTTTGCTAGATAGGCACCTAGATAGGTCGCATGTAGGACCTTAGGTACGCTTTTATATCGATTGTAATAAGACGTTCGGAACATTCCACCTGTGCAAAGCGGTTGACTTCAAGTTCTTAGGGGATTACATGTACCTGTCACTGAAATCCCCATCTATCCATCTACCTAGGTCCCAATCTCTAGGTCCCCCACCTGGTGCCAACTTGATCTGAACCGACATCTTCGATCTGTGGTCGGAAAACTTCTTCTTTGATACACCCAGTGAAGAGAGACCTTCGTCACCTCCTTTTCGCTGGCCAGAACCAAGAGACATGACAAGAGCACGTTGTCACCCTCACTAGATAGGAAATAGGACGGAAGCCTGAGCTGCTTGTGTCCAATGATGGCTTGGGGACTGTTCTCGATGCCTTTGGGCTGTGGTGGTCCGTGGACACTGTGCGAATGGTATTTCGTCTGCTTTTGCCTGTGCCTTTGCCTTTGCTTTTGCTGTCTTTGGTGCCTTGAATTTGTCATTGCAGTTCGAAGAGATGAATGAACGAGGACAGCCGGGTCGGTAGGCCGTTTGCTTTTTGACGCAGACGGCGTGACCTCGCTGCCATCCATGCATCCTCGGATGTCCATGTCGAGAAACGAGGGACAAGATGTGATTCATGTGTTCTGGACTTCCCCTGGACAGCAGGTGGAATCCTTCCAAGTCCGATCCGATCCGGCCCCTTCCCTTGCACACAGATCACAGATCACCGGCAAGGGCATGCCGTGGCCCTAGGTGAGCCGGACACAAGATATATGGTGTGGCTGCAGCCAAGCACTGCAGCATTGATAGGCCGGCAGGCAGGTAGATAGATAGGTTGATACACAGCCTCTACCTACCCTATTTGCAATACTAGCAGTAGAACAGCCTGACGGACAGGGGAGGCACTTCAGGTTTTTGTTTCTTTCGTCTTTTGCTTCTCTCTCTTTTTTTCCGGTGTCTTTCAAGAATCCCCCCCTTCCCCCTTCAGCGTCTCCATCTGCGCCCTCTGCTCCGCCATCTCCCTGATTTCCCTCTCCTCACTCCACGCGCGTTGAGACCTCTGCAGGGCCCGGTTCCGCCGCCTCACGGACTCATTGTAGTCCGTGACCCGCCTCTCGGCGAAGATACATCCTCCCAGGATCATCGCGCTCATCTGCAGAAACACCTTGAACTGCACCGTCAGGTTCTGGTAGACCGGGACCCGACGGTTCAGTAGGAAATGCGTGGCCAGCGAGATCGTGCCGAAGCGGAGAGCCCCCGAGGCGAAGCCCGCCACGGCAAGCGACGTGAGGTGTTCGGGCGGAGCGATGTTTTTGACCGTAGATGGGGGAGGCATTGTCGTTTGTATAAGTCGACGGACGAAAGACAGGTCAAGAGAGAGAGGTCAAGAGCAGGGAGAGAGAAGGACTGATTCACAGTACTAGTACTTCGAACACGACAAACAGGTTTCTGTGTTGTGGTATAGTAGCACAGGTGAGTCGAGCAATTTCAAGCCCAAGACGGTGATCACTTTAAGAACGAAGACACTGATGTTGTTCGTCGGAAGTAATGTTTATACAGTACGTAGTACCTAGCTTGTAGCACGTAGTTAGTAGGTCGAAGGCCGAAGCTTGAAGCTTGACTCCCTCGATCTCCGAGAGGAGGTAATTCCCGAGACACTGCACAGCTGCATGTAAAGTGATGACGTCGACTTACTACTACCCCAAATACTAAGGGCCTGTTCGGCACCGCCATTAAAAGGTACCGACTCGCCGATTAGCTACCTATACCTACTAGTAAGGTAGGTAAGGTAGGTAGAACGATTGGATAATACTTAGGCGGCGTGTCGCGCAGCCAAAGAAAATTTCCGTTTTGGATGCCGGTAGATCTTCGGTCCAGTCCATATTTATTTCCTACATTGTATGTTACTAGTCCTTTGTTTCTGGCCCTCAATCCGAGTCTGATACTGACTATTATCCAAAAACCCCGAAAGTGACTTTCAGTCCAAATAACAAGATGGCGCCTAAACCCCCTTCAGGCGGAAAAGGCTCCAAGAGCACCGCCCGCGCCCGCAAATCCGCCACGGCAGGCCCCTCGTCTTCTTCCAGATCCAAGGTCTCCAAACGTCCGCCGTCGAAGCAGGTCAAAACGAAGCCCGGCGTGCATTCTCAGACCCAGAAAGGCGCTGGTACCGCCAAGGCCTCGAAACGCAAGCAGAGGACGTACACGGAGGAAGAGCTCAAGCTGCCGACGTTGAACATGATCACCCCGGTGGGCGTACAGAAACCGCGCGGTAAGAAGAAGGGGAAAGTCTTTGTGGACGACAAGGAGAGCATGATGACCATCTTGGCGCTGGTGAATGCCGAGAAGGAAGGGCAGATTGAGAGTAAGATGATCAAGGCGAGGCAGTTGGAGGAGATCCGAGAGGCCAGGCGCAAGGAGATGGAAAAGAAGAAGGAGAAAAAACAGGCCGAACTGGAGGAGGTCAAGAAGGATCTGAAGAAGGGAAAGAAGAGGAGGGATGCGCCACAAGAGAAACCCGCGGATGGCGACAGGCAGAACGGCGACGGTCGGAAGAATGGGAAACCCAAGAAGAGAGTCTCGTTTGCCTGAAATAGACAAGGTCTAAGACGTCTATGCGGTCTACGTGTCTATTTTGTCGAGGCCTCCACGGTTGCTTAGCAGGTCCTCCTGCAACGCCGGTCTACTGGCCAGGCACATGCATCTTTCTCCTCATCGGTTCAAAGACCGGTTTCAGGGGTTCTCGATCCGTGCGAGATATCTGCCCTTCAAGTTTACCGTCGCCCTCGACCTTTGAGATAGCGTCGAGGTCGACCTCACGAGCCATCTTCTGGAAGAACGGGGTCGTCTACAGGCACAGTCAGTCAATCAGTACGTCCAATGGCCGTTACGAAGTCATGATCGAAACGCAACGTACCACTCTGGGAAACCATCTCCTTCCACCAAGCTCGAACCAGCTCAAATGGCCACCACCCGGCGTGGTGCAGAGAACGCCATAAGGGGTCTGCTGCACTTCCTGGCGTGGCAAGGCTTCGCTCGCTGTCACCTATACACATCAGCCGTCATACGAAGGTCAGACCGGACTTTTACTCACAGGATCGTCTTCTGCATGGATGGCTAGGAATGGAATTCTGATGGCGAGGACCGAGTCGACGGAAGAGGCATCACGGTAATATGCACCCTCAGTGGGATAGCCCCAGGTCGGACCTTGAACATGCCTATGATGTTTAGCAGCCGGAAAGCTAGAGCTTGGGAGACCACGTACCGATCGAAATCCCGCAGATATTTACCCTTTCGAACCAGATCAAGATTGATCTTGGGATTCTTGGAGACTTGCTCCACGTGGCTGAGACAAGGTTATGACCATCACTGCGCAGTGCATGTCGGAATGACTTACGTCTCGAACAGCCTCTTCATACTGCTGCCCATGGTTGCGGCATACACATTTCGATTGAACCAGGTCCTCATCAGAGCTAGATTGCCGGCTTCAAGATCCCAGGGGTTCGACAAGATCACCGCGGCTTTCAGGACACAATTGCTTCCTTCTTCGCCGAGATACTACACAAGTCAGCGCGCTTTCCAGACAGCCTTTTGTGAGATGCTCACATTTGTCAAAATATTGGCACCTAACGAAAATCCAATACCGAAGAGAGGACGATTAGGGAACTTCTTTTGTAGCCACTTCACAGTCTGTCTGGTATCCCAGGTGGCACGTGCATTATAAAGGACGCTTGATGTGATCTTGGTCATAGAGCATCCTCTGGAGATGATGACACAGGCTTCCCATCCTCCCTCTCTTAATAGAGGCTCCAGAACATGCCGGAGGTAGAGCTCGTGGGATCCTCCACTGAGTCCATGGAGCATAACAAGCATAGGACGGTTGTCATCCGAAGCAATATCATCGAATTCTTCTTTGCTGAAATAAGTGGTTCGTGGCGGTAGACTTGGATCATGAGCGTCGTTGGGTTTCGTGGCAAAGTCAACAGCAAATTGCCCGGTGTAGATTGGATCCTCATGCTCAAAGATCCACCGTTTGTAGTATATGGGAATGGACTGACGAGTCAGGACTGTCCACATAGTCTGTAAATGGCCATTGAACAGCAACGGATTGAGTCGGCAGGGAGGTACGATAGATTTGCACATGTCGGCTAACGAGCTGGTTCGTCCATCTTTCGTTTTCAACAGCAACGATTTCGTCGAGTGCCAGTACTTTGCCTTTCCCATTCCGAAGAGAGTGGCTGGAGTTCCTGCAAGAGCGGCCAGCAGGGTGACTCCTACGCAGGCCGTAAGGATTGGATGATCATGTACGTGTTTGGACACGGCGTCCAGAAAACTTTGGTCCATTTTTATACCAGTCCGCCGCCACTTGTTGTTTCTCTTCCCATTCTAGAGCATGCGGAGTCTTGTCTGGAGTATTGAGCAGACGGTCCGGAGCGACGTAGAGATTGCAGAGGTTCAGATGATATTGAACAGATGGTCCGCCTGTGCCGCTTCCTCGGATGATAGGATCATACGCTCGTTCGTGGCTGGACGACAGCGGTGACGCGCCAATGAACAAAAGGCCAGGGTCTCTGTGGATTCGCGCGTCGACCACCACCATCAAAGCGCTCGCCTGTAGCCACTTCATGTTTGTTTGCTTGTCTTTTTGTTTGCAGGCTTTCAGCCTGATCTGACCACGACCATCTAAATCTGACGACGTGAGGATGCCATAGAGGAAGCAGATATCGTGGTTGTACTGTAAGAACCGTTGCTGGGGATCCAAGCAGGCGGCAAGGACAGGTTTTCCCAAGAAGCGTTAACGCGAGGCGACGGCACCATCCGCTCGTCATCCAGCAACGGCGGCATCAACGCTGAGTCTTGTCCACGGTCAGTGTGCAGGAACGGGCATCATCTTGTGGGCCAGGAGTTGAAGGGAAGAGGTGTATGTGTTTGGCGTGGCGGGCTGTCGGAAGGGGGCTCTAACACTGAACCTGGTGGGAAGAACAGGAGACGGTGAAGCAGCGCAGGCGACCGCACGAGAATCCAGCAGTTGCAGCCTGACTGCGTTTACTTCTCAGACGGCGACCATGGAGTCCAACAACTATTCTTTCAATTCCTTTTATCCCAATTTTCCCCAGGCGCCGCAGCAGAATTTCTCATCGCACGCTCCGACTTCTAAGTCTCAATCTCAATCTCGTCAGCAATATCATCACCAATATCCACCGCAGCAGGAGCAGCAGCAGCAGCAGCAGCCACAGTCCCAGCCTTACCATACTCAGCAATACATTCAACCTCCTCCACAGAATTACTCTCAGTACTACTACAATCAGGACCAACACCTTCTACCCCAGTTCCAGGAGTATCCGCAATCCTTCCACCCGCCACAGCGTCCAGCTGTTCAACCTTCTGTTCAATCTCCTCATCCTGCCATCCAGGTCGTTATCCCTCCTCACCCTTATCACTCGTCTCCCTCGGAACCACGACAGCAACATCAACAGCAACAGCAACAGCAACAGCAACAGCAACAGCAACAGCAACAGCAACAGCAACAGCAACAGCAACAGCAACAGCAACAGCAACAGCAACA